CTACTCCCCCCATCTTTTATTTTCCCATCTTTTTAATTTCACTGCTCTACTTTTTCCTCTCCCTCCCTTCTCTGTTTACGCGTCCTTTCCCCTTTCGGATGGTCGTGCGCACACCACTTCGGGTTCGCTTCAGTACACCCCTGCACCGCCTCCCCTCCTCACCTGCTACCTACTCACTACTGCCCACCTTCTATTAGTATCACTCTCACTCGCTCGCGGGCTAGCCCGCATCGCATCAATGTTCCTTCTATGTAGGCTTCTCTATTCTCTACTCTGCATCACTTTCACCACCGCTTATCACCACTGTGCCTTCCCATCTCCCTCCCATCTCCCTCCCATCTCCCTCCCACCACTCACTCGTATTCTTGCCGCGCAGCGGGAAGCGGATACCTCCCCACCTCAGCAAGGATCTGCCCGCCCCGGCGCAGCTTCGCCAGCGCAGCCTCGCCGCACCACTGCGGTGCCAGCCCCGCCAGCGCCCGCTCGATCTCCCTCACCTCCCCGTCGCTCACAAGCCACGTCTGTCCCCCTGTCTCGCTAACCAGCAGCTGCACAACCGCAGCCGCAACCTCCGCCGCCGTGTTCACCGGCCCCCCGCCCTGTCGCCAGATATCCCGCAGCGGGCCCATCATGTACGTCTCCGTGTACGACGGCGCAACGCAGTTCACCACAAACCCGCCCTCCGCCTGGTGCGCCTGCAGCCCGCGCAGGATGCCCACCACCCCGTGCTTCGCAACCTTGTACGTCAGCTGCCCCAGCCCGCCAAAGTACCCCGACGTCGACGCAACAAGCACGATCGACTTCACCCGGCTCGCTCGGCTCTCCCTCTCGCCACGCTTCTTGAAGTAGAACAGCGCAAGCTTCACCGCGTTCAGCACGCCCTTCTGGTTGATGTCCAGCGCCGCGTACGACGGCGCCTGCAGCTCGCCGTCCACCACCTCCTCCGCGAGAAAGTCCTTCGTCTCCATGATCCCCGCCGCCGGCACCACCATGTCGATCGAGCCAAACCGCCTCCACGCGCTCTCAAACGCGCCGCGCAGTCCGGCCCACGACGTCACGTCCGCCTTTTGGTACAGCACCCGCGCGCTCGCCAGCTCGCGTACCAGGCTGCCCGACTCCTCCTCGCTCAGGTCCACAAAGCACACGTTCGCGCCTTTGCTCACCAGCAGCCTCACAACCTCCCGCCCAATGCCGTTGCCCCCGCCAGTGACCACCGCCGTGCGCCCTCTCACCAGCTCGCTATCTATATTCTCCACAACAACCGAGGTCATTTAGTGCAATGTGCGCGTTGTCGAGTTGTCGAGTTTTCGTCGCACTTTTCGTCGGCCAGCTATGGCTCCTCTTTAGTAATATTACCTCGCGCTCGCGCAATCGCTCCGAGATTGCCCGATGCGCAGTCCCCATATTTATCTTCAGATACCTCCTCGCCGTGCACAGATACCGCTTGATGACGACAAACCAACAACTGCCCCAGCTGCTCGCACAGCTGCAGCGCATCGCCGAGCCGCTCGACACCGCCGCCCGCAACCCGTGGTACCTGCTCGCGGCCATCTGCTTCACCGTCCAGCGCAAACTCGACCTCCTCGTCGACCTCGTCGCCTTCCTGCTTAGCCGCGCGCAGGACCACAGCGCCAAAGTCGACCTGCTCGCCTCCGTGCGCGAGGCCATCTTCACCACAGGCGTCCTCTACGGGAACCCGCTGATGATCAACGCGCTTCTGCACCTCAGGAACAGCGTCGACCCGCACCTCCTAACCGACACCCCGCTCAGAGACCCCACCGTCCCCGTCACCGAGCTCCACCACCGCGGGTACACCTACTTCCAGTCCATCTACGGCGACGAGACGGACCAGACCCTGCGCCTGCTGGCCAGCGTCCACCCCGACTACCCCTACTCCGCGCTCTCCCTGATCTTCGGACCGCTCTTCCACTTCCACGGGATCCTCACCCAGACCGAAACCTCCTACTGCATCTGCGCCGCGCTGATCGCCAACAACCTCCCGGTGCAGTCGCTCTGGCACATGAAGGGCGCGCTCAGGCTCGGGGCCTCGCGAGAACAGGTCCTCGCCGTGCGCCATGTGGTCATCCTGGCCTCGGGCGTCGACGAGTCAGACGTGCCTCTCCCGCCGGCACGCAGCCCAGATATAGCCTAAAGTGTATTACGTTACTCCCTCTTGCCTAGTTTACGAATAACAACCCACGCAGTTGGAACTCGAAACAGTACAAAGCTGAATCCCGTTGTCGATATAACCGAGTAGACTGTCCCGCTTTTTCTATGGTGATCAACCGTACCATTGTAATTCTTATATCTTATCCATCCCTCCAGAAATTCGGAGGAGTTTAGATAACGATAAATCTAACCAGCTGATAAGAGATTTTGTGGAAGGAAATCACCGATAAGAGTGTACCACAATTTGCGTGCGCTGACTAATATTGCGGAAAACCAGCATACCAGGTCCGCTTAAGATTTTCGCTATAAATGTTCAAAAGTGAAGAATCACGGTACATTGTCGATCCCAAAAAATGAGCTCTAAATACGAAACATTAGTTATTGGGGCCGGCGGAATAGGTGCTGTCGTTGCGTACGGCATACATTACACAGGCAAGTCGAATCTAGGAATTGTTGTAAGAGGACACTATGACAAGCTAATTAGTGAAGGATACACCATTGACTCAGTCGATTACGGAAAAGTTGACGGCTGGAAACCAGACTACCTCTACCCAAGCATCGAGGAAGCTGGAAAGTCGGGGATCGAGTATGACTTTGTTGTGGTGTCCACTAAAAACCTACCTGATATCGAAAAGGTTGAGGACCTTATTGAACCAGTTGTGACACCATCAAAAACCGCAGTTGTTCTCGTGCAGAACGGCTTTGACATCGGCAGGCCACTAATTGAGAGGTTCCCGCAGAACATCATCATATCCGGTGTGTCGCACTGCGGCTCGCACAAGTACGGGACGTTGGTTGAACACATCCAGCACGATAATGCAAAAATTAGCTACTTTGGCAATCCCAACTTTGAGGAAAGCGCTCTCGAACAAAAGACCAAGGAGTTCATCTCGATGTACAAAAATCCAAAGAACGATATCGACTACTTTCCGAACGAGCGGTGGTACAGGTACAGAAAGCTTGTGTACAATGCAACTTTGAACACCGTGTGTGCATTGACGGATGTCGATACAGGACGCCTCCAGCTATGGGGAGGCCTTGATGAAATCTCTGTACCTGCAATGAGGGAGATTGTTGCTATCGCCAAGGCAGACGGCTGTGACCTCCCTAGCGATGTGATTAATATTGTTGGCCACGGAGATGATGGTGTCTATTTTGTTCCCTCAATGCTGGACGATGTTAGAAAGGGCAACCCCATTGAGCTTGAAATCATACTCGGTAATGTTCTCCGGGTTGCGGATCAGCTCGCAGTGGATGCTCCAATACTAAAGGTTCTGTATGCTCTTCTAAAGCTCAAGCAAGGTAGGCTTAAGGAGAAAAGGGGGTTGCTTACAGTGCCAGAAACTCGCCCCCCAAACACTAAGTACTACTCTTAACTTTTCTTTGGTATCTTTCGGGAAATTTTGCTGATGATAGTAAGATATCTATGAGCAAGTTGTAATCCAGCAGGATCCGAACCAACGAAGAATCAGGTTCTTGCTGAGTTTGTCGCGTCTGCATGTTTGAAAAACTATCGTTCTCGATAACGGAACCCTCCGTTACTGGTGGCATCCCAGCATGTATCTGGGCAAAAGCGAGTGACTTTCTACACTCAAGCTTTCCAAGAATAATTTCCGTAAACCTGCTCAGTCGTCAGCTTGATCCATTAGACTTTCGCGAATGTTTCAGGTTGTACTTTCCTATCAGGTGTATAGCAGCTTCAACGCGTTCCATTGTGATCGGAGCGTCATTCTCATGGTCTATGACTACAATGGCTTGATCTCGCATCCACACATAGACTCTAGAAAGACACAATGTGGGGGAAAGTGCATAGTATACGTGTGGGCTCCACAATGGGTTGAATATGAGGAGTTCACCTGCCTCTTCAAGGAGACCGCTAATCTTGATTGCAGAGCTAACGTAAGGCCCCGGTATCCTAAAGTTCAAGTAAGATATGCGGACCGGCTCTTCCAAAGATAATTGAATGACAACCCCGAAAAGCAATTGTATGACGTAGTAATGGTATCCATTGCCAGCCGAGAATTCAATATCGTCGATTTCGATATGACTTTACAATCTCGAGCTGGCTATATTTAATTGGGCAGTCATGTTCTGATACCAATTGAAGCCTGAGGTATGCAGATTCATCCATTCTGTTACGGAAGCAGTGTGTGTCACTGGCAACCTTTATGGCTTCGGACTTTCAACGGAAAGGGTTTGTTTTGCTTCCAGTACAGCATTACTAGCTTATTGGTATCTAGTTCCTATTTGTATGTAGCAATTTGTTTTGTTTGTTCATCTTTCGACTCTCTGTTACCAATTGATTTTCTATTTAATTTGCCATGAATATTAATATTTTCAACTCCTTATATTGCCAACGTCGCTGCTTCACATTGAGTAGACAATTTTCGATTCAGTGATACGCTACCAGCTCACTCAGCTTCCTTGCTAACTGTCTCCTGCTGATCCTGCTGCTCAACATCGGCTTCCTTGCTGACCGCTTCCTCCTGCTTGCCCCAGCCACCTAGGCAGAACAGCAGCGCAACTCCGCCGTAGCACGCGATAGCCACGTACATGCAGTTGCGCGATGCGTTGATCGACCCACGCTCCCCTATGATGGAGGCAGACACCGCGCTTGCTAGTGCAACCCCCACCTGGCCAAATGTCTGGAAGATCCCGCTTGCGGTCGCCTGCAGGTGCAGCGGAACCCGCGTGATCATCAGCGAGTACGTGATCTGGTAGAACGCGTTCACGGTCCATCCAAACAGGAACAAGCTCACCAGCTCGTACCGCCAGTACTGGCCCGGCTGGAACCGCGACGCCCACACAGTCATAGCCAGTGCGAAGATGCCATCAATGACCACAAACCAGCGTTCGCCAATGCGCGCCGTGAACCACGGCCGCCACACAAAGCTGCCCCACACGATGCCGACCGTTGCTGGCAGCAGACGCACGGCTGCAATAAGCGGCGAGTCGTTGTCGTAGTGCTCGTGGAACTGGATCAGTGCGAGTTGCACTATCGTATACCCACAGTAGTGGAACAGCGCGCCGCATGCCGATGCAACATATAACTGCACGCTTCCCAGCTCGAGGGGGAACATCACCTCGAGCTTCGAGCCAGACCGGGGCAGGTACACCAGCTCGTACAGTGCAACGCCAATGACAATAAGACCACCCACGGGGATCGGGATGTACACTTTGGGAGAATGCCACTTGGTGCCGGCCTCTGTGAACCCGAGAATCACCAGCAGCAAGCCTGCAACAAGCAGGATTGCGCCTGGGTAGTCCAGCCGTTTGAGGCTGACTGTTCTGTGCGGAGGCACGGGCACAATAACGAAACAGAGACCCGCGAGGCACGCAGTGCTCACCCCAAATGTAAACCAGAAGAACGCCTTGTATCCGATCGGGGTCACCGAGAACGCGCCCCCGAGCACCGACCCGATCCCGAGCGACGTGGTCAGCACAAGCATAAGCATGCGCACCGCGAGCTGCAGCGCAGCACCTTCAAAGTACGAGGCCGTCAGACCCATGGCCGTTGGCACCAAAGCCGCGGCACCAAGGCCCTGCACCGCGCGGATGACAATCAGAGCAATTGCGCTTGGCACCAGCGCACTGACGAGCGAGCACACGCTCATCACCGCCAGCCCAGCGAGGTACACCACGTGCAGGCCCACGACGTCGGCGATCTTGCCGATGAGAATGATAAACGAGCCCAAGGTTAGGGCGTAGGCAGAAATGACCCACGTCGCCGTTGCGTAGTCGGTGTGCAGGCGCTCCTGCAAGCTCGCGGTCATCGTGATACCGCCGCTCACACTCAGGTTATCTAGGGTCAGACCCAGCAGAATTAGCACGTATGCCACAACTTTGCGATTCATGATGCTGGTACGCAGCGTGCGCAGACCCTTATATAGGGGTGCTAGCTTTTCCGTGTGCACAGCCGTTCAATTGCTAGCTTGAAAAGCGAAATTTTCCTGCCCGGCCAAACCCGTTTTCCATAATATAGCGTGTTAGTCAGCAGATAATGTGCGGCTCGCAGGGTATTGTCTTATACATTTGTTGTATTGTGAACAAAAGCCGGATTCGAGCCGCAACCTAAGTGCGAGCACAAGAGTGATTTGTCAGTCCGGTTAGTAATTGGGTTTCGGGAGATGACACAGACAGGTATTGTTATTTGTAAGCTGTGGCTCTGTAAACCAGGTAGGCCGCATAACAACTATTAATCATCTCATCAAAAAAATCGTTTTGGCTCTTCAATTCCTGGATAAATGTAGCCATCCCCTAATGTTATTGCATGAGCTCGCGGGGAGGGGGACTAACGCTTGCTAGTTGGTACACAGGGATGAGGAGAGAAATGCCATGCCATGAGTTACCCAAGTCAACCATTCAATTGAATGATGCTTGTGTCTGTTCTGTCATTAAGGCGAGTATGGTGGATGTACTTAGGCTAATGGAGTTATGACTCTCAGTGCTCAAAATAAGTTGAAAGGAGTCGCATTAAAATCTCATTAGTGATAACGCTAGAAAACTTCATCTCATCTTCGGCTTTGCTACAATCTCTGCCCAGCCGTCTCTCATGGCAATTTTTTGTCTATTTTAAGTACAGGTTTTTCCATTTGTGAAATTTATCTGACACAGTTCAAGGTCTACTCCTTTTCCTTGTTCTCATGGGCTCGGCCTCAAACTAGAGTTTATTAGTTTTGGCTCTAGGAATATAGAAATCTAGACGCAGAATTCTGATTCCAACAACTATATCTCCACGGTCGTACAGTGCAGCAGATCCAGTTTAGTATTCTACTCATCTCTTCTTCACTCGTAAAGCCGGGGTTCAGATAATCCTTTGCACGTTTTTAGCTGCCAGGCTACTTTATTTATAGATGTCTAATCAGCCATAGATAGTACACATTTTGGTTCCCCATTGAAGGCATCCTCGAAACTATTGGCTACCCTAGAGTTGTTGCATATGGGGTCTGCTAGCCAGTAGAGGTCTATATGTCCTCCGTCGTCCTAGTTACTACCTGCTAGATGTAATTCCGTAAAATTAGATTCTCTTGGAAATCAACTACCTTGTCCCTAGTTCTGGAAAGAGGCTCATGAAAATGTAGATGTCAAAAAAAGAAAGTCGTGTGGGAAACCGAGCGGCGTTTATTTTTGAAGATGTCCTTTCGGGCCTGAGAACTGACGGCCGATGAAAGGTCAAAGTTGAACTATAACTTGCATTGTTTTAAGAACCGTGACGTTAATGACATTTAGCAGTTCAGCATGTTCCGTTAATTGGGTCACCTCAAGCTTTGCGGATGCTATTTTTGGTGCTTTAGTTCGTCAAGCTACTTGATGAATCTTCTTCGGAAAATGTTTTCTGGGGCTCCCCCTTCGGAAAGAAACTTTCGGTTAAAAATCAAAAGCGACAGCAATTAGTGCTAGAGATAAAACTTGCTCTAATGTTTTTGCTGAGGCTAGCTCTTCAAAGAAACAATCTCTTTCATTCCAATAAATCAGTTGGAGATGGTCCTTAACTCTCCCAAGACTTTAGCTCTAGAGTGTTACATATCTGTAGCAAAACTTTATTCTGGAATCCATGTGGCAGCTAAAAATAACAGGTTTTTTCGTTCTACAAAACTGGCCTCCAAACTGAAGCCTATTTCGTGACAAGGCCCTGTCAATACTGAGGCTTAGAGTCATTGCTCTGGCTACCAAGATCACTCTAAAAATAGAGTTTTGATCTTGCCAAGACCATATAAATATAGCCGTGTAGTCAATTGCATTACACCATGACATACTCAAACGATACATTTGTGACACCCGAGGGTGGCGCCTGGGTGTTCAAAATTGGATTTCTCGTTACCACCGCCATTCATTTCGGTCTGGCAATATACACAAAAACATGGTTTGAGTGCTGGTATATAATAGGAGGAATACTTGAAGCTGTTGGGTACTTTTGCATAAACACAGATGAGGGTGGACAGAGTCTGGAAATTTACTTGGCTCCTATTTTCATGGCAGCTACTGTTTATATGTGCTTTGGCCGGGTCATATCATCTTTGGAAGCAAACAAACTTGCTCTCATTTCAGGCAGAAAACTAACTGCTCTCTTCGTTATCGGCGACATTTTATGTTTCTTCACACAATGCGCTGGAATAGTGCTTCAATACGACTTCAACAACCTTGAAACCATTGGCAAAATAATTGCAATCATCAGCTTTACCTTGCAACTGGTTCTCTTCACATTCTTTCTTGCAAATGCCATTGTTGTTCATCGCCGACTTATCCTCACACAACATCCCAGAACACTGAATGCTAAAATCCAATGGCCAACATATTTCAAAGCAAACTACGTTGTCATCTTTCTATTTTTCGTGAGGATCATCTTCAGAGTGATAGAATATGCACAAGGTCTTGGCTATATTTTTTTCCACACAATTTTTATCTACTGTTTTGATGCCACGCCCCTATTTGCTGCTTCATTGGTTCTGATAGCGGTTTATCCACCGTTAGCAATTGTGCGCAAAGAACCAGAACCCGAAGAGCTTACTGCAAGTTCTGAGGAGCCGGACACAGAGTCCAAAGTCGCTTGAATAAAAAAATATATACCTAACAGATTTTAAATCATCCAGTATTTATTTTTCGTGGGGAGAGCAAAGTCTTGCCCTTTAATTTGTGAGTACTAAAAAAAGTCTTTTTCATCCAGAGATAAACCTAAAGCTTCACGCTGAGATTTCGATTCTGGATCAAAGTATGGGATTTCCGCGAGAGACGTGACTCTTGTCCCGTGGCGGGATTCGTTGCCCTCGTGGTCCCAGGCTGCCGAATGCTGAGAAACTCTGTTATCCCAGATAGCGGAAGTTCCATACCCAGGCTTTGAGGATGGAGTCCATTTAAACCGAGCTTGAATATCAGCATTTTTCTCGTAGACCTCAAACAAATAGTTCAGAATCAATTCAGACTCGACAGAGGAAACACCCAGGATTCGTTTTGTCATAGTCCGGTTGACGTACAAAAATTTCCAACCGGTAGCAGGATGAGTTCTAACCAAGGGATGGACTCTTTCGATTTTTTTTGGTCCAGAGAATGGGTTTTTTCTGTCTAAGTAGCCGTGAGCAGACACGTATACAGCCTTCTTACCGTCTAAAAACTTTTTGAAGGATTCAGAAAGCTTATCGTACGCAGCGTATCCAGAGGCCCAGGAAGTGTCGCCTCCAACATTTGGAATGGCATCCAAATGTAGATGAGTAATTCCAGATGGCCGCTTCTCATGAACAATATCGGTATGCCACACCTGAGGTCCCCAGACAGTATTCTTCTGCGCGTCCCAATTACCGAGACTGTTGTTCTTATAAGTCAAATTCAATCCAAGGCTTTTGCGGAAATAATCGACCCAAATCACAGAAACCCCAGGCAGTCCATTCACCTGAGAAAATTGAGGATGTCTCTCAGCCCGCCCCCAGTAGTCGCCAAGTTCAAGCTGCTTTTGTGGGGATAATTTTTGGTCTCTAAAGAAAACAACGACTCTTTCGGCAACCAAAAGAGCCAGTTCATCCTTCTGTTTGTCGTTTAAATCCTCAAGCTGCAGTCCAACAATTTCTGTTCCAACATGCTTAGTCAAATTGATGACCGCTGTAGCCGCTCCAAACAATGCCTTTTTTTCAGGATCGGCATTCTTGCCCCTCTCAACATACTCGTAGTCATCATCACGGATTGCGGTAGCCTCGTCCAGAAAAACTGGAACACGAGACTTGTCTGGCTTCCATGGATAGCCCTCAGAGATATCAATCCCGGCCGCCAGAAGTCTCTCTTTAGTGTTTTCGGGTAGGATGTCTAGTCCGGCTGGGTCAGGCCCAAATTGGTTAGACGACTTTTCACCCACCCCAACAGCAAGGTCTTTTGATGACTTGATTAAGTTTTCAATTTCCTTATCAATTGGACTTGATTGTAAATGTAGAGTAGCAGTAGTTGACATTTTAATTGTCAGTGAAGCGGGAATAATCTTTCAAGACAGCTCCTTTTATACCCCTCGAATATTCTACTGTGGCTACCAAAATTTGAGAATCCATGGATTGGCTGTGGCTCAAGCCGCGACGCCTTTTTTAGTAACAGCTAACAGTTATGATACTAGATATCCTGGCTTATAGGTAAACAGCCATGACGTCTGTGCGGAGAGAATTGTGGGGCCTTCTGAAAAGTGGTCCGATTTTATCTATCTCTTGATGAATAAACATTTGACCTACTAGAATATAGAAAACATTAAATTTAGGGCTTTAGGGCACGTTCATTGAATGATCCCTTTCTCACATCGTCTTTATAATCAGAATTCGTCCCAGCAGGGTACAATGATCAGGTCTCAGTATTACCAGAGCTATACACAGTCAGACAGTTTATAAATATCACTTTCTGACATTTCAAATCAGTACTTCTTCTTCACGGGATAACCTCTCTTGGCATTAACTGCATCAGTGGCCTCTCTTGCCTTGGAGATATTTTCCAAAGCTGTAGGCATATCGGAATGCAAACAAAGCATAAAAGGAGTAGTTCCAAAATTGAATTTGATCTTTGATCCAGAGACACTGGTGAGCTCGTCGGTCTCAGCAACCTCGACCAAATCGTTATAAATGATGGTTGGATTTTTTGGTCTGGATTGAGCAGGTGGGACTAGCTTACCTTCTTCAGTCCAGTCAATATCAAGATACAATTCCTGGATGAAATCAACCCCCATTTCCTTTGCAACCTTTTCATAGTGTGCATTCTTAGCACCAATAACAGGCACTTTGAAAATTTGCGCAGCTCTCAAAACCGCACGCATCACTTCCTCATCTCTCTCAACATAGAAGTATAACTCTCCATGTGGCTTAATATGATTTAATGGCAAACCTTCCGCATCCAAAAATGCTTTCAGCGCACCTGTTTGGTACATTACCAAATTAAATATTTCATCAGGTGGAATGGCAAATCTCCGTCTACCAAATCCGAGAAGATCAGGCAACCCAGGGTGGGAGCCAACCTTGACATTATACTTCTTTGCAAGTTTCACCATATTTGCCATGATGTTGTAGTCTCCCGCGTGGAACCCGCACGCAATGTTGGCAACATCAATCAATGGCATGATTTTTTCGTCAGGCCCCATTTTCCATTTACCGAAGCCTTCACCCATGTCACAAACAATCTCATATTTGTCCATATACTTCTCATTGAGCTTAGCAGAGCCAGCAAGAGCTCCAGGTATCGTTGCCATCTTCTTTATGATGCACTAAAAGTTTGTATGGATTGTTGAAATGTGCAAGATGTTGAGTAAATGTTTGTGGTAGTTTTCATGAACAGAGCCGCGACAATCTTTCAGTGCCGCTAAGATAAGGCACAATAACCTGAAATGGAATACATCTAGCCTGTTAATAAATAACCAATTGAAAAGCGCGGACGTTATTCTCCACCGAGCACCAGAATTTTCAAGCATGCATTATCTATATAAAACTTGCATATAATTTTAGCTTCGTGGATTAGCGCCTTGCTGTTTTAGGAACGCCGCATTACCGCTCGATAAATTTCATAGCCATTCTTTGAGGCAAAACCTTAATTTCTATACACTTGTTACTCCCACCACAGCATCAAGTTTACTCTCGTCTGCTTTTCTTTCAACTCTGGAACTTGTAACTCTGCTAACAACATCGTCTGAATATAGTTTTTGTGACCTCCCCTTGCCGAGAATATTTTTGTATAGCGTCTTGAATCCATCCATACTTTCGAAAACGGGGTACACCGTCACCACGCCGACAGAAAAGAAAACCCATAAAAAGGTAACCACAATGTAACCACGGAAGAACGTTTTTCCAAAAATGTAGTGTGTTCCGTAGAGGGGCATAGGGAAGAGAACAATAAAGAACAGCACGAAAATTGTAGCTAGGACAATTCCAATATTTCTCTTCCTGATCATCATCGCATCCTCTGCTTCTTCCTCAGACAAAACCATCTCTGTAACTTCTTCACCGCTCAACACATTTGTTAATCCATGATCTTTATCGAATGAGGAGTCATCGACCTGCGAGATCTCAGTTTTCCACTTTGTCCAGTCAAATTTGGCGGGCTTGATAAAGGTAAAAATTGGAAGGATAACCAAAGGAACAAACACAGCAGCAGTGTTTCCTGCGGCTAACGCCTTGTAGGTCGACAAAGTAAGGATCGTAACGTCTTTGGATGCAGAATATGAATATCCCACCCAAACTGCAACTGAAATACAGGTACTCAAAGTCGTAGTAGCAACGAATGAGAAACACGACACTTTGTCCCAGAACAGTGTACATATCATTGGAACGACACAAACATTCACCACAATACCTGATGCAGTGGTGATAAATGAGACATCAAAATTTGCTCTTCCAAAACCAATTGCTAGGCCAATAGCCACCACACTGAAGCCCACGACACTCAAGTGCGTGACCCAAACAAGCCGCTTTCCATCTGCCTTTGGGTTGATATAAGACTTGTAGATGTCATAAGTGAGCAAAGACGCAACAGCAACAGTCTCAGATGAGTATGCAGCAGTGACAGCCATAAACACCATCAACAAAATTGCACCAGCACCACCTTTACCCATTATAGCATAGGCAGAAATAGGCAAGGCAAGTCCATTAGATAGTTGCTCTGTTGTTAGCCCACCTGGAATTGGAAAGCTGGCTGTATTTTCCAAAGCTCTGCATGCTAAACCCATGGTGGTAGCAAGAGCAAATGGAAGGGTAAACCAACATAACCCACCGAGGGTGTAACCTGTTAAGGCGCCTGCTGGATTAGCAGCAATAGCTTTCTGGAAAAGCTGAGAGTCGACAGATGCGGCCCATCCAGCACCAAAAAGAATCAATCCAAAAAGTCCTCCGTTCACAGAGGTAAATGTTAGGTAAGAACCTCCTTCATTTCCTTCCACTGGATAGCTGACAGCGGCTTCTGTGAGTAGCTCCCAAACTCTTGTTGTAGACCCCAGGACGTCGGAAGTGGTGTAGACTTTGAAGAGGAAGGTTGTCATCACAACATAAATAATCACCACGTGAGTCCAGTCCGTGAGGAAAGTTGCTTTGATACCTCCAATAAGGGTATAGATGATGACAAAGAACGGTAGCAAAACTGTGCAGGCTTCTCTATTCATTCCAGTAAGGTTTGCAAAGACAGAGGAGCCATTCACCAAAAGGTTGGCAGTGTACACCAGTTGCTGTCCTATGGAGTATGCGCACATCGTCAAGTGACCAATAGTTCCGTATCTAACTTTAACAACCTCTTGGAAAGTATGCGCATTTGGTGCTTTTCTTTTCAGCTCGATAGCCATGGTAGCAAAGATGATGATCTGGACACATGCACCAGCACCGTACCACCAAGCACCAGCTATACCAAGATCGTATGTGGTGGTGACGGAAAGTAAAAGAGTGGACCCAATCGTCCAACTGGAAACAACCGCACTTGCAATCAAACCCGACTTAATAGATCTCTTCGCAGTGGACAACATCTCTGAGTCTTGAACTTCGTTCATGTATCTTGTCAAAATCCATGAGACGAGGCCCATTACCAGCGCAAACACAGCACCCACTCCAACAACCATTCCATATCCCACCCCTTGGGAAAATATGATGAAGGATCCGTTTGAACTATCAATCTCTGTCATTATGAAACGTAGTGATTGAAGGAAAACGTCTTTTCTAACTTAATATATGCAAGCTCTGTCAAATTTGCACTTAGAGCTGAGAACAAATGTTATGCATGATACGAGTGGTATGCCGCTAGGATAAATAGCCAGCGTTTCGCCGGGGCGCAGGGCATTGCAGGATCTTTGCGGAAAGAGCCAATTTTATTGAAAATTTCTGCTCCAGCAAAATTGTTTCTAACGACTAAAAGCTTATCAACAATAATTTGGCATGAAATATGCAGAGCGCACAATAATGCAAGTTTCGCCGTTGGGCTAGCGCGGACATCCAAAGAGATAATTTTATTTCACATGAGGCTTGCAACGGAAATAAGATAGGGACTAGAATTGATTTACCCACTAGCGGATCTGCATCTGATAGATGGTTCGAGACCGGGTGCTCGGATTTTACGATATCGTGAAAACCCGCTAGATTATTTTTCTGTAGATATTAGGCACCCAGTCTTGCAATAGTTTACATACTAAAATTGCAAATGGTTGACTTTCGGAATATCAAGAGAGTCCTTGTTGCCAACAGAGGTGAGATTGCTGTCAGAGTGATCAAAACATGCAATAAATATAACCTGACTGCAGTGGCCATTTATTCTAAAGAAGATCTGGAGTCTCTCCACGTCAGTCTTTCTGATGAAGCCTACCAACTGAGCGGAGTGGGAGCTGCAGCTTATACAAACATTGACGAGATTGTAAAGCTTGCAGTCGACCAGAAGATTGATGTGGTTGTTCCTGGGTACGGATTTCTGTCGGAGAATTCCAACTTTGCTGCTGAGCTAGCTAAAAATAAGATTCTTTTTGCTGGTCCCAGCTCCGATTCCGTTGAAAAATTCGGTCTGAAACATATGGCCAGAGAGCTGGCAATACAAGCTGACGTTCCGGTTGTTCCTGGAACCAGCTTGATTTCAGATTCAGCCCAATTGATCTCAGCATGCAACAAAATCGGGTACCCAGTGATCCTCAAGGCCACAGCCGGTGGAGGAGGTATGGGTCTTAAAGTCTGTTACAATGAAACGGAGCTTGTGAGTAACTTTGCTGAAGTCACATCTCGAGGCACCTCATTATTCTCCAACGCTGGTGTCTTTGTCGAAAAGTATATCGAAAAAGGCCGACACATCGAAGTCCAAATGTTTGGCAACGGGCTAGGAGATGTGGTGACTTATGGTGAAAGAGAGTGTTCAATTCAGAGACGACACCAAAAGGTGATTGAAGAATGCCCATCTCCATTTGTTTCGGACCTGTTCAAGGGTCCGGACCTACGTCAGAGACTGACCTCAGCTGCGAAGCGACTAGCAACTACCATCAAGTACAAGTCTGCAGGTACAGTTGAGTTCTTGGTCGATGACACCACGGGTGAATTTTATTTCTTGGAAGTCAATACCCGGCTTCAAGTGGAACATGGTATCACAGAGATGGTGTATGGGGTTGACCTTGTGTATTTCATGCTTCTTCAGTGTGAATACGAGACTCAAAACTCCGGAGTACCAGCAGATATACTTAAGGCAAGTCTCAAATATAATTCTGAAGGAGTCGAGATACCAAATGGGCACGCTATTGAGGTGAGAGTGTATGCCGAGAACCCTGTGAGAGACTTTGCTCCTTGTCCTGGAAACTTACACCATGTCTCGATCCCTTCTTCTGAAAAGTCGGGAGAGTTTCGAGTTCGCGTTGATCACTGGATTGAAACGGGAAGCAAGGTGTCTCCGTACTTTGATCCGCTGCTTGCAAAGGTGATGGTCTGGTCACCAACAAGAACTAGTAATAACGTTATCAAGGTTCTCAAAGACACAATCATTCAGGGACCAGTGAACAATATTGAGTATTGCATTGCAATTCTGGATAGCAAGGAGTTCAGAACTGGAAACACTCTTACGAGTTTCCTTTCAGATTTTGACTTTAAACCGCATTTGATTGAATTTGAAGGAGCGGGTGCGTACACCACCATCCAAGATCTTCCAGGGAGACGTAAAGTCAGATTCGGAGTGCCACATGGTGGACCAGTTGATCCACTCGGGTTACAGATTGCCAATGTTATTGTTGGTAATCCTCTTCACTGCGAGGCACTGGAAATAAATATGAAGGGTCCAACCATCAAGTTTCACAGACCAGCGGTTATTGCACTTGCTGGTGGACGCTTCAAGGTGACTTTAGATGACAAAGATGTTCCGATGTACACAGAGTTGTTTATTCCAGCGGGTAGTGTGCTCGATATTGAAGAGCCATTGGGAACCGCTGCCAAATGTTACCTCGCTATCAAAGGTGGGTTCCCTAGTGTTGCTACCTACCTTGGCTCCAAGGGATGTCTTCCAAGTTTGCAACTTGGCGGTCATCAAGGGAGAATTATTTTCCCTGGAGACTGTCTTAGTATAGTTCCGAGCGACGATTTCCAGTCGTTTAAAAAAGGATACGAGTTCCCAGAGGCCCTTATTCCAAACTATGAGAGATCAGAAAACGTTGTGAGGGTGATTGGGGGTCCGCATGATACTCCTGATATCGTTTCGTTGAAGGGAATGGAAACTTTATATTCTGCTCCGTATTCTGTGAACTTCAACTCCAATAGGGGAGCCACTAGATTGGATGGTCCAGAGCTCAAGTTCCACAGAAAGTCCGGGGGCGATGGAGGTGGACACCCAAGCAATATTCTTGAGTTCCCTTACCCAACATGCGGACTGTCTGCAGTCGGTTCTGTGATGACTCTGTACGGAGTTGATGGAGCCACTGCCTCTGGTTTCACATGCATATTTGCACCTGCTGAAGCCGACTTCTGGAAGTTTGGTCAAGCTGCCATCAATAGCAAAATGACGTTCACCCCTATCACCTACAATGATGGGATCAAGTTGCTAAAGCAAAGAAACGCGTATTTGCAGGAGATCTCCAAACGGCCTACCATTACCTCCGTTAAATTCAATGATGAGCTCGACAAATACGAACCAATTAAAGGCAAGGTTGGAGAGTTCCTTCACAGAAGAGAACCTTCATCGGACCTGCCTGAAGTTTCTTTCAGACAGGCTGGAGAAAGAATGATCGTCATTGATTTTGGTAACTTAAGGTTTGATCTCTTCAACAACGGAAGACAACATGTCATGGAAACTGAAATCAAGACGAACCTGGAAGGTATGTACGAAAGCATTGAGTGCTGTACTGGTGCCATGTGTGTGGTTTTCGATCCAATATTGGTCGATAGAGCCGACTTGTTGGAGAAACTGATTGCACTTGAAGCGTCCATTCCCCAGATTGAGAAATTGAAAATCCCATCGAGAACTTTCAAGCTTCCTGTCACTTTCAAACACTCGGCATTGGACCACTGCTTGGATAGGTACATGCATTCTCAAAGATCGCATGCAACATACCTTCCAAAAAATACGGACTACCTGATGAAGGCCAATTTACTAAAGGATTTCGAGGAGTTCAAATCGTGTATTGTTGGGAAGCCAGAAATGGTGGTTGCAATTACATTCTTATGTGCAAATGTTCTGATGGCCACCATTGATCCACGGTACCGGATATCCGCATCCAAGTATAATCCAACGAGAACATCTACACCAGCAGGAACTATCTCCACTGGTTCTGTCTTGCAATCGATCTACCCAATAGACTCTCCTGGAGGGTATATGATGTGGGGTATGACACTTCCTAATTGGTACTGGGATACATTCTCAAGAATTCACGATAATCCGTGGCCATTCAGAGTGTTTGACCAGGTACTTTTCTATGAGGTCACCGAGGAAGAGTTGCAAAACATGAACAATTTACTTCTGACCAAAAAATTGAAAATTGAGCCTGAAGAAGGTGTCTTTGACTTTGTCGAGTACAAGAAATTTGTTGAATCTATTGACTCCGAGTTGAAGGACCTAAAATCAAGAAAGCTTAAGGCATTTGAGGAGTGTACCAAGGAAGAGAAAGAGGACTTTGAATTGTGGCAGAGCGAAAAGGCAGCAGCAGCAGCTTCCAGAGTTGGATCCGGAGATGTGGCCGACACTCCAGGAGCCATCAAGGTTCTGTCTCACATGCCATCCAACGTGTTCAAGATCAAGTACCAAGCTGGCGACACGATCACCAAGGATGACGTTCTCATTATTTTGGAAGCCATGAAGATGGAGATACCCGTCAAGTTGAAAGATAAATCCAGCTCAGACAAGTATGAGATTTTGGCTGTAATTGTGGAAGAAGGTGATGTTGTCAACCCGGGTGATGTCCTCATGATTGTGAAAGGATTAGAGTAAGTAGAACAACATGTTTGATTCGTGAGCTCTGTAGAGTAACAAAAAAAAAAAGAAATTAAAAAAATGTGGGCTAAGAGGTTCGAACTCTTGCTTCTTACGAAATCACGACCTGAACGTGACGCCTTAACCACTCGGCCAAACCCACAGTAATTTAATGATTAAAGGAACGGGTTTATCACATGATGAAAATAGCTGGAATGTACCTCAAAACCAAAAGACGGTTTACAATACAGAGTTAGCTCTCACTAAATTTGTGTCTATACAGGGACCACTCCTCCATTAGCATTGAGAACAGATCCAGTAGTCCACGAGGCCTCATCGCTACAAAGGAAACCAACCAGCGGCGCAATGTCAGTAGGGAGGCCTATTCTGGGTGCAGCAGGAGTTGCATTAGCAACATCTTCCAAAGCCTTCATGGCTTCTGGGGTGCTTTCCATTAACATGTCTGTTTTGACAGGTCCCGGATTGACAGCATTCACTGTACAGTGGTATTTTCGTCCGAGCTCCAAAGACCACACTCTCATGAGTCCTTCAACTGCTGCTTTTGTTGCCGAGTAAACACCCATTTCCTCGTATCCCATTCTTGCACAGATCGAAGAGAGAAACACAATGCGGCCGTTATTACGAGTGAAATGGGGAAGAACCTTTTGTGTGAGAAACACAGGGCCCTTCAGGTTGACTCCAATCCGATTATCGAAGACCGACTCGGTGAGAGTTTCGAGATATCCATCATCGCCAACACCAGCATTATGAACGAGGATATTAATCTCGCCGGTATTAAACGATAGGCCAGCGTCGACCAGTCGCTGGTGGGAGCTCAGATCGTCCACACTGGCTTGGCAAACAACGGCCGATCCACCTGAGTTGTTTATCTGGTCAGCCACGCTTAAAGCAGCATCCTCGCTGTTAGAGTAATTCACTACCACATTGCATCCAAACTTTCCGAGATAAAGGGCAATCTCCTTGCCAATTCCGCGAGATGACCCTGTAACAATTGCTGTTTTCCCGTGAAAGTTGTACGAGACAGACATTTAGCGAGTTTCTTATCTATTTATTTATCAACAGGGTCCAATTTTTTGACCACTTTTGCAGGCACGCCTAAAACCAACGAGTTACTTTCCACATCCTTCGTAACGGTGGCGCCTGCACCAACCACAACGTTGTCGCCCAACGTCACTCCTGGAAGGATGGTCACATTTGCTCCCAGCCAGCAATTGTCTCCAATCCTAATCGGCAAGGCGTACTCCTCGCCTGCTAAGCGGGAGTTCACATCGAGTGGATGAGTTGCTGTAACAAGCGATACATTCGGGCCGAACATGCAATTGTTGCCAATAATAATGAGCGAGGCATCCACAAATGAAGCGTTGTAGTTTACGTAGAAATTGTCTCCCACAATGATATTATACCCATAGTCGCAACTAAAAGGTGGTTCAACCACTGAGTGCTCTCCACATTTGGCAAATAGATTCCTAACGATCTTGGTTTTGGCATTCTCAAACTCCTCTATGGAACCGTAATCTCTGAACTTGACGTTGGAAAGATCGTAGCAGTAGTCCGTGGACGAGGCGCGGCCCTCTGGCAAAGGTGAAGCATTTGCGTCGTACAAAACACCAGATATCATCTTCTCGTACTCGGGAGTGTCAGGAATATTCTTGATATTCGCCCGAGCAAACTTAATCAGCTCATGGTCAAGCTCTGTTCTGGCACCAACCATTCAATGTCTTGTTTCGTTGCCGAGAAGAATAAAAGTCGAGCAAATCACTCTGATTCAAGATCTGGTGCGATTACCTCAGCACTGTTGAATAAAATATTTGCACGGGAAAAAAACAAAACAGGTTTTCAATATGTACAATATCAAATCGTATACTCCACCGTCTTTTGAATCGCGCAATGGAAGCGAGACGCCTGTGGTGTCCAATGTGCGCGTGATGCCTCTGGAACCTGTTGCATCGCGCGAACAGGAAATGCGGTTTTTAGAGACCAACAGACAGTTGAAGACAGATGCGTACAACTATTATAACGTTTCGGGAACAAACTTCAAAGGACCCCCAGAGGTGGAACGGATCCAGCTAGCATTTGAATCCGGAATTGATGAAGAGATCGATTATTATCTAGGCCACTTGGTGTTTATATCCAAGGACAATCCTGAGCTTCTCAAGTTCAAGAGCGGATTCACGTTTTTGATCGAGCCTCTGTCCAAATACTTTGACTGTACTGTTTTGGACCCAGCAGCTGAGAACTCTGATCTCAACAGATGTCTGGATGCTGCCCTCATTATACGAAACACCGTTCAAGATATCGACAATTCTCAGGTGATATCAATGAACTTCAAGATTAAGGAGGTGCTTTTGAAGATTGTCAACAACCGAATCATCCTCGACAGCGTTTTCACCGATGACTCTTACGAGCAGTTGAAGGAACTATTGAGATACTCCATGGATATAATAGAGGCAATCTCGTCGTACCTCGCACCAGCTCCATTGCAGGATCCGTTATTCCTTTCACTAGTTCAACTTTTGAAAACTACCCAAGATCGATCCGTGATCATCACCGCACTGAGATCGCTGAGTAGATTGATGTACAATACGAAAAAGGAGGGCGATGCAGCAGACCATCTGGACAACGAAATCTTGGATACTGTTGTTTCGTATCTCTCTTTGGCGGCGAACGAGAAAAATGACAACGACGAGCTGCTGATCACTGCATTGGACTTCCTGTACCAATTCATTCTTCCGGGCCGTACACAAAAGTTGCTTTCTAGTGAAATCAACCGGTCTGTGTTGCGGACTTTCCTCCCTAGACTACTGACCTACAAGCAAAGCTACAAAACCGAGTTCACACAGGAGATGCCAATTCTCAAACTCGCAAAGAAATCCAAAGAGGGTACTCCTAGTAACCCACCACTACTTCCAGAAAGACTTGTTGCTTCTTTGAACAATTTGGCCGAACCTAACCGTGCGACTGCGTGGATGAGATGTTCTTACAAGGCTACCGAAGAAGGTGACGTTACGCAAATTTCGCTGTGGAGATCCTACGAGGCCCAGTTCCAGAAATCGTCTGCTGGGTCTAACCACCGTCTGCTTCCTGCTGTTGATTTCATCAAGAACGTCCAACACGCTTTCCCTAACTCGAACGCCATGGTGTTGAGTTTGCCGGATGGAACCAGAAAGTTTATTATCAAGGGTATCGAGCCGCGTACGATTCCCGTTGACATAGACCAAGGCAAGATAGAGGCACTCACGGATCGAGCCACAACGGCGGACCGCAATGAAAGCTCGGGCGAGATCTCCCAAGAGCCATACCAACCTATCCAGTACAACTACAACGACTACTTGTCATTAACAGAGATCAACACTTCTGCGAGCTTGCTGATTTCCGAGCTTGTGAGCGTGAAACAAGGCAAGGAGTTGTTTGTTGGACAGAAGGAGCTGCTCGTCGATAGTCTTTTAAAGGTGCCTAACTTGTTGCCGTATGTTTTAGGTGCTATACAAGCCTTGGAATATTAGATAGGATCACTGTTTCTTCTCTCTCTCCATAATTTTAGATCTGAGTATCCCGTTCACGCGTTCCACCACCTGCGACTTCTCGTTTATGAGTTGTTCCAGCTTCTTGGAGTCCTCGTCCAGTTTCGTCAGTCTGGCTTGGAAAAACTCCAACGACTGTTTAGTATCTTTCTCGATGTAGTAGCCAGTACCCACATCAATTAAGAACTTATCGTTTTCCTTGATCTTTCCTGGAACATATAGCGACGATGTCAGCGGCACAAGCAGTTCTTTTTTGCTGCTGCTGTTGACCTGTCGCACGTTGTCTCCACATTCTTGGTATTTGGCCTGTGCGGTTTTGAGTGCTTGGAAAGATGTCTGTAGATGGTCCACCTCGGTTGTGAGCTGGCGTTTGAACTCCAATATCTGTTCAGGCTCGAGTTTTGTAAGATCAACTACCATGTTAGTGGGCAACACGTCTACTACTTACCTTTCTGGCTCATGTCAAGAAATCGATTTTTAGTGAAAAACTCCGTCGTGGATTTTCTAAATCTATTGCCATCATACTATGGATACAGACTCCAGTTCGTTTGCCAGTATTTTGGCAAACGTGGCCAAGCTTCGCGAGAAGGAGAACGGTCCGGTCGAGGATAAGCAACAACCCACAGAGGACGATATGCCGGTCCCTGTTCGAGAAAGACCAAAGTCTACATTTGATAGAGTGATAGACGGGCCTAATCTTCTTCCTGCACAAAACGAGGCATCTGTTCGCGTTAGACCCACCAGAGATGCTCCCCAGGTGATTATCAGAGGGTCCAATGATGAAGACAAACGCGTCGACTCCGCCAAATACACCACATTGAAGAAACAGACATTCTCCTCTATTCAGGTTAACCAGAACCAAACCGGCAATCCGCTGCTGCAGTCGCTCAAACAGGTGTCGTACGAGTTCAACGCAAAAGTGAAGGACGTGGACTACCTCATAAACTCCCACTGTGTGGTCATCTTCCTCTCGCTACGCTACCACAAGCTCCATCCGGAGTATATCTATAACAAGCTCAAGAAGATCAGTTATAACGCAAATAACAAACGAACCAACAGAATACTAATGACATTGGTGGATATCGACAACTCTGATGATGCTGTGCGTGAGCTCAATAAGGTGTGTCTATTTAATGAGCTCAACCTGGTGCTAGCATGGTCTTTCTCCCAATGCGGAGATTATCTGACTTTTCTCAAGCAATGCGAGCTCAACGTTGGAAACCAGCTGATTAAAGGAGCAGCCAAAACGGACTCCGTTACCAGTGATGCCGACTACTACCAGCGTGTGGTCGATATGATGACGAGCGTCAAGTCCATTAACAAGACCGATTCGGTCAACCTGATCTCCAAGTTCAAGAACTTTAAAAATCTATGTGAAAATGCTAACGAGTACAACCTAGAAGAAGTTTCCGGTATGGGACGCAACAAGATCGAGCGGCTGCTCAAAGTGATCAACGATCCATTCATCTATCGCTAACTATATGTCGAAGAAAGTTTTGAGGTCGAGTTTTTGTGCGCGCTGTCGTGGTTTTGCTTTGACCTGCTTTTTCGGTTTCTTGTGGACGCTTTTGGTTCGCACAAATCGGAAGACGTTTCTGTCGGGAGTCGGTCCCTGGAACCTGTTTTTCCATAGCGTCTCCACAGATCGCTCGGAGTTGGTTGTGGCCACTTTGTAGTCTAATATTATGCTCCCGTTTTCGATTTCCGCTAATCTCTGAAACTTGAGACCGTCCGGTAGCACGGCCAAGTTGGAATCTGTGGCCGGCCGCCAATGGTCGTCCTGTATATTGATATTCGTCTCAATGTATGTCAGTGATGTTTGAAGTAGACAGTCGATTGATTGCACTGGATTGGAGCTCAGAATAAGACATTTCAAGTTCCTTACGTTGCCGTCTTTCATGCTAATACTCCAGGTTTTGACCATCTGGTCGGAAACATTGGAGTGAGAAACGTTCAAGTATCTCAGGTTGGAAAGCTTGTTGAGCACAAACGGTCTCTGAGAGAGATCAATACCCTGAAGACTGAGAATCAACAGGTTATTGAACTTGCAGTGCTCAAGATCGCAAAAAAGCAAGTCGAGCGAAACATGCGGGTAGAACGTTTCCATTCTGTGTTTGCGGTTGATCGAGTTCAGTTCCACAAACACTCCGCGTTTATAGTTGTCAAGCTTTCTCCAACTGGCTGGAATCAAATGCGCGACAAAGTCCGGCTCGTTCGAGAAGTAGCCGGCAAACAGGTTGAAAATAGCTGGCGAATCCTTTTCGTACTTTAAGATATAGTTCCATACCGACTTCCATACACTCCAGTTTGCACTTGTAGCGTCTATATGGTTTCTAGAGAGCGAATCTGCAGAGTAAGCGATTTTGCTCGAGCAAAGAGCCCGTAGCGATCCTCGTTCTGAAGTTCTTGCCTGATGTCCCGGCTCAAGACGACGATAATTGTAAGTCTGCTGAACCTCTTTATCGACAAATCCGAGGTCCTGAGACCCTATCTGGTGGTATCCAACAACGGGCCTATCCTCCGGTGGCCTGATCTTTAGATCGAGCTTTCTGCGCTTCCGTTGGAATTGCATCATCGCGACGCGTCGGTTTAAATTTTTTTTTCAACTAAAGGCAACACTTTTATCTCCTGATATCGTCTGATGACCAATTCAGTTCTGCCCGCTGGTCTCCAAGGACTGGTGGTGCCTCGATTCATTCACCGTACATGGGCCAAGACGTTCTTTTGCAAGCCCGAATACTACTTCCAACCGCGAACCGTGGAAGATCTCCAAGAAATTGTTCACTCTGCGAGAAAGTCCGGACGCACCGTCATGACCGTCGGATCCGGCCATAGTCCGTCGAACCTGACAATGTCGGACGACTGGATAGTCAACCTCGACAAATTCAACAAGATTGTCAAGGAGTCTGTCTCTCCGGACGGGAAATACACGGACTTCACTGTGGAAGCTGGAATTCGGATTTACCAGCTCAACCAATTTTTGGCGACTAAGGGTCTGGCCATCCAGAACCTCGGGTCCATCAGTGAGCAGTCTATGGCCGGTATAATTTCTACTGGAACCCACGGCTCATCTCCGTTCCACGGTCTCGTGTCCCAGCAAGTGGTGGATATCACTTTGGTTAACGGTCTCGGAGAATTGGTGAAGTGTTCTCCGACGGAGAAGCCAGATTTATTCAGGGCCGCTTGCTTGTCGCTTGGCAAGATCGGACTGATTGCGTACGTTACTATCAGAACTGTTCCTAGATACCAGATCAGATCCAGGCAGGAGGTGATCACTTTTGACACCCTGTTGGACAAGTTTGAGAGTATCTGGACAAGTGACGAGTTTGTGAGAGTTTGGTGGTTCCCATACACCGAAAGATGTATTCTCTGGAGAGCCTCCAAGTCTACCGATCCAATTTCGACTCCAAGACCTTCTTGGTACGGTACCAAGTTCGGAAGACTGTTTTACGAGTCGCTGCTGTGGATCTCTGTTCATATTCTTCCTCGCCTTACTCCGTTTGTTGAACGGTTCGTGTTCTCTAGACAGTACGGACTAACCGAAACTTACGGGAGCGGTGACATTGCTGTGCAGGAGTCTGTTGAAGGACTGAACATGGACTGTCTGTTCTCGCAATATGTCAACGAATGGGCCGCTCCGTTGACCAACGGACCGGAAATCTTGAGATCGTTGGCTGCTACCATCAACGACGCTGCCAAGTCTAACAAGTTCTACGTCCACGCCCCAATCGAAGTCAGATGTTCCAACACAACCTGTTCAAACTCGTTGGAGCCTCAGGACCTGACTGAAAGAACAACCACGTCTCCAGGTCCAATCTATGGTAACAACTTGCGTCCATTGATGGACAACACGCCACGCTTGAGCTGGGTTCCACAGGAAAATGTCACCAATAGCCAGTTGACGCTCTACATCAACGCCACGATGTACAGACCGTTCTTTTCGTTCGTCCCAATTGGCAAGTGGTACGCCATCTTCGAGGAAACTATGGAAGCTGCTGGTGGTAAACCGCACTGGGCCAAGAACTTTATTGGTACCGGAGCCAGCAACTTCAAGAAAGACGGAGAGATGATTGGGTTCAAGGACAAGATGGAAGAGTGGTTTGGCGATGATCTCACCTTGTTCAGAGAGCTCAGAAGGGAGAACGACCCAGACGGGGTGTTCTTGAGCGGTCTTGACTGGGTCAAGATGAACGGAATCATCTCGGAAGAGGAGCTGGTCAAGATCGAAGAGTCCAAGGCCCAGAAGCCGGACATCGAGTAAATAAACTTTCAACCAAATCTATAGACTATATTAACTGAAACTAGAAACAGAACACTTGGTCGTCTTGCTTTGAGCTGATCACACCCTTTGGCCATCCAAGCTCCTCGGTGTACTGGAGCATTTGCTTTCTCATCTCCATAGGACCACAGATAAAGACCCGTTTATCAGCGTCCGGAGCTGGCAAAGTTTTCTCGAGCAAGTGTTTCGAGACGTACCCTGTGAATCCCCTCCAGTTTCCAGAGGGCTTGTTGAGGACGTATGTAACTTCAAAGTTTGGATACTTGGCAGCAAACTCGTCCAGCTCGTCTTTGAGCAGAATATCGTTCTCGGTCTCATTTGCGTAGATCAAATGCACTTTCGTGATATCCTTTGGTGTAGTGATGATTGCTCCAATCACTTGCAACATAGGAGTGATTCCAGAACCTCCTGCAATCATGACGATCTCGCTGGCCATGTTTGTTTGGTAAGACATTCTTCCGACAGGGCCTTTGAACTCGACGAACTGGCCGGGCTGGAGAGCAGCAAACCGAGGAGACACAGTACCGTCTGGGTACGACTTCACCAAGATATCAAAAAATCCTTCGTCGTACTGGTTGGAGATCGGGGTGTAGTAGCGAACGACCTCTTTGTCGTCAACAACGAATCTGCAGGCCAAATGGTGACCAATAGGAATGTCCAGAGTATCAGTTTCGCGTGGAAGCTTGAATCTGTATATAGCTGAATTTTTGGAGATGATGGTTTTATCTAGAAGCTCGTATTTCTGGAACTTGTCGCTGCTCAAAACGGGACTTTTGAACCATGCAATGGCACATTGGCCGGTGAAGTACAATACCAGAATGGCAATGGTATGCGGTAGGTAATCGTAATTAAGGATGGTGACTCCAAAGAGAATCAATGCGGTTGGGATATAAACACCGTGCAGCGCGGTGGCGGCCAAATTCTTAGGATCGTTCATCAGCCGTTAACCAACGTTGTATTAGGTAAAGAATATTTTCAACCTTTTTCCAAGAAAAAACTGGTTGGCAAGATTTTCCGGGCTGTGTTAGGAAACAGGTCGCACAGAACCAAATTTAATCTCTTTGATCAGTCGCACCTCATCTCGCTGAGTTTTTCGAGGCACGACTACTCTCACCGGTGATAGGATCTGAACGTTCCAATCATGCAGGCCCAATTGCCAATTCCCCGGCTTCAAATACGGCATCTAAATCTAAAATATGTACGGTTTCGAACCTTATGCATGAAAAATCTTGTAGCTACATAAAACCGATACCACCGCTATAGTAAGCTGTATGTTGTTATGGTGATGGTGCGTCACAAGCCCAATATGAATAGCTTCGGGCTTCAAAAGCTTGGCTAAAGCCTACTTATTGTGTACGGCAGTATTTTTTTACCCCCGTTTGGCGAGGCATATATATACCACTGGTTGTTCGAACTAGCTGTACATGACTGACGTTGAGGAAAAGAAAGACTTGTTTGAGTCTACAGACCATCTGGCTGACTACTCAAAGTACAAGCATGTGCTATATGACAAGCTGGGCCACTCAGACGTTATTGCTGCAGACGCCACGTTAAAAGACGTGGAGTATCTGTATGACAAAGCAATTGAAATGCCGATAGATGAGGCGCTCCAAATCATGAGCCGGGTGCTCAAGGATCATGACGATGATCCAAACTTCCCGTATGAAGACTACGAGCTGATCAAGAAGTTGATCAAGGGTCACGAGGAGTCTGGATTCAGTTTTAAGGACTGGGAATTCCAAGCCAAGATGTACGCAACTTTAAATGAGTATCATTCTCCGTACCCCGAAGTCCGCGCCATTTCATCACCTTTGGACGATCCCTCCATCCCATGTGAGACCATCCGAGCCTATTTCCTCGGGTTCGTCTGGTGTATAGTCGGTACTGGTGTGAACGAGATTTTCTCGAGACGGCAACCATCTCTGTACATCTCGTCATCTGTTTGTCAGATGCTCATGTACCCCAGTGGACTGGCTCTGCAAACGATCCTGCCAGATTGGGGGTTCACTCTGTTTGGCACCAGACACTCGCTTAACCCTGGTCCTTGGACTTATAAGGAGCAGATGTTTGCAACGGTGATGTTCGACATCGCTATTGGCGGAATGTACGTGGGATCCAACTTCTACGTTGAGAAGCTGGACATTTTCTATGGAAACAAGTGGATCACCATCGGCTACCAAATTCTCATTTCTCTAGCTACTCAGCTGTTTGGATTTGGGTTTGCCGGCTTGCTGCGTAAGATTGTCATTTACCCAATTAGAGCAGTTTGGCCAACTGTGCTACCAACTTTGGCATTGAACCAGGCTCTGTTGAAAAGAGAGAAAAAGGAGAGCATCCACGGTTGGACGATTACCAGATACAAGTTTTTCCTGATCGTCTTCTCTTGCTCCTTCCTGTACATGTGGGTTCCAGATTACCTATTCCAGGCCCTTTCTTACTTCAACTGGATGACTTGGATCAAGCCAGACAACTTCAATCTTGCCGTCGTCACCGGTTCCATCGCCGGGTTGGGACTTAATCCAATCGCTTCCTGGGATTGGAACATCATCGGTTACTGGCTACCACTTGCATTTCCCTTCTATACCTATCTCAACATGATGATCGGTATGTTCATCGGGTTCTTTGTCATCATTGGACTATACTACAGCAACTACAAGTGGACTGCATACATGCCCATCAACGACAACAACATCTACGCAAACACGGGTGAGGTCTACAACGTTTCCAGTGTTCTAACCAACGGTAAGTTGGACGAGGCAAAGTACGAGCTCTACGGACCGCCATATCTGTCTGCCGGTATGCTTGTCAACTGGGGAGCCAACTGCGCTCTGTACGCTTTTTTGATTCCATATGTGCTCTACTCTGAGCGTAAGGGTTTGTTGAAATCCTTGAGATCCATCTGGAACGACATCACGTCGCTCAAACACGTCAGTCTGAACGATCCTCACTCGCGTCTGATGTCCAAGTACAAGGAAGTTCCGCAATGGATGTTTGTTGTTGTCATGCTTATGGCTCTGGTGTTTGCTATCGTTTGTGTGGAGGTGTACCCTGCTAACACTCCGGTTTGGGGTATTTTCCTTGTTCTTGCCATCAATGTGGTGTTTGTTATGCCCCTATGTGTTATCTACGCCGTTACTGGTTATTACTTCACGTTGCAAGTTTTTGTCGAGTTGATTGTTGGATACGCTATCCCCGGTAACGGAGACGCCCTGATGTTCCTGCAAGCACTTGGATACAACATCACTGGACAAGCCCAGCAGTATATCTACGACCAGAAGATTGCTCACTACGCCAAAGTGCCTCCAAGGGCCGTTTTCCGTGGCCAGTTCATTGGTACCATCTTCCAGATCATCATTTCTCTGGTTGTGATCAATTGGGAAATCAACCACGTTGAGGGAATCTGCACAGACGACCAGCCAAACAACTTCTCGTGTCCAAGTGAGACGTCCTACTACTCGTCTTCCGTGTTCTGGGGAGTTATTGGTCCAAAGAGAGTGTTCAACAAACTGTATCCCGTGCTACCATGGTGTTTCCTGATTGGTTTCGGAATTGCTCTCATCTGTTTGGTGATCAGAAAGTACTACCACAGACAGACACAATGGTTCCAGCCAGCAGTGATCATTGGAGGCTTCCTCAACTACGCACCTTACAACCTTTCCTACTTTTTGCCAGGCCTTTACGTTTGCTACGCATTTAATCACGTGGTCAAAAAAAGATACCAAGCATGGTGGGAAAAGTACAATTATATCTTGGCATCCGCTTTGGATGCGGGAGTTGCATTTGGCGGCATCATCATCTTCTTTGCCGTCCAGTACCATGAAAAGGATATCAACTGGTGGGGAAATCTTGTTTCATACTCAGGTACGGACGGTGGACTGGGCCAAACCAGTCTAAAGGACCCAACCACCGCTCCGGATGGCTACTTTGGAATCAGAATGGACGGTTCATAGATTAATGATACCAAGTACTTAATCATAATATATAGGTATGTAAAGATTAAACGTCTGATTGTGTTGCGGCTTGCTTCTGTTTTTGCTCTGCAGCAAATCCGTACTTGGATCTCTCTCTAAGTCTTGGACCCCAGACAGTGAAGAGCCATGGAACCGGAGCTAGGGCAAGCGAAATGAATGCAAACACAGAGACTCCCCAGTAAACATGGAGGTTCTCCATCATTTGAACGGTGAACAGAGGGAACACTGATGACATGACGTATCTGAGGAAATTATTAGCAGCCAAGGCGGAAGCAACAGAAAGCGGTGGATACGACATGCTAAAGTATGTCAAGATGGAGAAGAAAATCAGGATCAGCGAGAATCCAAACGGAACACCTGCGGCAATCGGAGCCATCCAGTGAACCGATGATCTTCCGGTCCATGCGAGCCAGAAAAGAGCAGGAGGCATGGCCACAGCCCCAATTTTGCAAGGAAGCAATCTCGATTCTGGAGATGGTGGCAACTTGTTACCATTTTTGTCCTTCATTCCAATGTATCCATCAGACCATTTTTTGAAGAAAATACGCTTGTCGATGTAGACGTAGGTTGCAGCACCAATGAAAATACCCAGACCCACGCCCAAGAACGGGAGACCGGAGATTCCAAGCGTCATGTGGTACTCTCCTCTAAAAATCACTGGGAACGCTTCAAAGAACCCAAACAGCACTGCAAAAATGAAGGCAGTGTAGATGGAGAAGACAAGCACAATTGGCTCAACAAAAAGCATTTCGACCGGCTTAAGCAGAGTGATGAACACAATCAGCATCAAGAACTGGCCAAGTGGGATTCCTTTCTTCATCTTGAGACCTCTCTTCTTAATTCTCTTTCTCATGATGATGGCTTTGTAAGTCTCGGGACAGACGTAAACAGGAATGAATGCAGCAGCAGCAAAGAACAATTGAACCCACATAGTCCATCTGAGGCCTCCAACTCTATCGAGTCTGCTGGAAACCTTGTTTTGGGCGACAAATCCACCGATAATTGGTCCAATAACTGGACCAGCTAATGGAGCCATACAGAACAGCGTCATGGCCAAGCCAAGCTCGTGTGGTCTCCAAACGTCGGTGATAGTTCCACCACCAATAGCCAATGCAGCGGATGCAGTCAATCCAGCAAAGAATCTAAGAACCAAAACTTCTCTGATATGCTTGGACAAACCAACACCCATGGTGAAGAGCATACTAATTGGGAGCGTGGCACAGTAGATGATCTTTCTACCGAAAATCTCAGAGAGAGGAGCGGCGATTGTTGGTCCAAAAGCCAGACCCACAAGATAGAACGTCAGTCCAGACAATCCCAGAGTCTGCGAAATCCCCCATTTGGTCATCATCTCAGGAATGGCATCCACGTAAATCGACGATCCAATGGTGATCACCAGACACAGAAATGCGATGGTCATGGTGACGGCCCATCTTTTCCAGTTAGGCCAATTGAGTGGGTTATCAGGATCAGAATCGTTGTCCCATTGCATTGCCCGTGGATCCAAACCCTCTTCGTCTTCAGGCTCTGTGTCCTTTTGATTGGATTCGGATTTAAGATCAGATTTCTCGCCTGTTGTATCATCTTCGTCGCGCGACTGTATTGTGTGGTTTCCACTCAATCTTCTCGATAGTCTCGAAAGGTTGGTTGTGACTCTTGTAAGCTCGCGGTTCAGATCGTTTTGATCAAAAGAGGGCGGAACATCCTTGTCATCGAGAGCAGGATTAATTGATTTTTCACCAAAGTTGTACTGCTGGAACTGCTCCACATCCCAGTCATTTTCTTTGTTTCCCGTATGAGTTGGAATTGAATCGATTTCCGCCTCGCCGTTCTGAGCGAGCGATTCAGCAGCGGACTCGTATTTTTCATCACCAGCAACCGAGCTTAATGAATACGAAGAAGACATGGTAGCTTGGGAAATTGAACACAAATAGGGCCTCGAATGCTTATATATTCGTCGTATAGGGACGTGCAAAGGTTCAGAATGCGGCAGAAGAATTTGCCGTAGAAATGTATGGCAACAATCAATTCAAGGGAAAATCATCCAAGGCCCTGAAATATATAATAAAGCCACTGCCGAGCTACTACCGAGGGTAGTCGATCGAATGCGCACATATATCCGCGTGGCTTAAACGGTAACTCGTATAAAAGTCGGCGATTTCAACTACCGTGCTACAACAGTAAGCTAATGCAACCCCCACATATTGTGCAACGCTAGCATGTCCATTAATCTGATCCCCGGTATCCATCATCCCAAATCACATGCGGCAAAGCTTAATTTTTTTTTCTAGTCATATAACGTCTGGTGCACGGGTGCGCTAGGTAACGGGTTCTTGTTTGTTTTATTTTGCTAAGCAACCCGAATGAACAGAGAACAAGAAAAAAAAACAGAACGGTTACCCTCTCCACACGCTATAACAAAGCAAATAAGTTAGTTGTACTTTACAACGTGGTAAACTTATAGTCTCCTAGTTACTAATATGGCTTCATACGAGGAGATCTTAGCAACATTGCCAGACAAAGTGGCCGAACCGGCATTGGGACAAACTGGATTCCCAGGGTACCTTACTGACTCCGAAAAGTCGGCATTAGAACAGCTCAAGACTTTGTTGGAGGCTGAGGGCTACACTCTTCGTCTCGATGAGCCAACTTTGCTGCGTTTCTTGCGCGCTCGTAAGTTTGATATCATGAAGGCTAAAGAGATGTTTGTGAGCTGCGAAGCTTGGAGAAAGGAGTTCAAAACCGATACCATTCTTACTGATTTCCACTACGACGAGAAGCCTAAGGTGGCTAAGTACTACCCGCAATACTACCACAAGACTGACAAGGACGGTCGTCCAGTCTACATTGAAGAGTTAGGCTCTGTCAACTTGACCGAGATGCTCAAGATTACTACACAGGAGAGAATGTTGAAGAACCTTGTTTGGGAATACGAATCGTTTGTCAGATATAGATTGCCTGCTTGTTCCAGAAAAGCGGGAACTCTTGTTGAGACCTCGTGTACCATTCTCGATTTGAAAGGAATATCCATCTCGTCGATTTCGCAAGTGTTATCCTATGTTCGTGAGGCATCAAAGATCGGACAAGATTACTACCCAGAGAGAATGGGTAAATTCTACTTGATCAATGCACCATTTGGGTTCTCCACGGCATTCAGACTTTTCAAGCCATTCCTGGACCCAGTTACTGTGTCCAAGATCTTCATCCTTGGTGGCAGCTACCAGAAAGACCTGCTGAAACAGATTCCTGCTGAGAACTTGCCTGTCAAGTTTGGAGGAAAGAGTGAGGTCAGCGAAGCCGAGGGCGGATTACTTCTTTCTGATGTTGGGCCATGGAGAGATCCGCAATACATTGGCCCTGAGGGTGAAGCTCCAAGAGCTTTTAAAGGCTGAACATATAATGTTGATTCCCCCCAATGTTAATCAATTTTGCAACCTAGATAAAGAAATGTACGTCAATTTCCATTCATGTAGATGTCCAAGCTGTTTATTCTTGATTCAGCCAACTCGCCTGGGAATATTTCCCGATCGGGTTAATTTTTTTTCATTAAGAGTGCATTAGTCGTGATTCGCGTACAATCTGGCATTGATGTTGAAAAAAGTTTGATATTGGACTATTAACTTCCTTTGAATGGCGAAAGCACAACTGAGAGACCTCATGGTCCGCGACCATGGCCAGGTCGCCTTGGCCCACGTAAAGTGGTGTCATAAATACAACTCAATTGACGACAGTCTGAGCGATTGGACTCATGGACCTGTCAAGATTTCCTCGACAGGGGAACTCATTCTCGAGGACAATGTGATTATTCCGAACCTACGCAAATGCCAGCTTCAGCTGTTTTCGAGACCACATCTTGTGAAGATCACAGATATTGAAAACACCAAGGTCTTCATCGAGGCTGTGGAGACTGAGTTCTGGTCGCTACTTGCAGGATTGATGGTTTGGCAGAATCTGCGTCCCAAGGGAATTAACAACAAACATACCACAAACCGGTTCTTGTCGCAGGAGGCAAGGGTCAAGGCCGATGACCCATTGGTGTGCCGGTTCAAAGTGTATGGACCCTCGCCAAAGAATAAGAAGGTGGGGCTACAGGAAGAACCCAAGTCTCCAATTTACCAGGCAGCCAGGGGTGAAAAGGAAGGCTGGTTCAACGCAATGGGGATCTTAAGACCCGACGGAATGTTAGACCTGCTCTGTGAGACCGACGGGTCGCTATTGTACACAGTGGACGTGACCAAGCTTTTTGGCTCCGAGATACGACAGCTGCACCAAACAGTGTTCCAACACCCCAACATTCTTTTCCTCGGACAGATCAACGGCCTGCGCAGCTCTTACAGATATGCCAACGAAACAGACACCGACGACCATGCGCCGTTCATTTTAAAGAACAACCAGCGGTTCTCCTCACAGAAACGAGTCCTCATTTTATTCGAGCTGGGGATCGACCTGGAGGACTGGTTCGTTGCGCTGAAATCATTCACCAAACTGGAGTTCCTGGGTAACCAGTTCACGGAAACACGTCTGCGGCCAGACAAGACGTACTCGTTGGAGGTGGTGGAGGCCAGCTTCTCCGATAAAGCACAGGTGCACGAAAAACTCAATGTCTACCTCGAGGTGGATCTCTGGGAAGCACCATGGTTCAGAACAGCAATTGTGCCCAATACCAACAAGACACCGTTCTGGAAAGAGCCAATCGACCTCGAACTGCCGCCTGTGGTCGAGTCGGTGACTCTTCTACTGAAATCTTCGAACAATCCTACAGTGTACAACAATATGGAGACAGACCCCACAATAGGCTGGGTTTCTGTCACTTCCGACATTCTTAACAACCCTCAGAACATGGTGAAGGTTCCCTTGCACGACAAAGACGGTCACGAGCTGGGCTATGTGACGCTGAGCTCGGATCCGTCCGAGTGCCGCGTCTTGACCGGTCAAGACTTCACTAAGTTTGAGGACGCTCTAGAACAATTTGAAATCGGGGAGTTGCTCGACTTTCTAACCCCCTATCTGAAACCAAACAATATAGACGGCTGGTCCAGGATGCTGCTGGACGTTTACCAGAGTCTCCATTTGGAGAAAATGTACATTGACAATCTACTGTCGTTGGAGCTCAAATCTTTTAGACACTCTAGCAATTTCGATCCAGACGCCAAGAACCCTTACAATACCCTGTTTAGAAACAGCTCGCTTTTTTCGAAGACGCTGGAGGTCTACCAGATCAGAATAGGCCAGGAGTATTTGGAGAAAATGCTTGGTGGCTTCATTGCCAAAGTGTGCCAAGAGGGTCTTGTGTGCGACCCGGACCCAAAGAAATACCGTGACAGCCACGTCAAAAACTATAATGCTCTACTTGGATACCTGGAGGAGCTATGGGATAGAATTTACAGCACGTCAAACGATATTCCCGAACAGTTGAAAGACGAGTGGAAACGGCTACGGGATAAGGTCGAGGCTACCACTGGTGTGTCTGACCAGAATGTGGCATTGAACGCTGTGTGTTCGTTTGTGTTTCTACGGTATATTTGTCCTGCGATTTTGAACCCGAAACTGTTCAACCTGTCGCAGAACCACCAGCTCGGCAGAGTCTCTGTTTCTTTACGTCTCATCTCCAAGGTACTGATGGCCCTTGCTAATAGAACGAAGATGGTCAGCTACAAAGACCCAACGCTGATGGGCCTGAACGAGGACTTTCTGGATCGCCACGAAGACGAGATGCTGACTTTCTACGACCGTATCACCGGCAGACGTCCTGATCCGACTCCAAATGCGCTGGAAATGACAAACACCATGGAACGGCCAACGTTGCAAGTTTCGAGCGAGATCTCGAACGACCTGCCATCGATGCCGTTCCTTATCGACAAGTATCTCATGTTCTCGCGGCTGGCGTTCCTGCTGGACTCGAAAGCGGGCGATAGAGAGCAAGTGGAGCCGATCAAGAGAAAATCGGTGTCAGCGGAGTTTGACCAGGACGACGATGATTTTGAGTCTTCTGACTTCATCAAGATCCAGGTCAACCAAGAGATGGATCGTGTCAGCCATTCTGCGTCTGAAAAGCTCACTGTTTCGCTGGAGAACCTGCTCCACGAGGCTTCGCTCGTGGCATCCAAGACTCGGGCTATGGAAGGAAAGGTGTCGCAGAACGAGTCGCCGGCCATGATGACCACCAAGTCTTACGCACAGTTTGTTGACCAGCTACTCAAGTCGGTCACGCTGGACCACCAGCACCAGATCATCTACGATCTGGCAGCACGAGAGAATGGTAGCCTAGACAACTTCTTCATCTCTACAAAGAAACAGTCCAGCCAGCCACGTTCACGGGCCTCTACAATGCGTCTTCCGCGGAGTCTCAGTATCCAGTCGAACCTGACCACGAAAACAAGCGCCGAGTCGACCTCCTCGTCCAAAAGCTCTCTGAAGAACCTGTTCAGACGTAAATCCTTGATTTAATAAATACACGCTCCTAACCAACTTTTTCAGCCCATCAATTATTTTCAATTAATTACTAAACCATCATGTCTAACGCTTATCCGTGGTACACCAGAGCAACCGACGTGGCACACCGTTTCACCGTGCTGGGACTGATCGGGTTCTCTGTCTACATGACTGCGAACGTCGGATACACCCTTTACGTTACTGGAAAGGAGAACGAAGCGAGACTTGCCTTGAAAAAAGAGATGCAGGCCAAACAAGCCCAGCAAAACCAACAATAGTGTACATAGTTAACGGGGTCAATATACAGGGCTGTTTTACGGCTTTTTCGAGTTAGATTTGAGCCTTTTTGCCGGTTTTTCGGTGGTCGACTTTCTTTTCTTGCGGGGTTTGAGTGAGTGAGTCAGTCCATCAGTAGCGAGCGATTTGATGCGCACCTCGAGTTTCTCGAGCTCCTGTTCGTCCGGGTCGATGTCGATCACGTCGCGGCTCGAGAATTCCTGGTTGCAGATGGGGCATTTTGTAGTTGTGAACTCGCCGCCTTTTGCGGGAGCGATGAGCTGTATAAGCGGTGATTTCGTCATCGTACACCCGCATGGGACGATGTATGCAAACTTTGGGATCGCAGCGGACGTGCGGTCGTATTTTGCCGACGCCAGCTCGCACCGGAGGGTGTCACCATCCAGCTTGATATCAAGCTCCACCAAGTCCTTCAGCGTGTTGATATGTGCAAACTCGGGTTTCTTGGTGTACCCCTTTTCCAACAGGAACTGAATCATTGGCTCCTTGTTGAACAGCTGACCTTTGTAGTCAGATACCACTGGAACCACCAAATCTTCATTAGAAAGCTTGCAAGTGGTGAACGGGTTAAGCTGTTTGGTCTGTTTCTTTTCCGATGCATAGAAGTTGACAATCAGCTTGCGCGACGGAATGGAACCTCCATCGTTCTAAACGGTTAGCGTTTGGTTGTTGCGCAAATATACTTACACCCATCTATAAAGAATTTTTCCCTGGGATTAGAATTACCGGTTCCTAAATTACATAGTTTTCATTAAAATGCGGCGTAGACACTTAGTCAAGATTTTCCTTGATGAGTCTGTTGATGCGGGGGAACTTGGACTCGGACAACTCGTCCCCACTGACCAAGGGCCGGCCGTTGAGCAGTAGGATCGGGAACTTGTCGACTTTGAAGTAATCAATAATAAAGTCTTTGAGATTATCATTGTACGGATGTTTGTTGACATCCATTAAAATCGGGTCCCCCCACAAGTCGTCGGCCCAGTCCTGGTACTTCTTGCTGAACGAGTCCACGATGAGCACTAGTCGGGAAACCAGGGAAATCTCCTCCACTTCTTTCTGCAAAATAGCCGGGCTCTTTTGCGAGGCCCGGTGTGACGAATCCACAGACTCTGGCTGCTCCTCGTACAATGGACGTCTATGATAGTTTTGCGCTTTGAGGTTCTTGTCCACGATGAACTGTTCAGGTTGGCCAAACACCTCGGCCCCGTGCAAACAGTGAGACTTATCCGAGTATTTGCGAACTGTTGCTATAAATGTCACACAACAAAGCCCCACCACAACGTACATGAGCACTCTGTTGAGCGTGTTTAACTTCTTTGCGCTGGTCTTGCCTTTGCCTTTTTCAAGGTCTATCCAAGTTTCTTTAGTCATGAGAATATGCTTGTGGGAAACGGTACCCTAAAGTTTATATACATTTTGCTATCTCAGGTGGGAGACAACGTGAACTGGCTCTGAATGGTCAGGGCCGTATGCGCTCCGCACATATTCTATTGTAATATTATGTGTCAACTGTCTAGTGAGGGACAGAATCAGATTTCGTACTTCCTATTTCGGCGAGTGAAAGCACCAACCACTGCTTACGAACAATAGGGGTGTTAAAATATTCCTTTTTTATGCAATATTTCCAAATAAGCGATTGAGCTCTTTTAAGAAAACATTCGCTGCATACATAGACGCTCGCGCGACTATCGTCTTTTTTCCGAACGCGTCGCCTACAGATTATTATTTTTTTCCAAGCTGTAAACAATCCATCCCGCATACGCTTCTACATGTTCAATATTTCTCAGAGGGGCACGAGCTCGGGCAAGCAGAAGCCCGCCAAGCAGTCGACGCTGGCGTCGTTTATCAGCTCGTCCAAGCCTCGCCAAGAGCCGAAACAACACGACCTGTTTTCTAGCCTCCAAAAGGAAAAGCGGATCTTGTCTGATGGCGTTAGCTCGCTTGATGATAAGGAAAATGCCTCGAAAAAGGCCAAGTTGGCCAGATCCGTTTCTTCTGGTAGCTTTGCCGTCGACGTACAGGACCACGGGCTGGAACAGTCGTCGCAGCCGTCCAGCTTTAAGCATATGAAACCGATCGAAAAGAGACGGTTCGAATCGACCCAAATCGACGTTTCTGGCGGCCGAAGCAAGGTGGAGCACGTCAACGCCATCAGCTTAACGTCTCGCAGACCCGTGACTGTGTCGCGACAACGCGCCCTGCCGTGGTCGACTTTTGGTATGAAGAAAATCTCCAACCCCCGCAGTCAGAGCAAACTGGGCTCCTCGTCCAGCTCTTCGGCCGGCGACATGTTGTCGACAGAACAGCGGAAAGTCATCGAAATGGTGTTGAACGAGCGCAAAAACATATTTTATACGGGTTCCGCAGGTACAGGTAAATCGTTCCTGCTGCGGGAGCTGATCAAGAGACTCAAGAACCGGTACGGTTCCAGCACGATTGCCGTGACGGCGTCCACCGGACTTGCTGCCACCAACATCGAGGGCACGACTTTGAACCGGTTCTCTGGAATTGGGCTTGGGTCGGAACCCGTGCACAAGCTGGTTGGCAAAATCAGAAGCAAAAGGGCCGTCGTGGACCGTTGGAAGGGAACCCGGGTTTTGATCATTGACGAGCTATCGATGATCGACTCGATCTTTTTCGATAAACTGAATGAGATAGCAAAGCAAATCCGTGGTAATAGCAAGCCATTCGGCGGGATCCAGTTGGTGTTGACGGGAGATTTTTTCCAGCTCCCGCCTGTTTCTTTAAGTAAAACGGGAGCTGCCAAATTCTGTTTTGATGCGCAGGGCTGGAAAGAGTGCATTGACGAAACCATTCTGTTGACCAAGGTTTTCAGACAGAAAGACGACTCGGACCTAATCGAGATGCTGAATGCGCTGAGAATTGGCCACTTGTCCAACGAGATCAAGCAAAGGTTTAAAAAACTGGAGAGACCACTCACCTACACCGACGGTATTTATCCTACAGAGCTGTACCCCACCAGAGAGGAGGTGGATCGCGCAAACATGGACCGGCTTAACTCGTTGCCTGGCCGACTGTACCCCTTCCATAGCAGGGATACTGTTCCTCCCCATATTCCCAACCCTGAGTTCTTGATCAAGCAGCTGGACGGGCTGATGTGTGCAAAAGTGCTACATCTGAAAGAAGGTGCTCAGGTGATGTATTTAAAGAACGACCCAGAAGACCCGCAGCTGGTGAACGGGTCGATTGGCAAGATTGTTTGTTTCTGCGACATGGCTCTGTGGATGTTGTTCACCAACACTTTCAAAGAGTACGAGAGAACGATGCATACCGATTTACTGACAATGGCTTCGCGATTCATTGGCAACCGCCCCTCGGCAGAGGACGAGATGATGTACAGCGAGTTTCTGGCCACTAATTACGACAGCAGGGGCGAGACCGAGCTGGCCAAGGAGATGATCAGAATGGCCAGAAACACGAGTCTTTCTGATGTTTTTCCTGTTGTCAAGTTCTCGCACAACACTATGCGCTTGATCGAGCCTGTTCCGTTTTCGCCCGAGTCCAACAGCGAGCTGGCCCGTGAACAGCTGCCGATTCTGCTATCCTGGGCCCTGTCGATCCACAAATCCCAAGGACAGACTCTCAAGAGAGTGAAGGTGGATCTGACCAAGATCTTCGAGAAGGGACAAGTCTACGTGGCTCTCAGTCGATGCGTCGACACTGCAAACCTCCAAATCGTCAACTTTGACGAGAAACGCATCCGTGTCAGCGACGACGTGGTGAGGTTTTACCAGAATCTCAAACAGATCGCGTAGCTGCAACGAGAAAAATTACATAATCAGTAAATATTATTCAAAAATAATGTCATGTGGATAGCCCATTTCTCTGAAGACAACAAGAGACACTTACTGGCTCCCGTGGAGACGTACCTGGTTGGGCGGAAGAAAGATGCCGATTTCTACGTTCCCCACAAAGCTGTTTCGCGGCTGGAGATCTCGCTGACAGTGAAGGAAGGCGTTTTACATGTGGCGAACGTTTGTCCTCGTCCCAAGCATATGGCTGTGGAAGTCAACGGCGTGCCTTTGGAGCACGAGCAGTCGTTCAGCTTTGGTGGTGAAGCTGGAAAAGTCGAGGTTCGCGGCAAAACATTCACAATCAGCGCCAGTTGGAAGGAGGTGGTGGTGACCGAAGAGTTCTCGCAGCTCAGGGGTTTGGCCGCCGTGCGTGATCGCGGGCTAACACACTATTTTCTTGCCGGCACAGAGACCATTGAGCAGGTGCTGGAGGTGTGCCGCGGGAACTACGGGGTCTGTGTGATGGAACGCAGCTGGTTGCAACGGATCAACGTTGCCAATATGAAGGCAGATTTCGACTCTGTCTGGGTTGAGGAGCCGGTGGAGATTGCGGCCACCGGACGCACGTATGATGATATCCGCGGGCTTGGTGGTATGCGTGTAAGACAAGCCGTGCCTGGCGAGCAAGTTATCTTTTGCTTCTCCTGGTACAAGGAAGATGCTGAAGGCTACAGGGCAGTCGATGAAACTACCGAGATCGGCAGGTTTCTGCATTTTGATCCGGATGTGGAAATGGAGGAGGTGCAACAGGTGCAACCCACTTTGCAACGGAGGAGTAAGCGTTCTTTTGGAAGCCTGGGTTCGTCACAGAAGTACTTGCCCAATATCGACGATTTCGAGGTGATCAGAACCGATACACAAAGCTCTGTGCCTCCTGAGGTTCCGCCAACGGTCCCACGCGAGGTGAGCCAGTTCCAGCAGACGTTCAACTCGCGGACCGGTTTGCTGTCGAACAACGAGCAAGACTCGTTTGGGGAGCTGGCCCCCGAATCTGACGACGCGATGGTGGCAGGCCCAGTTAAGCCCACGAGCACGCCGCTGGTCGGGGTCCTGAAAGAGGCCAAACGGATCAAGGTCGACAGCCAGCCAAAGGAGGTAGAGGACGAGACGCCGCCCGCGAGGGTCACCAAGATGAAGTTCGAGATCAAGGAGTACCAGCCGCAAACGTACCGGGGCAGCGATCCGAAGTGGCGCGACCGCAAGGATTACTCGAACTTCCGCAAGTCATCGAACAGAGAGGAGCGCGATGTGGTGTTTGACGCCACGGCCTCGTACGTTCGTCTAAAACCGTCCAGCTACAACTCTGCACAGACTCGTGAAGGAATCCAGCTGGAGAACCAGACCATTCCGGAACTGGACAAGGAGTTTGATTTTGGCTCGCGCAAGCGTCCTGCTGGTTCTGGTCTGGACATGTTCACGCGCCGGATAGAGCTCGACGACGACGACGACATGCCAGTGTTTAAATCGACAAAAACCAGATGAGCTACGGTGCACGCAATTATTATTGGCAGAGTCGAATATATTTAATAGTGACATGATAAAACTTGAAGCGAGAACCAATGCGTACGGTTGTCTTTAAACGGTTCCAGAGCACACACAAGGCGCTTTCGCCCGCACAGAGCGCGTATCTCAGCCGAGTGGTCCGCGTGGACCAGGCGGGAGAGCTCGGGGCGGACCTGATCTACGCGGGCCAGTACATGGCTCTCTCGCACAAGCCCAGTCTCAAGCCGGTGCTAAAACACATGTGGGACCAGGAGGTGCACCACCACAACACTTTCAACCGACTGCAGGTGGACCACCGTGTCCGGCCGTCGTTGCTGACTCCTGCGTGGAAGGCCGGTGCGTTTGCCATGGGACTGTTCACAGGATTGCTGGGCAAAGAAGGTGCCATGGCATGCACCGAGGCGGTGGAAACTGTAATTGGAAATCACTATAACCAGCAATTGCGTGTTCTGAGCAACGGGTTCAATGATATTGAGGAGATTAACAGCGACAAGGTGTCGGATTCAGCGGACATTAAGTATATGAAAGACACTATAAAAGTCTTCAGAGATGAGGAGCTAGAGCATTTGGACACTGCAATTGAGCACGACTCGAAAAAAGCCAGACCATACTGGTTGTTGACCGAGACCATTAAGGTCACATGCAAAGCTGCCGTCTGGACAGCAGAAAGATTTTGATATGGTTTGAGCAAGTCACACTAGATCGTTGTATAGGTTGAGAGCCTCGAGCACCTCGGGCCCAAGGTTTTTGTAGTCGGTGAATTCGCCAAGGGAAATTACATCTTGTGAGTTTTGCATGTCTTTGCCAAAACCTCGCCATATTTTAGTGGCCTTGAGCTCGGGAGTCGCCTCATCCTCATCCAATCGCATAGTGCTGGTCCCCACCATTCTATAGATGCTTCTAATGACGGTTAAAAGGTCTTTGTAGCTGATGGATCCGTCGTGGTCTCTGTCGTATATCTTGAACGACCACTTCAACTTATCCTCGATCGCGCCCCGCGAGGCCAAACTGAGCGACACAATAAAGCTGTGGAAATCGATGTACCCCTTGTAACTAGTGTCGAAGGCCTCGAACGCGTACATGGAAAACTCCGTGGGGTCTCCAAATGGGTAAAACTGCTTGTGAATCTTGATGAATTCCTCCTTGGATAATTGGCCGTTCGGCACATCACGCGAGAACCCTTTATACCATTGCTGCAGTTCTCTGGCGGAAAACTTGGTTTCCTGGCGGAGCGACGAGATGTCTTCTTTATTTAGCTTACTTGTCTTTTGACCCATACCGAACAAAATAAATTCCAGTTTACTTTTATTATTTGACAGACTGGCGACGCGTCGATTAGTTCAAATAGCTATAAGTATGTTGCTAACGCAGATTAAAAGGATGCCCAAAAATGACCAAGCAAGCACCTTCTCTTGTTGGCCACCAAACCCGACCGCACTAGCAACCATCTGGAACCCGATGAACGTTAAAAATCCAGAAGTCAATGCGATCAGCGACCCAAACAGCAGCAGATTGGCGTCCAGGTCCAGGTTCATGTCTCCTTTGAACACGACCCATCCCAGCAACGCTCCAATGGGCTGGGCGCAAGCACCCAAGATTCCACTGATGAAAAATGCCCGTGACTTGCTGTTCAACGCAATGGATAGTGGCAGAGTCATGGTAAATCCTTCCACAAAGTTGTGGATGAACATGGACAGGAAAATAGCGATACCCAAGTTAGGATCGGCCTGAGATGTGGAGTACATGATAAACCCTTCGGGGAACTTATGCAAAGTGATTGCCAGGACCGTCTGGAGACCGATGGACAACAGCTTGGAAAGAGGAGTCTGAATATGGTGGTGGTGGTGCTCGCCGTACGACAGATCGTTGTTGTTATGGAAGTGCTCGTGGGAGTGGTGATCCTGCAACGAGTGCGTGCTGTGACTCTTGAATTTGGAGAAGTCTTTGTGGCTGATCTTGTTATGGAGCGAGCCCGACTCCACGTCGTCCACCAAAAGAGGAGAATTCACCTCGAGTTCCGGGAATCGAGAGCAAATGTCGCTTTTCTGGACGATCATCTCTCTGTCCTTGGTGAAGAACATGAGGTTTTCCTGACTTGGAAGAGTGCAGAAATGTAGGTCCTCGTGGGTGAGACCTTTTCCGTCGTGCAATTTGTGACGAGCAATCAACTCATCTTGACAGGCATCAATACTACCCAAGCATTGGCCCTCTAATTCTTTGCCCTTCAGCGTCTTGAGCGACATGTCCACCAATGACATCTTCTTTGGCTCCAAAGACGGATGCGAGTGGATATCGTGCGGGGCTGAGTGGTGGTGCAGGTTATCTGAGGAAGTTGAGTGGTCGTGGATCTTCTTGGAACAGTCCAGCAACGGGGTTGTCTCGTTGACATGTTGCATCTCCGGAAGACTCGACGTATCGCTGCCGTGCTCCTCGTCGTGCACGCAATGGACGATGCTCTCGTTGGTGAAGAAATGAATCACCAGATTGAGAAGTGAGCAGCATATGATTCCAACAAAGAAGAACAACACCATCAAGATCTGCGGCAGTTGCGGGTGCGTTTCAGATAAACTGGTCCGGCTGAAGTACTTGGACGACTGGGGAAGCAGTCTGTTCAAGGATGTAAACAGCAAACTGCCCGAACTTAGTGACAATGTGGCAACTAAAAAGGAGGTGTTTTTCTGTATAACAAAGGGATGATTCCTGTACAGCCGGGGAAACAGCAAACGGTAGATGGAATCAGTATAGACCACCGCACACCCGGATATGGTGGTGACGGCGGTCAGAAGAATCAATATCCAACCCTGATTCATAAGGACGTCAAATTAATTAATAGGAAAAATAAAAATCCTTAACCTATCTTGCGGTATCAAATCAGTTTGTATACTGTTCACAGGGGTTGCAAAATAAATATACTTTCTTCTGCGGAAATACTGCTACAAATTGGTTAAAAATGTGATTTACTACAACCGGTTTACCGTTAATGTTGCTTCCACCATACCACTTGGGTCCCAATTGGGGCTCCAATTGGGTCCATCTTTCAGAAAATTACTATCTATCTATATTCCAACAACTATCATCACTGGAATCAGTTGTCCCTATCAGATTTTTCATCATTTAGATGGTCACTAACAACACAGTTGGGTCTCCAACTCGATCGTTAGTGTTGAACCTCAAGTACAATGGTGGTTAAAGCTTTTGGGTACTTTTTTTCCAACTGGCAAATTTTTTATGGGTGTGGGTGTGAGATGTGGTCTCGGGTGTCTCCATTGATGCTCCTAATTAGGAAATCTCGGGTTCAAACAATCTGTCAAGGAGAATATAAACTCCAAATGATCCCTCTAAAATGATCGCATATGGACGAAAAAGAGCTATATGGGTCACCTGTGACCGTTGAGACGTTTCTGGACATACCCAGAGCGCCAGTTAGATCGCAAAAATCCAGCTTATTCACCTTTGTTAAGAAAAAAGACTGCTGGCTGCTTGCACTGGCTACCATATTTACAGTTTTGGCATCATTGGTCCCAGCAGCGGTGACAATACTGCTGTCAAAGGTCTTTGACAAACTGCAACAATTTGCCAAGAACGACTACTCGTCAGCTTCCGATTTCATCAAAGACGTCGAATGGTTCTGTTTCGGAGTGATATTCGTTGGTCTTGGCTCCACGCTATTCAGCTGGCTCGGACTAGCCTTGTTTCTTGTTGTTGGCGAGCGCCAGCAGAAAAGGTGTCGCACACAGGTGCTCGAGTGTCTACTAGGCAAAGAGCTCGAATGGTTCGACAAGACATCAGATCTCAACTCGAACCTTATCCAAATCAACAGATGCATAGAGGAGTACCGGTCTGGTGTTTCTGAGTGTCTGGAGATGTTTATCAAGTCTGTGACAACGATAATATCCTTATTGGTCCTCAGCTTTTACTATTCCTGGCGCATGACGCTTCTGGTGCTGGCAACTATCCCAGTGATCGTGTTGGTCACTGGAATATGGGGCTTTTTCATTGGAGTCCATACCAACCACGAAAACTCCCACTGTGCAAACGCTATCAAGGTGACAGAATGGAACTTGCTCTCGTACTTCTGGGTGAAGCTATCTGGAGCCCAGTCACTGGAGAAACAAAATATTGCAACCGCACTTAAACTGGCCTCGCAGAGCTTTATGAAAATCAAACTGTTCATGAGCATCAACACGGGTATAATCAAGTTCTTGGCCTTGACCATGTTCATACAGAGCTTCTGGTACGGCTCATTTCTGGTCAGACATAACCTCAACTCGTCCGGTGACGTTATCTCGTGCTTCTACTCCTGCTTGAACGTGTCACGTGTTTTTTCAAACGTGTCCACGCAGCTCGTGGGACTCAAGACCGCCAAGGAGTCGCTGAGGAAAGTTTTCGACACCATTGAATGGTCTCGACAGTCATACTATCCAGGATTTGAGCCCAAACACGATATCAAGGGCGAAATTCGGATCTCTGGTGTGTCGTTCAGGTATCCAACTAGAAAAGAGTGGGGGCTTGCAGACGTGACTTTAGCCATTCCTCCAAGTAGCATGATGTTCATTGTTGGCCGTTCCGGTTCTGGTAAATCGACACTGGCCTCTCTGCTGCTCGGACTCTACGAATTTCGGGGAAAGATCACCATTGACGATTACGACGTTTCTCGGCTGGACACCAGCTGGCTAGCTACCCAAATTACGCTTGTTCACCAACAGTGCACCTTGTTTGACGGGACGATCAGAGAAAACCTAACGTTAGCGTCTAAAGGGCCAGTGAGTTCCCGGTCTTTGCAGAGAGCACTGCAGCTGTCGTCTCTCGACCAATTCATAGACACGCTACCAAACGGGCTAGAAACCAAACTTGGCAGCGGAGAAGACGCAGTTTCACTCAGCGGAGGACAAAAGCAACGACTAGCGATTGCTAGAGCCGTTCTCAGAGATACTCCTATTCTGATTATGGACGAGAGTCTGTCAGCCATTGACTACACTCAACGGATGCTGATTTTAGAAAGAATCAGAAAATGGCGTCGAGACAGACAGGTCATTGTGTTGACTCACGAGTACTCTGAGATCAACGATAACGATCATGTTGTTGTTATGGATGGCGGTAGAGTGGTTGAGCAGGATACAAAAATCAACTTGCTGAAGAAAGAGTCCAAATTTGCACAGCTTCAATTTCAGAAAGTTGTTCCTGAGAATCCGTTTGAGCAGCAGGAGGAAGAAACCGAGCAGGAGACTACTTTTACAGCTTTGAATGATATTGAAAGCCAGGAGACCAAGAAGATCAGCCCGTTGCAGCTTTTTTACCAACTGTGGAGAACACAGAAGCTGTCCTGGATCCTGATGTACGTCTCTGGCAACCTGCTTACAGTGGCCAATTCTTCAATGACGCCTTTGTTCTCTTTCTTTCTCTCAAAGCTGATTGTTGGGATTGTGCACATTGGCGGGTCCGTCTCAGATGGATATTTGCGCAAATGGGCCGTTGTGCTGATCGCCATTGCTTTGTTGGACGGATTCACACTGTTTGCTTCCAAATACATTTTAAACAAATGCTCCGAAACAGTCGTTGATCAACTGAAGCAGAAAGCTTTTTCCAAGATTCTCAGACAACCAGCAACATGGTTCCAAAGAGTGCAGCCCAGCCAGATATCGTCCCTGTTAATAAACGACACAAGAGATCTGCGTACTGTCATTTCCGACCTGCCCAGCCAGATCCTGGCTATAATTGCTCTTGCACTCGTGGCCATGGTCTGGTCACTCATAGTCTGCTGGAACCTTGCACTTGTTGGGTTCAGTTTTGCGCCGCTGTTTGTCATCTTTTCCATGCTCTTCTCTATGCTGCTCCAAAAGTACGAAGACGCGTACAAACAGTCTACCGATAAGGTAGAAGCCGTGGTCCACGAATGCGTGGTCGGAATGAAGACGGTGATCTGTCTCAACTTGCGCGACTACTTCCAGATCAAATTCAACTGCAATATGGACTTGGTCACCGCAGCAGGAAAAAAACGTGCCATCATCATTTCCCTGGCCATATCCATCCAGAACATTGTCATCTATCTTTCGCAAGGAGTGATGCTCTACTACGGAATCAAACTGGTCTCCAAGAAATCCATCACTCTGGTTCAAATGATGCAGGTTATCACCCTGATCATGTTCTCCACCGGCTACATCTCGTCTTTGCTCTCCTCGTCTCCGAGCCTCAACAAGGGACTTGCTGCTTTCGGCAAGCTCTCCTCGCTTTTACAGCTACCAAACAACGACCAGGAGTTTTCTGGCTCGGTGACTCCAAAACTTTCAAGCTCCAAATCGGTCTTCCGCTTCCAGAACGTCCAATTCTCCTATCCAAACTCCAACACCAACGTGCTTTCCAACTTCAACATCTCATTCATGCCCAACCAGATAAGCTGTCTGGTCGGTAAGTCTGGGTGTGGTAAGTCCACCGTTCTGAGTCTTCTTCTAAGACTGTATCCTGTTCAAGGCGGAGTTCTCAGAGTGGCAGGAACAGATATCAGCCAAATCAACATGGATGCGTTCAAGTCGATGGTCTCTGTGGTCACTCAAGAACACTACTTTTTCGACGGCACCATCGAGGAAAACCTCAAGTACAATTTGGAGAAGCCAGTCACCACTGAACAGATCTATTCTGTGCTAGAGCTCGTGGACTTGGCCACCTTTGTCAGAGAATTGCCAGATAAACTGGACACTCGCATTGGCGGCTCTTCCAACTTGCTCATCTCGGGCGGACAGCTGCAGAGACTGTGCATTGCGCGAGCTTTGATCAGATCGCCAAAGATCCTGGTTCTCGATGAGTGCACTTCGCATCTGGACCCCGAAAACACCCAAAACATTGCTCATGTCCTGCAAAGACTGAAGAGTCACGTGACCATTATCATCATCAGCCACCAAAAGGAACTGATGCAGGTGTCGGACTGGATAGCATACATGGAGGACGGGATTGTGAAAGAAAAAGGAAGCTACGCACAACTCATGAACAAGAAAAGCTTGTTTTACCAGCTAATAAACTAAACATGATTTGCTCATTTGACTAAATGGACACAGATGTAAGGCACCTCAACATCCTCGCCTTGCTCGTCATCGCAACAAATCTCGAAAATCAACGTTTTTTCGTGTTCCGGAACAGGCTTCTTGGACACAGACTCAATGAGATCAGTCAACTTTAATGGCAATCTTGCTTTCACTTTGCTTGGAGGATGGAAAGATCCGTACAAAAGAGACACTCCGTGAGACAGCATTGTAATCTCCAGTCCTTCCTTCTCTTTGAAATGCTTGAGCAGCTCTTCCAAAGTGATATTTCCATAGACATCAAATCTATCCCAAATTCTATCAAACTTTTTGTTGTTGTACTGGTCCGTAGGAGACTGGATTGGCTCCGAGAATCCAAAGAACGGAAGAGCAAGGTTGATGAAACCATTCTTGTACTTTTCGATGTCGGTCTTGTGGTCAACCACTTTGTATAGTTCCAAGCAGACCAATCCAGTAACCGAAGCGGTGGTAGTCGCAATGGCTGGAATGATCTTTCCGGCAATGAACTTGGTCTTTGACCGGTCAGCAGTCTCGATGTGATAGTTCAAAGCACGGCAGTTGGAGGCAGCTGTGATAAACTCAATATGGTGGTTAGTGTCATCATCCTTTTCGAACTCAACAGCGTTCAGTCTGTATCCAGCCAGGGAAGAGGCAGTAGGCAAAGAAGCGGCAAGCTTTTCAATTGCTCCTTGGTCCAAAACAGCACCTGCGTTTGGATCAGGATCGCTGTCATTGGCTTGGATCTTCACATCTGACAGTGGCTTGAATGGTTCCAAGGAAATACTGGATAGCACAGCTTCGTAGTGAGACTTGTCAGGTTCCCCTTGGTCGCCCTTGAGTCCGTAAACATAGGCCAGCAGGTTGGCACCTGCAACAATGTAATGGAAATGATCTTCGTTATTGATATCAAAAACCAATGGATCTGGAGCCCTCTTTGGACCAGACCAAAATGGCGCACCTGAAGAAGTCTTAGCGTCTTTAGGGAAGTTGTAAAGCAACTGCTGAATATCGTGATTGAAGGTGTCTTCAAACTTTCTTCTGGACCATTTGATACAGTCGTCAAAGGTGTATGGTCTGTCTGTAGTCAAGTAAGCACTGATGGATTCCAAAATTCCCTTCACGTCACCGCTTTGCTTCAAGGTGCTCTCAACGAAATTTGGTTGCGAAAGATATAAGTTGACGTTTTCTGGAGCGTCTGAAAAGTATCCTTGGAACAAAGACTTGGCCCAAGCAATCGTGTGATCGATCTTGTTAGGGAACGATCTTAATGTACAAAGTGGGATGGATTTTTCTGGTGGATCTTGTGAAGAGGAGTAAGACTCGGTCAAGTTTGGAATCACAACCTGAGTGTTACCCTTGGTTCCCAAAGTACCCGATTCAAGCAAAGGCTTCTTGAAGAACACACATCTTCTGTCAACGTAGCTTCTGGCCTCGACATTATCCAAGGCGTTGGTAACAAAGTCGAGGTTTTCCCAGAATTTGTTGTCGAAGATGTCCTCCGTGTCAGGACCAACTTTGTCAACTTTAGGCTCGATTTTGCCCTTCAGGTCTGGGTTCATAACAGTGACAGCTTGAGAAGAGACCTCAGACTTGTTCTTTCCGACATCTTTTGGTCTGAACAAGAATTGTCTGTTTAAATTGGACTTTTCGATAGAGTCATTATCGGTCAAATAGATCTTTCCTTCTGGTCCACTACCGAGACCCATCATAGCCCAGTTCTTGAGCATTTCACAACCAATGGCACCGGAACCAACCAAGAAGACCTTCAGATTTGCGATCTTTCTCTGGAATTCCAATCCAAAAACAGCAATCTGGTTGTCGTATCTGGAGTTGATAGGCTTGCAGGACTCTTCAGTTCTGGCGTATTTCTCATCCTCAGGAAGCGATTCCAAAGAATCAAAGTAAAGCCATTGCTTAACAGGACCAAACTTACCCGAGCAAGCCTTCAAGACTTCTTGGGCAACCAGACCACCGTAAAAAGCAACCATTGCTGGCAACTCACCTCTCGAGCCATATGCAAGCTCCTTGATCAAAGCTTCATCCACATCTCCTTCTGAAAGGATTTCAGGGTACTTTGAGCTCAATTGTTTGACCAGACTGACAACTTCAGCAGCATCTGCTTCCGAATGAGGTTTAGGGAGTCCACCATGCAATTTCTCGAATTCATGTAAAGCCTGGAATCCAAGATGGAATTGAGGAGGTCTTTCCATCTTAGCGAAATCGGAGTAAACAAACTCAGGAGCCTTGAGTTGAGTCGCAAGGTCTTGGAAGGAAACTTGAGTTGGCATCTTGACCTGGGTGTAAATTCCTCCCTTGACGTAAGTTCCCCAGCTTGGGTCGAAGTCCAGCAATTGGTAGGCGTATGGACCCAGAACCTTGATCTTGTGAGGTGTTCCATCATTCAGCTTGCTGATACCTTGAATCTCAGAAAACTTGACGTAATCGCCATCTTCCAAACCGTGTCTAGTATCGTCCAACATTGTCACAGTACCATCTTTCTCGATGTCTGAGACGATACCGATGTGTGGTTCTTCTCCGTTGGGGTCGTAGACCGTGAATTGATCGCCAAAGTCAACGAACAGTTGGCCCACAAGTCCCTTGATGTCTGCGTTGATGTATCTGATGCCCTTTGAGTGGGTTAACTCATTGATTTCGAGCTGTTTCTCCAGCGGAGTCTCTGTGGTGACCACCACCTGGAAAGAGGAGACCGACTCGGGAGTCAATTCTGAGACAATAGAGATAGGAACGTACGAGTTGAGCTCGGAGAGCTTGGCCAACGAAGCCTCCGCTCTGGACTTTCCAATGTCCGACTCTGTGAGGAAGAACTGGGCAGACAAGTCAGTCAGCGAGACAGGAGTAGGGTCATAAATCGACAAAGACTTGACACCTGCCAAGGCGACGTTCTTTGCGATCTCAATTCCCAAACCTTTCAGTCCAATGATCAGCACATTGGAGGAGGCCATCTTCAACATGGCATCCTTTCCTAGCACGTACAATTGACGAGAGTAAAGGCCCTCATCGATTGTTTCTTCGACCGGAGAATCGACTTGCATTTTCTGGTCCTTGCTTGTTAGTAATTTGTCGCGCCCAGGTTCACAACTTACAGCCATTATGTAATTAGAGAGTGGCAAATGTTCTTTGATTTATTTGACTGATGTGCCAGAAAATTCGGGTCAATAAGGAAATCTAGAAGAAGTCTAAAAATTATCAAATATTAGTATAATCTCGTCTTGGACATGTTGAGATACGCTTCCAAGCTGATATTGCCCGCGGGTGCTCGTGGTCTTGCCACGGCCAGTACGTTGCCAACTACACAGACGACGGTCCTGAAGAACGGATTGACAGTGGCCACCGAACAGATCCCCAACTCCCTGACCGCCACTGTGGGAGTCTGGATCGATGCCGGTTCCAGGGCCGACGTGAGCGACTCGACGTCAGGCACTGCTCACTTTCTGGAGCATCTTGCGTTCAAGGGCACACAGAATAGAAACCAGCTGAGTCTTGAGTTAGAGGTCGAGAACTGCGGCTCTCACTTGAATGCTTACACATCTAGAGAAAACACAGTCTACTATGCAAAATCGCTGAAACAGGACATCCCTAGAGCCGTGGACATTTTGTCTGATATTCTCACGAGATCGAGGCTGGAAAAATTGGCTATCGAGAAGGAGAGACCGGTTATCATTAGAGAGAGTGAGGAGGTTGACAAGATGTACGACGAGGTGGTCTTTGACAGACTGCACGAAGTGGTGTTCAAGGGCCAGCCTTTAGGAAGAACCATTTTGGGCCCTATCGACAATATCAAGTCCATTACTCAGTACGACTTGAAGAACTACATCCAAACCAACTATAAGGGTGATCGTATGGTTTTGGTTGGAACAGGAGCCGTTGACCACCAGGAGTTGGTGGAGCTTGCCGAGAAGTCTTTCGGCCATGTTCCGATCTCAGAGACTCCCCTTCCTTTGGGAACTCCTCGTGGAGCCATTCCAAAGTTCTATGGTGACGAGATCAAGGTTCGTGACGAGTCTTTGCCAAACACATACTTTGCCATCTGCGTGGAAGGCTGCTCGTGGTCTTCGGACGACTATTTCAAAGCTTTGGTTGCACAGGCGATTGTTGGAAACTGGGATAGAGCCACCAACGTTACGCCTTCTCCATTGGCTAAAGCAGTTGCTGCTGGCGACAAGGAGCCTTTGTGCAACTCGTTCATGTCTTTCTCCACCTCCTACTCCGATACGGGTCTGTGGGGAACCTACGTTGTTGTGGACAAGGCCCAGACATGCTACCCAGTGATTGACTGTATTTTGAGAGAATGGAGCCGGTTGAGAAACGGCAACTTCTCTGAAAAAGAGGTCGAGGTTGCCAAGTCTCAGCTCAAGGGTTCGCTTTTGCTTTCGTTGGACGGCACTACCGCCACGGCAGAAGATATTGGAAGACAGCTGGTCACCACTGGTCGCAGACTCGCTCCTGAGGAAATTTTCCAGATAGTCAACGATATCACCAAAGAGGACATTGTCGACTGGTGCCATCGGTACCTGCACAACAAGCCGGTTGGTCTTGCTGCTTTAGGATCCACAGACTCTATTCCAGCACACAAGCTGATCAGCCAGAGCATGTCATTCTAAATGTTTAAACTATTTGTAAATATGCATTACCTAATATCCCTAGCCGATTCTATAAACAAAAAGCAAGTAAAACCCCTTCCATCCTTCTTCAGTTGTAGACGTCTCCAAAAACGCTGTAATGGAACTCCACAAGACGCTTCATTCTCTCGGAAACGCCCTTCAATTCTTCTTTGATGTATGGGTCCTGCTCGATGCCCGACATGTCGCCGGAATTAAGAGCAGCCCAAAATGAGTTAAGCAGCTTCTGTTCTAGCATAGAATAAATTTGCGAGTTTGGTTGCGTTTGATTAAGCAGCCAGTTGAAACAGAACTTAACCTTGGCTGGGTTCACGTTCTTGGTCAACTTACTGACAAAGTGAACAGCAAGGTTGTTTAAGTTTCTTGTCCATTTCGAGTTGCCGTTCTCGTCAACAATTATACCGAGGATTTCTTTTTTCAGCTGCTGCAACTGGAGAGCAGAGCAGTACTCGGAAGGAGATAAGCCAAAAGAGCTAACCAGGTTCTGGTATAGAATAAAGCAAATCTTGATGCAGATGAGTTGACGGATGTCAGCACGAAGAATGATCAATCTGGAATGATCAAAAGTCAACGTGTCTGGGAACTCAGAACACATGTGAGAACACGAAAGCAAATTCAGAATACCGTAATTCAGAACCTGCTGCATGTTTTCCGCTGAAGGACACTCGTCCTTCGACTTTCTGTACCATTCCAAGCTGGCGCGAAGATTAATTTTGTTCTTTCTAATGATTGTTTGGAAATATTCCTTTTCAAAAGCGACGGCCGTTGAACAAAGGAGAGGTCTGAGAATGCGAATTTGGTGGTTGGCAACATCCAATTTCATAGCCTCCAGAATTGAAAAGAGAACGTGCAATCCTTCAACAACCTTGTCCACATCCATCGGAGTTTGGGAACAAGCTTGTTCAAAAATCGTGTTCATTTCATCCACCCAAGAATCTCTCATTGGAGCACAGTGCATCTTAAAGATGGTCGAGATCCAGTTAGAGAACTTGATAAAGTTGAAGCATCTGCAGTTCAATTGCTGAACCAGCAGAGAGATGTCAATAATCTCCTCGATGGCTGCTTTATCTTTCGATGGAAGCAAACTGAGAAGGATGTCCTTCAAAGTTTGGAACATGACAACGATAGAGGAGTTGCCGGAAATGGATCTCTTCGAATCCATGATGGAGTTGATCTCGGATTTGATCGAAGACCAGTATTTATCTCCTTGAAGCTTCTTCCGCTTTCCACGCTCTCCGTCAAGGTTTGGTCTAAATTGCAACTGAGGCTCGAACAGGATGTCGTGTCTCAGCTGCGGGTTCTTCAGAATCTCGTGAAGATCGATCTCGTGCATCGATTGGAGGTTCACGGGAGGCAGAAGAACCTTTTCAGAAGGTTGTTGGTGCTGCAGGTCATCAATGAGCAACTTGCTTTGCTTACAGGATGGAATCCAAATATTTGGCAAAGAGCGCGATCTAAACCGCTTGGAGATTGGCAAATTGTTAGCAAGCAAAGATGGAGAAGTCGAAAGTTGACCCGTGGCACCTTTGTAAAACTTTGATCTTTTTCTTCTGAGGCGTCTTGAACTTTTAGGAGACGACCGTGTCCGGTGGGGTATTTCTGCGGACGTGGAAGGCGAAAGAAGGTTCTCGGTTGATGCGGAGCCCACTTCGGTAGACGATGGGACTTGTGATGAAAAAGTGACGTTTGAGTCATTGTGTGGGTTGGTGGGTGTGGAGGGCGTCTTCAACATGGAGGCATCAAGGTTGGTGGGCACCACCACTGATGGCCTTCTGTTTTCCACCACTTCCATGGCATCCGGCACTTGTTCGGACGGCACGACGGAGGAAGACTCCTTTGCAAACACGTCTTTGAAGTGGGGCGGATGCTCTAATTCTTGATTGTCATTAGGATTATTGATATGAGAGTTCATTATTAAAAATAAGTTCTTGCTGAATTCCGTCAAGCCTGTTAAGACCAAAGATGTTCAAGTTGATTAACAGACAGTCTTAAATGATGAGGAAGATTGAATGGTATAATGTTCTAGTCACAGTGATGTGTAGGTATCCAGAAAAAATTTCAATGGTGGGAAAAGACAACCATTCAGAATAGAAAAAAAAGCATATATATCAGCAAAAATTTCCATCATGTACAAATTATTAAATTACCTGTAGGGGAAGGAGAGGCGGCCGGGCAAAAGTCGTCGCGGAGGCTTTACCGACGGCCCCGTTTCTTTTCCTGGAAAAAAAAAAGTTTTCAAAGTGTCACGCTTAGCTAAGAGGCTGCTAGTAAGAAAACAAGAAAAGAGCCAGTTGTTAATTGCGCAGCCCCGTGCTGTACCGGCTTGCCTTTTCTTTTCTCGGCCGAGGCAGCAACAGGCAAGGTTACCATACAAATTCTGGGAATTCCGTGAAAGAGTCACTGCCGTTTCATTTGCCACCCTACGCAACTACTCGTCTCAAGTTGGTTGCTACATGAAATTCGTCTAGTTTCAGCGTGGTGGGGCGTGGAAATCATGAGAAGCGTTGATAAACATATTTCCAGATACTTTTGCATTCGATTACATCGCCTGACATTTGTTTCTTATTGTTGGAAAAAAAGAAAACAATTTTGAGGAATAATTTCCGATTGTTACTGCCAGCATTCTGGCTTTGTAGCCGGCATTTTCACACAAAAGACAATCCCAGTTTTACACACTGGACGCGGATGAACTTACGATACAATAGATGTATTATTCCAGGGTGGCCCCTCTAGGTTAATCGGTAGTACCACCACCTAAGTAGATGCATGTTTCATATGATAAAAAGACCGTTCCAGGTGATCTCCCTTCTCACAGCGTTCGAGAATCCCTCATGATACTTGACCCATATGCGGTAGTCTGCCTGAGCCTCGTTCTGGTCATCGGATAGGCCTGCATCCTGGTGCTTACTATTATTATTGTCCGATTGGCCCGATGACTCTTTACACTTGTTCTTAAAATACTCCACACTCGAACCAAATGTAGCTTTTTTCGCGGGTTTTTTATCCAGTGGATCCGGGCCTTTTCGTTTCCGCTCTATCTGCTTAGTTTCCTGTTCACGAATATAATCCGCCAGCAGCTCCTTGTGAAGGCGGCCCATTATCTGCTGCTGCTTTATGGATAGCCGCGTAAACAAATTCAAGGCAGGGCGGAAGTGCGCGTCAATACTGCCATACTCATTCTTAGTCACATCGATGCGTAGCGAATAAGCTCTAATAAGCTCTGTAATTCTTTTCAGCTTGGTGCCCGCCCCAACCATCTCGATTTGGCGAAAACTCACGTCCGGCACCAGAATGGTATTCAACAGAGGCAGCTCGTACCCAACAAGCTGTTCCCGGTTTGCAAACCGCCACCGATTTGATAGCGAATTGTTGTGCTTCAGCCGTTGCAACACCTCCGTAGTTTGTTTTTTCACCTCGAAAAACGTATCGCGGCTCCTGTAATTGTATTTCTTTTCCGAAGCATGGCGTATCTCGTTGAGCCGCTGGAACACGGCCATCGGTGCTACCGACTGGTAGAACGACAAGTCCTGGGCCTCAAAAAAATTGAATCTAGAACTCATTGCGTCTTGGAAATAGAGCCAATCGGAAATCTCGCTCAATTTCTCCACGTCCGCGTCTGTATCTAGTAATACATTAAAACATCCGCTCGCCACACGATCAACTTGTGCAGATGCTGACAAACTTTGGAACACTTTTCGGAACTGTTCCTGCTTGCTCACCTTGGCGCTCCTCATGAGGATATTATCCAGCTGCACAAACCACCCGATTTGTGTATCTTTTGAGCTCGAATCCAAATCCAGGGTCGTGGCAGCAGAATTGAATTGCAAAAAGTTGATGCAGTTCCGCAAATCTCCTTCGGTTGACTCGATGATCGCGTCCAGTACACGGTCTTCCGTGACGATATTCTCTCGCTCGCAGATCTTTTTCAGCTTGGACTTGATCAGACGCGAGTGCGACTTCCGGAACGCAATTGTATCACAGAGCGGCCGTAGCTTCTCCAGAACAGGCGAATACACGTCGTTACAAAGTGCAATGATCGGTCTTCTTAAAATGGACTTCTCCTGCTTCTTTCTCCCGTCCAGGCCAATCGACGCGGTGTCTCGCCGATCTTTGTTCACAAGATCAACCAGCACATTTATGAATCCGTTCTCTGTAGCTCCGTCCACCTCGTCCAAGATCAAACACACGGGTTTTCCAGTCAACGAGTTGTTCTTCATGGCGTTTTTGATCTTGTCCTGGACAACCACGCCGGCTCTCTCGTCACTGGCGTTGATCTCACGAACCTCATAGTCGAGCTGTTTTGCAATCACGTGAGCGATCGAGGTCTTTCCGATACCAGGAGGACCATGGATCAAAAGTATACGTTTGTCTGGTCTGTTGTAAATATCGTCTGTTTCTGTGCATGATTTATTGAACACCACTTGGTTCCACTGATTGATCCACTGCAGAATGATTCTGTTGGTTCGCTCGTTTCCGATCAGGTCCAGAAAACTTGAAGGACGGTATTTTTCAGTCCACAGCTTAAAGCTGGTCTTCTTAAACTTATTCTCCAGTTTCTTTGGAACAAGCTCGGACGACTTCTCGGCGACTTTCTCTTCAATCTCGATCTTCGAGAGAAGCCGGTGGATATTAATCAGCTCGGTGTTGTCGCGTTCTGGCTCGTAAGTATCTGTCTTGCGTATCCGAGGTTTGAGCGTGGTCGTCTTGCCAGACGACAGAACGGCAACCTTGTGGCCATCACCAGCTAATCCGTTATCAAAAGGGATTGCCGGATTGGCGTTCCCGGCAAGAAGAGAGGACGAGAAGTTGAACTGAAGAAGAGATCCCATTCCTCACACCTTTATTTTCTAAATCTTGGTTTGACTTTATTTACGCGTTATTTACACCTCGCACCCACCATAACACCGACCTCAGGCTCGACGGTCTGTTTTCACCTTCTCCTTGACGGTGATGAGGAACTCGTTCAGGTACCCTTCGTCGACGGCATGTTTGATTTTGGCAAGCAAGGAGTTGTTCACCTTGATACCGGCTTTCATCAATTCTTTGACTGCTCTGTTGACCTGCGTCTGTCTAAAATCTACGACACTATCTGTAGCCTGGCTGATTGTTCCGTCCGCGGAAGATAGAATACTCAGTCCCATGGTGGAGTTTTTGGTTTGTATGCGAATATGAAATGCGTTTAGATCGTCCAGTAAATCATCGGAGTCCTGGATGATGCGGAATTTAAGCTCATCAGTAATAATCAGCTTGTTTTTGGCTTCCAAAGGTCCTACCGATATCAAAAATTGCGTTCCTTTCTCTGAACCGTGCGCATTAAAGTTAAAGATTGCGTTTTCGGTGAGCACATCTGTCTGGACCAGCGAGTTTGTCTCGGCATCCAGCGACAAGTACTTCCCCTCATTATTTTTCAGAGCCAGCCGAGTTATCGTCTCCGGTTGTTCCTGTTCTTTCTGTGTAAGCTTGATGAAGTTCCGAATGTCCACAGCAACAAACACTTGCGTCACTTGTGTTGGTTCGAACTTGAAAAGCGGAGTTTGGGGAACAAAATCAACAAAGTTGATAGCCTCTTCCGCAACGTCTATCTCGTCGTCGGCGCTAACGATCATGCCACTTTCCTGGTTGAATGAAAACATCCCGTACTGACCCTTTCTATCAAAACATAAGATCATTGGGCCGTTCAAATCTTTACCCGTACTGGCAACCGTCCACCCGTACTCCAAAAAATCTTTTGGGATGTCTGATATCTCAGTTAGAACTCCGTTGGCGTGCACCATTTTGACGCTATCGGCCTCCACAGGAGTAGATTCTCGCTTCTTGTGGCGTTTTTTGTCGCCATCAGGTCGACTTTTTGCTCTTTTCTCGCCTTTAAATGTAAGCTTTGTGACCATTAAAGTGAGAAATATTTCAGAATATTATTTCTATATAGAATCTATTAACCATCAGCAATATCGTAAAGTTTTTCCAACTCAAACGTTTCTCGCCAATGGTCTCCGCGAAGTTTGATGATCACGATGACTAAAGATAAAGGAATTGTAACACCGGCAAGGATGGAAAAAAGAACACCAACTCCAAGGGCCCTTATTAAAGGCTCGGTTGCAAACGAAATGCCTGCTGCCATGATCATTCTGATGAAATTCGACAAGGCTATTCCCGTAGCTCCTTTTCCAGGTAGCGAGTCAGCAATATAGGTCACAACGGTACCAATGACGATCATCTGGGCAAACCCAAATAGCGCAGTACCAACCAATGGAGTGACCCAATGCTCTTTCTTATCTAAGCACCATCCGATAATTAATAAAGCACACGGGAAAATTGCTGCGGCAACATACATGTTGATACCGAATCTGGCCTCGGGAGCCAGGACGCCGTACTTCTGGCGCTTTTTCTCCAACAAATAATCTGTGAACCGGCCTCCCCAAATGGAAGCAATGATGTATGTGACGGAATTAGGAATGTAAACGAGACCCACCAACAGCGAGTCGAAGTTGTAAGGCGGACGCGAGTAGCAATACGTCAGAGTCATGTTGAGACAGTAAAGAATGGCAAAACATGGCGCAGAGTATGCAATTGCTAAGAAAACGGGCGGATATCTGAGAAATGCAAACGATCTCAACGGAGAGTAGCCATAGATGTAAAGAATGGTCTTGAACTTCTGCCACCTGGTCGGGGCAGGCTCGTCTTTCATGCTTTCTGCTTCTGTGATGATTTTTTCTAAACGGGCAGTGTTGAAGTTTTGAGAATGCGAGGTCTGAACTCTGCCGATCGGGGTGTTCATATCGACTGGGTCTGGGTCCTCGTTTATTTGGGTGTTTTGGCGAGAAAGTCTTGTCATGACCTTCTCGACCTCCTGTTCCAGCTGTTCTTCGTCGTGAGACTGGCTTTCCTCATCGGTGGACTTCTTCAGCCGTTCCCTTAGAAGCTTTCTGACGGCATCTTTGTTATCTTGCAGTCTCAAAGTTTCTGGCTGACAGAATAGCAGCAGAATCACACACACTCCGGCCAGGATGACCAAAAACCACTGAGTAGCACGCCATCCCCAACTTTTCCTTTCGCTGATAGCACCACCAACAATCGGAGAAATCAATGGAGCAGCCAAACTTCCTAGATAAAAAATGCCCATAGCTGCACCTCTTTTCTCAATTGGATACAGATCAGAAATACTCCCGGCACCAACTGCTTGCACACTGGCCGTACACGCACCGGAAAGGACTCTGAAGCCGATAAGCATGCCAATAGACTTGGACATGGCACATCCAATGCTGAATCCAAGATAGAAAATGAAACTGATCAGATAAATGTTGCGTCTGCCGTGGCGTTCGCTGAAACTGGACCACCACAACGGGAAAACTCCCAAACTGATTAAATAAATACCAATACTAATGTTCACTATAGTAACAGAAGTATGGAGGTCTTCAATAAGAGAGTCGGATGCAGGAAGCAGAATCGAAGTACCCATGGGCCCCATCATTGCGCAAAATGCAACGTTGAAGACAATTATGTATTTGATCATTGGTGGCAGATCTCTAGGGTTATCGTACTCTGGGATGATCAGCAGGTACGCAAACATGCCTCTTCGTTGACTTTTCGGAACGATCTTGGACTTGTCAAATTTGACTGATGACGTCTTTGAAAGTGAAGCGATTCTTGACGTTGGCTTCTCTTCCTGATCGGCAGCGAGCTCCACTGGGTGCTCGTGCGCCGCCTGTGCCTCTGAGTCTATTGACTGTAAGTCTGAGTGAGTATCGCTCATAATGTCATTACTCCTGTCATAAACCGTGCTTTTTGAGCTTTATTATATATGAGTTAAATTTCCAAAGCATTTTTTTTATAGTTCATCAAAAATTTCCTTTTTCGGACTCGCGTCGTCGGAATAAACGATGCTACTATCCGGCAAGATCTTGATCTGATAACCAGTTCTTCACCGCAGACACGAACCCAGCCTCGTCGTCCGAAATCACCCAGTGGGTGGTGTTGAAGTCCACCACGTCGAAGTTCGGGAAGTGTTTCTCAACGGCTGGACGGTCCACGGTGCCCACAAACGGACTGTTGAGCGCTCTGATGATCAAAAGAGGCCCCGAATATATTTTCCCGGGATCCACGTCAAACTCAATGAGGCTTTTTAGCGAATCTTCAAGCACCTTGCCCGGGATTTTGGGATGGTAGAATGAGTCAGACTTGTGTTTTCCAAAGTTCGACACTAGAAACTTTCGAAAAGTTGCATCAGATTCTAGCTCCTTTAATTTTCTATCAACGTCTTCCAGTCTCGAAAGACCATTTTCGGAAGGAAGGCTCTCCACGAATCTAAAGAACTTGGAGAACCGGCCAAACTCTGGACTTGTCTCCTCGGGGTTTTTGTACGGGATATTGTCCACCGTAATCACAGCTTTCACCAGGTCCGGATAATCTAGAGCGTGGTACATTGCCGTTTTTCCGCCCATCGAGTGGCCGATCATTATGTACCCGTTGGCAAACGTTTCTTTGAGTGCCGGTTCCCGAAACAGGTGTGCCAAATCCTCTGACATTCCCTTGTAGCTGTGGACCGGTGTGTTCAACGAGTCGCCGTGGTTGGTCAGGTCTGGAAGCAAAACACTTGTTTTGAGATTCTCGGCAAGTGTCTTGCCGGCATGCCGATTATGCTTGCGATTTCCCAGAATTCCATGGAGAAACACCAACGGCGGAGTCTGACTAACAGTTGAGGGGCGGAACAAGTCGTATGCGAGCGACGGATGCCCGCGTTTAGGGATTCTCGTGATTTTTTTCAAAACCCCATCAAATCTTGACATATTTTTTGAGACTAAAAGTTGTTTTAGAACTGTATCAGTAATGAGTCTGTGTGAAATTCTGGACTCTCGCCAACAAGCAAATTGACCTGTACGCCATGTTTGACACACCAAAGCTTCTAAGCGTGCAATGAACCAGCATATATAAATCACACGAGTGGCCCTGTAGTTGGTAGCAATGGCATTTGTGTTTCTGCTACGTAAGGGTCCCAAGATCGGGATGATTCTTATTTTATTTGTCAACGTCTTTCTGCTGGCGTTTCTGCTTGTCGGATGTACCACCAGCGAATCCAGGTACTCTGACGTTTACCTGCTCCAGTACGAGTTCAACCAATCGTCTTCAATGTTCCCGTTGATTGAGTCTGCATACGAGAAAACCAATAGCAAGAGTATGAGCAAGATGAAAGTGCGGGTCGGGTACAAAGGAATCTGCGTGGAGGCCAACGGAACGAATTCGTGCTCAACCTCTTTGGGAAGTACCGACTACAAATCAACCTATCCCGGGGTGTCACTCTACAATACGGGCTCCAACTCTACAACCACCTCTATGAACCTGGTGGACATAGCTGTACAATATAACGCAAAGGTGAGCGAACCGTTTGTTCTCATGGCTAGCTTGGTGTTGACACTGTTGTTGCTGGTGAGTTTGGTTTACGGAAGTATTCCATTCCTACCGTGGAAGCATGTATGCTCGTATACGAGCTTTAGCCTTAGTGCTATTCTATGCATATTGTGGGGAATCGGAGCTATGTGGGCACACGTTGCTGCAAACGCGGGCGCAAAGCTGTCGGCAACAAGCTCCATGACCATAGTTGCAGCCACGATAGGCAGTCGAGCGGCTGCGATGATATGGTGCAGCTTCAGTTTTTATATTGTTGCTCTGTTTGGTACTATTTTTGGATTGGTCGCGGAAATCAGACGGAGACGGGATTTGTTCGAAAAGGATTCCAAAAGTTTAGCAAGCAGCATGTCTGGAAGCCATGCTGCGAAGAATCCGTTTGAAAACAGCAGATTCAGGCAGTTCGTATAATGGCCGGGGGCAGGAATATGTACGTAGGCATACTCGCGTTTTTTTTATAGTTGACACACGTACACGAGACGGAAAATCTAGAAACGTGAGTAAATACGGGGAAATTTTAGCAATTTGGCCGTTGCATCCGTTAACGAGCAGACATTGTTCGATGTATGATTTGTGGGAGTAGACTTTCCATGCCGTTACGGTGCTGTTTTCGTACGTAATGTTCATCTAATATGGCCTTTCTGGGCCTGCCCCGTTGAATGGGGGTCGTATAGCATGTGAGCAATGAAAAAAATTTTGTTCGGCTTTGGGTAAAATTAAAATTTGACGGCATTCTTCACTTTCCGAAGCTTGATTTGAAAAACAATTTCCTAAATTAAGCTTTCTTCCTTGTTATGACCAATTCCTATTTGACAAAGCTAACTGTTTGAATAATATACCGTTGAAAACAAAATATATATATGTCGCCGGAAACAAACAACCATCAGGAAGACTCCATCGACGATAACTCAAAATCGTCTGGTGTGCGCCTCCGCCGTGGCCCATGGTCCCCTGAAGAAGACAGCAAGCTACTCGAACTCGTGCGATTGTACGGAGGAGAAAAGAACCTCAACTGGGTCAAGATATCCCAAGTGTTACAGACCAGGACAGCAAAGCAGGCCAGAGAACGATTTCACCAGAACCTCAACCCGTCGTTGAACCGTACCCCCATCACTGCCGAAGAAGGACGCTACATTGAGGAGCTGGTCCAGAAATATGGTAAAAGATGGGCCGAAATCGCTAGGCACCTTAATGGTAGAAGTGATAACGCTGTTAAAAATTGGTGGAACGGAGGAGCCAATCGCAGGAAGAGAGCGTCTATTCAAGGTTTGGATATGACCTCGTACGAAAAACAGGACGTGAAACAACCCGCAGAGAGACAAATCGAGCCAGCGCACTCCGGAGACCCTATCTTGCCGTTGCCCAAGCCAAGCGTCAACTTCAATGTTGGCATTTTCGGATCTTCATCCGATGAAACGGCACCTACTTCGTCACCCGAATTTCAGGCCATTAGGACAGGTAGAAGTGCGTCGATGGACATGCGGGCATACAACTACGACCATCTACCGCCAATGAGAAAACGGAAGCTGCTGGATGACTACTCGACCGAACCATTTCGAAGACACTCCGCCGCAGGAATCGCATTGTCTGGCACCCCTGGGGGAGTTGCTTTACACCACTATAATCACACCGGACATCTCTCGGGCAACTCATCTCCATACCCGGCATCGCCCATGTCTAAATTCTCGTCCAGAAACTCGTCCATTGTGTCTGCAGATTGCACCCCGTTAACTCATCTGAGCGACGGAACCTCGATCAACTCGCGCCGCTCCTCAATGTTCGCCAATATGGAGGTTGCTGGTAACGGTGGCCCACAGTTCAAAAGTCCCTCGCTGGCACCTCGTATGTCAAGCTCGGGAATGTCGTCTCCCCAGCTCTTCACTAATGCAAACAACAGTGGACACCATTTGCCAAGCCTGCCCCCACTTGCCTCGCTTCCAGTTCCGCCTCCAAAGAAAGATCTCTTCAAGAAAGAGTTCGGTTTTGAAAAGCCCGCCTCCAACAGCTCAGCAGCTACTCCTGTCACTTCGCAGTCGTCGTCCTCTAGCGACGTGAAGAAAGACAAACAAAAAATGAGCATCTCGTTTTTAGTTTGATGTATAACTTATCAAGACAATTCACCCTGGAAAGGGTAGAACCAGTTTTCTGTGCACCTCTGTTTCTTTACCAACTTCTTCCTCTCCTTCAAACTTCAGTCTGCATGTTCCGTCCTTCTTGAACCCAATTACCTCGGCTGGATAAAACGTCGTAGTTTCGGGATATCGTGCGAGTACCCTAAACCCAACAGGGTAGTTCTTCAGCGTGGCGAGCGATTCATTCGTAGGCATAAGTATGATTTCTTTCCAGGTGCACTTAAACACCTGACCGTTAGGGTTGGCTTCGTCTGGCTCCGGATCTTTAACCTCGAACTTTGTATCGGTAAGAACCTTTGTAACCTCGCACTGGAACCATTCGGCGCCTTTTTGTTTGGGACGGAACGCTACTTCCGACCCAACGACCACTGGCTCCGATGGATTGAACGTAGATTGATAATAAGATTTCCCGTATTTCTGGCTCTTTAGTTTAGTGCGTGCTCCTGATCCGTCGTCAGCGTATCCACCAGACGCACGTGACTGAGATAAGAGGCCGTTGACATTGATCAATGCGGTATCCATTATACGTTTGGTTTTTTCGAGATTGTCCTTATGTTTGAGAACCAGGTCCTTGTTGGCCTGTCTTGCCTCAGGAGTGTCTGCCGACGCCAGCGTCAACGGGTCCAGAGACGTGATCTCGTTCGAGTTACAGGTGTCCTGGATCGAGGACACAACAACGTCCCAATACCCCTCCATCACTGTTTATACAAAGATTTTTTAATTAGGCCGGGGAATAATATTTCTGGTCGCGACCATCGTCTTTTCCATCGACCTGAAAAATTTTAGTCAACATTATTTGCATCTCAGAACTGAACACACCATGTTCACCTCCAAGTTGGTTTCGCTGGTGTGCGACAAAGTCAAGACGTCGCTTTCTGTTGGACACCAGAGTATTTTCCAGGTGAGAACCGCCACCAAAAGAGCTGGTGGTTCCAGAACCCATATGAAGGATTCTGCAGGAAAACGTCTTGGTCCAAAGAAAGGTGACGGAGAGGTTGTTGAAGTTGGCCAGATCATCATGAGACAGAGAGGAACCAAGTGGTATCCTGGAGAAAACACCGGTATTGGAAAAGACCACACCATATTCGCTCTGGAGCCCGGTTTCGTGCGGTACTATCTCGATCCGTTCCATCCAAGACGTAAATTCATTGGTGTTGTACTAAACCAGAAAGATCGTTTGCCATACCCGCATTTTGAACCTACGAAGAGAAGATTTGGCCGTTCGCTCATCAAGAAGCCTGAGGCTGCTCAAGAAGAGGTTGACTTCAAGAAACGGAAAGAAGAAGCTCTGTTACCTCAGATTCTGCAAGCAGCATCTGAGCGTGAAGAGAAACGGAGCCAAAGACTCGCACAGCTGCGAGAGGAAATGACTCAGTTCATCCAGCTCGAATCATCAGAGGCCAAGGACCTTGCTGCTGAGAGACTCGTCAGCATTGATAGATTCCTCAAAGGAGGTAAGTCTTTGGAAGACGCCCAATTTTACACCACCTACAACTATCTCTACGATCTCAAGTTGGAGCTGCGTAAAAACGCAATCACCCAGGAACAGCACGATGCCCAATCACAAGAGTACACAGCAGTGGCCAAGTCTGTTGACGAGAATATCATGTTTGACCACTCCTTCAACATCTGCGCATACAAGACTCCAGAGACCATCAAGCAGAACCAGGCTGCTGCTCTCGAGGAGCTGAAGACCATTGTTGTTCCTAACCAGCCGCGTACTAAGGAGCTGAAGGAGAAGGTGTTGTCTATTCTCAAGAGCACAGACAACTGTTTTTCGCTCTCTCAACAACTCGACTTGAAGCGTCGGTTCCTCAAGCCTGTTCTTTCTGAGGTTGAAGGTCTGGTTGCCGACAAGCCAGGTAAGAATACCGTTACCATTTTGCGGATGAATCACGAAACCCGCAAGGTCGATACCGTCTACCGTCCAAAAGAAGCGTTCTTGCCTTAATCTGTATATAAATGAACATGGTCATGTATGTTTGAGTACGTTCGACGTCTCGTTCTCCTTGTAGGTATTTGAGCCGTCCGAGTATTCTTCGATCTTCCAGATCTCTGCGTTTTCCTTGACTCTTTCCAAGATCCATTCTCCAGCAAGCCATCCTTCCTTTCTATGGGTAGAGCTCACGGCGATCATCACAGACTCGGTTGCGACAGGGACCGGCCCTGTTTTGTGCACAATTGCTGCCTTGTGTATTCCAGGGAACTTTGTGAGCGACTCGTCGGCAATGGACCGAAGCGTCTTGATTGCAAGCTTCGGGTGCGCCTCATAGGCTAACGAAACGACTTCCTTGCCCTGGAAAGAGTCCCGCGTAATCCCTCCAAAATAGACAATTGCACCGGCCTGCGGCGATCGCACAAAGTTCAGTACCTTCTCGGGTACAAGAACTTCGTCTGTTATATCAACATAAACAGACATAACAGTTATTTTAAAAATCAAAATTAATTTCGTTAATTACAATTTTTCATCAGGTCTTTTTTCTCGAGAGCTCATGTCTCTGGCACCGCGTCTACTCAGTCGCTCGTGACAGTCGTCGTCGAGCATGTATGCGGGTAAGTAGACGGGTCCTTGTTTGAGTAGCGGGTTCGGTATAGTATTCTCGATACCTCCGATGGAAGTGTATCCCTGATCGTACAGCGTGCAGTACTGGATATCTGTAGCTTTCAAAAAATACCAAATCTCGCAGTACGTCCAGTCCAAGACTGGATTGACACGCATGAAAGAAGGCCATCCATGGTCGGTCCGCTGCATGTAGGACAAATTTTGGGCGTAAGGGTCGATTTTGCGGACCCCAACGGCTATGGCTTTTATTTTCGGATATTGGTCCAAATACGTTCTGAAGCCGTTTTTCATATTATCTTTGATTCTTGTGAGAGACAGCTGATACTTTGCCGATGATGTGTCTAAAAAGTCGTCCTGTTCGGGGAACTCTTGGTCGTCGTTGATGTAGACGCTCTGGATTGGCTGTCGAAGATCAGATAATCGATGTTGATACTTGTTGTATATTGCAGCTAAGTACACCACAAGCATCACCAGACAGTCCTTGCCGCCGTTGTAGCTTATGGAAACCTCCTCCAAAGTGTATTGTTCCAGCATTTGGTGAAAAACATCCAGCGTGTTGGCCACCTGTGCCTGTGTTTTCAGATGTAATTCGGTATCGTTGTGGAAAAGCGGAATCGGACTTGAGAGCTTGCGATTCCCGTTTGCAAGATAGGGACCTTTCATTGCTAGGAAATCCATCACAAGCGCGTGACATTGGCGACAAACCTCAATAGTTGTTGAAGACATTGTGCCTTGGGTGTGTGGTAAACAACAGTCTATAGTGCGATACGGGCGAGTTAATATATATTTTCCAGAAATATTTCTTCGGCTATAAATCTTTCTGTGGGGCACACCTCTGCGGGGTGGCAGTAAAAGGCTATATTCATTAATCAAGACACCTCGTGTCCCTTCTTCGCAACAGCGAGACTTTTCTCCTCAAATCCTGGCACCTGGATGTACGAAATGCCTGCTGTTTCTAGCTTTCTTCGAGACACGTTGTTGGCAACGAAATCGTCCGGCTCCAACACACCAACAAAACAGGTGGTGATCTTGTCGGCCAGCTTCAAAATTCGATCCGCACACGGTTCATTCCCGCTTAATCTTTCACTACAAGGCTCCATCGTAGTGTAGATCTCGCTACCCTCAGGCAACGTCCGCGAGCCGGTCTGCTTGAAGTATTTCTCCAACGCACATTGTTCCGCATGTGTGTTACCTTCAAGCTCTCTGGTGTGACCGGTTGCGAGAACTTTTCCCCCGCATGTGATCACTGCCCCCACGCAGAACGCTGTGTCCAGTGGAGGGCACTTCTCGGCCTGTTCGAGGGCCAATGACATGTATTTCTTCTGTGACTCCAACGCCCAATCCGGAAGCTCTGTTTGGTACGACCACCCGTCATCCAGCGACGAGCTATATTTGTAGGCATGTAAGTAGAGGTCTAGATCGTTGGGACCCGGGTCGGAATAAAGCTGGCCACCGCAGTCGTCGCAAAAGTTGCCTGTAGATTGGATCTCACCGTTATCGTTTTGGTGCAACCAACTGGTAGCAGGTTCGGTCTTTCCAATCTTGGACAGTTTCTCGCTTTTCTCAATGATGTCGAAGTCACCGTTTTTACCCAGGTTGTCACCCCAGATCTTTGGAGACGAGTAAAGAGGGTCGTTCACTATAGGATATCCGAGAAATTGGAGGTGGACCCTGATTTGGTGAGTTCTACCCGTGAACGGTTTGCAGAGCACCAAACTTGTTTCTCCGTCAAACGAGAGACGCTTGAACGATGTCTTGGCTTCCTTACCGTTTTCGCGATCAACAATGTTGAACGCAATCCTTGGATCAACGGTTCTGAGTGGCTCTTCGCAGACAATATCAACCCCTGGTGGAAATTCTCCAACAACTTTAGCAATATACTGTTTAGAGACCTCACGTTCTCTCATTTGTTTGACCATCTTCTCTGCGCCTGCGGCCGTCTTTCCCAAAAACATCAATCCACTGGTCAGTCTGTCAAGTCTATTACAAGGGTGTGCCTTGATACCGTGTTCTTTTTCTAAAATAAAAGTCACAGTATTATGACGATAACGGCCAGTTGGATGAACTGGAAGTCCAGAAGGTTTATCAATGACAAGGAGCTCGTCATCTTGGTAGACAATTTTGATCGGACGTGAAGTGACTGGCGGCTCGTGACGATGCATTCTATGGGCAATTAAATCTCCGTTCCTGAGAATTGTATCGGGGTTAGCAACTTTTTCATTTACTGTCACTCTGCCTTTTTCCAAAGCATTTCTGTAGTAACTTTCCGGATGCAATCTAAATTCGTGTGAAAACACCTTTAAAATGTTCTGGTCCATCCATCGCTGTTTACAGTGCGTCATGTATGTGAAATAGTAAGGTTTGAGTCTTCGAAGAGGGCCTTCTAAAATATATTGTGCATCGTCCTCTTCCTCTCTGATCGTCTTATTTAAAGGCAGATCAGATAGGTTTTCAGCGTTCTTATCACCACCTAATTTTTGGTATGCAGACAGGTTTCTCGCGTCTACGTACACTTGACGCATTCGGAACCCGTTGTGGTCGACTTTGCGGACTTTATTGGGATGCTCAAAACTCATTTTTGTTAGAGCCCAAAACATGAAAAATTTCTAGTGCTGGGAAAATTAAATTTTACCTTAGATGCTTGTGTTTTCAAGTCTGTTCCAGAAAGTACGCAGTTTGTCGACCAGGGTCGAAAACCCACGCGTGTCGAACTTTGACGCGTTTCATCCGACTCTACGTGCTACCATGAACCAACTGGACACCATAAGCCCGCGTTTCGAGCTCGCAAAAGACCAGTTACACATCCTTTACAGTCCCGCGGACTTCTACAGTCTGCTCAAGGCTAAAATCCGATCCGCAGAGTCGCGCATTTTCCTTTCATCGCTATACATCGGCAAAGCCCAGCACGAACTTGTTCAATGTCTCCAGAGTTCGCTGTCCCAAAAGCCAGATTTGAGGGTGGAAATTCTAATGGACTGTCTCAGATCAACAAGAGAGGCGCCAGGCGCAAGTCCTGCGTCTCTTCTAAGTCCGCTGGTCGAGCAATTTGGTAAAGAAAGAGTCAACGTCCGCTTGTATCACACGCCGCAACTCTCTGGACTCAAGAAAATGCTCCTCCCTAAAAGAATAAACGAAGGATGGGGTTTGCAACATATGAAGATCTGTGGGTTTGATCAGGAAGTGATACTCACTGGCGCAAACCTCTCGGAGGATTACTTCACTAATCGTCAGGATCGCTACTATTTATTCAAAAGTGGGCCTCTCTCGGACTACTACCACAATATCCAAAAGGCCGTCAGCTCTTTCAGTTATCAGTTGCTTCCTGCCCAAAATAAACAAAAGTTTCTGTTGGACTGGCCCAGCACAAATGTCACCACAGATCCTCACATCAATGCTCGTCAGTTCATCCAAGACTCCTCCGTTCTTATGTCATCGCTGTTGAAGCAAACCAGTTCCCAGGCCAATGTTTTGTCAGACCCCGAAATTTTAGTGTACCCAGTTTCGTCCTTCAAGCCGGTCATGGAAGTGGATGAGTCCACTGAACGGCCCGCCATTCTGCATTTGCTCCAACAACTGGACGACCCGGCCGTTAATTGGACGTTCACAGCAGGCTATTTCAACTGCCATCCGGAAATCAAGGAACGATTCATCAAGTCGCATGCTAAAGGAACAGTCATCACCGCAGCTCCAGAGGCTAATTCATTCTATAAATCAAAGGGCATTTCGCAGTATCTTCCAGATGCTTACTTGTACAAAGCACAACTATTCCTTCAACAGGTTCAACGCAAAGACACCGTAAAACTGCTAGAATGGCAGAACGGAATTGTGAATACACCAAACGGCTGGTCCTATCATGCTAAAGGTTTGTGGTTATCTCTACCCAACGAGGTGGAACCAAGCATCACCATTGTCGGTTCATCCAACTATACCAGAAGAGCATACTCGCTCGATTTGGAAACCAACGCTGTTGTCATTACTAAAAATCAGCAAGTCAAGCAAGAAATGTTGAAAGAAGTCGAAAACTTGACGAGTCATACAACCCAACTTACTGACCTCAGTCACAGACAGATCAGTCCTGGTGTGAAACTTGCAACTACGATTCTTAGCCAGATGTTGTAGACTCCGTATTGTCTACTGAAAACCCTTTAATGATAAACCATATGAACAAATAGCTTAATTTTCTGTCTTGGTGGACTTGAGTGATCTGCGCTCTTTGACGGCATCAGCCAACATCTCCAAAACCTGCTCGGTTGTTTCCCAGTCAATACAAGCGTCTGTAATGGAGCAACCGTATTTCAGTTTGTCTTTTCCTCCTTCCTCAAGAGGTGGCACGTCCTGTCTTCCCTCGCTAATATTACTCTCAATCATCAAACCACAAATACTTCCGTTCCCGTTCTTGAGTTGTCTGGCGATCTCGGCGGCAACCTTTGGCTGGTTGCGGTGGTCTTTGTTGGAATTTCCGTGCGAGCAGTCGACCATGATACGGCTTTCACCCTGCTTAAGAATACCAGCCTTGGTGAGGGCAGCTTCGGCCTCACCAACACTTTGTTCGTCGAAGTTGGTACCTTTCTTACCTCCACGCAAAATCACGAAGGAGTCGGTGTTTCCCTCGGTACCAACGATGGCAACCACACCTGGCTTGGTAACAGAAAGGAAGTGGTGAGGATGTGCGGCAGCACGCATGGCATCGACAGCAACGCCCAACGAACCGTCGGTACCGTTCTTGAAACCGACTGGGAAGGACAGTCCGGACGCAAGCTCTCTGTGCAGTTGAGATTCGGTGGTACGGGCGCCAATAGCACCAACAGAGAACAAATCGCTAAGGAACTGTGGAGAAATGGTGTCCAACATTTCACCGGCAATCGGAAGCTTCTCAGTCAACTTGACGAACAACTCTCTGGAGATTCTCAGACCCTTGTTGATGTTGAAGGATCCATCGATATCTGGATCGTTGATCAGTCCTTTCCAACCAACAGTGGTACGAGGCTTCTCAAGGTAAGCTCTCATGACAATGTGCAGGTCTCCCTTGACCTTTTCTCTGAAGCTGGCCAGACGGTTACAGTAGTCCAGAGCAGCAGCAGGGTCGTGGATCGAACATGGTCCAATCACAACCAACAATCTGTCGTCTTTGCCACTCAGGATATTGCAGGCATCTTCTCTGCCTTCCAAAATGTTTTTCTCAGATTTGGTGCTCAATGGGAACTCGTGCTGAAGAAGATCTGGAGGAGTCAGAGGGTTGTAACCTCTAATTCTCCAGTCCTCCAAACGAGATCTGTCGCCCACATGGGGGTTTTCCATGAACATTTTGCTGTGGGTAGTAGTTGGCGCCTGGTTTGTTAGCAATGACTCAAAAAAAAAAATTGCTTATTTCGATTCACCGGTCAGTCTGGTAGCTGGAGAATTTTATTTGATTTACCCCCTTCCTGTCTGGCTCATCTAAATCACTAGGTACTTACTGGCATCACTGTAACTTTTGTATCCAAGATTTGGAACTATATGCAATTATAAATGTATAAGTGATGGAATTCTGTTCTACTAAAAAATGAAAAAAAATTATTCCGGTACAGGATGCACGGGGACAAAGTCTCGCAGCCGCATACCTTTTTTTTTTTTTCAAATACGTAATGAGCCTGTTGTGATTGCTTCGTAGGTTTTCTGCGTTAGTGGCTCGTACTTTCTCGTGGAGAGATTCAAGAAATAAACCTCGTCTTTGTTCGATGGCCCAAACGGTAGAACAGGGTCTCTGAACTGTTTCTTCGAGATCTTGTGATTGTGAGTATGCTCTATAACGTCAAACCGCAGAAAACATGGACGTGCGAAATGAGGCAGCTTCTCCCAAACCAGTTCGGCCAACTCGTTAACAAGTTTCTGTTTCTCCTCGGAGCTCTCCTCGTTGTTGCGTTTCGTTTGCAAGATGGCATACCCGCAGCGTCCTTCGTGATTTGGCACCCTTGCACCAACAACAACGGTGGCAGAGATGGAAGGATGTGTTTGGAGTGAGTTTTCCACCTGCGTTGTGCTGACATTCTCCGATTTCCATCTGTAGGTGTCTCCGAGTCTATCAACAAACTTGACACAGCCGTAATCGTCGTACTGGAAAAGATCGTCCGTTCTCACCCAAGCATCGCCCTTCTTGAACACATCGCGAACGATCTTGGAGTACGTAGCGTTCTCGTTATTGACGTAACCTGGGAACGTTGCCTTGGTATTCTTTGGGTTGAGCACATGCATCAGAAGTTCTGCGTTTTCACCAGGCTTTGGTTTCTCGCAGTATCCTTTCTCATTTCTGTATAATCTTGCGTCGTCGTCCTTTTCTGTCTTCACCAGAGAGTACATGTAACTCAACGCTTTATCTGCGAGCCAGCCCTGGTTTCTGATGCAACCAACACCAATACCATTAGTCTCGTAACAGGTGGTGGCAAATGGAGCTTCGCTACTGGCGTAAAATTCACCGACAGCTTGGATTCCAAATCTCTGCTTGAACTTGACCCAGATATCCGGACGCAGACCGTTGCCAATCGCTTTTGTGACCTTTCCGTAACACAGCTTTTCGTCCTCAGACTCGGGAGCGTTAATTAAATACCGGCAAACCTCGCCAACGTATTGGATGGTGTTGGCTTCACAGAGGCGAACCTGTGTCCAGTATGTAGACAGTGAGAACTTGGTTCCAAGCGAATATGTTCCACCTTTGGCAAATATTGGAAGAACTCCCAAAATAGAGGCAGTTCCGTGGTATAGCGGCATGGACGTGTACATGTTGGTGTGCTTGGAAATCCGCATGGCGTGCGAAAAGAAGAAGCTAGCAAAGAACACCTTTCTCCAGGAGTTCACGGCCGACTTGGGAAGGCCGGAAGTCCCACTGGTGAAGATCAGCAATGCCGGATTGTAGTAGACAACGTCTTTGTCTCTCTCTTTGTCGTCGAGTCTGAACGTTTTTGCTGAGGGATCAGAAAGACGCTCGATCCACGACTGGATATTGACAAAGACCGACTTCAACTCCGGAAGCTTCGCATCGATCTCTTGCTTGGTGGAGTCGTACAATCCGCGACATCCCTCGTCCACAAAGACGAGGTTAGAGCTCACCACTCCAAGAGAATGAACTAACGGCTCATGTGACAGGTTGATGTTCTGGAGGCATGGCACGGCACCCAGGTTCCAGAGTGCGAACCAGAAAACAATGAATAGAGGACTATTTCCAAAGTAAAGAGACACCACATCGCCTTTTTTGATGCCGTAGTCCTCCTTCAGTATGTAGGAGAGGCGCAGGATCATGTCATAAAGTTCTTTGTATGTGTATTGTTTGGTCTCAAACTCGCCTTTTCCGGGCAACGGGTTGACAAATATCAAGGCCACTTTGTTGGAGTGGGCCTTCATTGCATTTTCGATTTGATACCAGAGATTGACTCGTTTGGACACAAAACATTGATAAAGATGACGGAGGAACTGATAAATCTCGACAGGGGCCAGATACAAGTCTTCACGAACTCTGTACCTGTTATCCCAATTGATCAACCATTCTCGAACACCGCTCATCCTAATGGCTAGCACCAAGACGATAAGTATCAATATTATAAATGAGATCATTTTGCGAATATATTTATATACAAATCTGTAGAATAAAAGTTCATGGCCCTGTTTTTTTAAATAGCAGTTGCAGTGCCACGAAACGATCTGTCAATCTGTAAGGCGTCTTACACATGCCAGTAACCTTGTTGATTTGCGTATGCGACAGCAGATGGCCATCCTAAGAAGGTGGTAATGCCTGCGCCCCACACACCGAGATTCACCACATGTTGGCCAAGTTCCTTAACCAATGGGTTAGGACCAATTCTCTTCGAAGCGGTTTGGGCGGTTTTGAAAGCAATAGTAGCGGCGGACATGATTTATGATTATTTGATATGTGAATTTGTTCGTCAGAACATCTGCTTATATAGACCTCTGGCGTGGTGTGACTTTCACACCACCCTGACTAAAATGATCATGCTCTACTGATCCACCTGCAACCAAAAAAAAAATCGCACCACTTTTTTTCTAGTCGGTTTTTGGTGATTCTTTTTGGATTCCTCTGGCGGTTAGAAAGTTGAAAATAGAAGTTCCGTTTTGCTCGTCATATCCGGCGAATCCATCGATAAACCCAAAGAAACCGTAGAACACATTTTCACGCTCTTCTTCCGCATAAAGCTTATCGTAGATTTGCTCCCGTTTGAATTTCTCAATCGCCGAAGCAAAGTTCTCGAAAGAAAGCGGGTTGTACCCGAATTTCTCCAGTTTCGCATTGTAGCTTTCATAAACCGGTTGTTCTAGCAAAAGCCCTAATGCAGGGGCTTTTGGAATGTTGACCTTCTCAGGTCCAAACGCCTCCTCAATTCTCTTCAAAGGACATCCCGTTCTAACAACAAGCGTAGCCATACCAATCATCTTACGAATCTGGTGCAACATGAAAGACTGTCCGTGAATCTTGATCGAGACCCATTCGGTGTTGTTCACCACAATCGGGTCACTCACCGTGAGTGATTTCATGAACCGAATAGCAGATGGGTCTTTGTAATCTTTACCGTTCGTAAAGTTGTGGAAATTGTGTGGTCCAAGATATATGTTCAAGGCCTCCCTCATTAGGTCCAATTTTTCTTTGGTGATTCTAAAGCGTCTCCGTGCAGCTGCAGAAATCTCACGAGACTTCTTGTCGGCAAGCTCCAAAGGAACAGTCAGCTGGATTCCCTCCCTGTTGGCCTCTCTAATTTGGGCAAGTTGATCTTCGGTGATTCCAGCCTTAGCCAGCTCCTCATTCACCTCCTCCCAGAATTTCTCTCCCTCTGGATCTTTTCTGGTGGTTCCTGGGAACTCCTTCTCAGCCTCGGCGATCTGACCTGCCAATGGACTGTTTGGCTTTGGAGGCAGGAACGAATAGGTAGGCATCAGATACTCATAAATTCTGGAGGAGCACACTTTACGGCAGTCAAACGACTTGTTGACTCTCTCGTAACCCCAGAACTTGATCTGTTCAGGTAAGTAGCTGTTGATCTTCTCCACGATATCTGGGTCCTCGATGATCAACTTCAAGGAAATGACGTTGCCTGCGGCGTGAACTCCCTTATCAGTACGTGCAGCTCTCATAAATCCGGATTTTTTCAGATCATTGGAGTTGTTCTTCGAGATTGCGCCTGCTTTCACAAAAGCATCAAACAAGTCGCCTTCAATGGTCTTTGCTGGCGGATTCAGTTGCATTCCGTGATAGCCTGTTCCACAGTAACTCAAAAAACAAGCAACTTTCTTTTTTGGCTTCCTTTCCTCGTCCTCAAACTTGGGGGTACCATCCTCGTTCAAAATTCGACTGTAGAAGTTAGTAAATCAACTCTTCGTAGATACACGATGTCAGCCAGTACGCTGAACCGCCTATCTACGAAAACATACCCACGTGTCCTGCCTTTTCTTGAGCACTCGTTGTCTCTTAGCGGTGTCTCCAATTTCGTCTCCTTTACGAGTACGCAGCCATTTGTTGCCGGGGTCTTTTCTATTCCCTTGTTCTTCGTCGTCGTACGTATCAGTGACTGGATCAGATTCCTTAGCAATGACATCAGCTGGATCGGACATCTGAATTGTAGATATTGAAAAATTTTTAATGGCTGTGCTTCTTCACGACTTAAAAAAATTTGAGAAAAATATTCAAGATATATCTTTAGTCAATGAGACCGCTTACCGAGGAAGAAACCAAGGTGGTTTTCGAGAAACTGGCCAGTTATATTGGCCGTAATATTGCATACTTGGTTGACAACAAAGAAGACCCTCATGTTTTCAGATTACAGAAAGACAGAGTGTACTATGTTAGCGATCGCATAGCCAAGGTTGCCACTTCCGTTGCTAGACCAAACCTCATGTCATTGGGAGTGTGTTTTGGAAAGTTCACGAAGACAGGAAAGTTCAGATTGCATGTTACCTCTCTCAAATATCTTGCACAGTACGCTAAATTCAAGGTCTGGATCAAGCAGAACGGAGAAATGCCTTTCTTGTACGGAAACCACGTCCTTAAAGCACACGTCGGGAAGATGAGCGAGGATATTCCTGAACATGCAGGTGTGGTTGTCTTTTCTATGGCAGATGTGCCGCTCGGGTTCGGTGTCAGTGCCAAGTCAACAATCGAAGCTAAAAATTTGCAACCAACGGGAATAGTTGTTTTCCGTCAAGCAGACATTGGAGAATATCTCAGAGATGAAGATACGCTATTTACATAGACTTTTAATATTTTGGCTCGTACATCAATTATTTCTTACCCTTCTTCTTCTTCTTTGCAGCTGCCTTTTTGTTGGTGGAGGAACCGGTGGTAGCAGAGCTTATGTTGAGAGCCTGTTCTGCGGCCTGGTCAACAACACCACCCTGGGTGTCCTTACCCTTCTTACCCTTCTTTGGCTTGTAGTAGGATCTATCTTTCATTGGCAGCCATCTCTCTGCGTCGATTTGTTTGGTGAGATCTTTAGGAAGCTTCTTTGGTTTCGACCGCTTGCGTTTTTCCACCTTTGAGCTTCTTTTTATGACAGTTGTGCTTGAGGATCCAGAGACCAGCGGCTTGAGGCCCTGCTCAATAAGAGCACTCACGTCGACGTCTCCGATAAGAGTTTCAATGTCTCCCAACGTCGACTCCGACTCGTTGCCCAAGACAACAGACACCAGCGGGTCCGACGACGAAACTTGTTGGTCAAGTCTCTGGAAAAGCTCCTTGGCTTTCACGTCGTCGAACGAGATCATTTGAAACGCCACAAACCTCAGGAACCATAGCTGATCAACAGTTGTAAGTTCGGCAGCGATTAATTGCTCGTAGATGCTCAGTAGCAACTGCTTTCTGCTGCCCTCTCTGTCCAGCTTGTCGTAGACTGCAATGAGAAGACGCGAAACAGCAGGTCTCAGCAAAACTGAGGAGTCTGTCTTGACCACAGTCTCGAGCAAACGAGCTGCGCTTGTATATTTGCCAGCCTCCACAGACAATTGACATGAGAACAAACAAAGGCCTATTTTCTCGGGATTCTCGATGGCGTATCTGAACACAAGACGTTCGTTGTTGGCCGACTTGAAGTCAGAGTGGTCAAACCCAGTTAGGCGTGAGATTTCTGCCAGGGCTTGTGGATAAAGAGACTCTGGGAATTGTGTCTCGTGTTTCTTGGCGGACTTGGAGACAGACTTGCCAGTTTTGTAGGCAAGCAAGATTTCGTTTCTTTGCAGATCTCTGATCTGGATTATAGTCAGCTTGTCGAGAATGGCGTGCAAAGAATTTGGGAATCCAAGAGTCTTGTACAAAACAACGTTGTTTGAGGTCTCTTCCAAAGAGCTGAGGTTATTTGCGATGATGATCTTAAGAATCTTGTTCTTCAGCTTCGAAACGTCGTACTTCTCGTACAGTTCTTTTGCAGAAGCAGCTCCTTTAGTCAAGTTGGTGACAAATGCGATCTCAGCGTCGATTGGAGCAAGCTCGCTAAGAAGCTCTTCTTGCTCATACTCGGCTAAAGCAGTCTTGCACTGGTCTCTAGCCTCGTGAAGAAGCTCCAATGCCTCCTCATAGTTATGATTTCTCAATTGAATCAGAGCCGAATTGAATTTTTGGTCGTACGAGTTTGGGTTTGTTGCCGACACTGGTTCCGTTTGAGTCTCTGTGGAGTAATCTTTGATCTGTGAGATAACAGCTCTCTCGTTGACACTAAGATCCAAAGTTTCCTCTGTGATGTTTTCTGCCAACAGATCTCTGTATATCGCAAGAGCCTTGTTGTACTTGCCAATGCGATAGTAATGCTGTGCAAGAATGTGTTTAAATCCACGGCTCTGACTACCCAAGGAATTAAGCTTTTCCAAAGCCTTTTCGTCGTTCAGTTTGTAATAGATGTACCCTAGCTCAACAATCGACTCCTTTTGGTTGGCCTCCACCTGGCTGGCATGTTTTTCCAGAAATTCTTTGGCAGAGATGTAATTGTCCAAGTTGATGAAGGCCACCAAACACTGCTTGAAAACGGCCAGATTTGATGGCTCCTTGCCAAGAATCTTGGAACCCACATCCAGTACCTGTCTGTGAGAGTCCGACTTCGAAAATATCTGAAGTTGCGACACCAAATCTGTAAGCGACATGGTTTCGATGTTGATGGCTAACTTTTGATGTTGAAAAATTTACAGCAGGGTAATTAGAAAAAGTACTGAAAAATATAGCCATCTATCAAACATGTTAACAAGGGTCTCGAGATATGCCGGTGGAGTCTCTGTGAGCCCGCATTTTGTGGTGAGGAGCTACTCCAGAATGGCTATAAAGCCATCAAGGAGTCCACGGTCAAGAAACCAGAAACCGAGCAAGAAACCCGGTAGCTCTGGAGAGATCGCTCCATACAAGTTTGGCAGTGGATCCTCGCTTAAACTGCCTGATGACCGCAAAATTAAAGGTCTGACCGAGTATATCAACAAGGTCACAGAGTTCTACGAGCTGAAACTGTTGCCAGATGTGAGACAGGCGCTGATAGACGAAATCAAGGAGAATACAGTGCTGAAAGCTCAAAACTATGTCAGTCCTATCAAGCGCAAGCTCACCGACAAGGAACTGGAAGGACTTGTGATCAGACCAACACCTATTCAGAAAGCCGCTGTTCGAGTCATTAATCCAGCCCGTCCCGCAGATAAACTTTTGCACACATACATCATGGCAGCAGAGACGGGAACAGGCAAGACTTGGGCCTACTTAGCTCCGTTGCTGCACAAGCTCCGCGAACAGGAGCTTGAACATGGACAGGAAATGGCAAGAAAGGCGGGAATCAAGAGCGTGATCTTGCTCCCCACACACGAACTTGTGGAGCAAGTGTTCAACACCGTTAATCATACCAGCGAGACTCTTGGTACTCACGTATTCAAATGGGATCTGAACTCCAACTTTAGGGAGTTCATCGAGGAGTTCAGAAACGGAATAGACGTGCTAGTGACGACGCCGGGAAAATTGGCCTCGTTGGGCAAATACGATGATGTTCAAAACTTGAGATCTCTGCTTTCTCGGGTGAGGTTCTGTGTTGTTGATGAGGCAGATACTTTGATGGATGAATCATTTATGCCCGACACTTATGGCGTTTTAAAGAAAATGCCCGGTCTGGAAGACCTTGTTTTTGCGTCTGCCACCATTTCGTCTTCTTTGAAGACCTCTGTCAACTCATTGTTCCCAGATGCCACTCCTATTAGTACGCCGTCCTTACACAAGATCCCAAAGGCTATCGAAGTGCGTGTTATAGATGCAAAGCCAAAACCGTACAACGGATCGCGTCTCAAGGCATTGGCGCAAGTCTTGTACGCTATCCACTGCGACGGAACAGAGCCTGGGTTCGAGAAAAGAGTGATTGTGTTTGTGAACGAAAAGAAACAGGTTCCAGAACTTGCTTCTCAGCTAGCCGAGAAGTACAAACATGACGTTGTGAGCATCAGCTCCAATGACTCGCCAGAGGAAAGAATGCAGAAACTGCAACCGTTCATCGATCCACCGAAACCGCTGGAGAACCCTACAAAAACCACTCTGAAGGTACTCATCTGCACGGATCTTATGTCCAGAGGCATCAACTTTCGTGGAGTGAGAAACGTGGTACTCTACAACATCCCTAGCATGACATCAGACTTGGTCCATCGTATGGGCAGAACAGGAAGAATGAACCAGTCCGGACGGGCGTTTATCATTTTGGAAGACAAGCGGGCCTCCAATACTAAGGGACTCGCCAAGGTGTTGCGAATGAACAGACGTCTTGAATGATTATATTTTGTACATATCCTTGTATATTTAATTTTTGTCGAGATTCATGAATGTGGACGGCCAATGAAGACGGTTTTTCAAGATCCAAGGGTGTCTGCCAATGTCAGAAAGCTTGATACGCTTTTCTGGCTCGTATGTGAGTAATTTGCGAATGAGATCTGCTGCTTCTGGAGAAACAAACGAGGGAATGCGAAGGTCCACTTTGGCAATGCGCTTATATGTCGTGCTGGAATTCTGTTCCTCAAACGGAGGTCTTCCAACAAGGAACTCGTATAACAACACTCCCAACGCCCAGACGTCCACCTTTTCGTCGTGCGTTTTGGCCTCCACCATCTCGGGAGGGAGATAGTCCAATGTTCCGCACATTGTTGTTCTTTTGGTGTTGCTTGGCGCATACACGCTCCAACCAAAGTCAGACAGCTTGATCTGGTTGTTGAAATGCAATAGAATGTTTTCCGGCTTCAAATCGCGATGGACAATGTGTTTTTTGTGCAAATAACTTAGCGCACTTGCCACTTGTATGGTATAATAGGATGCGGTCACGTCGTCGAATCTCTTTTTCGACTTGAGCAATTTGTACAGCTCGCCCTCTGCAGCATACTCAAGAATAAGGTACACGTTCTTGTGGTCGTAAAACCAGCCGTATAGGCGTAAACAGTTGACATGGCGAACATTTGCCTGGATCTCGATTTCTCTCACAAACTGTCTCTCCACCTTGTAGTTCACGAGTTCGCGTTTATCCATCACCTTAAGCGCACAAACAAAGCCTGTTTCGATCTCGCGAACACAGTACACTTTGCCAAACTTGCCCTTTCCGAGCTTGCGTCCCAGCTCAAAGTCAGAGATCTTCCATTTCTTGTGCAAGTTTTTGGGCAAGGATTCCATGAAACCAGACTTACGCAGCGATAGTCTATTGAACACGGAGTTTCGAGACCCCATTGACCGCCGCCCGGGAGAATTATGGCTCCAATACGGACTTTTAATCGCGTCCATCTTTTGTTTACGATATAATCACAAGAGAAAATAATTTCCACAGCCCGGTTTTTTTAGTCTGCGATATCTACCACGAATAGTCCGAAATTGCGAAGCGAAGTAAAAAGATAGCTGCACAAGCTTAATTGGCCGGTAGTTTCGGCGGCTATTGTCACGGACTCGAATTAAAAGAGTTACTGTTTATTTCGCGGTCAATGTGTCAAGCCGTTCGACGGTTTCTGGCAGTTTCCTTTTTTTCCAGGAATTACGTCATGGCAAGACTTGCTACAGAAAAAGATATAAAAACCTGCCAAATCATTGTATTTGAGTAATGGTTAAATCAAATATCGTCGATCTGGGTGAATTGCCCCTACCCGCTCCTCAGCTTGCAGAAAATCCTTTTAGTTTGTTCTCATTGAAGGGCAAAGTGGCTATAGTGTCCGGTGCCTCCAAGGGAATTGGTTTGGCCGTTGCAGAAGCATATGCCAGCGCAGGTGCCGAGGTTGCCCTGTTGTACAACAGCACTCCTGTGGATGAGGTTCTTACACTGCTCAAAACGAAATATGGCGTGAATTGCCGCGGCTACAAGTGTCCAGTCACTGATATCAAGATCGTGAACAGCACAGTTGAACAAGTTATTGCTGACTTCGGTAAAGTGGACATATTCGTTGCCAACGCGGGTGTTGGGTGGAATTCCAACGACATCCTATCCATCGAGGACGATGATAAAGCATACGATGAGTGGAAAAAGATTCTTAGTGTTGACGTGGACGCTATCCACTTCTGTGCCCGGGCGGTGGGAAAGCACTTTAAGAAACAAGGATTTGGCTCTTTCATAGTCACCGCGTCGATGTCTGCACACATCGTGAACTTCCCGCAGCTGCAGGCCCCATACAATGCAGCCAAGGCCGCCGTGCTCCACTACTCCCGGAGTTTGGCGGTCGAATGGGCCAAATTCGCTAGAGTCAATACTGTTTCGCCAGGATACGTCGAAACCGAGCTGGTTGCAAAACTGCCATCCAACCTGAAAGATACATGGTTGGCACAGGTGCCACTCGGAAGACTCGCCAATCCAAAGGAGATTGCCGGAGCCTACGTTTTCTTGGCAAGCGATGCCTCCAGTTACTGTACCGGTACTGATATATTGGTTGATGGAGGATATTGCGTGGTTTGAGATTTACAACATATTCCTGTGAACAAACAATTCACATTCAAGTATAAACTTAACTCAGTTACACATCATTTTGTCTCGTAGTACTTTTCGTAGTATTCGTAAGGACGCAGACTAAGGTCCTCTTCAGCGTTCTTCAATTTTTGCTCCTCGATTTCCTCGGTCCATTCGTTAAACTCTTCCTCGCTTCCGACAGGTCTCTCAGCAAGAGTGGTAACACGGAAGGCGTGTCTGAGGTTGTCGTCATCCCAGTCAAGGGTGGCAGTGTGCAGCAACCGACGGTTGTCCCAGACAACAATGGTGTTCTCGTCCCATTGGGCACGGACGTGGGCGTCCAAACAGGTCTCGATGTGCTTGACAAGGAAAGAGAGCAAAACATCGCTCTCCTCCTCCTTCATACCCAAAATTCTTCTGCTGAAGTTTCTGTTCACAAACAGAGCCTTCTTCTTCAGAACAGGGTGATATCTGACAAGAGGGTGGATCGACTCAACAGCGGTCTTTCTCTCGATACCTCCTTGGTTTCTGGCGTTGTTGGCCTGGTCTCTAGAGGTGTGCAGAACCTGCAATCCATCAAGCAGCTTTTGCATGGTTGGCGAAAGTCTCTCGTAGGCCTCGATGGTATCAAGGAACTGGGTGTCACCACCAACGTCGGTTTGCAACATACCGAACAAGGTGATTCCTGGGGTTTGGTTTTCGTAGGTAACGTCGGAGTGCCAAGTGATGTTGTTCAGCTTGTTGGCAAAGGTATGTTTTGCCTCGTCCTTGCTACCTCTTCTAAAGGTGATGTGGAACTCCGGGTGGCCAAGAGGGGCACCAGAGGTTGGGTGGACATGCAATGGGCCGAAGTATCTTCCCCATTCCTTAATGTCCTCGAAGGACTGGTCCTTGAAGTCCTGACCTCTAAAGACAACCAGTCCTCTTTGCTCAACCAACAATGCAAGATCGTCTTTTTGTCTTGATGTAAGAGAGCTCAGTTGAACACCACTCACTTCGGTACCCAACTTAGGGCTGATCTTTCTGGTCTTGACCTCAGATCCAGAGAGCAGAGAGTCAAAGGTTGGATCGCCAAAGTATCCTCTGTCGGTGTGCTTGAATGGCTTAGGATTGGAAAAGGCCATCTGGTGCTTTGGGTCCCAGGTTGGGGTCCAGGCAGGATACTTCAGACGCTTGTAGTTAGCATCAGAGATAGAGTACACTCCGTTTCTGATGGTGTCTTCACCTTTTCTAAAATGGATATCGTTGTTGAGATTGTCGACAGAAAGAACCATGGTAATTGCGTGCTCGGAAACTATGGATGGCTGCTTCAGCGACGGCATACGTATTTATATGGCTTCATGATTACAAATCTGTGGTGGTGGCACATCATAATTGTGGTTATCTAAAATGTTTTTGCACGTGACTAGATATAACAGTTGCTCAAAACGGGCAAGATAAGCTTTTTATCAGGGTTAAAAAGGGTCAGCCTATTCCGTGGAATTTTCCATAACGCTTGGCCGAGGACTCAAGATTTGCACCCCGATGTGCATTATGTCCGATATTTCAGACCGGTTGGAGAACTGTTGACCGATCCCCATAGGCTCTCGAGGCCCTGCACAGCCTTGTAGCAGATTGTTGATCGACCCCAATCTTGATGTCTATTTGGGCATTAGCTAATGCGAGTGAACGTGTAGATGTGTCTCAAAAGTCCATTCAAAGCTACTTCGAGGCTCTCTTGTGCTCTATACAGACTTGGGAGGGAAAGAGCTATAAAACTTGGGCTCGGTCGATTTATTTATTTAATACTCTTGAATTTTTAATTCGTGCCACATTACCATGCTAGCAGCCGTGGTTCTTCTTTTCGTTTCGTGTCTTGCCTACCAGCAGCCAATTCCCGTCTCCAATCAACGGGTCGCAATTGTTGGCGCCGGAGCTGGTGGATCGTCTGCTGCGTATCATCTCCAAAAGTTCACCGGTCATGCATTCAATATTACAGTTTTTGACAAAAATGACTACATTGGAGGCAGATCGACTCCTATTGATTTCGACGGAGTGGCGGCCGAATTGGGTGCCAGCATTTTCATCCAGGAAAACGAGTTGTTGGCCAATGCTGCAGAGGTGTTCAATTTGACCGTCACCGAAGGTTTTGGTAACGAGTCCTCGTTTGCTATTTGGGACGGCCAGGCCATGGATTACATTCTGGAACCGTCCTCGAGCGACATCCTCACGTCGTTGAGACTGGTCTGGCGGTTCGGTTTGTACTCGATTTCTATCGTGAAATACTACCAGTCTCAGGCCCTCGACTCTTTTATCAGCGACTACTACCAAACCTACTTTCCTTGGCCCTCTCTCAATTATATCACGGGTTTGGTCAAGTACACCAGCCAGAGCTCTCAAAAGTTCTTCGACTCTCTTGGGATCAGCGACAATTACAAGTCGTTCATCCAGGGACTTACGAGAAACAACTATTCTCAAAAACTGCCACAGATTCACTCTCTTGGCAGTCTTGTTCTTCTCACAGGCAGCTCTTCTTTGCGAATCAGCGGAGGAAACAACCAGATTTTCCAAAACTGGCTGAAATCATCCAATGCAGACGTTAAGCTTAACACTTCAGTGACAGCTCTGGCCAAGGATAGTACCGGCTACACTGTTACTTACGGATCAAAGTCAGAACACTTTGACATTGTGATTCTTGCTGGTCCGTACAACCAATTAGGAATCACCACCAATGTTTCCGTCTCTTTGTCCGACGTGGAGTACGTTCACCTGTACGTCACGCTGGTCAGATCGCCGCATCTTCTATCTGAAAGCACATACTTCGACGACCCGAACACCCCGCAGATGGTGTTCACCACTGACGGAGACGACTTCACCTACGTGGGAGCAATTGGATACAGCTCCGAGTACCAGGAGTACGTGTATAAGGTGTTCAGTTTCCAAAACTTGGACGAGGACCTTCTTCAACGACTATTTGGGAACTACTCCAACAAATACGTCAAAGACTGGTACAGCTATCCAAACTTGACTCCAAGAGACAAATTCGACGACTTCAAGCTGGACAATAATTTGTACTACCTCAATGCCATCGAGCCTTTCCTCAGCACCATGGAAACCTCGTCCTTGGCAGGAGCAAACGTGGCTGGACTCATTGCTCAGGGGAAAAACACTACCGAAATTTCAATTCCATAGAGATCGTATTGATGCACTATATTACATATCGTATACATTTCAGAGTCAATTAGCACGAATTTTGAGGCCCTGCGTAAACCCGTCTTTGGACTCGGGATCCGGTGGAGACTTTTCCTCAGGAGCCTGGCGAACCGTTTCCAGTCCAGGAACATCCAAGGTGGCAGAAGATTCAGAGGTCGGAATATCAATACCTTTCTCTGACAACCGTAACGGGTGCAGCTTCATGGAGCTTTCCAGCGGAGAAGTGGCAAAGTACTCACCTTCGGTTCCACTCCGACGCTGGCTATGCGGAGTCGGCGGGTCGGACGTCACAGTGGTCATCGTGGTGGCTTGCGTAATCACCGGAAGCGCTGGTGCTGCCAAGCTGATCTTGTTGATTGGGTTGCTCTCCTTGGATGCTTTCCGAGAAGACGAAGTGGTGAGAGAAGAATTAGAAGCGTTAATCTGTCTGGTCAGAATGACCCCTGCAGGATAAACGTTTTCATCAAGTGAAACTGTCCCTGAAGGCTGACTCGATGTGCTAGGAGACGACACCTGGGAGCCTGGGTCAACAGGCGGCGGCTTGTCCAACGAAAATGAAGCGGTTACCGGAGTGGTCACTATCGGAGCCTTGGTGGTGTCCGCAACCGGCCCAGTTGAGATAATTTGCTCCCACAAGTTTGTCCCAGCAGGCGAATGCGTGGAAGACTTGCGTTGCGAAAAAGGCTTATGAGGAGGCGCCATTTGTTCAACAGAGTTTAACAAATTAGTATTCGGTGCCAAAACTTGCGTTGGAGGAGGAACCTGCGGCTGTTTCAAAGAATCCACAATCAATGGGTTGAGCTTGTGAGAATGGCGCGAGTCCAAAGAGTCCCTGGCATCGTCTTTTCTTTCCTTCGATGCGACACTCACCCGCGACTGCGAGCTCATTCTATTATTTAAGATATCCGAAGACATCGAATTGTCTCTTGTTGTCGTGGTGGTTGTGACAATCTTGTTCAGATTCATTGTAGAGACACTTTCAGTCATCTTACTAATGATGCTTGCGTCCAAAAACTTGTTGAGTTTGAGCTGTGCGGATTTCGAGTCAAGAAGGAGTCTGGACTCGAATATGCCGGGTCTAGAACCATCAATTCTTAATTCGTTTCCGTAAGAAACCCCATTGAACAAGTTGAACAACTCAATTCTGTAACCCCTGTTACTAGCAACAGGGTTACCAACAAGGTACAAAGTGGTTAGTTTGACTGCATCGCTGTTGAGAAGCAATAGCGGTTTCAATTCCGTCACCTTGGTGAGCCTATTCTGGCGCAAATCAATTTTTTCCAATGCGTTCAGATTCTCCATACTATCAAGACTGGTCAGTTGGTTTCCACGTAAATTAAGAATCGTCAACTTCTGCAGCGCTTTTGGGAACGACTTTGTACTAGCAAGCTTGTTGTATGACAGATTCAAAGATTTCAGATTGGCGAGTTTCGATAACGCCTCTGTTGGCACCTCTGTCAGCTTGTTGTAAGAAAGATCCAAAGACGAAAGATTCTCCAGGTTCTGGAAAGCAGCCTCAGAGATCGTGGTGATCTTATTTTCTGTGAGCGAAAGGTGTTTCAGTAGCTTCCAATGCTGAGAAGGAAACTCAATGGGTGCAGACATCGGAGGAACCTGTTCCATTATTGGTAGAGGGTCAAGAGGAGGGTATCGCGACTTTTGTGGGTATTGATACTGTCTTCTGGAAACCAAGGAGAATTTGTCATCGACAGGGAGCCGCGACGAGTAGTAGGACGATGGGGGTGATGACTTCTCGGGCAAGGAGCCGCTGAAATAATGGTGGTATGAAGAGCCATAAGAACTAGAAAAATTCGAGCTTCCCGCTAGCGGAGGAGATGAAAAAGAGTTCCGCTTAGACACAGGAATAGCATGAGGAGCTGTTGAAGATGGCGAATGTTCAGATCCCTCAGAATATATGGATCCTCGTTTGTCAACGTCGTCATTGACCAACGAAACAAGCACATCATATGGATCGTTTATATGAGTGCGCTTTATGACTAAAAACCGGATATTCTCACTTAAGATATGCCAACCGTAAATCTCTTTGGGATCAAGGTCAGAAATCTCGAGAACTGAAAGATTTTTGAAGATCCTAATTGGAGTTGATGTGTCGAACGGATACTCTTCGTGGCCCTCTATTAATTTGGCGTTTGGATCATTTGCGAGTCTGAGACATGGGAGCTTGGTAAATGCAGAATATAAGTATTTCAGATCGCTGATTATATTTTCGCCCTTGTTACCATTGTAACTAAGGTTGTGCCACAGTGCAGACACGCTGGACATGACAGATTTGACACTGGACATGGAATGGATCGATTGTGCGTCCGATTGAATGGCTTTGTTGCGTTGAAACTCGCTCAGGAACGAAACGTAGTTGTTTGCATTTTCGGTGTCAATATTGTCAAGACGAATGTTCATAGGACCGACACTGATGCCAAGCTCCTGAAACTTACCCAGAAGAAAATAGAGATGATGTAATGATAGAGACAATCTGACGGGCTTAGTTGTTGGCTGCTGTTGGCGCGGTGTTGTACCTGATTTATCTCCTTGAACGGGCTTCTTATTCGTCTTCTTGTAGGCGATCAAGGCGTTGGCCAGTTGGCGCTCGTGCGATTTGATAAAGGTGGCCAAGTTATGGATATAGACGTCCCCGTCGCAGGTGTTTGTGCCCATCATGGGAGGAGCCAAAATGGAAATCTAGCTAAAATACGAGGTGATGGTTGTCCCCGTGACCACTTCTTGACAGGAAGCAGGGTATTTTTCTTGCCAGAGCACACTGGGAAGGATAATGGCTGAGATTGATTTTTACAAAACAGTGAAAACCAGTGTTTTTTTGTTTACAATTCTTATAATAAAATTTGGGAATGTTGCACGACCAGAAGAGTTCACTGCGAAGCGACAGAGCAGTAATCTGTAGACACTAGAGAGTCCTGTTCACTAACGGCTGCCCGCGAGGGGATCTCAGTGACAGGGATTCTGTGTCCGCTGGCATTTGCAGGCACAATCCGCTCGAAGATGCTGGCAGGAGGAATTGCAGAAATAGAAGCGTTGGTGTCAATGCTCCGCCGTCTTCTATTTCGAGTAGAGCTGGCAATTGTAATGACAGAGGATGAGTCTGCCCCGTGAGCCGTTTGGTGGGCAGATGACTGGCCAGTTGGAGTTGCTGTTCCAGAGTAATTGCTCACACTTGTTCCTGCGCCAGTGGTGCTACCTGCCCCACTTGATCCGCCAGGATTGATGAGCATGTTGTTTGGACCATAACTGCTGGCGGTGGTAAACGACGTGGGAGCTATAGAGGTCATTGCGGTCGACTTCACAGACGGATCGTAGTATTTGTAACTTGAATCCACTTCGTCAGCCTCGTTTTCGCTCTCGTCTGACGAATTGGATAAAATGGGTCTCGTGCTCACATTGTCAATGGTGGAATTGTCTGTACTGAACGTACTACGCTGATCATCCAAACTTTTTGTGCCATGAACAGAAGCTGTCTCTTGTCTTGTCTGCTGGACTGGCCGTTGGTTACGGCTTGGTCCTTGCACCAAAGTCGACGGAACTGGCTTGTTGTTGTTCATTAGCCGTTTAACCCACGAAAAACGGCCGCTTTTGAATGGCTCGCCTGAAGAGCTTTTGCGTCTGTGATCCAGAGAACCGCGGTTGTGATGTTCTGTATGGACCCCCACATACGGGGCTGTCCGTCCACCCGAAACATCGACCGAGTCTCTTTGCGTTTGAACAGCAGGTTCGGTAGACATCTGGTTAAAATCCTGGAAATTAGAATCGTAAACAGGAATGCTCTGTTATTAGACTATAATTAACTATCTAAATTTCTCGTTGACGGGAGGCTAATAATAAAGTTACCAGCCACAAACTTAATTAATTAAATTATCTAATGAGCAGAGATCCGCCTCCAAACTCCTTCCGCATTCTGGGCTTCGTTATCGACCCTGCCGATGTCCTTCTTTACTGCCTGGCATTCATCTTCCCACCATTGCCAGTGTTTTTTAGAAAGGGCTTCTTCAGCTACGAGTTGCTGATCGCCATGCTGCTGACAATCCTAGCCCATTTCCCAGGCCTACTCTACTCTGTCTACATCATTTACGATACAAGTCTCATAACCGGATCAGACCGCGGAGTGGAGACAAGACTCAGAGCATATGGCCAAGGCAATGGCGAATACGAACCTCTCAATGACGATCCCGAAGCTCAGCCCCGTGAAGTTCTGTCTCCTGTTCCGCAGAGACTCGGCAGCCAATTCCATTACCAAGACTCCGCTCCCGATGCGGAGCCTACCGAGGCCACTGCGGTGGGATCATCAGCCAATCCACCAAGTTACGATGACGCTATCAAAAACTCAACTTCGCCCCCTCCGCTTGTTGGAGACCATAAAGTTCAAAATGATTAGATAATCAGCAGTATGGTTTTTTTCTTCTTTTCTATTTGTACTACTGGCTGTGCAAAATAAATTTTTATACCTTTTAATGAAGATCAAGACTATTTCCAGGTCGTCAGATACCTATGTGCCTGTTCGAAATACCCAGGAAAGTGCACTCCCGCGTAACCTTGACCCATCCCTTCATCCTTTTGAGCGGGCCAGAGAATATACAAAGGCTCTTACAGCCACCAAGCTGGAACGGATATTTGCCCAACCTTTTATAGGACAATTGGGTAATGGACATCGAGACGGTGTGTATTCTATTGCCAAGAACTTCCACAGTGTCAACAAGATTGCAACGGGTTCCGGAGATGGTGTTATTAAGTACTGGGACCTCACTACAAGAGATGAACTTTACAGTTATAAGGCACATTATGGAATGTGTTCAGGACTTGTTGTGACTCCAAGTCACAAGTTGCTTTCCTGTGGTAACGATAAGACCGTGAAACTGTGGCAGGTTTACAACGAGGATTTTGAGCCGGAGCAAGGTGAGTCGGAGTCGAGCACCCAGGGATTGGAAAAAACATTTTTGGGAGAACATGCTTTCCAGTCTCTGGACCACCATTATAGCGACAGTTTGTTTGTGACAGGAGGAGCTACCATCAACTTGTGGGATATTAACAGAAGTCGGCCTGTCTCTGACCTTTCGTGGGGAGCAGACAACATTTCCACTGTGCGGTTCAACTTGACAGAGACGTCTATTCTTGCCAGTGCAGGTTCAGACAACTCTTTGATTCTCTACGACATCCGTACCAATTCGCCTACCCAGAAAATCAGAACCAGCATGCGCACAAACTCTATCTGTTGGAACCCGATGGAAGCTTACGTCTTTGCGTCCGCCAGTGAAGACCACAACGCCTATCTATGGGATATGAGAAAGATGTCTCGATCTATTAATGTTTACAAGGACCATGTTTCCGCCGTCATGGACGTTGATTTTTCCCCAACTGGTCAGGAAGTTGTCACTGGATCGTATGACAAGACCATCAGAATTTATGGATACAGAAAGGGACATTCCAGAGACGTTTACCACACCAAACGGATGCAACATGTGTTTATCACCAAGTTCTCTATGGATAGCAAGTACATTTTCTCTGGATCTGATGAGGGAAACGTTCGTATCTGGCGTACCAAGGCCAACGAGCGTGCTGGACCAAAGTCCACGAGACTTAGAAACAAATTGGAGTACGATGAGAAGCTGAAGGAACGGTACGCTAACATGCCTGAGATCAGAAGAATCCAGAGACACAGACATGTTCCTACTGTTGTGAAAAAGGCTGGTGAGATCAAGAGAATCGAGATCGACAGCTTGAAACGTCGCGAAAACAACGAACGCAGACACTCGAAGAACAAAGAGTACAAGAGCGAGAGAGAAAAACATATTGTTGGTCAGGTGCACAAGCAGTAGATAATTTAGTGGCCCAAAAAAAACAGTGCGGAAGAAATCCGCCGATTTTTCTTGTGATTCATTCAAGATATATAAACTGGATAATTTCCTGATAAGTAGATTAACATCCGCTAATCTTATTGTTGTTCAATTTTCTTTTGCAAAACCTAATATGAGCGGAATCAAGATTGCAATTGATAGGGGAGGCACTTTCACCGACTGTGTGGGTAGCTGGAATTCCGATTCTGGTCGCAAAGACGTGATCATCAAGCTCTTATCAGTGGACCCCCAGAACTACTCCGATGCAAATCTCGAGGGAATTAGAAGATTGATGGAAATCTACACGGGGCACAAAATCCCTAGGGGACAGCCTTTGGATACGTCCAAAATTGAGCATCTGCGTCTGGGTACAACTGTGGCTACAAATGCCTTGCTCGAAAGAAAAGGTGAGAGGTGTGCCTTGGTCACCACTTCCGGGTTTAAGGACATTCTGCGCATTGGCAATCAGTCCAGACCACACATCTTTGACTTGTCGATCGCAAAGCCGGAGGTTATCTACGACACTGTGGTGGAAATTGACGAAAGAGTCACTCTTGAGGATTTTGTCGAGGACCCAGAAAACAAGTTCACCAATCCCAACGGATCAGAACTAGTCAAAGGTTTGTCCGGAGAAACTGTGCGTGTTTTGAAGAAACCTAATGTTGACGAGATTAAGACCGTTCTTACTGCCTTGTACGGTACGGGTGTCAAGTCGCTTGCAGTTTGTCTGCTCCACAGTTACACATTCCCCGATCACGAGCTTTTAATTGGTCAAATTGCCAAAGAGATCGGATTCACGCATATCTCGCTGTCTCACAAGCTGATCCCAATGATCAAGTTGCTCCCACGGACAAACTCCTCGGTGGCAGATGCTTACTTGACACCGGAGATCCAGAAGTACCTCGCTGGTTTCGAGTCTGGCTTGAAAGATGGTCTTTTCAGTGCGGCTCATGGTAAGCACACCGGAGTGAAGTGCCAGTTCATGCAATCTGATGGAGGTTTGGTTGATGCCTCTGCATTTTCTGGTCTTCGTGCCATTCTCTCGGGTCCAGCTGGAGGTGTTGTTGGTTATTCCAAGACCTGCTACAACCCAAAAAACAAGATTCCATTGATTGGATTCGACATGGGTGGTACTTCTACCGACGTTTCTAGATTTGGAGACGGTAAGTTTGATCACGTGTTCGAGACCACCACTGCAGGTATCACGATCCAGTCTCCACAGTTGGACATCAACACTGTGGCAGCTGGTGGAGGTAGTATCTTGGCTTTCAAGAATGGACTTTTGACTGTTGGCCCAGAATCGGCTTCATCCCACCCTGGCCCTGCATGCTACCGTAAAGGTGGTCCTTTGACCATCACCGATGCCAACGTTGTTTTGGGAAGACTGGTTCCGGAATACTTCCCAAAAATCTTTGGTCCTAATGAAGATGAACCTCTGGATATTGAGGTAACCACCAAAAAGTTCCAGGAGCTCACGGACAAAATCAATGCCGCCAACCCTCATCTGCCTGCAATGAGCGTGCACGAGGCCGCCTGGGGTTTCCTCAAGGTTGCCAACGAGACAATGGCCCGTCCTGTTCGTCAATTGACCGAAGCCAAGGGTCACATTCTCTCCAAGCACAGACTGGTTTCGTTTGGAGGAGCTGGTGGACAGTGTGCTTGTGACGTTGCCGAGCTCTTGGGAATTTCACTGGTTTTGGTTCACAGATTCTCCTCTGTTTTATCTGCTTACGGAATGGCCCTTGCTGACGTGGTGGAAGAAGTCCAAGAACCATCGTCCTATATTCTCAAAGACGAAACTAAGGACCTGCTTGAAGCACGACTTGCAGATCTAAAAGAACAGGCTATCAAGTCGCTTGTGACTCAAGGATTCGAGAAGAAGGATATTACCTGCGAAGAATACTTGAATTTGAGATATCAAGGAACTGAGTCTGGTTTGATGGTTGTTAGAGACCAGGGCTGGGACTTTAAAGAAAACTTCTTTGCACTCCACAAACGTGAGTTTGGATTCGTCTTTGACAAAGACATCATTGTTGATGATATCAGGGTCAGAGCAATTGGTAAGGGGCTTGATAGAAAAGAAGAGTATGTCGATGACCAGCTTGAGGAACTTGCAAGCTCAAACAAACTTGTGTCTGTATCTAAGGATAAGGTCCAGTTTGTCAAGACAACTTTCTGGGGTAAAGACCATTTGGATACTCCTGTCTATAGACTGGAGGAGCTGGAAATTGGAACTCAGATCAAAGGTCCAGCAATTGTTGCCGACGGAACTCAGACCAACGTGATTCCTCCAAAATCCATTGCTACTGTTTTGGAGTCTCATTTGGTTATCGAACTGGCACAGGAGAAAAAAGCTGTTGCTGCTGGCGATCAGGAAATTGTTGTGGAGCCTGTTTTGCTGTCCATCTTTGGTCACAGATTCATGGACATTGCCGAACAGATGGGTATCTCTTTGCAAAAAACGTCTGTTTCCGTGAATGTCAAGGAAAGGCTCGATTTTTCGTGTGCATTGTTTGACCCTAAGGGAAATCTGGTTGCCAATGCACCTCACGTTCCTGTCCATCTCGGTTCCATGTCCACATGTGTTGCTACCCAGGCAAAACTGTGGGAGGGAAAATTGAAACCAGGAGACGTTCTTATCTCAAACCATCCGTCAGCCGGAGGAACTCACTTGCCAGATATCACTGTTGTGACACCAGCATTTGAAGGAGATAAGATCATCTTCTACGTTGCTTCTCGTGCCCACCATGCCGACATTGGAGGTATTCTGCCAGGATCCATGCCTCCAAATTCCAGAGAACTTTGGGAAGAAGGAGCCACCTTCTACTCCGAACTTTTGGTCAGCAATGGAGAATTTCAAATGGACAAGATCACCAAGATCATGCTCGATGATCCAGCAAAATACCCAGGTAGCTCCGGTACCAGAAGACTATCCGACAATATTTCTGATTTGAAGGCCCAAGTTGCTGCAAATCAGAAAGGTATTTCGCTGATTGGCCGTTTGGTTGACGAGTTTGGTCTTCCAACCATTATCAGATACATGACAGCTATTCAGGAAAACGCCAAACAAACTGTTTCCAAGATGCTTGATGTTTTGATCGATAAGCATGGCGAAGAGACTTTGAATTGCACCGATTTCATGGACGATGGTTCTGCTATCAAATTGCAAGTCAGAAAGTCCAAGACTGACGATAAGGTGATCTTCGACTTCTCTGGAACCTCCCCACAGGCAAACAATAATTTCAATGCACCAAAGGCAATTACTTACTCTGCCATTATCTACTGTCTGCGTTGTCTGGTTGACGAAGATATTCCAATGAACCAAGGGTGTCTGGATCCGATCGAGGTCATCGTTCCTGACAGTTCACTGCTTTCTCCAGATGATGGATGTGCTGTTGTGGGGGGAAACGTTTGTACCTCTCAGAGAATCACAGACACCATTTTGAAGGCATTCCATGTGATGGCCGACTCTCAGGGCTGTTGCAACAATTTCACCTTTGGAACAGGTGGAAACACCCCTGACGGAAAGTACGCTCAAGGATTTGGATACTACGAGACCATTGCCGGTGGTCACGGGGCGTCTGCTACGTGGGATGGAGTTTCTGGTGTGCACACCAACATGACTAATACCAGAATCACCGACCCTGAGATTTTCGAAAGGAGATATCCAATCATCCTTCGTGAATTCTCGATAAGAAAGGGTTCAGGTGGAGCCGGTCGTCACACTGGTGGTGACGGTGTTATCCGTGAAGTTGAGTTCAGAGTTCCTGTTACTGCGTCGATTCTTTCTGAACGTAGAGCCATTGCTCCACATGGACTTGCTGGCGGAGAGGACGGAGCTCGTGGAATCAACTTGTGGATTAAGAGAAGAAAGGACGCTGACGGAAATCCTACCGAGCGAATTGTCAACATGGGCGGCCGTTCGTCCGTGAACGTTGCCGCTGGTGACAGTGTCCGCATTCTGACTCCCGGTGGTGGAGGCTACGGCCCTGCTTCTGAGAAGGCAGAAAAGGTTCCACGGAAACAAGCCGGCCATCAGTTCACCTTTTCTGGATCTCTAGCTGCCAGAAACAGAATTCAGCTGGAGAACTAATAGAGCTGTGGTTGATGCTATTTAAATACTTTAAGGACACTGTTCAACTTCAGGACTAATTCGTCCCACTCTCCTTCGCACGTACTAAGAACGGTGATCGCGCCTCCTGCTCCACATCTGAAGCATCTCGAAGATGCAGTAGAGCAAAGATCGTCCTCGTAGTTGAACAACGAGCGGATTACCACACTCCAATCGGCACGGTTATTTACAGACCAGAATCCACAGACTCCTGAATAGAGTCCTCTTGGTTTCTGGTGCTCCAGTTCATGGAGCAATTCAACACTGCGTTTTTTAGGAGCTCCCGTCATGGATCCTGGTGGAAGAGAGTGTTTGAGCAGGTCGATTCCCGAGTAGTTGCTACCATGTAAATCTCCTTCAATGACAGAAACCAACTGGTAAACGGTGTGGTACTCCTCGACAGACATGAGTTTTGTCACCTCCACCTTGTTCAGCATCTGGTACAAGTCATGACGGATCAAGTCAACGATCATGAGGTTTTCGCCGAGTTCTTTGGGAATCTTTAATAACTTGCATGCTTTCTCGTAAGTCATGGTTGAATCTTTCTTAACGGTTCCCTTGATCGGTCTCATTTGACAGTGTTCATCGTCCCACGATAGGAACCGTTCTGGAGAAGATGAGAGGAGCTTGGCGTCTCCGAAATCAAGGTAGCAAGAGTACGGGGATGGGTTGTTGCTCACCAGACTCTTGTACACTTCCCACGGAGAGATAGTGTTGTCAATGTGAATCTTGCACTGTGTGGTCAGACACAGCTCGTACGAGTCCCCGGAATGCAAGTATTCTTGACACTTGTTGAAACTCTCGACGTACTGCTGTTTGTCGGGCATTTCAATTTTTGCAGGGATGTTGCTAGCAGAAACGGACGGATTGAGAGTGTTTAATTTGGCTGTTGTGTCGGCGATCCACAGGTCATCGTTGGGACGAATACTCACCACAAACGTGTGATTCTCGTTAGTGGCAACAAATCTCTCGGTGAAACACAATTTTGTGTCTGGAATTGGGCTCGAAGTGATTGGCTCGACATCTTGCGGAGCAGATTCCTCGTACGAGATGAACCCAATGAAACCTCCCATGAAGGGGCAGTCTTTCAGTTCTGGATCGTCAATGCGAGGCTGGAACTTTCTTTCAGCCATAAACCGAGAAACATAGGGCCACAAATCCTGGTTAACCGCTTCCGAAGCGCCTTTCCACACACCCACACTTAAACCGGAACTCTGAGAATGGGTGATCAGCTGACTGGTGTTTGGCTCTGGGAACCCAATTATGGTCCACTTCCCCGGTACAGAGGCACTGTTCAGCAAAAGAAAGTCGTCTCCGATCTCACAAACAGACAGGGTCTCTTTTCTAGACACTTTTTCAAACTGGAAGTCAAACTCTTTGGACGAGCTGAACTGTAGGATAAGCGGTTGGACATTAAGCAGATGTTTGTCCGCAACACGTTTCTGACCGGTTTTCTGCACAAGCTCGCCAAAGTTGGAAAGCATTTCAGCACCCATATTGGAACAGATGGATTCCGGGTGGTACTGAACGCCGAAGTGGGGATAAGTAACGTGTTGTGCTGCCATCAAACAACCGTCCTCGGAATACGCCAACGGGACGATATTGTCTGTTATTTCGGAGACGTAGATGGAATGGTACCGCACACTGTCAAATCCCGACTCAATTCCAGCAAAAAGACTGGACTCTCCTTGAAGACTTATCTTGCTAACTTGCCCGTGAACGGGCTCGTGCAAAAGCCGAATTTTGCAACCATTGACCAAACACAGACTCTGAAACCCTAGACAGATTCCGAGTATTGGAATCTCCGTATACTTGGAATAGAGATGCGGAATGATGCCAACGTCGTGGGACTGTTCTGGATTTCCTGGACCGGGCCCAACAACTATGGCATCGACTGAGCTAATTAGCCGATCTAGATTGTCCTGCTCAGCAGGCAGCTGGTAGGAGTCGTTGTGAACGGTGAACACCGCACACCCTGTCGCTCTCTCGATCAGCTCCCGAAGGTTGTAGGTGAAAGAGTCGTACGAGTCAACCAACAGTATGGACATCCAATGGTATTAATGGTGACATTTTTTTCAATGCGGCTCGAAACATTTAACTAAAAAAATTGTATCAAGCCGCACTCAAGTTAGCATGTCGACAACAAACATAGTCAAGAGCGTGGAGCCGTCTTTTGGCGCGCCTTTCGACATTGTGCTCACTCTTTCAAAGACGAAGCCGCTGAAGGAGAATATCAACACTGTTCCAATTACGGTCCACATCAGCACAGAACCGAACGCTGATCTGGGATGTTACGTTTATTCCATAGTCGACACCCGGACTCCTTCGGAAAACCCCCAGATTTACCAGACGCTACTTAACAACGCCTCTGAAACTTTGGTCGATCTGGGAAAACGACTCGGCCAGCTCGTTTCGAAAAAATACCTTGTCCCAAGCTACGTCAGTCTCAGTGGCCAAGTCTCAATGCAAGACTTCATGGGCCTGATCCAGGAAACGTTCGCTCTGATAGAAGAGAACTGGAAGATTAATAATGATTAATGAAATTAGACTATCTAACCTTTGAAGTCCTTGTAGGTCCATTTCTCGCTCACCTTTGGTGCATACTTGCGCTTCTGTTTCACAGGCTTTCTCGACTCAACCTTACCGGAGGCTTGCAACGAGCGCATTTGGTCGTACAACAGGTTTCCTTCCGGCTTGAGTTTCCGTAAACTATCGCTCAATTCGTCGCTCAATTTCACCTCCAACAGGCCTTCAACAGGATTATGCTTGGTACCCAGCTTTTTCTTCTCCTTGGCGACTTTGTCCTGTTTCGGTCTTGGCTGTCTCGACGTGATCTCATCGATCACATCTGGCAACTCCTCGATCTTCTTTATTCTGAGCTTGAGCTCCTTCAGGTCGTTCTCGAGCTTCACTCTTTCCTTATGCCTCTTCTCCTTATTTCTTTGCGTCTTGGTCTTTTCCTTATTTTTGACAGCCGGATTCAAAGACAGCTTGGTAACGTCGCTTGTGTCCTCTTCCTCTTCCTCTTCCTCCTCGTCGTTCTGATTATCGTCGATTTCGTCGTCCTCAAGATTTGCGATCAGGTACTGGATTTTTTCCTCGTGCGCTTGAAGAGCCAGTCTTTGCTCCTCCTTGGTACTCTCCTTAAAGAATTCCTGTTTGGTAAGCTCCTGCCAGCTCTCAAACGATGGATTGTAAGACTTTCCTTCGTGTGGAATCACCCCAACGTTTCTCACAGTGACAGGAGTCTCGGATAACGTCTTGGGAGCTTTGGAAGGAGCAGTGTAGCCAGAAAGACTTGGCACGTACTCTTTCTGTTCAGTCTCTGACCATGGGTCAAGTGCTTTGTCTGCCTTGACTAGTCCTTCGTCTGCGGCAGCAGCCTGTGTTTTCGAAACACCTTGGACTCTTCCGGCAAGCTGCATTAACTTGTGCACCTCTTTCTTCTCAACACCTTGAATCTTCTTCTTTTTCCCTGGCTCCAACGCTGGAACTTTCGAGCGCTGGTTGAGAATTTCCTGTGATTTCAAACTTTTGACGTTCTCTCTCTTCATCTTCTTCACAACTTTCTCGTCTGCCTCGTCATCTATAAAGAAAAGCTCTCCAGAGTCCACATTATCTATCTCGGTACCATGGTGGATGAGGTCTTCGCGTCTTTGTTCCAAGCCGGATTCGATATCGTCAAGATCAATATTCTTTCTCCAGGCTCTTCTGCCCTTTCTCGAGCTCTGTTTTGTCTGTGGCCGGTCCACTTGCATTATCCTAGCGATCTGAAAATTTATTTAGAGAGAAAAATATTTTTTTATCCGACCCGTCGATTCATGCATGCGGGTCTATATCTTAATTAACACCTAAGATTATAGATACTGTTGATTACTCGTCCAATGTCCACGCTTATTTTGCTTGCATGCCACTCTGTGTTTACTGCTGGAGCAGAGAGAAAGGCCAGCACCACCAGGCTCGGGCCAAATGAGGAAGGACCCGGATTCAAACAGGATGACTGGATCCTGGCTCCATTCCAGTACGAAGCCAACGACCATCTTTCCTTTGTCGAGCACATCCACAAGGGAATCGAGTTGCTGGAGCAAAATCCAAAGTCGATTCTGGTTATTTCGGGAGGATACACCAAAAAGGGAATCAAGCTGTCAGAAAGTGAAAGCTATTTACAGGTAGCACGACTGAGAGGATTGGTTACTCCAGAAAACCAAGATAGAATCATCCTGGAAGAGTATGCCCGGGACTCTTATGAGAACCTACTTCTTGCGCTGGCATTGTTCCGCAAAACCACGGGAAACTTCCCGGAGAAAGTCCAGATCGTCAGCTTCGAGTTCAAACGCTATAGATTCTCCGAACTCCATGCCAAGGCCCTGAAATTGACAAACTCAGAGTTCATTGGTGTGGGTCCAACTTATCCAAGTGCACAGCAGCTGAATCTCTCGGATGGCGAATGGGAAGCGAAAAAGAAAGCGTACTTTGAGGACTTGTACTTCAGTGAAAAGAAATTCGCTACTGATCTGTTTGAAAAAGACTGGTTTGGATGCATTGGGTCAAAACTATATGATAAAAAGGTCTCAAGAGACGTTCTTGGACGCGGTATTGGACAAGAATTCTACCATCAGGAAACGGAACCTGTTCTAAATACGCTTCTGACCCTCGACGAGCATCCTTTCGCAGAAGCCAAGGAAATCTATGACAAGTTGGGAGCTTTCCCTTGGTGATCACTCCTCGCTGCCGCTGAGCAGGCTTACTAGTTCCTTCTTGCGCTCCTTGACCTGTTCCAGATCTGAAAGCTCGCTCTTCAGAAAATCAATCTCCTTCTCGACGTTGTCAAACGTTCGAAGCCCGCCATCAACTTTTTTAAATTCAAAGCTGTTCGCACTGTTCAACTGTAGCAGGTAGTCGTGGTATTTGATCAACGTTTCACGATGACTGATGGTGATAAAGGTGAATTTCTTGGCCTTCATCATCTCGAAAATTGCGTCCTCGTAGTCGTACGAGATAGCGTTTGTTGGCTCGTCAAGTATCACAAACCGTTTTTGGTGGAATAGCACTCTGGCAATGATCAGTTTCTGTCTTTCTCCTCCACTCAGTAACGTATCCCAATTCTTCTTTCCATCTCCAAACCCAAGATTGGAGTTGTAAATTTTAACCTTCTTATCATTGACTATAAGCTCGTCGCTCAGCATGGTAGCAGTTTCGTTTGGATGGTAGTCTAGACTGCCAAATCTGTCCAACAGATACCCAAGTCCAACGTCGTTCAAGTAGCCTTCAAGATCCTCATCGGAGTATCCCTTCTCGAGCATCTGAATCTGGCTCAATGGGTAAATTATTTGATCTCTCAGGGATCCGTTGAACAGATACGATTTTTGCGAGACATAAAAAATGTCGTTTGGCGAAGGCTTGGATAAAAGACCATCGTAGAGCGGCCATAGCTCAGAGATCAGACGCAAGATAGAGGTCTTTCCAATACCGTTGCGGCCCAAAATCAACAAATTCTCGCCCTGGTTGATCTTGAATGTCAGTCTGCTAAGAAGCTTTGTACCGTTTGCTCCCTCGCTGGATGGAACGATAACTGGGATCTGCTCAAATCTTAGGCCAGGATATGATGTCTGAATAGTTCCGTTGATACCCGCCTGAGCATTTGGATACAGGATCGAGCGCGAAGCAAACGATGTGAACTTCAGCTGGGAGCCAAATCCGTTGACACCAAGTCCGTATTGAAAGTTTTGATCATGTGCTTGATGTAGATTTAGCAACAACGTGAAAATACGGTCGGTCACTCCACTCAGACTGCTCAAATCTTTAATCGAGTACATTAATCTCGACCCAGCGTCGGCCATGCTCAGCATCAGTCGCTTATTGACAATAAAACTCTTGATGCTATCTGACTCGCTCAAGTTGTAGTTGAGCAGAATAGGAAGACCGGAGAAAAAGTATCCAAATGCAGGCCATGCGTACTTGAGAATGTATTCCTCGAGTAAGCCGTAGTGGAACTTGGCGTTGATCTCTGTTGTAAAATGCGAAAGCAGATTGTTGAAGATCTTATGAACTTTATTCTTCTCGATCACTGTTCCCTGATAAAAAGAGATCTCCTCGCAATTCTTGATCAAGTTCAAGTTGTAGTTGTAGTATATGCCCTCGAGATGGGTTTTTGTTTTCCAGATCTTGTTGAAATTTGGAGAATGTTTCTTCAAGTAGGAGCCCGTGAAGAAATAGCACATCAGTATACCTGCTATTCCTATGCTTCCAATGTTGTCACGCAGATAAACAGCAAAGAAAATCAAGTCGACTGTTGGTTTGCCCACGTTCAAAAACATGGATGCTAAAGAATTGCTGAACTTCTTGATATCCTCTGTCATGTACTGATCGATGTAATTAGAGTCCATCTTGTACATTTCCGATTGGTTACCATTAAACTGCATCTTGTAGTAGACCATTCTTGGATCCATGTAAAGGTCGTGACAGTATCTGACCAAATTAGTTCTGAAGTTCAAAGCCAGTCTATGAGTCAAGAACTTGATACCTGAATTGATGTAGGAAGCAGGGAACGCAAACAGAAACCAATAAATTATTCCTCTCAAGAACGATCTGCCCCTCAAGCCAATAAGGTCTCTCACAATCTGACCGTCCAACTTTGTCACCAATAAACTCATCCATGTGCGCGCAATAAGGCAAAGCAACTGGCCTAATAGTATTGTGCTATTTGGATGAAGCACTTTGGGTATTAGCACCAGTCGCCAGATAACAAACAGTTTCTTCAAAAACTTGGATTCAACAACGAGCTCGCTGATACCTTCTGATCCATTCTCCCGAGTGAACCTCTTAAAAGTCAACTTGTCATGTTCGTATCTATCTTGATTCATTCTATCGATTTTAACCTTGAGGTTGCGGTTTTTGTAAGGAACATTGATTTCTCGACACTCTGTCGACTTGTTGTAGAACTGCCGCCGAGGAGAACTCATCTCTGGCTTGTCAAATATCCGCTGTTTCGTATAGTTTACCACTTTCATCAGATTGTAAACCAAAACGATCAAAGAACTCGAGGATATCGACACCAGAAACAGTAGAACGGGCTTGGAGTTCGGATTAATGTTCAACAACCGGAACACATGGTTGTTCTTGAGCCTCAGACGTGTAACCACGTCTCGCAGCACAGACACACTCAGTGCAGAATTCATAACTTTTTCCCCCATCTCCATCTCCGCTCTTATATATACTTGCTTCAATGTCACATGCATGGGGTAGCTCCAACGTATGCTTATGTAATCCGGGGTAATTGGGGCAAACTTCGATTTATATCTGCTGCATGACAGCCGAGGAGAACGACCGGTATATCCATGTGAGAGTATCCATAAGTGTGTCTGCATCGGATCTAGCGCTCACCTGTGTGTTCTCCCGTACCCCTCATTGGGCCCTATCCGGCCAATCATATCCCTAGAAAATGTCAGCCCCAGCCAAGTTTTTTGGTGCACGGGTGTTCTGAAGGGTCATTCCCGAACTCGCTCACTGCAAAAAATAGTTAAATTATACTCTTTCTTTATCATGCTGATTAATAGATTATCGTTGGCAACTAGACAGGGGAGCATAGCACTCAGGGCTCCTCTCCTTTCGGCATCGCTATTGCGGTACCACCACTTCTCACATCAACAAAATTCTCCACAAACACAAATGGATGACGACACAAGCAAAGAACTTTTGCAAAACAGCAAATGGGCCAAACACTCGCTTCCTAACAAGGAATCCTCCGCTACACCTGAACCGGTTGCTCCAGTGACCCAAGAAATCGCCGCACCAAAGAAACGCAGAAGAAGACAGCTCAAACCGCTCAAAGCTGTTATTACCCTTACGCCGAACGCTATAGTCCATCTCAAACAACTGATGCAACAACCAGACCCAAAGCTGATCAGAATCAGCGTGCGCAACCGTGGGTGCTCTGGGTTGTCGTACCACCTGGAATACGTGTCTCACCCCGAGAAATTCGATGAACAAGTTGAGCAAGACGGAGTCAAGGTGTTGATCGACTCCAAGGCGTTGTTCAGTATCATTGGCTCAGAGATGGATTGGATCGATGACAAGTTGAGTTCCAAGTTTGTGTTCAAGAACCCAAACAGTAAGGGAAGTTGCGGATGCGGTGAGTCTTTCATGGTGTAGACAGACATGGTCACACCCCACTATTTATTTATTCGAATTCGATGCATTAGAATATTCAGTTACACATTACCTTAAAAGTCTTTTACCCTCCATTTTCACAATGGCTTGCACTCCCTCTTGAGCCATTTGTACTCCAAACTATTCTTTGGAAGCTTGGATTCATAGATGTTCCATATCTTTTGGTGATATTGGTTCACGTACGATTTCTCCTCGGCAGTGAGCAGCTTCACGTCAATTAGGTTTCTGCAATAAGGAACAGTAGTCACTGTTTCAAACTCCAAAAACTTCCTGTCTGTGTTGTAGCCCTTGGTGCTCTTCTTCACGTAAAACATGTTCTCTATCCGGATACCGTACTCGCCCGGCTTGTAGTATCCCGGCTCATTGGAAATCAAATGACCCGGAACTAACGTTGCCGAGTTGCAGTACGGTCTGTAACCAATTCCCACGCCCGCTGAGTGCACTGGGCCGTATGAGCCCACGCCGTGGCCGGTTGCGTGAGCGTAATCCAGTCCATGTTGCCATAGGAACTGTCTGGCGATGGAATCAATCTGGTACCCGGTGTATCCTTCAGGGAACACCAGTTTGGCAAGAGCAATGTGGCCCTTCAACACCAAAGTGTAGTTTTGGATTTCTTCCACGGTAGGTGTTTTAAAATGCAGCGTACGTGTAACGTCTGTGGTTCCGTCCAAAAATTGGGCTCCCGAATCACATAGATAGATTTTGTTTGGGTTGATGATGGCACTCGATTCCTTCTTTGGAGCATAGTGAACCACAGCAGCGTTCGGTCCAGTGGAAGAAACAGTTTCAAAAGAAAGGCCTTTGAAGTTGGCAAGCTGCGATCTGAACTGGAGCAGTTTCATTCCGGCTTCGTACTCCGAAATGAAGTCGTCTTCTTCAAGAAGATAATGTTCCAGCCATGCAAAGTATGTGATAAGAGCCTGACCGTCCTTGATCTGAGCGATCTTTTGGTTCCGCAGCTCCACCTCGTTCTTCACCTCCTTCATCTCGGCGACAGGAGAGTCGACCTCCAAATAATTCTTCGCAATAATGCAGTTGGCCATCTTCCATGAGGCCTCTCTGGTGATAAGAATCTTCTCGCCATTGCTATTCAAAGAAGTGGCCAACTTTCTGAGGTCAAACCAGATGTCGTCGTATTTCTTGATCGTGCAGTTGATTGATTCCAAATATGTTATCAGACTCTCTGATCCAGTAGCTTGGCTGTCTGTGTAAAGCGATAGTTTGTCACCTTCAACAATCAAATAACTGTAAAAGACCGGATTGAAGTCAATGTCCTTACCCCTTAGATTCAGTAACCATGCAATCTGGTCCAGCGCAGAAAGAACCAATGTGGAAGAACCGTATTTCTGGAAATATGTTTGCAGTCTGGCCACCTTGGATTGTGTGGTTTCGCCGGTGTATTCCAAACCAAGCTCAAAGATATCGTTAAACTGACGAACCGGAACGTCTTCGAAAACCTTCCAGATCTTGTCAATCAAGTTCTCCTTGACTGGCACAATTTTCACCTTATCGGTGTTTCTCTGTGCAACAAGGGCTTCGAGGGCTCTGATCTGAGACAAGGTGAACAGTGTTGGATCAACACCTATCTTGATGGATTCTCCGGAGTCCAAGGCCATCTGCACAGCCTGCGAAACAGACCATTCTTCCCAAGTAGGTTCTCCTGGAACACCCTGCTTCAGAAGAATCCAGTTAAAATCCAACTCGTTGGTTGCCTGTGTGAAATATCTACCATCAGTTGCCAGAGCAGAAAGACCTTCTGGAGTGGCGTTCATACAAGTCACGTCGCGTGTCACGACGGCAACACCAGCTGAGCCTCCAAATCCACTTATGAAAGCTCTCCGTTGATCTGGAGCAGACGTGTACTCGGACTGATGGGCGTCTGCAGAAGGAATAATATAAACAGCAATGTCATGCAACTTCATTTCCAGTCTCAGTTTTTCGAGCCTCAAAGACGTGTTAATCTCCTTGGTAGAACATGCCGAGTCGATGGTGTAGAGAGATCCGCTATTTCTTTTGCGAGGCGAAAAGTTGGGCGAACCTGCCGGGTTTTGACTTGCCCTCAAACTATTTGACCGACTGATACTGATCCGCTTCATGTACACGGACGAGCGCCTCCCTTGTCTAGATAGCAGTCCTGGCGAGCACGTACAGTTAGCACAAGGTCGATTTGAGGCGCCTCTGTTCGGTCCGGATACCTGTCTCAATGTGGTCGCGCCCGGCGTTCCGTTGTTCGAAATAAGCGAGAACATGGACGGCTTGTTGTTCATGGTTTGCGACATGTTTGCTAAAATCGTTCAACCTTATACGTTCGTCCTCAAAAGAAGTTGAAACCGGTCTGTTGGGATGTATTCTGCTGCTTTAATCCACAGCCGACAATTTCTTTCTATTAAAAACGTCAAGAAAGAATATTCTTTTCTAAATTGGTTGGTTTTATCAGACTACTTTATCTAGAAACATTGCATACACACCTTTGCACCAGATAAATGTAGTGTAAGTCATGGATGCTTGGAAGATGGGATCACTACAATAGCTTGGTATTGGCGCGAATGATGATCGCATTGCAACACGGTCGCGCATACCAGCCACCCATTTACATTCAGATTCGCCTTTGAAGCGTTAAACAATAGTGCCGTAACGTTTATACGTACTAGAACAAGACGATTAGGTAAGCAGTAAAATTTTTCGTTGCCCCCCGAGGGCTATAAATACGGGCCCAAAGTACGCAAAATCTTTTCTTCTTTGTCGACGTACTTCATAGGATCATTTCTATAGGTCACGTCTCTCTTTGACTCTTCAAAAGAGCCACTGAATCCAACTTGGTTGATGAGGTAGATACCTTTGTGTCCTAGAGTGAGAATAGTTAGCTTGTCCACGATCCTTAGCGGTCTGGTCATCTACATTTTTCCTTGTTTAACAAGGAGCGATGATCTCGATCCATTACATGTACTTCTTCGGAAGGGGTGTTCTGGATGGACGCAAATGGCTGTCTGACAAGTTACACTAACTACTGTTCACAGTTTTTAGTGTGATTTGTAGAAACTCTTATGTTGGGTCGGCCATGTATATGCTATATAGCTTGTACTAAAAATTTTCCAGAGATGGACCATAGCCAATTTTTTTGTAACACTTGCACAGCCTTAAAGGAGATCGCATAAGTATTATGTTATAATTCTACATTTTTTGGGGCCAAAATATAACAACTACTGAATCGTCAATCATCGTGATTTTCACGATAATATCAACGAGCTTAGTGTGGGCTTCTCGAATCATTCGAGAAGCCCACTTTCTTTTCCTCAAAACCCTTTTACAAGTTTCTTGTGTGAGCTGTGAAATAGGCCAAGAGAAATTGCGCTTTTCGAGGTCCTTGAAAGTAGCACTGCTAGTTTCGAACACATCTTTTTAGAAAAAGTGATCAGAATCCATGGCTCAAAAGGGTGTGTTGTTGTGAGTGACAAAATTACCCAGGTCCCACTGGAATTTACTGGTTTCCTGCCTCATGGTTCTCATGAGAACTTCTCTGGGATCTTGCACCAAAATTCAATTCCAATTGTTTACTTGACGAAGATTTCGTCAAAACCTTTGAAGTAGCTCCTGAATGCGTTTTCTTGAAATGCGAACTAATGTTTCCATCTTTCCTTTTAGAAGGCTTAACACCGTTCCCGTGATATGAGTAGCACTTCAGGCACCGGGTGCAAACTGCATGAGTAACCACAACATATGGATTGGTGGCCTTAGCCTCATATTCAAACACCAGAGACTCACCTAAATTATCCAAATGAGTAAGTTTGCCATGGAAAGCGTGAGCGTGCTCCACCCTTCGTTCTCTTCTCTCTGTCGGAAGCCAGGACGCGTTGAAAAACAAATATTTTGAGTCGACTGTAAAGTCAGCTTCGGAATTGTACTCTCTAATGTTGTTTTCTTCACTTTTCAGCCGATCAAGTTTCCTCTTATCGAGATCACAGAGTCTCTTGATTTGTGACTCCGGTGAGGATCTAACTAGGTTTACCAAATCCTCTTCATTTCTTGTAGAATCAGCAGTTTGGTTCAGTACGGTGTAATTTCACTTTCCAAATGAATGATTTCCTGATTTTCACTGTTTTCACGTGCGATTGTGCGCGTTATCGCAACTGGGAACATTTCCAGTTGCGATCGAAGGGGTTGGTGGGGAACACGTTACGTTAATAAGAGGTCCTGTAGAGATATTGAGATTAATACTTGAGCTTACTGAGCCATGTGCGATCACCACTGATGATACGTGTTCTTTCTCCCCTGAAAAGGTAGGAGTCGATCCAACATTTGGGGCAGTACGATCAGTTGAAGTTTTGTCGTCAAAAGACATATTGAGAACAATTTTGGGTGTCCATAATAGCTTTAACCTAATATAATATACATCCTTACACCAGGAAAAGTTTGTTATTTTTCGTTTTTTTTTTGGTCACAACAATAAGTTTTGGTCTATCCCGGAAATTTTCAATCAAAAAATCGGTTTTAGGTGTAGTTTTTAGTTTTTGTTTTGTAGCTAGCTCCAAAATATTTTATCTCTTTTGTTCTTATTTGTGATGGATGTGTATCCCGAACAAGAAGTCATTGATGTAAGTAGAACCTAGTGATCGACTTCTAACCATGAGCTTGTCAATGCCTTGTATAGCTCGTCGTCCAATGTGATCGAGATCCAGAGAAGATTACAGGAATACCAGAAATCAAAGTATGGATGGATTATGGCACACCAGTTGTTACTTCAACCGTCAATGAATTGCAAATTCTTTGGTGCTTTGACGTACACCGTGAATCTCAACTTTCATACAGCGTCATTGGTGAATGATCAAGACTCGGTGCGTCTTCTGGAAATTCGAGCTACTTTGATCGATCATTTGATCAGTTTGATTTCTGACGAAAGCGTACTCCGAACAGGTTTGTTTGTAATCAAAAAAATGTTCTCAAACCTATCTCTTCTATTCCTGAACAGCAATGGCACCTGGGAGAATCCACTGTTAACGTTCATCAGTTCTGTCGCGGCCAACAGAGCTACTGAATCAACAATTTCTCTGGAAGAACTTGATTCATTACTGATCTCAATGCCGTGGCAAAACATCTGGATCTTTACTATTTTTTCTCAGATCATCGCAGAGGACTTGGTGAAGAAAGAAACAACAAGTCTATCGAACGTCCAGACACATAACTTAGTCCACAGACACTTGTTCCCCACCACAGAAAAATTAATGGTTGTTTCTTCAAAAACTTCAGGAGACCACAAGCTGGTCGTTGCATGGCTTGAGTGCTTGAGCGCGTGGGCAAACTACGCATCAAAGGCCGAGTTTGATTCGACCGAGCGCTACAACATGGCAAACTTACTTTCAATCTGCATATCATTGATCACTAACTCAGACTTTTCGATTACAGAAAAAGCGATCGAGACTTTAAGCGAGATTCTCGAGATAAACCCTACATTTTTCAACTCCAACTTGAAATCCGAGTTACAATCCTTACTATTTGGAAACGTCGGAGTGCAATATGTTTCCTACTTTAGCTCCCAGAATGATGAAAAAAGCGTGTGCGATTTTGCGCGATTGATTATTGCATTCTTGGACTCTGATCTTAGCGGTTTGGTGTTGAAGCTCAATGATGATAAATATTCGCATGTGTTTGATTTTTTGGTTGGACTCACAGATTTTCCAGGTGTTGCTATTGACGAAGAGAATGTTTCTAAAGAATTTGCTGATTTCTGGCTTCGTTTTGCCGACTATTGCCTTGTCGAAGATACCACGTTACAAGCATTAATGGAAAAGGATCCGGCCTCTTATGAGATTCTGAACGACAAAGTGAAGATGCTGTTCAACAAAATCACCCAAATTTACTGGAAGAAAGCACATGTTCCAGAAGATGTGGCCCACTTTAAGCAGGAATTTGCACTATATCGCCGCGACATTGGTGATCTGTTCGAATCGGTTTATCCATTGATTAAATTACCTCTGGTTGTTAATCTTTTATCAACCGTTCATTCCAGTTTGCAGACCGGAGACCTTGATAGTATAGAGCCGTCCCTGTTTTTGGCCAACTATATATCTAAGGATTTTGGTGAAGAAGGCGCGGATTCCCAGTTGATTGACCTTGTGAGCTTGATTTTGGACGCAAGCTTGCTCCCTACGGTATTACAATCCAAGTCCAACGAGTTCAAGTATCTGATCAACTCGACTATCCAATTCTTTTCCACCGCCGACTGGTTCTACAAAACTCAAAAGGGGTCCACATACCTCCCACAGATTCTGGGCTTCCTTTTCGATTGCATGATTAATTCGAACGTTTACCAATTGACAAGCTCGAAAGCAATCGCTGATATCTGCAATGAGTGTCGGTTCTCCCTTGTCGAGTTTCTACCCAGCTTTGAAACCATCATCAGTGAGATGATCAGCAATATTTCTGTGGACTCACTTGTCAGACAACGGATTATCAACTCCTATGCATCGATTATCCAAGGTGTGAAGAATCCTGTCATACAAGGTGAGAACCTTAAAAAACTCTTCGACCTGTTGGATTCCAAGTCGATGCTCATTATTCCAAAGCTTGATGCCGCAAACGCAGAAGAGCGTGAAGTGTATGTTGACTATCTAACCAGCTTGATTAGCTGCGTCAGTGCTGTCGGAAAGGGAATGCAGCTCCCAGAAGAGGTGGACGGATATTATACTGAGGAGCAGGAAGCCGCTGTTCGTGAATACTGGGACGCTGACCCATTGGCACTTCACGACAAGCTTCTCACTATTGTGCGCAATTTCAACATGACCAACCAAATTCTTTCTGACAACTACTCGATTCTGGAAGAAACGGTCAACTTGTTCAAGTATGGACTCACAGAAACAATTTCAGGGCCATTTGTGATCGACTACACCACGATTCTGCAATTCATTGTCACCAAGTCCAACACTCTTCAGAAACCAAACGCATTGCCACTACTGTTCTCGCTACTTGGCTCAATCATTGTTGCACATTACCGGACCATTGATCGCGAATTACTCAATAGTACGATCGACACCATATTCACATCCAAGATGGCCATTGTGGAGGACGATCCTGATCTTGTGCAGTCAAGTTTGAATCTGTTTGGCTCAATGTTGACAGTCCAGCCATCACTGTTAATTGGTAACGAACCCTTACTGACGATCCTGTTGCAGTTCGGCGTCAGACACTTGCAGTCCAATGAAAGGTTTGTGTTGAAAGCAATTGAGAAGTTTTGGACCAGAATCATAACTCTGCGGAAAGGAGACCGGCAAGACACTATGGCAATGAGACGGATCTTCAACGAAACGGAGCTGGGCTACGTTCTGACGTTCAACGTTCTCAAGTACATGTTTGCTACACAACGGTCGAATCTGGAGACTTTTATTGAGATCATTAAACAACTCGTTGCAAAGTATCCTTTGATGATGAGCAAGTGGCTGAACGACTCGTTTCCAAAGCTGAACCAGGAAAGAGCCAAAAAAATTGACAATTGGGAGATCTTCGTCAAGAAGATTCTGCTCACCAGGGGAACGCGTAACGCCAACAATCTGATCAAAGACTTCTGGTTGGAGGTGAACGGACTGATCAACTATAACTAATTTAATTAATGATAGGCGAATATACACTAATCTGGAAGAAAGAGGAGTCGTCAAGGTTACAAAGCGTAGCCACTAAGAACTTCCACCAGCGCGTCACACTCGGCAAGGAAGTCCACTTTGGCGATCTTGGCCACAGAGAACCGTGCTCTGTCCTGGCCCTGGTAGCTGTCAACTTTTCCACGGATTCTGAGCAACACCTCCTTGAAAGAGACGTTTTCGTTGATGAAAGTTTTCAGCGCGTTCTCGCCAACACTCTCGATGCTTGGGTCCTCAGCGTCGTTCTTGAGTTTCAAAAACTCCAGAGCAGAAAGTCCAAGCAGCTGGTTGGCCTGTTCGTCGAAGAGCGTCAGCCACATCTGGCCTGTTTCGTCTACCACAGACACCGTCAAAATGTATCTATAGTTAGGCTCTGCGTGGTTGATGTTGCACTTCTCGCATCTCCAGGTACCATTATCTTGCTCGAGCAACTTCTTGTTGCAGCCATCGTTCGGACAGGCTGGGTAGCAGAAGTTGTCTGTCTTAATAAACGAGATGGTGGCCTTGATGTTGAAAAAGTCCGGTTTGTCCTTCATTCCCAGTCTCTCGTCCTGGGCCTGTTTGATAGTCTTGCGGTCCAGGATGGACTGTCTGGAGTTGAGCTCATTGTTGGAGCCAGAACCAGAGTCGGCAGTGATGGTCTTGAAGGACTGGTTGGCGCCCTGTGCGTCGTACCATCCTTTGACCTTGTAAGCTTCTTCAATGTCTGGGTTCACAACGATGGTAGCAGCTGGAATCAGCGACAAACTCTTTCCGCCGAAATCCTGCACTCTGGCACCTTTGAATGCCACCACGGAGCCAACAGAAACGTTGAACTCACGCGCGTGCTTGTTCCAAAGACCAACGTTCACGGCAAATCCAGTCTTGTCCACCAAAACAACGTCTCTTCTGTCGAACGGCTTACCGGTCGACTTGGCAACAATCTCCTGTTTCTCCTTCACGTCTTTCAAGACACCAATGACGTCGATCACGGCGCCAGTCTCCAAGCTCTGGACCTTGTCGAGAGAAGTAAAGTCAAAGTTCAGCTTTGGAACGTCGGAATCGTCCTCGCACGGCTCCACCATAGTATCTTTATCGAACTGCAGCTCGTACTGGTGTTTGAGGTTCGAGAATTGAGGCTTTGCCATCTGCATCGACGCCTTACTGATGTAGAAAACCTTGTTCTCCTCCAAAATGTCCCAGAACTTGTCTGCAACCTGGTTGAAAGCAGTGGCTCTGATCTCTCCGGTCTCGTCCAACAGGTTCACGTTGAACAGCTTTCCGTCTCCTCTCTGGTTGGACCAGTGCTTCATGTCGCCCTTAAAAGAAACTCTGGCCTTGATGGTCCACGAGTTCTGGTATGGCGACAGCTGATCAATGGAGTACAGGTTCTGGTACTTTGGAGGAGGACGCGATGCGCTCTTTTTAGGAAGAGTGGCCGCAGGAGACGGAGTCATCGTATTGTCTCTGGCCTGAGCCTGGCCCTTGAGCAAATTGTTGTCCTCAGGGTGCTCTTTCAAATAGTCGTCAAGACTCTCGTACTTGATCTCCGACTTCTCACCCTGCTCAGCAACCTCGGCACGGTCAACAACAAGGAAGATCTTGCCGTTGTTTGTTGGAGTGATCTCATACTGCGTGATCTTCAAAATACAGTATCTTTTGAAGTTCTCAATGGCGTTCTGGGCCTCGCTAGGCTTGAACACACCATTGATAGCATATTGTCCATCGTTCAGCATCAATCTCAAACGCTCTCCCGTAGCCTCGGGAATCGACTTGGCCTGGTGCGCCTGTAGATACAGCACGTCCGGCGTGGCGCCGTCCTTACAGATATTCAAAATAATTCCTGGACTTAACATTGGGAAGATAAGTTGCCATCAAATATTTCTCATCTTTTTCTATTTACGCGTCGCATCTCACAATAATACTGGTGCACGGGTGCCGTGTGAAAACTTGTGCACCGCCTTCAAACTGGCCGTGTACACGCCATCGTTGGCCACTGTGAAGTTGTTTGGTTTTTCTTCCTGGTAGAGTATGCTTTGTTGTTCGCCCTTCGGGGTGAGAGCAACCAGCTGCCGGAACAAACAGAAAATTTTCCCTTGGGCGATCTGGATTTTCCGCACCTCCTCTGCTCCTTTTTGCTCCCAGCAGAGCTCGTACGACTTGAAACAACGCACCGTGCCGTCTGAGTGGCCCGTCACCAGCAGGTCTTCGTGCGCATCCATTGCGGTGATGTTCTTTCCCGCGAAAAGCTCGCCTGTCGCGCTTCTGGTTTCCATATCGTAAATTGCAACCACCCCACTTTCGTGTGCCACGAGCAGATTTTTGCCCTGCATCTCAAAGAATATGGTGTCCTGTACTGCCGCGGCCTGATCTGACACTGTTCCGTCGTCTAGAACAGCCAACCCGACAACGGGATCGCACGGCTCTCTGACTCTCCGGAACTCCCAGACGGCCTCGCCCGTGGCGCACTGCCACACGTAGACTGCTCCGTCCCGCGCGCCGGTAACCACGTTGCGGCCCTTGCCAATGATGGCCAGCCCGGTCAGACTGGCCGTGTGTTTGCGCAAAGTGCGTGGGTTGCTTCCGTCGAGGAAAGACCAGATTTTCACGCTGTAGTCGAGCCCCATGCTGGCAACCACTTGCTTGCTCGGGAAGAACTGGACGTCCAGAACGTTGGCATAGTGTGCGTTTGCGATTGTCTGAAACGTTCCGTCGGTCCTGGCAAACTCCAACGCCCCATTGGCCGAGCCCAGAGCTAGGTCTCCGTCCACAGTGGTGGCCACACACGAAACGTCGAGCTCAGACTCGGCTCGCGAGTCCGCGAGACCAATGCGAACCGTCTTGGACCCGTTGGAAAGCACCACTGTGTCGGCATCCTGGCCAAACTGCCAATCGCCAAGAGCCCGCACGCTGTCGCCCGCACACTCGAAATCGTGGCGTTGGCCATTCACACGCACCCAGAACGCCTCTCTGGCCACTGCGCCCCGACGCGCGTCGTCGATCACCGCCCGGAAGTCTCGCTGGATCACTGCCTCATCAATCATCGGCTGTGCAAAAAAAATCAAGACACTCATTTTTCTTGCATTTTCCCGTCATGTCGTCAGAGAAGGAAAACGAGGTGCTGTCGATGTTTTTCGACGACGCGTTCGTGCCACACGACTATCTGGACGCGCTCTTCACCTCATCGCTCAATCTCAACACCCCACAGCTCAAAGACAAGTCTATATCGTTTGCCTCGTCTGCGTCCTTGAAATCGCTCCAGGGCAAGTGTCTCTCGCTGCTCACGCATCTGGACTACTACACAAACGAGCTCACGCGCCAGTTCGAGCAGAAACTTCAGGATTTGCATAATTCGTCGTCCATCATCTCTTACACCTCGGACGACAACGCCGGAATCACAAGACTCGAGTATTACGTGGAGTATCTGGCCTCCTCGATTAACTCGCTCAATAGGGACCTGGATGACGTCAACACGAAGCTCAAGTCGGTGAACGTGCCGCCTCAGTCGGAAGACCTTGTCAAGGACTTCCAGGACCTCAAACTGGTCAAAGAGCGTATAAAAGCCACACTGGACATATTCGAGATAATCCAAGCCGTGGTGCTCACAAGCACAATTGAGGAAGGAAAACTACAGAACGCTTCGAGCACGTTGTCCTTTGCACCAACAGGCTCCACGCAGAGCGACCCGGCTGCAAACGTCAGTCTCGACACGTTCTCCTCGTCGCTCAGTATACTCGAAGAAACAATCTTGGACCAGATCCAAAAGGAGAAAGGATCCGCAGAGGTGAACCAGGGACTCGTGGACAAGATCCAGTTACTGGTGGACCTGCTTCCGTTCTTCAAAAATCTCACGAGATTCTACCTCATCTACGCAGACTTCGCCCAGTTCCTCGAGAGCGAGAAAAAACGCTATCTGAATAGGTTTAATAAATAAAAGCCTTTATACAATTGACAATTTTTTTATACATCCTCCGAATGAGCAGTGTATCTGCTGTCATTGGAAGAGAAAAGCGTGCTTTCGGTCATTTGCGAAGAGTCAGAGGTTTCGGTCGAGGTGGAGGACCTTGATCTTCCAAATATATTCTTGAACGTGGCAACACTCAAAACATTCTCGTCGTGGAAGTCAGGAGTCTTCACCTCCCTCTGTTCCACTTCCTCAAATGCAGCTTCCTTGTGCTTCTTTCTTCTGAAGCTCAACAGGCTCACCAGCTTGTTGAACGCCTTTGTAGGGAAAATCTTCTCGACCCAAACGTCTGGAACAATTCTAATCATGATTCCAGCAGGAATGGACACAAGACCACAGATAATTGCGGTTCCCCACATAGCTCCAGTTTGGCGCGAGATACTGAAAGCTGCTCCTCCAACAAACATGATTAAAACCTGGAAACCGGCAATAATCGCTGCAATTGCAAGGAAGTACCAGTTGCTGAAGAAATGCTGTGTGAAGTCCAAGTTAGACCGAGTGATTCTGTCTCTCACCTTCGTAATTCCATCTCCTTCGTCCAGCTTCCGCGTGAGGAACAGATTGAAGAACTGTAGCCAGACAAAAGTGTTGAACGTCAGCGAAGAAAGTTTGGTTCTGTCGTGGTCGGTCACATGACCGTTCGGATAAAAGATCTGCTCGCCTGCGAAATGGATCACAAATGTAATGATCAGCTGGATGGCAGACTGACTCATGATCATCTTCCACATGGACGTCGAAATCAGCGGAGCATGGCGACCGGCAGGCTTCTGGTCTAGCACGTCGTCGGCAGGCTTGTCTGTGGCCAGGGCCAGAGCAGCAAGCGTATCCATAATGAGATTCACCCACAACAGTTGGACTGCAGTAAGAACAGAGCTGTCGTCCGAAGATGCAACAGATGAGATGAAGGTCAACGCAACGGCAGTAACGTTGACTGTAAGCTGGAACTGAACAAACTTACGGATCGACGTGGAAACGGTTCTTCCCCACTTGATAGCGTCAACAATTGAGGAGAAATCGTCGGTGGTCAAAATGATGTCAGAAGCCTCTCTGGCAACCTCTGTTCCTGCGATTCCCATGGAAAAGCCCACGTCGGCCAACTTCAGAGCTGGTGCATCATTGGTACCGTCACCAGTGACAGCAACAACTTCCCTCAGATGTCTCAAAGTGTCAACCAAAATACGCTTATCCTCAGGACTAGAACGCGCCAAAACGCACAGCTTTGGAATTAGACTGATCCGTTCCTGGTCGCTGAGCGTCCGGAAAACAGGACCTTCCATGCATGCGCTTGGATCGTTGTACTGTTCTTCGTTGAGGATGTTGCAATTTCTGGCAATGGCACGAGCCGTCAAAATGTTGTCACCGGTAACCATACGAACACGGACACCTGCTCTGGCACATTTTTGAACTGCTTCCTTCACTCCATCTCTTAGTGGATCCTGGATACCAACCAAACTGTCAAGAACCAATCCTTCCTGCTTGTTCTCACTTTCTCCAATAACGATCTTTGGAAGGTTGTTGTTCTTCTCTGCAGCAGCGTTTGCATCGTTCGCGAGAATCTCAACAGCATCCCCAAAAAGACGCATTGGATCGGCCTCCTTTCTGTTATCGTTCTTAGCCAACTCTGCAGGCGGCCATGAACTCAAACCGTCATAATCACAATGAGCAAGACACAAAGTTCTGAGGGCGTCTTCAGCAAGAACCGTGATTTGAGAATTGATCTGCTCTTTCACGGTGCTCGTGATCGGAACAATGGTTCCATCAGACTTGGATCTGAAGCTGCAGCGAGAAAAAACAAGTTCAGATGCTCCCTTGATGTAGAATCTGTATCCAGAGTCTGTCTTGACAATCAGTCCTCCCCACTTACGAGAAGACTCGAAGGGAATTACCTGGACTATACGGCTTTGCGAGTGTTCCCGGATCAAGTCCAATGGGCTCGAGTCGCCAATGGCTTTGAATTTATCCTTTGCCAATAGCAAAAGAGCACACTCGGTCTTGGATCCAACAAACTCCTCTTCAACCTCCTGCTGCACTGGTGGTGGTGACTTCTTGAACCAACTGGATTTCTCCTTCACTGGAGCTTTTTCCTCCTTCTTGGACTCGAAAGCGGTGGAGTTCAACATAACGTTGTCCAAGACGCTTGCCTTCAATCTATCAGCGACTTGTCCCGCCACCTCCAGACTGGTTACGGTTCCATCTGAATTGGTATCGTCAAACTCCTGGTCTCCAATAAATCCACGAACAACACGCATTCTGTTCTCCGTCAAAGTACCCGTCTTGTCTGAGCAAATAGCGGTCGCACCGCCCATTGTCTCACAACTCTTCAAAACACGCACCAGATTGCCGTCCTTCATCATACGCGTTGTAGCGAAGGCAAGAGCAAGAGTCACGGCCAACGGCAATCCTTCAGGAACAGCCACCACAATAATGGTAATTGCAGTGATCAAGATGTTGACAAACTTTGTACCTTTTTGAGCACCGGTCAATCCAGAGTAGTCCCCGTTAAGCTTCACACAAAACTTGATGAAAAGCACGATGAACAAGATTATGGCTGCCAAGAATCCGAACTTGGCAATACCATCTGCCAGTCCTGTGAGTCTGGCTTGTAACGGAGTCTCTTCCGCCTCGTGACGAAGAGACATCATGATTTTTCCATGCATTGAGTTGGTGCCAACGGCAGTCACAATGGCTTTACCTTGACCGCTGTTCAGCTTGGCACCAGATATTAACATTGGGTCGTCAACTCCCTTGTCTCCAATATCTTTCGATGCGTCGCCAAGAGCTTCGTAATGTTCCAAGGCGTACCTTGCAGGGATCTTGCGTATAGCGTGAGTTTCACCTGTTAATGCACTCTCGTCACATTCGCACTCTCCAGAGACGAGCACGGAATCGGCAGGGACCACTTCACCTGTCTCGACGTACACCAAGTCTCCGACAAGCAACTCTCCAATAGGCAAAAACTGTTTTTCGCCCGATCTATAAACGATGATGTTTCTATCGTCTTTCTTTGCGTTCAGTTTGGTGAATTGGCGCTCTTTGTTGAAGTCGTTGAGCGATCCAACAAGCACCACGATCAAAATGGCCACAATGATGGCCACACCTTCGACCCATTCGACTTTGGGCATTGCTTTGCCTTCTTCGTCGTACTCAGTAGGCTGACCAAAAGTCTCGTAGAGACCCAGTGCTAGTGATATTATGGCTGCGATGGTCAACATGATGAGGATCTGATCGTGCATGGCCTCCCAACATAACTTGAGAAACGATTTTGGAGGTTTTTGTGGAAGTGTGTTTATGCCGTATGTTTTCTTTCTTTGCTGTAATTCTTGTCCTTGGATGTCAGAAGACAAGCCTCTGGCCTCGTCGGTGCCCAGTCCAGAGACTAACGCGTCGATTCCGCCTAATTCTGAGAGTTTTTGTAGAGACTTAGGATCATGGAGGGCCCCAAGATCCTCCAGTGAGAACTTTTGATTGGCTTGCGCCTCAAGATCAGTGGGCCGTCTTGAGATAGCCATGGTTTGAAATTTTCTTTATTTCAGCGAAAAACTGCTTTTATATCAAATGCGCATGTGCTTCACCCACGTATTCCTGTGCCTCGTACTTAAGGGTCCAAGAAATGATAATTTTTTTTACGATAAAGAAGCTCTGCAAGAAAAAGGAGGCGGAGCAGTAACAAGGATTTTTCTCAACTGAGCAAGAATATTTCCATAAAGAGGAAAATTGATGAAATTATGTCAAACGCCAAGCCCTAAAAGATCCACCTGGGCACACGGATATGAAATTGAGAGCATAAAATACATTGAACTAGTTCTTCTATAACGTAATGTAGTCATTTTAGCTTCAGCCCCCATTCTTTTGGTTCATGTTTAATGGAGGCAGAGACAAATTGTTGATGGATGGCAGCGACATCTGAATTGCTTGCGCCTGAGCGTTTTGCTGGAAATCGTATCCAAACAACGGGTTCACATACATATTTTGCTGCTGCTGCTGTTGTTGTTGTTGTTGCTGCTGCTGTTGCTGTTGCTGCTGTTGCTGCTGTCTGTTCATGGCAGCATATATCTGTGAGGTATCCATCATCTGCGACATGTACATCTGGGTGTAGTTGGGGGTTTGGGAAGCATCACTCTTGAGCTGTTGAGGCTGCTGTTGCTGCTGTCCCGATTGTCCGTTAGCGTATCTGGTTCCCTGTTGGCCGTTCACCTGGTTCACAAAAGTCAAGTACTGCGTCTGGTCATTCATCGACGCACTCTGCTGTGCCACGGTCGGTGACGAAGAATTCTTGGTTCCAGACTGCTGTGTCATAGAACTTTGGGGTGTTCCCGAGCCACCTGCAAGAGCTGGGTATAAATCCTCAGCCTTGAACTGCTGCGACTGCATCGCAATCATATTTGGCTGGTAGTACACAGCCTGCTGCTGCGGAATCTGGGCAGCGGACTGTTGGGGTGCTGCCTGCATAGCTGAAACCTGTTGCTGGGTCACAGATCCATTTGCAGAAGCAACAGATTGAGGGAAATATTGGTTACCATTTAACGCAAAAGCGTAAGCATGGTTAGGATACTGGGCCACGTAAGATTGCATGGCCAAATTATGGTTTCTGATAGCTTGTTTTGTGCTGCAGTGAGGACAGTTCTTCTTGCTGTTTCTTCTTGGAGTGTATTTGTATCCAGGATATCTCTCAGCATGACGTTTCTTTTCCTCTTCAGCTTGTTTGTTCCAGTACTCCTTGTCTTCCGGAGGCAAGTTTCTCCATCTACGACCCAACTCTCTGGACACATCCGGGTTGGTTCTAATAACGTTACCTTCTTCAAGTAAGGCCTGATGGTGTTTTTGTCTGAACAAAATGAATGCGTTTCTTGGACGAGGAATACGATTTCCTTCCTGCTTACAGGTACATTTCTCGAACAACTTCGAGGAATCTAGCTGAGGAGGTTGAGGGGGAGGAGGGATCTGCAGAGCCTGCATCATGTACTGCTGCTGAAGCTGCTGGGGGTACTGGATCGCGGCTTGCTGAGGAAATTGTTGTTGCATGGCGATCTGCTGGTACTGGATTGGAATTTGGGACTGTTGCTGGACAGTCATCTGTGGCTGATGATACTGTTGGGGAGGTTTTTGGTCGTGGGCCTGGTTAGGTGGGATCAGCTCATTAGATTCCGTCTTTGGCTGTTCTGGTAACGGGGAGTTGGAGGCAGAATTAGATTGATGAGTATTTGGAGAGTGTTGCTGACTCGAAGGTTGAGGTTGCCCTGGGATGATATGTGAAAGGGGCGGAAGGCTTCTCTTGCCGTCCTGCTCCACCTGGTACTGTTCCATCTTTGGTGATGGTCTCTAGAGATCTTGATAGATTATAAAACTTGTTTATAATATTTATTGTGAGACAAGAATTTAATAAAAAACCTTTCTTTGTTTCTTTGTTAGTGCGTTTGTTTTCGCTCTCGTTCCAACTTTTCGAAAACGTTTTCTTTTTTTCAGAAACAAAGCTTTTTAGTGGACAAAAAAATATTACACAGAAATTAGACAATATCCACGACAATAAGCGGCCGAAGCGGACAATAAATAGGTTTATGCAAATTTCGCTCTAACCGTTGGGATCGATGATCTGGGACCGGATAGGCGAATTTCGCAGCATTTATTTGGCCGGATTAATTATTCAGACAAATTATTGCGTCGCAGAACCGGTCAGACGAGTCGAGACCAAACTGCAATCTGACTTGGTTCAAACTCGCACAAGTAGACCCGGCACACTGCTGCAAAACAGCTTGCGATCTGCACAAAAAGCGAGGAGCCAATTATGCTGGATAGATGATCTCAGCCTTGCTATTGTAAAGTTCTTCCTTGCCCTGTTTGTTCAGGAGAAACTATATCTGTATCCATTCGCCATTTCGGACCAACTAATGAGCACATCATAAACCAGACCTCTTTCCCTCTCGGGAAACGGAATGCGTCTTATTTCTAGTTTGGGTACCTCCAATTTCGAATCGGGTAATCACCACCTTTTTTCAAACAATTATTTTACTTCAACAAACAATAGTAACTGTGGCTACACGACTGTTTTTGTTTACATTTTCGCTCATCCAGAAAGAAAACTTTGCAGGATCCCCAGATGGTCCCAAACCCTTGTCATCAACACTTTTGTTTTCTAGATTGCTTTTAGTTTTCTTCCTACACACTTGTATACAAGCTTCAGAACTCACCATAGTCATTCATTAACAACCGAGCTTTGCTCCCAAACTGCTACCAAACTTACTTTAGTTCAACTCGTTCCTGATATACCACAGAACTTCCGCTTGTTACCCAATTTTAGAGACACTATAATGCTATTCAAATCCTTTGTTCCACTCCTTCTGTTGACAGCTTCTGTCAAGGCTGATGAGACCACAACTTCTTTGATCACTTTTACAGTTACCGAGACCTTGTTATCCCCATCAGAGAGCTCTGCATTGTCAGTTTCCTCTGCCTCGGCCGCCTCCGCTGCCTCTGCTTCTTCTGCTTCCGTTGCTTCTGAGTCTTCCGCCTCTGCGGCATCTGTCTCTTCTGCTTCGGCCGCGTCTGCTGCTTCGGCTGTCTCTGCTGCTTCTGCTGAGTCCGCCGCTTCTGCTGCTTCCTCTGCTTCTGCTGAGTCGGCTGCCTCCGCGGCCAGCGTCGCCAGCGTCTCTTCCGTCTCAGCTGCCTCGGCCGCCTCTGTCTCTGAGGCCTCCGTTGCCTCTGCTTCCGACGCTTCTGAAGCTTCTGAAGCTTCTGCCGCTTCTGTCGCTTCCGAGTCCTCTGCCTCCTTAGAGAAGGCCAAGGGACTCTTGGCTATTGCCTCCGCTGCCTCGGTCAGCAGCTCCAGCGCAGAAGTCACAACCACATCCGCACAATCTAGTGCTAGACCTTCTGTCGCATCCTCCACTCTTAGAACCTCGATCGTGAGCTCTGCTGCTCCATCTTCCTCGAAGGCTTCTTCCGTGGTGCCTGCTTCGTCCTCTTTCTCCTCCAAGGCTTCTCACAGCAGTTCTGCTGTGAGCTCCTCCAAACACAGTTCTAGCGCAAAGCACTCCTCTTCGAGCTCCGTTTCTACTGCCGATGATACCTCCTCGAGCGCTACCAGCTCTGCTTCTGACTCCACCGCTTCCTCTTCCTCCTCTAAAGGTGACGCCAATGGTGTTTCTCCATTGAGCGGACTCACTCTTGGTGTCGCAGGAATGGTGATGGCTGCTTTGCTCTAGATATGATTTTTCAATGTGTGTTTTTTCCGATTTTACATAGAATCACTTCAGTTCAATACCAGCTAATTGTTGCTATCGTTTATTAATTCCCCTGTAACTTAACTGTACAAGAATAAAATGCGTTTCTGCTACCGCCAGGAGCGTCGACCCAACGTCCCAAACGGTGCTCCTTAGATAAAGAAGCGAAAACACGAATGCTATCGTTCTCAAGATGGGCGTCGATCTTGGTCACGACTCCCTTGACTCTATCAAGAGTACCTATCAAGTTGAACTTGCGTAGTTCTTTCTCGAGCTTCCAGACCTTGATCTCGCCATTCCACGATCCCGACAGTATCAAATCGCTGTACGGAATAGCACAGATGGCTGTGATCCAATATGGTTGCGGCTTTGGAACTTGCAGTTTGGCTTCATCTGGATTCGTTTCCGCGCTCGCCCGCCAAACTTCCTTCTCAGGCTCTAACCCGTGTGCTTGTCTTTGGATGAATGTAGGCTTCTTCTTGGCCAAAGACCATAAACAAATGTTACCGTTGTCCGAGCCGGTAACAAAATGGGAGTCATCAATCATAGAGACACAGTCGATGCTGCCCTCTGCGTAGAAATCAATGCCTGCTTTAGGAGTGTCTCCTCCACGGAATGTGAGTCTTGTTTCTTCTGCTATTTTCCACAACATTGCAGTTCTGTCTCTGGATCCAACAGTGACACATCTTTCCTGGGCCAAAGCAGCAATATCCACAACCAAATCCTGATGTCCATACAGGGTTTCCAATTGTGCCAGCTGATTCACGCTGTACGTTCTAATTTTCAGATCGGCACAGGCTGCGTACAATTGGTCGCTATTTCGACGGAAAGCAAGACCCAGAACTTCGCCTCGACGATCTCTGATCTCCATCACTCTCACAGGAGCAAGGTTCTCGCTGCTCCATATTATTATACGCTTGTCTCGTGCTCCCGTCACAACATATCTACCATCAGGACTAACGGCGACGGCCAGAATCTCGCCGCAATGGCCATTGTTCATCTGTTCCTTGGAAATCTCTGTGTATTTGCGCCCTCCTTTGGCAAACTTCATTTTCTGTGGTTTCTTTGTCTTGTCACTAATGTCCCATTTCACCAATTCCATGTCTTTGGAGACGGTGTATGCATATGGGTACCGCACAGCTACTCCGGTCAGCCCCTTGCTGGCGACCCGACTAACGGCGATCTCCACATCGTCTAGCTCTAATTTGTCACCGATGTATTGGTAAACGTGTCCCTGTTGTTCGGAAACGTCTTTTTGTAATCTGGAGGCAATAATGTCATCGTCCAAGTCCTTGGCATCGAACTCATACGTCTCAGCTTCAGCCTGCAGCTCGCTCAAGTACTGTTTGGCCATTCGCCGTCTTTTATCGGCAGCGCTCTCGCCGGCGTCCTCCTCTTCGCTGGAACTCTCCTCGTCTTGCTCAGACTCATTGGCAGAAGAGTCTTCAAAAATATCACTTTGCACTTCCTCCTCGTCAATGTCGCTCGAGCTCTCCTCAGCAGGCTTCTGCAACTTCCGAGACGCCTTGGTATTCTGTCTCTTGGCCACAGAGGTCTGTCTGGCTGGCCGCTTCCTTTTTTTCGAAGGATCAGAGAAAAACGAATCCGCCATGGTGATGATGTCTTTACTAAAATTTTTTTTCAGATAAATATTTTTTTATCGCATCCCTGCACCGATTTTCAGATCTATAACGCGTACATTTTGTTCAACTATTTTCATCATGGACTCTTTGAAACAGGTGTTTGTGACGGCAGGAATCACGTTCGTTAGACACTCGTGCGACTATTCCAAGCTGTATGTTTGCACAAATGACGTTTTGAAGGTGTTTGATGTGAAGAACCCGGAAAGAGAGCCTGAAGTGCTCGATATTATAGGGAAGGTCACTTCGTTCGAGGTGGGCGAGTTGAACGGTCATCAATACGGTGCCGTTACCTCCAAGTCTGGAGTGTGCGAGTACTATGATCTGGACTCGCTCAAATCCATGGGGAAGCTGCTGCGCTCGCCTCTGGCTTTGGCGGACGCTGTTTTCACCCATGGTGGATCACAGGTGCTCTGCGGCGGAGCTGACGGCGAATTGAAGCTCGTGTCTCTCGATTCAGACACCACTATCAAATCCATCAAGACGAACGACCAGGTCACTGCGATTGGGTACAACAACGTGGGAGATTTGGCAGCAGTCTCGCTCGCCAACGGAGACGTTGCTATTTACGCGTATTCTACGTCCGAACCGGCTGTCAAACACGTGTACCCCAACAAAACAGAGAAGCACAAGTTTGTGGACGACGAGGACGACGATGATCTCGACCTTGACGACGCGTTTGGCAGTCATCCTCCAGCCACCAAGGCTGCGGCTGGTGTCTGTGGCTGCGACTGGCATCCAAACGGTGACCTGGTGGCTGTCCCCACCAAGGACCGCGAAATCGAGGTGTACGACCGTTCCGACCTGTCGAGCGTGAGTTTCCAGTTCCGTGGTCAGTCCCATGAAAAAGGCCTGGTCGACTTGAAGTGGTCACCGAACGGACAATATTTAGCTTCTGTTGGACGCGACCAGAAACTGATCATTTGGGAAACCAAATCGCACAAGTCAGTTAAAGTGCTCAACTTACCAGAAGAGGCCTGTTCTCTCTCTTGGGGACGCGCAGACGGGTCGTTTGATATCGTTGTCGGTACCAATTCCGGACATATAGCCCAGTTCGACTCTGTCGTTTCAGATAAAGAGTCGTTCAAGGAGTCTGAACGGCCAATTGACGACCTCGACTCCGAACCAGAAAGCGAGGTGACCGGTCTGTTCGATGAAGTTCCCGAGGACGACTTTATAGTGGACGACGATGGTTCTGGCTACGTTGAAAAGAAGAGACCAATGGCTGCGCATCAGCCAGCCAAGCACCGCAAAGTCGTCATTGACGCTCCTGTTCAGGAGCCGTCGTTCACGGTGCAACCATTCTCTCCAGGAGGAACCCCTTGGAATGGCAATAGAAAGTACCTAACCATGAACTCCACTGGCTATGCTTGGACGGTGAAACAAGATGGCTACAACACAATTACCGTCAGTTTCTTCGATAAAGGTCTGCATAACGAGTATCATTTCAAAGATCTATATGGGTTCAACGTGGCTTCCATCACAGAGGACGGTATTCTTCTTGCCTCAGCTACCAAGTCTAGAAAATCCACCATAATGTACAAATCACATGACCAGCAAGATACGTGGCTGCGGTCCCTTCTTTTGCGGCCGGGAGAGTTTGTTTCGTGTGTGAGTCTCAGTAAGACAGCGATTTATGTTTCAACCTCTCTGGGATTCGTTCGCAAGTACAGTCTTTTTGGCCGCATTGAAAGAATCGAAAAGACCGCTCCTGTGGTTGCCTGTGTGAACAGTGACAAGTACCTGTTCACTGTGACGTACAATTCTGGTTCATTGAACTTCAACGTGCAAGATCTGGATGGCAAGTATTTCCAGAGAAACGAGCATCTGCCAATACATCTATCTGGTAGCGCATATTCTGCATATCCTCTGAAAGGAGCATTTTTCTCGCTTGATGGAGATCCATGCGTGGTTGGCCACGACGACTTCTTGCTGGTGCTCACAAGATGGAGAGACCCGTTGCAAGCGTCCTGGATTCCAATCTTGGACACTACCGAAGGTGTCAAGAAATTATCCACGGGTGACAATATCAAGTGTTGGCCGTTAGGATTGTTGAAGAACAACTTCAACTCGATTGTGACAAGAGGCTCTGAATATCCGTCGTTCCCTCTAGCTATGCCTTTGGAGATTCCTATTAGATTGCCAATCACTGGTGAAGAGGACGAGGAAGATCCCGAAGAGGAGCTTGTGCGGTGCATCACTCTGGGAGAGCTGCTCAATGATGCGATTAGTAATGACGATGTTGTGGACGAGACCGCCCAGGAGCGTCTGGGTGAGATCAGTGTCAAATACGATGCTGCTCTGTTGAAACAGTTTGGTCATTCCTGTAATGACGGTAGCATCAGCGACGCTCTGTACTTGGCTACCAAATTGCGTGATGAAAGAGCCTTACACGCTGCATCCAAGATCGCCGAGCGCCTGCAACTTATTCATCTGGTCAATAAGATAACCAAGCTGAGAGAGGCCAGAATGGAGTGGGGGGATTGATCATGATCTTTTCCCGTTGATTCTGTCCACATCTTTTTGCGAAATAATTAGTCCGTTTCTAGTTGATTTTCCAATGCTGTTAATCTTCAAACCACGATCTCTTATGCGGTGGTCCTTCTTTATGCCCTTGCCGATTCTCGTATCGATCGACTTGGTTCCACGGCCACCGATCTGTCTAAATTCGCCCTTCTTCTTCTTAGCCAGCACTATTCCTGCGTCCTTGGCCTCGCGCTCGTACTTCTCAATACGTTGTAACTGTGCCTTCACCATGCCCTTACGCATGTTCATGGGCATCTTCTCGAGTTTCTGGCCATCTTTGCCGTTCACCTCAGACACTTTTTGTAATCGGTTCTGCAAAGTCTTTACACGGGCTTTCCCTGTTGGATTCTCGTGATCGAGCGTTTCCAGAGTCAGATCTGCTCCCGAATACGCCTTTGCCCTAGTCTCTGCCAGGATATGCGACTCGTTCAGCAATCTGTCCAAAGCAATATCGTTTTTGATGTCATCCTTGTCTTCTTTTGTCTTTGAGTCCTTAAGTTCCTGCTGTTCTCTGGCCCTCTTCTTGCGCTTGAGCTCCTCCAGAGAAATCGGTTTGCCGCTCTTGAGGATTTTCTTGTGTTCCTTGCTCTGCTCGACTTTCGACGGAGCGTACTTGTCCTCAAACTTGACAACTACGGGAGCCATTATAAAATAAATAATTTTTCAGTAATTTTTTTTATCGCAATGACCATATACGTTGGGTGTATTGATATACACGGCGGGAAAGTCAAACAGATCGTGGGAGGTACGCTGGAGAAGGACGATAGGGAGAACGTTGACGAGGTGTCGACGAACTTCGTGAGTGAACTATCGTCTGCCCATTACGCCCAAATATACAAGAAGAACAACATAGAGCGCACACATGTGATCAAGCTGGGGTCGCTGGCAAGCAACGACGAGGCCGCCACGAACGCTATTAAGGCCTGGCCGAACGCGTTGCAAATTGGAGGCGGGATCAACATCTCGAACGCCAAGCAATGGATAGATAAAGGTGCGGCCAAGGTGATTGTCACCTCGTGGCTGTTCCCCGAGCAAGAGCTCGATTGGACAAGGCTGGAACAGCTGAGTGCTCTGATCGGCCCGGAGCGACTCGTGATCGATCTGAGTTGTCGCAAAGTGGAGCAGGACGGCCAGCACCACTGGGTGGTGGCCATGAACAAATGGCAGACCTTAACCAGAACTGTTCTCAGCAAGTCTCTGTTTGACGACTTGAGCAGGTATTGTTCGGAGTTCCTGGTGCATGCTGCCGATGTGGAGGGGCTCTGTAAAGGAATCGACGAGGAACTTGTGCAGAAATTGGGAGAGTGGTCGTCTATTCCTGTTGTCTATGCTGGCGGAGCAAAGTCGATTTCTGATCTGAAGCTGGTGGAAAAATTGAGCGGGGGCAAAGTGGACTTGACGTACGGAAGCTCTCTGGACCTGTTTGGGGGCAATATGGTTAAGTTTGAAGACTGTTGCTCGTGGAACAAGAATCATAAATAATGTGCTCTAACTAAATAGTTGTTGGTCTTAAGCTGGACGATAGATATGTCAACCCGGTAACGATCCGCACTCCCATGGATTTTCCCATCTGGTAGAATTTTTGGAGCCAGGGCCGTAGCAGCATGAACGCAAACGCGTACCCGAATCCCTGTACAAAAGGCATAATTATCTGGTCTTTGAAGATGGTGTAAATGACAAGAGTTGGAGTGATGATAGGCAGCGGGTCAACATCTGTAGTCTTGGCCCTTGCCTTGCTCTGCTGCTGGGCAGCAACAAGCAGCTTCTTGCGGAACACCTGCTCAAACCTCAGGTCGGGAATTGGGAGTTTCTGGGCCATAAGGATAATGTAGAAAGTACGGGTTTTCGGTGTGCTTTATTTTTCATTTGTGGCGAAAACGAAAAAAAATAAACTCACCATGTCTGAAGAACCGCAGGTGACTATTCGGAAGGCTGGCAAAGACGAGGTCGACTTCATTTTGAGTGACGTCGACATGTCGCTGGCCAACTCTCTTCGGAGAACAATGTTGGCAGAGGTTCCAACGTTGGCGATCGATTTGGTGGAGATTCTGGTCAACACCAGTGTTTTGGCGGACGAGTTCATTTCCCACCGTCTCGGTCTTGTTCCGCTCGAGAGCGAAGACATCGAGCAACTCAAATACACCAGAGACTGCACGTGTGAGGACCACTGTGAAAAGTGCTCTGTCACGCTGGATTTGAGGGCCAACTGCACCTCCGACGAGACCATGAACGTTTATTCGAGCCATTTGACTATTGTGAGTCCGACCACGGGCCTGAATCTCGGCACACCTGTTGTGAGAGACCCGGAGAGAAAGGGAGTTTTGCTGTGCAAACTGAAGAAACACCAACAACTGCACGTGAGATGTGTTGCGAAGAAAGGTATTGCCAAAGAGCACGCCAAGTGGTCGCCATGTGCGGCCATCGGGTTCGAGTACGACCCGTGGAACAAGCTCAAGCACACGGACTACTGGTTCGAAGAAAGCGTCGAGGCTGAGTGGCCCAACTCTGCAAACTGCGACTGGGAAGAACCACCTGTTCCTGGAGAGAAGTTCGACTACACAGCCAAACCAAACCGCTTCTACATGAATTTGGAAACAACAGGCCCGCTTAAACCTAACGAAGTGTTTTCCAAAGGCTGTATCGAGTTACAAAAGAAGATCGCCAACGTTGTGTTCGAGCTGGACAAGTTCGACCAGCAGCAACTCCAAGCCCAACAGGCCAACGGAGGTACGGCCTATGCAGGACAAACGGTCTATGGAGGTGCAAATGGTACGACGTACGGCGATGTTGTAGGCGGAGGACAAACCAGCTACGACTTTGGTTCTGGTAGATGGTGAAATGTAATAGTTAACGATATAGAAAATAAATTGTTTGAAAATCTCATTATTTTTTCCCAACGTTCATGTCGCAGTACATTGGTAAGACCATCTCCCTGATTTCTCAGGCAGATATCAGATACGTTGGTACATTAGAGAACATTGATGGGTCCAAAGGTACGATTGCCTTGAAGAGCGTCCGGGTTTTCGGTACCGAGGGTAGAGTCCTCGACCCAACTAGAATTGTTTATCCATCGACACAGATTTACGAGCACATCATGTTGAGCGGGCCAGATGTCAAGACTTTGAACATTTTGGAGGTCCCATTGGAACAGGTTGTTCCCGAGCCAATTCCCGTGTTCAATCCTGCCAATTTCTTCCCTCAGGGCCAAGTTCCTTTCCAGCAACAGCCTCAACAGCCTCAACAGTCCCAACAGCCTCCAGCTTTTCCTCCTCAGGCCCAGCAGCCCGCCGTGTCAGCGCCAGTCTCGCGCGAAACTCCCCAACAACAGCCACAGGAGCCAAAACAGGAACACAAACCCCAGCCAAAGTCTGAGCCTAGACCAGAGCCTACGGTGGTCAAACCCGAGCCAAGGGAGCTAGAAAAACCAGCGGAATCCACAGAGACAAAGCCCCAGAGACAGCAGTCTCGACCTGCCAAGAAGGATGCCTCTATCGGCGACGATTTCGATTTCGAGTCTAACAACGCCAAGTTCGAGAAAGCGAACGAGTCTGGCGATTCTACGTTCTACAACAAGAAGTCCTCGTTCTTCGACACCATTTCGTCCTCGACAGAACAGTCGGCCGCAGACAGAATGAGATGGCAGGAGGAGAAACAGCTTAACATGGACACCTTTGGCCAGTCGTCGGTGGGAAACCGTCGTGGTAGAGGCGGATTCAGAGGCCGTGGTAGAGGAAGAGGAAGAGGAAGAGGTGGCCGTGGCGGTGCTAAGGCTCCGGAATGGGCATAAGTAATGAGATAGTAAAGTCCATCAAAAATTTCTTGAAAAATAAATCACCCAATATAATGAGCTCCATCAGGCCGTTTTCCGCCACAGATCTGTTTGAGCTCAACTCAATCAACCTCGACCCGCTCACAGAGAACTTTTACCTGTATTTTTACCTTCAATATCTTTCAGAATGGCCCTCGTTGTTCTATAAGTCGGTGTCTTGTTCAGGTGCTAACGAGGGTTACATGTTGGCCAAGACCGAGGGAAAAGGTACCGATTGGCACGCACATATCAGCGCAGTCACGGTGAATCCAAATTATCGACGGATCGGACTGGCTTCAACTCTTTGTTCCTCGTTGGAAAGATTCACCGAGTCCGAGCCTTACGAAGCATATTTCATTGATCTGTTTGTCAGATGCAACAACAAATTGGCTATCGTGTTGTATGAAAAACTCGGCTATTCTGTCTATCGACGAGTCGTCGGTTACTACGGTGATTACGAGAGCAAAACAAATAGGAACAAGATTGACGACGAGATCGATGCGTTTGATATGCGGAAAGCTTTAAAACGGGATATAAAGCAACAGTCGGTTCGTTCTAACGGACGTAAGGTCAACGTGCTTCCAAGCGAGATCGTGTTCTGAGCTTCACCTTCCTTTCCCGCTATTTTTCTTCACGTTGTGGGTGAGCATGTGTCTGAAGTACGCCAGGAACTTGTTACCTGTTGCCTGGTTATCGGCACTTAAATCTTGCACCTTGACCTTTTCGTTGCATATCGGACAAACTGCAACATAAACATGGTCGATCTTGTACGAGTTCTTGTTGTTCTTGAGTTCTGGGTGCAGTCCGATCATCGTTGGCAAGGGCATCTCCGACCCGTTGCTGAAAACTCCGTGCTGCTTGGTCAAATGGTGCAAATACCCTGACGAATTGAGATCAAAAAACAAGCCGTCAAAGTTGTCCTCCGAATCCTGCTCGGTTGGCTTACAAAAGGAACACAGGCCTTCTCTCTTGTGACGCTTGGAGTTGTGGTGCGACCGCAAAAACCGGAACACCCTTGGTTCATAGAAATTGATATGGTCGTTGTTTCCAAAACGCACAATCTCGTTGCTTGTGATGTTCGACTTCTTATTGATCTCGTACCCCCACATGTTGTCCTCGCCGTATTGCAGCCGGTTGACAAATAGCTCGGGAGTCAGTTTGTTCAAAGAACAGTACGGAACCAGATGCATATTAATCATGGCAGTATACTCTGGGTCTCCACGTCGAAATATGTTCACAAAGTCCTCCACCAGAAAGCTTTTCCTGGCTTTGTTTATCTGGACCTCTGTTTCAAGTCCCAGACTCTCGACAAAGCTGGATTTCTGGCGCTTGGGTAACGGCTCGAAGTTAAACTCGTCGTGCTCCAAAAAAGATATTCTTCTGGACGAACTTGACGAGTCTGATCCGTCAGGAATCTCCAGCAAAAAGTCAACCAGTTTGCTGTCTTCCGGTCCTGTGAACGACTCGTCTGACGATGGAAGGTACTCGTCGAAGAACTTGCTGTTGGAGGCCTCGGAAGTGGTGCGGCGCGGCGTGCTACCGTCCAGCTCCTCAGAATGCCGATCTCCATGATCGCTCACGTCGAGCCATTCCTCGAGCAATGGGAGCCCAGGACTGTCAACCAGTGTGATTTCGGTCTGCTGGTCATTGTCCAGCGTGCTTTCGCGGTTGATATCTTTCGGGTCCACGACATTGAACTCCTCGACAAACGATTCATACAACCCAGATCTCAAAAAATGGGTATCAATTACATTTGCGTCTCTGTCAAACATGTCCCTCACGATCTCCATCTCTAGTCCTGGAAATGCTTTGTTTGAGAACATCAGGACACACGCTGATCGGTTTGGTGCCTATTGATTTTTTATATCGACTGATTCAAGATCATTTTCTGTTCTATTGAGATCCGAGAACAGAAAAATTACAGAACAAAAACGGTGGCACCCTACTTCCACTCCTTGATGACCCTATCGAGCGCCCCACTGGTCACAACGGTTTCCTTGCCGCCAATGCTGGTGATGAAGGCAGATTTAATCCGACTTTCGTGAGTCTGGAGCTCTTCTGCAACCACGCCTGTTCCCAAATCAAATCCGCGAAGAACACCGTCGTCTCCGCATACCCACACACCCAGCTTCTGCGGCCGCGCAAGTATGATGGGCTCGGAGAATTTGTCTTGCGGAGACATCGAGTTGTAGTTGGAAATAATTATGTTGCGCTTAATAGTGACATCACTTTGGAAGGACTCCGTATCTGTAGCCGTAAGACTCATTTCTTTCAATCTTTCGGACACTCCAACGTCGCCGCATCCAACTAGATTGGCGATTGTAGGGATCTCTAACGTGATGAGTCGCATGTAGGGAACGTGGTTGGTTGCAACCACTGCGGAGCCAGAATAGGTGGTGACAATTTGCATCGGCTGAAAAGAGTGGCTCGAAAACTCCGAGTCGTTCAGGGCTATACGACCGATCTCAAATAGCATGTCGGCAATTGTGAATACTCCAACCATGGATGTATCTGTTCGGCCAACCAAAATTAGCGGATACCCCGATTTGTCGGTGGAAGTGTGGATACACGTTCCTTTGGTCATTAGTGTGATCGAGTTAAGCTTGGTGATGGATCCAGAACGTAAGTCAACAATAGTGGCTGTCAGCTTGCGGTCCCAGCCAATGGAGATCGTGTATCCCGTGTTCTTGTCGATCGGATGGTACTTCAAATCCAAAATGAGACGCTGGTGGATCTGTTCTTCTGCCAACAGCTCCAGCTCAAAAGACTCGTTTGACACTTTCCAAACCCGCATCTTGCCGTCCATTCCGCACGAAAGAAACACGTTTGTGCCGTCAATTCCAACAGCCAGCTTTGTGGGCGTCGATCCGTGGAGATCGCTTCTGTTAGCGAGCTTTTTCTGTGCAACCAGATCAAACATATGGACTTCTCTGTCGTTGGTGACAAAGACAGCGACTTCGAGCTCCTGACCGCCCACCAGAGCACTGAAACTCGATGAGTAGATGACCAGCGAGCCCATGTTCCCCAATGGTAGTCGAGATTGTGTCTGCGGGATATCAACCGTCCATTCTGGCCTGACAGTAGATTTGAGGTCCAGAGACTGCAACGACAGATACTCGTATCTGTCTTTCAAGATGGTCTCGAGCGACTCGTCCACGGAATAGTCAAACTTCTGGTTGAGCTCGAGCTCGAACGAGCGCAGCGTCTGTATGAGGTTGTTGGTCTTGAGGTAGTGTGCTATCAGCTGTTCTGGAGACGGCATTGCAAATGATTAGACGATCGACGCGACTATTGAAGTAAAGCTTCTTCTTCCTTTTTTGACCCGCACTTTTTTTTTCTTAGCCCACAGGAAGTTTCACGTGACTGTTTTCTGGGTTTGGGTCGTTGCCCGGGACCAGGTCAAATAATTTTTCTGAAAATTTGCAACTCTATCACTAACTTCAACCATGGGAAAAGGAAAGCCTAGAGGACTTAACTCCGCCAGAAAGCTGAGAGTGCACAGAAGAAACAACAAGTGGGCTGACAAGCAGTACAAGTCCAGATTGTTAGGAACCGCCTACAAGTCTTCTCCATTTGGTGGATCTTCCCACGCCAAGGGTATTGTTCTTGAGAAATTGGGTATTGAGTCCAAGCAACCAAACTCCGCTATCAGAAAGTGTGTCAGAGTGCAACTGATCAAGAACGGTAAGAAGGTGACTGCTTTCGTTCCAAACGACGGTTGTTTGAACTTCGTCGACGAGAACGACGAGGTTCTCCTTGCTGGTTTCGGTAGAAGAGGTAAGGCTAAGGGAGATATTCCAGGTGTCAGATTCAAGGTCGTCAAGGTCGCTGGTGTTTCCCTGTTGGCTCTCTGGAAGGAGAAGAAGGAAAAGCCAAGATCTTAGGTAGAAAGAGCAACAAGACATAATAAAAAAGGTACAGAACTATACTTTGTAAAACTCGTTGTATTACGGTTACTTTACATAGCCAACCCGCGGCCTTCGATGGAAACTCCTCCTTTCTTGGTGGACTTCTTTTTCTGGCTCATCTGTGTGAGTCTCTGGTTCAGTTTTTTGAATCTCTCGTCTCTGCTCAAAGACGATCCAACGCCCATAGCGGCAATGCTGCTCTTTTGCTGGCTCATGCTGTTCAGGTTCACCTGTGGAGCAACAGTGTACACGCTGGTACGGGCCTCTGGTGCAGCAGCACGCTTTCTTCTGTCAGCACTTTCCTGGTACAGCGACTTGCGGATCGGTTTCGTTTTGATGCCTGGCGAGTTGACCAATCTGTCCGCGTCAATCACCGCAGTCTGCACCTTCTTGGCTCTGTAGTTGTCGGATCTGCCCATGATCGGTCTTGTCCAGTCTCCGATCAACTTCTCAGCCGTTCTCTTGAGCGATGGGTCCACTTTCTTCGACTTTTGGTAGAAAAGTATAATCTTCCCCAGACCAGACTCTCTAAGATGAATCGTCTTGATCGGCAACTTTGTGAGCTCGCTGAACAGCGTCTTTTGGATCTCAAATGCAGGCAACGAAGCGTCTGGAAGTGGTTCCAGCCAGATTCGCACAGCCTCCAGCAGATTGTTATCGAGAATCGAGTCGTACAAGTTCGACTTCAGTAGCGTGTCTTTCACCTGCGGCAGCAGTTTCAACTTGTGTGTGGCCGGCTTTTTGTTGTTGACGCAGTCGATGTCGAGTTCTGCGGCGTCTTTCATCATGTTCTTCAAATGGGCAATCGCCTCGTCTTGCATTGCTTCGAGGTCCACCTCGTCGTTCTTCTTCCGCTTGGTTGGCTTCTTCAGCACCGCAGCAAACCGCTCCTCGAACTCTCTTCTCTTTCTCGTTTGTTCGTCCTCCTCAATAGGCTCCTGGTCGTTTTCTCCAACGTCGATGCTCTCCTCGGCCTGTCCTTTACTCCTTTTGAGCTTCTTGTTCTTGGGCTTCTTCTCCACCTCCTCCGACGCAGCCCGCTTGTGCGAGTCCAGCTTGGCCACATCCTCTTCCAGGTCGGGCGTCTCGCTGGTCTCTTTGTCAAAAACCGCGTCCAAAGACGCTGTTTGGTCAGTGTTCTCTTCGCCTTGGCTCATATTTTATATAAAATATAGTGTACAGATGTTTTTGTCCAAAAAAACTTTTATTTCGCCATGGACGGATTCTCCGAGGAAGACGCTAAGAAGTACAAGCAGATGCAAAACGAGGCCACTTTGAAGCTCGCCGCACTCATCGCTGTCGGCTTGTGGCTCGTCCCAACCGCTGTTCATTTTGTTAAGAAATCCTTGTAAGGTTTCGAAATTGCATTTGTATATATGGGGCGATGATTGGGTGTGCACCTACTGGGGCTATATACCCGTGTATACTTCCACATGTTGATCATCGACAGCATTGCTGTCCAATGAGTTTCATCAATGTATATTTTGGCTAATAGAATTGCTGGAAACAGATAGTAGTCCATCGGGCAAGCTTGACAGTGAACGGAGCTGTTTGGCCATGTGTGGTATAAGTAGACTCACTGTTGGTGGTATCATTGGATGAACGGTTGGCTATTGAGCTCGCTGTGCTTGTTGTTTGATAAATCGTCCTTTATTCATCCCATTCCTTCTCCACTCTTGTCTCTCTGGTTTAATTATCTTGAATTATTATATTCCTAATATACAGCTGACCATCTTCTTGCGCTCAAGACATCAGAAACAATATACATCTGCTCGTAGAGCCACCCCCATGACACCAGACCCCAACTTCCTTGCGAGTTGGGGCCAGTGGCCCGGTTTCGCCAACATCTCCACCCACGACATTTTTGTTTGTTGTACCCGCTTCTCCACATTAAATTGGTTTATCCAACGCACTGTTAAGCTTTTGAACAAGTTCAACTCGGACCTGGGGAGTATCACTCGTGCCATCAGCGTCTTCAAACCCGAGATCGCGCATGATTCTCGAGATGCGGCCGTTCAGGTACTTATCTTCCTCGCTGTGGTCAATTGAGCTCAACAAGGAGTCGTCCAAAACGCTCCTCATCGCCTGCACTTTGTCGTACACATAGCTCACCTCGTTGATCAGAAACTTGTACGTCTCTTTTAGAGGAACGAGCTTCTCCAGAAGAAGAGCCAGATCGCCTACCACGTACTGCTCTGATTTGAGATCGATAAATGAAATCTCTGACTTGAGTCGTCTTGAGTACTCCAACAATTGTGAGAACTTGCTCAGAATCTCGTTCAGAGCCTTGTTGATGCGAATCTCTGCCTCAACTTCGCGCAACAGCCGCTCGTACTCGGTCCCGAGCTTCTTGGCATCCTTCATCACGTTCTTGCGTATCTCCATGCCCTCGTGGTGCTTCAATCGGATATATCCACCACTTACCAGATCCTCGGGGATGTTCAGTATGTTTCTCATTGCATACACCTCAAACTTGTCAAAGTTCTTGTTAATAACGTGTTCCAACAACGATTCGAGCGTGGCAGTACCCTTCTGCACACCATCGACGGTGTACTCGACTCCCAACTTGGCCTGCGAAAGCTCCTCCTCACTGACTATCACGTCATCGTCATCGTCACGGATCTGTAATCGCTGTTCCTGCTGTTTCCTCAGCTCTTCCTCTTTGTCAAACTTCTTCTGAATCAACGCCAACTCAAGCTGTTCCGTACATCGGTACATGATCTCGTTGATCACGTTGATTATATCATCAATCACAGAGATGGGCTGAAACCCCAAATGCTCCGTCAGCAGCTGCGAGGCCAACATCTCTGGGGACCCATTACTCATGTTTTGTGTTTATTTATTGTTTTCTTTAGTTTATTTAAATGTGGCTGTTGGATAGAATACTTTTGTGTGGCTAGTGAAAAAAATATATTGATATATTCAAATGCTGTGCTATTCTACATCACTCTCGTCAGAACTGAGATCGCCAGCAACAACCTTGTTGTCCTCATCCTCATCCTCGTCCTCGTCGTCCTGCTGGTAGCGAGGAACCTCGTCTTTTTCTTCTCCGTTCTCCTCGTCGTCAACAGTCACCTCCTCGACATCAGCGAACTTTCTATGTTTTCCGTCTCTCACAACCGGCTGGCTGTCCTTGTCGAGCCCCGGCTTGATCAGAGACCCTTCAACGGAAACAACCTTGCCTGCAGCGTGCAGAGCCTTGATTGTAAACCGGATCTTTCCCTCGACGGGCACCTCGTTCTCGTCCAGCCATTGGCCCAGAGACTTGCCGAATTTCTCGCTCTCATTCTCGGTATTATATTCATCCACCTGGTTCGGTATGTATCTCCATCCTGGCGGGATTCCTCCCTTCTTGATCGTCGCGTTGAATGTATCGTTGATCAACAGACCAATGTGAGATTGAGATTGCATATATGACCAACCCTCGACCACATCACCGATCTGGGGTCTCCACACAAGCAGGTCGGCTGTGCACCACAGAAATGCGAACGGGTTATCATTAGAGATCTTGGCCACTGCTGTTTCTGTTCCGTCTTCTTCTTCGATCACATTCTCCGAGGAAAGCTGGACATTGAAGTACCCAAGAAGAACTCCTTTAGCAAAGGGAACATATGTCATTAACATGGGGTCTAAATGTTGCTGTTTGATACCGTCAATTGGTGAGTTGATGTGACATGGTGCAAGCGAAAGGTACAGTCTGGATTTCACTTTATGGAAACATTTAGATAGTCCGGTTTCGTCCACAGGATTAGAAAACCCCTTAGACACCGCACTGTAGAGCTCTCTTGCGGCTGATGAGGTTTCAGACAGCTTTCTTTTCACTCCAACAGACATGTCTGATGATTAGTTTGGAAAATTTTTTTTTCTATTCGAGCCGCACCGTGATAAGATGAATAAGTAGCTTAACGTCTTTTAAATAGTTTGGTCAGCTTTTTGGGGCCACCAGCAGATTCGGGACTGTTGATCACACTCATCATAGAGAACTTTCCGTTTGCATCAACAGGAATCGCGTTCGAGTTGACCTTATTGAATCCTTCAAACTCGGCTCCCGCTAAAGAGCCCTGGAATTTTCTGAATGCCATTCCTTCCTGAGAGTTGAGCTGTTTGGTTCTGTTTCGGAAAAGCGGTTTGTATGACGACCATTTCTGTCTCATTTGTTTCTGCATCTGCTGTGGGGTGGGAGCGTCTTCGTCTTCTGAGTACTCTGCCACTCCTGTGAATCGGACTTTCTTGATCAGCTCTCCGTCAGCATCGTACTGGGGCTCTGCGTCTTCCGGAACAACAAGAATATTTCCTGCGTACCGCGGAGGTCCATTCTGGCGCGTCGAAGATGCTCTCGACCTGATCTTCACAGGAGAGTTCTCGCCTCCAGTCAACGTAGTATCAGCATCAGAAGTCTTCGTTTTCTCGTCGTCTTCAGGAATAGCTTCCACCGAACGCTGTGACAAGCTTCCCGATCTGCTGCGCGAAGCACTAGCAGAAGGAGACGCGCGGAATGCAGGGGTAACGTAGGAACTGGTCTGGGCTTGCTCACCTTGAAGAGATCCAGACCGGGACCGGTTGGTTTGCAGCTGGAATTCTGGAAGAGAAGACTGTTTCAGCGAGTTAAGCGGACTGGTTGGGAACTCAGACTCGCTCTGTATCGAGCTGGTTCGGCTATCCGATGGAGAAGCCAACTTTGGAACCTCGAGGACAGAGTTTGAGGACGTGGTAGCAGACGAAGTAGCATATATCGGTTTCGATATGACTCTTGGCTCCAATTTCTTAACAATTGTTTGACCACTTTGCGAAGACTTGAAGATGTGTTGTTGTAGTCTCTGCTGGGCAGTCAATGGTTGCTGAACTGCTTTACGCGATGCCAAAGCAGCAGCTTTTGCGTTCTGGTTGACAGGCGGGCTCTGGGAAGGATGAACCGGGCTCTGTTGGTGGCGGAAAAGAGGCCTCAAGGAAGCAGTTGCCCCTGCAAGAGCCGATGTTGGAGTAGGACTTGTAAAAGAGTTGACAGGCGACGAGGTGTCAGACCTTGACTCACTATCGACTTGAATCACGCGCTGGGGCTCTGGCGTAACAAGCAGAGAGTTGCGCCGACTGGACGTTGATTTTGTACGTCTCAGAGACCCATCATCCTGATTGCTCTGATTACTAGAGGATCTCGATCGAGAAACCGACGATTGACGAGACAGAGAGTTTGGAGACGAGCCATTTGATCTCAGCTCATCACGGAGCTGTTTTTCTCGATCACCAACTTTTTGTTGCATTTCCTCTGCTCTCTGGATCTCAAGCTCTTTCTGCTCTACCTCTTTGAGAAGACGTGCTTCTTTTGCTTCGTCAAATAGCTCCTTTTGTAATTTTGATTGTTTCTCCTTTTCAAGCTTGTCCTTTTCGGGATCAACGTACAATGCCTCAAGATTCCGCGTCAGTTGGGATGTGTTGACCGTGGATCTTCGTTTCAGATCGTTGCGCTCTTTGATGGCCTGCTGCTTCAACTTGAGTCTCAGTTGAACCTTGTCATACTCGTTGGAACGATTGGAGTCTATAATTGCCTGCCATTCAGCTTGAAATCTCTTCAGTACCAGAAGCATGGTTTTCAGCAAGCTCAGCGAGTCGTCACAGACTCTGTGGAGCTCATTAATGTTATCTGGTCTGACTGTCATCACGCTTCCATTTCTTGTGATCTTTGCTATCAACGAGAGCAACAAACTGTTTTTTTTGGCTTGGTTGAAGTAAACGTTCAAATTCCGAAGAACTGTGCGCAAAGAATCATTCGTCCTGGTATAATTATCGAAGTAGAAACTGTTGTTATGGTAAATCATTTTTCCGAATTTCCTCACAACTCCATAGAAATCAGCAAGGTGCAGCAACAGCAAAAACGCTCTGGGAAGAACGAACTTGTAATGAGGGGATGAAAGGAGATTGTCCTTGACTTTGTACTGACCAAGTTTGTCGACCTCCTCCGCAATCTGGTCCAAAGCTTTCTCGAAATTGGTGATGTTGACATTCAGACTCTTGAGATCTAACGAACGTAAATGGGCCTCCACCGAGGTGTCTGGTCCCGGATCTTGCAGGGAAGGTTCGGTCATATTTTCTATTGACTCCAACTCAGCGAATTGGAGCAAGTCAACGATATCTTCGAGAGTGAGGAACGGTTTATCTCGTTTAGATTCCTGCATAGATCTCTCTTTCATTGCGGTTTTCCATTTTTGGTTGTAGATCTCAAAAGTGTTGAACAGCAATAGTTCCAACAGCTTCAGAATATCTGTACTTTCTTTGTAGGTGGGGAGTTTCAGTTTGGTGGTGTCATAGTTTGTTGAGTTGTCCATACAGTCGAAATTGACCGCGTTTGTGTTCGTGGTAGGGTCTATGGATTGCGCGGGATTAAATTTATTACCGTTGATGAGAATCTCGGACCTCCTGTAGATATTATCGTTGACGTTGAAGATGGATCCATTGAGCAGGATAATGTACTTAGTGAATGGAATCTGGTTGTCTTGTGAGCACTTTTTAATCATCGACTTGACGTTCTCTAAAACCTTGAGTATTTTCTGAGTTCCGTATCTATATTGCAAGATACGCGCGTCTAAAGAGTCCAACGTGACACAGTCTCTTATCGATGGAGTACTGGAAGCCACCTCATTGGATTTCGAAGGTGAAAGCGACCTTGAACTCATCGAATATCACCGCGTTCTAGCTATCAAATGAAATGATTTTGCAAACACAATCTAAACACCCTTGGCGTTTGATGAAATATGATAAACAAGAACTGGAATGCTATAGTTTTCAGTTTCAAGTGACTAAAGACCCTTTAAGATTTAGAATTCTATCTGCATTTATCGTCTTAGCGAATATTTTAATTTATTACGTACGCCTTGTTTATTTACACAGCCCAAACTTATGCCTATGTACATTTATTTGGGTTTGGGACTTCCATCTGTGAGCCATTTCCAGATCATGTCCTTCTGGTCTCTGGATTTTCTTTGGTGCTGACGATGTTTCTTGACAGGGAGTTTGCGGCGGATTTTTTCGTCCAATTGGCGGGTCTTTTCGGCAGACGTGATATTCATCTTCTGGACAAATTTCAGCCGACGGAACGAGTTGACCACCATGATTGCTCCTGTGAGCACGCTGAAAAACACAACCGTGCCAAAGGCGTAATTTGAATCCTCCATGTAGTTCTTCAGGTTCATTCCATAGAGTGCTGGAATTAGGGTTGCAACCGTGGCTCCCAATGTGTAGATGGTGATTTTCAGCTCAAACACCATCAATGAGTTACGGTTCGCATCCAGAATGATGTTGACAATCTCTTCCGTCGACTTGATATCGTTTATCAGTGTTTCTGCCTGTTGAACAATCTCGTCACACTGTTTGTAATAAGATTCAAGAAGCATTTCGATTTCCGCGGTGTCGAAATCTTCAGTAACCTGTTTGACATCTGATTTTTCGTTTTTGTTGTCCCCCTCTATGCGGATTTCGTCCTCTCGTGGCTCAGGACGGTGCGGGACTCGTTTGCTCAGATACATGCTCTCTAAATCGTCATCGTTGTCCAACAACTCGTCGATCACGTTCTTGATAAGAAGCGACTTCTGGTAGAACGTGGTCAGCTTCTTGGACTTGATCAGCAGCTCTCGCAGTCGGTCTCTGTCGATGTTGGTATCCAGGTCGTTCAAGATACCAGTACAGACTTTCAGATGGGTCTGGAGCTCGGTTTCTAAAACAGCCATCACATTGATCAGAACACTCTCCAATGCCCTAAACTCGTACGATTGGATGTACGGACTGATTCCATGTACCGTCTTCACCTTCAGCTTTGCCTCCAGATCGTACATGAAAAGACTGAGTTGCGAAGCCGCGTCAGAGTTGGCCGTGTCGAACACCAAGACCGAGTCCGCTTTGATCAGCGCCTTGATATGAAGCAGATTGATGAGAATCGAGTTCGACCTGGCGGCAATGATAGGCGCAACATCAACGTTGGAACTGTCAATTCTTCGCAGGTCTCTTGGGAAAAGACCGTTGTCATGCAAAAATTGGGTTTTCGGAAAGCTCTGCGAAACGGCAACCACGTCTCCGTTCTTGTCAAAGATGGTACAGCTGACTTCGGAAGAGCCAGGCTGCCTGGTCTTCAAAATCTTTGATAGCTCTAGTCGATCTCGTTGAAAAGACCGGAATCGGCGTTGTGTTGGCGAAAGTGGCGAGGAAGAAATGCAATTTGAGTAGGAATTAAATGCTAACTTGGTCAGAGAACTCACAGAGACAAAATTATGCGAAATAAGCGCGTCTCCAACACCCAATACAGGCGATATCCACCTCCTCATGATTAATAAATTAAATAAAATTTATCACACCCTAAACCTACACTATCAATATTTCACCTTCTACACAATCACTCAAAGAATTTTCTACTGGTAGAGACTCCAAAGAGCTCGAGTCTGAGGGCTGGAAGAGCGGTCTTGGACAAAAGCGTAAGTCTCTCCTTGAGGGTGTTGTTCACTTCGATTTTTCCTGTTCCGTTTATGATGATGCAACCACCTGCTGAGTCCTCGTTCAGGAAAGACGACTCGTCCAGAGACACTTTAGCGCTAATGTTCGATTTGGACTCGAAGTCCTTTTCAGCTTCTGGGATGACCTCTTTGGCCAATGCCACGTCGGACTTCTTCACACGCACAGTCACTGCTGGCTCCATAAGAGCAAACAGTCCTTCCTCAATTAGCAATTTCAAGAGAGGCTTGTATTTGGCAGCGTCATGCGATAGCTTGGCAAGTTCCTCACCAGCGTCCTTGAAAATGGCCTCCAAAGCTTCCTCCTTGGTGGCAAGAATCTTGAGTCTGGTCTTGTTGGCAATTGTAGACTTGGTAATCTGTTGAGCCAGGAATGCTTTCTTGAATTTGGCTTCGTACTGAGAGTCAATCGAGTTGATTTCAGACCGCACAATCGAGGCCTTCTCAATTTCGTACTCTTCATCAGCCTTAAGCTTGATCTCCTTGGCCTTCTCCTCTGCCTCCTTGGTGATGAAGGCCTCCATCTTCAACAGTTCGCCTTGAACCTAAACGTGTTAGTATACAACTCAATGTCTAGCCTGATTAAACATACCTGATCCTCTGTAAGTGCACGAGTAGACGACATTAGTAGTTAAGACAGATTGTTATTTCAATGCTAATGTTTTCTAATTGTATATAATAACTCTTTAACAACTATCAATTAAAGGCAGCATTTGAAAAACGAGACAGCACAAAAGATTCTGTCACAGTACACGACAGGTATGCCGAATTTATTTATTAAAAAAAAAATTACTAGTACTAACTAAAAAAGGTAAATAGATATCCTTAGTGAAAAATAACCGCCTCCAATTTGTGCCTCGTTGAATAAACTGAAATGATCATTTCTAGCTTTCGGATACAGGCGAGGCTTCTGAACACTCGACCCCGAATAAATCCCGTGGGAATCCAGCACTTATCGGAGGAGCTCCAAAAACAGCTCTTCCCAGACACCTATAAAGAGGGAGGCGAGAGAATCACAAAACATAATGCTCTTTTAATCAAACTCGCCCACGAGCACTTGAAGGATAACCAGCTTTTGGGGAAAAAATGCTCGCTCAATGAGCCCATCAAGTTCAATCTTCCCAAGCTACAAGGTGACAATCTTAATGAACATTTTTACCGGCTAGGAATGGAAAGCTTGGAGCCATATCAAGAAACTGTAGACGAACTTTTGAGTATAAAAACTGATGTTCAGCCTTTACCTAAAAGTTGGCTTTTCAAAAGTGGTTGGATCAGGTATGCCCCTGGCAAGGAGCCCGAATCAGTGCCATATCCGTTGGAAAAAGGTCTGGTTTTCGATGTTGAAGTTCTATACAAGATAAGCAAATACCCAGTCATTGCTACAGCATATTCCCATAAAGCATGGTATGGCTGGGTGTCTCCATTTTTGACCGGAGAGAGCGACACCCTTGATGGACATTTAATACCAATGAACTTGAAAAATGAAAAAAAGATAATTGTGGGTCACAACGTTTCATACGACAGAGCGCGTATATCGGATGAATACAACCTGACCCAATCCAAGGCATTCTATCTTGATACCATGTCTCTCCATGTGGCAGTCAGTGGAATGTGTTCTCGTCAAAGAGGAACCTGGATGAGATACAGAAAGTTTAAAGAAGAGGAAGGTGAAGAATCCGGATCTCTAGCTCAGCTTAGAACAGAATCCAATTCCGAGTCGTTGAAGGAGCTTCTTGATAACCCCAGTTTGGATGCAGATGACAAGTTGAGCAGTTTCTTGATTGATGATCCTTGGCTGAGAACAAGTAGTTTGAACGGACTGAAATACGTCGCAAACCACCATTGTGGAATCAAGTTAAAGAAAGAGACTAGAGACATTTTTGAAACCACAAACCCTCAAGAGATTATTGATGATTTCCAGAATTTGATGACATACTGTGCTACTGATGTTTCTGCAACCTACCAAGTGTTTTACAAAGTCTATCCCGAATTTAGAAAACTGGTTCCTCATCCAGTTAGTACAGCTGCTTTGAGACATTTGTCACAGTCGTTTCTACCAACTAACGGCACATGGGAGGACTATATCACTAGAACGGAAAACATGTACCAGGAAAGTGTCGAGACCATCGAGAGAAACCTCAAGGAGATGTGCAAAAAAGTTGTTTCCATGAAAGATGATCCTTCCAAACCTTGGTTAAAAGATCCATGGCTTTCTCAGCTAGATTGGACAATCATTCCACCAAAGCTGACTAAGAGTGGTACTCCGTACAAACGGCAAAAGATGCCTGGGTATCCTGAATGGTACAAAAAACTATTTGCTAAAGATGAAATGAACCTGACTCCAAGGTCAAGAGTCACTCCTTTGCTGCTGAACCTTTCCTGGGAGGGTAAACCAGTGTATTGGATTGATACTTACGGATGGTGTTTTCTGGTTGAATTGGATGAGATCGAAACCTTTAAGTCCAAAAACTACATTCATTTGGGACCAGATTTACTGCAAGAGGCCATTCCAGAACCCGAGGAGGCTTTCCTCGACTTGCTTGAAACCAAAGCAATTTTCAAGGTTCCTCATGAGGCTGGGCCTGAAAACAGGACCACCACACTGATGTCCAAGCCGTTTTTGAGACATTTTGAGCAAGGTGTTTTGTCATCCAACTATGATTTGGCAAAAGATGCTCTCAATTTGGCTGTCAGAAACAGTTACTGGACAAGTTCTCGTGAAAGAATCATGAGCCAGTTTGTGGTATACCAGACTGAAAAAGGCTCTTCTAAATCCGATCTTGGAATGATTATTCCCCAGGTTGTGCCAATGGGAACGATCACGAGAAGAGCTGTGGAGAACACATGGCTCACAGCTTCGAATGCCAAGGCTTCAAGATTAGGATCGGAACTGAAGGCCATGATACAGGCTCCACCTGGATACTGTTTTGTTGGGGCTGATGTCGATAGTGAGGAGCTCTGGGTTGCGTCCCTTGTTGGTGACTCTGTGTTCAAAATACATGGTGGTACTGCTATTGGATGGATGACTCTCGAAGGAACAAAGAATGAGGGTACAGATTTGCATTCCAAGACCGCCAAGATCCTTGGAATATCTAGAAACGACGCCAAGGTGTTCAACTATGGACGTATCTACGGTGCCGGTGTCAAGTTTGCCACGTCGTTGCTGAAAAAATTCAACCCTTCTCTTTCTGAAGAAGCTGCAAGAAAAACGGCTATCGAACTTTACGCGGCCACCAAGGGAATGAGTGAAAAGGTTTCCAAGAGGAAGATGTGGTTTGGTGGTTCAGAATCAATTGTTTTCAACAGATTGGAGACAATTGCGGAGCAAAGCCAGCCAAAGACACCTGTTCTAGGAGCTGGAATCACTTCTGCGTTGCAAAAGAAAAACCTAAATTCGAACACGTTCCTGCCTTCAAGAATCAACTGGGCTATTCAGTCTTCGGGTGTGGATTACTTGCATTTGCTGGTGATCTCGATGGAGTACCTGCTGAAGCGGTACAAATTGGACGCCCGGTTGTCTATCACTGTTCACGACGAGATTCGGTACCTTGCCAAGGAAGAGGACAAGTACAAGTGTGCGATGGTGCTTCAGATTGCTAATCTGTGGACGAGAGCGATGTTTTGCCACCAGTTGGGCATTGACGAGGTTCCGCAGAGTTGTGCATTTTTCTCGGCCGTTGATATTGATCATGTGTTGAGAAAGGAGGTTGACCTGGACTGCCGTACGCCGTCGAATCCGACCGCCATTTCGCCTGGTGAAGCGTTATCGATCTATGACCTTCTAGCGAAGAAGGAGATCCAGGAGTTGCTGGCCAGCGTGGACGAAGACAAACTCTTGGAGTACGCTGTTCCTCAAGAAGCCAAACCTACAGAGTTGTTGGATAAAGACTTGATAGGCCCAAACAAGTCGTTATTTATCAAAATGCAGATTGCAACGAGCCAAAAGGAGTTCAACGAGCACAAGAACATTTTCCTGCGCAATAAGAGACGCGGAACCCAGTCGCTAGACGAGTATAAGAATACTTACGAGAAGCAAGAGATTCTCCAAGGGTCCTTCGGCGATGTGAGTTTTGATGCGATTCAGGACATGATTGATGGACTTGAGATGTACAAAGAAACTAAGAAGACCAAACAGGCCAAGAAGACTGCAAAGGTGAATGATGAGAAAACAGAGACCGAATTGGGGAGTGAGCCGGCTGTTTCAAATGTTCCGGAGGAAGAGACCAAAAGCGAGATCAACTACCCATTGAGAGAGATGACAAGGTTCAAGCCAAAACACCGTCCGATGTTCAGATGATAATATTCGATGTATATAGATATGATTATGATGCATATGTTTGATTATGGTTGTGTAGGCGGTCAAAGTACCGCTTTTTGTAGTCCTCTAGTTCCTGCGGAGTGATTTTCGAGACGATTAGATCTTTAATGGCTTTTTCGACGGAGGATTGAACCTTTGATGGAGTTCCATCGACGGATTCAACTGGCTCGTGATGAATTGGGGCTCCAACAACAGTTTGTTTGATGGATGTGGATTTCCCAAGCTTTTCAGCCACCTGCTCCTTGAATTCTTTATAAGACTGTGAAATAAAAACCTCGGTGGACTCTGAGTCCTGGTTTTGGCGGTCGATACGGTCCTGCTGCTGTTGCAGATGTTCCATTTCACGTAATTTGCGACTCTCCAATAGCTTGGCGATGTATTTTGGTTTTTTAGGCGAATTGGAGGCAGGTTGTTTGGACTGCACTGGCTGTTTAAAAGACTCGTACACTTCGTCGTACTGGAACTCTGACGAGTCCAAATCAGACCTGTCCTTACGAACATACTGTTTCGAAGACTCCTCTGTGGACTCGTCCGAATCGTCGCCAAAAGCAGACGTTTTTTGCACTTTCACCTTTCCCAGCTTCATTAATGGTAAATCACACTAAAAAATCTTATCGGGTCGCGGCCACAATATTTTATCATAAAAAAACACCAAGACAAAAGCTGTTTGTTCTTAACAGGTTGTACCATTTGGATAAAAAAGTTATGTTCTAAACGCCAAATCTGTTGGTATAACCGCCGTGACCAAACAAGAACGCCAATTCCATTCCGCAAAGGATCAAAAGTCAGCATTTACAGTGAAACTCGATTGTCCCTTCACGTATAATAGAACATCAAATTTATATCTCGTCACGTCACCATGTCGCAAGGCTTCGACTGGTTTTCTATTCCGGGGATGGCTCCTGAAGAGAAACTGACGGCTCCCAAACCCCATCCGTCGGTGTCGTTCGGGTTTTCGCCATCTTCCTCCACCTCCTCCATTATGACCAACCCGTCGCTCCAGATGCAGCAGCAGGCAACAGGCCCAAACCAGCCGTACAACCAACAAAACGCACACAATCACCACTCCTCTGATGCAATCAGCAAACAGGACCCGATTTCCGACATGTTCAGCAAACTCCAGGTCACAGGCATGGATCGGCGAGTCCACAGCGACGACAACATCAGTCTCGGATACAAGCCTCAAACAATGGCAGAGCTGACCGGAGACTCCAAGAAAGACCCAATCACGTTCTCAAATAGCACAGACACATTGATCGCGCAGGATGACAACCACATTCCTCTGTCTCTGACAGCAAACGACCTTTCACGGCCCGAGGCCAAAACGTATCTCCGCTGGTACAACGACATCCTGATGCGGAGAAATGGCGAGAGAACCATCACTTTGGACGATGTGTTCCGATTTCTCTGTAACTTCAGGATCTCCGATGCCATCAAAACCAGAATGAAAGAGATTTTTGGCAAAGTGGCATTGTCTTTGAACATTGGCCAATTCTACGCTCTGTTGAGACTATTGGCTCACGCATTGGAGGGAAAAGTGCTCAAGAGATCGTTGATCAAAGTCCCTGCCACAATCCCTACACCAGTGTCCATCATGGCTCGCAAAAGATTAAAAGATGAAATAGAAAGCACAGACAATTCCGAGACAAGCTCGATAGACGAATCATCGGCAGCTTTGATCAACCAGTCGCCAAATAAACTAGATCTGGATTCTTTCACGCAATTCATTCTCACGGGAGAAAGACCGTCAGAGTCTCCAAAAAAGAAGAACAGGTCAGGCAAGAAAGTCAAGTTTTCTGACCAAGTCATCATCGAGCCTCCGCCACTCGAAATGAACCGCACTGGCTCGAGCGACGCGATGGCAGATTCTCCAAGTTTGGACTATTCCTTGCCAATGGACCAATTGCTGTCACGCATGAAAACACCAAATACATCAAACTACCCGCAGCAACAGCAAAGCACCGAAGAGGAGGAAGAGGAATTACGAGACATGCAGGACTCTATCAACCATTTCCGGAACGTCACCATCGACAGCGTTTCTATACATGGAACACCATCCAGCGTTCCTACTTTGCAGGTCAATGGTGGGTCTCCGGAAAGCGAACTGCCACCGGTGGTTCCTTTGGCTCCAAATCTCACTGGAAGTGTGTCGAAGTCCATGAGAAACCAATACAACATGCCGCCAACAAGAGACAGAGGGTCTTCATCGCCGCTTCCTTTTGGAACCCACCCTCGCGTGTCGTCACCACTTGCTCGATCTGAAGCGGTTTCTGCCGATAGCGCGACACAATTTTTGGAGGCTGCCATGACAGGGGGGCCAAGCAGTCCCGGAAGTCCTGGGCCAGACCACTTCCGTCCTGTGCCACCGCCTCCTCCACCGTCCCGGAGCCGTGCGTCCTCTGTTTTGCGCCCACCAGCGCCTCCACCTCCAAGATCGCGCAAAAACTCCTCGCCTCCGATACTGGACCATCCAGCTCTGCCCCCTAAACCGATTTTGACCGAGTCCCAGCGCCAACACCACATTAGCTCGTCGAACCTCACACCTGGATTCAACCCGACGTTTGACCAGAGCTCCGACCTGCTCAACAGCCTCAAGAGCCTGCAAGCGGAGGTTGATCGAATCAAAACCAACGAGTACTAGTCGCGCCGATCGACCTCATCATGTTTTTCCCCGGCAAAAAATTTTAATCACCAATGCCACCAGTTCAGAACATTCAGTATCAGCAACAACAGCCTTCGAACTTTGAGAAGTTCAAGATGGGACTCATGATGGGTGTACGTATAGAGCCGCTACGAGAATCTAACATTTAGAGCACGGTCGGAGTTGTGACCGGGCTGATGTTTGGAGGTATGGCCATTTTGAGAAATGGAGCTCCAAACGGCATCATGAACACGCTGGGCCAGTACATTGCCGGTTCTGCGGCCACGTTTGGGCTTTTCATGTCGATTGGATCTGTGATCAGATCAGAGAGCGCACACGATATGACGATGAGCCGACCAGGATCCATGGCCGAGCTCAAGGCACATCTGATGGCTCGCCACATGGTCAACATGGAGCACATGAAGAAAAACTGTTAATAGGCCTAACCAAAATTGATGAAATGTACAGATTGGTGTATGTTGTAGTGTGATTGGGCGAGATAGCCGACCAGTATTCCGAGTTTCATCCCGAACTCGGCTGACTTTGTCGTTCTGGGGAAACGATGTGCAAATCCTTGCTCCAGAGATAGGTCGATGCGATGCTATATGAGGCGAGAAAGCCATCTCATATGCACATTTAATTGTGTCAAAGTGTCTAATTCTGCAACCTGCACAGCCCATAATAGTTTCAGATATCTGAAACCATTATGTGAGCTACAGCGATGTTTTTCCGGCCGCGTATGTTGAGATGTTTCAAGTGCTTCGAGTGTATATAAGTTCTCAGGATACGCAGGAACAGACGTGGCTTTGAAACAGTCGAGAAAGAAGATATCGAGGGAGCCAAGTTGTCAAGTTTGGTTGATGACGGAACCAGCCAAGAAGCTTCAAGGAGTGGTTAACAAGAGCTTCAACACCATCCCGTGTCATGAGATCAGTGTCAAGGATCTTAAGGACATCTATTCGTGTTTGCTGTACTGTCTTGATCTGAAACATGAGCCCGACAAGGACCACAAGCTGCTAAAGCTGAGTTTCAAGACAAACCACCCGTACTCGTTCAGTCTCGACAAGGCCCTAGCCACGATGCAGAAGCTCCAGATCCACATCGAGAACCCGGCCACTCGTATCAACATTTCCTACGAGATCAAGGCCAAGGCAGCGTCCGATCTGCTGCAGATGTTTATGAATGCCCGGCTGCTGCATTCTCCCGACGACAAAACCCGGTCGCGGCTCAAGCACGGCGTGGTGCTCCAGCCCACGCCCAAGGGAGTCGCTGTGTTGGGCGCCTTCTGCTCCAAGTACGGTCTGCGTGGCACCAAGCAGATCCCAGAGATCCTCAAGAGCAACATCAACTCGATGGAGCTGATCTGCTTTGAGCGCAACTCGCGCTCCGACTCCATCATCCACAGCGAGTACTGGAACAAGGTGCTGTTTGTGCACCTGATGGGCCCGGTGATGAATTTCTGGTCGCCCAACGTGCCGCCTGACGAGCTACCCGATCTTGCCAAGATTTACGAAGAGGAGCGGTTTGGCAACGCTTTTGAAGGTTTCGACATGACTTCGCAGAGCTCGTTTCTGGCCTTTTTGAGCGAGAAACAGGCCAAGCCCCATGCGCCAGTCTCGGACAACCCGATCATCGAGACCGTGGAGAAGAACCCAGTGTCTCCGTTTCACCACCGGTTCTTCACCAATCCGGACTCGGACTCGCACGTGCAATACTACGTTTCGAGCCGTGGCGTGCGCATGTTTCGCAACAAGGTGCTGGAGAAGCCAGACGGAATGAAGAAGGTGGTTGGCAACTGTTTCTCGGGCAAGGCGATGGTCCAGTGGCTGCTGGACTGCACGGACGTGTTCTCGCAAGAGGAGGCCGTGCGCATGGCCGGGCTGTTTCTGAATCTCGGGCTGATTAGACTGCTGGATCCTGAAGACCCTGCAGCAAAGCCACGATTCTCTCCGAAAAGAGACTCCTTTTACTTCCTCACAGACGAAGGAATGGAGCTGGTGCAGTGGAACCACACGGTCAAGTCGGGCAACTCGTCGGACGAGGACTCCGACTCAGGGTCCAGCACCACAAAGCCCGATCACCGCGGGTCCGGCTTGACGTTACAGGACGTGCTGAACGATCCAGGCATCAAATATCAGTTCCGCACGCATTTGGTGGACGAGTTTTCTGTGGAGAACTTGGAGGTGTACAATGACATCAGCATGCTGGAGAAAAAGTTCAAGACGCTCAAGAAGCTGCTCAAGCTGAAGGAGCGCGAGAAACAGTTCATGATGCTGACGCCCACCCGGTCCAAGCGCAAGGCCACCATTTCGGCAGCGGTGATCAAACTGTCCACGGATTGTCTGGGAGAGACATTCAACATCTACACATCGTATCTGGCAGAGGGAGCGCCTTTCGAGCTGAATCTCAACTCCCGACTGAAGCACGAGATCAGCTGCATCATGACACAGACAGAGGCGTACACCCCACGGCCAGCAAAGACAACTGTATCGGAACTGAGCGTTCCTACGAAACTGACTCCAGATCCTTCTACAGGGAAGAAAGACCCTTCGAAACTGACCTTGGACTTACAGAACCTGAAGCTGGTAGACCCGCCAGCACCATCACCGACCGATCGCTCGATAGCTCCCATTCTGGAAGCACTGGCCGAAATCATGCCGCTTTTCCAGCAGGTGAAAAAACACACGTTCGGGATGATGGCCAAGGACTCGTTGCCAAAGTTCATGGAATCGGAGCTGTTCAAAGAGCTGCCTGTTTCCAAGTGAAAGTGTAAACTATTGTACCAATCTTTCTGGATAGCCAATATTAAATCAAAAAATATATTCATACTTAATTAATAGGGTCTATCGTGGTTCCCTTCTTGATAGTGGCCCATCCAATCAGTCTGAAATGCTTGTCGATACGTCTGGACAACGCAATCTTCTCGTTTATTTCCGTGCATGCTGGCGAGGTGAGCGTCAATCTGGCCATGTCTGCCTTGACGGCCACCACTCTTGCTCCCGTGGCGGTAGAGCCAATATTCACCATCAACACGTCGTCAACCTCGAGCTTTCTCACACGGGCCTGTTTCTGGCCGTCGGTCTTGACTCCCAACAGTCTTCTCAGAAGGAAGTAGTTGATCTCGATGTCTGTGAAAACAGAAGGCAGGTGGCCCTTAGAACCAACAACCTGTCCAACCAAACGGTCGGCTCTACACAGAGTAGGGTCGATGTTGGTTCCCACACCAATCAGTCCTCCTGGAACGGCAAACTTTAGGTCGTTGTTCTCAGCATACAGCGAAACAATGCTGGAGAAAATTGGCTTGCACTGGATCTTTCCGTTGTCGTCCTTGGTGACAATACCCGGTCTGACCTCGATCTCGTCGCCGATCTTGAAGACACCGGTCAAAATCGATCCACCAGCAACACCTCCCTTCAACTCGTGAATCTCGGATCCTGGCTTGTTGACGTCGAACGATCTGATCACAATCAGTTGCGGCTGTGCAGAAAAGTCTCTTGGTGGAACAGGAATCGAGTTCACCATGCACATGTTGACGGCGTCGATGTTGTATTTCAGTTGTGCCGAGATTGGAATGATAGGAGCCCCGTCAGCAATGGTACCCTTGATGAATTTGAGGATAGACTTTTCGTGCTCGAGAGCCGCCTCCTCTTTCATCAAATCCACCTTGTTTTGCAGAATGATCACGTGCTTCAGCTTCATGATCTCGATGGCAGCAAGATGCTCCGAGGTTTGTGGCTGTGGACAAGACTCATTACCGGCAATCAACAGCAAAGCAGCGTCCATGACGGCTGCTCCAGACAACATGGTACTCATCAAAATGTCGTGACCGGGACAGTCCACAAACGAAACGTGTCTGACCAATTGGTATCTACCAGAACATCCCTCTCTTTGACATTTTGGATGGACCTCCTTATCACTCTCAAAGGAACGGTAACATCCTGGCTCTGGACATTCTGCATTGTCACACCGGTAAACCTTGGCGTTGGCGTATCCTAACTTGATGGTAATGTTTCTCTCCAGCTCGTTCTTGAATCTGACCGTCTGGACACCCGAAATCGCACGAACAACAGTACTCTTTCCGTGGGCAACATGACCAATGGTACCGATGTTGATGGTTGCCTGTCTATTGATGATTTCTGGCGAAAGTGGAGTTAAAGTCGAGAAGTCTGGGTTCTCTGGCTGCTCAGGAAGTCCACCACCTTCTTCGAACTCTTTTCTCTTTCTCTCAAGCTCGTCTTCGCGCTCATCTTCGTCATCAGAAGTGACAAAGCTCACTTTCTTGCCCTTTTGTGTTTCTTGTTCGTTTTCACTGTCTTCGCCGTCTTGGGCGGCATACTGGTCGTCGTAAACGTCCTCTTCAGTCCCGCCAATCACGATGTCGGGAACGGCGTCTTGGAGCTCGGTCGGCATACTGTATCTGTTTTATGTGTAATTAAATACTTTTTCACCGTAATTTTTTCACCGGCAATTTTTTCTCAACGTCTATAAAAGTGAGATCCAGGCGCGTCGATCGTCCCGCACATATTCTACTCGGTGTGGAAGCCAAACACGTCCATCACGGTGTCGATGTTCTTGAACAGCAGCTCCGAGTCCAGATCCGACACCATTTCCCACGAGTCCAGCGGGTACTGAACAGGATTTGTTGCGGTCGTCTTTGGTTCTGCTGTTTGAACGTTCTTCACTGGAGGCGGTTGCATCGTTGCGTGGTTTGGTGGAGACCGGTACTGGTGCATGAACGGTGACGTGTTGGTGCTGTTCGTTCCGCTCGTATGGCCCTGTTTTTCAGCCAATGAGATCGGTTGGGGGTCTAGTGGGATCGTATTGATGATCTTCCGAGCAGAAGACTCAGGATGCAGAGTGTTGGACAAACTGCGCTGTTTGCGGCGTCTTCGCGATTGCGACGACACAGACGAATTTGGCGTCCGCTGCGAGTCCTTACCGTTAGACTCCTCGGCGCGTTCCTCGGAGTCGGACCCAGAATTCACCGCCTCGTCGTACTCGTCAGACTCAGACTCCCCATCTGCAACCACTCCATCCAGATTCGACGCGTCCTGGCGAGGAGCAAGCTTAATCATGCCGCTCTTCTCTCGCAGAATCCACAGACAGTCGAAGAACACACTGGCGGCCATTCTTGACCGCACAGTGACCTTTTGAAACTCGTCTCCCTGTTCATGGAGTGTCTTAAGTAAAGGCCATAAAGAGCGCATGATTCCAGATGAACGGTGAGCCATGTCGTGTTTCACAACCGACGCCTTGAACACCAGATCAATCGCACTCTGGTACGCTTCTTTGCCGGCCCCGACATCGACAAACGAAGAGTACGTGGAATGCACCAGCCGTGCAATAATAAAAGCTGCCTGCCACATGGTGAGCACATGAACTCCCGGCATGTACTTCATGAAACCCTTGTCTCTGGCTTGAGCGTCCTTGCAGTGTAGGATAACTGCCAACGCGGCGTTGTATGCTTTGGTCATGCCCTTGATGAGCTCAAACGGAGCTATTCTGTCGGTGTCCAGAAAATAGTAGGTGCTGATGTGCAGTCTTGCGGCATACAGAGTCAGCCGACGGATATCGTCGACGGGGTTGGCGAAATCTGACAACAGCTTGATTTCCAATTGGTCAAGCTGCGTGTGGAGCAGATGAAGTAATGGTAGCCGTTCAGTGGCATCGACCAGCCTCAAGGGATCCAACGGGTTGCTATTCATTGTTTTGGCCAAGGAATCCTCAAATAGTTGGATTTCCACCATCTGACGTAGAGACTCCGAGATCTCGAACGACGAGTTCGGCTTGCATGACATCAACAGCGACGTGTCAAGCTGCACAAAACTGGGGAACCCAAAAGCCGTGCCGATTGTCTGGGAAACCGCGTTACAACATAACCAGGTGCGAACCTGCTCCTGTAAAAGGTCCATGTTGGTTGTTTTCATTCCGTCCGGAGAATGACCTGGCACATGGAGCCCGATTCTGATGGCCTGGAAAATAGCCATTCCGATCGAGTTCCACGAAGCGTCTGCACTCAATGACGATTTCAGCGGCGGCCAGAACGTAAATATCAACAGGGCCTGAACAGAATGAACACTTGAAACGTTCAGAATGGCCTCCTCCATCTCGGCTGGCGCGTACCTCGTGATTGGAGAAATCGCAAGCTCAGCAAGTGCGGACTTGAGAATTGGAGAAAGAGCAAAATACAGCGAGCTGCTCTCCTCCCTTGAGATTATCGCGGATTGGTGTTTCCGCAGCGAAGTGTACATTATGGTCCAGAAAAGAACCGGACACAGCTTGTAGAGTTTTTCAACACCTTTAAAGACATCAACCACAGGCAGAATGGGATGGTACCTTTCGACATATTCGCCGAAAAGGGCCTTGATCTGCTCCTCGGAAAGATGAACGTCTCCCAACGACTTGGGCTGACACACGTAAAGTGACGGATCGATATGAATACACGGGACAGGAACGGGATCTGGGCCCTTTGTACCGAAGAACGTTGGCTCCACATTATTTCGTATCACGACCGGACCCGAATTGGGCACTGTTTTCGCCGCCACGGGGATCGGCGACGGTGTTGGCGACACAAACCTAGCTTGTTGTGATATAATTGGCGGCTGCACATGTGGAGGCAGTGGGGAAAGAGCGTTCATATGAGGTAACAGGTCCAGTGACTGGGGGTCTCCGTGCAATCTTTGACGGAGAACCTCGTACTCCTTTTCGAGCTGAGCAATCTTTGCCCGCTTATAAGTTCTTTTGTAGTCCGATTTCAGTTCGCAGGGGAGGTTTCTGCGCTTGCACCGTGTACAGGGCCCTGGTGCTGTTTCATGGGCATCGCATTTGGCTTTCTGCTGTCGGCATTCAACACACGCTATTTTTTTCGATTTGGACAAATCCTTTTCGGACTTGACCGTTGTATTAGCGCCAGAACTCATTGGAAATCCAACAGATGGCGAAGTTGGGGGTATTAGCCGTTATGAAGGAATTTTTCTATTGTATTTTTTTGTTATTTTTTTCTTTATGGTGCACTTTGTACGGAGCCTGGTGGAGGCCGGCCCTGATACAAAATTGCTGTGGGCGTCGGTATTCATTCGCATGGCGTCGTTCGGACTGACCAACCAAGTGCTGACACTGTATTTGAAGGAACTCCAGATCCGAGAGTCGCTAATTGGACTGTTCATGTCCCTGACCATGATTGGGGACACGCTCTTGTCCTACTTTCTAGTTTGGAACTCCAACAAGATCGGAAACCGTCGAGTAATGATCATTGGCGGACTGCTGATGCTCGGGTCCGGTATCGTTTTCGCGTGGGGAACAGATAATTTTGCACTACTGCTTACTGCTTCCATTCTCGGAGTGATATCTCCGTCCGGTAACGAGACAGGTCCGTTCAAATCGATTGAAGAGGCAGTTCTGGCCACACTCACTCCAACAGACCATCGACCGGAGGTCTTTGCCATCCACGCTGTGCTGGCTGCAGCTGGGGCTTCATTGGGAGAGCTAGGAGCTGGTTTTTTCGTGCAAACGATGGTGTCCAAGTTCAACTGGTCTTTTGTGGAAGCTTATAGAAATACGTTTATCATTTACTGTGCAATAGCCGTTCTAAAGCTGGTTCTGATGTTCTTTTTGTCGAAAAAATGCGAAATATCAAATGCCACGTTAGAAGATGGAGCGTCAGGCACAGAGGCCAGCGAATCGACTCCTCTTTTGGTTTCCACGGTTGAATACCAAACAGTCACTGGATTGGCACCAGAAACACAAAGAACTTTGTTCAAACTGCTGGTCACCTTCACGATCGACTCGTTCGGTGCCGGGTTCATGCCGGTGGCATGGATAATTTACTATTTCAGATACCAGTTCGACGCTTCGCCTGCTACACTCGGAACCATCTTTTCATCATTGGACATTCTTCAGGCATTTGCTGCGTTCCCGTCGGCGTGGTTTGCAAAACACGTCGGCCCTATCAAATCGTCTATCTTCACCCAAATACCCTGCGGACTTGCACTGCTATGCATACCTCTACTAGGAAGAACACTGCCCCTGGCTACTGTTTTCTTACTGTTTAACCAAACTTTCACTGCATTTGATGTCATACCGAGACAAATCCTACTCACGTCTGTGACGAGTCCTGAGGAGCTGCCCAAAGTCATGGGAACCGTGAACATAGCCAAGACGGCCGTGAGAGCAATCTCGCCAAACTTCACGGGAATTCTGGCCCAGAAGGGCCAGCTTTGGGTCTGTTTTGTGCTGAACGCGGTGAACTTGATCGTGGCCAACCTCATTCTCGGCTACAACTTCCCGCACCTGGACTCTCAATTAGTTAAATCATAGCTCATCGTTGACACTGATCCGTTTACCGGAACTTTTCAGATGCTCAGAGATGTTGAGCGCGCTGTTTGACCGTGTTTGCACGCGACTGTGTCTTGCTGTCCCCTGCTCTGACCGTGCTGCCAGCTCTTCCACGTCGAAATAGTCGTATCCTCCTAGGATGTTGGAGCTTTTCAAAGAATAGTTGGTGGAGAGCATGGATTGCGGAAGAGACTCAGCATATGATTCCAGCTCACGAACTCTGCTCCGATCAACAGACTTGTCGGGCAAAACTCCTTCGGTTTTCCATAGCACTTTGATCTCCTCCAGAACGCTTTCCAAAGTTTCCAGGAACCTGCTGGTCTGTCTCCATTGGGATGAGGCCACAATCGACACGGAGTCTTCTTTGATGATGTATCCGATTCCAAAACCCGATGGAATTGCCGGAGTCACTCCAAATAGATGCAATGCTGGGTTGCCGCAGTTGGCTGCCAGGATCTCTGGCTTGTACAGCAGATCCAAGGCCGGCTCAAACAAAAATGGCGGAATCTCGTAGTTGCTGTCGATGTGGACAGTCGAGTTAAGCTTCGATAGGTGCTCGTGCTGGATATATGCGGATCTCAGCGCGCTCAGATGCCGCTCGAACCCTTTCCCCTGAGCCGCGTTCTTGATCTTGGCGACATGCTCCTCAACAGTGTCCAGGAATAGGGCCCATTTGCGAGACTGCGGAGTCTGTGAAATGAACGCTTGACACAGCGCCAGTACGTTGGAGCTCTGGACACAGATTGGCTCTGTTCGGGCGTCTCTGAACTTCCTGGTGGTCACGGGCTCCAGTGTGGAAATAGCCCGGCCGTACAGGGCATAGTACGTAATCTGGATAGCCAACTGAATCACCGTATCTGACGGAATATTCATCTTGTTGACCATGAAGTTGCTTCCGATGTTGGTTATAGTCTTGGAAACGTATTCGTGCTGGTGGATGATGTCTGCGAGTCTGGTTTCTGCCAAATGAAGGCCGGACTTGAGTTCTGGTGGCAGACTGAATTCCAGCTTGTGGAACGTTGGTTTGTCAAGGTCGCTGTTGATCGGCACAGTGTTGACGTTTCTCCAGAGCGTGTAGTTAGCGCCGTTGATCTTGCGCGCTAGCCGGAGCACAGAGTCCGTATAAATATCGCTCACGAACCGCAGAACAGAGGTCCCGTCCATAGCAGCAGCAGGATACACACACGCAGCCACAGAATTTTCTGTGATGACTAGGTTCAGCTTGTCGTAGTACCTGTTGGTGCAGGTGCCGACCTGGAGGCCGTCGGAGTCGATTTTTGAAGTACCGTGCGAGACAAACTGGACTTTCTCCAGATCATTAGCCGGGGCCTCGTGATCAAGACAGACCACGAACAGCGCGTTGTCCAGCACGTCCATAGCGTCCTTGTTGGTGCGTTCGAGACAGTAGCGCGCGTTTCGCCAGGTAGACTTGAGCTCAGTGGTGAGTGCACCAATAGCGTCGTTGGTGCCTGAATTGTGTTCCAGCTTGACGTCGTCCATGATCGCCTGGAACACGTCTTTGAGCTCGTGCTTGGTGAACCAGATCTGATGATCCTCCGATAAGACCTCCAAAACGTAGAACTTGGACCGGGCCATTATAACAATGTGCCTGCTATCTTGGTAGCTACTGCATCTTTTCACCGAAACACCGTTATTGTACGGAACAATAGTGGTGCCAAACAGATTCTTATAGGAGCTCATTGACAGCGGAGTCTTGCTTTTGGGAGCGGTATCTGGCATTAGCAGCTCTCGACGCAATGCCACTGCGAATCGTAAAGCCGAGGTAACCAAAATCGAGGCTCTGAACGCTTGTGACGGAGCCATCGATTTCAACGGGTCATTCTCAAAGATAAAGAACGGGTTCCGAGGCAGCGTATGGCCTCTCAAGTCCCCATAAACATTTGCAGTGGTGGGATAAATTCCTTCAGAGTCCAAATAACTGTGATTCGTCTTGGACCCCTCGATAAGATATTGCTGGAACACTTTGACAGATTGCGAATTGAGCAGCTCCACCGACTTCTCCACGAGGTTCTGGTACTCGTCTGGAGAAACAAGCGGCTCGAGCGCATCAAGCGCCTGCTCAACGGTGCTTAAAAGACTCGGAACAGGTAGCCGTGGCAGCTGGTCCTCGTGCTGGAAAGTAGAGTATGACATCTAGAATAGCTAACTAAACGTGGGGAAAAGGAAATATTTATACCCCACATCCCCGCAAACAAATATTGGCAAACCGGGCAAAGTGTTGGTGACTATGTATCAGTGTAGGCGATGCGGTCATGGGGAGCCTGTTTGTTAGTTGTTGACGAGCGGTATCAGCCGTGCATGCTTGTTAGACTGTCTGTGTCACGCGACGAGAACCGGGTAACCCCGTTGGATTTTAGACTTCCTAATTGGGCCAGAAAGTCAATTCTAGGGATAAGAGAAAAAAAGGCGTGCGCACGCGAAAAAGCGAACTGTGACTGTGATTTTGTACTTCAAAATTTTTCCAACCTGAAAAACTTTCAATTAACCATGTCTGAAGTTGAAGCACAACCAGTTGAAGGATACGAAGAAGAGATCGTCTCTGAACCAGTTGAGGTGAAGTTCGTCGAGCTTGCCACTCCTATCCCAAAAGATATCCAAGTTGGCGCCCAAGAGGTCAAGTTGTTCAACAAATGGTCTTTTGAAGATGTCACCGTCAAGGACATCTCTTTGACTGACTACATCCAGATCAGACAACCAGTCTACGTCTCCCACACTGCCGGAAGATACGCTTCCAAGAGATTCAGAAAGGCTCAATGTCCTATTGTCGAGAGATTGACCAACTCCTTGATGATGAACGGTAGAAACAACGGTAAGAAGCTCAAGGCTGTTAGAATCGTCAAGCACGCCATGGAGATCATCAACGTCTTGACCGACCAGAACCCACTCCAGGTTGTTGTTGACGCTATTGTCAACACCGGTCCAAGAGAAGACTCCACAAGAATTGGATCTGCCGGTACCGTTAGAAGACAAGCCGTCGATGTGTCTCCACTCAGAAGAGTCAACCAGGCTATTGCTCTGCTCACTATTGGTGCTAGAGAGGCTGCTTTCAGAAACGTCAAGACCATTGCCGAATGTCTTGCTGAAGAGTTGATCAATGCTGCTAAGGGTTCTTCCACCTCCTACGCTATCAAGAAGAAGGACGAGCTGGAGAGAGTTGCCAAGAGTAACCGTTAAGCATATAGAAGTAATAGTGAAGATGAGTTTGAGAAAGGGTGTAGCACACGGTTCCGGTGCCTGGCTATTGAGAAATTTCCACGGTGCGAGGTGTAGAGTTTTCATAGCTGCAGCCAAAAATAAATCTGGGCAATGAAGCAAAAAAAAAATAATCTCAAAATTGACATTGTTGCTCGGCCGAGCATGTATTAGCCGAGACCTTATCGAAAGAGCAATTGACCGTGCACTAGAAGATGAAATTGCCCACTTTCACGGTGTAATAGTACATCTATTCTTACGAATCATATATGCTAGTCTATTAGTTGAGCAGCTTCTTTAGGTCTGTAACCTTGCCCTCTTTCTCCTTTTCTTTATCGCTTATTTTGTCTTTGCTTTTTTCCGATTCCGAATCTTCACCGTCCTGGGAATGCACTCTAGATCGGGTTCTCTTTGGTGACACAGATCCCTCCGATCCCCTCTTCCCGGCCACACCCACTACAAGCCGTCTCCAACGAAATTGACACGCGTTGAGCGTTCTGTTCGGGAAATACGATGCGATCTCTCTCCATCCGTAGTTCTTTTCCTCTTTGAGCATCCGGAGCAACTTATCGTCCTCGGGGGTCCAGGCCGTGCTGGACTTGGAGTCGTATCTGGTGGAAGATTGCGGTGGGGTCGGAATGATCATTGGTGGCTGCGAAACCGGGTACGGTGCAGAGGCCGACGGAGGAGGAAGTGGATAGGTTGGGGAATGAGCAAGGTAGTCGACATGGTCGAACGGGTCGTGACGGTAGGCCCCCATGTACGGGTGGGGCATCGAGTACGGATGCTGCTGGGAGTAGGTGTATTGACGGGGAGGGGGCAGCTGGGGTGACAGCATGTATTGCGAAGGGGTGGATATCGACGACTGGCTGGGCGATCTGGCGTGCGCTGTTGATATTCGAGGTAAAGCAAGCTGAAGAGGCTGAGTAGGAGGGGAGGAGGAAGGTGATAAGTCTGTTTGTAGATCTCGTATTGAAGGTAGGGTGATTCTATTATTATTTTTATTGTTGTCCATGGTGGTTGGGAAAAGAAGCTAATGTTGGCATCTCTTGATCTTAATCGGGGCAAGGGCACATAAACAAACAGACCGAGAGTATCGATGGCAAAATTCAAGAAATTGCCATGTAGGGCCTCCAAAGGTTTTTATAGTGTGCAGGGGGGAAATGTAATGGAGTTAAGTAACCAGACTTCACTTTTAGCGTGCAAGAGGCAGCAACATATTATTAGCGATGCATTTGTTTGATGCGGAGAAGAACCTTGTTGCAGCAAAAACAATTGGATTGTTCAATTTCATGTTTCATAAGCGGCAAAACGCAGGCCTGCCGAACGGAAATTCCAATCACTGCATCAGATTTTGTATTGTTTAGACGCAACTCTCACTCACTGACCACACACAGAACACGAAGCCAAGGGTATGAACAACATGCTAGATGGTTGACACATATTTTGCGCGATACAGATTACCAACTACAATTGCGTCATCCGACAACAACCATCTCCTGTGCATATACGAAATGTCTGGTATAAAAATAGGTACGGTCCCTTCAAAGCGGTTTATTGTAACTTGCCGGTGGGAAGTGCAACCGGTCCACCAACTGCGCCCACGGCCAGCACGTTGCTATGCATCTTATCATCCGCGTTTACAGCAGGAACCGCAAGGATGTAGGTGTTGCAGCGAGCAAAAAAATTTTCTCGCTTCTCCCGTAGTGTGTCGGATAGTTTATGTTCCCTTCCCATCTTGGCCCTTATGAGCACAATAGGCGGCTCAATTAGGAAATATTTTCAGATGCAATGATTTTGGTATTACATTACTAACCGACCAACTGCGTGCCAAGGTTTCCGCGATCATATGACTTCTGGTGGATGCCTTGCCCAAGTATGCATTGTCAGTAGCTTTTGAAATCTATTGTTCTACGTATAACGCCGCTGTTTAAGTCACCAGCTTCTTCACTTCATCAACAGCCCCGGTGAAACTTTTCTCAGGGGAAATTCCCACGCGTTTCACTTTAAGCACACCGTCTCTGAAGATAAAGTCTGAACGCACAATTCCGTTCGGTTGCTTCTTGGCACCCAAGGGACCAATCAGTTTTTTCGATGGATCAGATAACAAATCGTAGGACAGTTTCTGCTTCAACTTGAAATTGGTTTGTGTTTTTGGCGAGTCCGAGCTCAACCCCACCACTGTGGCACCCAATCCGGTCAAAACTTCGAAATTGTCGCGAAACCCAACAGCCTGTCTTGTACAGCCCGGTGTTGAGGCCTTGGGGTACAAGAACACGACCAGGACCTTTGCGTCCTTTGCGAGCTTCAACAGATTGACGGACTCGCCGTCCTGGTTTTCCAATTCCAAGTCTGCCGGGATCTCATCTCCTTCTTCCAACGTGTTTTTGGCGGTGTCGGCCTTCACGTCATTAGACTCCTTTTTCGCGTCGACGGTGGATTGTTTAGGCTTCACCGCCTGGGCGGTGGTCTTCTGTTTTTTAGCAGCAGGAGCGGCCTCTTCGACGGTGTTGCCAGCCAAACGGGCAGATCTACGAACCATTGGATATAAAGGTGTTTTAATTTCGTGAAAAATTAAATGTAATATACTCGTGAAAATTATTATTTAGGCTGATTACTCCTCCTCCTCAGCGACACAGGTTTCGTAATCAAGCAATTTCCAAAATTGCCAGATGGAGAAGGCAAGAACGGCACCGAGAATTGGTCCGACCCAGTAGATCCAGTGGTACACTGGGAAGGATCTGGAAGCAATACATGGACCGAAAGTTCTGGCTGGGTTCAAACCAGCACCGGTGTAGTAGACACAGATCAAGTGACCCAAGAACAAAGAGAGACCAATGCACACAGGAGCGTAGTCGGACAAATTAGATTGCTCGACAGTGGTCATCAAAACAGTGATACAGAGCAAGGTGGTACCGAACATCTCGATGAAGAGACCTCTGCTCTTGGAGCATCCACCACCAAGACCGTTAGCGAAAGCAACAGGACCTGGGGTCATGGCAGAAGCAGCACCAGCAGCAGCCATACCGGCAACCATCTGGGAGAGCATCATGATGAAACCACGAACTGGAGAAACAGCTCTGGCAAGCACAAGAGTCAGGGTGACAGCAGGGTTGAGGTTACCACCGGAAACTCTGCAGGTGAGGAAAATAGCGACCATGACACCGAAACCGAAACCGAACGAGATCATGATCAACTTAGCTGGGTTGGAGCCCTGGCTGGAGTAGAACTCGTCTTGATTGGCAATCTGGGCAATCATGTAGGCAACCCACAAGAAGATGAAGGTTCCAATGAACTCACCAGAAGCAGCAACCAGGTGGTTCTTAAGATAGTTGTTGAGACCAAACTTGTTGGTCTTGAGAGCAGGGGAGTAGCCCAATTGCTGTTCAGCGTCCATTTTCAGTTAGCGAGAGTGAATATGAGTCGATACAACATCACCCGAGGTTCCGGGTCCTATTTATATTTTGGGGATGGAGGGCCTATTTCATTTGAGAGGATGTGAGGCCTTATAATAAAATTAGTGCCTGATATTGTTCTAGACAATAGAAAAAAGAAATTTACATAGGATTTTGACATACAGGGAAATAAGTGTAGCTATTTACATCTTTCTTGGAACGGAAAATAAAAAGTAAAGATTTTTTTCTTTGCCGAATCTGGACTGGAGATTGTTAGTTTTGGGATTGTACGAGGAAATTCCAATTATCTCGCGCCGTACCCATTTGTTGGCAACAAGGTTGATTTTTTTTTCACTTTGTATCAAATGCTTCCTCCTGTAATAGAAAAGTGCACCCAGGCATGCGATTTAGGAATCTCGGCTTATACTTTTACTAATAATAGCCTATATTTGTTTCGAGCCCTCCTCTGGAAACTTCTTTTGCGCATCCACAATGCACGAATAAACAGCCCTATTCACGAGTTTCTCGTTCTTTCAATAGATTATGCCAGCGAAAATCATCGCGCACTGCGATACACACGAAGATCACACGTTTCCAGCCCAAACCTCGCGCCAAGTGCTGGCTTTGACCCACAATCCAAGCCTAGATCGAAATTTCTTTCTGCCGAGTTGCAGACAAACCGACCCTCGAATTCCACACCAAGCCTCTCTCGGTACGCTGTGATAAGCCGTTTTATTGTCAGGCTCTGGAAAACTTTTCGACGTTCAACTCCTTTAGAAATCTATGGACGTTACCTCCTATTGACTAGTTATTGTCCTGTAATTGTATGCCGGGTACTTGTCTTTTCTTTTGGTAATTGAAATTTCTCTCAGTCCACTTGTTCTTATTGGCATAGCCGTGTTTAGTAGCACTGCAGCCTGTTACACCGTCCAGTGATGAAGCGGCCGTAACGTGATGTCGAATTTTCAGTCTAGTAGCTGGTGCAAGGATGCTCAAAAAAATGTAGCCCTCCCGCTAAGGGAGAAAAAAAAAACTGGCAACTGGCGACCCCGCTAGCCGCACCCCTAGAGAACTATGGAACCCCGACAAAAAGCATGACTCTTGCGATCTGGGGATCTGTGATTGGCAGACACGGTGGGCGGGGAACGTGTGGATCCGTGAAACGCGGACACAGAGCACGCAAAACCCCGTTCGTTACACCGTTTAGGACAATATAGGATATTCCTGGGGTGCAGGAACACAGTTGACCGAGCCTGCCTGGTGGATAGGAAGGAATCAGACTACCTGGGCCAATTAATATTTTTCACACGACCTCCTGGATTTTCTCTATAAGAGCTGTCGTGTCGGCAAGGAGTTGATATTTTTTAAAAAAACAATGATTAAGCGGCAAATTGCGTCCGCCAGTAGACGTGTGTGCCAGCCACGGTTGTTCAGCAGTTTCAGAACCGTCCTACAGACGGCCAAGCCTGTTGAGGCTGCTCCGAAAAAGCCTGCAAAGAAGGCTGGATTTTTCGCTTATACTTTGTACGGGCTTGTTGCCGCAGCACTAGGGGAGACTGCGTACCTGACGTATGCCGTTTACAAGGAGACCAACCCGGGCAGTCAATTGCCTCAGTCGACTTTGAAAGAGAACGGCAACAAGAAGAAAAACGTTGTTATTCTTGGTTCTGGGTGGGGGGCCATCTCGTACCTCCACAGTCTGGACACTACCCAGTACAACGTGACGATTGTTTCTCCTAGAAACTATTTCCTGTTTACTCCTCTTCTTCCGTCTGTTCCTACTTCGACCGTTGGATCCCAGTCGATCTGCGACCCCGTTAGGGCAATTGCCCGTCAAACTCCGGGAGAGGTGACATATCTCGAGGCTGCTGCGACAGACGTTGATCCAGTCAACAACACTGTCCATGTTGTTCACAAGAACATGTCGTTCACGCTCGGCGAGGCCTTTGTCAACAACGACGAGCCAATCGAGACGACTTTGAACTACGATTACCTGATTTATGCGGTTGGGGCTAAAGTGAACACTTTTGGTATCCCGGGAATCCCAGAGTACGCTTCGTATTTGAAAGAAGCTCACGATGCCACTGCTGTTAGACAGAAGCTGTTCAACGCTATTGAGGCTTCCAGACTGCTGCCTAAGGACTCTGATGAGCGGAAACGGTTGCTGACCTTTGTTGTTTGTGGAGGAGGCCCTACCGGTGTGGAGCTGGCCGCCGAAGTTAAGGATTACATTGACCAGGACCTGCACAAGTTCATTCCTGACATCGAGAAGGAAATGAAGGTTGTTCTTGTTGAAGCTCTTCCAAACGTTTTGAACATGTTCCCGCAGAAATTAATTGAATATACCAAGGAGGTGTTCAACAACCAAGGTGTTGAGCTCAGGACTAACACCATGGTGAAGAAAGTGGACCCTAAGAACGTGTATGCCTCTGTGAAGCGTGCCGACGGCACTTCTGAGGACGTGGTGATTCCGTACGGAACTCTTGTTTGGGCTGGAGGTAACGCTCAAAGACAGTTGACCAGATCGCTTGCCGATAAGATCACCGAGCAAAAGACCGCCAGAAGAGGACTTCTTGTGGACGAGAACTTGAAGCTGGACGGTGCCTCGAACATCTACGCTTTGGGAGATTGCACTTTCACCACGAACGCTCCAACTGCCCAGGTTGCTCACCAACAGGGAGAGTACTTGGCTGACTACTTCAACAAGCTGGCCAAGCTCGACGACTTGGAGTACCTTTCCTCTCTGGAGGTGAACCCGGAGTCTGTGCAGAAGCTGGCCAGACGGATCGAGAGACAAAAGGCCTCGTTGAAGCCGTTTGTGTACAAGCACCAGGGTGCCATGGCGTACGTTGGATCCGAGAGAGCCATTGCCGACCTTTCGTGGGGCTCGTGGTCCACGCTTGCTCTTGGAGGAAGTCTGACCTTCTTCTTCTGGAGAACTGCCTACGTGTCGATGATTCTGGGCGTCAGAAGCAAGATCCTTGTGGTGAGCGACTGGATCAAGGTGGCTCTGTTTGGCCGCGACTGCTCCAAAGATTAGATTCGTCAGAAATATATTCGTAGCGTATTTAATTAATATTAGCACATTTACGCGGCTCCAGCTCGCCCGTGCTGGGCACCACCATGGTTTCCCAGTCCAGCGGGTACAGCAGCTTGCCTGATTTCGAGCGCGCGTGGACCACTCCCAGATCGTTTCTGGCGGTGGTGACATAGTAGTTGATTCCGTCTCCAAGGGATATCACCATGGCTTTCACGATATCTCCCGGTCTGAAACAGTCGCCGACCTTGACCTTATCTCTCTCGGTGGACCTGATGTCCGAGGACCGCAAAATGGCTTTGAAATTCTCGCCATAGTCGTTGAGTAACAAATTCGAAAGATGGACACTTTCGTCCTGCACATGCAGAATATCGAGGTTGACCTTGGTGGTGGAGATCTTGGTGACCTTGGCGAGCACGACGTCGTCTTCGGACGGCGTGAAGTTGGCAATTTGGGCCCCGTTGGTGCGCACAGACACCACAGACGACTTATCTGTGGTTGCGAAGTTGACGGCTCCGAGCGAGGTGGCCACGATGCATGGGACAGCGACGCCGTTGACCGCGCGGTCGGCCAGAATTGTGTTGGCGCCAGCGGTGTAGACGTGGTCCTCGGCGGCGGCGGGCACAATTGGTTGTCCTGGCAATACCAAAGCGTTCATCTGAATTCCTGATAACAAGGGTGGAAAATTTTTAAAATAAATTTTTTACTGAAAAAAAAATTATCAGTATGGGTAAAGGAGACGTTAAGAAGGCTGTTAAGTCAGCCAGCAAGGAAAAGAAGGGGAAGACCGATGTGAAGGCCGTGAAGAGCAAGAAGGAAGTGAAGGAGGTGAAGAAGGCCGTTAAGGCCAAGGAGGAGAGCGAGAGTGAGAGCGATTCGAGCGACTCGAGCGACTCTGACGATTCTAGTGATTCTGACGATTCTGACGATTCTAGCGATTCTAGCGATTCCAGCGATTCCAGCGACTCTGACTCTGACGACTCTTCTGACTCTGACTCTTCTGATTCCGAGTCCGAGGAAGAAAAAAAGGAAGAGAAGAAGCCAGAGCCAAAGAAGGAGGAGTCTGAGAGCTCCGATAGCGACAGCTCTGACGACTCGGACAGCGACAGCGACAGCTCTGATTCTGACAGTTCTGACAGTTCTGACGAGGAGGAGGAGAAGAAGGAGGAGAAGAAGGAAGAAAAGAAGGAAGAGAGTTCTGACAGCGACAGCTCTGACTCTGACTCGTCTGATTCCGATTCTGATTCCGATTCTGATTCCGACTCTGATTCCGATTCTGATTCTGATTCTGACTCTGACTCCGACTCTGAGTCTAAGTCCTCGTCCAAGTCATCGTCCAAGTCTGAGTCCTCGTCCGACTCCTCGTCCGAGTCTGAGTCCGATTCGCGTAAGAGAAAGGCCGACGCCGAGCCAGAAACCCCATCCAAGAAGCCTAAGGAGGTCACCACTCTGTTTGTCGGAAGACTGGCGTGGGCAGTCGACGACCAGAGACTCTTGGAGGAGTTCCAGGCGTTTGATGGTGTTTTGGCAGCCAGAGTGATGACTGAGCGCGAGACCGGCCGTTCCAGAGGATACGGATACGTCGACTTCGAGTCGAAGGAGCAAGCAGAAAAAGCATTGGAGGAGTTCCAAGGCAGAGAGATCGAGGGAAGACCAATTAATTTAGACATGTCCACCTCCAAGCCGCAGACCCCGTCCCAGAACCAGAAATTCCAAGATAGAGCCAAGAAATACGGAGACACTCCATCGCAGCCTTCCGACACCCTGTTCATCGGAAACCTGTCGTTCCAGGCCGACAGAGACACTTTGAAGGAGTACTTTGACCAGCACGGAACTGTCTTGGGCATCAGAATTCCAACCCACCCTGAGTCTGAGCAACCAAAAGGATTTGGATATGTTCAGTTCAGCTCGGTGGACGAGGCCAAGGCCGCTTTGGACGCCTTGAACGGCGAGTACATTGCCGGCAGACCTGTTCGGTTGGACTTCAGTGCTCCAAGAGACCCTAACGGAGGCTCTCGTGGAGGCACTCCAACTCCTCGTGGAACTCCTCGTGGTGGATTTGGCGGTAACCGTGGAGGATTCGGCGGCAACCGTGGCGGATTCGGCAGAGAACGTTCCAGTGGAAGCGGTGCCAATTCCGTCCCAGTCGCTTTCAAAGGCAAAAAGAAGACATTTGACTAAATAATTTAGTGGGAACCTGATTTATTGTATTTTATAAATAAAAAAGTTATTGTATGCCCTTCAAGCTTGAGGCCCAGATTGCCGAGCCCGTGATATGGACGCGTGCTGTTTACGCGTTGTCTACCATCTCCGACACCATCAAGTTCACCTTGCGCGAGTCGGACGGCGACTACGAGATCAATCTGACTGCCATCAACACCAGCAAGACCAGTTCGCTCACTTGCACTTTTAAGCACGATTTTTTCCAATCGCTAACCGTCGAAGGCGAGGTGCCTGTGCTGGAGTCGATCCAGACGTTCAGCTTTCTCATCAACAGCAAAACAATGAACGTGTGCTTTAAAGACTGCGAAAATGCTCGGGAACTGAAACTTCTGGTGATCCACGAGGGATTCGAGGACTCTACACATATCTTCAGCAATAAGCTGTTTGTGGAGTCGCTGAGCACCAATGGGGTCACCAAGAACTACTCGCTTATGTTCAGACCCGGGTTCTCGTCGCACGACCTCAAGATCAGCCATGTCTATAGAAAACTGCTCCGGTCACAAGACCGCGGGTCACATGACTACACAGAGCACGACAAAGTGCATCTACTGGTGATGGAGATCCGCGTGCTGAAGAAGTTCCTGGGCATGTTTGGCCACGGACTCGAGGACTTCAAGGTGGAGCTGTACCCGGAGGCGCGCAAGATCCTGTTGCACGGGTACAATCGGCAGGAGCTGCTGAGTCGCCAGAACACGTCGTGGGCGTCGCAGCCGATGAGTTTGTCGATGCAGCTGAGTCTGAACGACATCACCGAGGACAACTGCGCAGAGGGCGACGACAAGAGCTCTGCATCGTTCCGGCTACGCGATTTCCGGACCTTTGTGCAGCTGTCAGGAGCAGACGCGGGCGATTGCTCCATCATCTACAGCTACGCGGGGTCGCCTGTTGTTTTCGAGAAGGTGCACACGCGCAGCGAGAAGGCGCGCACCCCGGTGTGTGTTGTTACGCTCACCATGATCGGAGACGGCGAGTCGATCGACGCGACGCAGCTGCGGGAGCGCGACGACAACGTCAAGTCTGTGGACACGCTGTTTGTGTCTGAGTCCGGTGGGCAGGAGCACGAGCCGGCCCAGTACGAGGACAGTGCCACACAGAACCCCGAGGAGACTGGGTTGAACCAGATATTCTGGGAGAACCAGAAGTACCACAGAGCAACAAAGCACTCCGCGGCGACCCCAGCCAGTCAAGCCGGTCCACCTGCCCCAGCACAAATGCCCGACATCGACCCGGCCCATCTGGAGCCTACACAGGTGCCTGTTGCGAAAGGTCTATTTGACTAGGAATTTATTTTTGCTCTTTATTTAGGTAGTTGTATTGCAGGTACCGGTATCCCTGAGTGAGCTGGGCCACCTCGTTGAGCAGGTGGCAGCCAAACAGCAGGTAATTAGCCGGCTTGACGGCCATCGCGTATCTCATAAACACCATCGAGTACACAACCAGAGACGCGGTCATCGGTCCGCTAATCAGCTCCGGCGACTTGTTGCGGATGTCGGCAATTGCGGCGAGGGGAAGTCCGAAATTGGACACCGGGCCCCAGAAGTGCGTCGTGAACACATACTTCAAAGTCTGTTTGCTAAAGATTTGCTGTGCGATCTTGGTGGTGGAAGTTGACGAGGACATGATCGGTCAGGCGCAAACCGAAAAAAATGAAGGAAAAAATATTTATATGCTGGGTCTCCTCTTTTGTTGCATCTGGTGGGAGCTGCGGGCCACGAGCTGCCACAAAAACAAAGAAGCGGTGATACACAGTGCGAAAGTGGCCGCAAAGACGCGGTTGTAGCAGCGGTAGCCAAGCTCGCACACCGCGCGGGTCTCGCCGTCGATCTCGACAGGAACCGTGTGGGAGTCGTAGTTGCGTGCAAACACCGTGCTCAGCACGAGGTTTGTCACCGCGGGGGACGTGTTGCACAGCCCCCAGTTCGTGCTGAAGTTCTTCATCCCCCACAGGTCGCTCACCACCAGCGGCGTCAATGTGTACAGTGCCCCGTAGCCAAGTCCCAACCCCACAGTTAAAATTGACAGCTCGCGCAGGCTGACGAAAAAATAGCCCCCTATTTGCACGGCTCCAATGAGGAACAGTGGGATCAAAAGCAGGCTGGCACGTGACGTGCGTGTTCGCGAGTGGAACTCGTCTGCAATGAGCCCGCCCAGCAGCCGACCGGCCGTGGAACACAGCGACAGCAGGGAAACCTGGCCGTGCTGGTGTTCCTGCACCGCCACATCGTAAGCGTTGATGTCCTTGATGGCAAGCTCACTTCCCCCGTACAGCGAGCACACAATCACGCCGAGCCCGTAGATGAACATCTGGCCTATCCCGGACAACAGCCCCAAAACAGCCGCCACGTACCAGAAGTCCTTGGTCTGGAACGCGTGGCGCGGAGGGTCCTTCGAATGCGGCGTGGCAGGAGTGGGGGAGCTTAGCGACTGTAGCTCGACAGTGGTGGGGGTTGTTGGGGCCGGCACGTAAGTGCGTTTCCAGTCACACAGGCACACAAATGGGGTCGTAATCACAGAAATCCCCATCGACACAAAAGCGACGATCTTCAAGAACCCGGCCGTGTCGCCTGCTGCGAGCCAGCTCCCGAGCCGCGAGTACAGCACCCCACTGGCCCCGTAGCACGCAATGGGCAGCGCCGCCGCGAGTCCCTTGCGGCTGGACCACGTCACCATGCTGCACTTGACACACACCGTGTTGAGCCCCGTGCTTCCAACTCCGACAAACGCAAACAGCACACAGCTGTATGCCAAGCTGGAGGTGGCAGCCGCAAACTGACGGTAAAACAGATAGTAGCTGAGCGAGATCAAAAATGCCCCAATCGCACACGGGCCGGTATAACCCAGAACGTCTGTGGCGCGGCCTACGAAGGGCCCCGACAATATTGCTGCTGACTGGCCAGCGATAGCGATCCGCGATGTTTGGGCCGCCGTGTAGTGCAATTGAGCGGACACTTGCGGGGAGAAGGCGCCAAAGATGTAGAGAGTGCCGCAGTTGAGGCTTGCAATGGCACACGCGGCCACGACAAGCGACGAGGGTGGCATCTGAATAGGAGCTTTCGTGTTCTTTTATCTCTAAAAAAGTTATATTTGAGTAAATAAATGTAACTGAAAAATTCACCGGGGATGCTGAAGATTGCATACTTTGGATCGGACCTGTTTTCCATCAATGTTCTATTGCGACTGCTCCCCAGCTACCACGCGAACATCACAGTGGTCACCAGGGAGGCCAAGCTGAGCGGACGCGGCATGAAGTCGTACAAAGAGCCCGCGCTCGTTCATTTTGCACAGCAGACACAGTTACCTCTACTGCGCGCAGACTCCCGACACCAGTTCGACGCGCTCGCGGGAAAGTTTGACCTGTGCATAGCGGTGTCCTATGGAAAGCTGATCCCCGGCTCGTTCCTCGAAACACTACGGTTCCCCGGCCTCAACGTGCACCCGTCGCTGCTGCCGTCGTTCTCGGGGCCTGCCCCAATCCAGCGAGCTCTGCTGTCGCACCAGCCGTACACAGGCGTTTCTATTCAGACGCTCGACAAAAAGCATTTCGACCGGGGAAACATCCTGCTGCAAGAGAAGTACCCCATTGCGCGAGACGAGACGCTTTTTTCACTAATAGACCGTCTAGGAACCAAAGGTGGACAGCTGCTGAAACACGTTTTGGATAACAAGTTATACGACTCTTCGGTGCAACCATATATAACTCCGACAGAACCGTTTTCGCACGCGGCGAAAATCCAGCCCCAGGAAAAACTGATCAACTGGCACAGCTACACCACAGAACACCTGATCCGCCGCGAAAACACGCTTGGCCCGCTCTACACGAAGATCGCTGCGGTCTCCCGAACGGGAGAACATGGCTCCAAGCGCGTGTACCTACCGAATCTCCGCCCAGCAATGCGGCTACCAGACCTGACGCAGCCTGGCCAGTTTGCCCTACACGACGACAAGCTGGTGGTAGCCACAGCTGACGGGGCAGTGGAGTGCGCAGGAGCAAAGGTAGCAGGATTCCCCGAAGAAAAGCCCGCCAAGTTTCTCTCGAGCATGAAAAAACGTGCGGGCACGGTCTCTTCCCAATTCTTATAAAGCAACTATACAGCTCTTGTTGAAGTCCTCCACGGCAACAGCAATCTTGCTGTAGAGGAACTTCTTGTCGGCCGGGTCGGGGATCGGAATGAACCGTTCCACGCCCATCGACCGCTTCTGCTTGATGCGGATGCCTGAGTTCTCCAGCCGGATGGACCCAATTTGATCATAAAGAATCTCCCATTCCACGCTCATCTTGACAATAGACACAATAATTATCCGCTTCATGCTGACAATAACGCAATGCTCCTGTCCGGGCAATATAACATGCGCCAGGTACTTGTCGTCAAAGTACTTGCCGCCCTCACAGCTCTTGAGCCAGAACTGGCCTTGAGACTCTCTTTCTTGGTACGGCTTCAACGAGCCGTCGTAGTTGATGAACCGCGGAAGACGCACCTTGTCGAGCCCCTCGCCGTCAAACGCAGTAGCGGTGTTTCGGATACCTTCGCTGATGTTGTTGGCGAAATCAAACAATCCAGTAGCCGTCTTGGTTGGCAGTCCAATCAGTCCTTTACCAAGACCTTTGAAGAAACCTGCCGTTCCTTCCTGGTTAGCTCCCTCGATCGGAGCTGTTGCAATACCAGAAATACCAGAAGATATACCTTCCACCAAAGACGTGGCTCCGGACGTGAATCCGTAGATCGGGTGTTTTGGCTTGTTGCGCTGTCTCATGAGTCTTCTGCGCTCCTGGAAATTCTTGTCCATGGTAGCAGCAGTCATTCCCTTGGCCATTGATCCTGTGAACCGCGCAAAACTGTCACTGAATCCGTAAACAGACTTCTTCACGAAACTCAATCCACCCTTTGCCAGTCCAATACCCAATTCCTGTGGCCGATCGGTCATGATGAAGCCCTGGTAAGGCTCGTAGAAAATATCCATCACTCCGGAACTGATGTTGTTGAACAGTCCAACAGGATTTCCTAGCACGTCTGCAGATCCAAGGACTTTGTACAGTTGGTAAAGGAACGCCTGTTGATAGTGCTCGCTAATGTTTTGTATCAGGTACGGCAACGGAGTACGGATATTCTCCAGGAACAACGACCCCAAACGAACTGGAGCGTCGTTGATGTTTCCAATGGCCATTGTCAGGATATTGAGCATCACAGCAAGAGCGTTCTGGGCCTCGGCGGTGTCCTGGGCGTTGATGCGTTCGGTTCTCACAAACGAAAGATTGAATTGCAGCGGTTGCAAGTGCAAAACCTCGAAGTAAAGATCGTTTCCAGAACGAACCGTTGGAGGCTCTGGAATCTGCAGATTCTCGTCCCAAAGAACGTTGCGAACAGACTTGTTCCAGGAAGCACCAGGGAATTTCGAAAAGTCCAACAATGCGAACAAGAAGTCCTCGTCAACCTCGATAGACATCTCCTGCAACAGCATGGTGGCATACTTGATGTAATTGACACCATGGGTCTCGTCCTTTAGCCGCGAGATGGACATCGAGAAGGCCGGATGGTTGCTCATTTCGGTGCTTGATTTCGGCACAACTGTCGGGTACACAATGATCGGATAGATGCTTGGATACAGCTGGTTGTCGACCTGGATCCATTTGAGTTTCAAACTCAAGTTCTGGTATATGTCGGACTCATTGTACCGCAATTCCATTCCTCTGATGGTAGTATAGCACAACTCTTGATGTTTCATGTTGATTAAAGAAACACCCAGTCCTTCGAACCGCACCAGAACCTTGGTGTAGTAGTTTTCGTCTTTCTCAATGGTCTCAAACTTGTCTGCATTTGCCGTGCTTCCAACATTCGTCTGTGAAGACCCGTTGTACTTCAACTGGTACAAACTGGTCTTAGCATCATAGTTCGAAATGATCAACGACTGGATAGTTCCATCGGCCACAACGTTCAAGTCAACAATCCGAGTGGTGTTGTCCGGTCCTTTGCCAATCTTCATTGGCATCAAAGTACCAATTTCAGCCAAATGGACAAACCTTTCTCTGGAGCCGCTTTTTAGAACAAGCTCTTTGTACTTGGCTGCCGGGAAATCCCAGGCGTATGGCATCGCACTTTTTGGAGGAATCCGGTAGAATATCGGCTTGAATGGGGTCTGTGACACTTTCCTTCCCTCTTCATCAATGTTTGGATCAGATTGGTAAATGAAGAATTCGTAGTCACTGAAATTGCGAATAGAGTATGGCCAAAGATCCTTGGCATCCAGAATGTCAATAAAGATAGCAGCAGACTCCGTACTGATAACAGCACGAACCAGCTTGTGTGCGTTCGTGTTGAGTTTCTGGACTCTCACGTAAATCTCACCAATATCGTTGATTCCAAATGGAGCAGACCAAGTAGACTTGCTACCGGAGAAACCAATCTGCAGCTGTTTCGAGTCAATACGAGGCATCTCGTACAGCGGACTGAACTTACCAGGCTCGACATGGATCACACCAGAAGCTCCGACTTTGGAAACCTGGATAGCACTATCCAGATTGTTTCTGATGACATATCTTGGAATCATGCTAATGACCTTAGTCAAACTGTAAATTCCTTCTCCTTCCGTGATATGGATTCCAACATTGTTTTCTAACTCCCTGTTCTTCAACGGCACTTTCACCTCAAAGGATTGTCCAATCTTGTCGATACTGATGTTAGGACTTGGCTGCGAATCGCCAATGCGCAAAACAGCACGGTTCTCCTCCAAGTTTCCACCCATAAACCTCTGGTCTCCACTCGAATCATAATCAAACGAAAACAGTCCTGGAACGGTAGGCTCAGGATTATCAGGAGAATGAGCCTCGCAGATCATCTTGTTGTATCTATCGCTCAAACTGATATCCTTTCCGGTTCTGTTCAAAACCAAGTAAGGGGCATAGATCAAGATCTTCAATCCCGAACGTTCATTGTTCACGTAATGAAGTCCCAAATGAAGTCTTTGTCCGTCTTCACTCTTCAGAGTCAATCTTCTGCTCAATGGGATTCTGGAGTCGTTAGGAATGTTGATAAAGCCTGCTTCAGACTCATTGTATTTCGAGTGAAGCGGTCTGATGTGCAACATTAAGATGGCATTCATGTCGACAACGTGTATGGATTTGGTAGCTCCTTTTTTCAAACCACCGGTCCACGTCTTGAATCCTTTTTGGAACACCTTCCAGTTAATGTCAAATGGAAGCAAGTTCTCGATTTCCAACGGTGGAGTCACGTTTATGGTCATGTGAGGATAGATCTGAGTCAATGCCTCTTTCTCGTTGTAAGTAGCATGTGCTCGGAAGAAATACTTCTTTGCTACACCGTCATCTTGTTGAGGACACTCCAAAACCATGTCGTTTTGCATGATTTCACGCCAATCGAATCCAAAGTGCGAATTCTTGCCAATGACTTTGGCAGTAGACCATCCAAATGACTGATCATGGACTTCTGGCCGAACAGCTAGCTTTCCTTGGTACACATAGTCCAGAGGATATGCTTGTCTTCCTCCTGCTGCAATAACAATTTCATTGTTGACCGATCCCTCTGTTTTTGAATCAATAGTTCCAATGTGAATGGCAGATTGCGTAAAGTTCTGGATAGTCACAGTAGATTTCAAGTAGACTTTCTTGACTTTGTCTTCTTCTAAAACCACTTCGCAGGCAAGTCTGTTGTGGTAGCCAGCATCCAGCTTTGGATTCAACATGAACACTTCTTCACCCTCAGTCCGTAACGAGATTCTACGAACCCAAGAGTACGAAGAGCCAACAATCTCAACACCTATGAAGTTGGACTCGGTGTCAACATGCAAAGTTTCTCTGACTTTCCGCCAATCTTCAAACGACCACGGAACAGTGTCCCCATTTTTCAATAAAGTGAGCTGTTGGCGGTCTTTCAATGAAGGGTTTCCATCATCGATCCATATCTGTAGATCGTACCCTGTTTCGTTGATGATTCTGTAAGGAGCATCTTCTCCACGAGGCTTGAAATCGGCTTCCTCAGTGATCAATGAACTGATATTCGAAAGCAGAGCAATGCTTCTGGAAGTGACCGTCAATTCAGCAGATTCCCGCGAAGCAATATCAACAGTAAAGGATGGAGAAGGCTCAGTGACTTTGGAAACATGTGCACTGAATGACCAAGGTTCCAACAACGGCTCCCACGAAGACGTAGAGTAGTTGAAAATATTCACCAAAGACTTGATAGTGGTGTCTGCCTCAAGATCCGTAGACCAGTTCTTTGCAACCAGCTCAAAAGGCTTCACTTCCATATCCAAAACCGGCAATTCGTGCACATCACCAATAACGACGAGTCTCAAACCAGCTATGTTGGCGTTCATCTTTTCACCCTTGATGATCACCAAAGGCTCCTCAGAAGGAATTTCTGTTTGATGCGTGCTTCTAGAAACCGAAGACAAGATCGAAGGAGCGTACTTGGAAAGCTTTTTGCCAAGCTCGTCTGGGAACGTTACATATTTGGTTCCAGGAGCTGCAGAAGCTTCCTCATCAACTTTTGCGGTTTCTTGGATCTTGGCATACATTGCAGATGCTTTATTGATGATTTCAAGTGCCAGTCTGATATCTCTCAGCGAGATTCTCATTAGAAGTGGATCGATGTTCATTTGAATAGAGCTCAAAAACTGGGTAGGGGTACATCCGCGAGAATCCAGGTTGAAGCTGGCCGAAAAGTCGTCAACAATACGTAATCTGCTGGTTTCGTAGGCATCCATTTTGCAAAGGAACATTCCAACTCCAATTGCATTCACATTTAGAATGTTTTGACTGGTGACGATGAATTGACTGATCTTGAACACAATAGCTTCAGAATCTTCGTTCTGAGGATTTGCAAGCACAATCACCGAAGGATCAACAATGTTGACGGAATACTGGAGAATCATGTCTGACTCTTCTGGCTTGGTCTCATTTTGACGGGTGGTAGCAACCTGTTCTGGCACAGAGGAACCATCTTCGCTCAATTCCTCTAGCTCCTGCAAGTCAGGATGCGACTCTTCTTTGGTTGAAACAGCATAATCCATAAACTCCTTGAGAGAAAACAGATAGTCCAGAGCAAGAATGACTTTTGGATTGTCAATCGCAAGATTGACATCCACAACTTTCTTCTCGTCGCGAACTTCAGATTTGACAGAAGCCATGAACTGGTAATCAGTTGGCGAGATTGGCGGAATGATATTGGTGAACTTGTTGTCTTTATTTTCACGAACGTCCTCAATGACAAAAGAGCGGATATGGAGATCTGACTTGAAGTTACCATTGTGTTTCATCTCAAACTTGATACCAATATCGTTCAGCGAGAATCGGGAAAGAGACTTGCCTGCCAAAGTTGGGGCATCAAGAGTTCTGTTGTAGATAGTCAATGCCAACAATGGAATATTGAAGTCGACATCAAACGAGATCTTGTCAGGAGCCACTTCTTCAATTGGCTTGGTTTCCACAGTTGTCACAGCAGGTTCAGGCTTTGACCCAAGCAAATTTCCGCTTGTTTTTGTTGCGTCGGTCTCGATCTCTTCGATGGATTGGTTGACACCTCCTGAAAAGACTCTTGGAACTTGATTGAAGATTTGAAGCAGATACTTGGCCTGAACTTCCGTCAACTTCATCTCCTTGCCTGTCACTCCACCAGTGACAATCATTGTTGGACGTGAAAGTTTCAGGTTCTCGCAATAGTTGATATCGAACCCAACGTCTAAACCATCAATGATTTCCAGGTTTTGAGTCTTACCATTAACAGAGAAGGACGATGTGAGCTTGGTGTTCCGGAGTCCTGTAGAAATCAAATTCAGCATGGAACCATCTTTCTTTTCAAACTCGTTGACAGCATATATCTCTCCCAGGTTGGCAGTAATGTCATCGTATACGTCGTTTTCTGGATCAACAATCTTCGGGAAAACAAAAATCGGAGCTCTTACCAAAACATCAAACTTCATCAAATTGGCATCTTCAATGTTGTTTGCCTGACTCAAAGCAGTCTCACGTGCACGGTCGTAGATATACTTCATTTTTTGGAATTGGTTCAAGTAGGTGAAGATTTTGGTGAATGGCTCTTCAACGAACATCACAACCACAGAGCCTGTTTTGAGAGTGATCTTGGTATTATATGCTTCTTTGTTGGTAGCAGCGTCAAAAGTCTCATAGTAAAACTCCGCAAGCTCGTCACCACGAATAGTGATCAACTGACGCAAAGGTGAGTCTTTGGATGCACCTTCATTGACTTCATCAAACAACGACAAACCACCGATTTTCGCACTAACTTTCATCTTTTCGGGAAGCAGGAAACATTGAATATCGGCATGTTGCAATGTCATAGTTGCCAATTTGATTCCATCATCATTCAAAACCAGTATAATACTCTGCAACGTTATCTGCACATCGATGTGTTGAGGAGCTGTGGCGACTTCGTTTTCGTTGTTGTGACGTAGTTTATCTGCAGACGTTTCAGGAGCTTCAGGGTCTGTGAAAGTGTTGAGCACAAAGTTTAGCAGAGTCAATAAAGACTTTCTGGTGACAACCACTTTAAAATCAGCAATATCAAGATCAACTTTCTGGTCGTAAACTTCAATATTTTCACCCTTAAAAGGCACTAAACGCTGAGTTCTGGAGTAATGGACCTCAAACAGGTTCTCTTTATCCGCAGCGTCTTTGTTAAGTTTGGATGAAACTAACGACTTGAACTCTGCAGATTCTGATCGTTCAATAAAGTCTTCAATTGCAAGATCTTCAAGCAAAACATGAACATGCATGTCCAACGCGGTTTTGAAGAATTTCAACCTCAGCTTTTCTCCAATAAGATCAACCAAACGGTCAGATTCCAAAGTCTCACTGTTGGAGCACCGATTCAACGAAAGATATATCAAGTCCATATTGAAGTTGAACTCAATTTGATGCTGCTTATTTGCCATCTCCAAAGATGGTTGTACTTTCGTAGAAATCGAAGAGCTTTCAGAGTTGGGAGTTTTTGTATCACCGTCAAGTTCCTCAATCGATCCAGCAAGAGTCTGTTCCGTTATGAGAGACTTGAAACGATCTGTGGCACCTTCATCCGCAATCTCATCTTCAAAGTTAAAATTAGGAATGGCAACCTCGATCAGTTCCATGAACACTTTATACTGGTAATCGCTCAACATTGCTCGGAACTGAGGAACATCTCCACCAACACGGATTCTTGGAAGATTGTAATAGCTTGGGATAATGGATAACTCAACCAGAAACTTCATACTGAACTCTTCTAAGATCAGAGCTGGTCTATCGCCAGTTTGATGCAATTGTTCGATGGTCGACTTGATATTCGATCCAATCAGAATCTGCGCATCCTGCAACATCAGATCAAACTTGTCGTAAAGATACGAGTTCATTCGCTCCCAGTCTTCAGCCGTGTAGTTGTCTTTGTTCTCTGCTTTGATCTGGTTGATCTGGTCTTTGCTAACCAAATCACTGACTATGCTTATGTGACCAGCATCTAGAACTGCAACAGGAGACGACCAACTTCCTGGATTGACAGGTACAATGATGAGCGGGGCCTGAAGATCCATCTTACAATTGATGGTTTTATGCTCTTCAAATGCGTATTGAAGACCAATTCGGGTCTGTTTCGTGAAATCCTGAATTGTCGATTCGGCAGCATTCATGAGCATTCCAATGGTGTCCAAATGGATCTTTGGAGGTGTGAAGAATCGAGCAATGGATTCGATGAACTTTGGGTTATGAAAAATCGTCATACTATTCATCTTGGCAAGCAATGCAGAGTCCGCGGACTCGTCTAATGGGTTGTTTTCAAACGAAACCTGGAAGAATGGTTCTTGCATAGAGTCCTGAGACAGTATACCCGAGTCCTCCACAGATGACTTTAATGGTTTGACGCTGACAATGTGTTTGTAAAGCGTGTTATCAGAACCATCCTCGACTCTGAACTCGTTCAGCTTGAACCCAGCAAAGAACGAATCCTTACGCTGGAAGAAGTCGGCGTCACATCCTTCAAAAACGATTTCTGCCATGTTTGGCTGGCCCTTGGCGTTTCTGATTGCAAAAGATCCTTTCTTCAAATTACAACTGATTGCCATGATGACCCGTTCTCTTGGAATGTCGATAGAATCTGCAGCTTTCTTCTTTTCATCAAACTCAATGGCCTCGTAAAACTCTTTCCTTTGCTCATCAGACATTGTAAGTTCCGAATCTTGATCACTCTGCTCAGTGGCTCCACCTCCCCACCAAGAAAACCAGCCCTGTTGAGCTTTCTGAGCAACAGGTTGGATGATTGATGCAGTCTCATTTTCTTTGCGATACTCCATGCGTGCAAGGGATCGATAGAACTTGATATCCTCGTATCCGAGCTCGTTCTCCAACTCATTGAGTTCCGTTTGCGAGGCAGGTGTCATTTTTTCTCCAAGATGCTGTTTCCAGAGACCAATGTAGCTCTTCCGCTGGTCACGTCTCTTCTTGAAGTATTCCCAGGTCCACTTATAGTTCTTTTCATGGATCTCGGTATAAACACAATTGAATGCATACTGGAGCCATTTCTTAGGATCATCTTCAACGGTTCCTCTTGGACGAATCTTTCTGAACTTTTGTGTTCTCAGGTACCAACTCAAATGAGAAGCTGTCCACAATGCATCGCGATATTGATGGCTGTCCAAATCGAGACCAAACTCATCAAAGAAGAATTTCCCTGCGTAATGAGGAGACGACTCGGTTGCTCCTTGTTTGTTGACTGTGAGATGACCGAAACCAGAAACAGGCTTCAAAATATATTGCGCATCGTTGTTGAACTGGGAGTTACGCTCGATGATGGTTTTGAAGAAATCGATGAGCTCTTCATGATCTGTCAGTTCAGTAGAGGCATTTTCTGTATCCCAATAGACACTGAGACTACCCAATGTCAACAATTTCCGTGCGAGTTTGGTGACTCCGTCGTTGAATCCTGGAATCCAATTTTCATCAGCAGACACAGCAGACAGTTCTGTCAGGGTGAAACCCAAAGTGTATGGGTTTTCTGTGAACGTGTGGTCATCCTCATATCTGAAATGAATATTCTTGATGGTGACTTGCAAATTATCGACAATTTTCGTCACCAAACTCTCTGTGAAGCTTTCATTCTTGGCTTGCTCGTCTTCGGTATAAGGCGTATTTTTGCTAACCAGCTCCAAAGCCTCCAATTTCTCCTTTTTGATACGCAACTCGCGAGTCTTTTCCTCCTCAGCGTCGAACTCGGTCAGAATCCGAGGAGAAGCCAATAAGAAAACGTCGTCGATCAGCACCTTGACAGGTTTGCTTTTCAAATTGGACCATGGAATTTGCAACGTCAATTCTCCAATATGACCAAATCTGACGTCTACAGGAAGTTCAAACTTCTCGAGAGACTCCTTCTTGAGCTTCAGATTCTTCAACTTGACGTCTCCGCTCCAAATACCAATGTTGAGTTGTTTGGGATCAAAGTTCTCAACATAAGCCCCAAGGGCCCTATTGAGGATATTGGCGACAAGAGACTCTAACATTGATCAATTCTGGTACAAACAATGGAATATTGCGAGTTATAGCGGCCAATAACTCTTTCAACGCTCAATTGCTCAAAACTTGTCTTGTCTACAACTTTGCTATGTGGCGTAATTATATATTTTAAAGGTAGATCTACGGCTGTGCAAATGTTTTTGGGAAAATCTTGGTTAATACGTATTTTGTGCTTATTCAAAGGGGTTGTCGTTTATGGATGAAGCAGTGGTCGTGGTAGCATGAGACTGCAGATCATAAGTGGTTATACTTGCGTTGTCCGGATGCCGGTCTTTAAGATGGATCAAGTTGCTCAATTGCGGCTTGGTTCCCATCTTTTTGAAATACCAAACAATTGCAACCACAAGAGCTCCCAACACAACTACCGGCACAACTACCGCAGGAACAATCACTTTCACCTTGGAGCTCGACCCGGAAGAGCTCTTGCCGTTATCTGAAGGCAGTCTTGTGATTTCTGTGTACGCATCGGACTCGTGCTCTATCACTCTGATGAGCGGTCCATACGTGGTTCCCGTGTGCTTTGCGTCCGTGGTGGAATCCAGCTGGGGAGTGATGAGCAGCCAACAATAGCCTTCGGTGCCGCTTTTGCGATAAGACGACTTGACCTCCCAAGCGAAAAAGCCATTATTGTTGCTGATGTAATCTGACGTAAAGAGAGCGTCGTCTCCGTCAACTGGTGGATACTCGTTGGTGGAGATACGCACTCTGGTGATATCGTCGCTGCCCCAATAAGACGGATCCCAGGTGATCCAGTATGTTTCGCCAACAACCATCTCTGTGCCGTTGGTGATGCAGAATGGATACCCCGAGTTGGAGTCGTCTGCTCTGTCGTTCATGCACCGCAGCACAGGAGGAGCTCCCCCGGTGGCAGTTGGATACGAGGTGTCAGTAGCAGTTGGAGATGCCGAGATGGTACTGGAGCCAGAAACAGTGGGAGTCACAAGGTAGGGAATACCCGAGGAGTCGAGCGAATTCCAAACGGTTGCAGAATCTGTAACTGGGGAAGCGGAAATGGTAACCTCGTCAATCACGGTTGGAGTGATGAGAACCAAATTATTAGAAGACGTGGACGTCCAAACATCATTGGTGAGCACCTTCTGGGCCACAGCACCAGCAGCAAGCAAGATGATCGGGATCAGCATGATTATACAAATGTTCGCTTAAAAAAAGCGGGCGCCGTTGAAAATTTATGTGGGCTCTGCCCGACATCACCGATGCAACAGGAGCTATTGGCTGTTTTTAATATAACGGTAAGCCGTTACTATACGTCACCATCTTCCTTGTTTCTATTATTACATGACAGACATATGCTAGTATACATAAACGAGTTGGGGGGAACCTTAAACTTCCATGACATTTTTCTCCGTATCAATATTGATGGCGACAGGCAGGTTGGAGTCCTTTCTGTTTCTTGTTTTCAAGTATTTGGCTTGTTTGTAAGGACTCAAGCGAGTGTAATTATTTCCATGAGACCAGGATTTGAGTCTCATAAGATTCCAAACTCCTTTTCTGAATCTCTTAAATGTGTTCGAAATGAAAAACGAGTACATCAAGTACTCCAAGTAGAAAAACAAAAATGCAACCAAGAATCCCCCAATGACAGCCCAAACGATGTGGTTGAGCATCAAGAACATGAACTTGGCATCGTCCATGTGCCACGATGATCCTTTCGAAATAGTGAAGAATGGATCCTCGCCGCGGTTGTAATCATCCGGCATCAGGATTCTCACGATTCCGGCGTCCGGAACGCCCCATCTCTTGTATTGTTTCCAAATCACAGACAAAAACAGCGGACCAGTAGAGTACATGATGGTGATGTACGGCACCAGCCAGTTGTTGTTGTACTTGTTGAGAGAGTCGATGGCTTTGGCAAAGAATGGGTGTCTTGGGATCGATCCCATGGCGTCGTTTGAGATTCCAGTTGGGATGGTCTTTCTAACAAATGCAGGAACGGTGAGCAATGGGTCTAATTTTTTGGCGCATCCGTCATCTAGGTCAATATAGATACCTCCATAGTGACTCAAAACAAAGTATCTGATCGCATCGGCACGCTGGATAGGGTACTTGTAATTATCAAAAGTTTGCAAAAACCATGGATAATGCTCAGAGATAAACTCTCTGGACATTTCATCAGTCCACAACATGTACTGATAGTCTGGGTGGAGGTCGATGCAGCTTTGTTGACCCTTTTTCCACACCTCTGGGATATCTGTTGTTTTATATGTCTGATGGATAATTTTCGGGATAAGCTGCGGTCTCTCCACTGTCGAAGATAATTCAGATTCCAGCAAAGCGTCGCTAAAACTGTCGTCGTTGAGCAACGTTATGAGGTCGAAGGTCTCATAGACAAGGAAGAGCACCACTAATAGATGCGCCAAAATGATATACTGTAATTCTTTTCTCATTGGTAAGGAAGGACTGATTGGCAATCTTTATTTATTGGGTTGTATGCTTTTGGTAACAAAATAGTAAACAACCAAACTGACCACTTGTATTCTGTTTGAGAAATTAACCGCTAAATTTACAAGCTTCAAGTCGGTGGGCTTTTGCTTGCAATTTCAGTGTTAATTCAGATTATGAAGGAGCTTGTTCAGTTTAATTTATAAATAACTTAAACAACACAACTTGGACTGAGTGCTGCTGCGCCAATATTTATTTCAGGAGTCCAATCTGGTAATTATACATGGGAAAAAAAAAAACTTTCTGCATAGCCACAATCGTCCAAGCCACCAAACGGTACACTACTGGTTCTGGTATGTTGACTGGGGATATTCGGGCCTGGACGGCTCAAGGGGGTCCATCTTGGTGATTTCACGGTCAAAATGCTGCATTTCCTCACCACTATACCGATCGCTGTCTGTGTTTGTTTGTTTGAAAATGTCCTTGAACGGTCTGCCGGTTATTAGCTTGTACATCAAAAAGATTGCTAACATCACACCAGCCACAATGACCGTACTCACTAGGAAATATGAGACAAACTTGGGGATCGCCGGTTTGGGACCAGCTTGAAACTGGTCGTCCGCCTTGTTAGGGTCGTACACAATCTCGGACATGATGAAAGTCTTCTACATCTGAGTACATCCCGCTATTTATGTAGCCCGTACCAGTAGTTTACATTGGATGTTCTGTTCCCATGTGGCTCAGTATCGTGAGCATTTGCTCTTCACACCTTGCACCAGAACAGCAAAAAGCTTGCAATGCAACTACCGCGAAAAAAAAAAAAAAACAAGTCACTGTTGTGGGGCGAGCATGGGGCATCCAATTGCGGTGAAAAATTTCTTCCCACAAACACTCCAAACAATAGATATACAATAACGGCATCTCGCAGGAACGAACCGGTTTTTAAAATTGCTCGGTTCGCGGGCACGGGTGTGTGAGGGTAGTGCTTGTGGAGGGTAACCAAACTAAACAGGGGAGTCACAAAAAATTTTCGGTGTATGGAGAATTGTTCAACTTTAGTTGGAAGAGGGAGGTGTTGATCTACTAAAGGACTTGCATTTTTAATACATAATTTACGTGATCCATTACGATGTCTGCTGTATTTTCATATGCCCACGCTGCCGGAGCGCCATCTTCGTCGAATGTTGCGAAATCTGAGATTGAGAACGGAATTTCCAATCTGAGCATCAGTGACAAGGAGCCTGAAAAAGTGGTTCAACAGACCAAGAAAACCGACAAAACCGACAAAAAAGAGAAAAAAGAGAAGAAGGCCAGCAGATCCAGCTCGAAGGAGCCGGAGAGCAAGCCCGAGCCTTCCAAGGAAGACCAGGAGCCAAAGAAGGTTAAGCTGGCCCCTGCTCCTCTGCCCGCCACTAATGTTTGGGGAAGCACCCCTACTGTGATTCCAGCCAAGCCATCTGTCGAGGCTATTGGTGTGCGTGAATCCACGCCAGAAGCCACCCCGGTTGTTGCCAAGGCTGCCCAAGGAAAGGAGAAATGGGTTCCGTTCAAAGCTTCAGTGGTGATTGCTTCGAATAAATCCACCCCTAAGCCCCAGGGCAAGAAGAAGAACAAGAAGAAGAACTTCAAAGATGGCGAAGCCAAGGAAAATAAAGACCTGAAGAAGAACGTGAAAAAGGCCGGTGACGCGCGCGAGACCGAGTTGAACGGTGATGCCAGCTCCGCAAACAACGTTCTTACTCCAGAAAATGCATCCAACATCAAACAGTCCTCCGAGCTCGAGAGCGAGTCTAACGAGCTCAAGGCTGACGAGTCTCAGCAGAAGTTTGCCAGAGCCAACGGCAATGGAAACAATTCGTTCGCTGGCCGTCAGTACCGAATGCACTACAATAACCAAAACAAAAGATACAGTGGTCAGGCTGCTCAGAACGGCAAGGTTAACGGAGCCAACGGCCAGTTGCCGTATGCTCCATACAACAGCCGTCCTTTCAATGGCCAAAACAATAGACACCATCACAGTCGACCAAGCTACCAACAGCAGTCGCAATACTTCATACCCCAACAGCCACCTTTCTATGCTCCGATCCCTTACATTCCATATCCGGCCGCGCCGGCTCCATTTGCATCGGTCATTCCGCAACAGCCACAGCAGATCTCGATCCCACCTCAGGACAGCAGCATGCGGGATGCCATGCTCCAGACGCTTGCTAAACAGATCGACTACTACTTCTCGACACAGAACCTTGTTAAGGATATCTTTTTGAGAAAACACATGAACAGCGACGGATTCCTCCCGCTGTCTGTTCTTGCTGGCTTCTACAGAGTTTCTGGTCTGTCTTACGGCGATTACAACCTGGTGATTGAAAGTTTGACCCAATGTGGAAACCTGGAGTACGGTATCATCGAACAAGAAGACCAGAAAATTTACAAAGTCCGTGCCAAGCTCGACCCTACCAATTGGGTTCTTCCTGCCGACCAGAGACTCGAACAAGGATTGGACGAGCAGTCTCCAAGCTTAGAATAGGTGCAACCAGTTTCCTTTTTTTCTGGTGTAAGGATGGATAGTATTGTGTAAATAATTTGCCATTAATTTATTCCTCGTCTAAAGCAATATGTCTGATCAGTTCACATCTGTCCAATGGGATCGCGATGACGGTCCCTCGGAGACTCCACCGGAGCCTCAATTACCGGCTTTGGACGAGCGGTCGTCCGATTCCGAGAGCGCAAGCGAGCCAATTGACGATCAGGACAAGGCTGAGGAGGCAGATGAAAGTGGGTCTGGACTACTTGTGGGCACCGAACTGGAACCCGAACATACGCCCGAGCTTCAACACGATGAGTTTATTGTGTCGGATCAGACTCCCGCAGAAGAACCCCAACCTTCACCTGAATACTACATTGAAACAGAGGTTTCGAGCCCCATTACAGAATATGATGGTCAAAACCCATACACGTCGTATTTGATCAAAATCCGCACGAATGGTCCCACATTCAAGCAGAAGGACTATCAATTGCGACGCAGATACTCTGATTTCAACTTTTTGTACGATTGTCTGTCCAATGATTTTCCAACCCTGATTATCCCTCCTCTGCCAAATAAGGAGCGTTTGGAGTACATCAAAGGAGGCAGATTCACAGACGAGTTTACAAAAAAACGTGCTGTTTCGCTCAGCATCTTTCTGGCGCGTATTTGCAAGCACCCTACGTTGCGCAAGTCGCAAATCTTCCATATCTTTTTGGAGGACTCCGATTCGTGGCATACTTATCGTTCGAACTTGAAGATTTCCTCGGGATCGATCGATCCAAACAACACAGCATCACAGAACATCGAGACAGTCACAGATTACATCATGAACAGTTTCAAGAAACCAAGCTACGACTCAAAGTACAAGCGAGAGTTCCAGGAGATCCAGGAAAAGTCCAGCAAATTGCAGGAGAATCTAGTTAATATCGATCACATCTACTCCAAAGTGTTGACGCGGCAGCAGGACATTTCGACCGACTTTGCACGGTTTTCTCAGGAGTTTTCAAAACTGAACGTGCTGTTCAGCAACGACTTTGACGGAAAGAACCGTGAGGATTCTGGCGACCGGTCTGGAAAGGACATTTCTGACCAGTTTTCTAAATTTGGAGCCAATTTGCAAAAGATTTCAGACAGATCGTTTTACCTGAACCACGAGATCGAATACGACTACCTCACTTCGCTGAGAGACCTCGAAAACTACATCACACAGCTCAAAAACTTGGTGAAGCTCAAGGAAGCCAAGGCATTGGACTACGAGATGTTGTCCAACTATCTTGAAAAGGCCAAGCAGGAGAAGGATCGTCTGGTCAAAGGTGGGTCTGTCACGTCCTCGACCGAGGGTACTATCATCTTCCTTACACGGAAATTTGAGTCTATGACGGGGATGGGGTCTCATCAGCACGGAAACCTCACCAACGAGCGCATCCAGAAGCTTGATTCTAGGATTGAAGTTCTGGAAAAGGAGAAGAAAAACGCTTTCGAGGTGTTTGAGAAGTTTGAAAAGGATATTCTCGATGAGTTCCAACTGTTTGAAGCTACCAAGACCGACGAGATTAACGAGTCTCTCAAATCGTTAACGGATTCTTATTTACAATATTACACAGATCTGCTCAACGATTGGCAGACTCTGAAGCTTGTGGAGACGGGCGACAAGCCGATCCCTACCCTGAAGAACAAGCTCAGTGAGAATGACGAGCTCTTTTCGAGCGATGACGTGTTGAAGAATAACGAGGTGCTGGAGCAAAACCTGCAAAAGATACACGAGACCACTAGCGCGTCTTGAGCTTCTTGCTTGGTGTTTCATTGACCACAGTTCCGTCGTCGTCGAATTCCAAAAACAGGTTGTTGTCGTAGACAAAGCCGAACTTTTTGCCGAACAGGGACTCGAACTCTGATTTGGTGAGGTACTTGCGATATTCAATGGGCGGGAACTCGTTCTGTTCGAGCCGTCTATTTTTCTTCCCGATGGAGGCAGGACTCTTGCTGTTTTCCAGGAGGTAGAATTTTCGCAGGAGCATGACAGCCTGTTTGCTCAGAACTCCCGGGATTGACTGGTACGGTCGATTGAGCAAGTCGTCTTTGTTGATTGCGAAGATAGACCCGTTTCCTCCAAACCGTTCGTTGGGGCAGCCAAACACCACCGTTTGAATTTCCAGCTGGCGAAGTAGCGACGCACACATAATACAGGGTTCGACAGTGACGTAGAGCGTTGTTTTGCGCAGCACTTGCTCGTACGACGTGGGGTATTTGGCGCGGATCTGGTCGTACGCCTCGAACTCTGCGTGTTTTGTCCCGTTGAGCGTGAGGTTTGTCTGGTTGAACGCCTTGGCAATGATCTGGTCTTCGTACACCATCACACACCCGACAGGCACCTCTCGCACAGCAAGGGCCGTCTCGGCGACCTTGAAGGCCTCCTTCATGAATTTATAGTGAGAAGAAAAATCCATAAATTATTTTATTTTCTCTTATTTTTCTTTGTTTATTAATGGCTACTGTTGAAGAGCTTGTGGCTCGCAAAGAGCAATTGGCATTGGAGGTCGAGTCTCTACGACAGTCGTTCAAACAGCTTGACGATGAACTGGCTGAGATCGATGAGGAGGTGGAAGAAGACGTTGAAGAAGTCAACCAGGAGCTTTCCCACCACCAGTACTTTGACGATCTTATCCAGAGTCTGATGAGCGAGGGGATTCGCCAGGTGGAGGACGCGAAACGCGAGTCCAATAAAGCGAAACGTCAGAAACGTGAGTCGGCAAAAGACCGGTCTGCCGCAGACTACACCGAACTGCATTCCAAACTCGAACCCGCGATCCAGCTAGAAAACGCGTACAGACTGGGGGGGATCACCGGGTTCCCTGTCAATGACCCACAAGCAAACGGTACCGACAGGTACTTGGGGATCCGGTTCGACGTGTTTGACCAGGACTCTGCCACATACGTCGTGCCGCACTATGTGATTCTCCGCAGACAACCTAAGAACGATCAGTGGGAAATCTTCAAAACCACGGTGCCCAATTTCATCCCGCTACACTCGATCGCCTACGAGTACCTCAACGTCGACCTGATCAAATTTGCCAAACGCGTGCGACAGTATCTGATCCAGTTCCAGCTCAAGAAAGCCACTTTTCTGCGGCTCAAGGCCCGGCTACAGCCCCCATCGGGGCTCGACCATGATCTCGATTTCTCCAAGATCAGCATCACCCTCAACGATACCGACGAGGTTGTTCTTATATGTGACCTGTTCAGAGTGTCGAAAGTGCATGCCACGAGCGTCGGACCGCAGCCATCGGCGGAATTGCGCCAGCTGGAGATTCTGTTGGCCGACTCCAAAATCTACAATTTTGACCAAAAATTCCTAGCGGCCGCAAAAAATATTTACCCTAGTGTTTACACATGAACCTTTCCGATGTCTACTCGCACAAGGGGTATTTCCTTTTGATTCACCCGTCGATCCTAGTTGTGGGAACGTTTCTGAAGCTTGTGCTCGACTGGACCGGGATCGACGTGCCAAAGACCTCGTTTTTGCTGGACTCTAACGGGCCTTTGAACCAGATCTTTGCAGGCCACTCGTTTGAAGGGTTTTTCGTCTGTTTCGCACTGATTACCTACTATGTCGTCAGCACGAAACAGTCAGAGGTCGTTCTACCGCTCGTCCATCGCACAGAGCCTTCGCGCAAGACAATTCTCATTCGCCAAGCTTACAAACTGGCGTTCATCTACACCTGGGTGTCTTTACTGATCGTGTGGTTCTTTGGCAACTCCGTTTTCGACAGAGTGCTCAAACTCACTGGGGGCCACTGCTCGGACGAGTCGGACCTCACCTATAGACAGTGCCGGCTGTCGGGAGCGCAATGGATTGGAGGAACAAAGTTCAGCGGCCACTCGTTAATACTGAGCTGTTTTGGGCTGTGTCTGATTTTTGAGCTCGAAAACGCCGTCAAGGTGTTCCGGGCCGACTCCAAAACGTTCGTCTACAACGCGGCCGTGCGGCTGTCTGCGATCTACTCCGCCGCGTGGATCGTGCTGTTCGCAATCACCAGCGTGTTCTACCATACCTTGCCCGAAAAGATTGTCGGGTTGGCTGCGGGCATGGCAGTGCCGTACCTGCTCTACTTCAAGTTCGAGTCCAAATTGAAAATTGTATAATGGACACTATAATTACATCGCTATTCCACGCCCAGCTCGGCGTCCACCTTGGCCAACTCTTCGTTTGCGACCTTCTCGAGCTCCACAGCGTCCTCGTACACGACCGACCCTTCCTCGTTGTAAAGCTTGGCGTTCGTAAACATCAGCTCCAGCTTCTCCTTGAACATCTCGTAGTCCACGATCGACCCGTTCTTGAGGCCCTTTTGCAAGTCCTTGATTGCAACGGCTTTCTTTACAATCTGGTAGTAGTCCGGATAAAGCTTTCTGGATGGTGCCACCATGAACAGCTCCGACCGCGAACGGCCCTCGTTGTCAGTGACGGCCGCCAGCTTTTCCAGCACTGCCTGGCACAGTCCAACAAACGGCTCCTGGCCGTCGTCCTCGGCAAAGCTCTCGTCGCTCATTGGCGTCGCCGACTTGGTGCTGCGTCTCTTGCGCGGCGTCTCGTCTTCGTCCTCATCGAGCTCCGCGGCAGCAGACCGCTTCGTCCGCCGCCGTTGCATCGACTGTCGCTTCCGCTCCGCAGCAGCCTCGACCGTGTCATCCTCGGCGTCCATCGCATCCAGCCATTGCTCTTCGGTAAGCCCGTCGTCGTAGATAACCCGCTTTCTCTCCCGCTTCACAGCAGAGTCCGGCTTCTCCTTCTCCAGATGGTCTGCAATGTCCTCCTTGAACACAGGTGGCAGCTCCTCGAACGTCATCAAACGCGGACCGTCCAGCTTCTTGTCAGCCTCGAACCGCGCCTTGTCCATCTTGGCAAACATCACCTTCTCGTCGTCGTTTCTCGCAAGAATGTCGTTCAGGTCCTCGTCGTCTAGCTCGTCGTCCTCTTCGTCCTCAGCCTTCTGCTTCTCTGCCTCCAACAGACGCTTCAGGAACGCTTCCTGCTCTTCGGCACTCGACTTGTTGTCGAACTTACCAGCCTGGATAACCTTTCCGTCGATGTCCAGCTTCTGGTGTGCTCTTTCCAGGATAACCTCCTCCACAGAGTCCTCTGTGATCAGTCTCAGGATACGCACCTCGTTCTTCTGACCAATACGATGCGCTCTGTCCTGTGCTTGCAAGTCCTGGTGCGGGTTCCAATCGGTGTCGAAAATAATGACAGTGTCTGCGGTCTGCAAGTTCAAACCCAATCCACCGGCTCTTGTAGACAGCAGGAAACAGAAGTACTCCGAGTCTGGGGCATTGAAGTCTTTCAACATATCCTGACGGTCATCCGCCTTGGTGGATCCGTCCAAACGCATGTACTTCATGTCTCTGAACCGCAAATAGTCCTCCATAATGTCCATCACCTGGGTCATTTGGAAGAAAATCAACACCTTGTGCCCAGAAGCTTTGAACTTCGGTAGCACCCTGTCCAACAGCTCGAACTTTCCAGAGGATCTCCATATCAAATCTGTCGTCATCCGTGTCGGGTTCACGATATCCTCAACCTCCTCGAAAACGTAAGGATGGTTGCAGACCTTTCTCAGCTGCATGATCTTGTTGTTCAGACCTCTCAAACCGGTCTTGGTAGCTCCCTGAGTACCAATACCAACAAAGAGAGCGTTGTGGTTCAACATCTGCTTGTAAAGCGACGACTGCAGTCCAGAAAGCTTGCACTTGACGACCTTCTCAACCTTGTCTGGAAGATCTTTCTCCACATCTTTCTTCAGTCTTCTCAGCAAGAACGGTCTCAAAACCTTGTGCAATCTTCTAATAATCAGCAAACTCTCTTCTTCAGAAAGCTCGAGCTTGTCCTGGTGGCCAGTGTTGGCGAAAGGAGTGTTGAACCACTCATCGAAAGACTTAACAGAGTTGAACACTTTTGGAAGAACAAAGTTCAGCAACGCCCAAAGCTCAGGCAAGTTGTTCTGCAATGGAGTACCTGTCAAAATCAGTCTGTTTCTGGTGTGGTAGTATTGTTGCAAAGTGAGCGACAGTTTCGAGGTGGCATTCTTCATACGGTGACCCTCATCGATGATCATGTGCGCCCATTTGAACTTGCACAGCAACGGCCGGTCTCTAATGATGTATTCGTAAGTTGTGAGCAACACAGAGAAGTTTCCGCTTCTCACCTCATACTGTAGCTGTTTCCGCTGGTTCTGAGAACCTTTGTAAACAATTGTCTTCACAGCAGGAGCCCATCTTTCAAACTCCAACGTCCAGTTGGTTATGGTGGAGAGCGGAACAATCACAAGGAACTTGCCGCGCTCTTTCTTGGCCTCAATCAGATACGTGATCAGGGAGATCGACTGGATGGTCTTACCCAGACCCATCTCGTCTGCCAGAATACCATTCAAGTTGTTATTGTACAAGGAAACCATCCACTCTAAACCTTTCAGCTGGTACTCCTTCAATGTACCTCCAACCAAGAGGGCGGGTTGTTTCTCCACTTTCTCCTTCACCCGGTGAGCAACCTCGTAGTAGTCAATTTTCTCACGACGGGTTTCTGCATCTTCCGCAGTTTCCTCCTCCAAAGGTTCCAGTCCTTCTTCGGCACGGTCCTGCATGTTGATAGCTCTGGTCTCGTCCTGCTGCACCTTGACGGCGTTGGCCAAGGAGTCCAGGAAATTGTTGGTTTGCTGGATCAAATGGTGTAGTCTTGTATCCTTAGTACGGGTCAACAGTTGCATATAGGCTTCTTCGTCATTCGACCGCAAAGCGGCCAGTCTCTGTTTGGCGATCTTCTCCAACTTCTTGCTCTCGTCTTTCTCCACCTGCGAATGGAAATGCTGGAGCGACTTGGCAAGCGAGTGCCGTGCATTTCTCTTTTCCTCCAGTTCTTCTCTGACCTCGTCGAAAATGGCAGCCAGACGGTTCACTTTCTGGGTCTGGAAATCGTGCTCGAGCTCCTCCTTCTCACGGCGCTGTTGTTCTTGCAGCTTCTCGGCGAGTCTAGATGTTTGTTCGATCTTCTGTTTATCTCTAATGGAGAACGAGCGTTTGAACGAGCGGAAACTGTTGGAGCCGTACTTGCCGTCGCGCGTGACCGCACTTGACAGCGTGCTCTGCAGCAGTTTTCGGCGCAGCTGTTTCTGTTCGGGCAGCAGCTTGATGGCCTTGAGCTCGTTGAGTGCGCGGATCTTGGTCTCGTCAACATTATCCAGGACGTCAGCTGCAGTTTTGGACAGGTCGTTCTCAATATCGCCGGCATCGTAAAGACCTATATTGGCTGGCAATTTGGACAACTCCAAAACACGAGCCTCGAGCTTGTCCTTGACAATGGCCTCGCCCTCAGCAAGGCCAACAGAGTGGATCTCTGGATTCGGTATGGTCTTGTACGAGTCCAATCCCAGAATCTCTGCCTTCTCTGTGTAATCGACGCCGAACTCCAAGTCTGAATCAACACTTTCCACTTGGGGCTTACCCAACAGACTGGTTTGAACTTCGAACGGCAGGTCCAAGTCTTTGCTCAACAGGTTGAACGCAAGCAGCTGAACACGCAGCAAGTCCAGGTCGACCTGTTCGGTGTTCTTAGCCCACGATTTCTCCAACTGCACAGACTTCTGCTCAAACTCCTGTCTCTCCTTGTTGACTCCTTGTAACAGTCTGAGTATTTTCTTCTTTTCGGCGCTCTTTCCGGTCTTTGTGTACCTGGAAAGCAAACGGTGAACGTCTGCGGCCGTTTCCGGTCTGGAAACATCAACGCTGGCCTTGCCGTTTTCTTGCTGATCCGACATCTACACGCGTTGGCAATTGAATACGAAAACAAAAAAATTTGGCCAATTTTTATTCAGGAAATTATTTGGAAATTCTCATAGTCACCTGTTTCTGTGCAGGCCTGTAGTTGGTCTAGAAACAAGGTCTGGAACGAGCCTGGCCCGGCAGCACGAGCTCCAGCTTTCCGTCCGGCCTGTTTGTAGACGCTACATGCAGCAACAGTGGCCAGGAAGGGGGATCCCTTATTGGCTGCCACGAAAGCTGCTATGGTAGACCCCAAAGAACACCCTGTTCCGGTCACATTTCCCATCAGTTCGTGGCCACCCTCAATGATCGCCACTGTGACTTCCCCATCCACACTAGGCCGTCCGTCAAGCACTCCGTCAACAACAATGTCCTTCTTGCCTGTGACGACCACCACAGATCTCGTTTGCACAGCCAGCGTTTTGGCGACAGACACGGCCGACTCCAGCGCCTCCTCAGACCCAGAGTCGACGCCGCGCATGGACTTCTGGATCCCTGCAGCGGTGAAGATCTCGCCCTGGTTGCCCTTGATGACCGTCATGTAGCCCTCGAGCAACAGTTTCTGGACGCTGAGCCTGCGGATGGTTGACGCACCGGCTCCAACTGGATCGTACACCACCGGTTTACCGTGCTTATTGTACGCTTTTAGAGCTTGTAAGTACATTTGAGTCTCCTCCTCTGTAGGAGTTCCCGTGTTGAGCACCAAAGAATTGTTGGGATACTGTGCCAGCTCCCCAAACTCTTCAGGACACTCGCTCATCAGCGGAGCAGCTCCAATTGCCAAAGTCACGTTCGCGGAAAAGTTCTTGACAACGCCATTGGTGATGTGGTGGACCAACGGTTTGACCGTGCGCACCTGGCGGATCAATTCCTTGACGGTGGCTTCTGGTCCAGTGGAGAGCGACTGCCAGAAGATGGGAGTCTCGTTCCATAGAGAAACGAGCTTTCGGGTGGCTGTAGCCGGGTCTGGCGAAGCCATGATGCACGACACGATAGCCACACCGTCAATAGCTAGTCCTGGGATCCTGGCCTGTGCACGAACCCGCTGCACGTTCGTCTCGTTGATTCCTCCGATCAAACAGGTTTTCAATGGCTTACCGGAGTCTTTGATGATCTGGAGCAGTTTCTGTGCGCCAATTGGGCCCATCGGCAACTTGGCAGTGACCTTTGTCTTAGTATCAAAACAAATCCCAATTCCCACGTAGTCCGCACCGTCCTCCAGAGCTTTTAGTATCTCATGCGGCTTGCTGGCAGAAACACCAATGATTTTATCGGGACCCAACAATTTACGGGCATCTTGGACGGTCATGTCGTCCTGACCAACGTGCAAATGTGCATCAACCGCAAGCGCAATATCTGCCCTGTCGTTGATTATCAACGGAATTCCCGCCTTGTCGGTTAGCTTCTTCACCTCTCTGGCTCGGGCAATAAAGTCCCGAGTGTTGAGATCCTTCTCTCGCAATTGGAGACACGTAACTCCATTTTCGATGGCCTGACGCACGTACTCGATGAAAGAGCCGCCCGCAGGAACCATCTCGGCGTTGGTAACCAGATACACTGAAAGGTCGAAATTCGTCATACCCCACAACCGATAGAAATTAATTTTATTCCAACTCTTACATAATAAACCGGATGTTAGGGTCGATCTGGTGCGACGAGGACAGCTGGGGCTTCTGGGTGTACTTCTGGGCAAGGACGTTTCTGATTCCTTGCAACAAAGTCAAGTAGCTCTGCACGGGCGACTGCGACATCACCTTGATGAAAGCGTAACTCAAAGCTCCAGTAAAGGTTCCGGCCTCGCTTGCGTCGGCAGAGGTCTGCGAGTCCTTGCAGCCAGAGAACATGATCACATCTGCTGGCGACATTTTGGCTCGTTTGATTTCCTCGGCGCGGTTGCCCGTGGATGCCTTGACACGCTTGAAAACACTGCTGACAGAGCTGAACATCATGGCTGGGTTTCTGGTCAGGTAACCGGTGACCAGGTTCATGGCGTCACCAGAGCTCTCTTTCCAGATATTGTACTCCTTGATACCTCCGTCCTGGGCTCTGTAGCAGAAAGGAAGGTCCAACACCGTTCCCGAGTGGCACGAGTCAAAGATGCACGTGAGTCTGCAACCAGCCGGTAGCGGTCTCACCATAATGTCGTGCATGACGTCGTCGATCAGAGATCCAGACTGTTGGAAGTCCACAGGATAGATACAATCGTCAAACCCATCTTCTTCGTCTCCGTCCTGGTCCTCTTCCTGACCACCGTGTCCCGAGTAGTGGAAGAACAGGGAGTCTCCAGGCTTAGCGTCTTTCACCAGCCACTGCATGGCACGGATCATGTTGGCCTTGGTTGGCACCTTGACCAACTCTCTTTGGTCGTCTGTCAACATGACAATGTCCTCGGCCTTGTATCCCTGGGCCTGGGTCAAATAGTTGTACATGTTGTGCGCGTCGTTGATACAGCCTCTCAAGGCGTTGTTGGTTCCAATGTAATTGATACCGATCAACAGAGCCTTCTTTGTACCATTACACGCAGAGTTTTGAAACTGCTGCACAGGGCCCGATCCGTTCACTTGCTGGGTTTGCATGCTGAACGAGGGCATTGGTGGTTCCTGGGCAGGTGCACGTCCGTACTGGGCCTGCTGTTGTGGCTGCTGTTGCTGCTGCTGGCCCCAGTTTGGAGGTGGCGCAGCAGGCCGCGAGTACTGCTGCGATGGTGGAGGGCCAGATGGCGGCTGGTACTGGTTGTTGTAGGTGGCGTGCGAGTTACCTGGAAACATGGCTAAATGAAATTATGAATCAAGGAATTTGTTCCCAAGCGTTTTGGATCGGCACGACACTTTTTTGGTAGCCCGACACCAACGCAGTATCTTGCAAGATCGCTGTGAGCTACAATGGCGTCCCCCAATACCTATCTGCCTTACCCAATGCTAATTAAACTGTATCTTGTTCTTCTTCCCCAGAGGCCGACACCGCAGCTGATCCAGTCCGGCCTCGCGAAACGAGGACGACTCTAGCTCCCCAGAGCCGGAGCCCGTTTTGCCCGAACTCCCAAACCACCGCGACCCGCCGTTTTCCTTGCCGCTATCCTCCTCCTCGGACTTTAGTTCCTTATCCTTATGCAGCAGCGTCATCAGCTTCTTGTTGAACATGTAGTCCGACCCCGTAACAAACTTGATGATGCTTCCTTGTCCAGCAGCAGATCCGTCCACTGCGATCGAAGCGTCCGTGTCCAGGGTCCCCAGCAGCTCGGTGACGTTCCTTGGAACGGGCTTGGTGTCAGTAACAGACGGATCAAGATCTCCCGTTTCTAGTGGGCGCTCTGTTGCGGGCTTTTTCGAGTCTGTGGGGATCTCTTCCCATTGTTTGGGGCGTCCAAACCTGGTAAAATATGATAGCGTTAGCGACGGGAACGACCCCGACGAGGAGCTCGAGGAGGAACTTGAAGACGATGGGTATTGCCGCATGGAAGGAACGGTCTCGACCAAATGGTCGTCTTCCAAAGAAAAACTGTTCCGCAAAGGACTCGAAACTAATGGTATATGTCCACAAACACATAAATTTGAATTTATGCTATGATACCGACAGCGCAGCGCTCTGCTGTCGATTAATCCCTTGAACTTGCCCTTTTTGATGGTCGAGTAGGGCGCTTTGCGTTCGAAGCTCGGGAGCGAAAAGTGGTCGTTGTTGGCGTAAAGATTCCAATTTTCCTTCCTCTGTGCCAAAGTCATTGAAAATCTATCTTCTAATCTGAGCGCGAATCTTTTATTACTCGCACCTTGAGCCAAACAAGATCCTTATATTGCACCACTTTCCGGCACAGGGCACAGCAGCCCCTTGAACCGTTGCGCACTTTGGAGCTCGCAAGCGCTCTGTACACGCAATTCGAGCAATAGAAGTGCCCGCATGGACTCACCACGCACTGCTCGATCTCGTCAAAACAGATCGGACACGTCACGTCTTTCAAGCTCTTGACGCTGTTCGGGCGGTTTGAGGCGTCGTTAAGCAAATCAGATGTCGTTTTCTTCTCTTCCTGTGTTTCGCCGTCCGATCCCAGGATGATCAGCTCGTCGTCGGACCCATCTTCCGAATCCGTGAGCGACTCCGATGCACGTCTTTTGCGCGAGTCTTTCCTGAAGGGGCTTTCGGTGATGACGATTTCCGGCTCGCTGTCCTGGTCCGTGTGCTCGTCAGGTTCTGTTTGAGAAGATGGTATATAAACAGATGCGGAGTCTTCTGTGCTTTGTATGCTGACCACATTGGGCCCTTCCGCGGCGGACTGGAGCGACATGGCCCCAGAGGCAATGTTAGGGTGTCTAAAGCTCATCAGTAATATTAGACAAGGTTATTTTGCCCGCAAAGTTAGAGGTTTGATTAAAAAACACAAATCTACAAACTTGACACAGCCTTAAGAAATATAACAGGATAACTCGTTGGTTTGTTTTTAAGTGGCCGAACTAGACAAGCAAATCAAACAGCTTTCAAGGCCCGCAAACATCTCGTACCACCTGCAATGAACTGTGTAAACACAGAAAACAACCTCTTCATAGGAAAAACTTAGCGTACAAGAAGGCCAGAACCACAAAGAGAAGAGCCAGAATGTACACGTTGGTGGAGGTGGCGGCATCTTTGGAGACTGGAGCAGCGGTAGTAGTTGTCGTAGATGGGTCTGTTGGGGAGGACGAAGCCAACGGCGTGGATTCTTGGAGCTCGCCGTCGGCTGGAACTGCGTTCTTTTCTGGGACTGATTTGGCACCAGATCCTGCAGATCCGTTGGCCAAAGATGTTCCCGCAACGCCTGCAACGCCTGCAGCACCTGCAGCACCTGCCAGAGCAGTAGAGGCATCTTTTGATCCTGAGTTTGTTTGCTGTGAAGATTCTTCTTGGATGGTGTTGTTCAAGCTGCTGTAGTTGAAAACCACCTTAACCTTCACGTCGGAAGTAGAGCCAGCCTGGGACTGGAGGTCAGACCATATGGAGGAGATCGACTTTGGATCAAGGTCTTCCGAGCATGGAACGGACACGATCAAAAATTTATCCTTGCACTTGGTGCCGATTGCTGGTTCCTTGGCCAGGCCCTGGAAGATGATGGACACATCCAAGCTCGATCCTGGTCTAACGATTGACGCATTAGGACGCACGCAATAAAGCTTAGGGGCGGTTGTCTTCACTTTGAAAGCGATGCTTGTTTGCGAATCGTTGGTGATGGTGATCGAGCTAGTGGCTGAGCTGGTGAATGGGGCTGAAAGTTAGCGATTGAACTGCGTGCGGGCAACTTACGTTCAAAATCTATATGTTTAGGACTGATTTGCATTTTTCAGATATTGGTCCGTGGCATACGCTGCGAGGGCACACTTAATATTATCAAGACAAAAAATCAACAGAATAATGAGGCAAATGTTCTGCGTAGACACCTTTACATGTTAGTGAGGGTAACTGAATTTCAGTTCCACAATCGAGAAAAACCGTCCCGCGAAAAGGGTCGTAAAGTTACCCGGCCGACGGAAGTTTTGGAAGCAACTGGTGGATGGAGAAGCGAGACGCGGTGAGGAAGGCAGTGGGACGGACGTATTTTCAGGTAGACGTAACACCTATAAAAACCATAACGTCAACAACTATGGTCTATCACTCTCCCTCTTTGCAGTCCCCCAAGTTCCCCCCCTTTAGCCTACGCTTTGGTGAAATTTTAGCACACTAGCTAATTTTCACCAATTAGGAAATATTCCCTTTCGGTTTTTTAAAGGAGAGACACGTACCTTTGAGGCACGTCAAATTGTTTCTCATCCTACTTATCAACTTTTCTTCTATTGTCCGTGTAGGACTGTGTCAATTCCTTACATCAGCGTGTTGTCATTGCTCCAGAAGATAGATGGACTTCTAGAATGAAAGCTATGAAATCGAATTTACACTTGAATCTTAACCCCTCGAGATCCGACTCGAGTTCTGGATCCCAAATGATAGCGACCCCCACGGGCGGAACCACTGGATACATGACGCCTGTGGAACAGAACCAGCCCTTCGCGTTCCAGACGCCAGCCGTCGGAACTAAGAGATCAGACTCGGTTAGTTCTGGTTTCTCAGACCTCTACAAGACAAACAGCGTTTCTTCCATGTCTTCCATGATGGACGTTATGGAAACTTCGCCTGTGAGCCTTCAAAGCTACGATTTCAGCCCTACATTTGACGATCTACTAATAGGACTCTACCACTCATACGCCAACAAGCCAAACATCACGCCATTCAACATCAACTTCCCGCCTTCAGGAATCGTGTCCAAGATCTCCAAACAGATGTACAACCGACTTGTTAGTGATAGAACATTACAACTAGACAGAAACGAGAAAACCACAGACGAATTGCTGCTTGACTCGAACCAAGGAATTTGTTTATCCATCATCAGAAGAAGACTGTTGGACCTGTGCAGCTCCGCGGTTGCCGATTCAGACTCCATTGCGCGGTGCAATTCGTTCTCGTCATCAACAGGAACCTTTATGTCTCAGCAAAGACCCTCATGGTTGCACCAGAACCCGACTTTTTCAGCCACCAGACTCTCGTCCACAGACTCGCTTGTGGACTCTGTTCAAATCGCCGTGCAACCACACCTGCCCCACAGAGACTCTCAGAACGACGTTCTGATGACGCCACCCCAATCCAGAGCGGGCTACTCTCCAGCGTCCGCAAAGCCAAAACTCAACATCAATCCCATGGACCAGTTCTCTTTCGAGAACACGGCCAAGCTACAGAGCCCATTTTCAGAGACTCAGTTCCATTTCGGATCTTCTGCACAATCGCCTTCCAACCCCGTGTTCCCCAAAAAACAGAGCAAATCAAACTCTCTCAGCTCACTCTTCACCGCATCTAACACTCAGTCAACCATCCCAGACCTGGAGGTTGACCCTCTTTATAATGTCACTGCGCAACGGAAAAGAGATAGCTTGAAGCTAAAGAGAAACATGAAATAGTCGCTGGTACGGGTTAGCATCACGGTTAGGTTATGGGGTTTTGCATTGGTACGACTTATTTACAAAATTTACTCTTATTGGAAACTATGTTAGTATTAAAAGTTCTATAAAACTAAGCCCATTTCTTGAACTGGTTGATCAAGTTTCTGGTCGAGGCGTCGTGGCTTTCCACTGGCTTGTCGTTGTCGAGCTCGTTCAGAATCACCTTGGCAAGAACCTTTCCGAGCTCCACACCCCACTGGTCGAAAGAGTTGATACCCCAGATGGCTCCCTCGACAAAAGTCACGTGCTCGTAGTAAGCAATCAGAGATCCAAGAGTGGCTGGAGTGATCAGCTGCGCCAGAATCGAGGTGGTTGGTCTGTTACCCGAGAACATCTTGTGGGGAACAAGGTCGCCCTTGACTCCCTCGGCCTCGACCTGCTCCTTCGTCTTTCCAAGCATCAAAGACTCGGCCTGGGCAAAGAAGTTGGAAGCAAGCATCCGTTGGTGCAAGTTACCTTCGATAGGGTTGTGGGACTTGGCGGCCAGGATGAAGTCGGTTGGAATGAGCTTGGTACCTTGGTGCACCAATTGGAAGAAGGAATGCTGGGCGTTGGTGGTTGGTTCTCCAAACATCACGATTCCGGTCTCGTAGTTGACAAACTTGGAGTCCTTTGTAACAGACTTACCATTGGATTCCATGGACAGCTGTTGCAAGTAAGCTGGGAATCTGTGCAGGTACTGATCAAATGGTGCAACCAACTTGGTTTGAGCGCCGTGGAAGTTGTTGTACCAAACTGTCAACAGTCCACCAATAAATGGAATGTTCTTCTCGATAGGAGTGTTCTTGAAGTGGTGGTCAACAGCTTGAGCACCTTTCAAGAACTTCTCAAAGTTCTCGAAACCAATGTACAAACACACAGAGGTTCCAATGGCAGACCACACAGAGTATCTTCCACCAACCCAGTTCTCGAAACCAAACATGTTCTTGGTGTCGATACCGAACTTGGCGACCTCAGAAGCGTTGGTACTGAGAGCGACGAAGTGCTTAGCAATGTGTGCCTGGTCCTTGGCCCTTTGCAAGAACCAGTTCTTGGCGGTGTTTGCGTTGGCACAAGTTTCAGCAGTGGTGAAAGTTTTGGAAGCAACCAAGAACAAGGTGGTCTCTGCGTCACACTTCTTCAAAGTCTCGGCAATATGGGTACCATCGACGTTGGAAACAAAGTGCACCGACAGTCTTGGGTGAGCGTATGGCTTTAATGCCTCGGTGACCATGACGGGACCTAAGTCCGAGCCTCCGATTCCGATATTCACAATATCGGTTATTTCTTTTCCGGTGTAACCCTTCCACTCTCCTGATCTCACCTGCTCAGAGAAAACCTTCATGTGCTGCAGCACAGAGTCGACCTCTGGAGTGACATTGACGTTGTCAACGTACATGGCGTTCAGGTCTCTGTTTCTAAGGGCAACGTGGTAGACGGCTCTGTCCTCTGTGGTGTTGATATGGTCACCAGCAAACATCTCGTCTCTGAGCTTCTCGACTTTGGCCTCCTTTCCCAACTCGACAAGAGCGCTGAGGATCTTCTCGTCGATCAGGTTCTTGGAGAAATCGAACAGAATCTGAGACCCATCAAAGTTCTCAAAAGTGTGGGAGAACTTGGCGAATCTCTCTGGGTCAGAAGCGAAAGCATCACGAGTGGAGTAGGTTTTTCCGTAATCCTCGTAGATGGCCTGGAGCTTTTTCCAGGCTGGTAATTGCAATGGCGAGCTCATAATATTAGTAGCAGATTATGTTAATCCAGGTGTTAATTTTTTGTTGTCAGACATTTTTATATTTCCTCCGTCGGACACCGCCACGAATTCATTCGCCACCTGCTTTTGCTTGCTGCGATATATCTGGATAACTGTTCTCCGCATTCCGATATCGGATAATTACTGGCTGTGTATCTAATGTTAATATGCTATTTAGTTCTTGTTTGCTCCCAGAGCTCCTTGGTAAATGCGTCCATGGTCAGGATGCGCTGCTTGAGCTCATCAATTTGCTCTTCTGCGGCTGCGTTCTTGTCTTCCATCTGGTTGAAGAAGTCGCTCGTGTTGATATCGAAATCCTGATGCTGGTGATCCTCCCAGATCCGGTGGAACTCTGCAAACGAAAACTCGTTATCTTTGGCCAGCCGTGCCAGCAGGTCCAGCTGCGACGTCTTCAGTTGATGCAGGTTTTCCAAATAGCGCATGTTGAAGAACCTGGTTTTCCGGTTCGGACCCTTCGTGCGCAGCTCCTCGTAAATCGCGTCGTGTCCGTCCACCATCTGGCCCGTCGAGGCGATCTTATCGCTGGGTCGCTGTTTTTCCGTAAACAAAAATTCCTGTGTAGCAGATCGATCCTCGTAGTTCGACCGGCTCGGAAGATAATCGATGCTTGTGGACGTCGTTGGTTTAGGTCCACTGATCACGCTCTCCGTATCGTAGTCCAGCTTGTTGAACAATGCGCCTTCCTCCTGTCGCGACATAGACACCAGCTTCGACTCCAGTGACACGTTTGTCGGCACGGCGTTCAAATCCGCCCCCGAATCGTCGCTGTCATAGCTCGGCACTTTGTGAATTAGCGACGGGTTCGAGCTATTTCGCCGCTCTAGAGCATTCAAATTGGGCTTGTTTCTTCTAAGCCCAGACATTAATTATCAATATTTAATTTTTTTCCCACGTCAAATAAATTCACATGGACACTGAACCAGTAATACCCCTGCCGACTTCTTTGTCGCAGGTTCCAGACAAACCGAAAAAGAACAAGAAACAGCCGTGGAAAAAACTGTTGTGGTACAAACAGGATTATGAGGATAACTACACGGACTCGTCGTTTCTGTCGCAGCTTAAGCGCAACTCCACCGTGGTGAACTACTCCTATTGGAAGCTGTTTTCCGACTTCACACTGATCGTGTTGCACTTGTCGGTGATCATGTCGGTGATTCTTGTGTTTTACGGGATCTACAAGCTCAATTGGAACCCAATAGTGCCGACCTTGGTCAGCTCTATGCTTACAGCGCTGGGCTTCATAATATATGTCATTACACTTAAAATCAGAAGAAACAGAGAACTCATCAATCTTCAAAAACTCAAGATCGAGCAGCTTATTAGACCGTCCAGAATCCCCCGGTTCAACATCTCGCGGTCGCGGCCAACCTCCAGATCCAGTTCTCCGTTCCAGCAGTCGATCGACGCAATCACCACCAGAGACGGGACTCTGGACCTTGAAAAGTTGCTGGTCGAACCCAACCCGCCAGACCTGTTCGACACCCTCAAGTCGGCCATTTTGATCCTCCTCACATTGCTGACGTTCTCGCCCGTTCTGAAGTCGCTTACCAATTCCACCGCGTCGGACTCCATTTGGGCTCTTTCCACATGGCTCTGTCTCCTTAATGTTCTCTTCAACGACTATGCCATCGATTTCTCGAACGCCAATAGGCAGCATACAGACTCCAACCCAGACCTGCAAATCCCCAACTCCAATCTCTCCAAGAACATCTCGCTATCGAACGCCATTGTGCTGGCCTCCAGATTGAACTCGAACCTAAGTGCATTCTGCTTCATTGTGTTCTCAATCGAGGTGTCTGGCCTGTTACCTGTGTTCAACAACTTCACGCGCCACTGTCAGTTCTGGGCGTTCCATTGGTTCCAAGTGTTCGCCATCACCACCGCTGTGGACTACGCCATATTTAAGATATTCGGGCTAGGCTGGTTTCTGACATGGATCAGTATACATTTCCTGATCGTGGTGGTAGGCCCTTGGTACTTCATCGTGCTACAGAAGTACAAGGACGAGCTCCAAGGACCCTGGGACCCAGCTAAACCAATCTTCAAGTCCATTTAAGCATAAAAACTTGATCGCTTTATTTTTACATTTTAATTGTACATTAGCCATTGAAAACACCTGCTGCCAAACACAGGTTTCTCCGTGTAAAATGAACCTTGTACACCGGCGTCTTTTTGGTGAAATACACCGCCATGTGGTCCTGTGTAGCAGTAAACTCCTTGCGTTTGCGCATCTCCTCCTGACGTCTTTGATATCTCTGGTCTTGCGTCTCTGCGTTGGTGGACGTGTCGCCGTTTTTGGCAGCAGCAACAGATTCCAGCGTGAACTTCTCTGGCTGTGGGTTGTTACTCTCCATGGTGCCCTTCTTAACGTCCCAAACACGAACAGAGTTGTCGGATCCAGCACTCACAAGAACAGAGCCGTCTTTGCTGAAAGCCAAAGAGTAGATAGAACATCTACCGTGTCCACGCATAGATTTGAGTTTTCGTCCCGACGAGATGTCAAACATGTTGATCACGGAGTCCTCGCCAGCAGTGGCCAGCCATCTTCCGTCTGGAGACACTGCCAGAGCGTTCACCGCCATGTTATGTCCAATGAATATACGCACAGACTCACCTCTGGCAATATCCCACATCCGCACAGTCTTGTCGCTCGATCCGGTGAACAGATACGTAGAGTTTGGATGGAATTCAACAACGTCCACATCGTTCAGGTGGCCAGCAAAAATACGCAACGGGTAGATGTGATCACATGACCACAGTCTGGCTGTTTGGTCATGCGAAGCAGTTGCAAAATAGTGGCCCAGAGGAGAGAACTTGACGTCCCAAACAGGAGAGTTGTGACCTTTATATGATACAAGCGAAGTGTATGTGTCCATCGACCACAGTCTCACTGTCTTGTCCTCGGACGACGACAAAAGGTAGTGGTTGTCTGGACTGAATCCCAATCCATACACAGCACCGGAATGTCCCACCAACCGACGACATCCATCTGTTGTCTGGTCGTAGGTATCGTTTTTGAGAACAGAGTTGAGCGGAGAACCATCAATACTCCAAAGCTTGATGAAAGAGTCCTGGAATCCACCGGCCACTATGGTGGAGTCGTCGTTGAACTCCACGCAGGTCATGTCGTTGTTGGTGTTGTGGAAAGTGTACATGCAGGTACTTGGCAGCGACGCTTGGATAGCGTTGAGCTTTATTTTAGCTCTCGAATCCTGAATCTTGGTCAATGCCTGTTTCAAGTCAAAGGCTGTCTTTTGGGGCAATGGAAGAAGGTCTCTGCTTGGGGCGTCTTCGCTGGCCGGATCAGTCTTGAAGTTTTCTTCGTATTCCTGCATCAGGGTCTTGTCGTGGTTCTGATCTTTCTGGGCCTCGTCTTTTTGTTGGATCTCTGCTTCCAATTCCTTGGTAAACTCCGGGTCGTCAGGGAATTTTCCAAGCTTGACAGTCTTGCTGTTAAAAGCGTCCGTAGAATCGGCGTCCTTTCTGGTTCTGTCAGACTCCTCGTTCAACAACTGGAAGATGGCGGCAATTCCCTCCGTCGTTTCGCCGCTGTTCTCTTTTTGGGTTGTGACTTCCACCTGGGTTGTTATGGTCATTGTATTGTTGATGAATCTGACAATGATTCCTCCGCCAATGGCTTCATTTTCATTAAGGAAACTCAAAATCAGGTTCATGGACACTTTGGAAACAGTAATGTGATACTTCTCGGTGCGAAATAGCCGGGCAATCTCATTCTCCTCCAAATGGTCAGGCAACGAGATACCAGCCAACGAGCGAATCTCGTAACTATGGGACAAGAGGTGGTCGTTGTGGAACTTTTCGAAAAAAGTCCGTGCACTGTCTGTTTCACCGCGTTGGATCAACGTCAAGTAACTTTGCACGAAAACCGGATACAAAAACTTCTCAAGCTCGTCTTTGTACATCTCCAGCGAGTTTTCGCACCATGAACGGTACATGAGGTACGCTCTGCCAAAAATCTGGGGATCTTCGTCGAATTGTCTCTGTTTGGAAGCGTTTTGTTGTTGTAAATACTGTTGCTGTTGGTAATGGATGTTCGATCTAGTGGACACCACTGTTTCTGGCTTTTGAAAACTGGTTGTCGATGGGCTCACGGGAATTGTTGGAGCACCGGGGATCTTGGTGCTTTCGTTCCTGAGAGTAGCTTCTGTTTGGTGGTAACCTTTCTTGTTGAGGTACTCGAGGAGAATTCTGTTCAAGTCCGCCTGGGAGAATTGTTGCTGGCCCTGAGCAGACCCAGAGGCCTGAGCAGCCCGCGCCTGTTGAATTGCACGTTGGTTGCTCTCCTCTTGACCGGTAGCAGTCCGTGCCAACTTTTGTTGGTCGTTTTCCTCTTTAATAGGCCCCGTCATAAGGAATGAATATTTTAAATGTTTTTTTTCGAATAAAGGACCTATTGCCCGCCGCGAAAATTGACAGTCTTTACCACTGCTAACAAAAATTATTTTATCTAACCTTTTGTTAAGGCTTGATTTATGGGGTATGTCATCTACAAAGAAGACCCGAAGCCGAAACGGTTGTCATTCTTGTAAGAAGGCGCGGACCAAATGTGACGAGACAAGGCCGTCGTGTATGAACTGTGTCAAGGCCAATCGTGAATGTGATTACTCTATCAAACTTATCTGGGGTGGTCGTCCCTATAAAAAACCAAGGACAGAGAAATTGAATCCGGTTGCCGGTTTGTCGCGGAAAATACTTGAACAAGAGCCCAAACCTTTGGAGCAGAAGAAACGATTCAAGAAGATTGCATTCCAAACCGCAAAGCCTATTCCGGAGATAAAAACGGAAGAACCCGAGACGTTTTCTATCTCGCTAGAGGAACCAGGTTTTGTCGGGAAACCAATCCCGCAAGCCGATAACATCCATGAGAACATTCAAACTGTCAGCAATGTTTTGGACTCCATGTACGATATGCCAACTAAACCGTCGCAGATCTTGGAAGATTTCTCGTCATATATCCCCGAACCAATGCCGTCGGGTCTCGATCTGACAGATTTGGCCGATGAGTACTCTGAAGATTTACTCAAGCTCGAGGCTTCGCAGCCCGCAACGCAATCCAACCTTACAGCTATTCCGTTTTTAAATGAGCGCAGACGGTCGCCCCGTTGGTCGAAATGGGACGATCTGGACGATGAAAGCGATCAGCTTACCTCGAGAGAGCTGTCCAATTTTTCTGTCCACTCGCAAACCAACTCTGAAAGTTCCGCTTCTGAGACCATCGAGATGATTCCCCGTGGGATTCTTCCTCTCCCCGATCTTCTCCTTAATGTTCCGACGTACTACGAGTCGTTCCAGTTCTTCTTCTCCTCCACCACACAGCTATTCATGCCATTTGGAAATAACACAGAACTATACAATCCGTTTACCAGCGTTCTTCCTCAGTTAGCTTTTGCGAATGACGGTCTTTTATCGGTGACAATTGCTTATGGGTTGGCCCATAAGTCGTACCTCGCCAGCCAGGAAGAACCAACGGAAACGTTGGAGCAACTGTTGAGTAGATCTCTGGGAGAACTGCTTCAACTATTACAGAACAAAGATACTTCAACCAGCGACCTGACGTTAACACTCGTGCTTCTGATCAGCTCATTTATGGTGTTCACTTTCAAACGCAACTGGGAGGTCCATTGGAAAGGTGCAAAGCAGATTCTGCTGCTCAGAGGTTACAAAAAACCCTTCGACAAATTACTGAAAGATAGCCAGCGCGTGGAAGCAAGTCAGATCGACAGTGAGATCAAAAAATCCAAATTGATATTTTTCCTGTTACGATGGTTTGCTTATCTTGATGTTTTATCCAATCTGTCGTCGCCTATTGAGCCGTCTGCTCAGGAGTATGAAGAGTTTGCTAACCAACAAAATATTCCAAAGAACGACCGTTACCTTTCCGCTGACATAGACTACGAGTTTGAGACAACGTCTTATTCTGAATCGTTGATGCTGGACGAGTCTCGCTGCAACGTGGACTACTTCCTTGGTTTCAATATCAAGTATCTTTCTCTTTACAAAAAGACCATCCAATTGATCAAGGAGACAAACATGCGGGAGAAATTGGAACCAGGCAGCCGCATTTCTTCCCAGGTCGTTGACAGAGCACTCCAAGAGGTTCTTAGGTTCCAAGAACTTTCTCGCAAGGTGACTGCTGGCGAGGACCCGACCATCGCTTTCGACAGAGTGTTTGCATTGCTTGGGCTCAACCAGATCTATAGACGGGTTTTGAAGATTCCAAAGAGTTCCCCATTGATTCAAGACATGTGCAACGAGACAATTCAGGTGATAAATGCGTATCTCCTTGACGATGCTCCTAATCAGATCAGTGTTTTCCTGCCAATCTTTGTTTCTGGGTGCGACTCCCAAGACGAAAGTATCAGAGCTCAATATCTTGAGCGAATGAAGAAGATCGCGTTCACCGGCTCGCTGTCTGCAAAGGTTGCCATGGTCTTCATGGAGAAGTGCTGGTCTGAGGACCTAGACTGGTGGCACGTGATGGAGAAAGAGGAAAAGAAGTACATATTCTTCTGATATATTGGACATATTAGATATACATTAATTTATTGCTACGGTTTTTCCTGTTTTCAAGAGCCCGGAGTCTTTTTTGTATGTTGGAGCTGTTCTTTAATCTGGCTTCCACGCGGAGAAGCTCTTCGTGTCGTTCGAGTCTCTTGAGCGGGTCAAACTTGGTAAATGTGGTGGTGTTCGGTGTATCATGTAACGGACTTGCTCTGGAGAGCTCGCCTTCGCTGTCGTGTGACTCTGAGTCGCTTTGCACCATGCCTGGAGTGCCAAACTTTAATATGTGTGAATGGAACTTCCATAGAGATGTCCGGTGACAAACAGAAAGAACGGTGATTCCAAACTCCTCGATTGCCAAACGGTAGCACTCCTGTTCCAAATCGGGCGAGATCGATGAGGTGCACTCGTCCAGCACGGCAAACCGTGGCTGGTGGTAGTACATTCTGGCTAGCGCGAGACGCTGCTGTTCTCCCACAGAAAGCAAATCTGGCCACCTCTTCTCGATCTCCAGAGGAGTCTCCAACGCATGCGACATTTCGTCCTCATCCTCGTCGTCTTTTTCCGAAGCCATCTCCAATAAATGCTCGAGTTTCACCATCTTGAGCAGCCCAATAAGATACGAGTCGTCCTTCTTGACCGTCCCGTCCATGTTCGCCTTCTGTAGCTTCTGCTTATACTCCTCAACGGTGTGTGGATACACGATCTGTTCGCGGAGAGATCCATAAGTTAGGTAACTCTTTTGCGGGAGATAAAAAATGTCCTCTTTAGAGCTCGGGATCACCAAATGGCCAGGAGCTTGGACGTCCCATAGTCCACCCAAGATTCTGAACAGCGACGACTTTCCGCACCCGTTAGGCCCAATGATCAAAAGATTGTCTCCAGACTTGATCGTGAACGTTAAGTCTTGCACCAGGACAGTACCGGTTGGCGTTACCAAAGGCACGTTCTGGAACGAGATCTCGTCGCCGTACGAAACGTTTGGACCTTTCACCAGGGGTCTGACATTTGTGGCTGTTTCCACTGCCGAGTCCTTGTCCAAAGAATTGTTGATCTCTGTCAATGCTTGCTCAAACTCTCTGATACTCTCGCTGTAACCAAATAGGTTCTGGATGTTTTTCTTTGCACGCACCAGACTGCCGAGTGCATCTGAAGCGGTCAACAAAAGCCGTCTATTAGTGACAAAGTCTGCCGAGATCCTGCTGCTTGCATGGTCCGAGATGTAAAAGTTATGCTGGTAAGCAGTGGTGAAGATTGGGAGAGAGCAGAGCAGCAGTCCAAACGCACCTAGACAGTATTTGAACACAAAAGAGACGGCAAAATCGTAAACTGCCATTCTTCGAAGCTCCATTCGCTTGAATCGTTCGAGCTCAAAGTAGTTCATGTCGAGCAGATCGATTTCGCGGCGATGTCCTTTGGCCAAAGCTATTTCCTCATTGTTGTTCACAATCCTCGAATGGTAAGCGTGGAACTTGTTCTCGAGAGAGTTGCTGAGCGCGGAAAACTTGGAGAAGTTCGGGGTGAACACTTTCAAAACCAAGGTAGACACGGTAGTGATGAGACCAAGCAGGATTCCACCCTCAGCAACGTGTTCTCCTGTCTTCGAGAGCTGGTTGGCGGCAAGTGCAATGTCTAAAATAGGAACAAGGATCTGAGATGGAATCGCACTCAAACTATCGGAAAACTGCTCGATCACAGTTGTTATGCGTTGATTTGGGTCGTCAATCGTGTTTCTATCGCTCTCGTTTTTGGACTTGTTAATCAGATGATAAACCGTGCTATTACCATTGTCCGGCAAGTAAGAGTCCAGAACTTCGTCTGTCATATTCATCCTCACAGACTGAGAAAGCAGCTGCCGAGTCTTGACAAAAAATGCTTCAGTCAAGGAAGCCGGAACTCCAATCAGTACCCAGAACACCAGATACTTAAAAAAAGACTTGAATCTCTTAGTGATCAGAGAGGAGACCAGGTAACCATCCAAAGCGGCAACTTTCAATGAAATCAGTGCTCTGATCACGGAAAGTACCACCTGTATTGCCAAGTATTTCAAAATGTATCTACTTTTCTCGCTCTTGTAGTCTAGCTGGCCCATTAAGAGCACCAGATGTGATTTCTTGAATCGGCCGATGATGCGCTCCAGCAAGTTTCCGTGCACTTTCTCAACCTGACGTGATCTTGGCCGTTTCTTGCCGGAAGACCCTCCGTTAAAGATCATATAGATGATGGTAGCATATGCCAAACGCAGTATCAGGCTCCGACGCTTCGTATACTGCGAGACCAGCGCTTGGCCGGTGTACCATAGATAGCGTCTAGATCCGCTCACTTGATTAGCCATTTTGTCGAAACAATCTCGGGGTTGTGCTCCCATATATACTTCCCCTCAGGGCATGTGATTAAATAAATTCGTGCTTGCTAAATCTGGGGTAGTGGTGTTGGGGGTGGTGCGGGGGGTGACGGGTACGATGTAGTGATGCGCAATTACAAAAGGGCGCTTTTCGTTTGTTTGGCCGTGATTCTGTGTTGAGGAACAACCTGAACGTTAGTGGTGAGTTTGAATGTGGTATACTTACTTTTGCTCCGCTCCAATTGTAACGAAATCCGATCTCGTGGGCGAGAATCTCGCCAAACCCAAGCATGACACCGTTGATGAACGGCAGGATCAGGTTGATTCCGCAGGAACCTAAGAACGACCACACCGAGTCCGCAGTGATTTCCGGTGGGTCTGGAAGCTCGGCTCCGTCGGCCGCGACCGACTGGGGATCCAAGTCCTGGGCCGTCTGTTTGGCTTCCTCGTGGAACTGGTCGAGGTCCTGGCTTTCCTGCTGGGTGATCACATCCGGATGCTCAGTGGCTTGTTTGTGGGCCGTGCCAATATCTGTGGCTAAGTTCACAAGGTCGTCTAAATCTTGGTGGTCCAAACTCATTGTTTGATTAAATATTGAGCTAATCTTTTTGGCCACAAAATTTTTATTGCGTCAATGTCTTTTGAGGAGAATCTGTTACTTCAAGAAGCAAGCGATAACCACCATTTGGACGAGCATCAGGCTCATCTTCTGGACGACGAGAACGAGGCGTCAGTGGTTGGCCGGGCACTCACGGCGATTGTGGATATTGGGTCGAATGGAATCCGGTTTTCGATTTCTTCCGAGGCCCCCCACCACGCTCGAATTATGCCCTGTGTTTTCAAGGATAGACTGGGCATCTCGCTGTTTGACGTCCAGCTGCCGGATTCCGCAAACTCGAACGTCAAAAAACCGATTCCCGACGACGCTATTAGGGAGATTATCCAGGCCATGAAGCGGTTCAAATGGATATGTGAGGACTTTGGTGTGCCTGAGAACGCCGTCAAGGTGGTCGCCACAGAGGCGACCCGTGAGGCATCCAATTCGCAAGAATTCAGAGACATCATCTACAAAGCGACCGGATGGAAGGTGTTTTTGTTGAGCAAAGAGCAGGAAGCCACAACCGGGGCATTTGGAGTCGCATCGTCTTTCCATGATATTTCCGGACTTTTCATGGATCTTGGTGGCGGATCCACACAAATCAGTTGGATCAGCGCCAAGGGCGGAGAAGTCAAGATCAGCGAGCACCCGGTCTCACTGCCATACGGTGCTGCCGCACTGACAAACAGATTAAAGTTCGAAGACCACATGTACATCTACAACGAGATCAAAAGCGCGTACGAGGTGGCACTGGAGAAGATCGATCTACCACAGGAACTTATTGACGAGGCCGAGGCCAACGGCGGTTTCCGATTGTTCTGTTGCGGAGGAGGACTGCGTGGACTTGGCCATTTACTTATTGCCAACGACCCAGAGTATCCAATCCAGACCATCATTAACGGATACTCAACAACGTACGACAACGTGCGTAAGATGGCCAACTACTTGCTGCTGAAGGGAGAGGTTCCAAGAGTGGCTTCCGGAGGAAAACTGTTCAGAGTGTCTGCCAGACGTGAGCAACAGCTTCCTGCCGTGGGTCTGCTTGTTTCTGCGGCCTTTGAGTCTCTTCCAAAAATCAAAGCCGTTCATTTCAGCGAAGGAGGAGTCAGAGAAGGTGTTTTGTACTCCATGATTCCAAACCAGATCAAGATCGAGGATCCGTTGATCACTGCCACTCGTCCATATGCTCCGCTACTTGCAGGCAAGTACCGGGATCTTGTGCAAACCAGTTTGCCGGCCAAGAACATTGTTCCCTCGGAAGTCACTGATAGAGTTGTTCCTGCCCTGTGTAACATTGCGTTTGTGCACTGTTCATATCCAAAAGAATTGCAGCCTACAGCCGCACTTCATATTGCTACGACCGGAATTATTGCCGGCTCCCACGGGCTTTCTCACAAGATTAGAGCGTTGATCGGAATTGCGTGCTGCGAGAGATGGGGTGCCGATATCCCGCCTTCTGAGGAACAGCATTATTCCAGCCTCGAGAAGCTGGTTTTAGATGCCGACCCAGAAAACGGTGAAAAACTCATGTACTGGACCAAGTTCTGCGGGAAGATGATGCACGTTATCTGTGGTATCAACCCTGGTGGTAACATCAGACCGGGATCTTTGGTTTTCCAGGTCAAGGCCGATACTCGAACCAGCGAGGCCAACCTTACAAATGCCGTCAACGGGCTCGGCGACCTCAACGTTTCGGACGATGAGACTACAGAGGTTAAGGTGAAGAACGAGGTTTCGGTGCTGCTTCCTAGAGACGACGTCAAGTACAGCTATTCTGTTCGGAACCGTATTGTGGGGTTGCAGAAGAAAATCAAGAAACTGAACAAACGGTACAGCATTAACGGGAAAGTGCGTGTGGTGATCCGTTACGAAGACATCGAGTAAGATGAGAGGGCTTAATAACACGTGACGCGGGATATAATTTTGCAATGAGCCTGTTTGTATAACAAACGGTACTAAATTGGTTATTGTATTTATTTACTGTTGATAATTAAATAACCCCGGAAATTAGTCTGCAAGATGCATTTTTACCCTCTTTCAGTATTTGTGGTGGGACTTTGGTATTCGATCTGGTCTCAACCAAAAACGCGGTTCCCTCACTTTGACGAGACATTGAGGGATTTAAGCATCGGCGATATCAACTTTCTTCAAACTACAGACACCCATGGCTGGTACCTGGGTCATATCAACCAGAGACAATATTCTGCCGATTGGGGCGACTTCATAAGCTTTGTGGACCGGTTCCGCGAGCAATGTCATGAACAGGACTCGGACCTGTTGTTGGTGGATTGTGGTGACAGACACGATGGCAACGGCCTGAGCGACTTGACTAGTCCTAACGGTGTTTATTCCTCCGAGGTGTTTATGGAACTGGACTTTGACGTCATCACTGTGGGGAATCACGAGCTTTACGTCAAGGAGGTGAGTGAGCTCGAGTACAACACTGTTGTTCCAAGATACGGAGAGAAGTTTATCAGTACAAATGTGGAGTATTTGAACGACAATGGCGAATATGTTCCGTTTGGAAACTCTACATATAGATACTTCACCACAGATGTCAAGAAGTACAACGTTTTCGCTCTTTCGTTCTTGTTTGACTTCACAGGAGGCAACGAGCGGATCAGAGTGACACCAATTGCAGAGATCGTCAAACAGAAACAGTTTTTGGAGCTGCTCGAAGAGTTCTCAAATAAACCGGTTGATCTTGTTGCTGTGGTTGGGCATTTGCCGGTCAGTCACGACTGGCTTGAGACAGAGGTTCTTCACCAGGTCCTTCGGAGATATTTCCCTAACATCGTTATTCAGTATTTTGGAGGCCACTCTCACATTAGAGATTTTACCATTCTTGATAACAAGTCGTTTGCTCTTCAAAGTGGCAGATACTGCGAGACTGTTGGGTTTCTTTCATTGTCGCAGCTGGATCAGGACAACATCGACCTAGACAGAAAGTACATCGACTTCAACCTCCAGTCTTTTCTTCACCACACCAATTACTCAACTGTTGACGGGTTCAATACAAAGCACGGATTACAAGTTTCTCAAAGGCTCACGGACATCAGCAACGAGCTGAATCTTAGCGAGACATTTGGCGTGGCTCCACACAGCTACTTTTTGGCCGGAGCAGACTACAATTCAAATGATCCAAACAGCCTGCTACGCTTTTTTGAGAACCACATTCTGACGCAGTTGGAGCCAAAGATATGTCACGAGAACATGGATCCTGTGGTTTCATCACAAAACAACTCTCGAATGGTGCTCATCAACACCGGATCGATCCGCTACGATCTATACAAAGGTGACTTCAATAGGAACTCTCAGTTTATTGTGTCTCCTTTCAAGAATAAGTGGAAGGTGTTGCAAAACGTTCCTGCCGATGTGGCCGTACAGATCCAGCCAATCTTGAACAGAGGACCATACATTATGTCTGCGAACTCTGCAAATCAACTGGATACGTCACAGCTACTTTCTCCGTACCAACGAGCAGTTAACTCGCAAATGAATGCCAACAGACTACGGTACGGACAAACGACCGTGGACGATCTAGGAAACGACGGTGACGACACGATCCACAAGCCGCTGCCAAAATTTCAGGTCCCTAACGTGATCCGATCGTACGAGTACGTTGACAAGCTGCAACCGGTGGATATTGTGTTTTATGACTTTATCGAGAGGCACGTTCTCTGGGCACTGCAACAGGCGTGCGGAGACGATAGATTACTCTACCATTCGCTGGTGCAACAGCTCACGTTCTACAATGACTGCGAGCTGGAGTTCAACGTGGGCGAGCTGCTCAAGAAGTATGCACTTAAAAACTGGCAGTGAAGGTTTGAAAATTATTCACGTGATACAGAAGTAGGGCTAAAGTGACCTGTTTCCCCCGTGCGAAAAAAAGTCCCGGCACCCAGGCGAGCCCGCAGGGAGTGCGTGCGAGGAAGAAAATCTGAAAATTTTCACACAGTCCCATTTGGGAAGAGTTGGTTTAAATTTTTCTATCATCATTGAGAACTCTATTCAGACAACATGGGAAGAGGACCAAAGAAGCATCTCAAGAGATTAGCAGCTCCAAAGCACTGGATGCTCGACAAGTTGTCGGGTGTTTACGCTCCAAGACCATCTGCAGGTCCACACAAGTTGAGAGAGTCTCTTCCATTGATTGTGTTCTTGAGAAACAGATTAAAGTATGCTTTGAACGGTAGAGAAGTCAAGGCCATCTTGATGGAGAGACACGTCAAGGTCGACGGCAAGGTGAGAACCGACTCTACCTTCCCAGCTGGTTTCATGGATGTCATCACTTTGGATGCTACCAACGAGAACTTCAGACTCATCTACGATGTTAAAGGTAGATTCGCTGTCCACAGAATCACTGCCGAGGAGGCTTCTTACAAATTGGGCAAGGTCAAGAAGGTCCAGCTTGGTAAGAAGGGTATCCCTTACGTTGTTACCCACGATGGTAGAACTCTCAGATACCCAGATCCAGCTATCAAAGTCAACGACACCGTCAAGATTGATCTTGAGTCCGGAAAGATCACCGACTTTGTTAAGTTCGACACCGGTAGATTGGTCATGGTGACCGGTGGTCGTAACTTGGGTAGAGTGGGTGTTATCACTCACAGAGAGAAGCACGAGGGAGGTTTCGACTTGGTCCACATCAAGGATTCTTTGGAGAACACTTTCGTCACCAGACTCTCTAACGTGTTTATCATTGGTACAGAGGCCGGTAAGCCATACGTTTCTCTGCCAAAGGGTAAGGGTATCAAGTTGACCATTGCTGAGGAGAGAGACAGAAGAAGAGCCTTGGCCGGTTTGTAAGTGTCATAGGTTTTATAATAAGAACCAGTAGAGGAATGAAACGTTACTTCTATGTACACAAGTAATTACTTCTTGTAAGGATATTCAATATCCTCGTCTTTGCGTTTCCAGATCTTCTTCTTTCTTTTCGTTGGAACGTACTCCACAAACACCTCCTCACAGTTCTTCTTTTTGAACTTCTTGATGAACCGAGGGTCCCAAAGTTCAGAAGCGATTCCTAAGTCTTTGCAGCATCTCATCAAAGCGTTAGATTTGCATCCTTCTGTTGCTGTAGGAATTCCCTTCTCGCTGAAAAAAGTCTGTTCACCTCTCGCAATGGACACCAATCTGCCATAAATCACTAGTCCATACTCTCTGGTGAGAAGCCCGCCCATACCCGACTTGGAAACCAAGGTCTCTGATCTTGGAGCCAGTCCCCAGGCACCGGGACCAAAGGCTCTGTTTAAAATACGTCTGTACTTGATTTCTGGCAAGTAGAGCAATCCATCAGGGGTGATTTCGATGTCGTCATCAGGAAGTGGATCAGATAAGATCTTCTGAGATTCCTTAGGGAACGCCTGATTGGCTAACCCGTGGAAAGTCTCTGACCAATTGTGTGACGAGTCGCCTTGCAATGGAACACCATCATTAAGAGAAGACTCAAACATCTGGGAAAGTGTCCCTTCGACAACGGGCGTGGATTCAGTATTAGTTTCAGGAGCAGGAGTTGAGGTTGCGGAAGCGGTTGTAGTGTTTGATTTGGTAGACGTTGGCGCGCTTGTAGTTGTAGTAGAGGTTCTAACTGACTTATAAGGAACAGCTTTTTTCACTGTCTTAGAAGCCGCAGAAATATCGTTCAAGAACGCTTCATGACTAGCTTGGAAGTCAGACGCGTATCTACGCGAAACATAGCCCAAAGTCCGAGCAAAATGCCTCCCGTTTGCAAACATCTTCTTTAATAAAATGTGAGGCAACGCAATTTTATGTTAGATCGTGCACGCGAAGTCCGGTGACAGACTCTCCATATAGAATATTTACTTCCACGAAAAATACCTTCTTGACGTGTCAACTGGATCATGCCTCCTAAACAGAAAATATCTCATAAGGCTGCTGTGCGAGATCGGTCTATCGATTACGTGACGTTCAATTCCTCGATTGACCCTTCGCTGGACAAATACTACCAACTCACTAGTGTGTTGTTGACGCTTCTCGCTTTGGGCACCAGATTCTACTATATCTGGTACCCAGACGAAGTGGTGTTCGACGAGGTCCACTTTGGTAAGTTTGCCTCGTACTACCTCGAGAGAACCTACTTTTTTGACCTCCACCCGCCGTTTGCCAAGCTCCTGATCGCCTTTGTTGGATATCTTGTTGGCTTTGATGGAAAATTCAAGTTCGACAATATTGGAGACAGTTATGTTTCCAACTCCGTCCCTTACATTCCTCTTAGAGCCCTGTCGGCAATCCTCGGCGCTCTCACCGTCCCATTGATGTTCAACACCATGAAGGAGTGCGGCTACGCCATCCCAACATGTACTTTTGCTGCCCTTTTGGTCTTGTTCGACAATGCCCACGTTGCAGAGACAAGACTCATTCTTTTGGACGCAACCTTGATCTTCTCGGTGGCAGCATCCGTTTACTGCTACGTCAAGTTTGTCAAACAAAGAAAACACCCATTCACCTATCCATGGTACAAATGGCTCCTACTCACTGGTGTCTCACTTTCGTGTGTGATTTCCACCAAGTACGTCGGAGTCTTCACCTTTGCCTGTATCGGTGTTGCCGTCATCTGGGACCTGTGGGAGCTGCTTGACATCAAGAAGGGCCTTACAATTAGAGTCTTTGCCAGACACGTTGTCCAAAGAGCCTGGGGTCTCATTGTGATTCCATTCCTGATCTATCTCGGCTGGTTCTACATCCATTTTGCAATCCTCACCAAGTCCGGTCCGGGAGATGCGTTCATGTCCTCAGACTTCCAGGAAACACTGGGCGACTCGCCGCTGGCCAGAGAAGCCAGAGAGGTCCAGTTCCATGACATCATCACCATCAAACACAAAGATACCCAATGTCTTTTGCACTCCCATCTGTACAACTACCCATTGCGTTACGAGGACGGAAGAGTTTCGTCGCAGGGCCAACAGGTGACCTGTGTAAAGGACTCTAACGACGAAAACAACCACTGGCAAATTCTTCCTGCATTGCAATACCCAGAAGACCAGCTATTTGGCCAGACCGTTAAGCAGGGAGACACCATTAGATTGAAACACGTGGCAACCGGAGGCTATCTGCTCACCCACGACGTTGCCTCGCCATTATTCCCAACCAACGAGGAGTTCACCATCATCAACGACGAACAATCGGAGACCACCAGATACAACGACACTTTGTTCAGACTTGATCCGTTTGACAAGAGAAAGCACGACGTGCTCAAGTCCAAGGCGTCTGTCTTCAAGCTGTTCCACGTCCCAACCACAGTGACCATGTGGACCCACGACGACCAGCTGCTTCCAGACTGGGCTTTCAACCAGCAGGAAGTCAACGGCAACAAAAAAGTCACCGACCCTGACAACTTCTGGACAATCGACAGCATTGTGGGTCTTACCGGTAAGCGTGCCGAGTATGTTCCGAAACAGGTCAAGAGTCTTCCATTCTTGACCAAATGGTGGGAATTGCAGCTCCAGATGTTTGAACAGAACAACAAGTTGAGTGCGTCGCATCCATTCGCATCTATGCCTGAGTCGTGGCCAATGTCCTTATCGGGAGTTTCTTTCTGGACTAAGACAGACACCAGAGAGCAGATCTACTTTATTGGAAACCTGTTTGGCTGGTGGCTCGAGGTGGCTTTGTTGGTTTGTTACGGTGGTGTTTTACTTGCTGACCAACTCACGAGACGCAGAGAAATTTACGTGTTGAACAACAAATCCAGAGCAAGACTTTACAAGAGCATTGGATTTTTCTTCTGCGGATGGGCCACCCACTACTTCCCATTCTTCCTCATGAACAGACAAAGATTCTTACACCATTACTTACCTGCACATCTTCTGGCAGCTATGTTCTCGGCAGCGTTGCTGGAGTTCCTCTTCACCGACAACAGAGCCAGTGAGTACAAAGATCCAAAGGATTCCAACACTCCTGGAAGCATACACTGGATTCCGTACAGTTCGGTTCTGGTGCTGCTGTCTGCTATGCTGATTGGCACGTTTGTGTTCTTGGCTCCTCTCACCTACGGAAATGTTTCTTTGAATGTTGAGCAGATCTTAGAGAGACAATTCTTTGACATCAAGTTACATTTTGCCAAATAATCAACGGATAGGGAATGGTAGCTTTCTATGCAATTTTGCGTGGATGGTGTCCATGTTCTGTTCGTTTTCTGCCGTCAGGTAGCCATGTCTCATCAAAAAATCAACAATCACCCCTGCACAGTTTGGCTTGAACTTTCCAGCTCTGATTAGTTCACAGACTTGCGGGATATCTAGCAACTGAAAGTCTTCTGCTTCATTATCCACCGGTTTGGGCACCAGCTCTGCTGACATCTCCAAATCGTACACGTACTGTAATTCCGGTTGCAACAGCCCAGCCTCCGACGAGTAGTTACCAGCCTCTGCCTGGTAGAAATACGACACCTGGCCTGCTGGTTTCAGGTTCTGTCTGACAAACTCCTCTGGCAACCCGGCTTCTTCGTAGCACTCCTTCACACACGTCTCAAACGGCCCGTGCGGGTACCCGAGCCCACCAGCGACCGTATTGTCCAGCATACCGGGGAACGTTTGTTTGGTAGCGGATCTACGAGGGATCCAGAGTTTGACCTCGCCTGCGGTCTTGACGTAGCCATTAATATGCACGCCGTACATTACGACTCCCAGTAGCGGGCACGCTGCTCTCTCAAGCAGAATGTACGGCTGTTTATCCGGCGAATAGATGGTATACAGCTCGTCTCTCCAGCCACGGAGGGTGGAAAAGTAATCCTTTTTGCGCCAGTAGGAGGCCAGCTCGTTCAATGCAGTGTTTCGTTGTTCCAGAGTTGTGAGTTCCTGTGCCAATTGGACAGTACGTGCTGTTGTATCCACGGTGACCAGTTTGGTGGTTGCCAGCTTTTCAACAACAATCGGCAGAAGGTAGCCGATTTGGAACGTGCCGTCGTGCGACAGCAACACGTAAACAGCCTCGCGGAAAGCCGCGTAGTCCTTGTCCGATGGGTACAGCACCACATCGAGCTGCTCAATCTGCGGAAGAAAAGTCATCAGTCCGGTCCACACTGGTATACACTGCCTGGTGGGAAATAAAATTTCTCTGCACAGCCAGCTGAACATTATGTTTAAACCGCTACTTCGGGGGCTTGAAGACGCGATTCAAGGTCCAGACGCCTCTGTGAAACGGGTCGTGAGCGTTTCCGAGGAGCTTGTGGGGACTTTGAAGTCCAAAGACCAGAAACTGAACGACGAGCTGACCGTCATATACAACAATTGTGTCAAAGGTGTGGATGAAGAAGTGATATTCTTAGAGGCGCTCACGCGGCTGATCCCGTTTGTGAAGGAGCCAGATGTTTGGAAAGACCGGTACCTTGGTATTTGTATCGACTCGGCTGGTCTGGACCTGCGACTTGTCGATCTGGCCACTAAACTCATACAGTCCATGATGAGTGTTGATCTTGCCAGACAGCTTATCGGCAAATATCTCGACACAACAACCAGTTTGGAAGATACGAGTTTTGAGCAGAGCGAGCAGGACCGGTTCCGGCGACTTAATATCCGGTTGATTGTCGGTGAGTGGGCCAAGGAGCATATTCAAGATTTTTCTGCTACGGCCTGCGACTTTCTTCCGACAAACGAGCTGGGAATGCTTGTTTTGATCCAGGCCGTGTTTGGCGAGCCATGGGACCTCCAGGTAGACTCTCTGCCGTTGTTTGATGCTGTTGTCAAGCTGCTGGACAGCGAGAAGCCCGAGGTGAAAGAGTGTGCTTTGAACGTTGTGTGTGTTCTTAGTCCGCTAGTGTTGAACGCCACAAGGACTCAATTTGAGAGTCTATGTGCCGCGTTTATTCGGTTAACAGAGTCGGACACAGACTACATGAGACTTGGCTCTGTTCTATACGCCGTGGACCCGAAACGGTTTCTCACCGTGTCTGAGGAGAAGCTGGGTAGCAAGTTTGAGATGGTTTTGGGCAGACTCAAACTGCACCCTTCGCTCATTAGAGATAGATCTGTGGATGACGCATACACAGCTCAGATGATTAGACAGTACGTTTCGGAAAACGCACAGCCACGGGGAGTTGCTCTGGAAAGACTGCTGGAGGATTACGGACATCTTTTCTCCAAAGACGAGGAGAAGGAAAACAGTTCCGACTCGTTGCAGTTTCTGCAACGTGAAATGATGATTCTCAACAATGAGCTCGGGTTCTCCGAGTACGCGCGGTTTTCCTTGATCAGAGAGCACAAGAAGAACGACACCAAAGAGATCCGTTTAGTGGTGGACTTGCCTAAAGTGCAGTCGCTCGTGCCTTTGGAGTCGAGAGAGCAGAGTACCAATACTACTCAGACAACCCCATTGTTACAGTCGAACCAGCGTTTGCGCAACGAGAACCAACGACTGATGGACCAGGTTGACCTGTTAAAGAGCCAGGTGGACGATTTGCAGGCACAGCTTGCCGAAACCAAGAAGTCTGTGGATCCGTTGCAAGAAGAACTAAGTCAGCTTAGAAACCAGGCCATATTGCTGCAGCAGACAAAGACTCTTCTGGAAGAGAAATTGGACGCTGCCAAGTGGAACTCTACCGAAACTCTTGCCGTGAACGACGCGGACGAGAGCGAGAAGGACCAGCTGACCAAGGAGATTGAACTGGCCAACAAACAACACAGTCAGCTTGTGGCCCAGATGACGTTACAGCACCGCAAAGAGATGGCCGAAATGGAAGCCGAGCTGGCGGCGTTGCGCCTGGAAAAGAGACAGCAGACCAACAAGATCCTCAAGCAGCAGAAGCTCAATTTTCAGACGAAGCTGAACGAGTACCAGCGGGCCAAAGAGGTGCTTGAAGAAGAGCTTCGCGAGAAAGACGACAAACTGCTTGTGCTCGGCTCGACTCAGCCGATCAAGATTCCGCAGACAAGCATACCGCGTCCGATTGGGGGCTACGACTCAGGCACCAACTTGTACAAAGCAGACGAGACAGCTACATGGACCAAATTCAACGACCAGAACAACACGATCCACTCGGATTCGTCATCGCAGGCTACAGAGCGGCCGCCAACGTCATCCGGGCTCAGCTTCAGCATCAGACGGCACGCTGACTCCACCATCGACACGTCCTCGATATCGGTTAAAGGTCGTGGCGGAATCCAAAATAAATCCAAGCTAAAAATGTAGCTTGAATTCCAATGGCCAATTGCTCATGAGAAATACGTTCAGAAAACCGAAAAAGACGCCAAAACGGCCAATTCGTCCCGCCGCACAGAACCTAGGCGATAATTCGGATGATGTGTGGGAAAAGGTAAGTTCCAATTCTTCCTGAACTAACCGCCAGACACGATCCGCGTGCAGACACTCGATCGAGACTACGCTAGCGAAAATCGAGGCAGACCTGGAGTCTGACAACAAGGCCTCTAGCATAGCCGAAGAGTACGAAAAGATGTTATACGAACTGCGCAGAGACAACATTGCCGCATACAAAGAGCGATTTCGCAAAGACCTTATTGCTCTGAAAAATAAGTCAACCAGTTTTGGAAAAGATCTGCTCACCGGCAAGCTCTCTGTTAGAGAGTTCTGCCAAACGAAAGAGGCCGACCTCGTTTCCAAGCATCAAAAGTCAGAAAACAAACTGCTTCTTGAAAAAGAGCTGAAAAGCAAAATTACTACAAACTTACCAGATACCATCAACCAAATCAAAAGTCAGGCCAACACCGTCAGCGAGAAATGGGGTATCAGCGAGAGCGCCGCCAAGATTGATCAGGATTTCGATTAGGCTACTTATCGGCAGGCTCGGGCGTGTTTTCCGGCTCCGACTCCAGCTTCAATTTTTTGGGCTCAGGCCCCGTCTCTTCTTCGTCAAGAGACCGTTTGGTTTCTGCTTCCACAGCAGGCTTCACTTCTTTGCCGTTCTCGCTTGCGGTTTCGCCGTCTATTGTGTATTTTAGGAAATTTCCCTCGCCATGTTCGCGTTTTATCGAATCAAGTAGCTTGCTCACCGCCGCGATGGTTTGCGTACAAAACGGACTGATGTCACGTCTGGCCACCTTCACCTTCTCACGCGATGGGGTTCCCGGAGGACCCGCCTTTGCCGCTGGCGAGCCAATGAACTCCACTTGCGGAGCAAGCTTGTCAGTACCAGTAGCCGCAGGTTGTTCTGGCTTCGAGCTGTCCAAATAGCGAGTGAACAAAATCAGATACAAGGTGTGGAAACACTCGTCGATCACACCGGTAGCAGCAAACCCGTTGGCCATACGTCTGAACTCGCCGACCTCGCTCAAAAAGTAAAGAATCAGCTTTTCCTCGTCGGTAAAAGTCTCTTTCTTCTTCATGCTCTCGACAAACTCCTTACAATTGGAGATGAACTCGGTGTAGACCAGCTTCGACAAGGTGTCGTCCAAAAACCCAGGCTCAACTTTGACGATGGTTTTGATGATAGAACATGTTCTGGCAACAGCATAGTCAAACACCTTGATCTGGTCAATCATACTAGAACCCAGTTTCCGCAGCTTCTTGATCAGCTGGAACAAAGAGTAGACATCATTGGACTTGTCAAGAAGTTCCACAGTGAACAAAATGTACCGGTAATTGTACACAAAGTGTTTCCCCGGACGCTCGTACTCTGGCTTCCAAATGTTGCTCAGATGACGAACAGTGGACCTCAGGTTAACCAGAAGAAGCATCTCCTTCTTTGCGGACTCCACGTCGTTAAACTGATCCACGTATATTTTGGCGATTCTGTATCTTGGTTTATGCTGCCACTTCTTCTTGTCGTAAGCGAGACACTTCTGAAGAACAGCAATAGTGAGCTGACCAAATTCTTCGTGATTGGTAGCATCAAATGTTTGATCTTGCAGTAAAGTGTCAGATTTGAGGTAGCTCATACCTTCTTCTATCGACAAGTTTCCGGCCATCACCAGCTTGTAGATCGTGGAGCAGAGATAGTAATGAGGTTCCACGATAGGATCGTCTTTATCGCTGGATTTTAGAGCCAGTTCACACGACTTAAGGACGTTCTTCATCACCAATGGAGTTCTCTTCTTGCTGCGAAGCTTGGACTGAGACTTACCCAGATAAAAGTAGGAGTACCAGTCTTTCGGATTGAGGTTGCAAGCATGTGTGAAACATATCTCGAGAACACGGTAGATGACAACATTTAGTGGTGGATGGTTGGCACCAACAACAACGATCGATCTCTCTGGTAGAGTTAGTTCAGTCTCAGTTCCGGTGGTGATAGCCAGACGCTCCATAGGACTCATCATGGCGTTGTAGAGCTCTTTCCCCAAAGAGGTCCATAAAAGAGATGAGACACCAACTAGTCCGTCTTTCTGTTCATCACTCAGCTGCGCATAAACGCTCAATGCCATGAAGAAACAGAGGAGAGACTTGCGTTGCACAGAAGCTGCGTTTCGTTTCTTGTCAATGTTGTTAAGCTTGTCAGATGTCCAGATAATGTCATCTTCTGCCAGGAACGAGTAAGCCTGTGCTAGAAGCAGCCAGGACTCAAACCTGTTTGAGCCAGAGGCTATATCGTATTCGAACATCTTGATGACAAAGTCCAGCTCAGCGGAACGCCCCTGCATGGTTCTTTTTCTGATCTTGAACAATGTCAATGCCAGTAATCCTTGCATGAAGTAAACACCTTCTGCTCTTGGCTCGGCAGTTTCTGTACCGTCCTCAAAAGGTATCGTTAATAGACCATAGAATGCAAATCTCATGAGTCTGGAATTCAAAGATTTCGACTCCAAGTACTCGCTCAAGGTATCCATATTGTTGGTGACCATATAATCTTCTGGAGCAGGGTCTCCCAAAACGTCGTAAATCAAGTCCAAGACACTCTTGATGTCGGTCTTAGGAACATTGAAAATCGGATGCTTTTTCTTGAAACAGTATTTCATCATGTACTTGTTGACAGTGATAGCATTCTGTTTTTGCATCACGCCTGGCTCGTTGCCATGATCGAAGGTGTTGAAGCTCTCTGTTGAGATATTCAAACCGTAGCGGCACTTTAGCGTTTGGAAGAAATCATTGTCTGACTGATCCCATTCAAGCTCTGCAAGTTTCACTTCAACAAGGTCGAGAAATGCACTTTTGCACTCGCTGCAAATGTGCCGAAGTCCCAGCTGTTCGTGCAAGGATCCGTAAAAGTCGTTGATATACTCCGGTTTAGGGTCTTCTAAAGCATCTGAGTAGTACAGTGCAAGAAGAGCATAACTGGCCACAGTGATATCACAGAACTTGTTGTATGCCAGTTTGGATCTGGACTTTAGTGAAGTGCGGGTGTTGGACTGTTCTGCTCCATCCTCATGAAGCAAAAACATATAAGTCAAAGTCAAGACACGATAAAGTAACGGTATCATCTCCTTTGGCTTGCTCAACTGCAATTGCCATTGTCTGCTCATTCCGATTTCGACAAGATCCTTAACAAACAGGTCAAAAAATCCCAAGACTTTCAGAATGGCCTGCTTACGTTGAAAAAACGTCTTTTCCGTGAAAGCTTTTCCGTCGAGTTCTTCAAGCATGATCTTCAAGACTCTTTCAAATCCACGCAAAAACTTGTCAGTGAACTTCGATTCACGGTAGAACTTGAATAGCATGGTCCACAAACGCATCTTGAGCTCAAATGGCGACTTGCTGATGAACTCGTCCATCTCTTTTTCCTCTTTGGTATATTTGGCCTTACTCTGATCGTCGTCAACCAAGATTTTCTCAAGAATCTCATTAGAAGAATCGTTTGTCGTGAACGCTTTAAAGATCTTCATTTTTGACAATTGAACCTCTAAATTCGTTCTGTTCAACCGTGGGATGTTTGGATAGTTGATCATCAACACATGGAAGTCCAAACCTTGTGACTTCTCGGCCATCTTTGTTAATATTGCGGATAAGATTTCGGGGTCAAACGAAGACAAGTTTTGTAGATAGCACATATGACACCATTTGGATCGCAGCCAAAGTTGAGAGATTGACTTGTTGAACTCGATGCACCCAAAATAATCATCTAGCAACGAGATCCAGCGCTCGATTCTGCGCGAGGTGATCTGCTCTGTTTGAACCACCTCATTAAACAACGCTTTGCTTCCGTACTTTTTTAATTTCTGATCAAGCTTCAGTGAGATGAAGTAATCCACCAACAACTCTAGAATAGAGACTCCAAACTCCAAACCTTCTCCAATCAGCTTGCTGTTGTTCATAAGTTTTGCGCTCATTTGTTTGTAGACGTACAACCCGACAGCATCGGTGAACAGTCTCAGCTGTTTAATCGCATCGGCAGAAAGAAGTCCATCGGTAACCAACGTACCTCCATGTTCGCGCACTTTGAAAAGATGATCCAGAATGGCAAGTCTTATTTGATTGAATTGAAGTTGCGAGTCGTCCAGCGATAGTACTAGCTGTTTTAACTTTCCACCATCAAGAACCTCAAATGTTATGCGCTCTTCAAGAGTATCCTTACCAAAAGAACTGAGAATTTCTTTCACGGATGCTTCTTTACTCTTTTCGTTGTTGTGTGTATCGTCCAACTTCACAAACAAGGTCTCGGTATCCTCTTTGGTCCAAGAGTTCAGCAAAGTGGCTATATCCTGATATTCTATAGGATGGCCCTCGGATTCAGATTTGGGTAAGATATTATCCACCAAATGGCCTGCAGACTCCACTTTGATACCACAAAGTAGAAGGAAGTTCGGAAGGGTATTTTCAAGGAAGTAGAACTGGCCCTCAAAAGAGTCTTTCGTGAGTTCGTTTACCTCGGCTTCCTTATTGGCTCTCGTTTGACGTTTTGTGACTTTGGGAGCAGAATTACCAGCGGCGGGGACAGGCTCTTTTCGTTCCTTCGCAGGAGTTTCATCTCCGTTCAGACTCGAAGGTTCTTCCGCCACATTATTCTGCTCTTTTTCGTCTGTGATTGGCTCCTCGGTTGGGTTCTCGACAAACTCTGCCACCGGTTCCTGCTCCTCATGTTTGTCGATGGCTTGAACTAGTTCGAACTCGACCTTGTCAATTGGTTCTTCTGTCAATATGTATGTATCATAAATCTTGGATCGACCTTTCTTGGGAGGCAGCTCGTTTATGCGTTTGAGAACGTCCACCAAAGCCACCTGATCACCGCTCTCGGCAAGTTCCACCACTCTGATGTTTCGCTCATACTTGTTGAGCTCCTTGAACTCCTTTGCGGTTGGAAAATGGCTCATGTCCAAACCCTTTCGTGATATTGGTTTGAAGTCTATCTTTTCAAGAGCCGGGTACTGTGCCGATTTAACACCTAGCTGATCAAGGAACTTCTTGTAGCTCTGAACCAGCGACAACTGATTAGGAAGCATGGTTTCTGGGTGATTCAAGGCATACTGGATATCATCATCGTCGGTGAAAATTGCCCCTGTACGCGATTGGTCAGACAACGTGAGCTCTGGTTTGAGTAATTCATATTCGAACACGAGTCTTCGAAGCTTGTTCATTTCTAAATGATCGAATATTTGGATTAATAGCTCCATCAATTTCGAGTCACCCTTTCCGTGACAAAGCGCAGTCAACAGATCGTCTATAGCAAGCTTAAAATGCTCGAAAGACTCTGTAACGTCCGTGTCTTCCTTCTTATTGATGATCTGGGAAAGACGAAGAAACCCGCGATTTCTGTAGCACAAGTACTTCAAGGTCTCGATGGCTGGGTTATTGGTGGAATTTCGGGCCGTCAACACTTCCATGTCGAACAGCTCAACGTATTTCGCGTCAGCTTCGTCGTACTTGTCTTGTTTCTGTGCATTTAAAGCTTCTTCGAATAGCTTGAAACCAAGCTCGACTTGAAGCTCGCGCGAGTGTTCCTCGATATCCTCCTCATCCTCAACACGGTTGATAGCCGTGAACGTCGAATGTCGTTGCTGAATGGTTAATGTTCCACGAAAGTTCCCACTTACCATAATTCCTGAGAATAATCTGAAAAACACAGCCAGTTAAAAATTACATCTAAGAATTCGTATGGGTATATACATCGAGCGAAAACTAATCATAAGTCGTAAATGAGAAACCAGGAAAGGTTTCTATTTGAGAATCGGTGACATCACCGGATGGATGACCTCATCCTTGAGTCTGGATAGCTCATCAACCGAATGCTCTTCGGAAATCTTGTCTAATATGTGTAACGCCATTTGCTCAGCCAGTTTGTCATTGTCCACCATATTAAGAGACTTGTCGAAATGATCAATCTGGTTAGCTTTAGCAAATATCGACTGATCGTTGACTCCGGCTTGCGGAGAAGGCGGTGGTTCTGTCGAAGGCAAAGAGGTAGCAGTTTCTGTTTTAGAAATAGCGGTATCAAAAATATCGAACGAAGGCGACATCATAGATACCGTTTGATTATTGTTGGAGTTGATGGTACTCACGTTGATGGAGAGTGATCGCTGATTGTTGACCTTCATAGGTGACACTGAAAATGGCGAAAGAAGCAGTTCAGAGCTCGACCGAGGCAAGATCGGCGTCAGTTGTTCAGGACTGCAGGGAAAAGCATTTTCGTTTCCAGGGTTGGAAGGCAACAATACCACCTCTCTGGATGGTATGGACTGAACTGACTCTGTGATGGATGGTTTACGGCCTTCCGATGGCTCGTCCATATAACTTTTTGTAGACGCTTTGGTTGATATAGATTGCAGATCAAGGGGATTACTTGTTAGATCTGAGGTATCCTTGTTAGTTTTCTTCATCTTGGTGAATGTCGACTTGAGTCGACTGGACAATGAGCGTTTGAGAGTCATCTTGAGAGCAATTAGAGACTCAAATTGATGAAATGCAGGTTGAACTAGACCAGTCAAGTTCAATTATATATGAAAGATTTTTGGATCACTCTTGTGCAGAAAAACTCCTACTAATTTTTTCAAACGGTCCCCCGTTTTTTTTTTTTTGCACCGCCACCGGATGATGCATAATATATTTCTTCATTGGGCACTGAGCCACCTCGCACAATCCGAGACTCACAATACATAGCCACAAAATTAAACCGAGGATCTAGACCGTATGCGGACAGCCGACTGCTACTGAGCTTTTTTTGTTTTTTTGACTCAATCTTGTGGTGCACGGGTGTGCACGAAAGCAACAGACGAGGGTAAAAAACCAGCGTTGCTCGTATACTACCGCCAACCACACCGGGGGCAATTACCGCCAAAAATAAACCGATATGGCAATCTTAGGAAAAAAGGGAGGTCACATTCCAGATTCAGCGCGATCTGAGCCAAGCAAGTCGGACTTTTTTGATCCTGTGTGTTTACCCTTGCGTACTTATGGAAAGAAGCAGATGATGGTCTCTGTCTATGTAACACGTAATTTACCCTCAAATATCTAGCCGAATTATTCATTGAGTGGTTGCAATACCCACTGGAAAAAAATACCTTTTTGCAGTAGCCCGTTCATTTTTTTAAAATCAAAACATATTTCTTAGCTCGTCCATCAAATTTATGTTTTTATAAACACAAATTGGCATCTCAGATTTATCCCGCATTCACTGAAAAGTTACGCAAGTCTTCATTCATCCGATCGGTTAATATCATACCTGTTGGGTTGTTGTGCTTATAACTTTTAATCCTGGTTAGCTGGCAAATTTGCGCACTTGTACCGTCTATCCATTTACTTCATTGCGCTCCTCAGCGGATAATTTTGAACCACTTATAAATGTCCTCGAGACCCAACCTCTCATCCCCAGCGGCAGCAGCAGCTTTGGCCGCCTCGAATAATATGACTCCCAACTCTTACCAGCAAAACCCTTCAGCGACCGCACAATATTCCTCTACGAACGCTCCTCCGCAGGGCCAGTCACAGTCGGCATCTCTTGCACAGCAACAACAGCTGCAGCAGAGCTCCGCAAGTTCCGGATCCCAGGTGGTCGGTCTTCACTACAAGATAGGCAAGAAGATCGGAGAAGGATCTTTCGGTGTTATATTTGAGGGTACCAACCTGATCAACGGTATTCCCGTTGCAATCAAGTTCGAGCCAAGAAAAACAGAGGCTCCTCAGCTGAGAGATGAGTATAGAACTTACAAACACTTGAACGGCTTGAAAGGAATCCCTAGCGCATACTATTTTGGCCAAGAAGGCCTCCACAATATCTTGGTTATTGATTTACTGGGCCCATCGTTGGAGGATTTGTTTGACTGGTGCGGACGTAAGTTCTCTGTGAAAACTGTCGCCCAAGTGGCCGTCCAGATGATCACCTTAATTCAGAGCGTTCACGAACGTGACTTGATCTACAGAGACATCAAACCGGACAATTTCCTCATTGGAAGACACGGTCTTCCAGACGAAAACTCTGTTCATTTGGTCGACTTTGGTATGGCAAAGCAGTACAGAGACCCAAGAACCAAACAGCATATACCTTACAGGGAGAAGAAATCTCTAAGTGGAACAGCAAGATACATGTCTGTCAATACCCACTTGGGAAGAGAACAATCGAGAAGAGATGACTTGGAGGCGCTCGGCCACGTTTTCTTCTACTTCCTAAAAGGCCAGCTGCCATGGCAGGGACTTAAAGCTCCGACAAACAAGCAGAAATACGAGAAGATTGGTGAAAAGAAAAGAACCACTTCTGTTCTGGACTTGTGCCAAGGATTCCCTCGTCAATTTGCTCAGTATTTGGAGAGCGTTAGAAACTTGCAGTTTGATGCCGAACCAGACTACGATGGCTACAGAAAGCTGATCATGTCTGTGTTTGACGACATTGGAGAAGTTGCAGATGGACACTACGACTGGATGGACTTGAATGGCGGCCGTGGATGGGACGCTACAATCAACAAGAAGCCAAATTTGCATGGATACGGACACCCAACTCCTCCAGGCGAGAGACATCGCCACAGTCAACAGAGACGTCCAAGAAACAGCCAGCAGCCAGCAAATGCTACTGGCAACGGACCACAAGCTTTATCCGCAGCAGCCATTCCTGGCAAGCTGTATAGACCACATGATACACAATCGAGTGACAGACCTTTACCAAACTTGCCAGACAAGAATGGAAGGTTTTCGCCTGTGAACCAAGGTTCGCCTCTTGCATCCCAACAGGCTCAACAGTATCAGTATCAAAACATTCAGCAGCAGCCTCAAGCCACCAACGAGCCTGTTAAGACCCAACAACAGGTTAACGGTAAGCACGATGGCGGATCTAACAAGAGTAGCAAGGGATTCCTTGCTAAGATATTCGGATGCTGTGTTTAAGAGTCTTGGATTGAACTTTAAAAAGTGTACTTTCACCGTTTTTATAGGTTTATTAGAGATCAGAAGAAAAAAAAAGTTTCACGTGACCTTTGTAAACTGGAAAAGATGGAAATTTTAAATTGAATGTTGTTAAGCAAGATGGGTTCTTATTTAAAAGAGGCACATATTGCCCAATTGGCGGTTAAGAGAGCCACGATTCTGACCCAGAAAGTTGCCTTAGAGCACTTGAAGGGTGTCAGCAAAGAAGACAAGTCTCCTGTCACGATTGGCGATTTTGGAGCACAAGCAATTATCATCAATTCTGTCTTAAAGAACTTCCCTGGAGATGAGGTTGTCGGTGAGGAAGATTCCGAGCTGATTAAGGAGAAAAACCTGGGTGATGATATTCTTGCTCACATCGAGTCCATTCAGAAAGAAGATTCAGCTCATGACAACGAACTCGGAGTTCTGTCAGATGTGAAGAGTATTTGCGACACCATTGACAAGGGACAGTCAAAAGGCGGCCGCAAGGGTCGGATCTGGGCTCTCGATCCAATTGACGGTACCAAGGGTTTCCTCAGAGGCGACCAATACGCAGTTTGTTTGGCATTTATGGTTGACGGAGTGGTCCAGGTTGGTGTCATTGGGTGTCCTAATCTACCGCATGATTTGGGCGATCCATCATCGCATGTTGGTGGACTATTCACTGCTGTTCGTGGTGTTGGATCGTACTTCCAAGACCTGAAGGACGATCTGATCTACCCGTTCACAAATAGCACAAAGATCCACGTCGACAACTCCCGGGCTCTTGAACAGGCCAGAGTGCTTGAAGGTGTCGAGAAGGGCCACTCTTCGCACGAGTTGCAAGCTTTGATCAAAAAAGGTGTCAACATACAGAGCAAGTCTGTGAATTTGGATTCTCAGGTGAAATATTGTGCTCTGGCCAAAGGAGACGCAGAGATATATTTGAGGCTTCCAAAGGATGTCAAATACCGCGAGAAGATTTGGGACCATGCCGCTGGTTCGTTGCTTGTCCACGAAAGTGGGGGAAAGGTGTCTGATATTTACGGCAACGAGCTGGACTTTGGACACGGCCGTACATTGAACAGTCAGGGAGTCATCGCTTCCACCACCACTACTCACGACAAAATCATTGGAACCATCAAGAGCATCATCGGAGAAAAGGGAGAGAAGCTGGAACAGTACTGTAAATAGAGAGTTTACCTTAAATACCTGGATAGTTAATTATAGTGCGTCTGGCTGTGTTGAATATTTTAAACCAGTGTTTGGAAAGATTCTTATGGCACGTTCCAAGTTTGTTTCCCTATTCAAAAGTTCACCTCTCTACGACTTTCTGATTCCGTTTCAGAGAGCACAGAACCAATGGGTTGCCAGATACATCATCATTGTGTTTGCGATAATTGTTCGTTGTGCTGTTGGGCTGGGGCCTTACTCTGGACAAGCCAGTCCACCAATGTACGGTGATTTCGAGGCACAGCGTCACTGGATGGAGATCACAAAACACCTTCCGATGAAGGAATGGTACTTCTACGATCTACAGTACTGGGGACTCGATTACCCTCCGTTGACCGCGTTCCATTCGTGGATATTGGGCGAGCTAGGCTCTTTGACGGACTACTCGTGGTTTGCTCTTGACTTGTCCCGAGGAATCGAAACCAACGACCTCAAATCATACATGAGGATCACCGTTCTTGTCAGTGAGCTGATGGTGTATATTCCAGCGGTTTTGATGTACACCAGATGGATGGGCAGAAACTACAACAAAGCTTCTCCAATTGATCAAACCATCATCGCAGCTGCAATCATTTACCAACCATCGTTGATCGTGATAGACCACGGACACTTTCAATACAACTGTGTCATGCTGGGACTGTCGCTGTTGGCAGTTGTCAATCTTTTGGAGGATAACTACGCGTTGGCCTCTATCTTCTTTGTGCTTTCGCTAAGCTTTAAACAGATGGCTCTATACTACGCTCCCATCTTCTTCTTCTACCTGCTCAGTGTGTGCGTGTGGCCCGTTTCCAGGTTCAATCCGCTGAGATTGATCTCAATTGGAGTCTCGGTGGTTGTCACTTTTGCACTCATGTTTCTTCCCTTCATCTACCAAGGTGGTTTCTCGCAAGTGGTACAAATCATCGTTCGTGTTTTTCCATTTGATAGGGGAATTTTTGAAGACAAAGTTGCCAACTTCTGGTGTGCTACTAACGTTGTGATCAAGTACAAGAACATCTTCACCCAATCACAGCTGAAAAACATCTCTTTGCTACTGACTTTGGCCGGAATAGCACCTTCTTGTATCGCCATATTTCTCAAACCAACAAAAAGCCTGCTCACCTGGTGCTTGTCGTCCTGTTCGCTTGCATTCTACCTGTTTTCGTTCCAGGTGCACGAAAAATCGATCCTGCTTCCTCTCATGCCAATAACGCTCCTGCTTAACGAGGTTGATTCCGACGTCATCTCCATGGTTTGCTGGATTGCAAACATCTCGCTGTTTTCCATGTGGCCGTTGCTGAAAAGAGATAACCTCGCTCTGCAGTATTTCGTGCTTGGTATCCTCAGTAACTGGCTCATGGGAAATCTCAGTTGGGTGCGTATGTTCTTGCGCAAAGCAAAAATTCCAGTCACCGTCAGAGAGCTCGCAACTCCCGTGCTCCCTCATAATTTGTTCTGGAAGCTGGTGATCATCGGATCCTACTCTGCTGCCTCTCTGCTACACTTCCTAGACTATTACCAGGAGCCACCAGCACACTTGCCCCACATATGGATCATCGCCAACATGGTTTTATCCTTTGGATGCTTCAGTCTGTTCTGGCTCTGGACAAACTACAAAATAGTGCAAAAGGCTACTCAAAAACTCAAAGCCAACTAATTTATTACTCTCCATCATTTTAAACTACTCACGTTTTTCCAGTACCCAGTGGAAATATTAGCAATGCTTGCACAGTCCGGCAAGACAATCCCAGGCTTCATTTTTCTGTCGTGGGTAAAGAATCCCCATTGGGTTTCCCACTTGCTTCCGTCTTCGTGCCAAATCTTTTTCCATGGCTCGTCAAAGGCCTCGAAATAGTACCAGCCAAAATTCTGTGTCTTTGGCGAGCAGGTCCATGCTTCCAAAAATTGTTGCATCTCACTACCCCCGGCAACAGACTCTATGAACGTTCCTCCTCCAGTTGGCCACCCAACTTCGGTAACTAGAATCTTGGTCTCAGGCTTGATAGCCTGTACAAAGGGTGCAACCTGTTGCTCAAGATAATCCACGGTCCAATTGACTCCGTCTTTCACTTTACCTCCGCCAAAGAACGGATGGATATTGGCCCCAACAAAATCGCAAGTCTGAACCATCTCGCTCTTGATTTGAGATCCCAACTCGGAGGTACCTACAGGAATGTCTCCATATCCAATGGTTTTCAAATATCCCTTCACATCCTCCACATATGCCATGAGTTCTCTAACAGTTTTTTCTTGGCGGAACATCACCTCGTTTCCAATAATGATGGAGTTGAAGTATCTCCTAGGGAAGTTGGTCAATAGCCATTTCATCTCGTTGAGCTGTTTCCAGTTCGTATGGTCGTCGGACCCAATCCAAACTCCAAGCGCCAAGGACATGTTCACATTCAACTCTTTGAATGCGTTCAGAATCAGCTCTGCTTGACGACATTGCGTGCCGTACGTTCTCACCCTTGTGGTGACTCTCGAAAGCAAAGCAATATCCAAAAGAACATCTCTCTGGGTAGCTTGACACATTGGCTCAATGACTCCTCGTGGAGCATAGGAAAGCCCATAGAATGTTTGTTTCAACCGATCGTCCTCCATCAGGGAACGGATCTCATTGTCTTCACGATACTTCTCGTTGATACCCAGGAAAGTGTTGATACTTTCCTTGTCGTCGAAGCTATCGAACTCGCTGGAGTCGTTAAACATCAAGCTCGATCCGTTGGAATCCTTAGCCTTGCCAGATGTATAATCGTTGAAGATTCTGTTCACCTCGGAAAACCTCTCCACTTCATCCATGTTTTCAAAGTAATTGTCCACCTCGTCTCTTCCGACCTTGAGAGGAGAGAATGCCTTCACAGACACAAATGCGGCATATCCAAAAAGAAACAGAATCAGAAACCCAAGAAGTCCACACGTCCATGGTGACATTGTCAGCTGATACTGGTAATGGTGTCGAACTGGGCCTTCAGGCAGTGGTTCCTTTTCATCCTCAAACTCCACGGATTTCTTACGCTCCCCGGTATCTGGTACGGTTCTCCTGCTGGAGCCGACTGTGTATTTTCTAACACTTGCTTTGCCGAACGAGAACTCTGACTTTGAGCTTCGCGCACTTGCTCTTTCAAGACCGTCCACGTCTCCAAAAGTCCATATCTGAGAGACAGATCCCCTCTTGCTTGCAATCCCAGCCATTGAGGCAGCAGACGTTAAAGGGTGCTCGCTGGCTGTGCTAACATACCGGTTAGAGCCCTTGAGCAGCTTGTACTTGGAATAAGAGTTTAGTGTGTCAAGATCGGTTCCTTTAGAGGCATCCTTGTCGACGGGGGACTTGTCGTCTGAATCCAGTCCTTGTGGCGATACATAGCCATACTCTTCAATGAGATTCTCTCCTTCCGACCATGCGCTATGCTGTTCTTGTGCATTTGAGTCCAAAGGACTTCTGATTTTTGGAATAGACAGTTTTGAGATTTGGCCCGAGGTGGTTTCTGTAGACTTTTGCATTGGAGACACAGCGCTGTTTAGCTGAGAATCCCCTTCGCGAATGACCCGCTCGTAAGGATCGTAGTCTGTAGGCAGTTGTTCAATTGGCGATCCGGTAGTGTTGGCTAGGTCTGCAGAAGTGGTTCTGAGTCCCACTTCTTGCAGCTGTGCGCTCTCTTGGTCCGTAGCTGTCTCTGACTCGCGATCTGGGTAGCTAGAATGCACAACCTGCGGCCCTGGTAATTCGATACTGCGCTTGCGGTATCCATCGACGCTTTTCAAACGTATTACTTCAGGCTCTTCGGTAGGACTAAACGGCGCAACAGGGAATTGCATCGTGCTCCTTCTGTTTCTTGCCCCAAATTCCTCCAGCTTCAAAGTGCCCTCGGAGCCGTCCTCAGTCCTATTGAGCTGAGGATCAATCTCAGCATTGCTCATGCCTACTTTGTGCTCCAAAGCTGACGCGCTGTTAATTTTCCGTTCCTGATCCATCCTTTTGAATGGTATATTTAATGCTTAAGTTATTTACTTTTTTTTCTTAGCGCTTTGAAATGAGGATACTCGCACATCCTCAATTTCCAATGTGAAATTACATCGAGATTATTCGTGTCACCGGAGGAATTGCAGCTCGTGGAAATCTCCACTGGTCAACGGCACATCATTAGCACTCGAGTCAAGGCATCCACAAAGCCGTCTTGCGTTGTCTCTGTATTCCTTCAGGTCGATCTGTTCGTCATCGAAGTAGCCTTCAATACGAGGCCGCAATATCGGCTCGTACTCTTCAAATAAATTGTGGAACTCCTTGGATATGGTCTCTGTGACACCAAACGAGAACCGTGAAGGCCTGCTGAGCTCTTCAACGGAGGTGAGAACGTCCAAAAGTCGGCACAGATCCACCATGTCTTCATAGCCAGCCAAAGCGAAGGATAACGTTTCAATCAGCTGGTACATTAGTTTCGTGCACTGTTTGGCGACTGACTCATGGCCTTGTTTGTAGCAGCCTAGCTCGGAAAACATAGTGATAAGTCTCACACAGCACCAGATATCCGATTGATCGAAAACCTTGCGTCTTTTGGCTGCCAGAGTCCAAATTGTGAGCCAGTTCTGAAGGTGTATCCAGTGCGATTTTTCAGCAGACAGCGATGCAGCGTGCAATGCTGCCAACGTCAAGAGCGGATAGAATACCGATTTGCGCAACGGATTGGCCTCAAACACCGGGATCTCGTCCAAATCAGCAACCATGTCGTCCAAGAACGTGCTAAACTTATGGTTAGCCAGAGATGTGACGTACTCGGTCTCCAACAAGACCATCAGGTCCACCATACTGTCGATCGAGTCAAACCGTTCGTTCAATGGAGCCTGGACGTCTTCAATGGCCAACTCGTGTCTCAGGTTCACAAACTCGGGCAAAGAGTACAGAATGTTACTGGCCACGGTGTTGAGATACCGAATCAAAATAATATAGTCTTCGCGCGGTCTCTCAAACTTGCCAGTAATCTTAGACTTTTGAAACTCTCCGCTAAGGCTGCGCACGAAAAGTTTGAGGTAAGAGTCGTCTTGAGATTTCCCTTTCTTGGCTCCAACAACAAGCCGTGCCAATATTCTAATAGTGACCCGGATGGTGTGACTATAGAACTCGACCATCGTCATGTCTGAAATGTTCTTTCCGGTTCTGAACTCCATGTATCCTTCGTTCTCCTCTTGCTGGGAAAGTAGTTTGCAAAAGTCGAAAAGGTCCTTGGTGCATTTCTTTGCGAGGTTTCTCAAAAACACCTTGAACATGTCTGAAAACAAGTTCCGTGACACATGTTGACTGTAAAAAGTCATCACCCCAGTGTAGAAAACAAGCTCGTACTCTGCACGTAATTCAGGGGTCCCAAAGTATGGCCATTCCAGATGAACAAGGGCTTCAAGGACAACCCCAGAAACAGAGCTAACATGGACCCATGAAAGAATACTGGTCCGCTTCAGTGGAGCATTGTCCATGTCAGGAGCAAGAATGATCGACCTAAGTGCTGTGGTCATGTCTGATCTGATTCGCGGATCAAGCGCGTTCATCGTGGCAGGTCTCATCCAAATGAGTTTCCGGATAACATCGATGGTTCTGTAGACAACGTTTGAAATCTTGGAATTGCGCAGTTGTAGCAATGAGGTGAATAGAACAATATAGTGTCCGAATCGCCGGTCTATTGTGTTTTCTATTGCGGCGTCATGCAGTTGTCTGACCAAGTATCTGAACCTGTCTATTGCAAGATCAGAAACCAGTTTGAGGTTGTTGATGCTTTCAACAGTTTTGGTCAGACAAATGCGGAGAATCGAGGCAGGAAGCTTGTTTAAAGTTTCCAGCTCGCACTGTGTGTACGAACTAATCAAGTCAAGAAGTAGTTCGTAAGCCGGTGTGCTATCGAATGATAATAGCACTGAGAATAAATTGGAAACCGGCTTGACAAAGTCGTGTTTGAACAGTCTTGTCATCACCATAAACAAACTGATTCTATTTCCCAGAAGTTTCGGTGTACATGTTCGAATGTCGCTGACGGGTGTAACTTTTTCAATAAGACTCATTTTCTTCTCTGGTTCCATGTACTCATTCACGTGAAGTATTAAAAACTTGATGTACATTTCAAGGCAACCGTCAGATTCACCAATGGTGAGTCTTATTGAGACACTGGATGGAACACGCGACGAGCTCCCTAGGTTTTCAAATCTGTGGTAACTCATTAGTCGATATATCTTGACTAAGAGGAGTTCCTCAAAGTTCCAATCCAGCTCCTTAATTATTTTCATGATAGTTGAAAGTACAGTTCTGTACTTGCCCAAATTCAAAATGGACTGCATGTCCTCAATCTCGTGAATGAAGTACTCCCAGTCAACCAAGACAGGTCGCTGCGAATGCAAATAGTAAAGGTAATTAACAACATTTTGGAAAGAGAACCTATATTCTCTGGCAAGTGATGCAACATGGCTCCATGGACTTGGACATAATTTCAAGAACATCCCCATAGACTCGGACATTGTTGAAGTCTTGCTTTTGAGCATTGCATAAAACTGGGACGAAGGAAGCGAACATGCTATTTGACTGATTAGACGTTCAAGCCTTCCTTGCATCACCTCAAACCCATGGAACTCGTTCCTTGTCTGTCTCGTAAACCTGTTACACAAATGCATCAGCGTAAGATAATACGGTGCATAAATGATCTTCGTCTTGTAGCTTGCTTGTGAATCTAGGAAAGCAGTTGCAGATGACAGTAAAACCCTGGATAATCTTGTAAATTCGTTGAAGCTCCAGTACTTGACGTTCCAAGTCAACTGTAACAGTCTCACAAAAACGCGACGCACTTGAGAATGCTCGTCAGCGTCCAACCCATCATCTTTTGCAAGAAATGTGAGCACGCTTTTCACCAAACGGTCGGTCATTCTCGAGCACTTTTCAATATTATACTCATCAACTGAAAACTGAATATTGACAAAACTGAACTCAATAGAATCATCCTTGTAGTATTCACCATCATCGTTGAGAGACTCTTCAAACAATCTCGAACCAAGAAGTGATGTCTCGTTTGTACTGACACTTTTGAATTTCTGCAGACTCAAGTCTTTCATGTCAAATGCTTCCTGGGTAGCTGTTTTCGCTAGTCTCTCAACAACATTGTGATAAGTGTTGGTTTTATTAGCGAATGGCTGTTTCTCGGCCACTTGATTTATCTTTTCAACATCCTCCAGCTGAGCTGTACCAACAATTCTCTGTCTTTGGAAGTAAAAGAGATCGTTGTTTCCAACACTTCCTCCTGGAGCCAGTGTCAAAGCTTTCCTTCTCCGTTTCGTTGCAGACGTGGAAACATATTTGGAGTCTGTCTGAGGTGTATCTTCTTGGTAAACCTCAAAGTTCTGCTTCGGTTCATCATCAGGGCTGTAAAATCTAGCTTGTCTCCAAATACTTTCCTTCTGGTACATTGGTAACTGGCGTGATCTTGGACGTGGTGTTTTCTGGGCATATCTAGCGGATGGGCTTTGGATACCTGTCCTCGATCTAGCTCCAATTCGAGGTCTGCGAGGTTTGGTGCTTGGCTTTTGGGAGGAGGCGCGGGGAGCTCTTGACAACATGTAGTCAATTCCTGATGTTTTATCTTCCTGGGCATATCCTGTCCTAACATCTCTTTCGAAGAGCTCTTGAACGTCCGAGTCCGAGGAAGCTGAAGAAAGAACATTGATTTCGAGTTCACCGTGGTCGGTGATGCTTGGTTCTTCGTCAAGTGACTCGACGCGAGGAAGATAATTAAAGGGCCTGATATCGTCTTCTTGGATTCTTTGGTCTGAAATGAAGTTTGTCATTTCATCATCCTTTTGGTACTTGTGGATTTTCTTCTTTCGCGCGAGGCCAGGGCGCTGAATACTCGGTTCATGTCTCTTAACAGGAGCAGGAGCTGTCTTATTGATTTTGTAGAATGAGTAAGGTAGGACCCCTTTTAAAGCGTTCCTCTTTTTCAACACCCTGTTGCGAAAGACAAATTCGTCTTCTTGACTGGTATCTCTGTCCTGACTTTCTTTCGTCTGAGACATCTCATCGCGTTCTGGGGACACCATATCGAATGTCTGCTTCACGAATGGAACTTGAGACTCCTCTTCAACATACTCATCTTCAGAACTTTTTTCGTGAACTGATTCTTTCGGAGCACTGTCCTGTTGGGCAAGTTTATGCGTCTCTGACTCAAGATACTGTCTGAAAGTAGGCTTGTACAGGGGTCCATACCCAATATCCTTCCTCTCACGTTCCTGCCTCTTCTGCAAATAAACGGAGTCCAAAAAGTCGAGGATCTGGTTGAAAGACTTACCCTGGTCATATAGATCATTCAGATGATATATGGAAGAGAGTCCTAGATACACTGCGGTATCTGTAACATAAACATGGTCTTGCGAGAACTTGTGTCTTCTGGTACGGCGACTGTTTGGATCTTCCTCTTGGAGCTCCTGAAGCATTTCCTGTGTACCGGTAGCTGGAGTCTTTGGCTTCTTTACAGGTGATGGAGTTGGTGTGTGATCAGAGACAATCAATGCAACTGGTTCGGGTGTAGGAGGCGGTGTGTCTTCAATTGTGATTATAGGCGACGACTGGATGTTGAGATCAATCTGGCTAAGCTGGGCATCCGTAAACGTTTCTTGAATAGGTTCTGCGATTGGCTCGGGTTCCACTTCCGACTCGTTGTCGGATAATAAACTGATGGAATTTCCTGGAGCTCCGCCTTCTTCCTGCTCTGATTCGTCGCTCTCGTCTGAGCTGACCTGTTCGAGCTGCATTTTTTCAAGACGTTCGAGATCGTGTCTTTGCGATCCAGAACGTAGCCGATCTTCCAATGTCTCGTAGAAAGCTTTCCCTCCTCTTCCTCTGGTAGCTTGGTATTTTTTGAAATCCTCCAAATACATGCTGAAATCCTTCTTCTTGAATCTATGCTTGGCAACCTGATGTCGTTCGTAAAAATGTCGTAGCTTCACATATTTTCTATTGAGCATGTACAGTATTCTCTCGTCAGAAACACCCTTGCGAGCGGTGCAGTCCAGCTCTGCGCGCGACGCGAGATTCAGATACTCAGCAAGGTCAGCCGTGTAGACGTGTCTCTGGCAAAATCCATGCCGTCGCGTTTTCCTGCCTGAAATCTCCCTGATCTTACTCTGTATATTGATTCGTCGTTCTGTGGACGCAGTCGTTGAGAGTCGCTCGACAATCTGCCAAGTGAGCCTCTCATCTTCCCGAACGGGTGATTCAGGAATTTCTAGTTCTTGCATTTAGCAATTCATTACGCCTTTTTAAAGGGTGTGTGTGATATTATGAACGCGTTTTTTATTTCGATATTATTATGTCAGATTTATTTTTTATTCAAATAAATGTCTACAACACAACCGGCTACTCCTCGGACTTCCAAGTCACCGTCAAAACGCAAATCGGTAGGTAAATTTGACGCGTCTCCACTAACATTCAGGCTCCCACGAGTATCTCGTCGACGACAGCGCAATTGCTCACCTCTACAAAAGCCTTGCTCCAATCGCTAACGGCTTGGGCAAACAAAACAGCTTCCGTTGGAGATGTTTCCTCTAAGTTCGTACAGGTGGGCGATGACTTTAAAGCTCTTCGAAGATCATATGTGGCCGGTGGAGTAGACACCAGCGACATCAAGGATATCCCCAACCTGCTCAGAAAAGTACTAGAAGAGTCTTTGATCTTGGAACCATCGCAAAATACCCTGGATTTGTTTTTGCCCAAAGTTGGACAGATTGTGGCAGAGTTGATGAAGACTTTGAAGGAAAAACAAATAGAAGCACAGTCTGTTTCGGAGAAGCGCAGATCTCAGGACCAACGATCGGTCTCGAGTCCCGCACAAACTCCTGAATCCACCGCCGGTCCTGCCCTGCCTCCACCCCCTCCAGAATCTACCAACGATGCAATCAGTCGTCTTCAAAACAACCATTCCCTAATGAGAAAGGCCTCGAAACGGTTTTCGGCCTACCAAACGTCCAAGATCTTGTCTATGAATGCAGTGAGTCCGCGTCAGTCTCCTGTCCCAATTGAAAAACGGGTTTTAACTCCAGAGCCACCAAGTAGTCCGCTGCAGGCTGAGGTTTCCAAGAACATTAAAAAATCGGAGATACACCAGCAACTGACTGCTCCGTCGATAAGTGTTGATGAAGCACCAATTACAAACACAACGGTCTTTGTCAAACTTGGCGGACGGGTGAAGAAAACTGAAATTTCTTTACCAACTACGCTGGCCCAGATAAAAGACTTATTTTCACAGACATACGAATACTCGCCAAAGGATGATTTTCCAACAATATATATACAACAACCATCCTCCACCGTGGCTTACGAGCTGGAAGACTTGAGCGATGTTGGGGAGTCTGTGGTTCTGTCCCTTTTCGAGCCAGACATTACATCCTCCCTAATGAAAGAAATGAAGTTGCAGACAGACTCTTTAAAGGAAGAGATTTCGAAATTGGAACAAAGTCTGGGCACCAGAATCGGAAGCATTCAGGCTGGTTCTTCACTCGCGCCAGAGACCAAAGCAGTTGCTCATGGACCTTCTGCTGATTTCAAGAACGAGCTTGAAAATATAAAGCTTGATCTTTTGAAAGCTAGACAGATCCAAAGATCTCTGAAGAAAAGTATGACTGCTTCCATTGAAGATGCGCTGGAGATGGTGAGCGACTTCAAAAACGTCAGTTTGTCGCCAGAAGGTGTTATCAGCAACCCATACATGGAGCACTGTAAGGCTAAGGTCAGTACCGAGTGTGAAGACCTAGTCACCAGAATTGATGATCTCCAGGATATCATCGAGGCTTTGAAATTGGACATCAGCAAACGAGGAAGCAAACCTTCTCCAAAACAGGTTCAACATGTGCAAAAGGAGATTCAGACAACAAAATCGAACCTTGCTTCTTTATTGCAGTATATGTCTGTGGAACGGAAGAACTGGAACACGAGATGGCAGTCCGAGCTTACTGCTGTCTTAGAGGAACAGGAATTTTTCAAAGAGCAGGAGACTATTGTCCGTTTATTGGAAGAAGATCTGGGCTCTGCAGATGAGACTTACGCCTTAATTGTCAAATGCGTTGAGGAGCTTGAGAAGAATCCGAAGCTTGTTCGTACAGGCAGTTTAACTCTTCCTCTGCCAGATCCCTCGTTGTCGATGAACCAGGTGAGAGACGCCGTTATGGATGAGGTTCGTAATTTGAGACCTAACCACGATTCCAGAGTGGAGGCTATAGTGAAAGCAGAGAAGGTGAGAGAGAAGGAGAGGGAGATTTTGAACAACGATCAGTTCGAGGATGAACTAGGTGACTTTGTTGAGACGGAGAAGTTGAAAAAGAGTGGAGGAATTGACGAGGTGGAGCGGTTGCGCAACCAGAAGGATGAGAATAATCTTAAAGGAATCAATCTCTAGTTGGATATAGACTGTCGATATATGATGCGTATTGTTGACCTAATTTGTTCACCAGTGAACGTTTAAAGGTGTTTTGGAACGTGGTGTAGTGGCTGATACTGAACTTGTCTAATTTCGATACAAGTCTTTGGGACCTTGCGAATCGCAGCTGTATTGACTCAATGAGTGTGGATATGTTTTGCCTGATAATCTCTTCGCTATTGACAGTTGAGTCAAAGAATCCAGAGCTGATTGCAACTTTGTAATGTTGCGTAAGAACTGAATACATTGCTTTGAAAGAGGAAACATTGATCGTGGATAGATCGTACGAGCGAAGGTTTCTCGTGACTGTTAGATTGTCCAGATAAATTGTGGTTCCCAGGAAATCAACCCTATCGTCTGAGAATAGACTTTTTTCTCGGTTGACACTGATATTGAACCCAGGAATTGGTTTACTGATCAGTTCGCTGTATTTTGTGATTGTTTCTTTCTTGGTTGATAGCACAAGAAAATCGTCAGCTAATCTGATGACATTCACGTCTTCAGACCCAATTGATTCAAGATACTCCACCACCTTGTCATAGACAATCTCACAAAAGATTCCTGATAAAGGGAACCCTTGAAAGACTCCTCTCTTTCTGTGGAAAGTGGTGAACGATGAAAAGATTGCCGAGTGCTCTAATTGACACTTGATGATTCTCAAAACTTCATTCTTATTCAACACCACAGGAGAATTCGCCTGCACGATCTGCTTACTACCAAAGTCCTTCTCGGATCCATCCAGAATTGTAATCTTTCTTCGTTTGCGCTCTCCCAATGAATTCGGCCTGTTGAGCAGGTAATACCGATTTATTGTATATGATGAAGTTGAGAGTTCGTTCTCAAACATGCTTTCAATGAGGGATACCAGCAGATCTCTCGGAAGTGTATCATACGCTTGTTTGATATCAAATTTCAATGCAAATACTGGTCCAGAAACCTTTTTGCCATACGCTGTTAGCTTTTCCGGAAGCTCGCCTACCGACTTGATGCCCTTCACGTTTCGCTTGCTTGAAAGAATCATATTGGCTATCAGCACCTCGTTCCGATGAATATTCATGCGTTCAAATACTCCTTTGCCGACTCCCTTGAATGGCATCGCGATAAATCTGAGATCGTGAGGTTTTGGTAGCAGTCTTAAACTTCCTATGAAATCCTGGTTTTGTGTAAAAGTCTCATGGCTGTTGCGCGCCCTTTGTGACTTCAGTAAGAACTTGTTGAAGTATCTATCCTTGAATTGTTTGGAAATTCTATGCCAAGTGTGGTGTCTATAGTAGAGCAAGCGGAAGGATTGAGACATATCGGTGACGTGGAAAAAAGCAGCTACCAGTTTGAAGACAATTGTATGGAAGAACCAGTCCATAAATTGGTACCACATTATCTGTGCTCTTTCAAATTCCATCTTGTTCAGTTTCCGGCCTTGATTTATCCACGGAATGTCATTCAGCTTGAAGTTCTTGCTAAGATCGTAAATGGAAATAACATCTTTTTTGTTGCAACTGAGTACGCGAGCTATTTTGGTGAACAGAACAGACTTGTTGTGTTTGGACCCAAAAAGCCCCAAAGGCATGATCTTCTCTAATAAGATTACGAGAAATCGGATCACATCCTTTTTGTCAACTGCATAATCAATGTTGGAGTTTGCATTTTTTGGTTCCGGACATACAGAGTCCAAAATGTACGGGTATTCTCTTTGACGTTTGACATGGTTGGTTCTTAGCTCTTCCAGAAAAGGTCTTAGTTTAAGATGATGTTTTTTTGGTACATTGAAGATCTGTTCAAGCAATGGCACAAACGCTGGTAATGGGTCGTATCGATGCAACGACCAGATCTCACTGTAGAGCATCTTGTTCAACTTAAGCTGAAACGACTTCGATTTGATCTTGTAGTACGACTCATTTGTTTGCCCCCATAAGAACTGATTGTCCAATTGCGCTAGATAATTGATAATCAGGTCGAGAAACGCGCTCCTTCCAACAAGAGTACAGATTAGTCTGAATTCTGGGGTTTTCAATAAATTGGTCCCAGCGTTGGGACCAGCAAATGCAAACGAGTTTGAGACATCCAGACGGTCACCATCGACAACTCCATGCAGCAGAATGTTTTTAGAGCGCGTATTTGCGAGGTATCTGATGAGATCATCTATCAGCTCTTCATGGGAGCAGTCCTGATAAATCAGCTGGACAGGGACTTTGAGATCTGAGACTCTGGTGACTGTAATCTTCGATCCATGATTTGCCATACGTACGTTGAACAGCTCGTCAATGGTCTGGTCACATTCATCTGCGCGCCTGTTTTCCCTTACATAGTGCTCCAGATTCATTACAAGACAAAAATATTTTTTCCACCATGGACTATGATATAGATTACGAGAGGTTTGTGTTCCATGGCGAGTTCCAGCGAGTACAGCCTCAAACTAGCGTGGAGCCACTTCTGGTCGATCACTGGGTCGTGTGGGTTCTGCCTAAACAATCGCCTGTTGTCAATAATATAATCAAGAATGAGTTCAAAGACACAGCTGCGAGTTTGCGACACTTGAAACGATTTGTCAAGACCCAATCCGAGGAAAAAGACTGGCTGAGGGTTCTTCTTTGCTCATGTGAGCTGATTTCCAAAACCGACCTGGAAAACATACTTTTTGGGCCTCTTGAGAAAAACACTATAGAAAGAGTGAAAATTCCATTAAATAAGCCATTTGACAAAGATCTAAACACACAGTGGTCCTCCAAATACTGGCCGATCGTCTGGAAGGGAAATCCAATGATCCAGGAACTCAACGAAACATACAAGAGGTTCGACAAGACGAAAATCACAAACTATCTGAGAACCATCTCTAATATGGCCAAGACAGCAGAGTCGCTTCCAATAGTGACCATTTTCGTGGACCCAGAGACAGATCGGATCATGGCATCCCAGTACGATAAACGGGGGCCGGCCGACAAGATGAAACACTCAATCATGAACTGCATAGACCAAATTGCGAGCGACGAGCTAAAGCGCAGAAAACAGGAACCCGATCCATCCAAACCAACAAACTATCTCTGTCTAAACTATCACGTTTATACGACCCATGAGCCTTGCACAATGTGTGCCATGGCGCTGTTGCATTCGCGGATCAGTCGTCTGGTGTATTTGAACGAGTCGAAAAAAACGGGAGCCATTGGCATCGAAAGTGGAAACGGCCACATGATTCATCTTTCGTGCTCTCTCAACTGGAAATACGAAAGCTTCAGGTACATCGGGACTGATGTGACGGTTCCTGAGGTTGGGGAGAATATAAATATCTGAACGCTCTTATCTTCCCATTTCCAGTAGTTGTGTTTCTAGTTGGTGTAATTCTGAATACAGCGAGTCTATTGAAGACGAAAAGTTGATTTTACCGTACCGGAGATCGTTGAGAGTGTCTATCTGTTCGTTAATCTCTTCCAGTTCTTGCTTTGACTGTTCCTCAACGGACTGGATCTGTGCTTCCAACGACGTGTTGAGCGCATCCAGGGAATAGATCAGTTGTTCGAGACTGGAATCGCCCAGTTCCACTACTGTATCTTCGTTCAGCTCGCCTGTGGAATCCAGCTCAAGACGGTCAATGTGGCCTTCCACGCTGTCCATGGTCTGTTCCTTCTGACGCAACAGCATGTTGTATAGTTGATTCTCCTTTTCCGTAGACAATCGGTTTCGGCAGCACAAATGGACGATCGAATGGAACCTGTCGCGCGTCATTAGCTGTCTGAAATCCTTTGATTCAAATAAAAACCGCTTCAGCAGCTCTTTAGACGACACTGTCTCCATGACGCGTAGATTCTAGTAGTTTGAATTTTTGGTGTGAAAAATAATTATTCACAATTATCATGGAGCTCTTACCAGAGGGACAGAAAAACACCACCGAGGTCACCTGGGAGGACCAAAAGAAAATCAACAGTTTCTCCACGCTGATCTCCAAGAAAGACTCTCTCACAGTCGTATATGAGAAGAATAAACAGGAGAAAGAGTACCTTGACGATTTGACCTTGGAATTGGAGTTGGTCGATGAAGATGACAAGTTAAGCTACAAAATCGGAGACTCGTTCGTGCTACTAAAACAGTCGGAGATCATGGAAAGACTGGAAAAGGACCAGGAACTGCTGGACTCGAAAATCAGCGAGTCGGAATCCCAGATCGACACTATCGACCAAGAGCTCGCAAGCCTAAAAAAACAGCTTTATGCAAAGTTTGGCAACGCTATCAATTTGGAAAAATAAGTATCTAACACAATCGCTGTTAATGTACATATCGCTCTACTCAATTCCCTTCTGGCTTTTAATCAAGGCAACTTCTCCACTGACCTTGTCGGTTTGTTTCTTCAAATCGATCAAAGTTGCAATACCTTGCAAGAGCTGGTCAAACTTACCACAAACCTTTGCTGTTGGGAGAGTCGGTTTCACCGAAATGCCCAGCTCATTCAGAGTCTCTACAACCTTGGCTTGCACTGCAGGCTTGAAAGTAGATAGTTTCTGAGATCTGATGAAAACTCCCGGCTGCAATTTCTCGTCATGGAACCGTAAACCGTAAACCTCCATCTCCTCTTCTGTGAGCTTGGACTGCAAAAGCTGCCAGACCTCGGACTGTGCCTGTTGCTGCGAGATCTCCTGTTTTCCACCAAACATCTTTTGCGACACGGAAGACATCTTTCTGCCCTGTCTCTGTCTCATTAGCTGGTTCTGTTGCGCTTGTTGGATCTGTTGTGTGTGTGGGATAGCATTAGGGCCAAGCTGTGGAGGCACTGGAACCTCAGGCTTGCGCTTCTTGGACTTGTCGACGGTCATTAGAGAGTTGTAAAGCTGTGTGAGTCCCTGCGAACTGTTGTATTGTTCGATAGAAGCGGAAGACTGTGGAGAGTCCAGCAGTTGCAGCAGTTGTGCGCGCTCCATCAGCATCTTCTTGGCCGCGAGCTCGAACTTTCTGGCCTCGATCACCAGCGATTCTTCTTCTGCGATTTCTGTAGGAGCTCTGTGGATCAGTCTGTTGAGATATTGTTTTCTCTCGATTTCTTGGTTCTTATCGAACGCCTCCAAACTCTTGATCAGACCAACGTCTCTGGTACCATCCGGGTTGGAGTTGAGCACCTTGGCAGACACTTTGTACAATCTTTCTTTAAGATCCTCCAGGGTCCTTTGCTTGTCGTTGCTGAATTCGTATCTGTCGTAAATCACAGCCCAACGGAGATCAAAATCTCTTGCCAGGTCAAAAAGATACTTTGTTTCTTCGTAATCCCAGTCTTCGCTGAGATCTTTCAATGTGTTGGTATACTCCTCCTCGGAAAAGTGAGGGATGTCCAAAGAAGTGTTGTATTTCTCAAAAGCGTAGGGTTTCTCTTCCTCGGTCTCGGTGATCGGGCCTTTGACCCAATGATGCAGTTCCAGTTCATCTGATCTCGCACCATTCTTAAAAGGCGCCCACACCCATGGAGACGCCTTTCCGGAGTTAATCTTGTCCTTGAATTTGAACCCCTTCTCAACGGCAACGGGAGGCAAGTTTGTGCCGATAAGGTTGTACAGTTCTCTGCTCAAAGCGTGTTTTTTCTTCTTTCCCGAGGTCCCGAAGTCGTTCTCGGACCGTGCGTGCTTCTTGGGCTGAACACGGGTCTCCTCCTTGATATTGAAGACGTCCAGAATGTCGGAGGCCATGTTGAAGTAATGTTTGTGAAGGAATAAAATTTTCTGGGCTGCGTAACCGATTTACAACTTCACCAGATCCATCATGTCAAATGCTTGGGGGGTTCGAGGCCGGACTAAGATCCGTCCACCTAAGAAGATCGTGTCGAACGAAGAGGACTTTGAGAAACTGTGGGTCGTAATCAGAAACGCCATCAAGGAGATCCAACACAAGAATGCGTCCAAGTTGTCTTTCGAGGAACTCTACAGAAAGGCGTACAACTTGGTGCTTCGAAAACAAGGCAAAATGTTGTACGACCAGGTCGAGTTGACGATCCAGGAGTTCCTTCTTCAGGATACACGGAAAGAGCTGTTGGAGAGTCTTGAAACCGACGACGAACGGGTCTTCTTGCTCAAACTGAACTCTGTTTGGGAAGACCATCTTCTAAGCATGCGGATGATCAGCGACGTGTTGATGTATCTTGATCGAGTGTACGCTAAGGAATTCCATTTGCCGCTGATCTACGACGTCGGACTGACCGTTTTCAGAGACAGCGTTATCAAGTACAATAACAACGAGATAGGAATGCGGGTTATCAACATCATCATCGACTACATCAACAAGAGCAGACACGGAGAAATCATTGACAAATTCATCATTAAGGCCATTATCTACATGTTTAGCTCGCTAGCGGAGACCATATCGATGGACTCGAGCGATGGCGTTCCCTACGGAGAAAACTACTATCTGCGGTACTTTGAGCCGGTGCTTTTGCGCCAGAGTCACGAGTATTTCGAGCGCCAGGCCAATGACTTGCTGATCCAGCAGTCCGGCACTATCTACATTGAAAACGCGATGCAATTGAGTCAAGACGAAGAGGCCCGCATCCAGCTGTACTTGCCCGACGTGACGAGTCCCAAATTGATCGAACTGATGGACAACGATCTCATTACTCGCAATATGGAGTCGATCATGAAGTTGGAAAACGACGGGCTTAAGAGCTGGGTCAACGACAACAACTTCAAAATGCTAGCCTCGCTGTACAAGCTGATCACCCGTGTCGATACCGAGCTCGAAATGCTCAAGAGACAGCTAAGAGCGATCGTGCTACTCAATTGCGAAGAGCTCAACACCAAGACAAAGGAGGAGCTGGAGCTGCTCCAAAAACAAGCCGAGGATCAGGAGCCTGACAAAAAGACAAAAAAACGGAACAGCAAAGAGAACGCCACCCAGTTTGCCGTTCGGTGGATCCAGAACTTCCTCGACTTGAAGGAAAAGTACGATCTGATAAGCAAGAACGCATTCGATGGCAACCCGGGGCTGGTTCGAGAGATTGAATCGTCATTTGCAGGATTCCTGAATCTCGACAACAAAACGGCAGAGTACCTATCGCTTTACATTGACGACGGAATCAAAAAGTCTTTCAAAGACAAATCACAGGAAGAAGTGGAAGAACTTCTGGATAAATCCATCATTGTGTTCAGATTCATCAAAGACAAGGACGTGTTTGAGAAATACTACAAGAACCATCTTGCCAGAAGACTGTTGCAACAAAAGACTAGCTCCAACGACGTCGAGATGAACATGATCACGAAACTGAAACAGGAGATCGGCTCGTCGTTCACGTCCAAATTTGAAGGCATGTTCAAAGACATCAAGATCTCCCAGGACTTGTCCTCGGACTTCAACGTTAGCATAGCTGGAGACGAAGAGATCAAGCGGATCAACGGACGCAAGCTCGAGCTAGACACGTCTATTTTGACCACCAGTTTCTGGCCAATGCCTATCAATAAAACGCTGGTCGAGGTTCAATACCCAAGCGAGTTGGAATTACTCAAGCTCAGATTCGAGTCTTTCTACAACACCAAGTATTCGGGAAGAAACCTGACGTGGGCTCCGAATTTTGGCACAGTGGATATCCGAATGCATTATCCTAAGAAAAGTTACGAGGTCAACATGTCTACTTACGCTGCAATCATCCTTCTAAGTTGTTTCAACGAATCCTCTGAGAAACAAGAGTACACTTTTGAAGAGATCTACAACATAACCAGAATTCCGAAACCGGATCTCATAAGGCACCTGCAGTCGATTTCTGTCGCCTCGCGCACGCGGTTGCTGAAGAAGACGCCAATGTCCAAGGACGTCAATCCAGAGGATGTGTTTTCCGTCAACGACCAGTTCAAGTCTCCGCAGACGAAAATCAAGGTGCTGACCGTTTCCTCAGGCTCCAAGGTCGAGGACGATACCCAAAGATCAGAAACCATGGATGCCATCAACAAGTCGCGGATCTTGGAGACAGAGGCTGCAGTGGTACGGATCATGAAAGCACGCCGACAGTCCAGCCACCAAGAGCTTGTGAACGAGGTGATTCGTCAACTGATCAACAGATTCAAACCCCAGCCGTCATTCATCAAGCAGAGAATAGAAGAACTGATCGAAAAGGAGTATCTGGCAAGAAGCGAGGATGCCCGAGACGTTTACCACTATCTTGCATAAGTATATAAATTGGTGTAAAGGTTTGAAATACTTGAAGTGAAAAATTTAAACTTCCTATATATCGGACGCCCGGAGTAGACATTGTCACCGCGTCTGCAGCTCCTTCCTGAACGGCGTTTTGTCGTGACTTTTGGAGTCGGACGACCGATAACCGTAGGATAGATCGTTATTGTGCATCATAGTACATCATTTTCTGTTCGCGGTCAGAATGGTGTCTCCAAGAACACATACATCTACAGTAGTTTTCAAAACTTCGAGCTTCATAAAACAGAATACGGACTATATTTTCAAAAATCACTCTTGGCCAAATCCAATGGTTTCCTCCACGGCGATGGTGAGCTTCTTCTTCAACGACTGGTAATCTTTGTAAGGAGGAAGATCGACTCTGTTGAAACAAGTGTGCGATTTTGGAAGCTGATCTGCCTCTCCGGCCTTTTCTATTGTGAAACGTCTTGGACCGTCAGACCCTTGCAAGTCTTTGAATCCGTTGACCGGAATTCTCGAAGTACCCGTAGTGAATTGAAGAAGTCTAGCTCTTTGTTCTCCTTCCCACTCACTGACGCACTTCCAGAACCATTGGATAACCTCGTCACTCTCTTGGTATCCTCTGTAATCGGTATGTTTCTTCCAGTCCTCGATGTCGATATCGGCCAATCCACCGATCAACAACTCGAGTTCTCTCTCGTCGAACACGGAAACCAGCTCTTGTGGAATCAGTTCATTAAATCCTTGCATGAAAGCCTTGAACTGGTTCTCAACAGGTCTTGAAATGATCCACTCGGTCTTGAGCTCCACAAACTCTCTCTTGTTCTCGTTGGTCACCTCAATGTTTCTTCCGTTCGGCTTAAGATCAATAGTAACCTTCTCTCCAAATCTGTCCTCTTCAATAGAGAAAGTCTCGTAGATAACATCGGTGATGTCGTTATCCAACATCCAGCACAATGATCTGTAGATCTCAGCGTCAACACTCTCCAAGTCTTGCAAAACAATCTTCTTGTGCAACATCATCTTGTACATGGCTCCCACAAAGAAAGCGTCCAAGAACCGACGGTGGAAAACACCCAAACCGACAATTCTACCAATGAATCTGAAATAGTTCAAATGCTCAGGGTTGACGTCGGATTTTGGATTGATTTGCAGCGTGTAGTTATCACTCGAAGCGTATTGGAACAAGCAGTAGAATGGATTGAACATTTCGTGGGACAGTTGCTGGAAGAACTCTCTTGAGACTCCACCGTAATCCAATCCTTCTTCTCCTTCGAACTTGATCATCAGTCTCTTCTTCAGATCCTCTGGAGTCTGTCTCATAACATCTCTGTATGCATCCTCCATAAGACGATCTCTTCTGACCTTGATGTGACATTGACCAGGGAGAATTCTCATATTTGGTTGAGATCTGAAATACACTAGCTTTCTTCTAAAGTCACGCTTGTACTGTGGCACGTTCTGATCCAATGATGAAGGTAATCTAGGATCATCCCAAGTAGTGGTCTTGGTGTTGTGATCCACAAAGTAAACTCTGGATGTGTTAGCCAGTCTCATCTCCCAACCGCTCGGAAGTGGACCCATCGCAGATAATCGTTGGGCGTTGTAGCCACCGTTGTTGCCAAAGCTCTTAACAAATTGTTGTCTTCTTGGGTCAACCCAGGTGGTTGTTCTGCTGTTGTGATCAACATAGTATGGTCTTCCCTCGGGGGTGAAACGTTGTTCCCATCCTGGAGGTAGCTCTCCCAAACCAGGACTAGTTGCACCAGTGGCAGCCATTGTCATTGCAGCTGCTTGGTCCGTTTGAGAGGTAGACTCAGGAAGAGTTCTATTGCGGTATTGACTTCTTTCGGCCTCCCTGTTTCTTTCTCTCTCCTGTTCTCTTTGAGTCTCGGATTGGTCTAGGGTTGGCCTCTTCCAGGTAGTGGTTCTGGAGTTATGGTCAACATAGTAGGTTCTTCCAAAATTGTCGGTTCGACGTTCCCATCCCGGAGGCAATCTTCCAAACTGATCTTCAAAGGAGGAAAACTGTCTGGATGCTGCGGCAGGGCTAGAAGTGGATGAGATAGCTGCTGCTGCTGCGCTTCCTGGGAAATGGCTGTTCAGATTCGAAGGCTCCACGTGAGCTCTTGGAGTCGAAGTGGCAGTGGAAGATGCTGGCGTTGATGCTTGTGCAATGGCAGGTGACGACGATGCCGCAGCAAAATTAGTAGGATCTCTGGAATCAGCTGCGGTAGAGTTCTGGTGGGAGATGGTTATTATCAACTTCCCGGAAACCAGGAGGTTTGAATTCGAACGTTTTAATTCTTCGGCCACAGTCTGTTCGCTGGAAGTATCACTCAAATTAATAACATCGCCGACTCGGATATTAACAACTCCCAAAAATCCTTGGTCCTTCTTCTTGAATTTGCGCTGGTCGAAGATCTGGACAATCAGGATGGAGTTTTCAGTAACAGAGAACTTGAAGCTCTGGTTCCAGTGCGGTGACAAAGTTCTCTTGGCAGTCTCTGTAGTTTGCGTTTGGGCTCCGTCCACGGTTAAAACGGCAAAAGGATCAGGAGAATGAAAGAGATCCCTCTTGTAGAGAGCCTCTGCAGCAATCACCTGGACCTTGATTTTATATCTTGTGGACATTTCCGGCCAAACTGAAGTATTTGCTTTTCAAAGGAGGCTTAAGGTATTTTCTAGTGACAAATGCGGCTTCAATGCTAGCGACAAACACAACCTAGTTCAAAAGCAAAACGATGCAGTGGTACAAATGTATCTTTTTCTCCGGAAACCGGTCGATTCCCGAATCCTTATAAAGACAACGTTTGGTGTTCACAAACAAATCAATTAGTCGATATTATTGCCTTCAATATTTTTTAACACCTCTATGCCCGCGTATTATGTAATCGTATGACTCAGCGCCTTGAACTACCGTAAACGATTGTACGGGGTTTGATCGGCTTGCCGATGAGTCTTAGTTTTCTAGTCTGACTCGGACTTGCATAGATTGTATGCCATAGACTCTGAAACGGGTTACATTGTTTGTTTAAAACGGTTTCTACTTTATTACACAGACATGTTTCAGATTTGAGTTCGTTCCCGATACGAACAACTTACCGACTTTATACCCACCAGTTTTGCTCTGTTTTGATTGCCCTATTCGTATACTGGGGTTATCATCCACCTCTGGTATCATTGTTGCTAGTAACTACGTCATCCAGCCATTGCCGTTGTTGATTGGACTGACTATAATTTTTCAGGCTGTGCATATATCTTCAAACAGCTATCTTTCAATCCAGCCTTCTCAAGTGCCATCCAAGTTTTAGGGTCTGGCGATGTTATATAACCAGATTTCTCCATTCGTTTACAAGCAGTGTCGCTCTTTACTATACCACTCATTTCCAACTAAAGTCTTTCATTTATGTATCCTGTCGACGAACAGATTGCCAATTTAGGGTTGCAATCCAATTACTGGAGAATCAACTATGCTGAACCCCAAAGAAACCAGTCTCCACTCAGATGTCTTGATGTCAGCAGCGACTTAATTGCTGTTGGTTCCACTTTGTCTTCTGGAAACGTCCAGATCTTCAGAGTGGACGCCGAACAGAGTCTGCTTGGTCATCTGGCTACCTTCAATGCAACCAATATTCGGACTCTCAAATGGCTTAACAACGTCATTGAGGATTCTGATGATATCAGTCTCATCCTCACTGGTGACTCAAGCGGTCTTGTTAATCTGAACCTCATTCCCAACTTGAGAAACCCTAATTTTGAAAGCGTTCAGATTATCAAACAGTTTAACCATGAGAAACATTGTTCACAATCGTTCGCCAGGGAAGGACCTTTCCAAATTGATGTCACCCCAAAACTCTGGAAGTCTTGTCCAACAAATTCGATGGTCTCCACGTACAAAGAAACCGTGTTTTTGTGGGATACTTCTAGATCCTCAAGCCCTGTCTTCACAAAGCAAGTCAAAGGAATAAGCGCAATTGACGTCAACAAGAACGAAGACGGTATAGTTGCACTTGCTGGATCGTTTGGGGTCAGTCTACTTGACATGAGACTCTCTGCCAAGTCTGGACTGTCTTCATCTAGTTTCCTGTCGCATAAACATATCCCTACCAAAAATGTGAAGTGGTGCTCAGACGACTCGAAATATTTGTGTGCTGCCGGAAAAAACAACGAGCTCCAGCTTTGGGACGTCCGCTCACAAAAACCACTCTCTATCATGAAAGGTCATTCGGCCGGGATATCGTCGATTGAATGGACCTCTTCCACAGACATCTTTTCTGGGTCTGACGATGGAACTCTGATCCACTGGAACTTGAAGGACATCAACACAAAGAATAAGCCGTTTATCTGTTCTGCAGACCGGAACGACTTCGAGTCTCACCAGTGTGGAACACCAATTGAGGCCTCCAACACCGGAATCGTGAGTTTGAAATCCACTAACAGAAAGCTGATCAGTATGGACGCAAACTATGTTGGTCTGCACCACACTTCTCCACGGAAAACCAGTCGACAATTCAGCGACTCGGATGCTACCTTAGTGGAAGTACCTGATGATTCGTCTATTGATAAACTGTTGGAACAGCTTAGACTGTACACCACCGACGGTACAGACATATATTTGTAATGTTTTTAATAGGTTGGTAAGTCGTTTTCGTACTCTTCAGTAAGCTCTTTCAAGTTATCGCTTAAGAACTGGTAAAAGTCTTCCAAGAATGATCGTATCAGCAAAATGCTTTGTGAGTCCATGTTTGCTTGGATAACAAGATTGGGCAAAATGGAGCACAAGCGTAGCAGATGGTTCAGCCCATACACTTGGCACATCTCTGCGTCTGGAAATCTGTCGAGTATTGATTTGTATTGCGTTCTTTCGTGGCGATAAAGAAGGAGCGAGCCCAAAGCGTTGTTGAAGAAGATCGGCAGACTTCGCACGGTTTCCAGCTTGTTGTCCAATTCCGGATCGTCTCCATTGGTCACATTCAGCTGCAGCTGCGTCAGGTACGCAGTGAGAATCTTAGATACATTGTTTTTGGACGGCAGTTTGACCAGCTGCCGTTTTTTGGTGACATTTTCCCAATCGTCCACCAAAACGTACTTGATGGTGCCAGGAATTTGTATTTTGAGCTCTGTCTTCTTTGAAGAGTCAGAGACAGCGGCTGACCCATTCCTTGACTGTTTCTGCGTGCTTTTGATTGTCAGCTTGACTTTGGGTCGAGTTTCCTGGACTGTAGTTCCAGCTGTTTTCTGGCTTTGCACCAACTCCTTCTGTTTGATCAAATTCTCGTTATTGTACACCAACATGCGGTCAGACAACACCCACTCATCCCATTTTGGTTTCCATCCCTTATAATGAACAAAATATGCTTTTGCAGCTCGAAACTTGTCCAGGAACTTCGCATCGGGCTCGGTCTCTATCACTTCCTTGGATTTTTCATCATTTGATTTTATGATCTTGGACAAAGGATAGAAGATTTTCAGAATCTTGGCTTCATACAACAGTTCTCCTTGATACACAAGCACCTTGTCCCCAAGCTCAAACGTAGACATGTTGGGTTAAAAGTAGAAAGATGTCCTATTGATCGCAACAAGAGAAATTAAATTTAAAGATTCTCGCGACAGTTTTTCAGAAATTGTCGTCTCGTCATTCTACCTCTATTATACACTAGAAACAACAACAGAAAACGCTCTTAAACAAACCAAACACCCCTTCTGGTATTTCCTCCGTTTCCTGTTGATAAAGACCTCCTGCGGAGTCGTATTGCCCATTGTGTGATCCAGAAAGTAGTCTGCTAGTCTCGTCGACTTTTGATGTTTGTTGAGGGTACTGGTTTTGAATGTTGGTGGTGTTTTGTGATTCACGCCGCGTCCCGGTCACAGCCTTGTTTGATCTATGCTGCTTGGCGGCCTGGTGGTTGTTGGACCCATATCCATTCAAATTGGTTTTCTTATTCTTATTCCAATCCCAACCTTTACCGCCGTTGAGCTTCATCCAGTCGTACTGACCATCGTCCACCTCGCCCAATTCATGCAACACACTATCCATCAGGGAAATCAAATATTCGTAGTTTGGATCTTCTTCAAACCTAAGGTTACGAACATAGAGCAGATAGTCAGCAAACGGTTTTGGCAATTTGTGACACAGTTGTTGAACACTCGTAGCCTGTTTCTTCTCCCCGATCTTTTCATACTTCATTTTGTTTGTAGGGGCTTTCAATCCTTGCCATGGGAGCTCACCTTTTAAGAAATACAAGAAAACGTGTCCCAAAGACTCCAAATCATCTCTTCTGGATTGTTCTCTGCCCAGATGCGTGTTGATGGACATATACCTTGCGGTACCGCTCAGCGACTTCCGCTCTCTGTATGGTATATGCTGCTTTGTGACTGGGTTCCTGTATTGTTTAATCATGCCGAAATCCACCAAATAAATCAAGTTGTCGGTGGAGGTTGCCCCAATCAAAAAGTTGTCAGGTTTGATATCCCGGTAAATGAGATCGTTCTCATGAACAAACTGGATCCTTTCAATCATCTGTTTGGCCACCTGTGCCACAGTTTTAATGCTAAACCTTCTACCACACCATTCAAACAAATCTTCCAACGAAGGCCCCAAAAGCTGGATGATTAAAATGTTATAATAGCCCTCCTGTCCAAAGTAGTAGACCTTGGGGATCCCTTCAATCGATAAATAGTGATGGTTGTCGTTCTCGGGCCCATCGCGCACGTAATTATTTATTGCATTGTTGAGAATTTTGTAGGCTTTGAACTCGTCCTTCAGTTGCGGAGCCTCCGACTTCCGGCTCTCGAACTTGATGGCCACTGGTTGGTTGTCTCTCAGCAAGTCATGTCCTTTGAAGATAATACCAAAAGATCCCTCTCCAATTTTCTGCGCTATTTGATAATGTGAGGCTATTATATTCCTATTAACCTGTTGACTGGAGCTGGTAGATCCCGATCTCTGATGTTGCAATGCTGACATAGAACTGAATCAAATTTGCATACCAAAATAAATGCTAATGGGTCTGCTTAATCTGTTTCTTAAACACGCTTCTGTTGCTTTTGGTAAAGTCTCCTTTTTTATCTGTTGATAATAAATAAATTGGAAACCTGTCGCCGCAGAAAAATTTTAAAAAGATGGTGCACGGGTGCACGCGCTTAACCCCAACTGGAGTCGGTATCGATTAAAAGTGTCTATTTAAATCCAGACTTCTTGAAAGCGCTGTCAAGGTCGTCGATCAGGTCGTCGACGTTCTCAATTCCAACACATAAACGGATGAGGTCTTCTGGGAAGTCGCGTTCTTTTCTAGTTTCGGCAGAGATCGATGCGTGACTCATCAAGCATGGTAAAGAAATCAAGGAGCACACATATCCAAAGGAAACGGTGACCGAATAAAGCTCGCAGGCCTCGATGATTTTCTTACTGAGGGACACGTCTCCAGTCTCGAAGGACAACACGGCACCAGGACCCCTAGATTGTTTGTTGTGCAACTCGTAGTGGGGGTGAGACTTGAGGCCTGGATATCTAACTTTGACATTTTGGGACTCTAACCAATTAGCGATCTTGATGGCGTTCTCTTGCTGTCTCTCAACTCTTAGGGCCATGGTCTTGAGACCTCTAATCATCAGCCAAGAGTCGAACGGAGCGAGACCTGATCCGGTAGCATTAATAACAAAGAATAATTTCTTGGCCAACACCTCACTGTTGGTAGCAAGAACACCAGCCATGACGTCGTGGTGGCCGTTCATGTATTTGGTAGCAGACTCGTATTGGATATCGGCACCAAGTTCTAGAGGAGACATCAGCAATGGAGTCATCATGGTGTTGTCAAAGACAACCACACACTCTGGGTTTTGCTTGTGAGCGTAGTCGGCGATAGCTTTCAAGTCACAGATCTTGATGAGTGGGTTGGTTGGCGACTCCAAGAACACCATTTTGGTGGTCTTAGTGATCTTGGAGGTGATCAGCTCCAAGTTGGTGGTGTCGTAGTGACCAACCTTGACACCGTTGACCGTCTTGATATAGGTCAAAAGTCTATCAGTTCCTCCGTACAAGTCATCTCCGGCAACAACTTCATCGCCTGGAGCCAGCGAGCGGACAATGACGTCCAAGGCAGCCATACCGGAGTTGACAGCGTACACGAACTTGGCTTTCATGACTTTGGAAAGGTGCTGCTGCAGAGTGGCTCTAGTTGGATTTCCAGACCGGGTATAGTCAAATTCGCCCATATCGTCGAACGAGTTTGGCTTGAAAGTGGCCGACAGGTACACAGGAGCAACAGATGCGTTGTTGCCATCCTTGTGGGAGACATGGACAAGTTCTGTTTCTAGAGATAATTGTTTGGACATTGTAAAGTAATGAACGATAGAGAAGAAGTCAAGGGTTCTAAAATTAACGTATTTAAATAATTAAAATTAGGTCATCTTTGCACCACCCGTTTCCACTAATCTTTTATCTGTTTTTTTCCTTAAATGCTGTCATACATGCATGATCAGGAGATCTAATAGGCAAGCCGTGCAAAAGTCCGTGTTTTCGAAAGGCACTAGCTATTATTTCATGACGACATACATTTTCATGTGTGTATATTTAGTTCTGTACGTTCTGTAATTTCCCGGACTCCACGAAATTTTCGATATTTTCCAGACAGAATACTGCAGTTTGGTCAAAATTCTCTCTCGTGGAAGATCCAATATGCGGCGTTAGGGTCATATCTTGACGCTCAACGTGACTGACAAGCGGCTCTTCTGGATAAACGTCCAGCCCAACAAACCCAATTTTTTCTTGCTGCAGGCCTTGGATCATGTCAGTTTCATTGATCAGAGCTCCGCGCCCAACATTCACAAGAACAACTCCCTTCTTCATCTTATCGATGAGCTCCTTGTTGATCATGTGTTGCGACTCCGGAGTAGCTGGCAAGCAGAGCACTATACAGTCAGACTCTGCCACCACTTGCTCTAATTTGGCTGCGTAGCGGACTTTGTATCCAAGTTCTGCTTCCTCTTTGTCGGACAATTTGTTTCTTTTGATGTAGATGATTTCCATTCCCAAACTCGAAAGTCTGGTCCCCACTTCTTTCCCTATAGCTCCGAATCCAACAATAGAAACCGTCTTTCCAACCGGGGAGTGAACGTCGAGGGGCCCAATATGGTGGCCGAAACAGTAGTTGACAGACGTGTCGTTGTTTTTGATGAATTTCCCCGTGTCTGCGTCAAACTTCTTCACGTCTCCGAGAATGGTTCTTGTTTGGATGGTGTGTTTTTCCTGGCGCAACAGAGATTCAAAGATGGAGAATTTGCGGAACCCGTTCAGAACGTGATAAAGAACGGTTTCGGCTACGGCAGCGGCACCAAACGTGGGGGAATTGCAAAAATTGATCCCCCGCTTGCGTAAAGCCTTCAGATCAATGCCTCCAAAACCGGCAGAACAAACAGTAATCAGCTTGAGAGATGGTGGAAACCGTTCTATCAATGATTCATCAACAAACCCGATTGACGCAAAATGGTTCCATGCTCCGTAAATTGCAACAACCTTGGAGAGTGTTGTTTCCAGGTCCGATTCAAACTGTTTTCTGGTGGATGGAGTGTAGAATAAAACAGCGAATTTCTGCTTGATACGTTCAAACTCGGGAAGATTGGTGTTCAGCCCACCAAGAAACACAATTAGAGGCTTGTCAGCGTGTTCAGAAGCCATGTTCATGCAAATCTACAACGGTGGCTCGGTTCTTTCCACAATTTTTTTTGTTTAAATTATTTTCTTGCGATGTCCTTATTATAACATATCTATACTTAATGATGGTGCTCGCCAGTTCCCAAGTACTTCAACTTGTACACGGAACCACATTCCCAACATCTAGCGACCTTGGACTCGGTTGGCTTCAACCACATGATTTCGTGAGATCCAGCTGGAGAACCGGTACATCCAACGTATCTGTAGGTGTCGTAGGAGTTCACAACGATTGGGTCGGCAAGGGTACCTCTTCTGGATGAGTCAAGTGGCTCGGTCTCGAAAACCTCAATACCCTCCAACTTACCAAGCAGCTCAAGTCTCTCGAGACCGGTGGCCTGTTCCAAGTCAGTAGGAACGGTACCCGGTTGACCACCAGGACCAATCAGGTCATACTTGTCGGTGACCTCGCTGAGGTTCTTAGCAGTCTTGAACTCCTTTGGAGTCTGCGATGCATTTCTGGCAATGATGGAGGTAGAGAAGTATCTAGCCGGCTTGGCAAGACGAATGGTTTGTCTCAACATCTGCGATGTTAGCATGCTTGTCCAATGCTGGAGGCTGGAATTGTAGTCAAGTTCCAATCCAGCAGTGTTGTATTACTCACCTTATATCAAACTTTGTACAACTATTTGTTTTTTTATAATTTTCATTACTCTATTCCTGGTTGGCCTGCTCGAGGCTGCCCGGTGGCCCACCAGGCGACCGCTAATTTTTCCCGCGACGGGTCGTACGATTTGCGCTGGCCAATAATATTTGTATTATTAAGTGTGCAAAATATACACCTCTGCACCAGCAACATCACGTAGAATCCCGTTCGGTTTCTGCTCAAACTCGCAAAGGAGTGAGGAGGTCGAGAAAATAATTACACGTGATCTTTTACAGGTCAAGGGCTTCCCCGGGAAAAAAAAATAGCACGCCGCCAATTTTACCGGGGAGCCAGCGGGTCTTTCACGGGGCAAGGTTGCGAAACCCTCTGGGACCAGCAGCGCCGAATTTTTCAATAAATTTTTCATTTTTGTTTTATAGACCACTAGTGCAAGTAAGTAACATCTGCTAAAGCAAGCACCGGACAGCAAGTTTGAACATCAGAAGACTATAACACGTCGACGTGAAACATTCATAACAAGCCTCCATTGCCTGCGTAATTCATCCAATCCAATACTAACATATTCAGTATGCCAAAGAAGAGATCGTCCAACGGAAGAAACAAGAAGGGTAGAGGCCACGTTAAGCCTGTCAGATGCATCAACTGTTTCAGATGCGTTCCTAAGGACAAGGCCATCAAGAGAGTCACCATCAGAAACATGGTTGAGGCTGCTGCTGTGAGAGACTTGTCTGAGGCTTCCGTCTACGACGAGTACCCTCTCCCAAAATTATACAACAAGTTGGCTTACTGCGTTTCGTGCGCTATCCACGCTAGAATTGTGAGAGTCAGATCTAGAGCTGACAGAAGAATCAGAACTCCTCCAGTCAGACAAAGATTCAACAGAGAAAAGAGAGTCTCTCCTGCTGACGCCGCCAAGAAGGCCACTGCTTAAGGTGAATGGTAACAGTGCCGATTTATAGCGTACAGTAATGATAAGTTGATAATCATCCAGTAACCTGCTATGGATTCCCTATAAAAGCCTACAATGTTGTTGGATCGGTCTTCTCGCACCTTTTCGTGCAAACACCCTTGCACCGTAAGCCAGTGGAGGAAAAAAATTGTAGTAGATTCTGAGCGACGATAAAGTATTCGAGGGGCAACCACAGAAGGCGGATCTTCTTCATAAATTAGCATTAGAACTTTAAGGTCTGTTTTTGTGGAAACTACCTGGATTATTGCTGCAGTTATTATCCACCTCAAGCACGATCTTCATTTTAGGTCGTCAATTGATTCACACAGCACATTTTGTTTTGCTGATAATTATTAAGGCGTTCAAGCACAGATCTAGACATGGACGACTCGTGGAAATTTAGCCAATGTTTTGGCGACAAAGGCGACATCGAAAACATTACAGAGGCCGATATCATCTCGACGGTGGAGTTTGACCATACTGGTGACTTCTTAGCAACAGGGGACCGCGGAGGACGAGTGGTTCTTTTTGAGAGAAACGAGAACAAAAAGACATGCGAGTACCGATTCTACACAGAGTTTCAGTCTCACGACGCGGAGTTTGACTACCTCAAATCTCTGGAGATCGAGGAGAAAATCAACAAGATTAAATGGCTGAAGCGTTCCAACCAGTCCAATTTCTTGCTCTCTACCAACGACAAGACTATTAAGCTGTGGAAAGTGTTTGAGAAGCAAATCAAGATGGTCTCCGAGAACAACCTTAGCGAGCATCCGGTTTCTTCTCCAAAACTCCATCCTCAGTATTCTTCGTTTCAGACAAACGCAAACTTCACACAGCCTCATCCTCAGTTTGTCTCCGCAGCTAACTTGAAGCTTCCTAGACTCACCATGCACGATACTATCACGGCAGCACAACCGAAAAGAATCTATGCTAACGCTCATGCATATCATGTCAACTCTATCAGTGTGAACTCTGATCAGGAAACGTTCATTTCTTCCGACGACCTTAGAATCAATTTGTGGAACTTGGGAATAGCGGACCAGTCGTTTAACATAGTGGATATTAAGCCTGTGAACATGGAGGAACTCACAGAAGTGATAACTAGCTCTGAGTTCCATCCTACTGACTGCAACCTGTTCATGTACTCTTCGTCCAAGGGAACCATCAAGCTAAATGACATGCGGGTCAATTCGTTATGTGACAATCATGCGCGCGTTTTTGAGGAGTACATGGATCCTTCGAATCACAACTTTTTCACAGAAATCACTTCTTCCATATCCGATGTCAAGTTCAGCTCCAACGGCAGGTACATTGTGTCGAGAGATTACATGACGGTCAAAATATGGGATATTGCAATGGAGTCGGAGCCTATCAAAACTATCAACATCCATGAGCAACTCAGGGACAGATTGTGCGATACCTACGAAAACGACGCCATTTTCGACAAGTTCGAGGTGCAATTCAGCGGAGATAACAAATCCATTATGACCGGTTCATACAACAATAATTTCATGATCTACCAAAACGTGGTCGGGGACCAAGGTTCGGAGAAGGACATTGTACTACAAGCAGACAAGTCCGCGTTCAAGGCAAAGAAGGTTAACTCCAGCAAACGCAAAAATCTATCCATGATGAATAAGATGGATTTCGAGACCATCGATTTCAAGAAATCAATTCTACATTTGAGTTGGCATCCAAACGAAAATTCGGTCGCCATTGCCGCAACCAATAATCTATATATCTTCTCGGCTCTCTAGCCGGAGGTTCATCTGTCTCAACTGTATGAAATATATTGATTTTTGTATGTGTTCGTTTATTTATTCGGGACGGACGTGTCTGTTAACGTCTGGGTTCCAGAACAAAGTCTTGTCTCCGTCACCCCAGAAGAAGTCCTTTCTTCTGATGTTTTGGTATGGGTAGTCCTTTGGCCACTCCTCGTCAGAAAGGTGTTTGGTGTGCTCTCTGTGGTGAGCGTGCTCGGCCTCAACAAAGTAGGTGTTGACTGCGGTTAATCCAATCACTGGAACAGCAACAAAGTAGGTAATCTTCTTCCACAGGTCAGAAGTCTTCTGCGAGTGGTGGAAGATGGCCTCAGAGTGCTCGGCAAATTCTTTGGCCTTAGCTGGGTCAGCTGGCTTGAAAGCTGGCTCGTTCAGCACAGAAGAATTGAATCTTCTGCCGACAATTCTAGCCTGTCTAAATCCAATGGTTCTAAGCATATTATAATATCTTTTGAAGCAAGCTTGTTTATGAGTTGCACCACTAGTTGATTTTTTAATTTCTCTTTTCAAAAAGCTCTAATTGGTGGTTACACCCTGGCGACAATTTTACTAGAAAAGCCAAATCCCTTACCCGAATCTTTTTTAAGGTTACCCGGCCCGCGTAGCCAAAACCCTGATAAAATCACTATTAGTACACCTTCTGTCGTATATACCCAAACTCTAGCTCGTCAAAACGTATCCCAAACTCATATTCCCCTTATGCGATTAGTCGTGAGCACCAACTTGTCGTCGACCTTGTTGACCTTTTCGCTTATATCCTTGAGATTTTTGTTTTGCATCACAATCTCCTGAGATAGCAAATTGGCCTTGCGACGCAAGTTCGTTGCCAGTTTCTGCGCTTCGTCAACGTTCTTACTATATTCGACCTCCATCTTCTCGTCCTCTTCATCGTGCTCCTCGCCCAGATACTTGGATGCCTCTTTGACACGTCTTTCGTGCTCGTACTTCTCCTTCAGCTCTGAATTGATCACAGGATCTGAAGAGTCTCTCAACTGGTCCACAATCTCATTTTGAGTGTGATACAAGTTCGAGCTCAAAGTAGCATCCCGCTCTCTGTCAGCCTGTCTCTGTGCCAAAAATTTCTGTTCTGCAGCTCTCATCCTGGACTTTTTGGTGAACGGATTACTGGCCTTGATGTGGAACAGACCTCTATTATAATGCTCCAACTGCTTCACATGCTCGTCCACAAATCGTTGATGCGTGTCCATAGAATTCAAAGACCTCTCCATCTCGAACATCTTTTCTCTTTGGGCTCCAACAGCGCCCAAAGTGTTGGCTGCGGTGTCATCTGCTTGACGCAGGTGACCCAAAATATTATGTGTGGACTTGACCGTGGCCTCTCTAACGTCCTTTGTCTGTCTTCTGATCCGGTTAATCTCTTCCTCCTCCTCATCTATCTCCTCCTCTTGTTGTTGCACATGTGACTCTAGGTACGGATCATAAGTGCTTGTGGCACCTTCTGGATAGCTATTTGGGTCGAAATCGTCTTCCTGTGTTTGCGTCTCGGTTACCAGGTCAGATGTTGGAACCTGCTGCAACTGTTGGAGCTGCTGATGCTGTTGTGAATGCAAGTTTTGTTCGTTTCCGGACGTGGATTGAATATCGTACGGATCATAAGTGTGATATGAAGGCGCGCCATTGTATCTTTCGGACTCGTGGGACTGGCCAGCCAAATCACCAGTCACATTGGAGACCGTTGATTGTGTGGCGGGATTATACGGATCCTCAGAGGAGCCTGCGGACGAAATTTGCGAAGAAGGGTCCTGGTGGATTCTTGGCATTAAAATAGGTCTTTCGTTTGTTTCTGCCTGGGCATACTTGGAGAACTCGCCAAACCTGTACTTCCTGCGGTGTGGGTTGTCGTCGTCCTTTACCCGCACACCGTTGTCCTGGAGATATTCCTTGACGTCGCTTTTGGACATCTCCTTTGGAGGTTTAAACATGTTTCTGATACCCATTTTCGGTTATAAAGTGACTTTGCTAGAAATTATATTTAACACTCCGCCATCTATATTGGTAAAAAAAGAAATTGGCAGAAAAACACGGGTCAGCAATATTTGTAGCTGCTGAGGTAAGCAGGCTGAGGAGCCAAGTTGAGTGACTATCTCATCAGGTGAGAAACAACAAGGTGAAATTGAACGAGTGAAACGAAACGGTGGGGATTGCGCTCTCAGGCATCCCAGTTCTACAAATATACATCAAAATTTCAATTAAGAACCAAACAGGAAAAAAATCAGGCCAGGGTTCGGCATCCAAGCATTGAAAATTCCAGGGCCTTTTGATATCAATCAGCAAGAGATGCCAATTACAGTAGAAATTCAGATGCGGGCCACAATTCAGTTACCAAATGTGAGTTGACGCAAATGCCAAACACAGAGAAGAAAAAAAGTACAGACTGTTTGTATGTACACTGCCTTGACGAATCTGAAATATGCGTATTCTTATTACAGCGGGCTATTGCTGTGGAGTTTCATTTGGGATCTGGTTGAATTACTCACCCAAGCTATTATCCTGAAAGATCGCGATTTCTAGCCAAAATGGCACCGTAGTTCGCAATAAAATAGCAATCAAGCTGTGTAGATCTTAAATCTTTAATTGGGCTTTGAAAAGAAAACGAAAATCCCGTTTGTTCATCACGCTCCTGGCACGCTGATGCGTCTAAAGCAGAGGCAAAAGTAGCTCTAAAGGGGTGATGCTATGGGTTGTGCACTACCAAAAATGATTTTTCAGGCTAAAATTTTGTCTCGAAGGAGGGCTTAGGTAAAAAACACTATGAACCTTAGAGTGCATTTCCCAAAACCAGGAAAGAAAAATCCTAAATAGGGATCTTGCATGATGAACCTTCTAAAATTTGGGAAATGATGGCTGCGAAGAGGTTATCTGAATGAAACGCGCTATTCCTCGCGATGGCAAAAATAATTGCAATCATGACACGTGTTTTTCGATAGATGTTTTCACTACTTTGATCAAAATGATCTGAAGTTCAAACCAGCCTGTTTGCACACTCTCCGGCCGACAATTGCTCGAATGGACCCAAGCCCCTTTATCAGGCAAGCTCATTCCGTTCCAATCTAGTCCGCGTTTTTGGGCGTGTGGCCAGAAAGGGATGCTGCAGATCAGCATAAGATGAATTTTAACAATGCCATCATGCATAGTACAATAAAAAAGAAAGTCCGAAAGTTCTTCAGAAGTTATGAAAGACGATCCGTGCCTTTGGCCAGGTGTGCAAAAGGCCGCAGTAATATAAATCTACAGACATTCCTTTAATTAACGTTATAGCCGAATAGAAAGCTCTTTTTCTCGTCAGGTTTATTTTCTGGTTGACATCGATACCACGCTCGTTAGCTATTTCAACATCCGGAATCTCCAAACCGCTATTAATTAAGATGCAGCTTTCTTTCTTCAAGTTCGCTAGCGTGGCTGCCCTGGTTTCCAGCGTGGCTTCTGCTGCTTTCACCAACTCTTCCAGTACAACTGCCCCATCCACTCTCCCAACCCCATGGATCTACGGATGGCTCGACGGTGACCAGCCAAGATACGATATTCACATTCCAACCATCTTGGAATTCACCACCTTCAACATTCTCTCTCTTGATGAGTCCTTCCCATGGGAGCCAACTTCTGAGTTGATTTTCCTTGACGGTAAGCCTAACACTGACTTCACCAACGACTCTGAGGAGTCCGAGATCGACATCACTTTCCACGGTTCTATTGCTGGTATTGAGGAGGTTCTTGTCAGCTCTTTCGCTAAGATTCACGGTATTCCAGGTACTTACACTGGTCACTTCGCTGTTACCTTGGACCCATCTGAATCCAAGAGAACCGACCGTGTCTACTACTTGAGTGCTACTGTTGTTATCCCAGGTTCTTCTTCTTCCGAGTCCGGCTCTTCTGGTTCTGGTTCTTCCACTGGTGGTAACGGTGGCACTACTGTCATCACCAAGACCGCTGCTGGTACTACCACCATCACCAAGACCTGTACTGAGGAGAAGTGTACCGGTGAGCCAACTACCATCGTTACTGGTGTCACCACTGTTACCGATGAGACTACTGTCTACACTACTTACTGCCCACTCACCACTACTGCTACCTGGGCTCCAGTTACCAGCGTTGTCACCTTGACTGAGACCGCTACTGTTGTTCCAGAGACCACCACCATCACTAAGACCTGTACCGAGGAGAAGTGCACTGGTGAGCCAACCACTATCGTTACCGGTGTTACCACCGTCACTGACGAGACCACTGTCTACACCACCTACTGCCCATTGTCTTCTTCTGAGGCTGTTGTTACTTACACCACTACCCTCACTGTTGAGACCTCTGGTGCTGCTGTTACCTCTCTCGAGGTCACCACCACTGAGACTGTTGGTGAGACTGTTACCACCTATGTCACTACTTGCGACTACTACCAAGTTACCACTAACACCGTCACTGAGACCGCCACCGCTACTGGTGCTACGGGATCTACTGCCGCTGCTACTGAGACTACTCCAGCCACTGGCGCTGAGGGATCCACTGCTGCTGCTACTGAGACCTCTCCAGCTACTGGTGCTACCGGTACTGCTGCTGGTGAGACCTCTACTGAGACCGCCACTGAGACCGCTACTGCCACTGGTGGTGAAGGCTCTACTGCAGCTGCTACTAAGACCACTGGCGCTGAGGGATCTACCGCTGCTGCCACTGAGACCGCTACTACCGGTACTACTCCAGCTGGTTCTGGTGCTGAGAGCACTGCTACCACCTTGTCTTCCAGTGCTGCTGCTGGTGCAAGCTCCACCGTTGCTTCTGCTTCCACCTTGGAGGCCGGTGCTGCCAAGAGCTACGCTTCTGCTGGTTTGTTGGGAGCTGCTTTCATCGCTGCTTTCTTCTACTAAGCATGTTAGTCGCATCATTTCAAGCACAAGACAAAACGTGGACATTTGCCCCACATTCACTCATAGACCGGTCTTGGTTGCTTCACATATCGAGACGTTGGTTGCTAGGATTTCCTGGTATTCAATTCAACTTCTAAAGGATCTTCCAATTTCCACGAAATCATTCTTCGGATTTCTGGCTTTGGACAGACCCCCACTTGTTACCTATTAGATACCTTTTTTCACTTCTCATCTGCATGGATACTTATCGTATCTGTATCGACATCTGGCTTGAAGATTTCGTCAAGTCATTAATGATAATTATTATTTCATATCTGCTCTGTAAAACCGCTCCTGTGCGAATTAGCACGCTAAAACTTCGTATCACTAAATTAGCCACATATCGCTGGAAAGTTTCGCCACAAGCTTTTTCTTGTCGAACCATGGATAATCCTTTCAGCAAGCTTTCCAAAAGGTCATCTATTGCCGTGGAAAGACCGTCTTTCCAACGTCCCGCAAGTATGTTGCTCTTTACAGACGTCCTAACATCCAAAAGAGATCGATCATATTCGTCCACAACCTTTGTTACCCCAACCTGTCGTACCCGCTTACACTGCCCATTCCACTCCAGAATCTTCTTCCCATGACTCTCGGTTCCCTGTTTTCGGGCTTGACTGGGCCTGTAACGCCAACTCAGACATAGCAAAGATAGCCGTCAGCTCGTTCCGGGAAGATCTCACAAACAGACTGAAAATAATCAATGGTACGCCAAATTATCTTGACACCGACACCGGAATTAAATCCCTGGATGCGTACAACTTCCAGTCCGTTGCGGAGATAACCGTCAACTATCCTGTCACAAGGCTCCAATGGGACCCGTCAATGAGTTTATATCCCAACACCACTCGCTTGGCAACAAGTTCGGAGTGTTTAAGGGTCTACGAACTGGCGGAGCCCGACACAAATCAATCATACTCGCATAGTCCTCGGCTCGTTGAGAAACTCACGCTCACAAACTCAAAGAACAAGAACTTCAATCAACTACCGCCGCTCACATCTTTCGACTGGAACAAAACAGACCCCCGATACATCATCACCAGTTCCATAGATTCGACGTGTACACTATGGGACATTTCCCGTGGATCCGGAGTGGCAAAAACACAGCTGATTGCCCACGATAGCGAGGTGTTCGACGTCAAGTTCCTGCATGGAAATAAACATGTCTTCACCAGTTGTTCCAACGACGGGTCGGTGAGAGTGTTTGATCTCCGGTCTTTGGAACACTCAACCATCATCTACGAACCACAATCCTCCAAGTCATCCATAACAAGTTACGGCATGAATGATACCAGGCGAGATAGTCAGGCCGGTGTTGTTCAGCCTACACCTTTACTCCGACTTGCTACTTCCAATTATAATGCCAACCAACTTGCTGCCATCGAAGCAGGAACAAACCGAATACTAGTTTTGGACCTGAGATACCCTGAGACCCCTGTACAGATGCTGCAAACCCACGCGGGAGCCGTCAATAGCATTGCATGGCACCCATCCAAAAACGTGCTGGCAAGTGGTGCGGACGACTGTCAGGTGTTGATTCACGATTTGGCCGATACTACACAGACAAACGAGTCATTATTACCCAAGTATGCGTTCTTTGACGAGCTCGAAATCAACAACGTGTGCTGGAACCCTCAAGGCACCTGGATAGCTGCCAATAGCGGTCGTCGCACCCAGTCAATCAAGCTTACGTAACACGGTTAAAATCAAACCACCACCTTCACATGTAATTTCGGGAGAGCGTAAAAAGTAAAAAAGGGTTTTCAAGTCACCAAGTCAAATTTGACTCTGGGCCCCCCGGGTTTGTGAGTGTCAAGTCATTATATATCAGACATTTATATATAACCCTCTAGACGTACACATTGTACTTCAAATTGTCTACATTCTTTTCCCTCGATGTCTACGTTACTACGACTACGTTTGCGTGGCTCAATTAGAGGCGTTTCTTCCAAAGCGTACAATGAAGGATACGCTCCCTCAAATAAGGGACTTGCTGATTTGGACACTTTTGCGCGTAGACATTTTGGCCCAAACCCAAAGGATGTCGATCGCATGCTTCAAACCGTCCAGTCTAACGATCTTGGTGAGTTCATCAGCAAAGTTATCCCTGAAAATGTGCTTGTGGCCAGACCTTTGAAGATCGAGCCAGCTCAGGGCTACTCTGAGACACAGATGTTGAATCGACTTAAAAAGATCGCGTCCAAGAACAAGCTTGTGAAGACCTATATCGGTAAAGGGTACTACAACACTGTTCTTCCAGCCGTGATCCAACGCAATCTGTTAGAAAATCCTGGTTGGTATACCTCTTACACTCCTTATCAGCCAGAAGTTTCGCAGGGTCGCTTAGAGAGTTTGCTTAATTATCAAACCATTGTTTCTGATTTGGCTGGTTTGCCTGTTGCTAATGCGTCTCTTTTGGATGAAGGAACTGCTGCTGCTGAGGCAATGATCCTTTCTTACAACCAACTAAGAGGCAAGAAGGCCAAGTACTTCGTGGATGTTAAGACCCATGAACAGACCATTGCTGTCTTGAAGTCCAGATCCTACACTTTGGGTATTGAGTTAATCATTGACGATCTGTCCAAACTGGAGTCGGTTGCAGGCGAAATTTGCGGTGTTTTGATCTCTTATCCTCAAACTGATGGTGCCATTCCGTCACCAGAGTCTTTGGCCAGTATCACTGACATTGTCCACTCCAACAAAGGATTGGTGGCCGTCGCATCTGATCTGATGGCTCTGGCTTTGTTGAGACCACCTTCTGAGTTCGGTGCCGACATTGTTCTTGGATCCTCGCAAAGATTTGGTGTTCCAATGGGTTTCGGAGGTCCACATGCTGCGTTCTTCTCTGTCACTGAGAAACTGCAAAGAAAAATGCCTGGTAGACTTGTGGGAGTCACAAAGGATAGACTCGGCAACCAAGCCCTACGTCTTGCTTTGCAAACTCGGGAACAGCATATCAAGAGAGAAAAGGCCACTTCCAACATCTGTACTGCACAGGCTCTTTTGGCCAACATTGCTGCCAACTACGTGGTTTACCACGGTGCCTCCGGTCTGCGTACAATCGCTGCACGTATCCACGGCCTGACTAGCCTTTTGGCCCAACAAATCACCGAAAACTCTTCTCATTCCGTTATCAATTCGACCTTTTTTGACACTCTTTCAGTGAAGGTCGATGGATCCGCTGATGAGTTCGTTGCTAAGGCTTTGTCTGAGTACGAAATCAACATTTTCAAGGTTAACGATGGCCAAGTTCAACTCTCTTTGGATGAATCTGTCAACCAAGAAGACTTTGCCAAACTGGTGCAGCTGTTCACCTCCAAGTCTATCTCTGTTCAAGAAATTGAGGCATTGCCTGAGTTCCCAAAAGAGCTGTTGAGAACTGACAAGATCCTAACCAACCCAGTTTTCAATACTCACAACTCCGAAACAGCTATGCTTCGTTACCTGTACAAGCTTCAGCAAAAGGACGTGTCTCTAGCCTCGTCCATGATTCCTCTTGGATCGTGCACTATGAAGCTGAATGCAACCACCGAGATGATTCCAATTACCTGGCCCGAGTTTGCAAACGTTCATCCTTTTGTTCCAAAAGACCAGGCTGAAGGCTACCTGCAGCTGATTACCGAGCTTGAGGCTGACCTTGCAGACATTACCGGTTTCGCTAAAACCACTCTCATGCCAAACTCTGGTGCTCAGGGTGAATATACTGGACTCACCGTGATCAGATCTTACTTGGAGAGCACAGGTCAACAACACAGAAACATCGTTCTTATTCCTGTCAGTGCTCACGGAACCAACCCTGCTTCTGCCACTATGGCTGGTCTCAAAGTTGTTCCCGTCAAGTGTCTGAGTAACGGAAACCTTGACCTGCAGGACCTTGAGGAGAAAACCACTAAACACTCCTCCGATCTCGCAGCCATCATGATCACGTATCCTTCGACCTACGGTATGTTTGAGCCAACAATCAGAAAAGCCGTCGAGCTCGTGCACTCCAATGGCGGACAAGTGTACCTTGACGGAGCCAACATGAACGCACAAGTGGGTCTGACTTCTCCTGGCGATTTGGGAGCAGACGTTTGTCACTTGAACTTGCACAAGACTTTCGCTATTCCGCACGGAGGAGGAGGTCCGGGTGTGGGACCAATCTGTGTTGCTGAGCATCTTCAAGATTTCCTGCCAAAACACCCATTGACATCCACCACAAATGTGTCTGCCAAGGCCATCAACGCTGTTTCTGCTGCTCCATTTGGATCTGCCTCCATCTTGCCAATCTCCTACTCCTACATCAAGATGCTGGGAGCCAAGAACCTGCCTTACGCCTCCACCTTGGCCATCTTGAACGCCAACTACATGATGTACAGACTCCGCGACCATTACAAGATCATGTTCCTTGGAGACGAGTCTGCTCATGAGAAAATCGAGTACTGTGCGCACGAGTTCATCATCGACCTCAGACCTTTCAAAGAGTTCGGTATTGAGGCCATCGACGTTGCCAAGAGACTCCAAGACTATGGATTCCACGCCCCAACCATGTCTTTCCCGATCCCGGGAACGCTCATGATCGAGCCAACCGAGTCTGAGGACCTGCGGGAGCTTGACAGATTTGTCGACTCAATGATCTCCATCCGCGCAGAAATCGACGCTGTTCAAAAAGGAGGCAGCAAGCTCCTGCTGAAGAACGCTCCACACTCGCTCAGAGACCTGCTCGAGGCCGACGAAAAAGAATGGACCCAGAGAGGCTACACGCGGGAGCAGGCAGGATACCCATTGCCATTCTTGAAAGACTTCAAGACCTGGCCTACAGTAGCCAGAGTCGATGACACCTACGGTGACATCAACCTCATGTGCACCTGTCCATCTGTGGAAGAGCTTGCCGAACAGTAGCCAACTTGTATAGAATTCCGAATTCAGCTCCATTCGTCTAGCCCGTGTTTTTTCTGCCCTTACCCGGCCCCCACCCACTTTTTTTTTCCTTCAGGCCTTTTTTTCGAGAATCTGCGGAATATAGTGGCAAATAGCACGTTGAATATTTCTAATTTATTTATTATTTATCATGGCTAGATCATCCGGAAGAAGACCAGCTCCAAGAGCCGCCCCAGCCCACACCAGACAGGCATCCACCATGGCTGCACCTGCCCAAAACCACTCGTACAGCCGCCCTGTGCAGACCCAACAACAACAGCCAGGTCTGTTCTCTCAGATGGCCTCCACCGCCGCTGGTGTCGCTGTCGGTTCTGCTGTCGGACACACCATCGGTGCCGGAATCTCTGGTATGTTTGGATCCTCGTCTCAACCAGCCGAGTACCAGCAACAGCAGGTCCAGGCCGCTCCAGCTCAACAGCAGTACCAACAACAATCTCCAGCTTGTGATGCTGACGCTAGAAACTTCACCAGATGTTTGGAAGAGTCCAACGGTAACTTCCAAGCCTGCGACTTCTATCTGCAACAGCTCAAGGCTTGTCAGGCTGCTGCCAGCCAATACTAAGCACCTCTTAGCATGAAAAACTCTTATAGATAATAACTACAGCTTATATATAAATGGATAATTTATTCTATTATATCATACATCAGAACCGCCAGTTCTCGTCTGCGGAGTCAATTGCCCATGCAAACTTCTCCCGCAGCGTTTTAGTAAACAGCTTCTCTATTGGCACGTCGAACTTTTTGGAAAACATCACCGTCAAACGCGGATCAATATAGTTGATCTTGGAAGTGCTCAGGGCGACCTGTGAATTGTCCTCCTTGTCCTTCAGCTGTAACGACGTGTTCTTGATCCGCAGCTCAATCTTCTCCACCTGCTGTTGCAGCTTCTCCACGGTCTGTGACGCCTTGATCTCGTACTTTTGTGTCTTGAACTCCTGTTTGGTGGTCTTGACCAATTCCTTGTGCTTCTCGAGTCTCTCTTTGTGTTCGGCCGCCAATTCGTCCTTTCGCTTCTTCTTCTCGTCCTTGCTGATCTCTTCGTACCCCAACTTGAGCAAATCGCGCTCGTACTTTTTCTCCAACTTCTCCTTCTCTTTGTCCAAAAACCGTTCCATCACCTGCTGCTCGGTCTCTTTGTTAAGATCGTCAATCTCCCGGAAATAAGCCGGATCTTTCTTCTTCAATGCCTTGTCCAGTTGCAAGATCATCCGTTTGGCAATGATTTTCTTCCAGAACATCTCCTCGATTCGCTCATTGATTTTTTGCACACCGGCCTCGTGCGTCTTGCTCACCGTGCGCTGGTGATTACACAACGTTGCAACAGTCCGGTTCGCAGCATTGAAGTTGACCACCTTCTCGTTCACCGTTCCTTCGTTCTTGATGAGATCAATTTGATCCTGCATGGTCTTCGATGCATTGTAGGTTCTGAAAACTTTGGCAGTCAGTCCAGGAAGATAAGATTGGAAGTACTTGTTCACCACAGACGGATCAATCCGGTCGAACAAATTGTCCCCTGGCTTCTTTGGACTCTTCTTGAATATACGCAAGTTCTTGAAAACCTGTGGATCAACTTCAACCTCCTGATAGAACCGGATCGAATCCTTACCCAGAAAATCAAACACCACTGTATTTGGAGGTTTGAGGAAAATGTGCTCGTATCTCAGCGAACAACATCCAACGGTATCTGCCTCGTCCTCGCTCTTCTCTCCACCTGCTCTTAGTGCAAAAATGTCAATCAAATAGGTGGCCGTAGACAACTGTCTGTCTATCATGAGCTCGGATCTCAACTTAGACTGATAGTCCTTTCTAATTGCATCAATGTAGTTCTTCAATTCCCTGGCCTTTTCAAATTTCTTGAAATCACTTATACCTTTCAATGACGAGTTCTGAGCAAAACGCACATACTTTACAGATCCAAGCACATTTTCACGCCACATAGCCAGCCAGGCAACAGTGTTGTCGTGTTTGATCTCTCCCCAAGTATGTCCCTCTGGAGCAGGAGGAACAGGGGCATCTTTACTCAGATTCAATGTAATATCTTCCGGTTGAACCCGCTTCTTAAGCTTTCCCGTCTTAGGGTGAGCTCCACGACCTCTGAAGAGTCCAGGAGGCTCAACTCGGAAATTTCCCACTTGTTCTTTTCTTCCGTTCAGGTAGCAAAATTTGTATTTTTCCTCCATCTGGTCCTTTTCCTGTTTGATTCTCTTCTTTTCCTGTGGAGAAAGTGCTTTCTTCTCTTCTTTTTGTTTCTGGAAATAGTCAAACATTTTGGAGAAATCACACTTGTTGAAATCAGTGATCTTCGCATCAGGACAGCCTCCATTCTCGTTCAAGACTTCCAAGAAGTCGGCAAAGAAGTTCTTTTGGAAAACGGGATTCTTACCGTGGTCGGACTCGATCAGTGCTGCAAAGAAACCGGCAACCTCTTCTGCTGCCGGTGGAAGACTAACGGGTTTTCCGTCGTAGATCAGTTTCACCTTTGAAGGTAATGGCTCATATTCTGGAGGAAAAATCACACCGTTGTGCTCTAAAGTATTCCACACCACTTCACCGTTCAGATCCTGCTCTTCCCACCATTTGTAACTTTCTTCCTCTTCCTCGTCCTCAGTTTTAATTTTCGGAGTTTCGTCTTTTTTGAATTTGGGCTCTTCACTTTTAGCCTTCCTCTTGCGAGGAGCTTTGGCCACTTGGGAACTTGGTTCCTTTTTGACTGTAGCTTTCTTGACCGAGGTTTTTGTGACAATCTTACGTTTCTTCAAGGGAACATCGTCCGCTTCTTCCTCGCTAAGAGAGGTTGTAGGGGTCTTGATCTTGCCGTCATTCGAATCGGAATCATCCTCAGACTCCAAGGTAGAAGTCTTGTGTTTTGAAACCAGCTTTTTCCGTCTAACTGTGGCCAGAGGTGTCTCTTCATCTGACGAAGACATTTTAAATCCCAACAAGTTTTTTTGTCCTTGTCAAACTCACTTTATGAGAAATATTCCCTTAAACTAGATCTGGTGTAAAGGTGGCTCCACCAAAATTGTTGATCGCGTTTTAAACGAAAACAAATCGTTATGTTTCAAGGACTTGAAGTGATGGACGCCGAAAGGCGATCGAAAGTCCAGAAATACTACCATTTCATTCAATCCTCTGTCAAGCGGCTACAGTTTGTCACAGAGGAGACAGAGGGCCAGGAAATCAAGGAAATAATTAGCGAACTGCTATTAGTTGTGCCTAAATATGGCATCAATTTGGACCAGTTCAATATTCTGCTCGACATTGTGCTGGATACTACAAACTCAAAGAGATTCACAAATGCCACAAAGTCGCGTATGGTGAAATTGTGGGCCTGCTACGACTTATTTGATTTTGACATCTTCTTGAAAATCATTGGATCATTTAGACTATCTACATTCTCGAACGAGGGAAAAACACTACATCAAAAAGTCCAGTCAAGCTTGAGTAAATGGCTCGTGTCCAATTTCGCAAACTTTGAACTGGATAAGAATTATCTTCGTGTGCTTCCATTCTTGTTCAACATGCTTCCAATCGGTTACATCAGAGCTGATATTTGCACAATAATAACTTACCTATTGCAGAAGAGCTCTGAGATTGACGAACACTACAACTTCAAATACTTTTTGAACATATCAAAGCTCGGGTTCCTGGTGGATCTCTATCACAAAGACAAAGATGTTATCTCTTTGGTTCTTGTAATCCATAGCTACTTGGAAGCAGATGACAACCTGCCTGCGTTTGACACGTATCGATACAAACTCTCTGAAATCATTGAGAATGAAAAGGTGACAAAGCATCCGTTCAGATACGACATCAAAGCCTTCACTTCGCTGCTCGAATTAAAGACACAACATTTCCAATTCATACTGGGAGCTACGTCTCTCGCGCAACTTTTACAAAGGGACCAGTTCCACACATACTACTCGAATATGCAAAGTCTGGGTCAGATGATCGATTTCCTCAACGATCAGTACGCTAATTCTGGTTCGGGTAGTCGCCATAAACGGAGGAAACTCGACGATATCACTTTCGATTACAGTACCATAGATATCTTGGGGCCAGGAGCGAAAACTACATGTTATACGATTGAAACATACGTCAAGAATCTGGATACTGTCAGAATCCCACAGCAGATTGGTGTCCTGTTGTACCAGCTGGATGAGTTCTCCAACCACAAGGAGCAATCGCAGTTGGCTGCATTTGCAACTCCAAATCAGCATCCAGGGTTTGGCACAAAGATTCCGTTATACAATGCTCTGCTTCAAGTGGATAATCGCCAGCTCAATAGTTGGATCGAGCTGATCTTGAAAGATGACGAACAAACATTGAAGTCGGAGTACGAGCCGATGTTCAACGGACTGTTGCAACTGTGCCGGCACTCGCTGACGCTCATATCTGTTATTGAGCGTCTCATCACTAAAGATCTAACTCTCAGCAATGACAATCTCGAGATTGTTAAGTTTTATGAATTTTTCAGTTACTTGAACTACCATCCATGGTCCGAATTCAAGCAGACCTACGAGCGGATCGGAGTTCTATTCAGGGACCCCGAAGCATTTTCCCGTGTTGTTGAATCGCTCGGTAACCTGATCGATAACTGGCAACTGAAACTTATTGATGCGGAAGATTACGAGTTTTGGAAAACAGTCAACAATCTATTGGAGAATATCATATGGGACTTTTCGAGACTATACTGTGGACAGCCAGAGTCTCACTTGGAATGCAAGCTTGCTTTTGTGCAATTCCTAAGCTTGATGTACCGAATTGAGCACAGGCACTTGAAGCTTTCGGTTTTGGTGCTTCCTCCAGCGGTACTGTACGACCTTTATTTCTCGACAAACGCTATTCTCGTTGACGCTATGTGCTATCATGTCACATTCTGCAAGACCTACTACGCTAATTATCTATCTACCCAGCCTGACCATGGGCCAATCAATTCGGATCTGTCACACACAACATTGAGCATGCTCAAAAATCTGCACAATTCTTATGTGATGGACTTGTGCAACATCCTATGGAGAGACAAGGCGTTTGATAAGAACGAGAAATCGACTGCCAAGGGGTTCATGCTCCCTACAGAATTTTCGACCAAGCTACTCAAACAGCGGTACCACAACTATGACTCAAGTATGAGTCAGTCTGAAGACTACGATTTTGACGCGATGAAACGGGATTTCAACGTATTCTATGCACCTGCATACGCCTCATTGATTACCAATATTATACGCCGGCTCGAAGACAAGGCAGGAACCGAGGTCCGTTTAGCCGGCCCCTTGAACGAGACAGAGTTTGGCAGACTCATCAATGGCACCGGCAGATGGTTTGACCCAGAACTGGAATACGACTACCTAAGACTAGATATTCTTGATGAACTGGCTGTTGATGGATTGGGTGGGTTGCGCAGCTTACTTCACAGCTCCTTAAAAAGTCTTGCGATCAAACTTGCGGAGAGAGCCAGATAAGGCGGGCTCGAAGAAAAAAAAAACGTTTAAATTCCGATTAAGGTCTGGGCACGAGCCACACAACCTTATCTGATTAAATAAGGAATATTGCGAAAGAAAAAGCCAAAATTTTTAAGACCTTTTTTTTAAAAGCACGATCCCATGTCTAGCCAGGGTATTGAATTGGATCAAATAGGCAGATCGAGCGAGGATAAGTCCTTTGATTTAAGCTTTGAAAATGGAAACGAGTTCACCATCGAGGATCCGACGGAATTCCCCAAAACCGTTGAGTTTAAAGGGCACACATTAATTATTGAGAATACAGATATCAAGGAATCGGTTAAACTTCGATTCCAGACCGTCGTCATCTCCACAACGTTCATGATCATGGGAATTCTCGACCAGTCCTTGGGATCCGTGATGGAATATCTTCTAGAGGACTATCACACTGATAGAACCCATTTATCAAATTTATTTATTTTCCAAGCATTGGGATACATCCTTGCAAGTTTCACGAATAATAAACTTTATAAGCAATTGGGACTGAAAGGTCTGTTTCCTTTGTCTCTGGTGTTAATGGGATCTTGGTCCGCAGCGTTTGCAGCCAAATTGAATCTAGGTCCCCTGATATTTTTCGCCATGGTTAACGGAATTGGGTTTGGAACTGCAGATTGCGCAATGAATCTGTACGTCGGAAACTTGAAGTATAGTAACCAACTTTTGGGTACTATGCACGCATTCTATGGGTTCGGATGTTTCATCAGCCCTCTCTTGTGCACATACTTAATCCACCAAGGCTTTTCATGGAATCAGTACTATATCATCATTCTGGCTCTGATTTCTGTAGAGTTGGTTGGTGCATTGACACTTTTCACGCATGAGACCGGATTAAAATACCAGTACCAGCTGAAACTGGACCGTGAAAAGGAGGGTGATGAAGACGAGGTGACGTTCATTCAAATTGTGAAGAATAAGTACGTGCTCTTCTTCTCCACATGTCTATTCTTCTATCTCGGCTCGGAATTGAGTCTTGGTGTCTGGTTGTTCAACTACCTACTGAGAATCCATGAATTCACTGACAGCTCTTCTTCCTACGTCACAAGTGCGTACTGGATCTTTTTGACCGCCGGTCGGTTGGTTCTTGGTCTCGTTACCGGTCATCTGTTTGATGACTTTGAAACAAAAGGTATGATAATATATTGTACCTTGGTCACGATTGGTGTTTGCGTCTTCTGGTTGTTCAATCACATCCCGCTCATCATGATCACGTCTATTTGCTTTGTCGGATTCTTTGTTGGTCCTATGTTCTCTGTGACCGTGGTGATTTCCATGAAGACCCTTCCAAAAAGACTTTCTACTGCAGGTGTGGCCATCATTTGTGGTTTGGGTGCTATGGGGGCCACCGTTATGCCCTACATCATGGGCCTCATTGCGGACAACACAGCAGGTGGTGATGGTGCTGGATTGGTTTACTTCCCATTCTATGAATTGCTGCTGTTCTTGTCCGCGAATATGATGTGGGTGTTCTTCTTTTTCCGCAACAAAAGAACCCTTGAGCTTTACGAAAGACTTCCTTCGGATTAAAGATTTTGCTTCTATTGATAACTAAAGAATTTGGGAGGTGGAGGTGGAAATGCGTGCGGAGGGCTGTCATTAAAATTGTTTGTGTGTCGTGGGTATAATAAAGGGCTGGGATTTTGAGGCTGCTGTCTCGTTGCATATATCCTACGAATAGCAGGATTAGCATAGTCATTTCGGAGTCTTGGGTTCTGACCTTGGGCTATGTGGTCCATGAGATTGGGTTCGTGGTTATGATATATGTGGATAGAACTTGGGTCATAATTGGGAGGTGCCAATTGTACCGTATTATGGTCATGGCGATTATGCTCAGTTTTGGTAGGGTTTTTCGTGAATGTTGTTGCTGGGGTTTTAGCATTGCTGCTACTTTCTCTGCCAGTGAAGTTTGGCTGCCATGATGCGTTCATGAGCCAGAGACTGACAGGGATGTCGGACGACGTGGTTGCACTTGACTGCACAGGTTCCTGTTTATTCGAAGGTGATTGTGGGCGTTTGAGCTGTGAACCTATGGCTAGGTTCAATTTTGGAAGAAGCGTCTTTGACTGTGAAAACACGTTATTGGTAAAGAGCTTGTCTAGGTCTTTATCTGGTGTGAGAGGAATTTTTGAGCTGTGGGCTGTTGAATGTCCGTATGGTTCTGTGTATCCTTGTGCACTTGGTATGTTCATTTTGACGTTCTGTTGTGTATGGTTTGGGAGGTTTGGGCCTGAATATATCGTATGATAGTTTGGTAAAGGTAGCATTATCCCGTTTGAGTTGACGATCATTGTGTTCTTTGACTGCTGCTCTCCAACCAGAGAATTCAACAACTCGCGCTTCTTAGCGTCGTCGCTGTACAGTCTGTTGAAAATGAACCACATCGGATAACAGGACGGCCATTTGACTGACGAGATCTCCCAAATCTTAAGAATGTTGAGAAAAAACTGCTCTGCTATTCTGGCAACTTGTTTGTCCTCGTTCATCAGATGGTATAGCATGATGATGGTAGAAGCATAAAGTGTATTGTGAGAGATCAAAGCAACATGGATCAAGAATCCGTGCTCGATCATCGAATCTGCAATTAGCTTCACCATTTGAGCAGCCTGAAACGAAATGGCCCACGACGGGTATTGGTCGCCTAATCCTCTTTGGATATTGGCCTTATGGGTGAGAATGAGTAGGGTATAATACTGTGACGTTAGCAGTCCACTGAGGAACGAGTGTGTTGACGGATCATCCAGCCTGAACTTAAGATAATATGGCACCTCTTCGAGCCAGGATATGAGCATCTGGTCGCACTGCTTGATCGACTGGACCAAGTCTTCTGATCTGGTGAGTTTATTCATTTTGGCTTGCTCTTTAACAACGTCATCAACAAGGTTTGCAAACCGTATGAAGCTAATGAAATAAGACGCCTCGGCTTCTGACAAATCAGTATCCTTCAAATCGGATTCCTGAAGCATACTGACGTCGCAGTCATCCAGATCGATCATGAACGGTGTAGCAAAACCCAAGCCAACAAGCTTGTCCTTGATGTGCAGGCACCAGAACAATCTCTTGTACATTAGTTTCTCGTACGGACTCAAAGTGGGGTTAAGATCGTTGTCTTTGTGAAATCCAAGTCTCAAAGCACTCTGGATAGCCAGATTAGTCCAGTAATAGTCATTCTTGCAAAGAAGTGACGAATTCTCGTAGTTCCAGATCAGACACAACAATGACTGGATCAAAGGTATGGGTTCTGTTTCAATGGACAGATCATACAAAACTTTTGCTCTCTTGAACATGACCCGACAGATTTTGTCCAGATACAGTAACTCCTCTTTCGATGTGTTGACTGTGTCGCTATGTCTGGCTCCGACATAAAGAACAGAATATAACAATAGCAAGGAAGGAGGGTTACGAAGGTCTTTGTAATCCTCGTAAAATTGGTTTTTGTCGATGATTGGCAGTTGCGGGTTGAGGATCAAGAAGAAATTGTTGATGAACGTCCAACACGTTCTTTCATCTGGTAGGTTGAAACATCCATACATGTTGAGCATTTGGAAGTCGTACTCGTCAAGACGGTAAGAACGATTGCGTCCTTGCGCTTCGCTATCCAAAATCAAGTCTTCAACTATATCGTTGATACAACTGAAATTACTGTTGAAAAGAGAGTGTTCTATTCTCAACAGGGACCCAAAATTCTTCTTCAGAACCACGTTTGGGTCCAACTTAATGGTGTTGACATGAAGTGACTCCTTTTGTAAACTCGGTTCAACAAATTCTGGCAAATCTTGCTCAAATCCGGAGTAGAGCCAGAACTTGTCGGGATGAAGCAGATCAGATTTCTTTCTGCATACACGCTTCTTGCGCTTGTAGATGACACACTCAGTGCCCGACTCGTTACAGTTCGTGCAAGGCTGGCCTTCTGGCTTCACGGAAACGTTGCATCTAACTTTACGATCATGACAATACACACAGACTTTTGACGCCCGCATTTGAGTGCTCTTCTTTGTCTTGGTATTTTCGTACGAAGGGAAACCCGCCTTATCGGAGGACTCGTACTTGATGTCGTTCCAGCTTGGAATGTCTGGTATTTTGCTCATAGAGTCTTGCATCGCAAACACCTTTTTTTAGCAAATACTGAAGTGGAAATGAGCTGACTTATATTCAAAAGTCTTTAGGAAGGTGAGTGCGTGGACTAAACCCTTGGCAAGAAAGCAAGATGTTCAAAAATAGCTATGAGATGATGCTTAATATTATCCGGATTTGTGCGATGAACAATAGATTAAATTTAAAAACAATACATCTTTGCACAGAAGTGGGGCTAAAAAAATAGTGACTTTTAAAGTCTCCAAGTATGTTCCGAGTCAAATTCCGGTCATTTGATCTAGCAAATATTAAAACCCCATACAAACTTGTTCAATATTATACGTCCGACTTTGTATCATGTTTATCCGCAGAACCCTATTGCAATTGCCCAAATGGGTCAAGCCCTACTCTAGCGATGCCACCTTGGCAACAACGCCTTTCACAGATCTCCATTCCAAGCTGAATGCTACAATGGTCCCTTTTGCAGGCTACTCGATGCCAGTCTTGTACAAGGGACAGACCCATATAGAGTCTCACAATTGGGTCAGATCCAATTGTGGTGTCTTTGATGTTTCCCATATGCTTCAGCACCGGATCAAAGGTCCAAGCACCACATCGTTCCTTCAAAAGCTGTGTCCAACAGATCTCCAATCTCTGAAACCTTTCCATTCTACGCTGAGCGTTCTTTTGAACAAAGATGGAGGAGTCATTGATGACTGTATGATCACCAAGCACGACGACGATAGCTTCTACATTGTGACCAATGCCGGTTGCAGAGCCAAGGATGTCGAGTTTATCAAATCGGAACTGTCAAATTACCCGCAAGGCTCGGGTATTGTTCATGAGACATTCGAAGGTGGGTTGCTCGCTATTCAGGGCCCCAAGTCGCAAGAAGCAGTGTCGAAATTCACCTCCTCTGATCTGAGTGACTTGTATTTCGGGCAAAGCAGATTCATCCCGCTCGACCGTCTGGGATCGTCGGAAAAATTCCACATTGCAAGAGGTGGATACACTGGTGAAGATGGATTCGAGATCTCTATTCCAGATATAGAGGTCGCTAGAAAGTTCTTTTTGGCTATTTTGGAAGATGAATCCGTCAAACCTATTGGACTTGCTGCCAGAGACTCTCTGAGACTCGAAGCCGGAATGTGTTTGTACGGACACGAGCTCAATGAACAGACCACTCCTGTGGAAGCTTCGCTGAACTGGCTTGTCTCTAAATCCAGAAGATCTGACGAGTTCAATGGTAGCTCCAAGATTCTCAGCCAGCTTGAGACACCTAAATCTGTCACTTTCAAGAGAGTCGGAATCAAGTCAAAAGGACCATCACCTCGTGATGGAAACAAGATCTTCGCCGCAGACGATAAGACCAAGCAGATTGGTGTCGTTTGCTCTGGATCTCCATCTCCAACATTGGGTGGAAATATTGGACAGGCCTTTATCGACAAGCCATACCAGAAAACAGGGACTGAGGTTCTCATCGAGATCAGAGGCAAGCTCAGACCAGCCACCGTCTCCAAGATGCCGTTCGTGGAGCCAAAGTATTATCGTCCGTCGGTGTAAGGTGTAATTTATCCCAGACACGAAAATATATAACTGCAAAAACGCGTCAACAAATATTTATCATTTGTTATGCATATCAAGAGAGTAAGTAAAACTGTTTACAATTGCTAATACCAGATTGTGATCCAAGGTTTCAAGACCTACAAGAATACCACGATCATCGATTCGTTTTCTCCGGGTCACAACGTTGTTGTCGGACGAAATGGGTCGGGAAAGTCGAACTTCTTCGCCGCCATCAGATTCGTTCTCTCGGACGCGTACACAAACATGACGAGGGAGGAACGTCAGTCTCTGATTCATGAAGGATCTGGAACGGTGATGTCTGCATATGTGGAAATCGTTTTTGACAACACAGACCGCCGTTTTCCCATCGACAAAGACGAAGTGGTGATCAGAAGAACCATTGGGATGAAGAAAGACGATCATTCTTTGGACTCCAAGCTTGCAACCAAGGCGGATATTATGAACTTGCTTGAGAGTGCGGGTTTTTCCAAGTCCAACCCATACTATATCGTTCCTCAAGGCAGAATCACCTCATTGACCAACGCCCAAGATTCTGAGAGGTTGCAACTTTTGAAAGAAGTTGCCGGTGCGCGTGTTTTCGAAACCAAGTTAAAAGACTCTCTCAAGGAGATGACCAACACCAATAAGAAGAAAGAGCAGATCGACGAAATGCTGAGATATATCGAGGGAAGACTGGAAGATCTCGACTTGGAAAAGAACGACCTTAAGCACTTTGAAAAACTCAACAACCGGAAAAAAGCTCTCGAGTATAATTTGTATGATAGAGAGCTCACGAGTCTGAACGACCAAATTGAGAGCTTGGAGTCCGACTATGCCTCTGCGGTTCACGATACGTCTTCCTTGGTGGAGAAGTTAGCAGAAAGGGAAAAGCAAGTTCAACAGATTGAAAGCTCCCTGGCCGAGCTCACCGCTAACTTGAAATTAGTTGACGTTGACATTTCCGAAAATGACAGCGAGATCAGAGATGTTTTGGAAGCTATCGGTGACCACAGTGCGCAACTGAAAGACGCGGAGCTTGAACACGTTCCATCTGGTGCTGATCTCGCTGCACAGATCGCAGAGCTGAATTCTCAAATCTCCCAGAAAGAGGTTGAGTTGGGTAGATCTCAACCGGCTTTGAAGGAAGCCATCAACAGGGAGCGCTCGATCAAAGCCAAGCTCGATGAGATGAAACAGCAGCAGCGGTCTTTATTGTCGAAGAAGGGTCGCTTCTCTCAATTTGAAAGCCAAGAGCAACGCGATGCCTGGCTCCACGATGAAATTAAGACTCTTGCTGACTCTCTAGACACAAAGAAAAGCGAGCTTTCGGAGATCTTGTCTGCCAGAAGCCAAGCCGAGGCATCCGCAAGCCAGCTGGCTTTGCAGCTTGACAGCGAGGGATCCTTGGATTCTCTTACTGTAGAGATGGATGCGCTTGATGCTCAGCTCGGAAACCTCAGACTGAACTACAGCAAGCTGATCGACGAAAGAAAACAACTTTGGAGGGAGGAGAGCAAGCTCAACAGTGTGATTCAAACTTACGAGGAGGAGAAAGCTCGTGCTCAGCAAGGAGTGAGTGAAACGATGGACCGGTCCATGGCCCTGGGTCTTGAATCTGTGCAACGGATTGCAAAAGATCTTGGTTTGAATGGCGTCTATGGTACTTTGGGGGAACTAATCAATGTCAGCGAAAAGTACAAGACTGCTGCTGAAGTTGTTGGAGGCAGCTCTTTATTCCATGTTGTTGTTGACACCGATAGAACTGCTACTCTGATTATGGATGAGCTGGTCAGACAAAAAGCAGGCCGTGTCACTTTCATGCCCCTCAACAGACTTCATCCTAAAGATGCAACCTACCCAGAAACTTCTGATTCTGTGCCTTTAATGAAGAAAATTGCCTTTGACGAGTATTTAGAGCCAGCTGTGAAGCAGATATTTGGCAAGACTGTGGTTTGTATCTCGCTGGAGAAAGGAGCGGAGATTGCCAGTACTTACAAGCTAAATGCCATCACGCTAGACGGAGATAGATGCGATCGCAAAGGTGTCTTAACAGGAGGTTTCCGCGACCAAGGAAGATCCAGAATCGACTGTTTGAAGAGTCTTACCAAATGGAAGACGGAAATCTACAGTACTCAAGAGAAATTGGCAACTATCAAGAGGGAGATTTCTGAAAAAGATTCTCAGGTCACACAGGCCAGTGAGGAGCTTGCCGCTGTACGCAAGGAGCTTGATGCAAAGTTCACCCTCAAAGAGTCACATCTTTCTTCCAGAATGAAGCTGGTCAGCGAGAAGAGCAGATGCGATCAGGAGCTGAATTCCTTGTCCAGCCGGATCGAGACCTTGCAAGCTTCTGTGAAGCTTGTTGAGCAGCAGATCAAGGAGTACAACAGCGAGCTGAAAAGTGACTTTAGAGAACACAACCTTAGCGATGCGGAAGTCAGACAACTCGAATCTCTCAGTACCGACATCGTGGACACTGAAAAAGAGTACAATGTTGTGAACGAGAAGCTGAGCGAACTGGAATTGCGTGCATCTTCATTAACCTCTGAGTTGAACGGAAGCTTGTATCCAAGACTGCGTCAATTGAACATGAAGAGTACCAACTCGCAGGAGTCGTCTGACTTGAAGGTACAAGACCTAAAGAGAAAGCTTGAGTCTCTGAACGAGGCCAAAAACAAACTCGAAACATCCAACTCTGAACTTATGGCCAAGTCCAAGTCTCTTACCAAGGAGATGCAAAGCAAGGAGGACCAGCTACAGAAGCTCAACGAGTCCCAGAGAAATATCCTTCGCAAGTTGGAGAACTACGGAAAATCTTCAGAGAAATCTCTGAGTAAGAAGATTCTTTTGAGCAACAGACGGGACGAAATCAGTCGTAAGATCAGAGATCTGGGAGTTTTGTCCGAGGAGGCATTTACTTCGTTCAAGGAGATGGTTTCAGGTGAGATTTTGATTTTACTTAATGAAGCGACAGAGGGATTGAAGCAGTACAGCCATGTGAACAAGAAGGCCCTCGAACAGTTTGTGAACTTCACCAAGCAACGGGACTCGCTGGTCGAGCGTAGGGATGAACTTGATCAGGCAAAAGAGTCCATCGAAGAGCTGATCTCTGTTCTCGAGCGCAGAAAAGACGACGCGATCATCAGGACGTTCAAGGAGGTCAGCTTGGGCTTTACCGAGGTGTTCGAGAAGCTTGTTCCAGCAGGAACGGGAAAGCTTATCATCCAGAAACGCAGTGAAAAGACTGGCAAGGGACAGAAAGCTGTTGAGGTCGAATCTGACGACGAGCAAGACTCGGAACTCATCGATCAATACGTGGGAGTTTCTATCTCTGTGTCGTTCAACTCCAGAGATGATGAGCAGCAAAGAATCGAACAGCTATCTGGAGGCCAGAAATCGCTGTGTGCTATTGCTCTCATTCTTGCTATTCAGAAATGTGACCCTGCTCCGTTCTATTTGTTTGACGAGATTGACGCCAACTTGGATGCCCAGTACAGAAGCTCTGTTTCGCAATTGATCCACGAACTGTCCCAGAATGCTCAGTTCATCTGCACTACCTTCCGTCCAGAGATGCTAAAGGTGTGCGACAAGTTCTTTGGAGTCATGTTCAACAACAAAGTCAGTACAGTGAGTGAGATCAACCAGGCTGATGCTTTGGGCTTCGTGGAAGGCCAACAACGCAGCTGATTTGCTATTTAGTTAATACAAAGCACGATAATATCGCTATTTACGAGCATCTTTCATCAAATCCATGAATCCATGGTTCCGCTTCTTGCCCTTGGCCTTGGCCACAATATTGCTGGCTGTTTTGGCATCCAGGTATTTCTGAGAACCCATGTCCTCTTCGCCAGATGTAGCGTCCTTCGAATCGTCAGAGTCCATGTCGGAGTCGTCAGAATCGTCAGAGTCATCCGAATCAGTTTCGCTCTCAGATTCTTGGACCGGTGTCTTTTGTGTCTGCGATACAGACTTCTCCGTCTTGCTAGTCTCTCTAACGTCAGGAAGCCCTCTGTCCATCAGCTGAGACAGTTTAGGTAGCGAAGAGATGCTCTTTGTCAGCTTCTGGGTTTGCGATTGCGACTGCGAAGAGGGCTGCGATTGCGATTGCGACAGAAGTTTAGGAACAACCCGGCCATCTTCGGTGCTTGGGCTCTGCACTGAGTTTTGGCTGCCATTTAGAATTGACGAGTTGCGTGAAGAAAGTCCGCTGGTGTTCCCAAGTAATGCCTTCGGGGCTTTCACTACTCTGGGACGCTTTACTGGCTCTTTTTCCACTTCGTCGTCTTCATCCTCATCGCTAGATTCAGACTCGCTCTCCGCAGCCTGAGAAACAATAGGCTGCGATGCAGTCACAACCGGTTTCTCGGTCGTGTCCAGCGAACCATTGGACCGCTTACGTGGTTGTGTGATAATGTGCTGCGCGTCTATATCAGGACTGATCTCATTTCTTCTCGTAGCGTTGTTATCGTTCGATTTGGTCCTTGGCTTGATTCCCGTCTTCAAAAGACCAATCACCTGGTTCTTCGAATAATTGCTATTTGACTCGCTCTTCTCTTGAGAGGAAGCTGGAGCTCCTTCTTTGACCGAAGCTTTAGCTGGAGTTTTGGCGGGAGTTTTGGTCTTAGCATTCGTCTTTGCTGCGACCGTCTCCTTTGTGTTCCCCGTAGCTTCTTTTGTCTTCTCGGAGTCTGGCTCATTTGTAGTGTTCACAGTGGCACCATCTTTCTTTGCTCTTGGTTTTCTTGTGGTCTTTTGCTTCTCCTCTGCCTTTGGGTTATCGCTTGACTTCTGATTCTCATTCTCTTTCGGATCCTCTTTCTTTTCCGTCTTTTTTCCTGGTGGACGTCCCCTGCGTGGTTTGGCTTCCGGAGCAGGGTTCTCTGATTGAGATTGAACACTATCTGTAGTCGTATCCTTTTTGCTTGCTCTAGGTTTCCGAGCCTTTGGTTTGGCACCTGCTTTTTCGGTTGTACTAGTTTCTGCTGTGGCAGTCTCCGGCGTCTTGATAGAATCGTTCAGTTTTCTGGTCACTTGAGAAGGCTTCATAGGCTTTGCACCTTTGAAGGACGCCGACACAACATTAGCGGGGGTTGGTGTTTGAGCAGGAATGGAAGATAAAGATGAATTTGCTATGTCTGTAAGCTGCAAAGGACTTCTCTTTTGGTCTGATGCAATTCTGTTCATCACGTCTGCTTTTGTCGGAACACTAGGTCTCTTGCGCACAGAAGACGATGTACTCTTGTTAGAGTCGCTCTGATACTGGTCACTGTCAGTAAGAACGTCGTCGTCGTCATCATCATTCTGATTAGCTTCATCCTCCTTTGTATGATCATCGTTCGCTTTGGACAAATCTGGTTGGAATTGCGTAGAGAGCATACCAGAGGTAATTCTGGTTGGAGATCCAGGTGCAACCACCGGACTTGCGACTCGTGGGTTCAATTGTTTTCTTGGCTCCACTATTACAGTGGCATCATTTTTGCCGTCATCTGGTGAGATCAATGTCAAGTTCGATTGATGCGTGTTCTCGTCTGCTTCCAAAAGAGGGGCAGGTCTGGCGCTCTGCCAAACATTTTGTGTTTGAGAAGGTCTGAGCTTCTTCACCACCTGGTTCAAATCGTTGCGAAGATGACGTTTACCATTGATGGTGTGTTCTCTTTCCTCATGAAAGTCGCTGTCCACAAGAACGCGGACAACACTTCCATTATCAAAAATCATGGATACCACATAATCCGGGTCTAAGTCACATTCGTTGATATCCTGAATTTGGCTGATAGCTATTGGCTCCTCATCTGGATACAGCTTGAGAAATCTCTCCTGAATCTCAACACAAACCTCTTGAAGAGTATTTGAACTTCTAGTGATGTGGAGGAATTTCTTAGTCCCGTCGTATGGAGTTGCAATTGAGGGTTGTTGATATTTAGGTCCTTGCGCTCCCAAATTTGCGTAGCCGCCAACTAGCGGCGTGCTGGATCCATTCAAAGTGAAATTTGGATAATACGAGGCATTCGACTGAGATTGGGAACCAGGATACATCTGAGATTGCATTTGAATCACGCTCATGTCCATGTTGTTAGCCGACCCATTGATGCCAGAGAACGCATTTCTTGGTTTCAATGCATTCGGGGGCACAATATAAACTTGTAGTTTGAGCATCTCGTCGCTTGTTATTGAAAACGCACCAACAATTAGAGCTGTTACAAGTTCTCCGAAAGATTGAAGATGTTTTGTTCTACGTGAATTATTTTTTAATTAGTGTATATTTTTTCATGTCGCTGTCATTAAAAGTCCGTGTTTTTAGCGCGGATCTGGTTGGCTTCCATTTCATCGTGAATTCGGTTCAAAATGTCTGATTTGGGCTCCTCAATATGGTTAGAGGACATTTCGCCGCTCTCAAATTCCAGGTTGTCCTCTTTTGACTGAGATTCCAGCAAAGGATTGTAGCCCCATGTTGAAATGGTCCCGTCTTGGCAACCACTGTAATACTTGAGCGAGCTTCGTTTCCCATAAACAATACTGGTTGTTCTTCTGTTGATTGCACCACCGCCTTTATTCAATCGTGCAAGCAATTTACCGTCTTCTAGCCGGTAAACGAGCAATTCTCCATTATCAGATGGGAACCATAAATATTGTAGCTCTGTTTCGTTGATGGGGCTTAACGCCATAGTGATGTGCTGATTTGACTTATTCCTTATAAGGGGTCCAAAGTTTACCTGCTTATTGAGCGGCTTCGACGAGCTGGTCAGATCCCAAACTTTGATCTTGTCATCAGACCCCAGAGTCACCATTTCTGCTCCATCTTCAGTGAAAAGTATCGAGTTGATTCCGCCGTTGTGAGCCTTGGGTATATTTTCGTGCAATAACAACTGTCTGGTATTACTTCTATAGTTGATTGTCGTGAGATTGTAGTCCAGCTTAAAAATTGATCCATCAGAGCGTCTCACATCCCATCCAATACAATAGCCATCTTGGCTACCACCGACAACCAGGTAGGGATTGGCTGGTGACCACTTGCAACTAAGCATATATCCAAACCCGCCTTGAAGCTTTCCCCCGCCTCCTAGCGTGTGTGTACTGGCCAATGTTCGCAAATCCATCAGCCTGAGTCCTCCAACTCCACCGTCTGCACATACGGCTACCAACGAGTTTCCTCCATGATCCTCAAAATCAAAATTAACAATCCGTGACCCCAGATTGAAGGAGTGAACCTCCCTCATTTCGTTTGCATCCCAGACTTTTAGAGTATGGTCAAAGGATGAAGAGAGCCAAAGACCATTATCAGACCACCATTTTAAATGGGTGATGCCGAATTTGTGTGCAGACTTGGCCGGAAGCTCAAAAATTGGTTCCAGCTCCTCAATTTCACCTTGCTGATCAAGATCCCACATCTTTATTGCCGATTCGCCGCCTCCCGAAAACAAATAGCGTTCATGAACCGGATCTAGCGATAATGAATTAACAGAGGCAATATGAGGTTTGGAAGGGAAATGACCCTTCAGCGAATCGAGGTTATCTAAGTTGAGATACTTGAGCTCATTGTAGATCTTGAGCACTTCCAATGGAGAATGGTTGAACTTGGAGATGGCATGTTCAAACAATAATTGGTGCATGCCAATATTATTTCAAGGCGATCGACCAAAAATTACCCTGCAACAAAAGAACTCGTTGACGAAAAATAATTTTGACAAAATTGTTTGAACTTTCAGTATGTTTTTGAGACGTTGTAGTGCGCTAGTTCGCGGCTTGCGTGCTTACTCTACCGAGGCTCCTTTGGAAGGTTCCGAGAGCCTGGCAAGCAAAGCTAGTGAGCAGCTCAAAAGTTCATCTGAAAACAAACCGAAGAGACAATTCAAGAGAAGATCGGACCAGAATTCAAGAAGAGCCGATTTCCAAAGAAACAGCAGAGGTCCACCAAAAGCTGGAGGTGCTAGATTCAACAACCAACAAAAGCCTCGATTCAATAGAGGTGATGCGTCTACAAGAAAACCGAGACGGTTCCAGCAGCCGGAGGAGTCGATAGAGTCGCTAGTTTCATCGAATAATGCCGACATGAAGCCTTTTGTTGACCGGGCACTGAAAATGTTTGCCGAGGTTCCTGACAAAGTGTTCGCTGCACAGGGGTTGACTAAGCATGTCGAAAAACTGAACCAGTTGACCGAAAAGCTAGAACAAGCTGCTGAGCAGAGAGACAAATTCAGAGAGTGCGAGCTTCCGCGAGCAAAGCTGGACTTGATCAAGAGCTTGGGCCTCATCGAATCGAGTATTGATGGCACAGAGATCAAGGAAACCTGGAACACCCTGGATACGTTGAGAGAATTGAGCCAGGTTTACAAAGAATTCAACTACTTCGCTTCAGAAGACGCACTTCAATACAAGTTGACAGAGCCAGACGCAGCGGAATTGGAGATAAATAAGTCCAAGATGGGATACAGCGTGAAATCGAGACTTCTGCGTGCCCTTTCGACATTGAGTGAACAAAGCGGACTGTCTTTGGACTCCGCCAATCTCGGTCAAAGCAAGCTCCATGGCATGAGCAAGTTGTATCCATTTGCTAATCCGAACGTACCAAAGTTTGGCTATTCCGAGGTTGCAGATCTCAACTCCCTTTCAAGCACTACCGATGCCAACGTCAAGAAAATTATTGACTCGACTGTGAAAGGAATAAGACCAGAACTTAAATTCTACAAGTCTAATGAGTTCAAGACCGAACAAGCTCGTGTGAACGCTGAGGTTGTGTCACATGGTTTGAACTCCAACGCCCAGCTGCAAGTGGATGACATGCATGTTCAGTTAGGAAATGTTTTCGTCGGCAAAGGAAAATTGGCCGATATACCTAAGCCGCTGCCTGCTTCCAAGTAAGCGTACTGTATATAACTAATAAAAAAATGGAAGTCGTGCAGAAGGTTTTTAGAAACCTGAACCAAAAAAATCATCCCCACTGCCAAATGCAAAGACGGGTCGCCAGAATGTACTTCTGTTGATTAAATAAAAATTACAGGAACATATTAATATTGGGTCCCTTTTCATACCTACAGTTGTCTCAAGCTTGTGTATACTAGGTGACATTCGAATTCCGATCAAACAAATTAGGAATTTGTGACACTATAGCAATTTTTTCGAATGTCAAATCATTTTAATGAAGGCCTTCAGGGCAAGTCATATAAGTTTCGGTCTAAGCCCCCGATAGACCCCACCAAAGAAGAAGACGTTATTGACAAATTTCTGAACCTAAATTCATATACCCCTGTTCAGGAAGGCTCTCCGGAAGGTTTTCCTAACTCACAGCAACTGGACCCTGGAACTAACATGCAACACTCGAGTTCGTTCGATGGCTTGCAACCGACACCGTCCTCGAAAAAACCAGCTTTCCTGGATGAAAGCTCGATGTTCTTATCAAGCAACTCAGAATCTTACTCTAATCAGGCCTCCAATAACTCCTATAATTTTATCGGGTCCAGCCAAGACTTCCCCACTGTTCCATCTCTCGAGACTCCCCCACAACAACCATATATCCATTTTGAAGATGCCATATCTGACAATAAATCGCCGACTTCAGCTGAATCGACAGCTCCTCTCATACAGATAGACAAGGCATTTGCCGAGTATATCTCGCTACAATCGGAGATGACCGAGTTTCCACAGCCGACGACAATGGACAGATACTCATCCAACCAGTTCGAAAGAGACGTGACACAGTACAATACGAACCCCAGCTTTTTTCTGCAACCGCAGGCAGCCGGGCAGTATATTCAAACAGAGTCGAGCACGGGCTCCGACCTTTCCGCTTCTAACTCTCCGTATTTGTCAGCAGTTGAATCGATTGTCAGTGGAGATTTGAACGAGCGAGGAGATGATCTCGAGGGTCTTCAAATGTCAGAGGACATAAGGCAGTTGTCTCTTTCCGCAATTGCCACACCAAACATAAACCTCACAGAACATAATTTAAGAGAGCAAGAACGAATCTCGTCAGCTCCTCCAATTGTTATCGAAAATCCAGAGAATTTGGCGAAAAGGACACCATCCCTATTCTCGGCTTCCTCTTCAAGAGCTTCTTCCCCTAACAGATCCGGGTCTGGAAGTTACACCGGTGGTCCACATATTACAAGTGGAGACCATTCTTTCACCCCAGAAATTTCCATCAAGGTGGAAGACACCTCGAATCCCCATACAGTTGACAGTTCAAGTTATAGTACTCCGGATCATGAAAAGCTGTACACTGGCAACTACTTGCAGGCTGATGACGCCGGTTCATTCTTGTCTCCAGATGATCCAACATATAACTCTATGAGATTGGGACGACAGCGGCGTCACTCCGAGTCAAGTAGCAGGTCCAGGTCTAGGTCCACATCCAGATCTAACTATTCTGACAATGATTCAGATTACGAAAGTGACGCCTCTCTGTCAAGAGAAAAACTCTCCGAGTTGGCAGCCCCACCTTCTCCAAACAAAAAATCACAGAAAAATCCAGCATCTTTTGCCTGTCCCGTTTGCGAGAAAAAGTTTACAAGACCGTACAACCTCAAATCACACTTGAGGACTCATACAAATGAGCGGCCATTTCTGTGTACCGTCTGTGGCAAAGCGTTTGCCCGTCAACACGACAGAAAGCGTCATGAAGAGCTACATTCTGGGGAGAAAAAATACCAATGTCGTGGCTCTTTGGCCGACGGTATCACAATATGGGGTTGTGGAAAGCGATTCGCGCGTACGGACGCGTTGAGACGACACTTCCAAACAGAGAGCGGTAAAAACTGTATCAAGCCATTGATGGATGAGATTGAAAACGAGAAGAAGGTGAGCACTACAGGAGCCCCTTCGAAAGAGCCAACCAATGCAAGCCTACCCGTTGATTACTTGGACATTTCGGACTACAACAACCTCTTGGACCAGATTCTCTCTGTCCAGAGCAAAGCAACGGTCAATTGAAGTCATGATTCATGTCGTGTACGAATCAAGTAGAATATTTAATTACATTTCTTTTGAAGATCTAATTATTTTTTTTTTATTGTTGAGAGCCTGGTTGCCGCAAGAATCTTTTACTTTGCCCAAGGAGTCCATTAGCTGATGTATCAGTTGCTGGAACTTAGTATTGGGATCTTACTGCTTTTGACAAGAGTTTGCGCACAAGAATCTGTTTCAATTCAGGAGCATTTGATAGACCAGTATAGCACGTTTATTCAGACTTTGCAACAGTCGCTGGGAAAAGTGAGTTGGATTGATAGAAATTGGAACCTTTTTGTGGTCGGAGTTGTTACTATTGGAATTGTAGTAGTTAGCACCGGACCTTTTGTTAAGAACAGATCGAAAGAAAGTTACATTTACAGGATAATGACTGGATTTGGCGAGAAATTCAACATGGCAATTAGCAGGTCGTCATCTGCTTTCGGGTTTGGTGGACCTTCTCTATCTAGCAGTGATCCATCTTTGCGAGAAAGCTACCAGCGGGCCTTAAGTTTAGGCGGCTCCGTCGGAGGACTTGCTAACGATGGCAACACTTGCTTTATGAACAGTGTTTTACAGAGTCTGGCGTCTTCGAATGAGATTATGGATTTCCTTGGAAAATTCACCAACGATGAGAACAACGCTCTTAGTGGGAAATACGCTTTCTCTGCTGCATTACATGACCTTTTGGAAAAACTGAATGCAAAGCATGGTAACAAATCCCCAACTTACAAAACTAGAAATTTGCTCAAGGTTATGAAAGACGGACCAAGTAAGCATTTATTCCTTGGATACAACCAAGAAGATGCTCAAGAGTTCTACCAATCTGTGATGAACCAGGTTGAAAAGGAGTATCTTGGTCCTTCTCAAAATGAGAAAAATAAAGGCGAGCTACAAGACAAGTTTGTCGATTTCAAGGAAGGAATGTTAACAGGACTGCATAATTTGGGTGATCTTGGGACCATCTACCTACCTGCTAAACAAATTGATCCGTCTTATCCCGATTCTGACTCAAAAGTGTATCCTATGAAGCTCATTACTCCTGTCGATGGACTTCAATGTGAACGTATAGGTTGCACAAGGTGTGGAGAGATGGGCGGAATCAGATACTCGGTGATTAGTGGTCTTGGACTGAACCTTTCATCTCCTACTCAGTCGACCTATACTTTGCAAGAACTGCTAGATGGCTGGACTGAGCAGGAGGTGATTGATGGAGTCGAGTGTAACAGATGTGGTTTGCAAGAAATCAACTCGGCTTTAAACGAGTCGTTAAAAAAATACAAAGAACAAGGACCAAAAATGGAGAAACTCATTGAATTGACCACTCAACGGATTCAGGAAATCGACGTTGAGCTGGCCAAGCCAATCATCAATGATGCAGTCTACAAAAAGCTGCACACAAAAAATAGAATACAAAAGTCACAAAAGACCAAGCAGATCTTCTTTGCTAGACCTCCTCCTGTGCTTTGTATTCACATAAGTCGTTCAGTGTTCGATCCGAGAACGTATACTGTGCGCAAGAATAATGCTAAGATTACATTCCCTATGAAGCTTGATTTGACTGATTACGTTGCAGAACCGGACAACATCAACATGGATGCACGTCTAGCGTTCCGTAAATGTGATGAAGGGAAAGAAATTACAGACAAGAAGGAAGAAACTGAAATACCAGAGGTACTTGAAAAGTTAGAGCCAGTGCCTCAGGCAACAGATGGCTCCAATAAATTGGAACAAGAAAAGGAGTCCACTCCGTCTGGTTTGATGTATTCACTCAAGTCTGTGATTTCTCATTTTGGTACACACAATTATGGACATTATATTGCATACAGAAAATACAGGGGTGTTTGGTGGAGAATTAGCGACGAGATTGTCCGCATTTCATCCGAAGCTGAAGTGCTTGCTTCCCAAGGAACATACATGTTGTTTTATGAGCTCAGCTCTAGAAATGACCCAAGAGATTCTATTAAGCCGGATCACGTTGAGGTGGTGGCTCCTCAAGATATTGAAGAGCCAATACAAGCAGATGCCAGGACTGACTCGGAAAATGAATACGAGAGCAACAACTCTCTTGCTGATGAATTGCATGTTAATACGGAAGATGATTTGCGCCAGAACGAGATGATTGCGATCCAAGCAAACCTGTAACTGAATAAACCAAAATTGACTTAACATTAGTTATGTACATTTTAAAACTGATTAATTATTAATTCACACTTCTTCGTTAGAAATGTTGGGACGGTAAGCTTGTAGCTTCTCTCTGTTGTCTTCTGCGAGCTCCTCGTTTATTAACTCGTTCAGGTCGTAATCGTACTCTCCAGGTCCAGCATTTGCGAATTGCTGATTTTTATTGGATCTTTTCTTCAAGCCAGACTCGTTCTTCATGTGGAGCTTGACCGGGATATCCTCCGACGTCAGATGGCCAATTTTCGAGTAGAAACCTGATCCTGTGCTTTTTGCATTGTTTTCAAGCTCGATTTGTTCGTCTGGAGGAACGTATCCGCCGTATCCGTCGCTGTCTATCAGACTCGACTTCTCGGATTGTCTTAGCTTCTTCTTCTCCAAGTAGGATGGATTTGAAGAGTATGTGAAGAGGCCCGATAGGAGGGGCAACAAGATCACCAGGGCAATAAATATCACCATCAACACCAATAATGTGAGAAACATGATTAATTCGAGATGATGGATATTATTTTTGAGTGAATATTTTTTTAACATATTATGGCACTATAGAATGGACCCTCCACAAGAGAAAAGCAAAAAAGTCCCTTCTGTTACTCTTCGGCTCTCTGCAGAACCCGAAAAGAAAGAGTTGGGTGACGAGAGCGACTCTTTTTCTGATTTCTGCGACCCGGAAGATTTGGACGAAATTGTCTCCAGAGCCCATATAGACCGGCAAAAAAGACACGAAAAACGCACCTCTCCAAAATCGTTTATCGTCACGCTGAAACTTCCCAAGCCGCTCCTGGCGCTTGCAAGTCAACCGTCCGCTTCCTCACTCGCATCCGACCCAAGTTCGCTCGCCAAATCCGCACCTTTCCTTGACCCACAGTTCGACCGTTTTTCCCATGTCAGCCTTGTTCGAGACCACATTGTTGTGCTTGATCAGATCCTCTCCGACCCATCCATCCCTGAAGATCTCAGTCGTTCGCTCAGAGAGCTCCATGGAAGTCTTTGGTTGCAAGTTTCGACCATGGATACATACTCCTTGTATCAGCTCTTGATTCAACTACAAAAACAAATCTCGAGGTTCAAAGACTTCCAAGGGATGGTCAAGTCGTCTGATGAGACGTCTATTGACCCGGTACTGTCGCTTGCATCGTCAAGTCCCGCATACAGCTCGCCATCGGCTATGGTTCCGAAAACCGTTGCTGGTGACAGTTACGTGCAAAATACGTCGCTACCGACCTCCACAGTCTCGGCTGCCAAGCCCAAGAATACACGTCGGCACAAATCTCCTGTTCAAAGTACGCTCACCGGGCTCTATAGAACAAAAAGGAAACCAGTTCCGGATGCAGACGATGATCTACTCGAGGAATCAATGATTCTCTCTTTGAACGATCCGCTCTCAGGCAAAAAATTCAAGACTCCACTGCGCTCGCGCTACTGTTCGCACATCGAGTGTTTTGACCTAGACAGTTTCATGCAGATGAATAACCTTGAACCTTTTGGTTTGAGTGTGCGCAAAAAATCAAGCAAAATAGACGTGACGGAAATCCTAAGTGACACCAAAAGGCGGCCTTTAAATCCGGATCAGCATAACAAGAGAACAACGTTATTTCAATATAAGGCACAGTTACGCCAAAACAAGACCCAAAAGATACCCAACAATAGTTTGGAGTATTTTAATTGTCCGATCTGCAAGCTAGAATTTAGCATTCGTGTTCCAGGCGATTTGTATATAATAGGGGATCTGCAGGAGATCATAGAGCAACTTGATTCAAACTCCAATATCAGCAAGATTCAGATTTTCCAGGACGGTAATTGGGCGTTTGTGGAGGAACAGCAAACGAAACAGGTGACTAGTACAGAGATTGTGGAGCTCGACGATCTCGACAGTTCTGAAGAAGAGCGTGAAATCCAAAAAATCAAGGTAGAGAAAATCGATTCAAAGGAGGTCCCAATTCCAGCTCCTGTGGAGGACTTTGGTCTAACCGACGAAGATCTTTTTGGACCTTCGGACGACGAAATTGAGCAGGAGATTGACCGGATTGTAGACCAGGTCATATCAAAGGACGACATGGCAAAAGCTTATCGCCCTGTCAACAGACAAATCAATGAACCAGTCTTCTTCACCGGAAATGGAGATCAAGAAGACCCATTTGTGATCGACTGAATCAACCTAACAAGTATCGCGCAGATCGATGCTGCTATCTTTTTGTTTTAGCGTGGCTTCGTCATGCAGGAGCAATCTATTTTTCAAAATTGGCAGCAAAATCAGTTTTCCTGCAGGGGTTTATGTTTTTTCGCCTCGGTTGAGGAAACTCGTGTATCGACTATACGTTATTGCGCACTTTGCATTACGTCGATGATGCTGATCCTATAAAAAAAACGGTTAGTTTCGTTGCCGCCTTGGAACACGATCTTGCTCCCATACTATATAAATCCTAGCAAATCTCTTCGAAATAGCTATCTAGATAATGTTGTTCAAACAGTTGGTTGTTGTTGGATTTTTGCTCAAATTGGCCGTCGCTATTCAGCTTCAGGCCAAATCGTCTCATCCGGAGATTGACGGACTTGGAATCTCGAGTAAGCACACCGGAGCTGGCACAGACTACTTGTATCTCGGTAAAGACTTTGAGAACTTTGCGTGGAACGGAAACAGCCTCAGCAAGAGCGTCGGCTCAGCATACAACCAGTACTTCACAGTCAAGGACCGCAACCCTCAATTCTCTGTCTCTGACAAGGGCTCCAAGCTGGACTTCCTCCCAAGCAGAACAGGAACTCTACACCATGACGACTCGCCTCACGGATTCTACGCATGTAAAAATACTGGCGACCCTTACAGCTATTCCAAGGACAACTACCAATTGCAGTACTACAAAGACCAGAAGCCTCCTAATGGATGTCTTGACTTGGTCATCGTTGGATGTTACTCCAACTCCACCGCACCTCATGGAAAAGGTTATTAGATTTTTTGCTCCCAGATTTGAGGATATGCTGTCTCAAACAAATTTTATAGATGTTCTTAATTAAGTTTTGGCTTTGGTATAATCATTAGTAATTTACATAGCGCAAGGTGGCGGTATCCCGGTAATGGCGACGAGAAGCTCACTTCCTTTCGAAGGCAACTTGGGCCAGCGCATCTAATGCGCTCATGCCCGTTGCTTGAGGATGTGGCGGCTGCTCTGCTGACTCAGTCTTGACCTTGGGAGCAGGATTCATTATATTTCCAAAAGCGGACGACTGGTACAACTGAGGTTTCGCGTTTGATGAACTCTCTTCATTTAATAGGTTCCTGATGGACGATCGCGGCTTAGGCGTGAACGGCGACCCTGGGGAAACAGAAGAAGTAGATGTGAGCGGTGGAAGATGCGCTTGAGCACTTCTGAGACTTGGAGGCTGTAGAGCCGTGTTCAACAAAGAATTCATTTCAGCAATACCCGGACTCGTAACGGATCTCGTTTGCACAGATCCAGCAGCCTCCACCAGCGACGACAGCGGATAGCTTTTAGCTGGATAAGACGAAATATTAAGTAGCGATGGACCTGTTGAGGCCGGTAGTTTGGCAGAACTATCGTTGCTGGTCTCCGGCGCTGGAGTCGAACCAATAGCATTGGTGTTTGTCGAAGCAGGTGCACTAGAGGCACCTGTCGAAGGATAGTAAGTATGCAAAGCAGGAAGTTGTAGTGGCTGTGGTAGTTCCTTAGTACTAGACGGTTTTGGCTCGGATGCAGGCTTTAAAGCCACAGGACTTTTCTCGAAGAACCGGCCAAGTGGGGGACCGTCGGAAATCTCAGCTGTCTCGGGAGCAATTTTTTTATCCTCGTCAATAATCCGTTTGGAGTCGGCCTCTCTGGCCATTTCCTCCCATTTGCTGTTTTCAGCTAGCCCCCTTTGATAATAGTTCCGAACCATGGTGGATGTCTTAGAAGTGATGTGTTTGGACATACTTTCCCAATCCGTACCGTATTGTTGTAAAAGATTTGGAAAAACGCTGATCTCCTGCACACTCCAATAGCTGGTGATGTGACTTCGATCTTTATGATGTTTTTCTTTCTTTCTGTCGTTGTCATCTGCGCTCTGGTAAGTGTTAATAGAAGCCTCTTGTGAAGCTTGAGAGCTGGAAGCAGATCCATCTTTGACCTTTTGTTTTTGCTCTTCGTTCAGTTCACGAGCCACTTGCAAAGGATCGCCGCTAGAAGACTGTAAAATTGGAACCACATCTTTCGAATCTGCTAGTCTTACAGTGTTGGCACCATCTGGATTGAGCTTTTTTCTACCCCTTTTCTTCTTTGGCTTCTCGAGTGGTTCGCCAGGAGTCTTCTCCGTCTCTTCTTCAACCTTTGTTGGTTCAACAACTGGCGGAGCAGCCTCATTTGATGAGGATGGAGAAGCAGAAACGGTAGCGGACGGTTTTGCCCTCTTTGGTTCCGGAGATGAAGGAGGTGCACTTTGCCTCCGTTTATTTGAATCTGTAGCATCAGCTTCATTTTCACTTGGATCTGCAAAGGTTCCCTCCAAGCTGACACTAGCAATTTCATTAGTAGATGTTTCTGGGGTCTGCGTTCCATTTCTAACCTTTCCATCTCTGCTCTTCCTCTTTGTGGCGGAAGCCTTTCTGGTTGCTCTCCTGTTCTTGTTGGCGACAATCTGTTTGTAGTTAACTTGCTTCTTCGTTCTGTAATAATGCAAAACACACTCTTCAGGAGTTCTGAGTCCACCCATGTGATTTGAAATGCGACCAAACTTCTTAGGCCACATACTATAAGCTTCGCAAAACTTCTCATGTTCAGCCTTAGTAAAAGTATCGATAGGATCCTGGTTCAATCTATCTGCCCATCTTTCTTTATCAAGAACTAAATTGTTTGAGTCAAAAAAACGAACCATCGCATACTTCTCAACAGGATTTATGATCATACTTGGAATTTTGGCACTACCATGTTGAGCCTTAACTAGAGGATCACTTTCTCTTTCCTTTTCCAAAGAAGCTAAAATTTCCAGAAATTCTGCCTCTGTTCTGACAGTATCACCATGATGCCGACCTCTCCTTCCAGATAAAGGCCTTTCTTGTTCGTCTGCCCTTGTAGTTTCCACTGTTTCAGGTCTGGAAACTTCCTCTTCGGCTGTATGGTAAAACTGATTCAATTGTTCGTCCATCAAGCTGACACGCTTGTTCCAAGCATTCTTCCGCAAAAGATATTCTTCGGTGAGATCCTTTTTCTTCTTGTCCAGAATGACTTTCATCAGCTGCAATTTTTCAGCCAAATTTGGACCATCTGCTTGTTTGAAAACTAACAACGAGGTATTGAAGAAGTTATACTGACTGAGGTCTGAAAGTTGTGAGTTTCCCAGGTATTTCAAATGCTTCCGTCTCTCGCTTAATGGAACATTTCTGAGTTCATGGTATTTGGTTTCAACTTTATTCATTGGAAAGATGCATGCCTGGTCAGTGTTCTGAACTGTTTCAACAGAAATTTTGGCTTCGGAAATCTCACCCAGTATCTGTGTACTTGATTCATCTTTCTGAATACTTTCGATCTTCTCTATCTCTTGGTCGTTTGGCTGGTCAGACTCTTTATGATCAACGTCCATCTTTTCGACAACATCAACTTCGTTATCCGGGTCGTCTTTTGATTCTTTTACTTTCGAAATATCACCATCAGTCATTGTGTGAGGTTCAACCTCGTTCTCCTCTTGAGCATGAGTCTCTGTTTTTGTTTGTTGTTCCTCTGCTTTAGTGCTTGATTGATTTTCGGTGATGGAAAGATTTTTTTGAACGCCCGCGGTAGCCTCATTCGATGAAAGATCCACCTCCATATTATCACTCTTTCCACCTTCTTTTTCAGCTTCCTCTGAAAAACTAATCCCTTGCTCCGGCTCTGGTTTCGACTCTGGCTCTGGTACTTCCACGGGCACTGAATCAATTTCCTGCTCTTGTTCAAGTTCTGGTTCTGGTTCTTGTTCTGGACTTAGTTCTCGGTTCGGAGTAGGAGCCGTCCGTATGATAGAAAGAGTCTCTTTTTCACCGACATCGTCTTCGACTTTGATGTTCTCAGTCGAAGGTTCTTCCTTAGAGGGATACTCGAGTTTCGTAACGTTGTCTCCATTCTCAATTTGGGGTAACTGCTCTTCGGACACATCTCTCTCTTGCGATTCAGGTTTCTTAAGAGGAGACTTAGAGCCTTCCAAAGAAGTGGAGCTCTCATATCTGTTGTAATTATAATGTTTCTGTCTGTTGTTCCAAGTTCCCTCGTCATCTTCGCGATAATCTGATCTATAATCGTCTCTGTAATGACCACGGAAATATCCCCCTGAAGAGTGAACTCTTTGTGGTCTATAGTCGCGCATTCCTCCGCGATTATATCTGTAATCCCTGTTCGGAATCAAGTCACCACCGCGATTGTTGGGTCCGGCAATGAGATCACCAGACCTTGAAGATCCATCTTCCTGACTGCTGTATCTGTCTCTGGAACCAGAATTCCATCGTCCTCCGGAGTATCCATCATCATTTGAAGGCATCGATCCTTGTCTGTAATTATCCTCTTGTCTATATTGATCTCTGTCATAATAGCCGTTTGAATATCTTGCGTTCATCGATCCTGAGTTTCCTTCACTGCTGTATGATCGATAATAGTGTTGAGATTGACCAGGTCCATTTGCACGATTCTTTGGAAGGGAAGAAGATGGGCCTCCTCTTCCTGATCGATATCCAAGACCTCTTCTGGGGCCTCCTGAGGAATACGAATTTCGTGCATATCCTTGGTCGTGACTGCTGGAGCGATAAGAACTGTAGCTCTCACCGGAAGAAGGTTGCGGGTAATTTGCACTTCCACCGGCAGAGCCTGGAGCAGATCCTGAATGTTCTTGCCTTCTGGAGGAAAACGGATTTATACTGTTTTTCTGTGTGTATGGAGGAGCGCTATTAGACTGGTAAGGATGGCTGTTGTATTTGCTGTGATGTGGTGGCGGGAACTTGCGTTGCCTCTTATTGTCATCTTTATAGATTCTGCCACTATTATGGCTTGAGCCACCATATCCAGACCTTGAGTGGTCTGTAGGAGTCATCACTAATGTTGAACTTAGTGGCTGAAAATAGATGGGACTCGAAAGTTGGTCAGTTGATTGGAAAGAAGCGCAAAAAAATCCCTATGTACAATATTGGTATAATTCAATCGATCGAACCACTATTGCGCATTCATTCAGTCCCAAATAATGTAGAACCCAGCAATCAAAGAAAAACAATCCCTCCTTGTCTTTTAAAGGAAATTATTTATACACCTATTTTTTTTTTCAAACCGTCATGTCGAATGACAGACCTCAGAAATTATTAAAAATTAATTTAACATTAAATCCGGGTAATGTTTGTGTTTTCGAGATGAAGGGAAAATATCAATCGTTAAATTTTTCGTGTTTTTCCCTGATTACTGTTTTAGGAAGCATTATTTATTGCAGGAGTAGCTCCTTTAATTGAGCGTGTCGCAAGGGTGTAAAAAGGGTTTAAGACATGTTTCAAAGTTGGTTTTGATTTTTTCAAGTACATTTCTGAAAATGCATCACTCTCTTTCACCAATGTCATCTCCTTCGTTCAAAAGGACAATGGATCCCATCGAATGGGAAATACAACCAAAGCGAATCAAGCTTGATCAAAAGGCTTCTGCCAATATTGGGCTCCTATCTCCCCCGGTTACACCTGAGAAAAATGATAGGATTTTGAATATTCAGCCCGGTCCAGTGAAGTCACTGAACACGAAGCTGTTTGACACGAAAAGGCCTGCTTCCATCTCTGTCTACTCCAAAGCAAAAGAGCTTTTTTTAAGGAGCGCTGAACTTGATTTGGACCAAGGATACGCCTTGGTCTCGAGAGAGAAGGAAGCTACTCTTCTAAGAGACCGTTTGGACCACTCGATTTTGAACATCGACTCCACGTCGATCTACGTGTCTGGTCCCCCTGGAACTGGGAAAACTGCTCAAATCAATGCAGTTTTGAGCTCTCTCGTGGTTGGTGACATCGAAAACGCGCAAAGCAGTATATTCAAGGTCCCTGTTAAAGTTGGAACGAAGCGCATCAACCGCAAGGTGCGTATTTCGAAGATCAACTGCATGACTGTTCGCAAATCTGAAGATATCTTCGACGCGATATACAATGACATACAACCCAACGCAGACCGCAAGAAAAAGAGCCCAGCTGAGCTCAAGCAACTACTGGCAGACCAATCAAAGTGCGATATCACAATCATCATCTTGGATGAGATGGATAACCTGATGGGCAGAAGTCAGCAAGTGCTCTTTGAACTATTTTCTTGGGCTTCAAACTTAGCAGGGGATAATCCAAAAATTGTAATTATTGGAATTGCCAATGCTCTCGACCTCACCGACCGGTTTTTACCTCGTCTGAAGAGTAACAACATAAGCCCTGATGTTATTCCTTTTCTTCCGTACACAGCGGAACAAATCCAAAAAGTCATCACTGCCAAACTACAAAGTTTAACCGACTCGCAAACAACTTCAGTTCCTTTAATACACCCTGCTGCTATTCAACTATGTGCCAGAAAAAGTGCCACAACTACAGGTGATCTCAGACGTGCATTTGATATCGTCCACTGCGCTCTCGATCTTACTGAACGTATACAATTACAGAGACTCGGAACTGAGGGGTTGAGCCAATTGACGTTGGCTGATGCCCCAAAAGTCATGATCGCACAATTGGCCAAAGTCTGCAACACTTTTCTCAGTGCTAATCCGAATGCAAAATTGCAAAACTTGAACATCCAGCATAAAACCGTTTTATGCACATTAATCCGTTACGATGAAGTGTTGAAAGCTCAAAAATCAAAAACTGGAGCTTCGATCAACTCATTTTATTCATTCTACAGCTCCCAACAGGAAGTGCGCAAAGCTGTCGGTATTCTTAATAGAGGCGAGTTTCTGGAAGTGCTAAGTTCGCTGGAATCGGACTCGCTTGTGAATATCGCCTCGATCGCAAATACCAAAATGCATTCAACCTCTAAAATCAAGGGTCCAATTAGCTACGGAGACTCCAAACTTTCTTCAAGCGTCCAGAAGATGGATGCTCTGAGAACGGTTGACGATATTGGTGTCTTGAAGAAGATTCTGACCTGCACAAATGATCAATAATTATAGCATAGTAATAATAAATTTAAAAAGCTATCTACTGCAGTGAAACTGAAAGTCTAAGCTTTTGTTGCATTCTGTGCCCTCGCGGCACGCGCAGCAGTTGCGGACGGTTCTCCTAGAGTGGCCCTTTCCAGCGGTATTCCGGACAAAATCTCGTCCTTGAGTGTAGAAGAATAGTTGACAGGGTTCTTAGGGTTAGTCCATCCGCTCTTTTCATCATAATCTTTTCTGAACTCAGCAAAAGGATATGATGGAAGCGTTCTCACCGGTGTATCTTCATCAATGAGACCCAGATCAACTTGTCTTTGGATCAAGCCATCGAGATAAGGAACCAGATGCTCTCTAAAGCAATCAAAGTTCTTGTACTTCATAACTTTATCCGGAGCTTCATCCAAAATCTTGCGCAAGAGAGATGGAATCAATGGTTCGTCTTTCATCTCTTCTATAGAGTAAAAGATTGGGTGATTCGTGAAAACAATGGCTTTGGATTTTGGCAATCTTCTCAACGTCTGTCTCTCAACTCTCACGTTGAACTCGGTAGGCAGGATGCTCGAGTCAACCTTGTCACCTTCTTTCATTGCATATATATTGTTCAAGAATAACTTGTGGTCCCAGGAAATGTAGAAAGACGCTCTCTCCACGGGGTCAGCAGGGGCCATCTTATCAAAGAATCTGAGCATCGACGTGCGGAGCTTCTCGGCGTAGTAAGGAACAACATCGTGAATAGCGTCCACAGTCTTGCCGATTTTTTCACCGACGCCAAACGATCCGCCAGGGAATGGCACTGCTGCTGCAGTAAGTCTGAACTCTCCATCATCGCACTTCTCCACGATGTAAAAATCTTCCTTGGCCATCTTGGAAACAAGGACAAGGGGATGTTCCTTGATAGGCTCAGAAAAGTCAAGAACCTCTCCAGTAAGTTCGACCTTAACGTGGACTCCGTTGTCCTCTGTGGTAAATAGCAAAGGATATCTCTTCAGCATATGGTTTTTAACAGTATCCAGTAACTCGTAGACAGCCTCTCTCGATTTAGGAGTCCATCCAATGTGTTCTTCCTTGTAAGTGTGGAAAATTCTCTTTTTCTCCTCCAGATAATGGATATAGTACTTATCCATATCAAGCCAGTGGTTTATATCGAGCTTGAAGATGGACATGGTTTGATGATAAGGCAGCCTGAACGGTCTCCATGGGCGATCGTCCCTTCCACGAACCTGATCAGGTGTAATATACAGCGGGGTTGGTTCTGGTGGAGGGGCGTTCATATCGGAATGAAACTTGTTTGTCTTTTGGGTAGAAGCTCCTTTGGGAGCAGCTGCTGGCTTCGACTTATACAAGCTTTGGATCAATTGCTGTGCTATCAAAAGCACTGCGCCGAAAACAACACCTGCCACAGGCAGTATCATCCAGTTTGTCTCTGCAATCATTCTGTCGTTACCACGGTGGTGTTGCCATGCTTTTTATACTCTCACGGAATTTTTATCTGATAAGACTAGCGAGTTCCCAAAACGGCAAAAATTTGAATCGATATGGTTACACACAAAACACGCGCACTAAATTGACAGATCAAACGGCGGATTCTTTCTACTTCTTCGGAATTATGACAAGCACCATGGGGTTAGTTTACAAATCAGCTCATAATGTAGCTAAATGTTGCCGTCGAACGCCCTGGTATTGGCGTCGACCATTTCTGCACCAAAGAGGACCTCCATCAGCTCGGTATCCAAAATCGAGTTCAATGCCTCGTTCACATTAGGCGTAGCTGACCGTGAGCTCTCTGTCGGTCCCTCTAACGGTGAGTCGCTGTAAACTGGTAGCTCAAAGTTTCCAGACTGATCTCCAAGATTTGTCGATGAGTTTGAACGAGAGTTAGGGAAGTCAAAGATCGAAGAGTAAGACATATTCGAGTTCCGCTCCATCGCCGCTGGGTACGTGCCTGACTCCAAATTCTTGGTGTTCCCCTCTGTAGGTTTGACCAGCCGGCGTCTCTTTGGCTTTGATTTTTCGTTGACTTTGAACTTTCTGTAATATCCGGGAATTATACCTCCGTTGACACTTGTGCTACCACTTTCGTTTCGATCTTCGATCTTGCGCACGTTACTTGAACGAGCACCAAACTCTTTGACCAGAACCTGAATAATTCCAAGGTCTTCCAGCAACGTCTCTATGATATCACTCATTCTTCTCATTGTTCCGTCAATCTGGTGCAAATTGTTCAGGATAAGATTTCTGATTAGATTGATGGCTTTCATAAGATTCGGAAAGTTGATGTCATGTTCCTTATCAAGGTATTCCAGGTCCAGTGCGCTTTTGCTTTTCTGTCCCTTCGAACTCTTGAATAAAATGTATGTCAAAGTGAGAACCATAATTGCGTTGTATGAATAGAAGACGTCGTAGTATAATGTTCCATTGAAAAATCCGTTGGAGTCGGTGTACGTGAGGATCTCGGCTGTTTTGATTGATGACTTGATTCCATTCACTAGAAGAGACTGAATGGGATCGTCTCTCCTGATAACAGACGTTTGCGTGCTGACAATGTGCATGAAAACAGGGAGAGTCAAGTTGATAAAGTAGTAATGGAATTGGATGTGAAGCTTTGGTTTGTATCTTCTGACCGGCAAGGACTTGTAATCTTTCCAAGACTCGGGGAGGCTTTCCCAGAACTTGTCAAGATTCTTTTGGAAAAGCAGAAGTTTCTCTATACTGACGAGCGACAGGGGTTCTCTTGTTGACTTTCTCTTATTATCCAGGATCTGGAAAATGATCTTGGTCAAACGGGAACTCTGCACATAGTAAATCTTAAACAGATCGTTATCAACCTCTGCCATCGTTGGCAACTCAACGTCGACTTCCTCCCAAGGAATTGCACTAGCTCGTCCGAAAGAACAGCAAAGGGTGGTCTCACTCTTGGTCAAAGACCACATCACACGCTTCATTTCATCGGCTTTCTCGTCATTAAACTTGTCAACAATGAACTTTCTATGAAGTCCCAAACTCTTCGATTGGATGGCTGCCATTTGCATCAAACAATAGCCACTCTCCCTGACTTTAATACTGGATAGGTAGACAGACAGCAAGATCAAAAGGCGAATACCATCAAGAGTAGGGGTCAGCACAATATCAGACAATGAAAGCTTGATAATGTCGATATAACGTCCTATGAGGTCGTCGTCTAGTTCGGAGTTTATTGGAAGGTCTTGCGGATTGGTGTACAGCTGGAAACGTCTTCCAAGAATCCAAACCATGTAAATACAGCAGATTTCTGCGCTTCCAATCTTCATTGGTGTTGGTTCGTCGTCCTTATTGTTTGTCTTCTTGATCTCTTCCCAAAAGAGGTTATATTTCTCGTCAAATTTGAATTCGTTGAAAATGAAATAGTATGGGTGCACTTTCTCGAAGAATACGCTCTTGTACATGTCAGCTTCTATTCTATTAAGAAGATTGATCAACGGGAATCTGTTGATGTTGATGGCATCCAGGTTGTACAGATGAGTTGGGTATTGATACACGGGTTCGTTTTCTGAGGTGATGGTTTGAACAGAGCTGTCTCGAATGTCCTGAGTTGATGTTGGAGGTTTCACACTGAAAGACCGTTTAATGATGATATCGCAAAGTCCATTCAAAAGCGAAGCCGTACCAAAGTTTCCAATAAAATGGGTGTGTCCAAAGCGATCCATGATAAGCCTGTCACGATCGTAGGCTGCGGACTTGACCTTAATGTTCGGAGGCAGTTTGGGCAGCCCTGATTTCGTCGTCACCAGGACACTTTCTTCCTCTTCGTCCTTGATGTCGGTCTGTTTCTGATCTGCGTTGTTTGCGGGAACCTCGGTTTCTTCGCTTGACTCTCTCTTTGACTCGCTCGTTTCGTTTGTTGCTTCGTTTTCTTCGTTTTCTTCCTCTAATGCGTGCTGCTTCAAATCTTGAATGTTTTGGATCTCCTCTTCATTGGAGTTCTCTGATGGCATCTCGAACTTGAACGCCTTGCCGAGATTCATCAGCTCTTCAATGTTGTAAACGTCTTTATCGGGAAAAAGGCCCGATACCAAAGCAAGCAAGCATTTGTAGTGCAACGTGATATTCTCGATGGGACCAAAGAAACGCTTTTTCCGTGGAATAGTTGTAGTACAGGACACACCGGCCTTACTGCATTGCATGCAAGGAGTGATATTGTCGTACTTTAGATCATTATTCTGTAAGCGTCTGCATTTTGTCTTGCGCAATTTACATCGATCACAAGAAAAAGGAGCTCTTTTCCTGCTCTCGGGAGCAACAATCCGTCTCTTAGACTGCAATCGAGATCCATTTCCTGAAGGCATTTTATTTCCTCGCGAGTTCAAAATGCTTCGATGCTAGTAACCGAAATCCTCAATAAAAAGCTATATTTTTTTTAGAATTATTTATTCATCTATGACTAAAGCCTCAGTTTCATCCTCGGTAGTGAATACTGTGAACACCATCATTGGTTCGGGTATGTTGGTTCTCCCCTATGCTTTCAAGACCGATTCGGTTCTTTGGGGAATCCTAATCCTGATATTCGCAGCAGTGACGAACATTTTGGGATTATTTCTACTGGCAGTGTCATCTAAATACCTCAGAGAGGGCAATGCAAATTTCTTCACTGTCTCGTTGATCACCGATCCTAGCCTGAGTGTCATTTTCGACTTTGCCATTGCGCTTCAGTGCTTCGGTGTCAACATATCCTACGTCGTTCTGACCGGAGATCTGTTACCGTTGATATTTCCGATATCTGGATATTCGGACTCGCAAGCACGGACATTTTACATCCTTTTGTCAGCGTTTATCACCGTTCCGCTCTGTTTCTTGAAAAGACTGGATAGTCTCAAATATGCGTCGGTGGTGTCCTTGGTTGCAATTGCTTATTTGGTGATCTTAGTTTACGCAAACTTTGGCTATGCTCTAGCCACAGGTTTTGAAAACGTTCCAATTGATAAACAAGGTACAATTTCATGGTGGAAGCCAGAAGGGTTCAAGCAGGTCTTCAAGACTTTCGCCATCATCGTGCTGGCCTTCACCTGTCCCAACGAGTTTTCCATCATCTCTGAGCTCGATAACCCGACTCTTTCGAGAATCCTGAAAATCATCGCAATTTCTCTATCAGTTACCACCGCACTGTTTGTCACTGTTGGTCTGTCCGGATACTTCACCTTTGGTAGTTCGCTTACCGGAAACATTATTCTGATGTACCAAGAAACATGGTACACCAAGCTGGGAATGGCTCTCTTGGCACTTATGGTGTTGCTATCATTCCCTCTGATGTTCCATCCAGCTCGTATTTCATTCCACAACATTTCGCATTGGATAGAAACGACCTACATCCGTTCCGAGGAAAGTACTCCACTGATTGAATCTGAAGCCGCTGCAATCCCTCTTTCTCAGTCGAGATTCGTCAAGTTGACCATCATCATGCTGATTGTGGCATATTTTGCTGCACTCAAACTCAAATCTTTCGAGCTGGTGCTCTCCATTGTGGGTTCGACCGGTGGAGTTCTTATATCGTTCGTGCTTCCAGGGTTCTATGGTTACAAGCTTATCAACAATGCAGAGAAACGCGGATTTTTGGAAATCTATTCACCAGAGGACAGTGGACACTGGGTCTTCCGCAATGAGACTTTGAAGAAGCTCTCTCTTGCATTGGTGTTTTGGGGAATTGCAGTCATGTTCATTTCCCTATATTCAACATTATTCGAATGACTTACATTTTTTTATCTATAAGGTAGCTAATCCGAGTCATCGCTTCTCACATCATCTGCGCTGGCGCCAGAAAGAACACTGTATGCAACTTTAGCAATAAGACACATCCAGAAGATTATAATGACCTGCAATCCTGCTAGTAATGACAAAAACACCGTGATTGTAGAATCAGTGTAACAAATTTTAGGGTCCCCCAGTTGAGACAGTTCTTCGCAGCTGCCATGCATGTTGTGGGCATTCTTGTACGCGTGGTAGAGGATGTAGTTGTAAGCAATGTGTCTCAAGCCAACCCAGTTGACAAGGAAGACGGCAAACATTCCATCACAGAGTCGTTGATATCCACAGTATTTGAGGACTTTGGCTGAGGAAAGCAGCACATCACCGATATCCATGAGCAAAAACACCACATGACCAATTTTGGTGAAGTAGTAGGCATAGGAGCCCACACACAAAAGAGATGTGACGATATGGTGAGAAAACATGTGGAAATGATCTTTTCTTTTGGCCTCGATGTGTAAGACGATCATTTGCTGGAACCAACAAGCTGTCTGTATAAGGTAGTAGGCCTTGAAAGCGGCAGACATTTTGTCGTTTGGCCAGTTGTCGTAAAACTTGTCACAGTTGAAAAAGTAGTCTGATTTCCAGTAGAGGTAGAAGCCGAAGGACCACGAGACAGAAAAGTAGATTATGGACCAGTTCTGTTCCTTGAATCTCTGGATGGCTTTAACACTGTACATCTCGAACGAGTGTGCAATAGGCTTCAGGAGATACAGCATCAAAAAACTTCTAACGAACAGAAGATTTATGACACTGAATACCACCAAATACGAATCTTCGATACCCATATCATATTTGTTTGTGTCTGGGTATCTGTATTGGAGTGTGTAGAACTTTGTGAACGATGGATAGAAGTAGGAGAGTGCAAAGATTGCAAAATCAATAAATAAAGCTAACCGTATCTGGATCCGGTCCGCCTCTTCAACTTTTCGCAGTTGAGCAGCATCTTTTGCAAGATCTTGCTTCGATTCGTTCTCTGTGCTTTCTGAAACAACTTTGTCAAAGTTCTTTTTCGATGTGGTCCGAGTTTTCAACGTGGACTGTTCAAAGTTACAGATTGATGACGACGTACTTGGGGGGGAGTCGACAGTCATCTTGACGAGTTATGCAAAAGCGATTGAATAGTCTGGAAAAAAGTGAGATTTGTGACAAATTTCTGATCCCAAAGCAGACAAAATGCGCTGTTCAATCTTGGTTCTTGGTGCGCTGTTGATTATTCCAGTTTTTTTCAAGATCAGTTTTTTTTACATAATCGAACACCTACCTCGTAAACCGCATAATTTTTTTTCCCCTTGATGAAGCTGCAATACTTAAAAAAAAATGTTGTGTTACAGCGCCACAGACGTGGCGCATGAATTTGAAAGTTCATCTATTCATGTTGAGTAGCATATGGTGCAGTCCGTTTCTAATCGTCATTTCGTCGTAAGAGTTCCATATCTCGTAGAGAGTGAGAATTTCCTGCACTGTTTCTATCACCTCGCTGAGATCGATGTTGGAGCTGGCGAGGAATTTAACAAAGTTGTCCATGCGAGGGTCCGGCAGCTTTGCAGAGTTAGCGATAGTTTTTCGGACATCGATTCCCAGTACTAGCGTGATGTATAGGGTCCCGATAGCAATGATGTGGGGCGGGAACAGAAGATGAAGATCTGTGATGTAACTGTCGTTAATGATTGACCAACAGGTTTGCAACTCTTCGGGCGATATGTCGAGCTTTGTAGACGGATCGCCGTCTTTCAGCACGTTCACCACATCCAAAATCGAATTGTATGGATGGTGGACCACCATGTAGCAGTCCAATTCCTCGATCAAGTAGAACTCAAATTCGGCGAGCTTGGTGAGATCGTTCGGCACGAACTCTGGCCAGCAATTTCGGGCCTCTGACAAAATGGTTCGGATATGTTGCGGACTCTCTTCCATTTTGCAGGAGATATAGATACAAGTTGTTACCAATAAATAAATGTTCACTTCTCGGATGGATACTTTTGCAAAGAACCGCGTCAAGTACACCTCGGCTGTGGATAGAATGACTTGACGCAAGTTGAGTTTCCGTCCCAATTTGACGATAAGTTGGTGCAGGTATATCCTCATGTTTGTGTCATATTTGAGATTTGAATCATCTCGCAGTAGCTGTGCCTCAATTTGAGACACCATTAGTCGCGCTTCCTTCAGCTGTGTTCGCGTGAACTGCCATTTATTTCGCTGCGAAGAGGTCCAGTAGTTGGCAGACATGTGGATTTGGATAATCCTTTTATCCAGGCTGTGTATACTTTAATGCGAAAATCTAAATGTCGTAGAACGACAGGGAGGTTTGTTGTGAATAGATATTTTGAGTGTTTGAGAAGATGAAACAACAAACTAAACAAGCAGAAGCAACTCTCAAGTCACTAAAGTTGATTTGGCACTAACAGGGCTTAGTAAATATACTTTTCAATCAAGTCAGTAATTTCTGCCCAGAGCTACCAATTTCACTTTAAAAGCATTATTAAATACCGTTTAATATAAACATTAGTAGATGTTTGATTACCAATTGTTGACGATCTACTCGCTAAACCAGAAACAACAGCAAAACATACCTAATTCCCTTTTATGCTGATTGGAATTTGTCCTAATTTGGATTTCAGGTTTTCACAGTCCAGGTGCTCCCCTCCGGTGCTTCCTTCAGAAAATTTTTCTATTTTTTTATTTTCACGTCCATGGAAAAAGAATCATCTTTCGAGGCTTTCAAACGGAGCGTAAGCTCATGATGCCTTGGGGAAAGTCTCCGGCAGTAGATCACAGGCGGAAACGCCGGTAGGTTCTATAATCTACCAATGTCAGGTGGTTGAACTACGAAGTTGGTTTTTACTCTGAATGGCCATCCAATACGATTGCCTCTTGCCTTTGTTCGTATTGATTGACTTGACCGAGTATTTATCGGACCAGTTTGGTACTCGACTGTCTGACATTCGATTCAAGGACCTTATGGTCCTTTGATTGGGAGGCTTCTCCCGTTATTCTGCACTGGATAACTATCTAAACCATAGTTATGATGATTGTTAGTCTATTGACTAATAACCCAATGGAGCTCACTTTTATCCATGGACGTCTCTTCCTAGTTTGTTCAGTTCCAAAGCGTATTTTGGGGCGTGATATGCATTGTCAAAGATGCCAAACTATAATAAGTTGTTAAATTGTATTGGTTCAGGAAAACCAGTATAAATTAACTAGTTCTTCATATGATGAGATTTGTTTAATAGAGTCAAGCTCGGAGTTCAAAGAACGTGGACGATAAATTAAGCACCGAAAGGATTTCTGAGAAGAACTATATGTATATAGTAAAAAATACATCGCGTATTGAATTAAATATTAATATACATCACGGTAAACGAAGCTCGCTGTTCATATGCTCCAGTGATCAGTCAGCGAGCTGTCGTCTGGGTCGTGGCTCACGAGCTCAAGGAAATATAGCAGAAGGACACCAAAAATGTTGATCCAATTCCAAAACTGCCACGAATGCACCGAGCTGTTTGGTTCGGGAGCATGTGGCTCAAAGAAACCGAACTGAGGAATCAGCCAGTTCCATATGTGGTTTTGGGTATCTAGTTCATCAATGTACTGAATCATCAAGTTGGTATAAACAGCAATGATGATGCATGGCGAGTACAGATAAATAAGACGACTGGAAGCAGACTTTTTCTGGCCCTTAGATGTGGACTTGGCGATCTTCACCGGTGTTGGTGAGGATGGAGTTGATAATGGCGAGCTCTTCTGCACGGGTTGAAGGATAGGTATGATTTTGGTTGCGGCGAAAAAAACAGAGATTCTGTATGCGAGCTGGATCAGAATCGAAAAGGTGAGATTGCTGATCGATATTTTCAAAAAATCCCACAGGGATTCAAAAGACTTGGGGAAGTTTTCAGTAATGAACTTCAAAATAACATCCACAATGAATTCCTTCAGCTTCAAATAAACCAATAAAAACTTGTCTCTAGTGGAAGACTTGGCCAAAAACTCAAAGTGCAAAAAGTCTAGCAAGTCCTTTCCCGTTTTGAAGTTTTTGAACGTGGTTTGAATCGAAGTGAGGAACTCTTTATTGAGGGAATTTGCTTGGTAGTCCAAGTTTTTGAACTCTGTCATAATGAATTTGAGTAATGAATTGAAGTTCATCTCAGAGAGCTCTGGGAACAGTTCATAACAACACTTGACAATGTAGGCAACCATTAACGAGCATTCTAAAGGCGATGCCTTTCCCGTGTATATTCCAAAAATTGTGATCAAGATAGTGCAGGTGAAAGCAGATCCCAAAAGAGAAGCTGACACCAATCCAACTCGTTGAAGGTCAATTGGTGACACATAGATCTTGACAAAGAAGAACAAGCATGCGGATAGTATGCAAGCACTCGTGATCAGATTGACTATCGACCAAGAATCCGACTTGTGCTTGATGAGATATTGCGACATTTGTCCGATAGCTTGAATGGACAAAAGAGAGCAAAAGCCTTCGAGAATTGTAAAGAGTGGTGTCGAGTTTAAGAGGAATAGCTTCCATGCTTTGATGATAAATTTCCAGCCCGCGCCGTTGACAAGAGTTCCAGCCTCTGACGATGTGAAAACAGTTAGGAAAATAGATAAAAGACTGGGGAGCAATAAATGTTGCATGTAGTATAGGAATGATGAAATGATGCGATGATATTTGAGGACTCTCAAAGTTGCAAGCGAAAAGTAGATGAATAAAATGGTAATCGAATAGCTCAAGCCACAGTCTATACCACCAATCTCAAAACTCAAGGGGATTGTCAAGACAATATAAAATAGGTAGATTGATGCCAAAATGATTCGTACTGCCTGTAGAAGCGCGTCATGAAGACTTATTTGTCGCGATCCGTTCTGTATCGTGGAGTTTGTCCGACTTCCAAGGGGAGTATGGACGGGGGAAGACATTTGAAAAGTGGCCCAGGACTTATTAACAAGACGAGTTCGTGTTTGAAATAGCGATATATGCCGATTAAGTAGCAGTCAGCAATGGTTGAGAATTGGAAAACACTTTGAATCGGGTGAAATTGGTTAACCGGTTAAGCTTAATTTCTTGTTTCAAAAAATTTTTAGAAAAAAAATTCCAAGAAGGGAAATATTGGATGATAACCCAGTGATCAGGAAAATTGATTCCAAACAGATCGAATATGGGCCACAGTTTGCAGAATCACCAAGAGAAGCCTCGAAAGGACAAATCTCGGCTCAAGAGAGGCAGAAAGGAACTTCGAGATGTTCGAAAGAGAAGATACGAGCAGACAAATGACGAGGAAGAACTCGAAGACCAGCAAAAGCAGGATTCCGAGGAGGAAGAAGACGAACTTGTCGAGGAGCCAGCGGAGATTGGCGCTTATAATGCTCTTGTGACTTTGTTGAAAAGCGACCATCCTGAACCGGTCAAGAAAAAGATCAAGAAGAAGGTAGCAGAGGAAGCCAAACAGCCTGAGGTTGACGAAGAATTACCAGAAGAAGTTGGCGATGACGAGGATGAGGAAGAATTGGATCAACAGGAAGCGGAACAAGATAATGAAGATGTGCATAACAAGTTCGATGCTTTTAATAGACATTTCAACGACGAGGACTTGATAGAGGAGCTGGTTGACAAGCATCAAAAAGAGAAGTCCAGAACGAAGTTGGCCAACAAAAAGCAATTTGGTAATGTTACCCAACTGAATTACTCATTCAGAGAAGCTTCAGAACAATCTCCGAAAGGTTTTGCAAAGAAACTCAAATACCACAACGTCAAACAAAAGATCCAAACAGAGCTTTTGAACAAAGAGCCAAACGAAGTGGGACAAGCGCTGATCGACTCGCTGTTGACCTACCAGAATGTCAACTGTCAACTCCATGGAATGGTGGATGATATAAAATCGAAATACCAAGACTACTATCTACTGCATTGTCTTAATCATATTTACAAGACTAGAGATAGAGTTCTGAATAACAACGAAAAGAGAGTTCAAGCACAAAAGCAGATAGAAGAAGGAGTAATGAACCCGGAGGACGAGCCAGAATTTAGAGATCAAGGATACACTCGGCCTAAAGTGCTGATATTGCTTCCAACCAGAAATTTTGCATGGGAAGTAGTCAATAAGCTAATTGATCTTTCCTCTCCGGACTCTGTTGAGTATAAATCGAGATTCAAAGATCAGTACTACGATGACTTTGACGTCAATGACTTGAACCCAAAGAAGCCCGCGGAGTTCAAAGAGTTTTTCAAGGGAAATTCGAACGATTACTTCTGCATGGGAATCAAGTTCACCAGAAAAACCATGAAGCTATTCTCCAAGTATGATCAATCAGACGTGATTATTGCTTCTCCACTTGGACTGAAAATGACTTTGGAGAAGACTGAGGCGTCCTTTTTGAGTTCTATCGAGATTACTATTCTGGATAAGGCAGAAGGGCTGTTGATGCAGAATTGGGACCATGTGAGTGAAATCTTATCTCAGCATCTGAATGCCCCACCAAAGAATTTTGATAATCTCAAAGTGGATTTCAGTCGTATCAGAATGTGGGCTATCAATGACCACTACAAGTACGTTGCGCAAATGATTGGATTCTCGAAGTACAATTTCCCAGAGTTGAATAACGTCACTTTGAGCAATCCCAAGATATCTGCCAATTTGCAAAGTGGAACTGCAGTTTTCAAGTCAGTCTGCAACGACGCCGACAGCGAGCTGACGCACTTGAAGCATCAGTTGACTAGAACAGGAATACTGAATAACAATACGAGACTCAAACAGATCTTCATGAGATTCGATGCCGATTCTCTGGTCACTGAGCCAGAAAAGAGATTCACATTCTTCAAGAATGTGCTACTTCCCCAAATCCAACATAAATTGTCATACGATGAGGGAACGCTGATATATTTCCCGTCATATATCGATTATCTTCGTGTGAAGAACTACTTGGAGAACGATACCAGCGTTTCAGCGGTCGCTATTGACGAGTACTCGTCACAGGCATCCCTTACTCGGAGCCGTGCGATGTTTGCAAAAGGCCATAGTTCTGCCAAGATCTTGCTATACACAGAAAGATTGCATTTTTATAAACGGTACGATATTCGGGGCGTGCGCAATGTGATGTTTTATGGCATTCCTTCAGATCCAAGTTTCTACTCGGAGGTCTTGAAATTCATCGTGGACAACAAAATTAGAGCCGACATGGCTAACAGAAAGTCGGACGAATCCAGCGACCTGATCGACCTCAACTTGTGCATGGTCAGAGTGCTGTTTAGCAAGCTCGATATGATGAAACTGGAGAAGATTGTGGGATTGAAGAATGCTAAAGCGTTATCTTTGGGAGATAGCGAGATGAACGAGTTCCACTGATCAATATCATCAGATTAATTGATTCAGAGCAATCACAATGCAGCAGATAGAAATATAAGGACTTAGTCTCTCACCGACTCTGGCGCATTTCCAAAACACGCCAAACACTCCTGTCTTGTTTTTATCCAAAATAGCTGGCCACGAGGAGTGGATGTATGTGGCCGTGCAGATCAGAAGCAAAAGTACCTGCAAAAGGGATGTGAAGTTAAATAGAGCAGACTTAATGTTAGAGAGGTACAACGTACTTCAAGGACTCACCATTGAGATCGCGTAGAATAATAAAATCAATCAAGCAAAGTGTTCGAAAAAAAGGTGTTGGAGAGAAAAGCCATCGCACCCGTGCACCACCTCGACCGAATATAATTGCAATTAAATTTGACAATTGGACTTTACATTCTTCCATTACTTGGTAGGATGGACACCACAAGTGGATCAGAAGCCAATATCGATTACTTACTTTGACCACTAGAAACAGCTAGAACTGTACAGAGAATCGAAAATGGACGAAGAAGGCGACATTTTCGACTTTGAACAGGCAAACAATGAAGAGATTCTAATAGATGAACAGGGTCTAGACAAAGAGTCGATGCCCCCGATTTTTCTCGGACATAACAATGCTACCGAATTGACAGAAGAAGAAGAATACGACAAGTTTGTTCCTACGGATCCGGCTATCGTGAAACAATTTCAAACATCGGCCCATAGAAACATCTACACCCCGCCAGAGAACTTTGCGCTTGTATGTGGATCGATTTACAGGTCCTCGTTCCCTCGAATTGAGAATTTTGAGTTTATGTTAAAGTTGAAGCTCAAATCGGTGCTATGTCTAATTCCTGAAGAATATCCACCGGAGAATGTCGAGTTTCTCAAGCAGAATAATATAAAGTGTTTCCAAGTCGGATTGAGTGGGAATAAGGAACCGTTCGTCAAGATCAAGCCTGAATTGGTGAATGAGGCACTCAAAATAATCACGAATCCGGAGCATCACCCAATCCTGGTCCATTGCAACCGGGGAAAACACAGAACAGGGTGTATAATTGGGTGCATCCGGAAACTACAAAAATGGTCTTTGAGTATGATTTTTGACGAGTACAGAAGATTTGCGTATCCAAAAGAACGACCGTTGGACCAACAATTTATCGAAATGTTCGACGACTCGCATATTCAGCAATACGCACAAGACCAAAACTGGCTTCCGTTAGAATGGTAAGCCAGACATCTATTTAGAGGAATCCGAAGAAACGACCACCATAAACAACGCTATTCAGGCCCGCTCCTGCTAGCAGAAACTTAGGGTACAGTTTCCAACTCCATATGGCTCGACGGGAGTTGGCTAGACAATACAGAACACTCCATGCACTAATCAGCCCCGAACCGTTGACCGGGTCGTTGTCGTAGCACATAAATCCACCAAGTCCAATGAACGAGCTGAAAAGTAAAGTGTGGATACCATTTGGGTAGGGAGAAACAGGTTTCGAGGGTTTGAAAATGGTTGGTAAGATTCTTGAAGTTTGAGCTCTGGAAGCAGCTGCTAACTGGACCTCGATCGGTGGCTTGATAGCATTGGTAGCTAGCAGTGCAGTGCTGAATGCCCAGGCTGGCACTGGGGAATTCGATAGCTCGTGAAATTGAGACTTTGTGGTGGACATTTGCAATTTCAGGTAACTTTTTTTAGAAAGCAATGATACTTCAAGGCCTGGAATTAAATCGGGCTTGCAATAGGAGAGAAAAAACTCCAAATTACGTAAACAATAATTAAGTCGATAGATTTCTAATATACACTGTAGTACCCAAAACTTACGATCTCTCACCTCTCAATCTTCTAGCGAGCTGGATGTCCTTCTTCTGGATAGTAACTCTCTTGGCGTGGATAGCGCACAAGTTAGTGTCCTCGAACAAGGAGACGAGGTAAGCCTCGACAGACTCCTGCAAAGCACCGATAGCGGAAGACTGGAATCTCAAGTCGGTCTTGAAGTCTTGAGCGATTTCTCTGACCAATCTTTGGAAAGGAAGCTTTCTGATCAAGAGCTCAGTAGACTTTTGGAATCTTCTGATTTCTCTCAAAGCAACAGTACCTGGCTTATATCTGTGAGGCTTCTTGACACCACCAGTAGCTGGGGCGGATTTTCTGGCAGCCTTAGAAGCAAGTTGCTTTCTTGGGGCCTTACCACCAGTAGACTTTCTTGCAGTTTGCTTGGTTCTAGCCATTTTAGAATAGTATGTGTAGAAGGTACAATATGTGAGGGTAGGTACCCTTTATATAACCAGACTGAATGTTTACAATTTTTGTGCCCTGGAGCGAGACACGTACGTAAATTTACGCGTACCATGGAGTAAAAAATGGCATTGGACTGGTAAGGAAAAAATAAGGACCAGTGTTTACGCAAGTATGGTGCGTAAAAATTGTCACTCAACACGAATTGATGCGCAACAGGGAGCGTGTCAAAGTAAACACAAACAAATATTATAAATACAGCAGAGCGTCCCAAACAATCCGGAGAATATATCACATAATTATACAAAATGTCCGGTAGAGGAAAAGGTGGAAAAGGTCTAGGAAAGGGCGGTGCCAAGAGACACAGAAAGATCCTTAGAGATAACATCCAAGGTATCACTAAGCCAGCTATTAGAAGACTCGCCAGAAGAGGTGGTGTCAAGAGAATTTCCGCTTTGATTTACGAAGAAGTGAGAGCTGTCCTCAAATCGTTCTTGGAGAATGTTATCAGAGATGCTGTTACTTACACTGAGCACGCTAAGAGAAAGACCGTCACTTCTTTGGACGTTGTCTACGCTTTGAAGAGACAAGGAAGAACCTTGTATGGTTTCGGTGGTTAAAAAAACTCTTGGAGTCTTTTTTACTTTTGTATTCTAGTGTTGGTAGCAATATATTTAGTTAAGTACTAACGATTTTTAAACAGGAAGCTTTTTCCTTTGGAAACAATTGTAACAGAATATTTTGTTGTAGCTGAATATAAATTCCACCCATAATAAATTCTTGTAGTTCTTGTTCTCACTTTGTTGCAATGGTCTCTATAACATTGTACTTGCTGGCAATGTGTGCTTTGTCTAATGCGCTTCCCATAGTTTCTATCTTTAACTATACACAGGTTTTATATCCAGTGCAACTATTTATTAGAACCGATAACTCGTCTTTGTCTCAGCTCCATTTGAACTCGATCAATGAAGGACCAGGCCTGGATTACCTATTTCTGGTGGACACTGAGGACTCTAACCTTCGACTGACATACAATACGTCTTCGAAGATAATCTCGTCTGATGCTACCAATCAAAAACTCATGGTGTTGACACCATATGTCACTCTTACAGAAGGCCAGTCGATTGACAAAGTGGAGCTGTATGAGACTGTGAGGCTTCACGACTCAGCAAAGGGAATCACTTACATCCAAGGTAGAGTTGTTCTGAACAGTTTCTCTGGTGGAAGATTTTACGCTTGCAAGTCGGCAAACGATCCAAACAACTACTCGCAGTCATTAAACGAGTTAATGTACTACACTGGGACCCCAGCTGCCAACTGCCAGGTAGTGTATCTCTACGCGAACTTGATAGAGCATTAAAATGAACAAGAAGCTAAATAAATAATAGTCACGTGACCAACAGTTTTTGCAGATTGTTTGCAACCGCATCAATGAATTCCTCGGTGGTGACGTAGGAGGACCGAGCAGTCTCGCCTCTGGCTAGTGCAAGGTCCTTTGTCATGATGCCGCCTTTCACAGTTTCGATAGTGGCCTTTTCTAATGTATTGGCAAAGTCGGTAACTTCTGGCGTTCCATCCAGCTCTCCTCTTTTACTGAGACCTCTAGTCCAAGCAAAAATAGAGGCAATCGAGTTTGTAGAAGTTTCCTTTCCTTGCTGGTGCTGTCTGAAGTGTCTGGTGACTGTTCCATGGGCTGCCTCAGATTCAAAAGACTTACCATCTGCAGAAACCAGAACTGAGGTCATCAGACCCAAAGAGCCAAACCCTTGAGCCACAATGTCGGACTCAACGTCTCCATCGTAGTTCTTCATAGCAATGATGAAACCTCCTTTGGATTTAACCATCTGTGCAACCATATCATCGATGAGCCGGTGTTCGTACCAGATTCCTAACTTCTCAAACTTATCCTTGTAGTCGGCCTCGTAAATTCTCTGGAATGTGTCTTTGAAGAGCCCATCGTATTGCTTCAAAATTGTATTTTTGGTAGACATGTAAAGCGGGAGCTTGCGGTCGATTGCCAACTGGAATGAGGCAACTGCAAATCCTTTGATAGACTCTTCCGTATTATACATGGCCAAGGCACAGCCTTTACCTTCGTAATTGTACACCGGAACCTCGATGGTCGGGGAGCCATCCTTCGGAGTGAACACGATCTTCAGCTCACCGCCACATTCTGGAGTGACGATGTTCTCACACTTGTACTGGTCTCCAAAAGCATGTCTTCCAATAATGATTGCTTTATCCCAATGAGGAATAATACGAGGAATATTGTCAATAATAATTGGCTCTCTAAAAACAGTTCCACCAAGAACGTTTCTAATGGTACCGTTAGGCGACAGCCACATCTTCTTCAGACCAAACTCCTCAACACGAGCCTCGTCCGGCGTGATCGTGGCACATTTGACGGCTACCCCGTATTTTTGCGTTGCCAAGGCCGATTCCATGGTCACGTGATCAGAAGTTGAATCTCTATACTCGATACCAAGATCATAATATTTGAGATCAATGTCCAAGAAGGGGAGAATCAACTGCTTCTTGATAAGATCCCAGATGATTCTGGTCATTTCGTCACCATCCATCTCCACAACGGGAGTCTTTACTTTGATTTTGGTCATTGCTATGTGCTTTCAAAGTTCCCTTGTTGCTCATCGGTATTTATATAACCGTACCCCAAGCGGAGTCCTTCATCTCACTTGAATGTTCCCCTCTCGGAGACATTCGGGGACGAGGTCCTGAGCCAATCACAAAATCGCAATTACCTCACTCTGCACCCCGTACTACTACTACTCCCGAAAATATACATCCTTTTCTCCGGGGTATCAAGAAAATATTAGTGATTAAAGGATAATTCACACTTGATATCTAAAAGTACATACTGTTCCTAGTTTCCTCCAAGTAATCGCTCATCAATATTGAAATGCTCTTCTTTTGGTGGAGCATTCGAATAATATTGTGAGGTCGGATATTGGTAAGAAGATTGCGCCTGTGACCCTTGTTGCTGGGTCGGGTAGTGTTGAACAGAAGCTGCGCCTTGCTGAGGAGCATAGTGCTGAGGGTACGAAGGGAAATGCTGAGGCTGATCTTTCAAGGCCTGCACTGCAGCAACTGCAGCAGCAGCTTGCTGCTCCACTTCTTTTTTGTTGTCTGGATCAATTGTTGGGTATCCTTGAGCCCAGGAGAGATTCTCGTGAGATCCGCCTCCGTGAGCATGAGAAGGTTGCAGGAGCGGCTGTTGACCCGAGTGGAAGTGCTGATCCACAGAAAGATCTTCATCGGCCACTTTTCTGCTCTTAATCTCCGAATTCGTAGGCACCATTCCCTTCTTTTTCAAAATTCTGATCTCATTGTAGATATCTTCTCTTTTGATCACAATATCGCTGAAGATTGCCGTAAGTTTTTGATGGATAACAGAAGGCTTGTCACCAGTAGAATATAGATCCTTGATTGTGGAGTTCACTCTGTTGGACCGCTTTCTCAACATTGGGAAGTCCTCCAAAGGATTCAATTTCGCATGGTTGTGTTTATTCTCTGTTATCTTGAGAGTCCAGTAGTTTTTCTTTTTAGAAAAGTTGGCCACCATCGCAAATGGACATCTTATCTTTTTTGTTCCAATCTTTTTTGATTCATATTGCCGTTGCAATTCGCTGGCTTCGCTGAATCTTTGGCTAGCTTGGTGTTTCTTACTTCTCTTCTCTCTGTAAGAGCCTCCCAACTCGCATGTGAAATAAATAGCCTTGTTGTTCGAGTGGGCGATAGCGATTCCGAATTCGTTCTTTTTACCAAACTCTTTCACAAACTCCTTCAAAACATTCACGTTATCGAAAACTTGTTCTTCCATCATCGGAGTCACCAAGTAGTCACTTGGGTCCCCACCGTCTGTGAGGCTTTCTGAGGAATGAATGTGACGATCTGGGACTTGTGAGTAATCTCCCGACACGGGGATTGGCTGTCCGGGAACTTGCGGGATGTGATATTGTTGCGATTGAGACACCTGAGGAGGAGGAGGCAGATGGTATTGCTGGGCCTGTGATTGGTGAGCCTGTTGGTAGTCGAATTGGTGTTGTCCGCGTGGCTGACCGTAATACTGTTGGGCCTGTTGTTGATGTTGTGCAACAGCAGCTTGAGCAGCCTGCGCAACAATGGTTTCGTTCACAAGTCTTTGGGCCTCAGAGTCTGTCTCCTGCTTCAAAGGTGTTTTGACCCCCTGAGAAGATTGCGGCTGGGCATAGCTAGGGATCTGTAAACTAGACAGGTCCGTATTGTATTTAGGAAGGAGATTGGAGTCTGCCGACTGAGAGTCAAATTGAGAACCGGTCAACTGGTTCAGGTCATGGGCCTGACTCATGAGCTCTTCATCGATCAGCGTGTTATCAACTTTTTGTCTTTTGTTTCTATGAGACATAGCGAAGGTCGTGCTTGGTCGTGTTTGGTCGTGTTTCGAAGATAAAGGAAGTGTTCAATTACAAAAAACAAGTGCAAATAATTCAAAAATAAAAGCGCAATAGGGGGAAATTTTTGCCAACAGACCAATTGGAGGCGAAAAACAGCTATTGGCACAAATCTACCTGGCAGTACCAAGAACAACCGTTTGAGTAATTTTTTTTTTATCATCTGTAATCGTTCTATTGTACCACAGTTGGTGCAGAGATGCTTTTAAAATACCGAAATCAGGTTCCCAATCTTCCATATATCCCTTTTTTGCCGTTGGAATGACAACCGTCCTTGAGTGCAACGTATGATGTCGACATTTTATCACCAATATGTGAAGCCCAACATTGGACTTGTGTTTTCCTTACTGGGAACACTTTTCAACGCTTTCATGGTTTTCTTCTGCAAGCTTTTGCTCCTCGATAAGAACTTTTCTCCACCGATTCATCCATTACATATCCTGGTGATCCGAACATTCATCACATATGTTTGTTGCACCATTCTGCTCTGGAATCATCCTGATTTTCCACTTGGACCGAAGGGCTACCGCAAGTACATGGTGATGCGAGGAGTCGGTGGTTTCTTCGGGGTGGCAGGCCAATATTTCGCTCTGATGTACCTTACAGTCTCCGACACTGTGGTTATCACATTTCTGGGCCCCACGATAAGCTCGTGGATGGCTTATCTTTTCTTGAAAGAAAGGTATACTCGATTGGAGGCAGTTTGTGGTATGGTTGCGCTATTAGGTGTGGTGCTTGTTGCCAAGCCCACGTTCATATTTGGCGACCCGAACCATGCTTCCAGCACTCCTAAAAGCTCCTCAGGGGGCAATAGATCTCTAGAATCTCTGTCTCCGGGACTTCGACTTTTGGGCACGTGTGAGGCGCTCGTCTCATGTTTCGGAACGGGACTATCAACATGTGCAATGAGAGTAATTGGCTTTAATGCACATCCTGTCATCACTGTTTCCTTCTTTTCGCTAGTGACGTTCATCTTTTCTCTCACAGGAGTAATTGTGTTGCGGCTACCATTGCAGATGCCGCACACCCTGATGCAGTGGGGACTATTAACGACCGTTGGGATTGCCGGGTTTGTGATGCAATACCTTTCCACCATGGGCCTACAACGTGAGAAGGCATCTAGGGCAATGACCATGTCGTATACCCAGCTCATCTACACCACCATTTTAGAATACCTGATTTTCCACCATTTGCCAAGTTTTCTTTCTCTCTTGGGATCGGCCATCATTATGGGTTCCGTGTTGGTTGTTATCGTCTACAAAACGGAAGAAGAGCCGGTACCTGAGATAGACGACACAGAGTTGACAATCTACGAAGACTCGCATTCACTAATTTCATCGGATTCTGATAAATAGCTGAAGTAAGCAGAAAATATATTTGACCAGGAATATCTCGAATGGTTTATCAATGAACGAGAATTACACGATCAGGCGCATACGTCGCGTGTTGCGGAAGTGGCCCGCCGAAAAGCTACCACAGCTCACGATTTCTGGAGCATACACTTGCCAAGCACCGTACTTTTCTCGGTCATTGCTTTGGAAGACTGTTGCGTTTCAAGTCACAGGACACTGTGCAGATCTTGGACTCAGCAGGTTGAAGGATTATAGAAAAGACTACGAGATTTTGAGAAGCGAATTTCCTGTTCCATGGAACGAGCTGGACGAGGATCATGAGTTCTATCAAAAACTCACCATTGAAGGTGATTTGAGTGATAGTTTTGGCAAAAAGATGAAAATCTCTAGGATACGTGTTGAACACGATCCATTGAGCGGACCGAAAAAACACAAAGCGACAGACATACAGACATTAGAGAGCCTAGTAGCCGACGTAAACAGGCTATTTCCTCAAAAGCAGGAATATTTCATCGAGAGTATTTCCAACAGACAACAATTGATTGAGATTCTATTCATATGGTGGAAATTGAACGGAGGCCACTATTCACAAGGACTTCACGAGCTGGCAGGGATCATTTTTATTGCTGTTCAGACAGAATCCATCAATGCCGACAAGCTGGTCGACCCTGACCCAGAAGCCAAACAGGTAGCAACATTGATGGACTCCAAGTATTTGACACATGATGTGTTCAATATTTTCAACAAGCTTTCGAGCACATTGATCACTCTATACTACGACGAGACCTCGCTACTTCAAGAAAGTATCAAATTTGATCTAAAGCTTCGTCTGATTGATAAGTATCAATATCACCTGTTGAAGAATAAGCTACGGATCGACTCCTCGATATGGCTCATTAGATACTTTCGTTTGCTTCTGATCAGAGAGATAGGTCTGGAGAATTCTTTTGAACTATGGGACAAATTGATCGCTTTCTCATACACTCAAAACTCAGACTCGATGGATCTTAGTTTGTTGCTACCATATTTGATTATTCTGCTCCTGTCGATAATCAAGAGCAGGCTGATCATCTCTGACTATGGGGAAGCATTGTTCTTGCTTTTACACTATCCTATTGACGACAAATACAAAAGACAGCCAATTTCATCGGCGATACTTGTCAACGACGATCTTAGCTCTCCAACAGAAGAACTTTCTTTCACATACATCGAGGAAAACCACCAAGCCAAGCATTCCAACTCATTTGAGCTAGAGCCGGACCAGTCCGAAGACTCTGATTTAGTTTCGTTGGATATTTCGCAGCTGGCAAACGATGCAATCGTTCTGTTTCAATTGTCAGACCAAGACCTGGGAGCACAGGGATCCAAGATAATTGAGAGATATTCTGGACTATCAAACGAAGAGGACAAGCAGGGAACTCTCACCGCAAACCCAGTTAAGAAACGTAGACCGTCAGCTTTTAGAGATCTGCTGACACGCTCGACATCATGGAACAAATCTAAGGGCTCCCAACTGAAGGAAACTAAAAAACCGCCAGCTCCGAAGAAAGATTTTGACAGAACAAGACTTGAATTGCGATTGGCAAGCAAAGTCTCACAAGCACTCAAAGCTGATAAGAAATAAGATATATCTGCATTCATGATTACACAGTAGAATTTTTCAACGTTTCGATCTGCTCTTTCAACATTCCCTCGTTCTTCTCGATCCAGTTAAGACTCTCCAGATGGTTGTTCAACAGTTTCAGAATATCTTCAAGAGAGGTCTTCTCTTCCAGGCTCTTGGAGCTCGTAGAAAGTAATGATCTGTTAAAGGAATCGCTCACCTCGTTCACTTCCGAAATTAATGAAGAGAAATTAGTTCCCAAAGAATCAAGCTTGTTCTCAAGACTCTCGGCAAGTCTGTACGAATTTTCTCTAATTTGATCATTGGTGAAAACTCTCTCGTTACCATTTGTTGTATTCACCTGCTGAACAGAAGCAAGTAACGACTCCGATTGTTTCTCGTAGCCATCTAGCAGTTTATCGAGCTCTTCTTGCTGTTTTTCGATATATGAAAGGGTCTGGTCAACTTTGGACTGCTTCTGATCACACGTCAATGAGTCAGCGTACAACTTCGAAATCTTCTCAGACGATGTCACCAAAACTTGGTCCCAGTGGTTGATTTTGTCGCTGTAGTTTTCGAAAATCTTGGTTGAAGAAGAAAGCTGGTTAGTCCATTTAGTTATGAGATCTTCAAGCGTCTTGTTCTTGATAGACATAGGTTGTGGCTTGATATCTTCGAGTTTCACCTGTGGTTTGTCAATTGTGCCAGAAGCAAATCCTCCTGCCTTAGGCTCCTCTTTTTTCTCAGCTGGTTTAGCATCCTCCTTCTTCTCAGAATCTTTCGAAACGTTCAGATTAAAACCTGTTGCTGCTGGCTTTGTCTCAGTCTTGGCTCCAGAGAAAGAAAACGAAGAAGGGGCAGCTGGAGTGGCAGCTGCTTTATCGTCTGGCTTGGTACCAAAGCTGAATCCTGTTGTTGCGGGCTTGGCTTCAGCTTTTGTTCCATTAGCAGCACCAGTACTGGCTGTTATACTAGATCCTCCAAAGGAGAAGCCTGAGGCTGGTTTCGATGCGTCAGGCTTAGAACCTCCAAGAGAGAAACTTGGCGCGGCCGCTGGTTTTGGCTCGTCCTTCTTCTCCCCAAATGAAAATGCCGGTTTTGAATCGTCTTTCTTTTGGCCAAAAGAGAGAGATGAAGTCGTGGATACAGCTGAAGATGAAGCTGGGGCTGGAGCATCTGTTTTATTACCGCTGGTTGCACCGAACGCAAAGGCTGGCTTGCTTGCCGCTGGCTGTGCGGATGAAGCTCCAAAAGAGAGCACAGGCTTCTCGGCTGGTTTATCAGCAGCAGGAGCGGCAGTTGCATCAGATCCTCCAAACAATGGTTTTGAACCAGACGTTGCAGAAGTAGATCCAAACAGAGGCTTGGATTCAGCTGGCTTGTCCGTTTTTGCACCAAAGCTAAATCCGCCTGCTGCAGGAGCGGTTGAAGATGCAGCTGGCTGGGATTGTGCCCCGCCAAAGAGACCTCCTGAGGTCTGTGGTTTAGCGTCAGACGTTTGCGAAGCCCCAAGATTGAAGCCTGCTGGTTTGGCGTCCGTTTTCTGTCCTCCAAACAGTGACGTACTATTTGATGTGTTGTTGGAGTTTCCAAAGAAGAAACCTGGTTTGGCGTCTGATTTAGCTGGGGTGGAAGCACCTCCAAACAGAGATGGCTGAGATTGACTAGGCTGAGCTGCTGGAGCAGCGGTGCTTGATCCGAAAAGTGAAGGTTTGCTTTCTGTATTTGAACTTGCTGCTCCAAATGGAGCAGCGTTGCTATTATTACCAGAGAAAGAAAACGCGGGCTTGCTTGCAGCCGTATCATTAGAGTTTCCACTTCCGAAATTGAACGTGGATGGTGCTGAAGCGTTTTGGTCTTGGGCAGGTTTTGATCCAAACTGGAACGTTTGATTGGCTTGGCCAGCCTGACCGTTCTGGCCGGCGTTGTTTGAGAAATTGAACATGAGCTTGTCTGTAATCGGCTCAAAGATCGATGTACTTTATGCAACGACTAATTGCGCAAAGAACGAGTGTTGGGCAGAGCTTATAATTTTAAAACAAATGTTTTCAGTTTTTAACTGGCGACTGGCGGTGTACGGGTGCGTTGGAGCACTGAATTTGAGGATGCCATGAGGGGTGTCAGATTCCGGATCGTTGGAGATTCCATTTAGTAAAAGATCCGATGGAGACACAAAACATAGACTGTACACTCACCACAGTCTGCGAGATTGAAGTTTAAGAAGTCCGCAATTGCGCGAGCATGTCAAACATCCACCAGACTTTACATTGTTCAATGAAACGTGACATGGCGCTGGTCGACCTGAAGGATGCCAATATGCCTTTCAACACTTCTCAGAAACCTCATGCACTGCTTTAGTCGGCTATTGGACAGTGTTAGAAAATGGTGGCTCCTTTAATCCTGCCACCATATCCCTGTAAAACCGGGATTTCCCGGAGTTGTAACCTCCAGTGTGATGACCAGATTTGATGGATATATAAATTACTGTGTTTCTTCACAATTACTTGAACAGAATCAAATATGCCAAAGCTTATTCTTGTTAGACACGGACAATCCGAATGGAACGAAAAGAACCTCTTCACTGGTTGGGTTGACGTTACTCTTTCTGCTGTCGGAGAGAAGGAAGCCGCAAGAGCTGGAGAGTTGCTCAAGGAGTCTGGATTGAAGCCAGACATCCTTTTCACATCTAAGTTGACCAGAGCCATCCAAACCGCCAACATTGCTTTGGACAAGGCTGGAAGATTGTTCATCCCTGTCGTGAGATCGTGGAGATTGAACGAGAGACACTACGGTGCTCTCCAAGGTAAGGACAAGGCTGCCACTTTGGCTCAGTACGGTCCAGAACAATTCCAGACCTGGAGAAGATCTTACGATGTCCCACCTCCACCAATTGAGGACTCCTCCGAGTTCTCGCAAGCCGGTGACGAGAGATATAAAGACGTTGACCCTAGCGTTTTGCCAAAGACCGAGTCTCTGGCTCTGGTCATCGACAGATTGCTTCCATACTGGCAAGACACCATTGCCAAGGAGCTGCTTGCTGGTAAGACTGTCATCATTGCTGCTCACGGTAACTCCCTGAGAGCTTTGGTCAAGCACTTGGACAACATCTCTGACGATGATATTGCCGGTTTGAACATCCCAACTGGTATTCCTTTGGTCTACGAGCTTGACGAACACCTCAAGCCAACCAAGCCTTCATACTACTTGGATCCTGAGGCTGCAGCTGCAGGTGCTGCTGCCGTTGCCGCTCAAGGCCAGAAGAAATGAATACATAGCTGACTAACGTGTAAAGACATCCGTACACCATAAAAATATAGGGAAGACCAAGGGTCTTCGAGGCCGTCGGCTGATTTTAGCGTGTAATATGCCGGAAAATACAAGGGTTAAAGTCTTCATAGTACAGGGTGGTAATGAGGTTTAATCAAACCTTCGCGATGGAGATAACTACGGGTTTATTGAGACTTTTATCAAGTTGCAACTTTTCAGGCTTCCTGATTCGCGTTCATCAATCAATTGGAGCAGTGGAAAGCATAGCATCCAATGAGAATTTGATTGGATTATATCGGAGTTGTGAAAAGACTCTATAGGTGGACACGGCAAGTAGTTTATCTACAAAAAAGCAGAACCCGCACGGGGATCGAGGGGATCGAATATCGGAGCAACTGACTCGATTCATCCGTCCATGAGCCTAGAACTAGAACCAAGAGTGACAAACCAACCTACCTAGCGAAGAAAGATTCTCTTAGTGTCTTGCTCGTCAAAGAAACTTTGCAGCGTAGCTCATTAGAAGAGTCTGGGGAAATTTCATGCTTACCTAATCAGGACGAGTTGCTGGCGTGGTTTTGAAAACTTTTGCACTGTATAATTTTTTGTCCAATAACCAAAGTGTTAATTTTAACTGTTGTTTAACAACGGAAATTTTTTAGAAAAACGATAGAACATTCAGTGAAATGATTTCCAACGTCATCAGAGGAGCATTGAGACAAAACAGCAGATTAGTCGCCAGAAATGTGAGTCTTGTCTCCAGAGCTAGCCCTATGAGACCACTCCAGATGGTGAGCATTAGAAACTACTCTGCTGGACACCACGAGGAGACTTTCGAAGAGTTCTCTATCAGATACGAGAAGGAGTTTGAGGAGGCTTACGATCTCTTTGAGGTCCAGAGAGTCTTGAACAATTGTTTCTCGTACGACTTGGTCCCATCCCCAGCTGTGATTGAAAAGGCTTTGAGAGCTTGCAGAAGAGTCAACGACTACGCCACTGCTGTGAGAGTCTTTGAAGGTCTGAAACACAAGGTTGAGAATAAAGAACAATACGAGGCTTACCTCGACGAGCTTAAGGATGTTAGAGAAGAGTTGGGAATTGACTTGAAGGAGGAGCTTTTCAAGGAAAATTAAACGATGAAGAACACCAAGTACGCGTGAGGGGGAGAAACAACAGGTCTTTTAGAATACAAGGAAGACGAAGTTTACAATAACTAATATACTAAGCATAGTTCTTGGATTATTGTAAGGATTAGGACTGCATGCGATTAGATGGACACTTTGTCGACTTTATTTATATAAGAGACTGAATTTATACTAGAAAGCATATTGGAATCGACGTAGTTCCTGTTCATTTTGGGTGGTTGCAAATAGTAAGGTGATCTTTGGTCAGGTTGATTTGGCCAATCAGACAATTTCATTTCTTCATCCATATTTCCTTGCACTGCCACTTCTTTTAGTTTTTCACAACTTGAGGCTGTGCTGTTTTGAAATTTATCTCGTGAACCAATTCGGCAATCTATAAACAAATTTAAGATCTTCACAATATTGTTTATATTTCAGCGCGACATACAAGTAATATTGATCAAACCCCTCCAAATTTAACCTATTTCACTTTATGTCTGATAACGGATTATTGGTCGATAGCCAGGTCTGGCTGTCCGACCCGCAGTTGACGTTCGTCAAGGGACGTATCGTGGACACTTTAAATAACGGAAAACAAGTCAAAGTTAAACCCGAAAACTCGGATAATACTATAACTCTGGATACCGATCAGCTCGAACGTTGCAACCCTCCTCAATTTGATAAATGCCAGGATATGGCTTCGATGACATACCTGAATGAGCCTTCGGTCATCAATAACTTAATGCTCAGATACAAAGAAGACTCCATCTATACCTGTTCCGGATTATTCCTTGTTGCTGTGAACCCATACAAGCAGCTCAATATCTACGACAAAAGCTTTGTGAATCTTTACAAGAATTCAACGGTCGAGAAGAAGTCAGACTCGGAGGAGGCCCCGACCTTATCAAGCGCAAAGCCTCATATTTTCGCTACCAGTGAAGAGGCATTCCAAAATTTAGTGGCCGATAGCAAAGATCAGAGCATTCTCGTTACGGGAGAATCTGGTGCTGGTAAGACGGAAACCACCAAAAAAGTCATTCAGTATCTTTTGGCAGTCGCTTCCTCAAATGGTGGCAGATCAAAATCAAACAGTCTCGAGAGCCAGATCTTGGAAGCTAATCCAATTTTGGAAAGTTTTGGTAACGCACAAACGGTTAAGAATCTTAATTCCTCCAGATTCGGAAAGTTTGTCAAGGTCCAGATCCAGCCTTCCACGAAGCACCTTGTTGGTGCTCATATAGACTGGTACTTATTGGAAAAATCGAGAGTTGTTCTACAGGACAAGAGTGAGAGAAACTACCACGTTTTCTACCAATTTATTAAAAGTGCTTCTGATTCGGAGTTACAGAAGCTCAAGTTGACTCGCAGTGTCAACAACTATGGCTACCTCCGGGATACCAACCACTCTGTCCAAGGAATTGATGACAAAAAGGAGTACAACCAGTTGTTGAAAGCTCTGGATGTCACCAACTTTTCGAAAGACGAAAAGAATCATGTTTTCAAGATTATCGCCATCATTTTGCATCTTGGTAACCTCGCATTTAAGAACAGTGGTAGAGACGATAGACAAGCATTTTTCACTGATGATTCTCCTGTTGACGTTGTTGCCGATCTTTTGGGAGTTCCAGAAAACGAGCTCAGGAACGGATTACTCACGTCCAAGGTGAAAGCCGGTAGAGAGTTTGTTACTCAACAGCGCACTCCTTCGCAAGCCAAATTCGCCATCGATGCTCTCTCCAAATCGTTATACGAACGTCTGTTCCAATTTTTGGTCGACAAGATCAATGACAATTTTGATCGTAACTCCACGCTTTCCATCGAGGCCCACAATTCCATTGGAATTCTGGACATTGCCGGATTCGAGATTTTTGAAAAGAACTCGTTTGAGCAGCTTTGCATCAACTATACCAACGAAAAGCTTCAACAATTTTTCAACCATCACATGTTTGTTCTTGAACAGAGCGAATATCTGAGAGAAGGAATCAGCTGGGACTATGTTGACTTCGGACAGGAACTCAAACCTACAATCGAACTGATCGAGAGCTCGGCTACCAACAAAATTGGAATATTTTCCCTACTTGACGAAGAATGTGTGGTTCCTAAAGGATCCGACAGCACCTTCTTGGAGAAACTTCAGAGGGAGTTAGAACCAAAGGGCGAGGACAAAAAGAAGCAAAACCAGAGATTCAGACCTAACAAGTTGAGAGACGGATTTATTATAAAACATTATGCTGGTCAAGTTGAATACTCAGTTGAGGGGTGGCTTGATAAGAACAAGGATCCATTGAGCAACACTCTTGTTGAGTTGCTTTCCAATTCTAAAGACTCTTTTATCCAGGATCTTTTTGATTCTTCGGCTCAGATGATGGCTAATGTTTCTGACTCTCCTGTTAAAGGAGGAGCCGCTAGAAGAAGCGGAAGATTTAGAACTGTTGCTCAGAGGCACAAAGAACAGCTCAATGATTTGATGAAGCAGCTCTCCACAACTCATCCTCACTTTGTCAGATGCATCTTACCGAACACGAGCAAGACACCTAATCAATTTGACAAGAAGCTTGTTTTGGAACAGCTGAGATGCAATGGTGTCTTGGAAGGTATTCGTATTGCCAGATCTGGATATCCAAACAGAATCGAGTTCCAGCAATTTGCCGAAACGTATAAGATCTTGGCCAACGATGCAGTTTCTGCCAAGGGCTTCAAAAGAAGCAGCAAGGAGATCTGTGAGATCATATTGAGTGACTTGCATCTCGATCCTGAAGTTTACAAAGTTGGTACTACCAAGCTATTCTTCAGAAATGGTGTTCTTGCAAAACTTGAAAAAGAGAAGACGCGCAGACTGACCGTTATTATGACCAACTTCAACGCAGTTGTTAGAGGTGCATCCGTGAGAAGGGATAGTAAAGCCAAGCTTGAGAAAATTCAGGCTTCTCGTGTCATTGCGAAGAATTTCATCGCTTATAACAAGTTGTCGAACGACCCATGGTTCCAGCTTGTTTCTCAAGTCAAACCTCTACTTGTGAATTCGGATTCTACACAGTCCTACTTTAATCAAAAGATCCAGAAACTGGAGAAAGAGATCAAGGTTTTGAAAGCAGAGAAGGAAATGGAAAGTCAAGGAAAAAGTCAAGCCTTGTCTGAACTGGCTGCCATCACTTCTTCGATTGAAGTTGACAAGAAGTTGCTAGCTGATAAATCGAAGCAACTTGAGGAACTTCAGGTCAAACAGGTGAATACCGAATCTCAGTTGAAGGATAAAGAATTGAAGTACCAGGAGCTGGAGGACATTCACCATTCATCCAACTCTTCCACCGAAAAGGAAAGATTGGAATTGGCTGAGAAGATAGCTCTCTTAACTCAACAGGTTGAGAGTCATAGCAAAGGATCTGACTCTTTGCAAGAAGAAGTGACGCTTCTGAAACAAATGGTTGCACAGAAGGATGAACAACTTAAGAAGTTTGAACAGAAGATCAAGTCCAACGATTCAGAACTTGATAAAAAGCTCCAAGAAGCAGTAAGTATAATAAGGCACAGAAGCCTGAAGGTACAATTCCCAATTTACCGATTGTCCATGATTGAATACTAACTATTTTAGACCACCAATCTTGCACAGACACAGGAGCGCGTGAAGAGTCTTTTGAGTGAAAACGAGAAACTGAAGGCTACCGTTGAGAAGAGCAAGCACGCAAGCTCGGAGATCCACAAGGCTGCTCAAGAGAAAGAGAGAGAGCTTTCCAAGATGCAGAAGCAGGTCGAAACTGAAAAGGAAAATCTATCCGTTTTGAATATGCAAAACAAGTACAAACAATTGATGCATGAGTATAAGGAAGCCAAGACGTTACTTGATGCCAAGATCACCGACGAGATCAACTTTGACAGAGGAAAACAGAAGTACGACAGACAGTTGAAGGAGCTTGAGTCTGCTTTGAAGGAGATGAGTCAAGAGGTGGAGGTCGGTAAGAAGGAGTCTTTGAGACTGACACAGGAGTTGAAATCGGCAAAAACCGAAATTGACCAGTTGAACAAGGTCAAGAGAAACTTGGATGTCAAACTCGCCGAGTACCAGCTGAAGCACTCACAAAGACCGGAACTACAGTCTGGACCAGAACTTGAGCTGCTCCAAACAAGACTTGCTTCTGAGGCATACGAGAACAGGCAGTTGAGAGCACAGATTAGAAAATTGACTACCGACAGAGGTATCTCTTCGAGTGGTAGCCCTGAAGAGCTTTCGGTTGAAAAAGCAGCTAACAAGCGTCTTGAGAAACTCAATATTGAGCTCCAGAAAGAGCTTCTCCAGTACAAGAATGGCATCAGAGAATCGAGAGGACTTGAACCGATCGATGCAGATTACAAGACTAAGTATCAACTTGCTGAGGTCCAATTGCAGTCAATGGAGGATAGATTGAAGTGCTCCCTTTCTGCTAGTATGCCTTTGAAGGACGCTACTCAGAAACACGAGAATAATGCAAACATTGGAATCACCGACAAGGACAGCGTTCTGGCAAAGCAGGAGAATTTGAGATTGAGTTCGATGTTGAACGAGTCCCAAACGAAGTTGAAGAGAATGCAAGTTTCGAATGCTGCCAACTTTGCTCAACAAGAGCAACTCTCGCAACTGAACTCCAAGCTTCAGATCATGTCTGGAAAGAACCAGACTTTGCAAGATTCTTTGGAGCTCTACAAGTCCCGGGCGGAGAACTACTACAGCAAGATTGAGGCTGCTGAAGTGGCTGTTCAAACCGCAAAAAGAGCGGAAGAGATTTTGAGAAACGAACTTAACCAGACAAAGCAGAGACTCGCCAAGGCTCAACAGGAATGTCATGATTCCGATGTGACTATTGCACAACTCAACTCTCAGATCAGAGAACTCGACAGAGACTTATCTGACAAAGTGTTTGAACTAAGAAAGCTTCAAGAAAGCTACAATGCATTAAAGGACAAACACGAGAACGCGGAGGAGCTCAGAATGTCCACGTCATCGAGCCATTCTGATTCCAAGGATAAAGAGCTGAAGATGTTGAACGATGATCTGGTTGCCCTGATGGACAAGGAAACGGAGCTCAACAAGCAGATCAAAAACATCTCTATGCAATTAGAGATTTCCAAGAAGGAGGTCCGCAACTCTAAGTTTACCATTGGGGAACTGTCGAAGGAGAACGCACAGTTCAAGAAAACGTTGACGGAAGCCATGTACAAGAATGACAAGCTAACCACCGAGAAGCAGGAGCATTTGTTGAAACTTGACACATTGACATCCCAAGTGAAGGCTTTGAAGACATCCAACGAGGATCTCCTTCAAGAAAGAGACAGTTTGTTGGAGTCCAAACGGGAGCTGGAAACAAAGGTTGCAGCCATAACCGCCGAATTCGACAGATATCTGGAGAAAGCCAAGGACGATGCAACCAACGCGGCAACTGTTGTTCAATTGCGCGGTGAACTGGAGCAGTCCAGTAAAGAGGCTTCGATCTTGAAGGAGAAACTTGATCTCCACGATGAGAAGCTCCACGATTACGAGAATAAGATGGACGAGCTCCAAAAGGACTCGTTGATGGTGATCGAAGAGAACAAGGCGTTGACAAAGTTCAACAGACAACTGAAGGCCAAACTGGACGATCTCCAGGTTGAGCATCAAAAGGAGAAGGAGGCCGAGCGGAAACACTGGTCTGCCAGAGTTGAGGAACTGGAAGAGAAGGTGTATCTGCAGAATGCTACCAAGAGAGACGAAGATCAGAAATTCTACAACCTTGAGAGACTTGTTAAAGATTACAACCACCGTAATGAGATCCAAGTTTCGACGATCGCGCGGTATAAGGACGAGATCAGAACATTGGAGGAAACAGTCACCAGACTGGACTCCAACTTGGAGTCTCTACAGCAAAAAGAGGCAGAAGCCACCTTGAGCGCCAAGCGTGCTATACGCGAACTCCACGATGCAAAAGAACACTCGCTTATTCTGGAGAAAGAATTACTTGACTGGAGAACCAGTGCTGAGTAAGTAGCTACCAAAATAATTTTCACGCAACTGTACCGTAAAAAAGAAGCACCAAATTTTTCCGCTCCGGTGACGGAATTGGAAAATAAAAAAGTGAATCATTCTTCATAATAACAACTTGGAATGTTGACCTCTAAAATTGGCCGGTCGGCAGTTGGCCGCATGCTGACGCTGACGAGAAACAACAGCTCGTCGACGTCTGCATTGGCATACAAAAACCTACACAGAAACAAGAAAAGACCGCACCTACCAACGTTGGATGCTCCAAACTGGTCTGCTGGTGCAGCTGTTTCTTCCATCATCTACGAGACTCCTCTGCCTTCCAAGGCTCCAAAGACACAACATGTGCTGAACTGCTTGGTTCAAAACGAGCCCGGTGTGCTGTCTCTGGTGTCGGGAACCTTGGCAGCAAGAGGCTTCAACATTGACTCATTGGTTGTCTGTAACACCGAGGTCAAGGACTTGAGTCGGATGACGATTGTTCTGGACGGTCAAGATGCAGTCATCGAGCAGGCAAGAAGACAGATCGAGGACCTGGTTCCTGTGTACGCTGTCCTGGACTACACTCACTCGGAGATCATTAAGAGAGAGCTTCTGTTGGCCAGAGTCTCGCTATTGGGATCCGAGTACTTTCAGGAACTGATCGCACACCACAACGAGCAGGTCGACGAGATCCCAGAAGACCTGAAAGAGTCACGTTTCCATCCAAACAACCTGCCTCCATCTCAGGCTTTGAGACAGAAGTACGAGCATTTGGATGCCATTACTAAGTTGACCAAACAATTTGGCGGAAAAGTGGTGGACGTGTCGGACAGAAACTGTATTGTGGAACTATGTGCTAAACCAAGCAGAATCTCTGCTTATATCGCTCTTGTGCAACCGTTCGGCATCTTGGAGATCGCCAGATCAGGTATGGTGGCTCTGCCAAGGACTCCTCTTGAGGCGTTCTCGTCTGAGGACGGAACTGACCCAACTAAGGACGCTTCTGACGTTGTCGATGCTTCCCAGTTGCCACCAGGTTAATTAATAAGTAGATCTAATGGAATCACCAAATTGGAAACAGGAATGTACCCGTTTAAGACAAGCACTTTCACATTTGCATCTCCCTTGAGCCTCAATTTAGCATCGTGGGAAAGAAGAACTCGCTTGATAACTCCCAAGACACCGTCTGCCTTCGGGAACACCTTCATGTACAACGAAAGGTGCGACTCTGTCTTGTCGGTGATCTTCACCGGAAACGGTGCGATCTCTGCCACTCCCAAGTTCTTGTAATCACCCTTAGATTCGTCAAACACGACCAGATTCAATTCGTCCACAGCCAAATTAAGCTTGCGCACAGTAAAACCCGCAACCTTAAAGTAAAATCTACCAACAGGGTCTTCAATCTGCGTGTAGTTGTTAAAGTTCGTACCCTTAACCTGCAAAATTAGACCGGAGTCATCGTCGACTCCTAGGAACTTGACCTCGTCGCTTTCAAACCTCGTGCCCTGTGCCACCAAATCCCCCAGTTGCGGCTTGACTCTGGCGGTGAATGTGATAGCAGCAGTGAGGAAAAATGTGCAAATAATGATGATCGGAATATAAACGTCTAATCGCAAAGCTCTCCATTTGGAGCGCTTGGACGAAGAGCCTTGGGTTGGAAGAAGCGGCGTTGATTCAGACATTGATAAATTAATTATCAATATTCTGACACAGCCCTGATTATTTATTTAAAAAAATAGGAGAAAAATATTTCAAAAACCCAAATTGCAGATATGTTGTATCTTATTGGATTAGGACTCTCTCACGAAAAGGATATCACAGTCAGAGGACTGGAGACCGTGAAGAAATGTAAGCGTGTCTACTTGGAGGCTTACACTTCGATCCTCATGGCCGCAGACAAGTCATCTCTGGAAAGCTTCTATGGAAGAGAGGTGATTCTTGCAGATAGAGAGTTGGTTGAGAGTGGATCCGATACCATTCTCGAGAACGCACAGGAGGATGACGTTGCTTTTTTGGTTGTTGGGGATGTTTTTGGAGCCACAACCCACACAGACCTGGTGATCAGAGCCCGCGAGTTGAACATCAAGGTGGAAGCTATTCACAATGCCTCGGTGATGAACGCTGTTGGAGCCTGTGGACTGCAACTTTACACTTTTGGACAAACTGTTTCGATCGTCTTCTTTACCGAAAACTGGAGACCAGATTCTTTCTATGACAAGGTGATGGAAAACAGAAGGATCGGACTGCACACTCTTCTGCTACTCGATATCAAGGTGAAGGAGCCAAATATCAATGAGCTTATGAAGGGTAGAGTCGTCTACGAGCCTCCAAGATACATGTCCGTGGCCACCTGTTGCCAGCAGCTCTTGGAGATTGAAGAGAAAAGACAAGAGGGTGCATACACGCCTGCAACTCCATGTGTTGCTGTTTCCCGTCTTGGATCTCCAACCCAAACTTTCAAAGCTGCTACCTTGAAAGAGCTCGCCGAGTATGATGCCGGAGAGCCCCTTCATTCTGTCGTGATGCTTGGCAGACAGGTCCACGAACTCGAGCTGGACTACTTGCTCGAATTTGCCGATGATAAAGACGCTTTCAAAGAGGCTGTTACACAGGACCAGAAGTTTTTCGCTAAAAACTAACGATATAGAGCTACTTTAATAATGTAATAGCACTGCCATGATATTTAGATCATACAAAAAGGTTCTTCGAATAGACTAATGGTAAAACTTTAAAAGATATGTCACCCGAATCTACAAACGACCCGAAATTTGCTGCTGACACGAGCCCAGATGTCACAGAGTTTGGAGTTCTATACGGTTCTCAAACCGGAACAGCTGAGAAGCTTGCCCATCAGCTGGCTAAAGATGTCGCAGACAGGTTTGATAAGTCTGCGACAGTCACCACCATTGACAACTACGACTTTACAGCTATAAGCAGCTCAGACAAGGAGCATTTGCTTATTTTGCTCGTATCAACAAATGGTGACGGCGATCCGAGCGACAATGCAATGAAGACGTTCCGGTACATTTCTGATCTATGTCGAGAGCCAGAGCACAACCAATTGTTGTCCAGATTGAGGTTTGGAATATTTGGACTAGGAAACACAGCATACGATGCATACCAGGGAGCTGCAAGAAATTACAAAACGTGCTTGCTAGATCTCGGCGCTCATTTGGTGGCTCCCTATGGAGAGGGGAATGATGAAAAAGGAGAACTGTATGAAGATTTTGTGTCATGGAAAAGCAAGTTTTTGGTTAACATGGGCAGTGAATGCAACTGGAAAGTGATAAAAGAAGACCAGTATACTCCATTATATCAAATACAACCCGTCTCTGCCAGAAAACACACAGATGGACAACTTGTGGCTTCATTACGTGACCTGGATTTCTTGGATAGGCCTCCGTTCCATATGGCCAAGCCTTTCATGGCACCAATACGAAGCTGCAGAATATTCACCAGTGGCGAAAGATGCCAGTTTCATTGTGAACTCGATCTCGAGGGATCTAGATTACGGTATCAAACAGGAGATCACATTGGAATTTATCCGACAAACAGAATAGCAGATGTGGAGCAGTTTCTTTTCGCTTTTGGTCTGCTTGACCGCAAGGACGAAATTGTTCAAGTGCGCTCTTCTACACCTCTCTGGTTTGTCACACCTACCACTTATGTGGCCATTGCACGCCACTATCTGAGCATCAATTCTCCGGTTTCCAGTGAAATCATCCAACAAATTAGCAAGTTTTCACCTTCGAAAGAGGCCAGAGAAAAGCTGGAATTACTGGCATCACGGGAACAGTTTGTTAAAAAAGTGATCAAGCGGAAGCAAACCCTTTACAGACTGCTTCTAGACGTTTCTAGTGGCCAGCCATGGCCAGATGTACCATTTTCATTATTGCTTGAATCGTTGGGTAAGTTGCAACCACGGTTCTATTCCGTTGCATCGTCAAATTTGATGTACGAGAACCAAGCACATATAAGCGTGAAATGTGAACGAGAAACGATCGATAACGACGCATTTTACGGTGTGTGTTCAAACTTCATTGAGGAAGCTTGTTTCAAGTCTTCCAACTTGTACTTAAATCCGGACTCTTCGATCAAACTCCCATTATACATCAGAAGGTCCAATTTCAAACCGCCAGTGAGAAAAGATCGTCCTATCATTATGATCTGTGCGGGAACAGGAATAGCTCCGTTCAGGGGCTTCATCCAGGAACGCATTGCCCAATCCAAATCTGGAGCCGTTGGAAAAAATCTCCTTTTCTTCGGTTGCAGAGACGAAAACGATGCATTGTACTCGGACGATATTGCTCAGTACCAGAAACAATTGGGCTCGAGTCTTGAAGTGCAACTCGCCTACTCAAGAGCTGACCCTTCACACAAAATTTACGTGCAGGAAAAAGTACGCGAACATGCTATTCAGGTGTATGCATTAATTACTCAGGGTGCTTATATCTACGTTTGTGGAAACTCTGTCAAATTATCGAGCAGCATGAATCGACTAATGAGAGAACTGCTAATACGTCAAGGGGGTGCAAGTGAAATCGAAGCTGCAAAAGAATTAAAACAGTTCAGATTATCAGGCAGATATCAGGAAGATCTTTGGTGAGTCCGATTGTCCTGTGAAGATCATTAAGAGCAAAATTACACCACGTTCAAAAGAAGTTTGAAATCCGAGGAAAAAAATCAAAGCCACACCTTTGTGCTAATTTTCTCAAATTATTCATGCTACTATGATAAGACGAGGCTCGGAGCTCTCATTCCATATCGAGGACGAGTCGTCGCCATTTTTGGAGGAGGCGGTCAGGAGGGTGGAATCCGTCCTTTCTAGCCAGAACCGGGCAATCTCCTACCTTGTTGGCCAGTATCGAAATTCCAAGTGGTCGCAAGAACAGATGAAAGTCTCTCTCCGACACCTGAACAATTCCCTGAATCTCGGGGGCAAGGTGGTTGTTAGTGGTATTGGGAAGTCGTTCAAGATTGCTAGCAAGACCGTGGCGACTCTCAATTCTTTGAGTGTTCATTCAGCACTGCTACACCCTTCGGAGGCGTTGCATGGAGATTTGGGAATGATCAGAGACGACCACAACGACTCTTTGGTCATTATTTCCGCATCCGGAAACTCTCCCGAACTGACTACCTTGCTGGAGTACGTTCCCGCTTCTGTTCCGGTCGTCCTGGTCACCTGTGCCAAAGTTTCGGCCCTGTCGAAGAATCCGAAAGTCAAAGGCCTGTTTTACGCGGAATTGCCTTCCAATCTGTCGGAAAAGAATTTGTACGGACTCAATGCGCCAACGATCTCTACAACCTTGTGTTTGACTCTGCTTGACGGTGTGAGTATCGCTCTATCGGAGCTTCATATTAAAGATTTGGAAATACGCAGGAAACGATTTGGAGATAGACACCCTGGAGGTGCAATTGGGCTGGATTATTTGCAAGGACTGAACGAGGCACGGAGACCAAGTGGATCGAACGGCTCGAACACCGACTTCTCGAACACGGAGAAGTCTATGTCGGATGCGTCGAGTGAATCGTTGTACGAGCAACCAAAGCCCGAGGAGGACGATTTCGAGGATGTTGGCGATATTTTGGAATTACCAGACCTCAAGCTGCTTAACGCGATCAAACTTTCCGACTCCAAGGTCACGGTGGCCGATTTACCTCAAGACGAGTTCGAATTGCTGAAGCTCACGGCAATCTACGACTTTCTTTTGGTGGTGAACTCTGAGGTGAGCAAGGGCGTTTCCTCCAAGACGATCTTGGAAATATACAGGAAAAGCAAGCTACAGGATGACTCTTGGGATGAGGTTCTATGGAAAATTAATGACTCTTTAACTAGACTGAGCTTATGATATATAGTTTTTTTCTTTACGACGCGTCTACAGTCGCATATAATTCTCGTTCGTCTGATTTCCTGTTTTGGTTTTTTTTTATGCCAACAATACTATACTTAATAGAATAATTAGTATGGAGAATCTGTGTAACAGGCTTGAATTTTCGTGTCCAATCCATAATAATTAATCTAGAACATCGTCTACAACTAAAACAAGACTTTAATAAAGCAGAAAGATCGACATTTATTGAGCTACAATTTTTCAAATCTCTTTAGAACAAGTGTTTCGAATTTAAAACCTTTGAGAGATTAACAGGAAGAATGTCATCGTTTTTCAAAAGAAGTTCCAGGGACAAAGACCGAAAGGACAAAACACCCACAGGAAGAGTTTCGTCGACATCGTCGACCATATCCGTTGGTGGTGGATCAAATTCAAGTCGACAAGGGAGCATCAGCGCACCAACCAAGGTTATCCAGGCCTTACGGACTTACATTGCTCAACAGCCTGGGGAACTGAGTTTCAAGACAGGGGAGTTTTTTTATGTCACACAGCAGGTGACGTCTAACGATCCTTGGGTCACTGCTCACGATCCCGTGAGAAATATTCAGGGACGGGTCCCTGCATCCTATTTCAAATTCTTTGACAAAACACACAAACCGTCTGCGGAGAGCCCCACCTCTCTCGCTAGCGGAAGTCCAAAAGTTGGTAACAGCTACTCACCAACAATGTCCGCAAACAAGAGAGTGGCTCCCCAGCCGTCGTTATATGGCCGTTTACTCTATGATTTCAAAGCTGAAAGACAAGATGAGCTTGACGTGTCAGCTGGCGATAGCATCATCATTTGCGCACATCATGAATACGAGTGGTTCATCGGAAAATTCTTTGACAAAATCGGCGAGCCTGGTCTTGTCCCTGTGAGTTATGTGCAGTTGTTCGATATCACCTCCAAAGTCCCATACAGTGGATCTTCCAAAGAAATCATTGACAGAGAAAAAATACCCACAATCGAGGAGTGGAAGGCTATCAAGAACCGACACAAGGCAAGCGCAAGAACGGTTGGTGTTGCTGCTCACAAGGAAAGTCTTTCGAGATCATCATCTTCGGGCAAATTCCGTGCGCAGGAGACATCGTCCGTTTACACTGTTGACGTGAATATCGAGTCATTCTCCTGCACAAATGGCAAGTACTGGTATTTGGTTAGAGTGCTGTTTAACAATGGAATCACCAGAAGTTTGTGCCGCTACTACGAGGATTTCTTCAATTTCCACCAAAATGTTTTGAGTACTTGGCCTAAAGAAGGTGGAAAATTTGACAATAAAGACAAAAAGGAGAGAATCATCCCATTCATACCAGGACCATTGATGGAGGTCAGCGAGAGTCTTTGCCACAAAAGACTGGTTGATCTGGACTTGTACCTGAAAGGTCTGATCCAGCTACCCGACTACATTTCCAGGAGTACACTAGTCAATTCATTCTTTGACATTTTTGAAGGAGACCAAGAGTTCACGAGTCTTGATGCCGTGCAAAAAATTCCTATCCAGCCCCTGAGAAACCCACCAAACATGGTGATTCTCAATAAGAGCGAATCTCCAGATACCCACCATCATCATAGCACAAGAAACTCGCAATACCAACAAGATCGGTTATCGCATTACGAGAGAACCAACTCCATTAATAACAGATCCAACAGTGTACACATGCAGTCCCAGCCTCGGAGCCAGTCGCTGGTATCATCGTCCTCGTCGTCGGCGAGAATCCCCTCCAACTCCACAGCCAATGGAATACATCATCCTTCAAACGGCACCTCGATCACCCCAATTGAGCCAAACTCCGAGTCCGTCAGCAAGATCAAGCTCAAGTTCTACTATAAGGACGACATTTTCGCCATTGTGGTTCCCGAGAACATCCCGCTGTCGAACCTGAAGAAGCTCATCGTTCCGAGAATTGATGAATTCAACGACCCGGCAGTTGACCAGAAACTCAAGGTGATTCCTAAGACCTCGCAGAACCTCAGCCATTCCTCGTACGAGCCAGGCTCTGAGATTTCCTCGGACGCAGCTCTGTGGACCTCCGAGTCCTTCTGCGACAAGGGCAAGTTTTTGGTGGTTATATAAATGACAGGCTTTTTGATTGCAAAGTATGTATAATTTATAAGTCAGACACCATAAATTTCCTTTCTCTTCTGAGACTTGGCGCTGTATGCTCTCAGAAGCCGTTGTAGATGCGACGCGTTCTCATCCATGTACGCCTGTTCAGCAATGTCCCGGTTTCCTGGGCGGTCTTTCAGGTTCATGGCTGCTTCGAGAACATAGTAGTTGTAAGCTGTTTTGATCTTCCGTTTATCATACACTCGTCTGATGGAATAATCAACGGTCCAGCTATTATTGACAGGATCGTCCAGTATCTCCAATGGAGGAGTTGGGTATTTGCCGCGGAACAGCTTCTTGTTGAAAAAGTGTTCGGTGGTCAGTCTGAACATGACACATTTATTCTCGTCGTGGATTGTCGAGTCGATGATATCCTTGTTCAGCTTGAGCATCTCGGCGTGTTGAACAGACCGAGACTCAGCCATCCGAATAATCCTTTCCATCGGTAGCTCTTCGCCTTGCGAAGCTGCAAGGTCCTCCTTGTCCAGGTCAGTGATTTCGTCGGCCAAGCTACCAAGTTTTCTGAGCATCTCGTTATCCACAACCGTGGCAATGAACTCGACCCGCGGACCAAACGCGTCGGGAACACACTTGGTTATCAGACGGAATGGCTGTCCTTTGGTCTCCTTGATGATTTTGTCCAACACTTTCTGCCACATCTGCATCGAGACTTTGAACTCGAAGTCGGCCATAAACGAAGACAGGGCCTCTCGCTTGGTCTGCCAATGGTTGCCAATATCTTCCACCACGTCGTTGTAGTCTGCACTCTCACGCTCCTCCAAGTCGAACCCGTGGAAGATGTGGTCGAGCTCTGTGGTTGGCATGTACTGGAACCCAAAAAACCGTCTCATGTTATGGAATGCGACGAAAATGCCGTCCATATTTCCGATACGCGCCTGCATGCTGTACTTCCACATGCCTGTTCTGACCAAGTCGAAGATTTCGCGCTCGAAACTCTCGTACAGACCGGTCGACCTGGTGATCTCGTAGTTCGTTAATTGGTAGTTGTTGAAGTTTATGTCGTGTCTCACTGCACAGACCGCCCGAGCCTTGAGGTCAAAAATACCCGTGCCCGGCAGATCGCTGTTTCTAGCGTCCGACTGCGACCGCATCAGAAAGTTGCCCATCTTGGCATACTGGTAGCTGTTTTCTGCGTTTCCTGCTTCGGCGCTCACAGGCGAGGATTTGAGGTATTTGGCAAACTCCTGCGGCTCCACAGTCAGCATCAGCTCAAGCTCGTGACCAAGAAGCGACAGAGCAATCTCTGTATCTGTTGATCTGTCGGAGTCGACCGAGAAATAACCGTCACCTTTGGGAGCCACCACAGAAAAGGCACTCGATTTGGCGTTTCTAGTGAAAGACGTTGTGGACGGGAACTCCTGTGACAGATGTCTAGTGAAACAGGGCCGGAAATTGCTCAAAAGCATATGGAATTGTTTCAGGGTATTGGTCATAGACGAGGTGGATGAAAAATATCTAATTTTCTCGTGGGAGCCGACATTTTGGTTGATCTCAGAAGCAATCTTTTCCATTATTGCGTCTCTTGCCGGAGGAACAAAGCCTGCAATCAGATCAAACCTGAAATCGTCGATGCTGGGGATATGCTGCAGAGTAGGACTAAAGTTAAACCTTCTGGTTCTAGGATCTTGCATATAGTGTACTCCGGGCGAAAACAAAACAGACTCCAGATTGTGCGCAAGTCCCGGAATTTGGGATTTATCCGAGCTATAATCCGTCAGAGCAACGTATGGAGCCACAGAGTCCAGGCTTGCTGAATAGACTGCAAAGCTTTTATCAGAAAGAAGCCTGATCTTGCTTCGTAGTTCTTCTATGGCCTTGGCGGTTTTGTTTTTCTTTGATATTCGGGGAAGCGATCTAAAGACATCGGAATAGTGTCGGCACTGACACAAAGTAGTCGCTTTTGAGGCACACCCTGCTTTTATCATGTGTGATCCTGAATAAATAAAAATTGAATTTTTTTTACGATTTTTTTTAATTGTCTATACAGAAATCATTTATAAGAAAAGCACAGAAACCAGGACCAAAACGGAACTTAAGCTTCCAACGCTCAGCTGAGCAGCTTCGCCCTTCGAGGAAGAGGAAGTCTGGGAAGCAGATGAGGTCGACGAGGAAGTCGTTGCTGAAGTTTTGGTAGACGAGGCAGACGTCTTGGTAGAGCTAGAAACAACTTCGGAGCTAGAAACATCGGAGTAGTCAAAACTGCCATCACAGGATTCTTGGGTCTCGGCGTCGAATCCGGATCCTTCACCAGCTCCCTTCTCGAACAACGATGAAGCGTCCGACGGGGTATCTGGAACATTAATGTCAAAGTCCCAGCCGGTAGGACAGCTGGATGCAGTGTTGGTGGTCACATATCCTCCGTCGCCAGTCGGGTCCGTGGTGGAGTTCAACATATCCTTGAGGTTGTTGAAGTCGTCCAAGGTGGTGACAGAGTCGCCGTTGATCTCCACCAATCCGTAATTATCAGCTTCTTGAGAGTACTCGTAAACAAGTCCACCAGAGAAAACAGAAGACATCTGAGTAGAGTAGATCGAAGCAACCTCAGAAAACTCTCTGGTACCCTGAGTGTTGCATCCGTACTCGGAGAGGAAGATAGGAGCAGAGTAACCAGTGTATGACTTCACCTTTTGAGAGTATCCCGATTGGGTGAAAGAAGAGTGTCCACACCAAGAATAGTCATTGACACCAAGCATGTCGACTCTCGCAGTAGAGTCATTACCACAGTTGAGGTAGTGAGCAAGATCGAGTCTGACAGAGGAAACATCAGCAGCAGAGTAACCAACAGGGATGCTTCTGTAGTTCCTGGCCTTGATGTACTTTTTCAAGTCTCTCACGGTTGCCTTGATGTATGGAGCGGTGTCCAAGACGGACTCATCGTTGACGACTTCGTTACCAGCGAAGAAACCAAGAACGTTGTCGTAGTCGGCAAACGCATCAACCGTTGCAAAGATGCTTTGCAAGAAATCGGCGTTGTAAGAGCAGTTTGGGTTGCTTCTGGAAATCGAAGCTCCTGGTGTGGTGACATCAAGAATTAGGTAAATTCCTGCATCATCCAGCTTCTGCATACACTCGGAGTGATCCAAGGTGTTATCGACGGAGTACACTCTGATAGTGTTGAGGCCAAGCTCCTGGAAGTATGGGATATCTCTGGAGCAACTTTCAACATCGCCAAGCGGGTCCGTCAAATTGGACGATCCTCCCGGTTGGTAATCAACACCTCTGATGTAGAATCTCTCTCCTGTCTCGGAGTTGAGAAATGCATTACCTGTAACGTTGATACTTGGCAAGGCAGCAGACACAGCGCCAGCGAGTGATAACCAAAAGAGCGAGAGTCTCATGATGTGCAAATCTCAGTTCAGATGTAAATATTTTTATTTATCTTCAACTTGCATGAAAACACGGAAAATTTTAGATCGGTGAAATTCCAAAACATCTGGTGGATCTGAATTCGCACTTAGTCCGACTCGTCCAGAAATTCTTTTTTGGTCAGCGACTCGGCGTCTCCTTCTAGATTGGTAACTGTTGGCTCTGATTCGCTTACAGGCTCCTTGATGGACTCCGTCTTCTCCAAAGTTGGCTCGGTAGCTGTTTCTGTGACTGGCTTATCTTGGGGCTCTGGGTCAGTTTCGGTTTCTTTTTCTGTAGTCTCTTCTTTCTCCAAGTAGTCATTTTGTGGTTCCTGATGTATCTCCTTCACAGGAGTTTCATCAACGGCCGGTTCCGGAGACTCGTTAGAGTCATCAACGGCGTCAAAGAACTCCTTCTCTTCTTCGGGCTCAGGCTTCTTCTTTCTCAGATCTAGGCTCCATGATGGCGCCACAAAGAGGTCCAATTTGTTTCCCAAACTTTCTTCATTCACTTCAACCTTGTCTTTCACCGTAGAAGGCAACTTACGTCCACGCGGTCCCTTGACCCTGCCTTTTCTAACATCAGCAACCTGTTCATTGCTCTCGTTTGTTTCTGGTTGTCTGAAAGCAGCCATTCCAGGAAGAGGCATTCCAGGCATTCCTGGAAACGCCATTCCAGGGAGAGGGAATCCCATCATTGGTTTTGGGGCCGCAGCAGGAACAGAATGCTGCTGCTCCTCAGCGTCCTCCGTATTCTTTCTTGTGGGACGTTTAGTTGGAACAGGAGGTTTTGGCTTGAAGAAGCCCATATCCTGTTGCTGACGTTCAGCAAGCATCTGCTGGAATGCAGCAATCTTGGAAGACGGTTTCTTTGGAACAACAGGCTTGTTCGAGTCTGTGGAGGATTTTGCTGATATGCTTTGACTCACTTCGGAAGATTTTCCCGAAGTAGCCTCGCTCGGTGGAGCAGGAGACGCAGACTTGGAGGATGCTGGTTCGGGAATCACAGAAGGTGTTTCTTGCGTCACCTTTTCTACTGGGTTTGGAGTCTCAGCGATTTCAGAATCAACTGACCTCGACACTTTCGTTGGCTCATCAGAAGTAATATGCACAGACTCAGTAGGCTCAGCAGGTTCGCTGGGCTCGATGAAATCTGACACCACTGGCTGTTTTGTTGTCTCGGTTTCTCCCTTTTCCGAACCCTCGGTGACAGAAATTGTAGGCTCGAGCTCAGGCTCTTGAGATTTCTCGAGCTGCTTAGGTTCCTCAGATTCCTGAGGTTGCTGTTCTTTGAGCTCTTCGACCTCTTCTGGTTCTGGTGATTTAGAATCGACGTCCTTTTTCGCGAGCTCGAGTTCAGGAGAATCAGCTGGTTCCTCCTCAGCTTTTTCAGTCTCCAGGGGACTCAGCTCTGACACATCTGAAATGGAGCTCACTTTTTCCGAAAAAGACTCTGGTTCCAAACTCTTGGTCTCGGAAGACTTTTCCAGAGCAGGCTCGATATCATCAACAGACTCAAATTTCAAGTCAGACACGGTTGATTCGGGCTTCGTGTGACCTAGGTCATCTTTTTGATCAGGCTCGTCAGAATTCTCCTTCAACTCCGTAGCAATTGGAAGATTTGGATGAACAGAATCTGCTGGTTCGAAAGCAGCCGGTTCGCTTCCTTCCTTTTGTCCCTTGCGTGGCTGTTCTGGACTTTGCTCGTCATATATTTCCAACACAGTCTGATAGGTGGGGGTATCAGGGGAAGGCTCGGCGGGAAGACTGGACTCGCTTGAGATAGAATTGATTTTGCGTGGTCTCCTTGTTGGGATCTGTGGAGCTGGTTGTAACTCTGGCACAGAAGATGAGTCTTTTTTGTCAGAGTCTACTGTTTCCCTCCGCTTAGGTCTGGAGGAAGGGATCACTGGAACGTCCAGATCGTCTGCAATGGGCGATTCAGACTTTCTGGGACGCGTTGTTGGGATAGAAGGAGCCGAAGGCTCTTTCTTGGGTCTCTAAATGGTTAGAATTGGGTGAAATTACGTACATGAGTAGGAACAGCTGGCACATCCATATTATTTTTACTTCGCGATTGGCAATATAATTCATTATATTGTTATCCTCAGACATACACGCATATATAATGATGTATACAGAGAGAAATAGAGTGCGAGCGATCCACAGACAGTTAATGGTGTAGAATAACCGTCCAAGACCGCTTTGATCATATTTGCACATGTTTGATTCTGCGCATCGCAACATGCTAAGCACGGGACATTTAAGCATAATTAAGTCTGAAAATGTCGTTCAAAACGTAGTAAGAGCCTGCGTCAGGAATCAAGTGGAACACCTGAGAGTATCTTTGAGAGTTTTGTTCCTCGTCGATCAATAATTCACCGGTAACCATGACCAAGACGTCTCCGTTTTCGGAGGCTGGTTGGGCATCCAAGGTGGAGATTCTGTGGGCAACCTTGTTGAATCCCAAAGCAACAAGCTTCTCAATGATGTTACGAGCACCCTGGATCTGAGAAGACTCGAAAGTCAACATGGAGTGGTCCCTCTAATTCTGTTAGTAATCATCCAAATTTGCTGCAAATTAACTTACGTAAAGGTTTCCAAGCTGAGATCTGTCCTTGTCGAACTGATCGTAGTAGAAGCTGCAGAATTGTTGAGCCAAAGCGTTGAAGTCCACCGACATTATTGAAAGAACAAAGTATTAATGATACAAAAATTTTCGACCTCGCGGCATTACATTAATTTAATATTCTACTTCGTTCTTTTAGGTGTCGCTAGCTCCAACAACCTCCAAAATGCGCAATTGGGTTTCGTTGATTTTCCTATAGCTAGCGGCCAGCTCTTTTAGTTTTAGTTTGTCATTTTCCTTGCTTACCCTCGTAAACGGCGGAATCAGGAACCCAATGGGTACTTCCACCTGGTCTTCAATAACACAACAATCTCTAATGATGGATCCTGTTCCAAGTTTGCAGCCTTTGCCAATTGACACACGATTCCCAATATTGCAATTCGAATCAACCTGGGTTCCGTAGCCTATTCGCGTCAGTGTTCCAATCTTCACATCGCCATTGGTGGAATCAATGCAAACCTGGGGCTCAAAGTAACACCGTTTGCCGACCTTGATACTGTGGTCTCCAGCGTTTATATGACAATCCTCGCAAACCGTCACCTGTCCGGCTAAAGCGATCCTATTCAGACCTTTGATCTTGCAAGATTTATGGATCCGGTTGCCGGAAGATGTTTCCAACCACTGATCCATTTGTCTTTAGAAAAGATACGTTTTTTATTTTCGAGCGAGAATAAATATATTGAATTGACGATTATAATAGCCAAGCCATAACCTTTCCAAATTTAGAATCTGGCTTGAATCTCATATTCTGCATCTTCTCATAGTATTCGGCCTCGTGTTCCTCGATCTCTTCCAAACCAGAGGTCAAATCAGCAGTAGCTGGGTCAACCATCTTGGATTTCATGATAAGCTTCCATCCAACAAGAATCACGATATTCAGGAACAGAATCAGGTAGTAGTACAGGAAGGAGTCAATGTTGAACTCCGGAACGAAAGCGAAAACACCCAAGAAAGCTATCACAATGAACATGCAAACAGCACCGTAGATTGCAGGATATGGCTGCCATTTGGTCAAAATGCTTTGCAGTGGCAGAGTACTTCTGTCCAGTCCTTGGGCCTTGCATGCTCTGTAGAATCCGAGATAAACAATCATCATGTAGAAGTAGTTGATGAGCTGAGATCCAGTGGTGAGGTTGATCAACCAATTAAGCACAGTAGATCCTCTACCATCAAGCTCCAACAGCGACAAACAAGCGAAGGCAGTGGAAACAACAAGACACACAAATGGCACACCGTCACGGGTTGTGTAAGTGAAGATTTTCAAAGACAGCCGTCTCTTAGCCAGAGCAAAAAGAGATCTGGTACCGCAGTACATGTAAGAGTTTCCTGCAGAGAAGGAAGACAGCATACACAAAACGTTCACAATGTCTGGCAGCACTTTGATACTCATGTTTTGCATCGAGATAACATACGGGGAAACGTTGGCTCCCGAAGCTCCCTCAGCAACAGCGTTAGCAAGCTTTGGATCGTTGTGATTCAGAACAATACCAACACACAAAGCACCTCCGACGAAGAAGAACAGCAATCTGAACACGATGGTCTTGAATGCCGTCACCATGGTCTTTCTTGGGTTCTCTGCCTCTCCTGCCACCATTCCCAGGTATTCTGGGGCAGCCATAGAGAAAATGGCTTTACAGTAAGCAGACCAGAAAGCACTGGCACCTGTTCCGAGATATTTTGGGAATGCGTTCTCATAACTTCCGAAATTTCTGAAACCGTATCTGTCATGCTGAGGGTTTCCTCCCAACATGGTGATGAAAGTGTAGAACATCAAACCAGTAGCCAAGATAATTTTTCCAGATGAAAGGATGAACTCGGATTCTCCATACCATTTGACTGCAAACACGTTCAAAATGATGTAGACAGCAATCATTGGAACCAGAGTAGCTGCTGGGGAGTAGTCCTCCGTCCAGTAGTGAATCATGTTGTTCACAGAAGTGAGCTCGAAAGGCACATAGAGAGCCATCATTAAATAGAAGTTGTAACCGAAAGCAACCTCCAAAGCAGGATCAACAAAACGACCAGCGTGTGTGATAAATGGAGAATCAACAGGAAGATAGCAGACAAGCTCACCGATGGTGATGGTGACGACATACATTAAGAATGCATGGAGAATAAATGCCACCAAAAGGTTACCTGGACCAGCAGTGGCCAAGGCCCAACCAATGGTAACGAAAAGCGCAGTACCGATGGATCCACCGACACTGATCAGGTCGATGTGACGACGACGCAGTTTACGCACCGTGTGTCCATCCGAAATGAATCTACCTTGAGGTTTTTGTTCAGACTCAGATAGAGAGATGACCTCCACTGCCTGAGTGGAGATCTTGGTCTTAAGCTTTTCTGACTTGGCGTTGTAGTTTTCCATTGGAAATTCCACAAGCTGAATTGGATGGAAAATTGTTGAGATATAAACGAATAGTGCGTTTCTTATCTCGAACTGACACCCAATCTTATCAGTTAAAATTGGAAACAATCAGCGCTCTTAATCGCGAAAGCAATGAAATCGAGTTTTCCATCTAAGCGCTAACAATCGGAGCACTTATCATGCTTTCAGAAGCATGCCTCACAAGCATGCAAAGAGAAGATCATATAAGATAAAGATCAAAGGTGCATAAATGGAAAATTGTTATCGGAAGTCTCGAAATGGCCAAAAAAGCCGCTGCAAAATTATTGTCAGGCAGGTGTTCCCGCCCTGCAAGCTGAAAAACAGCAGCCTAGTTTTTTTTCTAGTCGCGTAAAAGTTGTCACTGGCTGAGTAAGTCCCAAAATGGGTGGATTCAATAACGTTATCTTATCTAATAGCCACTTTGTTCCTCATTACAATGTTTCGGTCGACATCAAGAGGCTCACCGTCTTGTTGAAAGACAAAGAAACAACAGCAACTATCTATCCAATCTTCTCCCCTGACGATTTGCCTTTCGAATTGTTACGTTTCTTGACGCAAGAATACAATGACGAAATAGCTCGAGGTGATACGCAGCCCTTCTTCGAGCCGCTAACTATTGACGAATTTCGCGATTATTGGTTTGGTCAGTTCGCAGCTGTCATGGTCCTCGGAGACCATTCAACTCTGGATCTCTCGTGGTCTCACAAAGAATGGGCCAAGAGATGTCTTGGCACCTTTTTCATCAAGGCAAGTTATCCCGGTCGATCCGCTCACGTTGCTACAGCAAACGTTCTCGTGAACGCAGGTATTCGAGAAAAGGGAATCGGTCGGACGTTGGCGGAGTGTTTTCTTGCGTGGGCCCCGAGATTAAGCTATACATACGCGATGATGGAATTGATTTTTGAGACCAACGCCCCCGCTAAGGCTGTTTTGGAAGGTCTACATTTCAAGAAGATAGGACGCGTCAAAGGATGTGGACTTTTGAAAAGCAGCAAAGATTTCCTAATTGACGCTATCACATATGGAAGGGAACTGGATCCACCTGAAGTGAAAACTGACCAGAATTCCAAGTACGAGAAAATTCGCCAATTCTTGCTCACTAGGAAGTACCCAGAAGACGCTGACCGACAGGAAAAGTCCCGCTTGCGCGCATTGGCTTCACATTATTCAGTAGAGAGCGGGAAATTGTACTTGAAGGGGAAAGAAGTTATCATCAACCAAAACGATCAATTACGTATTATAAGAGAGGCACATGAAAAAGGGCACGGCGGAATCAACAAAACTACGTCATATTTGTGTGACAAGTACCACTGGCCAAAAATCAAGGAGATGGTGGCCCATGTGGTCAAGGCCTGTCCTGACTGCAAGGACCCAACTCGAGCATCTATAAAGCGATCCGAGGTTCCTACTCCCAAGCTTAAAACCAAGTCACCAAAACAGCACCAGTATTTACAAAACCAATCACCTCCTTTATCTCAACAACTTCCAGATATCTCTCACATCTACCAGAGTGCAAACATGGACTCGTCGAGCTCGTTTAACGAGATCCTCGCTGGCTCAGGAATATCTGACGTCGTTGAAATGGTTCAACGGCAGAATCGGCATCACCAAGATTCTCATCAGTCGAACGCTTTTGCCGAGTATCCTTCCCACTTCCGCCCGCCAACCCCGTCTAATTTCAATTACGATTCTCCAAACGAGAACCCGGATATCCCAACACCTGCCGACCCGGCATCTCTACGGTACAAGGACTCCAGATCTATCCCTATCGATCCGGCAGTAAGCAAATCAGAGCACCGGGAAAGACTCGGAACGGAAGAATCTGCATCCTCAGAAATTGACATGGCCAGGGCTATCTTGCATGTGGGCCAAGACCACTCAGACAATTAAACATCTTTAATTTGATTATGTAATGATCTGCAAAAAAAGAATTCAAGGGAAGAAAATTGAAACTAAAACAAGTAAATTTAATCCGAAGAATACACTAGGAAGGGTCCAAGAGCATGATAATATAGCACAAACTTCAGCGAAACTGAATTATGAGAACCCAAATACCACGATCATTGCCCAAACGGAGCATATCGTTTCAATATGAGTTTCGACGGAGCAAGCAATTTTGGTTCAAGGTGAGGAAAGGCATCTATTATGTTCAAGAAAAACTGGGGCCTATAGTTCGCCGACTAATACCAAACTTCCTGGTTGCGCATTACACATATATCATCTTTTGGTGCATTATAGGGTCTATATTGATTTATCCACAGCGGAACATCAAATACATAGATGCTTTGTTTTTTGCATGCGGTGCATCTACACAAGCTGGGCTGAACACAGTCGATACAAACAAGCTTACGCTGTTCCAGCAAATGGCTATATATATTGTGTCCATGTTGACGACCCCCATTTTCATCCATTCGGCCATTGTTTTCCTCAGACTGTTTTGGTTTGAAAAGTCCTTTGATGACATTAAAGAGAAATCCATGCAGAATTTCAAAATGAGACGATCGGCAACCCTGGCACAGTTTAGAACACAAACTATGGACAGCAGAACACTGACAACAAACCGTACAAACACAACAGTCGCACATACGAAGGGTTACAACACTCATAATGCTTCCGAGGACTTGGGTGAAAGATTGAACAAGCTAAACCAAAAGCAGCAAGAAGAAGACCACGAGCAAAAGTTGGATAAAGTATTTGAAAATGAGTATTTTGTGCCAACGTCCTCAAGCTCTGGTGGCTCACCAGAGATGAAGAACCATGAGAAAGGTCATGACATTGAGATGGTCGATCTGGATGGCTCGAGGTCTCGTAATGAACAGGCTGTGCCCGTAATCCATTACAGCGAGCCGAGCGACGACGAAGAAGAAGAAGAAGCAGAAGAAGAAGAAGGGGAGGAGGAGGAAGAAATTCCACAGGAGTATGTTCCACATACAAGGGATATCAAGTTTGCGGAACTCCCCAAACCTCCAAAAAAACGGCGTGAAAAGGACGTTGAACCAAGAGATTTGTACATGTCCATTTCCATGATGCAGCAAAATAAAAACAATGATACGGCAGACGATGAGTCTGGACCAGCATTAGTGATCCAAGGGCCTGCGGAGCGCACAGGATTCAAACTACCAGGCCACATCAGCCGTCATGAAAAGGAGCTGAAACGGAAGCAGATCAAGAAGCTCAAAAAGATGGAAAAAATGCAAACCGAACAGCCGAAAGCAAATCCCGCAGATCCTCCGAGAGGAAGAGCTATTCAGTTTGAGGATCCTGTCCGTCCTCCAAGAAGCAGTGCGAACCGACCACGACACGAATCTGCATCCCCTTTAGTGCCAGAGCCGGAAGCAGAAGCAGAAGCAAGCGAGGACGAAAATCTGAGTGCTGATGAGGGTGACTTGCATTCCGTTGGTGATTTGAGCGATGATCAACACCTCAGCGACGAAGAGGATGGAAGTGGCTTCCGGCACATTGGAAGGACTCAATCGCACGTTGTCAAGTTACCTACTGAACAGCATGGAACTAAAATCGATAGGAGGGCCCATACCTTTGATGTCTCTACCAAGAAGAACCCAGAAAACCACAAGAAAGTAACAAACATTGTCAAGTCGCCAACTTTTGATAAGATGCTTCGCAAGAATATGAAGAAAAAGGCAAACAGGTTCACCAGAATAGGAAGAAGATTTACAGCATCCAGATCACTCCCATTTACATCTTCGGTTGACAGTGCTGAAGACCTGTCGGATGATGGACTCATCAGTCTTTATTCAAGATCAAGCAGGAATACACAGCCCAAATACTTGTCTTGGACTCCAACAATCGGAAGAAACTCCACTTTTGTGGCTCTTACGGATCAACAAAAGGAAGAGCTGGGTGGTGTTGAGTACCGTGCTTTGAAACTACTTAGTGCAATTCTCGTGTTTTACTACGTTGGTTTCCACTTAATGGGAATTGTGTTCTTCGTCCCCTTCATCACGACGAAACTGAGATACTTGAACCTTGTGAGAGAGGACGGTGTTGCGCCAGTTTGGTGGGGGTTTTGGTATCCACAGACCTGTTTCAATGACTTAGGAATAACCCTTACTCCTGACTCGATGAACTCGTTTAGCGAGAACGCTTATTCTTTGATTATTGGAGGGTGTTTGATCATTGCAGGTAACACTGGTTTCCCTATCATGCTCAGATTTATTATTTGGATTCTATACAAGTTTTCCAGACCGCTGACGTTGTTCAGAGAATCGCTTGCTTTTCTGATGGAGCACCCCAGAAGATGCTTCACTTTGTTGTTCCCTTCGGGCCCTACCTGGTGGCTATTCTTTGTGTTGGTGGTGTTGAACAGTATTGATTGGCTCTTGTTCATTATTTTGGACTTCAACAAGCCTGTGCTTTCTGGAGTCGACCGAGGATATCGGGTCCTGGACGGACTTTTCCAAGCTATTTCCACGAGAACTGCTGGACTCAGTGTGGTGGATCTATCTCAGTTAAGTCCTGCTGTTCAGGTGAGTTATTTGGTGATGATGTATATCTCTGTGATGCCTCTTGCCATTTCTATTAGAAGAACCAATGTTTATGAGGAACAATCGCTTGGAGTTTACTTTGACAACGATGCGAATAACAATGAGAACGACGACAAAAAGCAGCAGACCATTTCCTTTATTGGAACACACTTGCGGAAGCAACTTTCTTTTGATCTTTGGTTCCTTTTCCTCGGTTTGTTCATTATTTGCATCTCTGAAGGAGGAAAGCTAACCAATGGGGACGTTCATTTTACCATTTTTAGCGTTCTTTTCGAAATTACGTCGGCATATGGTACTGTTGGATTGAGTCTTGGGTACCCAAACACAACTCCCTCATTTTGTGGCCAGTTCAATACGCTTTCCAAGGTTGTCTTGATTGTCATGATGGTGAGAGGACGCCACAGAGGATTGCCATACGCTATTGACAGAGCCATAATTTTGGAGACCGACAAGATCAAGATGAGAGACGATATGCAGGCGCATCATACTTTGAGGAGAACTCAGACTCTGCAGCCTCATCTGACGTCTGTGTCTTCGCAAAACGCACCATTACTGCGTGTCAATACAACGAGGAACGAAGAGCTGGACACAAGCAATATCATTCCATTTTTGAGACGCAAGGCCTCGGCTGCCGCCGGGGAACTAAAAAGAAGTTTGCTTCATCACGGCAATGACAATATAGATGAAGAAGCCCTGGATTTCGACGATGACGAGTCTGTGCCATCGTACCCTAGATATAGAGACCCCCAGTTTGAAGGCACAGACGTGATCAGCGGCAATGTTCCCGAGGGTGAGTCTGTGTCACCGCAGGAGCAGGCTTCTGTTTCCTCGAGAGATAAGTTGAAACGTCATAATTCCTTTTAATTAATTTTAATACATGCTTATCGATTAGTGTCTTCTGTAAACGACTTTCTGCTTTCCCCAGCCACACTTCAATGGCCGGCCCTGGATCGCCATATTGGCCAATTGCATTAAAGCACTGGCCGCGTGCGCATGGGAGTCATACTTGACGAAAGCGCAGGATTTTTCAGAAAGGTGCTGGAAGTCAACGATATACCCAAAGTTCTGGAGAAGCAAGATAAGATCGTTCTGGCTCACGGAGCGCGGTAGGTTGCCCAGGTATATCGTAGTGTTCCAGGTCTGGGGAAGGAAAGTAGGGCTGACGGGGAGAGAGTGTTTTGGGAGCTGTAAATTTTTCTCGTGGCGGGGCACGTTGCGCGTTGCCCAGTTCAGTCTGACCGGGCGTCCACAGATCGGCGCCCCCGACATGGTCTCCAGACACTTTGTGGCGTCGTCGAGGTTTGCAAAGGAAACAAAGCCGTATCCGCGGGAGTAGCCGCTCTTCATGTCCCACATGACACTGGCCTGAATGAGCGATTGGAAATGGCCAAACGCAGACGAAAGAGATTCGTCATCCACTTCTGGCGACAGGTCGCCAACAAAAAGGTTGTACGAGCTGGTGGTCTTGGACTGCTGCGTTCTGAATGCCCAGGAAATTGTGAGCGGGTATCCTTCCAGAACCGCGCCATTCAACGAAGAAAAAGCGGTTTGTGCTGCCGAATGCGACTCGAACTCTATGAACGAGTAATTGAACCCAGATCTGTTCTTATCTGCCAAAAGCTTGATGCTACGGACAAACGAGCCGTAAGACGAAAACAGCCCCTTAAGCGCTGTTTCTGTGATCGAGTGGTGGATGCCTCCAACATAAATAGTGGTAGCTGATAGTTTTCGACCTCCTTCAGTTGCACTTGCAGGCGAGACCAGCTGTTCTTCCGGCTCGGCGCTTGTGACAGGAGTCTCCATGGGAGCTGGCGGAGACGCCGAGGGCTCTCCAACGGGAGTTTGTTCGAGGGTGTTTCCAGATTCCATGAAAAACGATATCAAATTTGCTAAACTAAGTCAGCCGCTGGATGATGCAGGTTAAAATATTCCATGCTCTGGGCACAGTGAACAATTTCTGAGCCACGCTTGTTTGTAATTGACATGTCTTTGCGCGACTACATTTCACCACAATTGGATATGACGACATCGATCAACGGTTTCTCATTCTCCACAGATACGCGTTCAATGGTCTCTATTATATCTTGTCCTTCGACCACATGGCCAAACACTACGTGCTTGCCGTCAAGGAAGTGGTTGGGAGCAAGATTGATGAAAAACTGACACCCGTTGGTGTCCGGCCCCGAGTTGGCCATTGCAACCGTGAACGGCTCGTTCTTGTACACAAACGCCTCGTCCTCGAACGCGTCCAGGCCAAAAATGGTTTTCGTTCCTGTTCCATTCCCACGCACAAAGTCGCCCCCTTGTAACATGAACCCTGGCACGAGTCTGTGGAACTTGCTCTGCTTGTACCCTATGGGTCTTCCCTGTTCTTTGTACTCTCCTGTACAGAATTGGCGGAAGTTTTCGGTGGTCCTAGGTAGCTGCTCCGTGTACAGCTCAATTTTCACACGTCCCAACGGCTTTGGACCGAGACTCAAATCCAAAAACACCGTGGTCATTATGCATCAATTTTTTTGATGGGAAATTAATGTTGAGAATCAGTTAGATAAAAAAATAGTCATTGAATTATACGAGTCCCAATTAAAATGTCCTCTGATCACCACCGTGTCCACACTTCTGTGCCAGACACAACGGCAGCCATTGACAGAAGTTTGCCCGAGTTCCCAGCGGCCAAGCCAATCGACGAGGACAACTATTTCAGACTGCACAAGCCTCCTCAGTATCTATCGCAGATCTCGAGAGACGTGGCCGACTTTATCAACTTCCACCACCAGGCCAGACGTAAAATCGTCCTGGTCACGTCCGGAGGTACTACTGTGCCGCTGGAAAACAACACGGTGCGCTTCATCGACAATTTCAGTGCTGGAACCAGAGGTGCTACTTCTGCAGAGTATTTCTTGGAAAACGGGTACGCAGTGGTGTTTTTGCATAGAGAATTCTCGCTTTTACCATACTCCAGACATTATAGCCATACCACCAACTGCTTTCTTGACTACATGACCGAGTCCCAGAATGGGAAAGTGGAAGTCAACGCCGAGTTCCAGAAAGAGATGCTCGTGGTGCTTAGAAAGTACAGACACGCCCAGAAGAATAATCTGCTTCTTCTTGTTCCATTCACAACTGTCCACCAATACCTGTTCACATTGAAGCTGATCGCCCAGGAGCTGTCTGTTATAGGGTCAGACGCTCTTTTTTTCCTCGCAGCTGCGGTGTCCGACTTTTTCCTTCCATCCTCGCGTGTTCCGGAACACAAGATCCAGAGCCAGGAGTCGGGCGGTAAATTGGTTGTTGATCTCGAGCCCGTGCCTAAATTTTTGAGTAGACTGGTCGATTCATGGGCTCCGATCTCGATGATTGTCTCGTTCAAGCTCGAGACCGATAATTCGATCCTGATTAAGAAATCCAAAGGTGCTTTGGAAAGATACAACCACCAGTTGGTGATTGGAAACTTGTTGCAGAGCAGAAAACGCGAGGTGGTATTTGTCACTAAGGACAGCGACAGATGGGTCAAGCTCACTTCTGACCAAATAGAAGCCAACGTCGACATCGAGTCGTTGATCGTTCCAGAGGTGATCAAACTGCATGCAAGCTCCATTGAAGAGAAAAGAAAAGTCGGTCTATAGACCTCATAAATGCTTTAATGATTCAAATTGTTACAAAAAGGATAGTCCAATCCCCCATTGAATACCCTTTCTCACTTCGTCTCCATGGTGGATAGCAACAGGGAGAGTGAAGTTCAGCTCAAATCTGGCAGCAGGATGTGCGTACATCAGTCCAATTCCTGTAGAAACATTCATCTGTTTGAAAACATTAGAGTAGCCCCAATCTGCCTTTGTAGTATCAAGATTGATGAGCTTTCCTGCGTTCACAAACGAATGAATCTTGAAATTGGACTCGCTCGACAAAAATGGCACCCGGTTGAACAAACTGAATCCAAGTCCACAGAATGCGTCTCCTCCAATGCTCAGACCCATCTGTTTGGGCCCGATTCCGGAGTTCCAGAATCCGCGAATGTCATTAGGGCCTCCTGACTGGAACTTGTCCATAGGGTGAACTAGCGAGCTTCCCAATGCCTTGATCAATCCTGTTCTGGCCACAACACTGACACCGGCGGACTCGTTCAGCTTCAATGCCTGGGAAAGCTGCAAGGTGGTTTTGACGAAATTGGAGGCAGGCAGGAACGAGTACTCTGTAGTCGACTTGACAAAGTGACCAGACGTTGGAAATATGGGCTGGTTGCGGGTATCATGCGAAATTGCATAGACCAGGCTGGTTTTAGGAGAAGTTCCGGCGTTGAATAGAAAATAGTCGTTTATCAATGAGTTGTTGCGGTACCCGTTAGGGGATTGTTCGAGTTTGATGGATCTGATCAAGGTCTCCAAAGAGAGCTCTTGGTTGATCCTCTTTTCAAATGGAAGATAGTTCGTAGACAGCTTAGTTGTGATTCCGCTCACGCCCTGTTCGTGGTATGTTGTATAGTCTATGAATCGTGAGGAATGGTAACACATGGTGCTGAACTTATAATCTGGGCTGTTGAACACGGGCATGCTGTAATTTAAAAGATACTGGGATCTGTTTTTCGAACCGATTTGGTTGGAAGCCATGTTAGTATCAAAAGTCAAAGACTCTGCTCCTCCAAATATGTTTCTCCATTGTAGTGTCAGATATCCGTCCCCTTCACCGTTTCCAACATTCGTTCCGACATTCATAAATAATTTCTTCACGGGCTTGACTGTGATTAATGTGGTCAATTCCAAAGTGTCCCTCCCCAACAACGGTGATCGGTAGGAATGTGGATCTATCATCGAAGAAACCTCGTTCATCGAGCCGGTTTTCGTGAAATTATATGCTGTAGCGTCGACATTCTGTAGGAACGACTGGAGTGTGAATGCATGCGGATGTTTCAACAAAGGTCTCAATTGTCGAGCAAGAAAAGTATCTCTGAACTGCGAACCAGACCCTTGGATCGTGACATGGTTTAGTCTGACCGGTCGGAGCGAGTTTTCCAGCAAAAGCTCGCTTAGAATTTTCTGGTTGTACTCCATGATGACCTGCTGTCTTTTCATCTCCAGCTCCTCAATGGGAGTAGTTTTCTCCGGAGCAAACGTCTCCATGAATCGCTCATTATGGTCGGACATTGTCGTCATGTTGGAAAGTGTATCTCAATCGCCAGATCTCAAGAGACGATCGACCTAGTTACAAATTTTTCCTACGCAAAAATAAAGCCTTCTAGAGGCTGCACAGCCGTGAAAATATTTAAGTCGTGGTTCAGCCAAGCTTGCTAGACGGACTAGCTGTATGGGAGCAGGAACGGATGTTCCGAAACAAGTCCCGTTTGCACGAAAAACTTTTCATTCTATGAGTCATCTTTCGAAAAGTCGACTAGATAGGAAGGTACCAATGTTTTGATAGGTGCCGACTATGCACGGCTCGAGTTTACATTACAGATTACAACATAACAATAAGCATACATACATTCACAATATTTCAGCCCCAGCTATATAAAGCAAATCGTGTTCCTGGATTTTCAAGTATGGTATACTTGAGCTCTAATTCGACTAGCTATTGCGAAGGCTATTGGGATGTGGACGATCTGACTATCTGTGGAAGACAACTGATAGAAGTTCTCATTCTTATTCCTTTAGCACTAAGTTTTTTATCTGTCACAAGTAATTGGGTCTTTGTAAGATCCACAAAAGACCGTTCAGAGTCCAAAGATGATCCTGAACAGCAATCTCTTTTAAAATCCGCCTCTCCCGGTTACGCATCAATTGCAAACGCCACGCCTACGCCTAATTTATCCTTCATTCATGAAACCAAGGCCGAAGGTGTGATAAATGTTGTTTATCGTGATACGCCCGAGAAGATCAAGCTGGTTCTTGAGCAGGTGTTTCTTCTTCTTCAGACAGCTCTCACTCTGCACTCGCTATCGTTTATCGACACAGATTCCCAGTCTGCTTATTGGTTCGCAAAATATGTCAATCTCGCGTTCTGGAGCTATTTGTCGGTGGTCACACTGATTAGACTCCTCAACGTTTCTAAAGGACTCGCTCCAGAAAGACTAGATCTTTGGGCGCACTGTGTTTCGCTTTACACCATACAATGGCTCAATTCGGCCATGCTGTTTCGGTCGGCCCTGCTCTACCATACGGGCTCCAGCTCTGTTCGCAATTACTTTATCGCTCAATTTGCAATCAACACGATTCTTGAGCTGATCATCTCAACAGAGAAGTTGTCGGATAAGCCGGCACTTGTCTTCGTACAGGAAGATACTATCCCATCGACGGAGCCGACGTCTTCGTTGTTGCAGATAGTCAGCTTTGCATGGATTGACACAATGGTCTTTAAAGCACGCTCTAAAACAATTGAGCTCACGGACGTTTTGGGATTGCGACTAGAGGATTGCTCGCTCGTCCTTATTTCTGCTTTCCGTCAGGTGGATCCTTCGAAGAGTATCATCTTCAGATTTGCTGTGATGTTCAAATGGGATTTGCTGCTCCAGAGCTTCTACACTTGCTGCGAGTCTATTTTAACCGTGATTCCTTCATTGGCCCTGAAAAATATACTGGAGTACGTCAGAAGCCCGGAAACCGCTTCTCTTAGCTTGGCATGGTTCTGGATCGTTGCTCCATTTGTCTCTGACATTCTTCAGTGTATCTTGTCGCTACGTGGTGAGCACCAGGGAAGAAGAGTCTCGGCCAGAATGAGATCGATTCTCACTGGAGAGATTTACGCCAAAGCCTTGAAAAGAAAGCTGTCTGCAGCCGAGAAGAAAGACGAGTTGACCAAGGAGGAAGAGGAAATTGGGGACTCCGAAGAGGATAGTTCCACAGCGCGGGATATTGGAGGAATCATTAACCTCATGGCAGTTGACACTTCTAAATCATCAGAAATTGGTGGCAACTTGAACGCTGTTACCAGAACCGTTATCATGACTACCACAGCAATCTATTTACTTTTCCATCTTTTAGGGTGGTCTTCGGTAGTTGGACTACTTGCACTTCTTGCTACAATGCCAATAACTTACAAGATCTCTAGCTTGTTTGCCAAAACCCAAGAGAAGCTGCTGGCAATCACAGATAAAAGAGTTCAAAAACTCAACGAGACACTCCAAAATATTAGAGTCGTCAAGTATTTCTCGTGGGAAGATAGATTCTCCGACATCATTCTGAAAATCAGAAAGGACGAGCTGAAAGCTCTTTTAAGATTGGATATCATCTGGTGCTTCTCGGATTTTACATGGTCTGTTACTCCTTCGGTTGTTTCATTTGCAACCTTTTATTGGTACAATTATGTCCAAGGGAACCAGCTCACCACACCAGTGGCTTTCACTGCTTTGTCGCTGTTGAACCTACTCAGAGGTCCGATTGAACATCTGGCCCATCTCGCATCTGTTGTTATTCAATCTAAGGTCTCTTTGGATAGAATCGGAAGTTTCTTGAATGAGTCAGAAACTTCCAAGTACGAACAACTAAGCGTGCCTAGAGGACCAGACTCACCACTTGTTGGTTTTGAAAATGCAACGTTCTACTGGTCCAAGAACTCTGAGAGTGAGTTTGCATTAAGAGATCTTAACATCAGTTTCAAGACTGGGAAGCTGAATGTCATCATCGGCCCTACAGGGTCGGGAAAAACGTCCTTGTTGTTGGCCCTACTCGGAGAAATGGACCTTGATAAAGGTAAGGTGTTTCTTCCAGGGATTACCTCTAAAGAGGACTTGATTCCTAATCCATTGACCGGTTTGACCGAGTCTGTTGCATACTGTGCGCAATCAGCCTGGCTCCTCAATGCAACCATTAAAGAAAACATTTTGTTTGGCTCACATTACAACGAAGAGAGGTTCAAAGCCGTCATTCACGATTGTGGGTTGACCAGAGACTTGGAGATTTTTGACGATGCTGAAGAGACAGAAATTGGAGAAAAGGGAATCACCATTTCTGGTGGCCAGAAACAGCGTATTTCTCTCGCAAGAGCGATTTACTCGTCAGCATCGTACCTTCTTTTGGACGACTGTCTCTCAGCTGTCGATTCTCACACAGCTGTTCATATCTACGAGCACTGTATCAAGGGAAGCTTGATGAAGAACAGAACGTGTCTGCTTGTTTCTCATAACGTCTCTTTAACTGTTCAAGAGGCAGAAAATGTGATTCTGATGGAAAATGGCCGTGTCAAGGCTCAGGGCGATATTGATGAACTTAACGGTAAAGGACTGTTGGGTGAAGGATTCATGAAAAGTATCACACAGTCTAGAAATGTGTCTTCTTCGAATTTGGAAGATGAGGCAGCCAAGGCCATTGAGCACGTTGACGAAAACTTGGAGGAGATCAAGGAACAGAAGCCAAGATCAAAGTTGGTCAAAGACGAGACAAAGGCCGAAGGTGCAGTGAAGCTATCCGTTTACTACTCCTACTTTAAGAATTTTGGAACCATTCCATTCTACATTGTTCTTGCGTTTGCATTTGCTGCTGTGCAAGTTGCAAATATCGGACAGTCCTACTGGCTCAGATACTGGGCTGGGAAGGAAGACCACGAGTCTCCAGCTGCTGTCCTAGCTGCTCTTGTTCCTGCTACCTACACGGATGGAGACAAATTGAAGTCAAGCTTGACTGCATTTGTGCACAATCTCATCTGGGGCACGCCCGTCATCACCACGGCATTTGAGTCAGTCGGCGCCAATCTTGATGGCCATGGACCAATGTATTATCTTGGAATCTATGCATTCATCGGGTTTTTGTACGCTGGACTGCTAGCTTTCAGATACTTTCTCTGTTTACTTGGTGGCCTCAGAATGTCGAAAAGTACGTTCTCAAAGCTGCTTGACAACATACTCCATGCAAAGCTGCGGTTCTTTGATCAAACTCCAATTGGGCGTATCATGAACAGGTTCTCGAAAGATATTGAGGCAATCGACCAGGGTATCATTCCGTCTGCTGACGAGTTCCTTCACTGTGTGATTGCCTGTGCAGTTGTTTTAATCATGATCTGTTTGATCACACCGGCCTTTTTGGTGATTGCAGCAATCTTAATCGTGGTCTACACCATCATTGGAACGCTGTTTGTGACCTTGTCGAGAGACCTGAAGCGAATTGAGTCGGTGACTAAGTCTCCTATTCACCAACAATTTTCCGAAACTCTAGCAGGAATGATCACCATCAGAGCATACGGCGACCAGAGACGGTTCTTGAGACAAAACTTGGAGCAGATTGATACCAACAACAGGCCATTGCTATACATTTGGATCTGTAACATGTGGCTTGGATTCAGAGCACATATGATCGGTGCTACCATCACATTTTTTGCATCTGTTTTTACGATCTTGAACGCAGCTAATCTGGATGCTGGATTGGCCGGTATTTCTCTGTCTCTAGCTGCCACGTTCAGACTGAGTTCTGTCTACCTTGTTGAGTGCCATTCTCATGTTGAGATGGAGATGAATGGTGTTGAGAGAGTGCAGGAGTATGTGGACGGAGTTGATAAAGAACCCCCAATGGAACTGCCGCAAGATCCCGTCAACTCTTGGCCGTCCAAGGGAGAGATTGACGTTAGGAACATCTCTATTAAGTATGCACCAGATCTTCCAAGAGTCATTGATGGCGTTTCCTTCCATGTTAATTCAGGGGAGAAAGTTGGTGTTGTTGGTCGAACGGGAGCCGGAAAGTCTACGATCATTACCAGCTTTTTCAGGTTCGTTGATCTTGATAGCGGCAGCATCACCATTGATGGTCTGGACATCTCCAAACTCGGCCTCAAGACACTGAGAAAGGGATTATCGATTATTCCCCAGGATCCAACGTTGTTCACGGGTACTATTCGCTCCAACCTAGACATGTTTGACGAGTACTCGAATCTACAGATGTACGAATCGCTTCGCAGAGTGAACTTGATCTCCAACGATGACTACCAGCAGGCTGTGGAGAATAATGGAGGAAGAGTCGAAGATAGTGCTGCTGCTACCGATGAGAATGTGAACAGATTCCTGAATCTGGACTCTGAGGTCACAGAGGGTGGAGAGAATCTGTCTCAAGGTGAAAGACAGCTGTTGTGTCTTGCGAGATCTATCTTGAAAACCCCAAAAATCCTGATGCTTGACGAGGCAACTGCATCTATTGATTACGCATCAGACGCCAAAATCCAGACCACCATCAGAGAAGAGTTTTCGGCAAGCACGATTTTGACCATTGCACACCGTCTCAAGACGATCATCGATTATGATAAGATCCTGTTGCTTGACCACGGCAAGGTGAAGGAATTTGAACATCCCTACAACCTCATAACCAACAGCAAGACGGAGTTTCATAAAATGTGTCAGGACACTGGAGAGTACGAGGAGCTAGTCAATTTAGCCCGTCAAGCATATAAAAAAAGCCGATAGTGGTGGTGTTTATACTAATAACAGTCAACGATATGGGAAGCCATACTACAAACAACCGTAACTCAAGAACAAGAAGATGGAAACTACCAGGATGTCATGTAGCACCGATCCTCTAAAAAAAGACAAATTCCCGAGATCCAAGTCAAGTCAAGTCGTGCATGAAATTTTTATTCGATAAATTGAAAAAAAAATATTAAGAAAAAACCTTCCCAAGGAAAAGATTTAAACTAGTCTTCAAGTTCGACCAGAACTGGATTTGGTGATTTCGATTGTTGCAAACCAGTTGGTGATACTATGTGTGGAATTTTGGGAATTGTACTGGCTGACCAAAGCCAGAACTGCGCAGCGGAGCTGTTTGATGGATGCCTGTTTCTTCAGCACAGAGGTCAGGACGCAGCAGGTATTGTCACCTGCGGAAAGAGAGCCAGATTGTACCAATGCAAGGGTAACGGAATGGCCAGTGATGTGTTCACTCAACAGAGAATGTTGGGACTTGTCGGTAACATGGGTCTGGCACACCTGAGATACCCTACCGCGGGATCGAGTGCCACCTCTGAGGCCCAGCCTTTCTATGTCAACTCACCATACGGTATTGCATTGAGTCACAACGGTAACTTGACCAACGGAGAAGAACTCAGAACCTACATGGACGAAGTTGTGCATAGACATATCAATACTGACTCTGACTCTGAACTTTTGTTGAACCTGTTTGCCAGCGAGCTTGCAGCCTACGGAAAATCGAGAGTCAACAACAGTGATCTGTTCAAGGCCTTGAAAGGTGTTTTCGAGAAAGTTAGAGGAGCTTACGCTTGTGTTGCGATGTTGGCCGGTTACGGTATCATTGGTTTCAGAGATCCTCATGGTATCCGTCCGATCCTGATTGGAGAGCGTTTGAAAGACGATGGATCCAAAGACTATATGCTTTCCTCCGAATCTGTTGTTCTGAAGGCCCACGGGTTCCAGGTCTACAGAGACTTGCTGCCCGGTGAAGCTGTTATAATACCGAAGAACACCATGAAGCCTGAGTTCAAGCAAGTTGTTCCAATGCAGTCCTATACCCCAGACATCTTTGAATACGTGTATTTTGCAAGACCAGATTCTGTTTTGGATGGTATCAGTGTCTACAGATCCAGACTCGAAATGGGAACCAAGCTCGCTCAAAACATCGCCAAGAAGTTCGAAAAAGTTGATCTTGACGTGCGCAAAGAAATCGACGTTGTTATTCCTGTGCCCGACACCTCGCGTCACTCCGCCTTGCAATGCGCTAATACATTGAACATTCCTTACAGAGAAGGTTTCATCAAGAACAGATACGTTGGAAGAACTTTCATCATGCCTGATCAGAAACAGAGACAGTCTTCGGTGAGACGGAAGCTGAACGCGATGGCCTCCGAGTTTTACGGGAAATCTGTTCTTTTGGTGGACGACTCCATTGTGAGAGGAACCACCTCCAAGGAAATCATCTCGATGGCTAGAGAAGCCGGTGCCAAGAAAGTTTACATTGCTTCTTGTTGTCCTGCTATTAGATACAACCATATCTACGGTATCGATCTTGCAGACAATCGTGCGCTTGTTGGTTACAACAAATCAGACGACCAGATTTCCGATGTGATTGGAGCTGACCAAGTGTTTTACCAGAACTTGCAAGATCTTATCGAGTGTTGTGTCAAGGACAACCAGCTCAAGGACCACGAGATGGAGCTTGCATTGACTCCTGTCGTTTCCAGAGACGATACTCTCGATTCTCAAATCCTTACTAATAAGTCTGCTCCTCCGATTGATTCGTTTGAGGTTGGTGTCTTTACTGGATCTTACGTTACCGGAGACGAGACTGAGTATCTTACGTTTGCTGAGAAGGCTCGTGCCGTCAATGAGATGCTGAAATCGAAAGCAAAACTGAACCGCGGAATGGAGAGCTTGGATATAGAAGATGTTAAGGCTGCTGTTGACATTTCCATCTTCAACAGTGGTGATTACAATTAGATAGACTTTATCACCGGTTGGTGCACGATATAATAATAGGTATGGAATTTTTAAAAAAAAATTTCAGCAGAGAAAAAAAATAATTGAAAATTAAATGAGCGGGCTTTCGAACGAGCGGATCTTCGATTCGGACGAGGACCTTTCTGGTTCTGAGAACGAGGTGTTTCAAGCACCAAGAGGATTCAAAAAAGTGAAGGATATGAGCAGCATCAAGGCGTTGACCCCACAAAACTTGAAGAATAAAGAAGTCTGGCTGATTCAGGTGCCGTCAGACTTTAATGTGAAGAAGCTCAAGAAGCTCCCGGTCAATTTCAACTTGGGAGAAAACACAGACTTCAACCTCAAAGGAACCGACTACACTTTGCATGAGGATCTTTTGGCAGCAGAAGAGTCCACTTTGAAGAAAAAATATAAAATTATGAGCGCACAAGATAAAGATAAACTTCAACCGGTGACCGATTTGAGAATCTCGAGATTCTACAGCATATCTGAGAAGGTGAAAATTCCAGAGATTGATTACAGCAAGGTGGTTAGTCAACGAAAAGACGTAAAACAACACGACGATCTCAGAATGAGACATTTCCCAACAGGATATGGTAGCAACGATTACGAGGAGGCTAAGAAGGAGCAGACTAAGACTTCCAGTCCTAAAAAAAGAAAGAGCGAGGACTCTCCTAAGAAGGATAAGAAGCACAAAAAGGACAAAAAGAAGAAGGAGTTAAAGAACTAACTAATTTCTAATTAATTTCTCATCTATGTCATGACATCTTACTGTAATCCTTAAGTATACCTTTCATGTGAGTATTGGTGATCTTGCCTCTTCTAGCTTTCTTTTGCTTTCTTTCTTGAACAGGCGCCACCTTTCTGTTCTTGACAGAGTCGGGATCGACGTTTGTAGGCTTGGAGCCGGTCTCGATGAGCTGTTTGGCGAGATCGTCTCCTTTAGGAACCTTGATTTTAGCCCAAAGGTTATAGAATTCCGAGTCGACAACATCTTCTAACTTGTAGAATCCCACGTTAAGCCAGATGTGACGAGGAACATTTTCTTTCTTCGTTTTATGAACGATGATCTTTTGTTCTTTCTCCAATTGAGCCAGAGTTTCTATACAGCCACTCCATCCGTCTTTCAGCTGTTTGACAGACAAGCCGGAGAATGTTGGCTGGTTTTCCAAAACCTTGATGAGGTCGTCACCGGTCTTGATGTTGTGAAGCGACAGATATTCGAGCGTCTGGTTGACAGGGTCGTACTTGATTCTATCAACGTTTGTGAGGACTTTCAGCAGTTTTGGGTCGACTTTGCACTTGATGTGTCTCTCGAGCTCGTCAAGAGTCACCGGCTTGTCTCCAGACTTGATGAAATCGGAAGCGGTCATTAATCGGATCGAAAGCGAGCTAGCAGGCGCAGACTCGTACTCGATTGTTCTGATTCTCTTTGGCTCTGTATTAGTGTGTGCATCGTTCGGACGTTTGACTGCGGGCTTGTCAAGCACCCGGCGTTGCATGGGAAGCGTTGTCGAAGAGTTTCGCACACTCTTCTTGAACTGGCTCAATTGCGAGGCGAATAGGTCTGACATGATCGAAAGACTATTAAAGATTAAAAATGTTTTGCCGTTGCTAAAAAGTACACGACCCGCGACCACAGAGTTTAAAAACGAGAAAAACCCGTGCGAGAAATTTCCTCAGACACACCTTTTGGTTTCAGGCCAGAAATACTATGCGATGTTACAGTATTCTGGTTTTGGAACTGTAAGGTCAGATCAACCACAGCTCTAAAACCATCGTCGTAGAGGTCTACTTCGGTATTGACTCATGAAATGATGATGACCTGACTGCTGTAACAGCGTAAAGATGATGTAGTGTTTAACCAGTAGACCGGCCTGCTCGAAAAAATTTTCCAAATAAAACCACCTCTATTCCTGTATATAAGATGATTAGTTTGGTGGTGCGGTCGATGAGAGGCGCCCGTATGGCGTCTATAAGACCATCTATTGCCAGACAACCCGTGCTCTCCATGGGTCAAAGATTTTACGCCGACAACAAGAAGTCTGATAACATTTTGGATGACGACCTTCTTGCCAAGGCAGGAATCGACTCGGACGCTCCCAAACAGGAGCCAAGAAAACAACAATTGAACGAGGACGAGTTTGGCCAGCCTCGGAAGAGAAAGAACAACGTCAAGTCCACCTTGGACAAGAAGAAGGACAGATTGGCCAAGCTGTTCTGGTTCTCGATTTTGGGAGCTGGTGTTGCCGGAGGTGCTTACAATTGCAGAGAGTGGGACCAAGAAGAGGAGAAAGACTTATACAATGCAGAGGAGAACGGCTGGGCCCCTGGAAATGTTTGGACCAGATTCAGAAAGAGAATGTGGGGCGTCACAAACGTCTTCACCGAGCCTGCATTCACCGATCTTTTGCCCCCACCTCTTCCACAGCCTTATAGACATCCTTTGACCCTTGTTCTGGAACTCGACGATTTGCTTGTGCATGCCGACTGGGACCACAAGAAGGGCTGGAAAACTGCCAAGAGACCCGGCGTGGATTACTTTTTGGGATATCTGTCTCAATACTACGAAATTGTGATTTTCTCCAGATCGTCCATGGCCTTTGCTGAAACCACGGTCACCAAGTTAGACCCATATCACGCCTTTGTTTCTTACTCCTTGTTCCGTGAGGCCTGCAGGACCAATGACGGCAAGGTCATTAAGGATTTGAGTTTGATGAACAGAGACCTGGCCAAGCTGGTTATTATCGACCCTGATGAAGATTGTTACTCCATGCAACCAGAAAACGCAATTCCTATTGACAAGTGGGATGGTAAGAGAGACGACAAACTGGTTAGATTGATTCCGTTCCTTGAGTACTTGGCCACTCAACCAGTCAAGGACGTCAGACCTGTTTTAGCTTCTTTCAAAGATCGGAAAAATATTCCCCAAGAATTTGCTGAAAGAGAAGCCAAATTGAGAGAACAATGGGAGAAGGACCAAAAATCCGTCAACGGATCCTCTCTTGCTTCGTCTCTGCTTGGTATCTCCCAACTCAGACCAAGAAAGATGCCTTTGGACGTGATCAGAGAGCACGGCCAAAGAAACTACCTCAACATGTACAATTATCTCAAAGAGAATGGTGAGAAATTGCTCCAAGAAGAACAACAGAAGACTAAGGAATTGTTAGCTGACCAAAACTTGACTCTCGAGAAGATCTTCACTGAAGGAATGCCTACCGCTGAAGACATTGCCAAACAACAAGCTGCTGCACAAGCTGCTGAGGGCCAAAAGAAATGAAGTGTAATGATTGAGTATGATTAAGTATTTCTATATGTGCGTCGTAAACTAGGGATATCTACTGATGTTTTCCATTGGCAAGACTCTTGATGAGCTCGTACGCAATGGATCCTTCCATAGGAAGACTAATGTCTTCTACTTCGCCATTATTGATGAGAGTTTTCACGTCTTCCACATCAAACCATCTACAGTCCGATAATTCGTTATCAAGCGAGGTGTTGATGATTTCGCTGATTCCGTCGAAATGCACGACTCCAAAACATCCAATCATCAAGTTGGCAGGGAACGGCCACGGCTGACTGGAAGCAATTCTAACCTCACGGGCAGAACATCCTGTTTCCTCCCAGATTTCTCTCAACGTGGACTCCTCGATAGTTTCTCCAGGCTCCATGAAGCCGGCAATACACGAAAACATGCGCTTTCCCGCGGTAGTGACTGGGTGTCGTTTATTATTTCCAAGAAGGATCTTTTTTCCGTCTGCCGAGATGGCTCCCACGATGATCACCGGATCTGTACGTGGGAAACAGACGTTACTGACCGAAGAGCTCTTCACCGGACACTCATTCGCGGGAGTATGGCAAAACAAGCGTGTTCCTGCGTCAACAGGAACAACCTTGCTACCACAGCCGGGACAGAACTTGTTTCTCATCAACCAGTCCATGTACATTTTGGAGTATGCAAAGAGCGATGATTCGTTTTTGGACATGGTCAGAAGACTCAACATGTTATTCTCCACCTTCACATCCTGGTAAGACAACAAATAATCCTGGAGCTCTCTGCTATGTGTAACATCAACGGAGAAATATGGAGTTCCTTGGAACTTGTCGTATTTGAACTTTGGATAGCTTTGAACTTTGTAACCAGTCGGATACTTGAACGACTTGGATAGAGAATTGTCGTTGAAGAGGAATTTCTCGTCCAGCCCATCTTCGTCAAGACCAAGAAAAACCATCGTGATCTGATTTCTAATCTCTAGTGATTTGGACTTGTTATCTTCAACCCATTTATGGAAAATCGACTTCAGCGATCCAGGGAGGCTATTAACCTGAAGATTCAAAAGCCCCAGCTGACTGTCCTGTTCGATCAGAAACGGATGAATTCCATTTTTGCCATCCTGCTTATAGAAAACCAACCGAGCTGGAGATTCGGGATCGGTAACTGTTTTGCTGATGAAGTCGGGATTCGACCGCAAAAACGAAAACCGGTTCAACGTAGTGGTGGTGCCAAAAAAGATATCAGCCATGCCTCTTCTTCTTTTAAATCCTCTGGTAAAAGTTAGGGAATTAAATCTCCAAATCCGAAGTCTCATATGGGGAAAAGCGTATCGAATCTCCACAATTCTTTTTTCAGTCGTGAAAAATTCAACGCCAATCGTCCCGTCGAAATAACAAGGGTGAGATCTCTAGTACAAGTCTTGATACGATTCGGAATCGATTTAACTACGGGCATAATTATGTAGAAATGGTCTATTTAAACCAAGCTAAACCTCGCAAATTAAATAACCAGATGTAAAAATGCCTAAAGATCGCTAATATTGCCAAAATGTTGAAATGTTATGGAAAAATCCTAGAAACCCAAATGCTCAATCACAGCCAAGTAGGGTTATAGTCGGTGGTTTGATATCGTGGGGCATCGACCGGTAAGAGGGTGGTGGCGACAGGTAAATGTGTTCCTTTATACCGGTTGTTGGTCACCAAAGAAGAAGGATCCGGAACAGGTTGAGCTTGCTCTTGCGATTGTTGTAGAAGAGGCTTCACAGCGTTGGCATCAGAAACAGGCTCCTGGTAGTATTGCTGTTGCGAAGAAACGGCCTGCTGCTGCGGTGGTTGTTGTGGCTGTGGCTGAGAAGGTTGTTGGGAAGGTTGTTGTGTTTGCGCAGAAGTGATCTTATCAGCCTCCTTCTCCTCGGGCTCTTCACCGCTTTGAATAGCCTTTTGCTGCTGTTGCTGCTGTTGCGCTTGCTGGTGAAGCTTGTACTTGAAAACGGTCCAGTCAAAAATAGAATCGTAGAGATAGCCCTCTCTGATGAACAGTTGTCTGAATATTTTTCTCAGGTAAATGTAATCTGGTTTGTCATCAAACCGCAAAGCCCTCACGTAGTTAAGATAGTGTCTGAATTCCAACGGAAGACCTCTTGCGAGCACCTCTGCAGGAGTGGCCATCTTCTTCTCCAAAATCCGATCGTACTTTTGTCTCTTTGTGGCGGCTTTCAGACCTTGCCATGGCAAAGAACCGCGGCAGAAGTATATTAAAACATATCCCAGAGATTCCAAATCATCTCTTCTGGACTGCTCAATACCAAGATGAGTGTTGATGGAAGCGTATCTGGCAGTTCCGGTAAGATTCTTGTTCTCTCTATAAGGAATGTGGAGATGAGTTCTTGGGTCTCTGAACTTTTTAGCCAATCCAAAATCAATAACGTTAACTTGAGAGCCTTTTTTACCAATACCCATCAGGAAGTTATCGGGCTTGATATCTCTATGAATGAAACTTCTAGCGTGGATGAACTCGATTCTGCAAAGCAGTTGATCAGCCAGCAAAAGAACGGTTTTGTAGGAAAATTTCCTATTGCAATAGTTGAACAGATCTTCTAAAGACGGACCTAAGAGATCAATCACCATGGCGTTATAATCACACTCGGTTCCGAACCATCTGACGAAAGGAATACCGACACCTCCACAGAGAGCCTTGTACACCTTTGCCTCATACTCAAGTTGGGGATGTTTCGCTCTAACATTCTCAAGTTTGATGGCAACCTCCTCTCCAGAAATGATGTTGGTTCCAAGGTAAATATCACCGAAAGATCCTGATCCGATCTTTCTACCGATCCGGTATTTTCTTCCGACCCGTAAATCCATTTTGAACCAGAACTAAATACTTTAAAGAACTAAATAATGTTGCCTTGTCCTTTAAATTAATTCTAAAACAGTAGAATATGAAAATGGCGGTATCCAATTTTTACGATCTTTTCCCGCAAACCGCCAGTAGCCTGTACACGGCGGGAAAAAAATTCGCACACCTTTCAGCATCAGCCTAGCTGGCTTTGGTTGCCGCGAGAAAAAAAAAAGAAGCCCGCCCATCATTGGTGGAGGTGTACGGATGTGCGGAAGAAAGACCGGGATTAAAATAGAAACTTCAGGGTGCTTGGGCCTGCACGGATGCATTGAAATTTTATGGCCACACCATACTTGCAACAATAACAAGGCTGGTTGGAAACAAATACTGTGTTTAAGCTTTAATAGTCACAAAAATAAACATATTCTCTAACTAGTATGAAACACTAGCCACGGACATTTTTTAGAGGCCGATCCTTTGCCTAAAATGTTAGTAAAGTAGTGTAGCACGCAACTAAGCTGCAAAAGTGACAGAGATAACGATTGTCCGCCACAATAAACGTTGCGTGCTTGCTTGTTTCCTCTAATTCCACAGCCTTCGAATCTGAAGCTGTCGGAAGTTTAATCCTTGTGGCTGGAACTTTGAATATATAAACGGCGAATAAGCGTTGTATACAAAAAATATTTTCTGACTTTTATTAACACAATGTCTGCTGAAGAAGTAAGTCACCATTGCGAATGCTAATGCTAACATTTTAGATTAAGACTAAAGCTACTGAAACCGCCACTGAGGCCGAGACCAAGGCCACCGAAACCGGCAAGTCCTTCACCGAAACCGCTAAGGAATACGAACAGAAGGCTGAAACCGGCCTTAAAGACTTGGAGGCTAAGGGCGAAGCCGGCCTCAAAGACCTTGAGGACAAGGCCGGTCCTACTGCCAAGGACCTTGAGTCCAAGGCACAAAACGCTATCTCCGGCTTGAAGGGCGAGGGCGAGGCTGCCGGTACTGAGGCTAAGGACACTACTGAGTCTGCTGCCACTGCTACCAAGGACACTGCTGCTGGCAAGCCCGAAGAGACCAAGACTGGTTTCAAGAAGTACGTTGCCAAGTTGAAGAAAGTTTTCGACCTTTAAACGAGTCTATGAGTTATATAGGCAATGTGCCTTCTTATTCTTTGAACCTTGGACCGTGAACTAATTTTTTTTTGAACATCACGCGATCCCTGTTTATGTACGAATTAATCTTTTTCTAACATCGTTGCGTAAGCTATTACTTGAATTTTTTTGTCGAGTTGGAGGAAGGAAAAAATTGGGAGAAAAATCAAAAGTTGATAATTCCAATGTTCAGGCTTTTCCAACTGGCTCCTGCCGCACAAATACGGCCGTTTTCCAGCGGATCTGTTTCTAGAGCCGTCTATAAATCGAAGTCGTTCAGTAAGAAGAAGACTTTTGATTCTTCGAAGAACAGAAAGGGCTCGGGAAAGGACAAGAGATTCAACAAGGTTGTTCTCTCTGTAAACTACAGAAAGTTTGCACAGGACCAGAAGGCTTATGAAAGTCTCCCAGAGTTCTCTCCAGAAACTCTTTATTTGGATGAGGTGGTCAGATATAAGGAGCCTATCTTGAAGAAACTGCACATCATGGGTGCGTTCAAACCTCACCAATACAACGAGGTCTTCTCCAAACCAGTTACATTGTCAAGAAAGATCGAAACCAAGAAAATTGACGATTTCGTGGCAAAGAGCTTAACCTCTTCTTCCAAGGAAAACAGACTTATTATCACCGGCGACAAGGGTGTTGGAAAATCTACTTTACTCACACAGTTCCACGCCTTGGCTCTCGAGAAGGAAAAGAACGTGATTTTGCAATTCAACCACTTGGATATGTTCTTGGACGGTTCGACCGATTACAAACTCAACCAGTCAACAGGCCTGTACGACCAACCAATGGCCACCAGACGATTCCTAAAAAAGTTTTACGGACTGAACAAAGAGGTGTTGGCGGAAATTGAGGCCTCGAAGCCATTTGGAGACGCTTCTGAATCCTCCAAACAGACTTTGGATGCCGTTTTGAAAGCTCACATGAGCAACCCTGCAACAAACCACACAGAGTTGTTTGCCTACATTGTCGACGAACTGGCAATTCAAACGGCCGTGCCTGTTTATTTGTCTATTGACAATTTCTCTGCAGTCATCCAATACGCCATGTCCAGATACAGAGACAAAGATAACCTTCCAATATACTTCCAGAAATTCCAGGTCTTGAAGACTTTGGTGGAGTTTATTAGCGGAGACAGATCTTTTGCCAAGGGAGCAGTGATAGCGGCCATGCATAGTGGACACAAGACCAGCGACACCATTCCAGTTGTGCTGGGTTTGAAAGAACCTGACCACTATGCCAAGTTCGCACAATGGGATCGCGAGTTCACTAATCAACTGACCAAGAACGGCGCACCTCAGCAATTGCAAGTTGAAAGATTCACCAGAGACCAAGTGCAGGCCATTGTTCAATATCTTATTGAGTGCAACGTGATTGAGCACGAGGTTCAGAAAAGAGGCCTTGCCAAGATCGAGGATCCCGAGGTTGTTGTGTCGAGATTGGCCGACATAGAATACGTGCTGTCTGGTAACGGAAACCCAAAAGAGTTGTATAGAAACTGCCTTTTCTCGTTCATCTAAGAGAATCTGTACATATACATGCATTAATATACAATGATTACACATGTCTTTTCTTTTCTGGAGCTTCCAAGTCTCCATACTTTGGACTGTTGGTCTTGGTGTAAGATGGCAGCTCTTCGAATCCGTCCGACTCGTAGTACTCGTCATCGTCCTGCTGGGGTTTTTGTGGAGCAGGCTCTAGTTTCCGCTTTTGTGGAGCGTGCTGCTGGGTATGTTGAGTTTGCTGTGCATGCTGTGCGTACTGCTGCTTCAGCTTTTCTCTTTGGAGCCAGCGGTCTCTGATTTCTGTTTCGGCAGCCACCAGTTCTTCTCTGCTCACGGAGTCCTCAATAGACTTGAGCACTTTCATCACCACGTCGATGTAGTTACCATGTGCCTTGTCGTCTCTGAAACGAAGGATCTTCCACTCGCCAGACTCATTCCGTCTAACTTCAGCAATTCTCCCGTTGAAAGACTCACCAGTGGCTTTCAATTGGTTCCACTCATCGTCGGTTAAAGTGACCTGGTTCCACTCCTCGTACCCTCTGAAACTGTTGATATACTCACCGTCATTGCGCTTGATATTATCTTCAACGGATTCGTTGTCAGCCTCGTCTTTTCCTTTCCACGCAAATAGTTTTATAACCGGCTTGGCATCGTAATCGGGATACTCTCTGTTTGGATCGTGTTTGGGCAAATCCTCGTCCACATAGATTGGGAACTCAAGCTTGATTTTGAAGTCGATCGTGTTTTCTTCCGCAGGCTTCCACTTTAGCAAATGAGAGTCTGTTCCCGGAATATATGGAGTATCGCAGCACGTCAAGATCAAACCGTCAGAAACGTAGGTCAAATTCTTCATCTCCTGGAAAATCTTTCTGATCTTGTAAGGCTGAGTCATGTTCTTAAAGTCCAGTTTAAACGGAAACTGGGCACAAGCGTCGGGAAATGCTCGTCGAAGCTCCATGTATGGCTTGTGGAACTCGTGTTGAGCATGGTACAAACGTTTCCACAAGTTCTTGTGCATCACGCTGTTCATGTCCATCGCCAGACAGTCAAACACGAGATATCTGAGCTCCTTGACTCCTGTTGTTGGGTTCTTACTCCAAACCAGCTCTCCATCAACAATTGTTCCATTGTGAGACGAGTCGAAATTTTTATTAGTTCTTGGGAAATGGAAACCGGGAACCATATAATACTGGTTTTCTCTATCAATAAGAAAAGTACCCTCTTCCCCTGTATCGTCGTTAATTAACACAAGCAACAAACAACGAAGACCGTCCGACTTCTCGCAAACCAAATAGTCTCTATTTTTCAAAGTTGTGAGATGTTCTCGCGTAAAACTCACAGGCTGCGACCCAGGAAAAGAATTGTATCTGGTCCTAAGAATCTGCGACACCCGTGATTTCAGATAGCTCGAAACCTCCTCGGAAACCAGGTTTCCTGGCATTTCCGGCACGCCTCTGTCCTGGTCCATTATTATTTATGGAAAATAAAAACTCGGGTTCTTACATCTTTACACCTGCCAGAGAACAAATTATCCTGTTCGCTACCATCTTTGCGACTGGTCAAGAGTGGCTGTTGTAAGAGGCAGGCAGAAGGTTTGGAATTTCCAGAGCCGTCTGCCAGGCATCGAGATGTTGCAAAGACACAGATGAACGCCGAATTTGGGTTCTCCGGTGCCAAGAATTGGGAGAACGGACTTTTTTCCCAAATTATCGGATTCATGGACAAAGCCTTGTGGTCTGCGGCATTACTCACCTTCAAACCCTTAAACACCCCGCAAACGGTGGATGCAGTGCGGAAAGGTTCGGTAGCCCCATTACCTGTAGTTCCGAACTTTGTAGAGTCCCGTTACCTCGTAGCTCCCGTTATAAGTGCCGTAGCCGCGGATCATAGCAAAATGAGTATCAAGATCCAAACTACACGGAACAGGTGACCTGTCTCGTGGTGGGAATTTGATTATAATCTCGCATGCGGGATGACTTGAGCTGTCGTGCATCAAGCCTGCACCGATTTTTTACTCGCAAAATATCTTTTCTCCCCAACACCCCATTCTTTTCTGAAAAGGCCAGACTTTGCTTGTCAGCTGTGCTCGGATCAGACGTGTTGCGGTCTCCAGAACATAATGGAAACAGCTCGTCCGAAACGTAGGACTACGGTCAACGTCAATTACAAAGAGAAAAGTGAACTGGATTTTGCACAGGAACAAGACAAATCCGCAGAAGCATCCAAGAAACAGACCAAGAAACCAGACCCGCCTCCGGTGGACCCGATTCCTAAAACCCCAACCAAACAGAAATTCACAGACAAATCTTTATATGTTCCGGTGGACGACGTGGTACCTCTGAACTACCAGCCAAAGTGTGATCAAGAGTTTAATACCTTATTAGATCTGAAAGGAGCAAAGGTTGAAAACAACAGTCTGATCTTGAAAAATGGCACCAAGATCAAAAAGGGAGACTTCATTTACATGGTGTGCGAACCTCCTGGAGAGCCGTTTTATATCGCCATGGTGAAAGGGTTTGCCCGAAAAGAAAAGGACAATGCCACTAAAAACCCGAAAAATTACAATTTCGAGGTTTGCTGGTTTTACAGACCACGCGACCTCAACAGAAGGTCTGCAGACACCCGAGTTCTGTTTGCCTCATTGCATATGGACGAATGTCCAATCCAAAGTTTCCGGGGTTTTGCTACCGTGAAACACAAGTCTGAAATAGAAAATTTGGACGCCTACCGCATGCTCCCCAATAGCTTCTACTTTGACAAGTTTTACGACCGATACATGGTGAAGATGTATGATGTTTTGCCCACAAAAAAGCTCACAAATCTTCCTGCTAATTATTACAAAGCACTCAACAAACGGTTTGAATATGTGTTTTTCGAAATCGGCAGAGGCCAGGATCTGCTGGCCGACCCAAAGACTTGTGAAAAGTGTTTACAATGGGCAGCATCTTCCGACTCGGTTCAGTGTCTCAAGTGCGAAAAAATCTACCACTTACTCTGCTTGGACCCTCCCATCACAAATAAGCCCAAAAGAGGGTTTGCTTGGTTCTGTGCCGCTTGTAACAAAGATCTCGAGGAAAAGATGTCGGAGAACAGAGCACACATGCTCCATAGTAGTCTTCCTTCACAGATCGCAGCGTCGATCAAAGAAGAAGATTCGGATGACAGCGAGGCGTCCTCTAAACTCCCCACACCAGTGGAAACGGATTCTCGGTCACAATCCACACAGCCAAGCGATTTAGAGACTTCGACTCAGACGATGCCCAGATACGAAGAACTGGCCATACGATTTTTGGAGACGGACAAAGAAAACTCTTTCAAAAAAAGAAGAGACATGGAAGAATGGCCTTACCGGTATCTTGGAGTTCATGCCAAGTTGGAAGACGCTTTGGATCTTCAGGATAGGCCTTATCCTCGAGCAGTCTCTCGATTAGGATCTAAACACCAATTCACCGGTATGGTGGACTGGTACGATCATCCTGTGGTATACTACGACGGTAGTAAATACGCAAAGTCCAAGAGCAAGAAAAAGACCTCCAAGAAGAAGTCCACGTCACCGGACGAAAATGAACAAACCAAATTCCCTATGCCCGAGAAATATAAAGACTACGACCTAAGTGATCTTCCTGGATGGCTCCAGCCTAAACCCAAGGGTTACATAGAGAGAGGAGGTGACGAAACATGCGAGCTTTTATGGCAGCAACCGGAGGGCCAAGAGGAAATGGTTGAAAAGTATCTTGAAGATGCCAAACCATACGTTGAGAAACTGGGAATGATTCCTACGACACCGAACTTTGTTGATGCCGCATTGAAGGCACTTATGAAGAACAACTATGATCCAGAAGCTGCTCTCAAGGACGTTTCAAAGTTTACCAGAAAGTCTCTTAGAGAACCTACCTTTAGTGAAGAGGAAGTGAAGAAATTTGAGGACTCTGTTCGCATTAACGGAAGTGAACTGCATCCAGTGTTTAAAGACGTTGGTACACAGACGTCAGCTATGATTGTTCGGTTCTACTATTTGTGGAAAAAGACAACAAATGGTCACTTGATTTGGGACAATTACCCTGGAAGACCAAAAAACAGACTAAAGAAGTTTACCAAGACAGATGGAGTTGATGTGAACGACCCAGATGACGACTCTTCGTACAGCATGGAGAAGATCAAAAGAAACCATGTTGATTTTGAGTGCAAGTACTGTCACACTCACTCTTCCAATAGATGGTTCAAGATTTCTGGAAGCACCCTTCCCGACTCATACAACGACACATTCCCTGGATTGTGTACGAGATGTGCACGTTTGTGGAGGGAATATGCTGTTGAGTGGGAAGATCCAACTGAAGTCATGCGCAAACAGAGTCAAAGGGGTGGAAATGGCTGGAAACGTAAAATGGAGTTTGAACTATACGAGGACTCTAGAATGATTCTGCAAGCCAGAGATGAGTATCAAGCCAGACCTCGCAAGATCACCGACGAAGACAAAAAGTTCGAGCCTTCATTGCGTAATAGAACAAAGGTCAAGGAAGACTCTCTGAAGACCGAGGAGCTCTCCGACGACAAGTCGAAGAAGAAATCGTTAAAGGTAAAAAAACCAGTCAAGTCAGAAAACCAGAAAAAGACTTTAACTGTCACACTTCCATATAACGACGGCAAACCCGAGGAAGAGCCAGTCAAGGTCAAGAAGAGATCATCAGAAGAGCCTGCCGAGCGTAAGTCCAAGAAAGCGAAAACACCAACGTTTGTTCCAAGGTACGAAAGCAAGTTTGAGATTGACGAATTCGAGGTCGGGTCAGACAAAGAACCGGAATCGAGCCTTTTTCGCAGCGACGCACGCCCATGTTGTGTTTGTAGAGAGGCGTCCGAGTTTGAAGAAGTTGTCATTTGCCATGACTGCGGTTTGAATGTGCACGCTTCTTGCTACGGAGTGGCACTTCCAGAAACCGATCAGGATCTTTCAAGTTTCAAATGGCTTTGTGATGCGTGTTCGAACGACCGCCATCCTGTGCTTTCGACTCACTACCAATGTGTGCTGTGTCCTGCCAAAGAGACAAAATCGTTCGGGGGCCGTTCTGGCGATCCGAACTCGATTCCTGATGCTTTGAAACGGACAGTCAGCGGGAACTGGTGTCATGCGATTTGTGCTGTGTTTGATCCTGATTGCGAGTTTGGAAGCAGTTCCATGCAGCCTGTATTTGGTGCTGAACTTTCGCTCTTAAAGCATTCGGGCAAAAAATGCACCATTTGTGGCCTTGGTGGCAGTCTTACAGACTGCAGCGTGTGTGGGAAGGCCATGCACGTGACGTGTTGCCAGGACACGCCCGGGTGCTCTGTTGGGTTCGAGCTTGTTCCGGACAAGGCGTTCAATGCGCGGGTGAGGGACCACAACAAGCCTGCCAAGCCTGTTCCGCGGGTGATATGTCGCGACCACTTGAACAACAATCTTGTTCCACTGCACATTGGAGCGAAACTGAAGGGCAAGAGGGAGGTGCCGCTGCTCAAGCTGTTCTGCACAGAGCTGAAGAAGACCTCGTCAGTTTCGTCGGGCGAGTACTGGCACAAGCTGTACGAGGAGCTCTTGCACATCATTGGCGACGTGAAGCCTGTTTCTGGGCTCCCGCGGGTTGCAAATCGACAATGCAAGCATTGCCGCAACACCAAATCTCTGCATTGGTACACTGACGACGGCGATATTTGTCACCAGTGCTATGTGCGGAAACAGAACGATGAGGGTTTAATCGACAATCTTCCGGACGTGCTGAGTCTCAACAAAGTTGGGCTTGACGGGTCGAAGTTTGGCATTTCCGGGCTCGACGACCGGCTGATCGAGCCCCGGATGTCCATACAAGGTATGCTTGGTTGAGTAATTAATGATGTACATACCGTAATTTACATGCTATTCTATGTAGCCCCGCTGAAGAGCGAGTTCGATGCGTTCGATTTCCTCGAGACTTGATGCGTTGAGCAGGTCTTTTTTCAGGGCTTCCTTTTCTGCGTCGGTCAGCCTAACCTGCTGTGCGGACTCCACCACTACTGGCTGTTGCAAAGGCTCAAGTTTGACGTTGTTGAGAAGCTGTGTAGCCAACGGAGTCGGCTCTGCAAAAGTCCCCAGCAGCTCTTTGGAGGTCTGTCTATGTTTTGGTTTGATGGCGTCAAAGTCGAGGATGGTGACCGATGGCAGCAGCCATATGACAAACTCCTTGTAGTACGGCAGCGCGGTAACTTTGTTGTGGGCGAGATACAGACTGTCCAGCTTGGTGCAGTGTCTGAGAGGAACGAGGTCTGGGAGGCCAGAAAGATTGTTATGGAGAAGCGAGAGGGATTTCAAGTTTGGCAGCAGTGCTCCAATGTTGGCATCGATGCTGGAAATCTGATTGCGAGCCAATAACAGCGTTTGGAGCCGTTTCATTGGCGTGTTGACCGTCAGTACACGGATATCGTTGTCGGTGAGGTCTAGGGCCTCGTTGACGTCGTCGGACTGGGCGAAACTCTCGACGAAGGAAATCTGGAGACCACGTAACACCAGCGTGCGCTCATCTGCCGCACTCAAATAGCACGGGGCGTCCTCAATAAGTAGCGGAGTGAGTCTCATCAAATAATAAGAATTTGCAATATTTTTTTCGAGATCGTTATATACAATGAAATTACTCGTCTAACGACAACTTCGAGCGATTACTAGGCAGGGTCTTTCCAGAAGCAGGCTCGTACTTTTGGTGGGTGGCCTCCTTGAGCTTCTGTTCCTCCTCGGGAGTTAGAGGGTCGATAGTCTCGTTTGGAGAGACAAACTCAAAGTCGCCAAATCCAAACGCTCTGTCGCAGATCTTGTCTAGAACGTACAACTGCATCCTCACGTACCGCACGAGTGCCTCGAGCTTGACATTGTCAATATTCTTGTCTCCGTTGAACATGTTTCTCCACAGAGCAGCGGCAAGAACCGCGTCTGAGTTCGATGCCAAGGCCTCGTCGTAGGAGAACGTGATTCCCAAAAGTTGCGAGTGGAAATCCTTCATGTAGCTTTCTCTGATCTGTCCGGACAAAACGTTCATTTCCTCACTGAGTCTGAGCTCGATGTCTCTGAAGAAATTGTCAACCAGTTTCTGTTGGTAGTTTTTACCAACCTTGAATGGCATCGCTCTCATTCTCACAAATAACAGCCACACGTGCAGCCCGGTGATCTGGAACCACTGTCCAAAAGTTCTAGGAAGTCCCAAGGTCTGGTACCAGAAAGTAGCGGTTTCCGAAAGCGGATCATTTTTGAACTGTAAACTTTGATCTTTGCACATTTGGTAGTACTTCACTCCTCCCATGGTACCTGCCCTCACATTGTCCATGTCAATACGGAATAAGTTCACTAGCACCTCTCCGAACGCCAGCTTCCACTCCGGCACCTTGAACCCCTTGGCCTCATACGCAGGCTTCGGTAGCCGTCTTTTTGGGTCAATGTCTTTGTCTGGGGTATCTGGGTTCTCGATCTTTGGCAAGTGCGACTGCATCACCAACTCCTTCGGCGAAACCTTCTTTGACTGTAGTCTTCTGCCGACCAAACTGGCCGCGCCGTGCTGCTTCAACACAGCTCTATTAATCTGTCTTGGAATCATCCCTGCTAACAAAGATTGAAGAAAAATTATTTTCCAGTTTACATCTGTTTTTTCTCTAATTGGCTTGCACACTCTTAACTGTAATTTTTCTACACTATTAATACACGGCCAATTTATCTTCTTCCCTTCTTGCGGCCACGTCCGATCGACTTGGCCGCCACTTTTGGGCCTTCGTAGTGCGAGTATCCATACTCTCCGACCGCACGCGAGTTCACCCACGCAAGAAGGTTCTGTCTGTCTCTATCTGTTCTCATTGCATGCAGCATTTCCCTTGCGTGGCTCACCTTCTCCAACTTGGCTTCTCGTTCGCGCTGCATCTGGCGAGTCAGGTCCTGGTTGCCACCGCGCCGAGTCCGTTTCGGCATCGGGATCTCGTCGTCCTCGGCCTTCCGTTTCCGGCTCTCCTCGTCGCCGTTTTGCTCCAAGTCCTCGTCCTCATCCTCGCTCAGATCAGCATCCGCAATGATCTTCTCGAACTTCAACTCGTCCTCAGACTTGCGCCCGATCCCCAATGTCTTGGCACGCGAGCTCAAACTGCTCACCACCTGGTCCTGGATGTCCACTATCTTCTTCCGTAGCTGCTTCTCGCGCTCTCCTTCGATATTAAGCCATTTCAGCAGCTCCTCAATCTGCTCAGGGAGCTCCAGATAACCCCAGTCGGCACAGCACAGTAGAACATCCTCCCCTTCTTCAAGAATCTTGCGCTCAACAGCACTAAACTGGCGCTCGATCGTCGAGCCGTACTGGTCAACAACAACAAATCCCTTGCTGTCCTTTACCTCTCCGTTTTCAAACGTGAAACCGCAGTACGACTTCACAGCAGACATGAACTCGTCGCTGTACGGCTTGACATTGGCCTCCGGCTCGGTCTTGATTTCCGGCTCGGTCTTGGTTTCCGGCTCTTCTTCAACATCGGGCTTGCTCTCTTCTTCAACCTCACCAGTCTCCTGCTTCGACGGCCACATCAGAGAGCTCCATTTCTCTAGTTGTTCGTCGTCAAACTTCAAGAACACCTTACGGTCCTCGTTTCCAGGTCCTTGGATCCACAAGCGGCCCATCAAATAAGTATCCTCCTCGTACTCGGAATCGCCGTCGCTCATGTCCGCGTCCTCCTCGTCCTCCTCGTCTCTGTTGCCCGAAGAGCTGAGATTGGGAAGCCCATTCTTCTCGAACCACCAGTATCTGTTGTAAAATCGATCGCGGCCGATGTAGCAGACTCTCTGCGAGTCGATCTCGTTCAAGCTCTTTTCGAGGTTTCTCCGTTTCTGCTTCATTTCATCGATCTCTTTCACCTTCTCAACTCTTTGCTTCACCAGCTTCATGAACTCTGGATTACTTGCACAAACAGCCTTTTCAAGAGCAGTGGGCTCAGGAGGCAGATAACTGAAACCAAGTCGACTGACTTTCTTCTTTTGCTCAATAAGTTCCTGTGTTTTCTCTGGCTCAAGGTTCCATGTCTTGATATCTGCCGTGGTGATAGGTTTCAACGTCTCAATGATATTCTTCTGAATAGCAATACCTTCCTCCATCAGAACCTTGAACTCCTTGATGAGCTCGAGTCTGTCTCTTCTGAGAGAGGTTGCGTCCTCGAGACACTTGTCCATGTAGTTTCTGATAACGGTACCGTTCAGAAGCAAAGACATAACAATGGCTATGGTTTTTGCTCTGTCCTCTGCGGTCAACTTTTGGTAGAAATTATGCTGGATAGTCTCAGCAGTGGAAGCCTCTTCAGCAGGTGCCAGTGTCTCAAAGATCCGCACAATATCGGTCTTGTACTCCGGCAGATACTGGACAAGAGACATGATTCCAATAAGAACAATCAGCCAGTTACCTTCTTTGAATTGCCGAGTGGCCAAACGATCCTCCCAAGCACGGTTCTTGTACTTCAGGAAAGAGTAGGCATTGTGGTTGATTTCCTCTTCCTCTTCCTCCTCTTCCTGTTGCTCGCCATCTTGCTCGTCACCGCTAGGGGGGGACTTGATGCGCTCTTCTTTCATCTCAACGTCAGCATCGACCGGGTCGTCTTCGTCATTAAGTTTCTCGTCGTCGTCTCCCTCCGCAACAGTCTCTTTAGGAAGAGTGATCAACAATCTGCGTCTGCCGTCCATGAAAGCCTTAAACATACCGCAGTATATTTCCATCAACAAGGGACACAAAGTTTCCTCATCGTTCCACTTGAGAGCAGCAAAATAGTCGTCAAACGTGAAATTATCGATCACAAGAGCCTTGGCGTACATGTTCAAGAAAATCCAGGTTTCCAGAATATCAGAACTGTCGCGCACTCCAGGAAGCTTGACAATCTTTGGTTTTGACTTCGAAACGCTTCTGAACGGAAGCTTCAGGTCGTCAATTAATCCTGGAGGCCTGAACTTGTTGCCGTTGAAAACATTCATAGGTGTAGAGCTTCTCGAGTCGCTTGGTGTGGCGATCTGCGACTTGTTGCTTGGTTGAGGTAAAATATCAACAAAACCGTTGTGAGGTTTTGGGGACAGAATGTCTGGCGACTCGGAGAAATCGCCCGTTTGGGCCTGGGCAGTCATGATCTTTCTGTAGGTGATGTTCAGACTCTTGAAGAATCTGAAACACTTTTCGTAATGCCAGACCTTGATCTTGTTGCTTAGAACGTAGTGGAAAATGTTGTCTGGGGCATACGTAGCTTTGGTAGAAAAAGGAACAGAGGTGACCAGGAAATTCACTGTTTTAGGATCGAACGTTGGAAGGACCTTGACTCCAGAGTACTGGAACAAAATGAGGATTTTTTGCTTAATCTCTGGATCAGCGTCACTCTCTGGAGTATCTTGGAAGTACACCGTGCAATGTTTCAGAGCATCGTACCATTTCTGTTTCCAGATCTGTAAAGAGAACCCGTTTTCCTGCTCATGTGCAGTGGGAGGGGTTTCCTTCAAATTGTCGAAAATGTGTTCGTTACTCTTTAACTTGTTGATTAGAGTCAGTTTGCGCAAGGATTCCTTTGGCTGCTCGAATTGTTTTAAATGTTCGGGATATTCCAGCGAGATTCTGTATTTCTTGGCAACCGAGTCCTTCAAGACCCATGGCGAGCCCTGTCTGGTTGATCTAGTCAAACTCATTTTCAAAAACGCCTTGACATACCATTTGGTGAACGAATTTCTTTCTCTAGAGATCTGCGAAAGGGAATTGATGGTGACCTCTTCATTACTCTGCAATAAAACACGATAGGAGCAGTAGCCTTCCTTGACTGTTCCATCGGGCAGCGTGATGGCGTTGAATCTTGCCTTTTCTCTTACTATTCCGTGTGCTTTGTCACCGGATTCTGTTTTCACAACCACCTGGTCGCCAGGGAAAAAATCATCCTTGAACTTGGCATACACCTCGTCCACAAGACCGTCAATTCTGTGAGTCGTGGAAAACGAGACGTACCTCAGGATGGGCTCCTTGACAGGTTCAGGGAAGCGCGACTCCATCATGCCCATCTCGTTCTGTTCCACCTTGAGCGCTTCAAAGTAGGTGAAATTGGAGTTTCCGGAGGTCTCGCAGACAAATTTCTTGATGTTGTAATAGTCCATTCGGCTCAGGTATTGATCGTAGTCCAAAAACCATTCGCGGGTCTCTGGAATATACCACACCTCGGTGGATAAATCAAAGTCGTCGGGAATGGTTGGGGGAGGGGCAAACTCGACTTTTTTTCGTTTGAAAAGAACCTTAAAAACGCGTGTTAGTACGATTGGAAACCGCGTTGGATCATCTGTCAAACATTCGCAGCCAAAAGCACCTGCAAATGCACCGATCACGGATCAACTTACCATTTTTTAAAATGATGTGCAAGGGCACTGTAAAGATTCCAGCCAGTTGTCTTTTCTGTAAACGTTGCTATCGTACTGATAGATACAGATCGTGTAAATCTTGGGCGCTCTTCGAACTGTCTTCGCAGATAGCCTTCGTTTCTGGATTCAGCAAATAAACAGACAAACAATCACAATATTCAGCTAGGTTAGTTTTTGCCAAACAAACTAATCATTACAATTGCCTCTGGTAAAGAAAAAGTTGAGACCAGTTGAAAGGAAATCCAGGACGCAAACCATGGGTCGTGCGCAGACTAAATATGTGGTGTAGTTCTGTTTGATATCGTGCTCGATGTAGGCCATGCTGGGTGTGGCTTCTTGGTGGTTGCAAAAGAGAGGTGTCAGCTTGAGATGGTATTGTTAGGGACTCTAAGGCTACCGCAGCAACTGCTTTGATCACATCCCACTATTTCCGACCGGCACCGCCTACTGTTCTTCCCAATTAGAAAACCCCGTTAGTATAGATTCTTCAGAGTGGCGCTGCGGCTCGTTCTATTTTTCTTTACCGTGAAGCTGTCTTTGGACGGTTGAAAAATTTGGAGCCTCTTGTCCCGAAGCGGCGCGGATAATATTTTATACAGCACTGTATATTCGCCACATAGGGTTGTAGGTATTCGTTGGAATGCGCGGGGTCCACAGATTTTAGATATCTCGTTACATTATCGACTTTGCGCGTTGGCCGCTAAAGTTATATACATGTCATCTGGCCTGGACTACACGGTCCTCATTTATACAAGAATCCCAACCATCCTTGCTTGGCCTTTTCTCTCTCTGCCCGAGGCTGGTACGCCGAGATGTTGGCCTTGATTTTGTCGATGGCCTGATCTGCGTCGTATTGGCGGCCCAACACGTCAATGAACTCTCCTTCCGGATCCATGAAGTAGAAGAAGATCGAGTGGTCAACAAGATAGTCCTGACCTGGCTTCACGTTCCGTGGGGTTGAAAAGTAAACTCTGTAGTTCTTGCAACATTGTTTAACGTTGTCGTAGTCTCCTGTCAGTCCAATGATGGACGGATGGAAATCCTTCAAATACTCCTTGATCACCTCCGGACTGTCTCTAGCTGGATCGCACGTGATGAATATAGGCTGGAGGTCAATGTTGTGCTTTGATTTCAGCCCGTCCAAAATTAATCCAAGCTTGTCCAGCTCGTCTGGACAAATATCTGGACAGTGGGTAAATCCGAAATAAATAATGGAGAATTTACCTTGCAAATTGTCCTGGGTGAACTTGTTGTTGTCTGTGTCAACCAGGTTGAATGGTCCACCAATAAGTGGTTTTCCAACACCACGGTTCTGCTCTGCTTCTCTACGCAACTTCAACTTTTCCTTCTCGTTGGTGAACACGTAAGTCAAAGCAGATCCAAATACAACAAACACAACCACAGCCTTCCATGTCAGGAACTCAATAGGGTTTCTTTTTAGCGTCTGCTGTGAGTAATCAGAGCCTCCAACTGGCAGTCTCGACAAAGGCTTCTTCTTTGGCTTTTCGGCGTTTTGTTCGGAGCCTGGTAACTTGGCATCGTTCAAAGCAAACTTGCTCAACGAAAAGTACCGGGGTCTCAACAAAACACTGCGCTTAACAGGACTCAATCCAAAACGTAACATGATTTAAACGATTCGGGGACTCAATACTTTTTCGTATTTTTACACTCCAGTAGAAAATTCTCACATCCTTACACCATTACACAGACTAGTTCTTTCCGGCACCAGCTCTGAAATAGATGACATCACCGTCCTCGACAGTATAGTCCTTACCCTTCTGGAGCAACTTACCAGCTGACTTCACAGCATTCTCGTCTCCCAACTCGATCAGATCGTTGTACTTCATCACGTTGGCCAAGATGAAAGTCTTCATCAAGTCTGTGTGAATAACACCTGCAGCTTGCGGAGCTTTAGTTCCGTCTCTAATGGTCCATTCCCTGACCTCGTCCTTCTCACCAGCAGTGAAGAAAGAAATCAAATCCAGCTTCTTTCTCATGGTGATAATGATCTTTGGCAAGATGGAAGGAGCACCAACCTTCTTCTCCTCCTCGGCTCTCTCTTCGTCAGTCTCCATTTGGGACAATCTCTCCTCGTAGGAAACAGAAAGTGGAATGATCACATCTCCTGGAGAGTACTTGTCGACCCACTCCTTGATCTTCAGCAAGTGCTTGTTCTTCTTTCTAACATAATCTCTCTCCGAAAGGTTGATCAGATAAATGGTTGGCTTGGCAGTCAAGAGGTACATGCTGTTGATGACCTCGATTTCTTTACTTGTCCAGGTTTGGTTGGCAACTCTCTGGCCATCCTTGAGAAGCTGGATGATTCTCTCGACCAAAACAGCCTCCTCTTTCTTTTGCTTAACCTCCAACGATTGACCACCTCTCTTGGTGATTTTGTGGATACCTTCCAAGTGACTCTCGGCAAAATCAATATCCTTGAGTCTCAACTCGTTGGAAATAATCTCCAAATCTCTGGTAGGGTCAACATCTCCCTCAATGTGGATGATGTCTGCGTCATCGAAACATCTAACCACCTGGTAAATGGCATCAACAGCACGGATATTGGACAAGAAAGCGTTACCAAGACCTTCTCCAGCAGCAGCACCTTTAGTCAAACCAGCAATATCGTAGATGGTGATGTAAGCTGGAACTTTCTTAGGTGGCTTGTACATTTCGTAGAGCTTGTCAAGACGCTCAGAAGGAACAATCACTCTGGCCTCTTCAGGCTCGATCGTAGCAAAGGGGTAGTTGGCAGGGTTTCCAAGTGGGCATCTAGTGATGGCCTGGAAAAAGGTGGACTTACCAACATTGGCCAATCCAACAATACCAGACTTCAGGTTGTTTCCTGGTCTTCCTAAAAGGAGTTTCTTCTCTTCAACTTGCTTCTTTGGTGGCATAGTCGTATGTTTCTTGTCTTCCACCTCTCTGATTCTTGAAAATTTTTTAATTTCCAACGGCTTACGTCATCTCTATATAAAGGTTTGTCTATTAACAACTAGTTGTCGAGCCAGTCTCCAAACTTGGACAGCCGTTCCTGCTCGCTGTTGTCGGAGCGAGAACGTTTGTACTGGGTCTCGCCGTCGTACTTGAAAACCTCGAGCCGTTGACCGCCAAAGAACCGGCCGTTCATCTTGGAAACACAGTTCTGGGCAGCAACTGCGGACTTGAAACGCACAGTCACCACGCCTTCTGGCTCCAAATCGTACAGAACCACGTTGGTAACCTCCCCGATCTCCTCGCATCCTTCGCGAATGTCTTCCTTGACGTCCAGCAGCGTTGCAGGGTCGTCACTTAGTTCCTTCAAAGTGAAACAGTGTTTGAACACAACGATCTTTTCGTCGCGCAGTCGTGTTTTGTCATCATCGTCCTCGTTGTCTGACCACTCGTTCACCTTTTTGTGGATTTTCTCGACTTTTTTCTTCAATTGCAACCGTTCCTTTACGTTCAGCTTGGTGGCCGGCTTCTTGTCAGATTTTGTGCCAAATTCTGCTGTGGTGACACTAATTGGATGCTCATCAGTGCCTCGTAATTTCGTGTCGTGGAGAAGCTCAATTGCAAGATCGCAGCTCTCCTCTTTCAAATACTCTATAAGACAATCTCCCTTGAAATTGCCATTGTCGTCCTTGTACAGCTTGATCTTGTGAAGACCTGTGCGGAAGTCCTCTGCCAAGACGCCGTACTTGCCAAAAATCCGGTCCAGCTCGTCGTAGTCGATGTCCAGCGGAAGCTGGCTAACATATATACAGGTGTTTCTATGTCGTCTTAACAGCTTATCCTGTTCGCGTTCGTGGCGCAACTGCTTGAGTTTTTCGCGCTTCTGCTTCTTGAATGCCTCTGTAAGGTCATCCTCATCATTGCTGTGTTTAGGAGGCTCAGCTTCGTCCAGCAAAGGAACCCACCTTTCTAGAATGGGGTTATACTCATACTCGTCGCCCGAATCGGGAATCTCGATTGTCCACCGCAATCGAACTTTATCAAAAGAAAGGTACTGAGCCGTGGCTTCCGGGATATTTTCAGGAGCAATCCCTTGGATATCCTCTATTAGCCCCATTAGCAGGTAGAGTTGATTCAATTACGGTAATTTTTTTTTACTGAAAGACACCTAACACCTCGGTAACTTTATTGTGGCAAGGATCTTCACGCTCGCACAAATAGCAACTTTTCGTTGCATATATAATGTGGGGAATTCGTGCCGAAAACACCCCAACTTTAAACTCTCAGCAAAATTGTTTTTTTTAACATGACTTCTAAACTTATCAAGCTCAACAACGGAATTAGTGTGCCAGCTGTCGGATTCGGCTGCTGGAAGGTGGAGAAGTCCATCTGCGCGGATCAGATCTATGAGGCCATCAAGGTTGGTTACCGTTTGTTTGACGGTGCCATGGACTACGGCAACGAAAAAGAGGTTGGCCAGGGTGTTAACAGGGCAATTAAGGACGGATTGGTCAAGAGAGAGGAATTGTTCATTGTTTCGAAGCTTTGGAACAGTTACCACCACCCAGACAACGTCAAGAAGGCCGTGAAGAAGGTGCTTGACGACTTGCAATTGGACTACTTGGACATCTTTTACATCCACTTCCCAATTGCTCAAAAGTTTGTTCCTTTTGAGGAGAAGTATCCTCCAGGATTCTACTGCGGTAGCAATGGCTGGGAGTTCGAAGACGTTCCTTTGGCAACCACCTGGAAGGCCTTGGAGGGACTGGTTGAGGAAGGATTGGTCAAGTCGATTGGTATTTCCAACTTCTCCGGCGCATTGATTCTTGACTTGCTCAGAAGTGCCAAGATCAAGCCTCAATTGCTCCAGATTGAGCACCACCCATACCTGACTCAGGAGAAATTGATCAAATGGGTCCAGGACCAGGGCATTGCCGTTGTTGGGTACTCCTCGTTTGGTCCTCAGTCGTTTGTGGAGCTGAACCATAAGAAGGCCACCGAGAACATTTCTTTGCTTAAACACGAAGTGATCGACTCCATTGCCAAGGCACACAATGTCTCTACTGCCCAGGTCCTTCTGAGATGGGCCACCCAGAGAGACATCTTGGTGATTCCTAAGTCCAACCAGAGGGAGAGATTGATCCAGAACCTTGATGTCAACAACTTCGATTTGACCGAGGAGGAGATCAAGCAGATCAACTCTTTGAACCAGGATCTTCGTTTCAACGATCCATGGACCTGGGACGAGATTCCAATTTTCGTTTAGATGTATATTCGTTGATTATCAGATTATAAACGGACAGCGATTGTAGGCCAAAAAGGCGGTGCAGCACATGTATTCGACGTGGAGAAATCGCCCTGGACTCTGCATTGGCCCGGAGATACTGGGTGAGCATTTGATTCGTCTATGATCTTTCTTGGTTGACAAATGGGAGGCAGTGCAACGGCTCCAAAAACCACCCCAGACAGACTTCCGACCAAATCAGTATCCTCCGGGAAGTCGGCTCCTTTGTAGTGTGTGAGGGAGATCCCATTGGCGTACTTGTTGAAACACCATGAAAGCAATTTGCGGTATGGCCTGGGATCTGTTCTTGTTGTGTTGGTAAAAAGTGACAAAGTGCTGCAATTTTCAGGGAAGCAGAAAGATCTCGTGTCTGATACCACTAGCGTTTCGCCAGGCATCCAATTGAACAGAAGACATCGTGCCACATTCAATGCGTCTGTGTTTGGTGTTCCGTCTCGGAGTAGCAGATCCCAGGCGATTGCGAAGGGGAGAGCACCAACTAGCCACATCACAATAGTGGACAACCTCATTCTTTCTGTCAGACTACTTTTTGATCACACTGGCATACTCAAGAACGTCTTGTTATGACTCTTGATTGGTTGCCGACTTCGAGCCATCTTACTTTATTCACCCTTGCACCAAACACTGCCCTAATTAGGCAATTTTTCAAGAGCGGCGATAATATAATCAGAGTCGTTTTAGTATATAAGACTGTGGATGCCCATCAGAAATACCATGTCTGTGTTGTCTAAAAATCTGAAGGTTGCTCTGTTGCAATTCCATGCTGGTGCTGATAAGAAGGCCAATTTGCAGAAAGTGAAGGAGTTTGCCAGCAAGGCAATTACCCAACACCCTTCGTTGGATCTGCTTGTTCTTCCAGAATGTTTCAACTCTCCGTACTCGGTGGAGGAGTTCAAGAACTACTGCGAGCCAATTCCCGGCGGAGAAACTACAGAGTTTTTGTCGAACCTCGCAAAGGAACACAAAGTTAGCATTGTCGGGGGTTCATTCCCTGAACTGGGCTCCGATAATAAAATATACAATACTTCGCTCACTTTCGACAAGACGGGAAAGATCATTGCGAAGCACAGAAAGGTGCACTTGTTCGACATCGACATTCCGGGCAAGATGACTTTCAAAGAGTCCATATCGCTGGCTCCAGGAGATAAAGCCACAGTGTTCCAGCTCGAAGACTTCTGTAAAGTGGGTCTGGGAATCTGCTACGATATCCGGTTCCCAGAACTTGCCATGGTGGCTGCCAGACAGGGCGCAGGAATCATGTTCTATCCAGGAGCGTTCAACACCGTGACCGGACCAAAGTTCTGGACCAAGTTTGCGGTTGCCAGGGCTATCGACAACCAGGTGTATGTCGTGATGTGCTCTCCAGCCAGAAACGTGGCTGGTGGTGGGTACCAGGCGTACGGCCACTCGATGGTGGTGGATCCAAACGGAGACGTTTTGGTGGAGGCTGGCCACGACGAGGATATCGTCTACTGCGAGCTCAAGCCAGACGTGATCACCGAGGCCAGGAAGAACATTCCGATCTCCACACAGAGAAGATTCGACGTCTATCACGACGTGGCCTCCGATGCGGTCGCCAAGGACATCTAGCCCGTTATCGTAAATCCGGCTTATGTCAGCCGGGATTAAGTAGTGAAAAATATTAACGGGACCGTGCAATTTGAAAGCTCGGTATTTACTATAGCGAGATGTTGGGGTGTTCGCGCGTGTTTCGGCGTCTATACTCTTTCAAGACCCAGTACGAGCGGGTAGCGCAATGTCCTGGCCCTGCAGTGGACACTGGGTGTACGCACTGCGAGCTGCCCAAGTTCCCAGCAAATAAGCAAATCGACTACGATCGGCCTTTATCCAAGACGAAGGCAAACCCATGGAAACACATTCTTGTGCTCTCTGGCGATCCAGACTACAGGAACTGGCCCAGTAGGTTTGAGACCGCGCCTGGAACGGTGATTTCTGAGATACAGGCACATAAACGGCAGATCATCGATATGTTCCACCCGGTGTTGACTAGCATGACTTCTTTGCAAGAGAAGCCGGCCACACAAGACAATGTCGTTTTTGGAATATACCCTGATGGACTAAGAGTTGAAGTTCCCCGGGATAAAGTGGAAGAGTTTATGATCGGATATTTAAGTACGATACCCGAAAATCTAGATGAAGCCGATTCCAAAGAGATGGAAACGCTCCAGAACAGTTTCCGGGCGCAGTTTGCGAGTCGGCCTTTGGAAAACGACCTGGTTCTTATCTGCGGTCATTTAAAACGGGATGTCAGGTGCGGGGAGCTAGCTCCGCTGATAAAGAGCGAATTTGAAAAAGTTATTCAATTGCAGGGAGTTGGCAATACCCAGATAGGAATAGTGTCACATATTGGAGGACACATTTACGCGGGGAACGTGTTGATATTTAAGCGGAACGGTGACGTGATCTGGTACGGGCGCGTGCTGCCGGAGCATGTGCAAGGAATTGTGAAGCTGACCCTTGTGGAAAACAAGATAATTGAGGAGCTGTACAGAGGATAATTACGGCGCAGGCTTGGCTACGGCAGGAGGTGTAGCTTTTTTTTTTCCAGCATGGTCATTCCGACGGGGTGCGAAAAAAGGTTTTGGGTGCACAGCCTGAAAGAATATGGGTTAGCGGGGGATGACCGTGATGGAGTTGAAACAGGATGGCCCCACTGAATATGTGTGATGGCTGCATTTCCGAAACGGACATTAGGAATTTATTTCTAAGAGCAACCCTTAAATAACATATTAATCGTACCCGTACTTCTAAAAGGTCACGCTTCCCGGGAAAAAACGTTGGGCTAGTGCACGAAAACACCCGGTGGTAATTTATTTTACATACGGAAACAAAAAAATACCTCTGTATTAATGGCATTATGGACTCGCTAGAACGAAAGAAATCGCCTCCGTTTCTGGAGCTGTCGCAGTCGACGCTGCAGGCGCTCCAGCAGAGCCAGAGCCAGGCCCAGCTTGATTTCGGCAACGTGCTGACTCTTTGGACCACCTTGATAAAGTCAAGCGACGTGATCAAGAACGGCAAACGCCTCGAAAACATCAGCTGGCGTGTTGTTAACCGCCACATTCTGCTCAAGAACGACTACGACCACAACGACTATTCTGCCTTGATCCAAATCTCTGCAGGAAAATCGGAACAGGCTATCCCACGAAACAAAAAGCAGATTAGACGACATACTCCGCCGCCAGATGCCAAGGACAAGGTGCCGCTCGTGGTCGAGACCACAACCGAGTCCAAGGAAACTACAGCAGAGGTCTCGACTAGCGACCAGGAGTCCGAGCCAGAGTCTGTCCAGAATCAGCCCCAGAAACTTACCCAGAGAAATCTCCACCACCAGCAAAACCTAATACGAAACACTCCTGGTCAGGCCAACAACCGTGGACAGATGTTCTTCATCGAGAACACTATGTCTCCGGAGCCCGAGGAGTCTCCGAAATCGGTCGCGTCTCCAAAGGTCAAGAGTCTGTTCGACTACCCTGCTACAGAAAAGAAAGACGTGTTGGATGTACCTCACAAAGCCCCTGCGCCAAAAGTTTTAGAACGCGATAGAAGCTTGGAGAGACTCAATCAGCAGCAGCTATTGTATGGAACAAGCAGAACAGGAGCAGAGAGCCACCATTCGCCAAGATCCGAGACTCAAAGGTCGCAAGTTTCACTGTTCGACAAAAACAACAGCAAACAGGACTATGCGCAGCAGAAGATCTTGTTTTCTTCCGACGACGAATTCTCCGACGGGTCCGACTGGTCGTCCATGTCCGGCGACTCCGATTTCGACGACGACGATATCGAGGAAGAGCACTTGGACTTCAACAAAACAGACGTTCACAAAAACCCAGAGAATCCAACCATTAAGCGTTCGCTGTTGAGCGGACTGTTCCTCGACAAAATGGACTCGTCGCAGGAGTCTTCCGAGCCAAAGAAACCCAAGAGTCCGCGCCATGTGGTTTCGCCAGTGTTCCCTCCATCCAAACCGACAGACCGTCCAGATCTGTCCAAGGCATCTATTTCATCTACAAACGTGAACGCTACCGGGGATCTGAAGATTACTCCCGACAACGATATACCCTCGATGCTCAAGAAGTCGTCAGCTGCCCATGGACACCAACAGGACGCCCAACGTCCAGGAGTTGTGCGCAATAACTCAAGCAATAATCCACACATGGTTTCCAAGAGTGCAGTTTCGTTGGCATCTTTCCTTGCCAACAGCAGACGGCCTTACCATTCCACTGACATCCACAACGGCCATTACGAGCGCCAGCACGAATCCAACGCCCCACCAACGGCAACAACTTTACTTCCAACAGCATTGTCCACTCACATGTTCCTGCCAACCATGAATTTGCACCGGCAGCCTCGTCCTGGCAAGCCGCTGAACTCGCGGCCGGGCCCAAGACCGTACCAGCCTGAGCGGGGCCGGGACTACTTTGCTGAGACACACGCGTCCCACGACCACCACGAGGAGAGCGGCAGTGTTTCCTCGAGCGTCAAGTCCATCGACATCCCGGGCTCACTTCCTCGCTCGAGATCGCACATGCACCGTGACCCCGAGTCCCGCAGCAGTTCCAGACCGCGTCTGGACAAACGTGGCAGCTCGATCATGCCACGAGGCTCGCCGTCGGCCGCCTCCATCGAGGTGCTGACCAAAGAGCTGCCGTCAAACCTGGTTGAGAGCATCAACAACGAGAACAAGCTAGTCCATGCATCATCTACAAATGTACACGAACTCCAACATAAACCACGCGTGCGCAGTCATCTAAATAGAACAGGGTCGTCCTCCTCGACGCTGCAAAACGGAGGAGTCAGCGCAGAAGAAGATAGTGGGCCCGAGAGCGAGATCTCTAATAATATCATTGCTAACGGGATAATGGGCAACAAGCTCAAGCTTCTGTCTGCAGAGCCGGAGATTGGGCCTTTTATTGACGATTACCAATTGTCGTCCAGCCAGGCTAAGGACGACGACTGGGAAGACAATCTGAATTACCATGCTAGAGGATGGTAGCTGTTTTACTGACTAGATACTTATTTTTTCAATAAAAGATGGCTGTGTAATTTATAATTAGTGTATGCAATGGGTCCAAAGAAACAGACGCAGCAGTCTGGCAAAAGCGGGCAGAAGTTCCAGTTCCCGCCATCGGTGGCTGGCCTGGACTCTGCCAAGGCAAATCTGTACAAGCCGCAGTTTGAGAGTGTTGTCCCCGGACAGATATTCACGGTGTCCAAGTTTCTTACTGCAGATCAGTGTCGGGACCTGATAGCCGCAATCACACAGGGTTTGCCGCTGGAGACCACGCCACTGGTTAAATCCAAGTTCTACGCTGCGCGAGTAAATGACCGGGCGTCTATTTCGGACGTTCAAGGCGCTGACCTGTTTTATCAGTATTTCCGCCAATTGCTCGAGTTCCAGTCGCAGCAGGAAATGGTTGACGGGTGGATAGTTGACGAGATGACCCGGTCCGAGGCGTTCAACCCGAACCTGCGTTTCTACAGGTACACGAAGGGACAATATTTCGGCAAACACTACGACGAGTCGGTTGGATGTGGCCAAGGACGGGCCACCAAATGGACGGTACTCATTTATTTGAGCGACCAGGGACTGAAAGGCGGAGAGACCATTTTCTACAACGACGCAGCCAAGGGCCCCGACAAACAAATAGCCACGCGGCCGGTGCAGGGAATGGCCCTGTTCCACAAACACGGAGACGACTGTCTTTTACACGAGGCTGCGGCGGTTGCTGCTGGGGAAAAATGGGTGTTTCGAACAGACGTAGTGTACGATATATACAAATGAATCAGACATGACTATATACTCAGATCCGAGAACTTGACCAGCGAATTGTTGGCGAAACCATGGACGCCGTAGCTTTTGGTGGTGGCAGACTGGAGTTGTTCGAGCTGTCTGGCCAACGGAGACTTGGTGGTTCTCTTGACGCTGGCAGTACGATTCGTTCCGTCCTGGATGCGTTTCGACAGCTCAGAGTCCACCAAGTATCCTCTCTTTTCGGAATCGGTGTAGGTCAAGATATCCCGTCTGGCGATCGGCTTGGCCTGCATAGGAATGTAGCCCTTGGTGCTCATGAACTTACCTGGAGCCATGTGCACTTTGTAGCCCAAAGACCGCGAAAAGTATCTGGACGTATAGCTGCCCCCATTTCTCTCGATGGCTTCAATAGCACTCTGCGAGGCCTTGGTCGATTCAATGCTGATATCCAGGTTGTACTCAGGAGATCCGTTTCCCAGCAAAGCAACTCCTTCTTTGATCGATCCGGTGATCAGCCCAACCTCTTTCATCTTCTTCATCGTCAGCACCTCGCCTGGTGCAAGGTTGAGTCTGCCGGAATCGTGGAACCGCTGGATTCTGACTAATGGCAGCTCGTGCAAGTCCAACTTCAAAGATCTTCTGAATCCTCTTTTTGGATAGAGCTTGTGCACAGGCGTCTGACCACCCTCGAACCAGTGCGGAACAGATCCTCTGGCCTTTTGACCTTTTTGTCCTCGTCCAGAGGTTTTACCGTATCCGGATCCAGGACCTCTTCCCACACGTTTCTCGTTCACCTGCGAGTCTGGCGGCGGTTGCAGGTTTCCCAGCAGCGAGATGCTTCTGGTCTGCACCGCGGAAATTCCGGTTCCCAGTCGTCTAAGTCCCGTCAACATCGATGGTTTTAGATGAATATTTTTCGCACCAACTTTTCATCGGTTGAGAAACTGAACACCCGTACACCAGGACATACACAAACACAACGACAAGCTGGTGGTAACAGCTGGTAGAAGGTCACACAACACTCTATTTACGAGGCTTACCTATTCTATTAACGAGTTTGCTCTTCTGCTCGAGTTGGCGACGCTGTGCCGCGGTCAGCCCGACCCGTCCAGCCAGCGTGTTGGCCGCACGACGAGCCGGCGTGGCAGCCTTGGGCTTTCGCACGGCCACCGCGGTGTTCTGTTTCTTGCCTGTGCGGGACAACGTGTTCTGTTTCGAAGCCAAGCCGGTGTTCTTCTGGTGACCGGCCAGACGACGCAGTAGTGCGTTTTGCGGGCCCTTAGAGTCCTTGGGGCCCTTCGATGAGCCTTTGGGTCTCTCGCCCAGCGCCTGGAACAGTCTGTTTGGTCCTGCTGCCTTCCTGCTGCCTGCAGCTGCGCCTGTCTTAGCCATTGCCGGTAACACCAGGATTTGTACGGTGTAGTTTTCGCCAGTGCAAGGGGGGCGCACCCTCCCACCGGGTATTTTTTTCAGGTTCTGTTTAAAAAAGTGCTCTTACCAAACCAACGGTCTACTTCTCCCAAATTATAAGATACCTTAGGACAGTGGAAATAGTTGAGCAACGCTAAACGTGATCCAACTGTTAACTTCCTCAAATTTGATCTTGAAAAGCTACCAAATTACAGAAAAAAACGCGCAATTAATAATCATCAATAGAAAATGCCTTTGTGCGGAGGGGCCCCCAAACCAGGTAAGTTCGACACAGATTTGTCACTAACAGTCAGTCCAGCGAAAAATCGTCATTCTCGGAGACGGTGCGTGCGGTAAAACATCGCTTTTGAACGTGTTTACAAGAGGATACTTCCCGCAGGTATACGAACCAACAGTGTTTGAAAACTACATCCACGACATATTCATCGACGGCCAACAGCTTCAACTTTCGCTGTGGGACACTGCTGGGCAGGAGGAGTTCGACCGACTGAGATCGCTTTCGTACAGTGACACGCACTGTATCATCCTATGTTTTGCTATTGATTCACACGACTCGTTGGAGAACGTCAAGAACAAGTGGGTCGGAGAGATCCTGGAACACTGCGAGGGCGTGAAACTGATTTTGGTTGGTTTGAAGGCGGATCTGAGAAGCACAGACCCAGATATTGGCCAGGACGAGCTCCTGGTGAACAACGCTCCTTCTGGAAGGAAGCTGGTTCCGTACGAAGACGGAGTGGGCGTGGCCAAGGAGATCGGCGCGCTGAGATACCTGGAGTGCTCGGCCATGAAGAACCGCGGAGTGAACGAGGTCTTCACGGAAGCTGCCCGTCTGGCACTCACTGCCAAGCCAAAGGGAGCAGGCACCGCCAACGCCGCCACAGAGAACGAGGGCACGAGCTGTGTGGTGATGTGAGCATCCGTTAGGGAATTTACTTCTGTCGGACAACCGTAAGTAGCGTTGTATTGTAGAAATATATCATGTTCAGTTCCACTCGCCCCTTGGCACCGGTGTACCGTCACGTGACCGAGGAGCCGGCGTGTCGCTTGGGGCTCTGGCTGTAGCTGTAGTTCGATTTTGCCGGCGATATGCTACGCGAGCTCACGTACGAGTTGGACCCAGATTCGTAGATGCTGTTTGGGGCTGTCTGGGCGTCCATCATTGGCAGTTCTCCTGTTTGGATGAACTGGTCCAGGACGATGCTTGTATTTTTGCGGATGACTGGCCGTTTGAGCGAGGCACGTATAGGCAGCTCGGGCGTACCCAGGTCGCTTTGTTTCTTGAGATGCAGGGTGGTGACTTGTGCTGGGCCTTGGTGTGGCTGGTAAAAAACTTTTGTATGGCTATTCGATGGTAGCTTGATGGACCTGACGGGTCTGAATCCTGCGACTTCGATGCCCCGCGTCTGACCAGCTACCGTTTTGTGTCTGATAATGTTGATCGGAACAATGGGGTCGTCTTTGGAGTCTGTGTAGTCGGAGTCGAACGAGTCGTCTGCAAGGTTGGCGTGACGAGCTTGGCTCTTTGCGCGGAAGCGGTTATACGCCGACCCCAGCAGGAACGCGAGCACAAACCCGCCCACTATGGGCAGGAATATCACGTAGAAGGTTCCCTGGTGCACTGACGAGGACTGGAGAAACGGGTTTTGCAGCTCGCTGGACGGGACCTGGACTGGTAGCGGGTCAGGCAGGGCCAGCTGGGCAGGTGGAGGGATATCGCTGTAGACGGGGGTTTCCGGCTGGTCCTCTTGGAACGACATGGCGGGAGAAAGCTAAGGGGTCCGGCGAATGATGTTGGGCGTGGAAGAGGTTTTGGACGTTGTTGGGACAGTAAGCGCTGACGACAGAGGAAAAAGAATGTAGCTGGAAACGGAGGATAATTTCGGGCAGTGCTAAAATTTGACGGGGCGATGGTGAACACGGTGGAGCCACGGGTGGACAATGGGGGGAGTTGGGTGAGAATCTTGTGACTAGTGGAGACGACTGGCGGTGAAAATTGGCTCGTTCATGCTGTTCGTGCCTGTTCCCATTAAAGACTCTACTGGACGAAAAATCTAACCAAATTATTTTTCATGTTTCTTAGAACGAGAAGTTTTGTGCGTCGTGCGACGGTGACGCCGGTGCGGTTTGTGGCCAACAAGGCCGTCGCGGAGGACGTTGCCGCCCGGTATAGAGAGAAACTGCAGCAGAAGGCGAAGGAGCTGGGTGCGGCCGACCCGGAGGAGTTGAAGCAGAAGCTGAAGGACGAGATCGAGCAGAAGAAACGGGAAATGAACAAGATCGACCCGCTCAAGGAGCTCGAGGAGTACGAGAAGTCGCAGCAGAAGCGGGTCATCAAGCAGGCCAAGGACAGAAAGCCTATTGACCCGGCCACGCCCAAGGACCCGTACAAGACCCTGAACTCGTACCTGGACCTGGAAAAGATCCGGGCATTGGACAGCAAGGAGATCGAGTTTTTGTGGAGACTGAGGTTTCAAAAGGGCGAGAACACTTTAAGTGCGGTTGTTCCCAAAAACTCTTTTGAAAGACTGCACAGAAACGCGATCCGCAACCCAACGTTTGTGCTGCCTCTTCCGCGGGAGGACGCGCAGGTGGAGGGTGAGGCTCCGGAGGCTGGATCGCCTGTGGAGATTCATTTTGTGCAATGGAACTTTGTTGGACCAGAAACCACACATGTACTGATCACATCTCTGGCCGAGTACAAGCTACACAAGGAGTTTGCCAGACCGCACACGACGGTGATGTTCCACCAGGAGCTGAAGGACGAAAAGGACCTGATTCTGATGAACGGACAGGTGGAAAAAGACGCCCCGTTGACTCTCCAGGAAGCACAGCTTCTGCTTCTGAATGTGCAAAGATTCTACGGAGGCCTGTCGGATAACCTGTCGGAAACAGGTAAGAAGAGAGTCCAGTTGCTGGAGCAGTTCAATTCCGGCTCGACAGAGTTCAGCATGGATGAACTTATAGATCTTGCTCAGAGCATGGAAAATTAAACTGTGTACAGATGTAACGTGACTGAGGATCAAATAAATAATTTTAATCAAATTATGACTAACTAAGGCTCAACAAGATGAGTATCAAAGTAGCATATTTGGGTCCTCCAGGGACGTATTCGCACCAGGTAAGTTTGATATATTGAAGACTAACTGAATTAGGCGGCACGTCAACAGTTTGAGCCGTACTCGCTAGCAGGAGATGTGTCTATAGTGTATTTGCCGCAGCCCTCGATAAATTCGTGCTTCAAGAGCATTTCCAAAGACGAGTGCGATTTTTCTGTGATTCCGTTCGAGAACTCGTCGAATGGCCAGGTCGTGCTCACCTACGACCTGTTCCGCGACTGGTTTATCCAGGAAGACCGGCTCAAGATCAAGCTGCGGGAGATGGAACAGAGCACCAGCTCGGAGGCTTCTTCCACCAAGACCAGAGACTTCCAGGTGATTGCCGAGCAGTTTGTCACGATCCACCACAACTTCATCACCTACTCGAACGACATTTCCAAGATCACGACGATCTACTCGCACCCGCAGGTCTGGTCGCAGTGCAACAAGTTTTTGCACAAGCACGAGCTCGACAACAATATCAAGATCCAGAAGATCGACACCTCGTCCACGTCCAAGGCGGTGGAGATCGTGGCGTCACTCAAGACAGAAGAGCAGCGGCAGACCACCGCGGCTATGGCCTCGTTGACGGCAAGCGAGATCCACGGGGTTCCCGTCAAAGTGTCGCAGATCGAGGATTTCAAGGGAAATACCACCCGGTTCCTGGTGTTGAGCAAAAAACAGCTGCCTGTGCTGGACTCGTCGATCGCGCTCAACAAAGTGTCCGACAAACGGCTCACGCTGCTGACGTTCATCATCAAGAACAACGACAATTTCGGCAGTCTGTGCGACATTCTACAGGTGTTCAAGCAATATAACCTGAATCTACAATCGATTACAACCCGGCCGTCTGTGGTGAGTCCGTGGAGATATGTGTTTTTCGTGGAGGTTTGGGAAGGATCCGGTATGGCCTCGGCACTGAACGAGATCGAGGACCTTGTTCTGGACCTGACGGTGCTGGGATCATTCCCAAGAAGTGACAAGTTTTTCCAAATGATCGAACAAAGCATATAAGTCACTTCACAGATAAGCTGGTTCCTGTATATAGAAAAGGCTCGTTTCTGGACCAGTATAACCGCAAAGGGTAAATGATCTACTGGATCAGTTGTCCGAGGCGTTTGGTATATGATGATATTACTCGATTGGGATTTAACAGCTGGCTTAGAACCGGCCCCGTTAATAGAGTGCGTAAAGAATTTCATTCCCAGCCAGCCATCTTGTGCAGGGATCTACTAGGTTTTTTTTCCTCCCTTCAAGAACAATACCCAAAACTGCAAGAATGTAAATATTCAACAAGACAATTATGCACACTAATGTTTTTAAACAATAGGGGACTAGTTTTATTTGAATTTCTATTATCATTCCCTTACACATACCGCTACCGATTTTCGTAACCTCGTGAAACACGCCCCGAACAGGTACAAATATAAACGTAAACATTTAGCGTGGTTCTTGTTTTTTAACCCTATTTTCCTTCCTTTTCAAAACAGGTTCTTTGATTCGAAACCTTCTGTGTTAGAAGTCGTTTATTTGTGTTACGAACTATTCGCGTTTCCGGCTAGTTACCGTCCATTCCTTGATCTTTATCCATAACAAATGAAGTTTTCATCTGTTGTTGCAATTACCTTGCTAGGCCAACTAGCCTCTGCCGCTCCTTTCCTTCACTTCAAGAGAAATGCTGAAGCCAACGTTGTTGTTGTCACACAGACCGTCGAGACCACCGTGATTATCACCCCAGGTGCTACCCAGGTTGTTGGACAGGCCGCAACCTACGCTGCCTCCTCCACCAGCACCAGCGCCACCCCAACCCCAACCTCATCTTCTGACGACTTGGTGGGAGCTGCCAACGTGGAGGACTCCAGCAGCTCCACAACCGTGTCTTCTACAAGCTCGACCGAATCTTCCACATCCTCTACCGAGTCTTCCACATCCACCACCTCGACTCCATCCCCAACTACATTATCCACCTCCTCCACTGAGTCCACCACCTCCTCATCCACCTCCTCCACCGAGGCTGCCACCTCTTCCTCCTCCGACTTCCAGTCCCAGATCCTCAACGAGCACAACGCAAAGAGAGAGCTCCACGGTGTCGACGCCCTCACATGGGACGACACCTTGGCCCAATACGCTCAAGCTTACGCCGACAAGTACGACTGTTCTGGTACCTTGACCCACTCTGGTGGCCAGTACGGTGAGAACCTTGCTCTTGGCTACTCCACCACCGGTACCGTGGATGCATGGTACTCCGAGGGTGACAACTACGACTACGGCTCCTCGTGTTCCGTGTACGACCACTTCACCCAGGTTGTGTGGAAGTCCACCACCAAGGTGGGATGTGGCTACAAGCACTGCAACTCCTACTGGGGAACCTATGTCGTGTGTTCGTATGACCCAGCAGGAAACTTTGTTGGTGAGTGTGACTCCAACGTTCTTCCTCTTTCATCTTAGGCTGGCTCCTCCTTCAAAGAGCACCATCATCTGTCTGTTGGCTTTATATAACAAAAAATATACGCGAATAAAATGATTAAAAAGAATTATTTATAAAATAATCCCCTGGTAATGGCGATCCCACCAGATCCGAAACCCCACAAGCCCACGATTTTCCAGTTCTTGCGACTTGGATTCGCCGTGCTGACGTTTGCCACAGGGTGTCTGAACATTGTGTTTTCACAGTTCGTGGTCAACATCCTGTTTGCTGGCCAAGAAGACCTCCGGATCCGGCTGATTGGGTTCACCAAGAAGAACTTTGTCACCTTGATCACGTTCATCACGAATCTCAGCTGTCCCACGCAATTGCAGCTATCATTTGACGAATCCACCATCTCTGCCAGTCAGGTGCTTGCCAACGCCAACTCCGCGGCGCTCAATCTAGACTCCAGCGCCATCCTGATCGCCAACCACCAGATCTACTCGGACTGGGTGTTTCTGTGGTTTATTTCGTACCTCAACAACTGTTCCGAGAACTTCTACATCATCATGAAGAAGTCCCTTGAGAGTATTCCTATTTTGGGCTACGGAATGAAGAATTACGACTTTATCTTTTTAAACCGCAAATGGGACTTAGACAAGAGCTACATGGTGAAACAGTTCACACATCTTAGCGATGTGGAAAAACATTGGCTGCTGATTTTCCCAGAAGGAACCAATCTCAGTCCTAACACCAAGCCCAGATCCGACGAGTACATTCTCAAACAGAAACTCGACTTCAAGCTGGACCACGTTATGCTGCCTAGGGTCAAAGGCTTGTATCTGGCGTGTAAACACATGCGCAAGAAGACGAATCTTCTTTTGAACTTCACAATGGCCTATAGCGACCACGCTGCAGAGGAGTATGCGCAGGATAAGTTCACTCTGCGGTCGATCTATTTGCTGGGTAAGGGTCCTAAATCCGCAAGCATTCACGTGGACGCGATCGATATCAGCTCGATCGACGGCTGCACGTTTGACGAAAACGCCACGTTGGAAGAAGAACAGGAAGACATGGATCGGTTCGAAATCTGGTTGAACAAGCTGTGGATCCGTAAGGACCAGATGATGGATAACTACTACAAGACAGGCAGACTGGTTGATAGTGACAAAGTCACCACCATGACACTGAAACTGCGCAGCCGGCTGGAAATCATCAACGTTTACTTGATCCCAATGATTCTGTTCACGGCTCTGTTCCTGGCATATAAACTGGTTAAAGGGTTCTGAAACGAATAAAGTTTATTGACGGTGAACTACATCACCGGCTATCTAACAAAAAAACATACAATGAACTTTTCCATGTGCACTCACATGATAAGGTAGATGAAGAATACAGCAAATCCAGCAAGGCTAGAAGCTGGACGCAACGAGTGGCCGTTGCCTTCTAAGATCGAGGCAGCTTGAGATGTCTCGGAAGTTTCCTCTGTGGAAGTTGGTGCTCCGTTTTTATTGAGACCGGTTTCATATGGTTCTTTCGTAGCAAACGATGCTGAAGTGACAGGAACCCCGCTAGAAGTGACGCTTGTTCCCAGAGTTGTTGGTGTAGCAGCCGACGTGGACACCTCCTGTTCGGTAGCTCCGGTGGCCGAGCTTGAGCCAGACGTTTCCGTTGCGGTGGCAGTGTCGGTGGAAGTCTCGACAGTGGTTGTCTCGCAGCTGGAAGAGGAGGAGGAAGAAGAGGACGGAGCTGGTGCCGAACTGGTGACTGGAACTGACGAGGTCGAGAAGCTGGAGCTCGTCGACTCGGTGGTCCAGGTGGTTTCCGTGCTTGTGACCGGCGTCGACGAGGTCTCGCAGGAGGTGCTCGAGGAGCTCTCAGCAGTCGAGCTGGACGTTTCCGGAACCGACGAGGTCTCTGGTGTTGAGGAAGTCTCTGGCGTCGAGCTGGTGACAGGAACCGAGCTGGAGCTGGTCACGACAGTGCTGGTCTCGGTGGTTGTGCTGGAACTCGTTGGTGGACAGCTGGTCTCAGTGGTGGAGCTTGAGCTCGTGACAGGGGTCGAGCTGGTCAACGGAGTTGTGCTTGTCAAAGGAGTGGAGCTAGTGACTGGGGTTGAACTAGTGACTGGTGTGGAGCTTGTCACGGGAGTTGAGGTGGTTGGGCAGCTTTCTGTCGTGGAGCTGGAGCTGGTGACAGGAGTTGAGCTGGTCAGCGGCGTCGAACTAGTCACAGGAGTTGAACTGGTAATTGGAGTGGAACTGGTGACCGGCGTCGACGTTGTTGAACAACTCTCTGTGGTGGAGCTTGAGCTGGTGACTGGCGTCGAACTCGTGAGAGGTGTCGAGCTAGTCACCGGCTTGGAGCTGGTCACCGGCGATGAGGTTGTTGGTGGGCAGCTGGTTTCCGATGTAGAGCTGGAACTAGTTATTGGCTTCGAACTTGTAAGCGGAGTAGAGCTGGTCACTGGGGTAGAAGAAGTGACGGGGGTGGAAGAGGTGACCGGTTTGGAACTGGTCACTGGTGTGGAACTGGTGACAGGTTTAGAACTAGTAACTGGCTTGGAGCTAGTGACCGGGGTAGAACTTGTAACTGGTTTCGAGCTGGTGATCGGTTTGGAACTGGTAACCGGAGTGGAGCTCGTGACCGGTTTTGAGCTGGTGACCGGTTTAGAACTTGTAACCGGGGTAGAGCTGGTGACCGGTTTGGAACTTGTGATCGGTTTAGAGCTGGTGACTGGTTTGGAACTAGTAACTGGCTTGGAACTGGTAACAGGCGTGGAACTAGTAATTGGCTTGGAGCTAGTCACCGGTTTGGAGCTGGTAAATGGCTTAGAGCTGGTAAATGGCTTAGAGCTAGTGAATGGTTTAGAACTTGTAACCGGTTTAGAGCTGGTGACCGGTTTTGAGCTGGTAACTGGAGTGGAACTAGTGATTGGCTTCGAACTGGTAACTGGCTTCGAACTGGTCACCGGAGTAGAGCTTGTGAATGGCTTCGAGCTCGAATGTGGTTTGGAGCTCGTTGGTGGCTCAGAGCTGGTGTGAGGCTTGGAACTGGTCACCGGTTTCGAAGTGCTGGGAACGTAGCTGGACGAGCTGCCGGAGCTCGTGACAGGAACAGAAGAGCTGCGGGTGACGGTGGTGGAGATGGTGACGGTGGTGGTTGTCTCTGTGGACGAAGTAACTGTGTCGCAGCTGGACGAGTTGGAGTAGGTGAAAGAGCTGGTGATTGGCACAGAGGTGGTGATGATGGTAGTTGTCTCAAAGGTTGTGGTTTCGTCTTCACAATCAGACTTTGTGGTGGTTGGTTCATCATCACAGTCGGACTTTGTGGACAAGAAGTCGTCATCGTCGTCGTCATCGTCGTGGTCCCAACCACGCTTTTCCAGATAATGGCTACCGTTATGGTGTTTCGGATGATGGCGGGCTACTTCTGCCTCCTTAGCGTAGTCTGCGATTTTTGCAACGTACGCAAGCCCTCCAGTGGCTTCCAAGGCTAGAGACGCCGTAAAGAGTGCAAGAAACCTCATATCAGGGAGCGATTGATGATAAAGTGTGTTTGCTACCGAAGGAAAGGTATTTATACTTATCTGCACCGGGGTTGGATTTTCCAGTTAATTTGTGCATATGAGATTGTTCCTCTCCAGCACGATTTGCTGGAGTTTGTTTGTCTTCTGTGCATCTGTGGTGGCTACAGGGTGAAACAAACTTGTCTACCTTGGCAATGGAGCTGTGTTTGTGGTGGTAGCAATGCACACCAGTTGCACTTTTTTGACCCAGGTTCCGCTTAATACGGAAATATTTTTAGTGTTGCCCTGCTATACATGCCCCTTTCTGGACCTACGCTACCCTTTCAAGCAGATAATTAAATATATGTGCTGATGCACGATGGCGTTTTAGTCGATAAAAATTCTGGATTTTCTTCTGGGAGCTGCATCATTTTAACGACTCACGCCCACAGAAACTTTGTAACCAGCGATTTGCCGAGAAAAAGTAATTTATTCACAATTATTGCAGTTTGGATGTCTATACACTTGTTGCTCAACTTGTCATGGCTTGTCACTCCGAATCCTCAAAGTCGTCCCAGGTGAGCAAGTTTAACGATCGAGCATAGTAGAATTTCGCATAGCCTTCCCGTTTGTCCTCGTCGTCGTACTCGCGCGTGTAGTCCTGTTTTGTGCCGATGCCTGAATGGCTCTCAAACTCGGCAGACCCTTTGAAAGTCACCTGTGGCATGATGATCACATCGTCGATCTGGGTCGGTCCCACAGACATGCTCACCAGCTTGTACGAGATCGGGTCTGTGGTCTCGGGCCCAACAATCTCCTCCGGTAGCAGGTCCTTGTCTGTTCTGGCAACGCGGTACACAAACGGCGACTTGAGCTCGTTCAGGTACTCAAACAGCGTGTCGGTGAAGATCGACTCACCCGTGCACTGGATCAATGGCTCGCCGTTGCTGTCGAGGTTCTCGAAGGCCGCGTTCCAGTCCACTTCCTTGAGGAGCCGCTCGTCGTTAAACACCATGAACGTGATGCGTGCAATCAGCTTGGCCAAAAACGGATGGTGCGATTTGGCCCGGAACAGTTTGTTCGATAGCGTGAGCCGCCTGTTGTACAGCAGCTTCCAGTTCTCGTCATTGTAGTCGGACGAAATCCCCACCGTCAACTTCCCCTGCGAGATCCGCGAGTCGTACCAATATTTTAGTGGCTTGGCACACAATGTATCGATGTCGGCAAAAAGCCCCCCTCCGATGTAAACAATCAGATATTTGAGGAACTCGTACTTCAGACGGATGTCTGGCAGTTTTTGGAACGCCTCCATCACCTCGGGAACCTCGTCTTTCAAATAGTCGGCGATCAATGCCTCTCCTTCTGACATCAGTATCAGGTTATGGTTGTAGTCGTCGTTCACCACACGCCATCTCTGGATGTGCGGAAAACAACTCACGGGAAACTGTTTGTCGTCGGACTTGTATTTCCAAACCTGCCAAATATTGTTCTCCACCTCGTCGTCCTTGTTGTAGGGAAACAAATGGTTCAACCGAGACTCAATAACGTACATATCGTGAACATTTTTGGCGGGTGGACTGGTCTTGACCAGCGTTTTGTTGCCAAAGAACCCGTCCGTGTAGAAATCCGAAAATTTGTACGCGGTTAACGACGACTTGGGATGTTTAGATGCGGTCAAATTCAACACAACAAAAACAGCAATAGTGGACAGAATCAGGTGCTTGTAGCCCCTCCAAACGTTAGATAACGTTCTGGACCTGCCTAAGCCTTTAGAATCGGGCCGTATTGGTCCTGGAGACTCAATGTATCTGCTAAAGCTGGAATACATTTCTGTTATAAAAAGAGTGTCTGGAGTAAAAAAATATTCAAGGTCTAGAATCACGTCAAAATCCCCTCCTTCCTAATCAAATTTTGGTCCGGGGTAGATTTATTTTTGGCTACACAGCCAGGGGTTGATTTTAGAACAAACATTCTATTTATTCAACATGCTCAAAAGATACTTGTAGTTGTCGTAGATCTGTGCTAGTTCAGCCATGGTGAGCTGCTCGAATGGCTTGTCGCCAAACTTGTCCAGTTTGGACGCGTCCAGACCGGCTGCCTTGACCGGTTCCTCCGGCCGGTGGCTCGGCTGCTGCTCGCCTAAAGAGTTTCCTCGGCTTCTGTTTTTTACGTTTTCGAACGCATTTTCAATCGAGCTGAACAGCGCAGCCTTGCTCATCCGCTGGTGCTCCGGGCTGAATATGTTGCTGCTGATAAGGCTCGCCGTGCGACTGCGCATCCGATTCAAAGGCGGTCTATTTTTATCTCCAACCTGTGTGCAGTTCGAGCTATTTGACGGACTCAGTGTCAGGTTGCTTTGCGAGCCAACACTGCCGTTCGGCTCGATGTTCACGTTCAGCGACGAGCTTGACGATGACGTGCTCAGCGGCCGTAGATTCTTCATCACACCACCCATGCTGCTCGTGAACTTGTTGAAAAACTTGTCCTGAGCATTTGGAGACGACGCGTAAGAGTCCTGCGACTTGGTTCTCACAAGAGTAGTGGACGTCATCGTCGATGTGATCCCATCGCTGCTGCCTGTTTGTGTGGCCGGGAGCTGTAGTGTCAGGTCGGATCCTGTTTGCGGCTGGCTTCGAGAATCGTTTGTAGATATCGACGAGGTTGGAGTGATTTTCGTTTCTTCGGGCTTGTTCAAAGTCACACTGGTTTGTATAGCTAGGTTCTCCTCCATCTGTTGTCTGGTAGACTCCAAAACTGGATCTACAGCCGGATTGAACCACGAAACGCGGCCGATAATGCTCTTGATGCTGGAATCAACAGCGTTGCTGATGTTCCTGATTCCCTGATCGGCATGATACAGAGGTAGAAACTCTGCTGGCGTCAACAGAGAGAATCTAGACGAGTCCAGCAAAGATGACGACGAAAGATGCCGTGCAGACATCGACTCGGATTGGACTTTCTTCACCTGTTCATCAACAGACTCCAGGACTAAAGGTTGAGATAAAAGAGTAGCAATCTGGTCAGCATCATCGCCAGGACGAACCAATTCCTCCTGGTTAACCTGTAGGTTGAGATTCTCCAACGTCACACTTGCTAGATAGGAAATGCTGGCCTCGAAGTTGGTGAAAACATAGAGCAAATGTCCCTTTTCGTCGTCTAAGCCGTCATAGACAAAATCGTTTCTAAATCTTTTGATGAACTCAAACTGCGAGATCAGGGAATGTGTCTGTAGGTCTTCGATCTTGATGATGGTGTAGATCAGGATCGGCAAATAAATATCGGTGTTCAGTTCGTGTAATGTGTCTTTGCTCATGTCTTTGAGCAACGTGTCAAGCAGTCTGTGGATTTTAGATAAGTGCTTCAGTTTCAAAGTTGGCGACCGTTCTGCACTGAAAATCTCAAACTCGGGCAGGATCAGTTCGCGGAGCTTGTTCTGAAATGCCAACTCTTCCAGCTCCAGTTGCAAGTCCAATGTCTGGAAAGTTATATCTATTCTGTTCAAATATGAGAGCTTGACGCCAAAATCTGCGTTCAGTTTCTTTTCGAACTCGTCTAGAGAAACGCCCTTTCTGGGGAACATCAGTGACGTGTAAAACTTCTCGCAAAGCTGTCTCTCCACAATCAGATTGTACTTCGAAGATGAATAGTTCAGGGGTCTGTTTAAATCTTTCAGCTCGACTTTACGTTCGCTCTGTAAGAGCTCTGTGCTCTTTGTATGGAAGTCGGCATAAAACTTCTGGAACAGGTCTGCGATTTCAAAAGTAGCCAGTGGTTTCGAATACTGAGGCTCTCTTAGGAACCTTATAAATTCTTGAAGATATTTGAGTAATTGTGCAGGTAACTCGTCTTTAGTGGCTGTGTGAATTGATTCTATCAGACTCTCCTCACTATCCCGACGGTCTGATCCGATAGCAGGAGACTTGACGATCTCTGCAGTTGTTTGGTCAAGAGATTCATTGTCGTAAGAAAACTTTATTGACGTGTCGGGTTGCCAGGTATCCCTTGTAGGAGGAGTATGAAACATTGGATCGGGATATACAGGGCTTGGAAAAATGCGGAAGTGGATCTAGGAAATCCTTGAAAATGCAGGGTTTAGACGTTCTGGTTTCTGTGATATAAATACTGCTGACTGTCTCAAAAATATGCGTTCATCTCCTGATGAACTTCTTATCTGTAGGCAAATCTTAGGGAAAAAAATTATATCCGTCAAGTTTTTGGCAGAGAATGTATTAATTTCCTCAGCTCGGGTCAATCGTAAAAGAATTGCTTGCTTTTGCTAAAGTAAATACCTGAAAGTCAAATCCGATTACCAAAGGACAATGAACTCGTTTAGAAGAAGCCGCCACCGTCGTTGCGACGTCCTCCTCCTCCGCCAAATCCGCCGCCAAATCCTCCATCTCCTTGGCCACCAAATCCGCCGCCTCCTTGTCCGAAGCCATTGTCGTCGTATCTGTCGTTACGGCCGCCGCCGAATCCTCCTCCGAATCCGCCACCGCCGCCGCCTTGGCCGCCAAGCAGTCCAGACACCAGCGAGCCCATTCCGCCGCCAGAGCCTCCAAATCCTCCACCGGAGCCACCAAATCCGCCGCCAGAGCCGCCAAATCCTCCGCCTTGACCGTATCCGTCGTCGTTATATCTTCCTCCCCCTCCGTAGCCGCTGTCGTTGTCGTATCTGCCTCCTCCGCCGTAGCCACCTTGGCCACCTTGGCCGCTGTATCTTCCACTAGAGCCTCCACCGAGCAACGAGCCGAGGTTGAACCCACCTTGCGACTGTTGGTGCTGAGGAGTGGCACCTGCACCAGAAAGAGCAGAGATCACAGAACCAAATCCTCCTCCACCTCCGCCAGAGCCTCCGAGGCCGCCCAATGCGCTTCCTCCTCCAGCTCCAAGCAGCGACGAAAGCATACCGAACTGCGACGAGGTCGAGCCTCCACCTCCCATCACTTGGCCTAACAGCATAGAGCTCAATCCTCTCTCGTTGGATCCGAAGTTTGGATTTTGTTCAACCTCGCGATTCAGCGAGCCACCGATGTTGTTCAAAATACTGTTGAGCTTTTGTTGAACTTCTGGAGAATTAATCACACCATCCCGCTCATCAAGCTCGGCAGCAAGCTTGTACTGGTCAACAGCTCCCTTTTGGTCACCTTCAGACAACAAAATGTCTCCGAGGGCGATTCTGACCTTACAGTATAAGTTAGGGTCCAGTTTTTGACTCTCACAGATCTCAATTGCCCGTTGAATGGCAGCTTTACCGTTTGCTCCTCCGCTCGACTGAGCTTGTTGGATAAGACTTTGCACTTCTTGCACAGCAGACATCCTTAGTTGTCGATATGAAGAAAGTTAGGGGTAATTTTATTTTTTGCTCTAATCTGAAATTTCACTTGCAGCAGCATCGGGGCTGGCCCAAAAAATGAATATAATATTAATTTTCTTAACTATGGCAGACATCACCAATTTGGATCAGGACTTGAAAGTCTCGCGAATCAACAAGTACCGCAACCCGCAACTCCAGCTGGACGTCAAGACATGGCTAGTGCAGGTGATGGGGTCTGCGGTGGACGAACAGCAGCTCGCCTCCACCGACCTTGTTGAGTTCCTTAAATCAGGCGCAGTCTTGTGCACTTTGATCAATTGTGTCTGGGGGCCAAATACGCTACCAGTGAAAAGCAGCAAGATGGCGTTTGTGCAAATGGAGTCAATTGAGTTGTTTTTGAACTTTATCAAGTCGCAAGGCGTGCCGCAAGACGAGCTGTTCCAGACAGTAGACCTATTTGAATATCAAGACCCATACCAAGTGGTGATGGCAATTCAGGCGCTTTCGAGATTGATCCATAAAAAGTTTGGAGACAAGTACCCGTACATCGGGCCGACGATCGCAACCAAACACGAGCGCCCAAAGGTGCCTCCGAAGCCTCAAAAGTTCTCAGCCACATCCGGCATGCCGTGGAGCACGATGGAGTACGGCTATACAAAGGGCAGCAACCAAAAGACAGAAAAGGTCGTTTTCGGTGCAAGAAGAGATATCGTGAACCATTAATATGCTAAATAGTCGTCCAAACTGTCTAGATCGCTAATATTTCCAACGAAACTGTCCAGGTGGAAGGTCTCGATCTTTTCTGGGCTCATGTCGAGGTCATGTAATGAGACAAAGTTGTATGACGATCCTAATTGTTTCATGATGTGGAAGATACTCTCCTCGTGCTCAGTTTGTATGATCCGAGACTCGACGTCAGCCAACCCCAGCTGACTAACAATCTCGGATTTGGCCAGTGCAGGATGCAGGACAACTGTTATGTTCGGATACTTGTCGAACAATCTCGGCTCAATAATGTGTGCATACGATTTCGACACAACAATTGTGATAGAACGGGTCTCCGGCTGTATAGTTTTTTTCTGCAGGTTTGAGTTTGCGGTATTGGGAGATTCCGTCACTTGGTAAACAATACGGCCAATCACCAACCCAGCAACAAGAATGGTTGCAGATGCGGCCGCACGAAACCAGAAATTATTCGATCTCTTAGACATTACCAATGGAGAGAAGACTGGTTACTGTTGATCAACTTAATTTGCAATTTGAAAAGGAATCAACATCCGTGCACAGAAAAACAGAGCTGCGACACGGCGAATAGAAAGTTGGGCTTTTTGCATCCAACTTGCTTAAAAAGGAGATAATTAAGGCTTTGAACCTAGTTACAATTTCCCGACGCACATGCACAAGCTAGCAGTAGATCTGGAAGCGGAAGGAAGCTAAAAAAGCCAATCAGGCAATTTTAATTTTTGGACATGAGCGAGAAAAAGAGATCCCCTGTCACAATAATCATTATGCAGTCAGGTTATTTCACAATAGACGTTGTGGAATTATCGGACTGAGTTCTCGTTAAATTAACTCGATGAAGATCCTCTATATACCAGACAAATATCAATCGGTTAAACCATGACAAATGCCCATTGCATCAATAACTAACGGTCCATAAAACGGTCGGTACTACCTTGTAGCAAATAAAACAGCGATTAATTATCAGTAACAGTTCCTATATCTTGCAAACTCTTCCGGCAAGATTTATAAAAATTCTATTGTTCAAAGCTGAAAATTATCTTGACGATCAGTGCCAAGTGCTGGTGCAAACCTTAAAAAAATAGTACTAACGCACATGTCGAAACTCGAGCAAATAAGCTCGAATCAAAGTAATCCTGTACCTTTTTGCTTAGCAACCAAGCTTCACAAGCCTTTCAAGTCTGGGCGAACGTTGTATGAGTGTTCTCGATCTCGTACCGATGAAAAAAAAAGCGGTTTCAGGCTGTGTCCTTATTTTTATTCAGCTGCATACACCTGCATACTAAAATTGTATGGACAGTTTTTAGCGTTATTGCAAAAAAGAGCGAATGAGAGCAAGATCTCTTGTGAAAATTTTTGGACCCTATGCTTCAATATCCGTCCTGGTCCTATTTAAAGCCAAGGGTGCGGTCCCTGTTTTTTTCCAATGAAGTTGAGTCCACTTTTCTGGGTTTTTTCCTTGGCTACTCTCACGAGTGCCAAGATGATTCCTTCTTACAATAACGATGACTATCGTGCCATGGCTTGTAAGAGCGGTGTCGAGTACTCTGCTACCTTCTGTTCCAACAGCTCCTTGACCGGAAGAAAGTACACTTGCGCTTGTAGCAATGTGGCAGAGTTTGGTTCTTGGGTGGCATGCGGCTATGAGCACACCCAGATCAACGACACCGGCATAGAAACAGCGATCATGAACTTGTGCCCAAAGGCCAAGCTTACGCACGAAAAGATTCGTGCTGCATACATTAATGCAACCAATTACATGGTTAACATAAGTGAGGTGGCAGACTTCAACGCTTCCATCCCAGTGAATTATCCGATCACTGGAGGAGAGATGACCTACTACTTCCATGGTGTCTACTACGGTTACAAGAACGCCTACAACGCTACTCTCTATGGTCACTACCTCGGTTGGGCAAGTCTGGCTATGTGGGGTGCGTTGATTGTGGTGTGCGGAATTTTCAACTGGGCTTTTGCTACAATTCCTGGTTTTAGAAGACTTTTCGTTGGAGCTCCAAACAATTTTTGGAGAAAGTACATCACCATGCCGGCTCTTTTCGGTAAGAAACATATCGAGAGCTTTGGTGTGTTTGGTCTTTTTCCATCCAGATTCGAGTTCATCATCCTGTCTCTGTTCTTCATCTACATGGTGTTGGCAAACGCTATTCTCGGTGTGAGCTTCTACGAGCATGACTTGGTCTTCAAGAAGCCTTCCAACGGTATCGCCAGTTATGTGGGTGACAGATCGGCCATCTTGCTCTGCTACCTGTTCCCTCTGCTGTTTCTGTTCCCAGGAAGAAACAACTTCCTGCAATGGGTCACCAGATGGCCATATTCTAGATTCGTCACTTTCCACAAAGGACTCGGAAGAATTCTGTGTCTTGAGGTTCTTGTTCACTCTATTGCCATGACTCTGCAATCGATCCACAGTGGAAAGTATCACAAAAGAGTCCACGCTGATTGGTATAGATACGGTGTGGTTGCAACCGTCTCGTGCTGGTTGGCTATGGGTTTGGGAGCATACGTGATCAGAAGATACTGGTACGAGGTGTTCTGGATCACTCACGTCATCTTGATCGTCATGTTCTTGTGGAGCGCTTGGTTGCACGCTGCTTACCTCGAATACGGTGAATTTTACTACGCATGTGCCGCTATCTGGGTGTTCGACTGGGTTGCAAGAATTGCCAGAGTTGTGCTCTTTGGTGTTAGAACTGCCAGATGCGAGATCATGGAAGAAGAGGGTACCATCAAGCTCTCCATTCCATATCCAAAGGGTTACTGGAAAGCAGACCCTGCTGCCCACGGATTCGTCTACTTCTTGGGCTGGAAAACTTTCTGGCACTCGCATCCATTCACTCTCATCGACTCGATCACCGACAAAGATCACATCCACTTCTACTGTAAGATCAAGGGCGGTGTCACTAAGATCATTGGTGAAGCTACCAAATCCCACCACGAGAAGGTGTTCCCAATCAAGGTGCTTGTCGAAGGTCCTTACGGTTTCAAGACCTCTTACCAACACTACGATAAGGCTGTGCTGATTGCTGGTGGTAACGGTATCCCAGGACCATTCTCTCACGCTTTGGATCTTGCTAGCAGAGACACCAAGACTGAGGTCAAGCTTTACTGGGGTGTCAGAGAGTATAACTCGTTGAACTGGTTCAAGAGCGAGCTTGCTCAATTCAAGGGAACTAGATGCAAACCAATCATCTACGTGTCTAACCCAAGCTCCCGTGTCGAGGACGTGGATCTTGGTGAGACTTCATCTTCTGGAAGTTCCGACCACCTCCAAGACGAAAAGAGTTCTGGAAACGAAAAAACAGTCACTCTCGATGCGTTGCAGAGCGCGTTCAGCTATGTCGAGTTCCGTAAGGGAAGAATCGACATTGACAAATTGGTGGCAGAAGAAATCAGCGAAAGTTCTGGCTCTGTGGCCTTTGGTGCTTGCGCTCATCCAAACATGATCGACACTCTTAGAGCTGCTGTGGCCAACAGCCAGTCTGGCAGCAGAGTCATCGACTACTTCGAAGAAATGCAAACTTGGTGATTTGGGCTTGTGGACCAGTCCAAATTTAATTCTCCGTTTACATTTATTTTTATTTAACATTATTTTTTAGATTTCAACTTTACTCATAAGGATCAATTTCTCCGTCTTGATCAATCAGGTTTCCCCTTTTCTTTTGGTCTTCTTCTAAAACTTCAAACAAACCTTTAAAGTTGCCGGCTCCGAATCCGTTGTGATTGTTTCGTTGGATGACTTCAAAGAAAAACGTAGGACGGTCGAACACAGATCTGGTGAAGAGCTGGAGCAAATACCCCTCTTCGTCAAAGTCCACAAGGATTCCAAGTTCTTTGATCTTCTCCATGCTTTCCTTGAACTCTGGATGTGTGCTGTTCTTTAGCTTTTCTTCCAGATTTTTGTAGTATTTCTCCGGAACATCGATAAATTCGACACCCTTGCTTCTCAAGGTTGCAACCGCGTCCAAAATATTGTCAACTTTCAAGGCAACATGTTGAATTCCCGGTCCACCGTAGAACTCCAAAAACTCTTCAATTTGCGATTTTTTGAGTCCTCTGGCCGGCTCGTTCACAGGCATCTTGATGGTTTCTGATGGTGACGCCATAACAGTGGACTTAAGCGCGGAAAACTCGGTGTACACCTGTTTGTCGTCGACAGACCAGAACTTGTGGAACCCAAATACCTTGCGGTACATCTCGCACGACTTGACCATCTTGTTCCATCCGAGATTTTGAACGCAGTGGTCGATTCTGTCGAACTTGACATCGAGTTCTTCAGAATCTGTGACCTCGTAATATTTGTAGCCACCAGGCAAAAAGCCAGAGTAATTTGATCTGTCAACCAATGTGTGAGTGGTATCACCAATGACTCCGACTCTGGCCAGTGTGATGGTTCCATTTGCATCTTTATAGGAAGTTGGCTTCAAAATCGAGGTGGCCCCGCCAGAAAGAGCTCTTTCGTAAACTTGTTCCACATCGCTCACCTGGAAAGCCACGTCTTTGACTCCGTCACCGTGCACAGTTGTGTGATGGTGGATTTCATCCACAAGCTTATTATCTTCCTCAGATAAGTTTTTTGCATGAGGAGGTCTCAATGAGCTAACAAACTGGATCAGAACGTTGCCATTCTTGATCACACGAGCATTGACCACTCTGGAACCTGTTTCGAGGCCCCGGAAGCAGTACGGCTTGAACCCATACGTGTCGACAAAATAATGGGCCGCAATATTGGCAGAGCTGACATAGAAGGTGATATGGTCATATCCACCAAAGATTGTTGGGTCGATGTTTTCATCAGGCTTGAAGTCTTCGTCGACTGTCTCTGGTTGCAAATCTGCTTCGCTTTTAACGCTGGTTTCGATGGTCATGGTGAGTTATTGAAATTGATCCTGCTTGCAGGAGGAACAATCCAGTTCTTAAATAACACCCTAATCTCGGCATTAGATCTGTTTAGAATTCATTTTCTACTCTCATCGGAGATAAAAATCGCGAGATTATCATCTTGCCCAAGTAATCTGGCTTGCCGTTATCGGCAGAACATAAAAAAGTTGAACACATGCCTTTCAGGGAGGAATACCTAAATTCCGAACCAAGTCATGTTTTTGAAATTCTGATGTTCTGCCTCACGCCCCCGCAGGTCAGGTGCATCACTAGCGAAATAATTAAAGTCCCTGCATAATACATGGTGTCAAAAAAAAAAACCCCTATCAAAATCCGCTTGCCACCATAAAAGTACGGCAATTACTGCCTATCAGAGGCAATACCAGATAAGAGCGATACCGATACAGGAAAAACTAACCTTTCGTTGTTGAAACACTGCACTTTCTGCCCATCAAGACGTCAAATTGCCATTTCAGGGCTCCCCTCATTAGTCTGCAAATTATGCATCAACTCTTAATAATACCAGTCCCCAACTTGGCTCTTTCAAGACATATATAAAAGTAATATCTGTAGCCGTGCCCAAAATTGCGAAAATTACCAGCAAATGTCCGAAGTTATCTCTCTATTGAAAAGCTACACCAACAACGCCGCAGACGGGACTGGCATAGTCAAGCTCGTGGACATCACGAAAAAGGCCCTCCATCTCAAGTCCAATAGCCAGATCCCATCCACGCTTGTTGATTACGTCAAGGGCCAGCAGCAAGCCCAATTTGGATCCTATCCAGATCACAAGGATGTGGCTCCAAGCTCAGTCTTTACGGCAGTGTTCTTCCTGCTGATGCTAGGACACCTTTATATCTTCACCAGGAACTCCACCAGAGGACACTGGTTCCCACTTTCGCTTGCTTTTGCTTTCTACTGTCTTCTACGTCTTCTTGGATTTGCTTTGAGAATTGCTTGGGCAAAGGACATTCTGCGTCTTCACGTGGGAATTGCCTCGGAGGTGCTTCTCATTCTTCCTACCGTGTTCCTGGCTTCTTTTAATTTGGTCCTGGCACAAAGAATTTTCACTTGGAAGCACCCTGTTGGGGGAAACTGCAAGCCGTTCTGGTATATCATGTTGGCCATCTACTCGATCGTTGCTGCCGTCGTGATCATGACAATTGTGGCAGGAACAGTTCCATACCTATACCTGCTCAGCCAAAGTCATTACGACATGTGCAGAAACGTTGTGAAGGCCACCTCTATCATGATCTGCATCTACTCTGTTCTTGCCATTCTTCTTGTTCTTTCCGCTTTCCTGATTCCAAGTTCATCCAAGGACAGATCGTCACTGGTGTTCCAACCGTTCTGGATCAAGTCGTTCTCGCCAACCTATTTTGTTGATAAGCATGCTGCTCAAGAGGGAAGAAGACTTTTCGTGCTGAGACACGGTCCTGCCGCCACAAGTTCCAAAAGAACGATCCTTCGTGGTCGCTTCTTCCATAGCGACACAGAGCTCGGAGATCTGGAAGAGTTTGAGACTTCTGACTCAAACTTCTCTTCCAGACATAACAGCTCTATTTCGCTAATTGCATTGACGTCTATCTGTGTTCTTATCGGGGCCATGTTCAGATGCGTGGGACTATTCCTGAACCAGACATACGCCAACCAGAGCTGGATCTTCAAGCCAGTTGTCATGTACATGTTCTGGGGGTACTTGGAGACCGCAGTCAATGTGCTGTACCTGTACGGTAGAGTTGATCTGAGATTCTACAGACCAGACAGAATTCCAAAGTCCCAGATTACCAAAGTCAGTTCAAACATCGAGTCGAGCCTCACGGAGGATAAGAGAGACCTTGTGTCTGGCCCAAGCTCTGCCCATGATGGTCCAGCCACCACATTCTAATCGGTTGCTCTATTTTATCTTTTTTTGGCTGTGTAAAAAATAATTATGTCTCTTTCGTTGTTCCTGTTCACCTACAACTGCGGTAAAACCACGCCAATTGAGGCCGAATTCGGCGAGGATGTGGCTGGACTTATTGGTACCGACATGGACAACCTGCCAGACCTCTTAGCGTTTGGATTCCAGGAAATTTCGTCTGTTAGTGACGGAACTGATTCCAGCGTGGTGAACGTGAAACTGTTGGCTCTTAGCAACCTTTTGCTGGACAGCCTAGCGGCCAAAATACAAATACCCTTTGAAGTCGTCGATATCAATCATCTTGGCAACATTGGACTCGTGCTAGTATCGCCGTACAAATCGAGATTCAAGAGAATCAGAAGATCAGCAAACGTGCCTTTAGGATACTTTATCACGAACGTGAAAGGTGCTGTTGGTCTGAGAGTGACTTACGAGCCAGACTATGGGAAAACTGCTGAATTGACATTTGTGGTGGCCCATTTGGCGGCCAACGAGGGCGTCAAATATCTTATGAGAAGAAACAACGATTTGGACAATATATTCCACGGACTTAGCTTCCAGGACGGCTACGGAGTGTACAAGCCAAACACACATTGTTTCATAATGGGTGACCTCAACTACAGGAAGACAGGTGCGTACCATTTTTCATCGGATCAAAACCACGAACGGACAGGAATCCAACTTGACGAGCTTAACATCATGAGAACAACAGGTAAAGTTCTATGGGGGTTCAAAGAGGCACCAATCAGATTTCTCCCAACATACAAGTTCAAAACAGGAACAGGCTCGTACAATTACAAAAGAACTCCGTCTTGGTGCGATAGAATCTTATATTTGGACTATAAAGATTTGCAGGAAGAAATGATGGAAATGGACGAATCCAAAGAGCAAGTGATTGAGTACAATTCCGTGCCATCCATCAAGTTGTCGGATCATATTCCTGTTTTCTTGAAAATTAAGGTTCCTGTGGAAGCCCCAATGTCGGTGATAAACTCCAAAGGATACCTCATGGACAAATTCACGCATCTTTCCAACAACGATGTGGACCTCAAACCTCAGAAGCGTTGGTATTACTACCGGGAAATCGCAAACTTCAACGACAGACTAATGGGACTGGTGTTTTACCTGGTCTTAACGACAAAGGGCCGTATCATTCTGATTGCATGGATGATGATCGCTTACTTGTTAGTTCACGGATACCTCTTCACTATTTAAAGCTTCATTTATGGTTATATCTTGCCTTCCCGATATCGAATGGAAGGTATCTGTACTTGATCATGTGTTGTATCTGTCTTCTCATGGTCAAGGTGAACAAAATGACAAAATATATCACCAAGATGGGCCAGAAAACAGGAACGTCGAATATGCCAAAGAACGAACAGAAAAGAGCGATAATCGTGGCATTGGTGCTTTTGATCCAGAATCTGAATTCCGGAAGTCTTCTGATGAAGGGACGGAACTCTTCGTCTCTCTCATCCATCTTGGAGGTGCCTTCTTCAACAGACTCGTTTTCGTATTCCTGTTCCAACGACGGATCAAACTTCGGAGTCAGAAATTGAAGCAACATGTTCAATAAATAAATGGCCCAAGTGTAACACACAATGTACCACCCCTCACAGAGTATGATCCTCAAGGCAAACAAGAACATCAACACGTAAGTTGCCGCCCATCTATACACGGTGTGGGGAGTAGCAATATCCATGTACCGTTGGTACGTATTGTGGATCTTGGCCCCTTGAGCAAAAACCCATTCTTTGTTTTGTTCCATCGTAATTTCAGTCAACACCGTTCACGATCCGGAAACGTATTACCTAGTTTATTTATTATGTCGCTGAAAAAAATAATCCCAAATATATAAAAAAATTACGTAACATATTAGCCAATCGCAAACACGGAAGAACGTCTCACCAGCCTCTACCGGCCTCCAACAGCGTGTTGTAATTGATGCACTGCAGCTCTTTGGAGATTCGCTTTTTGCCAGACTCGTCAATGTAGAACCCAATCATGTCGCGCTTACTCCAACTCAAAGGAGCAGGTCCCCACGTGGGAATAAAGCACAGCTCGTCGGATTTGCACTTTTGCGAGCACTGGTAGTAGTAAGCCCAGTTGAGCTCGGCCAATAGCGTTGCGAGCCGATTTCTGGTGCTTGCGATTTGCTCCTCAATGTCGTCAGGAAGCGATTTCTCCGTCAGCACTGAAAGAAGCGTCTTGCTAAGCAAAAAGCACTCGTAAATGGCATCGACGATTGCCGACTGCACAACAGTGACCGAGTTCCAGATCAAGAAGTCTGCCTCTGATTGAATCTGTTCCAGCGGGTGGGCGTAATCCCAGATCGCCATTTTGCGAAGATGAGGAACAAGCTCTGTTTCTGGGTCGCTCAGGTATCTTCTGATGTAGTTGTAGCTCCAACTAGTCAGATTGGTTCCCAGGGTCTGGTAGCTTTTGTGAGCATCGTATAAGGCGAAGGACGAGTTCAGGTTGACAAGCAATGGCGCAAACTTGTCGACAATATTATCGGTGATCAATTGCCAATTGGTAGAGCTGTACGGATCATTTGGCGTAGCAAGCATTTCAGCAACTTCATCGATGATCTCGGATTTAAGATCGGCAGTGAGATTGTCAATTCTTCTTAAGTATGGGTCTGCATCAATGAAGGTCTTGTTGAGCGGAGTGACCATCTTGGAGAAGTCCATCAGGACCCGCTTATCGCCGTCGTAGACTCTGCCACCAGCCTGGTAGTGCTCAAACCCGACCACTGATTCGATGGTATCGAGCACGCCGCTTCTCTGAGCGTTGAGGTCATCGGATGGCTCATCCGTGAATACCTCGCGAGGAAAATCTATCATGTCAGTGACGTTTCTCAGCGTCACGTTGGAAACCAGCTCCAATTTTTCAGAAAAGTCGCAAATGACAATCTCGAACCCGATTTCCAGTCGAACAAGTCCATCCAGACCACCGTGCTTTCTTCCCCATTCACAGATCTTGTCGGACCCGATTCTCTCATCAAAGTCGTCGTAGTTCTCGATCTGCGACAAAATGTACTGAGTATCCATTTCTCCAGTGGTTGTTTTGGAAGCAGAGGCTCCGCCAAGCAGAATCAGCTTATCCAAAGGCTTGGTGACCTGGAACGTCAAGAGCGTGCTTGGGCCGCTGAAGTCCATATGTGGGTGTCCATGGGGCTTTTTGAAGCCGTCGTCCGAAGCCTTTGGTGGTTTAGGAGAAGCTCCTGGACTGCCAGGAAACCCGTTGTTGGGCTTGCCTCTGTCGAAATGCGCAAAATTGTAGCTGAACTCGTAGTCCATGGCCACCCATTCGTACGTGGTGGGAACCTTACCGTTGTGGTTCGAATGATACAGCAATGTTCCTTCAGGAATGTAGGCCGGAATATAACTGACACTGATTGGATTCACATCGGCATTTTTCTGCTTCAGAGCATTGTGGACCTCGGCAAAAACAGCTGAGGCATTCAAAAAGTCAATAGGCTGCAGCTCTGACTCAAACGTATCAATACTCAATGACTTATAAGCTGGCAAATTTTTTGCTGAATTCTTTCCGTCATGACGGACCTCATATAGCGAATAACATAGACCGAAAAATACCAACGAGTTCACCAACAAAGCACTCAGAAGCGCATACTGCCGGAAAACAAAGTACCATGGCTTTCCTTCAGGCGAGTTCAAAGAAACGTAGTTTCCGCCAAACACCATCAATACCAAAAATACGTATCAGTTGGGGCTTTCACGTATTTAAGTATTCTTGGCAAAACAATAATCCGCACGGCTTTTGAGAGAACCCGAGATATAAATGCCGAAGGGGTTTATCGGCAACTGCCCGTCGATTCCAGGAACTTACACCCGTGCACCGATACAGAAAAAAAGCAAGAAGTGTGTCGCGGATGGATCTACCTTGATTCTAAAAATAGGTGACCGTGTACGGCGTGTTAGCTGGAATAACAAAGGTGGGTTTGCCCCAACAAGAGCCGCCCAAATACGATTCGCCCATCCATGCGGTTTTGCACTGATTGCCCCGATCGCACGACCCAGTTCTCTGCATTTGCATCGCACGGTTGGCGATTCTGAAGAATTTTCAAACGTGCTGACGTAAGTTTTCTTGAGTGAAAGGAGGAAACCATAAGTAAAAACAAATTAGAGAATTTTATCATCAGGTTTATTTACTGGGACTTGATGAGAGTGTACTATATTCTGCTTTTGCTCTCTGCAGTGGCTTACGCCGCAGATCCGGCCACCACCACGGGGACGACGGCCGCTGCGAACGCAGCCACGACGGCCACGGCTAACACCGCCACGGCAGCCACTGCAACTGACAACACAGCGACCGCAGCCACTGCGACCGACAATACGGCGACTGCAGCTACTGCTACTGATAACACTGCGACCGCAGCTACAACAAACACAGCAGCTACAACCACTGGTAATGCGGCTACCACGGCTACTACCCCTACAACCACCGCAGCAGCAGCAGCAGCAGCAGCTGCCGCAACAACCACAGGCACAACTGGAACTGGAACTGGAACCACGGGAACTGGAACTAACACCGGAACGACGGGCACTGGTACTACGGGAACCGGTACCACTGCCACCACGGGAACTGGTACCACTGCCACCACAGGGAAGGGCACTACTACACCAGCTAACGCAGCTACGACTGCAGGAGCAACGACCGCAACAGGAAAGACAACGGCAATCACCACGGGCGCAGGAGACACAACAGACATAGCAAATGCTCAAACAACGGCTACTGCACCATCGAGTTCAACAGAGTTGACCACAGAATCCACCGGAGGAACTGATACCACTGCCACGGGAACATCGACCGTTTCACCAACCATCGCATGGCGTACCACCACGTTGAATGGAGCACCAACGACATACTCCATCACTTATACACAACGTTTCGCACAGATGTACTCTACTATTGCATCCCCATCGTCGGGAACTATTGGACTCGGGTCCCTGGCAACTTCCGGCCAAACAGTGGGAACCATCAAACAATACCGGACCGTTACTATTTCGTCATCTAGCAAATGATAAGTATTTAGAAACAGAGCTAAATTATTGCTAATTTGAGCACTTTCAGCTATGTAACCACGTATATAACACATCGGAACAATACACTGGATCATAGATGCAAAACGAAAACTAGAACTTAAGTCCAGTTTGAAAAACTGTGTTGTAAATCTTGCTACCAGCGTGTTAGAGAAGGCATTTAAACGTAAAATGCGGGTTTGGATCCACGTTCGTTAGAATCTTTATGGCTGATGAACTCCACAGACTCGCCTTCTCTGAGCATCAATATTTTCTTCAATCTTTCTCCAATAGGCACAAGGGCTGCCCTGTCACAAGACTTGGTCCACAAACAAACCTTGTAACCGACCTTTCTCACATTGAGAACAACTCCGTTCACTTCGTTTTGATCATCCTCTATGGTTTCGCCAATCACGCTCAACAAAGCTCTGGTCCAGACCTCGTTAATTCCGTGCTCCAATCTCTTACCTTTGAATTGGAAGGAGAATCTACCTCCCTTAGAGTTGGCACTGTCTTCCCATTCTGGCTTGATGTTTTCTCTGAATAAGTGGTAGTCAGACTTGACTGGCAATTCATCAGCCTTTGGAATAGAATTGAAGATTCCCCAGAATTCTTCCACCGTGTCAAACGCAACAACGGGCTTCAAAAGGTCCGACCAACTCTCACTTGGATCCACAGCTGGCTTGGTGTACCACAAGGTCCATTTGGAATTGAGAGGGTGCTTCACGTTGAATTCCTCTCTTGAATCTAACACTGTGACATCTTTCTTCTCGTCCAATGACAAATCCTTGGTTGCTTGGTCTAATTCTTCAGACATCTATCTGGTTAGTACGTTCGATTATCTGCGAACAATGCCTTTGTGCTCTTATTAATCTAGCTCTGGAGGGATTCGCCTCAATCTTGGGCCCAAATAATCCAAATCCAGTTCGGTCTTGTCCACAATCTATCAACTTACCTTATTATAGTTCAGCGCTCTGGTTATACCGTCTGTTTCGTAATCAACTAACTGACTGTCTAGACTGTCAAACCTAACAATTAATTCTTTAACCTTTATTTTGTCGCTGATTTTTCGACAAAATTTTTTGGCGCACCAACCACGACTGTTACCCGGCGCCCATAGCATTCTCTAGGATAATCTCCATAGATTTCTCATTAATTCTCTATTTTACATCAAATGTCGGTCACAATCGACAGAGGGTTGGTCTCCAACACCAAACGCGTCCATGGGGTCCATCCGGTCTTCCTTATCGAGAAAATATTGCGCGAGCGAATCCTCGACAGTCAGTATTGGAAGCGAGAATGCCAACATGCGGATCTTTTAGTGGTATTGGATCGCGCGGTTGAGGTTGATCAGATTGGTACTTATGCAAACTCGGGCCGCACTTTGCCCACACCGTTCATTTGTCTGTTGCTTCGGTTGCTCCAAATCCAACCGTCAACCGAAATTATCGACCATTTGCTCGTTCAGCCTGATTTTGTCTATCTGAGTGCTCTGGCCGCATTGTACATCAGAATAACCAGCACTTCAGTGGAGGTTTATCAGAAATTAGAACCGCTGCTCGCTGATTACCGCGAGCTTCAAATTTTGGAGTCTCAAACCGCTAAAACAACGTATCTCGACGAGTACGTCGACGGTCTTCTCCAAGGGAACAAATTCTGCGACATGATTCTTCCTCGTCTGGTGGATAGACTCGTTCTAGAAGACCAGGATCTTCTTGAACCTCGTCATAGCGTTCTCGAAGAAGAATATGACAAGCTCACGGAGGAAGAACGGGCCGCCTTGTAATCATAACCACTGTATAATAATTTAAAACGCTCTCGCTCTTCCGCGTCCTCTTCTACCACCTCTGATAGGAGCCTTTTCTTTTTGAACGGGAGCAACAGTGGACAGATTCTTCGGTTTGATCATTGAATCAGACAGTATGCTGTCGACGTTGAGTTCGTCAGGAAGAATTACCAATCTGACTTGATTTCCTCTGATATTGATATACTCCAAGGAAACAGGGTTTCTGTGTTTAACGGTCATTTTAACGTTTCGTAAATTAACATTCATCGACGGGGAAACAGAAACAATCTCTCCAGAGATGATGGTGCCATTTTTCAGTTCGACTTGAACCTTTTCGTTATTCAGATTCATCAGAAACTTTACGAGCTTCATAATGTCAAACAAATTAAAAAATAATCCCAGCTAAATTCAACAATATATGGCAGGTTATGTAGCCCAAAAATATTTCGTTCAATTTCCTTTCTCTATCATGGTCAACCTCATTATTGTTCCGCGGTCTAAGAACCTCCGGAAGATCAATTGCGACACGGATCCAAGAACTAAGGTCCAGGCTATTATCAATGAATATTCCAATGTGAATAAGATCAACCCAAACAGGGTCAGAATCTCTGTTGTTGAGGACGAGGAATCAAAGGACAAGAAATCTGTCAGAAAGACATTGAAGAACGAGAAAACCTTGGAAGCCAATGGCCTTGACTTCTCCAAAACAGACACAATTACCGTTTATGCCAAAGATGTGGGTCCGCAAATCGACTGGAGAACAGTGTATCTGATTGAATATTTCGGGCCGATACTGATCCACTCCTTGGTCTACTTCTTGCTCTATAACCCAGAATTCAACACTCCTACCCAAGTTGCCTCTTACGTTTTGTCGACTTTGCACTATTTGAAAAGAGAATACGAAACCACTTTCATTCACATGTTTTCTGCTGACACCATGCCTCTGAAGTACCTTTTTAGAAATTCCGGTCATTACTGGATTTTCAATGGACTCTTCATTGCTCTTTGTGTCTATGCTCCTCAGAGATACTACACAGGAATTCAAAAGTACATTTTCCACGTTGAGGACAGAACTCTTGACGAATTGTACGTGTTTGCTGGTTTGTGGGCCACTTGCGAGTTGGCCAACTTCTACTGCCACTATTTGCTCATGAAGCTGAGAAGTGACGGATCAAGAGAAAAGAGAATCCCATACGGGTTCTTCTTCTCTCTAGTTTCCTTCCCTAACTACTTCTTCGAGAGTCTTGGATGGTTGATTTACGCTATCATGAACAACAATTGGTCTTCGTACCTGTTCTTCATCATCGGAACCGGAACCATGATGGTCTGGGCCAAGCAAAAGCACAGAAACTATAAGAAGACTTTTGGAGACGACTACCCAAAAAACAGAAAAGCCATGATTCCATTTATTTTCTAGTGAACTAGAAAGCTCAAGTGTCCTTGTTTTAAAAATGTTAAGGGAGCGGGGGTGCCATTTTTAAATTAGATATTATTAGTATTAAGAATAATTTATTAATTATTATTCTCCGTCAGATTGAGTCAATCCAAGTCGCTTCTACAGAATTGATGATAATCCCCGAAGCCTACTATATCCATGTCCGACTCAGAATCAATTAAACGGACAAACAGCTACCCTGCCGACAAAAACGGTGGTAGTCCCACACCTATTTCTCCGACTCCGTCTACCCAGAGTGGCACGTCCCAGGGTCCAAAACCGCAAAGGTCTTCGAGAGCATTACGGTCGACACCATTGCCTGCGTCTCACGCGTTGATGAACCACCAGCATTTGACAGGCTCGGCATCTCACCACAGACAGTACATTCTACTGAGAGACAAGGGCAATAACACCAATTCTCCAGTCATAGGAGGATCAAGCGTGGCTTCGTCACCACAGGTTGGTGCGGCTTCTCAGAAGGGATTAAATGTCATTCAAGGCAAACCGCGGCCGTTTTTACGCAAAGCTCCTAGCTCAAAATATATTTTTAGTGTTGATGACGATGAAGATGAGGTTGAAGAAGACCTAAACAGGGAGTATTTAGAAGGATACACAGATGCATTGCGCCATAGGTTCAAAAAATCTCTGGCCACTTCAACTGGCTCTTTGGACCAAGCAGACGCAAAGACTCGGAAAATCCACGAGCTAGAAACAGAAATCGCCCAGAACCTCATATCGACTGCTAAAGATATTTCGACACTCCGCGAGAGAGAAGGAGATTCTGTTCACCTTGATCACGACGAAAACGCCGAACCTCTAAACGAAGAGGATAACGCAATCAAGCCTCGTACATCCGTCCACGAACTTTCTGAAAGAGACAACGATAATTCAGACGCGGAATCCACATCTTCAAGCGAAAGTTTCACCTTGAGAGGCCGTCAAGATGCAATCAACGAGACACATCCTTTTGGTATCCGTATTTGGAAGCCCGCCATTTACAAAAAGAACAGATCCGTTGAGATCGAAGCAGAAAATGACATTCATTCCACTCCTCAGGTTGCAAGAGAAGTTTCTCCTTCAATTGCGTTTTGTAACTTTATTTGGAGCTGCACCTTTGGTTTAGCTTTATTTTTCGTTTGTCTGTTCACTGGTATCATCACCTTGTTCTTCACTATGTTTTCCAATCCTCGCAAAAGTGATTCCATTCGGTACGCCAAACTTTACCTTAATTTCAGCACCTATCTTTTGAATCCATTTGGAAAGATTATGTTGCTTCGCGAAGACAAGAACTACCTGACAGAAGATGCAAACGTTGGAAGCACTTTGGCAGAGTTTGCAAGATGGCGGACCCAAGATGAGGGCCGTTTGTTTTATGCTGCACCAAGCCGCAAGCGTCCAGCCAACGAGAACACACCGTTGCAAGAAAATGGGGAAACGCAGTACGGTTCTGAAGATAGTACTCCCAAAACGGACGATCAGGAGGACTCTGATGAAGACGTTTATTTCTCGAAACAGAGACTTTTTGGCAGAGGAAAATGGAACATTGGCCGGATCATTTTCTTTGCGCTGTTTTATCTGATTGCCCAGCCTGTGATGCTATTGATGGGAGCCATTTTGTGGCTCCTTGTTTTCACCATCCCCATGGCAAAAGTTCTTTTCACAGTTTGCAGCCATATACGGAGACATCCATTAGCAATTTGTGTTGAAGTTGAAAAGGACTACTATCAAAAAAGACTTTCATCCAATACCTCTCACGAATCCATTTTGATCTGCACGTACAGAAGTCTGGGATTCCACTACTACAAGTACACTGTTGACGGTACGAATATTTTCTTCATCAACCTCATTTTCCTTGTGTTCTTCACCATCTTTGATTTCTTTGTCTTGCACGAATACTTCGGATTGGAGACATTGATTGTTGATCCAATTCTCATTTTTGTTCTTTGCTTGGTTTCTATCATCCCATTAGCATACTTTATCGGACAAGCCGTTGCATCTATCTCGGCGCAAACCTCCATGGGTCTTGGTGCAGTGATTAACGCATTCTTTTCCACTATAGTGGAAGTTTTCCTTTATTGCATGGCATTGAATCAGTCGAAAGGAAAATTGGTTGAAGGATCTATGATTGGGTCTGTCTTGGGAGCGGTGTTACTATTACCTGGAACCTCTATGTGTGGAGGTGCTTTCCGGCGGAAGACTCAGAGATACAATCCAGCATCTGCCGGTGTTTCTTCGACGATGTTGTTGTATGCAATTTTTGTCATGCTTTCGCCAACCATCCTGTACGAAATCTATGGACAATACGAGGTTCGGTGCTTCGATTGCGAAGAAACCGTTGACTTGGCTACTGGGAACGACTGTAAAAGGTGTCATTTCTTGCAACCGAATCTTGCCGTTGACAGACTATATCTTGATTACCTGAGGCCGTTCACGCTTATATGTGCCGTTGGACTGTTTTTTGCATACTGCATTGGACTGTTATTCACATTGAAGACCCATGCAGCGCTCATTTGGAGTACGCCTGTTGTCTCTGAAAAGGAGAAAAAAACGGATCTGGCCTCTAACACCGAAAATAATAGTGTCAAGTCTTTGAGGCTGGACAACACTGCTGGTCAGAAAAGAGGACCAACTTCCACACCAAAACTCTCTGGATCCAAACAGAACAATGCCCAGACAACACCAACTCAAGTTGTTGCTCAACAACCCAGCAGTGGAGGCCATGACGCTCCTAATTGGTCTAGAACCAAGAGTACCACAATTCTATTGCTTGCAACCTTGCTGTATGCGGTGATTGCAGAGATTCTGGTTGACGTGGTGGACGATGTTCTAAGTGCATATCCAATCAACCCCAAGTTCTTAGGACTTACGGTTTTTGCATTGGTTCCAAACACCACCGAGTTTGTTAATGCCTTCTCTTTTGCTACGCACGGAAATGTTGCCTTGTCAATGGAAATTGGTTCTGCCTATGCGCTTCAGGTGTGTCTTCTTCAAATTCCAATTGTCACACTGTACTCTTTGATCCAAAATGTTGGAGCTGCTCCAGAAGACATTAATAGACTGTTTTCACTGATCTTCCCTCGTTGGGACTGCATAGCAGCTTTGATCTCAGTTTACATGTTCACCTACGTTTACGCCGAGGGAAAATCGAACTACTTTAAAGGATCGATTTTGATTCTGGTTTATATCAGTGTTATTGCTGGTTTTTATTTCTCGCTGGTTATCGACTCTAATGGAGTATTTTAAACTCATTCAATGAACAGATATAACATTAATTACATTTCTATTTGGTGAAGGTCTCTTCAAGCGCTTTTTCAAGAATCTCAATCCCCTTGATGATATCGGCGTCGTCAATGTTGAGAGCAGGAACAAACCGAATAACGTTGTTTCCTGCTGTAATAACAAGTAGACCCAAATCTCTTGCTTTAGCCACAATATCGGCTGGTGACTGGTTGAACTCGACACCAAGCAACAGTCCCTCTCCTCTAATCTCCTTGATCTGTTCAGGAAACTTCTCGCTCAGCTCGCTGAGCTTCACCTTGAAAAGCTCAGACTTTTCTTCAACCTGTCTCAAAAAGTCAAAGTTGGAGACCTGGTCCAAAACATACAATCCAATTCTGGCTCCCAATGGGTTTCCACCGTAAGTTGTACCGTGATCTCCCACATTGAGAGTTTTCTCAACAGCCTCGGTGATCATAGTGGCTCCGATTGGGAATCCGTTTCCAAGAGCCTTGGCCATGGTCACGATATCTGGATGAGCCGTTTCTGGGAGCTTGGAGTGAGCCCAGAGACGGCCGGATCTGCCCAGCCCACATTGGATCTCGTCGTAGATCAAAATGACCTTGTGCTTGTCACAGAGTTCTCTCAATTGGGTCATAAATTCAGCGTTCATAGGGAAGATTCCACCTTCTCCTTGAACAGGCTCAATTATAACACCACAGGTTTTGTCCGAAATGACCTGCTCCACAGACTTGATATCGTTTGGCTTGGCAACCTTGACACCTGGAACAAGAGGAGTGAAAGGCTTTTGGTATTTTGGGTTTGGCGTCACAGAAAGGGATCCCATAGTTCTGCCATGGAAAGAGTGCTCAAAAGTGATAAACTCAATCTTATCATCAGAAATAGACTTTCCGTACTTTCTAGCAAATTTCAAGGCAGCCTCGTTGGCCTCAGTACCTGAGTTGGCCAAAAACACACGAGATGCGTTCTTCATTCCGCCAGATTCCAACGTCTTGGTAACCAACTGCTTGCTCAGCTCTCCTGTCCATTGGTTGTAAATCAGGTTTGAGCTGTGAATCAAGGTATTTGCTTGGTCGTACATGATCTTGGCAATTTCTGGATGCGAATGTCCCAAAGCAGTGACTGCAATTCCAGCAGAAAAATCGATATACTCCTTTCCTTCCATATCCCATAAATGACATCCTTTACCGTGGGTGAACACAATTGGTGGTCTAGAATACGTTGTAACCGTGTATGGGTCTGTTTCTTTCACAAAAGAGGTCGACGATGTTTTGAGCGCCGACGCCGTAGTGCTGAACAGCCGCTGCTGAACGGCCTGGAGATACTTAACCCGTTGTAGCATGTATTGGAGTGACTAAATTTTTCTGAAAAATTTTGGCCAGATAAGATCGGAGGGATTTTATCCAGCGCGGCAACCCAAATCCTTCAAATTGCAGACGCAATGGCGATGTGTCATGGTCGGATAGCACACTTGCCGCTAACAGATCTAGTGGCTAATTGTTACAAAGGTGCTCACGTCTGCCCCCAGCTGGACTGGTACGACTTGACGCGGTAAGCATTTGTTCACGTGATCATGACACACGTGCTTTATCACTCTCTCATCCACTGTAAATTTCTCAAATTTTTCAGTGCGATTTCTACCAACATGTCGAAGCTGTTCAGTCATTCCGCGCAAGAGGCATTCCAGAAGCTCCCTCTCAAGCTGCGCAACTTCTTCACACGCTACCCGCCAGCCCCATTCAGAGAGTATGCCTCTGAACAAACGGTGGCCAACGCACCAAACGCAAACCCGTTCATTGCCAATAGACATCCAGTCACCGGAAAGGTGCAGAATCCAATCTACTCTCTTCGCAGACAATCTGATCTATACAAGCTGGCCTTTAAATTTGGCGTGGCTGATTTGATGCCATCGTTACAACACAACAAGAAGTTCTACGCCGAGAAGTTTGATACTAAACCACTTCTAAAGGGTGTGTTAAGCCCTAAGGGACATAAATGGGAAAGAACGTTTGTGGAAAGAAAGCAGAAGATTGCTGACGCGGTCGCTAAGGTCGACGAGGTTATTGCAGAGGAGAAAGGAGCAAACTACAGAAAACGTCCCGAGAAGAGACAAAAACAAACCAGCACCTGGGTGTAATGTACATAGACTTAATGATATTACTATAATATTTGAGATTTAATGCGCTATTAACATGATTTATTGGGTGGACTGCCCTTCTGGAACGTCGCCAAAGTCTTCTTCTTCTCTCAGTTCGCTGAAGATCGCCTCCTCGTCGATAGGAGCATCTTCGTCTGCTCCTAGCTCGGAAATCTGGTTGCTGGACTTGGCCTCCACGATCTTGGTCTCGTCCAAAGCTCTCACCTTCCACTTCTGGATGAACTCTGTCTCCTTGTCGAAACCCTGCTCAAGGAGTGATTTCTGGTAAACAGCACCGTACATCTCGTGCTCTTCACGAACAACGTTCATCTCGGTCTCGTTTTCGATCTTGAGTCTGTAGTATTCGAATTTGGCTTTTTCGTAAGCTTCCGTCAACGTCAGGTTCTCGTTCTTGATGATGTACATGGTCCGCTGCACGACGCTCTCTCCATCCAACTTCTTGGTCAATTGCTTCATCCGAGACCAATCTTGGTTCTTGTTGTCTATCGTGTGCTCGTTCTCAATCAACGATTTTGGATCCGCCAATTCCCAAGGATGTTGTTTATAAAACACGTTTCTGATCTTGTCTTCGAAGAACTTCAGCTGTTGTGGCTTTATCAGACTGTACTTGAAATCGGCAGGTCTCAGTCTCGTTTTATAAAGGTCTCCGTTCCTGGTCGGAACTCGAAGCTTTCTCAGCCCGTCGAATTTTTCAGGACGAACAACCTTATTCTCCATTCTCTGCGGAGGATGGTACGCAACCGGCTTGTACCAAGCTGGCTGTTCGCTGACAAGACCACTTTGCAGAAAATCCGACGTTCTTTTCAAAACGTCTCTGGCTCCCTTACTTGTGTTCATGTTAGTTAAACCACCTTTTTTTCACTTTGGTTTTGTCGATAATTTCTTGTTTGTCGTGTGCATATTAAATAAAATTTTCAAATCAAGCCAAAAAAATTATTTAGTACATACAATCTGTGTGCACTGGACCAAGCATGTCTCTTCTAGAACAGCAGTTGTCTGCGATTGCGCAGAACACACAGACCGTTGCGCTGGATCGAAAAAAACGGTCCAAGCTGCACTCGGTCTCGTTTATCTACAATCCCCAAGAGGCTGCTACCCAGGATTATGAGACGATCTACTACGAGGCTCTCGAGGCCCTGAGTCGTTTAGAACAGATCGACAAGAGATTCGGCAAGTTCAAGCTCTCCATCTTCAGTGAAACATCTATCAACATCGACAGACAGGTGCAATCTCAAGAACAGAACGAGAATCTTGATAAAACCATTAATGCATTTTTGTCCTTGGTGGCTCCGTACTGGCATCTCGCTATCGCCTTGCGATCCACCGAATGGCTCTTGCGCAGATTCCAAATCAACTATCATAACACTGAACATCTGCTGTTGACAACACTGCCATACTATAAGGATCCCGTGTTTGAGAGAATCCTTTATGTTGTTCCAAAAATGCCTGTTCTTTTCCAGTGGTTAGCCGGTTTCAAGAAAGCAAACAACAAGTCTCCATCCAGGAACAGTCTGGTGAAGGCTTTCACCGATGTGGACTTTTTCAATCTTTACTCGAAATTCATCGGGGGTGAACTAGGCCGCGGAAACCAGTACAGATTGGAGCTCGTGTTTTTTGTCAGTATGGCCATCTCCGCACTTGCTGCCCTGTCGTCTGAGAACTCGGAAAAGCTTTTAGACTACGTGCCAAATGTGTTGTCTGTCTGTGGACTCCTCCTGGTTTCCAAGGACCAAGAGACAAAAATCAGTGGTTACACTATCATGGCCGTTTTGGTTTCTGCTGTTCCTTTATCAAGGGACGTGATAATTGCATCGATCGAGACAATTTTGGCACACGCTGGCTTTGACGGTAACAGAACACAAACTCAGGCATTTACCAGCATACTCAAACTATACAGATCCATTCAGACCGATCCGCTGACACCACTTGCTCCAGCAATGTTCGAATTAGTTCCAGAATTCTTGAATTCAGACTCTTCGTACTCCGAACTCATTTCCAAGACAAAGGACGTCAATTTCGCGTGTTCCTATATTCGCACATTGATCAAAACCGACAAACTAGATAGCAAGTCGGCGGTTGCAAGTTGCGAATTTGAGTTCAGCCACAAGCATGCTAAAGTCATTTTGGGCGATATCTTGGCTCAGTTATCATCTACTAATTCTGCAAACTATGTTCCTATTCTGAAGCACTTCCAGAAGACACATTCAGACTGGTTCAACGAGTCAATTGAATCATCACAAGTTTCTTTGGAACAGCTCGAAATGTCTCTGCAGACCACGTTCACAGAAGTCGAAATTACAGAAGACGTTCATATTGTTCCCGAAGAGTCAGCAGAACTTGACGAAAGTTTGGAGAACGTTCATGGCTCATACGCATCTTACTTGGATTCTAGCTCGGAAGTTGCCAGCGAGTTCCAATTGCTCCAAAAACAGTTTATGAACTCAGTTGTTGCATCCAATACCATTAAATTCTTGTCGTCGTGCTTTAAGGATCAAGGGGCACAAATCTCGTTCCTCATCAGATTGTCACTTGTTCAAAATATTCCATTGAAGGTGAGAACCTTTGCATTAAAACTGGTTGCAACCACCATTGAGTCTTTGCCAGAGACTTACTCCGTCCATATCCTTGTTCCAATTCTTTCAGTTTTATTGATTGACTCGAACAAGCTCCTGCGTACCAACACCTTAGCCATATTCAAGAAAATGGAAGCACGATCTCCAGGCAAGGAGTCAATACTCGGAAGTTTGCTTTATGGAAAAGCTACCAAAGATATTGCAATGATTTCCCCAAAGATCGGTCACACTCTGATCAGCAGTATCACAGAGAGAACCTCTGAGTTGAGTATTGATGGTGAGCAATTCCACAAGCTGTTTGAGTCTCTTGTCTCTGAAAAGAAGACAGGTACCATGATTCTGGCTTTCTACGCCTCGAATGCCAACATTACCGAGCATCCTGCGACCAAATTGGGACTATTACAGGTGGTCACGAGAGCAGCAAGAGTGACCAAGGGAGCACTTCCACCTTCAAAGATCTTTGAAAACCTGCTCACATCGTTTGTTGAAAAGAGAGAGTCTTGGAGATCAACTTGTATCGTATCTGGTATCGACTTTGGTACTTTCGAGACTCAAGTGATGGATATCGTTTCAAAGAAAGAACCCAACGAAGCAGCTATCAAATTCCTTGATTCTGCTTTGAACTGTTCCTCTCAATCGTTGTCTGAGATTGCAGCTGCAAAGCTTACTGAGATCTTTTCCTCGTTGAGCTCAGAATATCAACTTCGTCTAGTGAAGAGTATCGTCGAAGTTGGATTATCTGAAGATGATACTACAATTTGTTACGATACCGTGGAGCTTTTAGAGTCTTTGGATCTTTCGAACGATATTTTCGTCCAGTTCTTGAAAGAGTCTTCTTTGAACAGTTCCTCAGACCAGCAATCCAATGTTCCAAAAAGAAGAAGACGTTCTTCCGCTTCAACTCGTCAAGCAATGAAAGAGCAAGAAGTCTCGTTTATGGCTTCCGCGCACTTGAAGAAGGTCACGTTGATCTTGGACGTTTTGGAGAAAGAGAGCAGAGCAGACTTCGATGCTTCTTTCGATCTGCTGAAGCTTTTGTTTGACACTCTTGACGACTTGGAAACTTTGGGAACGGATGGAAAGCTTCCAGTTCTTTATTCCCAGGAAACTCTCGCTTCGTGTATGACAAATGTGATTAAGGCTCTTGAAGAGAGCAAGCTGAAACCAAAAGAGTTTGCTTCGATCCGCGCAGATGTTGTTGTCTCTGCTATTCGCGCCTCAAACTCCCCACAAGTTCAGAATAAGTTGTTGCTGGTGGTTGCTGCTTTGGCTTCCTTCTCACCAGAGCTTGTTCTGCACTCGGTGATGCCGATCTTCACCTTCATGGGAGCTCATACTATCAGACAAGATGACGAGTTCTCTTTCCATGTTGTTGAACAGACAATCTTGTGCGTTGTTCCGGCACTTGCAGTGGCCACAGAGTCGGCAATGGTTGAGGAAGTTGAGTTCCTGCTTACTTCGTTTGTGAGTGCTTTCCAACACATTCCTCGTCACAGAAGAGCCCGTTTATTCACAACGTTGGCTAAAACTTTGGGAAGCTCTGCTTCAATTCATCTTATTTTGTTCTTATGTGGTCAGCAATACGCAAGCGCTTATGCAAAGCACAAGATGGGCGACTGTTCAGCTTTGACAGACTTCTCGTGCTCGTTCTTGCAAAACTTCAAAGTTGAGGAGCAGCTTGGATCTGCTTTGAAATTCCTGGAATTATGGAAGAAGGTGCCGGAAGAGCCAGTCGAAAAGGGCTCTCCAGAATTTGACGAACTGAACGCCCGTGTCGTCTTTGGTCCCCAGATTGTGGCTCTCGGCAAATCAGAACTGTTTAACTTAAGAAAATGTCTGGTTTCATTTTTGAGACACACTATCTCGGACTCCAAGGATATCAATGGTATTTCCAGATTAAGACTCAAGATCGCTTCGATGATTCTTCAAGGTGAGGACTCGAAACCACTTCTTGAGGCCTTTGCTCAGCTTGTCAAGGACCTGCTTGAGATCATCGACGCTCACCAGCAAGAAGTTGAAGAAGAGGAAATTGTTTCCAAACTTTACAAACTGCTTGGGGAAGTGCTAAGCTTGCTTCCAATCGAGCACTTTGTTCAATCTGTTTTGGGAATCCTTCAGTCTCCAGACTCTTCCTTGAGAACAAGAATTCACATTACATCGCTTACTGCCTACAAGTTCGATACCGAACATGTTGAAGACTTGAACGCACACGAGGGAATTGCACGTCTTGTGCCACCACTCTTGGATATTATTGTTTCTCAGGAGGATATCGAGCTTTCCCAAACCGCTCTTGATACTCTGTCCAACCTGTTCCAACGTTACACTACTCATATCGATTCCTCACTGTACATTTCGACTCTGAATGTTGTGACTCTCCCTGCAGGTTTGTTGAACTCTGCTCCGGAAATCGTTGTTTCCTCTATGAACTGTATCACCAGTGTGATCAGTGTGATTGGTGTGAAGATCATTGGTCATTTCACCAAGATTGTGCCGCCGTTATTTGACATTTTTGACAAATCCACTGAATCGGAGGATCAGTTGATTCAGACATCGATGCTTGTTCTGTTCTCTACCCTTGTCAAGAAGATGCCTTCCTTTGTGGCGCCGAATCTCTCAGATATGCTGAAGGTGCTCTTCAAAGCATCTCACGTCTCTGACTCTGTCAGAACTTCTGTCTTGAATGTCATGGTTTCACACATGGACGGAAAGACTCTGCTTACTACCGGGTCTTCCTTGTGGAAGTTTGTTTCTGGGCTTGATACCGTGGCCATTGGTCTTTATCTGTCGTTCATGGAGTTGATCATTGAGAAAATTGACAAAAAGACCGCTATCTCGAATGCCGGTGGTTTTGTCAAGTTCCTGCTTCTTGCTCTGGAATTCAGAGCCCAAAAGGAGCTGGACTCCAACACCATCAATAGAGTAGAGGCATCTGTTCACAAATGTGGAATTCAATACGTTCTGAAACTCAACGACAAGACATTCAGACCACTGTTTGCTTCCATCGTCAGATGGGCATTTGACGGTGAAGACACCACTACTGACATCTCCGAAACCGAGAGACTCATTTCGTTCTTCAGATTCTTCAACAAGCTCCAAGAAAACCTCAGATCGATCATCACCTCTTACTACTCGTATTTGGTGGATTCTACCGAGTCTTTGCTCCTGAGACTAAAGACATCCGAGAACACCAACCTCAAGAGACTCGTGTTGATCTCGTTGGCATCGTCGTTCAAATATGACCAAGATGAGTACTGGCACTCCAGTACCAGATTCACTCCTATCTCGTCTGCTCTGTGTTCACAATTCGATACAATTGAAGATTCAATTGGAAAATACCTTGTCAAGGCAGTAACCGCGCTTGTTCAGGCTACTAATTCTTCTGACGAGCATAACAAGACTGTCAATAACTTGCTTTTGAGCCACATGAAGGCCACCTGCAAGCCAAAGGAGAAGCTTTGGGCCGTCAAGACTTTGAAAACTATTTACAACAAGGTCGGAGAAAGCTGGCTTGGATTATTGCCCCAGTTGGTCCCAATTGTGGCTGAGCTGTTGGAAGATGACGACGAAGAGGTTGAGATGGAGGTCCGGACAGGGTTGGTCAAGGTTCTGGAGCAGACAATGGGTGAACCTCTAGATAGATATTTAGATTAAAAAAGCGGCTCCCGCATTACCTTAATTCAGAATCGTTAGACAGTAGAAACTCAAAATCCCGTTTAATTAGCGTATTTTGTTTTTTGGTAGGTTCTATTGAGTAAACGAAAAGAAAACATGTATATAATACGTATAGTTAAGTTAGATTTGGGGAAAACCGCTATAGATCTGAACGCCCAAGAATAGACTCCAATAAAACAAAGATAGAAGTATAAGTTTCTGATGGATTCCTTTCAGGATTGTGAAGCACCTCCAGAGGTACTGATTGTTTCATCCAGGGTCCTTTGACGTAAATGTGAACTGACAATACTTTGAGGTGAATGTGAACCGATGACACTTTGACTGCGTTGAACTGCATGCTTTAGATCATCGATAATTTCTTTGATCAATTCTCCCTCCCCGGGGTAAGTAGGGGGGCACTCTGCAAAAGCCTTGATCGCACTCTCTATCATTGAGCATGCTTCGGAAGGGCTCACTTTTTTTTCAGGAGCTTCAATTTCATCTGATTCATCGTAAGAAGCCATTTCTTCGAAGTGATCAATGACTACCTTACGTGCCTCCTCCAGAGTACCTGTTTGCTCAAAGGAAATATTGAAGTTTTCTTCTGGTGGGTTAAGAAACCTTTCAATGGAAACCTCTTCGTTGGAAACTTGTTGATACTGATCGATTTCAGCTGAAAGATCAATAACAGGTATTTCATGCTCTGTAGGCTCTCTGTTCACTAAGGTACTTTTGCGAAAGCAATTTGTTATTGTTCTCAATTCAACCGTCTGCCAGCTGAGAGCAGCGTTCATTATAGCGTCGCTCAACTGATATTGTTTCAGTGGATCCAGTTGAATATCAGATGCTCCCCGTTCAGACAAACGGTTTGCTATATGATTTGTCAAAAAACGTAGAAAGCGCTTTCGATAAAGAAGCTTGAAAGTTTGGATAATGCCTTGATCTAGCGGCTGGAATTGGGTTGCAGTATTCCTTGGGAGAAATTCAATTTCAATGTTATCTGGGATCGTGAGGTTCCTGAGAGCTTTTGTATGATTAGGCGCATTGTCTAATGTAAGAAGAACCCTGCGGTCGCCTACATGTTTGCAGAAAGCTTCAAACCACTCTAAAATAAGATCAGATGTTGCCCAAGCCCTTGTGTTGTACTTCCACTGGCAGTCCATGGCTTGGGGATCAAAATTCCTGAAACAGGGAGGCTTCTTGTGTTTCCCAATTATCCAAAGTGGAAACTTGTCTGTACCTGAGCCATTCGTACAAAGAATAACAGTGATTTTTGATTTTTCTTTCTTTAGAACAGATCCTGGTTGCGTTGCTAGACCTCTTTTCGGAGTCATTCTCCAGAATAGACCTGTCTCGTCCATATTGTAAATGTCATCCAAATTGTATGAACCTGATATAGTTCTGAGTCTCACCATCGCGGTTTCGTCAATCTTGGTAGAATCTGCTTCCTGAGAAAACGTATATAGTTTGATGTTATTGCGCTTCTTGAATCCAGTGAGCCAGCCGTTGCTGAAACTTGGTTGTTCTTCCTGATTTGGATAAAGCTTCGAAAAAAAAATATTAGCAGTCTCAATAATAGCAGGACCGGTAACAGTGATATTGCAGAGCTTTAGTTGACTAATCCATGACATAAGCATCTCCTCAAGCTCGGGCCATTTAGGTCTTTTTGCTCGAGCTTGATCCTCATGCACACACTCTTGGGTACCGCGTCGAATAATGTCTCTAAAAGTGGTAAGCTTCAGTTCCTTCTTAAGATTTACACGCGTCCAATCTGCAATCCGATCGTGAGTACGTTCAGAAAGGGGTAGAGAGTTGTATTTCTCAATTATTTGGTTTTTCTCCTTGATCGTGAAAGTGACGTGTTTGTCTCTCCGAGCGGCCCTTATGATTGTTTCCTCCATTTATCATTTTCCTCTTATACAAAGTCTCATAATCCCGTACAATAATGAACCGACGCGTGGTCTCGAGATTGTCGGGAAAAAGTTCTACAGCATAAAAACGATTGCGGCACCAACAAATGTGTCGAAGTAGTGAGAAAACGAATTATTGCGGGTGCGATTCTACTGTATTTGTTTTCCGTGACGTAGAGCGAAATAATAACCTGAGTCAAGAAAAATGCCAAAGAAGCAATTGGAAGGGCTAGGACTGCATTCGAAAACAACGCCGATCCTGCCAATTACTCACGATGATATTCTGGGATCCGGTGGACCTCAGCAAGATGATCTGGTCAGTGTAGCCAACTCTTTGCAATCTTCATCAACAACACTATCATCATTCGCCAAAAGACAACAGCATAAACTGAAAATCAAGAATCTGAAGAAGAACATGGACACAAGCTTCACTGTTCCGCGATACTTCAAGCGGATACTCAACGTTCGCTCACTTGATTTCGAGACCGCCCTTTGGGAAATGCTGAATCTCATAGTTCAGCCTAAGCGTGTCTACAAAAGTCTATACTACCAAAAGCAAACCAAAAACAAGTGGTCAAGGGATGATCCAAGTTTCGTGCTGATTTTGAGTTTCTTTCTCACTATAAGTGCGATCTTCTGGGGCATGGTGTATTCAACAAGCGTGATAACGATTTTCAAATTGATCCTATACATGGTGATTGTCGATTTCGTGCTCGTTGGAATCGTCGTTGCCACCGCGGGCTGGGTGATTGCAAACAACTACTTCCTGCAGGACACAAGCATGAGCTCGCAAAACTCCAATAGACTGCTCAAGTTCTTTCTTCCTACAGATTCCACGCTGGAATGGGCATACTGCTTTGATATTCATTGCAATGCATACCTGATCATTTGGGTGTGTCTTTATTTCATCCAGTTTTTCCTCTTGCCGCTGCTCAGACTCAACAATTGGATCTCCACGGTGCTCGGTAACACTCTTTACTTGGCTTCCGCAACATACTACTGTATTATTACATTCTACGGATATAACGCACTTCCATTTTTACAAAAAACCGAGTATCTACTCGCACCAATCCCCGTGTTTGTTCTAGTCTGGATAGTGTTGACACTGGCGGGCTTCAATATCGCAAACTTCATGTCTAATGCATACTTCAACTAGCCGGTGCAAGGTTGTATAGAAATCCACTTTGAAAATAATTCTCTAAATCATAATATTTTTTGAGCATGTCTGCAAACCCCGGAAATCGTACACAGCTTTGGAATCCAACGCCTCCTGATAGAGGCTCGTTTCCGCTGGATCACTATGGTGATTGCAAAGATCAGATGCAGAAATATCTTAAATGCATGAAGTTGGTGAGAAATGAGAATGCCCCAAACTGTCGGCTATTGGCCAAAGACTATCTCGAATGTCGTATGCAGCATGATTTGATGGACCGCGTACCATGGAATGAGCTTGGACTACCTGAAAGCGAACCCAAAAAGGCAGAATAACATTCTCGCTTGATATAATACACATTTGTAAATAGCAAAATCGCAGCACCGTTAGAAACAACTTTCAATGACCCGCGTTGGAAACTTTACTTTCCAACTCTAGGATCCTGGCCTCTAATGTGGACACTTTAGTCTCTAATATTGCGATGGTTCCATATAATTCCGCAAACGTAGCATCTGACGATGAGCTTCCACCGTAGTTCGACAGCTGCTGCTGAGGATAGCCAGGAGACTGGATATAACTGTTTGCAGAGTTGAGCGAAACTTGTGGTTGTGCGGACTGTTGAGTAGATCTTGACCTTGATTGTCTCTGCTGCGTCTGGATGACTGCCTGTTGAACATAGTAGTTTGACACCGCTGAAGCAACCGCAGCAGCAGCAGCAGCTTCCGCATTGGACGCATCCTTGGACTTTTTGAACGGAGCCATCGCAGAGCTCTGTCCGTCGTAGGATTTCCGTTTCGTAAGCACGGGTCCCGTACTGGACCCTGGCGAAAGAGAGGGATCCAGACCCGGACCAGAACCAGCTCCCGAGCAACCGGACGATGAGTTTGTGTGTCTAAGCAAAGCATCTGCGCGTGCGAACCTTTTGTCACACTTGTCGCATCTGTATGGCTTCTCTCCAGTGTGCAATTTTTCATGTCTCTTTAAATCATGCTGTCTTCTGAACTTACTGCTGCAATGAGGACACTCAAATGGCTTTTCGTCAGTGTGAATCAACATGTGTGATTTCAAATTGTGTTTTCTAGTAAATGAGTGATGACACTGAGTACATCTGTACTTTCTGTCTTCGGAAAGTCCGTTCTTGTCATCCTCGTCTTCGTCCTCCGAATTGCTCTGGTGCACCAACGAGGAAGAGTCCGGTCCGCTGATTTTCGACGAATCGCCGTGTTGTGAAGCGGTCCCCACAGACTGCTGGTTCATCAGGCTCGAGTCTATGTTCGAAAGCATGGTTAAAGACTGCGACATGTTAGTAGACAAGTCTGAATTTTAACTCAGTAAACAAATGTGTGGCAAATGGATTCAGACCTGGTGTGAAAAAAAAAGTGGCTAAGCTGGTGCACAGATGTATGGTATGCAGAACATGGAAATGGTTACCCAGCCAAAATTACTGTCCGGTGCAGTAGGACGTGTCTGCACCGCGTGCACGCAGTCAGTAATTGCTGCGTGAGGAGGATTGAGATACCGGTTCAGCTTGGGTCCTTAGATATTAAACTGACGACTCAGGATACCGATACCTCTTTCCACATAGTTACCGTGTATGTTTCATCTACAATAGAGTATCCCTTCCGAACGGGACTTGTTTTTAAGATCTGCGTGTTGTGTGGTGGTGCAACTCAGGCATAAGCTTATCGTGCCCCCGTGCAAAACAAAAGAAATGTGCAATTTTTTCCCGCTGTTTGGATTGCTCTCCCCGCGAAATTTAGCAGTCTGGCCGTCGGCCTCCCCCTTGGCAGCGATAATTAATTGTGCGGCTCCCCATTACATAGGGGTCAAATAAATAGGAGGCTGAAGAGGGCAATACTATTTTACAAGACGATGCAATCTTAAACCTATAAGTTTTCAATCAGATCTTATACTTGAAGTTCCATTTTGTCCCGATAAGGCTTTACCTTCAATACTACTGGCTTCTTGGCCGCAGATATTTGAATCGGTGCTAATTTTAACGGTTCCATCTACAACATGCTAACTGCAAATAACTACAAACGTAAGAGGCCTAGATACTCTTCTTCTCAACTGGTTGCACCTTCCATGTCAAATGTTGCGCCAGAGAACTATTTGAGAAAGAAACAACAGCAATATTCTACGGTGAACGCCTCCAACCCAGAAGTGATCAACTTGGACTCAGATGCCGAAGACTACGCTCTGAAGGACAGCGACGTGCTTGACGACTACTTTGGGTTCGAAAACAATGACATTAGTCTTCTGGATGACGAAGACAGTGACTCTGGTCTTTTAAACAGAGATGCGGTTCGTCCGAGACATTCGTTTTCTTCGTATTACAACACCAACAATCTCAATATTGCCAGTCTCAAGCTCACAGGCTCTTCCGCAAATAACATCGCAAAGACTAGGAAGAAACGTACCAAGTCCTTGCCCCAATTACCATACTCCAAACTGAATTATTATCCCGATTTTGATAAAGATTCTGTTAGGGAGAAGATTGGTGACGTCAAGACCACTCTCATACAACACCAGTTCACGAACTACACGTACGGATCATCAAAGCCAGCCAACCGCAAATTTTCATTTAACACTGATGTCCCATCTAGCATGGGTTCATATCATCACAGCACGAACTCGTCCTCTGACTCATATGATTCTGCTAATACTTCAGCAACATCAATAGAAGACACCCCGTGTGATGACAAGGACGGTCATTATATCATTGTCCCGGGCGCTCCATTCGCTAACGATCGTTACCAAATACAGTCTTTGCTTGGTCAAGGAACCTTTGGTAAGGTTGTCAAAGCTCACGATAGATACAACAACTGTTCGGTGGCAATTAAGATAATCCGTGCTATTCCAAAGTATAGGGAAGCTTCGAAAGTTGAACTCAGGGTGCTGACCATGCTCAAGAAACACGACAAGGATAATGTCAATCAATGCATTCACCTGAGAGAGTGCTTTGATTATAGAGGTCACATCTGCATAGTGACGGATATCTTGAAGATCTCATTGTATGATTTCTTGGAGAGAAATCAGTTCCTCCCATTCCCTGGTTCGCATATTCAGGCGATTGCCAAACAACTTTTGAGATCGGTGGCATTTTTGCATGATTTGAACCTGGTGCATACAGATCTCAAGCCGGAGAACATTTTATTAAAGGATGATACCTCTGTAAGGAAGCCTTACATGAAGCCGAGCGGGACCTCTAGCACGATGACGTACCGAAATGTTCTGAACGACCCAAGGATCTACACAATCGATTTCGGATCCACGGTATTTGAGGATGAATACCATTCATCTGTGGTCTCCACGCGACATTATCGTGCACCTGAAATTGTTCTTGGAATAGGATGGTCCTTCCCGTGCGATATGTGGTCTGTGGGATGTATTCTGGTTGAGTTGGTGACTGGTGATGCTTTGTTCAAGACCCACGAAAACGCTCAACATCTTGCAATGATGGAGCAGGTTTTGAGGGAGCCTGTTGACCTGAAATTGGTGAGGAAGTGTTTCAGCCAGTTCTATTACACTTCTTCTTCGCGTCGTAAGTCTTCGACATCAAGCACAGAATGTATCACAAACTGCTTCTCCAAAACAACTGGAAAGCTGCTGTTCCCAACAGCACAAACACCGATCAAGCTTATTGATGAGGTTGAGAGACTTCCCTGTCTCTCCGATTTGATTTCAAGCAAGGTGGGAATGCCATTTGAAATGGATTTGTCTCTAAAGGATTCGATCTCCAAGTTCAAGATCCCAAAGAAACAACATGACAATTATGAGTTTTGGTACTGGTTTATCGATTTGCTTAAAGGCTTGCTTAAGTTCGATCCCGAGAAAAGAATTACTGCTATGGATGCGTTGTCACATACCTGGTTTAATTACGGAATCTTAGACGACGGGACATTGTCGTTATAGTTTTTGTTTGTTCGCTTTTATGAATGGGTTTACACTCATACTCGGTTTTTTACAATGTTTATATGAATTGGATATCTTTTTAAGGTATGAAAGAGATACGATCGGCCTTAATATGAAATGAAACTAATCATCGTAGTCGTAATCGTCATCATCTTCGTCGTCGTCATCATCATAATCGTAGTCGTCGTCATCATTCAAAGGTGCAACATCTTCATCCTCTTCAAGCAATTCATCACTTTGTGGATCTGGAGTTGGTTCTTCTGGCTCATTCTCTCTTGGGATGGATTCCTCTGGGTTTGTGGTCTGAGACATCTTCAAAATGACCGTGAGGTAATTTTTAGCAATACAATAATTACGAGGTTTGTGATCTCCCACAAAGACAGTTTTCTGGCTGTGTTCGTGTCTGTGATCGTGGTGTGTATGGATAAGAGTCTAGTTTCAAAGGTAGATTTCCAATCTGGCACCAAAATAAGTTTCTAGTTATCGGATGGAAACCAATGATAAGCAAAATCGGAACGAATCACTAATTTTCTCGATAGAGTTTTTTTCGATAAGATTCTTAATCCATGTCTCATCAGATAGTAGCCAAATACAATTTCTTCAAGGGGCATCCATCCATTGACCTTCTACCCAATAGGGAAATATTGGAAGCTTCACAGAAGATACTTCAAAGATTTGACAATTCAATGGATAATTATGATGGGTTTACGGACACCCATCCTTTGAACTACGGAACAGATCCTGGAAACTTGGAAGTTCGTAAACAGATCTCCGAGTGGAACGATAGATGTTTCAAACTAAAAACAAAAACAGACCCAAACTGTTTCAATCTGACATCTGGTGCCTCTTATGGAATTATGAACATTCTTGCCCAATTCACAAGTCCCCACAACAATGTTACTCGACAAGCATTCATTGTTAGTCCTACTTATTTTTTGATCAATGCTGCAATTATAGACGCAGGTTTTGGTGGGAAGATGACTGCAATTGATGAGAATGACGATGGTCAGATAGATCTGGAAACTTTGGAAAAGAAGTTACAACACTTTGACAGTCAAAGTCCAATTTTGGAAACCATCACAAAAGACAACATATCGTCAATCTATGATCCTGACAGGCCAATCAAGCAGGTGTTCAGATACGTGATGTATCTTGTTCCAACATTTTCCAATCCAAGAGGTGGAACCTTGAGCGAGGAAAATAGGTTGAAACTAATCAACCTTGCAAGGAAACACAACATGCTGATCATCTGTGACGATGTTTATGACCTTTTGGATTTTAGTGGAAACACTCCACACAAAAAGCTGGTCACTATTGACAGAGACACTTTACCAGAAGGAGAGAAATACGGTAATGTTATTTCCAATGCTACATTTTCCAAGATTCTAGGACCTGGACTTCGTGTAGGATACCAGGAAACCCCGACGCCAGAGCTTGCGTATTTGTTATCTCAAGGAGGAGCTCATAGATCAGGTGGTACTCCCGCTCAATTGAACACCATTATTGTCGGGGAACTATTAAAGTCGGGCACCATTGACAAAATCATTGCCAAACTTAACTTCACATATTCAAAGCGTGCAAAAGCTCTTGATGATTCCCTTCATGAGTATCTTCCTAAAGATACGATTATCGGACCAATCAACGGTGGTTATTTCAACTGGGTGGTTTTACCAAAGACTTTGGACGCCAAAGTAGTCGACAAGAAGTGCCGTGAAAGGGGCGTTATCCTGGCTACCGGTGACAATTTTGAGGTCACCGGTGATGTCAGAGGATGGGGGGATCAAGGAGTTCGGTTGTCAATCAGTCATTTGGATTCTGACCAAATCAGAGAAGGTGTTAAAATATGGGGTGAAGTTTGCAACCATCTGCTTCAATCAAAGTAACGCTCCACCAAAAGACGGTATTCGGGTGAGTTCTCTGACAGTTTGAGGACAGGACCATTCTTCCAAGCGAGATTTTGATCAATTTCCTGGAAAGCTTCAATATCCTCCTGGTCTGGTGGTATTTTGAACTTGAAGTTTGGATCAATCAATCTAGCCTTGTTGAGAACATCCATCTTCAGTTTCGAAGGAACCAGGGTATTAGATTTAAAATAATAGAACTTTGCCAAGAGCAACCAGTTCTTAGGGTTTTGAATGGTGGCTAGATGATAGTCCAACAATAGGTTGTAAATTGCCTCTTTGTTCATTAGCTTCAGCTTATCGATAAAGAACTTTGCATACGATATTGCGATATATGGCTGTTTCATTTCGCAAGCATGGGAGACAAAGAGCTTTGCAGTTCTTGTGTTTGGCACGTATTGACCAATTTCGCGTTGCGAGTTCATGTGCTTCCAAGCTGCCTCTGAATCTTGTTCCAACATTATTTCTATAATGCGATTATGAACAGGAACTCCATCGTATATATTATGTTCTTGGAGAAATGTGATGATATCGCCAATTGGTGTGTTAGATTCATGTAATTTAGAGACAATTGCAGTATTAATGTCACTCAGCTTAATTTGTTTCTGAAGCATAATGTCGAGTAATTTTTGATGTTCATTTTTCAAATTCGTGTATGTGATGTACAACGTTGACAAATTCGGTGTTAGATTCGCATCGGTCATCTCATTGAAGAGGTTGATAATTTCAGAGGTGGTAGATTTGTATGATTTGAGGTTGAGATAAAGTAGCAGATTATACGTGCTGATGTCTGGCAGCACTCCATGAACATCCATTTGCTCCTTGACACTCATGGACCGATGATATAAAGTTTTCCTGACATAATACTCTAAAATAGAGTTGTAAGATTCCAGGGTGAGCGACTGTACTTGTATTATATCCTGGAGTGTATCCTCAACATATTTTTCGGCTTTATGAGAATATTGGTAATTACCTGAAGATAGTTCATGGGCGTATACATTGAGCGAATAGCTATTCAGCTGCGGAGGGGGCGGTTGTGGAAAGATTTTGATTGGTTTAGGTCTCCTCAGTCTCAAATATAATGGATCCTGTTCAGGAGAACTCGGTATTATAGACTTGAGCTTTTCAACTATTGCAAACTCATCTATCAGAGACGAGGATTGTTGGCGATCAAATATGGTGTCGAGTGCATTCAAACTTTCACTTGCCGTCGGCCTAGTGGATATTACGCGAACCAACCGGGGCAACGTCACCGCCGGTGAAAGAAGCGATTTGAACATTGAAGTGTATAAAAAAATCCAAGGCTGTGAAATATTCGAACAAGAGTTATATTCGACATTGAGAGCTTCAGTGTCCAGTAATCAAACTGACGACCGACAAATTTCTGTGTGAATGCCCAATCAGTCTTAAGGTACTTTCAGCTAGTCAAATACACGTTTTGTGCACGCTTTAGTAATTCCCCTGATCAACTGCTGCGCGTCGATCGACCGGGGTATTTACGCATGGGTTAAAAATATTCGGCAAGTATGAAATAACAGACACGATCAAATGCAAGGAATAATAGATTTGGCTCCGTTGTTTCTGGCCGTCCCAACTTTGTTTGTGTCTCTGACGCTTGCGAATGGTTCTATTCGGCTCGAAACACCGACCTTGACAAGTTATGTGGGGTCGTTAATTCAATCCGCATTCTTGTCGTCCCTGTTTATGGTCGTGGTATCTGTTCTTACAAACCTTAGCGAGAAGACATCAAGCACGAAGGAGTCTTATAAAGTTCAAAAGGCTTCAAATGTGCACCAAGTACTGTTATTCTTATCGCTGGGATTGGTCTTTCTTGCCGATCAGTTGCTATGTCCAGCAAGGTTCATGAATTTAGTGGTTCTTTCCCTGCTTATTTCAGGACCCTCGGACACTACTCCTGTCAGTCTAGATGATACGCTTATTCCCAGAAGTGCTAGTTTCAAGACTCAATTGAAAAAATATCAGTTGTTCATTGTCTATGTTCTCTCAATTGTGTTTGATGCAATAATAGCCACTGCCCAAAACCAATCCTTGATACCCATAGTTGTTGGATATGGAATTTTGTTGATTCCAATGTTTGTGTTCTTGGCTCCTATTACAGAAGCAAGCCAGTCAGGGTACCCAGACTTGAAGATGTCCGGTGTACTTCTGTTTGTGTGTTCTTTTGTTATGATAGCATTCAACTCGAACAGCTACAATTTGAAAATGATGTTCATCACTGCAGGATCTTTGACAATTTTCACGATCAGTCAATTGGATCTTTCTGACTCTAATCCAATGAACCAGTTCTTCAACAAATCGTTATTTTTATCCAACTTCAAACTCAATACCATCATTTTAAATGTGGTAATGATATTGGTTTTACAGGCCACAACTAATTCCCATAACCATATCGACTCTCTTAAAAACCATGCCATTGATTTATCTATCAACATGTTTCTCATGAGTATTATAACTCCTTCTCAGTCAAATGCCACTCCTGTCCTCAAAGAAAAGCTTTCTCCCGATAAGATGCATCGCCAATCAACCTTTTTGTCGCTCATCATCCAACTTTTCAACTCCAAAGAGACAAGATCCATATTCAACTTCCTTTTACTCAATGTTTCGTTCATGTTCATCCAGCTTCTATACTCGTTTCGGTCGAAATCGCTCAGTCTTCTCAGTGACTCGTTGCATATGTTGTTAGACTGCATGTCGCTTTTCTTGGGACTGTTGGCCTCTTTGGTTGCCAAGAACAATAAACAATATCCATCCAAAGACTACCCATTTGGACTATCCAGAATAGAAACACTAGCAGGATTTGCTAATGGATCACTGTTATTGGGAGTCGTGTTTGGAATTTTCAACGAATCATTTCAACGTCTGTTTAATCCAGTGGATCTTCGCAAGACTGATGAGCTTTTGATTGTCAGTATACTGGGATTTGTGGTCAATCTGGTTGGAATATTTGCTTTCAATCACGGTCACGACGGTTCTCATGGCTCTCATTCTCATAGTCATTCACACAGTCATTCACACAGTCATTCAAGCGAGCATGCTAACTGTGGAAGCGATGAAGAACAAGAGAACCTTAGTGATAATATGCACGGTATTTTCTTGCATATATTAGCAGATACTCTGGGTTCGGTTGGTGTCATCTTGTCTACTTTGATGATCAAAATTACCGGTTTACAGATAATTGACCCCATCACATCCATCTTGATTGCAAGTTTGATTCTTGTATCGTCAATTCCATTACTGAAGTCTTCTTCATCCAACCTGCTGCTTTCTGCTCAAGATCGATCTGTCGACAGGTTGCAGCACGTTTTGACAGAGATTCTCAAAGTTCCAGGTGTCAAATCATATACCACGCCACGATTTTGGCCAATCAGCAATTCAGGTTCTCAACTTACAGGATACATTCACATTCAATATTATCGCACAGAAAGCTCACTCTTGATCAGGAATAAGGTCAACAAGCTATTCAAGAATTCTACAAATATATCCAAGGCATACATTCAGTTTGAGAATGAAATTGATGATTGCTGGTGTCGCAAGGAAGGAATATTTAGTGTCGGATAGCAAAGACAATAATATAACCATTAGACTGGTAAAACCTTCATTACTGCCCAGTAAAAAAATAAGCTAGTATGGCTCAGTCTCCTAATTTGGTAAGCACTCCACACTAATTGAGTAATTGAGTACCTTAATTTTATTATATCATTATCTTCTAATGATTGACGAGAAAAACGTTACCGAGCTCCCTAAAAGACCTCATTCTTGGCGGAGAAACGTGTTGCTTGGGCTAATTCCAGTTTCCGTGTTGTGTGTTCTGGGATGGTCTCAGTCATTGGGCCATCATTCCTCATGTCACCTCGGTAATTTGGGAAGTCAGTTTGAATTGGAGCAGGCAGACGAATTGTGTCGTATTTACGACAAAGTCGAGTTCAAAGACCCTGAATACAGTGTGCACATTCTCAAGGATGCCGAGTTCAGAAACCAATCGGTCACCAGATTGAGTAAAGCTATTCAAATCCCAACCTGGGTCGAAGACGAGGGCACGGACTTCATCAAATTTGATAGATTCCACGAGTACCTGGAAACAGAGTTCAAGGCTGTTTTTGATGCTGCAAATGTGTTCAAGATCAATACTTACGGAATTGTTTTGGAGTTCCCAGGATCCGACCTCTCATTGAAACCTGCAATGTTCACTGCTCATCAAGACACTGTTCCTCCCGGTGACGCAAATAACTGGGAGAAGGATCCATTTAGTGGTTACTACGATGGTGAACATGTCTTTGGTCGCGGCTCCTCCGATTGTAAAAACCTGCTCATTGGCCTGCTCGAGTCAATGGACGCATTGGTTGCTAAAGGATTCAGTCCTAAGAGAACTATCATCTATGCTTTTGGTTTCGATGAAGAGAGCAGTGGTGTTGTTGGAGCTTCCAAGATTGGAGAGTTCTTACTGGAAAAGTATGGACCACAATCCATGCTGCATGTCATTGACGAAGGAGCCAGTGCTTACATGGAATTAGAGAATACACCATTTGCAGTATTGGCTACCGGAGAGAAAGGATATTTGGATCTTGAAGTTCAGGTCCTCACTCCTGGTGGACATTCTTCTATCCCTCCTGAACACACATCCATTGGTACCATTTCTAAGATCATTGCTAGATACGAGGATAGTCCTTTCGAGCCAATTCTAGCTAACGTCAATCCGACATTGAATACTTTACAATGTATTGCCAATCACGCAGATATCGACAAGAGCGTGAAGAAAGACATTCTTAAGGCCCATCTGGACAAGGAATCTAACAAGAGAGTCATAAAGCTCTTGCTGGACAACAAGGAGACCAAGTTCAATGTTTTGACTAGTCGTGCTGCCGACATTATTTACGGTGGTGACAAAGTGAATGCTTTGCCGCAGAATGTGACCGCATTGATCAATCACAGAATTGCGCACGGAAACGATTTTGATACCGTAATCTCAAAGATCACCAAGATTTCCACAGGTGTTGCAAGAGAACATGGCTTGGGATTAATTGTTGATGGTAAGGTGCTCATTGAGCCTGGAGCAGCAGGATCGATCAGCTTGAAAGCCAAATACAAACTGGAAGTTGCTCCAATTACCCCAATTGACGATGACGTTTGGGTGTCTTTGAGTGGACATTACAGAACTTTCTACGAGGATCTGGTGTATCCAGAGAAGTTTCAAAACAATACATTGATTGTTAGTCCTGGTATTATGTCAGGAAACACCGATACCAGACACTACTGGAAATTGAGTGACCATATTTTCAGAGCACAACCTGGATTCACGGGACTTGGATCTGGCGTTCATGGATTGAATGAATACATCGATGTGGACTCTCATCTCCAAGTGGTTTCGTTTTACTACAACTATCTACTTAGTATTTCATAGAATAAACCTCTACACGGGCTAGTTTTGGCCATTTTAAATTTTGGAAGGCAAAAGATCTTGACTAAACAATCTAAATATCATGACCCAGCCAGCTACTTTGGCGTCGGATTATTCCAACGAGGTTGCTCAGGAGCCAATAGAGCACAGATTCAACCCTTACACAGGTAAGTTTCATCCACCAGTTGCAGTAATTTAGCTAACTTGTTAGATAACGGAGGAACCGTGTTAGGCATTGCAGGTGAGGACTTTGCCGTTCTTGCTGGTGACACAAGAAATACATCCGGCTACAACATTAATTCGCGTTATGACCCAAGAGTTTTCGATGTGGGAGACAATCTATTGCTCACAGCCAACGGTTTTGCAGCAGACTCTGCTCAATTGATCAGCGTGTTCAAGAATCAATTGGAATGGTACCATTTTGATCATAACAAGGCATTGAGTCCCCAGAGCGCAGCCAGATTCATACAGCATCTTCTTTACGGTAAGAGATTCTTCCCATACTACGTTTACACGATTCTAGCCGGATTGGACGAGGAAGGCAAAGGTGCCATTTATTCATTTGACCCTGTTGGATCGTATGAAAGAGAACAATGTCGTGCTGCTGGAGCTGCTTCCTCATTGATCATGCCATTTTTGGATAACCAGGTGAATTTCAAGAACCAGATGGATCCTGCTAGTCATGGAACCGAGAAAAGACCATTACGATACTTGTCATTGGAAGAAGTTATACAACTTGTGAGAGATGCATTCACGTCTGTCACCGAAAGACACATACAGGTTGGTGATGGTTTGGAAATTCTTATTGTTACAAAAGATGGTGTCAAGACCGAGTACTACCCATTGAAGAAAGATTGATCAAGGTGATTTATTGAGGTAAGCTGAATCCTATATTTTTGATCACTTTTTGGTAGTAGACATAGAAGAAGTCTGAATAGACCAAAGTTTGAATAATACCAGTAGTGATTGCCAGCTTATCGAAGCGACCTTCAGCAAAGTATCTGTAGATCCAATTTGGAATGTATAATGCTCTGTAGAGACCCAATGCAAAAATATAGTGGGTAGTGAGCAACTGCGACTCGCCACTCTTCTGAAGCATGAACAATTGAGGCAAGATCGAAACAGACTCAAGCCAGAGACTGAAACTCCACAGAATCTCGGAGAATTTAAAGCCATGGTTAAAGATCAAACCAAGAACGAAGCTTGGAGCAATGAGGTATTCAATCTTGAAGTCATCGTTGTATTGTTGTATGTTCTTCGAGTACTTTTTGAGCATAACTATGGTGTATATGGATGAGGAAATGAAGAAGATTTTCATCAAAGTGTTGTATAAGGAAGTGTATGAATAAAGAAGATCGACATATCTGGTCACAAACACCACAGCGTATAAAATGTTGGTTTTGAGCGAGATTCCCTGTGCAGACTTCTTCACATTGATTGTGTTGATCAAGATGAAAATGGAGACCAAATGACTAAGATCTCCGGCAATCCGGAAAATATTCAACATGTCTTCTAAATTGTTTAACACGCAAATATATATATGTTTTGACCTAAGGAGTGTATTATTTTTTGTCATTTATATGATTTGTAAATAATTAGGTAATTACACTATTGATTTATTAAAGGTCTCTAAACTGGATGTCGATGGTATCATCTTCCAGGTCTGATTCTTCCGTGTAATCAATGCCGCTGCCACCAACGACAAATGAAGTTTGTCCCGAGTCCGTTCCCATTAGCAGTGACACGATTTCCTCCGGACCAACGTCGTGATCTAATTTGAAGATATTTTCATTATCAGATCTGTCTTTTGGGAAATGGAAAACTGTTGGATATTTGGTAACTTGGAAACGAGAAATCAGCTGATTGTTCTCAGCCTTGGAGATATCAACCAATCCAAATATCGTCCCATCCTTGACCTTATCTGAGTAATATTGGGCAAGTCTCTCGTAATAAGAGCTATGTGGATCATCCCAGCCGTCGATCCACGGAGCAGCAAATGCAAGCACAACATCTTTGTCCGTGTGTTTGTGTATCGTTTGGTCTATGTTGCTAGAAGACACATCTACAACACTTCTGGGTGGGTATCTAGGCTGAACACCGGTAGCGTCTCGTAAATATTCCACCATTTTGTGAGTAGTCCGAAGACCAGTGTAAGCTCCGATATCATCCCCTTCGAAAGAAAAAAGCTTTAAAGTCGGGAATCCAATCAGCTGGAACTTACTACGAAGACGACTGTTTGCTTTGCCATTCACCTTAACGATCTGTAGATTTGTTTCGTGAAACAGGTTGCCCAACGGTTCAAACTGCGGATCCAAGTTCTGGCAGTGGATGCAACCAGGCGAATAAAAATACACAAACGAGTACTTTCCTGGCTGGCCGAAAACAACGTCTTCGAAATCGCGATCGTCGACCTCAACAATGTAGGCCAACGTCAGGCCAATAAGAAGGAATAAGCCTGCGAGAATGCTCCTCATGAAATTTTAATGCAAGCAAGCTATCCCCGATACAGATTCTATGGCTAATTACTGGGTGCCGGCTGAAATTTCTACACCTCGCACCATCCAGCGAGCAAATAAGTTCTTGAGCAAATTAGCTCGATAGATGGTATAAAAGCGCTTTGGATGGCTCAATTGCAATGTTGGTAGTTGATGAGAATGATTTGAACATAATTTCAGGGCCCAAACTCAAATTTAAACAGCATGTCAATCGTGATAATAATTGCCATGGCAACCCATGACTCAATTACGTCAGCGAGCGGGGGGTAGTGGAAATTAGTAATTGCCACCAATAAGATAAGTCTAGAATATATAAAGCCTTAGTAAAGCCTCAATTTCTTCTCAACAAACAAAAATGGTCAAAGCTGGTAAGTTGCGAAAGATTCAAGCAATTGAGTAGGCTAACATGATTAGTCGCTGTCGTGAGAGGTGATTCTACTGTTAAGGGAGTTGTTACTTTCGAACAATCTTCCGAATCCGATCCAACCACTATTTCCTGGGAAATTTCCGGTAACGATCCAAATGCTCTGAGAGGATTCCACATTCACCAGTTTGGTGACAACACCAATGGATGTACTTCTGCTGGTCCTCACTTCAACCCATTCGGCAAGAACCACGGTGCTCCAGAGGACTCTGAGAGACACATTGGTGACCTCGGCAACATCACCACCGACGCCAACGGATTGGCTAAGGGTGCTAAGCAGGACTCTCTCATCAAGCTCTTGGGTGAGAACTCCATTTTGGGAAGAACCGTTGTTGTTCACTCCGGTACCGATGACTTGGGTAAGGGTGGCAACGCCGACTCTCTGAAAACTGGTAACGCCGGTCTGAGACCAGCTTGTGGTGTTATTGGTTTCGCTGCTTAAGTGTTCCTTCTTATCATGTTTCAAATATGACTTTTCATTGGTTTATTCATACTAGTTATATGGATCAACTTTGAATCGACCCTTCTACTTATAAGTGTCTTATTCGCTGTAAACAATTCCTCCTCCGCCCGGGCCAGAGCTGTGTCTGCTGAAATAGTCAAAGTCTATGGAAACGGCATTCGCCACCAAAATTGCCTTCTGGTCCAGTGTCATGCCCTCATTGGCAATTGGAGAATAAACGTCTTCAAGGCCTTGGAAACTAAGAGGGTCCATACGGATCACATAAATACCCGTGTCCGTGAAAAACTCTCTGGCAAAACCAACAAAGTTCCTGGACACGGCCCCCAAAATTGTTCCGTTTTCCGCACGAACAGGGAACTCCCACGATAGGAAGCCAGCATCAATTGCGCCAAACTGATCGAAACTGTCCTCGTGTGCGCTTTTGAACAAATTGTATCTCCGTCTCCACAGATGCCAACTCTGAACAGATTCTCCAATCAGGGCACCATCTGGATATTTAGGATCCACCACGGATGGTAAGAACGTTTTGATATGCGAATTGACTATGCTAAAAGGTCTTCTGATAGTCATCAGCAGGTTTCCGGCGTTGTCAAACATGTCCACCGTGAACGGACGATGTAATCTATAGACTTGTCTCAATATGGTATTGGTAAATCCCAAATCTCGTTCCATTAGCCACCCCAATTGGTTTCCCAAAGAGTCCATCACAACGTACTTGTTTGCCTGTTCAAATCCCAGAAATAAATTCATATACTCGATCTGACGTTGGATCACCAAAGTCGGTTGCGAAAGAATGTCGGCGAGCGGATCAGAATGGCTGATTATGCCACCCGGATTCTCTGTATAAATATAATTATTGTGTTGCGATGCACCGTAATACCCATTCTGCGAGCCTGTTCCGGTAGTTTTTCTCATCCCACGGTTAGAATTGGTGTATAGTGACCTGTTTCTCAAAAATGACCTCGACAGCAAGGCTGTTTTGGTCACAGGACTCGACCATCGCAAAGACGCCATCAACATTATAGAGTATTTATCAAGGAAAGAATATTGTCCCTTGCACACTACCATTTCTGAACGTCTAAAATTTTTCAAGCTTTTTCCAGTGGATATCAAATGCGTTCGATGAAGCAGTTTTCCAGAGGCATCCATACGGTGCCGAAACTGGTCAACCACCAGAGATGGGCCCAGGAAGGTATTTCTGGCCTGATGTCGCCAAAACAATACAGAACCAGCTGGACAGATTACCAAAAATATCTCACCACCAATCTGACCTTCAAAACTATTGGAACTGAACATGAGACTAGAACGCCGCTGGCCATCACGCTGATGACAGCTAAGAAACCAGAACAAGGTCCGTTGTTTCATTACGCCTCGCAATGTCACAACAATCACCTTTTCTTTGAGCAACTGCAGGACTCTACAACCAATCCCCCGGCACTCAAATCGCGACTCCAAAGACACATAAACAATGTGTTCGGATCGTTTGACAACTTGCGCAGTGAGTTCCTTTACGCTGCTGATACACTGCCTGGTAACGGATGGGTTTTCTTGGTCGAAACAAAAGACAAGAGCGTTAAAATTATCACCTGCAACAATGATGGTACTCCATACATATACAGCAGAAACCAGTCAACAGATCTGAACGGAGCCATTAGCATCAGCGACTTCGAGACGCTAGTCTCCAACAAAGATAAGCTTAACAAGAATGTCAAGGACTTCACCGTTCCTCTGCTCGTTTGCAATGTCTGGGAACATGCATACATTGAGGACTATGGAGTCAACGGCAAGGCCGACTATCTCGAGAACTTCTGGAACTGCATAAACTGGGAGGTCGTGAACAACAGATTGTTTGTTAACATCGGCCTTTAATGTACATAGACATAAACATACTTGTATCGTCACCCTATATGTTTTCTTCGAGTTCGTAATCATCGTAGTCTCCGCAAAATAATAGTGTATCTCGGAGATATTCGTCGCTGTAGACGTCTGACTTCGATAGAGACGATATAAGACTGATGTTGAAGCTGCTCAAGGCAAGGTTTCTTTTTATCAAAGTTATGTGTCTGGCTTTGAGTTGTTCTAACCCGTCGATCTGCTCTTCTTCTCGTATTTTGTTTTGGAAAGCTAGATCCTTATTTTCTTCAACCAATTCGAGATACATCTGAACCAGTCCCCGCAGCTCTTCTAAATCCTTTACAGTGCTCTGTGATGACTTGTTAAGTGACTCCTGAGTCTCGTTCTTCAATTTTGATTGCTCGATGTACTCTTTGATTGTGGAGTCGCGTTCTCGAATCAGCTCTGTCACCTGAGTTTCGTCTTCAGTATGGATTGCGCGCAGTATTGGGTATGTTATCATATGCTGTTCAATGATTCGACGTCTGATATTCAAGAGCTGGTTCAGAAACGCGTTCACTGTTTCGTCTGTGTCTTTGTTTAAGATATCTGCCTGTAAAAGCGCGAGATGTAAATCTGGCATGGTATTCAAGGCCTCATCGTACTCCCGATCCACTATTTCCGGCACCTGAGTCAATTTGGCTTTCTTGGTTACCACAAGCAGTTCGTCCACTGCGGCAACCAGTTTCCGGTAAATTTCCGTGTGCTGGTTTTCTAAAGACTCCATAGAACAATTATGCAATTTATTTTTTTGTTCAATTAATCTCCTTAATGTCATACAAGTTTCCGTCAATCTATGATTTTCCGCCATTTTTTACCAAACAAATACATCAGCAGACTCTAGATACCCAGAAGTCCCATTGGTCAAGACTGATTTTAGAATACTGCCAGTTCAACAAGATATGGATCCTTTCTTTGAATGGCGAACCGATGGACTCGGCACCTGAACATCAGGATTCCGACGATGATAACGATGATGATGACGATGACACAGATATTCCACAATACTCATTATTTACGAATTCGAAGATCGATCGTAGCCTGCGAAGTGATTTCATATTAGAGATATACACAGACATGATTTCTAAAGGAAAGGCCGAATGGGTCGACCCTCGAAACCACAAAAAGGGCATTATCATTTACTGGCATAATCTGGAGGAATGGGCAGACATTTTGTTTGAATGGGTAAGTTTTTATACAACACATTTACTAACATCAAGATTGACATCACTGGTCAGAGTAATACTGTGCTTACGCTATACGAGCTGCGGAAGGGCGATTTGGCAAGAACTCAGGAATTCTACGGTATGAGCCCCACGGTTCTAGTCAAAGTTCTGAGCGTGTTGGTGAAGTCAGGAAGAGCGCAGATAATGAAGGATGATAACTCCAAGATAGCTGGTGTGAAGTTCAGTGATAAGTAATACGCCGATCGACGCGTCAAACGCGTTGAAAAAAAAAAATTTAGCTAAAATTTTTTGGTTTCAGCTGATAACTTTGTTCTTTGACAGAGAGTCTTAAGCACGAGATTATCATGAAGTACGTTGTCGTTTCCGGTGGTGTCATTTCCGGTATTGGAAAGGGTGTTTTGGCGTCCTCCACAGGAATGCTGTTGAAGACTTTGGGACTAAGAGTCACTTCCATCAAGATTGACCCTTACCTTAACATTGATGCAGGAACTATGTCTCCTTTGGAACATGGTGAGTGTTTCGTTTTGGATGATGGTGGAGAAGTCGATTTGGATTTGGGAAATTATGAGCGTTACTTGGGTATCTCTCTAACCAAAGACCACAACATTACCACGGGTAAAATTTACTCGGCCGTGATCGAGAAGGAAAGAAAAGGAGACTACTTGGGTAAGACTGTCCAGGTTGTTCCACACATCACCAACGCCATTCAAGACTGGATCGAGAGAGTTGCTAGAATCCCTGTTGATCCTTCTGGAATGCAGCCAGATGTCTGTATCATTGAACTTGGTGGTACCGTTGGAGATATTGAGTCTGCTCCGTTTGTGGAAGCTCTTAGACAGTTCCAGTTCAGAGTTGGACATGAGAACTTTGCTTTGATTCATGTCTCATTGGTTCCTGTGATCCACGGAGAGCAAAAGACCAAGCCAACTCAAGCTGCTATCAAAGATCTCAGATCCCTTGGGTTGTCTCCTGATATGATCGGTTGCAGATGTTTGACTGAACTTGAAGGTCCAACAATTGAGAAGATTGCTATGTTCTGCCATGTTGGAGCTGAGCAAGTTCTGGCAATTCATGACGTCAACTCTACCTACCACGTTCCATTGCTTTTGAAAGAACAAAAAATGATTCAATACTTGAGCAAGAGATTGCAACTTGGACAGATGAACGTTCCGCTTGATATGATCAAAAAGGGTGAGGAACTTTACAAGAATTGGGTTGAACTTACCACCCAACACGATAGATCTTTCGAGAAAGTCACGATTGCAATCGTTGGAAAGTACACAAACTTGCACGATTCTTACTTGTCGGTGATCAAGTCTCTTGAACACAGTGCAATGAGATGCTCTAGAAAGCTGGAGATTGTTTGGGTCGAGTCTGCTGACTTGGAACCACAAACAGAGATCGATAATAAAGCCAACTTCCATTCCGCATGGCAATTGGTTTGCAAAGCAGATGGAATCTTGGTTCCAGGTGGATTTGGAACTAGAGGTGTTGAGGGAATGATTGCTGCTGCCAAATGGGCCAGAGAGAACAACATTCCATACCTTGGTGTGTGTCTGGGATTGCAAGTTGCTGTGATCGAGTTCCTTAGAAACGTTTTGCGTATTGACGGTGCCACCAGTGCCGAATTCGTTCCTGAGGTGACTGAGGAAAAGGCAGGTGTTGTCTACATGCCTGAAATTGATAAGGAGAAAATGGGAGGTACCATGAGACTTGGTTTGAGACCAACCTGTTTCCAAGTCTCCGCCAAGAGCTCTGTGATCAGAAAACTTTACGGTGATTCTGAATCCGTTTTAGAGAGACACAGACATAGATACGAAATCAATCCAGCTATGGTGGAGGCCATCGAAAACGCGGGAATGAAGTTCGTTGGAAAAGACGACAAATCGGAGAGAATGGAGATCTTAGAATTGGACAACCATCCATTCTTCGTTGCTACTCAATACCATCCAGAATACATCTCCAAGGTTTTGGATCCATCTCGTCCATTCTTGGGACTGGTGGCAGCTGCTTCTGGTATCTTGAACGAAATTCTGAAGCAAGATTTGAAGAAAGCCGCTAATGACTTTTGAAGAACGTTCACAAATGCTTCTGTCTATTGTATATGACACTATGTGTGGATTCTGTGCATGTAATTCAGTAATAAGAATAGAATACGTTGGGCAAGTGCCCTCATCGCTGAAAAATCTATTACTAACGTCTAGCACCCTAAGTTTTCGCAGAAAGCTTGATCACAACCCACAGGAAACAGCTGGAAAACACAGGAATCGTAAAGTTATCGTCCCAGTCAAAAACTACCAGTGCTTCGCTCACTGATGCAACTAATCCACTCAGAATTGAAAGCGTGTGTATATTCAAATAGCTCTTTGATGGATTCCAGGCAAAGTCGGAATATAGGTTCACTTCCGGATATTGGGGAACAAAGTATCCATAAAATAGGTAAGAAGATGCCACACCAGTCAAACAAGCCGCTAGTGATCCGGCTAACGATTTCTTCTTGAAGATCTTTGGTGTCAAATGACCGAACATACGGCCGAAAGTCGAGGCTGCTGTGTCTGACCAACTGAGCAGCAGCACAGCCATGACTGCGATGTCCTTCTTCTGGGTCACAAACACAAGATAGAGACCCAATAAGTACCATATAACTCCGTTGTATGTGTTGATCTCTTTTTCTCTCATTAAAAATCCAACTGCCTTGCAGTACAAACGATTGAATTTGTCGGATCGAAATCTTAAAAGGTCCAAAGATCCGACACCAAGGAATCCAGCTAGTAATGGTCGAACTAGCTGTGGAGTCTGCACATTGATTGTGTATAAATATAACGTGATGAATCCAATGGAAACATGAAATACTTTGCGCGGAACCTCATGCTTGTGTATAAATTTCTTGAAATTACGGTGTGTTTCTAGTATGAGGTCCGCAGTACTTGGGTTTTCTGATCTCTGTCTGATGTCCAATTGGCCAAGATGTTTCTTATCAAGTGTTTCGAACTCTGTTGATACGGAAGAAACTTCTTCATCGTTGGTGTTGCTAATTTCTGATTCCAGCTCGGTTTCAGCTTCTTCATCCTCAAAGCTCGCTCCGGTACTATCCAAAGTGTAGTCCGGGTCATCTTCCTCATTATAGAAGGTATCCTCCTTGTCCAATACAATGGAAGGCACGGAAGCTTCCTCTGTCTTTTTAACCATATAAAGCAGAAATTTGAATTTATTTCTTGTCAACACGCACTGACAAGGTGGAAAGCTTGCCTTTTATATCCAAAATTGAATAAAGAAACAGCAACTGGGTGGAAGTCTGTTTTCTATACACGATTTTAAATTTCAGACATCAAAACATATAATTTATTTTATGCGACACAGAACTTAGATTGGCAGCCTACGATCGTAGCTATTAGCTATAGCTCCAGTGTTTCTTCCGAGACCTTACCGTAAAGCTCAGAAACAAGTCCTAACAAGACATCTAACTCCTTTGATATCGAGTTGGTGACCAAGTTGTAGGTGTATAAGAGAACGAAGTCTTCATCAGATAAAACTTGCTCTTCAGAAGAACTTCTTTTTCTAATCTCGCTCATTTTGACCAACATCCGCTCTTTAGAATGTTCTGTAGAGGCCGGTTTGCTTGCCAGAGGGAATCCCAGTTTCATAGCAGAAGCAAGCATGTAGAAAATCAAAAACACCCTGTTTTCCAGTTCGGACATCTCACCAGACAAATTTTGTAGCACCATGTATTCATTTGGAGTCAGACTCTTGTTGATCTCGATAATTGAGTTCAGATTCTCAAACGCATCAATGATTCGCGATGTAGACCTCAGAAGCTTATCATAAATTCCAATTGGAAATGGACCCTTCAAGCGAATTTCCATCGGTGCTTGTTTAACTAATGTTTCCAACTCTGACATGATCATGTGGATTGTTTTCCGATCTCTGATACCAATCAACTGGTACTCGTTGTTTTCAACAACCTCGTATGCCAAAGGTCCACTATGCCATATGATTCCCATGCGAAGCCATAGAATCGAAAGACCTCTACGAATTCTGCTACGAGCAGAATTCGGGAACAAAGACATGGTAATTATCACTGCCCAAATCACACCAAACGAGACACCAAGGAATCTGTGAAATGCAATTTCAAATATAATAGGATGATCACCACCCTCGTCGTCATAATCTGGCAAGTCTTCAACTTGCTTATTTGCCATTGTCCATGAATATAGAACGGTCAAATTGTATGTCAGTAAAATGAACCGTCCAAAAGCATTATTTGTCTTCCAGTTGATAATGATATAAAAACAGCTGATTGAGAACAAGAATCCAATCAACGCCATCAAAATCACATTTGGATAAAACATAATCCAAACCCAGTAAGCTGTGAAAGCTCCCAAAAATGTTCCCAAAAATCTCCACTTGATAGTCATTGTGGTACCTCCCACAGACTTATTCATAATAATACAGAATGTGACCAATGCCCATTCACCTCTCCAATCATCGAAAAAATCCTTCGTCTTGTCAATATAGGCAAAAATGGCGATGAACATCGATCCAATTCCAACACGAACACCGAACTGCACATCCACATTTTTGAATATTTTGGCTATCTTCCAGATTCTGTAACTTATAGACAACTTCGAGCTACTATCATCGCTAATGCCTTGCATTCGATTGAGCATGTCGTTTATGGTGCTACCTGGAGCAGTAGAATTTGATCTTTGCCTGGTTCTTCTCCAAAATCTCAAAAAGTTGAATGTTTTCCAATCATTCATTGCAACCACAGACTTGAGTTCTGCCAAAATGTTCAGATATTCTGCTAGTTCACTCGCATACTCAAGTAATAAAAACGAGAAATTTCCGCAGGAAGCAGCCACCTCTTCCTGGTCGACCTTGGAATCGAAATCTGTTTCGGTCTTGAATAATTCTTGATCGTATAACTTCTTTATCGCTTTGAGTTGGGTGTCGCTGTATAACTGTTTTGCTGCCTCCAAACTTAAAGCGTACTGATCAACAGAAGGTTCAATTTCATGGTGTTTGTTAAATGGAACACCGCTCAGAATCTGTCTCACAGTAAAAGAGAAACTTTTCATGGACGGCCCAAGATAATAAACAAAAAGCTCGAATAATTCCTTAGAATTCATCGCCTCGACGCCATCATCGTCTGAATCGTCACCTTCAGTATATGTCTCGTCATTGAAAACATTACTGTGATAGCTCTGTAAAGAAGCAGCTTCGGTAGCATTGTCTAGAAAATCGGTGTTCAGTAACTCCCCTTTGAATTCCACAGACCGTTTTAATCCGGCCAGTGTCATAGTAAGTTTGGCACAAGAATCCACCAATTTTTCAAGATGACGATATTCGCTTTCTCTTCCTTTGGCAAACAATTCAAACTTGGCTTCTTCAAGGTCATTTTTAAGCTTCTTGTTTGTTGTCTTCATCTGTTCAATCAAGGAATTGGTTTCTGGAGATTCGATATTTTCGTATCCCAAGAAACAGCTGGACATCAGTTTCAGCAATCTTGACTGTAAATCAGAGATGTTGTTCAAGTTTTCTTTTAGTTGAGACTCCGCGGACGTTGGCCAAAGCAAATAGCATGTCAAGGCTGAAATTGTGCATCCCGTAAGAACGATCCTAAAGATCGAGGTGATCTTGCTCCACGGCACAATACTTCCATCCCTGCTTCCTTCCTTCACCACACATGAAATTATCACAATTGCACTAAGGGAGCAAGCGGTGTTGAAAGTTTGCTTTCCAACCCATTGCTTCACTAAAGAGATCAACCCAAGGGCCGAACAACTGAAAATCAAATCAATTCCATAGCCGATTTCTGGACTTTCTGAATTGAAGAACCTGCTGGAGATGCTCATCAATACTAGGGAGACCGTAAATGCAAACGACAGCGAAATAATCACAAATATTAATGACTGAATCATAGATCCCTTCGTTCTCGTGGGATGGAAATAAACCACAATGGTACAAATGAGATGCTTCGAGTCTGCATTTCCTAATATGTTTGATATCGTAGTCGAATAGACGGCCAAAGATGCAATAAAATATGCTAGTGCTGCCTTTAAAACTCCTTTACAAATATCTGACTGAAGGAGGCTGATAAAATGGTTCAGTATTCCCAGCTCTCTCGGTTGTGTAACGCGCCTGTTGCCTTCGAGCTGACTTTCGAGGTCAATCTCGTCTTGTGTTTGGTCCCAAAACGAATACGATCGCTGGATTTTTTGCCCGGTATCAGCCATAATTATCGAACTCTGACGATGTAGATTCGTCTTGGGTAAAGATGAATTGTGTCTCATTAAGGGACGAGGAGGAGCCATTTCTGTTCCTGCGGTCGGTAAAAATAGTAATGAGTCGCCATACCTAGGATCACGGCCAAAAGACATGTCTTTTGCAACAGTTGTAACAAGTCTTATCGGGGCGAATGACTATCTATACACAGCCAAAAATATTTTTTTCTGACAGTGTATTTTCTGGGTAGAGGTGCGTTTATTTACAGTCATGTAGCTATTCATAATCTAATCCAACAACTTCCTGGAATATCTGTTCGCAAGGAACAACGGCTTTCATTCTAGCACAGAGCAAGTATGCTCCACTCAGTTTGCGGTGCAAACTGTAAGTTTCCTCGGGAGGAGGTGTGAGTCTTTCATTCAGCATCAATTTGATGTTACCCCTGACCCTATCGGTCAAAGTTTGACCAGTGAAATCATACGGCTTTCCATGGTTTTCAAGGGGTGAGAATGGCTCTCCTAGTGCAAGAATGGACTCCACATGGGCATTTGTCATACTATCCGTTTCCAAACCAGTAAGGAAACCCATATCTTGTGAGTATTTCTCCACCATCTTATGGTCCTTTTTAGCCGAGGCTCTCAAGCAATTCAGGTAAATCCTAATGAATTCCTTATCGTAGTTTCTACAAGCTCCAAAATCCAAGAGCTCGATTTTTTTTGTCTCCTCGTTGTAAAGGAAATTGGCCCAATTTGGATCCGTTTGCATGAACTTGAACTGTGCAATTTCCGTTAGAGTCAATCTCATAATATTCGATGCAATCCAGCTTTTAGTGTCCTGATCCCATTCCTTTTTCATAATCTCTGTCCCCTTCATATGCTCCATTGTCAAAACATGTTCATCACTACTCTCATGGAACACTTTAGGAACAACGAAAACCGGGTCGTCTTTCAGTAGTTGGCCGAATCTATCAATATTCGAAGCTTCCCTCAAGTAGTCACATTCCCATTTCAATTCTACCCGAGCATTTGCAACACTTTTGTCCAAAAACAAACCCGGAGGAAGTAAACGTGAAGCTGTTAAAAGAGTAAGCATATTGTCTAAGTCGGAGTCGATACTATCGGAGACTCCCGGATATTGGACTTTCACAACAACGTCTTCACCACTTTCAGTGACTGCCTTATGGACCTGTCCAATCGATGCAGCTGCAATTGGAATATCATCGAATGATTTAAAATGGCGAGTTCTCCAGTCTTTTCCTAACTCAAACGCAATTGCTTTTTCCAGTTGGCTAGCCGGCATATAGTGAGCACTGTTCTGAACCCTGAGCAAAATCTGTTGAATCTCTGGTGGAAGAACGGCGGAATCTTGAAATGAAAGCATTTGGCCAATCTTCAAAGCAGCTCCTCTCATTCTGCTGAACTTTTTGGCAATTCGTTCGATATTTCTAGGAGACATAATCATGGATCCAACCGAGGACGATTGTTCACCTTTTGCGTAATTCTGCACGCTTTGGCGCAGAACGTCGAGTCCAACGCCTGCTGCCAATGTTCCATAATGATATAATCTGCTAATTCGTGAGGACGGCACAGCCGATTGTGACATTTCAAACTTCACCTTCTCTGGGTCGCTAACAACTTGTTTCTTCACTTTTGGGTCTTCTTTGTTTGAGCGACAACTCGCAGTACTAAACTCTCGTTTGTTTGAGATATTCTTCTTGCTGGTCTTGGGTCTTTTCGGGTTGGTCAAAATATCGTTTCCCTTTTTCGTAGAATGCTTTACACTCTTAGACTTCTCCCTGGCTGCTTGGAATATATCAAACTCTTCTGGAGCATCGGCAGTCAAAGTGAACTCCTGATTTCTCGCTTTGTCTGAAGCTTCTCTGGCCTGCCGGTACAAGTCATTATTTCCTGCCAAATTAGAAAGAATTGAACAATTCTGAACCACAGTTTTGACGCTTTCCTTCACTACCCTGCTACTCCCATGGGCAAGGGTATAGGTTTGAAATAAAAATTTCGAGGACATCAAGAGCAGGCGACTTTCTTCAAGATAATTTTTGGGCCAGAAATAATGTAGTTGATGATTAGCTAATACCTGCCATTGCTTCTATAACTTGTTGAATTGGATCGAGGAAATTTCCTCATATTCAAAATCAAGGCTGTGTAATTTGTAACGATATTTTTCTCTAATGTACAACTCTGAAAAAAATTATTTATCAGTTTGATAATGGGAGAATCCTCGCGTCCCAAGAAACGGTCCAAGACTGTCGACACATCTATTCCGGAAATCGCTGCTGAAAAGGCAGAGTATGAATTATCAGTTCACCCTCACCCCAGGGAAAGAGAGGAGCTAGATGTGTATGACGGAGGTGAGTTTAACATTTCCAAGCGTTACAAAACGACTGCCAAATACGCCCGCAAACTTGAAGACGCCGAAATAAATCCGTTCACTGGTAGGAAATTCAGTCAGAAGTATGTGGACATTTTGAGGGTTCGTCGTGAATTGCCTGTTCACGCACAGAGAGACGAGTTCCTTAAAATTTTCCAGAATACTCAGATCATGGTTTTCGTTGGTGAGACAGGTTCTGGTAAAACCACACAGATTCCCCAGTTTGTGTTATATGACGAGATGCCACATCTGAACGGAACTCAGGTTGCTTGTACTCAACCAAGAAGAGTTGCTGCCATGTCGGTTGCAGCAAGAGTTGCAGATGAAATGGATGTTGAACTTGGAGAAGAAGTTGGTTACAGCATCAGATTTGAGAACAAAACTTCGAAGAAGACCATCCTCAAATACATGACCGATGGTATGCTTTTGAGAGAGGCTATGGAAGATCATGATTTGAAAAGATATGGCTGTATTATTTTGGATGAAGCGCACGAGCGTACATTGGCTACAGATATCTTGATGGGTTTGATTAAACAAGTCAGTGTCAGAAGACCGGACCTGAAGATCATTGTCATGTCAGCAACTCTTGATGCAGAAAAGTTCCAAAGTTACTTCAACGATGCGCCTTTGCTGGCCGTTCCAGGTCGTACCTATCCTGTTGAAATTTACTACACACCCGAGTTCCAGAGAGATTACTTGGATGCTGCTATCCGTACGGTTTTGCAAATCCATGCCACTGAGGACGAAGGAGACATTTTGTTATTTTTGACAGGTGAAGAGGAGATTGAAGACGCATGTTCCAAAATCTCTTTAGAAGGAGATTATTTGATCAGAGAGGAAGGTTGCGGACCGTTGTCTGTCTATCCTCTGTATGGTTCCTTACCACCTCATCAACAGCAAAAGATTTTCGATCCAGCACCACAGCCATTCAAGCCAAACGGAAAGCCAGGAAGAAAAGTCATTGTTTCCACCAACATTGCCGAGACTTCGCTTACTATTGACGGTATTGTATACGTCGTGGATCCTGGATTCTCAAAACAGAACGTTTACAACCCAAGAATAAGAGTCCAGTCGTTGCTGGTGTCGCCAATTTCCAAAGCCTCGGCACAACAGAGAGCGGGAAGAGCTGGTCGTACCAGACCAGGTAAATGTTTCCGTCTCTACACTGAGGAAGCATTCAAGAAGGAACTAATCGAGCAGACGTATCCGGAGATTCTGAGAACTAACTTGTCATCAACAGTGTTGGAGCTTAAGAAACTCGGAGTTGACGACTTGGTGCATTTCGATTTCATGGATCCACCTGCCCCAGAAACCATGATGAGAGCATTGGAGGAGCTCAACTATCTTGGATGTTTGGATGACTCTGGAGAGCTGACTGCTTTGGGTAGATTAGCGTCCCAGTTCCCATTGGATCCTATGCTTGCTGTTTTGCTCATTGGATCTCCTGAATTTAAATGTTCTGAGGACGTGCTCACTGTGGTAGCAATGCTGTCTGTTCCTTCTGTCTTTGTCAGACCGTCAGGAAAGTCTGCAAAGGCCGCTGCTGATGAGGTGAAGAAAGTCTTTGCCCACCCTTCAGGAGATCATTTGACATTGCTCAATGTTTTCAACGCATTCCAGTCGGAAGAAGCACAAGAAATTGGAGTGAGTAAATGGTGCAAGAACAATTTCCTGTCTTACAGATCGCTCAAGTCTGCAGAGAACGTCAGATGGCAACTTTCCAAATTGATGGAGAAGTACGATCTGGAGCTCAACTTCACCGACTATGATGATCCTAAGCATCACATCAACTTGCGTAAGGCGCTCGTTGCTGGTTTCTTCATGCAAGTTGCTAAGAAGAAGAGTGCCGGTAAAGGGTACATCACTGTCAAAGATAACCAGGAAGTTTTAATACATCCGTCTACCGTGCTTGGCCAGCAAGACGAATGGTTGATCTACAACGAGTTTGTTCTCACATCGAAAAACTACATCCGCACAGTCACTGCCATCAAACCAGAGTGGCTGATCGAGTTGGCTCCAAAGTACTACGACCTTTCCCAGTTCCAGAAAGGAGATGTCAAGCTGAGTTTGGAGAGAGTCAAGGCGCGCGTGGACAGAAAATAGAGTACTTGATCATCAATATTTTTTTTCATGTAATCTTACACAAAATTCTTCTTATTAAGCAAACTCGCCCAAAGAAAGAACCTTTTCAATTCCTCTAACCACAGTTGGGGTGTCTGGGAAGGCGAAGTCTTCCAATTCCTTGGCGTATGGAGTTGGAACCTCGCAACCGGTGATTCTCTCAATTGGAGCATCAAGGTAGTCAAAACCTTCGGACTCCATGACTTGGGCGCAAATCTCGGAACCAACACCGAATGCTGGGAAACCAGCCTCAACAGTGATAGCATGGTTGGTTTTCTTAATAGACTCAACGATGGATGGGACGTCGAGAGGCTTGATAGATCTCAAGTTCAACACCTCGACAGAGACTCCGTACTTCTCCTTGACGACTTGAGCGGCCTCAAGACAGAAAATTAGGTTTCTAGAATGCGAGATGACTGTCACGTCAGTTCCCTCGAGCTCTATCTTGGCAGTACCGATTGGCAAGACGAAATCTGGAGAGGCGGCCTCCTCAGAAATTGGGAACGATTCACCGTAAAGCAACTCGTTCTCCAAGAACACAACTGGGTTTGGGTCTCTAATAGCGGCCTTCATGAGTCCTTTATGGTCCTCGGCGGAAAATGGGGAAATCACCTTCAAACCTGGGATCGAACCGTACCATGCAGAGTAGTCTTGAGAGTGCTGGGCAGCAACACCGGCAGCTGCACCATTTGGACCTCTGAAGGTGATGTTACAAGGCTGCTTACCACCCGACATGTAGTAGGTCTTGGCTGCCGAGTTGATGATCTGGTCAATCGACTGCATGGCAAAGTTGAAAGTCATGAACTCACAAATTGGCTTGAGACCGGACAAAGCGGCACCGACACAGAGACCGGTGAAACCCATCTCGGTAATTGGAGTGTCGACAATTCTCTTTGGTCCGAACTTGTCAAGCAATCCTCTCGAGATTTTATAGGCACCGTTATATTGAGCAACTTCCTCACCCATTAAAAACACGTCAGGGTCCCTATCCAACTCCTCTTGCATTGCACTGTTCAAGGCGTCTCTAACGGTCATGGTGACAGGACCGGCCTCGGAAGAAGCAGCTCTGATGTTTCTTCCCATGGAAGATCTCAGAATGGACGAAGCATTCTTTGCGGTTTGGGCAATTCTGGACATAATGATGAGATATGTTCAAAGACTTTGGTATTCTGAGCTTCAAGTATCTAGATTTTTGGCAACAAACGCTCAATTGACTCGAAATTTAAGTATAATTGACCGATTTATTAGTTGTTTCCCGTTACCTCTAAGTAGACGAAGTCTTATCTCCCCACCTAACTATTTTTTTCAGTCCCGGGTCTCTACTGCCCATGCTTGAATTTTTTGCGGTGCAAGGTTGTTGAGGTTTTCCCAGTTCGGAGCGGAGCCAAATTATCTAGAGTTGAACAAGTCTGTCCACTCGACTTGAAGACAGTGCAATAGGGAGACCGAGATGAATGCTGCTGCAACAATTTTCAATGAGCTGGAGTTTTGATTGACGATCCAAGGTTTGGAACCGCGCTCAATGGTGAGGCAGCACAGGAAGTTGGTTAGCAACAGTGATCCGCCAATTACCATGGCACAGACATGAGCCACAGCCAAAGTGACAACGATGTGTTCCTGGTTCAGGGTTTGGGTGAGAACTGTATAATAGCTGATCATGTTGGTGAGGTTCCGGGTGGAGTATTGGCATAGCTCAAAAAGGCAGCCAAATGCAGTGAGCCAGGCCTGGAACATGTTCAGAAGCATTAAGCCGTTTCTGGTATCATTGAGTCCAATTCCTCTTACCTTGCAGAGACTGTAGGATGCCCCGATTGCAATGAGAACGAAAACTGCCGATAGAACAGTCATGGACCAAAAGTATTCCTTTTGGACATGCAGTTCGCTAATGATTCCAACAACCTGCACAATCACCAAAGATGCCTGCGTCCAGATGGTGATCATATAGATAGATGCAAATGTGAAGAACTGGCTGGTCTGGTCGCCGACCAGGTTTTCAACGCCGGTCAAAAGAATCATAAAGTGAATGAACACTTTCATAGGCGGCTTGGTCTTGTACATCGAGAGTCTTGCAACCAATTGCTGTCTGGAAAGCTCGTGAAGCATGTACTTCTTGTCGAGCCAGTTCAAATACAGAACAGCTGCAATTGGAATGGAGGTCAGAAGAACCGCCAAAACGTACTTCAAGGTCTGCTTCTTAGGAGCATGCTCGGTATGGTCAGGGTCAGAATCCAAGCTAATGGTGGTCTCTGTGACCTGGATCTTTTCGAGTTTTTCGATGTCGGACATGGCGCTCAGAATAAACAAGTTGAGGATAAAAGTGTATCCTTTAATATTTGGCGCATCGCCAAATATTCACCCTTACAGTAGAAACACCAATTCGATAATACAGCCTGTGCAGCTACGTATATGTATGTCATATGTTTTGTCTAGCAACGGGTACGTTTCTAGTTCTCGGTACATATATTGATGAATTCTTCTTCGTTGATTTCTCCATCCTCGTCCAGGTCGAACTCATCAATCATCGCACGTAGCTCGTCGTCGGTCAAGTTTTCGCCCAATTCTTTCGCAACTCTTCTCAGATTTCGGAGACTGATCTTTCCCGTCTCATCGTCGTCGAAAAGTCTGAACGCGCGGCGGATCTCGTCAATTGGATCACGCTCGATGATCTTATTCCCCACGTATTGGTAGAAGTCCTCGTAGTTGATCAATTTTCTATTATCCGTGTCGTATTCGTCAATGATGTTCAACACTTCTCTTTTTGAAAGGTCGAAACCCAGCGCTCTTAATGCCACCTTCAATTCGTGGTAGTCGAGAAATCCGTCTCCATTCATATCGAATAAAGTGAACTGGCGTTAGTCATTGACCTTATCTTACTTACTGCTTCTCTGATTTCCTGTTTCTGCTCATTGAGCAGCTCAACTTTCATTTGTCTGCCACTCTTTAGCGTCGTCATAACAGATTCAATATTTCTATATTTTTTTTGGTACGCGTTTTCTTGATTTGTCTATGCATAAAGTCGATGATCGAGTGTCTGTGAACGGCGTGGAAGGAACAATCCAATTTATTGGGCCGACCGAGTTCAAGCCCGGTGAATGGATCGGAGTGGCTCTGGACACGCCTGTTGGGAAGAATGACGGTTCGGTCGATGGTGTTCGCTATTTTACAGTTGACCAAGGATATGGAGTTTTCGTTAGACCAACGATGCTGCAGAACTCGGGGTCGAATGAGAGCCGTTTGAAGGCTGTTGTGAGGACGTTGGAAGATAAAGTCCAGACTCTTCGTGGCCAGATCGACGACCTGAACAACCAGCTCAATGTTTCCAAATCAGCTGTCACCGCTTTGGAAGACTCACTGGAGAGAGAGATCATAGACAAAATGACACTCAACGAGAGGCTGGAACTATTGGAACAAAACTCCAAATCATCTCAGCTCGGTGAGGTGACCAGGCCGAATGACAATGCTGAGTTGGAACAGTATCTACTCCAGATTGAGCAGCTACGAAAGCTAAACATGGATTTGCAGAGCAAAGTTTCACTGTTATCAGACTCTGAAATGATAATAGAATCTTTGACCGTCCAGAATACTGAGCAGGCTGACAAGCTAGCCGAGTATAAGCTCGCAATAGAGGAGCTCGAGAATATAGTGGAATTGGACAAAGATCTTGAGCAGAATCATCTTGAGGTGGAGGCAGAGTTGAAGCTAGAGATTGACCAGCTGAAACAACTGTTGAAAGATAAAGCCGATACTATAAAAAACCTGGAACTCAAGCTTGTCAAACTTGAACGAACGGTCAGTGTTCAACGTCCGGATCCTGTGTCGAAAGTTGACCAATCTTCTGAAAAACTGATGGCCCAGCTGAGGCATCAGGAATCGCAGCTGATCAAACTTCGCTCGCAGCTGGATTTTTGGCGTGTGTTGGCATTGACAGAAAAGCTTTCACTGGAGGAGTACTCTGGCTTTGTGTCCGAAGTTGATGACGTTTCGGACCAGCTTTTTGCTATGGCGAAACTAGTCAAATTCAAAGTTCTATGTCAACAGTTCGAGGACTTTTTCGTCAGCCAAATTGGCGATGTCAACAATCTGGATGACTACGTTTTCCAATGGCAATGTTTGGAGAATGCGTACAGGCTTGGTGCGCTTGCACTGGAAATTGGGTGCATCATGAAGACTTGCGAGTACTATAAAGAAGTTCCCGAAGAAGTTCTATCAAAGACAAACGACTACATGAACTCTTTCGAGTTGCGTTACGAGCGAAATGATTATGATTTGGCATTGGAGTTCAGTTTTGATGGGCCAGTGAAGAACCGAGAGTTCACTTTGATGACATTACTTCTGGCCATGCATACGCTGGAGTACTGTTTGTTATTTATTGGAACCTTGCAAAGTGGAATGATTCTGAATGAAGTCAGGTACGGATTTACAGAGGAGAAGAAAGGCCTGGAGCTTTTAATGGATCGCGTTGATCGTGAAATCAGAAGACTGGAAGATCTCGAAAAACAAAACTGCGGGTTGATGAATTCGATTGATCTCAAAATCCCCCAAATCGACGGTTTCCTATCCAATTTAAAGGATCTTGATCAACGCATAAAGCTTGGACAGGAGATTGTTGTTTTTGGAAATCTGGTCCCGCCAATCGATCCTACGATTCATCCTTTGGAATTGGAGCAAGCTATTTTGCCTCCTTCTGGAACGTGGGTTTCAGTTAAGGAGACGATGGTGGTTGATAATTCTAGTTCTGACCAGCAGCAACTTGTTGACGAACTCAAGCTCAAAATCTCGGTGTTGCAAGGAAAACTGGGGAAGCACGAATCGGAAGAATTGGAATTGATCGAGCTAACCAAGTCTCTGGAGAGCATGAAGCTTAGTAACACCGAGCTGACGGGGAAGTATGAAGATGTGAGGCGTGATTACGAGGAAATACGCGCAAAGCTTCAAGACACCGAAAAACGACTGCGTCTTTTCGGAGATGAATCAACTCAAGAGACATATCGGGAATTTCAAAATTACGACCGTGCCGAACTTGTTGGTGAAGTTGCCAGTCTGCGTACACTGGTCTCAAAACTAGACAGGTTCAACAGGTCCAATGAGCACCATGTGCTGTCCAAGGAATTGGACTTTATCGAAGAAGTTTCGCAGCTCCCCAAATGGGACCTCAGCACCGATATCGATCAAAAGCTTGACTTTGAAAAACTATTTAAAAACATGGAGGAGTTCAAGGTTCCAAAGCTGTCGCAGAATGGCAATAATGCATTAAAATTACACACTAAAATGATGAACATTATGATGGGATGAAAGCGCTCATTCATCCTCGGATTTGTTCTTGCGTGGCCACTTCCTTGCCCTATCGATCTCATGTTCCGGCCACAACCAATTGAAGATCTCAAGAAGAAACACGTCCACGACCAAACACAAAATAAATAGAAGTCCTGCCCATGGACCACAATTATAATATCTGATCAGTTTATCCACCAACGTGATGGGTTCTGTTTGGTAGACCATGTTGTAGACCTTTTCTGTTCTTTTTGCAATGTCTCCCCAATCGTACATTTTCTTGACTTCGTTATGGAAGCTAGATGTGTCAATTTTGTTTTCTTTCAGTTTTCGAACTGCAGAGTTGACAGCATCCACAAGAGAGTCTTCGTCTGGACTGGCGAAAACCGTCATTTTGGTCGGTAGAACTTCAGGGATTCCTCCAACTTTGGTAGTCACGACCAACAGTCCACATGAAGCTGCTTCGACCAAGACCGTTCCGAATGCTTCTGTCAAAGACGGATGTAAATAAATATGTCCCTGAACCATAACGTCTCGCACCTGCTGATGACGAATGCTTCCAATCAGCTCGACTCGGTCCTGAAGCTGGTGCTTCTCTCGCATTTGCTCCAGGTCGATGAACTTTGGTCCATCTCCTGCGATCAGGAAATGGATATCTGGTCGAGAGGCACAAAGTCGAGGAATAATAGCAGTCAACAAATCCGCTCCTTTATTTTGGAACAGTCGGGAAATAACAACCACAGTGATCTTATTCAAAGACGGTTTAACCTCTGCGGGACGGAAATCGTCTGCAATCACTGCATTGGGTATCACAGAAACCAACGACGGGTCCAAACTGGCACGCAACACCGTGTTTTCCTTACACGTATGACTGACACATATCACGTGACCGACGTTTGTCAAAGTGAACTTCAACAGCTTGTTGCCCAATATGGATCCCACGTCGGAGAAACCAAAGAGAGAGTGATCTGTGAACACCGTTCTGATTCCCATTGTGTTGGCGTGCAATATGGCTTCGTGGCACATGGAGCTGAAGGTGCCGTGGCCGTGGACAAAATCGATATTTTCTCTAATGAAGATCTGGCGAAGTATGGGGAAGAATGAAAAGACCGTGGGGAAAGTTGTTTGTCTGTAGATGACCAGAAACGGAACGTAATACACTTTGAGTCCGTTTGTTAGCACACGCACCCCAGTACGGTCACCGTAAGCGTGGGTAATCACGACCACTGAATGACCCCTCGCAATGAGTTTCTGCGAGAGATGGTAGATGTGAAGCTCCATACCTCCTGGCTGGGGGTAGAAGAAATCCGAGATCATGCTGATGTGTTAGTGGCGGTTCGGCGTCGAACTTACGCGATGTTGTAAGACTTCATGGTTACCTTGTATTATTTTGAATTATTTTTGTCGGCAGTGCAAGAAGCTTAGTAGAATAATCTTTTGAACAAGCAACGCTTTAAAGGGTTTGGGAATGGCGAATCAGGACACTTACGTGGGGGTTCCTAATACACCTCCTGAAGATCCGCCAGAATACACCGGATATGAGGGTTCGTCCGAAGAGGCTGGTCATTTCGAGCAGTTTGATATTGACGAACCAGCAGAAAGGGCGAGAATGAGCCCTCGTGAGTTATTCCACAAGGCTGGTGATTTTGCAAAGAACTTCAATCGTCGCTTCTTTCGGCCCATAAACAATGCTCTTGATCCAGTTTACGAGCTTTATCAGTTTATCAACAACAAAACCGAGTCGTATATGTCCAAGATCGGTAATCCACTGATAATCAAACGACTGGTTTATGTTTTATTTATTGCGACCATTGTGTATGTGATTTCCATGTCCGGGATGTATCCGGACGGTGTGAACTCATTATATGGCGACTTTTACGATGTGCGCAAGCTTCTGGACTTCATTGACACTCATGTCGATGTCAACCGACTTGAAGAGAATTTGGAGTATCTGTCTTCGATTCCACACATGGCCGGTACAGCTGGCGATTTGGCACTGGCACGATATATGGAAGATATCGTTGCCGATTCTGCTATCCAGTTGGATGGAGACTCTCGGTTTATCGCATACGTCAACTATCCCGAGCAGTCTTCGGTCAAGCTGCTGCAAGGAGACAAGTCTCTATATGAGTGCGTGCTGAACGATAAGCCAGACTACAAAGATGGCGAGAATGACTCGGTCGAGATCCATCAAAGAGCGTTCAACCCTGGTTCTATGAAAGGGTCCGCAAAAGGTCCCCTCGTTTACGCAAATTACGGAACTACGAAAGATTACGAAAAATTAAAAGATTTGGGCATCCAGATCAAGGGATCTGTGTTGGTCATCAAATACGGTGGCATTCTGAAAGAGTCAAAGAAGCTTTACATGGCAACTGAAGAAGGGGCTGCCGGGGTGATATTCATCAGTGATCCGAAACTCTCCTCGGTATACACTATGACTTCTATTCAAAAAGAACCCGTTGCCTTGCCAGACTACTACACGGGTAACATGATCAGTCCAGGACCTGGTGTCATGGACCGCATTCCGGACTACTTTGATGTCGATATCATGTGGCAGTCCAACAATTGCACGCCGAGAATCCCAAGTATTCCTATCTCGTGGAAAGATTTCAAGAACCTCATGTCTCCTTTGAAAGGATACGGAAAACGAATCAGCGAATGGGAGTTTGATCTGGATAACGAGCATTTGGAGATCTGGACTGGAGCAGCCGACTTTGTCCTTGATCTGTCGAACAAGGTGGTGGAGAGAATGAACAAAGAGGTCTGGAATGTTATTGGACGTATTTCAGGCTCGGAACAGAACAACCTTGCAATCGTTATTGGTGCTCCACGTGACTCTTCCTGTTACGGAACCACCGATAGTACGGGTTCTGTAATCCTTTTGGAACTGATTACTCTGTTCTCCAACATGATGAGCACATTGAAGTGGAAGCCATTGAGATCCATCTATTTTGTTTCCTTTTCCGCAACGGATTATAACCTTGCTGGGTCGACTTACTTCGCTCAAAGTAAGAACGACCTGCTCAACAGACAAGGTTATACCTACATCGACTTAAGCAATGCTGTTTCGGGATCGACACTGGAAATAGCAGCTGATCCGATTTTACACTCGCTGATCAAAGATGTCCTCAATATAGTGGAAGATCCAATTACCAATCGTTCGTTATCTGATGTGTGGGACAACAATTTTGGGCTATTAACTGATAACACCAAAAATTACGAGCCATACATCTCTCATTTCGGAATGCCTGCAGCTGAGTTACGATTCAAAGGTCAAGACTATCCAAAAAATACGTGTCTAGACACGTTTAAAAAGTATAAAGATGATCAGATAGACAGTGAGATGGCATACCACAAGACTTTGACAAGAATGGTGGCGAAGATCATTTTACAGCTAACGGAAAAACCTATTATTCCGTACGATATTTTCAACATGGTGTCGACCATCAACAAAAACATGAAGGACTTGAGGGCATATGCCGAATACAAGGACAAGAACGCAAAGCTCGATTTCACGCAGTTCGACACCTCGCTTATTAAACTGAAAACCATTGCGCGAGAGCAACAATCATTTATCAAAACATGGACAGAAATTGTGAATGCCGACTCTGGCTCAGAGCCAAACCTACTGGCAGTGAACAGATGGGATTGGAATGCCAAATTAGTTCTATTAGAAAAGATTTTACAATCATCTAACGGTATTTTTGACCGTCCATGGCATAGAAACGTCCTATTTGGAAATGAGTTTAAAATCCCCGAGATTGACGACCATCAGTTCAATTACAACTCGTTCCCTGGAGTCCGTGATGCAATAGATGCTCAAGACTGGAAAGAAGCCCAGAACCAACTTAGTATGATCTGTGAGCTAATGGACCAATGTTTAGAATTATTCCAATTGAACTAGACGATATGATAAATCAGACAATTTCAGGTTGTGTTTCCGATTCAAGTTTCAATATCAGTTCCTCACTGGAGTCGATCATGGTCTTGAAAGCTTCGTCGACAGTTAGTAGTTTTTTCTCTAGTAGAGTGCGAACAAGTGCAATCACTTGTTTCACAAACTTTAGGCTTTTCAAGAACTCTTGGACTGGATTATCGTGGACGTTCTTTATTGGCGACTCATTAACATGTGCAGCGGCTTTGGTGGAATCCAGATCTAAAAGGTATGTTTCAAGGTATTCTTGGGCGATAATTCCTAGAAGAACGTTTGGGAGAGACTTCTTAAAAGGAATCTCGGTAGCCAATTTTCTCCATGCCTTGTTGTCTCTCTGGAACTTGTCCAGATCGTCATGGTTCAGAAGTTCTAGCGCAATGATATTGGTTGTGATCAGGTCAGAAGCGTAAGAGCTGAGCTTAGACAGCACCGATCTGAACTGGAGAAGGGGCTTGTGCACTTTGTATAAATAGCTGACAGGGTTCAGCTTTGTCAACGGCTTGAGAGACAGGATTTTGGAAATGAAAATGGCAGCGTTTTTGAACTGGGCGTTCGTGGTCTTGAAGTCTGTTGGCTGCAAAATGTCGTCGGCCTTCAGGCTTTGAAACCTCTTGAAGAAGATGAGGAGCAAAAGCAGTGTTTCAACATTCACTGATCTCGAGACCTGAGGAAGCACCTGGCCCCATTCAGTGAGCTTGTAATCGTTCTCGGTCAAGAACCCATACACGTAAAGTGTTCTCAGAAGACCTGTTGAGATGACTTCATAACTGGTAGAAATACGAGCTCCTTCCTCGTCTGCTTTTGCAACCACGTTATCTTCCAAGAATTCTGCGCTCATTCCAGAAAGAAAAGATGTCAACTGAAACGATCTTGCTGTAGTATGTCTAATGAGAAGAGGTTTCAGCTTGAGGAAAAGAGGAGGCGTCATTCTCTGGACAATCTCGTATTCTTGCGATCCGTTGAAGAATGTAGCCAACCTCAATTTTTTAAATTGGTAGTATCTGTTCAAGGAGTTGGCAAACAGATTCAACGTCTTTCCCCTCATCTCCAAAGATTCGTCCTCTGTGATCAGTCTTTGGTACAGTGGGGTGACAGCCATATCCAATGGGAGTCTTTCAACTTGGGTTCCGTGGATCAAGGTCTCGGACAGCTCTAATGCAGTTAAGCCGACCGACTGATAGAAAAAGAGCTCATCCGGAAGTCTCTGGCCAATAACCTCGTGTAGATCATTCGGGATTCTTTTGGATGGATCGCTTGGTGGATCGGGAGATGCTGTTGAGGAGGTGGCAGCCGGACTTGCGGACACAGAGGAAAGAAAAGAAGCATCGGAATCCGTCTGTAGAAGCTCGACACGGCCGTTCACCTTCAATACAGGCGTGAAGTCCAACGAGGCACATCCTTTCTGGAAAATCTCCATGAAACGATCTCCGTTTGGAAGCCCGAGTAAAGAATTGTACACAGAGCCACCGTTCAAAACGTACTCGTGAAGCGACGGGAAAGTCGGAGCCGACGGAATGTGGGGGAATATGTTGAGACTATAAGGTTGGAATCCGTTTCCAACGCACATGGAGATGTCTCTGAACTGCTTTGAGGTGAGATTGAGTTTTCTGAGAGTGCTAGATCTCTTGACGTATTTAAATTGACTGCTTTCAAGCTCCATACTGAAAATGAACTTGTCGACGCCTTCTATCAGTAGGCCGTCTGTGGACCCAAAGATGCAATGAATGAGGTCTTGTGTGAGTAAGTAGTGAAGTTCCACCCAAGCAAAATATGGTGCCACTATAAAACTCACTCCTTTGGATTCCAGCAGACTCATGAAATCGGCCATGATAGGTCTGAGTGCCAGCGGAGTTGAAGAATCTCTGAAACTTTCATTGAAATGATCTCTTGTGGACTTTTCTTCCCATATTCTCTTGAAGTTCTTCTCGTACTGTAATAATTCCGGTTCTTTGTAGTAATCAAACTGGTCGACAGTTTTCAAGCCGGGAAAGACAAACACCGGCGTGATATTCAATTCCTCAAAAACCTTAAAGTCTGCCTCCATCAGAGCCTTCAAAGTCATCGGAAACCCGCCAATTGCTTCGAGGTTGGGCTCTTTTCTTGGAGTCAATAGTCTCGAGAGATAATGTTCTGCCTCAATTCCGATGGTGGCATTCTTCAGAACATCCAACGGATAGTTGGTGACTGTCTTGAGATCAAAAAGATAAGGCTCAAGAGATTTGATGGGCATTACGGCTGGTGGATATTCAAACGGACACGGATTCAAGAGTTGGAAAAAGATGGACAAAACTATTCACTTTTTTTCCCCGGCGTCGTTCGCCGCGTCGACATGCTTGGAAATAATTCCAAATTCCAAACACGTAGAAAAGTTGGCACACTGATATTTCGCAATGAAACTGACAAGTCTGTTGTTATCCATTGGTCTGTTGCTCCAGACCTGTATGGGAGTGCGGTTTGAGTCGCTCATATCGTCGAACAAGAACGCCGTGATCAAGATCAATGACGGCAATTATAAATCGCTTATGAATAACGAAGATTTCGACCTTGTCTTGTTCTTGACCGCTTCGAATCCGCAGATTGGTTGTGTTTTATGTAACGATTTCCAGCCGATCTACGAGCAATTTTCCTCTTCCTACTATGAGAACCTGAAGACAAAAGGAATCGGCAAAGACGACACCAAATTGGTGTTTGCCATGGCCGATTTCCCAAGCTCTAGAAGATTTTTCCAAGAACTGTCTTTAACAAACGTGCCCAAGCTTTACTACTACGAGGCAACCAAAGGTTCGACCCTGCAGCAGCAGGATGAGTTCCAATTCGTCGTGATGGACAGCATTCCGGCATTGACCTCGTGGGTTGTCAGTAAAACCAAGCTAAGCCCTGAGCTTTTCACAATTATCCAAAAAATCAACTACACAGAGCTTATTCTCACCATCTCCGCCGTTTTGGGCGCGGTGTCGCTATTGGCATTACAATACAAAAAGGTTCTTGCCCTGTTGGCCAAGAAGCGCGGTTGGCAAGGACTCAGCATCGTGGTGGTCATTCTGTTTACCGCAGGATACATGTTCAACGTGATAAGAAACACTCCATATGTGAGAACAAATAGAGACGGATCAAACGCATACTTTATTGCCGGTCACCAGGCCCAATTGGGCGCAGAGACCCAGATCGTTTCTGTGATCTATGGTCTGCTTGCCATTTCCATGGTGATAATGATAGACACGCTCCCAAAGCTGCAAAACGGTCGGTACAAGTTGGCTGGGTCCATTGGGTGCTCGGTTGTGGTTTTCCTATTGTACAGCTGGCTCGTTGCCTGTTTCCATGCCAAAAACACCGGTTATCCATTCTGGCTCCTCAAGTTATGATTAGATATATAGTCAAAACGATGCATATGATTTTCATCTGACCCCCACGTTTGTCATTATTTTATCCACTCGTTTTTCCACCATGTCTATTTTCGCATTGATTGTTTTCAACTGCGTCTTGATGTTTGCTATCTTTGCAATGTACTCGTCTAGCGAAATCTCGTCAGTTGGTTCTGTCGGTTCATAATCTTTGATTTGTTTCTCGGTCTTGCCCAGTTTCTCCTCGAGTCTCTTTAGTATTGTAGATAGAATGGCTTGTGACTCATACAAAGAAGTGAGGTTTAGGTTGAGAACTTCCAGCGGTGATTCGACCAGCGATTGCACAACCAGCTCGATTGGGTGTACTGGACCATTGGACCCTTGGGAATGTGTCAGTGGGGGAGAGGAGGGAGACATCAGGGCTGGAAATTTAAAAAAGATTCAAATTTATCAAAAGATTTAAAATCCTGGTGATAGATGTTCATTCGCAAATATTCGACTCCTCGACCACTTTTATTGGACATTCTACCTCAGAGAAAGCTGATCAAGCGTCTGTTGTTTGACTTTGACGCCAAGTTCAACTATGGCAAATATTTGCCGGTCGTTCAAAAAGTGTACGATAATGTCGGCAAAGACCAGCTCGAGTTTCCCAAGAAGTTCCGGGGCAGAGACCTGTTGTTGTTCCAGAAAGTTTTGAACGAGATCAGGCAACAAACCCACACATCCAACAAGTACTTGGTTGAGCTCGAAGAGGAGCTGGTTGAACGAGCTGCAGAATTAGGTAGCAGAGATGCCTTGACCATCCTCTCGTTCAAAGCTCTGAGAGATACGAATAATGAGTATACACAGGATGACAAGGTCCAGGCAGAGAAGTTTGTTGCTGAGTTGAAGAAACTCGAACACCCGCTGGTGTACAAGATGAACGGTGACTACCAATTTGATCTAGGGAACTTTAAAGAAGCTGTTGGTGAGTACTGGAAGTTCATTCAGCTCGACAAAAGCTCATTTCTGGCGGCGGACGCATTTAAAGCACTAGGAATGATCCATTTCAAACAGCGACAGTTGCTCCGGGCCAAGCTGTTTTTTGAAAAATCCATCAAGCTGGCTCCTGTTTCGAAGGTCGCACAGTCGCACTTCATGCTGGGCCAGATCTACGAGATCGACCCGGTGAGAGCACGCTACCATTTTGAAATGGCTGCCACTCAGGGGTTCAGAGAAAGTTTCCAGATGCTGGGTTTTCTGGAACTCAACTATTTCAATAACATCTACAAGGCCAAGACCTGGTTCCGAATGGGGTCAGAGCTAAGCGACTATAACTGCATGATTGGGCTTTTCGATTGTTACATCAAGGAGCAAAATTGGAAGGCTGCTCGGAAAGCTTTTGATGGAATCACCAAATATCTAGACTCGCAACAGATACAGCTGGATCTTGAGTCGATCAGAAAAGAGTCTGTCGACAAATTGATCAGCCACGAAACCACATCTTCTGTCTCGAAGGAACCATCGTCGATTTGGGACGTCTAATCGTACTTGTATATAATAAGGTCGCCTGTTCGTCTATGGTCCCAATGAAATCTGCTATTGAATAGTCTGTGAGATTCCGAGTATTTCGAGTTTTCAAGATACTGTTTCATAAGAGGTTCTAGATGCTCGAAAAAGACGAGATATTCAGGCCAGTGATGGGGGTACTTCCCGCTGACTTGGCCCTCGCGAGAAGTTGGGGTTAAAGCAGGGAAGTTCGTCTCCAAAAAGCCGAGAGTGTTGTCGTAAAATTCATCAGACTCGTCCATATAATTGTCAAGTCCTTCCGACGAGTTCAGATGCAATGGAGGCTCGCATGTTAGAAACCAAATATCTACCTGTTCAGGTGGAATGTGGAAATGACTTTGGAACGGTGTGGAATGGCATGGGGTCAAAAAGCCAACTGACGAGCGTTGGTCTGTTATTTCATCTCTCAGGTATTTGGTCACCGAGATGACTCCGCTTTCGTGGATTTGTGTGAAGTAGTATGATATTGATATGTTTGTAATGATCAGCGTGGAGAATACCAAGTTTCGCGTGCGTGGGGATAGTATGCTTGCAATATATTGGACACCATATGCAGCGAATAGAAGAAGAATCGGCATTAATGGGTAAATGAACCGAAACTCTTTGTGTTGTATAAGGGAGAATGCAGCGAGGTTCAATATCAACAGAAGCTTGAGTTGTTTGTGCTTTTTCACCACCAGGCCAATAATAAAGAATGGAATGTAGGTTAGTAGCAAGACAGGTATTGCCTGGAAAATGTAGAAATCCAGTCTGGAGACCCCGTAGAAAGAAGAAAGGCTTTTTGAGACGTTGAACTGGAGAAATTCCAAGGTAGGGAAGATGAGCTTTCCGTAGAAGCTGTAATTGACACTGATGTCGATCAAAATTACACCCAAAGCGGTAATGATGGTGATAAAGAGTATTATTACTCTATCTCCAGATATCAGACATCTGACTCCATAGAAAGCCCATGTCAGTGCACTTGTTGGCCGTATGAGACAGCAAAGCCCAGCAACGAAGATCGATAGTGGATAGTTTGCGTTAAAGTGCGATGGAAACAAGTAGAGCGCAATGTTGGTAAGAGTAAGTTCCAAGGAGTTGGAAAAAGAACGACAGTAGCAGTACCAATTAAATGGAGACAACAAGCTCAAGTAGAACATTAATGAAGCGATTTGATGATCTCTGGTCAACTTGATAGCCAATTTGTATTGAAAAGTTTCCCCAGTAGCACAGATCAATGCATTTAGCACTTTGGGTAAATAGAGAACGTAACTGTAGTCAAGGTCAAATTGACGGCAAGTTTTGTAAATCGGGACGTACAGCAACGGATGCAAGAATGAGCGGATTCCCTGTTGCCATTCCCAGGTCAGATATCCGTATCCAAACACAAAATAATGGGCAGGCTCGAGAGCTTGCCAATATTCGTCGGCCTGGAAAAAGGTTTTAATTGACAGCGAATTGACCAGTCGTATGGAAAGCAGCAGTATGAACACCTTGGCATCTGACGACGGGATGGGTAAGCCTGCCAATTTGGGATGGGTGGTAGCCATGTAGTTACTGGTTATGGGCCGCAATTAAAAGTGACAGAAATTAATGTTTTACGTGTGCAAGCGATTTCTTTAAATCAATTAATCAGAGAAAAGTAAGTGTCTTGCAACTTAGCTTGTATCTCCAGCGAAGTTCCATCTACTTTTGGTTAGCAAGTTTCTCTATCTCCAATAGAGTCTGTCGGTATACCATGAGTTCGTCGTCACCATTTCCCAATGGGGTTCCGACTATCCTGGTGGAGGAAGACGCTGCAACAAATGAGCCTCTTTCCAAACCAGTCAAGACACGAAAGCGGGGATTTAGTTTACGAACACAGCTGTTCAGCAAGAATCTGGGCCAATCGGCCGAGGATTATCTATCTACACCGGAGATCGAGCTCAAACAGGTGGATAACGCATATAATCCCAATGAGTTGGACGTATTTCGGCACGATCAAACAAGTTCCTCTGACTCTAGTTTCTATAACAGCTCACGATCTTTGAATCAGTCGGTGATAGATCTCGATAATGAGCCCGTGTACAACTACAAGTACTCGCAACGACCTAAAAGGCGGTTCCATTTACTCAAGAAAACATTAAACACACTGATGGGGATCTCGACCCCACCAGAATCACAAGGAGGACGAAGATTGCCGATCTTGCTCAACTTGAAAAAGAGCCCAGAGCCAACAATCACAAGCAAAAAGGGAGACTTGCTTTTGGTGGATAACCGGACCAACCAGCCGTATGTGAATAATCTCATCACCTCTTCGAAATACACCATCTTGAGTTTCCTGCCTCGTCAGCTCATTGCCCAGTTTTCCAAGTTGGCTAACTGTTACTTCATGACCGTGGCCATTCTCCAGTTGATTCCTTCCTGGTCAACAACCGGTACCTCCACTACAATTATCCCCCTCTCGATATTTATCTCCATCTCTATCTTGAGAGAAGGATACGACGATTTCCGAAGACATAGATTGGACCAATCGGAAAACAACAAGACCGCATCGATCTTGAGAACAGGAAAAGTCTATGGCGACTCGCATTACATGTACACGAAGAGCGCGTCGTCGCTTTCTCGGTTACGTGCCAGTTCACAGTCGTTCGATTCTGATGAGTACGAATCACAGGACTTGGACAACATGGTGTTCGAGGAGAACACGTTTGCCAACGCACGGGTTCTGACCAGGGAAGGCATCTCGGCCGCTCGCACCCGCTGGAAAAATATCAGGGTTGGCGATATCGTGAAAATCGAGTGCGATGAATGGGTCCCGGCAGACGTTGTTCTGCTCACCTCTACAAACGAGATGGGAGAGACGTTTGTGGAAACAATGGCATTAGATGGTGAGACCAATCTCAAATCCAAGGTTCCAAATCAGGAGCTCAACAAAATTGCAAACTCGGCAGATGGTCTTCGCAGACTAAACGCTCAGATCCATTGCGAGGATCCAAACTCGGACTTATACAACTTTGAAGGATCTCTGGAACTTGAAGACACCATTACGCATGAGACCAACAAATATCCGCTTGGGCCAGACAACATTATATATAGAGGCTCGGTCATTAGAAATACTGATGCATGTCTCGGAGTCGTCGTTTTCAGTGGTGAAGAGACCAAAATTAGAATGAACTCGATCAAGAATCCCCGCATCAAGGCCCCAAAGTTACAGAGATCCATCAACTTCATTGTTGCATTCATGGTGTTTGTGGTTGCATCTTTGTCGCTGTATTCATTCATGGCCGAAAGATTGTTCTACCAAAAATACAAGGATAAAATTTGGTATACCAAGGGTGAAGATGCAGGGATTGCACCTACAATCATGGGTTTCATCATCATGTACAATACACTGATTCCGTTGTCGCTTTACGTGACTATGGAAATTATCAAGGCGGTCCAGATGCTTCTTCTACAGTGGGATATCGACATGTATCATCCACAGTCCAACACGCCAGCAGAAGCACGTACTGCCACCATTTTAGAAGAACTGGGACAGGTCAGTTACATTTTCTCCGACAAAACCGGTACTTTGACCGACAATGTCATGTTATTCCGCAAGTTCAGTGTCTGTGGCACCCCATGGATCCATGACATAGACCTTTTGACAGCTCAGGATCAAGATGCCTCTCAGATTCCCTTGACCAATGATAGTCAGGAATTGGACCCAAGAACCAGCATCAGTCCTACTAGAGCAATGAGTCCTACTAGAGCAGGAACTTCAACATTTGCCGGACGCCCAAGTATGGCGTCTGTGAACCCCAGCCTGGTTACTGCGCAGACGGCAAAGTTGATGGAAGGATCCGATTCCAAACCAGCGATCAAAAGTTCAATAGAGCTTATCAGGTACCTACAGTCATGTCCCAACACTGCTTACGCGAAGAACGTGACGTTTTTCTTGGTCTCGATAGCATTGTGCCACTCTTGTCTTCCAAAAAAGACCAAAACTGACTCCATTGCCGAATTGGATACTGCAGAAGGGTTTGAGGAGGAGACTGAAGCTATTGATTACCAGGCCTCGTCTCCAGATGAGTTAGCGTTGGTTCAGGCCGCAAGTGAAATGGGATTCATTCTTTATGAGAAGAAGCAAAGATTCTTAACACTCAAAACTTATCCTCGCGGGTTTGAGGAAGAGCCTGAGTTTGAGACTTACGAGCTTCTTGATCTTGTTGAGTTTAGCTCCACTAGAAAAAGAATGAGTGTGGTGATTCGTATGCCGGACTCCAGAATTGTTCTTTTCTGTAAAGGAGCAGACAATGTCATTATGGAGAAACTCAAGAACTCTCAGGTTGCTCATAACAAGCAGCAAGAATTCACCCAGACCATTGCAGAAAGAAAACGGTTTGAGGCCGAGAAAATCCTACATCGGAGATCAATGGATGTTACTTCCCCACATCCAAGAACATCGTTGGGTTCCATTCCTAGACCTAGTCTTACTCTTTCAAGATCGTCAATGGAAGGAATCCCAGCTAACGTTAAGAATCACGCAGCAAAAACTATTGATTCGGTCCTTTCTGAAGATGACCAAAGACAGGAGATTGAGGATATAGTGAAGCGGGCTCGCAAATCCTTACATCTGAAGCAGATTGAAAGATACAACTTGAAAGACGAAAATTCTTACATTCCATCTGATAGACTTGTGAGAAACGAGGAATATGTTCTGGAGAAAACCATTGAACATATCGAAGATTTCTCTACTGAAGGGTTGAGAACACTACTGTATTCTTACCGGTACCTTTCGGAGGACGTTTATTCCAAATGGGCAGAGCAGTACAGCAAGGCCAAGACCTCGCTGACCAACCGTGCAGAACTTGTTGAGAGCGTTGGTGGTCAGCTTGAAGAGAATCTGGAACTCTTAGGAGCCACTGCTATTGAGGACAAGCTACAAAAGGGAGTTCCAGAAGCCATTGAAAAACTGCGTAGGGCAGGAATCAAACTCTGGATGTTGACCGGAGATAAAAGGGAAACTGCCATCAATATTGGCTACTCTTGTCGGTTAATCAAGGATTACTCGAAGGTGATCGTTCTATCTATAGCTGATGGCATGGAGAAACTGTCCTCGATGATGACCGCTGGAGAGCTTGAAATCGAAGAAGGAAATGTGGCACACTGTGTGGTTGTTGTTGATGGTGGCACTCTTGCCGAGATCGAGACAGATTCCACCTTGATGACGGTTTTCATTTCCTTGTGCATGAAATCTGACTCTGTGATCTGTTGTCGTGCCTCGCCATCCCAGAAGGCGAAGATGGTTACCAGTGTTCGTAACTTGGACAAATCCAAGGTCACCTTGGCCATTGGTGACGGAGCCAACGATATTGCAATGATTCAAAGTGCCGACGTTGGTGTTGGTATCACTGGAAAGGAAGGGTTGCAGGCAGCGAGAACGTCTGACTATTCCATCGCGCAGTTTAGGTATCTGTTGAAGCTGTTGCTGGTGCATGGCCGGTACAACTACGTTCGGACGTCCAAGTTTGTTCTTTGCACTTTCTACAAAGAGCTGTTATTCTATCTATCGCAGCTGCTGTATCAGAGATACACATTATTCACGGGCTCCTCGTTGTACGAGTCGTGGTCGCTGTCCATGTTCAACACTTTGTTCACGTCCCTGCCAGTTTTGTGTGTGGGTATGTTCGATAAAGACCTTCGTCCGTCGACCCTTATTGCTGTTCCGGAACTGTACTCCAAGGGCAGGAACTACGAGTCGTTCAACTTCAAGCTCTTCATTTTCTGGTCCCTTCTGGCCGCTACACAGAGCACTGCATTATGTTTCAGTCTGTGGAATGTCTATGGGTTCCCGGCTACTTTGGATAACACCACGTACCCGTTGGGTTTGGTGATGTTTACTGTCTTCATTGTGATCATCAACACCAAATGCAACATTATCGAGATGCACTCGATCACCAAGATATCGCTGATCTCGTGGCTGGTTTCTGTTCTTGGATGGTTTGTGTGGTGTTTGCTTCTTGTTGGTCTTTACAAGAACAAAGATAGCACGATCTACTACGTTGCACATGGACTGTTGGAGCATTTTGGAAAAGATATTACTTTCTGGGCCAGTATTTTGGTCCTCATCGTTGTTGGCCTGGCAGTGGAGACGCTGTTCTATGCTGTCAAGGTATGTCTCTGGTCTACGGACACGGATGCATTCCAGGTGCTGGAGAAAGATAACGAGCTACGAAAACAGATGGAGCTGAATGCATTCGAGGAACTGAAACAGAGCTGGACATGGATGCACGAGTCGCAGCTGGTTGAGCAGGACATCGACAACTACTCTGGGTTCAAGAGAGGAATATACCAGTTTCGGTCTTTCATGAAGAAAGGAAGCGTTCATCCGTCGCGACAGACTCGGAAGCGGAAACAAACGTTGATCAATCCTACAGAGCTTCCGCCGGGATCTCCGTCCACGGCGAAGGCGGCATCGTGGGACATGTACGACGAAGAGATCTTACCGAGCGGTAAAGTGGTGAGACATAGGGGAGAAGAAAACGGGTTTATGCGTCTGTTCAAAAAAAATGAGGAAACTAGAGACATCGAGTCGATCCTGGATGAACGCATGAGACATCTACAAGATACATGAAAAAGTACAATCAATCAATATAAGTATATTTCGCCGTATAAAGCGTTGCGATTGCAACTAATTCTTCTGTTTGACGTAGCTAATGAACAAGCCATCCAGGACAGCCACAGTGGTTGCTATTCCACTAAGAAGAAACCTGTTTTCTCTCTTGGAGATCCATCTATCGAAGGTGGTTGGGTCTTGGGAAAGAGTGATAACAGCGCCTGCAGTTCCGACAAGAGCCAAGAGCAATTGGGAAGAGGTGATTGGGTTGTTCTTCACGGTCTCCACAGAACTGGTGTAGAAACTAGAAGTAGTTCCGACAACCGAGTTGTACACCTTTTTGAAGTAGTTCTTGATCTTGGCCTCCTTTTCTGGAAGGTCATCCTTAAACTCGTCCACCCTCTTGGAGATGTTACTGGACAGGTCGTCAATCTTGGATTTGGCGTCCTTGGCAGACGAGTCCAGATCCTTCTCCAATTGGTCCTTGGACTTGTTCAGCTTCTTTTGAGCATCGTTGGCAGTTTGTTTAGCTTCTTGGGACCTGCAAATTGTTAGTTAATCCATGGTTTTCACTTACATTTTCGTGTTTTGTAGGTATAATAGAAAAAGAGGTTATTTATTGCTAGGAGGTTCCCTATCGCTTTGTTTCAGGCTGTGCTATCTTTAAAATTGCTGCTGCAGATTAAATTGCTATTGGGGTAGGACGAATGGAACAGGGACGAAGACGCTAGAAAAGTGTGTTTAAAGATGTTCCATGTTATCGGTATTGGAAGTGGCTGCCGAGGAGGGTTAATCGTGTGATAGCCACTCTCAAATGTGGTAATTAGATGTTATCTGTCACGCCCTGAGGCGGGGAAGCCCGGAAGCCCCAAATCATGTGATGTTTGCGGTCACGTGACCGAACGCGGATTTTAGCCGCTCCCATCAGTTTGATCGGCCTTAAGAATTTGCTAATGAATTTGCTGAGCAGGCAAAGGAGGGTTTAATAATTTTTTTTTTCTAGATCACGTGACATGGAAAACCCTGCAGGGTTAGTTTTTCACCAAATTTTTCAGTCTATTCAATCTAAACCATTTAATCATCCACCACCATGGGAGCCTACAAGTACCTTGAAGAGTTGCAAAGAAAGAAGCAGTCTGATGTCATGAGATTCCTTCTCAGAGTCAGATGCTGGGAGTACAGACAGAAGTCTGTGATCCACAGAGCTTCCAGACCATCTAGACCAGACAAGGCTAGAAGACTTGGTTACAAGGCCAAGCAAGGTTTCGCCATCTTCAGAATCAGAGTCAGAAGAGGTGGCAGAAAGAGACCTGTTCCAAAGGGTGCTACTTACGGTAAGCCAACCAACCAGGGTGTCAACCAACTGAAGTACCAAAAGTCGTTGAGATCCACTGCCGAGGAGAGAGTTGGTAGAAAGGCTGCTAACTTGAGAGTCTTGAACTCTTACTGGATCAACGAGGACTCTACCTACAAGTACTACGAGGTCATTTGTGTTGACCCACAACACAAGGCCATCAGAAGAGACGCTAGATACAACTGGATCGCCAACCCTGTCCACAAGCACAGAGAAGCCAGAGGTCTTACTGCTATTGGAAAGAAGTCCAGAGGTATCCAAAAGGGTCACTTGTTCAACAAGACCAAGAAGGGAAGAAGACACACTTGGAAGCAACACAACACCTTGTCTCTGTGGAGATACAGAAAATAAGCTGTTTGCTGAAGCCAGTGTTAGGGCTTTGTTCGCTTTTATTACCACTCTATATGTTAATCGAATAAAGTGTTAACTACATTTACATTCATCCCCATTCCACCTTGTAAAATATTTTTTTCAACCTCCACGTCCCCGGTCCACTTTTTTTTTTCTTAACAGGAATTTTGAAATTAATCTCTTGTTTAATTAATTAACTATGAGCAAACAGAAATCCAAAATTGCCATTCTCTCTGTCTACGACAAGACAGGTCTCTTGGATCTTGCCAAGGGACTTGTTGCCGCAGACGTTCGGCTGCTTGCCTCTGGCGGAACAGCCAGACTTTTGAGGGAATCTGGGTTCCCTGTGGAAGATGTTTCCACCATCACCCACGCTCCAGAAATGTTGGGCGGCCGTGTCAAGACTTTGCACCCAGCCGTTCACGGTGGTATTCTGGCAAGAAACATCGAGTCCGATGAACACGATCTCGCCCAGCAGAACATCGAAAAGGTCGACTTTGTTGTTTGCAACTTGTACCCATTCAAGCAGACGGTTGCTAAAATCAATGTCACCATCGAAGAGGCTGTCGAAGAAATTGACATTGGTGGTGTCACCTTGCTCAGAGCTGCCGCCAAGAACCACTCCAGAGTGACCATCTTGTCCGATCCTAAGGACTACTCTCATTTCTTGGAGGAACTGGCCGCTAAAGGTGACGTTTCCAACGAGGCCAGACAGATCTTCGCTTTGAAGGCTTTTGAACACACCGCAGACTACGACAGTGCCATCTCCGACTTCTTCAGAAAGAAGTACTCTGAGGGTGTCTCTCAGCTCCCATTGAGATACGGTGCTAATCCTCACCAAAAGCCAGCTCAGGCTTATGTCTCTGATGGTGAGCTTCCTTTCAAGGTGTTGAGCGGATCTCCAGGTTACATCAACTTGCTCGATGCCCTCAACTCGTGGCCATTGGTCAAGGAGCTCTCTGCCTCTTTGAACTTGCCAGCAGCCGCCTCATTCAAACACGTCTCTCCTGCTGGTGCTGCCGTTGGACTTCCGTTGTCCGACCTCGAAAAGAAGATCTACTTTGTCAACGACATCGAAAACCTTTCCCCATTGGCCAATGCCTACGCCAGAGCCAGAGGTGCCGACAGAATGTCGTCTTTCGGTGACTTTATTGCTCTTTCCAACATTGTCGATGTGCCAACCGCCTCGATCATCTCCAAAGAAGTCAGTGACGGTGTGATTGCTCCAGGCTACGAGCCAGCCGCCCTTGAGATTCTCAAGAAAAAGAAGGGTGGAAAGTACTGTGTTTTGCAAATCGATCCTAATTACACACCAAAGTCGACAGAGTCCAGACAGGTTTACGGAATCACTTTGCAGCAAAAGAGAAACGACGCCATCATCAACTCTTCGTCTTTCAAGGAGTTCGTTTCCAAGAACACCGACTTGACCGAGCAGGCTTCCATCGATTTGACTGTGGCTACCATCGCTTTGAAATACACCCAATCCAACTCTGTCTGCTACGCCAAGAACGGTATGGTGATCGGTCTGGGTGCCGGACAGCAGTCCAGAATCCACTGCACCCGTCTTGCTGGCGAAAAGGCCGACAACTGGTGGCTCAGACACCACCCTAAGGTGCTGGGCTTCAAGTGGGCCAAGGGTGTCAAGAGACCAGACAAGTCCAACGCCATTGACTTGTACGTGACTGGCCAGATCCCAACCTCCGAGCCAGAGAAGAGCGAGTACGAATCCAAGTTTGCCGAGATCCCAACTCCGCTCACTGCTGAGGAGAAGCAAGAGTGGCTGGACAAGCTGACAGACGTGTCTTTGTCGTCCGACGCTTTCTTCCCATTCCCAGACAACGTCCACAGAGCTGCTAGATCTGGTGTCAAGTACATTGCTGCTCCAACCGGATCCGTCATGGATAGAGCTGTTTTCGACGCCTCGGACTCGTACAACATCGTCTATGTCGAGAACCCTATCAGACTGTTCCACCACTAAATATCTTCTAATAAGCACTACCAGTTTTATCACTGTATCTTAAAATATAACCAAACGCAGATATATAATTGTCAAAATGGATCCCGCAAGTCCAACTATTGTACACTTTGCTATGTCTTGTACTTTTATTGCTTGATTCATGCTTTGGTGGACCAGGTAGCCAACGAGGTGGTGGTGGTCCAGTGGTGGGTAAGTCCACTGGTACCGAAACCGGTGTCGTTGTTGTCTTGGTGTCTTGGTTGGAACAAACCTTCGGCAAAGGAAGGCAGGCTTCCAACAGACTTTTCAATGTCGACGGTCTTGATGGATCCAACAGCAGCTGGAGCAGCAATCAAAGCAATGAAAATGACGAAAATGGTGAAGAACAAAACAGAGTACTTTCTCACCATTCTCTTTCTCAATCTAGCCTGTTTCAAAGAGTAGATTGGAGGTCTAATCTGTCTGCTTGGCTTCAACCAGAACAGCATCAAGGAGTGCCATCTATCCACGAATGGGAAACAAACAATTGGGAATTGCAGGAACAAAAGAACGTGTCCAAGAACAAAGTCTCCAGCAAAGTGAGACATCTCGATGATCTTGGCACAGAACTCTCTGGCAGGTTGGGTCCAGGCGTTGTAACCCAAACCAGAACCGTACCACTTACCAGTCCAGAACGCAACGTTGGAGTGGTCGTTCTTGAACTCTCTGGTGAGGAACAAAAGAGTCATGAACTTGAAGATTAATCTTTGGACGTAGATCATGGTGATCAAACCAGCCAACATTCTGCCAAAGTGGAAACCTTCCAAAACCCACATGACAATGAAGAACACAATGTTGATCAGAACAGCAACACCGTGGGCAACACCAGCCATGACAGATCCGGTCTTCTTGCAGCACATTCCAAGCAATGGACCTGCGCAACAGGACAGTCCCAAACACACAAACAGAACACCAATGTCGATGACAATTGGAGCCAAAGAACAAATGACCAATCTCAAAACAGAGTTGACAACAGGAGCGTCAATAACACCGGTTTGAGCGTTCATGAAAGTGTAAGCAAGGAAACATCCGGCAGTGTAGACAATACATGGGAAAGTGTCAGAGAAGAAGATGTTGGATCTGTGGGCTCTAGCGGCATCACCAGCAGCCTTCTCGGAGTCGTCTCCAATGGTCTTTCTCTTGAAACCAGTAACTCTGGATCTAGTCAATCTGATGTAACCGATCCAGGAGTTTCTGTGCCATTTGGTGTTACCTCTGGACAACCATCTGATAAAGTCTCTGTAGTCAATGAAGTAGTCCTCCCAAGAGAATTGGTGAGGGTTGAAGATGAACGGAGAGAACATCAATGCAACAATGGACAGCCAGAACCACAGAAGAGCAGGTTGCCAGTGAGCAACAGTACCAAACAGTAACATGATCATACATCTAGCACCAACGTAAATGGTCGAGTCGGCAAATCTAGCGTACAACACGGAGAATGGAATTCTTGCAGTAGCGAAACCTCTACCGGTGGAGATATATCTGGCACCACCAACACAGATGTCGTTCAACAGGGAGGAAGAGTAAATCTGAGCAACAAACACTTCGAACAATGGAGACAAAGACAAGAAGTGTCTGCAGAATCTGTAAGCACACTTCCAAACACCTCTCTCGATCAGTTCTTGGACAAGCAATGGAACAAAAGCAATGAAGAACACAATGAAAATGGACAATGTGTAACGTCTAATCCAGTCGATGGATGGCATCAATTGGTAGCATCCCAATGGGTACTGGATGTCGGTGATTGGCTTGTTTCTGTCGTAAAGACACAAGATCGATTCGTGAGAAAGAGCAGTCAAGTTAACCAAGGTGAGCATGAACAATTGAAGAGACAACTGAATGAACAAGTTGTTGATATGGAAACCCAAGTGAGCATAGTAGAAAGAGAGGAATCTGTCCAATGGGAGCTGAGTACCCAAGTAGTAGTACTCTCTAGAAAGCATTTGCTCTCCCATACCAGCACCAATCTTAGTGGTGAAATTCAAAATCGAACCAAAACCGAGATCTCTTCCCTTACCACATTGGTAGTACTCACAATGCTTGATTCTACCACCTCTGCACATGGCAACCATACCAGCGTAGATATCTTCGTTCAAGTGCAATCCCTTTTGGGCCTTAGAGACACCACCTCTGGTGGTCATGTAGATAGCATTCAAGAAATCAGGGTGACCATAGTGCAATTTAGCACCGATCTGAGCCAAAGTTCTAGCAAACAAGGTACCGAAAGTTTGTTCCTTACCGGCAGCCACATCACCCAAAATACCAGAGTTCTCAGAGAAAATGTACTCTCTAGCACCAACAATGGCAACAGGATGTGAAATGGTGCTGATCTCAGACTTAAGACCAGGAGCGTATGGGTTCACGTGGTCAACGTTCAATTCTTCGAATTCAGCAAGCACAGATCTGATCTTCAGACACTCTTCCAGGTAGTTGTCCTGGTTGGCATCGATCAATTGCAGGTATTCACCTCTGGTGAAAATGATAGAGTGGTTCTGGTTATCAGACTTACCATCACCCAAAATTGGGTTACCGGAAAGTTGAACTCTGAACTTAGGTCTTCTTCTACCATTCTCCATAATCTCACAGTGTCCGTCAATCAAAGCAGAGAAAATTCTTGGCTCATCGCCCTCGTTAAGAGGAGGCTCCTCATCCAAGAAAGCAATTTGCAAATCTGGGTAGGCACGGAGCAAGAATTCAGCGTTCTCGAGTTCTTCTGGCTTGAATTTGGTCAAACGTTGCATGGAAACAACAAACTTGAACTTTCTTCTAGCCATTCTCTCAAGCTCTCTCTCCAAACCCTCAGCGTTTCCACCGAACATTTGGACGATCTCAGGGTTCTCAACACGGTAAAGTAACTTGATAGCTCTGGAGTAGTTCATGAAACCAGAAACAGTTCTGTACAAGGTTTGGGATCTCAAAGAAGCCCAGATTCTTGTTCTCAGAGTGTACTCAGGAGCAGCAGACTTGAAACCAATACAGTAGAATGGCAAGTCATCAATCTCGTTCTTCATGTTGTCGTCGTCCTTCTCTTCGCCGTTCTCGAAAGCAGCAGTTTCTTCGGCCAAGATCTTGGTGTCCTTAACGAAACATTCCCACTCAACTGGGTGCAATTGTTTCAGGTACTCAAGCAAGGTGACTCTGGAGAATTGATCGTCTTCTCTGATAATCTCTCTCAAAGAGAGCAAAATCTTTTCAGAGTAGTGAGGAGTGAACACAGTGAAGGTTGGCATGTTGTCAACTGGCAATGGTTCAGGAATAGGAGTAGCCAAGGATTGGGCAAAGAAAGAAATACGTCTTTCGGCCTCAGAGTTTCTTGGGAAGAACTCAGTCTCAAAGTTATTGTCATCCTGGGAAACAAAGAAGGTTGGAGCTCTCAAGGTACGCTTACCTTCAATCTCAGATGGAACTTGGTGGTAAAGAAGCTTTTGAACGTGATCAATAGCCAACAAGTGCTCTCTGTACATGGAGATAACGATAGCGTTCCAGACTTGAGAGATAAGAACCTTTGGCTTGTACTTGATTTCCATGTCGGTGGTGGCAAGGACCTTGGAGTAGATTCTCTTTGGCAATCTGGTGAAAATGTTTCTCCATGGGGTCAAGATAGAGATACCCAAGTAGAAAGATCTTCCAACGGAGAACAAACAGTTGACCAAAATGTACCACATGTAAGTATCCAAGAAGAACAACACCAAATCGGTAGCCATCATCAAACCAAGGGTAACCTTTGCCTGATGCTTACAGACAACGTTACCGTACCACTTCTCACCAGTACATCTCATGTTCATGGTGGACAAGTTTCTGATTGGGTCTCTCAGAGACAGAATCAAGAAGAAGTAAGACTCACAGTACTTGGCAAGGAAAACCAAGAACCACACGAACCAGGAGAGGTACATGTCCAGTCCAGACAAACGTGGGAATGATGCCGTGAAAGTTTGGGAAGCAACGTATCTTCTGGTCGATTTCTTCATGTAAGAAGTGAACAAACCTCCCAAAGGCATAACAGACAAGAAAACGATCGTGGCAATGGCAATGAAGAACGACACAATCGCCACAACCTCTGCAGCCTTAGATTTGGATTGCAAACCAGCCCAAGCAAACACGAAAACAACCGGTGCAAGGTTGACGGCAAGGATCAGGAACAAGAAACCGAGCTTTCTGCTCAAGTGTTGAGCACCAGCCCAGGCTCTAGGAACGAACATCCACTCGAAAATGGTGGCCAAAATATTAATACCAGAAGCAACAGTACCTCCCAATGCAGCAGCAGCCCATCTGGAGGATGCCAAAGGCTGATTGTTCAGCACTTGGACATAGTTGTGAGTGTAGAAAGTTGGAGCGTTGTAGGCAATGTACATCCAGAAAACAGAGATGTGCATAACCCAGATACGGTTAAAGTTGGTGATGATGTGCAACCAAGTTCTGATTTCTTTGTAAGTCTTGAAGAAAACGCTGTCCCATTCAACTTCGCCGAGCTTGAAGTATCTCTCTTCGGTTGGGAAGTCAACAAGTCTAGTACCGTCTTCCATGACAATTCTGGCAATACCTTCTGGATACCAGAAAAGCTGGTTGACGTCATCGTAACCGATAATGCTGTTGTGGTCCTTTTCACGTTTCACGTAACGGCCATCAACAACTTCGTAGACTTGAGCTCTGATGTAACGGTAGAGAGGAGTGATGACTCTGTTCAAGTAGTCTCCTTCTGGAACTGGGTCTGCTCTTTGTCTGCAGGCCTCCGAATTCAAGTAGTCCTGAGCACACTTGAAGATGAAACACAAACACTCTGGAGTGAATCTGACCTGGTTGGCTTCACCCCAAAGCAAAAGCCACAAAGCGATCTGTCTGACACGCTCAAGAGGAGCCATAGCATTCATCTTGGCCTTCCATCTGTAGTCAGCGGCGTCCAGAGAGTTGTCACCTTCCAACTCGGTCAGGGTTCTTTCGGTGTCCTCACCGTTTTCTTCAACGGCCTTTCTAGCCTTCTTAGACTTCTTCTTGGCTTTTCTAGCTTTTCTGGACAATTTACCCATGGTAACGTTACGGAATCCAACCTCATCGTCGAGATCAAGTTGGGCAGCAAAGTACCATTTCTTGTAATTAGCAGAGTCACCACCAATGTAGTCGGCGTGCAAGGAAAGCAAGGCCTGGGCTGGAGACATTCTCGAGGACCTCGAGTCCAGCATGGTCATGAAGTAGTCAAAGACGTTTCTCATGGAGTCTCTTTGGAAACCGAAGCAGTTGGTGAGGTCAATGAAGACGTCCTCGATCTGCTCGATGGTAACTGGAGCTTGGTTATCTGCGGTCCATGCTGGATACGGGTCAGTTGGAAGAGCAACCATGCCGGATTGGTCGTATGGACCAGCACCGTAGACAGGAGTCGAGGCACCGGACGATCTCTGGCCACCGTAACTCATCTGGGATGGGGTGTATTGTGTGCCGTAACCGTCGTAAGGAGTGCCTGGAGCACCACCTGGGCCGTAACTGAAATCCGAGTATGCCTCAGCATCACGCGAACCTGGCTGATCGTAGTAGCCTTGTTGGTTCAAGTTTGGATCGGAAGAATACTGGTGGTCGTATCCTTGTTGGTAATAAGCGTCTTGTTGGTCGAAACCTTGTGCGTACCCTTGGTAGTAAGGGTCTTGTGGATCATAATATTCCTGTTGACCTGGCTGACCAAACGCTTCGTCAGATTGGCTATAAGTTTCCTGATAGCCTCCCTGAGCCTGGTTGGCCCGGTTCGGGTCGTGGTAGGCGTTATCGTTATACGACATCCTATTCACTAAAGAAGGTTAGTCAACCAAACTATATCTTATTTCTAGCTGAAACAGGGAGTGTCTGCGGAAAAGAAATCCAGCACCCGGCAAAGTCGCGAGCTTGATCTGCGCGCATCTGCCGGAGGCCATAATTTTTTCTGCTATCCGTGCCTTACCAGGGCAAACCAGATCAAAATGGTATGCTAGCTGTAGCTCGGGCAAGGGCTGTTTCCCATGGTTAACAAAACCACGAAAAACAGTACAGATCATCCAACTGAGTGCCGAAAAAAACGCACAACTTACCTTAACAGTAAATGAAAGAATATCTAGTCAGTGAAACTCTAGGAAAACCGTTCCTCACTCAAATATACAACTAATGAAACCTGGTTATATACTGAGCTCGTCTTGCAGTAGTGTTGGACTTGTTCAACACTAGCGAGATGGTCAAAGAGTTAGCAGCTAAAAAAAAAAACAAACTTAAAACAGCACGGATCCTATTTGGATCCTGTGTCAGATCCAAAATGAACGTGCTGCGCCACATCCAGCAAGATCGGTTTTTCGCCCAGTCGCGGTCAAAATCCAGGCTGGTGTGGCACAGCACATGCGCAACTAAAATTTTCACAGCTACTATATTTAGACTTGACCAACTCGTTTCGGAAGCTAGCTTAGCCAATCGTAAATAGATCGTCGTTGATCTAGCCAGAACAATAATACTCTCGTGTGTATCTAGACCCTTGGCTCATAAGCCAAAATTCCGCCTCAGTTTATGCCCAGCCGGCTACAACCTCCCCGTCCCTGCGTATGCTCTCCTTTCTCCCCCCCCCCCTCTCGGCATCTATTTTCCAAGCTCACACCACCATCCCCTCTATTGTTACCCGGCCCCCTTTTTTACCCTCATCGACACTAGCGTGTACCGTGTTGTGTTCCTGCAAGGAAATTCTATTGTTTACGAGAATTTTTTTATCGTGTTTTGCAGCTACCTGAATAGGAATACATACAAATTCAATGTTCATACTTGGTTCTAGTCTACCGACAAAGAAATGCCGTCTGCAATGTCAGCAACGTACTTCCTTGCCACCTCCGACCGAATCCCGCCTTCAATAAGCTGCTGCACATTTTGGAATTGTGTTGCACGCGAAAACAAACGCATCTTGCTACGAAGCAGCTCAAAGCATCCTCGAAGCCCCCATCGCAGCTCGATGTCTTGGTCTGCAGAGTCCTCGGTCTCCACCGACCCTAGGATCATCTCTTCCCTGTCGTCGCCGAGTTTCTCGATAAACAGATTGATATGCTCGACCAGGTTCGAATACAGCCTGTTCAACACCTCTGCAGCTTCCGATTCCGAATCGGCACTAGTAACTAGCCGATCAAATAGTTCACTGGCATATGTCTGACTAATCAGTAAAAGGGACTCGTTGTTGGCAAAGAATGAGTCCACCAGCTGCGTGCCCGTGATAAATCCCTTTCTTTTAATTCTCTCCAAGATAAGGTAGCCGATTCTGGGCTCGTTGTTCCACAGACGCAAAACCCCGTCAATCAGCCACTTCTGCCGCTCTGCAACCTCACTTTCCTTCAGAAGCGCGAACTGGTCATTCTCCAAGTCTTCGTGTTCTCCTTCCGCAGCAGGAAGTCCTAAAACTTTGCGCAGCTTGGCCCCGCATAGCTCCAATGCTCCTCCTTCCACAACAGACAGCGAACGCGATCCAATGATACATGTAGACTGGATCACAAGCGTCACGATGTAGCAATCGAGGTTACTCACCACGTAAGACTCGTCTCCCGGGTGGTTTGCGGTCTCCTGCTCTATCTGCTGTTTGAGAAGCACAACCAGATCGTTGAACTGTTGCAACGACTCTCCTTCCTGAATATTGGTGTAGATGCTGTGACACAGCTCGTGGTACGGATGGTCCTGGTTATTGAACAGGTACTGGTCGACCAGATGGTAGATTTCGGCGTTGCCAGCGTCCTCGGCAGCACCCTCGATGTTCTCCTCAGCAGCAAAGTTGGTCTCATAAACAGATTCCGCCAGCTTGGACCCGAACAGCTTGCTGTCAAAGTTGATTACCTGCCGCTTGTCCATGAGTGACAAACGCAGGAACCGATGGAACTCCACTGGCAGGGTTGGCTTGATCGTTTGCGGACTGCTCAGACGAATCTCTCTTCCAATAACGTTTCTGAACAAGTACATTGTCGGATGGTAGTACAGCTTGTCCAGCTTGTTGAGGTCGTCGATCCACTCTGTCCATTGCCAGTCAAACCCAAAGTTGCTCAGCTGTGCCGTCATCCACTGAATGAATCTCTCGCATAGTTCGAGATCAAGATACTTGAAGTTGGAGTAGAAGAACCGGAACGCCGTGCCCAACACCTTGGCAAACGTCACCTTGTCTTCAGAGTTCGGAGACCGTCTCACGTTGGCCCAGTCTCTTCCACATGTGTCTGATAGAAGCATCTGGTAGTATATGAGCGGACTCGAGGCGGTCGGCAGATGGAACATGAGTCCCAGAACAGCTTCTGTCACTACCTGCTCCATTTTCCAAGTAGAAGTGTACCCTTGGTCGAACTCCTGCTGCACCAAGGTAGCAGACTCGATCATCGAGGCCTTGACGTTTGGATCCAGGTCCTCGTTGCTTTCCAAGCTGCTGATCAGATCCACACCAGAATTCAGATTGTTCAGAATGGTGAGCTTGTCGATCGACGAGTTTGGCTTGGCAAAAAGCTTTTCGTTAAAGTACACGGCCAGAGAAAGCAGCTGTCTTGAAACCGTCACTCTGTTGAACTCCATGTTCTGGACATTGTCCTGGACGATGTCGCGCAAGAGCAGAGACAGATACGACTCCACTGGAGGAACGGTGTCAAAAAGCGTAGCAGACGGCAAAAAGCACTCAAGTGCGTAGCGTGGGTAGTTCCAGAGCGAGTCCACAGTTCCTGTGAGCTTGAAAGACTGCCATTGCTCAACTGACGGGATGTTGAAGTGCTGGAAAATGTGTTTCTCAGGGTTTTCGGGTTCATGCGACTTGACGATCTGTAACATGTCCATGAAAAACGGCAATTCTTTGTCGACTGATTCCAAAGCAGGTAAAATCAGACTCACAATCTCCTTCGGCTTGTATGGTCCGTTGTCGGATTTGAAATGCTGGTAGCTTTGGTTAGCCAGGTCGTCCAAATCGACAATTTTGAACTTGCGTGCCGTCTCCAGCAGCTGGTTGAACGCTTCTTGGTCTTTTTGCACAGCGAGATGGTATGGAATTAGTGTCAGGATGTTAAAGTAGAGGATCTGTGCGACTCCCGACCGTTTCTCCGTTTGCGACTGGATATCAATGGCCAGGTCTAAGATGTGTTGGAAAGTCTTGATCACTGGTTCGTCGCTGACCATCATAGGACTCAAAACGGCAACAAACCGCAGAATCAGCTTCAGTTTCGTGATCGCACCGCATTCGGTCGACTGTGCTTCGTTCTCGGCCGGAACTCTAATTTCTTCAAATAGCTCCTGAATCTGAGAGTGCAGGAAATCAAACACGTACTGGCCGATCTTGGGATTTCTATAGTTCGAGACTTGAACCAATGCTCCAATCACAAACACTTTTTGAGGCTGCTCGACTATCAAGGCCAGTAGGAACTCGAGGACAGAATTACGAACAAAATCGTCAGTGTCGAGCTCCTGTGCAATCGACCCAGAAACGTTGTCGATGTCAATTGATAACTGTTGTGCAAATTCGCCGATCTTGGTGATCTCATTGCAGATGGTCCGTGCTAGCTCAGCCTCGCGAGGCAAAACAGACCTTCTTGGTCTCTTGGCCCAACCATCTCCAAACCGGTTTCCCTGTGGCTGTTGATGAGAAGGACCGCTGGGCATCTCGTGAGGAGGCGCTGCCAAAGAAGGCTCGTACCCTTCATCGTCGGAAACGCTTCTTTTCCGTTTATGGGGAGGCTCTTCCATTGCTGTTTAATTATACAATTTTATCGAAGTTTGGTTATTTGAAAAATATTTTATACTTTGTTGATACTTTCTATTCGCCTTGGTCTAAAATATAGTTACATATACACCATTTCGTCCTTCATTCTTCGGAAACCTCTGCGGTTTTTTGAGAAAACTGGCCGTTGGCAAGAGTCAATCTCTCGACCTTTGACTCCAATGACCGGATTCTCTCGGCACTCATCTTGAGGTCCATTTCTTTCTGTGCTTTCACGTTCTTGAGAGCTTCCTGAAGCTCTTGCTTGTGAGACTCCAGTTCGACAACATTGCTCTTTGTCTCCAGCTGGCTCTTCAAACGGTTCTTTTCGATTTTGAGTTGTTTCAACTCGTTCAAAAGAGACTCGTTGTGAGACGCAGAAACAGAGTTTTCCATCACCTGTAATTGGTTCTTCAATTGAGGTATCGTTTTGCTCGTCAACTCCTTGTTCTCACTCAAGGCCTTTTCCAGCTTGCTCTTCAACTCAGAGTGTTCCTGCTCGAGAATCTCGAACTTGCTCTTACTCAGATTCTTCTCTTCAGTCAACTGGAATATCTGGTGTCTCATGTCCGAATTGTTGTAAACCCTGTTTTTCAAGTCCTCAATATCGAATCCCTTGTTGTACTGCTGAGCAAGGAACTCCTCAACAGCAAACCGTTTTCTTCTCTCGTCTGCAAGCTGTTCGACCAACTTGTCGATCTTCGACTGTTCGTCAACTCCCTCTGTCTCAAGAGGAATATTGTGAGAACCAAGCTTGTGCTGCAGTTTGATTTCTCTTGAAATACTTCCTGCCAATTCGCCCGACACAATTTGCAGTTCGTTGAACAGCTCCTGGTTGGAGTTGAAAAGGCCCAGTTGTGTAGGCGTGAAAACGGGAGTGATCTGTGCATTAGGCACAGAATCGGTCAACCCCTTGGAACCCTGGTGTGATTGAGGAGCAAGCCCACCATTCAACGAGCGATCAGAGCGCGTTCCAACAGTCGAAGACCCAGCAGAAGTCGACTGGCTTGGGTAGTCAACAGGTCTCTTCTCTGGGGAAACGGATCTCGAGGCAGGAGCCAAAAGAACAGCACTCTTCTTCTCTGGAGAAACAGGCTTTGCATTGAACTCAGAAAGAAACGTCGAGTTTGCCTCTGGCTCCAAAGCAGAAGCATTGTCCATAGCCTTAGACTCAACGGATTTGGTTTCAGAGACGGGAACGGGAGGAAGCTTATCATTGGAGCGAGTAGAGAATGGTCTAACCTCCTTCTCAGCAGGCACCTTCTTTATCTCCCTCTCCTCTTTGACAGGCTCGTCAAACCCGTTTCTATACGAAAGTGTCTCTGGAGACTTTCTTCCATTTGACGTTGGCAATGCCGAATCAGTGCCTTTATGCTGAGAATCATAAATTTTGTTGATCAAGTATGGATACGAAGCAATTTCTGGATACTCCTGCGATGAATGTTTTGCTGATTTCCGCGATTCAGGAGAAACGAAATCAAAGTCTTCGTCATTCTTGGTACGTGGAGGTGTTGACAGATGAGAATTCACCAGCTTCGAACTTTCCTGGTTCTGAGTAACGGGCAACGACTTTGTGTGAATGTCCTCCTTCGAATCTAATGTGGTACTCGAATTGGCAAGAGGAGTGGCTTTGTCTGAATCAATGCTAGTGTCATTTCCATTCATGCCATCAATGCTAGAATTTTGTGCGAACGCGTTTTCGTCAATGTCCATATCCACAATTCTGCTTAGTCTGTAATCGTTTTCCTCGTTTGCAAGGTTCAATGTCAATCTGTAATTCATCAAAGAGTCCGATGGAGTTATAGGAGTTTTTGGAAGTTTTTTGTTCTTCATTGGGGATGAAGGGTCTTGAGGTGGTAAATTGATTGTCAATCCATGGTAGTTGTGTGCATATCCACTGTTCTGTGCAGATTTGGCAGAAGCACCAATCACCTTGTAAGAAACGTCGGGCTGGGCAGGAGCACTAATTGGCTCTTCCTCTTCGCGTTTCTTTCTGGAAATCTTCTTCAAGAAATGTTTAGCGTTCGGCAGTTTAGGGCTACCACTGGCGGAAACAGGCTTCGAAAATGCTTCTTTGAAGCCCAAAAATGGAGATTTTTTCTGTGGGCCAATATCTTCTTCCTTCTCAATAGGTAATGGCTTTGGAGGAGGCTTTCTAGATCTGGCTTTCAAAGAAGCAAATGATGACTGGTGAGAAGCGTTGCTTGGCTTATTGCTATCGTTCTTGACATCGTCTGCGAAAAGCATAGACCGATAAGGACGAGGACCTTGGACTTGTGCTGGTGCTTGTGTTGCCTTCGATGCGGTACCAGTGGGAGGCGGAACTTCGTTGGCCAAGTTAGAACTTGCAGGCTCCTCGTTTTTGGGCTGTTGTTCGTCCAAAGATCTATTAACAGGAACCTTCTCGATTTCCGACGATTTCGAATGAATTGAACTCAAATCACCATATCCGTATGCTTGATATGTTTCGAGATAGCTATCATCTCTGCTGATATGACTTGGTGGTTGGCCCTGTGAGGTCCGTTTCGATTGCGGACTTTGCTTGGTTTCTGGAACGAAAGATTCCACTTTGTCCGAGATGCTACTGTTATTGGTATGGTCACCAGCAACTTCTCTCTCGATCTCGCCGTTTTCAATCACAGAATGCTGAGGAGTTTTGGAAATGGAATCGAATGAAAAACTGTCACATTGGTCGGTCACGCTGTGAGGAGCTTCAAAAGCCTGCAATGTGGAATTTGAATTGTTCTTGCTTGATTCGTACTGTTCGAATCTGTTCGCAGTTCTAGGCTCTTCGAAGCCGCCATCTTCCTCGTCGATTGGCAGCTCTGTTGCGGTTGTGAAGACATCCTGTTGAGTTGTAGATTCATGCGCGAGTTGATAAATTTGAGCGCTTGCCACTCTTGGTTTCTCGTTGCTTTCATGAGACGACGTGACTGAGTACATGGAGGAGGCCGGCTCGCTTCCAGATGGCATTCTGACTTGTTCCGAGTAGTAAGACGACTGTCTGGTGGACTGTTCGTCTGGCTCAGTTTGACGACGAGTCGACGTTGAAGCCACAGACTTGGCAGGAGAAAATCTCTCTTGAGTACCATGCAAAGTTTCGGCACTTTTTGAGAGGTCCTCTTCGGCTGGGATATCCGTTGGCTCGAGCTTTCTTTCCAGCGTCTCAGGTTCCTGTGGCGTGACAAATTTCTCTTGTTCAGCAACTTCGGCTTGAGGCTGTTGAATTTGAGCTTCCTCCTCTTCATAGTCCTCTTCTCTTGAAGCGTTCATTTCACGCACAGGCTCGTCGTCCTGTTCGTCGTCACTGTCAGCAAACACGTACTTGTTGAGTCTCCCCTTGCTGGAGTTGATTGGCTGGAATGGCTCGGTTATCACGCTGCTCTCAGACTTGACTGGACTTGGAGGTTGAACTGCAGCCTCGACTTGTGGTTCCGTAACCCCACCGTTTTCCGAAATCGGATCACGTGTTGATGGTTCAGGCTTGAGAGGACCAACAGAACGCGCCTGTTGAGATTGCACGTACGGCAGCGACTGAATCTGCTGGTCCGGCTGTGCTTGTATTTGTGCTTGTGGTATAGGCTGAAAAGGCTGGCTAGGTGGAACCTGCTGGGTCTGTCTTATTTGTTGCGGGTAAGAGACAGGCTGCTGTGGAACATAACCCGGACGCGCAGGGTAAGGTTGCTGCATTGGTGCCATCTGTGGCTGGCCTCCATAGCTCATCGGCTGAGGTGCAAAGTTTTGTTGACCAGGCCTGAAACCGGATGCAGAATATCTCGAGGTCATAGACATGGCTTTCGGTGGAGGAGCATTGCTCATATCATATCCAGGGTATTGGTTGAACTGTGGTGGTCTCGACTGCATCGACATGGCTCTAGGATCGTAGCCCATCCGTCCTGTCGGGTATCCTGGACCAGGACCCGCTGATTGCATGGACATGGCTCTTGGAGGGCCCTTGCCCATGTTGGCAGCCTGGGAAGCCATCATCTTCTTTTGGTGGGTCATTTGCTTTCTGTATTGCACGTTGGACAGCTGACCGTTAGGACCCTTTGGCTTATTGGACAGCGTGGGGATGTACGGCTGAGTATCCAAAGAAGAGGAGCCGTTTCCGTATCTTCCTCCACCCCTGATATGTTTCAAATCATCAAAAGAAACAGACTCTGTGGACGTGTCGACCTCAACGTCTGCATCACCTTCTCCCATACCGTCGTCATCATCGTCACCTTTACCGAATTTCATGCCTCGTTTGAAAAATTTGTTGACTGACGAGGACGAGTTCGAGGCAAGAGAGCCCCGTCTGGACTGAGACCCTCCATATCCCGCGTAGTTGTTGCGCATTCTTGGAGGTGCAACGTTAGGAACCCTTCCATAATAATCTGCTTGAGGTGGACCTTGCATATACACGTCCTGTCTCTGGTAAGGAGCCTGGTACGATCCGGAAAGAGGCTGTTGGTATCCCTGGTACGATCCGGGAGGATAGTATTGAGAAGGAGGCCCAGGTTGGGTCATGGGCCGCGAATTTGGTTGAATCGGTCTTTCGTGCCGGACGTCTATGAAAGCACTCTGGTCCAAAGCCTTACTCATCCCACTTCGAGGCACACCGTCCACGACGTTCTGGGAACTGCGATTGCTCACTAACATGGCCTGATCCATCTTGCCTAATATTAATGAACGCGAGTGCTGATGGTAAACTTTTTTCTTGTGCGAATCAAAACAAAATTGAATTCTCCTATATTTACTTTTGAAACCCCTGGAACTCAGGAGCGACTTTGCGCACGACTTTTCTGCCGGTGCAAGGACTTCTTAAAATTAGCACTAGAATTAAATAAGTTGAAGATACGGTAGCTGGTGGGGAGCTCATTCGCGCTTTGCGCTCGGCAAGTCGCTCACCCGGCCCACGATGTTGTATCTGTTGCTGAAAAACGTGTACCAGTCGTCCAGAACCTTGAGTTGTTTCTCCGTCAATGTAGAGTAGTCCCAGCTAACGTCCAGAGCCGTGTCTTCTGGCTTCAGCGAGCTCTTTCCCAACGCTCTGGACGCGTCTCTCCCCACAAACACGTGATATCCTTTCCCGACACCGTAGGCATTGTGATTGTGGGAAACGTCAAATACGGTGCCCTTGATTCCTATGTACATCTTCTCGCTTTGCTCCCCTGTTGGTTAGGAAAAGAAACAGTTCTGGCAGAACCTACCATCACATTTGGCCAATTCGGCCATTGAGATCGGCGTGTCGCTTGGCGGAGCAAGGTCCACGGGCGTCTTGGGCATGAACTTGTTACTCATGAGATAAATTAAATCCACAACGGATTAGATAAATGCTGAATAATCGCGTTTTTTCACTGGCTGAAGCAGTAGTACACCTAGTATATAAGAGTGGCATTATTTCTCCTTTTTGGAGTCTGACGGTTCCTTTGGAGCGTCTTGTTTGTCAGTAGATCCTTCCTGCTGCAGTTTCGCCTTCTCACGCGCAATCTCACCGATAAACCACGTCACAGATCCCCAAAGAAGCAGCGATATCACCAACAGATTGACAAAATGGATGGATCGACTCAGGAAAATCATCACCACCAGGGAGATGATCAGACACGCAAATGAGATGTGTGTGGCTGCAACGAGCGTGGGCGTTGTGCCCGGCTGGAAAACAGAGTCCCAGAGATCGGCAATAAAAGACATGGAGATTATGTTTTTTTTCCAGCCCCGGAAGAATGTCTTTTCTAGATGCCAAGGTTGATTTCGCCAATTTGAGCACCGAGTCGCTCGAAAAACTCACCAAGGTGTCTGATTTTGCGCTCGATTATAATATCTTTCTTTTCAAAGGAATCAAACAGGCTCGTGAGTCCGATACTAAGGAACTGATTGATTTCCGACTGGATCTGTTCAATTCAATTCCCAAAGACCATGGCTCTATGATCTTTCGTGGACTCGATAAGTCTGCTTCCGGAGATTACACATTAATTCCTACAACTACTTCGAGATTGCAAGACCGGCTGTTGGAGCTGTTAATCCTGGAAAGACACAGAAGAGACATCCAGGTATTGAGCAAACTGGCCAACAAGAAGATCAATCCAGTACCGCTCGAAGACCCAAACGTCTACGAGATCAAGTCTCCGCTGTACCAGAGGTTGTTGTCTACAAAAGACGAGTACGAGACGAGTTTTAAGAGGTTTGCCATGATGCAAAACGTGGAGTACGATTTCGAGAACGAATTGGACGACGGCGACTACGAGAATGACAATGACCTGGTCCAACAGTTCTGCACAGATGACTTGTTTGAGGTCGACCCGAAGAATCTGGACGAGTCCGAATTGGCAAAAATATTGATTCCGTTGGCTTCCAAGACAATTTTCCAAGAATGAGCACTTGATCTGCATGTCGGCCCAAAAACCATGATATGGCACTGATCAGCACACTTTCCCCTTTTGAAAGAATGCGCCACTTGCCAATCATTTTCTTCTCAACTATAGCTGCTTGTGGTTGCTTCCAAAAATCGGAATAAAAATGATACGAGCCAACTCTATACGAGCAGGCGCCCGTTTTCGCGATCTCGAATTTCCACTAATGCATACGCGTGCTGGGTGTCTGCACTGGAGCTTCTGAGCTTGCGCAGATCTGGAAACAGTCTTAAATAAATATTCTGTTCTTGATGGTTGCAGAAAAAAAGATACATTGTTCCAAGTCAAAAATTAGCCAATGGCTTCCAAATAGCCAGGTTCCATGAACTCTGCCATACAGCACACTGTTTCAAACAGTCCAGAATAGAATACCAGAAACTTTCTAGTCCGATCTGATATATAAACTCTGGACTGTACCGCACAGACCATTCTTCATTTGATATGTTGGGATACAAAATTTTGACCGCTGCCGCTCTATTGTTGGCTGTTGCTCCTGCTAGACCTGTTGCCGGAGGCGACTGGGACCTTGAAACCACAAGTACCGAGTACGTTACTGTGACTTACTCTGACAGTACCTCGACCTCCACCACCGACTGTGGTGACAAGGACGAGACCACGTCTGAGTCCACGTCCGAGTCTGTGACTTCGTCTACTCCAGTCGTTTCCACCTCCAGCTCGCTGTCTTCCTCGTCTTCCGTGGTGACACCAACCACCTGGACTACCGTCATTGTGACCTCAGGAACCACTATCACCACCGGATGCGTCGAGACCACCGAGACTTTTGAGGAATACACCACTATCTACACCACCTACTGTCCTCTGCCGGAAACAGAGACCCCAACCACCGTCGCACCATCGACTCTTCCTCCATCTCCTCCAGTGCACTCCTCTGCACCACCAGCTCCGCCAGTTCCTACTCACACCACCGCTGTGCCTCCAGCTCCAGCACCACCTGCATCTTCCTTTGCTCCATCGAGTTCGGCTACAGCTCCAGTGGTGCCTCCATCCTCGGCTCCAGTCCCAGTGGTTTCTTCCGCCACCCCAGTCTCCTCGGCTCACTTTGAGTCTTCTGCTGCTCCATTCACTCCGGTCTTCACCGCCGTGCCTGGCAACAGCTCTACTCCACACACCTCTGAGCTCTCTTCCTCTGTTGGTGTCGAGACCCAGCTGCTTGCTGGAGCCGCAGGACTCAACCTTGGCTACCACTCCGCTTACGCCTTTGTGCTTGCTTTGATGGTGGCTCTTGCTTGATTAGATCTACGTGTTTCTTCTTTTTATGTATTCCGGAACATTTTGGCCAGTGCAATAATAGTAGTCATACATTCGTTATGTATCTTCTCTACTCAACATCGTTTTCAAAAGTTTCACCTTCTGTCAACTCTGGAACATCTTCCTCGTCCTCCTTCGAAGCATCAGCACCTCCCTTACCCTTCTGGATCTGCTCGGCAATCTGTTGCAACATGTTGAGGTTCTCAGCACCCAATTGCGGCAAAATGTTTGGGAGCAACTCAGGCAAAGTCTTCTCCTGAGCGAATCCACTGAAGGTGTAGGTATTGTAGGCAGCAGCAGCCTGGACACCAACTCTGTTGAAATGCAAAACCTTACCGTCATCCTTGAAGAAGTTGGCCTCCTCGATGCCAGTCAAGACCTCAGCATTCAACTTCTTGAGAGTGTTTTGCAACTGGGTGTCGTCGGCCTCGGCACTCTTGTTGATCTTCTTGGCCTTGATTCTTTGTCCACCGACTTTCTTGGCGGAAGCCTTTTGCAACTTGGCGAGCTTTTCTGGGTCAATTGGCATTATGATTTCGCTCTCTTAGTAATTTTTCACTTTTTTTTCTCCAAAATCGACATTTTTCAACGAGCTGGGATTCCTTGACCTTATGGTTAAGCAGCCCTGGTGCTATAAGAATAAATTACACACTTTTTTGGTAGCTGGGCCCGATCTGGCTAATCTTGCCAACGAGACCCAAATATACATATCTCTATTCGCTATCGCTGAGATTCTCCTCGTTCAGCTTCGTTAAAAGTCGCTCACGGTTTCTTTTACACGTCAGCGTGTCTATGTGTCTTTTCAACGCGTCCTTACGAGCAAATCCTTTCTGGCATAGCGGGCAGATGTTGGGAGGCACCTCGAGATGGATTTTCTCGTGGCGTTTGAGATCCGAAGACCTTTTGAACGTCATCGAACATGTGCGGCAAACATGGCTCTTGGGATGTGATTCAGGCGTGGTTGGATTAGAATGGTTCGACTGCTGCGCAGACTCGCTGCTCCCGGCGTTGTGATGATTCGATAGCACGTCTATATTTTGGAGCACCTGTAGCTGTTGCGGCGGAGATGTAGTCAAACCGGGCGAGGTGGCCTGCTGCTTAGAAGTCGATGAGATGCCAGATATTTTTTGAAATAGCTCTTGCTGTTCTGTGGGATCCATATTCTTGATACTGTTGGCGAGCTGGCCTATCAACTCGTTGTTTTGAGATTGGGGGCTATGGCTGGCATATAAAGAAGACCCAACCTGGCCAAAATGCTGTTGTTGTTGCTGATTCTTGAACACGTCCAGCCCCAACTGGGGAAACGTATCGGAGTTTCGACTCCCACGCGACTCCAACTCCGAGTTCTGCGGAAACACGCGCTGTCCGATTAACCTATTAATCTGAGGACCCATATATTCCCTAGAGATCGGCAAACCCCCATGTGGCGAATTTGCGTACTGGAGCCTGCTCAGAATATCTCTGATGGTGGGATCTATGCGGTACTGGTGCTTCTTGATCACCTCATTCGCGAGCTTCAAAAACTCCACGTCCTCAAGTGTCATTGGCTCTGCCGGAAACCGAGCAGCGCGATTTGGAGACACTTTGGGCTTGGATGAATTGATTAGCTCAATCAACAGTCTTTGAATATCCGACGACTGACTGCTCATTATATTAGCATTCTATGGGCAACACCAGGCGTAAAAGACAGTTGGATGTAAAAGATGGTTAAAAAGTTTCGACAACGGCCATGCCTATGGCCTTTAACTATTGGTATCGAACGGTGGCTCCTATGTTTAGCAATTCTTATACTGTCTATTATGAATCATCACGTGACTAGGAACAAATTTTCTAAAATTTCGTATATCTAAAAATCTACACAGCCTTGAATATCTTAAACCCTTTTCTCCAGCATGCTCTCTCTGGCTGGACCTGTTCCAACCCATTGCACAGGAACTTGGAGGAAGTCCTCGATGAACTTCAGGTATTTCTGAGCGTTCTCTGGCAGATCCTCATAACGCTTCACAGAGGTGATATCCTCGTTCCATCCTGGAAGAGTCTTGTATTCAACGTCCACCTTGTCCAGGACATAAAGGTCTTCTGGGAACGACTCAAGCTTCTTTCCGTTGTAACTGTATCCGACACCAACCTGAATCTCCTTGAAGGAGTCCAAAACGTCCAATTTTGTGATATTCAACGAGGTGTACCCGTTGATCAAACACGAGTACTTCAGCACCACAAGGTCCAACCATCCGCATCTTCTCTTTCTTCCGGTGGTGACACCGTACTCGCGACCGATGGTTTGTAGAGCCTCACCGTCCTTGTTGAGTTGCTCGGTAGGGAAAGGTCCTTCACCCACCCTGGTTGTGTAAGCTTTCACCACACCATAAATGTTTCTGATGCTCTGAGGAGGAATACCAAGACCAGTCAGAACTCCACCGATACCGGTGTTGGACGAGGTGACGTATGGGTAAGTACCGAAGTCGATGTCCAACATCAAAGCGTTGGCACCCTCAATCAAAATCTTCTTCTTTTCCTGGAGAGCCTTGTGCATGAACTGGACAGAGTCCACAACAAATGGCTTGATCTTTTCTCTGAGCTCCTTGTACTTGGCGAGCTCAGTCTCGACGTCGCAGTCAAACTCACCGTATCTCTTGAAACGGGTGTCGACAAGTCTTCTGACTCTGGTCTCGAACTCTTTCCAGGAGTCTGGCTCGTCCGAAACCAAGTGGTGGACTCTCACACCGGATCTGGAGGCCTTGGTGGAATAAGTTGGTCCAATACCCTTACCGGTGGTTCCAATGGACTTCTTGTTGCTGGAAAGCTCGGCCTCTCTAAGTTTGTCCACACGCTGGTGGAAGTCGAAAACCAAGTGAGCTCTAGAAGACAAGAACAAACGACCTTTACAGTCGAGTCCCTGCTCCTCGATTTTGTGCAACTCCTCGAAGAACGATGGAAGATGAACAACAACACCGGATCCAACCAGGTTGACACACTTTGGATTCACCAATCCAGAAGGAAGCATGTGGAAATCGTACTTCTTGTCTCCCACAACAATGGTGTGTCCGGCGTTGTTACCACCTTGACATCTGGCACACACCTCGATGTCGTCACAAAGAAGATCGACAAGTTTTCCTTTACCTTCGTCACCCCACTGGGCACCTAAAACAACGTCAGCCATGTGATTATTGAACAGAAGATGAATCTGTTAAACCAAAAAAAATTCCGGGAGGCAGCAGGTATAATATATAAATTTTTCTGCCCGGTAGCTGGACCCGTCGCGGGGAAGTCCGCGGTAAGAAGTCATCTAATAAATTAATTAACACGGTTCAAGTCAACATTTTTTCAAGATTATGTAAGAGAAAGGAGAACCAAAGAACAATGGCACCAAATAGGTGTCACAATACATAATCAAGCCGCAAAGTCCAGCACTATAATAGGAGAGACTTATTGGGTGTGAACCTCCTTATCTTCCTCAACAGTAGCAATGTCTCCGTTTTTGTGCAACAACGAGTCGGCATGGATGGTTGGCAGTTTAACACTATGCATTAGTCCGGTTTGAGAATGTACTTACCTGAATCCCTTGATTAAAGAGTACTCGTGTTGGATTTCGCCCCCCACGGCCTTAATTCCTTGCTTAAACCTTAATGGTTAGAACACTTGTGTTTCATACTCACTTTGCAATTGCTGGGTCGGTGGTGGATTCCTTGAGGGTAACCTGGGCGTTAGTGGCTCAATTGGCTCGACTTACGATGAATGTTTTGCTTTCGGTCATGGTAGCTAGATAGAGAAAAGAAATTTGTGGTACGAATTTTAGCAATAAAGATCAGGCCAATCAATAACTTTTTTGTGTGGCGCAGGAGGCCAATTTTTTACGACACAGATATTTGTTGTACCCGATATAGAGATCGAAGAGTTGGAGAGTAGGGTGCACTTGGTGGGTCTTGCACAAGCGGGAGGGCTTTGATGAAGGGGTGCTTGTTGTTTTGGAAGTGTATTGATGGTTTCATATGTGGTTTACTAGTATCCCTCCAACTGTCAATTTTAATAATTCAATATATTAACTCCAGATGGAGAGACTAACAAGTGATTTCCAAAATTTATTCCCTAGCAGTAGATTACCTTACAAACAGTCAGCTTTTATGCTCAAGAAGTTTTTCTCGCATTTCATGGCCTCAAAGTTCAACGTATCTGACATGGCTATCTGCTACCATTGCTGACCTAATCATGCATAAAAAAAAATTTTACTTAAAAATATTTTTGATCTAGATGGCTAAACGTTCGCACAAGAAGGGCGGCAACCGCCCACAGCAACCAAAGAGACAGCGTCTTGAGAAGGAAGAGGTCGATGAGGAAAACACCGACCAGCTTGTTTCCAAGATTAACGACGAGTACGACGACGTCGAGGCGCTTTTAGAGAAGGACAGTGAGAGCGAGGAAGAGGAAAAGGAGGAGGAAGATTCCAAGAGTGAGAGCGAAGAAGAAGAAGAAGAAGAAGAAGAAGAAGAAGAAGAAGAAGAAGAGGAGGAAGAGGAAAGGGAAGAGGAAATTTCCAACAGTTCTTCTAGACCTGCTATTGTCGAAAACCCTACTCTGTTCTCCGAGCTCCACCTTTCTGAGCCAACAATGAAAGGTATTAATGATATGGGCTTCACCAAGATGACTGAGGTTCAATCGAGAACGATTCCTCCTTTGCTCAGCGGCAAGGACGTCTTGGGAGCTGCCAAGACTGGTTCGGGAAAGACTCTTGCTTTCTTGATTCCTGCTATCGAGCTTTTGTACTCGCTCAAGTTCAAGCCCCGTAACGGAGCAGGAGCCATTGTGATTACTCCTACCAGAGAGTTGGCTTTGCAGATTTTCGGAGTTGCTCGCGAACTTATGGCTCACCACTCCCAGACTTTGGGAATTGTGATTGGAGGTGCCAATAGAAGACAAGAGGCTGAAAAGTTGGCTAAAGGAGTCAACTTGATCATTGCCACCCCAGGAAGATTACTCGACCACTTACAAAACACAAAGGGATTCATTTTCAAGAACCTCAAGACATTAATCATAGACGAAGCAGACAGAATTTTGGAAATCGGTTTCGAAGACGAAATGAAGCAGATTGTCAAGATCTTGCCAAACGAAAACAGACAGTCGATGCTGTTTTCCGCTACCCAAACCACCAAGGTCGAGGACCTTGCCAGAGTTTCTTTGAACAAGGCTCCTCTTTACATCAATGTCCATCAGGATAGAGAAACTTCTACTGCAGATGGATTGGAGCAGGGATACGTTGTTTGCGACAGCGACAAACGGTTCTTGCTTCTCTTTTCGTTCTTGAAGAGAAATCTCAAGAAGAAAGTCATTGTTTTCCTTTCGTCTTGCAACTGTGTGAAATATTACAGTGAGCTTCTGAATTATATCGATTTGCCAGTTTTGGATCTCCATGGAAAACAGAAGCAACAGAAGCGTACAAACACGTTCTTTGAGTTCTGCAATGCCAAGCAGGGTATTCTGGTCTGTACCGATGTTGCTGCTAGAGGATTAGACATCCCTGAAGTTGACTGGATTATCCAGTTCGATCCGCCTGATGATCCACGTGACTATATCCACCGTGTCGGACGTACCGCAAGAGGAAGCAAAGGTAAGGGAAAGTCTCTGATGTTTTTGACTCCTTCGGAGCTTGGGTTCTTGAGATACCTCAAGGCTGCCAAGGTTCCACTTAACGAGTACGATTTCCCATCCAACAAGATCGCCAACGTCCAGTCCCAACTTGAGCAATTGGTGAAAAATAATTACTGGTTGCACCAATCTGCTAAAGATGGATACAGAGCATATTTGCAAGCATATGCTTCCCACCACCTCAAGACCGTTTACCAGGTCGACAAGTTGGACCTTGTCAAGGTTGGTAAGTCGTTTGGATTCCCTGTGCCTCCTAAAGTGAACATCACCATTGGCTCAAGTCTTTCGAAAAAGAGAAAATGAGTGTACATTTACTGCATATAGAATATCGATAATCTATCATCTTCTCCCCAATAATGTAAGGAATTCGTCTCTGGTCTTTTGTTGGGCACGGAAACATCCCAACATACAACTGGTGGAGGTAACAGCGCCCGCTTTCTGCACCCCGCGGCTCACCATACACATATGGGTGGCTTCCATGACAACTGCCACTCCGCGTGGCTGGAGAATCTCGCTTAATGCGATCGCAATCTGCTTCGTCAGTCTCTCTTGGACCTGGAACCGTCTCGCGTACATCTCTGCCAGTCTTGCAAGTTTGCTTAAACCCAGAACTTTCTTGTTTGGGATGTAGCCAATGTGCACTTTTCCAAAAAATGGAACCAAGTGATGCTCACACAGTGAGTAGATATCTATGTCTTTCACAATCACCATTTCGTCGTGATCTTCTTCAAAAACCGCATGCTTGATCACATCCTTGATGTTATCCTCATATCCCTTGGTGAAGAAAAGCATGGCTCTGGCGTACCGTTGTGGAGTCTCCAGCAGTCCTTCACGCTCAACGTCTTCACCCAGCTCTGTCAAAATCGTTTTGACAGCATCGGCTATTCTGTCTTCCCTGGCCTTGGCCTCCTCTGGAGTGGCCTCAATACGGGCACGTGCACCGAGCGAAGGCCAGGAAAGCCCATCCGAGTCTATAGGTGGATTCAAAGTGTACGGAGAAGCGGCTCTAGTATTCAGAGGTGTGCTCAACCGCTTGTAGTATGGCTCTCGCACAGGACGAGGGTGCAGTGGAGCAACTGCGGACCGCTGCTCATCGCTCACGGGCCTCGAAAGAGGCGAAGAAGGATGACTGGACTTTAGTTCGTGGTGATCGCTCATTCTGACTTGGATTAATTTATTTAGCTTGGAAAATTATCATTTTTCCTGAAATATTTTCTTGGTACTATGGCTGATTGTGGAATATCTGTCATTGTTGGGGATTCGACCCTGATCCCATGTGACTCATAATTTCCAGATATCGTCCAATCAAAGTGCGTCCTGGAGCCACCATCTTGCTTACAATTACACTCGGCCTACACTCGGCCTAGACGCGTCGATCGACCAGACGCACTCGCTCTGTGCAATATTTTTTTTTTCCGTGTTCCTTGATTTGTTTTTCCAGTCTTCTCCGTTGTAGGTGTTCCGGTGGAAATTTATGCTCTGGACGAGATAGTCAAGGTCGCTCGTTTTTGAATCACACTTTCATGGAGACTACAACCTCCACAGACCCGTCTTGGACGGTGTTCCTGTTTGCAGATTTGTTTTTCGTTTGGTATTTGATTGTCATCGCCGTGGCATACAACGGTTTCTTCACCATCCTGTTCAAGTTCACCAAAAAATCGAGATCCAGGTCGTTATCTGAGTCAGAGTCCTCTGCATGCGAAGGTGTCACCATTTTGAGACCATTAAAGGGCATCGATCCAGAATTGGAAACGTGCCTGAGATCGTCCTTTTTGCAAAAATACCCCAAATCGATGCTCGAGATTATTTTCTGTGTGCAAGACCAGCTAGACCCTGCGATTTCGATCGCGAAAAAACTCATTGCGGAATACCCAGACATCGACGCAAAGCTGCTGATCGACCCCGATCAGACGTCCAAGTGCAGCTACGGACCAAACCCTAAAGTGAACAACCTTGCAAAAGGTTACGAAGCCGCAAAATTCGATATTCTTTGGATTCAGGACTCCAATGTCTGGTCCAGACCAGATACTTTACAGAGGTCTGTGGTTGCATTGACCAGATCTCTCAATAATGGGAAGCCAACCTCGCGGAAGGTCAATCTCGTGCACCATGCTCCGCTCGCCGTGTCTTTGGGGGACTGTTTCCAAGGAGCCCTGGGTGCCAGCTTGGATGAGATGTTTCTCGGAACTGCACACTCCAAGTTTTACGTTTCGCTGAACGAGGTCGCCGTGGCTCCATGTGTGAACGGCAAGTCCAACGTATACAGACGTTCCGAGCTGGACGAAGCCGTGTTCAGAATGGGACAGAGTGCGAGCGCGCCAAGTTCCGACGGCCAGAGCGGTGATATCCACCAAGACGCAAGATATTACAGCTTACAGCCTGGTCACGGGATCAGATTCTTTGCACGCTATATTGGCGAAGACAACATGATCGGAATCGCACTGTGGGACTACTGTCACGGTCGCACTGCCATGACCGGAGATTGTGTGGTTCAGCCGCTGGGAGGTTCTAATGGACTTCTTGCTTACTGCCACCGCCGAATCAGATGGCTGAGGGTGCGAAAATACATGGTGTTGGCTGCCACATTGCTTGAACCGACTACCGAGTGTTTGCTCAGCGGATTGTACGGTGGATTTGCCATGGGGGTGCTATTTGGTAGCAGCTACTTTTCCAAATGGTTCTTCACTCTCCACGTTCTTGTGTGGCTCGCAACCGACTACATCCAGATGTGCCATCTGTTTGATTCTGTCAGGGGAGGCGGGATCGAGGAGCCGTTCTTTGTGGAGCTGTCGAGCTCGAGAGTGCAGGAAAAGAGCCCTACTTGGTTCTTGACCAACTGGCTACTCCGCGAGCTGCTGGCTCTCCCTGTGTGGGTGGTTGCCGTGCTGGGGTCGCACATCGACTGGAGAGGCCAGCCGTTCAGAATTAAGGCGGATCTCAGCGCTGAAAAGTTATGACAGATAGAGTTACTTAGCATTATATTATAGAATAGCATATCGGATTTCCAGATCGCTAAATTCCTCAATGAGGAATTTTTTAGCGTTGGTCGCGCGGGGTGGTTTAATTTTCAGTTTTAGATTTATAATTTGTTGAATCTGCTATGACAGCTGTGGACGTTGTGATTGTTGGTGCTGGCATTGCTGGTATCAAGGCCGCCACCGAATTGAACGCCAAGGGCTTGAAGACCCTAGTTTTAGAGGCCAGAGATAGAATTGGAGGTAGATTGTACACCTATCACCCTAAGGGATCCAAGTTTGGCTACGATATTGGGGCATGTTGGTTCCACGCTACTGTGCACAACCCGATCTTCCAGAATGCGGTTCAGAAAAAGAACATTGACTACGTTTTCGACGAGAATTCCGCCTCTGTGATCACTCCTGAGGGCCCCTTGCCAACCAATGTTGGGCCAATCGTGGAGGAAATTAAGCTGTACGCCAAGTCCCGGCCAGGTCCTGATGTAAACCTCAAAACTGCCTGTGCCGAGTACTTTGCCAAGCTAGGAAACGTTCTTTCCGAGGAACAGAAAACCTGGGCTACCGCACTAATTAGATTACTAGAAGTCCCTAACGGTATGAGATGGGACATGTTCTCGGCTAAGCTGGCCACTCCACCATACGGCGGCAGAGACGCGTTTGTTTCCAGCGGTTACGAGAAGGTTATCGAGAACGAACTCGAAGGGTACCCTAAAGAATCCATTTTAACCAGCACTGTTGTGAAGGAGATCCAGAAGAAGGGCGATACATACACCGTCACTACCGAAGACGGCAAGTCGTTCACCTCTTCGTTTGTGATTATTACAGTGCCCCAATCCGTGTTGAAACTGACCGTTGAGGACCCTGATGCCAAAGGTGCCATCAAATTTGATCCTCCTTTGCCTGCTTCCATCACCGATAATTTTGCCAAGACCCATTTCTGTGCGCTTGGAAAGGTGATCTACGAGTACGACTCCGCGTTCTGGCCAGAAACCGAGAAATTTGTGATCCTTCCTGGCCCAGACAGCTCTGTGGCTACCAAAACCAGTTTTGAGACGCAGGAGTACGATAAGAAGCTGGATGCCCAAGAGGCCGACCAGCTGAAGGCGTTTGATTTCCCTGTTGTCGTCTCCAACCTGAACATCGTGAAGGGCGCTCCCGCATTGATGTTCTTGGTGCCTGCACCTGCTTCGCACTTGCTCGAGGAGGACGTTGAGAAATACGGACCAAAACTGATCGAGCCGCTGATCGCCAAACTTTCTAACAAAGACGTGAGCGAGCTGCCAAAACCTAAGCTTGTTTTCTCGACAAACTGGGGTACCGATCCGTTCAGCAGAGGATCTGTTTCTGGTAATGCAGTTGGAGATGTTCTGGTCAACGACGGACTGATCGAAGGTGTTGGAAACCTGCGTTTTGCCGGCGAGGCCTACTGCTACGAGGGCCATTGCAACGCTCATGGCGCCTATATCAGTGGAAAGAGAGAGGCAGACTACATCCTGCAACAGCTTGGCAAATGAACGAGTGCAAGGATGTTTCTATCTTTTTTAGGCAAGGTGAAAACATAAATAAATAGGGGAAAATAATTTAGGTTCCTTTGATTTCATGTCTGATTTACGGAAAGTGTACGAGGCAGCCGGCCAGGGCCATTTGTTCAAAGCATTTGAGAAACTGGATGGCGAGGGCCAACAACAGCTTCTGGCACAGCTGGCCAAAATCCAGGATCCGTCCAAATTCATCGAGGAAGTGCAGGACGCTATTAAATACAGCTCATCGATCTCTGGTTCAAAAACGTTTGCGCCTTTGCCAGAAGAGGCGCGGGCCTCTGTGATTGACTGCAAGCCAGAGACGATGGAGAGATGGCTGTCTTCTGGCTTGGAGCTGATCAACAAGGGGAAAGTTGGAATAATTTTGATGGCCGGCGGTCAAGGTAGCAGATTGGGGTCGTCCGCGCCAAAGGGGTGTTACAACGTGGGACTTCCGTCTCAGAAATCACTGTTCCAGCTTCAATGCGAGAGATTGAGCAAGCTGCAGGATCTGGCGAAGACGTCCACTCCTATCCCATTGTATGTGATGACTTCAGGCCCCACCAGACAAGCTACCGAGGAGTATTTTAAAGATCACCAATATTTTGGCCTCAAGCCGGAGCAGGTGGTATTTTTCAACCAGGGAACGCTTCCAGCGGTGAGCACGGACGGCAAGAAGCTGCTGTTGGAGTCGGCGAGCTCGTTGGTCGAGAGTCCCGACGGAAACGGTGGTCTTTACAAAGCCATCTACGATAACAAGCTGCTGGACGATTTCGCCAAGCGTGGAGTGGAACATATCCACATGTACTGTGTGGACAACGTTTTGGTAAAAGTTGGCGACCCAGTTTTCGTTGGGTACGCGTCCAACAACAAGTACCATATTGCAACCAAGGTGGTGCGTAAGAGAAGTGCGGACGAGAGTGTGGGGCTGATCGTGATGGACCAGGAAACCAAGCATCCTGCAGTCATCGAGTACTCCGAGATCAGCCAGGAACTAAGAGAGAAGACCGATTCTGAGGGGCTGCTCTTATTCAGAGCAGCAAATATCGTCAACCACTACTACAGTGTTGAGTTTTTGACACAAATGGTTCCTCAATGGATTTCGGACCGTGCATACCTGCCATACCACATTGCTAGAAAGAAGATCGGGTGCATTGACCCAGAGACGGGCGAGTTCAGCAAGCCAACAGAGCCTAACGGGCTCAAAATGGAGCAATTCATCTTTGATGTGTTTTCGTCTGTGGACATGGCTAAATTCGGATGTTTGGAGGTAGACCGATCCGAAGAGTTTTCTCCGTTGAAAAACGCACCGGGTAGTGCGAATGACAGTCCCGAAACATGCAAGGCGAACCTGTTGGCTAGAAGTGCGCGGTGGCTTAAAAAAGCCGGGGCTACTGTGATTGGAGACGAAGTCGAGGTAAGCCCGCTTTCGAGCTACTCAGGCGAAGGCCTTGACAAGTTTGCCGACGCAACCATCTCTGCGCCCAAGATCGTTTAGCCAAAACGGAAGAGATCTATGCGGAGAGGATTAAGTGTGGAAAAAATGGAATCAACTGATTTACCTGCATTTCCCGGATGCATCCAAATAAATTATAAGGGGGGAGGGCAAGTTTGCAGGATTAATTTGTAAAATAAGTTGCAATAAGAGGCTTATTGGTTTCGTGACAGTAGATTTCCAGTCAATTGAGCACCATTCGCCATTTTCCAGTATGTCAGACCCAAGAGACTCTTTCCCGGCCCACAAGAGGTCTTTGACAGGATTTACCCCAACGGAGATAAAGGCAATCGATAACTCGATTCCGATTAAGGCGCGCGAGGCATGGCAACGGTTTGGCACCAAGGAGTTCCAGAGCTCCGACGAGCTCGAGGCCCGAATCATCGATCATGTCGAGACCAGTTTGGCCAGATCGATGTACAATTGTGACGATCTTGCTGCTTACCAGTCTCTTTCCAGTTCGATCAGAGACAAGTTGATCTTGCGGTGGAACAAAACACAGCAATTGCACACAATCAAGGAGGTAAAGCGTGTTTATTACCTGTCGTTGGAATATTTAATGGGCAGAGCGTTGGACAATGCCATGATCAACCTTGACATTAAGGATTTGTGCAACAAGTCTACAAACGAGCTTGGATTTAACTTGGAAGACCTGATCGAGACCGAGCCCGACGCCGGCTTAGGAAACGGTGGTCTGGGAAGATTGGCTGCCTGTTTTGTTGATTCTTTGTCCACAGGTAACTATCCTGGTTGGGGTTACGGTCTCAGATACAACTACGGTATTTTTGCGCAAAAAATCATCAACGGGTACCAGGTAGAGACTCCAGATTACTGGCTCAAGTTTGGAAACCCTTGGGAGATCCCTAGAACAGAGATCCAGATCCCTGTGGACTTTTACGGATACGTTTCCACCATCAAGGACGAAAAAACCGGAGCTCTTTCCAAGCAATGGAAGGGAGGTGAACAGGTTTTGGCTGTTGCGTACGATTTTCCCGTTCCTGGTTACAGTACCTCGAATGTGAACAACCTGAGAATGTGGTCTTCGCAGCCAACGAGAGAATTCGACTTTCAGAAGTTCAACGAGGGTGATTACTCAAATTCCGTCGTCCAGCAGCAGCGTGCCGAATCCATTACCGCGGTTTTGTACCCGAACGATAATTTTTACCAGGGTAAAGAGCTCAGACTGAAGCAGCAGTACTTCTGGGTTGCAGCCTCTCTACACGACATTGTGAGACGGTTCATCAAGACAAAGAAACCGTTCTCGCAATTCCCAAATTATGTTGCTATCCAGCTGAACGACACTCATCCAACAATTGCTGTTGTCGAGCTGCAAAGAATTCTGGTGGATTTGCAAAAGGTCGACTGGGATGAGGCCTGGGATATCGTGATCAAGACATTCGGATACACAAACCACACTGTTATGTCTGAGGCATTGGAGAAATGGCCATTGGAGCTGTTTGCAAACCTGCTACCAAGACACTTGGAAATTATCTACGAGGTGAACTTGCGGTTCCTTCAAAAGGTCGAAAAGTTGTTCCCTAACGAGAGAGACCTGCTCACCAGAGTGTCTGTGATCGAGGAGTCATCTCCAAAGAATATCCAAATGGCACACCTGGCTATTATTGGCTCGCACAAAGTCAATGGAGTGGCAGAGCTTCACTCCGAGCTGATTAAGACCACAATTTTCAAGGACTTTGTCAGAATTTACGGCGCCGAAAAGTTCACAAACGTCACCAACGGTATCACTCCTAGAAGATGGCTGAGACAGGCCAATCCTAAATTGAGCGACTTGATCGCTTCGAAACTTGGAGGATACGACTATCTTTTGAAGCTGGAGAAGCTCAAGAACTTGGAAAAGTTCCTGGACGATACGGAGTTCAAGAAAGATTGGCTCGAGGTCAAGCGCTACAACAAGGCCAGACTGACATCACTGGTGAAGACACTGACCGGGATCGAGATCAACCCTAACAGTATGTTTGATATTCAGGTGAAGCGGATTCACGAGTACAAGCGTCAACAGCTCAACATTTTTGGTGTTATCTGGAGATACCTGCAAATCAAGGCCACTCCGCCCTCCGAAAGATCAACCAAGTGGGCTCCAAAGGTGTCTTTAATCGGAGGAAAAGCTGCTCCGGGCTACTGCGCTGCAAAGAAGATCATCAAGCTGGTTAATGCAGTCTCGGACGTGGTGAACAACGATCCTGAAATTGGCGATCTTCTCAAGGTTGTCTTTATTCCTGACTACAACGTCTCCAAAGCAGAGATCATCTGTCCTGCTTCCGACATCTCTGAGCATATTTCCACCGCTGGAACAGAAGCCTCTGGAACATCCAACATGAAGTTTGTGCTCAATGGCGGACTCATTATTGGTACCGTTGATGGAGCCAACGTTGAAATCACAAGAGAAATTGGAGAGGACCAGATCTTCCTATTTGGTAACCTTTCCGAGGACGTCGACGAGTTGAGACACGAGCACCAGATGGGTCGCCTGGACATCCCAGATGCCTTGAACCAGGTGTTTGATGCCTTGCAGTCTGGTCTGTTTGGTATCTACGACGAGTACAAATCGCTGGTGGATAACATCAAGTACCACGGCGACTACTACTTGGTGAGCGACGACTTTGAAAGCTACTTGGAAGCACAGAGCACAATCGATCAAGAGTATAGGGATAAGGACAACTGGGTGCGGAAGTCGATCATCTCGGTTGCCAACATGGGCTTCTTCTCCAGTGACAGATGTCTGACCGAGTATGCTGAGAATATCTGGAACATCGAGCCGATCTCCGAACGCGTGTGATTTCAATCTACTTTTTCTTTGCAAAACAGTACATTGTGTCCCAAACAACGTGCTGAGAGTCGCCCCAGACACCAGAGTCCACCAGTTCTTTTTTAAATTGGAACATGATATCGTTTTCGGTACCTTTTGCGCCCTCGTGGTCTTTGTACCATCCGGGAAGCGCGCTGTAGGTGTTGACAAAGGTGACAAACTCGTCCAGAGTGAAGTCTTTCTGAAGGAGGAGAATTGGAGTGTTGTCGAGTTGGCCGGTCTTTGCTGCTTCTTCTCTTTTGGTAGCAGAGAGTGTAGCCTGTTCGAATTTCACCAACTCCACATTCTCGAACCTCTGGTCCTTTTCAAGCAAGTCGGTGGTGTCCTTGAGCCACGCGTAGTACCGTTCCTTGCCCTTGTCCCAGTACGGCTTCATGTAGTCTGGATCGTATCTGGTGTATTTGAGATAAATATCGTTCAGGAGCTGGTGCTGGAAAACGGGCTCTACGTACAGCCAAAATGCCAATGTTCCGTTGACAGAGAGAACTCTTGCAGACTCGTCCAGAAACCCGGCAGGATCCATCCAATGGACGCACTCGGCAGCGGTGAGCAGATCAATCGAGCCGGACTGGATCATGTTCAAGTCTTCTGCTTTTCCGACCTGGAACTCGATCTTGCGGCCGTCGAGCATGGACTTGCACTTGGAAATCATGCCGTCGCTTGGATCGACGCCAATTGAGCGCTGAAAATGAGCAGACAGCGGGAAAGTCGCCTGACCCGTGCCACAACCAACGTCCAAAAAGGTGTCCTTGGAGTCGCCGTGGTAGCTTAAAACGGTGTTGTAGAAAGAATTGGGGTACGTTGGGCGGAACGCCTGGTAATTGCCGTGGTCGAATACCGGTTTCGCATAGGTGGCCATGGTTACTGACAAAAGATAAGCAATATGTCATTTATATGAATTCGTTAGTAAAAAAACCCGTCACCGGCCCGTCACCGGTGTGATAAGAGATAAATATATTATACACTGGTGACTTTGAAAGTGGCACCGGATTGCTGTTTGATGAGCTGCAGTAAAGCGTAGTTGGGAGTGGAGGAGGCGGTTGATTTTTGAGCATCCTGCGGGGAGAGCAAAAGCTCTTTGAGACACTTGTTCTCCATCTCCAAGGTCTTTATCTTCACCTTGAGAGAGTCAATATGTTGATGAACGCGCTCAAACTTCTCCTCCATCTCCTTCTCCTTCTGTTTCTTCTTGATACGGAATCGTGCTGAGGCCAAAGTGTTTCGGCGCCTTTTATCAAGACTGACATCTGGCCCCTGCGAAGACATGCTGATTAGTTGAGGATCGAGACTAGTTTCAACTGGTGCCACAGTGAGCTGTTCATTCGTGTCGTGGTTGTGGAATTCGTTGTTTGAGAACAGAGACAAGTCTGAGTTTGCGCGGTGTTGTGATTCTGACGGATAGAAATTGAAATCAAACTCGTCCAGAAAGGAAGCTTTCTTTTGTTTATCCATCTTATTTAAGGGCTGGTCATATGACTTGGAGCAAAAAAGGGGCAGATATATATCTGTGGAGTCAATCAAGCACGAGTTGAATACTGTTTGGAGCAAATTACTAAGTGAAAAATTCGACTGTGGCACAGGGATCCTCGACGAGCCACAGAGCACGTGACGCCACAGTACAACAGTTTCATTTGTCGTTGCTTGCTTGAAAAAGAAGAGAAAAAATATGTCATAATATATTACATAAGCAAAACGGCCAGTCCAACGATACCAGCACCGGCGCCGATGGCGACCTTGCCTGCTGCAGCGGAGTAGGTCGAGATGGTGGTATCGGAGGAGTTGGAGGAGCTAGCCGAGCTGGCGTAGGTGGATGCAGCCTCGGCGGTGGCAGAGGAAGCGGCCGAAGAAGCAGCAGAGGAGGCAGCAGCAGACGAAGCAGCGGCGGAGGAGGAGGCTTCGGTGGAGGCAGCGGCAGACGAGGCGGAAGCAGTCTCAGCCTCAGAGGTAGCAGCCTGGGAAGAAGCGGCCTCAGAAGTAGCAGCTTCGGAGGTAGCGGCCTCGGAGGTAGCCTCAGTGGAGGAAACAGCCTCGGTAGACGAAGCAGCCTCGGTAGACGAAGTTGCCTCGGCAGAGGAAGTAGCCTCAGCAGTGGAGGAAGCCTCAGTAGTGGAGGAAGCAGCAGCGGTGGATGAGGCCTCGCTGGAAGCAGCAGTAGTACTGGAAGCACATTCAGTACCAGTTGGCTCGGTGTTGGTGCTGCAGGCAGCAAGAGGAGCAGTCAGGTAGCTACCATAATCAGACCACAAACACCATCCGCAGTCCAAGCATCCTGGAACGTACGAGATGAATTCGCTGTCTGAGTCACACAGACAGGTCTCATTGTACGAGGAACCAGAAGCACAGGCCTGAGCAGCCTCAATGGCATAGCCACAAGAAGCATGGCATGCGTAAGAAGCACCAGCACCAATGGCCAGACCCTTAGCCTCGGCAAAGGCGAGAGGACCTGGCTGGGGAGCAGCAAAAGCAAGCTGAGCAACAATGGCAGTTTGAACGAATGTTTTAAGCGAGAGCATGGGAATCGAAGATGTAGGAATGAAGATACAGTGACGGAGCACGGATATTTATAGGGCTCCGGTTGTTTACAACATTCTAAGCGAATTTCCTAGTTGTATCATCGAGCGTCCGTTAACTACGACAACAATAGATCGTCTCGTTAACGAGGATAGCATCTGTCTGTGATTGGCTTTTTTGACTGTCTCCGCAGTTTTCGGTGAAAACGACTCCCAAATTGGGCATGGGTGACAATAGGAAAACCCGTGCACGAATCTCGCTAAAAAAATTGGGCACTGATGCGGCAACCTTAACATCCGTGCACCAGAATCCAGCCGGTCGGACAGAGAATAAAAAAAATAATTTGTTGACACAGGGAGGGCAAAAAGGGAAAAACATGGAAAAAGCTAAATGAGTAATCTTAAAACGGCCTGCTGAGCTATCTGGTTTTGCTACGCAAGTTTCAGTGAATAAGCAATTAGCAATAAAAATACATTCATTCAGTACAAAACAGCTTAACTATAGAATGTACATGGCAACAGCACCAAGGGCGGCCATAGCACCAATTTGGTAGTTTGGAGCAGCAGCGTCAGAGTAGGTGGAGACGGAAGAAGTGGTGTCGTTGTAGGCCAAGGCAGTAGCAGCCAAGGCAAGAGTAGCGAATGAGAATTTCATAGTGGTTAAAGAATAAGTGGGTAACTTTGAGAAGTCAGGGGAAGTCTCCCTTAAGTACCCAATTTCTTATCATCCACACATACGCTTTTGGGAAGACGGTACAGCATTATGCTATTTTCGATGAATGCATATTTCCCGATTAGGAACTCTAATAGATTTGCTCTGTTTCACACTCAGGAGAAAATTACCAAACAAGGCCGTCAGAACAATAGGATTGGTACTAAGCAACGTACCAGCCTTGGGTTGATCCTTCCCGCTCATCTGTGAGCATTTCTGGCACTATTGCTGTTTGATTGCCCTCTCCTATTTCAGTTGTTTCCCACTCTCAAAAAGACATCTTGCATAAAAATGCACACGACAGTTTCCTAAAATTCATCTGTGGCGGACTAAAATGTGTCTCTCACTGGCACATCTTTATCTGCTGAGGTAATCCATAAAAAGTTGGAAAAGCTTCAAAGCACACCGCCGCTGACGTAATCTATTCGATTCTCCTTAACAAACCTACCGAAAAAAACAAATCAAGATCAAACAAGAAGTGTTCTGTGTTTTTTTTTAGCGTGCTAGAGAACCAATTGGTTATTATGACCAGCATCACAGGTAAAGCGTCTTCTGGAACGCAGAACTCGGAAATGCAAGCGTATCAGCGCAGGCGGTCGACTTCCAAAACACAGAGTAACTACAATTCTGTCAATAATCAAGGCTTGCTTCATGAATCGTCGCTAGCCGGCAGTTTGGACGAGCCCGAGCCCGACCGCAAGCCTCCGAGCTTACAAAAATTTGCACACGTTGTCAAGCTCATATCTCCCGACCAGTCGCCGTCTGAGTTTGTCAAGATTCTGAACGTCCCCCTGGCACCTGACTCATTAAAGATAGGGCGTCAAAATGTGCCAAAAGTGACCAACAAGATCACGGATGGGTTCTTTGACTCGCGGGTGCTTTCGCGTAACCATGCTGAGCTTTTCATCAACGAAAACAAGCTGTATATCAGGGATCTTAAATCTTCAAACGGAACGTTTATCAATGACGAAAAACTGGACCCACACAAGGAATACGAGCTCAAAATGGGCGACAAGTTAGATTTAGGTACCACGTTGGAGTCGCAAGTGGCACATAAGAAAATCACATGTAAGGTGGTCGAATTGAGCTTTATGAGTCTAGGCGAGTACGAGACTCTGATTAACCAGACATTGAGCAAGGGCAGTTTGGAAACAAAGAAGTTGGAGCTGTTTAACAGCTCGCTAGATGCGCTGATATTTAGCGACGTGATAGACGAACAAGAAAATCTTGTTTTGGAGTCGTTGATGGACGAACTCTCGAAGGCCGAAAAACCGAAACCGTCGCAGAAACAGAAAGAGGACCAGATTGTGCCCAACCTGAGTATCCAGCCGTCGGCGAAAGTGGACGACGTGGTACGGAAGCTGATAATATCTATCAACAACGAGTACCTGCAGCAGCAACGGCTGAAGGAGATCTCGAGGTTTATGAAGAGCTATTCGCAATATGTTCCACGAACCATTACACACAATCAAGACGATACAAACGAGCGGATCAAGGCTCTGGAGGCAGACCTTGCGAGCGCGAGAGCACAACTGGGGATCGCGAGGTCAAGCGAGGCCGCCGCTTTGGAAGCATTTTCACAGAGTAAAAACGACCACTCGAAAGCGGTTGGCGAGCTCGAGGCTTTGAAATCCAAGCTGGGATCGGTACTGGACGAGCTCGAGGCGGAAAGAGCGTTGAAAGTGCAGGCCCAAACGGAGGCATACGAGGTGCGTGCAAAACTGAAGGAGCAGACCGAGTCTCAGAAAGAGCTACCACGGTCGCTTGTTGAACAGTCCGTGGAGGCGGAGCCTGTCGAGCCTGTGCCAGCGGTGGCGCCGCCCAAGGCTGCTGCTGCGACTGTTCATAAAACAAGTCACGTTCCTATGGTCTCTATTACAGGGATACTAATAATGGCTCTTGCCGTGGCTTGGGTGTTGAGGATGTACCCAGAGCTGGCCGAGATTCCGGCGATTTCTCAGCTGACGAGCTCGTTTATGCATTGATCACAGGCAGTCCTAGCCGTTCAGCCAGATGGCCGACAAACGTGTCTGCCAGCCTGTGGAGGTCGACTCTTTTGCCGACCTCGTTTTCGATCGAGGTTTGCTGGAACGAATCCAGTCCGCACAGCACGACTCTCGGGTCGTTTATATAGGAGAGGTCCGGGTAAGCGTTGATGGAGATGCCGTGCGAGGTGATGGACCGTTGCAGATTGACGCCGATCGAGCCGATCTTGCGCAGGCCCCTATTTTCCACCCACACCCCGGTGTTTTCTGTGGTGACCGCGTTGAGTCCGATCCAGGGCTCCTTGAGAGTTTCCACCGCGCACTGTTCGAGCAGCGAAACATAGCATTTGGACTTGAGGCCTTTGAACTCGGCCAGGTCCAGAATCGGGTAGATCACCAGCTGGCCAGGGCCATGGTACGTGATCTGGCCCCCTCTTGACGTCTGCACGTATTTAGCATTTTTGATATTTTCAATGAACGCCCGGCGTTCTGCAGACGTTTGCACTCGTTCTCGCTTGCCGCCCGTGTATGTGTGCTGGAACTGGAAGGACAGGACGGTTGGCACGGACGATGCTTTAGTCTTTTTGTTTTCGAGCATCTGGGCCACCAGTTTTTCCTGCGTCAGAGCACCGGTCTCGTACGCGACCACGCTGCTGTTGAAGACGTGCCGCAGCCCCAGCCCCGCGGTCCGGGGCGAGTATCTGGAGCAAGACATCGATTAAAAAAATATTTGCATTTACATAATCAGATCAAGAGATTTCCACTCGCGGGAGACGCGTCATGAAAGTTCTGTGTGTTGCTGAGAAACCGGCCATTGCGAAAGCGGTTGCGTTTATTCTCGGTGGGGGTCGCGTGTCCACACGCGAGACGAAAGTGGGGTGGATCAAGAACTACGACTTCGACTTCGACTTCCCCCAGTTTGGCAGTTGTCAGGTCACCATGACCGCCGTCACAGGCCACATCACCACGATCGACTTCCCCGAAAACTACGGGTGGGGAAAGTGCGACAACGCAAGCCTGTTCACGGCCCCGCTGCTCACCAAGTACAACGGCAAGAACTCTACAAACATCGCCAAGAACATCACCGACGAAGCGGCCCGCAGCAACGTGCTCATGATCTGGACCGACTGCGATCGCGAGGGAGAGTTTATTGGATACGAGATTATGGAGCAGGCGCGCAAAAGAAACCCAAACATCGGCCTCGACACCACCCACCGAGCGCACTTTTCGCACCTCGAGCGGTCGCACGTGATCCACGCCGCGTGCAACACCACGCGGCTCGACTCCAAGGCCATCGACGCGGTGATGACCCGCATGGAGCTGGACCTGCGCACAGGCTCGAGCTTCACCCGGTTTCTGACCGACCTGTTCCGCAAATCGCTCAAGCTCGACGGCGTGGTGTCCTATGGTGGCTGCCAGTTCCCAACGCTGGGGTTTGTGGTGGACCGCTACAAGCGCATCAAAAGCTTCAAGCCCGAGGAATTCTGGTACCTCAACCTTAGCATCAAAAAGAAGTCCGATCGCTCAAAGACAGGAACCTCTGTCACCTGGTCCAGAGGCCATTTGTTCGATAGACTCGCCGGACTCTCAATCTACCAGCGTTGTCTCGAAATGGACGCAGAGGAAGCAACAGTGGTATCTGTGGAAACCAAGCCAACGTCCAATTGGGCTCCGTTGCCGCTCACCACTGTCGAGATGCAAAAAGATTGTGCCCGGATCTTCAAGTTCAGTGCCAAACAGACACTCGCAATTGCTGAGAAGCTGTACAACTCGGGATTTATATCCTATCCGAGAACCGAAACAGACAGGTTCCCGCGCAAAATGGAGCTCAAGAAGCTGATCGAGAAACAGCAGCAGTCGTCAAGTTGGGGCCAATACGCCTCATCTTTGCTGAACGATCCAACAAAGTACAGACAGCCCCGTGAAGGTTCCCACGACGACAAGGCGCATCCTCCTATCCACCCTGTCATCTTCACAAGTGGCGACTCGCTCAACATGAACGAGCGCAAAGTGTACGAGTACATTGTGCGGCGGTTTCTGGCGTGCTGCTCCAAAGACGCTACCGGTCTCAGAACTAGCATCAAACTCAAATGGGGCACAGAATCGTTCTCAACTTCTGGACTGGTAGTCAAAGAACTCAACTACCTGGAGGTGTATATCTACAACTCGTGGGAGTCGTCCAAAACCAAAATTCCAGAGGTAAATCCTGGAGAAAAAGTCACCTTGACTTCGGCACAGCTCTCGAGCGGGAAAACGTCCGCACCAAGTCCTCTTACGGAGCCAGAGCTGATTGCATTGATGGACGTCAACGGGATCGGCACAGATGCCACTATTGCAGAACATATTGAGAAAATCATTGAGCGTTCATATGTGACCAAAGAAGACCAAGGTCGCGGGAAAAGCAAGACAAAAGTTCTGATTCCAACAGAGTTGGGATATGCACTGGCGGAAGGCTTTGGCCAGATCGGATTCGACAGTATGTCGCTGACCAAACCGTTTTTGCGCAAAAACCTCGAAGTCAAACTGAAAGCCATCTGCGACGGAGAGTCCAGCAAAGAACAAGTGTTGCACGAGATTGGGTCCATGTACCGCGAAGCATATGCTCTCACCAGTCGCAGCCCGCGAATCCTGACCGAAAGCTATCAGAAAGTGTTGGCGAGTAATGCCTAGCGCATTTCCAAAGGTGGTGGAACGTCAGGGATCTGGCCGATGGTAAACTTGTCGGCCTTAAACTCGTTGATGACCGAGTCTGGGAGATCCGCCAGTTGTGTCTGCGGTTCTTCGAGCCCTGCCTGTTTGAACGGCTCAGATGCTGCTGCCGAATTGCCAAACGGTTGTCCAAACGGACTATTATTAGTTAATGTAGACGAATTAGAATTTGATGCCAATTGTCCAAACGGTCCCGAAGACTGACCAAATGCACCGGCCGGCGCCGCTGGAGTGGTTGATGGCTGACCAAAGGGGCTCGACGATGTTTGGCCGAACGGTGTCGGCTTAGCAGGCTGGCTGGCTACCTGGTTGAAAGGGCTTACCTTTTGGGAGCCAAACGCTCCGAAACCGCTTTGTCCAAACCCTGACGTCGGCTGCGCTGTATGGGAAGTAGCACCGAACGGGCTTGGTGCTGGGTTTGTACTTGCGCTTCCGAACGGGTTGGGCTTGGCAGCTGCGCTGCCAAATGGTGATGATGCCTGGCCGAATCCGGACTGGCCGAATGCTGAGGCGCCAGCAGAGGGAGCGGTGGAGGAGGATCCAAACGGATTAGCAGGGGCTGTCGCAGTTTGTCGTCCAAATGGGCCTGTGTTAGATGCGGTGCCAAAAGCTGAGGACCCTGCGGATTGGAAAGGGTTGGCGATAGAGTTGGCTCCAAATGGATTCGGTTTGGCAGTGGCAGAGCTCTGGAACGGGTTCGAGATACTGGCGCCTCCAAAGGCGTTTGATGTGGCTGGCGCCCCGAACGGCGAGTTTTGACGAGGTGCTCCAAAAGCGTTGGGCTGGCTTTGAGCGTTCATATCAATTGGGAAGTCAATGAAGCTTTTCACACCCTGGGGCGGCTTCTCTGCAGCGAGTTGCAGATACCGCGCTCCTTTGTACGCCTCTGTCTTGACGCGTTCCAGACACTTGATCATATCCTGTTTGCGACAGTTATACTCAAACACTGCCGAATCTTTGTTTTGGTAATATTGTAGCCGCAACTCTTCAAACGACATGTCTCTGCCACTGATGAGGTTCACATTGGCCGGAGGAGCCAAGCTATAGGAGGTGAGAACCGCACCGTTTCGCACATCGGGCAAAATCGAATTGACGTTCTTTTTGATTTCCTCTGTCTTTGTGTTCAAAGACCCCGGTGAAATAAAGCTTTTGAGATCTTCTTGCGAACTTTTGATATGGAGATTTCTGCATTTCGATCCGTATCTGCAGTTTCCGGCCTGGAAGAACGGACAAATCTTCCTTTGAGACATCTAAACAAAGTATAAATTATTTGAAAAAAAAAAAGTTCCTTGGCTTCGTTAACATGATATGCGTAGAGTGCTCGTTACCGATTAAAACGCTCTACGAAACGTACAAGGGAGACCACATTCGACTGACAATATGTCCCTCGTGCAATAAGGTTGCTGACAGATATATTGAGTTCGACAAAGTTCTGGTGTTCATTGATCTTATGCTTCTCAAGCCCCAGGCATATAAACATACCATCTACAATCAGTCATTAAACTCCGGCGCAGAGGTCAAAGTGGAACATGAACATGATTCGCCCGAACCAAAACACCAGGAAAAAACATTCATCCAAAGATATGGGCCTTGTCTGCGTCTGTTGGTGTTAATGCTCTTGTTTGAAGTGTATTTGACATGGGCCTATGAAGAAAAGAATTTCATTAAAAACGTCTTCAAGACCTCGTTGATGAACAAGACGGTATTGGAGAACCCGCGGATCATCATCCAGTACTTTTTCTTCCTCACAAAAGCCGTCCTGGACACGCTGGTGCTGCATGTTTCGATCCAGTTTTTCACTTACCAATTTCTGGGGTTCGGACACCCCACGACAGTCGAGTTCGAAGAGTCACTTTCGCCGTCTTCCTCGAAAATTCTCAGTTTTAACGACATCCCACGCCTTGCTAGGTCTCCATCATCCTCGTCGTCCTCGTCGAACGTGGTGGTTTCTGAGAAAGTTTCGTATTCCAGAGATTACTTCATTAGCATCGTCTCCACCACCATTCTTCTCTCCAACCTCATCAAGGTTTTCCCAATCGTCATGCTCATTTGGCCGTACGATATATTCATCCTCAACGTCACGTCCAACCTCGTGCAAATTATCCATCTGGTCATCCTCATAGAAGTGCTCCATATTGTGCTTCTGGAGAACGAAAATAACCAGTATTGGAAACTCACGTTGATAGTACTCGCCAGCCAGACCCTCAAGTTCGTCACCACGCGGCTCATACTCGTGTCGGTATTCCGGTTCACATCCAACCTCGCTTTCAAAACAGCCATTCTGGACGAACTCAACCAGCTCCGCTTAAAACTGCATCTCGTCCACGAACTGTTCAATTACATCGGATTATGAGTATATTTCGCGCTCTATATATTTAATACTCTTCCAAAGTAAACCGTTTTCTAATGGTTCCGTCTGCGGTGGCCATCACCACCTGTTCCGAATTGACCGCGAGCCATGGCCCGTCCAAACTTTGAACCAGGTGCGGATATTCGTACGTTTGATTGAATTCTCTGCGCTCGTCAATGGTGCTCGAACGTAGCGACGAGAGACTCACCCCGTTCGCCAAGACATGGCCAGAAAGGTTGCCAGACGAGATCTGGCTATTCGGCTCCACAGTAGGCTCCTTGTCGATGGCCCGTAGAGCAATGTAGAAACTTAATGGTAGGTAATTGCGCTCAAAGTTCCACGAGTACAGGATGGTCAAAAATGGAAGCGGAATAAGACACATGGCAAGAATGTAAGCGTTGTTCAGTGCCAGAGACCCCGCCACGGTCAGCTGGAAAAGAAGCAGTCCCAAAACCACTCTGCGGAAGATTATTGGCATCACCTGGCCGGTCGAGTGCTGAGGATGGATGCACGTGTAGATCAGCAGGTACTTGTAGACAAAATATCCAACAACAAAGTATGCGAGACCGGAGGACAAGATCTTGGTGGACATGACACTGTACAACAGAGTGATGATGAGAATCAGAAGCGGATGAGGTAGATGGAGTCCAAAGTTGAACAACGGTGGCCGGTAAAGTTCTCTGTAGTCTCTTGGGGTCTTGCATTTGGCCTTTATCAGCACGAAGCGCATGATATGGCCCAGAACTAACAGTTTGCACGGCATCAGCGCCAAGCCTTGAAGAAGAATTGTGTCGACGTAGAAAGTCGACAATCCTTTCAGGGAAGTGGCGAGCTGGAGAGCCAGTTTCTTGGAGTCACTAAGATAACCCCAATAATTCGACGCAGTACCCGCCATCGTGAACACCAGGAACAAATTGACAAACACATAGAAGAAGTTTTTTGACACCACTGACAACTCTTCTTCTCCGTGCGAGATAAATCCTTGTCTTGAAGAAAGCCACACGTACAACAGTGGAATCACAAAATTCAAGAACGTGAAAATGTACACCGGTAAAAGCTCAGTGACAAATCTCTGTGCCCATTCGTGTTTTTCTAGGAGATCGCCCAGGTCGGGCCAAAACTTGCTAATGGTTTTCAAGTTCAGCAAGGTAGCCAGATAACCAACGGGGAAAATAAAGGCCACTCCCACAATTCCAGTGATAATGGTAATGTAGTAAATCTTCAACACCCTATCTTTACGAGGCAGTGTGACGTTCTCCCAGATGATATCCTTGGGAGCAGGAGCCAGTCGAGTAATTAGGAAGCTGACACGCGGATCCAAAACGGCCTGAGCCACAGTTTGTGCGGTTGCAACAGAATCCATAGTAATGAATGCTGTGGGGGTGGCAGGATAGTGTCTTTGACGTGCTGCAAGTATTTCTTCGTCAATGACTTTCAACTGCTGAGTGTAGTAATCAATAGCATCCACCGACTTTCCCCATAATCCTTTGAAACCCAGCTTGATCTGGGGTCTTTTTTTGTACACAGCGGAGCCAAACGTGCCAAAAGGATTAGAGTCTGTTGACGAGTCTGCATCGTATTCAACTGCGGTATTCGAGGTGTACTCGTAGTCGAGGATGTCTGACTCAGAAATGTCATTTTCTGTGCTTATTGACTCGTCTGCAGCCTCCTCATCGTCGTCTCTGTATCTATGACTATCTCTAGTAAGTGGATACGAGCTTTCGGCATAAGGACGGATATTGAACGTTGGGTTCTTTGTTGTACCAATGTACTGTGCCCAGTAAATCTCGAGACTGCGGATTATGCGATCTCTTTGATGGAAGAGCGTATCCAGCTTCTTCCACTCTCGACAAATGACGATTTTGGAGACTTTACCAATTCCAAGAGACTCAATAGTGTCTCGCAACGCGCGCTCGTTACGCAGCTCTGGGGGAATCCCACTAAGTCTGATAGTTCTGTCGGTGACCGATTTCTGGCTCCCAAGCACTTTTTGGCGACACTCAATGACTTTGCGCGTTTGCTGCATTAGGAAATGTTTTGTAACAAACGTGAAAATGTAGGTGAATATGACGTATACCCAGAGATAGGTGTAGTAATCTGTGGCCTCTGAGGGCGAATCCGAGGCAGTTTTATCGTTGCCGTCGCCCTGATCGTAGTCTCCCGTGAAATAGTAGCGAATTGGCGAGATAATGATGCTGGAAAATAGCCAACAAATGGATAGCAGCTTGATGCTCATTTTAAAGAAGCCCAGAAACACGAAAGCGTCAAGTCCCGCGTACTCTAGCACCTCTGCCTCGGTGATCCGCCAGACTATGGGAAGCCATCCGAAAAGCGACTTGGACGGCAACGGCGGCGGCATGAATTTGCGGTTCGATACGCTTAGATAGTTCATTCGAGCCATAAAAATATTGGGGAATCGACATCTAAGGATACAAAACGCGCAGAAAACGATGCCGCCAACAACGCTCGACGCCAGAAGCTGTGTAGTGACCAGTCTTGTAGGAGTGGGCGCGTCCCTCAAATTTTTTTCAATTTGCAAATATTCATAAATCATGGGATATCACCTGGTATATACAAGAAAGTAAAAATATGTGGATATATTACCTCAAATTATAATTTTAACCAAAGATAGTATTATCGGTTATTTCAACTTGTTGATTTAATCGTTTGGGCGCGGAAATTTTCAGCAAGCACGCAAGTTAGTTCTTGATCTTAGTGCTGATACGCGCAGGACATGGGGACCGATTAATAGTTGGAACATATTATTCAAGCAAGCACCCCATAGATGACAAATCCCGAACAAATAGACCCTTCCCCCTCGGAAGAGCCCATATACAACTTAATTTCCCAGAACAAACAGAAGATCCACGAGATCCTCGGAAGCAAACATAGCTGGGACGAGTCTCTGTTATTGGGCGCTATCTCATTTGCACAATCTAAGGTCCTCACCTACATTATCGACAACCTGAGCGTGCCCACTTCTTACAGAGATCGCCTTGGAAGAGTTGTGGAGAAGACATGGAAAGATATTCACCACTCCACGATCACGATCTTTCTCGCTCAATTTAGACATATAGAGGGGAAACCGGTCCGTGGCAAGAAGGTCAAATCTTCAACCCTGATAAAAATACGCAAGGCTTTTGAGCACTATGTGCGTTTCATTTCCAAGAGTTACGATTTTTACATCTCCTTGATCAAGCAGATCTTGATCTCCTACGACCTTACCTCCTGTGTCCCGGTGAGAAAGTTGGTATCCACTCTGAAGATCGAGATTGACACAAAGGACGCAAAGCCTGTCGCATCTCAGCAAACCGTGGACTCACTGGTCAGTATCATCAGTAAATGTGTGATTTACATCGGTGACCTGTCCAGACTTCGTACCTTGGTGGCCAAGACGTATCTTCCCACAGCCGCCATCTCGAGGGAGGACAACAATAATTACAGCAAGTCGATTGAATTGTACAAATTGGCCTTGCTGATCCTTCCCTCCTTGGGCGATCCTTACAACCACATTGCCATCATTGACAAATTTAAAGACGACAGTTTCAACGTTGTCTATAATTTCATTCGGTCTTCTCTCAGCAGTGAACCGCTCCCTATTGCACTTGAAAACTTGATCGAATACATGTCGAAAAAACCAAACTCCATGCTCAAGATGTTTGAAAAGTACAACTCGGTTCCTGCTGAGGAGTTGACCAAGAACGTGAGATTTGAGCTTCTCAGATATCAGTTCCTTGCACTTTTCGATTACCATTTGCTTCCTGGCCAATGGAAAGAAACCGACGGATACCTCACTAACCATCACCCAATCTCGGAGATTGAAACCGAATTTTATAAACTTATGAGGCAGCTTGATTACCGGAAACAGGTTTTCAACGACATGTACTTCAAGCAGCTTGTTATCTTGATTGGTGGGTTCGAGCTTCTTGTCGACACCAATATGAGCCACCCCGATTTGGATCATAGCGCCTCGAATATTGGTGAGTATCTCAAGTTCATCTTCAGATACTTGGACAACATGATGCAAATTTCATTGGATAACTGGAAGGCCGATCCAAAGAACCCGGACTTGACTCATATGTTGCTGCCGCTGACAAGATTGATGCTTTGTTGGTTCAAAGAGAGAGACTTACCGAAAGGATTCCTGATCCAGACTCCTCAGTACGCGACAAATTTGGCGCGAATCGTGAACAATGCTGTGACTTACATCAAGTCGTATTCTGACGAGTGTATGGAGTTCAGCAGTATCACAAAGTTGAAGGATTTCAAGCCTGACAGAAGAAGATTGTTCAAAGAGGACGTCACTCTTAAAGAGTTCAGACCAATCAACTATTCTTTGGACGACTTTGACGATACCAGGTTCAACGACAGGTCCGAGGTTTCTGTGCTCGCGCTAATTGGAGAGTTACCCGACGAGACACAGAAATCGATGAAAGTCTGTGACTATGTTTTGAGAATAATCGCTGTTGCACATTTGGGAATTGATATCCTCATTGACAACAATGTTGGCTTGCAATTTGATCCTGAGTCGGAAACATTTTTGATTCCAGACACCAACGCGACTGGAGGTCTGAGACCCTCTGCCAAAGTCCAAGACTCAGCTTCTGCTGCCAAGTCTAATTTTGAGGAGAACGAAAACGACCATCAATTTGTCTCGATGGTGGAGTCGATTGTGAGCGACCCGGAGGATGGCCCTGTCTCTCAGCCTGTGAGCGCTGCCAACTCGCCGCTCCTGTCAAAGTCTCCATCGGGAACCGTTCCAACTGCCTCCAATGCGCAATTATTCTCCAACATCTGGTCCAACCAGCCAATGCTATCGAACTTTCAGCCACCAGCAGCAAATTTAAACTTTTACTACCCAATGGATATGAACCAGGCCCAGTTCCCCCCAACAGGCATTCCCGTCATTAATCAGAACGCATTTGACTTGAATCCACAGTTTGCTACCCCAGACGTGTTCAATGCCTTCAACAACAGACCATACTTTTTCCAGCAGCCTTCGGAGATGAATACTGCTAAGCATGACGTGTCGGAGGACCTGAAGCCGTTCAAACCATATCATCAGTATGGACAACCTTAGAATACATTTATAGGTGAGACAATTTATATAGAAAAAGATGTCGATTGCAAACTAACTTAGTACTTTTATATTTCCGTCACTTGGAGGTGACTCTCCGGATAATCGCTGTTCTCGCTCATATCTTTGTTTGGAACCCCGTTTCTTCTTTGCAAGCGTGATGGTCTTGATCTCCTCCATCTTTCCTTTCGCAGCGTTGGAGTTTCTCATGAACGCAGGCCGTTCAACAGTGTACCCATCGCACTCAAGACCAAGACGTACACACTCTGAACATACAGGGCGCTGTTCCGGACAGCGCTTTCTTCTCAGCCTGCAGGTCCAGCACCCGTTCTTAGATCTTGGCGCACGGTTTCTGATTCTCTTCATTCGGTCTTGCATGTCTTCTGGCCCTCCAGCAAGGTGTCCCCTGTGTCCATCAGAACCATTCAGATCGAAGTCATCATTTTCTAGCGAGTCCTCATCGTCTCCCAATCCTAACTGGACTGCAGGATCAATGTCGGAGGGATGTGTTTTGCGTTTTTTGGGGAAACGAACTTTCAGCTTCTTTCTGAAAGACTTGTCCTCTTTCTTCAGAGTTTCCTTTCGTTTCTTGTTTGTAGATCCGGGCTTTCTTCCCCTTTTTTTCTTCACAGGCTGTTCTGGGATGGGGGTTGGATTAAACGAATTTGTCACAGTAGGGAAATTCGATTTGCTTTTCTTTTCTCGTTTGTGGTCCATTCCAAACTCATACTCTTTGTCCGAGTACTTCAAATCAGCGGGGATGTTGAAAGTAGGGAACTTGAAGCTTTGCGAAGCAGGTCTAGAAGAAGGGAGCGAACTGATGTTTTCCACATTGAACTTAGATCTGACCCTCTCCTTCGAGAAAGAGGAGTCACTAAGCACTCTTGCGGTATCCTGAGATCCAGGAAGCGATGAAGGGACAAAGAAGTGCGATTCGTTGAGGTTCACAAATGCATGCCCTTCGGATAGCATGTTTTCGGTTGTATCCCCATTTGATGTTTCTTTTCCCAGCCAGTTCTGGGGCATATCGACATCATCATAAATCGAGCGAGGGAACATCATTTTGGAGGCTGATTGGGGGGTTCCTGATTTGGAATACAGTTTTAGTGGTGACTGTTTGAAAACATCGTTAAATGCGCTCGGAGTAACCATTGAGACCGACGGAACAAGTCTCGGAGTACTATTTGAATTCTTGTAGAGTAATCTTGCGGGAGATATCACTTCTTTTGGAGAATGGGTTGAATATAGATCGAGGAACTTTGGATCGAAGGCAGTATTCATGTGAGAGTGGAAATTGCCTGAAGAATTGGTTTGGCGAGAGTCTGGTCTAAGACCATTTAAGTCATTGAGAGGGATGTTCACCAGCTCTCCTTTCAACCCGTTTGTCTGTATATTCATATTGTTGAGATCAAGGGACATCAATGGAGTTTTGACTATGTGATTAGCAAGATCGACAGAGACATCACCAGTCCCTGGCCGATCAAAGCTATCATTTTCCATCACAGTCTCAAAGAAACTCATTGAAATAATACTGATCGGACAGTGATTGGTTCGATTTCCAATCTAGCTTATTCAATTTCAAACGAAAGTGCTGGATGTTGGATGTACCTTGAGGTTCAAGTTTAATCCCTTGAATTGTGATCCCTCAACTATATGTTTTGGAGGTCTTTAGAGCTTTTTAAAAGAGTCAGACTTTTTGTTTAACAATATCTGATCTTCAAACCACCTTCTTATGCCCCGTAAAGTTGCTTAATTATTATAGTTTCTTCTATTTATCAAACAAGACAGTATTTCTCCTTTTTTAAATTTCTTAGCGCTCAATTATCAGTTTGATAGATTTATTGATTAAGGTGGGGGAAGTCGTGTACCCAAAATGGATTTTGTCTGCGACGAGTAAATGATGTTGTATATACCTATTTAACAATTGGAATCTCATTCTGCTCCTGTTGTGATCTGCGCTTGCTGATGAGTAGGTTTCTCAGCAAATTGTTCACTGGAGCAGCATGGTGGCGCGATTTAGAGTTTCGAACAATGTAGTTTGTGGCGAAATCTGGTAACATATCACTGCTACCATAACCGTATTGTTTTGCACTTTGCTTGACGATAGCGAATAGTCTTTGTCTATCAATCACCGAGATGGCTGTCTTGTCGGAGTTTACTACAGCCTTGAACCACGGCGATGCTTTGATTGCAATTACAGCCTCGTCAATAATTGTCTCGATGACTTTATTCAGAGCAGTGGTATCTCTCAGAGCTTGCACATCGAAGCTTAGAAGCTGTCCCAACGGATTCAAGCAAGCATCCACAACCAATCTCTCCACTTGTAATTTGAACAAATCTTTGAATGGACAGTATTGAGCATTGATTAATGGAATGTCTATTAGATCTTTAATGAGCGAAGGAACCAATATGTCACCTGGATAATACAGTTCTTGTTTGCGCACAAAGTTCTTCAGTTTCTCAGACGATGGGAACGCGGAGATGAACATTTTACCGGGCAGAGTGTACTTGACGTCGAAATTAGTAGAGTTGATCAGCCCATAGGTGGTTACCGCTTGGAAGATATTCGGCACGCTCCCGGAGTCCGCTCTCCAGATTCGTTTTATCGAGGAATCCAGCGATCCTAACGGTGCGTTCACGAACAGCACGTTGGTCTTATTTGTAATTCTATGCAGGTAGGGAGTAATCTGGTCTTCGAAGTCTGTGGTCTTCATAGAAACAATCAAATCATCGACATGCGACTCAGAGGTCTCTGGGACACCCTTGAACGCCTCGAAGGTGCTGACTGTGGCAGACGGATCTCGTTTGTTCAGCTCATTGTAAAGCTTTATTTGTGACCCAGAATCGTGGAAACTTTTCAACAATCGAGAACTATTAAAAAAAAGACTCACACGATTGAGCTTCGGATCAAGATTCTGTTTCAGCTGGGCAGCAAGGAACTTAAAGTTCAGGTCCGATCCCAGAAGGAAGACGTTTTTTGACATTGTAGACAAGCTAAAAACGATCTAATATTTTCAGGTCGATCGACTCTATTTGAAAAATTTTCAGACCAAAAAAAATTATCCCATTTTTTATCTATGATTCTTGCCAACAGATTACTGGCCACGTCAAAAGTGGCCGTTGGGATGAGGCTATCAAAGCCTCTCAGTGCTTTGTATAGCACTGAGGCACCAACCTCTCGAGTGGATGAGGTTGGATTGAACCCGAAAATTTCAAATGCTTTCGTTAACGTTGCAAGTGAGAATTTGACCGAGGTCCAATCTAAGGTTGTTCCTGAGATGCTCTCGACCAACAACGGTGTTCTTGTTAGAGCCAAAACTGGTACAGGTAAGACCTACGCTTTTGGACTGCCGCTCATGAACGAGTGGATCACCGATAAAAATTTTGAAAGACAAGAAAGTGTTCACTCCTTGATCATCAATCCAACTAGAGATCTGGCTTTCCAGACTCAAATGGCTCTGGATAGAATATGGAAACAGTGTGGCGGACAAAGCAAGAGAAGAATCGACTTGTGTGTTGGCCAGGTGAAGTACGATCAGATCTTGAGAGGTGTTAACGGAAGAACCAAGTCAGCCGCTTTCGTGGCTACTCCAGGAAGACTGGAGGATATGTTGAACTCCAAACCAGATTTCAGAAACGCATTCAAAGACTTGAGACATTTTGTTATCGACGAGGCAGACGTCCTTTGTGACAACGACTTTAAAGAGGCTCTATTGTCGATTGTGAAGACTTTGAAAGCAAACCATAGCGATCCTTCCAAGTTGAAAGTGACTATGTTTTCTGCAACCATGGATAACAACACCAAGGAACTTGCTGACCGTCTGATGGGCCCAGAGCACAAGTATATCGACGTGACTTCTGGTAGAGAGGTCACTGACAGTGTCAACCAATCGTTGATCACGACTGACGGACTCTATGAGACCTTTGCTGTGGCTATGGAGCTTTTGCTCGAGAAACTTAGCGAGAGAAACTCAAAGGTGATTGTGTTTATGCCAAACATCAAGGCCACCGAGTACTTCTATGAACTTGCCAGAGAAATTTTGGGTAACAAGTTTGGCCCACGGTTCCCAGTGCTTCCTTTGCACGGAAACTTGAGACAGTCTAGACGTAACACTGTTCAGACTAGATTCAGAAATGCTAGAAGCGGTGTGCTGATTTCTTCCAACGTTGGTGCCAGAGGTATGGATTTCCCAGGTGTCAACTGCGTGATCCAGCTTGGTGTGCAACTCGAGACTGCTTCTCACACTCACAGAGTCGGAAGAACAGGAAGAGCAGGTACCACTGGAGAGTCCATTTCTATTTTGTCCAAGGCAGAGAAGTTTTATGCTGAGAGACTGAGAAAGGAAGGTCATGTGTTAGAAGAGATCGAGAAGCCTCAGGTTTCCGAGGCAATTGAGTCTGAGATCAAGTCGGCTGGAAAGTTCATCCGTCCTGACTACAACTCGTTGCTTTCCTCTATGCTGGGAACTTACGCCTCTGTTCCAAGGCTCGATCGCGATGCCGATCCTAAGGCTTTGGTTTTGGACTGTGGTCGCCTTTACCAGGCCATGGTTGGAGGTGAACGCCTGTTGCAGGTCTCTGCACGTGATCTGGATAGATTCGGTGTCACCAAAGAGGACATTGATGGAGTGTTCCAAGTTGACGGTGTTTTGAAGGGAAACTACAGACCAAGAGGTAATAGCTATGGAAACAGAAATGGGAACAGATCTGGAAACAGAAATGGATACAGAAACGGAAACGGAAGCGGAAACAGAAACAGGGATAACGACTGGAATTCGGGAAGAAGATCTGATAGAAATTTTGGAAGCAGGGACAATCGTGGTAGGAACGATCAAAGAAGACGGAGTTACGACCGTTGGGACAAGCAGGACGATCACTATTGATTGACTTGTCCAACGCATCGAAGGTACCTGTACATATTTTACATGTTAATGATGTATATAAATTTTAGAGAGTTCACGAATGTTGCGATTTGCTCGACTCGCCACCTGAGTCCGTGAGCTTTGATTTAAAAGCTCCAGCTTTTGCAGTTGGCTATTGCAATGTTCATTAATTTTTTGCATGATTTTGCGGAGCAGTACATTAATTGTCTTTTTGTATGCTGATCCGTTGTTGAGACCGTTGATCAGGTCTATGACTTTGGAAGTTCGTTTTTCTATCAGAGTGACCAATGCGACTTCTGTTCTAAATGATATTTCGTCCTTGGTTGCAGTGTAGTCTCCGTTGTAATTGTATTCTTCTAATAGTTTCTTTTGGTCTGGTTTCAATAGTGACTCGACATATGGAGTTAAATCAGCGGTATTCCATATGTTCTTGCCTTCTTCCAGCATAAATCCGTATTCGCAGAGCAGAAAGTCGTCGTTGTGTGCTCCGTAGCTGAAAAATATCTGGTCTTCTGGACTGTAGGCATGCTCTCCAATGGTGACCTGGAATCCAGAAACAGGTGACAGACTGACCTGGGTCTGGTCGTCCAGGGAATGGTTGATAAAGTCAACAAAGGGAACGAGAGTGAAATTGTCTTCAAGCTGTTTGTCAAGTATTTCTGGGAGCTCCATATAGAGACATCTTGAATTACAACAAAGCCATGCCCAAAGAAACTCTTTCAAAGGAACCATTATTTGCGCATCGGTGATATACTCTGCCAAGAAAGTCTGAACGACCTCGTAATCTTGTAGAAACTTATCGTGCTGGGCTTTAGCGTGGTTTTTTATTGCCAATGGTAGCAGGTCGAAAACAGGATCTGACTCGACGATCCAGAGGAGAGGCACACTGTCAAAATCATTCAGGTTGGGAAGAACATCTATAAATGGTTTCCAGAACGATTCTGGTCTATGACTCTCTAAAACCAGGTAGAGCGAAACCAGTTGGAAAGACGACAGTTTAAGAGTTTTTGTCAGATCAAACTTGGAATACAGCGCTGATTTTGGCTCTTCAGGAACATAAACATAGCTTTTGCTAACCGCGGGAGAATTCCACGTAGTATGGCACTCCAGATGTTTGAGAATGGTCACATAGTTAAGCATGTACGAATACGGGATCGTAATGATCAGCTCGTTTGTGGCAAGCTTTGACGTCGCAAAGATCGACCGGCCGGTTTGAGGATCCGACACAGCATCTATTTTGGGAGAAATCTTGGCCGAGGGCCCTCCAGTGCTCCCGTCGAGCCAGCGTTTAAGATGGTCAACTGGGTCCATTAAATATTAGGAAAAAAATTAATCATGCTTGTTATTGGACTCACTGGGGGCATCGCCTCTGGCAAATCAACAGTGTCCAAGAGACTGCATGACGAGTATAATATTACCATAATAGACGCCGACAAGATTGCAAGGGAAATTGTGCAGCCGGGGCTTCCTGCGTACAACAAGATAGTCAAATACTTTGGAAACAAAGTGAACAACCTGGTTCTGCCCGATCGCAGCCTGAACAGACCCGCCCTGGGAGCGTACGTGTTTCAGAACAAGGACGAATTGAAGGTGTTGAATAAGATCACCCATGGCCAAGTCCGCAAAGAGATGATATGGCTACTGTTCCGCAGCTGGTTCCGTATGGAGGCGATGGTTGTTTTGGACGTGCCGCTTCTTTTCGAAGCTGGTCTGGACCTGATCTGCGGGACCACGCTGTGCGTGTTTTGTGACCCCAAGTTGCAGCTCGAACGGCTGATGAGCCGTAACCCGGAGCTTAGCCGCACGGAGTGTGAAAAACGAATTGCCAACCAAATGCCAACAGAGGAAAAGATCGCTCGGTCTGATTATTCGCTTTCGAATGACTCCACGGTGGAGGCACTTTACGAAGAAATATCTCAGGTGATTTCCAGGGTCCGTCCAACAAAACTTACGACTATTCTACAGTACTTCCCGCCAATTGGAGCTCTTTTTGCGCTAAAAATTGTTGTGCAACGTTGGTGGGAGCAGAGATCCAATAGCAGCACATCAAAGGACAAACAAAGCTGATCTTGAACGCATACAAAGAAACAGCTCTGAGCTGCAACTTATCTCAAAATCAGATCAGAAATAGTCGACACCAACTTTTTTTTTTCTGTCGACTATCTGTCGACGCGATACTCTGTTGGGCTGGCGCTCAACAAATCGACCAGGGCTCGGCAAAAATAATTTAATTAGTGGCTCTATTCCAAAATTTTTTATTAGTACTAGTATAAATACTCTTTCCAACGGCAACTCAACCATAATTATGTCGGGATTGGACTCAGTGGATTTATCCACTGCAAATGCAGTGGCTGCAGGAACTAACAAGTCTACTAAGAGAATCGTGGCTTATGGTATTGGAGGAAAGCTGATGGGAACTAAATCTATGACAGATGTGACAGCTGAAGAGTTGAGCAAAGATTCGGTGGCGGAAATGCTTGCTAAGGACAAGAAGATCAAGGAGAAATACGCCAAGCAGAAGCACATCAGTGAGCAACCTTGGACCCTTGAAAACTGGCACAAGCACATCAATTGGTTGAACTTCATCCTTGTCTTGGCTGTGCCTGTGGGAGGATTGGTTTCCACAAGATGGGTTCCATTGACTTGGAACACATTCGTCACCGCCATCATTCTCTACTGCTTTGGCGGTCTCTCCATCACCGCCGGATACCACAGACACTGGGCTCACAGAGCCTACGATTGCAAAGCTCCTTTGAAGATCTTCTTTGCTCTTTTTGGTGCCTCTGCCATTGAAGGTTCCATCAAGATGTGGGGACACCAACACAGAGTCCACCACAGATACACAGACACACCAAGAGATCCATATGATGCCAAGAGAGGTTTTTGGTACTCCCACATGGGATGGATGCTTCTTGTTCCAAACCCAAGATACAAGGCAAGAGCCGACATTAGCGATCTTCTAGACGACTGGGTGGTGAGAGCGCAACACAGACACTACTTGTTGTTGATGGTGTTCATGGCTTTCTTTTTCCCAGCCATCCTGACTCACTACTTGTTTAACGACTTCTGGGGAGGATTCATTTACGCTGGATTGCTCAGAGCCGCCTTCATTCAACAAGCTACTTTCTGTGTGAACTCTCTTGCTCACTGGATTGGAGAGCAACCATTTGACGACAGAAGAACCCCAAGAGACCACATCTTGACCGCTCTGGTTACTTTCGGAGAAGGCTACCACAACTTCCACCACGAGTTCCCTTCGGACTACAGAAACGCTCTGAAGTGGTACCAATACGACCCAACCAAGGTTGTCATTTACTGCATGTCGAAGGTCGGCTTGGCCTTCAACCTCAAGAAATTCTCTCAGAACGCCATTGACCAGGGAATTTTGCAACAGCAACAAAAGAAGATCGACAGAATGAGAGCCAAGCTCAACTGGGGTCCTCAGTTGAGCGAGCTTCCAGTGTGGGACAAGTCCACTTTCTTCGAGAAGGCCAAGGAGCAAAAGGGACTCGTGATCATCTCTGGTATTGTTCACGATTGTGCCAACTTCTTGACCGAACATCCTGGTGGACAGGCCTTGCTGAGAACGTCTTTTGGTAAGGATGCTACTATGGCATTCAATGGAGGTGTTTACGCACACTCCAATGCAGCACACAACATGTTGGCCACTTTGAGAGTCGCTGTCATCAGAGACGGCGGGGCCAATGGAGACACTTTCGATGCGCAGTTACGGTATCTTGCTAGCAAGGAGACCAAAAAAGAGTAAGGGATACGAGCTTTTTGATTTGTATGATTTCAAGTTGGGAGTTTTGTCATAAGAAAGATTATGTTAAAAAATGTTCTCTTTTAGGTTATGTTTATTTTTCGTTGATGTAAATAAAAAGATTTATTAAGTTTATTTATGACTTGTCATCCATGATGAACTCGCGGTTATTTTACAAGTCCAGTACTTATGACCCGTCTACGGAGCTTCCTCTTTATATTCTGGACACTTCGTTTGTTCCTGCCATTTCGAATGATCAACAGTTGGCGCAATTGACGGAACAGCTTGTTTCCCAGATGCCTTCTGAAGAATACTGTTTAGTTTTGTTGGCTTCGGGATTCAGCGACTATGATAACATCCAGGCCAGTTCTCTCAAGATTCCCTTGAACCTGGTGAGGTTTTTCAAGCTCATTCCGGCACAGAAAAAGAGATACCTACTGAAAGTGTACTTAGTTCATGGTGGTAACTGGATCATGAAGTCCGTGGTGGACTTTTTCAAAACTTTTTGGGGATTCAGCAAGGATATTGTTCATTGCGAAAACTTGACTGTTTTGGCTCAGAACATCGACATCACCGCGATCCCGATATCGCTGGCCAATTATTTGATGGATCAGATTGTTTACAAAAACGATCGGATCATTATCAACAGACATTTACCCAAAATGTTTGGCGAACCTTTAACAATGTCGAACCAACTAGCATTCAAACAGTTTTCCAAAATATACAACAACCTGTGGTCTTATATGACGACCAACGATCTAGACAAACCTCTTACATCGAGCGAGTGGTTGACAATCATTAGAGGAGGAGAACTGGACGCTGATGTATTGATGACAGTGAACATCTTTAGTGACGCATTGAAACGGGACCAGCGACTGTGTCTATCAGACTTCTCATTCCTCGAGCATTACCTGATCATGGAAAAGTTCCTGGTCCAATTGAGTGAGTCTGCGCAGCCATTGTTCCCAATAAATGTTTTAACCAAATACAATTACGACTTTTCAAGAATCGAAGATTTGAACACTGCATTCGGAGAACTGTTAGCATTTAAGTATGCGGTTTCGGACCGTGCTCCGCTGCAATCGATCAACAACGCCAGTCCAATGTTCAGTGTCCAGCGAGTGAACTACGACAACAGCTACGTTCTCGTTAAGCTGGTGGCATTGATGAAAAAGCTTTCTGTCAAGCTTTCGCAGGAGATCACCGAACCTCATGCGAAGAATCACGACCAGATGAGAGAAAGACAGCATCTTCGACTGGTCTTGTCCTTAACCAAGATTCTATACAACGAGCATAACAATCAGGAGCTTGAGAATGGATTCGACACTTTGTTCAAGTTCTTGTGTGCATTACTGGACAACTACGACAAAATCGTTGTTCAAGGAAACTCAATGAAGAGTTTTGAAAAACTCATTAGCATGGACGATATACTGAACTTTGAAAAGAAAGGGGTCACAGATAGCCCTATGGAGCGCAAGATCGAGTACAAGATCCGCAAATCTGTGCCTCCAACCCCACCTGTTGCTCGGAAAAACATAGGTCGGGTGGAAGAAGTCGAGCCAGAAACCAGTCTGGACGACTTTCTGTTTGATTCGCACAAGCCCTCCGTCAGTCAGCGTCTGAGAAACGAGGTGTTGAGACCGTCTGACCAGCTGACGTCCAAACTTGTGAAATATACCGAGAAAGACCTGCTTTTCCAGCAAAGCCAGGAACAAGCAAGAAAAACATCAGGCAGGTTCCGCCAGGCCCGCGGCCGCAACGTGAGCAGACTGACCAAAATGTACGAGCAGAGACTATTAGACACTATGTAGCATTTATTGAATCTATACTTTATGCAGAAGGGAGAGACTTGGTGGAGTTATTAAACTCTCTCACAATGATGTTGCAGCTGAACTCCTTACAAAGCTGTTTTTTCTTATTCTCGGGCACCATTTTGAGGAACTCAAGACCAGAAGAGCGTTCAAGAGCATCAACAGGGACCTCAAACGAGGTCAAGGGAACCTCGTTGGGAATGATAGCGTTCGGAAGCACAAATGCAGCCACGGCGATGTCGTCCGAGTTAGGGCCTCTTTTAAACGACTTCTCGGCCACAACCAGCTTGAAAAAATGTGTCGGCACGGCAATGTTGGGAGGATTGCCAATCACTTCGTAAGTCACCTTGTATTTACCATCAACAGGGTCTTTCTTTGGGAGATACAATGGACCAGTGACCACTCTGATGGATTGGTAGCCACCAGTCAGTCTTCTGACAAAGTCCTCGAAATGGGCCCAGTAATCTCTGTTAAAGCCTGCACCGACCTGGGGAGACATGTTGGTGAGGTAGAATGTCTCGTCCATGGCGGCTTGGGAAAACTTTGCGTCTGCTGCAGGGGCCTGGTGGCCTCTGTCGTAGCCGGAACGGAAATAGTCCTTCAACAGGGCCCGGAACTTGATTGGGATCTGCTCGTCTTCCTTGAACACGGAGTTCTTACGGTCTCCGCCGCCGTTAGGGTCGCGTTTCAGAGACTCTGGAGTGATGTGTTCAACCACGTAGTACGGGTTTCTCTTTTGACGGTCATAAACAGACACGAACTCGGCTCTTGTTTCGAGGTCATGGACGGGTCCTGGAAAGCCGTATGAAAAGAAACCGCCAGGGTTTACCTGTGGTGGGTTGGCAGGGACCTGGCCCGGTTTCGAAGGAGCAGGAACGCGACTGGATCCAGACGGCACGTTGTCGGAAATTGGGAACCCTCCTGGGGCCGGGGCAGGAGAAGAAGACGACTTATCGCCTCTTCCCCAGAAGAAATAGCTCAACGAGCCAATGGAAAGCAGCGGAACAGTGTGAATTGGCCGAAACATGGGGACTTAACGAAAGAAACTGTTTGGTGATAATTTATATGAATCAAGGCAGTGGACCCAAGTTTTTTTTTCTAAATAAATTTTCAGACCCAAGGTGTAATTGGCAGAGTGTAGAAATAATACCTGAAAAATATTTGAAGACCTCTGCGTTCGTTCTGGCTGGTCAAATGAGGAAGTGGATAGCCGGGGTAGGCCGATATCCCGCGATGGGGATCCTGGACAAGGGACCGGTACGCGGGATAGGCAAGACCAGACACTACTGGACAGCGGTATATACGCAACGGGAGAAGGAGTCCTTTGATTTTATTTCAACCCAGACAGAGCTCTGGGCTGCGAACAAACAAACAGCCAGTCGGTCCAAGATCAACAGAGAGCTGAAAAGCCTTCCGAATAAACACGATCTGGTGGGATATCTGGCGCGTAACGACAAAGCAACACAGGCGAACACACTGCTATCTCTCATGCCTATGAGCTTCATCTTGCCCAACCTTGCAAACTTGTACATATCCGATGGTCTGCAGCCCACCGAGGCACAACAAATCATCGTAAAAGACCGCATACAGCCGCTCGTGAAACGGATCCTCAAACACACCGATTACCAGAAGTTTCACAGAGTCGACTACAACGACCCCATTCTTGCAACAACAGTTATATATCACATGGCTATCACTCTGAACATGCCCAATCTAGCATCGCAAATCATTCGCCAAACATTGTCCATAGCACAGAGAACAGAGATGAAGCCGTATCTGCCATTATTGAGTATTCACAGCATCTCGTCATACGTCGACCTAATTAGCATCAAGAACCCAACGTCCGACTTGAAAGACCTCCAGGACCTGTTCAAGACCGTCACCCTCTACGACATGGCCATCACAAAGTTCAATAATACACAGATAAAACAATTGGCATTGTATACGTTCTCACCATCGCAGGTCTCGGCTATACTGGAGAAAGCTGGAACATATAGATTGCACCACTTCCATGAGGTTGCGGAACTTGTCATTCGCGAACTGGGAATTAAGCTATCCAGCATGGGAGATCTTTTTGGAAGCTATTCTGCGGACATGGAAATGAAAACCATCACGGAAATCACCCACCAGCGATCCGTGGATGAGTACCTCGAATTCTGCTACCGATACATTGACAAACACACAACGTCAAAAGACGCCGCCACGGTGTATTCAGTTTGGTCTGTGATCGCACCGTTCCATACAAAAATGTACAACTCGGCAACAAACGCTACCAACAATAACGCACAGAACGGATACTTCTACTATAGGACGCTGGCCAGGGTGATTTCATGTTTTTCCAAGAACAAACGGTACCGGTCGGTGGTGAACGACATAGTGGTGAACCTTCCGATTGAGGCCATCAAGGTCTCGCCTGAGCTTATGACTGCGCTGATTTACCACGGAGCAAGGACCAAGAACTTCAATCTGGGTAACGTTTTAATGAGCCAATACTCGGACAACACACTGGGACTGCCAACACGGTTCTCTCCCAACCAGCTGAGTGCGTTGCTCACGCTGTCGCTGCGGGAGAATAATTATGAGAAAGCACAGGAGATTTTGAAGTTTGCCAAGGATAACTTAATCCGGTTCAGCTCCTTTGAGTTCAACGAGCTTGTTCGTGCTGCGCTTGCTACCAAGGGAAGTGAGGACTCCGCATGGCGGATGATCATGGCGGCGAATCCCCATACAGCCCGGTACGCATACAACTCGTACGTCACATACATGCTCGACCACAGCCGGCTGGATTTCGACAAGCTGCAGTACATGCATTCACGAGCAGTAGCTTCTGTCGACCACACAGACCAGAACTTTTGGAATTACTGGAACGCCAACTACTTCAAATACATCAACAGAAAGTACGGGGCCACTGTCGCAAAGGAGATATTCTCGCGGTGCCTCGATTCGAACCATGTGTTTGACAATCTGGGATTATACAAGTACCACCCCAACCCGTACTTGACGCGACATGATAAAGTGTGCTTCCCTATTGCAATGGGTGCACGTCAGGTAGTTCTACGGGATATATTCCAGCATGCGCTGTCGGCATACAAGAAAGCGGTTGCCACTTCTGGGTCTTTTGAGCACGAAAAAGCCTTGGTTCAAGAGATCAGTTTCTGGTGCTACCAGGAGCTGTTGAGGACGGGTCTTGACCACGTGACCGTGTCGATGGACCTTTTGAAAACGATCAGCAACAAACATAGAAAGCTCCGGGCAAAGCATGTGCCGACGCAGGCATCGTTTGAAGCCAACTTCATAAACAACTTGGAGCAATACGAAGCACAATGGAAATAGAAACTATGTATATAATAATACTTCCCTACACCAGGTTTTACCCGGATAGGCCTGAAAAAAATTTCAAAATTTTTTAAAACTTTTCAATCCTGTTTATAGCATGTCGTATGTGTTGACAGAGACCGCAGCAGGCTATGCTCTGTTGAAGGCCTCGGACAAGAAGATTTACAAGTCTCAAAGTTTGATCCAGGATTTAAACAGCAGCGACAAGGTGTTAAAACAATTCAAGATTGCAGCTTTTTCCAAGTTCAGTTCTGCCGCTAATGCTCTTGAAGAAGCCTCTTCTGTGATAGACGGTAAGGTTTCTTCTCAGTTGCAGAAGTTGTTGGACGAGACTAAGCAGGAGAAAAAATCGACTCTGCTTGTTTCGGACACCAAGTTGGCCAATGCGATCAACAAGCTGGGACTCAACTGGTCTGTGGTCAGCGACGCTGCTACTCTGGATATCTACAGAGCTGTTAGAGAGTATCTGCCAGAGCTGTTGCCAGGTATGACCGACAAGGACCTGTCCACCATGTCTCTTGGTCTTGCCCACTCTATTGGCAGACACAAGCTTAAGTTCAGTGCCGACAAGGTTGATGTCATGATTGTCCAAGCTATCGCACTTCTTGACGATCTCGACAAGGAGCTGAATACCTACGCTATGAGATGTAAAGAATGGTACGGATGGCATTTCCCTGAGCTCGCCAAGATCATTGTTGACTCTGTTGCTTTTGCCAGAGTGATTTTGACCATGGGAGTTAGAACTAATGCTGCCTCCACCGATTTCAGCGAGATCTTGCCAGAGGAGGCCGAGGCCCAGGTCAAGGCTGCTGCTGAGGTTTCTATGGGTACTGAGATCACCGAGGACGACTTGGCAAACATCAAGGCACTGGCCGAGCAGATTGTCGAATTTGCTGCTTATAGAGAACAACTGTCCAACTACCTTTCGTCGAGAATGAAGGCCATTGCTCCTAATCTCACTTCATTGGTTGGAGAGCTTGTTGGAGCTAGATTGATTGCCCATGCCGGATCCATAATCTCTCTTGCCAAGGCTCCAGCTTCCACCATTCAGATTTTGGGAGCAGAGAAGGCATTGTTCAGAGCTTTGAAGACCAAGCACGACACACCGAAATACGGTCTTTTGTACCATGCATCGCTGATCGGACAGGCATCTGGAAGAAACAAGGGTAAGATCGCCAGAGTTCTTGCTGCCAAGGCCGCTGTTGCTCTCAGATACGATGCTCTTTCCGAGGAGAGAGACGATTCTGGCGACTACGGACTGTCTGTGAGGGCCAAGGTTGAGTCTAGATTGAGCGCTTTGGAAGGAAGAGACTTGAGAACCACCAACATTGTGAAGGAGCAGCAGAAAGTGGACTTGACTCCTGCCAAGGGATACAACGCCGATGCTGACACTATGGACGTTGCTGATTCCGATGACGAGGACGATTCCGACGAGGAGGAGAAGAAGGAGAAGAAGAAGGAGAAGAAAGAGAAGAAAGAGAAGAAAGAGAAGAAAGAAAAGAAGGAGAAGAAGGATAAGAAAGAAAAGAAGGACAAGAAGGAGAAGAAGCGGAAGAGAGAGGACGACGACGAGAAGAAGTCGAAGAAAGAAAAGAAAGCTAAGAAATGAAGCTGAGTAGATTTCGAGCAGCTCCTGAATGCCTGTTCTCGCTAGTTATATATTTGATTTAATGCGAAAAAAAAAGATTGGTATAAAAAGTTTATTTGGGTAATGTCTTCTGATCTTGGCCAGGTCAAGCGACTGCTCAATCGGCTCATGACCGGTCTTAACGACGAGTATTTGGAGAACGAGGGGTTGCTGACCAAGCTAAAAGACCTGTGTGCGGCCAAGGGACTCAATTACAACGAGTTGATTGCCCAAGAGGCTCCGAACGTGGATTACAACCTGCCGCAGGACGACAGAGAAATACACCGTTTGGAGGAACAAAGAAACGCTCTTTTGTCGCGATTACAAAAGGAGGAGTTTTTTTCCAAAAAGTACGAGGACATCTTGCAGAAACACCAGGAATTGGTGTCTTTACTTGGGTCAAACATAGAAAACAAGGCCAATTTCGACGCGGAGTATTCACAGGTCTATAAAAGTTTAGTTGATGGGAAACTAGCGCAGTACGATTCCAACTTGAGTTTCCTGGATCAACAACTCATTCGCTCAAAATTACAGTACCAATCGACGCTCGAGAAGCTGAGATCGCAAACAGAGGCTCTCAACAAACAGCTAGACTGACTCATTTGGTTTTGGTCTCCAACTCGTCCTGCTCGCTATAATACTTCTCAAGGAAATGCGACACACGTCTGTTACGGTCGATCAGTTTCCACTGCTCCTCAATCCGCGTGTTGTCCACCTGATGGAACAGATAATGCCATAGTGCATTCAAATAGCTGATCACCACAAACAGGAGTAGTTGCGGGCGATCCAAGATAGCCGAGAAACTAATCTTCTGCGGCCTTTCCACCCGAACTTTCGGCGAAGCTTCCTGTGTTGCGGCGAGCTCTTGGATGTCGTGTTCCAGAACGTTCATTTTGAAATCGTTCAGGTTTTTCAAACTCGTCTCCACTTCTTTGGTCTTTTGCAACAACAACCGCAGTTCATACTTTAGTCTCGCATTAATCTTATAGTTCTTCACAAGCTTGTCGTTCACCTCGTGCGAGCGTTTTGCCAGCTTGGAGTAGTCATTCTTGGACGATTCGAATGCAACGGCGTATTTCGAAAGCTTCAATTTCTCAACAAGTTGCATCTTGGACTCATAGACATACTGTTTGAAATCGTTAGCTCCGTTCACAATGTCCAGTTTGTACTTGCTCAAGAGCTTCAAATACTCGACAGCAAGACATTCGATAGAAACCACGTCCTTGGTGGTGAACTCGTCTATTCCTGCCGTTAAAGAGTCTTCCACCAGAGAAAACGAGCTGCTCCGTTTCAATCTTAGCGCTCTTGATTGTACCGGAGTCTGCGAATGGAGGATCTCGTTTCCAATCTGCTGGTCAGAGGAAAGCAGTTCTATGGTGTGAACGTTCATTTCCTTATTCACCGACGGAATCGAGTGCCTTCTGGTCAATCTGCAGTTGAACAGACCTATCTGGACATCATCCTGTTCGGCACTATCACCATAGTATGGGTTCACCTGCGAGCTCATCGCAGAAGGAATCTCGCTGTCCTGGAAACTGCCACCGATGATCAGTCTCTTGGATTTCTGCTTACGCAGAGGCTCTTCGTATTGTCTATTTCTGTCCGAAGCCAATGGTCCCAACGACATTAGCGACGGTCCAAGCGCTTTTCCACTAGATGACGTGGTATTTGGGTCGGACTCCATGCCTGAGTCGTCGTATATAGACGATGCTCCATACGGGTAGCTGCTCTGTCGGTTATGGTGCTTGGCAATGCTTGCCAGACTAGTTTTATCAACGTCCGGCTCGTACCCTTTATTCTTCCACAAATGGTTGAGCCTCTTTCCATGTGCGAGCTGGACAATCTGCTCAATGTCCTGACAATTCGAGATTCTAGTGTCGGATGCCATGTCCTGGTCTTTGAGCGGCTTTTTATTTGCGGGAGCAGACAGTTTTAGCGTTTGCAAGGTTTTCCCCGAAGTGAAGTCAATCACTGTGTTTTTCACCAGTTTTCTCATCTTGTTCAGGTCTTTGGCAAAAGTCTGGTTCGAACGCGCTGAAAGGTTGATTTCCATCAGTTTTGTCAAAGTCAGCAAATCCAGCTTCCCTGAATATCCGTCGTTCTTGCCTCCTCCTGTCTTGAGCTTGTATGCTTTTTGGAACTGGATCAGTGCTACGCGAAACTTCTCGTGGTCCAAAGGATCTTTTGGAACGTTGATGTTGTTACCGGCCATTTCCAAGATGGATTTGACAACCAGTGTAAAACCAAGAATCGACAGAATGGACGAAGAAAAAGAGGCTCCTGTTGGAAACCGCAATTTCTCTTGGCATTCGGGCAACTGGTCGATGAGTTTCCACCAGTTTGTGATAGCCTCTTCGGTCTTTTCGCAAAACAAACCGTCACATAGATTGGCATCGATCAGATCGTAGAAAAATAAAAACGTCTGTACTACCACAATGATCTCCCGCACCGCGTACGAAAGCGAAACTTCTGTAGGGACCTGGAAAATGTTTCTGAACTTCTCCTCAACAGCCTTTGTTGGTTGACGGATCACCATGGCGCTTCTTGTTCCGCATCCCAGTTTCTTCAAGTTGTAGTTCACCACAAATAACGAGTACATTTCTCTGATATCGCCTCGAGGAAGCGGGATCAAAGTGAGCGAGGACTCCAGCTGCGAGAGGTTGGTGATGTGAATAATACCTTGATCGGTCTCGGTGGGGGAAGAATGTTTCGATTCGAGCAAATCAGCCACATACTGCTGGAACGAGCGGGGCCATCGCAAAGGGTCGTTCAGAATCTGAACCTTATGACAAACAATCATATCGTTGGAGTCGCCTGTGTATGTGACAATGGTGTTTCGATTCAACCGCTTTGTGATCCATTGCTCAACAATATAGGCCTCATAGCCAACCATCTCAACCACACCAATGTGCTTGAGTATGTCCTCTGCGCCCACCAACGTTTCTTTCAAATGCTCATATGTAAGCCAGTCAGACACGATGAACGTCGTATAGACATCTTCGCTCAAATGCAAGTCCTTCGGGTCCAGCAAAGGCATCTCGCCCACGCTAGCAGAGACAGACATTGCAATATATTACTAAAATATTTGTCGTGTGCGGCGCACATATATTATATAATTCGCTTATATCTTCTGTGCTGTTAATTAAATAAATCTCAAGAGATGAGTTCCGACTCCAAAGAGGCCATTTTCCGGTCCGCAGATATGCTGCTGGTTCAGTTCTACATAGCATCCGAGATTTCTCGAGATTGTGTGTCTGTTTTAGGGCAGCTCGGAAACGTTCAATTTCGCGACATGAATCAGAACGTGAACGCCTTCCAACGCTCGTTTGTGAAAGAGATCCGTCGTTTAGGCAACACACAGCGCCAATTGCGGTATCTAGACAGTGTCATTCGCAAACAGCAAGTTCGCGTCCCGGTCGTTTCGTGGGACCATCTTGTGGTGCCTTCAGGTACACAGGGGCCGGATATAACCCGAGGACCTAGCAAGTCCCAGATCGATGATCTGGTCAGCGTGGTTGAGCAATACGAACAGAACATCCGTCACATGGACGAGAATTACGAGCAATTGGTCAATAATGCAGCCTCTTTACTCGAACACCGTGTTGTTCTTCAAGGAACAAGAAGATTTTTCGAAAGTCGGCTCAGTTTGGAATTGGCCGATGATACATCTCCGTTGAGCCAACTACGCGAAACCCAAGACGAGGGAGATCATCTTTTGGCCGAGGACCGTTTGTTGGAAAATGGACGGCTCAACCAAACTGCAGAGCTGAACATTATGGGCTCCACAATGAACTTTATCAGTGGAACCATTGAGAGCGACAAGTTTCTAACTTTGCAACGGATATTATGGCGTGTCTTGCGTGGTAACCTTTACATCAATCACGTTCCAATAGAAGAGCCTATTTTGGATCCAAAAACAAACCAGCATAAAGATAAATACATTTTCCTGATCTTCACCCATGGAGAAACGCTCATCTCAAGGTGCAAGAAGATTGTCGAGTCGCTGGATGGTACGTTGTACTCGGTGGATAGCGACTATGAGGTGTTCAAGTCCCAGCTTGACGAGATTAACACAAAAATCAGAGACTTGAATGAGGTCACAGAGCATACACAGGACCGGCTTTTATTAGAGCTGAAAGAGGTGGCTGCCGATATTGAGCGTTGGAAGATCGAGATCGCTAAAGAGAAGGGGATTTACTCTGTTTTGAATCTGTTCAATTACGACCAGACCAGAAGATGCTTGATTGCAGAAGGATGGATCCCCACCAACGACCTCGGAATTATCAAGTCCTCTCTCCGCGAGGTCACCGAAACCTCAGGCACAGATATCAACTCGGTGGTGAATGTGATCAACACTAATAAGACTCCGCCAACGTTCCACCGTACAAATAAGTTCACCGAGGCATTCCAGAGCATTATCGACGCATATGGAATAGCAACTTATCAGGAAGTGAACCCTGGTCTTGCAGCAGTTGTGACTTTCCCATTCATGTTTGCTATCATGTTTGGAGATGTGGGTCACGGTATTGTGCTGTTTTTGGCCGCACTTGCTCTCGTTTTGAATGAAAAGAAGATCGGAGCAATTAAAAATAGAGACGAGATATTCGATATGGCATACACTGGAAGATACATCTTGATATTGATGGGAGCTTTCTCGATTTACACTGGATTCCTTTATAATGATTTATTCTCCAAGTCCATGACATTCTTCAAATCTGGATGGAAATGGCCAGAAACCTGGAAAGAAGGTGACACCATCACAGGAACACAAAGCGGCGTGTACCCAATTGGACTCGATCCAGCATGGCACGGAACCGAAAACAACCTTCTGTTCACCAATTCATACAAGATGAAGCTGTCGATTCTGATGGGATTTGCTCACATGTCGTACTCGTTCTACTTTTCGCTTGTCAATTACAGGTTTTTCAATTCTCGCGTTGATGTCATTGGAAACTTCCTTCCAGGATTGTTTTTCATGCAGAGTATCTTTGGATATCTCTCTTTGACCATCATCTACAAATGGTGTATTGACTGGATCAAGATCGAGAAGCCTGCACCTAGTTTACTGAACATGTTGATCAACATGTTTTTGTCTCCTGGAAGCATCGAGGAACAGCTGTATCCAGGACAGGGCTTTGTGCAGGTTGTTTTGGTGTTGATTGCACTGGTCTGTGTTCCTTGGCTGCTTCTATACAAACCTCTGACGTTGAAAAAGATGAATACCCAGTCTGTCGAACTAGGATACACAGATCTGCACGAACACAACCAGGCTGTGCAGCTGGGCCAGACCGACGAGCAAGAATCCATAGTGTCACCGGAGGAATCGCTGAGCGAGGACTTTTTCCTGATCAACGAGGCAGACGAGGCGCCAGAGAAGTTTGAGTTTGGAGACGTGATGATCCACCAGGTGATCCACACCATCGAGTTCTGCTTGAACTGCGTTTCTCACACTGCTTCGTATCTGCGTCTGTGGGCCCTTTCTCTGGCCCATAACCAGCTTTCTGCCGTGCTTTGGGACATGACGATTGCCAACTCGTTTGTTTCGTACAAGGACAAGGGGTTTGCTGGGTGTGTGATTGTGTTTTTCCTGTTTGGCATGTGGTTTGTGCTGACTGTCTGTATCTTGGTGGTTATGGAAGGTACTTCTGCCATGCTGCACTCGCTGAGATTACATTGGGTCGAGGCCATGTCCAAGTTCTTCGAGGGTGAAGGTTATGCATACACGCCGTTCTCGTTCTACAAGATTCTGAACGAGCTAGAAGAGTGATCTGAACGGCTCGAGTGCACACTTTATATTTTTTCAGGGCTGTGTATTATTTACATAACCAAAAAGGCTCTAAATATTTTAAACGTAATCAACATATGAAGGATAAGAAGGGAAGACGCAAAGATGCTATTGAGAGATTCATAGAGTCTGATCAGACGGTTGTTCTTTCGAGTTTGAACCAGTTGCGGTATACGATTTTGTGCGAAGGACTGCCCAAAGAAGGAGGACTGTGTCCGTATCGAACGTATGTCTGGTCGATTTTGTTGCGTGTGGAGCCGTTGGATATTGACTACTACTCGAAACTGGTGGACCAAGGGCCGTCGGACGCGTTTTCCAAGATTCAAAATGACGCGTTTAGAACTTTCCAGAAAGACGAGGAGTTCAATAAGAAGGTTTCTACTGGTGTTCTTATGAGAATACTCAACTCGCACGCTTTGGAGGTGGAGAGCATGCAATTGCACAAATCCGAGATCTTGGCGTCTCCATATGTCCAAGGAATGAACGTCCTGGCTGCACCTTTTGCGTACGTGTGCAGGAGCGAGGTTGAAGCGTTCGCCCTTTACTCACAGCTGGTTGACCACCAGATCCCAACATACACCACCCCAAACCTGATGGGGGTGCTCAACGGAGTCAAGTTGGTGGACATAATATTACAATTAATTGATGCCAAGCTATACAACCATCTCAAGTCCAAGATGCTCACGGCGAAAATATATGCGCTTCCTTCCGTTCTAACGTTGAGTGCTTGCACTCCGCCGTTGGACCACGTTCTGGAGCTATGGGATTTTCTGTTCAGTTACGGCGTTCATCTGAACATTTTCTTTGTTGTGGCCCAGACGATTCTCATTCGCGACGAGCTGCTGAAATCGTCAAACCCAATGATCCAGCTTCGAGAGCTGCCGAAACTGGACGCACGCAAAATTATCAAGCTGTCTCTGACTTTGGTGAAGAAGACTCCCGATAAGCTATACGACCTGATTGTGAGACATGTGCGCGAGGATGTGGAGGACGAGATCGCAGAGATGGAGTTAGCAAGTGGATAGTTCACAACAGATTGGAGTCGAAATCCTCTTCGTCAAAGTACGCCGCTAGTATCGTTCTTCCGTTGAAACTGCGGCCAGCAAGGGAGCTGACACACTTGGACGCGTCTTCCTCAGAAACAAACTTGACATAGATCCGACCAACCTCGGGTCTGGTGGCCATCCCTGGCCGGAAGTCTGCTGGTGGCTTGGGAATGACCACTTTTTCAAACTGCCCGTGCAGAGCGCATTCAGTTTCGAATGCAACTTTGAAATCGTTGTACCTCACCGAGTCCACCAGATCCTCCACTGGGAGACAGTTAATGAACTGGACAACTTTGGAGACCGCGTGTTTGGAGATTTTCTCGGTGCTCTGCAACGTTGGAAACAGCGTCTCAGCAGAAAGAATAGCAGACTGTGTGTAATGGTGTTTACTGTTTTCGCAGACTTTGATCACCTCCAGCTCCTGATCGTCAATCACGAGCTCTTGAAGTCTATCCAAAACGTTCGAGTCGTCGCTTAATAACTCAAAAAATGCGATTCCCTTTGATTCGTACGACAGTTTGTCCAGTAATTGCGTGAGCGACCGAAGTTTGCCAAACGGCTTAAGCAGGTCCACCAAAGCCTCCCTTGGAGTGCCAAATGGAACGTTTCTCACGGCGTAGAGCTGGTTGCACTCGATGACTTCGTCCAGAGGTTCATCGGGAACAGTTTTGTCCTGCGGATCGAAAACAACGTACTCGTTTGGTCTGTCGAACGTGAGCATGGTATTCAGCTCAGGGACGTCAGTCCCCGTCAATGCGAAAAGAACGGTAGCCACCATTGAACGAGTAGTGTTGACAATCATCCTGTTGCGGTCGGCGGTCGGCTGAAGGTCAAGCTTGACATTATCGTAGCTAACATTGGGGATGGTGTTTGTCAAGAGGAAGTTTTCAAGGTACTTTTTCACTCTTTCAGGTCTGACCACGGCGAAATCCGCTGTAAGAACGAGTTTTTTCGCCATGCGCGAGTCCAACGGAGTCAGTTTCGAGTCCTGGAATGCAGACGAGCGATAATTCGTGGTTGCGTGCGAAAGAAGCCTTTGGATCTCTGATTTGTCTGTGCTTCTGGAACTTGCTCCTGGTTCCGTGAAAAGACCGCAAGCTTTGGCCCGGGCAGCAGAGACTCCTTCAAACCCTTCGGCAGGCTTGTCCCATAACGAAACGCGTGGAATCTTGTGCAAGGGCGGCTGGGAGTCCGAATAGTGCGGTCTCCCATTGCTGGGTCTATTGTTTCTAGGTCTACCATACTGTCGGTCATAGTAGTCTCCGCGGTATGAGTGGCGATAGTCTCTGTAATGATTGTCACGGCGGTCGCGATAGCCGTCTCTATCATTTCTTCCGCCGCGGTAGTCCCGCTGTGGCCCCCCTGGGCCCCTTGGAAGGTTTTGCATTTTGTAATATTTTTTTTCTACATTATTTTTCCTCTTTATTGACACCTGGATGAAGCTTTCTGGATATTTGGCGCTTTTTCTCCTTATTGCAAAAGCATGGGCGTCTATTCTAGCCATTGATTTTGGCCTGGAGTATTCCAAGGCGGCCATGATTGCGCCCGGGGTCTCGTTTGATCTGATCTTGACCGACGACAGCAAGCGGAAACACCAGTCAGGGGTGGCGATTTTGGCTAATGACGGCGATATCGAGCGCAAGTTCAACTCCCATGCATTCAGCGCATGTACAAGAACACCACAGAGCTGTTTTTTTGACCTCAAGACGCTCCTGGGTCGCCAGATCGACGACCCTGAAGTGACACGTTTCGAGAAAAATCACCCAGCACTCAAGGTTGTGGAGTCGAAAAACCAGCGTCGCACCGTCGCCTTCACCGTCGGAGACGAAACGTACTCGGTCGAGGAAGTTCTTGGAATGGTTTTCGAGGAGATCAAAAAACAGGCCGAGGCCAACTGGGATCAGTCGATTGGAGGCTCTGGAAATACCATTTCGGACGTGGTCATCTCTGTTCCTGGATACCTGGGCCAGGCCCAGCGCACTGCGTTGATCGACTCGGCAGAGATTGCCGGGTTGAACGTGGTTGCCTTGATCGACGACGGACTCGCAGTTGCCCTGAACTACGCTTCCACTAGAGAGTTCCCTGAGAAACAGTACCATGTGATCTACGACATGGGAGCAGGCTCTACCAAGGCCACTCTTGTGTCGTTTGCACAGGAGAATGGAACGTTGAAGATCGAAAATGAAGGGTACGGCTTTGACGAGTCGTTTGGCGGAAGTCTGCTGACCCAGTCGTTGAAAGAAATCATTGAGGACAAGTTCTTGGCTCAGCAGAAAAAACTCAAGAGTTCTGCCTTGGCCGCAGATTCTAGAGCTAACAATAGACTCTGGCAGGCCGCCGAAAAAGCAAAGCTTGTTCTTAGTGCCAACACAGAAACCAAGGTGTCTGTGGAGTCTTTGATCAATGACATCGACTTAAAAGTCACGGTGTCTAGAGATGAGTTTGAGGAGTACGTTACTCAACACATGGATCGAGTCATTGCTCCGCTGACCAAAGCAGCGGGCACTGCCAACGTCGATTCAGTGATTCTGGCTGGTGGTTCCACCAGAGTTCCGTTTGTTCAAAAACATTTGGTGAAATATTTGGGAACAGACGACTTGCTCAGTAAGAACGTTAATGCCGACGAGGCTGCCGTTTTCGGTGCACTTCTAGGCGGCGTTTCGATTTCCGGCAAATTCAGAACCAAGCCGATCGAGCTTGTCCAGCGTACTACTAGAAACTACGAGCTCAACGCTGGATCTCAAGAGACAGTTGTTTTTTCGGAGAACGAGCCATCTGGCTCTGTGAGTGTTGCATTGAGCGGATTGAAGGACACGTTTGGCGATTTGGAGATTGATTTCTTGGAAGACGGCGTGCTGTACTCGCAGTACAAGTTTAAAAACGATTTGAATTCGACTGTTTGTCCAAATGGCGTGGAATACTACGCCAACTGCTCGCTTTCCACCGGCAAAGTGTTCTCGCTTAACAGTGTCGAGGCCCTGTGTCCGGGCGAAGAACCTGTCAACAAGTCCCTCACCGCGAGACCAACACATGTCTCCTACAAGCCCCTGGGAGCAGCTTCCAAATACCAGTCTGCCTTGAAACTGAAGTCGCTGACCAACAAAGATAAACAGAAGCTGCAACGCGAGGAGCTGATCAACACTCTGGAGGCCTCTTTGTACGATCTCCGTGCGTACGTGGAAAACGACGAGGTGGTGGCCAACGGTCCACCCTCGATGGTTAAGAACGCCAAGGAGCTGGTGTCGGAACTGCTGGAGTGGCTGGAGGCTGTTCCAAAAGAAACGACAACTAAGGAGATCCAGGACAAGCACGACGAGGTGCGTGTGGCCAAGATCAAGATCCAGACGTATGTTTCTCTTGGCGACCGGCTTCTGAGTCTGGAAGAATTCTCGAGACTCAAGGAAAAAGCTCTTGAAACCATGTACAACTTACAGGACTTCATGTTGACGATGTCGGAGGACGCGTTTGCCATGAAGGCCAATTACACGGAGCTGGGACTGGACTTCGAGGACGCCAACAAGCGCATCAAGATCAAGGTCCCGGAGATTGACGAGCAGGAGCTGCAGGGCAGAATGAAGCGGATCAGCGACTTCTGCGGCGTTGTGGAGCATTTCGAGACCCACGAGGGCGAGATAGAAACCAAGGAGAAGGAGGTGTTGTACGAACTGAGAGAAAAAGTGCTGGAGGAGCTCAAGGAGGTGCAGAGCACGTACAAGACGTTGAAACAGGTCCACGACAAACGGATCAAGGGGCTGAAGGAAAGACTCAGACGCGCTAAGAAGAAGCAGGAGGAGAAGGCCGCCACACAGCCGGTCTCCTCGGAAACGTCGCAACAACCTGTCTCTTCGTCTCTTCACGACGAGCTGTAGTCTATATAAAACCACGGCTGTGCATTTTAAATAAAGTAATCCAATAATTATTCACCAATGCCCAGCATAGACACCGAGTTGATTGCTCCGTTGTCGCGGATTTCCGAGATCCTGTTGAAACGTCCGGGCCGCGTCAGTGTGGACGGAATAAAGCGATTGGCCAACATCTACGGGTTCGAGACGTTCACCGACACGTTGGCGGTCAACGACCAGAACGACCTGGTGTTTGCGTATCCTGAGAGTCGGTCGACCACGCCGGTGGGCAAAGAGGTACCGCAGATCGAGCGGCTGTCGCTGAGCGGCAAGATTCTGCTCATAGATATCGATTTCCAGGACGGCGCGGTCAAGAACGTTGGACTGTCGAGTGCCATCAACATCGAGTCGATCGACGCGCGCAGTTACGATTTCGTGGACGGTTTTGGTAGCTTCCCGAAAGTGGGCACGATTTTGTACGAGAACCTGCAATCGACCACGTTGGACAAGTTCAACAAGAACCTGCGGCTGCTGGGCCAGCTCGACCGGCTGTCAGCGTCGGCACCGTTCGATTTATTTAACACATTCAACCTGCTGACATACAACCTGCTCAAGGCGTGTGCGGCCGAAAAAGAGCACATAGCAGATAACTCGGCCGACATATTGACGGAAAAAGAACTAGCCGCAGATTATGACGTGGGAGTGCGCGGTGTCGGGAAGGTGCTCGTGAACCAGTCGGATAAGATTGGGCTATTCCTCAAGTTTTGGCAGGATAACCGATTCCTGGCCGAGCTCGATCGGTCTGAGCGTCCGGAGTATATGCTCCACTTCAAGATCATGGAGAGTCCTCGTGCGGATCCGGTGGAGACCAAGGAGACCAAGCGCGTGGTGGAGTGGTTCAACGGTCAATGGAGTCCTGACGTGCCTCTGGATCTGCTGGTGTTGGAATTATGTCCTCCCGTGTGGATTCCCGAAGATCTGCTATTGGAGCTCGGATTGAACGAGTACGAAGTGGTCACTCCAGATAACAGTGTCTTCAACAGCACCACAGACACGCTGGACGACTTTTACCAGGAAATCAACAAAAACTATTCCTACACATTTGGAACGGAAGATCAGATAATAGAATCGTTCTTTCTAACAGGTTGCAAATTTGTGAAAATATATAAACTCAAGCTCGCAGAGCTGGACAAACTTCGGGCGCTTGTGAGCGGTCTTCGGAGCTGGTGTTTGGTCAACAACGTGGTCAGAAACCTTTTGCAAGGCCAACAAAAGACAGCCGGGTCGTCCCAGACAGATGAGCTCTGGCTGAACGATATGGTGAGAGGCAATTTGGAGAAGCTTGATAACAGTTCGGGCGCGTCGTCGGAAGTGATAAGGCTGTCTGTGGAGACTCTGGAGCCGCAGCAGATCGACCTGACCATCAGAGGCGTTTTGTTGAAGATTATAGACGGCCAGGTGAAAAGCTCGGACAAAAAGTTGGCAAAGTTGGTGACCAAGACCGAAGAGCTTTTTTGAAGTTGTTCAATAGAGCCGCGGCTGCGATTGCATAGGTGGGAAGTTCTGGCGTTGTAATGGGGGTAGCATATTTAGATGGTAATATTGGTCTTTTGACAGCGAGTTGTCGTAGCTGGATGTTCTTGAGGTTGGCTGTTTGAAATGATCGGCTTGCTGGTACTGGTCCTGCGAGCCGACCGAGCTTTGACCCTCGCGTTCGAGGTTGGAGCGCGAGCTGGCCCGTTCCAGCTTGCGTTTACGCTTCAGCTCCTCTCGTAGGTCCTTGAATTCCGAAGGAGACCGTTTCTGTCCGTGTTTCTGCAGCATGATGTGCGAGTTGAGGTGGTTTAGCGTGCCGTACGCCTTTTGACAGGATTCGTGGTTGCACTTGTACAGTCTCTGGACCTCGTGGGCCTTTCTTCTTTTGCGCTTGTTGGTCTCTGTTGATGGAGAAGGGTGGTCTTTTGGTCTTTGCGAGGGATAGGAAATCTCACCGTCGATGCTGAGCGATTGAGAGCGGAACGGAGTTGGGGCCGGGAGATGGGAAGGCCCGCCCACCTGGTGAGGCGGATGAGGGACCTGCGGAATCTGGGGAGACTGAACCTTCAATGGGAGCGGGAAGGAAGGGTATTTGGACATTGGCGGCGAGTAGTAGTGCGAGGAGTTGGGAACAGACATCCGTCCATATGGAGATGGAGGCATTTGGTCTGGGGCGGTCATTGGGGGGAGGTGGTAGTTTGGAACGAATGGTGTGGGGAGATTGAGATTTCTCAACGAAGGGATCTCCTGTCTTTGCTGCATTGGAGGAAGTAGTAGCTTTGGGGGTCTTTCGAAAGAAGACGTTACTGAAGATGTCATTCTAATGGACACCAAGATATTTAGCCCAGAGTTGGGAGGTGCAGTGCTTATATTTAGCAAAGAAGGGAACTGGTAAGGTCCAAAACTTTGGCATGGTAAAAAGTTACAGCAAGGTGCATACACGGCTGCAGGAAGAATCAAAAGGCTTATTGTGGGGATAATCTTTGCTACTTTTAGTGGGTAATTGGACTGCATAGGTAAAAGTGTGCGGTTCGAAGTTAATAGGACAGAAGATTTACGTGTGTAAAGCTAATACGAGCGCATTACGAGAAAAAAATAAAAGGCCTGGGGATCCGACAATGATGTGGGGCGGGGCTGGCCCAGATGGGCGACGTAAATCTTTTGTGTTGCCTTTTTCGCACATGGCCCCAAAACAGGAGCCGTGGGTGACACGTCGCAAAAGTAAAAACTGCAGTAAAACATAAATAGACCTGTTCCAAGACTGAACCGGACAAGTGTTTTTTTAGTAACTTGCTTTTAGATCTGTATTTTTTTAACCGGCCGATATTTTTTTTTAGTTGCATGCAACCTCAAGATGCCGCACACGTGTGGCACTCAACAAGTCCACGCTAACAATCGGAATTTGTGTCAGTTTTCTTAAGTTTGTGCATTGTGATATAGGCTTTTGGGGGGTGGGAAGCTAAGCTCGGGTCCACTGTTTTGTGACCTATGCCTGTTTTAGCCACGCTAGATGATGCATAGTCTACACTGCCCCAGTTGAACCAAACTAAGTGTGTGTTTGGACGTGCAAACAAAATGCCGGTCCTGCATGTTTTTGAGCCAAGTTCTAAGTAATGCGATGACCGACTTTGGCTCAGGGCTTTTAAAAATTCCTATTGATTCGCCTGGAAGGATCTACAGCGAAAAAAATTACTTCGGTTCTTGAAAACAGCCGAAATTGACTTTTTTTACTTATGTTTTATATTCCCGCGGTGCCGGGAGGTTCCGTTTTAGGAATTATATCCAGGTCTGCCATTTTGGCGTCAAATGTGCTTTTCCCCGGTCGGCGTTATAGATACATATTGTCCCGAGCATGCTTCATCAGGCCACAAGAAAAGGATTGGGGCAGGACTTTGGCGTTTGGGCTGCACAGTGTCGTAGCACGAAGCACACCCTCGTTCGCTGGCTTACCTGGACCGAAACTTCGTAGTCTAGTTCCAACCAATAGAATTTTACCGAATAAATGGCCGGGCGTGCACCGCCTAACGACAAGAGATCTTCTTTTTCTTCCATATTAGCCCAAACGCATGCAATCTCTCTGCGGGTCCCATCTTAGTCTGCTTCCCAAACTTGATCAATCGCGTGGCTAGTATAAAATCTGTATGTGTATATGCATTCCATAATGTGGTGGGTCCGGAGGTTTCCTTGACGTATGTACAACAAGACGCATTGCTGTTTTGGGTTCCAGATTCGGATCTCATCAGGCCCGCTACCAGATAAGTGGAGCCCGCTGCGTTTCACTTAGTTTCATCAAAATCTCAAATCACAGCCATTTCAGTGTGCAGAAGCCTAGATACATGCCGCTAAGAAATGCCAAAATTAAAAAAACATTCCCAAACGGGACGAAGTACCCAAGACTCAGAACTCCAACGATTACTCCTCCGTACACGGCTTTGCTCGCCAGTCCTAAAACATCCAACCCGCTCAGCATCGCTCGCAGCCGGTCAAACTTCTCCACCGACTCCATCAAATGCGAATTCATGCTCTCCAGCCTATTCTCCCATTCATGAAGCCGTAAGCTTATTTCACTATTCATTTCTTCGTGCCGCACCGCCATAATTTCATGTCTGCTGCTCAGATTGGACATCCATCGCTCGTTTTCTTGCTCTGTAGCTCGTCGGAACTGTCTGTTGTAGTCCGCAAACTGGTGCTGCAGCTTGGCCAGAGATTCCCCGTGCCACTTCTCCAGCTGTTGCAGAATTTGGTCTGCTGATTCTAAAGCTTTCATATGAGCCGCTTCCAATTCTTGGTTAGCATTTTGTACGTCAATGACAAGCTCTTGAAGCCTGAGATCTAAGCTCGTTAGAGATCTGTTCAACAATAGATCTAGTTGTTCGAATTTTACAAGCAAGTCTTGCTCCATCTCTTCGAACGTGGCAACCAGCCGGTCGCGGAGATTATCGAGAAACTCGCCGTTCGTGAACCTGTCCACGCGATCGATCGCACTGAGAAGCTCGTCAAACTTGCCCCACACTTCCCGGTACGTGTCCAGAAGTTTCTGTGTTTCGTATGGAGAGCTGTAATAGTGACATAGCTGCTCTATCAGGTTCAGGTATCCGAAATAAGTGGTCCACCACACAGAGTTCGACGCCAGCTCCCCAACACACTTGGCAGTATCGTGGCTCCAGCATGATCCCGGCAGTGTCAGACCTCCCTGAGAAGCCGTGTTGTTGTTGAATATGCACATGGTCAGCTGAATAGCTGTCTCTGACTTTGCCTGTTCCGTCAACGAGGTCTGGCCGTCTCCACACTCGGGCAAAACCGTGGACAAGACGTCCAGAACACACGAAGGGAAACCCAGCGTCGCGGCGTCTAGTTGTCGAGTTTCCTGGAGCTGCTGCAATGTGCTGGCAATCGACTCAGGAGACAGCGAGCTGCACGGCAGCAAGAACAGCACAAGTTTGATAAAACGTCGCATCGTGTCACAGCAGTCATTGCGTTCTGTATATATAGAGTGCTCTTGCAAGAAATGGCTGGTTTGTGCACCGTTGTCAGGTCGTTTGATATCTGATCTATCACATTAGCCAGATTGGATGAACAGAGGGTGCTTTCGCTGATTTTTAACCCGTTCACCAATCCAGGGGTGCCCATCAAGACCTGAATCAAACATATCCCCTGTTCGTCTCTCCTAATGGCCCAGTTCACGACTCCGCCAGTCAGCTACTGTGCCCCCGTCATCTGCTCCGTCTGATGACGTAATGAAAATATTTTATTTAAACCGCACACCGCCTTCTAATAATATTCTAAAAAATTTATGTCGCCATCTTTACAAGAAGAGTATCTCCCAGCCTACGAGGAGTCAACGCCTCCCGAATACGGAGAAACAGACATCGAGCTTGGTTCCGGATATAAAAAGTTCCCGCAGGATCTGAAGGAACCGGTTCCATCTTACGACTTCAACGAGAGTTTCCGTTTAGACCATCCAAAATGGAATGATTTACCGTTTGTATTTGTGTTTTTGGTCTCTGTGGTATGTTTCTGTGGAGTCTTCACCTACAGCACGAACAACATAACTGTTCCGACGCTGCATGTGAACGAGAGCCAGTCGCAACTGATGTTGATTGTTGCCATTACCGCCGTTGCCGCTACATACGCAGGAATCCTTTTACTGAAAGCCCGTCCAACAGCGTTCATTCGCGCAGGATTCATCATGAACATCTTCATGGCTCTCGGATTCAGCTACGGAGCTTTCACGAATAACAGCTTCTGGACTGGGGTGTTTTTCGGATTCGTTGCCTTGATCCATTTACTCTGGTTGATCGATATTCGCCGCAGAGCTGCTTTCAGCGCCCTGATATTGAAAACCGTCGTTGAAGTCGCACAGAGGAACCCGTCCACATGGAAGATCTCGTTTGCTGGATCGGTGGCTGCATTCGTGTTCAGCCTGCTATCCCTGGCAGCTCTGTATGGAACCCTGGAAAATTGGGGCCCCGACGACTCCGGGGTAGTCAAAGATAAGGCTAGTTTGGTCATCGTGGGCTCTCTGTTGATGTTCACCAGCGCATACATCGCAGAAGTGATGAAATCGGTCCTACACTCCACTGTTGCCGGTATCTACGGCTCGTGGTACTACCTTTCACAGGCAGATCAATGTCCACGCAACTCTGGCTCTGCTTCATTCAAGAGAACAATCACATACTCCCTGGGCTCTGTGTGTTTTGGCTCGCTGATAGTCACCGTGATCCAGACTCTCAACAACTTGGCCGCCCTCGGTAAACACTGGGCTGCCCAGGAAGGAGGACTTGCTGGCTACATTGGATTCTACATTCTCGAGATGGTGATCTCTGTGTTTGAGGCTATGGTGAGATGGATTAACGAATACGCTTATTCGCTCGTTGCTCTATATGGGCTCGATTTCCTTCATGCTGCACGGGGCGCCTTCTATGTCGTGGAGCAGAAGGGACTGACTGCGATCGTGAACGACTGTCTGATCAATACTGCGCTTGGTGTCTATTCGTTGTTTGTCGCATACGCCTGTGCGTTGGTTTCGCTTGTCTTCGTTTGTGTGACTGAGCCTGCATGGGCACAGAACGCCGAAGGCGCCTTGGACGTCAATGCCACGCTCATTATGATCCTGTTTGCAGCTGCTGCCTTTGGATTTTTCGTGGCAAACACAGCAACCAGCGTCATCCACAGCGGAACCATCACGTTCTTCATCACGCTGGCCAAGAATCCTGAAGTTTTCAAGGTCACTCATCCTGAACAGTACGCACAAATCCTCGAAAGTTATCCGGACGTGCAAAACAAACTGGAAACTGACTTTTAGTCAATAAATATAGCATATGATCGAATTGTTTGTAGTTCTGCTTGTAGTGGCCGGTTTCAAGTTCACTCCCCACTAACTAGCGTGATATTATCGCCCTTGAGTAAAATTCTGCCCAATTTGCGCTCCTTTTGCGTGTCAACCTCCACCTCAACAGCCTCGTCTATCACTATGTTCATAAACTCGTCAAATCCACGTATGATACCGGTAATTCTGACTCCGACCTGCTCGTAAAGCCATATAGTCACCCGCGACTGCTGCTGAAGATATTTGAAGATCTGATTGATGGGAGGAACCATCACTTTCTGTTTGCGTCCCGACATTAGTGCTCTGTTTGACTTTTCAGTTTATATATATTTTTCGTGATATTTTTTTTTTCGCTCCTAACCTAATTTGTATTGTTATGTCTGTCCCCGTTCAATTGAATCAGGCGCTGGAAACCCTGTACGGGAACTCTGCGCCTGGCGTTAAAGATCAAGCGAACGAGTATTTACTAGCGTTTCAACGGTCTGAGGAGGCGTGGCAAACTGCGTTCAATATTTTGACCGATCCCTCGTCTTCGGTACAGGCCACCGTCTTTGCTGCTCAGACGCTCCGTTCAAAGGTTCAGTACGACTTCTCGCAGCTTCCAAACGAGCAGAGGTCGGCATTCAAGTCATCGCTGCTCCAGCTGATGGTGGCGTACTCGGGCAAACAAAAACTCATCATCACACAGCTTTGTATTTCGCTGGCCAACTTTGCACTTCAGTATTTGGAATGGACAAACGCGGTGGAAGAAATCATCTCTACATTGTCGGGACCATCCACAGAAACTCTGCTGGAGTTTCTGAAGATCCTGCCCGAAGAACTGCTCGATGTCAAGAAAACACCATTGACTGACATGGAGTTTGAGACAAGAGCACACCAGCTTCTTGGAGCAAACATCGAGTCCATTCTATACATTCTCACGACTCTGGCTAACTCCAAGGCCACCAACCCAACAAGCACAAATACCTTGGTTCTAGCATGCATCAAGTCGTGGATCATCGACATTCCTTTTGAGCAAATCCTGTCCAACTCTGCTCTTTGCTCGCTAATCTTTGACGGACTATTGTCTGACGATACGTTCGACACGGCTATCGAGTGTTTGTCCACCATAGTCGGAGAAACTGTCGAGTGCGACAACCAAGAGGTCATTATTGCTCTTTACGAACAGCTTCTCAAACTCAAACCGCTCCTGGCAGAAAGCCAGGACGATCCCGACAAGGTGGAAAGATTTACAGAGCTGTTCTCGACGGCTGGCGAGTCTTGGCACGTCTATATTGCCAAAGATCCATATAATTTCAAGCCGTTGGTGGACATCATCTTGCAACTCACAGCATACGAGGAAGACCTGGACGTGGTGAAGTACACGTTCAAATTCTGGTACGACCTCAAGTCGTTACTGACATCAGAGGCCCGTCGCGAGGCCCGTGTCTGTTATACGGAAACATACAGTCAACTGGTGGAAATTCTGATCAAACACTTACGGTATCCAATCACCTCCAACTCGACAGATCTCAAGGATCTATTTAATAATGACAAAGAAGCAGAAGACAAGTTCAAAGAGTTCCGCTACGACATGGGCGACGTTCTAAAGGACTGCTGTGCAGTTATCGGGGCCCCTGCTGCATTGAACATTCCTTTCCAGATTTTGCAAAACCAAATGAACTTGCATACACAGGGACGTCAAGTGATGTGGCAGGAAATAGAGGCTCCTTTGTTCAGCATGCGTGCCATGGCCAAGGAGGTCGGAACCAAGGAAAACAAGATCTTGCCACAGATCATGCGGTATCTGATTCAGCTACCGGAGAATCCAAAGATCAGATACGCTGCCACGTTGGTTCTTGGTCGGTACACGGAGTGGACTGCCAAACACCCTGAACATTTGGAAGAACAACTCAACTACATCACCACCGGGTTCCAACAACAACAAAACATGGAGATCATCATTGCTGCTTCCCATGCGCTCAAGTACTTCTGTATGGACTGTGCGTCGTTATTGAGCAATTACTTGGAGCAGCTGTACAGCTTCTACTCCAACGTTGAGAACTCTTTGGACGTGGAGTCGTTGTACGACATCACCGAGGGAATCGCACATATTCTACGTGAGGAAAGAGATAACGACAAGTTGTACAACATCACCTTGATGTTCTGGAAACCAACGTTGGAGAAACTGGATCAGTACTGCAACGCACAGCCGTCCAACTCGGCCGAGCTGGATAAATTGGATACACAAATAGCAGACACTGTCGAGATCTTGACGATCTATGTGGACGCATTGAAGCCAAGAAGCTTTTCCAATCCGAGCCATCCTATTGCCAAGATCGCCATGGAGGTTTTGTGGCCTCTTGTGTTACGCCTGATCCAAACACACGGCAGGTCCGTCAAGGTGAGTGAACGGTGCATGAAACTTGTCAGACGGTCCCTGCAGAGCTACAAGACCTATCTCCTTCCTGTTGTGTCGACCACGGCCGAGATGCTTGTTTCTGGATTTGAGAGTTACCGCCATGGGTGCTACTTGTGGGTGTCTGGTGCTTTTATTAAGGAATATGCAGCTGAGGAAGACGTCTCAGCACAAATCAAGGAGGCAGTTTGGGGATTTTCCGTGCAGCAGACAGGAAACTTTATCAAGATCTTCAACCAACTTGGAGAGCAGGAGATCTCCGAATACACCGAGCTGGTGGAGGACTTTTTCAGGATGTGCAACGACATCTTGATGTTCTTACCTGTCCGACTAATAGAAAGCAATCTGGTGGAGCCTGTTTACGGCGTTGCGGTTAAAGGCCTCCAGGCATATTACGAACAGGGGACAGTTTCGTCCATTCTGCAGTATCTGGTTGATTTCTACTCGTGGGGGTTTGAAGCACCTCCTGTGTCGATGATTGAAGATATTCCAGACGGGCTGAAATTCAAGGTTATTAATTTTGCAGTCAGCACTGGCGAAGAGGTGCTGACGAAGTTGATGGCCGGACTGATCTACACGTTCCCAAGCGACTGTTGGCCCGAGGCTAACGAATTATTGGTGAAAGTTGTCAAGTTGAGCACGTTGGAAGGCGGGTCCAAGGTGGGTCTCGGGTGGCTAGACCGGGCTATCGTGCATTTGCCGAACGGCAGTGTGAGCGACGATGAAAGGCTGAAACTACTCCGCACTGTGGAATCTGCAATCAACTCAAAGGATTTCAGACGTGTAAGAACAAGTGTCCGCGATTTTGTGAGCTGGTACAGACGCCGAAATGTCGACAGACGCAACAATTAAGACGATTTGTACAGGTTGAGCAATGCGAGTTATTTTTTCCCAAAACGGCATAGCATTCGATTTACGGTGCTAGGTGTGCATTGTTTGCCCGGTCTGGGGAGTTTTTCTGTCCAACACCGACAATGAAACTTCTGGCTGGCCAGCCCGAATATCGACTAGCGAATGCATCAAGGCTATTATTTTCCTATTAACGAGAACAAGATGCTGTGTGTAATATGCGATGCTGTGCTAAATTATTCAATACAGGTTTCCCGGACAAGTAATGTATATAAAAGGTGATCTATCCAAAAGTTTACCGTATGGAATTTGATGAATATTACAACTGCTGATAGAACTCCTGACGGCGTGGAATTTCAGCATTTCCAGGCAGACTTCTTTAAAAGCAGATCTTTGTCTGTCAGTACTGTAAATTCGGCCGATGTTGCCCACGAATATTCTTCCAATCCATCTCCAACCAGCGTAAGCAGGCGAAGCTCAGAGGAAAAAGTGTTTAACGGACTTGCTTCTCCTTTGCTCAACTTCCCCAACCCCTTTGGAAAACTCACCAAGAAGCTCAAGAAGAGTGTGCCAGCGCCTATCGTCACCTCTTCGCGCAAAAGTGCCTCTGAGTCCGGTTCGTCGATCATTTCGATTGCCACCGGTAATACCTCGCCGCTAACGTCTCCATCCACCAAGCTCAAGTTGCTCAGTCCCGGCATTCCTGCTGCTCCTCAGTTCCAGCCACCGAGAGCCCAGTCCATGCCCGACATTGCTGACGAATACTTCCAGAAACACCAGCAAAAACCATCAATTCGCCCGCCCAAGTCCAACTCCATTTCTGCATCTGTCGCTACCGACTTTGAGAGTCTCTACTCTTTAGAAGAGAGAAACAGCCATGTATCGCATCCCGATCATCTTTCGTTCCATTCGATAGCGAGCATCGACGCCCTGCGAGCCACCAATCTGGAGCAGAGCTCGTTGATGGGTGCGTCATCGGCCCTAACGACCCAGCATGAAAACCCGGGCTGGAGCGTCAAGGACGGGGTGCTTGTTGCTGCCGAAGACAGCCACGATCCACTAGAACACAACGGCAACGACGATGCAGAAACAGAAAACGACCCCGAATCCCATCAAGGCCCAGTAGAGGACCTGGTGGAAAACCTGGTTGCCACAGACGTTCTGGAACGTCTCAACCTACAGTAACGAACATAGACGACCAATAGCCACTTCTGGAAAGCGACTATTTTTTGCTACATAGAATTTAACGATGTTTTTTTCTCCACACTTTGGCTGTGCAAATCCGATGGGCCGGACACCGGTCACGAGAACGTCACGGGCACCCCCTGAGCAATGACCTTGTGTCAAGAGTTTAAATACTGGACAAGGACACCACTGGTTGGTTCCTATGTCTACTTTCGAATACCAACCTAGTCTCAAGAAGCTTCCAATCCCTGACTTGGAGGAGACCCTGGAGAAATATATCCAGGTGCTTAAACCCTTGCAAACGGAGAACGAGCACTCGCAGACCGTCGCCAGCTGTCAAAAATTTCTGCATACGGTGGGGCCTGTTTTGCAACGCCAGTTGGTGGAGTATGCCAAATCTCGCGATTCTTACATTGAGCAGTTCTGGTACGACTCGTACTTGAACTACGATTCTCCTGTGGTTTTGAATCTGAACCCGTTTATCATGCTGGAGGACGACCCCACGCCGCTCAAATCCACACAGGTGTCGCGGGCAGCCAGTCTCACCACGTCGAGTCTGCGGTTTGTGCGTGCTCTGCGCAAGAACGAGCTGAGCGTGGACAAGCTGAAAAACGGGGCACCGTTGGATATGGACCAGTACCCGAAACTTTTCGGGTCCAGCAGGGTCCCGACCCGCACAGGGTGCGTTCTGCAAACAGACACCCAGTCCAGACACATTGTTGTGCTCAGCAAGTCGCAGTTCTACTGGTTTGACGCCCTAGACGACAACAACGACCTGATCCTCACAGAGCTCGACATCAAACTCAACCTGCAGAGCATCGTCGACGACTCCGAGACAACAAGCGTGCAAGACATTGCCAAGTCCAGTTTCGGAGTGCTCACCACAGAGAACCGCCGTATCTGGGCTGGTTTGCGCGAGAAGATCGTCAACGACCCGGTCAACTCAGAAATCCTCAAGATCCTCGACTCGGCGCTGTTTGTGGTGGTTCTCGACAACGTCGAGGTCGGCTCTGACCTCACACGCATGGCCAAGAACTTCCTTTGTGGCGAGTCGCGCCTCGAAAACGGTGTTCAGATCGGAACCTGCACCAACCGGTGGTACGACAAGTTGCAACTGATTGTCACCAAAGATGCCAAAGTCGGCATCAACTTCGAACACACGGGCGTGGACGGCCACACTGTTTTGCGGTTTGCCTCGGATATCTATACGGACTCGATTCTAAGGTTTGCACGCACCATCAACGTGAACTCTCCGTCGCTGTGGAAATCTGTTTCTCCAGACCCTGCTACCAGGGACCCTGCCAGTTTTGGCAACGTGATGACGAGTCCGCGCAAGCTTGAATGGGACCTTACCACCGAGCTGTCGCTGGCCCTGCGGTTTGGCGAGACCAGACTCAGCGACCTGATCCACCAGAACGAGTTCTCCACGCTCGAGTTCAGGTCGTACGGAATGGAGCGCATCAAGAAAATGGGCATGTCGCCCGACGCTTTTGTGCAAATGGGTTTCCAGCTGGCATACTACGCTCTCTATGGAAAGATTGAGTCCACTTACGAGCCATCAATGACCAAACAGTTTCTGCACGGACGAACAGAGGCCATCCGCACTGTTTCGTTGCAATCGAACGAGTTTGTCACCAAATTCCTGGACGAGCACGTGAGCGTGCGCGACAAGGTGAAGCTGCTCAAGGATGCGTGTGCTGCGCACTCGGCACGCACCAGAGACTGTTCCAAGGGTCTGGGCCAGGATAGACATCTGTATGCTCTTTTCTGCATCTGGAAGCGGTACTACGGCGGAGAACCTCTGGGAGCCGCTTCCGACTCCGACGACGAGAACACCCTGAGCGACCTGGGCGACCTGATAAAAGACACAGACCTGTCGGACGTGCCGTCAATCTTTGCGGACGCCGGCTGGGACAAGCTGAACAACACCATCATCTCCACGTCCAACTGCGGCAACCCATCTCTGAAACTGTTCGGGTTCGGCCCGGTGTCTGCAAATGGATTTGGTCTGGGCTACATCATCAAGGACAACTCGATCACCATATGCGCTTCTTCCAAGCACCGCCAGACGCAGCGGTTCATGGACACGCTTAACAGCTCGTTCCTGGAAATGGAGCAGGTTTATGTCGAGTCGCTGAAACCGGACGAAGAGGCATCTTTCGGTCAGGAGGTGGTCAACAAGCTGCAGGACCTGCGTGTGGGCCGTACCAGACCGGCCATCATCCGTTTACTGGGAGGCTACGACTCGTTCGAGGTGGACAGCAACTCGGATCTGATCAAGTCGCGCGAGCACTCTCCCGAGCCACCATTCTCGCGCCACAAAGTGCTCACCACGAGAGATATCGGCAAGAAATTGCGTCTAGCCGAGTACTAACGACCTATTTATTACATGTATATGCTATTAGGATTATTTATTATGAGCAAAGAAATATTTTAGTCTGAAATATTTATGAGTCTGTTCCGGAACCAGTTTGAGTTCCCCATCATTCTTGTCAAGAACCTGCCGTACGAGGCCAAGTCGGCCGAGCTGTACGAGATCTTTGGCCAGTTCGGCAACGTGCACGAGATCCGTGTTGGCGCGGACAAGGAGCTCAAGGGACAGGCTTTGGTGGTGTACACCAACTACAAGAGCTGCCAGACCGCTCTGGAGAAGCTCAAGGGGTTCAATTTGAACGGGCGGTACATTGTGTGTTCGCTGTACCAGGTGGAGAAGAGCACCGCGCTCGAGCTGCGGGAGAAAATGAAGAACTAGTGCGCTATGTAATAACGAGGTGATGTTTAGGACCGGCCAGGCAGTAGATTCGGTGTGATGGTGGGGAGTGTTGGTGGAGAACTCGCGACAAAATGCCACCCCATCCATCACCTAAAAGACAACCCCATTGCACCCACTGTCTGGGTTCAACTTGACGGCTGTGCAAAAAGTAAATTTCCACGGTAAAACTCTTGCACTGTGATCATGTCGTTTGACGATTTCATGGACTCCCAGAAGGTGGTGTACGAGCTTGCAGGGGATGCTTTGCAGACAGATGAGCCCAGTGTCCCTGTTTTCTACACCGAAGGTGTCCCCACGAACGCAGAGATCCCGTTTGTTCGTCTGCTGAACGGGAACGAGCCCGAAGAGAACCAGCACCGTCGATACGAGCTGTTCTGCGCGAACTGGAGCAAGCAGCACGCCTCTATTTCCCGAATTCTTGCCGCCGCGGATGAGCACATGTTTGTGGAGCTAGACCAGTTCTTCCGCGTCCAGGATACCCCCACCGTGTTTCTTGGCCAACCAAGAAACGTCAGCACAGCCTTGCTCAACCTAGGCCCCAACATCTCGAACCACTCGCTGCTACTGGACAAGGTGTGGACACATCTGGACAGAGAGATTGCGAATGCGATAGTCGTGCGGCTGAGCAGCAAGGTTTGCAGCACGGTGAGCTTCACGATGAAGATCCTGGCTACGCAGATCACCAGGGGACTTAAAACCGAGCTGGACCAGGCCGCAGACGAGGCCGAGGCCGAGTCCGACGCTGATGATGCGATGAGCGACGCCGATGAAGACGAGACCCAGTCCCGCGTGTTTGACATGGACTCGTTGATGGAGAAAGTTTATGCCAAGGAGAAAATACTCATAGTAATGGTGGAGGACGCTGACTCGTTCCCCACGGCGATTCTGACCCCGTTGGTGAAACTCATGTGGGACTACAACAACGCGTACGACTGGGCCATCAAGCTGGTCATCGGCATGTCCACGCCGTTCGAGATCTTCCAGGAGAAGCTTCCAAAGCTCACTGTGCGGTACTTGCAACCAAAGTACTTTGAGATCGACAATTCCGATACGGCAGTCACGCATATCATGGAGGAACTGCTGTTCAACATCCACGACCCGTACAACTCGCTGATTTTTGACCCCAAACTGGTTCTGGAGTTCCTCAAACTCAAATCCAGAGTGTCTACTGCGCAGTTCATCAACAGCATCAAAATCATCTACATGGGCCACTACTTCAGCCAGCCACTAAGTGTCATGTGGACGAACGACTTCACAAAGACAAAGCTCAACTCGTACGTATTTGACGTGTTCAAAAGACTGCCGTCGGTCAGAAGCTACAGTCAATACCTGGATAAAGAGTCAGCACAGCATTTCCACAAACTTCTTCTGACAGACAACGACGAGGACCTGGGCAAGCTGTTAAGAACCAGCATCAACAAGCTGATCCTCTGGCGCTACGAGATGAAGACGTTTTTTGATCTGCTAAATTTTATGCAAGAGTATTTCCTTGAATCATCAGTGTGGACCCAGAACCTGGATCTGTTCAGATTGACGTTCCAAAACGTGCACTTGGACGACCCGGACAAGAACCTGGACAACTTTGAGTTTCTCCAGCCCTTGTGGCAGGGCATTTCCAAAGCAAGTTTGCATGATATCAATTCGTTCGTGAAGACAGTCATGGAGGACGAGGACTTCGGGCCCATCTTCCAAGAGTCCCAGCTCTGGAAGCTGTCGTCAAAAACCGAGGTGTCCAAGCTCGTCTCCACGCTCAATAATGCATTTTTGCAACACTTGGAGGACCTCGACCTTAATAAAATCCCCTTCAGAGAAATCTGTTGCGTCGACCTCTCTGCAATGGACCTCCTTTCCAACTCGTTCAACCCGAAAATCCGCGAAACTTGCATCGACTCGTTGCTAAACTCGCAAAACTATCTGTTCAACACGATGCATTCCGATCTGAAGCAGTTACACCCTGAACATCCCGACATCAAGCTGTACAAGCTGCTAGAACCATCCGTCATCGAGCTGTTCAAACTGTCTAGAGAGGCCGGTGTTGTCTCCAACGTGTACGACTTCTACCAGGTGTTCAAGAGCTCGCTGCCTCGCGAACAGCTGGAGCCTGTTTTGCAAGAAAGAACTCGGCAGACCGGCATCCAAATCGAATGGACCGACCTGAACTGGGACAAAATGACTCTGAGCTGGTTCTTGAAGAGTCTTGCCGAGCTCCAGACACTCGGGTTTGTGCGTGAGGTGAAGAATAAAAGCGATACGCTCGAAAAGCTCATCTGGAAAGATCTGTAAAGCCCCCGAAATATAATGAAGTTCTCTGTATTGGTTTGGGCGAGGAAGTGTCGAGCTCCACGTCGTCAAACAGGTTGTCGTAGTCCGAGCTGAAGAAACTCTTCCTGATCTCGTTGTTCTCGTCGTCCTTGGTTATGAACTCGGTACCAACGATGGTGAACCCGACACGCTCGATGACACGCGTTTCCACCTGTTCCTGACGCGATGGAGTCCCGAGTGTGCTTTTGAGGTCGTCTGTGTCGTTGTATGTGTCGCCCAGAGCGAGTTTCTGGTCTGGGTTATCGTTGTCCTCCAACGATAATGCTTGGAGTGCTATTTTGTAATCGTCAAATGCTGTGTCTAATAAGGTAGTTGTGTCGTTAGTATCCATATCCAGGATCTCCAGAACCGTGCTGGAATCGGCTGTGATGTCTGCATCTTCGCCGTCGCTGTCTTCTTCGTACACGGTTCTATGTTTAGATCGATTCAGAGGCAAATTTTCCTTGTCGTCGGGTTCACCGTGACCCATGGCTCGGCTGAGCTCTGAAGGATCAATAACCATCGACTGTCGCTTGCTTGCCCTGCTGCCAGTACCTGCGCGAGATGACACCTTCGCTCGCGGAGTCTTTATCTCTTGCTGGATTGCCTTTTCTGGTTTTTCCTTCGACTTGGTCGAGCCCCTTATCGGACCCCAAAACGAACGCCTGATCGAAGATTTGGTCGACATAGTGTTCCTCTTTCAAGCGCGTTAGACGAAATGTGGTGTGTAGCCGCTGTGTCACAATCTATTTAGTCTGAAATTAGATCTAGACCATGTCTTAGAAAACAATAGATATCTGTCAGGACTATAATTTGTGCAAATCCAAAAACGCGTGCCAGTCAATCACTTGCAGTTACGAGACAGGGCAAAAATATCCACCGCCCCGCTGGCGGCGGAAAACCCCGTGCGCCTAATCTTTTTTTTCCCTCCCTACAATCACCGGCCGCAGCTGGAAAAATCGACACTTGCTTAAATTAAAAGATTAGTATACATCTATGTATGAAGGTTGCCGACGAACAAAGAGCCCAGCTCTTCGCCCGAACTCACAAATTCACATCCAAAACCAATCCAATATCGTCAACGTTCTTTTCCGCAAGATCCTCCAAAAAGGGGAGCAAGTCTATAAGCTCACAATCGTGAGTGTCTGAGAACCAACTCGAAATAGGAATCGAATGCTGTGGATGGAAAATGTAAGAGGCTGGCGAGTTATCAATGATAATCAGGTCTTTCAAAGGTCTTCCCATCTGGGACAAGTTCTTGATGTAGTTTCCTTGGTAGTTGTAGCAACTCTCCCGGAATAACCTATGATGAACAGATTTGTGCACATCCAAAATATCCAGTAATGGATCACCATATCTCGAAACAGAAGCGGTGAACACAACAACCTCGTATAACTCACCACATCGTTTCAAAAACTCGTCCACTCCGGGACGCTTGATCACGTAAACGTTGTGTATTTGGTTCTCGATCTCCACTGGAATCACAAAGTCGGAATGTCGAATGTACTTGAACGACGAATGCACAAGAGTCTCATCAAGGTCAAGAACCAAACACTTCTTCCCTTTCAAATGGGCTGGAGGAGGATCCAAAAGCCAGCCCGACGATGCAACAACCTGGTCGGTCTGGATTCGGGTGAGGTCCAAGTCTTCAAAATGGTCCTCGTCCATAGGTTCGTCTTGGTACAAAATTTCCTCATCCTCCTCTTCATTCTGAATCACCTCTGCCTCCGGTGTCTGGGTCAAGATTCCCGTGTCTGGCACCGGGTCCATCGATCTAGGGATGGCCTGTTTCTGAAGAATTTGTGTGTTGGTATCTGGAGACTCTTGAGCGGCATTTAGCGTCTCGTCGTCTTTCGAACTATCTGTTGAATCTTTCGAATCGGTCAGCTCCGTGACCGCATTTTGTTTAAATGCAGCATTTTCGTTGTGGTCCGAAGGAATCATTCTCGGTTGTGTCGAGTGTTTCTTCGAGTTTGAGTCTGGTTCCTGTGTGGCAGACGGCTTGCTAGAAAGTTGGGAGTTTGAAGGTCTGTGACTGAGAGCCTTCTGTAAATTCGATTGAGTTGCTGTAAGTTTTGGCTGGTTTGATATCAGAGTTTCTTGCCTCTCGGCTTTTTCGTTGTCAAAACAGCAGAGTAGTGCCGACAAAAACGACATAGCACTGACCAGAGAACCTGTTTCTCCTTATGCAAGACTCTATAAAATTGGCTGGCCAGAAAAACTCGGTATAAGACGTTATTCCCAGTTAAAAGAAAATAAAGGAACACACTGGGCGCTCTTCAAATGACTGGAAATAAGTATGAACTAACTGAAGAGCCAATTATGTCAGGTGTGGCAAGCAATTAATAGCACTTTTTGCACCCCGCCAAGTCCAAATTGCTATATCTTTAAAATCCGTTTCCTTTGTTCGGATAAGAGAAAATTTGAGATATTTCTTCAAATAATCCAGGTTGTAACGAATCTGTATAGTTGGTGCTTTGTAAATTCTACCACCTGTGATAAAAAAACAAAAGCGCAATAGCTATTATTGTATTAGTCAAACCCAGCTGGCTAAAGACAATTCCATCAACTGTCTAACCTTCTTGCCTTTTTTTTAATTATATTTCTTTGGTTGACGCACGAGCTATTTCCAGCCTCTAATTACCAAACTTACCCGGCTACAATATCACCAGATGCCATGGGGCTATTCCCACTTGCTACACATGCTTGCCGACAACCGAGCCTTAACCTGTGTTTACTAAATAGTCTAGAATCGGCTAATTTGATAGTTCGCCTTATACAAAGCCATATTTGCCTAGTTTATTCAAGCTGTTCTAGCACCCTCCATATTACAAATTGATGCTTACTAACTTTTTTCCAAACTGTGTGGCCAGAATGCCGATATATAAAGAGCACAAAATCTCGAAAGTAAATTTCGAATGTATAGTTTCTTGGTACTAATTGTTCTTATTGTACTGTTCAATCGAGTTCTATCAACAACTACCGGTTCATCCAAAGAAATCACACACAACAATATGAAGGTTATCGAATCTGCTGACGAGTTCAAGTCGCTCACCTCTGTTTCCAAACTTGTGGTCATCGACTTCTTTGCCACTTGGTGTGGCCCTTGCAAAATGATTGCTCCATTGTTGGAGAAGTTTTCTGCTGAGTATTCCGACTTCGACTTCTACAAGGTTGACGTTGATGCTTTGCCAGAAGTCGCTTCTCAGTGGGACGTCAGCTCTATGCCTACCATCTTGTTCCTCAAGGACGGTAAGGAAGTTAAGAGAATCATTGGTGCTAACCCATCTGCCATCAAAGCATTCTTGGCTTCCCAGGCTTAAGTATTATCCCGTCTAATGTATTAGTAAGATTATATCCGCTAAACCCCAACTTCAGCAAAGAGCGCGTCCAAATCAAACTCTTTGGCCCATTCTTTCACCACCGTAGTTTGTTCAACCTTGGCTGGCGCAGACAGTTTGCTCACACTGCTGATGTTCTTGGCCTCTTCACGCGGCTGTGGGACCGTCCATCCCACAATCTTGCCGTCTCTCCAATCGTTCAGAACAGTCACTCCAGCAGAGTGCAGGTTAGGAATACCTCCTTTGCCCAAACGACCTTGTTTTCTAGCGATGTGGATCAGCACCTGTTTTGCGAACTCGTCCAGGTCGGAAGATGGCAATGGCGGCAACTGGTAAAAGTTCTTGAATCCATCAGCCATTTGTGTGTTCTTGGCCAATCTTTTGAGCAAAAGCTTAATTGGAGGAAGAGGGTCCTTCACTTGTTTAGGAGGAATTGAGTTCAGAAGAACCAGTTCGGCCTCCTGAAGCTGCTTGTTCTTCTTCTTGGTGTCTGGGAACACAATTCCTGGAGAATCGAGGATCTTGAGCTTGTTGTCGATCTTGACCTCTCTCAGCGAAGTAGTCACACCAGCTTGGTTTCCAACAGGACAAACGTTGGAAGATCCACCGTGTCTGGAAGTGAGCGCATTGATAACAGACGATTTTCCAACATTAGGATACCCTATCACACCAACAACAATTGCTCTCTTCAAGTTCGATTTCTGCGAGTAAGATTTTAATGCTTGTAAAAGTGTAGATGCAGAGGCAGCTTGGGTCAACTTACGGTTGAACGACTGGGCGTTGGTAGAACCACTGCTTGCCTTCAAAGGAATTGTTGGGAAAGACTGCTTCAAGTAGTCTAACCAGGTCTTGAGGTTGTCTTCTGGAATCAGATCCACCTTGTTAACCACAAAAATCAAACGTTTAGACGAGTTCTGCAAAACAGCCTCCTCAACTTTCCGCGACCGCGTGGCCTCTGGATCCCGCGCATCCAGAATATACAACACAACATCCGATGCCTCAACCACAGACTTGAAAATCTTGTCAAACTGCTTTCTGGACTTCTCCTGTTGAGTATTGGCTTCGTCATCGCTCACAGAAATTTCGTAGTCAACCACCTCGAGATCTTCCTCGTCCATTGGTTCCTGAGCTGTTTCGCCAGAGAATTCCTCGGCCGCCTTTTCGGCAGACTCAAGCAAAGCTGCCAGGTTGTTTCCCTCGTCAGCTTCCATATCCTCGTCGTCTTCGCTCATCATTTCCTCCTCATGGCCCTGTAATTGCTCCAGCTTTCTCTCGGATCTCTTTCTTTGTCTTTCCTCCTGCTCTAGTCGCTTGGTGTCCTCAATTTGCGACAGTAAACGGTCTTTATATGGGAAGCTGGCAGGAATACCAGGGTCCTTCTTGTGCTTGGACTTCCATGTGACGTCCTTCTTCGACTGCTTCTTTTCCTTTCTACGTTGAGCAGCAGCCTTCTTCTTAATTCCTTCCCGCATCCGGGTGGATGTCCGCTTTGAGGTCGGCTTCTTAACACGCATGTCCTGTGTAAGATAATTTTTTCAGATCTAAAATTTTTTTGCTGATTTTTTTTCTAAATCAGCTATCTGCGTCGATTGGGTCTATCGACGCGATTCGATTGTAACTAGTCGCTGGTTTTGCCCTTTGCTAGAGTTTTGAGCTCCAACTGGGACCCGCCAGTCATGCTTAACGGTTGAGGGAACGGAACAGACCGGCCGGGCGACTCCGACCGTTTTATGTACTTGTTGTACTTCTTGCCCATGAAATCGAAAGTAAGACCAGATTTGTCGCCGTTAGTGCTGATCTTGCCAGGAAGAGAGTTGGCAGAGAAAGACCGTCCAAAGTGCGGAATATCATTGAGCGTGTCTGACAGATTGACATTTGAGCGCGTTCTCAAAGTGCTGGTATTGGCGGGGATCGATGAAGAAGATGTGCGTCTTTGCAACCCTGGTAAATTGTCGTCTTCGTAGATTGCAGACTCCTCGTCTGACGAGGTGGTTGGGTGTCTCAGGTGCTTTACTCTGTTGAGGATCTCGGAGTATCCTTGTTGGAAAAATCGTCTAGTTGAACTCGCCTGGATATTCTTGATATTGCGTCCTTTCAAAAACTTGAACGAAACGTGTTTCTTCGTGTACAATCCGTAACTCAAGGCACCAAAGAACAGCAGTCCAATCATGAAAACAAAGTATCCTTGCAACGATTCCTCATTGGTTGAACCCAGAATCGGAGCTGGGGAAATGTACTGGACTGTCTCACTTGGAACCACTCCCACGGAGCCACCGTCGTTGGTAGGTATTTGAGAAGACGCATACAAAACGATCTTTCCCAGCGTCCACGAAAGCTCTGCTCCGTCGATCTGGTTGGCACTTTGGAATGGAATATGTTCTGTGTCTTGTTTGTTGAGCTTCTCAATTTCGTCGTTGCTTAGATCGTCCTTTTCAAAACCAATACGAGGTAACTCAAACCCTTCATGAAGAACGTTGACCACCCAACTTGCTTTGAAACATGAGTCTCTTAAGATAGGTTCTGGGATGTTGCTTCCATACTGGTTATTCCGGAAATTGGTCTCTATCTGCTCCCATTCTGTCTCGCAGAATTCCTTGAGTCTTTCCTCAAACTTGAGAAAATTATAAGCTCCTCCCATGTGGAACACATCGTTGGCCGTGTACCAGTACTCACTCACACCGACAAATTTGTCCTTCTCGAAATCGATCTTTGGTGCATGAACACCGTTAAATAAACATGGATCCTCTTTACACGGCAAATGCTTCAACAAAAGAGGATAGATGTGTTTCAAACACGTTTTGTAGTCTCCTTGGCCTGTGATCTGATACGTGATGCCGTTCAACTCTTGTTCGATCTGCATGTTTTTTGGAGAACATGGATCAAATAGATCGTACTTGCTATCACCGTCAGAATCATAGTTCAGGCCTTCTGGCAAGGTTCCAATCAGGTTCTTCAAATGCCGTTTGCGCGCCTCGTTAGCTCCAAAACCCAGCCAGGTGGACACGAAAACAGACCAGTCCTGCGACTCTCCGTTGATGTTTCTGAGCCTCACTTTATACAGATCGTCCTTATGTTGCTCGATATCCTTCATGTCCGAGGGAACAAACGCTATCTGGGTGGATGCTCCACCCATATCCATAAATCCAAACGAGTCATGGTCTGTGATTGATGCTTTCGAGTCGTAATTATTCAACTTCCCCTTGAGATAATTGAGACCAATCCAGCCATAAAGTCCCTCTGTTTCTCCGTCGATGACCTGAACGTGGTCCTCACAACTGTCGATCTTGAAATGTGTGTGTTCTTTCAGGGCCTTGCAAACCTTTTCCAGCACCTTTTCGCGCTTTTGTTGTGGAATTAGACGCATCCCTGCCGTGGCTTGAATAAAAATAGGGGTAGACGAGAGCTTATCCTCAGGGATGATCTGCTCGGCATACTCAACCAAAGGCTCAAAATGGTCCTCCCAAACATCGTTTGGATGGTCTGCAAAAGTAGATAGTCCCTTGGATATCTTGTAGGTCCAATTGTCCTCCTGAACAATCTGAGGAACAGAGGACAATATACCGTCATCCTTGGACTCTTTCTGTAATTCTTCTGGATCTTTCCATTTGTAGATCTGAATCCGCGAGCCAGAAGAGCCCGAATCAACAACTATCCCGTAGTTGTCTGAAACCATTTGATAAAGAAGTTAACAACAAAAATCTCAAAAATATATATTACCAATATTAATAAATCGCACGTCTTGCAGAATGCTACCAAATCAATTAAATGCTTTCATTAATTACTACTTATTCGCGGAAAGTCCATAATCCATCGCCTAAGTAATGGTATAGCTCGATTCCCACGTCTTTGTTAATGGTCTTAATGTCGTCAGTGCTCATCAATAGTTTTCCCACGGCTAACGCGTGCTCTTTTCCCTCGGCGTAGATCGCCACCGTGGTATCCTTGGGTATGTTTTCGTCCGGCAGTTTTCCGCCCTTGGATGTGAGACCGGGACACATAATGTTTGCTCCGGAAAGAACGAATTTGATGGCTCCCCGATCGACCTGGACTCTAGGGAACAGCGAAGGGTATTTGTGGACCAATCTCAATGCAGGAAGCAGCTCGTCGAACTTCTGGTAGAACAGGACCTCTCCGTCCACCAAATAGAGCTGGATTTTGTCCTCACACTTGTAGTGCATCACAGTCGACTTCTTTGGCACAAGCTCGTCGATGATGGACTCGAATCCCGGATACTGTTCGACGAACTTGGTCTTCAAGCCTCGCTGAACCGAGGACTTGAGGTTGGAACGCGTGTGGACGTCGTCTTTGGAGAATTTCTTAAACATTTATGATTCAAAGAGACTAATAAGGTTTTCAAAGCACAAGAACCAACAATAAAAAAAAAGCATGGCAGGATCGACGCTATAATTTATCGTCGATCGGCGTGCCACGTAATACTAAGGGGTACCACGAGTTTCAGGTGGTTTGTAGGCTGAGCGAGTCGCAAGGAAGACCAGATGATCCCAGTCATCTACAAAATCGACAACTATGCGATCCTGGTAATCTTTCACCGCCCTCCACAGCGTTTTCCCCCAGTAAATTCACCCATCTCAATCTGCACCATTATTTAAAAGGAACGATCAGAATTTTAAAAAAAAATAGCCAGCTAAACAGAAAGCTTCTTTTATAAACCTCGTGTCATTTGAGTTATTTGAACTTAGATTTTGCGGTTGTCCATTATCATCTTGGACTCCACACAAATACAAACAAAGTTCATTGCTTTAAGATCAGAAAGACCTGAAAAACTGACAGTTTGCGAGAAACCACTTGTTGCTTACATTCGCTGATATGAGCAAAGCCTCGCCTTACAGAGGTATTAACTCGACCTCGTCGTCGGTGTCGCCTCGGTTCAGAAAGCTGTCCATTTTCGTCGGACTCGTGTTGGGTCTGATTTTGTTCAGATTTTCGACCGGATGGTCTATCAACACAGAAGACCAAATCATCTCCGAGGCACTCAACAACTTTTACAGACTTAATCCTAAATCCCGCGGTGCTAATCCATATGATGCTGCAGTGACCGCAGACAGACTTGCTAAATTCTTCCCATTTGACAACAGTGCCAGAAGAATCGAAAAGAACATCTGGCAAATGTGGAAAGTTCCATCCACCGACCCAGATTTCCCGCACAGAGAGCTGGTTAACAAGTGGAAGAACGAGAACCCAACCTACAAGTACAACCTGCTCACAGACGAGCAGATTTTGGAGGTTTTGAAAATCCGTTTCAAGGACACCGTTCCTGAGGTGTTGGAGGCGTTCGAGATGCTCCCAAACAAGATTATCAAGTCCGACTTTTCTAGATACTTGTTGATTTTCCTGAACGGAGGAGTCTATGGAGATATTGACACGGACTTGCAGAAACCGGTCGATGCGTGGTTCGACTCTGATAGAAATGTGGGTTTCGTGGTGGCTGTTGAAGAGGACATTAACGTTGAGAACTGGCAACACTACATGACCAGAAGAATCCAGTTCGAACAATGGACATTTAAGGCCAAGGCCAGACATCCTATTCTCAGAAAATTGATTGCCAAGATTGTGGAAACCACTTTCCAGGCCAAGAAGAACGACAAACTGCAGGCATACTACAAAGATTTCAAGGGTGTTGACAGATGTTCTTCCGTGGACATTATGGAATGGACCGGACCTGTTGTTTGGACTGACACCATCTACGCTCACTTGAACTCTATCGAGAGTCCAACCATCGTTGATATTGACCACCAAAGAGACATTGTTGGAGAGCTTTACGGACCTGAAACTGGAGAAGGAGACGTGATATCTTGGAGATTCTTTGCTGGTTTAAGAGCTCCTGTCATGATTGACGATGTTGTTATTTATCCAAGAGCTTCTTTCAGAGAGGACAAGGAAAACAACTGTGGAAAATACTGTTATGTTAACCACCATTTCGGTGGTTCTTGGAAGAACAATGGTAAGGGTGAAATTAAACCAGGTATGGAAGGATTTGAAGGAGACGATCCTAATGAAATCGAGCAACTCAGAAAGAGTGACGTCAGCAAGAGAGACGTCATTCCTGGTGAGCCTGAACAGGAAGCTGCTCCTGTCAAGTTGGCCAAAAGATGCTCGCATCCATACACTCCTTACTGAATCTTTGTAACTCGTCTTATGTAAGCATGGAGTGAAAATGTCTTAATAAAAAAATCACCATTAAAAAGTTTTCAAGTTGGTAACATGTCGAGTTTAGTGTTCAAGCGGCTAAGTTCGTCGGCCATTTTGACGGGCTTGTCCAAGAGACAGCTTGTTTCTCCTATGGCCATTCCTTTGATTGAGAGCGAGGCTCCTCTGCCATTCAAGAGTCCCGAGGCTCGCAGACAACGCAAAAGACTTTTGGACAGACCGGGTCTTATAGGTGTCAAGCGTGGTATGACGCAGTTCTACGCCCGCGATGGCACCCGTGTGCCTGCTACGGTTCTGGAAATCGATCAGCTGGAGGTCATCTACAACAAGACTTTGGAAAAGGAGGGATATTATGCTGTTCAATTGGGATACGGATACAAGTTGAAGAACCAAACCAAATCGATGTTGGGCCATTTCAGAAACGCCAAAGTTTCTCCCAAAGAGTGTCTTTACGAGTTCCAAGTGAAAAGCGAACAGGGGCTTCTTCCGCTTGGCACAGAACTCAAGGCTGACCATTTCAAGCCAGGACAAAAAGTCGACATCATTTCCAAATCTAAGGGTAAAGGATTTGCCGGTGTGATGAAGAGATGGAACTTTTCTGGTTTACCAGCCTCCCACGGTACATCTCTGGCACATAGAAGTGCAGGATCTACAGGTATGAACACTACTCCCGCAAGAGTCTTGCCAGGAAAGAAGATGGCCGGACATCTTGGAGACGAGCTCAACACCATCTTTAACCTTGAGGTTCTGGACGTGAACGCTGAGAAGGGCTATATTTTGGTGAAAGGGTGTGTTTCTGGCTCGATTGGTTCGTACGTGCGGATCAGAGACGCTTTGAAAGAATACGGATCGCACATCTTACAGGATAAAAAGACCGGCAAATAAAACATGTATATATTAGATCAAGCATTCAGTGTTTTTTGAACAATCAGGTTGACTAGACTGATAGGATACGCGGGTCCGTGGCCATGGCACACTTCTTTCCCACGTAGTTGTTCGATGATGGCCGGGATGTTGAAATCGACCTCGTCGTTCTTGGTAGCCAGTTCGTTCAGGTAATCCCAGACAGCAGCCACAGTGAGTAGGTCCTGGTCGTTGTGGTGGTACTTCTCGATCGCATATGACACCCCGTCAACCATGGAGTGGGGCGCTTGTATTGGTGTTGGCGTTTCGGTGTGGCTGGTTTGGTGCTGTTGCGGGTCGATGATGGATTTGATGAACTCCTCACGAGTACGAGGAAAATCGAACTTGTGCGCACCGGAGCCCAACTTAGGGGCCTCGACAATGTTTGCGTTCTCGGATTTGTGGAGGAGCTCGTTTTCAATCCCCAAAAGCGCATTTCTCTGCCTCAACTGCTCGATCTCGTTGAGTAGTCTCTGTTTCTCGGCTTCCGATTGTGTCAGTTTGGCAGACAGCTCTTTGAGCTTAACTTCTTTACGTTCACGAAACGCCCGTTGCGCGGCCCTGTTCTGCGCCTTCCTCTTCTCGGCCATGGTGGCCTCGTCGGCGGCGTTTTGGGGGGACCCGGACGTTTCGTTAGTTCCTGCTGACGAAATTGGTCTTTTGGCTGTATCTTTGTCCTGCACAAACACCTGTTCCCAGATGCCTTCTCCCACGTCTTTTCTCAGCTCTTTTTCTGCCTTTTCGCACTCCTCGTGCATGTTCTCGGTAATGGGCATGTCGTAGCTATGTTGTGCAACGTTGTTCTGGAACTGTTGCTGCTGTAAAATATGTTTGTCAAGAACCTGGGGACTGCTGAAAGTGGCAGAACCGCTGCCTCCGTTGGATCCCAGTCCAGAAAGAGATACAGATACTTCAGAGTTGTCCGGATACGAGTACTGTTTCCAAAATTTCGGCGAGTCCGATCTGACGTCCATTATGTTCAATTAAGATATATTTTTTTATGCTTTAATTCCTATTCATTTTTGTTCTATATATACAAATAATAGCCAAGAGCCAGGAAAAACGGTTTCAATCATTTCACCTTCTTGTCCTTCAGCTTGATGGTCTCGCCATTGAGGTAGATTCCCTTTCCCTTGTATCTTTCTGGTGGATGCATGTTTCTAAGTTTTGCAGCGAAAAGATTCAACTTTTGCTTGTCACATCCTTCTAGTATCAATAGCGTTTGTGTAGGAGCCGTGACAGTGATGCCTTCCGGAACCGGCAGACCTTGCAAGTCGCACTTTCCGATCTTCATCTTGACCCATTTCACCCCGTCAACCTCCTCCAACATCGCACGGTATCCTGTTCCCTGGAATTTGAGTGTAGAGGTGTGACCCTCGGTGACTCCAACAACGCCGTTATTCAATAGCGCACGCATTGTTCCCCACAGTTGTTTTTGCAACTTGTCCTGAGGCTGTTCCACACGGACGTCGACCTTGTCACCTTCCTTGTTGAGCTTCACAAAGCTTGGAAGCACGATGTCCACTGCTCCCTTTGGACCTTTAACAGTGACGAGCTTGTTCAGCTTCATGGATTTCGCGCCCTTGGGCACATACTTCGGAACCAGCAGGTCCATGAACTCGAACTCGACCTGCGGGGCCAACGACACGGGCGAAGACCCAACGTGCGACAACACAGGCCGGAAAGTGGAGAACCGTCGAAGAAAAGACATGGTGATGAAAAACGATGAATTTTTGATTTCTTGTTGGTGTATGGATTAGTTGCAAGATGAAAAAAAAATTTACTCCCTAGATATATCAAGCATGGTGAGGAAACTGAAGCACCATGAGCAGAAACTGCTCAAGAAGGTCGACTTCTTGGACTGGAAACAGGACCAGGGCCACAGAGATACACAGGTTATGCGCACGTACCACATCCAGAACCGCGAGGATTACCACAAATACAACAAGATCTGCGGAAATATCAGAAAGATTGCAAGAAAATTGGCACTTTTGCAGCCCAACGACCCGTTCCGCATCAAACACGAACAACTGTTACTGGACAAACTGTACGGGATGGGTGTTCTGGCCACAAAGAGCAAAATCTCGGACTTGGAAAATAAAGTGACAGTTAGTGCGCTATGTAGAAGAAGGATCGGCGTGGTGATGTGCCGGTTCAAGATGGCAGAAACCATTTCGGATGCGGTGAAATTTGTCGAGCAGGGTCATGTGCGCGTTGGACCCGATGTCATCACCGATCCTGCGTTCTTGGTGACCAGAAACATGGAAGATTACTTGCAGTGGACCGACGGATCGAAGATCAAGCACAACTTGCTGAAGTACAAGAACAAGATCGACGATTTCGACCTTAGTTGAGCAAAGGCGGAATTTTATTTAGCCGGCTCATCACAGGAGCAGATCACCTCCCAATTAGGAATTTTGCATGTAGTCAGAAAAAAGATCAACTAATTAAGCAAGGCCATTATCTGGGCTTATATAGTGCCACTATTGGAAACTGTCTTTTGACAGACGATGACGAATATAAATCTCAGTTATATGCTGGTGAGGGTCGTTTTGCTACTGAACCTACTGGTTAGCGTTAGTTTTTCGCAGCCAATAGATTCAAAGGGGGAGACGCAATTTCTGCCCAGTGCGGAGGAGATCCTTTTCAGTTTCGACTCTTATGAAGACGACAACATCAACGTTTTTCTCAACACATACACCCTGCGCGACGGATACTACCACGGGCCAGGGTCGGAGGATTCCGATACCCTGAGCCGGCTGGAGATCATGGTGAAAAAATACGACTCGAATCGGATCCTAAGCAATATTTTGTACCAGGAGCTAATTTTCAATTTGAGCTCTGTTGATAGACCTCCAAAGAGCGAGTGTGGATGGTTTGGCTGTGGTAGTAACAAGGTGGAGTATGTCGATATTGAGCCGATCAAGATCAGCAACAAGGTTTACGACTACAAAGATCACCAGCTGGTGAATGTGCGAATATTATACTACCAATTGGTGCATTTTGGAATTCAGGTTGGTTTTTACGGCTCCAAGTTTGTGGTGGTGGTGAACCACATGGAGGACGAGATCTTCTTGGCCAACGAGATGAGTTCCGAGTCGGAGGAACATCCGGGCTGGTCCCGGGTGATCGAAGACCACGAGTCGTGGATCATCACCATCTTATCGATGGTTTTTCTAGCCATGGCAGCAGGAACGATGTACGTTTTGGTTTTATTCAATAACCTGCTCACCAACAGGGCCTCGCGCCATAAAGGCAGAAACTGGACAGACGACGAAAAACAAAGACTTATCCGCGAATTTTTCAAGCGGTGATGTGATTATGGACTTGGTATGGCTTTTAGTGGTTTTTTTGGCACGGTAGAAAATTGCCGGCCCGTATCAGTTTTTAGTTAGAAAAATATCAAACTAAGGTACTCTATTGTTTGTTTGTGAAGATGGCTGAAATTTCGCTTTCTGAGATTCCCGCTGCCGTGGACGAGCTTCGGACGAGCTTTGTTAGTCGTCCTCGCCGTTCTACCCAATTTGTCAAAACCCAATTGCTCTCGCTGAAGGAGTCTGTCAAGAAGTACCGTTCGGAGCTGATCCAGTCGCTGGTGACGGATTTCAATCGGGCCCCACTGGAGACCGTGATTGGCGAGTTTGCGCCCGTTGAAGGTGAATTGACCTATTTGATCAACAACCTTTCATCGCTAACGGCTCCGGAATACCCTACTTCAAAACCGTTTGCATACGCAGTTGTTCCTATTCGTCTGGAGAAAGAGGCTCTGGGAACGATTCTGATTGTGTCTCCGTTCAATTTCCCGCTGCTGTTGTCTCTGAGTCCTCTGGTGGGCGCCCTAAGTGCGGGAAACAACGTCGTGCTCAAACTGCCATACGACAGATGCCCCACCTTCTGCTCTGTACTGACCAAAGTTCTGTCCGAATCGATTGATCCAGAGGTGCTCAAGATCGTCAATGGTGGACTGCCAGAGTCCAAGGCCCTGCTCGAGCAGAAATACGACAAGATCATGTTCACTGGCTCCACCTCCGTTGGCAAAATCGTCCATGCCAAGGCCGCCGAATCGCTCACCCCAACGCTGTTGGAACTCGGCGGAAAGTCCCCAACGTTTCTCACGGCCAGTGCAGACCTCGAGGTTGCCATCACAAGAATTCTATGGGGTACTTTCTTCAGTGCTGGCCAGGCATGTACTTCCCCGGATTATCTGCTGATTCAGGACACTATTTACGATAAGGCAATCTCGACGATCTTGAAGCTGGCTAAAAAGGACTGGCAGTTCGATGAGTCTTCGGACTATACACACATCATAAACGCCGACTCTTACAACCGGCTGACAAAGCTGCTGGAAACCACCAACGGACAGACCATTTTTGGCGGCAAGTACGACGCAAAGACCAGGTTTCTAAGCCCCACCATCGTCGCAGACGTCGATTGGACCGATCCGCTGATGAAAGACGAGGTTTTTGGACCTATTCTGCCTGTTCTGAAGTACTCATCGCTCGAGAAAACCGTTGAGGAGGTGCAGAAGTTCCACGACACCCCGTTGGCAACCTACGTCTTCTCCAACAGCCAGCAGGAAATCGACACAGTGAAACGGATCCGGTCTGGAGCATTGCTCATCAACGACACCATGATCCACCCTTCGATCTTCACATGTCCGTTTGGCGGGGTGGGCACCTCGGGGATGGGCGCCTACCACGGCCAGTACTCGATCGACACATTCAGCCACAAGAAAATCGTTCTCCAGCAGCCAAAATGGTACGAGGCCCTGCTCAAAGACAGATATCCACCGTACACACAGGGGAAGATCGATAAGCTATCTTTGGTGTTCAGGATTCCGAACGTCAAGACGCTCACTAGCGGTCATTTCCAGGCAGCTGTTGCCGTGCTGCTGGCTGTCTTTATTGGATTTTTCCTCGGAAAACGCCACGCGTAGTTTATTCTTTATGTTCACTCATTTCAATGTCATCCAAATCTATGGTTTCGACCATTTTTTTCTCGTTGTCTTCGTTCAGCGGTTCTTGCGTAGTCATCTCGACGTCGGGCGCGGTCTGTTCCTGCTCAACAGGAACCTCAGGAATGTCTGGCACCTGGATATCTTTGAAACCTGCAATTTTATCCAATCTGTCAACCTCCTCGTTGAGCTTGTCCTGGTTGACCCAGACGGCCTTTTTGTTGATCTGAATAGGTAGCAGGTCCAATTCCTCTGATTGCGAGTTGACCTTGTTGTTGATGGCCTTGATCTCGCGGTTAAGCCCCACAGCAGCCGAACTGAGGTCTCCATAGAAGCCAGAAACAGCTGTTTTAAACTCGTCCGACTTGGCAATCCCCTCGCGCTTGTGGTCCTTCAACAATTCCAGCGTGGTAGACAGATTGTCCAGCATGGAAACCAGCTTGACATCGACCGCGTGAAGCGACTCGAGCCGCGACTGAATATACGAAACGTCTCTTCCCGACATCACCCGTGCACCAGAGTAATTTAAATTACCAGTTGCCAAAAATCCCATCCTCGAGCCAGATTTACGCAGTCACGGCCCCAAGTGCACCCTCACACCGCTTTTTTAGGTCTGGTTTTTTGGAAAATTGAAAATTTTAATCAAGCTTTTCATACAATATCAATATGGCTGACGAAGTTGTTGAAGTTTTAGTGCTCAGAGGAACCTTGCACGGCCACAACGGCTGGGTGACCTCCCTGGCTACCTCCCCATCTAACCCAGATCTCTTGTTGTCCGCTTCCAGAGACAAGACCCTGATCACCTGGCAATTAACCAGAGACGAGAACAACTATGGTGTGGCCAAGAAGGCCCTCAAGGGACACTCCCACATTGTTCAGGACTGTGACATCTCTGCTGACGGAGAGTATGCCATTTCTGCCTCGTGGGATAAGACCTTGAGACTTTGGAGACTCAACGATGGTGCTTGTCTTGGTAGATTTGTTGGTCACACTGCCGATGTCTTGTCTGTTTCCATTGCCGCCAACTCCAGACAAATTGTTTCTGCTTCCAGAGACAAGTCTGTTAAGCTGTGGAACACTCAAGGTCAATGTATGGCCACCTTGGAATCGCACACCGACTGGGTCAATGCCGTTAGATTCTCTCCATCCACCGACGAGTCTAAGACTTCCACTGTTATTTCTGCTGGTTCTGACAAACTTGTTAAGGTAAGTTGATTATTTTACAATTCCGATGACATGATGTTATACATATTTGCTACTTCAGACGGAGAAATCCGAGTGAGACACACCAAATATCACCAAGATCTCTGATCATTGAGAATTTGTCAACTTTTCATGTTTTTTTACTAACGTTTTTTAGGCTTGGGACTTGAGAGACTACTCTCTGGCTGCTGACTTTGTTGGTCACACCGGTTACGTTTCCACCATCACCATCTCCCCAGACGGATCTCTGTGTGCTTCTGGTGGTAAGGATGGTACTATCATTTTGTGGGAGATGAGCTCCAAGAAGAAGACTTTGTACACTTTGCAAGCCGGTGACGAGATTAACGCTCTCGCTTTCTCGCCTAACAGATACTGGCTCTGTGTTGCCACCTCCAGCTCCATCAAGATCTACAACCTGCAAGAGAGAAGCTTGAAGGATGAGCTCAAGCCAGAGGTTGCTGCTGGTAAGACTCCAGAGTGTGTTTCTCTTGCTTGGTCCCACGACGGCCAGAACTTGTTCTCTGGTTACACCGACAATGTCATCAGAGTTTGGCAGGTTATGACCTCGCAGTAAGTAATATAAACTATGTTTTAGATTTGTGGTAGCTGTATCGTTTCGCTGTCGATCTTTTCGATCACCTGTAGCAGGCCGTGGTTCGTAGCCAGGTCTCTGGCTTCTTGGAACAGTCTGTCTCCGTCAGAGCTTCCTTTCTTGATGATTCCGAGAGAATATAGTGACATTGCTCGGCAGACGGCAGATTCCTCGTCCTCGCCCTGGTACTCGTTGATGATTGTGTAAAATAGTCTTTCGCTCATTGTGCGCGCTTGCTGTGCTCCCGTTTTGTCTTTAGGCGACTCGCTCTTGAAATAGTACGCCGAGGCCAGGTTCAACAGCTCTGTGCTGATCTTGATTGGCTCCAAGCCAGAAACTTTGATGAATAGGATGTTGGACTGGAGCAAGTTGATTGCATCGTCTTCTCTTTTGGTGAACATGGCCAATGTGGCATACAGGTCCCGCGCCCGAACCAGATCCTCCATGTACCGCGGCCAGGCTATGTCTCCCGGGATGTTTTCCTTGATGAACCGGCGTTTCGACAGCCACGAATCAATCTTCAAAACCTCAAATATGTCCATGTCACCTTCCACCTTCAATGCAGGAACTTTATCCACCATCTGCTGTTCCGTGAAAACCATTCTGTCCCATAGTTCCTGCATCGCCAGCAGAGTTTCTCCCGGCCTGGCAAGTGTGGCCAGCCGCGTGCTGACAATCAAATCCCGCTGGATCACCTGGTCTTTCCATTCCTCAGGAACTTCATTATTAACTAGCTTTGCAAATAGATAGTCGCTAAGTCTTTGGTAAACGTCGCGTTGACGGTCCACCATTTCCAGCAGTCCGTACATCTCTGCGATCTTCAAAACGATCCCCGTGAAGCGCGGGTCCAAATTGTCCATGTTCTCCTTTCTGCATTGTCTTAGGGCATCTTGGTAATGGCCCAGTGCTTTCAAATAGTCGATGTTTTTGCTCGTCTCGAGCCAAAGCCCTTTTCTCAGATGTTTGCTCACCTCTGAGCTAAACGGGTTCCATGGTTGCCACAGATATAGCACTCCTGATGTTCCAAGAAGCACCGCAATCGAGGAAGTCACTATGGTGGACCATTTGCGTCGTTTTTGTTGCTCCTGCAAATTCTGTTTGAACTTGAGTTCCTGTTTCTGCTGCTGGTTCATGATCTGACGGACCTGGAACACGGCCCGTTTAAATTTCAAGTTCTTTCCCAAGGTATATCGGAACATGGTAATAAAGTTTGCGTAAAAATAATTCAACTAAATAATCTCCCATGGAAAGAGAAATCACGTATCTGATTTTCGACCAGTCGCCAACCATGGCGCCATTTTTGGACGACTGTGTGGATCTGGCGCTTGATCTGGTGCTGCGTAGCTTGATGCGCGGGAAAAAGACTGATCTGTTTGGAATCGCAAAGATCCATCATCCTGACACTGATAACCCAATGGACAACATCAGTCCCGGCAATTGGAATAACTGCGTGCTGGAAGGGCCCGAGGTGTACGACTGGAACCTGCTGGCAGAGCTCAAGGACAGCGTGAGCATCTACAACGAGCCCGTGGGCGATCTGGAGGTGGATGTGCCGCGTGCTTTGGCGATTGTGCTCCAGAGAATCGCCGAATTGAACCCCAAGGGCACCAAAAAGGAGCGCAATACCATCTTCCTGATGTCTGACATGGCGAGCGTGACCAATTGGGGCGATTTGGGGATGCTTGTGAGCTCTGCTGCCGCTCAGCACAACGTGCTTATTGTTTTCGTTCACTGCGTGTCAGAGCAGGTGCTAAACCAAGAACCAGCGCAGTTGGCGCAGATCGAGGCCAACTTGGAACAGATCGACTCGTTGCTCGGCATGTTGCGCCATAACAAGGGCCGGACCTTGCTGTCGTATATTTGTACCTTGGACCAGATGAAGAACGAGCTTCTCAAGTGGAGAAACGAGCCGGTTCGGTTTTGGAGGCCAGCCCGAATGTTTACAGGCGATGTTCGCATTGGAGGCGATCTAGAAAGCATAGACCTCCGCAATTGCGCTACCACACTGAAATTGCCCAAAGACGAGGCAGATTCGTTTGCTGGAGACTACAACTCGCTGATCGACCCGTTGACGATCCGGTTTGTGGCCGACGCGTATCCGCTGACGAAATCCATGAAGATCCCAATCAACCACGAGATGGGGCTGCGTAAGGACCCGGAAACAGGCGCCACTACGTTATTCGACCTCAAACACGCTGTGGACAAGTACGTTGTTCTGGAGGCAGACAACGAAGAGAACGCAGAAAAGAAGATCGTACAGGATACACAGGTCCAAGAAGCGTACAAGTACGGGGCGTCGACAGTTCCGATCACCTTGTCGTTGAAACAGCTGTTGAAGATGAATAGCTACGCCGGACTCGATTTCCTGCAATTTGTGGACCGGTCCACGATTCCGCCGTGGTACTATCATGGAGAGGCTGAAATACTGTTGAGCAACCAAAATAGCACACTGCGCGACCAGTACGCGTTCAATATGCTCGCGCAGTCGATGCTGGAACAGGATTTGGTGGGGATTGTGCGGTACGTTAAGAAAAACGGAGGGCCTGTCAAATTGGCAGCCATGAGTCCGTGTGTGCTTCTGACGGAGTCTACCAAGTACAGAGCGGGAGCCCGTGCAGGCGACAAGAGAACGGCGGACGAGATCGAGTCCGAGGAGGAGTACTACGGGTTCTCCTTGGTGATGCTCCCGTTTTCAGAGGAAGAGCGCGTTTCCACGTCTGTGAAGCTTGACGGAGTGTACGATGGCAACTCAAACGACGACACTGCGAAAGAGAACTTCCCAACCGCGAAGATGGTGCATGAGATGGACCAACTGGTTGAAAGTCTGGATCTGGACCGGCTAGACAATTGCGACACCGAAAACGTCCATGAATACAAGTACGTCGAATTGAACCACGGCGAGCCGTTCCCGCTTCCGCACGGGATCGGACTGGATCTGCCGGCAGACGAGCGCGGGCTCAACAGCGTCACACGGCGGATCCTCACCCAGAACGGTCCCAACCTGCACTATGTGCCCCAGGTGCTACGAGAGATTTATGCGAGCCAGGTGAGGAAGGCAGAGTACAAGGTTGCGGAAACGAGATACGAGACGCTGTTTGAGGTCACCAGCAAGGACCCTGCAGCGTTAAAAGCGCTCGTGGAGCAAACAGTGGGCCAGGAGACCGACTTTGCTCCGTCGTTTGATGGAGTCGACACAGACCAAGTGGACGAGCTGTGCGAACGGCTGGCCAAACGGCTGGAGATCGAGATTGTTCCAGAGCCAAAGCCCAAGCGCGAGGACAGCCCGTCTGTGCCGGATGTGGCCAAACCGTCCATCGATACGTTGCTCGCGAGCGTGCTCCCGAGCTGAGACGTGTGGCGCACGACCTTTCTGTTGATGTAAATACTGCGCCCGGAAATAAACTTGTACAAATACCATGTCGTTTGAAAAGACGGGACTTATTGCTGCGAATCCAGCGACGGCGCGCGCGACGGCTGTTCATCTGTCGTACGACGCCAAGTCGGACCGCATTGCGTACGCGAGCGGTAAAAACGTGTACATCCGGTCTGTTTCGAAGCCTGAACAGAGCATCCAGTTCGGTGGCCACAACTACACCACGTCTGTGGCCAAGTTCTCGCCGTCCGGGTTTTATGTGGCCTCTGGAGACGAGAGCGGAAACGTCAAGGTGTGGGATTGTGTGGGTGAAGACCTGATTGTGAAGGGAGATTACCAGATAATAAGTGGACGGATCAACGACATTGCGTGGGACGCAGACTCCAGCAGGGTGATTGCAGTTGGAGATGGCCGTGATCGGTATGGACATTGTTTCACTGCAGACTCTGGTAACAGTGTTGGCGAGATCTCGGGCCATACTGCTCCCGTGAATGCCGTGGCCATACGGCCGTGCAGACCGTATCGTGCTGTGACGGTTAGTGATGACGCAGGGCTTGTGTTTTTGCAAGGGCCGCCTTTCAAGTTTGCACAGTCTGTTCGTGGACACCACACGAATTTCGTCCGGGATGTGAAGTTCAGCAAAGACGGTGCTCATGCCATTAGTGTGGGGGCAGATAGAGCCATAGTTGTGTACGACGGCAAGACAGGCGACTTTATCCGCAAGCTTGATGGTGTGCACTCTGCAGGGATCTTCTCCATTGACTGGATCGACAATGAATCGTTCATCACCAGCTCTGCAGACGCATCTATTAAACTTACCAATTTGGAAGGTGAAACATCCAAGGTGTGGCAACTGGACCCGATCCTTGAAAACCAAATTGTCGGGTGCGTAAAGACAACAGACTATGTCATTGGGCTCACATTGAGCGGAGACCTCTACTACTTCTCGGACTCGTCGGACGCTCCTGTCAACGTTGTGTACGGCCACCAAAAGTCCATCACCGCCGTGTCCAAGCCGGCCAACGGCGTCATCTACACAGGAAGCTACGATGGACGCATCATCGAATGGGGGCTCGACTCAAAACCAAACTCCTTGGCTACGGGTTCTCCCCACACAAACCTCGTCGTGGGCATCGAGAAATCGGCTAAAGCTTATATTACTGCTGGTTGGGACGACGCTATCAAGAAGCTGGACGGCCACGAACTGTCCCCTGCAGCTTCCGTTTCCAAACAGCCAATCCAGATCAGCGCCCGCGCTGACCTGTCCGTCGTGATCACCGAGGACGAGCTCGTTCTGCTGGACGGCGAGGGTAAGCTGCTCAAACAGCACCCGTTGGACTTTGTGCCAAGCTCCGTTGCAGTCTCGGAAACTAACATCGTGCTGGCCGACTCGACCTCGTTCGCGCTCAACGTGTACGATAAACAGTTCAAGTCTGTTGGGTCGCTGCCTCCTCTGCGTGGCAAGCCTTCCGCGTTGCAAATCTCTCCAAACGGAAAATATCTGGCTGCCGGAGACGTGAACGGGAAAATCCACTGCTACAACCTCGAAGACCTGTCGCTGGTCACCACCAGATGGGCTTTCCACACGTCTAGGATCAGCTCGTTGGCATGGAACGCCGATAACGACCATGTTGTGTCTGGGTCTCTGGACACGAACGTGATTGTGTACTCTGTTTCCAAGCCGGCCAGAAACATCAAGATCCCCAACGCTCACAAGGAAGGTGTTGCCGGAGTCAGCTGGCTGGGCGATACAGAGCTCGCGAGCGGCGGTGCTGACGCCAGCATCAAGTTCTGGAAAGTCGTGTTTGCCTAGACGGGCGGCTGGACGTTGTTGAGCACGTCCTCCACCACCAGGTCTGCGTCCCACACGTTCGCGAGCTGTCTCACCAGCCGCAGGTCGCTCCCGTACAGCATCGTGGGCTCCGCCTCGGGCTTCGTGAGCATCCGCACGTGGAACGGGATCACCTTCAAAGCCGCGATCTTCACCATTCCGGGCGTGACATAGTCCATGTTGTTGATGAGTGCGTAAACTTGAACAAAAAATTCAATGTCTTTAATTGTGTGCGTAGGCAGTCCGCCAGTCACCATGCGGTGCATCCTCGTGAACACGATGATGTCGTAGATGTAGATCTTGATCTCACGAATCACCTGCACGTGGCCGACTCGCGCACGGTCGGTCTCCAAAAGCTCCTGCGCAGCAAACGCGGACTCGGCAATGTCCTCGGGTAAATCGTGCACCTTGTGCACCTGGCGAAACCACATGAGGTTGCCCAGACTCTGTGTGAGACTGTGCTCGCACTTGTTCTCGTTGGCAACCACGGCCACCATGCTGAACTGGTGTTTTGTCGTACTGACCAGCCGGGCCAACTGGTGCTGGAACTCGCTCGAAGTGTGTTCCAGGCCGGTGAAAACGGCGAGAACGACCTGCTCGTGCAGATGTGGCTCGATCGTCGCAAAATTGGCGCGAGCATCCACGCGGAAATGTCTTATCTGGTGGTCCTTTTCAAATCGCCATAACCGGCCACAAATCAAATTGATCTCGTGCACCGTCTTTGCAGGCTCGATTGTCGATACAACCAGATGCCGTCGTGCCAGTAACACCATCCATAAGGCGGTGTACAGATCGACGTCAATAGCAACATTGTCGTCTCGGCATTTGGCCAGAGGTGAATGAAAGGCCATTTTTTGTAAATAAAGAAAATTAATTACTCGGTAAGAATTTGCAGATTTAACCGACAAACACTGGCGCAAGTACCTTTGAAATTGCGCTAGCGGCATTTGAAACTAAGCATGATTGACAAACCACCGTTTATCGTACGTTTGGCTGATATGCAGGAAAAAACTTAGACCATCCAACATATCGTACAACACGGGGCCAGTTGTGCTACGCGGTGCAGAGGTGTAGGGTTTTTATTAGCAACGGTTAAAAAAAATTCTGAAAAAATTAAATCAAGCTAGTGCTCGTATCAGGATGGTGAAACTGGTGCACAACGTTCAGAAGAAACAGCATAGGGAGCGGTCCCAGCCCCAGAGTCGCGCGCGGATGGGGCTGCTCGAAAAAAAGAAGGATTACAGGCTTCGGGCGGCGGACTACCACAAGAAACAGGCCCAGCTTAAGGTTCTCAAGAGCAAGGTCAAGTCGCGGAATGAGGACGAGTACTACCATTCGATGACACGCAAAAAGACAGACAAGGACGGGATATTGATATCGGACCGTGGAAACGAGAGTCTTTCGAACGACGAGGTGCTACTGCTGAAAACACAGGACTCGAACTATTTCACGGTGGCCACGCAGAAAGAGTCGCGCAAGATCGAGAAGGAGATGAACACGATGGACAGTTTCAAGAGTCGCGGGTCGCACACGGTGTTTGTGGAGTCGGAGGAGCAGATGGAGCAATTTGACCCTGCTGAGTATTTTGACACGGACGCCAGTTTGCTTGGGAAAAGAGAAAATCGACTGCGCAGATCGCAATTAAAGGGCGTTTCTGAGGCAGATGACGGGGTGTTTGATGGGCCTGTTGTTCCAGAACTGGAATCGGGCGGATTGGCAAGACACAAGATGGAGCTGAAAAAAATGAAAAGACTGCGTCTTTTGGAGCAACGAATGGAGCGCGCAGAGAAGCTACGCAAGCTGCAGTCCAAGGTGGAGCTGCAGAAGCATCTCATGAAGAAAGGCGAAAAGAAGAAAGTGCAGACCAAGGAAGGGAAGACGGTGTTTAAATGGAAAAATGTAAGAAAAAGATGATTATGCAAGTCTTTGCATGGAACGAGGCAGTTAGATAACAGTGTTCATAGTGAAAAAAGCGAAGTGATTGCCCTATTTGAGTAGGAGCATATAGTAGCAAACTTAAATGATTCTGTGGCCGTAAGAATTTGAGGTTTGGGCACAGGTTACATAAGGCACGTCAAAAGTTTAAATTGCATATGATAATACGGAGCAACGTTTTAGATGAAATTGGGCCAAGCTTTGAGGCAGTGAGACAATACGGATGGTGCCATGAATAGAGTTCGGAAGATTCCATCACTTATGGTTTTGTATGGAGCTACTCGGCCGAATTTCCGATGAGAAAAGCGGCTGTCACTCCACAATTCACATACATGCAGGATGCATTCAGGGGAATTCCTTTTTTCCAACAGAGGCAGATTCGAGCTGCACCAGATCGAGACTAATGACGGTGAGGGTCACACACGGTGCTGAAGTGGAGATTGAGAAGGATCGGTCGTCGAAGAGAGATCCATCACAATGATAAAACTTTTAGGTTAGGACCTTATGTGGTGTGTGTTAAATTTCAGAAGGAGTCCGTGTGCTACCTGACATTTTTATCATACATGAGCTCTGGTGTTTAGGCGTTCACACGCTTGCGCTATTTTGGGCGGACTTTTCAACTCGTTGGGCCGGCACGCGCACTGGCTCAAAGTAGATCCTCGTTAGTTTATGTTGTGCATTGCATAGTAAAATATTTTTGCAGCAGATGCTTCTCGCCTTGCATCTCGCATGCATATTGCAGCATGGTTTCTTTCCACCTGGCTATTTATTATTATTCATCCGTGCAAAAACGTCTACCTTGTGATACATAAACTAAGCAATCCCCCTCATTCCTGACCTTTTTGCACTCTCTGAATGGTTTCCGTTGGATATCCCAAGGAAATGACTCGGGGAAGCCCTCATGGTCCACAGGCTCTCAGGCTCAGCCCGGATGGCCAAGATTTCGTGCACACCTGGCTCGCATGTGGCAAGTTTGCTTCAAGCATGCCCTCTTCCTCGAACACGGCCATCCGCAGCTACAAAAATGTCCTCAGATTCGACCCTGCCAACATCACAGCGCTTCACGGTCTCGCCACAGCTGCCCTGTCAAAGAAAGATCACCGTGAGATTTTCGAAACAACAGAGATACTCAACTCTGCATTGACCAGTTTCTTCCACATTGGAAAAGAGGTTAGCATATGGTTTGATCTGGCCAGTTGCTATTTGGAGCTGGCCGACTACGATACCGCCAACCGCGTTCTGGTGAACACTTTGAAGACGGCAGGCTCGTGTCCGTCAATATGGCTGCTTTATTCCAGACTACTTTCAAGAACAAACATGATTAATGACTCCCTCGACGCTTATCAGCGCACCATTAGACTCGCATCCGCCTCCTCAAGAAACATCAACATACTTAGAATCGCACACACAGAGATTGCTGCTCTGTTCATGACACAGAACAACACCCGAGCTTGCATCCAGGAATTGGTAGCAGCCATCTCTTTGCCTCCCCCTGCCCCAGACAAACTCAAAGAATATTCGTGCACCTGGGGACTGCTGGCCCTCGCACACAGAGAGGCTGGCGACCTTCCAGCGGCACTTTCAGCCTGTGTGAGTGGGCTGGACGTTGTGGGCCAGAACATGGTGTTGCGTCTTTTGCAATCGCACTTGCTTCTCACGTCCGAAAACCCACGAGAACACCTTCCTGCGGTCATCTTCACACTGCACAGAGTCATCGAGACCCAGGAACGCAACGCCATCACTTGCTTCTTGTCCTACTACTTGCTTGCTCGCTCCTATTTTTTGCAAGACAATCCGTCAGAGGCCTACAAATACTTCCGCGAGGCTCTCAATTGCGAGCCCAAGTCGCCGTTGCTATGGCTGTCGATGGGTCACCTGTACCTGCACCTTAACCAGCTGAACGACTCGATGGAGGCGTATTCGCAGGTTATCAAGTTTGAAGCCGCAGACCCACAGATAACCACCGCCATGGCGTGGGAAGGCCTGAAACACATTTACGAGCGCTGCGAGGACCAATCACAAGACGCAATCGACGCGTGTATGAGGGCCTCTGCGTGCTACAGATCCTGTGATCGACCAGACTTAGCCGCTCAAATGGACTCCCACGCTGCAAACCTGAAATCTGGCAAAAGAAACTCGCTCACTGAAATTTCAGACGTCCCACAATGGCTTGTGGGTCAATTTCTGTGGGAACAGTGCTACGAAAAATTCCAGCTTTACTCATCCCCGTTGGAGTTTGTGATTCCGCCTGGCCCAGACCCTCGCGCCAACCATGCCAACAGCACCAGCCCACCAAGACTGGGACACTCGCCCACCCAAAGTCCACATTCGCCTCTGTCAACCCTAATCCCCCACAAATATTACGAGCCTCAGATGATGCCTGTAATGAATACAATGGTTCCTTCGCATCCGCATCAAAGTCCCCCATTTTATGTGGGCCAGCAGCCACCTGTTCAGCAGTTCCATTCTTCCAAGTTTCAGCCTCCATTCATGACTCCAGTTTACCCATATCCACAAATCGTTACCGGACCTCTGCAGGCCCCCATGCATGTGGCCGAAATGAATTTCAATTAGCCAGGGGCTATGGAATCCCGCGTTACCTGTTCTGTGACCAGACAGGCGGTGCTTTTGATATGAAATCGAGCTCGTGGCAATCAATGTTTGCGGTGCATATTCCACACAACAAATGCATGATCGGTACTGGATGCATATCCAACAATACCGCACTGCCAAGGGAAAAGCAATACTAGTCTCAATCTGTACTTCCATAGCATAAATATTATCCACACTCTTGTTAGGGCACAGCAGCAAAGCAACAGATGTAGGTACAATCCTCTTGTGATGTTTTCATCAAAATCCAAGTGCTTGCTGCTGCTAGAGAAGATTTTCGAGGCGTGTTCGAGGCAAAATGTAATATACCGAAATTCGCCCTTCAGCAGGTCTCCAGTCGTCCGGGGGTGGCCCACTGGCATTTACTAGCTTTCTCGGCTGGTACAGCTTCTACGTGCACTCTCTCCGTTTCAAGGCTGTCAGGCGCAGCCACGTACTTCTGCAGCGCACATCATCCGCTAAGTAAGGCAGAATAGATCTGTAGCGCCTCGATGCAGACGGCCTGTCTAATAGGAGGGGGGAGTGCTGTGCCATTTGGCAAAAATACAGCATCTCCACCGGTCGGCCAATGCGGATAGAGGCAGCATTCCCGATCTGGAATAATTTGGGGAATTTCAGAAACAAATGGAGAGTTTCGCAAGGCTGGCTGACAGACATGTCAATACGCATCTGCATGCTCGAGCTCCAAAACGCTCCTTTTTGGGGCCAATTTAAAACCGTGAATGACTCCCCTCGACTCTTGGACATCCCGGCATAGGAGGTGCTGATCGTGAAAGGGAGCGGTCAAAGCCCAACAATAAATGCCCGACCGCAGTTCCAGTTTAGGATAATAGAGGTTTGCTACATGCATCATCATTTTCACACAAAAAAACTTTCTGCACATATCGCCGCACCGCCGTTCAATCACACATGTCCCAGCAGCGAAACCAGCACAAGATTTATCCCATTTCTTAAAGGAGCCGCACGTGACATCTGTGCTTTCGGCAGCAGGACTTTGTCGGTGACTCAAGGTGCTCGAGAGTGCTGCTTACTGTATGTTGGAGATCTGCATTCTACATCAAGTATACAGAAGCATGTGGATGCACCATTGGGTTTGCATTCAACACTAATCTATCAAAATACAGTACATGTCACGCTCCTTGTGCATATCACCACCCCCCACACTTTGTGAGAAAGACACCGAATTCAGCAGTTTCCACCAGCATGTGATCTGGCTCGATTGGTGCACAGCAGAGCTGGTCCATCCCGTTCTTGTCCTCAGAATTTACCTGCAGCCAGATTCTTCAACATGTCTTTACCGGTGAAGTAGATGGTTCTTCCCAGAGTGACAAAGTCCAGCGTCGAGCTCAAGGTGTCCAGGAATCCAAAAGGCAGCATCACAGGGATCCATCCCTGGGCCAGCTCCAACGCAAAGGAGCCCGGTGGCATCCCGTACTGTCTAAACTCTCCTTTGGCCATATGATTCACCTGACCAGGCAGGTACACGCTCTTCTCGAGCTGGTTCGGGAAAGCCGCGTGCTGCTCGCCCGACAGAATCGTGAAGTAGTCGTCGGCAAAGTGGATCCCCGTGTGGCCCTCCGTTCCCACGGCCGTGCCAAAGAAGATCACGTACTCGGAAATGGACGCGTGCAAAATAAACATCTGGCCCATGGCTCCACCCGCGTTGTTGAACACCCAGTCGTCGAAATTGAGCTTGTTGACGTACTGCTCGCCGTAAACCTCGGACATCTTCTCCTGCACCGCGTACATCACGGCCGTGACGTTGTTAGGGTGGTTTTTGATCGCGTCGACGCAGATCTGCTGCAACTCGTTCTTGTTGAAGATGTAGTTGCCAGGCAACCACGTGTAGAACAGCTGGTTCAAAACACCGTACACAACGATCGGGATAAGCGCCAGCGTGAGGAATCTCATGGTGGAAAATATATACACTTTTTATTTACCTTGGCGAGCTAAACGAGCCCGTCGAGATTCCGGGCTGTGCAGAAAAAGGTGCGAAAATAAATAAAGACGTTTAAACAAGGGAAAAAACATTTGAGACAATGTCTTTTTCCAAAGAGACGGCGATTCAACAGGTTCTTGACGAGCCGTGTATGCAGAAACAGCTTGACGCGATTGCCCGGGCCGTGTTTGCCGGAGTGGACTTGCCCGCCTCGCAGCTGACCGTCCCTGAGCTCCAGAACGCCCTGCTCCTTCACTCAGTGTACACCGGGTCTGGCGGGGAATTCGACCAGATCGACCCGAAATTGCTCAACGAGTACAAAGATCTGCAGCTGGAGTACCTTCTGCTGAAAATATGGAGCGGAAACGACTCCGAGGATGTGTATCAGTCGGCAATCGACGGGATGGCTGAATTGTACGAATCGGATCCCGCAAAGTGTGATCAATTTCCCACGAGTCTGGTGATTTTCAACCTGAAACACCACTGTGCACAGCATTTGGTCGCAAACAAGGCGTATCCCATGGCATTGCCATTTTTGCTCGACAATTTCCAGAATAGCAGTCTGGACTTTGCTGCATCCCCCAAACCTGACCTCCAGCACGGGTTCCGGCTTCTGGTCCAGTGTTTGTTGTTGACACCATACACGTACAAGAAACTCAACGCTCTGAGGAGTATCGTGTCCAAGATCAACGTCCAGCCATACCAGATCGATCCAGATACCAAATCATTACTTGAAAACATGAACGATAGACAGCTTTTTCCAATTAGCAAAACCATCCTCTCAAAGCTCGTTCCAGAACAAGAACTGGACCATGCCATAGAACTTGCGACCGAATTCAACATCGTTTCATTGTCCCAGGTGTTCTCCACCGTGAAAATACCTACAATCAAGACCATATTCGAGCTCGAACTGGACAACCTCCAACTGTTTGACCTGATTCTCCAGCTCATATCCGACAGAAAAATCAACGCCGTGGTTGACGAGATCGACATGTCCGTTCATTTCAATTTACAAAAAGAGGAGAAACTGCTGCCAACGTTGTTGAAACTGCTAGACACTCTATCTTAACATATTTAATGGCCAACACTAACACGGCCAACAAGCAAATCACTGATGTCCCTGATGTCCTTCCAGAAGATGTTCTTCCGAACGCGCTTTCCCTCTTCGGTTTCATAATCGTATAATTGTCTGATCGCAGTGAACTTGACGTGAGACCGCTCTATTCCCAAGACACAGGCGGTGTTGGAGACCGCTGGGGAGTTCAGAAACTCTCCAAACTCGTTCTCTGCGTTGCATGCAATATCGTTGTTCTGCTCCACGAATTGGACAGCCTTGATCGCAAATCTGGCAGCCCTAGTCCGGTCAATGGCCGAAGGAATGCCACCCTGCTGCGCGTGTCCAGGAATTGCGGTTTTGGCGTCGAACCGCTGCTTAGCCTCGGAGTTGATGATATCTGCAATGGTTTTCGTGGTCAGCACGTCGGAAGCCTTCTCCGACTTGAGAATAAGACGGCCCGACTTGGACTTGCCCTGATCATTGGCAAAGGACACCTTGAGCGTCTCGATGTCCTGGGCCAGCTGGGTCAAACTCATTCCTTCTTCAGGAACATACGACGCTGTAGCTCCACAGCACAACTGAGCATATGACGCAATGTAACCCGAGTTACCACCCTGGCATTCCACCACAAAACATCTGTTTCTGGTGGCTGCTGCAGACTGCTTGATAGCGTCGCAGTAGTCCACCAAAGAGTTCAAACAGGTATCGGATCCAAGCGAATACTCGGTACCTGGGACGTTGTTCGAGATGGTGGCAGGTATGAGAACCATTGGGATTCTGAACGCTGGGAAGTTGGCTCTGGCTTTCTCCAGCTGGTTGAGAGAAACAAACGCTTCAAAACCACCCACCAAGACCAGCCCGTCAAACTTGTACTTGCTGAACTCGTATGCAATGGTTCCCAGGTCTGCCTCCTCGGGGGTCTTTCTGTTGGTTCCAATTTCTGATCCTCCGATAGAAGTCCATCCTTCCACGCCGAGCCAGTCCAGCGTTCGCACGGCATCGTGTCTCGCGAGTCCAGTGAACCCGTTATGTATAGCATATGGAGTGTGGCCGCGCGAGAAACAGTACGTGGCAAACGAGTACACGGCCGAGTTCATTCCTCCTGCTGGCGCACCCACGTTGATGATTGCAATCTTCTTGCGTTGCTCAACAGGGAGAGAAGGCTCGCGGAAGTCTGCGGTATTCATGGCCATGAAGTTGTGCAGATGTTCCACGAACTCGGAGTCACGAAGAGAAATGGCTTTGGCAAAATCCTTGCTACGGATAGCCTCGGCCACCGACTTGGTGAGCTTCACTGCCTCCACCAATGGCTTTCTCACAATCTTGTTCTCAATGATGGAGATCATTGGCGAAGGAATCTCTGGAGTTCCTTCCAAAACCGCATCCACAGCAGCGACTCCCTGCATGGTGGCAAGGATTCTGTCGTAGGCCACGGCATTACCTCCTCTTTGGACGTGGCCCAGAGTGGTGATTCTGGTGTCCAGCCCGAGCCGGTCAACAAGAACGTTCTTCACGTCCTCGCAGGTGACCGGGGTGAGGTCGGAGGCAATTGCACCTTCGGCCACAATGACAATGGTCTTCCGCTTGCCTCTGGCTCTGTGAGCTGCCACGATCTCGCACATGTGGTCTGACCAGTCTTTGTGGGAAGATGGCTTTTCAGGAATGAACAGATAGTCTGCGCTGGTGGCGATACCTGCCATAAGGGCGAGCCATCCACAATGACGGCCCATGACCTCGATCACAAACGCTCTCTGATGGGAATTGGCTGTTGCGTCGATATAGTCGATGGCTTTGCAGATCCGCGCCAGCGACGAGTAACAGCCGATCGTGGCATCTGTGAGCGACATGTCGTTGTCGATGGAGCCCAGAGTACCGCAAATGTTGAGATGCTTGTGGTTCTCGTACTGCTGGGTGGTGATTTTCCCTGTTTCGTGGAGCTCCTTAATCAGGGACGGCCATTCTGCACGGAACAGGTCTGCGCCCGTGAGAGAACCGTCTCCGCCACACACGATCAGAGCGTCGATACCTGCGTCGATCATGTTCTTGCACGCTGCGGACCGGCCCCATCTCTCCTTGAACTCCATACATCTGGCTGTGCCGATATTGGTACCACCTTCAGCAAGCCATCCACGCACGTCGTTCCAATGCATTTCCCGGATATACTCCGGCCCGCCTTTGACAAGACCCGAGTACCCTTCGTAGACAGCGTACGCCTTGCACCCCTTGTAGATGGCAGCTCTGATGATTGCTCTGACATTTGCGTTCATTCCTGGAGCATCGCCGCCCGAAGTCATGACGGCGATGTTTTTGGCCGTGGCCACCGCCTTGAGCACCGACTCGGCGCTGCTGGCGGTGTCTGGCGGCTGCTCGGGCTCTTTGCACCGGAAGTACTGGCTGGTGCCAATGGTGTTTGCAACGTCAGTGAACCCAACAACAGCCCCCAACGGGTCCACCACGTACACCTCGTACGCATTGAGCTTGTCTGGACGGGTCTGAAACGGCACGCTGGCTGCCTCGAGTCGCTGGATCAACGTGTCCAGTTTGGCCGTAGTGAAACAAACGTTGCGCTGGAGGGTTCTCCAGTCAAGCTCTTGTTCCTTCTTCAACAGATGGTCGATGTTGGCGGCGACTTTCTCTGCTGCGATGGCTCTGGAGGCGTCCACCTTGATCTCAATGGTGGTTGCTTCCTGGTGAGCAGCCTCGATCTCCAAAACACAGGAGTCTGCGTCGTGCTGGGCAACCTCGAACCCCAGCACTTGTTCGTAGAACCGCACCGTCTGGCCAAACAACGCCCTGTTCGGAGCGTAGTAAACGGCCAGACAGATACCGCTCAGTAGCGTGTCGTCTTGAACAGGCATTGCGACACAAAAGTTTCGGTTTGGGACGGTGGTTGTGATCACTCCACTAAAGTTATAATGTTAAGTTTTTTTTCCTACATTATTTCTCTATTTGTCACTGTAGTAGTGGGGGGCGTATTCACGCAGCCATTTCTCGTGAACGGGGATGCACGTGCGCATGAACTCCTTGCTGGTGAGAACGAGCTCGTTGTAGATCAGCAGCTTGGGCGGCGGCTTGAGTCCAAACAGCACCGACGACGGATGGATCCACACAGCCTGGTTTTTTTTCATGGTACGGTACGCATCGCCTGTTTTGCTCAGTTGCGCCGCGTTGACGAAGAACCCGGCCACCACGCTCTTCATCACGCCCACCACCAGCCGGTCGTGCTCCAGATCGGTCTCGTTGTCCAGCAGACCCATTCGCTCGCACATCCGTTCCAGCTGCTCTCTGATGCTGCGCACACGCAGCAGCGACTTGTACTGCACGTAGTTGTCGCGACACCACTGCACAGAATGCCCGTTCTCCACGAACTTGGTCCACACGTCCAGCAGCGTCAGATGGTCGCCGCCCAACGTCTGCACGAACTGCTGCCGCGCCTTGTCGGCCTGCTCCTTGCGCTCGCGCGGCCGGTAGAAAATCGAGCCTGCCTCCTGCAACATTGCAACCACCGACAGAACAGCCTGGCAGCAGTGCAGCTCGCTGCTCGTGAGAAGAGTCTTGGCCATCATCGGCTCCGTGGGAAACTCGGCCATCCGACGGCCCACCTTGGTCAGCTCGCCGTTCTCGTTCAGACCGCCCAGAGCGTAGATCAGCTCCAGGGCCTTGATAAGCGTGTCCGGCGCAGGCTTGTCGATAAAGTCGAAGTTCAGCAGGTCGGTGATCCCCAGCGACAACAGCAGCAGCACAACGCTCGCCAGACTGCTGCGCAGAATCTCCGGCGTCGGGTTTGCAGCCAGCTCGTTCAGGTACGCCCATTTCGTGTACAGCCGGTAGCACTTGCCCGGGCCAAGACGACCGGCTCTGCCCGCACGCTGATCCGCAGACGCTTTCGAGCACGGCTTCACCTCCAGGCTCTCCATCCCGGTGCTCGGGTTGAACACGTTCTCCTTGACAAACCCGGTGTCCACCACGTAAACGATCCCGTCGATCGTCAATGAGGTCTCGGCAATATTGGTAGCCAGCACCACTTTCCGTGCTCCTTCAGGAGTCGGCTCAAAAATCAACCGCTGCTGGTCTGACGGTAGGTTTGCGTAGATCGGACAGATCACCAGTTCGGGGATCTGGTCGCCCAGCTTTAAACACGTCTCTGCCAAATTATCAGCCATGCTCTCGATCTCGTCCTGACCGGTCAAGAAAACCAGAATGTCGCCAGGGTCCTGTTGCAGATGGATCTGGAACACTGTCGTGATCGCCGCGTGTAGACAGTTCGCCTCGGGCTGGCTCGTGTAGAAGATGTCCACAGGGTACCGTCTGCCTGGGATGTTGAAGATGGGCGCGCCGTCGAAGAAATCGCTAAATTTCTGCGCATTCATCGTGGCAGACGAGATCAAAAGCTTAAAGTCCGGACGATACGCAACAATGTCCTTCAACAGACCAAGTAGCACGTCTGTAGACAGCGTTCGTTCGTGCGCCTCGTCGATCATTATTGCCGAGTACGACAGCAGCTCCGGGTCCGTGAGAAACTCCCGTAATAACATACCATCCGTCATGTACTTGAGAATAGTGCGCTCGCTTGTTCTGTCCTCAAACCGGATGGTGTACCCGACCTTGTCACCAACGGCCGTTCCTATCTCGTCCGCCACACGTGTGGCAACAGACATCGCGGCCACACGACGCGGCTGCGTGCACCCGATCTTCTTGCCGTCCTTGGTGAACCCGGCCTCGTGCAAGTACTGCGGCAGCTGTGTCGTTTTACCAGACCCTGTCTCTCCAACAACAATCAGCACCTGGTGCTCCTGCACGGCCTTGATCAGCTCATCGCGGTACTGATAAACGGGCAGCGACTTCCGGGTCTCGTCAATTGTCTTGATGCGCTCCTCTTCCTCGGCAATAAGTTCTTCCAACCGCTCTCGCTCAACATCAACAGGATCGCTCACAAACTCCACAGCCTGCGAGCTGTCAAACACAAACTCGTACTCCTTCTCAGGAACTCGCGTGTCCGCCTTCACGGCCTTGCGCATCTGGTCCGCCTCCCAGTCAACCACCGCTGTGTCGTTGTACTTCGAATGCAGCGTGTCCTGCTTCCGTTTCTTATCTATCTTGCCGTCCTCGGTGAAATAGTCGTCCGGCAACATGTAATGGGTTTCCATGTCCTGCTCAATCTCCCATCGTTCCTGGATCGTGGAAAAGATCTCTTTCTTGAACTTGTACTCCTGCTGTTCCTTTGTGGTGAGCCTGTCCCAGCCAATTTGCTCGATCTCCCACTCGAAATCCTGCAATTCCGCCTGCAACAGCAAAACTTGCCGCTCCTCACGTTTCGAAAGGTACTCCTGTCTGGATATTCGACGCAGGTCCTCAAAATTCGCCCTGGGAACGTCGTTCTCAAGCCGGATCCTATTGCCCAGCCTGAGCTCTGTAGGGTCGTCCAACTCTGCCTTTAGCGGCTCTTTTTGCTCTGTAGACGACGTATCCACCTCCTCGTGGAACTGGACATTACTTTGCTCCGCCAAATCGTCCTCGAAATCTCTCCGTCGCCGTTTAAACCGGCCCGTTCTAATCTCACCCATTGTTTAAATAAAATGTATTTTTTTCCCATTTTTTTTTCTATCTAATGAGCATTCCTTCCAGTCCGTCCTCCAAACCGCCAAGCGCCCACACAGACCTCCAGGCCACGCGGTACATCCCGCCATGGACGTCTCCATACATCATCGGGGTGGCTGGGTTCTCTGGGTCGGGAAAAACGACTGTGGCCCAGAAGATCATCGATCAGATTAACGAGCCCTGGACCGTCTTGTTATCAATGGACAACTTCTACAAGCCTCTGACGCCGGAACAGCGACAACAGGCGTTCCGGAACGAGTACGACTTCGACGCGCCGGAGTCGGTCGACCTCGACCTGTTCTACAACTGTCTGTTGTCTCTGAAAGAGGGAAGGAGAACAGACATCCCAGTTTATTCGTTTGTGTTGCACGATAGAACAGAAGAGAAAATCTCCATCTACGGCGCCAACGTGATCATCGTGGAAGGCATCTACTGTCTGTACCATCCAAAGGTGCTGGAACTCATGGACACCAAGATCTACGTCGACACGGACCTGGATATCTGCTACTGTCGCAGACTGTTGCGTGACATTGTCGAGAGAAAAAGAGACATTGAGGGGATCATTCAGCAATGGGACACGTTTGTGAAGCCCAGCTCGGTCAACTGCGTGCGACCGACGTTGAACAACGCCGACGTGGTCATTCCGCACGGCTCGGACAACCTCATTGCCATTGACATGATTATCAAACATATCAGGATGCAGTTGAAACAAAAGTCAATAGATCACATGAGACATCTGGAAAGTCTGGGAAAACACATCGCCCAGATCGACTACACCAGCGTGACAGTCTTGCCGAAGACCAACCAGCTTCTGGGAATGAAGAGCATCATTCTGAACCGTGAGACCTCGAACGACGATTTTATTTTCTATTTCGACAGAATAGCAAGCATATTGATCAGTGAGGCTCTGGAACTCGTGCACTACTCGCCGTCCACAAAGGAGATCTTCACTCCCATTGGAACCAAGGTCCAGGACCCAATTGTGCAAGCGCAGGAGGTGATTGCTGTCAACATCATCAAGTCAGGTGACTGCTACATGCGGTCGCTACGGCGGATCATTCCGCAGGCTGCTGTTGGAAAAGTGCTTATCCAGTCGGACTCGCAGACAGGCGAGCCCCAGCTGCACACAGAGAAGCTGCCGCCGTTCAGCTCTGGGTGCAAGGTGCTGCTTTTCGACGCTCAGGTGATCTCAGGAGCAGCAGCCACCATGGCGGTGAAGGTGATCCTGGACCACGGGGTGTCGGAGTCGGAGATTGTGCTGGTGGTGTACTTTGCCACGGAGACAGCCATCCGGCGTGTTTTGGGCGCATTCCCGCAAGTCAAGGTGGTGGTGGGCGACCTGTCGAGCGCGTCGCCCAAAGACGGCCAGGACAACGAGTCGGACTGGTGGATGAGTACAAGATTTATTGATGCCAGATATTTCGGGACGGACTAGTCTATTTAAAAGTCCAGCAGCTTCATCATCAGGTATCCGATAAAGATCACCACCAGGTAGCAGAACAGCGACGACGGCACACCGATCTTGATAAAGGTGCCGACCGTCAGGTACGGGTTTCCGACGCTGTCGCGGAGTCCAATTGCCGTGACGTTTGGGAACCCAGACGTTGGCAGGCCCATTGCAGACGAGCACAGCAGAGCCGTGGCCATGATGAGCAGGTTGGGGTGTGGGTCAGGAAGGGCCTTGCCGATCTCTGCAATCAATGGAACAATTATAAGAGCTGCCACCGTATGGGACACGAAGGTGGCCATGGCAAGCACGATGATTCCAAACAGACACAAGACGGTGAACAGGCCGGAGCCGGCGAGCTGGGCCTGGATTGCCTCTGCGATGGTGCGCAGCAGCCCCGACACGGTGACGGCTTTTCCGAGCGCAAGCCCGCCCATGGCGAGCATGACGATTGTCCAGGGGTAATTGTTGAAGTCTTCGGGGAGCAGCACGCCCGGGGCGTAGAATGCCACCATGGAGGCCACGGCGATCATGCCCATGTCCCCAATAAGGTGTTCAAAGAACGAGGCGCCGCACCACAGGATGATGGTGACCAGCGACACCACAAGCACATAGTAGTGGCCCGGGGTGAACTTCTCGTCTGTTGATCTGATCGGCACGATGGTGGTTCCTCTGAAGTCCATCATGAACATAAGATAGACAAATATGAGCAGTAGAGCACACGTACAGACCGGCAAGGAAACACCGAACCACTTGAGCCAGTTGGGATCAGGGTCCATGCTCTGGAGTGCAACGACGTTCTGTGGACTGGCGATGGGGCTGGCCATGCCGGCGACGTTGGACGCGAGCGCAATTCCAATCACCAGAGCCTGTGCGAACTGCGAGCCTTCCGGTAGCGTGTTGAGCACCGGTTGCACGACAGAGTACATGAGCACCGGGGCGGCCACGTTGGACACGAACGCTGACAGAACGGTCGACACGCACATGATGGACAGCAGCACGTAGGCCGGGTGCTGCGGAACCTTGGACAGAATAAACGTGCATGCAATCTTGTCCAGATTGTACTTGGACAGAGCAGCGGCCAGGGTGAAACCGCCTAGCAGCAGCATGATGATGGGCGACCACATCGCCGAGCAGATGAACTTGGAGGCATCTGCGGGCGAGAGGGGCTCGCCTGTGTCTGGGTCGACTAGGGTTCTGAGCACCACGATCAGGAACGGAAGCAGAAGAGACGTGGTGAAGAGCGGGATGGCCTCTGTGGCCCACAACAACGAAGCGCACACAAGAACGGCCAGACAGTTTTTCTGTTGCGGGTTGTCTAACGGCGAGAAGTTGAGCAGCGTCACGGTCACCATGGCGATGAAGAGGATCTTGAACGCGTTGCCCGACAAGACGGGAGCAGGGATGGTGATTTTGCGGCCGGCACCGAGATGGATATCGAACTTCTCGATCGGGGCCGCGCCCACGTCCGCGACGACGGACTTTTGCACGCGCGCAGCCTGCGACTTGCGCTCCATTCCAATCATGTTTCTCCAAACGGTGTTTCTCTCCCAAACAATGTACTCTCTGAGATTCGAGCGGAGCTCCTCCTTGGCAGACTCCTCGTTGCCTGCAGTGAACACGGAGTAGAGCTTGATGATTCCCCCGAGCTTCTGGTTCAGGTCCTCGAGCGTTTCTGGCTTGAAAATGACGTTATTAGGGTTGGTAACCAGCGACTCCATGTACTCGTGCTTGGTTTTCGTGTGCATGAGCTTGTCAAACTTCTTGAGCGCCTTGCTGAACCCGATCTTGTTGAGCTCGATGTAGCTCTTGAGCTCCGACAGCAGCACAAACATGTTGGCGAGCGGCTTTCTCTTCTCCACCTTGAGAGCTTCCAAAAAGGTGAGGTTGAAGTCGTCGTCGTCAAACAGGGTGTGCGACCGTTTGCGCGACAGATCGCGCACGTGTTTGTCGGTCTCGGCCAGACTGGCGTCCACAGTGGTCTCCTGCAATGAGCTCTCGAACGCGTCTCTGGAAAGCACCGGCTCCACCACTGGAGACGCCATGTGCTGTTCGTCAATGGGTCTATTGTCGTCCAAGAACTTATCTGGGCGAAGGGCGTCCAGGATCCGCTTGAGCTTGAGTCGCTCACCGGAATCGGAGGCGTTTGTGGGGAACTCGCGTTCAAACTCCTCGATCTCGTCAATCAGACTGTTGTAGCTGGAAATGGCGTCCTTCTCCTTGAGCAGGAAGAACTTGTTGATTTTCTCGAGCTCCTTGTCCAGAGCAGCCAGAAACACACTCACCGGACTGGAGGTGTCATCGGAAGCGGTGAACGGCTGGGACTCGGAATCGGCGTTGGTGTTGAGAGATTCGGCATGTTCCCGCTGGAGAGAGTAGATCAGCTTTTTCAGACCGGAGTAGTTGATGTACTTGGACGACCACTCGGGCACTGCGTTGAACTGGAGCGAGTGCGAGAACTTCATTGGCGGGGCGCGGGGCTGAGCAGCACGGTCGAGAGCAAGGTCCTGGAGAGGGATTTGCTCAAAGTCTGGGTGTTGGAGCAATATATTGGATAGGGGCCAAGGTAAACTGGTGGGACTCCGGCAGCGGCTCGATAGCAACTAATGAAGGGCCATAAAACTAGCTAGGAAAAATTGACAAGCACCGGTGAATTTGTGCTGACGGAGTACAACAGTGTGCAGATGGCCAAATGTTTGGTTTCTAATAATCATAAAACCATCCGCTGCGCGACACCCGTGCACCGCGCGTCCAATCTGGCCAAGACCACCATCGCACCCCGTACACCGAGGAAGCCAAGATGAAATTCGAGTGCGTACCAGCCCCACGCAGGAGTTTATTTCAGGCCAATTGGAATCCGGCCTGTTATCTGCATGGGAAACTGGAACGCGCACACGAATAATATTTAAGGCAATCCAGCTGCTACTTAACTTTGTTCAAGAAAAAATGCAACAAGGTCAAGACTTATTCAACAAGGCTAAACAGTCTCTCCAGGGCGAGGACGGAAAGATCAACTACGACGATCTTAAGAAGACCGCCACTGATGCCTACGGTGACATCCAAAAGAAGGACTACAAGGGTGCTGCCGAGAGAATCCAGACCCAATTCTCTGGCAAGAAGGAAGAAGAGAAGAAATAGATAATTGAAACAGGTTTTCCTTTCTTACAATATTGTAGACATTCTACATTACCTATTTACTGTATTTGACAATTCTAATCTCATGCCATCTGGACACCTTCAATTGGGTTTCCGTTGGCGTCCATCATTCCGTTTTGCATCATCATCACCTCCTCGGAGCCGGCAAACTCCAACGAGAGTCCGCAACCGATGTTAGCGGAGTTCTTGGCCTGGTCGATGCTGGCGTTGAACAGCAGTCCGACGGTTGGCAAGACACGGTGCTCCAGCATGAACGACACAAGTCCCTTCGAGTCGACCTGTCCTCTGTAAACAGACTGTCTGAACTCGTACTTGGCTCCGACGGTGGTGTTGGCCTCCACAACGGTCTGGTAAACCGGTTGCATCAGCTCGTTCAAAGTTGGCTGAACACCGGCCTGGACAGTGGTCTCCACACCGGCCTCGACGTTGTTGGCCACTTTTCTCCAGAACGAGGCAACCAACGCACCTTGGGCCTGCAACTGAGCAGACGCAATCCAGTTGCCGGCATTGTATCTTCCGACAAACGACAATGCAGCGTCGCCAGGAACACCCTGTTGTAGAGAAGAGTAGACAGACTCAAGACCCAAAGAAAGCTTTGGGGTAATGCTCTGCAAAATCGAACCAACCATCACACCTTTGTAAGACTCGTCCAAGAAGTTAGGGTTCAAGGTCTTGAAGTTCAAAGAAAAGTCGGTGGCCTGGTAATCGTGCTCGATCTGACACATTGGCTGTTGACCATGAGCCAACTGGAAAGTCAGCTTGGAAACAACGTGCTTGTCCCAGCTGTGGTTGATTCTTCCGGTCAAAGAAAACTCGTTGTCAACAGTTCCTTGGAAGAAAGTGTTTTCGTTACCAACCATGGCGGTGAACGAGTATGCTGGAAGCTGGCCACCAATAGAAAGACCGTGAGAAATCTGGAAGATCGGGTTCATGGAGAACGTCTTACTAATGTCTGCTCTAAGTCCAGTGAATTGTAATTGGTTCAGGAAAACGTCTCTGGCAACCTCCTTGTTGATGTTCTCCATAGTTCCTGGGTTGATCAGGTCCAAAGACTTTCTGTGTTGGCTAATAGAGCTGGTGACGTTATTAACAAAGGTGAAAATTGGGTTCGACGACCAGAACCCGTCTTTTTTGTCTTCTGGGGCAACTCCCAAATTTGGGATCGGAGCAAGACTCTTGCCCAAGTCGCCCATGTTCATCTGCGGTGCTGCCATTCTGTGTACTTAGAAACCTGCGTTCGCTAGTTGTATTTACAAGAGTTTTAGCAAACCTGGACAAAACCTTTTGGAAAATTTTTGGCGGAAACTCTCCGTCTCCCGAAACATCCCTACACCACCAGAACACCTTCCTCAGGTCTACACGTCAGAGACAGGGAACTTGGTCTGGATGTCGCTGCTGATCTGTTCCAGCAGCTTCTTCTTCGCGGCGATCCGCACCTTGAGCTGCTCCATCTTGGCGATCTGGCTTTCCGTCGATTCGTCCAGCCCGTCTATCTGGTTCAATAGCGACTTGAACCGACCCAGTCGTGTCTTGATACGGCCCGTCTGAAGTGTTAGTAGCGTACAACCGTGGTACTTACCGCATTGTCGAAATCCTTCGGCGATATCTTGCCGGCTTTCAAACTTTCCACCACGTCCAATAATAACGGCAGCAGGTCCATTTTTTGTAAGTCTTCCAGCACACGCGCCTCTTCGTTGAGCTGTTCGTACTGGTCGATCTCCTTCTGCAGCGAAACAGAGTGTTCTTTCGACAGAAACACGGCTTTTTCGTCTGTTTCGTGCTTCACTATCGGCGTGTTATCTGGCGACGCAGACCCGCCAGCCAGCTGAGAAAGTCCGCTTGACATTGTTAACGTGTTGCTTATAGTCACTGACTGTTCAATGCGTTCGAACTGACGAGCTAGTTACTGAAACTCCTAAACGTACACTGATTTTGTTAAACTATGCTATGGAATTATTTTATGCGTCGCTCCAAGTCGATCGTCGGTGGTTCACCATCCAAACAGCTTGTTTGTCCATGTTTGCTGAGGCGAGGACCGACGCAGCATTTGCATCGACTGCGACCCGCGAAGAATCGTCGACCCGTTGATCGGCGCGGACTCGTCCTCTTCTCTTAAAAAGTCGAGATCAAGGTCCACCGTGGATAAACTCACGTCGCACGCTTTGAACGTCAAGGAGTACCGTTTGTTAATGGACCGGCCACGCAGCTCGCTGCGCAAATCGCTCGCCGTCATCGTCGACTCGTTCTCGTCCATCGGCGGCGTCGCTGGCGTCTGTTCCTGCTTGTCCTCCTCGTCAGATTCGATCTGGAACCTGTCCAGCACAGAGTCCAGCGACGACGACACAGACCGCAGCTTGATCGGGATGGGATGTTGCAGGAAATCGTGGTCCTTGGTTTCCACCTCGTCGCCGATGTCGAAACACGCGATCGTGGAGTTGAGCGACGAGGACGAGTACGACGGACTGAGCTGCGACGACGACTGAACAGTGTCCTGTGAAGCCACACGTTGGGGCAACTCAACACGTTCGTCATGCAATTCTTCGTCATAGACTGTTTTGAACTGGCAAACACCGTCGAACGCTTCGTCGGCCTCGCGCAAAGTGTCTGTGTTGTCTGTGATTAGCGTTATTTTCCAGTATCTTTCTGGATTGTACAATGGGACAATGAATTCGTTTCTGCTGATCTTGAGAACCTTGAGTTTCTGCATTATCGGGTAAACCACCGACCCGCACGAGAAATACGTCACGCTCTTGTTGTTGATTTGGTATATCTCGAACTGGCCGTGTCCGAGACTTCGTCCTGAGGAGACCGGTTTCAAGCGATCGGAGGCAACGTCGTACGAGGTGATTTTAGCTGCGTCGCACTGGAAAACCACCGTTCGCTCCTCAACTGGCTGTGATTCAGGAAGCTCTTTCTTTGTCTTTTTAAACAAGGACTGCAAACGAGCACGCGAAGAAGGGCGGTCTGCACGTTTTTTCGGCGATCCAAGTCTCATGCTGCGAATGCGGTGTTTCGACGGGTGGGTGGCAACAACTTTGCCCGCAGAATGGTCTGTGCTGGTGAACTCGTGTTGAAACTTCTGTATCAAGGACTCGGTCAGACTCGAAGCATCCGAGTCGGAGGCGGCAGAAAGCGTTGGCGGCGGCCACAATTGGGCGGCAACCGGGTCTGTATGGAAGGACATCAGCGTCTAAATTGTAATGGGTCCGTAAACATGGACTGTTGTTTATTTTCTACGCGATACGAAATCCACACCCGGTTATTTTCATGATTTTTTTTGTGGAACCAGCGGCTGACGTCAGCAAAGATGTCAGCCCATCCTTCATAGATAACCGAAAAAGTCTCGGAGTGCAATTTTCCAGGAAAAAATGACCTTTGCTGGGGCGGTGCCAGGTGGGGAGACAAGACTGCAAAGATTGCAACTATATAAAGGGGGGTAAAAATCCGGCAGGAAAAAGCAGATTTACAAAATGGCATTCCAATCCAAACTTGGCTGGCTCACAAACCTTGACGTTTCGTCAACTCCTATTAAAACTTATAGACGGTCCTCTATTATCGGTACCATTGGTCCAAAGACCAACGATGCAGAGGTTCTTGTTAAGCTTAGAAAGGCCGGACTCAACATTGTGAGAATGAACTTCTCTCACGGTACCTACGAATACCACCAGTCTGTGATTGATAATGCCAGAAAGTCCGAGGAGCTTTATCCAGGTAGACCTCTTGCTATTGCTCTGGACACCAAGGGACCTGAAATCAGAACCGGAAGTACTGTGGACGACAAGGACTGGCCAATTGGTCCTAACCACGAGATGATTTTCACCACAGACATCAAGTACAAGAACGCCTGTGATGACAAGTTGATGTTCATCGACTACAAGAACATCACCAAGGTCATCGAGGCCGGTAAGATTATTTATGTTGACGATGGTGTTTTGTCGTTTGAGGTTCTGGAGGTTGTTGATGACACCACTTTGAAGGTTGTTTCCATCAACGCCGGTAAGATCAGTTCCCACAAGGGTGTGAACTTGCCAAACACCGACGTGGACTTGCCTGCTTTGTCCGAGAAGGACAAGGACGACCTGAGATTCGGTGTCAAGAATAAGGTCCACATGGTGTTTGCTTCGTTCATCCGTTCTGCCAACGACGTTTTGGAGATTAGAAAGGTCTTGGGCGAGGAAGGTAAGGACATCCAAATCATCTCCAAGATCGAGAACCAACAAGGTGTGAACAACTTTGACGAGATTCTCGCGGAGACCGACGGAGTTATGGTTGCTAGAGGAGATTTGGGTATCGAGATTCCTGCTCCTCAGGTGTTTGTGGTGCAAAAACAGATGATTGCCAAGTGCAACCTTGCTGGAAAGCCTGTTATCTGTGCCACCCAAATGTTGGAGTCGATGACTTACAACCCAAGACCAACAAGAGCCGAGGTTTCTGACGTTGGTAACGCCATTTTGGACGGTGCTGACTGTGTCATGTTGTCTGGGGAGACAGCAAAGGGTAACTACCCATTGGAAGCCGTTTCCATGATGCACCACACGTGTTTGATCGCCGAGAAAGCTCTTCCATACTACACCACGTTCACCGAGTTGAGAGACCTCACCGCCAAGCCATGCTCTACTCCAGAGACCATTGCCATTGCTGCTGCCTCCTCTGTGTTTGACCAGGACGCCAAGGCTATCATTGTGCTCTCCACCTCCGGAACCACCGCTAGACTTTGCTCCAAGTACAGACCAAACTGTCCGATCATCATGGTCACCCGAAACCCTAACTCTGCCAGATACTGCCACCTGTACAGAGGCGTGTATCCATTCGTGTATGGACAACAACGCGAGGAGAACTGGATCCAGGACATTGAGAACAGACTCCAGTTCGGTATCCAGCACGCTGTTGATCTTGGAATCCTTTCTAGAGGCGACACCATTGTCTGTATCCAGGGTCACACCAGAGGTATCGGCCACTCCAACACCATGAGAGTGTTGAAGGCCTAGGTTAATACGTACACTTCTATAAAGTAAGGAATATTACGCAGTTTAATTTTGATCAAGCCCAACTCTTCAAGGCTGTGTTTTCATGGGGATGGGTTCTCGCGATTTAATTAAATTTCAGAGTTGGTCATGTAATGCGGTGTAATGTCAGGTTTTGCCCTACACATAACACTTACCAGCCTCGTACCAGCCACATAGACCACACCTCACACCGCTCATTTTAGTTTCCTCTTTGGTCGTAAATCAAAATCTAATCAATAGTCTCTTGTCTTCACAAATGGACAAAAAATCGAATTCATTTAGAAATCAGCCAAGCGAGCAGGGCATGTCTGGTGAACATAGTTTTGTGCATTCCACTCCGAGCTCTTCACAAGGCGAGATAGCCAGTAATGTTTTCCAGGCGCCAGTAAGAAATGTTTATAACCAGCCTTCCTATGTGAACTTGGTTGTTTCCCCCTCTCACTCAGATCATGATGATCCTATTTTATTTGGTAATTCCACTTCTGGAAGCAGAAGTGCTGAAAATGGGGAACAGAATCACCACAATAACCCTGAGTCTGTACCCAATCGCAACAAGTAGAGGTGACGCGTCAGATCGCGAGACAGATGGCCGTGTTAACCGGCGAACGCAAGCCATTTTCGGGATCGGCGATGGAGGATCAAAACTTAAAGCTACAAAAGCTGAGTCAATTTCTCAGCAGTATGCGATGACGCGCAAGCTGCTCGCAGAGCTAAAAAAGAGAACTCCTCATAAATATGAGCAGAAGAAGATCCCTCGAGTATTCTACCATCCGACATGGCTTGCAACGCTTCGCAACTCAAATATGATCAAGTTATTCCATACACGGTATCATGACACTGAATTGGAGAAGGCGATGCCGGATGAAATTTACGATTGTCCTTCGACAGCTGACAACCCGTATGAGGCCGTGACGTATGCTGAATGTGTACGATGCAGACACACCTTTCGATTCCATGGACACTCCAATGCATGCAAAGATACAAACATTGGAAACCATTGTAGGAACCATCCTTCTGAGGTTCCAAGATCCTCTTCTCAACGTACTATTGAGTTTGACTTTTTTGGGAAAGGAGAACCATTTGAACATCTTGCACACATGTTTAGCAACAAGGAGGAAAGGATGCGTTATGACTTGCTTATGTATTTCTGGAAAGATTCTATCCCGTTTAGAAATGCAGATTCTCCAGATTTCATTTCGTTTCTTGCTTCATTTTACCAGCTCGTCGTTCAAGAGACTACAAGTGATTCTCGCATAACAGGTTCAAGACAAGAAGCTGTCAAATTTTGTTTCAAATTCCTCCGGAAAAGAAATTGGATCTCGAAAATGGTTGACAGATCTTATGATTGCATGAAAGAAGGAATCGTTCAACTACTAGCGACAAAAAATGTGTCACTGTGCGTGGACATTTGGAAAAATTACAACTCTAGATACCTAGGGGTGTTGATGTACAGCGATTTTGGGCACGTATTACTCGCGTTCGAAAACTTCTCTGACCGACGTGAAACAGCAACTGAAATAGCCAATGCGCTTGGTGAGGTTATTAAACAGCACAAGATTGAAGAAAGAGTCCTAGCAATAACATTTGACAATCTTAGGGCAAACCCAAAAACTCTCATGCACATTAATGAAATGCGCAAGGAGAAAGACTTAGCACCTTTATATGGGGTCAGGTGTGTGTCTCACATCTTGAACCTGATTCTCGGCTCCATAATGGCCAATTCCACTTTCGAATCAAAACCTCGAACACAACTACAGTACGACAATCAAAGAAGAAGGGAAGCTACCAAAGATGCAGACAACACGAAAGAATCCAGACTCTACAAAGCTTGCTTTGATTTCAGCAAGATGGTACGAGGGGACACCGTGCTTTCCTCGCTTTGGACAAAATGCATCGGTGGTAAGATTCCCACTCTTCCAATTCAAACCAGATGGACGAGCGCTTACTCTACGGTGACCACCATCCTCAACAAATGGGACGAATTATGTTTTGTGTTCGGTAAACTAGCGGGCATGGGCTTCTCTCACAACCACCTGGACCCTGACAAGATTGAAGTTGTCGAAGAGTTTTTTGATGAACATAGAATAACGCTGGATCAAAGTCAGATGAACACGGTTCACGCTCTCTTGGAATTCCGAAAAGATCTTAAAGAAATCAAAGGACTGAACTTCATAATGGGCGAGTTCAAAACCTGGATGGAGTCGTCACAAAAGAATGAGGATAATACTTTAATGAGCTACTCGAGAACGTTTTTGAAAGTACTCAAGCTTTTTACAGCAGTATCGAACCTACTTGGCAAAGAAGAGGGATTGGTTGATTACTTCAATATTGCAGATCAACTCTACGTGTATCGTGATAGTGAAGATCCGACCGTTGCTTTATTCACAGAAAAACTGAAAGGTTTAAATCCAAGCTTCCTCAACGCAATTGGTTTTTCCTACTCGAAATTTTGTGAATACTTCACCCTTGCTTTTGAAGATGAATTAGTGATTGCGGGATCCTTCTTTGATGTGAGTGATCGCAACCAGCTACTGTTTTCGACAATAAATTGGAAGCATCCAGACATTCGACAGTTCCCTTACAAATCCAAGTCATTGGAACGCTCCAAGATAAAGATTCTTTTTGAGTTGTTCAAGCGTACCGATTTCTTCCAAGAGGTGAATCTGCTCGCATTGAAGGAATCTGCAGCAAAAGCTCTAGCATATGAGGGTTCAGAGGAGATCAGCTTTAGCATGGAAATCGATGGATATTATAAGCATGCGCTCTACAACATTGACTATAGTGAGTGGTCTATCGAAGCTAACAACGAGTTCTGGTCCTCTATGCGGTCTGAGCGCTTTCCAAGGTTGAGAGCGACATATCAGCTCCTTAAAGACATTCCTTGTTCAAACGCTGCTCTTGAGAGTACGTTCAGCCTCGCCAACAACGTGATTGGATCAAGAAGGGTCAATCTCGGCGATGAAAAGCTTTCAAAACTAATGTGTATTCCCTCGTTTGTCAATTCTATCCCGGAACTGCAAAATATGGAACGTCAATTTCGCTTTGCAATTGAAGATGAAGACGACGAGTACTCTCGTGTGGAGATCGAGGATATGTCAGAGGATGAAACCATTTACTGTTGATTATATAATATGTAATGTCGTCTAGGGATCAAACGTAACATTTTAAAAACAAGGCTGTGAAAAATATTATGGGGATGTAATCCGAAGACCATCTCTGTTAAATTTCTTTGTTATACCGTTACAATTACTAGCCATGTCCCATTTGAACGGCGAGACCGAATTGGACAGTCTGGCCGAACCTGTTGAGTCTGCCAAGATGGATGAGCCGGTGGTCGCGGAAAACGCCTCGATCGGCGCACTTCATGACGTCGCGTTCACAGACCTCGACAAGAAGCCGGACCTTATCGAAAAGTATATGAACGCAGCACAGCGGGGCGACCTCGAGACGCTGAAAGACCTGCTCGAAAACGAAAAGCTTGATGTCAACTCCATGCTCGACGATAACGTCAGCGCATTGCATTGGTGTGCCATCAACAACAAGCTGACCGCCTTGAAGTATCTCGTTTCCAAAGGCGCAGCAGTCAACCACAAGGGAGGAGACCTCAACGCAACGCCTGTCCAATGGGCGTGCAGATACGGATTGGTGTACATTTCGGATTATCTGATCACCCAGTGCGGAGCAGACACAGACGTTCTTGATAACCAAGGGTTCAACTGTCTGCATCTTGCTGTGCACTCCTCAAACGTGATGATGGTGATCTACATTCTGACGTTCACAAACTTGCACATCAACTCGGCCGACCCGAAGGGCCGCACCTCGCTGCATTGGGCGGCCTACCAGGGAGACCCGTTCACCGTGGATGTATTACTAAAATTGGGAGCTGATATCTCCATCGTGGACGAAACAGGCTTCACTCCGTTCTACTGGGGACTCGTGCACCCGATCAAGAACGTTCTCATCAAGCTGATCGAGGCCGGCAGCGATATCAACCACAAAACAGTCGACAACAAGGCTGCCTGGGAGATTGCCGCAGACATGAACTGCACAGCTCTGTTGAAAACCGCTCTCAAGGAGTGCGACCTCAACGCAGACGGAACAAAAGTCCATCGGTACCTCACAGAGTCACAGGGAAGACAGATCGTGTTTCTAAACCCGTACATTGCTGTGCCGCTTTCATTGCTGGCCTTGACCACCGGCTACCTAGTTGTGAACGTTTTTTCACTGGCGGTGATTTTTTTCGTCCAAACCTTTGTTCTACAGTACCTGTTACTTCCAAGCTTCGACAGAAGCCCAACAGCATTGCATCGGTCTCCATACTTCGCCGGAGTATTCTCTGCTACGGCGTTCTGGTGTGTCGTCACCTGGCTCTTCACTATTATGCCTAAAACCTTCTCAAAAGCACCGTTATCGAATCTGCTCTTCTTTTTGGTAGCAGGCTGCGTGTTTGCGTCCTTCTTCAAAGCAATGTTGATTGACCCAGGATACATCCCAGCAGAGACCAACGGGGACAAAATCCAACAAACCATTAGAGAGCTGATTGACCTTCGCAAATTCGACTCCAGACACTTCTGTATTCATACTTCGATCCGCAAACCACTCAGATCCAGACTCAACAAGCTGAAAAACAAAAACGTTGCAAAATTCGACCACTACTGTTCGTGGGTCAACAACGACGTTGGTGTCAGAAACCACAAGCTGTTTTTCGCGTTCAGTGTTAGCTTGGAAATCGCCATCTTCCTGTATTACAGTCTGGCAAAACGGTACTTTGACAAACTTGACGTTCCAGACGAGTTCGAGGAGTCGTGTTTTTTCCTCGGAGAAGACATGTGTTCTGGATACTATGCTTCGCCGTTCATCTTCAACCTGACCATGTGGAGTCTTTTCCAGTCTGCGTGGCTTTCGCTGCTTCTCCTGGTCCAGTTCTTGCAAATATCCAAGGGAATCACCAGTTACGAGGTCAGTACCTTGCACCAAGGGGTCGACAACAGCTTTTCGTCGGTTCCGACTGACGAGTCGGTGGACTTGTCAAGCGATGAGGTGGCTCTTCCGGGTCTGCGTAAGCTCGTGTGCCTTCCAGATATTGTGGTGAACTCTAGATGTTCGCGACTGATTGGCTTGAACCAATTCCTGATGATCAGTGACGATATGATTCAACAAAAAAGCGGCCCTGCCTCGTTTGACCAAGGGATAGTCCAGAACTGGCTCGATTTCCTGTTTCTGAAAACAAACGGCGAGCCTTACTCGTGGAGAAACCTGTTCAAGCTGCCAATCCTTGGTGAAGCCAATCTGGGAGGAGAGCTGGTTGACTATTACAAACTGTACAAGGTCCCAACCAAACAGTCCAGTGCGGTGGTGTAATCTCTTCAAAAAACCATGTCTTATTTCTGCTTGCGATACGTTTTCCATTGTTCCATTGTACCCAGTACGCGCTCGTAGTTCTGTTCCATTTCTGTAAGTCGTTTGCGAAGGTTTTCGATCTCCTGCTCTTTATCGTTCTGGGCGTTTTTCTTGAATTTGAAGGTGTCCTCAATAGCCTCTCCGTTAAACGCTTTGAGAAGATCAAAGAGGATCACATCGTATTTCTTCAAGTCGAAGTCGTGGTAATCTATGGCAAGAAGTTCCTGATCCGAGGGAATAAACGTCGAAGGAACCTTGTTGGAACCGTTTAGCTGGCCAAACGATTTGAGAAACTTCTGTAGTCTCAACAAAACGGCCACCACTTTGTTCAGTTCGTGTTTCAAGTGCGAGTTGTCTTCAAGCAATGATAAAAATCTGTCGTTATCGAATTTCTGTCTCTTGGGTTCTGTGTCTGCTTCATGTGAATCTGTGAACTTCCTTTTCGAAACACTAGATAATCTGTTCTCCAGCCGATCAACCTCGATCTCGTTGCGACGTAGCTCCCGTTTCACCTCCTCCGTGTAAAGCTTGAAAGTTCTTTCCTGCTCCTTATATTTTGCGTTAACGTTGTTGAGCATTGTTTTGTAGTGGTTTGAATGTAGATCGAACTTGATGATCTCCAAGTTCAGAGATTGCACATGTTTCTCCTTTTCTTCCAGCTTATCGTTTAGCCGCGCGACCTCTTCTCTGAGCTGTCTAATTTCCGAATCTTTATCTGCCATTTTTTTAAGAGCAGTTTCCTTAAACTGTTTAGAGATCTCTGTGGAGTTCAACAGAGAGTAGATGATATTCATGGTATTCTTATCATTTTCGTAAATCTTGTCATTAATCTCCAAATTCTCCATGTTCTCCTTAAATAGCTGGTCGCTGTCAAGACTTAAAAGTAACAGCTTTCTCAGCTTGTTTGGCTTGTTTGAAAAATACCCCTTGGCAGACAACTTTTCGTTAACGTACTGAGCAGCGTTCTTGATCGACATTAGCTCCACCGACTGTGCCGCCAGATTGTGCACCTCATCCGGCTCCGCTGGCGTCTGCTGGTTCTCCAGCTGCGACTTTTCAAATATCGCCTCCATATGTAAACAAAATAATTAAAGGTAAATAAAAAAACATCAAACATTCGCTGCACCGACGCGTCGCACAAAAACATTGTCGTGATTTAAAGTTTAATTGGGATTCTGATGACTGTCGTATATTTCTTTTAGACACACCGTCTTGTAACGAAACAGGCTGGAACACTGTCCAGGTAATTTTCGTTGTTCATTGCACCATATCGCATGGGTCTCGACTGAGTCGAACGTCCATACGGTGTCTACGCCACCCGCCACCCTTTAAACCAGAAAAGCATGGGACTTCCTGCCAAAGCCGACTAGAATGCCGATCCGGACCCAAACGGAGCCCTGTCTCATCAATCCGGTCGGTCGTATTCCAGCCCGTCGGTTTCACCAACGTTGTCCTTGCTGAAAAGTTGCTGGAAAACGATTGATCTGTACGGTTGGCTTTGTTGAGAGGTCTGTTTCCGTTCCTACAAATCATGATTCCAAAGCATCTTGCACTCCAATACCGGAAACCAGGCTTTTTCCTTGAACTTCGTTTTTGGACGGTGTTACTTCCGGTGCCACGCTCATCGATAAGGATTCTGTGCTAGTCGGACGGATCGTGTTTTACACGCATCAATACCTGCGGGTATGTCGAACGAGTATCGCAGAACCCTTGCTTCTCTATGGTATGCGTGAAACTGGGCTTGTTCCGCTCTGGAGGGTGTGCTAAAGACTCATGCCGACAAAGATCGTCGTATCCCTTTTCTATCCGATCGTGAGTACCGCGTTTAGCCGAGATTTCTCAATTTTTTTTTTAACTAACCTTTTTTTTTTTTATTTAACTGTGGATAGATCGCGGGTTTTTCACAGTTTTTCTTTTAATAACCTTTTCTGGTCTAAATTAGTCATCCATGACAGTGAAAGATTTGAGCCACCATCTATCGAACGAATCGAAGGGAAGACAGCCTTCTGCTTTGAAGACCGCTTTCAAGTACTTTGGTCAAGAGAACATGGTTTTCTTGGGCGGAGGACTGCCTTTGTCTGACTACTTCCCTTGGGACAAGATCACCGCTCATTCCCCGGCCCCTCCATTTTCCAACGGTATTGGTGCCAAGCCAACCAATGAGAAGGACACCACTGTCACCGAAGTCGGAAAGGTCAAAGAATTGGACTACGACGTTCCTCTTGGAAGATCGTTGCAATACGGACATACCGAAGGTCAAGTCGAATTAACTGACTTCCTGAAGACCCACACCGAAATCATCCACAAGATCCCAAACAAGGAGTGGGATCTCGTTCTTTCTGTGGGAAACACCCAATCGTGGGAAGCCACCCTGAGAACTTTCTGTAATCCTGACGACACCGTTGTGGTTGAAGAGTACTCTTTCTCGTCTGCCATCGAGACCGTGAGAGCTCTTGGTATCAGCATGGCTCCAGTCGAGATGGACGACGAGGGAATTATCCCTGAAAAGCTCGACCAATTGTTCAACGAATGGGACTCTCCAAAGCCAAAGCCTAAATTACTTTACACCATCTCCACTGGTCAGAACCCAACTGGTTCTTCGCTGTCCAATGAGAGAAGAGAGGCTATTTACAAGATCGCCAGCAAACACGACTTCATCATCGTGGAAGACGAGCCTTACTACTTCCTTCAGATGGCCGACTACGAAAAGGGTGCTTCCGAGCCACCAGCCGTGACTCACGAGCAGTTCTTGGCCGGTCTTGTGAAGTCTTTCTCCTCGTTGGACGTGGAAGGAAGAGTTGTGAGACTCGACTCGTTCTCCAAGGTCCTTGCTCCAGGCACCAGATTGGGATGGATTGTGGCCCAAAAGAAGCTGCTCGAGAGATTTATTAGATTGCACGAAGTGTCCATTCAAACTCCTTCTGGATTCTCCCAGACTCTAGTTGCCGGTTTGCTAGGTAGATGGGGCCAGGACGGTTACCTGGACTGGTTGATTGGTCTCAGAAAAGAGTACACCATCAAGAGAAACTTCACCATGAACAGTCTTCTCAAGCACATGCCAAAAGACGTTGTCGCATTCGAGCCTCCTATGGCCGGTATGTTCTTCATTGTGAAGATCGACGCTTCTAAACACCCTAAGTTTGCCACTGAGTTCGGCAAGGACCCAATCAAGGTGGAGACTGCTATCTATGAGAAATCGCTGGAGCAGGGCTGTTTGTTGATTCCAGGCTCGTGGTTCAAGTCGCCAAATTTCAAGGAACACGGCTCTACCGAGATCTTCTTCAGAGGTACCTACGCCGCCGTGGCATTGGAGAAACTCGACCTTGGACTCAGCAGATTCGGCAAGGCCATCGAGCTTGAGTTTGGTTTGTAGACGGTGCACGGGTGTTCTTCCCTCCTAAACCTGGTATAGAAAATATATGTACACTGTGAACAAAAAGAATAACCCAAATGCATATATTGAAGTTTCCCTGGCTGACGCATTCGGAGGAAAACCGCAAATACGAGGTGTTTTCCGTGTCTGTGGCTCCAGACGGCGAGCGGCTAGCATCTGGCGGCTTGGACGGCAAGGTGAGGATCTGGTCGGTGGACACTTTGAAAAAGTACGAGAAACAGGTTTCGGAACAAGAATCACCCAATGATCTTGTTGAGGAGTCTGACGAGGAGGTTCGAACGAACGACGTGGCATTGGACCAGAATCTGTGTCGGCCTTTGTGTTCGATGGGCCGGCACACGGGAGCAGTGACGTGTGTTCGGTTCAGTCCTACTGGACGATTTCTTGCGAGTGGGTCGGACGACAAGGTTGTTTTGATTTGGGAGAAGGACGAGGAAAAAACGCGCATTATGGCACAAAACATGGAACAGCGGCTCCAATTTGGCACGGATCTCGAAACCACCGATTTGGAGCATTGGACAGTGCGAAAAAGACTGGTGGCTCACGATAATGATATCCAAGACATGGCGTGGGCGCCAGACTCGTCGATTCTCGTCACTGTTGGACTGGACAGATCTATCATCGTTTGGTCGGGAGTGACTTTTGAGAAAATCAAGCGGTTTGACATCCATCAGTCGCACGTTAAAGGTGTGGTGTTTGATCCGGCAAATAAATATTTTGCAACCTGTTCTGACGACAGAACGTTGCGGATCTTCAGATACCATCGCTCGTCGCCAACAGAGATGAGTTTCACCGTGGAGTCGGTGATCAAAGAGCCGTTTCGCAAAACGCCGCTCACGACGTATTTTAGACGAACTTCTTGGTCTCCAGACGGACAGAACATTGCATCTCCAAACGCCATCAACGGCGGGTTGTGCTCGGTTGCCATTATAGAGCGAGGCAACTGGGCCACAGATATCAGTCTGATTGGCCACGACGCGCCGTGCGAGGTGTGTCTTTTCTCTCCGCGACTGTACGAAGTCGATACAGGAACGAAGCAGGACAAGGAGCCTGAAATCTCCACGGTACTGGTCACTGCGGGACAGGATCGCACGCTGGTGATCTGGAGCACGAGTGCGGCCACGCCGCTGGTGGTTGCTGCCGACGTTTCGTTGAACACGATCACCGATCTCGCATGGAACCCGACTGGCGACGTGCTATTTCTGTCTTCTCTCGATGGATCGATCACGTCTGTTTTCTTTGACGAGAACGAGCTGGGTAAACCCATTCCGCTGGACCAACACGACAACGTGCTGAACAAGTACGGTGCCGATAGAGACAGCATGGTGTTCCCGGAAAGCATAGACCAGTTGAAGCTGGAGGAGAAGGCCGAGGCCGTGCTAAAGTCGCGGCCGTTCACCGGGAAACTGGACCGGCTGATGGAGAAGATGGAGTCGATGGAGCCGATGGGTCAGCTGGGCCAGCTGGGCCAGACAGAGCAGAAACCGCAGGCTGCTCCGCAAATCAACATGCTTGTTCCGCGGTCGAAAAAGCATCCAGAAAAAGTGATGCCGACGGTGAAGACGAAACCTGTTGCTGCGAAGCCCAAGGTGAACGTTCTGACTCCGAGCTCGCAGAAAGTTACGGTGACCAAGTCAGGAAAGAAACGAGTGGCTCCGATGCTGATTTCAGGGTCTGAGCCCGTGCAGAACCTGCCGAAACCGGTCGCTATGCCTAAACCACCCAAACATCGGTCGCAGTTCTCGGAGCCTGCCGTCAAGATTCCCCGGCTGGGGCTGCATACGCTGGTTTCGAGTCTGCGGGACAATATCATCAGCGAAGCTCCTGTTGGCGACACAGAGAACGAGAACGACATCGACCACATTGCCGAGATCAACAACGCGCCAAAGAAGCCTGTCTCTGTGCGGTCGTCGTCGGCAAAGCGCAAGCGGGAGATCGAGACTCCGCAGTACCTGGCTCCGTCGATGGTCACTCCTGCCACCATTTTCACAGACATGAGAGCGCAGCCGCACGTTTTGATGGAGTTCAAGGGTGACGACCTCACCAACGGCGAGGTGATGGAGATCAGAAACCAAGGAGATGACGACGCCGAGGAAGAGGTGGACTTTGACGATTTGGAAGAGTTCAACTCGCTCAATAAGCTCAGAGTGCTCAATTCCAAGGAGAAGCTCACCACGTTTGAGTTTTTCTACAACCACAAGTTCACCAACATGTGCAGCTCGTCGTACACGGAGTCTGAGGGCCGGAGTATTGATTTCTGGGCGGTCTCGACCGACACGGGGCTGATTTTCATTTTGTCAGAGTCGGGCCGCCAGCTCGTGCCGCCGTTCCAGCTGGGAACCAACCTGACTCATCTGTTGGGTCATCAGCAGTATGTGCTGGCCGTCACATCGTCGGGACTGTTCTACAGCTGGGACATCCGCCAAAGACAGAGTATTTTGGCCGGTGTCTCGGTGTCTCCGATCATCAACCAGTTTTCGGAGCTGGACCCGAAAAAACGGTTCGAGAACACGCTCAAGGTGACTGCGGTGTCTGTGAACTCAAAGGGATGGCCCATTGTGTCGCTGAGCAACGAAAACGTGTACTTGTACTCGCCGGAGCTGGAAGCCTGGATCAACATTATGGACCCCTGGTACTTCAAAAACGCCGCACAGGCGGAGATCGACGCCGACCCATTCGAAACACAAACCTACAGGATCCTGTACAAGCGGCTGGCGCGCAACCATCGACCAGAACCAATAGACACGGAGATAACCAGCCACATAACCACTACTTTCAACAGCTTGAAACAACTGGTGTCTAAACTCCCGTGAATCGCTCGTGTTATTAGTATACAAAGTTATAGGCCACCCTAAAACCGCTTGTTCTTCTTCAGAACCTCCTCCCACTCCTTCTTCTTGGGAGCCTTCACCACCTTAAACTCGTCTCTATAGTGAAGAAACTTGCAAGTGTCTCCATAACCGCAATAACCGTTCTTCAAGAAATCCTTGCACACGTCCGGCTGGTAGTCTACGACCGTGTTTGTCTTGATGCTCGCCGACAACGGCTTGATGTTGTACCGCGTGGTGTCCTTGACCGGCTTAGTTGGCTCGTTTGCCTCGTTTGCCTCGCTCTTATCAGGCTGCTCTTTCGAGGCCGGTTTGGCTGTCTTGGCAGGCGCTGCCGCGTCCAGCTTCTCCTTCTTCACCACCGCCGGCTCTGCCGCGTCGTCGGTGTCCTCCACCTCCTCGCGTTTCCGCTTCTGCTCCTTCTTGACACTCCGCTTCTTAAACATATTGCAGTTATATGTAATCGGTTATGTCAGAAACTTATCATGTTCTGCTCACGTGACTCCCTTCCCGGGCACAGACCCTCAACCTTGAAAAATAAAAAAACTCTGAAAAATATCCATCTTCATATATTCACATCAACCATGGCTGTATGTATCCACGCTGACGGCGAATAAGCGCCAGAACGACTGTCCAGACGCTGCTCGCTACGGACTTTCTACTTTGGCGCCGTTCAGCTCGTCGCAAACCCGAAAAGACTAACTTTTACAGAGAGAAATCACAGACATCAAGCAGTTCGTCGAATTGGCCAGAAGAGCCGACGTCAAGGTGGCCACCATCAAGACCAACTCTAAATTGAACCTCAACGGCAAGAAATTCAAGCAGACCAAGTTCAAGGTCAGAGGATCCAAGCACCTTTACACCTTGATTGTGAACGACGCTACCAAGGCCAAGAAGCTCATCCAGTCTCTTCCACCAACTTTGAAGGTGACCGAGATCTAAGGGCGTTATGTAAAGCTGTCGTATAAATAAATCGAACTACTAATAACTCGGTAAAATATAACTCAACTTTCAAAGTGTTAACGAAAAAACTGTATTGTAAGACACCTATGGAATTTGCAAAAACAGACTTAAACAATGCTATCGAGTATAACTCAAACCTCCTATGAAAACATGGCTGTGAATTGGCCAAGACATTGGAGCAGAAACACCTAAAACACGGAAGTTTGGACCGCCAGAGCCAAAGGTAGCGCAGAAACCAGTCGCAGCTCTTTCTTTGGAGAAAGAAGCGCGCCACATTGAATCGCGTCTGTTGATAGCTTGTATCTGGATACCCAACACGTCCTGCGTTTTGTGTGATGCCCGATTCTTGGAAACTCATGCCAAAACCAAAAAAAAACACTAGCAACCCAGCTTCCCTTTTCTTTCCCTATAATACATTTCGACAAACAAGTTCACGACAAGTACGCATCGAATTCAAAGTGGCTGTTGATTCCCTCTGCTGTTAATGGTGCTGCTGACCAAAAAAGCAAACCTGGAGCGATTGTGCAAGATAACTTAATAACTCGCACTAAAAATCATTAGCATAGCAAACCAACAAACAAATACCCTAAAAAACAAGTTTGCGGTGCATAATGATTAGATTCAACGTTTCGCTGCATGGTTTGGTCTTTTAACTGATATTGGAGATCATCACTGCTGGATGATGCACGCTATTAAAAGAACAGAGGTCTTCCACTTGTATAAGATGGCAATCGTCGGAGCTGAAGCCCGATTCGGGGAACTTGAGGTCGTCCTCCCGCTTGATGAACGGCAACATCTCATCTTCCTCTTGTTTGATGTACGATGTAGCCTTGAGATCCTGTTTGTACAGCTCCAGGCTCGACGACTTGTCTCCGGAAAAAATGTCCTCGGTGTCGTCGAACAGGTTGCTGTACTCCTGTTTTGCGATCCCTTCATCTTCTTCGAGCTTCAACTTGGATGGGGAAGTTGAGCCGGGCGGCGAGATGTATGCATCTTGCGCCTTTCTTTTTTGGCTGTTGGTAGTGGTAAAAGAAGCCGGTTCCGAAACCGGTTCCGTTTCTGGGACTTGTAGGGTGTCCTCGTTATCCTCGACACTCATTTCAATGTCGTTGTTGTCGTCTTCCTCCGAAGACAACAGATCCTCGTCGAAACTTGGCGATGGGATCGCCGATTTCAGTTTCTTGGAAGTTTTCGCGTATGATGTCTTTTGCTTCTTTGTTGGAATCAATCCCGTCAACTCCAACCCGTCCGGTCTTTCCACTTTGCCACAAGGCTCAAGCGAAGTATCCACAGACGAGAAGTCAATACTGTTTTCCGATAAAAGAGAAGTCAGACCCGAAATGATCTGGGCCGTCTTGTCCTGATTTTCCTCGTGGATCGCAAGACACGACTCCAAATCCTTCACGTAATTTTCGAGATACTCAACATGGCGTCTCTTCTTTTCCCTGGACGCGTGAGCAGCTCTTCTGTTTCTTAAAATTCTCTCAACTCGACGTTGCTCCTTCTCCTCCTCGGTCTTGGCCCGTTTTCTTGGAGGCAATGATCCGAGCGGAACATCGTTGGAGACTTCTTGACGTTGATGAGAACTAGTGAGTGTAGTCATATTGTGGGTATTTGTTTGATTGTTTGGTGATCTTTGACACGGATAGATGAAATGGACAAAGAGGAAAATGCTTGTATTTATATTTTCGAGCACATGATGGCGGCGGGCGTGGCTCGACCGGAAACACAAAAAGTTGAGAGGCCGGAAATTGAGAGGTGCATGGGTTCGCGACCGGATATTCCTAAGTAAGGGGATATCCGCGATCATCCTTCCCTTTTTTAGGTAAGCTACGCCACTAAAGGATCTGCCGGAATACAACCCAATATTCTAGACATGCCCGATGAAAAAAAGGCCACGCGTTTATGTGTTTAGTACGATAACATGATGGTTACGGTAAGGTACCTTTGGGTAAATTCCGGTATGCTACAATTCCACAAAGGAATAACCGGTCTTGAAACTTGTATTCTTCCATGAAAAACGTTATTTCATTTCATAGCGAAAACTGCACAAGTTCCAGGCACGCGGCTTAGAACCCAGTTGTTTTCTAAATATAACCCTTGTTATAATGAAAGATAAATAATAATAAACTCTAAAGTTTGCTCTTGATTTAGAATGAGATTTGCGCTTAGGTAAGCTGCCAATTTTTCCGGTCTAGAATTTGGTAGTTTCCACATTGGGTAAAATTCACAACCATTACCGTTTAAAAAACGGAAAATCTTCAGGGCAGTGGTTTCACCACTACAGGAGAACCGGTATGCAGCCAACAAAGAGCCCTATTATCAAGCGGTGAAAGATGGGATTGTGGATCTAAAAACGATATCGATCTATTGTGAGATGCTGCAAAGACCATTAGATCCTGCTCAATTTAAATACAGGGCCTTCAGAAAACTGGGCAGCATCTGCAAAGTTTCCGTTCTATTAAATGCCCAAAGTAGTTCCTGCTGTTTCACAGAAGGTTATTATCCTCTTTATGGCCAAAATCCATTGCCTAGTTTGTTCATCCTTCATGATGTTACTGGTACCTGTGTTTTCCTTCACCTTCAAATGTCCTGTCCTCACTCGTATCCCAATATTTGTAAGCCCGATGGGCCATGCAACATTGCCTATACTTAATTTGAGATATGCCTCATTTGCGTGGTTATAGTTATGCTGTTGTAGCTCGTACATTATGGTTGCCAAGCTCGTCAGTTGCTCCAACGGAAGGCTTTGTTTTCGCAATTTCACCAATAACGGAAACAGCCATTTTTTAGTCTCTACAAGATCGACGGTTGAGTGTTGCAAATTGGCTGCTTCCCATTTCCCAAGTAAATATTTGATGTAATCACGACATTGTTGAGCAATTAGTTTGGGATCGTCTCTGATGCTGATTTTCCTGATCGAAAACGCCGTAACGGGAATCTGTTCCAGTGTGGCATGATTGGATCTTCTTTGGGGCTTGATTTCCGGTGCGTCTGGTGCAGGTGCCTTTTCTTTAGTAGACACTTTTTCAGATTGCGATGGCACATCTGACGAAAACTCCGAGTCCGATTTGGGATCCCGCAGCGCCTGTTTTTCGTCTTGGGACGAGTCCTGTTTGGTGGGCTCTTCCAGCGTTTGTTTCTGGCGCTTAATCTCGCTCGAGAGCACTTTGCTAAACTCCATCTGAGCTCTGTCAATGCTGAAGGCGTGCAAAAGGAAATATAGGCAAAAAAATTTAAAAAATATTGTTTGATTATGAGCTCGCTTCCTTCTGCCAAGCCGGCAGAGCCTTCTGGCGATGCAGAGCGGCCCGCTTACGACGTGACCTACGACGAGGATGAGCTGCCTGTTCCTGACGGAATCGCGGAGGTCAACGAGGCCCAGCTCGAGGCCAACGGCGAGTCGTTGAATCTCGACATGTCTAAGGCAAACAGTCAGGTTTGGCTGGTCAAGCTGCCGCCAGGACTCGCAGATATCTGGAAAAACGACAAAACGCTTGCTGGTCGCCAGCTGGGCAACATCAAAATCCAACAGGGCGTTTCTCCAGCCAAAATTATGCTTGAACTCAACGACCATCTCCCGGAACACAAGAAAATAGACAAAGAATACGAGCTCAAGATGATCAAGCATGTGGTGGAAAACGAGTACGCCTTCAGCGAGGCCGAATTGACCCAGTTTAAGAGCCAGGCAGAGACCAGAACAGAATTGGCCCAGATGCCAGATCAACCAACGCTGAACCCGTTGGACGGAGAAGATGTTGAGGAGCCTGCTCAGTGGTCGACGGCCAAAGCGCCTACACGGACGTCGTACATTCCAGGGTCGCGGGCGTATGATGATGACGAGACCGACGAGGCCAAGAAGTTTCTGCCGTTTGCGAAAACGATTCCTAAAAAGACTGCTCTGGTGGGTAAGGTTGTTCACGAGTGTCAGGTGATACCAACCAAGTTGTCGACAAACAACCGGTTGAAGTTGATGGAACAGAAGCGGAGACTGGCCCAGATGGTGAAGAGAAAGACCATCACGTACATGAAAGATGCAAACGCAGGAGTTCTACAAGGCAGAACAGGGCCAAACCTGCAGATCGGGTCGACGATCCAACTTTCGCGGGAGCTGGCTGCCAAGAAAGAGCAACAACGGCTGGAGGGCCGTGCTTCGCGTATGAACAGAGACCAGTTGATGAAGGTGCTGTTCAATCTGTTCAACGAGTACGAGTACTGGACACTGAAGGGAATAAGAGAAAAGACGAACCAGCCAGAGGCATATTTGAAGGATTGTTTGGAGAACATTGCCGTTATGGAACGCAAGGGAACCTACGCCTTGAAGTACCGGCTGAAGGACGAGTATAAGAAGAGCAGAGAGGTTGAAAGAAAAGAGAAGCAAGGATTTGGAGATTTGGAATTGGACGACAAGAACGACCAGGATGATGACGATGACGATGATGACGATATCGAGATGGAAGACATTGCCTGATATCACCATAAATTTCCAACCAGTGTATATTAAAAAAATAATAAACCCAGATTATTCCATCAAATAATTTAATTAAAAGGGATTAATTACCATTAGTTGCTACTTGGAAGAGTTTAATTAAATAAAAAGTTGATCTATTTGACTGTTTGAAGTTCTGCAAACACGAACCGGAACAACATGTCGTCCAATCCTGACGTCTCTTCTGGGTTAAAACCGAGCTTGACGCCCACGTCGATCAGCTCCAACATTTCCGAGGCCCAACCAACAACAGGACTCAACCCCATCAACGCGTCTGGCGGACTCAAGGTCAAGGAAACAGACGATCTTCGAGCCAATTTCTCGTCTCGATCAGGCCAGCTCGACGATGCGCCTCCTTCAAATACGCCCCAATCGTCGCCCTTATTGTCTTCAACGCCCCCAACAGTGAGCAAAAGTTTGGTCAAGTCGTATCCATATTTAATCACCGCCAACAAGCTTTTGGGCATTATAACATGGACAGACGACAGTGCGTACCTGTCGTTGCTGGTGACAACGTCCATTTCGTTGTTGATCTTATATTTTGAAAACATCATCATTTATTTCGGTCACCTGTCAATTGTTGCCCTGATCTCTCTTTATTCTGTGTTCCATTCGTATGTCGACCGCGAGATCAAAAAAAACCCATCTTTGGACGATGTGATCCATTGTCTCACCACTGTGAGCGTCAGAGCAGACATCTTGCTGTTCCCGATCAGCTCTCTCAATCTCACCTCTACCGATCTGAGAAGACTGCTATTCACTACAATTTTCCTTTCGCCAGCATACATCTTCATCAGTTATCTGATTCTGCCTCCTAGAACCTTGCTGCTGATTCTGACGCTCTTTTTCCTTACCTACCACTCCAGTTGGTCCCGGGTCACCAGAAAACTGCTTTGGCGTTCCTCCACGGTCAGACTGCTGTGTTTCTACGTGACGGGTCTCGACTTCGAGTCCCAGCACGCCAACAAGAACTCACTATTCAAAATTGCAATGAACAAGACAAACAAGAAGCTCAAGGAGGTCACCACGCTGGCCGGGTCGAAAAACAACGGTCCTGTGCGGTTCACCTACGTTTTGTACGAGAACCAGAGACGCTGGCTCGGTGTTGGATGGACTCCCAACCTGCTCAGTTACGAGAGAACTCCCTGGACAGACGAGTTCCTGAACGAGGCCGACTCTCCCGAGGACTTTGAGCTTCCGCAGCTCAACGACGACACAGGAATGTACTGGAGATGGGTCGACAAAACATGGCGACTGGACCTGACCAACGACGGCGCATTGCAGCTGCCGTCGTCCAAGTTCAAGACCACTGCGGACCCGAAACCGGGCGACGGGTTCATTTATTACGACAACACATGGAAGAATCCGTCTACAGAGGACTCGTTCAGCAAGTACACGCGGCGCAGAAGATGGATCCGCACGGCAGAGCTGGTTTCGCCGGGAGACGACAGCTCGCACGAGGCCTCGACCACGGTTCCACCGTCTGCCTCGAGCAGCGTGGGCGTTTCCGTGCCAAAGGCGTCTACGGTGGCAGACGTGCAAAACATCAGCGCAAACGGCAACTTAACCACCAGCACAGAAACCCTGACCGATCTCTCGGGCACGACAAAGAAACGCAAGAGCCTGCGGTTCGACTCGTCTCCGACGGTGTTTGAGAACCAGCCCGAAAACGTGCCCACCGACCTAGATAAGAAGAACGACTAATCAACACCCAGCTACGCTATATCTGTAAAAGTGCTAGATTAGGCAGGTTGGATGTGACTGTGAAATTTTTTTTCCTCGGACGGGTGCCACACCCTTGCACGGTAGGTTCAAAATTTTTCACCACGAGCTACAACTTACCGTCTTTAAAGCATGAAGTACATCCAATCCACCGAGACTCTGGACATTCCAGAAGGCGTTTCTCTTCAAATCAAGTCCAGATTGATCACCGTCACTGGACCAAGAGGCCAACTGAGCAAGAACTTGAGACACATCGACGTTACCTTCACCAAGGTGTCCGACAAACAAATCAAGATCACTGTCCACAATGGTGACAGAAAGCACGTTGCTACTCTGAGAACCGTCAAGTCTTTGATTTCCAACTTGGTCAAGGGTGTCACCGTTGGTTTCAAGTACAAGATGAGATTCGTTTACGCGCACTTCCCTATCAACGTTAACATCGTTAACGAGGAGGGCCAGGAGTACGTCGAGATTAGAAACTTCTTGGGAGAGAAGAGACTCAGAAAGATCAAGGTCTGGGAGGGATGCAAGGCTGCCATCTCCACCACCCAAAAGGATGAGTTGGTTGTTGAGGGTAACTCTTTGGAGAACGTTTCCCAGACCTGTGCTGACATCCAACAGATCTGTAGAGTCAGAAACAAGGATATCAGAAAGTTCTTGGATGGTATCTACGTTTCCGAGAGAGGTCACATTGTCGAGGAGGCCTAAGCTTTCTGTGATTATGTAATAGGAAAAAAACGATAATCCGATATTATATCTTTGTACAAACATGTCCTATGGCCGACGCACCTGGGACGAGGCCGAGTATGCTGAGCGGGCCCGTGTTTCTCAGGAGCGTCGCAAGGAGCAGCCCGTGGTGGAGAAGGCCACGGTTCGTGGGTTTTTCGAGGCCCGCCGCGAGCAGCTCGACAAGGTTGACAAGTTCAACAGGGTCACCTTTGTTGGGTCGATGAACGCCAAGGAGGCCAGTTTCTTTTGCGACGTGTGCAATCGACGGTTCAAGGACGACCTGAAGTTTGTCGAGCACCTCAACTCCAAGGAACATCTGGTGAACTCGGGGTTTTCACATGAGTCGGAGCTTCAGCGCGACGTGACGCTCGATCAGGTGAAGCAGCGTCTCGCACAGCTCAAGAGCAAGCTGGACCAACCCCGGGAGGCGGAGCAGGAGGAAGATTTCGCTGCAGGAGTGGAAAAACTGCGGCACAAGCACGAACTGGAGCAGGAGAAGAAACGGGCGAAAAAACGCAAGCGCAAGGCAAATTCCGCTGATCCTGCTGACGCTGACGACACAGGGCAGGACGAGATGAAGAAAATGATGGGGTTTGCCAATTTCAAGTAGCTGGAAAATTGTTCTCGGCTGTGTTGGAGCGCTTTTCTTTATGACTATATTTGCGCCGTATCTGTACGCCTGGAGCAAAGACGAGGCGAAGGAGTTCCATGTTTCGAATCTGGCAGACGTTTCGCGCGCTGGACTTTCGTGGGTGACGCTGGCGTTCTTGACAAACAACAGGTTTGACGAGATCGAGGACTGGATCGAGGATGTTCGCCAGTTTCCGGGGAACGTTATTTTATCTATCGGTGGAGCCACGGGGGAGTATCCGTCTGATCATCATTCTGTCGAGCGCGAAGCTGAGCGACTGATCGGACTGGTCTCCAAGGCCGGATTCAAAGGTCTTGATCTGGACATTGAGGGGGAAGTTCTCAAAAAGCACGCCAAGGTGGAGAAGCTGGCCAAGATCGTCCATGATGTTCAGACCTGTTTTGGGCGCGATTTCCATGTTTCCTTGACGCTTCCCGTGGAATTCGAGGGAGCGCTCAACGAAGACGCTGTTTTGGCTATTCAAACCATGAAACGCCATAGAGTGTCTCTTAAGTTCATCAACGGCATGATCATGGATTACTACACAAAGCTGCCTCCGCAGTCCACATGGGGCCGCGAGAACATCCGCATTCTGACCGAGATGAACCGCCAGCTGTGCTCGATCCTGCGCATTTCAGAGCCCGAGGCCTGGAAACTCACCGGATTGTGTCCAATGATCGGATACAACGACGACCACACGGTGTTCACCCTGGACGATTGGAACGCGGTGCTGGAGTTTGCACGTGCCATGAACGTCGGTCTGGTCACCTACTGGGCCATCAACAGAGACCAGGCCACGTCCAAGCGGGACCTGCTCCGTCTGAAGAAGAACGTTTATGCTTTCTCCAATGCCCAGACCCAGCACTTGGACTACTGTCATCTGGTCCAACGCCATTTCGGCTAATCATATTTACATCTATGTACACTATTTCTTTAACTGGTCCAGATCCGCCACCTTGTTCACGGTCCGGAAGTAATCCACTATATTTGAGTCGGTTTCCTGGTTGTCTAGCAGGACCAGTTTTTGCGCCACAGCAACGTCCTGCTCGAACTTGATGGCCTCGGGGATTGTATTTGGGTAGTTTAGCAGCACGAAGTTGGTCAATTCCGGGTTCTGGGCCTTTAATTTCTGCGACGTGGTCTTCACCAGCTTGGTGAACAGTCCAGGAGCCAATCTGTACGTGAAAGTGTAGAAACAGGCCGATTTATTGGTATCGAAGCCGTCCAGAGTTTTCCCCAAAAGAGCTCCATAAGTCGACTCGGGACTGTCCATCTGCTGCTTGATGAGCTCGTTCAGGTCGATCACCGCGGTGTTTGGGCCCAAAGCCGATTTCAGCTCCTCGACTTTGGCCTCCTTGTGAGCTCCAAACGGCACAAGATAGAACTTGGTAGAGTCGTCGAAAACCAGCTGTTTCCGCTTGATCTGCGACAACTGTTCTTCCCACTCCTCCTCGGTGAACGTCTTCTTCCGTTTGGCAAGCGACCGGTTGGCGTCCTGCTCGTTCACCTTGTTGGCAGCGTACACAAACATGAGCGTACCAAACACACTCACGAGCAAGAACCAAGCCAGTTTAGGCGGCTCGTTGTTCTCCTTGATTGCGTACGTGCGCCGTTGCAACGGCTGGAACCGCTGGAACCGCTGCACGGGAACCTGTGGCCGGACGCGCGCGGCGCGGGCCGCAACTCTAAGGCCTCTGAGAGAAAACATGGTGTTTGAAATAAATCCAGAAATAAATCATCTACGCCTAGCACCAACCAATTTCCATTTTTTTTTCAACCCGGCACTAATTTTCTTCACCATCCATGTCGCTAGTGCATCTTGCCAACGTTGGCGCTCACTTGCAAAACTGCTCGATGGCCAGATTGCCGCTGGCCAAGATCCCGTACACCAAGCTCCACTTGAAGGTGGCTCTGGGACTGTACCAACAGGGATTTATTGACTCTGTGACTCGAGGCTCTGTTGCTGGACCAGACCCTACACCGGTGGAAGTCACCTACGACAACATCGCCACGCGCCGGCTGTGGCTGGGCATGAAATACCGTAACGACAGGCCCGTTTTGAGCAAATTCCAGCTGATCTCCAAGCCAAATAGAAGAGTCTTTGTCACCGTGGAAGAAATGGAGCAGCTGGCTTCGGGAAAGAAGCTCAGATACATCAACCAGCTCAAGCCCGGCGAAATTGTGTTTGTGAGAACGAGAGACGACCAGGTGATGACGCTGATCGAGGCTTTGAGGAGAAATCTCGAGTGCGAGCTGCTTTGTAGAGTGCAGTAAAGTTGTATATAGGCATCAAAAAATAAACCGCGAACGAGATATATGACTAATAGAGACATTATGTTTATGTTGACGGGGAAGACCCGCCAGCTGGACACGAGCGAGTCTGAGAAGAACCCTGCAAGCAGTCCGTCCCATACCGGGTGGAAGAGCCACGGATCACACTGTTTGAGCTTCCAGCACGATCTCAAATTATCCGCACCTGTGAAAGTGGCCGCGTTCGATATGGACCACACTATCATCAAAAGTCAGTCGGGCATGAAGTTCTCGCGCGGGGTGCATGATTGGATGTTCACGTGCAACGTTGTGGCCGAGTTCACCAGACTACAACAGGAAAACTACGTCATTGTCATATTCACCAACCAGGCCTCAACCAACAACTCGGCGGACTCCAAGAGTCTGCAGTTGCTCAAAACCAAGATGGAGGATATATTCACTCATTTCACCGGGCCGGTGCTGTTCTATGCCAGTACAAAGGCCCCGAAAAAGGAAGAGACCCCAATAAAACTGACTATGCAAGAACAATTCAGGAAACCAAACCCTGGCATGTTCAACCAGTTCCTACAGGACTACGGGCTGGACGAGGAGTCGGTCGATCGCGAAAACAGCTTTTTCGTCGGTGACGCTGCAGGAAGACCGATGGACTTCAGCGACGCTGACATCAAGTTTGCACAAAATGTGCACCTAAAGTTCTACACTCCAGAGGAATATTTCCCAAGCATGAAGCACGTAACCAACGGGACTGGTTGATGCGATAAATTGGGTAGTTGTTCTGGGACTTGTCCAGAGAGATAAAACTATAGGGAAGAAAAGTACATCTCAACGGCTGGCAAATTTGCACTTCCATCAAGCCATTAATCATTGTTCGCTTCATCCGCCATTCTCGAATACCGAGAGGGCGAAATCGGGTCCCAATATGACGAGATATCCACGCAAACTCGCCGTAACCAGGACAAATCCGCTTAGGTAATCAAATAAATTGTAAAGAAAGGAAAAAAAATGGGAGTTTTTTCCAAAGTTAATAGAAAAAAACAACTTACCCGGCACGATCAAAGTACACGAAAATTAACCATTTTGTTTTGTTAGGAGACAAGATGTCTGCAGTTAAGAACGAGTCGGATTACGAAGAGGACGAGGCGTTCCAGGAAACCGAGCACAAGAGCGACGGGGACTACGAGGAGGAAGAAGAGAAGGAAGAAGAGAAGAAGGAAGAGAAGAAGAAGGAGGTGAAGCCTGTTGAGAAACCTGAGTTGAGCAAGGACCTCAAGGTTGAGGACGATGAGGACGGCGAAGTTTACTATGTTGAGGCCCAGCGTACAAGAGGAAGAGGTAGACCGCGTTTGGGGAAAAGGAGAAAGCTCGAGGACGAGGATCCAAACAATAAGATGCGCAACATTCTCACCGACGAGGACGGGAATCCTATCAAGATCAAGGACGACGAGGTGATTACGCCTGAGGACAAGAACGGAGAGGCCAAGGTGACCAAGCAGGGTAATTTGTTGGGGGGACGGCAGTACAAGTGTCGGATCTTCAAGGTTCCTCAGAGAGGAGAAAAGTACTACATGATTGCAACTGAAGCGGCACGGTTGGTTGGATACAGAGATTCGTATTTCTTGTTCCAGAAACATAGACGGCTGTTCAAGATCACGCTCGGAGACGCAGAGAAACTGGACCTGATTGCCAATGGGGTGTTGCCGAACTCGTTCAAGACAAGAACGATTTTCCTGGTCACTGCTAGGTCGATTTTCAAGGAGTTTGGCTCCAAAATTGTGGTGAACGGAAAACAGGTTGACGACGATTACTACGAGGAAAAAGCGATCCAGTCGGGTGCACAACGAGGAGCGCCTGCGGTGATCACCTTCGACTATTACAACGACAGCAACGACCAGAAACGGGTGGCCATGCTTGCTCCCGGGATCACTGGGTTCGAGCGCGCGTTCGTGCAGGCCAGCAATCCACACACCACCTGGATCTACGATCAAGCATTGAGTGTGCGGAAATTCGATGCCGAGCTCCTGAACGACAGACTCGAGCTGCTCAAGACAAAGTTCACCAGAGACCCGTACACGGGCATCAGTCAGGTGCCTGACATTACACAGCCAACCCGTGCTACCGTGCGCAAGCTTTCCAACTCACGCAAGCTCGAGTACGACCTGGTGATCGACGACACCACCGCCATCAAGACCGGGCTGAAGGACGTTCCGTTGGAGATCTTTGACGGCGTTGTTGACGAAGAAACCAAAAACGCCATTCTTCACCAACAGCAGCTCGAAAGCGTTTAGAGATCTATGTACTATAGAAATATTTCGTACTCCGAAATCTTTTTTTTTTAATCATTTCCAATCTGCACCATGTCAAATAGTCATCTCCATCAAGGAGTGGAGGTCCCGGCGTGGATTTCTGTGATTGGCGGTTCTGTTTCCGGACTTGTTTCGCGGTTCGTGATAGCGCCCGCAGACACCGTGAAAATCCGGCAACAATTGAATGGCAACCAGGACAAGTACAGAGGAGTGAGCAGGACGATCCGCACGATTTTGCACAACGAGGGTATTCGAGCGTTCTGGAAGGGAAATCTGCCCGCAGAAATCATGTACTTGCTCTATGGAGCAACGCAGTTCGCCACGTACTCCAGTTTGAACAACATGTTGACTCAGACTGAACAGACTCTTAATATCAAGGTTCCGAGCTCGGTCCATGCGTTGGCGCTTGGATCGCTTTCTGGATCCGTTTCGATCGCCATTTCGTATCCATTCGATGTTTTGCGAACGCGGCTGGCGGCAAACGAGACGCGCCAATTTAGATCTTTCGTCAAAGAGACGTCCGAAATGTACTACAAAGACGGAGTGCGATCTTTCTTCCGAGGAATCCAGCTTTCCATCACGTCTGTGGCAATCAGTATGGGTCTTTCGTTTGGATCGTACTCATACTTCAGAGATCTGACCGCAAACACGCCGTTCGAGTCCACTTCGGGCTTGTTGGCTGGAATTCTATCAAAAACTTTGGTGTATCCTTTGGACCTGGTGAGAAGAAGAAAACACATGACGTACAGAGGCTCTTTCGCTCATGCCATCCTTCAAATAATAGCCAAAGAGGGCGTTCGTGGTGCGTACCATGGACTCACCCCGGCACTCATAAAATCTGCCCCCACTACAGCAATCAGCTTCTGGTGCTACGAATGGACTGTCGACTGGTTGCTCAGCGCACAAGACCGGTTCAATTAATGTTTATACACACGCCTAATAAGTATACCCGGTCAGATATCCGTTTTCTCCCAAAAGGGACTCGTAATTGTCCATTTCCAAGGCCAATTCTCCCTTGAATTTTTTGTTCAACTCGTTGTCAAGGAGTTTGGTGTAGCTCCAATCCAGGAAATCTTCCATGTTGTAGCTGTACTTGTTGAATGGCTGGGTGAAGATCTTTGCCAGAGATCCAACGTTGGGGTGGTAGTGGTGGATCACTGCCTCGAGCTCCCATGCGGAAGAATCAAGAGCGTTGGTCTTGGCAGGATCTGGCTCCGACTCGTCATACAGGTCAACCTCAGGACGCTCTGTGCAGTGGATCAGCAACATACATGTTGGGTGTCTCTTCAGTTGGTTGTAGACAAACGGAATCACACAGACAATTCCTGCTGGAGGCGCCGTGAGACACAGTCTGCCCAGTCTCTTGATGAATGATGCAATGATGGAAGCAGAGATATGCGTGGAGCTCATAAACACATCCAGAAGTCTGAAGAACCTCGACCGGTAACTCAAGTGAAGCAGGTCGGGGGTCAGAATAGCATATAGCTTGGTGTAGAAGTCAGGGTACTCCAGGTTGTACTGTCTCATGAGCTCCCAAAGTCCATTCAATGACAAAATGGACAAACTGATATCTTTGACAGAAAATCCGAGATTGTAAGAGTCTGTGAGGAAGTCCATGAGTTTGGTTGGGTTGTTGAAAAACGGAATGATCCGTTTATGCAAAATCAAGAGAGTGGCCTTGTTTTGTTCAGGCAACAATTTGAGATTAATTAGGTCGAGAATGCATTTTTCAAACGTGGAACGGAACTGGCGCATGTTGGTAACGGTTTTTGGCGGATTGTTGACAAACATGGTCTGTTCAGGGTTCTTCAGATCGTACAATGGTTGCGGCTTGAGGATCGTCATTGTGTTGGAGAAAATCAGCTGTTTGATCTGTGTATCTTGTTGGGCTTCGAGAATTGGCTTTAGCTCGTTGAAGAAGAAATAGCGGAGGTCCCAGTACTTGCCGAAGTACGATTCTCTGAACTCGAGGACCAGGAAGTTGTCGAGAGTGGCATCATGCGAAAGCATCTCGGACAAATCGCCTGTCACCAACAGGTTCTCCAAAACAAGTTTGTATGTGCGGTTTGAGAAGTATGGCTCGTCTTTGGTGAAATGTTTACTTTCGATCTTCACCAGTTTCATGAGTGAGTCCAAGTTATCGATCTTCAACGAGTAAACGCCCTCGTTGTCAACGGATATCTTCCAGGTCTCCACAAGGGTGTCTTTGAAATCGTCGTACTTGGTCTTGAGCCATTTTCTGACGATCTCCTTTTGTTCGGCGTCGAACGAGGTGAGTTTCAACTGTCTCGAGACAATGAGGTGTTCAAACACCTTGATCAAGGTCAACGAGATCACTCGTGTCAAGATCTGGACGTCACTGTCTGCGTTATTCTGTAGCTGAACAAGAAGCTTCTTGTACTCAGTAAGTAACAATGCCAGGTTGTTGAAGTACTTTGGCGACTCTCTGACCTGATTTCCCAAGTCTTTAACCTTATCGATCGTCAAAGGTTCGGCCTCTTTGGCCTTATCCGTCGTCTTCTTGCGCTTAACAGGAGCCATGATCAACCTTAAATCTTTTCAAATAAGGTGAATTTTTTCAAAATATTTTTTAGCACCTCTGCCGGGCTGCGTAACCCACAGCGTTCATATTTAGTTGATATTTTTCATGAGTGAAAATTATCCTTCCTAGTTTTTACTAAGAAATGATGAAAACTAGGCGCTGTTTTTAAACACATCCGGTCTCCCTCCTTCGGGAACGGGCTGCTCTTCGGGGCGGCTCTGGGAGAGCATGGGTGATGGCGTTTGGCGCAAAATTATCTTGTTACAACATTATGTTGCAAGACGCTTTTGTACCTTCTGACCCCAGTAAGAATAGGAAGGAAAACATCTGTAGTAGTAATACATTACAATTTATGTGACTCCGCCGTTGTAGGCATGCCTAAGGTGGATTTTTCGAGCAAAGCGGTGACTTCAATCTGTATACGGCAATGCAAAATCAAGGCTATGGGTTGACTTTGGCTTGACCAGTGTCCTGTCCAAACGAGACCGCAGCAACACTAGTCTTCATCCACGTCAATTTCGGGGATCTCGAAGTCCGACTCGAGCTCTGACTCGGGCTCGTCTGGTTGTTCTGGAGACTGCTCCGGCTTGACTTCCTCGACCTGCTGGTTTAGCGTTGGCTCCGGGATAGAAATGGTTCCGACCGACTTGAAGATCATCTCCTCGTGGTCAGAATCAGGCTGTTCTTGTTCCTCTGGTTGTTCTGGTTCCTCTTCGGCCTCAACAACCGGGTCCTCAATTTTCACCTTTTTAACACTGCGTTCTTCCTCAACCAACGGTCTCTTCAAGTCCTCGACTTCTGGCTCCTCTTCGGGCTCCTGTATCTCAATTGCCCGTTTCTGGGGGAGCAGCGGAAGTCTTGGGTTCAAAAATACGCTCATCAGCTCGTCGTCGTTGCTCAAGAGCTGTTTCACCATTGGTAGCACGCTGGCATGTGCTTCCTTGTTAGGGAACAACAGTGCGGCATACAACAGCTCCTTAACCTCAGCGCCGTTCACAGCATCGAGAATTACCATCCGTAGTATATCTGTCTGTTTAGGAAGACTCAACTGGCATTTGGTCAACAGCACCTTGAAGAACTGGCGAAGAAGCTGTTTTTGATAATCAGCTGGCTCTGTGACAAATAGCTGCTGGTCGGCAAGCAGATCGGAAATAGAAACGTTCTTCAGCTTCTGCTCTGTACCGTTAGCAAGCGAGTCTGGCAGACGTGGCTTCAGCAAAATGATTGCGGTTTCTATCGATCTGTTCAAAACACTCGTGTTGGAGAAACCCTCCACGAGCTCTAAGTAGTTAATTCTGGTTTGGAAACTGGCGAAAATCAGCTCAGACTTGTCCACAATGCCTGCCTCGTTGAGACTGATCTTCCCGTCGGTTCTATGGACAGGCACTAAAGTGTCAACAGCCGAAAGAATCGATGTAAGGTGTGGTAGCAGGTCTCCACCAAAGAATTTTGGCAGCACGTCCAGCAACCGCAGTCCGATATGGTTCAGAAGAGTAGCAGAGTATGCAATAGTCTGACGAAGCGTAGGGTCTCTGATATCTCTTCTTATTGGCGTGAATGTCGGGTTGATGGCCACCAACAGCTGACCGATCATGACAAGGTAGTTCAACGGAACCTTCACCTGGGGAGTCGGTACGGCCAGAAACTCAACTAACAAGTTGACCAGCACCTCTATCCGGGAAACAACCTTCAACACCTCAACAGAGCTCTCGTTCAAGTCCACTTGCAACGGAGAGAAGGTTGGCTGGAAGTCTGCAGGGATTGACGGTAGTGCGTTAAATTGCAACCACAAGTCTTCATCCTCTTCCAAACTCATAAACTCGGTGTAGATCTGGATAGTGGATTTCAGCTCTTTCACAAAATGGTCGAATCTCGTTCTCCAGAGCTCGCTTGGGCTGTTTTTGGTCAGGTTAAAAGAGATTAGGGCCAGAGACTTGAGGATTTTATGTTGCAAGGCCGAATCGAATTTCTGGAAGTTCTGGTTATTGATGATCGAAACCAAGGCAGTCTCAAACTTTGACCCAAATGGACGGAACGTGGTGGAGTTGTTGGCCAACAGGTTGTATAGAAGCGAGATGGTTTTATCAGGAATTAAAGTGACGTTTTCCAACAATGATCCAATGATCGCTGGTAGTTTCGGGGTCAAAGTTTGTCTTGTGAGGGTCTGTTTACCTCTAATGTTGCCGATAATAAATTCCAAGGCGTCGCAACAGCTCTCCAGGGTCTTGATTGCAGGGACTGGAGCAGAAGCTTCATCTTTGATATAACATTTGGATCCAAGAATACGGATCAAGGATCCCAGATAATTCGCTGTGTACTCAGAACTCAGAATCTCCAGGTGTGTACAAACAACAACCACCAGTTTGGTTCCAATCCACCGAGATTCTGTATCGTTAGAGCTCAAGAACGTATTCACTCTAGCACAGAGATGGTTCAAATCGACCTTGGACGCATTCTCGATCGTCGATCCGCGCGCAAGCACAGTGATAAGCTGTGTGAGCTCAATCTCCTTAATCTTGGACTTCTCAAGATACGGGATCACACTCGAAAGTGGAAACCATTCCACAGACATAATGTAGATAATATATCAGTGAAATATTTTTCTAAAAATTTTTGACATCTCAACACCGCTATCCAAATGTCCTTCACCGTCAAGAACGACCCGCTAGATCAGGTGGACGGGTCTGCTTCGTTCGAATTTGGAGCAACAAAGGTGATCAGTTCGGTCACCGGGCCTATCGAGTCCAGCAGACCTCGTAACGAGCTCCCTACTAAGGCATATCTCGACATCAATATCAGACCGGCTTCTGGAACACCTTCAACAAAAGAGACGCTTTTGGAGCACAAATTGTCACAGATCCTTTCCACAGTGATAGACCTCGATCAGTTTCCCCGCCAGACCATCCAGATAGCCGTGCAGGTTCTGAAAACTGGGGAACCTAAAGAATTCGCCGCAAGACAGCTAGTCGCAATCATCAATTCTGTCTACCTCGCGCTGCTCAACAGCGGAGTCTCGCTGAAAACGTCGTTTCTTGCCACATGTTGCAGTGTCGATCTGAACGGCACCATCACCACAGACCCTTCGTCTGCTGTTCTGGCCAACTCGGTCTCTCACTATGTCGTCGCATACACCTTGAATAACGACAAGGTGAACGACCTGGTGTTCTGCGACGCGCTCGGAAATTTCACCCAGGACCAGCTCTTTGCGGTCCTCGACCAATCGGCATCAAATATCCAGTCTGGCTACCACCAGCTCAGACTCCTAATTTCGGATCACGTGACCCAGAATTACGTATGGAAAGCTTAAACTATTCTAGATAGACGTATTCACAGTTTCAATCTCTCGAGATTCTTAATAGTGGCCTCGAATCCTTCGATCTCGGCAACCTGGTTCGAACGAGTCACCTTGTTCTTCTCCTGGACTTCCGAGGACACCTTCTTTTCGTAGTCTGGAGCATTGATCATCTTTTCAAGGTTGTTCAGGGCACCCTTGGCCTTGTTGAGCTTCTTCTCCACCTTCTCGATCTCCTTGTCCAAGTCGATCATTCCCTTGACCATCAAGTGAACGGTGCATCCTGGAACAACGGCAGCAAGGGCACATCCGTCTGGGATGTCCTTGGCGTCAGTCACGACAGTGATACCGTCCACGGCCTTGATCAACGAGACAATAGAGTCGGTCTGGTCCTTAGCAATGGCAGCATACTCTGGTTTGGTTGCCTCCACATACACCTTGGCGTTTTTCGTGATGTTGTATTGGGAAAGCAAAGATCTGGCGCTCTTAGTGATTTCCAACACCAACTCGTAAGCTTCGTAGGCCTCGACGTTGTCGTACTCCTTCACGTACTCTGGGTACTTGGCCTTGACGATGGTCTCACTAGTTTCGGTGGATCTCTTTGGAAGTCTCTGCCACATTTCCTCGGAAATGAAAGGCATGAATGGATGGATGAGTCTCAAAGCGCCGTCAATAGCAGTGTACAGAGTATCTCTGGCAGATTTCTTTTGAGCGTCAGTTCCTTCCAGAATCAAGAACTTGGAGTTCTCAATGTAAACGTCACAAAGGTCGTACAGCCAGAAGTTGTAGATGGCCTGGGTGACATCATAGAACTCTCTGTCCTCGATAGCCTTGTTAGCCTTCTCAGCACACTTCGACAATTTGTGCAAGATCCACTTCTCAACCAATGCCTCGTTACCAGTCAAAGCCCCGGTGGCAGGAGGAACGTAGTTGTCTCCCAATCTCATCAAAACGAACTTGGTAGCTTGGAAGATCTTGTTACCAAACTTACGGTATCCAGCAACTCTGAGAATATCAAGGTTGATATCTCTACCACCAGTGGTGTAGGCACAAAGTGCAAATCTCAGAGCATCAGTACCACATTCTGGGATACCGTTAGGGTAAGACTCTTTTTGTCCAGCCTTGGCTCTTTCAACTTCCTTGGCATCCAAGTTACCAGTGAGCAACTGTTCGTGCAACTTCTCTAAAGAAACACCTCTGATAACATCGATTGGGTCGATCACGTTACCAAGCGACTTGCTCATCTTTCTTCCTTGAGCATCACGCACCAAAGAGTGGCAGAAAACCTCCTTGAATGGAACTTGTCCAGTCATCTTGATACCAAGCATAATCATTCTGGAAACCCAGAAGAACAAAATATCCCATCCGGTCTCCAACATGGAAGCAGGGTAGAAGTTCTGCATGTCCTTGGTCTTGTCTGGCCATCCCAAGGTGGAGAATGGCCACAATCCAGAGGAGAACCAGGTGTCCAAAACGTCTTCGTCTTGGTGCAAGGTGAACTTTTGTCCTGGGAAAGCCTTCTCAGCCTTAGCCTGTGCCTCTTCCTCTGTTCTTCCAGAAATCCAATACTTGCCGTCGTTTCTGTCGTTGGTCTCTCCTTCAATGTCCACAAAGTAGACAGGACATCTGTGTCCCCACCAGAGCTGTCTGGAAATACACCAGTCCTGGATGTTCTCCAACCATCTGAAGTACTCTGCCTCAGAGCTCTTTGGAGTGATGGTAATTTCTCCGTTCTTGACTGCATCAATAGCGGCATCGGCCATTTTCTTCTGAGACACCCACCATTGCGGTTTCAAATATGGCTCGATAACGTCACCGGATCTGGAGCAGATAGGCAAAGTCATCTCGTTGTCCTCTTGGCCAACGAAAAGGCCCTTCTCCTTCAACTTCTCGATAACCAAAGGTCTGGCATCGAATCTCTTGATACCTTCCCACTCACCACAGTTGGCATTCAACTTACCATCATCGGTGAAGATATTGATGAATTCCAGCTTGTTTCTCTTACCGGTGTTGTAATCGTTCGTGTCGTGACCAGGAGTGATCTTCACGGCACCAGTACCAAACTCCATGTCGACTGCCTCGGCGTCGGTAATGATTGGAAGCTTTCTGTCCAAGAATGGATGTTGCACAAACTTTCCGTGGAGATGTGTGTATCTTGGATCTTTAGGGTGCACGGCAACAGCAGTGTCACCGAAAATGGTCTCAGGACGAGTGGTAGCAACAACCAGCTTTTCGTCAGAGCCCACAACAGGGTAGGCAAACGAGGTCAGCACACCAAATTCAACCTTCTCTTTGTAACCTGGGATAGAAAGAAGAGTTCTAGGAGGAACAACCTTGTTGTCCACCTCCAAGTTGGACAAAGCAGTAGACAGTTGCACGGACCAGTTGACCAATCTCAAGTCACGGTAGATGGTTCCCTCTTCGTGAAGTCTGACGAATGCTTCAACGACAGCCTTGGACAGTTCTGGAGAGAGAGTGAAGGCCTCTCTGGACCAGTCGTACGAAGCACCAAGCATCTTGAACTGGTTCTTGATCTTGGCGTGGTACACTTCTTTCCAGTCCCAGACCTTGCTGATGAACTTTTCACGGCCCAAATCGTGTCTGGTCGTCTTTTCCTTGGCCCACAGAGTCTTCTCAACGACAGATTGTGTAGCAATACCAGCATGGTCGAATCCCGGCAAGAACAGAACAGTCTTGCCTTTCATTCTGTTGTATCTTATTAGGGCATCTTGGATAGAGACCGTGAGTGCGTGACCAATATGGAGAGCTCCAGTGACGTTTGGAGGAGGAGCAGGAATGCAGAACAATCCTTCAGGCTTGATCTTTCCGTCTTTCGTGAATTCTGGCTCGAAATAACCTTGTTTGGTCCACCACTCAGACCAGGAAGATTCGACTGCCTTTGGACTATATGCAGAGAAGGATTTGTCTTCCAAACTGACAAGAACCTTCTTCTCACCAGGAACAGTGGTATCGACAAACTCGGGCACTGGTTCGGCCTCTTTCTTTGCCTCCTTCTTCTTCTTTTCCTGGTTCTTGGCAGCGTTTTTAGCTAGCTCTTGTTGCTTAGCCTGTTTGGCAAGGAACTTGGCCATCTTCTCTGCCTTCTTTCTCTCCTTTTCCAATTCCTTGGCAGATTTAGGGGGAGCCGGTTCCGTACCGGGAGTCACAGCTTGTTCTTGGCTCATTTTTGACGTCGACAAATATCTCGTGTGGTTCAAACTTTTTCGTATACAAGCGCTAATTCCAACTGTGTACTTGCTCAATAGCATAAACTATTGACGATTCAATGAGTCAAAAAGATTTCAGATATTAATCCTGAACAAAATGAAAGAAAAAAAATAAATTACCCGGTCAGTTTTCTTTATTCTACTAGATGGGTTTGGCAGATAGCCTTTTGGGAGGTTACTCCAGTGACGAGGATGAGGTTGTGGATCAACAGCAATCCATGGATGTTGAAGGTAGTGAAGGCCGTCTTTTTTTCTTCCAAGATCTGGTTTCAACGCCCGATCTCAGTCTAATAAAGGATCTCAAATCATATTGTCAGATAATACCTAAAGTGCAAGAGTTTGTTGCCAAACTGCAAGACCTCGACAACACGAAAACAAAACTCAAGGATAGTTTACTTCATGAAGCGAACGATTTGCTAGACGATTTGAACGAGGAAATTAGCCACATCTACTCGTTTTTAACTGTACATTATAAACCAATCTGGCCAGAGCTGGACAATCTCCTTCGAAACCCAATCAATTTCGCACGCACCATTCAAATCATCGGTGACGATCTGTCAAAGCTGGACGAACGTCAAACCGACTTGGAGCAATTCTTGAGAAAAGACGAGATATTAGGTCTCACGGTTTCCGCTTCTGTGCTAAGACAATCCCAGTATCAACACCATCTGGATCAGCACCACGTCAATCTGATTCTTGAAGCGTGTCAACTGTTATTATTGCTAGAGAATGGACGCACAGAGATTAGAGCGCACGTTTCTTCCAAAGCTAAGAGTCTTGCTCCCAACGTGACAGCGTTGGTGGGGCCCACGGTTGCAGCTCAATTTCTCTCTGTCTACGGTTTGGAAGGGCTCTGTAAGATTCCCTCGTGCAACATTCCGTCGATGGGTGTCAATCGCTCGTCATTCATCAAAGGGTCCTCGGGAATCAGAAATAAAGGATACATTTATTACTGCGAGCTGGTTCAGAATGTGCCCGAGGAATTTCGAGTTAAAGCGATGCGGGTAGTTTCTGGGAAGCTTGTCCTTGCTGCACGTGTGGACTACTCGAATTCGCGAAGCTCGGTAGAAGACGATTCTCAGGGACAGCAATGGAGACAGCAAATTTCCACCCATTTGGACAAATTGCTAAGTCCTCCAGATTCTCAGCCGGTCAAGCCACTTCCCAAGCCGATAGACCAAAAGTCCAAGAAACGTGCAGGACGCAGGTTCCGCAAACAAAAGGAGAAGATGGAGATGTCCGAATTGGAAAAGGCCCAGAATAAGATGGCTTTTGGCGAGCGAGAGGAAACACAATACGACGCATTTGGAGACGAAATAGGAATGGGAATGATTGGAAAGCTTTCTACGCGGGCAATTTCCAATGTGAAACGTCAACAGCTAACCAAGTCTGCTGCTACCAAACTGGAAAAATTCACAGGAACAAAGTCTGGATCAGGCAGCAAAATTGCCCAACTTTTAGACGACAGGGCGCAGGAACGGAAACGGCATATGGAAGTGACGGACTCTTCCAACCAGCCTGCAACGAAACAGCAAAAGACGCTCGAGTCTTGACCCCTGGCCTGTACTGCTCAGCCACAGGCGGTATCCCCTTCTGCGCCACGGGCTCGAAAATAATATTATCGCTCCAAAATCCCAATTTAGCTAAATGTAAACATTTAATTTAATGGGTGTTTTATAAGATTTAATTGGAGTTAACGATTTCATCTTATTGCTCTTAAGGAAATGACATTGATTGGCGGTATATTTAATCGCACTCCTAAAGGCGAGAACAGTTTTGTCGAGGATCTTTCTAGAGATGTGGAAAGCCTGAATTTTGGCTCTCCTTCTCCATCCACTTTGAACCACCACGGCGCAGCTGACACATCAAACATTTCATACATGTCGACGTCAAGCTCTCCAAACAGAAGTTTTGATCCATACAATGTTCAGCGGGTCCACTACAACAAGGAAAATACTCCGCCGGCCACTCCAAGCAGAACCAATGTTCATCCACCGTTGCCGATGTATGGCACTCCACGTTCTGCAGTGACTCAGATGCAGGTCACCCAGACTCCAAGACTTAACAGAGAGTTCTATTCTAAGGCCAATAGTGCCAGGACCAAGAGACTTGTGACGGTTTCCCAGATGTACTTTTTGGACTATTACTGTGATATGTTTGACTATGTCATCAACAGAAGACACAGACTCGACCAAGTCGAGGAGGCACTTCAGATGCTTCCTCCGACTGAAAGACCGCAGCAGTGGAAGAACTACGTCGGAAAAGAAAGAGCATACTTGAGAAAAAGAAGAATTAGACCAAAACACAAAGATTTCAATATCATCACTCAAGTGGGACAAGGTGGATACGGACAGGTTTTCTTGGCGAGAAAGAAGGACACCAAGGAAATCTGCGCCTTGAAAGTTCTGAGCAAAAAACTGCTCACCAAGACAGATGAGACAAGACACGTTTTGACCGAGAGAGATATTTTGACCAACACTCGGTCGGAATGGCTTGTCAAGCTGTATTATGCTTTCCAGGATGCTGACAGTGTCTATCTGGCCATGGAGTTTGTTCCTGGTGGAGATTTCCGTACTCTGCTGAACAACGCTGGATATTTGATTCCGCAACATGCAAGATTCTACATCAGTGAAATGTTTGCTGCCGTCAACTCTCTCCATGAATTGGGATACACACACAGAGACTTGAAGCCAGAGAACTTTTTGATTGACTCGAAGGGACATGTGAAGCTGACTGATTTTGGTTTGGCCGCTGGATCTGTCTCTACCGACAGAATCGAGAGTATGAAACTGAGACTGAACCAAGTGAAAAACCTTGAATACAAGCCAAAGGAGCGCACAGTGGCAGAAAGACAACAAATGTACAAGTCTTTGAGAAGCAATGAGGTGCATTTTGCGCACTCCATCGTTGGTTCTCCAGATTACATGGCGTTGGAAGTTTTAGAAGGAAAATCATACGATTACACCATCGATTACTGGTCTTTGGGATGTATGTTATTCGAGGCTATTGTTGGATACACTCCATTCTCTGGAAGCTCTTCAGATGAAACGTACTCCAACTTGAAGAGATGGAAGGATTGCCTGAAGAGACCAAGATACGAAGATGGCAAGTATGTTTTCAGCGATCGTACATGGCAATTGATCACGCGGTTGATTGCATCGCCTCATGAGAGATTGCGCTCTTTCAAGCAGGTCATGAACATGCCATATTTCGCGGAAGTGAAGTGGGAGTCGCTGAGAGAACGTGTGCCACCATTTACTCCACAGCTTGACGATGAAGAGGACGCTGGATACTTTGACGATTTCACCAACGAGAGCGATATGGCTAAATATAAAGAGGTGATGGCAAAGCGGGCTAACGACGAGAAGCTCGGTTACAACAGCGTCAAGACCGACCAAAAGAGCTTTGTTGGGTTCACTTTCAAGCATAAGGGAAACCCGAACCTGAATCCAAACAACATCTTGTCGCCGCTACTTATCAACGCCCAGAACAGCTATAGAGACTATCACGGATACAGTGAGCCTTTTGGTACGTTGTATTGATCGCAAATCGGAAATATACAGTAAGCAAGATTTCTTAAGTGTTACAAAATATTTTGTCGTAATAGTAGATTTAAGATTTAACTAAATAAATAATGAAAAATTATATCAAATCTTAAACCATGAGTTCCGTTAAGATGTAAGTGGAAAAAATTGGAAAAGCTAACGATTATAGACTTGTGATCAATCCATCACCAGCGGAACTACCAAAAGCTGTTCGGATATCCAACAGTTTGCACAAGAAGAACGGTCCTTTTGATGGAATCTTTTTTCTTGGCGACCTAATTGCTTCAAATGGAGCTCATGTCGAGGCTACTGACGATCCAGCGACTTCAATTTTCCATTTTGATGGAATCCGCAAACTGCAAGAGTCGGATGATTCCAAGCTGAAACATTTGGGCAAATGTGGAATTCTACGTTTAGCTAGTGGCATTCGAGTTGGATACGTTTCCGGTGATCTGAAGACTGTAGCCGAAGACCTTCAGAAGACGTTCGAGAATCAGGTTCTGGATGTTCTGGTGACCTACCAATGGCCAACGAGTGTGGCCACCGAGGAGAAGCTTTCCTTGGTTGGCGATGCCAGATTGAACGATCTGCTGGAATGGACTCATCCTCGATACTGGTTCTGTGTTGGCAACAACAACGGCAGGTTTTTTGAAAGACTACCTTTCAAGTGGGAAGATGGCCGGGTGACCAGATTCATCAGTTTAGGACAACAAGGCGGGCAGGACAAATGGTATTATGCATTCAACTTGAATCTGGATCCGATGATGGACCAAGAAGGAGTTACGAAGTTCGGAGAAAAACCACAGCTCAAGACGGAGCCAGAAAACACAGTCACAAATACACAGTTGAAACGGAAAGGAGGCGAGATTGATCAGCAATTGAAGCGGGTCAAGAAGGAGGTCGGCCCTGAAAATTGTTTCTTCTGTGTTTCCAACACGGAAGCAGAGCTACATATGATTATTTCCATTGGAGAATTTGCATACATGACGGTTGCTAAGGGTCCGTTGACCACGAGAGACAAGCTTGGATTCTCGGGACACGGATTGATCATCCCCATCGGACACTTCTCTACCTATAGCAAGTACCGTGATAGCGAGGAAGCAGGAAAAAAGGTGGAAGAGACCGCGTTATTCGGAGAAGTTGGAAAATACGAAACTGCCGTGGTCAACATGTTCAGGTCTCTTGGACCTTACAAGGTTGCTTTTTGGGAGATTTCGAGATCCGAGGGTATTCATCATCACATTCAATTCTTACCTATCGAGGACAAATATGAAGAGCTATTTGAGACCCAGCTGAAGAAACAAATTGCTTACAACGAGAAAAAGTACAATTCGCATTTGGTTTACGAGAAAGACCCGTCAGCAGAAGAGTATTCCAAGCTGCTCAATGGAGAAGACTACATGTCGATCAGAATAGTTGGCCCAGAGTCAGAAACCAAGTATGTGTTTCGGCTGACAGACGGAAACGTCGACCTCCAATTTCCTCGACGTGTCCTGGCGTTCCTGATGAAGCTCGGACGTCGTGTTATTTGGAACAAGTGCAGAGAATCGACGCTGGAAGAAGCTTCGCAGAAAGATGTGTTTCGTGAAAAGTTTCAGCCGTTTGATTTCTCTGGAGAAAAAAATAAATAAATTATTGAACGCGCTTTGTTCATGTCTCTTTAATATATGATAGAACGCATACCAGAAGAAATGCCCGATTCGTACGATCTGTACGATCTTCTAGAGCTTCTACGATTGCTGAACGAGTTGGGCCGTGAACCGGTGCCTGACATTGGCCAATTGAGACAGATCCGGATTCTCTGGCAGATAATACTGGGGATAGACGAACACGGGTTTGACGCTTCGAAGTACACGAATATCAGCTTGGAATTGAGATCGAGACTTGGAAATGTCACGTATCAATGTCTTGCTTCCCAAGAGCCTGACCCATCCTTCTCAATACACAATGCGCTTGGAGATGTGTTATTAACGAGATCAATGATACGATCCATCGAGGAGGAGACTGGACACGGAAGAAGAGAAGACATCACACAGGAACTCAGCATGATCAACAAGATACGACTAGTGCTGTTCGATCTGGAAAATGTGATCTCAAATGTGTCTGTGAAAACGAGTCTCGTGGAATACATTGCCAGAGCTTACGAGTACGAGATCCAATACCACATGAACGCAGGCGTCTTGTTGGAGGATACAACCAGCGACTTGATCAAGAACGAGGACTCTCTCGTGCCGCTGATGTTTGAGTCTAACAATGTGTCGTTTGACACTTGCTACAAACAGAGCTTACTTATGCTGACAGCTTCCAGCCGATCAGGCACCGATACCCGTTCGAAGATCCACAAAGCAGCCAAACTTACAGTTGAAAGCTTCATGAACCTCAACAACATATCAATCGTGTACAATCTGCATCTCATCAGCGAGTACCATTTGCGCATTTTCAATATTATAAAATACCCGCTTCGCAATCTACACCACAAACACAACCTCGAACATGCAATCGACGAGTATTTCTCGCTTCATCCGATACTACCTATTTTGAAACCCATCATTCGTCAGCTAACGAGTGAGAGCCGTCCGTTGAACGACTCTACGTCTGAAATCTTCGGATTACTTGCTCAACTGGTTGAAAAGTATTTGCAAACTTCCTCGGCTCCATTACCAGTGAAATGGTTTCCTCGGGTCTTCGAAGTTTACGTGAATGTACTGCAAGAAGAAGGAACCAATTTCGAGCAAGATGTCTTTTTCCAGGATATCAAACGTGCTACGCTTAAATGGAAAGATAGAGAAATCACCTCCAATTCGTTTGCAAAAGAACTTCTTGCATTGTCTCTGATTCCAAGCTCCGAGCCTTTTTCATTTGACGGCCAGATTCTTCCTTCACCAGCCATGCGCTATGCGCTGGTGAGCGTAAAAAACGAGTTCGATTTAAAGTCAAAATACATGCGACTCTGGTTTGACTCAATGACTTATCTTCATACAGACAGAGAATTATTGAGCATTTGGAAGAGATCCGTCAAGCAGACATATTTGAAAAAGTGGTTTGATAGGACCATCGACAATGTATCAAAGAACGAAGAGGCAGCAGCATTCCAGACACTTCGAACATTGAGGGATTCATTCCACGGATGGAAAGTCAAAACCGAGGCACAGAGAGAGCTGCAAACGAAAGCAGATACACAGCTACTTTCAAAGACCTTTTCTAGGTGGAAACAAAAGGTGGCTGTTTACAGCCAACAAGAAAACAAGTGTTTAGATCTTGGTCCGCTCAAGAAGAAGTATTTCAAGCTATGGAGGCTGGCTTCCATGGATCGTGGATCTCATTTGGCAAGGATCAATAACCAGATAATTATCAAAGTGACATTTGACAAATGGAGATCCAAGTTCAGTCAGCAACAAAAACTCGTTACAACGGCCAATGAGACTCGCAAACTGCTCACACAGTCCCACTTCTTCGATATCTGGGTTTCACGCTCGTCCTCAAGCTTGAAAAAAGTCCAGACGCTGCAACACTACGAGAGACAACTACTTCAAGCCAAGACTTTCCAGAGTTGGGTGAAAGCCTACAACCTTCACATGCTGAAGCAGGAGGTTCAACACAATAACGACCAACACTTGGTTCATTGGATTTTCCAGAATTGGAAACAATTCCATACACATGAGCGTATACTGGGGAATTACTTACGAGAGCAAGATGCCGAAACTCTGAAAAAATACTTCGCCAAATGGCTGTCTGTGCGTCGGCTGAACGCAGTTGCCGACCAGTTCAGAGATCAATCGGTAATTCAGCGGACCGTGGAACAGTGGAAACTGAGCCTCCAAGAGTCTAAAGTGCGTCACCAGAGAGAAAAGTTGATTGCGGAGAAGTACCTGAAATCCTGGAGACTGCGAACACGGAGAGATGCGTTTTTACAAGGAGTTCACGATCGGTCGACCTCAAGGATATTTGACCTATGGCACGAAGCTGCATCGAGGTACTCGTCACTGAGGAACGTGGCTGACGATGCAGCTACCAAATCAAGGAAGAAGACTTTCTTTAGGTCCTGGGATGTACTGGTTGCTCAGAGACAACAGGCATTGGTTCGGGCTGAGGAATGGCGAATGGATCAAGATGAAAAGAGGGACCGAGAACTACTGGAGACATTGGTGCAGCTTTGGAAACATAGCGCAACTGAGAATGAGCTGAAACGTCAAAAATTGGAAACGATTTTGGCCAAATTCAACAGTTCCAGCACGATAGCTAAGAAGTTCAGACTATGGCGAGAAAAGTACACGGACTTCCGTCAAGATGAAGATGAAGCTGACGATTTCCGCGCTCTAACTCTGGAAACACGGATGCTTGGCAAATGGATACGTCGTTTTGATCGAGTTTTGGAGCTCAATCAGATCTGCGACAATCAAATCGAGGTCAACAACGTTGATCTTCTTTCTCACATTGTTTCACAAATGTCGCTCAAGGCCATAAAGATCCAGACGGATTTGCGGAATGCAGACCGATTCAAGGAACGATGGACAAGAAACAAACAGCGAATGTTCTTTGATATGTGGAGGTATGGTTACGAAGCTAAAAAGAACCAGACCCAAAACCAGGATGTGTTTGCAGAGGAGCCGATCCCAACACTGTCTCCACTTGCCCAAAGACTAAGAGGCACGAATTCAATGCTGGATTCGTCGTTTTCTGTTGCAACTCCTGGCCGTCTGCTTCGTACTCCTGCGGTTGCACGAACCAGTACCATTCCTGCTACCGAACGAGTCAGACGGATGTACATGGAACAAAGACGCAGCCAGTACCGCCAGGTCAAACAGACGTCTCCTGAAAAGAGTCTGCTACTAACACCAACCAGAAGAAATCGCGTGGGGCGAGTCTCTCTAGAAGAAGATAATGTTTTCATTCAACGAGATGAAACATGAATTCATTCAATTTATTTACTCTTGAGGAATCTTGTAGATTCCGATCTTTGGAGCGTTTGGATCCTTCAAAACAATGAAGGTGTAATCGTCCTTGCCACCTTCAGACTCAATAATATCCAGCAAAGATCTGACAATGGCCCAACCATTACCAAGCGACAAATTAATTTGAGAGCTGAGACCAGACGGAGTGAAAGTAAGAGCACCGGCCACAACGTGTTTCGTATTATCTTTGATGTTTGCTCTCGAAACAAAGCCGATCTTCATGCTGTCGATTCCGGCCAAGAGAGACTTGGTGGCCCATCTGGCAATCTTGTTGTTGTTCTTCTTGAGTTCCTCAGCAAAAATCAGACCTCTGGATCCGCTCAAACGGACCTTCCAGTCGTTGGATGGCGATGGAGCGTACTGGTTCAAAGCGTTGATGGACAGGTACTTGTTCTGCTCTCTTGAGTAAGCGTCAACTTCGGTTCTAACAATGACCTCGAACTCGCGGGCATCGTCGTTAGCTGAAGGAAGCGAGAACTTTCTGTATTTGTATCCTCTGTTTAATAAAGGTTGAGAGACTTGCAAACTTGACACGAATGGGTTTTCTGGGGTTTCAAACTCTTGCACAGACGAGTCCAAAGAGTTGGCGATGAAGTTTTGGTTGATGAAAGTGGCCTCCAAAGACAGGTTGGCAGCACTGTTCAAGTCAGACTCTGGGAGATCCAATGGCGCATTGTAGCTGTTTTCGTCAACTTCCAATCTGTCAGTGTTGTCTCTTTTGTCGAAAAAGATTTGGCCGTCTTTCTTGGTCACCTTGACGTCCCAAGAGTAACTGGATCTAGCAGCACACATCAATTGCGAGAGAATGGAGTCGGTGACAAACACAGCCGCTTGTTTGTCCTCGGCCAATTGCTTGATGATTGGGTCCTCGGAGGTGGTTGGGTTGACGATGGTTTTGTCTTGAACGTTCAAAATCTGAGGCTTGAAAGACTCAAACTTCTTGACGTATCCGTTCACTTGTCCAAAGGACTTCAAGTCGCTGCCGTCTCCCACCTTCAGGTTCAGCTTTGTGAGCTTGCTGAATTCAATTTCAGAAACGAGCTGCCACTTGGAGTTCACCTTAATGGATGGATCTCTCACCTTTTCGTCTTTCTTATATCTGTTGTTGAAGTTTCTGTAATTAGGATTCGAATTACCTGGGTTCTGGTGGCCCTGTTGAGGACGCGAGGTTTGGCCTCTGACGACGTTACCTGGCTTTCCACCTGGCTTTTGGTTCTGGACTCTGTTTCTTCCACGAAGAACGGTCTGTTGGTTAGTAGGAACAGCGTTACTGTTATCCACAACACTGAACTCCTCTTCTTCCTCTTCAGCACCGAAAAGCTTGGCAGCAGAGGCACCGTAAGCATGGTACTGATCCTTACGCTTCTGGTTCTGGTTCTTGAGCTGCTGTTGCTTGAGCTCGTCCTCTTTAGATTGTTGCCAGTCGGCAGCCTTTCCGAGTCTGTCACCCTTGGAGAAAGGAGCGTATGGAACTCCGCTGAATTGGAGACTTTCTGGAATCACACTGGAAGGTCCCCAGGCGTCCTTTGGAGACGAAAGCTTTGAGAAATCAAACGCTGGCACGGTCATTATTGATATCTTCAACAAGGGTGAAAATTTTTGGACCTTGATTTTTCTATTCACGGGCTCACCCCTACACCGTTTGAATTTATCCAGTGGCGAAAAATAACTTTCACAACTACAAAATGGACTCCATCTCTGTTGATGTGGGACAACTGAAGAAGGGCGAGGTCAATCTCGGAACCTCGATCATGGCCGTGAAATTTAAAGATGGGGTGATCCTCGGCGCAGACAGTAGAACTACAACAGGCTCGTATATTGCAAACAGAGTCACCGATAAATTGACACAGATTCATGATAAGATATGGTGTTGTCGGTCTGGATCGGCAGCAGACACCCAAGCGGTGGCCGATATGGTTAAATACCATCTGGAATTGTACAAGTCCAACAACGGTAGACCCCCAACTACGAAAATTGCTGCATCCTTGTTCCAGGAGATGTGTTATGCCAATAAAGAGATGCTCACCGCTGGAATTATTTGCGCTGGTTATGACGAGAAAACAGGCGGCGAGGTCTACAGCATTCCTTTGGGAGGCTCTTTGCATAAGCACAATTACACAATTGCTGGTTCCGGTTCCGCTTTCATCTACGGTTACTGTAAGAAGAACTTCAAGCAGAATATGACCAAAGATGAAACAGTTTCGTTCGTGAAAACATCGCTTTCTCAGGCCATCAGATGGGACGGATCCTCTGGTGGTGTTATTCGTATGGTGGTGTTGACAAAAGAGGGAATTGAACGTCTCATCTTTTATCCTCATGAATATATAGATGCTTAATTGTCGACGCGTCGGGGCGACGCGAAAAATATATTTCGTATTGTATGATTTCGAGATGGTCTCTTTAGCTCAATTGTTGGAGCCGGAGCTGCCTTTGGGTCAGCAATTCACACTGTCCAACATACACACTGTCCCAAAACTGAGTAAGCCTTTGGTTCAGAAGCCAGAACGGCCTGAAACGGTTAAAATCATTCATCTGATCACTTTGTTCCACAACGAGGTTTCTGTTCTGGCAGCAGAGATCTATGTGTATTTGACACTCGATAAAACACTCAAGAGGACAATCTATGTGTCCAAAGTTGACACGACCGGACTGAGCAACATCCGAGTCGGTAGAGTCATACAGAAGATCTTGCACTGGATCTTTGGATATCCTATCAAGCGGTATCTCAAGGAACTTCGGGTTAAAAAGCATTACGAGACGATCCTGAAGGAACACGCTCCGTTCAAATCACCTCTTCAAAGATCGCTGCATATCTTAATTGAGAGAGCCAAAGGTGATAAAAATTACGGTATTCCTAGAATGATTGATTCCGAGACATACAAAGTTCCCGATGCATTTCTTGTCATGAACAATAACCAAATAGTTACGGAGCTTGTGCTGTTTACTCGTGCAGAGCATGAATACTTGTTTCCGAACTCCCATAAAAATAGTGGAAAACATATGCTTGATGATGGCCAGCTACTCAAATGGTGGCTAAAGACGATTAACTCCGCAATCAAAGAGAGCTTTGAGACAAGCGAACAGTATGTCAATGTGCTGAACTCTGAGCCAAGGGAAATTGCACGATTTTTTCCTGGTCAGGATTGGAAAATTGGTAGCATTTATTCTAAGCAGGAACATCTTGACAATTTGGCGGTCTACAACGTGCCATTGCTGCCTGACGATCCAAAAGGAAGATTTCTGGAGCATCTTGTGGTGGAGAATCGGATCAAGTCGGTCAACCTGAAGCAGTTCTGGACCGAGCTAGCTATCAGACAAGAGTTCAGATTAGGACGCATTGTTGGACTAATCAGCGTGGAAGGGATAAGTAAATCTCCGGAAATTGAAGATGGGGATATCGTCAAGCGCAGGGATTTTGAAACTACGAGGAAGATCCTCACAGAGACCGATTACAACGACGCGGAAGAAGTCAAGACAGTTTTGGAGAGATTGCAAGATTTGGAGCTACATTTTGAAAAACTCACGGGAAAGTACTATGCGTCGACCAATTCGGCAACAAACACAGACAGCCTAAAGAGACCAGTGGCCGACTTGAACATGCTGGTGAAACGCAAGAAAAGCACGACAAAAAGTGTGTCGTGAGTGGTTGGCAAATTAGAGAGGTAAAAAGCCTGGCCGTTACCCTACAATATAATTTCAGTGGTTGGCCCTCAGATATAATAGTTTTCCAGCGACTTGGGCTTAAATACTAGCAATTTACGCGTTTTTGTGGTGATTGTCAGAATTGAGCAACATAGTTACCTGTTCATATACCCCCTTAACCTAGAGCAATTACGCGACACCAAAGTTTGGAGAATCAGGTAAAAACTTGGCACCATGTCAGCACTACAAGACCTTATTCCCACGGTTAATAAGTTACAAGATATTGTGACCAACACCAATCTGACCGATCTGGATTTGCCGCTTTTGACGGTGATTGGATCCCAGTCGGCGGGAAAGTCGTCTGTCTTGGAAAACATCGTAGGAAAAGACTTCCTTCCAAGAGGAACCGGAATTGTTACAAGACGTCCATTAATCCTACAGTTGATCAATATCGAGAAGGATGACCCGCTTGTTCACAGAGCAGACTTTGAGATGGATGAGGACCACACCGAGGTCACTTTGGAAGACCATTTGAGAAAGGGCGGTGTTGGTGCCGCTCATCCAATTCAACCTGCCGAATGGGGCGAATTCCTTCACATTCCAGGTAAACGGTTCTACAACTTCGACAACATCAGAAAAGAGATCGAGAATGAGACAGCTAGAATTGCAGGTAAGAACAAGGGAATCAGTAGAATACCGATCAATTTGAAAGTGTATTCTCCAAATGTCCTCAATTTGACAATGGTGGACTTGCCCGGTCTTACAAAAATCCCTATTGGCGACCAGCCAACGGATATCGAGAGACAGATCAAGAACTTGATTTTGGAATACATCTCGAAACCAAACTCCATCATTCTTGCTGTTTCTCCAGCCAACGTTGATTTGGTTAATTCCGAATCTTTGAAACTTGCTAGACAGGTCGATCCATTGGGAAAAAGGACCATAGGAATTTTGTCCAAATTGGATCTGATGGACCACGGGACAAATGCCCTCGACATCCTGACTGGCAAGGTTTATCCTTTGAGATTAGGTTTCATCGGTGTGGTGAACAGATCTCAGCAGGACATCTCTGTAAATAAATCCTTGGAAGACAGTCTGAAGTCGGAGCAAGACTTTTTCCAAAACCATCCTGCTTACAAGACCATCGCCTCCAGATGTGGCACCGAATTCCTTGCTAAGACACTCAACAAGACTCTGATGCACCATATCAGGGAAAGACTGCCGGATATCAAGGCCAAGCTGAACACTTTGATGGGACAAACGGAACAAGAGTTGGCTTCTTATGGGGACTTAAACATTGTTTCCAAGGAGAACCGTGGTTCTCTCATTTTGACCTTGATGAACAAGTTTGCAAACAATTTCATCAGCTCCATCGAGGGAAACTCGAGCGAGATCAGCACCAAGGAGCTTTGTGGAGGTGCAAGAATATACTACATCTACAACGAAGTGTTTGGAAACTCTTTGCTGGCGATCAACCCTGTTTCGAATCTCCCAGTGCAGGATATCAGAACAGCTATCAGAAACTCCACGGGACCGAGACCGTCGCTCTTTGTTCCGGAGCTTGCTTTTGACCTTCTCGTGAAACCTCAAATCAAGCTTTTGGAAAGTCCTTCCCATAGATGTGTTGAGCTGGTCTACGAAGAGCTGATGAAAATATGTCATAATTGCGGCTCGCAAGAGCTGAGCAGATACCCAAAGTTGCAAACCAGACTTATAGAGACTGTGTCTGATCTTTTGAGAGAAAGACTCGGACCAACCACCAAGTACGTTGAGAGTTTGATTGAGATCCATCGCGCTTACATCAACACTAACCATCCCAACTTTGTGGGAGCAGCGGCAGCTATGGCCAGTGTCGTGGAGGAGAGACAGAAACAGAAGCAGAAGCCAAAGGAACAGAAGCACATTCCAAATGGCACAGCTGTCACAGAAAACGGACACAAGCCTCACAAGTCTCTAGATTCTAACTCTACATTGGATGAATTTAAAGAGCTAGAGAAGAAGAGCTCTGGCCAACCTGCTCATGGCGACAAGGAGTCGTTCTTGAACTTCTTTTTTGGTAAAGACCAATCGCAAACTGCATCTGGATCGTCGTCTGCTGCCGATCCATTCAAATATGAAAGCGAGCCAGATGGTCTGCAGTTCAATATTCCTTCGCAATCCCCAATTGAGCAAAAAATGGAGCATTTGAACCTGAAAGAGGACGAAGAACTATCAGAGAGAGAACAGCTTGAGTGTGAATTGATCAGAAGACTGATCATTTCATACTTCAGCATTGTCAGAGAGATGATCCAGGATCAGGTTCCAAAGGCTATCATGTGTTTGCTGGTGAATTTCTCCAAAGAAAGTGTCCAAAACACTTTGGTTCGGAAGCTTTATAAAGAAGATCTTTTCGATGATCTTCTTTTTGAAGACGAGAACTTGAGCCAAGAAAGAGAGAAATGCGAGAAGCTTTTGGCAACCTACAGAGAGGCTGCTTCGATCATCAGCGAAGTTGTTTGATAGCTGCATTTTCTTGTATATGGGTTGATGATCAAAGAGATTGTCTAACGAGCTTTTTCATCAGATTACGTAACCTTTAAAAATATAAATCGGATAAGCCATATTTGTATGATCTGACCGAATGACGATCCCGGGTCTTTGGGAGAAATTGGGCGAGTACGGCGTTACAGATGAACGTGTACCATTGAGAGTGTTCACTCGGAGATTTCTTGAGGAGAACAAACGCCATATTAGATTGGGAATTGATGTTTACCAATGGATTTTTGAGTTGACCCAGGTTCCCTCACAATACAAAGGGGACAATGTAACAATTAGCGACGAAAGGGTATTACTCAATTTCATATCGAGAGTGCGAGAGTTGATACGATTGCATGTTTCTTTTGTTTTTGTATTTGATGGGCCATACAAAGTCCACAAACGACGATGGGGTGAAGGGGACGTTGTTGACGACGATTATTACTTGGAATATTTTCAGACTAACCTCGAAATACAACAGAGCGATCCCAGTTCAGCATCCGGTGGAGGGCTTATAGCCTTGCTCAAAAAGATGCTGGATTTTTGGAATATCAGCTATGTCCAGGCAGCAGGAGAAGCCGAGATCGAACTGGCTCGTTTGAATGATTGTGGGATCATTGACGCACTAGTTAGCAATGATGCTGATGGGTTTGTTCATGGAGCCCAATTAATATTAAAGAATTTCAGTCGCTGGATGGCTGATGCTCCTGTCACACAAACATTTACAGACAAACAGGAGCCGGAAATTTATGTTACACCATGCCGAATGTCTAAGATATACGAGCTTCTAGGGCTCGACAGGGAACGACTAGTGTTCCTAGCGTGTTTAAATGGAAGTGATTTCAGTCAAGGTGTGCCAGGATTGGGAATCACCAGAAGTATCTCTTTAGCACAGGTCGGAAGCAAAATACCTGGAGAAACAGACTTTTCACACGAATTATCGAAAATATACTTATCAGAGGGAGAAGAGCGACTGATGGGAATAGTTCCTTACAAAAAAGAAGAGAGAGAAGTAAAATTGAACTGGCTCAATGATATCGTTCAAAAAGCCGTTCTGAAAAACGCTAAGCAGTACTTTGGAAAGAACTTCAACGGAACCATCAACTTTCCTCCTGATTACTACTTCATGTTACATTTCTATCCGTTTTTGAGCTCCGAAGCATACGCATTCAAGAGATTCGAAACCAATTGTGTGGATACAGAAGTGCCGACGATTCGTCTGTCCTCTCTTCCTCAGCCAAACTCGATTGTGCTATCGGATAATCAGGTTTGGCTACAACGGAGAGGATCTTTCAAAACAGTCTTCAGCCCGGGTGAGATTATTTACGACAAGCTCATTGGAGACGCAGACAGCATGGAATGGTTCCAAAAACCAAAGTTCCCGGAATTGACCACCCTACGGCTACCGTTGCAAAGAAGTGCACGTGAATTTTTTGTCGAGCATCTGAGCGATTGCTACATGCTACGCATAATCTACAACTTGCCAAAATTCAAAGGCAACGATATCTTTATCAACATGTACAAGGAAGCACAGTTCCCGTTGAAACGTCGCGCCGACGAGGAATACATTCCGATATGGACCGAAGAGCAGTATCAAGTGAAATACAACAAGGAACTGATTTTCGGGCCTTATTTCGGGGCGGTCGAGATGTTTGATGAGAATTACAATAAGATCGATTTTTCACAGCAGAAGCCGGACTTCACATGGGTTCCTAGACATTTGCTGGAACTATCTCCGTTTGGGAAGAGCCTCATAGAAGACTACGAAATTCGCTCGAGAGAGAAGAAATCCCCTCGAAAGTCTCCGAGGAAATCGCCTAAGAAATCACCTAAGCGTCAACTGTCTACCCTGGACAACTTACTTCGTTCGCCAATCAAGCGGAAACTTGTTCCAGATAGTGAGACGCTCGGAACGATTTCTCCAGAAAAGCACAAACCAGATCTCGCGTTTGTACCCTCAGAGTCCGACGAGGACATTCTGGAGTCGCCTACAAAACGGAGAAACCACCCAAACGTCAACTTGTCAGGGCTCCGGACGTCTTTATTCAAAAGTCCGAAGCCCCAAAAAGATACTTCTGTAATCGATCTGACCACTCCTCCGGAGAAACAGCCTGTCGCGCAGACTGCAACACCAAAGAAACTGACAGTGTTATCACTCGACACGTCTGATGAAGAGACCGACAAGCTAGAAGACGAAATCGACGCTTTTTTCAAAAAATAAAGAAATCGTCTGGGGTAAAAAAATAAGCCACCACCCTGACAGCAAACGAAAATTTCTGAAAACGGTTAGAAGAGTCGTGCCAAAACAATAAACAATAAATTGTACCTGAAATTGCAACAGAATAAACATCTTCAAACTACTGTTTTCTTCACCAGAACCTGCTTGTTGAGTACCAGCGCTTCACTTCGCCCATGTCTGACTCAAACTATTACCAACAGCAGCCTCAACAGGGCATGAATGCCCCTCCTCCGCAGTATAATCAAAATGGCAATGACTTATCAGCAAATGAAAAGTTGAACCAAAACTACCATTACGACCGCCCTCCTCAGCCTCTGCCGGGGAAAGATACCTTTGATGAGACCTTCAAGGTGGAGAAACCGAAATACAACGATATTCCGTTCGCCATTCTGTTTCTGGCCACTGTTGCTGGATTTTTCGTGGTTGCTGGTATTACATTAAGACACTATGCCACCTCGTACTCCTACGAAGGTTCCTCGATTTATAACTCCACCAACTCGTTTTCTTTGAACACCAACACGGTGGTGTTGTTTGCATTTGTCATTGTGGTTGCATTGGTTTTATCCCTTGGAACTATTGCGGTTGCACGTATATTTCCACGGCAATTCATCACCATCTCATTAATTTTGAACGTCATTCTGGGACTGGGTACTGCCATTGCCTATCTGGTCAAGGGATACTACTCTGCAGGTGTTGTTTTCCTTGTTTTCACTGCAATCACTGCATTCTCGTATTGGTGTATGAGAAGCAGAATCCCTTTTAGTGCGACCGTCATGACCATCATCATTGATGTCATGAAACAACACCCAAGTACGTGGATTATCACGGGAATTGGATTTATTGTCGTGGGTGCCTTTTCTGCATTGTTTTCTGCTACCGTGGTTGCCAGTTACATGAAATGGGGAGACCAAACTTCTGGTAGCTCGAACCACTCCAAGCTGGTTGGACTGCTGGTGTTTGTTTTCTTTGCTGGCTACTACATCACCGAGGTGTTGAAAAACGTGATCCATGTCACGGTCAGCGGAATTTATGGTACTTGGTACTATCTCTCGAAATCTGACGGAGGTATGCCAAGATTCCAAGCATTGGGAGCTTTGAGAAGAGCCCTTACTTACTCTTTTGGATCCATTTGTTTCGGTTCCTTGATTGTCACTTTGATTCAACTTTTGCGCCAGGGAGTCCAGATTGTCAGACAAAATGCCTTGAACAACGGCGAGGCTATACAGGCATGTTTGCTACTGTGCGTTGAATGTTTCATCTACGTGATCGAGTGGTTCGTCAGATACTTCAACCATTACGCGTACTCGTATGTGGCCTTGTACGGTAAGAGTTATTTGAAGTCCGCAAGAGACACGCACTTCATTTTCAGCTACAAAGGAATGGATGCCCTGGTTAACGATTGTTTGATCGGTACGGCTCTCACAATGTACAGTACCTTTGTTGCTTACGTTGGCGCGCTTTTGGCATATCTCTATCTACGGTTCACCAAGCCTGGATATAATACCGAAGGCACGTACAATGCACCGGTTGTTGCGTTCACTTTCCTGATTTCCATGCAAATCTGCAATGTTATCGGTTCGGTGATCAGATCAGGAACGTCTACATTTTTCCTTGCTCTTGCGAAGGATCCAGAAGTTTACCAGGCTAGCTATCCCGACAGATTCAATGAGGTGTTCAGAGACTATCCTCAAGTGCTGGAGAAAATCCGCACGCGTGATGATTGATCGGAGACAGCAGGGGTCCTATCCTGATTGAGCAAAAAAAAAAAATAAATATAGCCGCACATCGGTTCGGCGAAAGTGATTTCAGCCGATGTAGATAATATGAATATACTCGATATCTGAGGCAAGGATTTACCAAACGACTTCGGCGAGGTATTAACCGTTTCTGGGGGACAGGAAATAAGCGGTGGTGCGATTTTCTGCCGGTCAAGAGCTCCCAAATTAATAATATTAAGGGTCGAGGGTATCGGCGATCGGTTCAGAGTGAGTGATTTAGAAAGGGAAAAAGCCAATTTAACAATAGAGAACAATAGGAGCAGAGGGTAGCACCCAAACGTTTGATCACATCCCCACCGAGTATATAAAGAGGAAAAAGCACACGGTTTCAAACGTATACAATGTCATCGCACGATAGAGAATCATTCGATAGTACTGCCCAAGATCCAGAAGCCAAGCCAGCAAGCATCTACTCGCCTGCTGAGGATGGAATTAGCCGTACTGCCTCTCGCGTGAGTGGCATTGTGAGAAAGCTCACCCACGGCGACGATGTGGACGAAAAACAAGACCGCGAGGCCTTGGAACGCATGATCACCAACAGGTCTGCGGCCGTGTCCAAGATCGTGGACCCTTACGAAGAAGGATACGGTGCTCTGGGACCTCTTGAGCAACCGCTCGACCACGAAAAAACGGTCTCCGGCTTCATCCCAGACCCTACATCCGACTTCCATGAAAACGACCAATGGAAATACCCTATTGACAAAGAAACGCAGATGAGATTGGTGGTGTTTGTGGACGGAGACAAGAAGAACCCGCAGAACTGGAGTTTCAGCTACAGATGGTTCCTCACCATTCTTTTGGGTACAGTTTGTTTTGCTGTCGCATTTGCTTCCGCCGCGGTGACTGGTGATATTGGAGGTCCTATGGAAAGCTTCCACGTCTCCCAGGAAGTTGTCATTTTGACCGTGTCGTTGTTTGTGCTTGGATTTGGTTTCGGCCCTTTGGCGTTTGCTCCATTGTCTGAAGAGTTCGGCCGTACCGTTGTCTACCTTTCTACTTTGTTCGTTGCTGTTGTGTTTGTTATTCCGTGCGCTCTTGCCAAGAACATTGGCACCTTGCTTGTTTGCAGACTGATCGACGGTCTGGCCTTCTCTGCTCCAATGTGTCTGATTGGTGGTAGTCTTGCAGACTTGTTCCAGGTCAAAGAAAGAGGTCTTGCCATGACTGTTTTCTCTGCTGCTCCGTTCATTGGTCCTGCTCTTGGTCCTTTGATCGGTGGCTACATCGGTGATAACGTTGGATGGAGATGGATTTACTGGGTCATCTTGATCTTCAGTGGAGCTGTCTACGCTGCCTTTGTCGTCTTGATGCCTGAAACCTCGCACAACAAAATCCTCAAAGACAGAGCTAAGAAGCTGAGAAAAACTACCGGTGATGAAAAATACAGAGCTTTGACCGAACTCAAAGTTAGAACTACCACCCAAGTGTTCGAAGAGACATTGCTGAGACCACTGGTTTTGCTTACTGAGGTGATTGTGTTCCTCATGACCATGTACATGTCCGTTATTTACGGTCTACTTTACATGTTCTTCTTCGGTTACCCAGTTGTGTATACCGAGGGTAAGGGCTGGTCTGACTCCAAGACTGGTTTGATGTTCATTCCTATTGCTGTTGGTGTGCTTGCAGCTGTGGCCGTCTCTCCATGGGTGAACAACGACTATAACAGAAGAGCCGACGTTTACAGACACAAGGGAGTTGTTCCACCTGCAGAGCTGCGTTTGTTCCCAATGATGGTTGGTTGCTGGTTCGTTCCGGCTGGACTGTTCGCCTTTGCCTGGTCTTCCTACCCAAGACTGTCGTGGGCTGGACCATGTTTTTCCGGATTCGCTTGTGGATTTGGTTTCAACATCCTTTACAACTCCGCCAACAACTACATTGTCGACTCTTATCAGCACTATGCCGCCTCTGCATTGGCTGCTAAGACCTTCGTCAGATCGATTTGGGGAGCCGCAGTGCCATTGTTCACAATTCAAATGTACCACCGTTTGGGATACGAGTGGGCATCCTCCTTGATGGCTTTCATCGCTTTGGCCTGCTGTGCTATTCCATTTGCTTTCTTCTTCTACGGAGCCAAGGTCAGAACATGGAGCAAGTACGCCTACTCTCCTGTTGTTGACGCGCCTGAATCAGACTCTACTAGCGAAGCAAAGGCTTGAGTCCCAAGCTTAGCTCCAGTACATGCACATCTAATAATAAGATCTAAATTTAATATCAACCGTGTAGTCGTCATCATGCAAGCAAGTTTTAGAAAGCATGCTCTGCATACCCGTGCGTAGCCAGCACCCTCACACCTCTAAGTGTTTTTTTGTTTCAGTTAGTCAATTTTTCCTGCACGGTCCCAAACAAATTTTTGCCAAGCCTAGTTCTAATTCAGGGTTCTTGGGCTAGGTTTGGTGATTTATCACCGGGAAAGTCGCTTTAAAAGAGAATCAAGCCGACATAGTTTCTAACCCAAGATCCAAAGTTTCGATATGTACTATCACCCACCAATCTAACATTATTGTAGTTTGAGACAATTTGTTCATGCCGGTCAAGGTCGCTATTTTTGTCCTGTAGCCGAGATGGTGTGCGGTACCAAGATTATAAATATAGTTTATAAAATTCCTCACCCTCCCACTTTTCTCCCATGTCCAATACCATGCTGCTTGTGAACGAAGCAAACATGAACAGATACCCATCGCAGTCCACCACACAGCTTCCTAGCTTGAACTCGGTCCTTACCAAGATCCAGTCCGAGCAAAAGTGGCCGCTTCCTAATCCCACAGGCACTCGGACGATTGCGCTCCCTTCCACGCAGAATATACTCCAGCCATACGTCGATGCCTCAGCTAGACCTGACCACGACTTTCCGAGAAAGATGCCTTCCTTTGGCTACTCCGAGGCTGCATTCCAACCACCTTCGTCGGTTACTTTACCAACACCGTTGGCCAGTCCAAAGCCGACCAAACAACCCGATTCCATTTCTCCGGTGCGAAGATACAGATGCAAGGTGTGCACAAAGATGTTTACAACTTCTGGCCATCTAGCTAGACATACCAGAATCCACACAGGTGTTAAGAACCATTTGTGTCCTCATGAAGGCTGCGGAGCACGGTTCTCGCGTCAGGACAACTGTATGCAACACTACAAAACACACCTGAATACTAAGAAGACCCGCAAGCGTGGCAAGAGCATGTAAGGCCTCATGATCTACTCAAGATGCCAGCTCTTGGCCTCTGCAGCCCCTATATAAATTCTGGCACCAAAAATGCTTGGCGCAGCAAGGGTTCGATTTGCCAAGAATTAGGGGCTTTCGCGATTGTGACGGAATGTTTTCTTACGGCTTGTTTTTTTTTTTCTCCATCGCTACAAACCGAGTCAACGTGCGTCCATGCGTGCGCTTCATGGTCGCATCCGTGCACCACGGAAAAATTCATTTGGCCTGCTTAAATCACACGATTTATTGTACCCGAGATATATAAATAAGGATAGTAAGACCTATAAAATTTGGTCATGACTTCGGTACTAGATCCCAGCTTGCCCGTGAGGGTTCAGATGGAGAGACTTGTTAGACAGAAACAACTAGAAATTACCAAAGGTATGGAATCTTTGGATGAGTCTTCTTTCCATACAGACGAATGGCTTAGAGGAGAGTCTGGAGGAGGAGGCCGCTCGATGGTGTTGCAAGAGGGCAAGACTTTTGAAAAGGCCGGTGTCAACATCTCGGTGGTTCATGGAGTCCTGCCACCGCAGGCCATTGAGAAGATGAAGGCCGATCACAAGAACATTAAGACCGATGCTGGTGGAAGCGTCAAATTCTTTGCTTGTGGACTCAGTCTAGTGATCCATCCATGGAACCCACATGCACCAACCACCCACTTGAACTACCGTTACTTTGAGATCACCAATAGCGACGGATCTCCGCAAACCTGGTGGTTTGGAGGTGGTGCCGACTTAACTCCGGCCTACATCTACGACGAAGACTGTGTGCAGTTCCACCAAAAGCACAAAGACGCACTGGACCAGTACAAACCTGATCTTTACCCTAGATTCAAGAAATGGTGCGACAAATACTTTTTTATTCCGCATCGTAACGAAACTAGAGGAATAGGAGGCATTTTCTTTGACGACTTTGATGAACTACCGGCCCAAAAATGCTTAGAGATGATTGAGGCATGTTTCAATGCATTTCTTCCAGCTTATCTGCCTCTGGTTGAACGGAGAAAGGATACCCCTTACACAGATCAACAAAAACAGTGGCAGCAAGTTAGACGTGGAAGATACGTTGAATTCAACCTTGTTTACGACCGGGGCACGAAGTTCGGCTTGCAGACACCAGGATCACGTATAGAATCGATCTTGATGAGTTTGCCAATGACCGCAAGTTGGCTTTACGATCATAAGGCTCCTGGACCCGAAGAGCAACGGCTACTTGACGTGGTGAAGACGCCGGTTGATTGGATCGAGCTCTAGAGCATGTAAATAGGCCACACCGTCTTAATACTAAGAAACTAAGGTCACGTATCCAAATCCCCGAGGTTTATCTGCTAAATGCAAATCCTGTTGTCTGATCGCACGAGTAAAATGATTGCGTGCAAACGACCAAAAAAATAAGATTGCCAAGATTTTTAGCAGACTGATATATATATAAGCACCATAAGCCTCGACAGGGAAAAGTTGCTTAAAACTCCTGGGTCTCTTCGATTTCGCTCTTTTGAAACTGAACACACGTACAACGATATCAGCAACAATTATCTCGCTTTAGAGTTGTGTTGTTCTTGAAATCGCGGTGCACTGCCAAGTTACATTTCTTTAGGGTCCCCTGTGATGAAAAAACATAATATAAGATCTGCATCTAACGTGATGATTCCTCGACGTCGACGGTGCGCACTTTTGGTGGCAGTTCTATGTCTAATCCAGCTAATCGTGATGTCCTTGTGGCAGACTGAGGAGCAGGTTGGTGCCATGAACGATGCTACCGGGCTTTTACGCGACACTTCGTCGAACACTAATCCGAAGGATTTCATCTCCGCTTTTGAAGAGAAGCTTGAAGGACTAGACATATCTCACGACTACAGAAAGTATTGGAGATTCTCTTCAGCAAACAGCAACACATCAACACTATTCAACACTACAGAATACCGTCAAAGACGTGAAACTCGGCTTTCATACGACCCGAGGGTCACGTTTGCCGTATATATAAATCACATCCAGAAGCTCTTTTCAACACAAAACCCACGGAACGCCGACAACAAGCTCATTTCTGTCCCTTTTTCGTGGCAAGACTGGGTGGATCTATCGGTTTTGAATCGTTATCTCGAGCTCCCGGAAAACGAGAGACCTTCCTGTGAGGATATACTAACCCAGGGACTTCGGTACAAACCAAGCAACAAAATAGAGACACCAAACCGGAACATCGACGTTGCCTGCGTTGACAACGATAGATATTTGGGCAAGGCTAATCGTGCATTGCTTCCTGGCTTCAATTTCAAAGATCGGACAGGAAAGAAATCGTTCAGGGAAAAGGTGATTCACGCGAAATCTCATCTTCTATCTTACGCTCCTGTTCCGTCTTCCATTCTGTTCCTTACCGTGAATGGCACTTATGAGGTTTCGGTTACAGAAGATTCTACGATGATGAATAGCGGTCTTTATTCCAACTTCATTGGAGATGAGGAATTTGCGGTCGCCGACCCGATCCGAGAACTGGAACGTCTTACTAGTACAGTTCCAGCAAAGAAGGGTGACATTGATTTCGATTTGGTGTTTGTGGCAGAGAATGATTTCAGATACGATATACCCGTGGAGAGATTTTATTATCCATACGAAGAAATCATCGCCGATTACGAAAATCGGATCGATCAGCTTTCTCAGAAAGAGATGAGACACTTGGATGTCCTCAAGTACTCTGCTTCTGTTCCTGATAAAAAGCTTGACAAAGCTTTCAAAGAGGTCAACATCAACTGGCCTGCTACGTTCAATGGCCACAAAGTTACAGAGAATGGAGGACATTATGATTCCAGATTTTTCAATGGATTCATGACAGAGTCTAAGGTTAACGAGTTCGATGATGTGAACGAAAAGCGTAAGCTCACATTGCATCGTATCCTCCACACGTGGCTGCAGTTCACGTACAAGGAAGGAATTATCTCGTTTTTGGCTCACGGAACTTTGTTGAGTTGGTACTGGGATGGACTCGTGTTTGAATGGGACGACGATATTGATGTACAGATGCCAATCATGGACTTTGATCGATTCTCTATGAAGTTCAACAACTCCTTGATTGTGGAAGATGCTCATTATGGATTCGGCAAGTTCTACGTCGATTGCGGTGCCTACCCTACACACAGAACCAAGGGCAATGGAAGAAACAACATCGATGCCAGATTTATCGATGTTGATAGCGGAATGTACATTGATATCACTGGTTTGGCTCTGACGGCTACCAACAAGCTCCCAACAAGACTAGAAAAATTGGAACGGAAATTGAAAGCTGCAGCCAAAGGAAATGGAGAGTACAAGGATCCGGGAGATATCCCGTCAGGAAGATTCAAACAAGCAAGATCAGGACAAAGAGCACCAAAGGGCCCCGAGACCACTCCTGAAGCACTTCAAAGAAACAAGGAACTAAATGCTTTCAATTGCCGAAATAACCATTTCTATACACATTCAGAGCTTTCACCTCTACGGCTCTCTACTATGGAAGGATCGCCATGCTTTGTGCCAAACGACTTCCGCACTGTGCTGACCTCTGAATACGTTGGAGGGCTGCGAAAGATGCTATTTAACAAGCACCTTTTTGTCGATGAACTCAGATTCTGGCTTCCATCCTCAACAATACAACAACACATAATGACTTTGACTGGACAGAACGTCAAAAATGCCAATCTCAAAAAGTTCTACAACGAACACAAGCTGCCACTATTAATGCAATTTCTAGGTACAGATGAGATCTTGAAAGAGTTCTACATCACACACAAATATACCAAGAAGCACGCTAAAGAGTTGGAGCTCATGGGAGAGAAGTCAGATCAAGCCAAAATCAATGAATATCATACTCTTTTGGAAGAGTATAAGCAAATGAATGCACCTATGCGCAAAAGCTATTACGGTTACATGAACGAAGTGATAGCTTTAGGCGGATACCACCCTATAGAGGAGTCTTCAACATCGCCCGAAGAATTGGATAAGATTATTTCAGGAAAGACTGAATCTTCAGGAAAAAGTCAATCCAATGCCGGAGCTAGAAGGATCCAAAAACCAAATTAAATTTAATTGCTTTATTTATAATTGTTCCAGAATGGGTCTAGAGCGATATCTTCCAAGCTACGACTGTTGATGAACGGCAGACCCTGCTTATCCAAGTCCCAATAGTAGAGACGCTCCAGCTGGAGCTCTTGTAAATGTTTCAACACTTTTTCATAGTTGAGTCCAACTTGCTTCACCCCATGAGAATCATCACTCAAACATACTCTACCTCCTTTTTCAATAATTAGTTTCAGAATATCGTCTTTCGGATACGCCGTAGTCCATCCTTTTCTGATTGCAGCCGAGTTCAACTCGATCAGCCCCCCCTGTTTTATTATCAAATCAACAGTCTCGCTTATCACCTTCCAGACGTCTGGCCAGTCCTTTTGTATATCGATTTCCTTCAATATCTTTCCCGTATCTGAGCATTTATCATATTCGCTGGAGAAAAGTCTAATTAAATCAAAATGTCCAACCACTTCTGGTTCGAGCTTGATAACCATTTTTTGGTGTTGTTTGAAGTATGCCAAAAAGAACTCTTTCAAAGTAAGATCACCTTTAGCTTGCAACCATTTGGCTCTATCGTAGTCAATGTCAATTGCATTTAAATGGTGAACAGAACCGACAATAATGTCTGGTTTTAACTCTTGCTTGAACTTCAGGCAGCGTTCCAAATGATAATCGTCTATTCCACCTTCAGTCTCGAACCCGACCAGGATCTTCAATCTTGAAGAGTCATCGCTATTAATTTCTTTCTGAATTGAACGAGCATGCTTGAGGTAATCTTGAAATTTGCCAACCAAGGAATCAACATTGTAACCCTTGTCAAGCTCTTCTGGATACAATAACTTGAGATCGTATCTCGGAACATGCTCGGTTAAACAAAAAGTCTCAAAACCCATCTCCTTGACTCTAGAAATCACGTCGTCAAGCTGGTCGACAGCATGAGAGACATACTGCCCGGAATGAGAGTGGTGAGAGTGGACCATCTCGAATAAATCTTAATTATTTTGCAGAGATCTTCTAGGCTTATGTAATATTTATCTATCGATAGCGTCTTTCCCGTTGCAATTTTTTGGCATATAGGTATCCCAAAAAAGTTCCTCCCAAATGGGCAGCGTAATCTAGACCACCCCACTTGTAAACACACCCGAGCGCATTGTAAACTGTGAATGCAAGTAATGCCATTTGAGCTCCTCCTGGGATAGGAAGGAAAAAGAATGCGATACCAGCTTTGGGGAAAATGGTTGCAAATGCGGCGAAAACAGCAGAGATGGCACCGGATGCTCCGAGAGACAATCCAAACGAGCCAGTTGCCGCCGAAAACAGAATCGAGGCAAAAGAAGCACCAACTCCGCTGATTAGATACAAGGAAGTGAAGTTCACCACGCCAAGAACCTGGATCATTGTGGATCCAAATGAATATAGACAGAACATGTTCATGAGCAAGTGCGTGAAATTTTCATGGCTGAATCCCGACCATAAAAGTGACCATTGCGTTGTTCTGGACGGTCCTCTTTCAAGGAGGAAGTACTTGTTAAGGACATTCATTGTCCTGAGTCCCACAGTACGTGCTCGCCATAGCAAAAACACTCCAACATTCACACCGATTAAGCCAAAAAGAAGCTGTTGAGGGTGTCGTTTGAAATACGACAATGGAGTATAGGTGAATAAATATGGTGTTGCAAAGTAACACCCAACGGAAAAACCAAGAGTGAAAACTAATGCTTTGTAAACCGAGTTCGAAATTCGAGGGTTTCCCATCCTACGCATTCTATGTTGCATAGTCTCTCTATAGGTGGCGTACTGTCGTAGTATGGGGCTCCGACTGATTTGCAGCCGGATCCCCATTGACGGTCCCATATGGCTGGTCTTTTGAAAGACCGTTGGAGATCTCAATTGTCCAGCCAATGTGGTTGTCACCCTCGGGCCAAGTAAAAGTCGAAACATTAGAAAGAATACGAAATTTTCAGATCATAAATTAGTTTTCAATCAATTTTGATTACATAATCTACTGTGCTTCCTTCTCTCTCTCCTGTTGAAGCTGCTCCTTCAATTCTTGTTTTTGCTGGTAAAACTTCTGGAGAACCTGAGGTGGTGGCACTCTCTTACCCTTTCTCGACTGAGTAGATTCGATGACAGTTTGGAGATGAGTGATCTGAGCAGACCATCCAGACAGCTTGGTAGAAATAAATTCCCAGTCCTCTTTACTCACGGAATTCAATTTGGACACCTTGTGGATGTAGAACAGTTCCTTGTCTTGATCAAGTCTTCCGGAAATGAGTCCAGACTTGATGCACTTGATTAAGAACTCTTCCACTTGGTCCAAAGGAACATGCAACTCGTTAGAAATCTCTGTGTATGAAAGTTGACTCTTCTTGGATGCGATTCTAGTCACAGCAGCCAATTTGAGTTTGTTGCTGAGGTTTTCTGAATCGATGTTGTATGACGAAAGGCTTTTGCTGAGAGAAGCGTACTCCTGCAAATTTGAATCTTTGTAGGTCGAGAGCAAGCTGTAGAGCACAGGGTCTTGCTGCAATGGTTCGAAGTTGATGGAATCCAGACCGATGTATGCTGGAGAGTTGAAGCATAGCACAAGGAACCGCGAGTATTCGGAGGAAGAAAGGGAAGAATTGCTTATTTGGACCAACTCCTTGAATAATTGAACGGCTTGTGAATCTTTTTGATCCTTGAACAATAACTCGATGGTTTGCAAGTAAATTTCTTGAACATCAGAACTCGAAGCACCACATTCAAGTAACCACACTTTCAAGTACTGAGCTAGCGGACCAGCCACGTTAGAAAGAGAATGCGTGGAAACTGTGGAAATAATCGTTTTGAGGACGGCAACTCTCAAAGAAGATTGGGAAGGAATAAAGTTGAACAGGTTCGAAAGAGCCGAAACCAGGGAGCTCACTCTGATCTGGGATCTTTCCTTAGAGAGCACATCGTCAGGAACCACAGGTATTTTTTGTAATTGTGTTAAAACTGGCTCTAATTGTTGCTCCAATGACACGTCCAATTCACTTCTAAGGATATCTATAAGATGGAGGAGAAGGTTGAAAGTAGGCTCAAAAGCTGTGTCGCTCAATTTGGCAAGATCTTGGCTTGATTCCAGCACTTTTGTGAGCAACTCTTGTTTGTTTTCTTGGTCGGCTAAAGCTTCGAAACTAGCCTTGTATTCTGTTTTGAGTTCTAAGTCTAGTGCAGCGGCATACTCCACAGCACACTCGCCCACAAATCTTTCAGAAACGATAGTGAACATGGTGTTTGAAAGAAAAGGTTTACAGGTCTTGATGGTTGAGATGTATGCACTGAAAAATTTTTTATGGTGTTGAATGTTACCCGGAACTTTTCTATACATTAACATCTTATCGAATATGACAAAGGATACCAATGAGCTGCTTCCGTCAGCCCAGTTCGAGGGTCCGGTTTCCAAGTCATTCGCGATTGACCCTTCCTCGTCACACTCGACTCACGGAAGAACCAATGGGCCGTCAGACTATGTTCTTGCTGCCGGAGCAGTGGATAGGGATGCCCCTACAGAAGCAGGAGATTCTCAGATCGGACGGCTTCGCGCATATGTCACCACGTTGCAGGACGAAGTCAACGAGTTTTTGACTGCTCGCATGAAGGGAGGCCAGGAAAAAGATGTGCAAGACGAGTACGAGGACGAGGACGAGGATGCCGAAGAAGAGGAATGATATTAATCTACGAAGGAACTCACATGACATTACACCTGAAGTCCCCGCTACCCAGTGTTCGCATGGTTGCAGACGAATTATATACGGGGTGCCTATGACAAAATCCGTTGCAACCTAATAATGACTGATATTTTATTTGTAATCTAATATTTCTATGCTTTTATGAGAGCGTTTTCAACATTAAACCGTTTGCGAAATGTCAGTTCGCGAGGTCTTGTGAAGCTTGATCGCAAGTTCCTGAAGATCGTGGGTCCCGACTCGGCCAAGTTTCTGAATGGACTCCTGACTACGAAGATGGTTCCCTCTTTTGAAAAAAAGAACCTAACGACCATCTCCAACAGTGATCTACAAGACCAGGAAAACTCAAAAGCACTCAAGTTATCACAATCACAAATGGAAACGGAAAACTGGGGTATTCTTCATGAAGATGAAACATTTGATTCTACCGAACCGGAACGACTGGGGATACGAAGAGATGGACGGTACTCAATGCTTCTCAACTCAAGAGGGAGAGTGCTTTCAGATTTGTTTGTTTATCCTACGCCGTATGTTGCTAAAGAACTTGAAGGGCCGTCCACCAATGGCCCCGAGTATTTGCTTGAACTAGGCCCGAAGAACTTTGGTCAAATACAGATGATGCTCAAGTTACATAAGCTCCGAGCAAAAATCAACATTTCGGTTGCAAAATACAATTCGTGGTTTTATTACGACCATTCAAGCGACTTCGATGAGTTCTTCAATGTCCTACAGTCAAAGTACCTCAACAATGGAATTTCAAAGTCCCCAGAGTCTGCGGCAGACGCAGCTAGTCAGGTATCAAAAGAATTGATCCATCAAAAAATATTAGATGCAACCAGTCTTTCACAATTGGAGGGCTTTGCCGTTGATGATAGAGCACCTGGTTTTGGACTAAAATTCGTTCTGCCTGAAGATGCCGAGTTGACGAGTTTGAATGACGTGCTGGTCGATCCTTCAGAGTATAATACTTTAAGAATCCTAGCTGGAATCTCAGAAGCTTCCGATTTCGTTTCCGATACTTTACCATTTGAAAATAACCTCGACTATATGAATGGTATCAATTTTAACAAGGGATGTTATGTGGGACAAGAATTAACAATTAGAACCTACCACTCCGGAGTGATCAGAAAACGTGTGATGCCTTTTCAAATATTCAGAATTGGCGATCCGATCACAAACGAAATGATACCTACTGATGACGACTATGGACTGAGCCATCAGGATAAATTACAAATCATCAAGCCTCCATCAGCAGATACTGAAGAGGATGCGCAGCCATCCAATCCGTTTGGGTCCAAAATGCGCAAGGACACAAAAATTGGCGAAATTATCAAACTGGATAAAAATATTGGACTTGCAGTGGTGTATGTCGATAAGATTGATGATAGTAGCGCAGCTGGGGCCAATGAATTCCCTCTTGTCTCCAAAGAAAAGGATATCAACGGCAAATTCGTTGCCAAAGTTTATAGACCAGACTGGTGGCCCCAGGATGACGAAGATATTTAGTGATCGTTACTCTTTCAAATCTTCTGGAATGTCTAATCCTTGTTGTTGGGCCACCCTCAACAACTTTTGGTTTTCTTCTCGTAGTTGACGAATGTAATTGGATGTCTTCGTTAACACAGCATATTCCGACCTACTTTCGGATTCTGTGAGATCGGGAACCACTTTGACCAGACTATCAAAAGTAGATCTGATCTGATCTCGTCTCTTGTTTTCTGATCTGATATGGTGCAGCTTCTTCTCTTCCTCCGATAACTGTTTGAATGCTGCCTTTTTATCGGGAGATGACATTTGATTATTCGCTGAGATTTTTTTGATTTATTTTATGTGTTGCTTTCCTGATTCAAAAAGGAGAGCTCCCACGTCACCTTGATTGTGTCATGTAGTTTCGCCTCAATGATAGTAATGGAGAAATAAGGATGCCATCAACTAGATATAACACTGGTAAGATTTCGAGTTATCTGCATTGAATGATCCTTACCATGCGCTCCTCAACCTACACAGCCAAAAGAGGAAATTAGTTTTAGAATTAAGCGCCAGAAATCTGGCGATTTTGATGGTTGCCATGGTGACAATTCATTTCCCAGTTGGGAACTGTGGACCGTTCGGAACCAATAATTCGTTGTAAAGTATACTAATCGGAAAGCAGTTGCCAACACTCATTGTAGTACATATTAATGATCATGCCGGGATTCACTAAACTACCCTACATCATGTTCAGTAACAACACTATAGATTGGGTAGCTTCTTGTCGTACCTTCAGTAGAGAACTCGGTGTCTCGAGACCACCAAGGAAAACATCCCTCGAAAATTTCCAGTCCCACTTTCGATCCCACATCATAAGCATACGGGCCAGCGCATCTCTGCACAGACAGGCTCTAAAATTATCTCATTCCAAGTATTCGCTGTACCATGTCATTCAAGTTCAAATCACTGGAATTCCCCATTGCCACTACTTTCTTTCTGAGTTTGACGACAATCTTGTCACTACTGAAATTCATCACTAGTTTGCAAACTTACAATGGCATAAAAGCGGAACATCCTGAAGTGTCCTTTTCAGAGATCATTGTTCCAATCCTACAACTGGTGCCAAGCCAATCGATCTTTTATCCATGGACATTTGTGACCGAGTCGTTTGTGGAATGGTCAATTCTCACATATGCTCTGTCAGTGGTGGTTCTTTATTTCGGTATCAATTTTCTTGAAAAGCATTGGAACGTCAATAACGAATCTAGAGTCTTTTCAGAGACTGTCTACTTTATTATAATTGTTGCGACAGTTACCAACATTACCACTGTTCTCATTGAGATCACTGTTCACATGCTCTCACTCTCATCATCTGAGCTGACTGTTCCTTTGAAAAATGGCATTTTCTCACTTATCATGAGTTTTGTAGTTGTGCTTAAACAGCTCACTCCTGAGCACAATGTTAAGGTGTTCAAGACATTTTCCATTCGTTTAAGACAGCTGCCTTTTATTGTGCTCTCAGCAACGTTGTTTGTGTCGATCGTCACAAGATCTTTAAAACCGGTGGTTCCTATGTTCAATAATTTCTACGTGAGTTGGTTCTATTTGCGTTATTATCAAATAAATACCATCAATGACTTGCTTCCTTCGAATTCATCAAGATCGACAGTCAGAGGAGACGCATCAGACACTTTCGCATTTATCCAGTTCTTCCCGGTTGCGGCTCACCGTGTGCTGAAACCAATTTCCCGCACGACTTACCACACAGCAGCTCTTATCGGACTGATAAGACCATTTAATGACGATGACATTGAATCTGGAAATTTGAGAACTATCAAGCGTCTCAATACCGCGTCCACCACTGTCACAAGCGAAATCGCTGATCGTAGACGGCAGGTTGCTCTGCAGGTGTTGGGAGAAAGAGTCAATGCCAATACCAATGCTAGACCCGATCTCCCAGAAACTCCTGAACAAACACAAAATTAGTTTGTACCCTGTTGTTTCTTCCAGTATGAGTCCAACACCAATTCGCACGTATGATGGACATCACAACCCTTGAAGTTAACAACGAAATCATCCTCCTGATAAAATAAGGTGTCATCTTCTTCTTCGGCCACATTGGAGCTATGTAATGAACAAATCGTTCTTCCAGGAACAATGGTAGTTTTGCTTAAAATGACTGGGTGCCATTGTAGTATGTGAGTCAATGCATCCTTTTCATCGCTGGTGAAACTTGAGTATTTCCGTAACAAAGGATCTGTCCAAAACTCTAATGCTCCTTTACCGTAGATGTCGTTTTTGACAATGAAAGAGTCGGTGTTGATGCCATCTTTGGTTTGTGTGATCACAATCTGCATGTCCTCTGCCTTAACTTTTCTGTACGTCTTGATGGCACCATTTGGAAGAACAATTGGTTGATCACGCATCATTATTGGTTCCAAAGACTTCGGCTCCAACAGATACGAATACAATTCAATATCGTGTCTCATAATGAATGCATTTTGGTCAAGGTACCAGAAATACTTTGCATGTGGAAAAGCATGCATGGCTGCTCGTAATATGAAAAGCTTGGCCCAGTTTCTTTCGTTATTGTATTCTTGCAGGGTTGGTGTAAATTCTTGTATCCATCTGACATATAATCCATACCCATTAGCATGCGCGTAATCAACTCTGTTTTGGACGATCTTGGTTAGGTGGCTCTGTTCAAACTTCTCGAAGTCTACTCCTGTCACTAACACTATTTCAGGAGATTTCTTTCCACTTGAAGGTCTGAACACTTTACGACCATGTTCCTTGAATGCTTTGAGAGATTGGTCTAATGGATCTTCAGAGCTCGATTTGTCCTTGATCTCATTGAAATCGTTCAAGTCATCATCATCAGAATAAAAGTAGAGTTTTTCCTGTGGATTGTCGGGATTGACTTTGTTCTTGAACAGTCTGTCCAACGTCAATTCTCTCAATAAAGGGGCATGTTCAATTGGAGGGAAAATATACTTTGAGCCCACACTGATCTCGTTTTTATAAATTCCATGGTTATCTTGTAGAGTCTGAAGTGCCTCCTGGTTGGTTAGATGACCGAAATTGTGTTTAACTTTTGATGAAGAGAACAACCAGTTCACTATGTAGTTACCAATTATCAGTATTAAAATTGCTTGGATCGCAGTTCTTTTGTTGCTGTAGTCTTTGAATCTACTTCTCAAAGCAGAAGGTATTGGTAGTAAAGGTTTATTCTTTCCCTTAGGTCTCAGGTCCGACCTTCTGGGGATTCCTAAATGCATTTTGAAATAAGGTTTATGTGTGATTTGTCTTGTATAATTAGTTTTTTGAGGTTATGTGCCCAGCAGCATATATTTAACGAATATCGAAAAGTTTTGGATCAAGCTATCACTGTCATCATGTCTGTTCCTCCTGAAGCGCTCCAGAAAGTAAGTAACGGCTAATAATTAACTAACAAATAGCTCCTTTTGGAGATGGAGACACAACTCAACGAAAAACAAGAAGAATTGAACGTCACCAACGTTGTTTTAGCGCGTTTGGCTCAACAAAACAGAGTGCTGGAGCTTCAAATCCAAGAGATCAAGAATTCGGGCAATGAGAAAGTGTGGGAAAGCTGTGGTAAGGCATTCCTTGGAACGCCAGTCAAGGATTATGAAACCAAATTGAACCAGCAAATTAAAGACAATAAAGATTCAGTTAACAGTCTCGAGAAGAAGAAGCATTACCTCGAGACTACTGTGAAGACGACATTTGACAATATGAGCAAGTTTTTGGGTCCGGCACCTTCCTCCAGTACCGCATAAAAGATTAATTAATTATATACATTACACCGCACTGTATCCGCCTCTGTTTCCACTACTGAACAATTTGCTTCCAATCTCGCGCAAGAATTCTGGCAGTTTCGACAGGGTTTCAATGATGGACTCAATCAGCTCATTCAAGAACTCGTGAGAGCTTCCCATTCTGTTTGTGTTGATCCATGCTTGTGCAATTATGTATGTGGCCATCATTATCACTAGCAAAATAAATAACCATGTGAAAAATCCCCACGAGTTGGAGTCGTCACTTTTTGGCGACTTCTCCTTTCCATCCTTAGGTGGCTGTTGTGATGACTTGCAAGCATACTTTGATTCAAATGTGAATTTGGCCGTTGAATAGTCAAACGACACCAGTTTCAAATTATCTTTGGTATCCTCGGTTCCGCAGATGAACTCGATTTCGGTATCTAATGACAAAGCTCCCCAGTTTGCTCCTTGTAATTTGACGGTGATTGAGCTCGAATTGTCTTCAAATTGAGGATTCAACTTGTTAGAGAAGGCAAACACCTCAGTGACAAGTGGGTCGCGGTCGGGAAGCGTAATCTGGGTCAGTCCACAAACCTGAGAGTCCTTGGAACACTCAGGCACATCCAAATCATTTTTGGAGTCTTTCGAGCTTGGGTCGTAGATATTAACATACCAGGATAACTTCTTGGTAGATGGAGGAGTTTCCTCTGTCTTGTCAACTTGATGAACACCTGCCAATTGTTTGATATCGGGATACTCAGCAAAATGAGAATCCGATATGTCGATGGCTGCGGTCAATCGGACCAGCAAAAACAGTACTGTATAGATCTGCTTAAACATATCAGATGCGAAGTATATATTTATACAATATATATTTGTCAAATAGCCCTAATTTTGGGCGTAATGTTACACCTTTGCACCACGATGAGGACAATAATGTAACCTCTTTTTTCTACGGGAGCCATTTTCTCGCTTCCGGATATTCTGAAGAGTGAAAGCAATTTTTACTCACGTGACTTTTAATCGGGTTTGCAAATTTGTTACGCCCCAGATTTTTCAGGCCGTGCTGGGAAAATTTTACACAGGTAGCGAGAAAAAAGACAACTTCAACTGGTCTATACACATTTAAAAAATGGCTAGATACGCAGCAACTCCAGCTAACCCAGCCAAGTCTGCTTCGGCAAGAGGATCATACTTGAGAGTGTCCTTCAAGAACACCAGAGAAACCGCCCAAGCTATCAAGGGATGGAAACTCGAGAAAGCCAAACAATACTTGGACCAAGTTTTGGACCACCAAAGAGCCATTCCATTCAGAAGATTCAACGGATCTATTGGTAGAACTGCTCAAGGAAAAGAGTTTGGTGTCACCAAGGCCAGATGGCCAGCCAAGAGTGTCAAATTCGTCCAAAGTTTGCTTGTGAACGCTGAATCCAACGCTGAGGCCAAGGGTCTTGACACTTCTAAACTTGTCATCTCCAACATCCAAGTCAACCAGGCTCCAAAACAAAGAAGAAGAACTTTCAGAGCACACGGTAGAATCAACGCTTACCAATCTTCTCCATCCCACATCGAGCTCATCTTGACCGAGGAGGATGCTGTTGTTGAGAAGGCCAAGGATGATAAGAAAGTCAGATTGAACTCTAGACAAAAGGGAAGACTTGCTTCTCAAAAGAGATTGACTGCTGCTTAGGTAGTTAGATTATTCAATATACTAATTGAGAGTTGACGAGATTTGCTATGTAGTACTATCTGTTTTCGCTTTCTTACGAGGAAGGTTGTCAGGTGTTTCTTCCCACTCGACGGATTCCAGCCCTTTCCCGGAAACCAGCTGACTTTGTAGGCGTTCGTATCGTGAAATAAATCTCGATCTGGTCAAGACTTCAAATTGGATATATTTGTACAGGTCTGGATTGTCAGAATTAGTCCGTAGTCCGATGAACAGTTTGATCAGATCATCCAACTTTAGTTTTCCGCAATGCACAGCATCTTCTTCAATAGCAAGGTCACCCAAGCTGCAACATTTGAGAATCAACTCCTGGTCGTTTCTAAATTTTTGCTTCTCGCGTACCCGAGAAAAGAACAAGCTCAAGGATAAGTCGAAGATATCTTCATCGAAAAGAACTGATAATTCTTGGAAGTCGGCTTCCTCTGGAACAGCAGGCTGAACCAGCTTGAAAACTTCTGTTCCGAGGTCGATGTATATGGGCAGCGAATCGGGAACGTTTGTATTCTCTTCGTTTGTCTCTTCCAAAAGGTCGTCTCCCTCTCCGACTTCCTCTTCCTCGTCTGCTTCTTCACCTTCTTCACCTTCTTCTTTCGTCGCATTATTCGTTTGATCCAATTGTTCCAGCTCATCGTGCTCCTGACTTTCCTCATCCGTCAACCCCACCACCTCATCCTTCTCTTCCGTATAATCTTCAACCTCATCCTTTGCTTGTTCTTCTGTTTCCTCCAACACATCCTCATTTCCTTCGTCTTCCAACTCCACCTCGTCGCTCTCGTACTCAAGCTCACTCTCGCCATCCTCAATTGTTTCCTCCACGCTATCCTTGTGTTGCCCTTGCTCAGACACAGTTGCCGCGATTGGCTGTTCCATGTCGTCATCCAGCAAAGACCCCACGCTTTCCAATTCTATATCAGCTTCTTCAACACTCACCTCGTTTTCGGGATCCAAGTGGATTTCATCCCGTGATTCTATAACTTCCACATCCATCTACAAGATAAAGAAATTATAATTTATTCTGGGAAATTATTTATCCCATGCTCTTGCACAAGGTTATTGTGTGTTCTCCTGGTACATGATTAGGTTCTCCTCTTTATTTTTAATGCTGTAGATGAGAAATTGGGTCACATTTGGGTTGCTGTTTGAATTCTGACTTGGTTTTCAGCTGATCGTCATTCACCTCCAAAATTAACTACCATTAATTTGTAAATACTCAAGTAAATGTCTTTGTTACATTCTGTGTTCTTCCAACATGCTTGTCTCTGGTATATGCAAGATCATCCCACAATCATTATCTGTTTGATGGTGCTCTATTTCAATAATCTACCTGTGTGGATCGCCTCCTTAAATTACACCCTACACCTCAAAAAAAGGGAAACAAGGATAATAAACATAACAAAATGAAGGATATCAGAGATCTGTTAAAATGCAAACCCAACCACTCTCCAAACACTAATAGGAGATCTCCTTCTCCATCACACGAGAATCTATTCCAAAGTACCAAGAACCCCCCCAGTTACCCAATTATTAGCACCTCAGAGGTGGGTGAAAGATATACCCCCATTTTCAAGTTCACCCACTTTAACCGGATGCAATCAAAGGCATTTCCTTCATTATTTCAAACTGCCGACAATTGTGTGATTAGTAGTCCGACTGGGTCAGGAAAGACAGTCCTATTCGAAATGGCTATCATCAAGCTCCTCTCAACAAGTGCAAAAGCAAAAGTCTTGTATCTTGCACCATTGAAAGCACTCTGCACAGAAAGACTGTCTGATTGGAAATCTAGACTTGAACCACATGGGATTTCGGTAAGTCTTCTTACCGGAGACTCTAGCTACCATGATTTCCTGAAAGCAAAATTCAGCAACATTATTATATCCACGCCTGAAAAGTGGGATGTTCTTACTAGATCTGAGAACGACACAATGGCGAGGTCCGTGGAACTTTTGTTGGTAGACGAAATCCATACAATCAAAGAGCCAAGAGGAGCAACTCTTGAAGCTGTTATAGCGCGGATGAAGACTTTGGTAGCCAATCTCCGTATCGTTTCCCTATCTGCCACCGTTCCTAACATTGAAGATTTCTCCGCATGGCTCGCCAAACCAGGAGCAACCTCTGCAACAACTCTGAAGTTCAACAGCTCGTATCGGGCTGTCGCATTACAGAAAAAAGTATATGGCTACAAGAGTAGAGCCAATTCAAACGAATTCCAATTTGAAGCATATTTGAACTCGAAATTGGTGGAAATCATTAAAACGCATTCAAATCAAAAGCCAGTTCTTGTGTTCTGCTCTACCCGGAACAGTGCCATTTCAACAGCAAAATTTCTAAGTTCAAAATCTGGTACATTTATACCCAGACCAGCTCCAATATGCGGTCGGTTTCAGCCAGGGCTTTCGGAACTGATCAACAGCGGAGTTGCATATCACCATGGCGGGCTCACGTTGGAAGAAAGACGCACAATTGAGTCATGCTTCCTATCTGGAACTGTTAGAGTCATATGTTGCACTTCAACACTTGCTGCAGGGGTCAATTTACCGGCTTATCTGGTAGTCATCAAAGGAACAAACGTGTGGACGAACGGATCACTTAAAGAGTACTCAGAGCTTGAAATCTTACAAATGATGGGACGTGCAGGTAGGCCACAGTTTGGGAAAGAAGGATCTTGTGTGATAATGACAAAACTGGATCAGAAGCTCAAATACGAGGGATTGGTGAACGGAACCGAAGAGGTTGAAAGCCAACTGCTCCATAAATTGGATGAATTCTTGGTAGCAGGCGTGTCTCTTGGTCATATTACGAATGCAGCATCAGCTATCAACTGGATCAAAAGTACATTCTTCTATCACCGTTATATTCGAAATCCTTATGCATATTCAGAAGTCATCAAATTCAAATTGTACAAGTCAACAGAGTCTCTGCTTGAGTCGTTCTTGCGTAGCAAAATGAGAGAATTATGGAATAGCAGGATGATCGATATCAGAGACAAAGATTTTGTCTGCACATTATATGGAACTACAATGATGAAGTATTATCTGAATCCAAAGAGTATCAGAGAACTGATGAAGGATGCTAATCTTGACGTGGAGCAGCTGATTGACAAAATTTCTGAATCACCTGAATTTGAAGAAATCGAGCTCAAATCCATGGAAAAGCAATTATTCAAGCTAATTAACCTGCAACCGAATATCAGATTCAAAACCAAGGCCAAGCCAGAGACTTCTGCGGATAAAATCAAGATTCTTCTTCAGGCTGAACCAAGCGGAACTGAGATTTCCAATTTTCAAGGATCAAAAACTTTAGCCCCAGGATTCAATTGCGACAAAGTCATTGTCGCAAAAAAATCCCATCGACTCCTGCAAGCTGCTATCGCCATATATCAAGAAAATAAAGACCTATCGTCTTTGGAATCGGCTCTCTACTTAGAAAGATGTCTGACTTCCAAAGCATGGGAGTCAACATATCTCGAGTTGCGGCAAATTGAAGGAGTTGGTCTTGGGGGAGCTCAAAAGCTTAAAGAAAATGGGATCGATAATCTGTCTCAGGCCTCAAGACTTTCCAGAGAGCAATTCAGTCAACTGAAAATCCGAAATGCAGAAAAGGTTTTTCAGAGCATCAAGAGTTTCCCTGATATTATACTTCAATCCGCCGGAGCATGCATTGCAGTTAATGGACAGCAGATTCAAGAGAGCATAAAAATTAGCGTTTTGACAAAGAATACCGGCTATGAGCGATCTTCTTTGATTTACTTGCTTATCAAGAATATGACATCAAACAATTTGATAGAGCTTCGGACTTTTTCAACCAAATACTGTAAGAAGATTGAATACGACTTACAGACGAAAGCTAAACGAAACGACATCATCCAGATTACAGCTTCATTTAATGACCACGTCGGATCCACCAAGACCACATCGATCGTCTGTACAGAAACAGAAGAAGATTCAGGGTTTTCAGATGATGATGAGTTAGAAATTATGTTAATGCAACGTGAAAAGCGGAGACATGAAGGGGATATATGCGGAACATCAAAGAAATCAAAACGTGACACCTCACAGACAATTGAGGAGGACTTGTTCACCGATGTTAGCAACAACAACATTTCGTTCACCAGTGTTTAGATCACTAAATGGATCATTTGAAATACTTTTGAGCAATGAACCTCAAATGGTCCTCATCAATTCTCATGTGAAAATCGTCAATTGAAAGGAAATCGATCTTCTGCTGCTCGTAAAGAGTCTTCAATCCGATGAGATCGTTTTGGAAAGAACTCGTCTCATTGAAAGGTATCAGCTCATTAGTAACCGGATCCAAATCGAAATACCAAGCGGTTTCTTTCGGCACAACCATATCATCTTGAGAAAACAAGATAAGAACTAATTTTTCCAATTTGGTCAAATTGTCAACATAATCCAAGTTCTTTATGAACTCGTTGTTCACAAATTTGAGGAACGCTGAATTCTCAATGTACGCCTCAAAGTTGTACACATCTCGGAAATACTGAGCTTGCACAACAGTACGTTGTATGTTGTCTTTATAAATTTGCTTTTTGAGGAACTCGTTTCTCTGGTTGCATAGCCAGTTACCTTCTGCACAGGGCGGGAGGTCTGTCACACCGTTGTGTGGCGAACCGTATGTGACCAGTGTTTTCACCGGAAGCCCACAAAGCTCAATGGCAGAACGTAAAAATAGTCCTCCTTGGGAGAATCCGACTGCGTCATATCCATTTTGAAGCTCAGGAATGGAATTCAATTGATCACAAACGTCTAATACTTGGGTATTCAAATCCCCAATTATCGAAGCTCTCTGATCTTTTGCCTCATCAATATCCAAATAAACAGAGTGCACAAAAACTCCCGGGATCTCTTCCTTGAAAACCTGCTCAGCTCGCCTTATACCTGTTGAATTGTACGTATCACCCATTCCATGCCACAACACTATGCTTTTGGGGCGATCGATAGTTAGTGAATTATATTCTGAAATGGAACCTGCCACAGATAACAGCTCGGTGAGACGATTGAGAACATGCATTGTTGAGAATCAAAAATCTGGGACCAGGACACAACGCCTTTTTCCGGGCTTATTTGAATATTATTTTCTGGGGTCCCAGCTTTTCTTATGCTGACGTTAAAAAAAAAAAATTTAGAAAAATATTTGTTCAAGATAAGATATGACATCGAAGTCGAGTCGTGACCAGTGGGATTTAGCTGTTCTTGATGAGAATCTCAGATCTCGAGCTATAAGATCTTTGAAAGCTTTGAAAGCTCATATAGGCGAAGAAGGAGATCACCATGAGCCAATATATGTGATCATTGACACTGAAAAACCTACTGCTCCTGACTTGGATCTTGTTCCTCGCATAATTCCTTTGCCACATGGGTTGAACCGGCCGGAGGACTTGAAGATCATGCTTGTTACGAAAGATCCAGTTTCAACTTATAAACCATTCCTCGAGGAAAAAGGATCTGCAACTGAAGATACTTTCAGCGAAATAGTGAGCATGAAGAAACTCAAGAGTTTTGCATCCAATCCCAAACAGATCAAAAAGGTGTTTCATGAATACGACATGTTGATCACAGACCATAGACTGCATCGACTTTTACCATCTCTGATTGGCAAATCACAGTTCTACAAAAACAATAAGAAGCTTCCCTTGATGATACAGATGGCCAAACCTTCTCCAGACGCTGAGCTAACGAAATCCAAGAAATCTACCAAAATGAAAGATGACAGAGTGGATCCCGACTATGTTCAGCGACAGATCAAAGCTATTGCTAAAGGAACCACGTTTGTTCCATCCACGGGTACATGTTTATCAATCATTATCGGCTACAGCGACTTCAAACTGCGTCAGTTGATTGAAAATTTGGACTTCATTCTGGCATATTTGACATTGGCCAAGTTCAAGCCTATTGGAGGCATTCTCAAGAGAGGAATGGCAGACATCAAGGACTTGCATCTTAAAACCAGCGAAAGTACCAGTTTACCTGTTATGGAGAAAACTCCAAAATAAGGCAGTGCCAAGCCAGATAATAACTCGACTTTTATTTTTTCATCACGCTTGGCAACAAGGAACAGGAAATACTTGGTCATAAATCATGGGTGTGTCAATGAGATGGGTGACACTGGTGCTCTTGTTTTCTTTCCTTATACAGGTATGGAGGCTCAGTGTTCATGCAGACATCGACTTGCGAAAGATACACCAAGACTCACTTGAAGTGATTAAAAATAGACAGGATCCGATTAGGAATCGTTTACAGCTTGCCAAGCTGAAGCCAGCAACTAATTCTTACGTGCACGGTGTTTTCCCCAAGCCTGTATCAAATCCAAAACTTGAAAACGCAACTATTTTGATGCTCTGCCGAAATTGGGAGCTTTCAGGGGTGCTCAAATCAATGCGATCATTGGAGGATAGATTCAATAAGGACTATCATTACACATGGACTTTCCTGAACGATGTGCCTTTCACAGACAAGTTCATAGAGGCCACGACTCAAATGGCCAGTGGCCCAACACAATACGGTTTGGTGCCTGCGGAGGATTGGAATGTTCCTGCGTATGTCAACGAAACGAAGATGGATGAGTGCTTGATTGATTTTGAGAACAGAGACGTTATTTATGGCGGGTCCAGATCATACAGAAATATGTGTCACTTTAACTCTGGGTTTTTCTTCAAGCAAGAGTTGGTACAACAGTACGATTATTACTTTAGGGTGGAGCCCGAAGTTGAGTATTTCTGCGATTTCCAAATGGACCCGTTCCGCTTGCTACGAGAGAATAAGAAGAAGTATGGATTTGTGATGACGCTTTTAGAGTACGAGAACACGATTCCTTCGCTTTGGAACGCTGTGGAAGATTTCATGAACCTGCACCCCGAGTACATTCATCCCGATTCACTTTTCGACTTTGTAACCAACGACGAACCAATTGGTACCGGCAGGCTTGTCGTGGAACACAACTCGTCGTACAACCTTGCACATTTCTGGTCGAATTTCGAGATTGGGGATCTGAATTTCTTCCGGTCAGAGGCATACGAGTCATATTTTGATCATCTGAGTCGCACTGGCGGGTTCCATTACGAGAGATGGGGAGATGCTCCCGTTCACTCCATCGCCGTTGCGCTTCTCATGAACCAATCGGAGATCCATCATTTCGAGGACATTGGGTACACTCACGCTCCTTTTGCTACGTGTCCAACGTCACAGAGCATCATCTACGGCAAAAGATGTGTTTGTTCAGAGGCGTGCAAGGAGGACAACTTCAACGTGCACCCACACAGCTGTCTTCCTCGGTATTGGAAGTACAACGGTAAGAGATTTCTGCGAGAATATTACCATGAAGAAGATTATATCTAAAATACATTTGCATTCATCCGATTCCTATGAGAAAGTGGTTTCGAGTCTATTGAGCTCATCGAGAATTCTCTGTAGATCCACCTCGTCTTTTTTGTCGTTTAGACTAGGTATTAACGTAACGGCTTCGTCGATATCTTCGCAAGCAAGAGATCCGAGCTGGGCTGCCTCGAAAGGATGTAAAGCGCTGTTTTCTGTGCTCTTGAGTAGTCCCTCGGCAGCAGTACAGGTCTCTGTGTCTTTGAAACGAGCAAACGTGGACAGGTAGTCCAGAGTCTTGCGCAAAACCTCATTTGCTCCTGGAGCCGTGGCCATTCTTGCGAGCGTTTCGTCGTCGGCGTCCTCCGCGGAAAGCCCAAAGTCCTGCTCGTTAAACTTCTGCACGGTGGCCATTCTCTCCTTCAAGGCCGCTCTGATCAAAATACGGGCCTCAGAAACGTTCAGGGCCATGAGTTTTGTGTCGTTGCCATAGTTGTCCAGCTGGTTGAGCTGGAATTCTGGACCAAGCTTGAGCTCAGCAGCGTTTTCCTCGTCCTCCTGGAGAGTCGAGCGGGCCTTTCTTCTTCTGCTGGCGACCGTGGACGTGGAGATGTTCATGATTAAAAGAGTAATAACTTTTCAGTTATTTGGAGAAAATAACTGCTAAAAAAAGTCGTGCACAGAAACCCAACTAATTGGAGATATCATCATATTGACTATAAATACAAGGCGAAAATGCAGTCATACCACGTCTCTACGGGTCACAATGGATAGGTGCGACCTAGGGAAAGCCTAAGCTCCGAGCGGAGCAGGAGCAGCCTGCTCGGGAAGCGGCATGGCCACTGGTTTGTTGGCCCAGGCCATGTATCTTTGGAACATCATACCAACACCTTCAAACACTGCAAGCACACAGGCACACGTCACAGCACTGTTGAAGGTGTGTCTTGGACCACCTCTGATGGCCAACGAACCACCAACGCAGAAACCAGCCAGGATGGCGTTCCAAGCATCCTCTCTCTTTCTCACAGCCTTGATGGAACAGTCGTAAAACGAGAACAGTCCACCCCACACACCGAAGTTACCTCCAACAACCGGTGCTCTGGCCTTGATGGCGGAAATAGCTCCGATTCTTCTCTCTCCGTATGGGGAATTTCTGAACCCCTTGATCCCGTGCCACACGCATCCACCAATGACACCCATGGAAAACGCTCCACCGAAATCACTCAAAATCACAATTGGACATGGATCTCTGGAATGGTCAGCTTCTGGAGTAGACATATTGTAGTAGTTGAATAATCGACCAAGTTTTAAAAATTTTCAGCTTCTTGTCGGACCCGCACACTTTTCCGTCGTCGCTGCAAATTATTTGAGCGGTCGATCGGCGTACTTGAATATAGAGGAAAGAGCTTTAAAAAAAGGGTGTGAATACATGTATACGAGAGCTTAGATATTACCAAAACTCTTGGACCGTGGCTTCTTAACCACCTCGGGATTCAAGCCTCCCAGGTTCGCGCTGTTAGAAACCCCCAGATTCTTCGACGGCGGGTTCCAAACCCCGGTAAACGGCTGCTCCGTGATAAATGGATGCAGAATAGCTTCGTGAGGAGTCCATCTCTCCAGCGGGTTCAGATTCAGAACACCGTGCAGGAAGTGCGACAGACATCTCCGCTGTGCCATCTCTTTATCCACCATCTGCTGGGTCATGTTCTTCTTCGGAAGCCGGTAGTTCATTATGATGTCTTGCAAATATCTCTGCTCAAAATAGTCCTTACCAGGTGTCTCATTAACATTGAACTCGCGGGAATACTGCTCCATGCTCTTCAGTTGGTATATGTGCTTGCCATTGGGCTGCTCGATCTTGTTCATGAAGTTCTTCGAGTTCTTGGCCATGTCAAGCATCCAGATCGGAGGCATCCCCAACATTTGTATTATTCTGTAAAGTTGGTTGTACTCTGACGATCCAGGAAATATCGGGAGTCCCAAAAACAGCTCTGCAATGATACATCCCAAAGACCACATGTCCACCGAACTGGAGTACGACAGACCCAGCATCACCTCTGGCGACCGGTAGAACCGCGACTGGATATAGGTGTAGAATATCTGTCTCTCGTGACATGCGGAACCAAAATCAATCACTTTCAGATCGGGCTTATCCAACGAGACAAGCGATATGTTTTCTGGTTTCAGATCACAGTGAATCAATCCTGCATCTTTCAGCACACAAAGAGCATCGAGCAGTTGCACAGACAGTTTTCGAATCAACTTGATGGTGAGTCCATTAAATTGATTTTGACGAATTAAATCGTACAGATTAGACGACAGTAGCTCGAACACCAAACACAAATGGTTCTTGTGAACAAACTTGTCCTGTAATCTGAGAAAGTGGTGTTTATCTTCGGGATCAATCTTCTTATTAAGATGTTCCAAGATATTGGCTTCCGTCAAAGATTGATTGAGATAAACAGGGGTAGACTTGACAACTTTGATGGCGACTATCTCTTGGGTTTTGAGGTCCTGACACTTGACCACCTGACCAAAAGTTCCTTGTCCCAGCAAATCCAAAACCATGTACTTTCTGTTCTCTTCGGTTCCCAGAACGTCATTAACATACAAAATGTAGTCACTATCCTCGTTGTCGTTGCCATTGTTAGACTTGGGCTGACTAGGTTTCGTCAAGACCCGTTTTGGATTCTTGGAAGACCGATAGTCAAACTCAGGCTTGCACATGGAGTATGTGACGGAAATTGATGTGGTTAGCGCTCGGAGAGGAGAGATAAACGTCTTTGAAGACGACGCTCTTCTGTATTTTGGTTTTGCATTAATGAGGGGTCTGAGGTTCGAAGCAGACTCAATTCTTCGGAACTTTGGAGCTGGAGAGTACAGTTGGTGACTTTCCGGATCATTGTCGACTCCTTTTGGGAAAGACGGTAGCGCCGTTTTTGGAGCTGGTTCACCTCGGGAAAAATATCCCGCTGCCACAGACTGTCTTCTGTAAAAGTCTCCTGGGCCGAACTGAGCATTTTGGTCGTAATTATCTATGGGAGGAGGGGCATTGATCCGGGATGGAGGAATGATTTGGTATTGAGGATGAACGGACGCCGAGTTCTCAAATGTTGTTGGAAGACCTTGAGAATACGGTCTTGTTGGGGTTTGCATTAGAAGGGGAGAGTAAGAGTCCTCTGGGCCCACCTGTGTGTTGAGAGGCGCGAGTCTGGGAATTGACTTCTGGCCAAACCAAGGGTTTCGGAAATGGTCGAGTGAATTTGTCTCGCTTTGGTGACGTTTCAAAGTTTGATTGATATCGACGTCGGTGGCTCGATACTGCGACGGAGTCATCGAAGGTGGCGGAATCTGACTCGTGGATGCATACGAGTTCAAACTAGGAGCAAGCGAGGGTAATGAAGGTAATCGTTGGTGGGACATAGACAGCCGAGAAGTCAAGCGGGGACTCTCACTTGAAGCATTGGTAACCGAAGACGACGATGGTTGCGAATTGGGCAGAGACATCTGTTGAAGACCAGTGAGTACATGCTGTTGAGAGTCCAGACTTGGTTGTTGCATTTGAAAGTTCCTTTTGAACAAATCCTGGGTCTCCACAACAGGTTCCTGGTTCTGATGATGATCCATGGTAGATTATACTGGTGTCCAAGACCAAGAACACAGCCCTTGTGGACAAGACAAGCGAAAATATTAGATCAAATGGGGAAAACTCGAGCCCAATCGAAGATTATGCAAGGATGTTTGGGGTCGCCTCTTGTCTTGCGCTAACGAATCTATCAAAAATTTAGCAGCCGGATTTTTGAATGACAGAGAACAGGGAAAAAAGGTGGCATACAACATCTGACAGCAGGTATTTTTAGTTACGGATCACCAATGTCGCCGCGGCAGAGAGGATCAGAAAAATGGCCATGTGCGTGAATTATCGCCACATTTAGCTGCTGGTGCAGATTTCGATCTGATAATACTGGTCTAAAGGCATATTTTTGCAGTGTTCAACAACACCATAGTCGTGCCCGACACAAACACATTTTTTTATATCGCCGACATGGCTGTAGCTTATCAAAGTGGCACTGGAGTAACAATGGAGTGGTTGCAAGACCGAGTCACTCGCCAACTGTATAAAGGGGAAAGGAAATCTCGCTACGGAATTAGATTCGATTCAACTAAAATCTGAAGTTCAAATATTATACTATGGATCCTTAATTGTGGTATCTGTCCACGGACAAATACAAATTATCGCACTTAGTTTGGAACTTTGGTACCGCTGACTCTGGCAAGCCTGGAAGCAGCTCTCAAACGTGCACCGAAGAAGTACAACACGTACACCAGGGCCACAACCAGCAAGGAGATGAAGGCCAGGGTAGCCATGGCCCACTTGGCACTCATATTCTCGAACATGGCAATACCCGCGTGGGCAAGGGCAGCAGCGATGGAGAAGGAAGGAATGGTGAAGGCAGCGATACCGGAGTTACTCAATCCGGCCTCGGAGTAACTGTCAATGATATAGTTCAACATGCCCAACCACAGCAATGGGTCAGCGATACCCAAAAGGAAACCGGCCATGATTGGAGACCAGTAGTTGACGTTACCACTGCAGGTGAAAGCGAACCAGAACAATGAGATAGGGAATCCCCAGACAGTGACAAGAGAAGTGAGGAATCTAGCTTCTGGTCTTGGAATACCTCCGTTTCTTTCTCTGTCACGTTTAAAGAGCCAGGTTTGGATAGGCACGAGGAACACCACGAGACCGGCACTCACCACAAAGTTCAAATACGTGAGCTCGGCGCCCATGGCGGTAAGGTTGTTGTTGTACACAAACACAGTAAAGATACCGTCAAGGTACAAGAACAGCAAACCGTAAGCGAAACCGTTGAACAAACCGAGGAAAATAACAATTGGCTCGGTGGTCATCATACGCAAAGCCATAATACAGATAAACTTGATTTCGCTGAGAGCACTGACCTTGTCCACAACAATAGTGGTGTTTGGGTCTTCGGCGTCTGTGACTTCGTGCAAAAAGTCTGGCTCTTTACCAGTGATGGTCTTGGCAAAGTACTTGAACTCTCTGACAAAGTATGGAGGAACAGACTTACCCTCGATGGCCATTCTTTCTGGAATAACGATTCTTGGCAAAGTTTCTGGCATGAACATTAAGCCAATAACGAAAGCAGCACCGATGATGATATTGATCAAGAACACCCACTTGAAGCCCAAGTTGACGTTCTCACCAATAGCCTCACCAATAACACCTCCAACGGAAGGACCAGCGTTGGCAGAGAAAACGAAAAGCGACATTGGCTGAGAAGCAACGTCAGAGTTTCCGAAGAGATCACCAATAGTACCAGCAACATTAGAAAGCGAGGTAGAACCACAGACACCAATGATGAACATGAAGATGGCGAGCATAGGCATGTTTTTAGGGTATGCACATCCAAAGTTGAAAATAACATACAACAGGATAGAAATGACATAAACCCATTTTCTACCTCCAATATCGGACAAAGGACCAAGGAAAGCTGGACCCACACCAGTTCCCAAGATGAACATGGACTGACCAAGGGCAGAGACCTGGGCGGTGGTACCAAATCTTTCTTGGACAATCCACTCGACAGCAACATAAGAAGTCGAAGTCATGTTGACATAGGCCTGCAAAAGACAGTAGATACAAACGATGAGGTACTTCTTCCAAACTGGCCAGTTGTATGGATGGTATGGGTTGTCCAGAGTGAAAAGGACCGAGGCCTCGACTGGGTCCTCAGTGATATCCTTGAGTTCAAGTCTCTTTTTCTCAGAGGTGATAGGAGAAATAGTCTGCTTCTCTGAAGCTTGACTGATCACCGCGTCATGTTGCGACTCTTCGGAAGACATTTCAAAGTTACAAGAAGTTTGCAAAGCTGAAATATTTATGGAGCCTTATCAAGATAAGATTTGTTTGCAGCTGGACTGTGCAACCGAAAATTTTTTCTAAGGCATCCGAAATCGTCTTATGCAAGTATAGCAGACGCCGCGGCATCATGAATAAGTCTGCACTCAGATAATAGAAATACCCTTGGCTCGCCGCGGCTTTTTGGGCGAAAAATCAAACGGGAGGCGTATTTGGTCTCTGCATAAGTGGTATTTCCGCAAACAAACTAATTGTCAATTGGGTGATAAGAATACGAGCCTCTCCACTCGGCACTGGCATTCCTTGAAAATCTTGCGTTCTGCACTAACACCTTAATACCGAATGTCCTCTCACAAATCGGACGTCAGATCGAATGTTTGGTCGGAGCTGATCAAAGTTGCGCTGCCGGACTCGAAATTCCACTTCAACTTCGCAGAGTTTATTGCGGACTTTCAGGGCTCTTCAAAAGCAACGAATTTTTTCAAGCAGGACGATTCTTATAGGTTATCCAAGGTTTTATTCATTACGCCTGATAATTGTTTGGAGCAGCTCAGATATGAGGCGTTGAAAGATGGCAAAACCGTTTTGATGACCACCTATGGGATATATAGAGGGTTTTGGTTGCTGGATCCTGCAAAGATCGACCCATCCAGGTATGAGTACGCCTCGACATTGGACGGCATGGAGAAGGTTGCTGAGCATCTTTCTTTGGAGAAAATGATCGAAATGCAGTTGAAGGTGGATGTAATGATAACAGGAACAGGCGCTATCAACAAGAAAGGCGTTCGTTTCGGAAAAGGTCATGGTTTTTTTGATTGCGAATGGGCAATGCTTTACACCATTGGAGTGATAAATAAGTCGACTCCTGCCGTCGCGTTTGTTCACGACTGTCAATTATTGGATCAGGAATTGAAACCAGAGGTGTTTGACACCGTTTGCGATATTGTTGTCACCAACAGCCAACTCTTGAAAGTTGAGCCTGTTCCTAAGCCGTACTGCGGTATCCTGTGGGACCTGCTCGATCCCAAAATGTACGATACCATTCCGCCATTGCAGGAGCTCAAGAAATTGGACCTGGCGGTTCCTGCATGATTAGATGTAATTAGATCCGTATCCCTGTTTACCGGGTGAAAAGGGGGAGAAATAATAAAAATTTAATTATTGTTTACTTTGTCTCCCATTTTCATGAAGAGTCTTCTAACAAACGAATCTGAACTTGATTTGGCAATTGTGAGTACAAACGCCAAAAATCTAACATTAGGCCATTTCAATAGTGAAAGCCAGGAAAACTACAAAGCTTTCCCTTAAACGTAGGTACATTCCATATGACATCTAACAATAGAATATGTATCAAAATTGAAACAAAAACTAAAGACTGGACCAGTCAAGAGGCTGACATACATACCAACTCTTGAGATTGACGACAAGTATAGGAAAACTATACAGAAAATTGGAGTTTCTTCAAATGGATCCTTCACCAAAAATTCCCCCATCATATCCCTAAATGGGTTGGATGTTAGATATATACTAGAGATCCTACAATATTTGATTGAAATTGACCATAATTCTACACTTCCCTTACAAAACTATCTTGTGAAGTTTATTAGACTTGCCCCTCTCACTTTGGAGTCACACATTCAACGTGGAAGACTGATTACACTAGTTCAAGAAATAATGCTTGTGAACTCAACTACCAAAAATTCAACAGTCCATTTTAAACTCCTAGTCAATGTCTACTGCTTTCTGGTGAAAGAGTGCACCGCTAAGATTTCTCTGAGAGTTCTGAACTTGATGACTCTCATCCAAGACTTCATCATGGCAGCACACGGATTATCAATAGGTAAAGATCCCTCAAGATATATGGAATTGGTGGCCGAACATCGATACAGATCGAACCAAAAAATCGAACAAGCCCTCTCCCTCCCAGTTGAGCAATTCCAGACTCTCTTATACTACTTGCTGAAACTCCTTGCCACAATCCTCCAACTAACAAACAATTCAGTCAAGAGGAAAATGAAGAACCAGTTTCTGGCGAAAAGAGAAAGACTGCAAGCATTTCTGATTCTCAACGGAAACATCGAACTTTTGAAACTACTGAAACAATGCAACGTTTAGATCTTCAATCATTCATCATGCAATATTATTAGGGTCTTGAGCGATTTATATAGTCTTGGCAACATTTCTCACTGGATCGAAATACGGATGCATCATACTTTCCTTGGCTGTCAATCTCTCGTTGTGGTCATATCGCAGGATCTTATCAATGAAATCCAGAAACTCGTCGCTCACCAAATGCTGGTTGTTCTGGTTGACATAACGAACCCATTGCCGTTTCAAATAGTGTCCCAAGTCCTCATACTGGGGACCCAAGGTCAAGTTATATTTTTTCAAATATTGGTACAGCCCGTCTGTACCTAAAACTCTAGCAATTTGAACCAATTGATCTGTGTTTGACTTGCCATGGAAAAATGGTTCTCGCTGGAACACTATCGAGGCAATTGTGGCCCCGAATGACCAAATGTCCAGAGAATAGTCATAATACCTAAAGTCAACTAGCAACTCCGGGCCTTTGAAATATCTGGAGGCAACCCGCACATTATACTCGCGACCAGCATGATAGAACTCTGCCAGTCCCCAGTCGATCAATCTCAGCTTCTTTTGATTGTGGTCAATCATTATATTATGAGGTTTAACGTCTCTGTGCATGATACCCATTGAATGAGCATAGTCCAACGCTTCAAGAACTTGAAACATATAATAGCGCACCTCTGTGTCGGAAAGGTGTGGATACAGTATACGGAACTCGATGTTGTCAACGTACTCAAACACCAATGCCGAGGTCTTTGAAATTGAATCTCTCACAACGTCCAATAGTTGAATAACCTGTGGACCTCCATTCAAATTTTGCAAGATTTTGATCTCACGCTTGATCTTCTTCCGCTTCACAGGCTTCAAAACCTTGATGACGACTTTCAAACCCGTCGGAAGACGGTATCCCTCGAAAACTTCACTGTACTTGCCCCTTCCAATTTTCTGGGTAACTTCGAAGTTGGACTGCGAACCCCACGAAATTGACAGGTTCTCATAGTTCCAATAAGACTGAGGCTTATTATCGTTCACGTCCGCGTACACCCGAGATATACTAGACATCGAATTCAACGGCACACAGTGCTTTTGCCTACAATTTATCCAGCCATTTTTTTCGGCAAGCAGTGAATGGTGCACGGATGTTGTTTTAAAGGTTTTGCAAACGGTATGTACTACAGGCCCTTGAGGTTGTCGATGAGCTCTGAGTGTTTCTGTTTCTCATCGGACTTTGAGTTCAATGGCTCTAAAGAACGGATATCTCCCAGAATGTCTTTTGTCTTACCGAAATAGACCTCCTGGAGCAGGTTTCTGAGTCTGCTTTCGATATCTTCCACCAAGGACCCCACATTTGACACATGCGAAGCAGAGTCCTTGTATTCCAACTCCTTGGAAGTTTGTCTAGTGAGGTTTCCACTCAGATAGATGTCCAAGGAATCGGAGTTCGAGATGTCCAAAATGACGGTCGATGTCACTTTATATGTTGCCTTATCGCCTGATCCTGGTATTATTTCAATCACATGGATAGAGTCCCACGATCCGCCGTCCTTTGGGTTGTTGGAATCGACGGTTTTCTTCAACAAAACGACACCAGCAAACCCAATCTTTCCCGAAGCATCAACATCGTCGTCCTCGGAGTCCCAGAAATAAACACTCGAGATACCTCCTTCGTAATACAGTTCTCTGTATATGTCGAAGGACTTGTTTGCAAAGGTCTCGAGCTCTCTAAGATGAGCAGACGGATGTGGGGCGTCTTCTTCGTCGTCTAATTTGGGATAGAAAGTGTTGGACCAAGGCGATCTGTAAGAGTCGCCGTCTCTGTTATAATCGCAACAGAGATAGTTCTTGCCGGATTCTTCGCATCTGGCCGTTTTCAATGGAGTGTCAACAGAAGACAGCAATTCTTCAGCCAGGTCGGGCTGAAGACGGCATATATTTTCGAGGTTCTTATGGATATTCTTCGGATCCAGCCGTCTAAGCAAGTCCAATGAGGCGTCAAGTTTTTCTTCAGACTGGAAAGTTAGTCATTGAGCCGGATAAAGTAGGAATCTTACCATTGCTTGTGGAATAATACGTTGTCAAAATAAATCCACAAAACTACAATTTACCCAAAATTCAAATGGCGGACACAAATTATCTTACCATGGCTATTGATTTGATTTCTCTGTTGCCTCAAGCCCCGGGATATTTGCCCAAATGGCTATTCTTTGTAAGTCAATGTGCTCGCCTCAATGCTAACGTTTCAGATATCTGCCGTTAGCGTGTTCAATTCCGTTCAAACATACGTCAACACTGACCTCACCAAACGTGTGTACGAGGCCAACCCGAACGCAGTCACCCCACTGTCCGCCAGAACCTTTGGAACTTGGACATTGCTGGCTGCCATCGTGAGAATCTACGCCTCATACTACATCTCCAACCCTCAGCTCTACGACGTGTGTCTTTACTCGTACGTGTTGGCACTCTTGCATTTCGGATCGGAATGGCTGCTCTTCAAAACAGCAAAATTCGGTAAAGGTTTGCTGGGTCCATTGATTGTGGCAACCACCTCCATCACATGGATGGTGTCAAAAAGAAACGAGTATGTTGTATAATCAACGAATCATTCATCCAATTACTAAATCAATGTTTTGTAGGGTCCTGTAATTTCAAAACTTCAACAGCAGGTCCAAGCAGTCTCTGGAACCCGCTCTTGTCCAAAGTGACAACTTTCAGCGTGCTAGAAGCCTTCACCGTGGCTTGACGTGGAGAGTCATATAGAAGCGCAAGCTCTCCGAAATAATCACCCTTGTTAAGCTTGGTAACAACTCCTTGTCCTTGTTTGATCACGTCGGCAGTACCGTCTTCGATGAAATAAAAATTCTCTCCTGCCTCACCTTCAGTGACCACATTCTGGCCAACAGTATAGGTTTCTGTGTTAAGCGCATCTGCCAGCTTCGAGCGCTCGTATGACGAAAGAGATTTCAAAACAGGAATCTCCTTGAGGAAGTTTTCGTACATGGTTCTCTTCTTGGAAGTGCCTTCCAGAAGAATACGTCTGAACGTCATTCTGTCCAAAGCCCACAGAATACACTCGGATTGTGCAATTGCAGTGGCGGCTCTTGGCGAGTTGTACATGAGCGCAAGCTCACCAAAAGACGAGCCTGGGCCCGAACTGTTCACCTTCTGTCCATTGACGTAGAAATCCACACTGCCCCTCTCCACCACGTAGAAGAAGTCTCCCTCGTCGCCCTGTTTGATGATCTCAAAACCTTGCGGAACGTGTTTTTCCTCCAAAGCGAAGATGATGGTTTTCAAAGACTCTTGATCCAATTGGCTAAATAGAAAGTTTTTGATCACACTTGCGTTCAGTCGTTGCAGCTGCTCAGAAGTGAATTGATGAACAGGAGGTTTCCAGCCGTCTTCACCAAACGTGTCTGGGTTCAAGGCCTCTGCAGAAACACTGGTTCTTCTGTTGGCGTTGATTCTCATGGTTGTCTTTGCAGCAGAGGCCGCAAACCCAGACCGGCTGGTCGGCTTTGCCGTCTCGACACTGTCCGTAGGTCCCAAACTGGCCTTGGACGTAGGTGCTGACGTATTAAATGGAGATGACTCGAACGAGGTTCTGAACAGTCCTGCTGCAGGTTCTGTGGTGGATTTGGCCTGAGGATCTTCCGAGTCTAGTGCCTGATGCTTGGTATGAGGGTCGTTGTCCGACAATGTGTATTTGAATTGCGGAATTGACTTCCGCTGGGCCTCCTGAGCAGACTCGTCTGCAGACGGGAACAAAACAAGTCCCTGCGATGCAGCCTTTTGTTTCTGACTCCACAAATACTGTCTTTGCTGTTGTAATCTGTTTCCGAAGTAATTGTAGCAAAACTGCAACACATCTGTCGGGTTCTGTGTTTTGAATTGCCTGTCGAGCTCGGCCAATTCGTACGTATATTCTTGGAAATTGGACATGGTCAAAACAAAAGAAGTAATTTAATTTTGCCTTTAAGCTGCTTGTTTCAATCTGTTAACGAGGAGACAGCTGCTACCGTGCACCCGTACACCGCAAACCGCGAGGGTTGAAAAAACTCTCGTAAACTTTTCAGAGCTCTGCCATCCACCCCCGCGACAATAAGCAACGCCGTTTCGCGATGGCACCTTGGTGTCAGGCGGTTACACTACTTTCCTAGACGTGTCTCCAAGAAAAGAATTGGGCCCACCAAATTCCACGTATGAATCATACTGGCATTAGGTATCTCCATGCGCAAATCCGCTCTTTTTATTGTAATTGATCTCGGTGTATTGTTGTAGTGCCTATTGTTTTCCCGCTGATAAAACTTATACATATTTAGTCAAGATAACCCGAATTTAGTTTTATTCTTCTTCTTTCATGACTATAGACTGGACCACGTACTTGAGCCACGAAGCTAGTCTTCGTAAACCTTCTGTGATGAAGATGATGGGACGTCTTGGAAAGGTGATCTCCTTGGGGGCAGGGCTCCCTCATCCAGATTGTTTCCCTGTTAAATCGGTGAGCTTTGACTATCTTTCCCCCGAATCCAATTTCGAGTCCACCGACAAGATCGAGGTTCCAGATAATGAGGCGTTATACGAGGCCCTTCAGTACACCTCTGGTAGAGGAACGTCCTATTTTGACAAGTATTGCAGACACCACATAGAGATACACCAAAAGCCCAAATACAACGATTGGGATATAGTTGTTACCGCCGGTGCCACGCAGTCTTTGGAGGCTGTTTTAAGACTTTTGTGCAACCCGAACGAGGACACAATTCTTGCCGAGGAGTTCACGTACCCTGCGTTTCTTGAATGTTGCAACCCGATGCGGTTGAAAGTTTTCGGGGTGAAGGTTGATCAGCATGGGGTCTGTCCAAAAGATCTTGATCAACTGCTCACCAACTGGTCTGGAGAGCACAAAAAGCCAAAACTAATTTATACAATGCCGGTGGGGCAGAACCCGCTCGGAATCACTATGACTTTGGAGAGAAGAAGCGAGTTCTATAAAGTTTGTCAGAAACACGATCTAATCATTGTGGAGGACGACCCGTACTACCATTTGCAATTGGACTCCAAGCAGAAACTTCCAAGTCTGTTGACCTTCGACACCGACGGAAGAGTGATTCGGTTCGACTCGTTTTCCAAGATCATGACTCCGGGTGCCAGATGCTCCATTGTCACTGCCAACCAGACGTTCATCACCAAGCTGGTTGTGCACAACGAAGTTGGAATTCACTCGTCCGCTGCTCCATCCCAGCTGATCTTGCACGAGCTGCTGAAAACGTGGAACGATGAAGGGTTCGACAAGTGGGTGGAGCATCTGTGCGATCACTATCTGAAAAGACGGGGCATTTTGGACGATGCATTCAACAAGTACCTTGACAAATCGCTGTGTTCGTGGAATTTGCCGGACTCGGGGATGTTCCTTTGGATCGAGATCGACCAGTCTGCGTACCCAAAACCTGCAAACGTGGAGGAGCACCAGTGGCCTGCGCAGCTCGAGGATATGATCTTTAATGAGAGCGTGAGCAACGGAGTTCTGCTGGCCAAGGGCCATTGGTTCATGGTCGACCAAAACCTACAAAAAGTCGGGTTCAGAGCCACATACGCGTTTGCTGAGGAAAACGAGCTGGTTGCTGCGAGCCAGAAATTCGGCCAGGCGCTCAAGTCTGTGCACGAAAAGCTCAGTGCTAAATAATATAAAAGCCCTGGAAAAACGGGACGAGACTTGATTCTAGAAAATCCGGAGATATATTTTATTCAAATAATTAACAAGTGACAGCAAATAGTTTGGTCAATTATGAAACTTAGCCGCTCATTGTTGCTCGTTTTCCTCGCACTGGTCGCCCAGGCCGACGAGGTTGTTCGTCCGGAGTACACGCCGTTGGAGCTGCAAACAGACGCCTTTTTCGAGCAGTTTAACGATTCGTGGGCTTCCAGATGGAAGGCTTCCCACAGCAAGCGCGACAACAATTTTGTTTATAGAGGAGAGTGGAGTGTGGAGGAGCCCGTGGTGAACCCTGGTTTCAAGGGCGACAAGGGTCTGGTGGTGAAAACCGAGGCCGCGCACCATGCAATCAGTGCTGTGTTGCCTACCCCATTCGATAACACTGACAACACTCTGGTTTTCCAGTACGAGGTGAAGCTTCAAAAAGGTCTTGAGTGCGGAGGTGCGTACGTCAAATTGTTAAGCGCCGAAGGGGGACCTTCTGACTCCAAGGAGTTCAACAACGACTCGCCTTACCAGGTCATGTTTGGTCCTGACAAATGTGGAATGTCCAACAAGGTGCACTTCATTATCCGCAGAAAGAACCCGGTCACTGGTGAGTACGAGGAGAAGCATCTTAAGACACCGCCAATGGGAAGAGTCGTCAAGACCACCTCTTTGTACACTCTGATCATCAAGCCTAACCAGGACTTTGAGATCCGGATCAACGGTGAGGTTGCCAAGGCAGGCTCGCTGCTGGACTCGAGATACTTCGACCTTACTCCTCCAAAGGAAATTGACGACCCAAACGACGAAAAGCCAGCAGATTGGGTTGAGGATGAGATGATCCCTGATCCAGATGCCAAGAAGCCAGAGGACTGGGACGAGGACGCTCCGTACTTGATTGTGGACCCGACCGCTTCCAAGCCGGACGACTGGGACGAGGACGCGGAGGCATACATTCCAGATCCAGACGCTGTGAAGCCAGAGTACTGGGACGACGAAGAAGACGGAGAGTGGCTCGCACCAAAGATTCCTAACCCATTCTGTGAGGAGCACGGCTGTGGACCATGGACGGCCCCAAAGATCAGAAATCCAGAGTACAAGGGTAAATGGACTCCTGAGCTAATTGAGAACCCAGCCTACATTGGACCATGGGCCCCAAGAAAGATCGCCAATCCAGAATACTATGAGGACCCAACACCGTCCAATCTGGAGCCAATTGGCGCATTGGGATTCGAGCTGTGGACCATGACCGATTCTATTTTGTTCGACAACATCTATTTGGGCCACTCGATCGAGGAAGCTGAGTTTATCGGTAACAAGACGTTTGTTCCTAAAGTGGAGATTGAGGAGCAAGTTGCGGCTTCGAACGCACCAAAAGCTCCGTTCGAGCCAGAAAAGCCTCAGGAATTTGATACCGACAAGTCGGTGATCTCCGATCTGTTCGACAATGGTGTCGGATATCTGTCGAAGGTTTATGCTTCGGGAAAGCTCTACTGGGCAGACTTCTTGGAAGATCCAGCTCCAACTCTTTTGAACCGTCCAGGTGAGGCATTTTTGTTTTCCTCTGTGGCCGTTGGAACTTTGACCACCATCTTTGCTCTTTCTGCTACTCTCGTGAGTATCGTGTCCAGTCTGGTGACGTCTCCTGCTCCTCAGCCAGTGAAGAAGACAGAAACCGCACCAAAGATCGAGCTCATTGACGAAAAAGCCACTGCTACCGAATCCAAGATCAACGAGACAGAGGCCGTGAAGAGAGGATGAGCAGGGATTGTTCTTTTGCATCATTTTATAGCTTGATTCGAGTGTTGATACACTCTCATTGAATTTTTCACTGTAGGCCACCACCAATTAAGTTTGGTGCACTCGACACATCTGCCCTTAATTGGGATCATCGGACTTGTAGAGTCGGCCGGCGACTCAGAATCTTTCAGCATATCATTAGCCCAACACTCGGCGTGGTACAGTGCTTGACAGGAATCGTTTACGCAGAAACACGGCGCATGATCCACTGGGTCCACCACCTGGTTGCAAATTGAACATTGTCGTAAATCATTGTTTTCGAGTTTTTCCACCGACTTTTCAAATACCTTGTCTTCTTCTGCCGCAAGAGTCTCCACAAATACTTTGATCTGGTCGTAGTTGCCCCCCTCGATCAACTTGTCCTGGTTCTGCTGGAAATCGAGGGTCAAAAGCACAGACTCCGGAACGGCCACGTTGTACTTATTTGTCACCCAGATGTCGTAGATGTGTTTTTGAAAGATGGCGACACGCAGACCCATGCGGACAAACCCGGCTGCTGCCAGCAACAGTTTCACGTTCGCGATCCGCAGGTGCACCGTGGAGCTTGATTTGGAGCCCAGTCTTTTTTCCAGCGGAATATGTCGTGTTTGGTAGAAATGCTGCCATGCGTGCTCAAACTGTAAGGCGGCGATCTTGGACGGGAACCCATAGACAACCATGGTCATCTGCCACGGTCTGAACCCTGTCTTCTTTGTTCTGTAAGCTCCACCCACAGAGAGCTCTCCGTTATGCTGGCGGAGCCGTCTGTACGGGTTTGGAGTGGATCCGATATAGTACGAGTTCGGCTTCGACACCGATCGCAGCAGGTACACGCAGTAGAACGGCGGCGGCACCTGGAGATTGTGCGACATCTTGCTTGTAATAGAGAGAAAATTAAAGGTCGTGCGCAGTACTTTAAATTTTATTTGTTTACAAAACACTGTAGACAATTTGTTTTGAATCTTTAACAACTACTCTTGATGGCTCGACCAAGTGCAATTTACAGATCGTCGCAGCCGACGGCAATCCCACGAACAAGATACAAGTTCCCGCTTCTGGAGTCCAAGGAGCTGGTGTCGCTGTTCGATACGATGGACTTCGACATCAGTGAAGCCATGTTGATGAAGCCTACACCTAGTTTCATGCAAAGTCTGATAGAGCAAATTATGGACAAGTTTTTGTACGTTTCGCCACACTCGCTGAAACAGAAGATTCAACAGATCGAGACAAACGAGCAAGACGACCAAGAAGGGTTGCAGAACTCTTTGAATGTTGTTGCTTGTCAGAGAATAATGCACAAGTTTTTGTGCGACTGCGGAGTCGACGACTTTAGTATTCGGGACGTGGCGAAACCAGAACCGTCGCGAGTGCGCATCATTTTGAGCGCGTTGATCAACTACGCGAGATTCAGAGAAGAGCGGATGGGCGACTGCGAACAGCTGTTGGCATCGAGTGAAAACACGCTAGCACAGTACAAAAACGCGTTGAAAGTTAACAATTCGCTCAAGAAGAACTACGATGACCTCACAAACAAGATCTCGCACAACGGATACAACGAGGAGGAGATTAATGCCAAAAACCAACAGCTCCAGAACGAATTGAAAAGTCTTACCGAGACCCAGCAGCAGCTCGCGGCCTCCCGCGCAGAGTACAAGACCCAGAAGTTTGGGCTTATAAGAGAGTTGGAGAACCAGAACTCGCTCTTGCTGGAGTGCGAAAAGGAACTCGAGAAACTCACTCCGTACGTCAGAGAGTCGCCAGAGAGCGTCAAGGAGGTTATTGCGCGTTTGAAAGAGAGCTTGGTGAGCGAACAAGCACAGTTGACCGAGCTGGAACTCAGATCGAAAAACATGTCTATCTCAATGGACTCCTTCCAGCAGCTGACTCACGAGTTCCGCAACTATCACCGACTTCTTGAAGAGATCCAGATCGAGTTCAACAAGCAAGAAAAGTCTTCAGAGTCGATCCAGAAACTACAAGAGGAGATCCAGCGGACCGATGTCGAGCTGAATGACAAGACAAGACAAATCGGTCATTTGTCGAAGCATCTGGCCTCACAGAAGGAAAAACTTGTGCAGTTCAAAGAAAACACAAACCAGAAACTGGTACAGCTTGAACAGAAACTCAACGAACTGCGCCAGGAGAGAACACAGCTGTTGCAGAAGAAAGTGGAGGAAGACGAGATTGTCAGAAACAAAGAGAACGAGGCCATCGACTGGGAAACTCAGGCAGAAAAGCTCCGCAAGGATTTCGAGTCTGAGTGCAAAGGCGCCAGCTACGAGATGAAAGAACTGAACTCTAAAATCAACTTCTACGTGGACGAGATGTCCAATCGCATCAACCAGTTCGCCGCCGAGTCATTCTGATGGTACTATACACGTTTTGATCAATTCTTGTCCGAATAGAACAGTTGCACGAAATATTCCTTGGTGTCGTTGTCCCAGAAATCCCAGATCCGTCCCTCTGCCATATCAATCGGCTCGCTAGGGATCTTGAACCCGATATTCTCGTACGGTTCGCCGCTGACCACCAAGTACTGGAAGTTGGTATTCAATGGCTCGATTTTCTGCTCAAAGCACGACATCAGCCGGTATTTCGGTTTCACTCCGCTCGCCAGCTCCGGAAGCTGGACCTGGAACAACAGGCCTTTCTGGAACGTATCTTGGTCTCTGATTTTGGTCACTTTGTAAGCTGGTCGCCCGATCTTTGTATACTTTTTCTTAGGAATCGCAGATATCCCAACGACTTTTCCCTGTTCCTGTTTGACTGGCTTCTTATCGAGCTCTGCACGTCTCATTAACGCCGTCTGGTGTTTCTTCCCGTGCGTGTGTGTCACGTACGAGCTCTCTGAAAGGTGTGTAGTGAGACATAAACGGCACTCCAGCATGCCCATGTGGTTTTTAAACACATAAGGGTCGTTGTCGAGGTCGATCTGCGACAACATCAGCTGCCGCAGCCGTTCTCGGCGGTACTGGTTGGTTTCAGCGTTGCCAGCAACGCCTCCGCTGCCTTTCTTAGACCCCACTCTATTCTGGTAATCCATTTAAAGTGCAAAAAAAAACTAACACGCTTGAAAAAGAAAATGAAGGATGCGAGGTTCGAACTCGCGCGGAATTTAATCCAATAGATCTTAAGTCTACCGCCTTAGACCACTCGGCCAATCCTCCACAATATTGAGGATTTGTGACCAAGTGTGGTTAAATACTGGAGGAATGGAATAGTCTATAAGTATACACCCGTATCATAGATGGGGCACGTTCAGGCTGGTCAGGATCATGTTCATCACGCTGAAGAGCCCCTCTCCAAGCACCAGGCCGCTGCTGAAGATGATTAAACGCACCCGGGCGTCGGAATTGCCCAACGCCATTTTTTGTAGCCAAACGTACGACAACAGACCCCCGACAAACCGTGCTAGCGTGAAGGAAGGAATGTTGTAGATGCCAATTCCCACGGGAACTCCGCTCGGCAGATATATCAAATACTTGTGCCACTTGGATTCGGGAGAAATGGTGTTTTTGGCAAATGAGATGATTGCAAACAGTATGCCCAGCACAACAGCGAACTCAAACACGCGAGGTGGCAGTCCGGAACCGTTCACCAGTCGCGCACAGTCGATCCAAATGATGGCTGTTGGGATCTTGAACATCTGGTTTGGAATCTCGTATATGGTGTTGTAGAGCTTGTACATTATAGCACTAAGCACCACAGAGAACAGAGAGCCGTATATTTGAGCGACAAACTGTGCTTTTGGCGACGCGCCAAGGAGATAGCCTGTTTTGAGGTCCTGCATCAGGTCACCGGCCTGTTGGGTGGCGGCCTCGGAAATTGCTCCGGAGATCAGGTTGATCAGAATGGCTCCTGGCTGCGACTTTGGAATGATGAGCGCAAAGATCAGCTGCGACAGCTTGCCGATCCCGCTCACCGGGTTGAGATCCGTCTCTCCCAGGGCTCTCACTCCTAACACGGAAAGGAAGAGAGAAAGCACGATGGCTGTGACAATGGCATAGAGCGGGATGACGGGGCCAAACACGATTTTCGTGCACACAACGCACGCCAACGAGGAAACGATCAGTCCAACCACAGTGACGGTGGTAGAAACCTGGTGTGACTCGTCCAGGTCAACGTAGGTCGACCTGTCTGTTAGATCAGAGGCCACCAATGACGGAGGAGCTGAAATTTTCACGTTATCAGCGGAGTTTCCTCCGTGGTACGTGCTGTTGGACACGTCCTCGTCGGATGGAGGCTCGTTCTCGTCTATCAGACGTTCAATCTCGTCGGCAAAGTTTGGATCTGTCGGAGTTTCAGACGAGCTGGAGGAGTCGGAATAATATAGAGAGTAGAGGGACTTGAACACAATGACCACAAACGAAACGATCGAGTCGCTGATCATGATGGCCAAACTGATCCACATGATCCAGCCCTCGGCTCCGTCTTTCCAGTCGTCCACCGGTCCTGGGGCCCAGCCCATCTTTTGAGCCAACGGACTAAGAACACACCATCCCAGAACCATACCAACCATCATATAAGCGGTGGTTGCAAATCCCATGATCATTCCTTGGCCGATGTATGAAGGAGAAGGCTGGAAGTTGATCATATACGATTTGGACAAGTTTGACCCGAGGATCGGTATGCTTTTGATCTGTGGAACAAAGTACCCGAAAATGGTGTAGACAGACGATACGCTGGCTGTGGATATAAGAAGCTTGATGTTTGTTTGGTATGTTTCGAGTTGCTGGAGCTGACACAGGTCCTGCGACTCGACGATTGTGACATTATTGGGGGTGGTGGTTGGCTCTAACACGGGCTCGAGCTGTTCTTGCGGAGCTGGCTGGACTGCTAGAGCTGGCTTGGACTCCACGTTGATGGTCGTTCCGTGGAAAACGGAGATCAGTGTTGCTGTGGCGCTGCCACTGGGAAACGGGAGCTTTTCCTTGATGATGAATTGTCTTCGTAGTGGAACAGCAAAAAAGACTCCAAAAAACGCGAGACCCAGGGCCCAGACCGTCAGCTTCCAAAGCGGCTGGAGATCAATCCCCGACTCGTACCCGCTCTCTGAATCAGTCATGAGCTTCTCGATGGCCGGAATGATGCCAACAAACCCGTACGCCAAAGGCCCCGTCGCGACCGCCACAGAAACACTTTGAACAAAGACGTTCTCGACATCGGTGAATTGACAATGGAGACGAGACTGGAGACTGCGGAAGATCGAAAAGCCCAGCAATGCAGATGGAAGAGACATCATCGAAACCCAGCCAGTTTGAAGGCCGAACTGGAAGTTGGACACGAGGATAATCGACCCTATCAGGAGCCCCGCAACTGTAGACCGAAAAGTCACCTGGGGCAGGGCAGCCTTTGCATCCCAGGGCATATCGTTGGGCAGTTTGGCCGTGATCGGCATGGTTCAGTAGACTGGGCGGTTGATGAAACAACGCTGTTAAATACAACAGTACTAGAGTAGCGGATAAATAAGCCTAATATAGTGAAAAATTAAAAACTTATCGCTTTTTTCCTCTCCAGGAATTGCTCCCGCTATCAAAGATCGGGCTGTGTAGGTTAAAACCAAGCTCTCTATGCAAATAAAATGTACTTAAGGATGTCGCTAAGAGTGATGACTCCAATCAAGCGGCCATCGTCATCCACCAAAAACAGTCTATGGAGCCGCGATTTACGCACGGTCTCCAAAATCACACACAGGTTATCTTTCAAAGTGCACGTGTAAACTCCCTCGAAATCATCAGATCGTTTCATCAATGCTTCGCCCACGCTCAGCGACAAATCCGCGTAAACTCCACCTTTTATAAGCGACAAAACATCCACCGCCTCGTACACGTTCACCAGCTTGTCCTGGTCGTCCACGATTGGAACAGAGCTCACCGACTTGGAGATCAGCATATGGATCACGTCCATCACCGGTGTTTCCATCTTGACCGCAGAACATCCTTTCGTGGTTCCCACATTCAGCTCACTGAGCGGTTGTAGCAACATTCGCGACTCTTTGCAATTCATACTCACAAACTTCAGAATCCGGTACTGTGTCAGCACAGAGACCACAATTTCTCGGTTTGTCTTTTCGTCTCTGTCGATCAGCGGAATTCTTCTCGCAGAACTCTCAATCATCTTCACACACGCCTCATACAGCGATTTGAACGGATGGATCGAGATAGTCTCCATTTGTGGTACTCCAATCACCTTCTCGACGTCCCGGAGCCCGTCCAACGTCAAGTTATCCACAAACTGGAATTTGTCTGGATTTTGCGAGTAGTATTGGATCACGTTGATGAAGTCGCTCGAGGTAAGTAGGCCCGCAAACTTGGACGTCTTGCTGTTCCACAGCGGGGCAGAAACAATGCTGTTCTGTAGGAGGATGTTCAATGCGCGTTTCACCAGCAATGTGGTTTCGAAAACAATCAGCCGATACGAAACAGGAAGAACGTCGAACGAGTTCTTGCTTTCTAGGAACGTCCTGATCGCCTTTACGGCGAATTCTTGGTCTCTCCGAATCTCCTCGCTGCTCGAGGCCCCGGCAATTTCTTCTGCCATCTTATTATTGCTTGACTGCAACTTATGTATTTTCCCCATTTTTTTGATTTTTTGCCTATTATTCCCCAGTTACCCGGAAAGAAATTACATCCTACTACAAAGCACCGTACTTCTCCAGTAGCTGTCTGCGTTTGGCCTCGCGCTGCGCCTCCAGCTCGGCCTTGGCAGACTCGACCTCCCCTGAATCGTCTTCCTCAAATTTGGAAGTGTCTCCTGCCCGTTCAACCTTGGATATCTCCTGCTCTGGTCGCCGGATCTCGTAAGTCTCCTCAAACTCACGAACAAACTCCCCTGCCTCATCCAGATACTTGTCCTTGCCATCCTTGTACACCTGCGACTTGGCATCCACCTCTGTCTGCTCGACTCCACTGATTCCCTCCAAGTACTTGGCTTTCTCGTCCAAAGCACGACTAGGAATACTGGCTCCATTAGCAGTGGTGCTCTTGGAGTTGAGCATCGCGTCAAGGATCCCCAGCTCCTCCATCTCGGCCAATTCGTCCTCATCGTAATCTCCCTTGTTCTGCTCCTCCTGCTCGGCGCGTTTCTGTTCTTGCAGCTTCATCTGTTTCAAATGCTCGTCGTAGTCTCTCTGGCTATCGTAGCCATGCCACTGGTCGCGCTTGGTTTCCCAGTCGTCTGTGACCTTCTTCACCCGCAGAGCCTGCTCCGAGTGAGTCTTTACATCGTCCTTGCGGAACCGGTGGATCACCTTGCGCGGTTTCTCCAAACAGTCCTTTTTCGTATGCTTTGTGCTCCCGCAGTTGTCACACCCTCCCTTGAAGGCCAAACGGCGGCGTTTCTTTGGGTCCTCAACAACGATGTCGTACCGGTCGTCAATTCCCTGTCCACGACGGGGTTCGTTATTTGGAACAAACTCGGCGTCAGGATCCAGCTTATGGTGTTTTAACGCATCCACAGAAACAGGCTCTCCTTTTCGTCTTTTGCGAATGTTGGAGTCAACCTTCAAAGCATCCCCTTCGTAGTACCACGGCTTGTTGGAGATGTAATTCGGAATGTAATCGTTCAAAGGCTTGCCATTCTCGTCATACTTGGACTCGTCCTGGGGAATCGGCGCTCCGAAATGATTGTACCCCTTGTGATCGGTATCCATAAAAAATAAATTAAATTAAAGAAAAAAAATAAAGGCTGTGTTGAAAATTTTATCATGAAGAAAGTGCAGACCAAGACGTTCGTCAAGAAGCTGTCCTCTACCGATCGTAAGATCCGAGACCATGCTTTCGAGACACTAAAACAGTATCTTGGAGAGCGGTCGGACGTTCGACCGCTCAAACTCAACGAGTTCGAAAAGCTCTGGGAAGGATTGTACTACACCATGTGGTTCAGCGATAGACCACGTCCGCAACAGAAGCTGGCCAACGACCTGGCCAACCTGTTTTCCGAAACCATCACCAAACAGCAGTTCTGCTTGTTTGTGCAGGCGTTCTGGGCCGTGATTTGTAAGGAATGGCCGGAGATTGATCAGTGGAGAGTCGATAAGTTCTACTTGCTGATGAGATATGTGATACGCGAGTGTTTTGTGCGGTTGCAGGAGAATAGCTGGGAAGAGGAACTTGTTGATCAGTACGTTCACGTTTTGGAGTCCCAGGTTCTAAGTGGAAAGACGTCTATCCCTAACGGAGTGACATACCATGTGATTGATGTTTATCTTGACGAGTTGGAACGGACCGTAGTTGGAGAGGACGAGGAGGATGTGCAGGAGAAGTTTAAAGATGTTCCGTTAGAGAAATTGTTGCAACCATTCAAAAAGCTGGAAACGGGAGCACTAATGAAGACTCTACGTCTCAAGGTCAGAGACGACGTGAGTCGCGACGAAAGACTACAGAAATGGGGCTACGTCGAGTCTGTTACCGAGAAACAGCCAGAGAACGACGACGAAGAGGAAGAATGGACCGGATTCGACTAATCACATATATCGATCAAATATAGTTTAAGCATTAATTTTTCGTTTACCCTGCTTTTTTTTTTCGTTGATTATTTTCCATTAGTTGTCATGGGCGAGTTTGATAAGTTGACCGAGGCTCCAGTGGAGTTTTTAAGAGAGGGATCTCAGTTTGTTGCCAAGTGCACCAAACCTTCCAAGAAGGAATATTTGAGACTGATTCGTGCTGTCGGCACTGGCTTTTTGATGATGGGTGTTGTTGGATATGCCATCAAGCTGATTCACATTCCAATCAGATATCTGATTGTTTAAGTCTACGACTGGTCGAGTGTCGGTAGAGCGCTGTTAGAGACGCGCGGGATGCGGAAGTGTATCATATGTTGAACAGATGTGTACTTTCAAGTAATCATGATATTGAAGAGTAGTAGGCAGTAACTGGGCAGTAACTGGGCGTTTGAGCGTTCAATTGGACGGATAAGAGGATTGTTGTGGTTCGGGGACGTTGTGATCACGGCTAGTTCAATTTGGCGGTGGTTTGGCCTCCTGCTCGTGGAAATCTCTCGATGTATATAATTGCGACGTTGTCGACGCGACTTTAATTATGAGTTTCTCTTCGCTCTTGACACAGATCACCGGAAAAGATAAAGCACGGCCGTTTGTGGAGACGGGAAAGACGGGGAAGCAGGACCCGAGCGGCGGTGTATCCAGGTCGACCGCTTCTGGTACGCCTGTAAGAGGTTCAGGTACAAATACCAAGAAACAGACAACAACGTTGTTGAACAAGGTGGCCCCGGATCCGGCCGTTCAGCGGCTGAAAGAGGCCAGGCGGCTCGAGAAACAGCGCGAGGAAGACTCCAAGAAACAGAAGCGAGTCGAAACGCTGCGCAAAATGGACAAACAGCGAGAACGCGAGAGACTCGCCAGCAAGGGACGACCTGTGCCGGTGAGCAGCAAGAAGACGCCAGAGCCTGCACCCAAACGAGCTCCGCTGCCCAAGATGTCGTTCAAAGAGCTCATGTCTCGAGCGGAGGGCGTGGACCCGAAGAAACTGGCGTACGCCCCGATCAAGCTGGAAGCCACCAAGAAAAACGTCAAGACCAGGCCAGAACGCAAGTTTGCACAGCCGTCAGCTGCGTTGCAGAAGAAACTTGGCAAGAAGCCAACAAAGGAGAAGCCACGTGTGCCTGTGGCGTCCTCACGCAAAGAGCCTGTCCAGAAGAAAGATACGTTTGGCATTGAGGCCGACTCTGAAGACGAGGAGGAGAGCTACTACCAGGAATACGACGACCTGGACGACTTTGTGGTGGATGACGTTCGCGAACGCTCGCGGGACTACAACAGCGACGAGATCTGGGGACTGTTCAACCGCGGCAAGAAGAGACAGTACCAGGACTACGACGACGACGATATGGAGGCCACGGGAGCAGACATATTTGAGGAGGAAGAGCGGGCCCTGCGCCAGGCCCGTCTGGACGATAAGCGTGAGGAGTTGCTCGAGCAGAAACGCAAAGAGCAGAAACTGAAGCGGCTACATGGCAAGTAGATTAATTATTCGCTATATTCAAAGTCGTAGCCTTCGGAGTTCTCAGAGGGGTCGAACGCAGCGTCTGCGTCCGACGCTGGAGAAGAGGTTTCGGAGGAGGCCGGTGGCGGTGGTCGTGGGGAGGGGTTTATCGGCTCCAGCACGAATCCACCGGACTCAGTAGACTCGGGTTCAAATCCACCATGATCCACAGGTTCTGACATGAATCCGCCAGAATCAGCTTCTTGAGGTTCAAATCCACCTGCATCAACCTCAAACCCGCCAGTTTCGAATCCACCCGGCTCTTCAGACGGTTCCTTTTGGTTGTACTGTGCTTCGCCAAAGATAAATCCTCCCGCTGCTTCTTGTTTCTCTTCTTCTTCTTCTTCCTCCTCGTCAACCAAACCGTGCTCCTGATCCAGTCTGCGGGTGATGCGCAGTTTCGCGAGCACTAGTGCCCAAACACGCAGCGCACCAGCCTCACGCCGGCGCCGGGCAGCGTCCTCTTCTTGCTGCTGCAGGTACTCGCACACAAGTTGGACGGCCTCTCTGTGCTCCTCCAAAACCACAGCCCCCACTATCTTGACGCTCACACTCGCCCCGCGGCCCCTGCCCCCGCTACCGAAGTCGAAACCAACGGCAGCAGGCGCATAGTCCACCTCCAACAGCCGGGCCGCGCGCTCGGCTCGCTTGTCAGCAACGTGCACTGCCCCGTCAGGAACCATCCACGGCTGGTAAATGTCGATGTTCCCGTACGCATTGCGTGGAATCTTGCCGTCCACGATCGGCGGCGCAACGTACTTCTCCGTCTGATACTCTCCGTAAAGCCTCACTTCTTCTTCGTCGTCCCCTGCCTCGTAATTGTCCTCGTCGTGTCGCTGCTTCCGCTGGTCTTTCACCTTAAGAGCCTGTTCCCCGACTTTTAAAACACGGCCCAGCAGAAACCACGCCTTGGCCGACCGCACGGTAACCACGTTCGACCGTCTATAAACAGGAATCAGATCCCCGGCCTGGCCAGCTTTGGTCTTTTTGCGCACGGTTCCGCAGCTTATTTTCGGCTTCAGCACCTCGTTGAACTTTAACTGGCTCTCCAGCACATAAACAGGATGGTTCACAAAATCCTGCAGCGAGTTGGGCATTCCTTCCTTCAACGAGCGCTCCTCAAACTCCAACTGCTCAAAACGGTCGATCTTGTTGGGTTCGGAGCGGACTTTCGAGTTGGCTCCCTGAAGCAGCTTGTCATACCATTCCTGGCCCTTTGGATCTCGGGTGATCCGCTTCTTGCGGATTTTGGCGTTGTAGTTCTCGCAGTACCGCCTGGTAACATCTCTCACACCACCTAGACGATCAAAGGCCAGCACGTAGCTGGTGTTGTTGGGCCAGTAGAACTTGGATCGTGCCCCAACAACTTCGATGTATCGTTGCACAGCAGGGTCAATGCTGATGAACCGCTTGCTGGCACTGTCCCAGACCTCTACCCAGAAAACAGGGTACTGCACTTCTTCCTGCTGCTCGGGACGGAAATTGGCATATGCTGGCCGGTTCACGCGAAGAGCCGACAGCAGTCGTTCGTGCTGCGATGGAGCTTTGCGTTTACGCGGAGTTGCTGCGGGGGAGGGGGTTTTCTCGGGAGCTGTTTGCTCGCGTCGGGATAAAACTGCCAAATTGGTGAAATCTGGTGGTTGCAACGAGAAAACCAGCCGACAATTAATATCCAGCGACCTCAACAGCGCAACAAACCCCTGCGCTTGTAAATCGCGCGTTCCTCGACACCCTTCCAAACGTTTCAGGAACCGGGCCTTGGTCAGGCTCTCTCCTGGCGACGGTGGATGGTTCCAGAACTTGGCAATCTCTTCCCACGATTTCCTGTAAAGTCCACGGTTTTTCGCATCCACAGACCACGCCCTGTTCCAGTAATTCATCAGGTGTCGCAAAAGATCCAGTAACCGCCGAGACTTGGCGGCTGCCGTGGTTTCTGAGTTTAATTGCTCTTCGTGGTGCTGGTCGACCTGTCTCATGAGTTTCGACGGTACACGGGCCCTGACCGCCTTCAGCACGGTCGCGTCGCTGCACCAGCTGTTTCTGACCACGCCATGGCCCACCATCGCAAACAGATACATCAGATGCATCGTTCTTCTGAACATGCGCTCATCAGAAGAAACGAGATTAGTTTTGCGCTCTTTGCGTTTCGTGGGTCGTGAGACCGTCACGGTGATCTCTCCGGACAGTTCCTCGGCCTGTTGGTAGTCCAATGCGGCCCCACTCAGGTCCACGTCCTCAAAGTCGTCGCTTCCTAGACCACTGTAGTCGTCGTCGTTGCTGTCGTCGCTATCAATGCTGATCACCTCGTTTCCCGAGACGGGCCGCGACGCCGACTGTGGACTCGACGTGCGGTTGTCTGTGTCGGACAGTTCGATCGGGGCGTGCGATGTTGCTCCTGACGGAGGCGAAGAAACGCGTAACGAGTTGCCTTCCACCACCTCAACGTCCCTGGACCGCCGTCGACGTCGATCCCGTCGCTTGAGCGGTCTCTCGGAACTGTGCGACCGCTCAGACCCGCTCGACTCCTCCAGAGCCTCCGCAAGCATCTCCCGATACTCTTTGGGTACACCGTACGACATGGAAAAATATTTCAGGCTGTGCTCGCTTTTTCAAGGATACAGGGTTCATTAAGGATCGTTATATAGACTCACGCCTGTGAGTGCTCTAAAGTATGTTCAGGCCTGTTTTCCGCGCTGGCAGAGTCAGATATCTCCTGGACGTCTTTCTCGTGCTCGTCGGGATCTTCTTTTCTGATCACTCGGAAACGAATGTACCAGATAGCTTGGCTCGTGTACAATCCGATCTCAAGTGCCAAAACCACGGCAAATTGGATCATTCCCAGCAGATCGAACGTGCCAACAAGGGTGCCTGCCATGGAGAAAATAGCGCCCGCGGAGTCCATGGCCAGAAACAGGAAATTTATCCCCACAACCCGTCCGTTGCGGTGGAGCAGCTCCCAGTACGGAGGAAGCAGGCCGAGCGCAAGAAAAACGGCTGCGATTATTCCAAACACCGTGGTGGGCCACCTGACACCGTTGCTGTAGAGATGTTTGAGAGGAATGCCGAATCCGAGCTGCATTGCCAAAGATATGCTCAGATAGAGAATACCGTAGAAAATGACCCGTTTCAGGGGGACGTTGTTCGGAGGATAGTACATGCTCTGTAGCCAAGCTATCGAACATAGCACAGAGAACATTTGCGGCTGTAACTGGAATGGAATGTAGGAATCGGACGTGATGAAGTAGATACCAAATGGAATGCCTGATATCACCCAAAGAAACATGAACACCGGCGGAAACCCGGTCGCATCCTTGCGTCTCCACAAGAAATATATCTGTGGAGTCAGCTGGATACACCAAAGAACCGTTCCTATGGTACTAAGAACGTTGGCTGCTGTATTATTACCCATATCGACTTAAAAGGTCAGATAATTTATCACTGTTGAGCCGCATTTATATAGGAAAAAAAACCCTGCTCAATTGCGCGGGAACTTGTATCTATTAATCAAACCACCTTCCTCACACAGAAAAATGCACAATAATTAGTCAGTCCCTACGCAATTGACTTGAGGTGTGCAACCAAATCGTTCAGGTACAAATCGCCGCCCATTTTGTCCACCTCTTGCTGCAGAAGTAGCAGATACTCGTCGTTGGGGCCTGATTCACCCGCAGACTTGGCAATCACCTGCGCGGTCTGCTCGATATCTTCGGGTCCGATGAACGACTCGTTGTCCACCGTCCCAATGTACACCATCGACTCCACCGTGTACAGGCCGTCCTCCTTGGGCAGATCTTTCAACAGATTCTCGTGGCCAACCGTATCGGTGACCTTGAAATGGACCTTGTGGATGGTGTAGCCGTCTTTTTCGCGGAAATCTAGATAGTCCGCGGCCTTGGCGGCGTACTGGGGCGGAATATAATAGATACACCCCCAAACCCGCAGCTCTGCTTCAAGTAATGCGCTCTTAGAAATCACCTCCTGAGGTGCACTGTGCTGCGCAAGCTCGTACTTGAGGATGTCGGGCTGGAATCCCGGCGTCTCCACAATCTTATCGCTCGGAATAATGGTCACCACACGGCCTTTCTGTTCAGGGGTGCCTCGATTATCATAACTGCTTTGCCAAAACCGTCTCGCGTATCCTTGCAAATACCCGGGAAACCGCACAAACTCCTTAGAGATGTCCAGCTCGTGTAACGGCGGCTTCCATAGCAACGAGCCGTACCCAACAACCCAAAGTGCAGTATCTGGAGCGTCTTTCGTCATGAAATAATATTTTTACGAAAATCGCGATCGCGGGCCGCACTTATATTATTCAGTCCTGGACCGATCCGAGACGCTGGCCACGACCTTGGAACGCATTGTTGGATACACGGCGTAGGAAGGAGGTCTGGTTGGCCTTGGCTTGCGGCGACGTGGCTCTTTTCGGCTGGTACACCAATCCGTACGGTCTCTGCAGCACTTTGGAGTTGTAGTCGATTCCGGACAGTTTGGACACCACGGTCTTGAGCCACCGGGGCGCGCTCAAGTATCCCTGGGAATAGTACCAGACGGTGTGAGTTGTTGTAGTTGTTGTCCCCACGCGGTGGGAAGGCTCGAGGCGTTGTTCGCCGTTGATCATGGTCATCAAGGGTCCAAATGAGGAAGTCTCGATACAATTGTAGAGGTAAGCCGCACACATGCCAATTATGGCCATAAAGAAACTGAACCGGCCGTCCACAAGCAGTCTGAAGCCCAAAAACACCGCAGGCAGCAACGACGCCTTGATCTGCATGAAGTAGAAGTTGACTGTCTGGTCGTAGTTGGCCACACACCAGGTGTATGTGAGCGCCGACAACAGCGCAGGGGTCGAGGAAGTGATCGACGGCATGGTCAGAAACGTGGTGATCACGATGATGGGCAAGATGATCAGAAAGTAGAAGATGTAGTCAGGGACCAGTCTGGAGAACTTGCCTTCTTCCAGTCCGCGAGAAAAGCTGTAAACCATGTAGATTTCCGTCAGACCTTGCATTGGCTGGAAATGTGGCACCAGGAGTCCAGTCAGCACCCGGTAAACCTGCCAGTCTTCCCATATTGCCGGCCAATACCACACAAACGAAAAGTACGGGATGATGTTCAGTGCGTTCAAAGCCCCCATCGTCAACGATGTCAGGGTGATGGTTCTTGTGACTGGCGGAATGGCCGAAACAAATCTGCGTTAGTGGTAGAGCAGGGTATCACTTACTGTTGTAATTCCGACATTTATTGATAGGTTTGGGGACAAAATATTAAGTTGAATTTATTTTATGGCTGTTCGCTATGACAAATTGGTCCGAGTGGCCAGGTCTGCGAAGTTGACCTATATTTTACTGTTTTTGGTGGCAGTTGCGTATTGGCGATCGGGAACCCGTACTAATGAGGAGCCCGTGGTTCAATTGATAGAGAAGACCAAAGAGGGATCCGATAAAGGGTCCTCCAAAAAGGTGGACGAGATAGCAATGCAATCCAAGTGGTTCAAAGGTCTCAAGACAGACAGATTGTGCCCCGACTACGTGGAATACTCGAAACAAAAACACCCTCCATACTCAACAGGCCCGTTGAAACTCGCTTATATGAGACCGTCGGAGAATTGCCGGACCTTTTCGAGCGAGGCGGTGGAATCGGTGATTGAGGATATGCGGGCTCGAATCCAGGACCCGGACCTGTTCCGATTGTTTGAGAACGCGTTCCCCAACACACTGGACACCACCGTTCTGTGGCACGACCCGCTCAACAAAGAGACCAAATCCCCGTTGACGTTTATCTCCACGGGAGATATCCACGCGGAATGGCTGCGCGACTCCGCCAGACAGCTCAGCGTGTATCTGCCGCTTGTCAAGAAAGACCCGAAGCTCAAAACGATGATCGAGGGCGCGATTATCCAGCAGGCGTTGTATATCCGCAGAGCACCGTACTGCAACGCTTTCCAGCCCCCACAGGGCTCGAACGTGGACCGCAAGCCGTCCAGTATCGACTTTGTAGGCCCGCGGCCGCCGTGGAAGCACGTGTTTGAGTGCAAGTGGGAGCTGGACTCGCTGGCCTCGTTTCTCACCTTGAGCAACGGCTACTACAAACATTCCAAGGACTTCTCGATCTTCAACAACCCAGTGTGGCAGGACGCGTTCCAGATGATCCTGGTGGTTCTGCACCGCGAGTCGTCTCCGACGTTCGACGACAATGGCGACCTGCTGCCGTTCTACTACACTTTCCAAAGAGACACCAGGAGCGGGACAGAAACGCTCGGTCTTTCGGGCTCGGGCAACCCAGTTCGTGGCCACACGGGGCTGGTGCGCTCGGCTTTTAGGCCGTCTGACGATGCGTGCATCTATCAGCTATTTATCCCGGCCAACGCGCAGATGCAGGTCGAACTCAGCCTGGTGGAGCCCGTGCTGCGCGAGCTGGGTCTTGCCAGTTTTGCGGACCAGGCTGCGGAGTCTGCCGCCGCCATTCGCGAAGGAATCCGCCAGTACGGCGTGGTGGACCACAAGACGTTCGGCAAAGTGCTCGCGTATGAGGTGGATGGTTTTGGCGGTGTGAACATCATGGACGATGCAAACATCCCGTCGCTGCTGGCGCTGCCAGACATGGGCTTTGTCGACCAGGACGACGAGATTTACCAGAACACCCGTCGCATGATCCTGTCCAAAGACGGCAACCCGTACTACTTCAAGGGGGCCTACTTCGAGGGCATTGGGGGCCCGCACATTGGACTTTCGAACGCGTGGCCGATGTCGCTGCTGCTGCAGATTCGTACCACCGACGACGACGAGGAGATCCGCCAGCTGCTGGACCTTGTCAAGACCACCACGGCCGGACTGGGCCTCATGCACGAGAGCATCCACGTCAACTCGCCCAGACACGACTACACGCGGCCGTGGTTCAGCTGGTGCAACAGCGAGTTTGGCAAGACTATCCTGGACCTTGCGCACCGCAAACCACACCTCATCTTCGGCCCAGACCGCCTGGACCCGTACGTGGTGTGAGTCCTTTGGTGCTGCCAAGGCTGTGCAAAAAGTTATGTAACGTTGAACCCACGAAAATAATTTGGTTATTTTGCCATGAAGAAAGTGAACCTGTATTCGGCCATTGCCCTGCGAAACGAGTGCGACGAGCATCTGCCGGGCGTTTTTCTCCAGCTCGGCTACGAGCAGTCGTTCTTCAACACCGACTTCAAGCTCGTGGTGGGTTATTTATCAGTTATCACCAGTGGATTGTTGTACTGGCTCGAGAAGAAATATAACAACGACTTCACAAACACCGAGTATTTTAACTACACAGCAGCCCTGGTGGCCGTGTTTTTCTTCTTCAACACCATATGGGTCGTTTTCACAAAGTACATCGAGAAAGACGTCAAGTACGTCGGCACAAAGGGCTCTAAGAAGCTCACCGTCAGCACCAAGATCAAGTCCAAGACAGAACCTGTTTATCTTATCACGATCGACAACGGCGGGTCGAGGCTCGATGAGTCGCTGGATCTTACCAAGGTGTTCAACAGCGACGGGTATCTTGTGCTGACTGAGTTCAAGAGCTGCTTCCAGAAGCTGGTTGAAAAGACAGAGAAAAGTACTTAGATTCAGGACTCTATAACATCGTCCATGCGGCTGTATTTTTTCAGCCAGCGGTACCACGAGTACGGCAGGATTTGCAGCACAGGCAGAAGTCGCCCGTACAGCGGGTACGCAAACACCCCGTTCACGCCCTGGTCCAGCACCTCGGTTATGCGCACAGCGAGTTTGCGATGGTCTATTAACGGGGCCCAGAAAAAATGGTCCACCTTCACGTCGTTGAACATGCGTGTGGTCAGCTGGCCAGGGACAACCGTGCTCACCACCACGCTTTCGGGGGTCTCGTGTCGCAGCGAGGTGAAAAAGTTATACATGGCAGCTTTGGTAGCAGAGTAGCCAGAAAGTCCTCGCGGAGACACGATCCCCAAAACGGAGCTCACACAAACGAGATGCAGTCTGTTGGGATGCGTGTGAGCCTTGAGCACGCGTTTGACAAGGTGGACGTTGGCGAAATAGTTGATGTCAAATAGTTTTTGTAGCTCTGTACTTGATAGATGGAGTGTCTGTTTGGACTGGCGGATCCCGGCGTTGCACACGACGGCGTCGATTTGGTCTGTGCGTTGGAACAGCGTGTCGATCGCGCTGTCGAGGTCTGTTTGGCTGCCGAGGTCGCACTGGACGTATGCGACAGACTTCTGGTGTTGTGCTAGCTGGCCCAGTTCGACGCTCATTTCGTGGTCCAGCACCCAGATCTGGCAGCTAGAGCTCAAGAGCCGGACAAGCTCGAGCCCGAGCCCGTGCGAGCCGCCGGTGACGACGATGTTTCGGCGGTTGCGACGTGAAAACCGGCATTTCCTCGAGCGCCAGTTGTAGTAGCGCAGAATCCACGCTATAACCACAGCCAGACCAAATCGAACGTGCTGAATTTCCCCGGTACGCAGATACATCAAGCCGACATACACCCAGACTCCCAATGGATTCAGCACGGTGTACAGCATCACCTGGATCACCCAGTCCACAGAAACGTGCTCGTCGCTGACCAGCAGCGGTGACGGCTTCAAGTTATAGAACATAGAATAACTGGAAAATTTTGGGAAAATAATAACTTCAAGTAATTAAATTACTATATTCAAACACATATAATTATACCTGGTAGCAGCACCGTCATTGGTTCTTGTTTACACTCTTGTTGATGGAAATACCGTTCAGCTTGGTGTTGTGAGACGGAGTAGGAATAAACTTGCGAACAGTACGAATGTCGTCGGCAGAGTAGCCCGGAATGCGGATGTTCCAGTTTCTCTCGAGGTGTAGTTGCACGTCGCGCACGTCGATGCTCTCAGACTTGCGGTGTTTGGCCAAACGGCACGCGAACGACGTGACCGACGTGATGAACTCGTCCGCAAGGTCCAAAAGCAGGTCTTCCACGTCTCCGTCGATCGTCACCTCTGCGTCTCCCTCGTCGGCCCCCACAGACTTGACTAGCTCCTTGAGCTTTCTGCGGTTCAAAACACGCTCGCCCTCTAGCTCGAAGTTCTGTGGCCGCACAAGCACAGGCGTCGTCAACGAAGAGGCCCCAATGGAGTTTCCGTTCAGTATGGACGGACGATTGTTCTGTTTGATCGAAACTGGCTGCGGACTGCCAATGTTGAGGTCCTCGGGAATAGGCATGTTCTGAAACCGCGACCGCGAAGAGTCTGACGAAACACTGCCTGCCATAGGTCCCAGCCCAGCAGCGGGACCAGCTCCAGCAACCGGCTTTGAGGCAGCAGCGTTGACACTCGTGATCGGAGTGCCTGGAGCAGGAGTGCCAACTTTCTGCTTCTTGGCTGGCGGTATTCCAGCCTGTTTTTGCACTCCTGGCTTGACACCACCCTGCTGAGCAGCGATCTGTTGCATAGGCATCTGCATTTGCATCTGGCCCATCATTGGCTGCTGCATGGCTGGTGACTGCATCTGCGGAGGCTGCGAGAGTCTCTGTTGCTGCGAAGAGGCAGAGTTCTGCCGTTGAAGCTGCTGCTGCTGCTGCTGCATCATTCTCTGTTGCTGAAGAGCCTGCTGCTGCGGGTTCATCACTTGCGGCGAATACACGTCGCCTTGCGGTTGCTGAGAGCCCACTCTCGACTGGTTCTGCGACATGTTAATTTGTTGTGTTAGCTGCTGGGCAAATCTGCGACACTGCTCGACTTTTCCACTCAGCTCTCTCTCTTTCTGCATATATTGAGCAATCTCGTTGCTTGGGGTATTTGGATCGTTCAACTTGGCCTGAATAACGGCCAATTGGGCCTTAAATTTCTCCGTAATCGTGTAAACTTGCTGGTACTTGGCTTGCGGGTCCTGAATAGCCTGGGACTGTCCTTGTGGAGGAGGTGTGCCGGACCCCATTGGCGGCGACGATTGCTGGCGCTGCCCTGTCTGCGGGCCCATGTTTGGACGTGCCCCGGGAACGTTTTGCTGCGGCGACCCGGCATTTGTGGCGCTCTGGGCACGAGCATTGTTCAACTGAGTGTTGGCCATTTGCGGAGTTCCCATCTGCGAACCAGGAGCAGGAGACCCCTGCTGAACACCAGCAACAGGGTTCGCCCCGCCACGTTGCGCCTGCGCACTCAACATCTGCTGTCTTCTGTTGTATTTCATCAGGATCTCCTTAATCTTCTGTGCCTTTTCCATGTGTTCCTTTCCCTCAGGAGTGTCGAGTCCCGACCGCTCGGCCATGTCTTTCTCCAATTGGTAGTGTCTAAACAGTTGCTGCGCATGCTGCGGACTGATTTGCTGAATTACGCGCTGTCCAGCGGCGTTTGGTGGTGATTGACTCATGTTTGGAGTAAACGGTGAAGACATTTTGTTGAATGTTTTTTTTTTCTCTTTCTATATCGACCGGTCGCGTCGATCGACTGCGGTTTTGACGTCGATTGTCTCTTACTACTATACACCTACTTGCGCTTGCGCAAGTGCAGAATCAGTTGTGTGGCCTTGTCAAACTGCTGCTCGTTGCTCAACACGCCGATCATCGTTTTTCCCGGAGTCTTGTTCAAGATCTTGGCCCCTGGCCCAATGAAACATCCAACAAGCTCAGACTTGATCTGACGGTCTTTGAAGATCTTCCACACCTCAACGTTCTGCTCTCCACAAAGAACCAGAATCTGCTCGTAGCTGTCAAACGTGGCATCGTGAACGTCAAAGTCAAACCTCAAAATCTCCGTCCGCGAACTTGAGATAACCTGCTCTTTGGTGTATCTCACAAACATGCAATATCTAGTGTACACCAGTAGCAGGTCGTAATCCGTTAGAGTGTCATTCAAAAACAGCTTGAATGCTCCAATTGGCCGCTGGCCACGTATTCTCGACTTCAGATCCTTCTGGTGGTCTGTCTTGTTCAATTGGGTATTACCCATAGTGTTGAGATTTGAGAGATAGAATATAGGATTGTTTTCGTTCACATGACAAATGACGAAATCCGTTGGATAAAGCAGGTGGATTCCAAGAACTTTAAACGTCGGTTTCATAGACTCAAACTTCAATTTCTGGTCGCTTGCTGTAGTCACAATGGAAAACATAATTTTCTTGTCGGTCCAGCAGAATAGAATCTCGCACTCCATTACCACCGGACCCTTTCTGATAGACTGGGGGCCAATCACAAACGAGTTCACACCTTTGGCGATCTGTTCCATTTTGGCGTTGCAGGCGCGCTCGTCGGTGTAGCTTTCGACGAGAGCAGCAGTGCTTATTCTGTAGAGCTTATCCCTAATCAGAATAAAGCACACTTTGTCATGAAGAACTTTGAGTCCAATAACGTCAGTATGGGTGCATATTTTCTTCCATGTAGATGGCTGGTCAGCTTTTCCCATGTAAAGTCCATCAGAAGTCCCAGCAATGAAAAAGAGCTCCCTTTTATTATGAACAGTGTCAACACAAGTGACAGAAGTCGAAGCTAATGGTGCGACCGAATTAGGCTGGAACTTGGACTTGGAAACGGCTCGATGGACCATGTCAAACTGCTCCCTCTCAATTGGCGCAACAGGGTATTCATAAAAAGGTGTTGGCAATTGGAACGAAGTTCCGTTGACCAGTTTGAGTTCGTAGTTCTTGCTCAACCGTTCGAACAAATCGTCTTTATACTTTGGAATGTCCTTGACAAAATGGTTTAGAAGCGTAGGAGCATCCACACGCTCGCTTCTGATATGATAGGTGTGTCCATTTCCAGAGTCCTTGAGTATCAATGTCTTTCCCGACTCTTCTTCCAAAACGGAATAGCCTAGGTATTGCAGAGCAACAGGAGGTTTGTTCAGCAAGTAAACAGCATCTTTATGGTCTCTTTTAACCAGTGGAAGCAGATAGTTATCCAAGAGATACAAAACCGCACGGTCTGACGAAATCGCCGTCAACAAGTGGATATCTATAGGAACTCTCAAACGACGGTGTTTATTGAACAGATCCACCATCTCCAAATAAAGATAGTCTGTGCAAACCAGTTTTTTGTTGAGTTCAATCTTCTTATCCAGATCGGTTGTATAATCGCCAATCTTGTTGATTCTATTGAGCAAATCGAAAATCTCCTGGGCCAACATGGTTAAAGTCTCATCCTCAAGTTTGATGTACAGTTTCTTCAGGTCCAGCATCATTAGTCTCATTGGAGCAAACACCTGGAGAAAGTACGAATGAAACAGTTCTCTGGCAGAAGCCAAGTAGTTGTTTCCATAGGCGAGCTCATCTGTCTCTTCTGTTGTTCTGATCCAGTCTCTGAACTGTTCGTTGGCTGCCAATTTCGCCAAATACACCATACTACGCGAGATGTATTCGTAGTCGCGCTCCAGCTTGACCAGCCAGTTCTTCCAGCACTCCAAAACGTATCTATCGTTCACGAAGAAATGGTTATCGAACGCAGGTTTCAGCCGTTTGTTAACCAGTTTCTCCAGGTATGCGTACAGTGCATCAATTGGAACAAACGTCTTCTGGTAATCTGCGTCCTGGTCTGGGGTCAGGTTCTTGGCGACTTTGAAAGCAGGTCCGTAATGAACCACCATTCTTTTCAAGTTCAAGCGGAACTTCCGAAGAAGCAAGAAGAGCTCAAAAATGGCATTTTGCCGATGGAACTCAAGAGGACTCCAATCCGTCAAAACTTTTGCTTCATCATCCGTTATATGCCAAAACACAGCGTACTGTGCTCCATCGAAAACGTCCAGTTCGTGGATCTGGTTGCTAGGTCGCGATTCAACCACCAATTTCACGCTATCTGGGAGCTGTTCTTTAAACACATGACTTTCACTAGCGACGGAAGCAAGCGATGTCGTAGAACTCTTGAAAAGCGACGAGTTGTATGAATCATTGGCCACTTTGTACCCCTTGCGGTCGAAATAGTTGAGAGTCCCCACAGAGTCGCGCAATTCGTCCTCTTCAACCGAACTTGAACGCGATTCGGGCTTTTTGATGGGCAGAGCAGCCTGTTCGTAAAGCGATCTTTGTGACTTTAGAAGAAAATTAGGTGTGAAGAACGGTTTGCGAGACGATGACGACGATTCGCTGGTGATTGACTGGTTTAGCTGTGGATTCGTGGAAAATGAATGGTCTGGTTCACTGACAGAAGCTTCAGGAGAAACATCCTTAGGACCGGCTTCTTCGTACGATAATCTGAACAGTGACCGTTTCGGGCTGGGAGATTTGCGTGCCAGCGACGGGATGGGTGGCAGAGAAGAGGTGGATTTGTTAAACACGTCCGCAGGGTTCATTCGCGTATCTGGAGACCCGGACCGACTTTTCGTCGGCGAACCAGTCGGCGTCCCAGATACAGACATCTGATGCTTGTACTGGGTCTCCAGTGCCTTGATGCTTTGCATATATCGCGCTTGTGTTGAATCTGGGGACTGAGACATAACGGCGAGAGTTTATTTACAAAAATATGAAAACACATCTTTACACGGGACTGGACATGAGATGGGGGCCCTGTTTGGGATAAGATGGGGAACATTGATAAGCTGACAAAGACTTTGTAAGGAACAGTAGCCAGGGCTGTTACACAGATGCAGAATGTTCGGAGCTGGAAAACGACAGCGTTTACCATATAGATTGGATTGAAAGATTCCCTTATTGATCTCTCCGGAGGCTAATCGGAAGAAATTATTACTACATTGGGAAACCATAGATAGTCAATCCGGTGGCCGAGATAGAGAATTTGGAAGTCGAATTATACCATAACCAGCGTTAGTTTTGATAAACTAATTCGCGCTCAAGAAAACAACTTCCCGACTCATAAAACACGCTCAAAGAATTAATATATAATAAATAGCTGAATGCTGTTTTTTATCTGCATACAGTGAAAATTTTTAGGGCGATTTTATTATTAAAATTTACTTGAAATTTTTTTTGCCCTGTCAAGAGTATATAAAGAGGAAAAATCCCTGTTTTTTTCTTTTGGCAAACCGCCCCAAATAATACCATAATGGCTCAAACTTTAGACTACACCAAGGCTGTCGAACATCTGTCGACTTACCAAGAGAAGGACGGATTGTCTGTCGAGCAACTCCTGGACTTACAGCTCCACGGAGGTCTCACATACAACGATTTCCTTATTCTGCCAGGTAAGGTTGACTTCCCTGCAAGCGTTGTGGATTTGGAGACCAAGTTGACCAAGAAAATCACTTTGAAGACCCCGTTCGTTTCTTCTCCTATGGATACCGTCACCGAGTCCAACATGGCCATCCACATGGCCCTTTTGGGAGGTATCGGTATCATCCATCACAACTGTTCCCCTGATGAACAGGCTGAGATGGTCAGAAAGGTCAAGAAGTACGAGAACGGTTTCATCAACGATCCTGTTGTCATTTCTCCATCCGCTTCTGTTGGTCAAGTCAAGGCTATGGGTCAAAAATACGGTTTCACCTCGTTCCCAGTGACTGGTAAGTTTATCAACTTTTTCAACTCTTTTGGTGATGATTGAACTTTTTAATTAACTTTCGTTCTACCGAGACGATCAAACGATCGTGTGGAAAATTAAATGCCTGAAGAAGAGATTTTTGAAGTTTATACTAACAATTTGCAGAAACTGGTAAAGTTGGTGGAAAGCTTGTTGGAATTGTCACCTCCAGAGATGTCCAATTCCACGAGGTCGATACAGATTCCATTTCTCAGGTGATGACAACCGACGTCATCACCGCCAAGTCTGGAATCTCGCTTAGTGAAGGAAACGAGATCCTGAGAAAGTCCAAGAAGGGTAAACTTCCAGTTGTTGACGGTGAAGGAAACTTGGTTTCCATGATCTCCAGAACCGACTTGCAAAAGAACCTGGACTTCCCTCACGCTTCCAAATCTTTCCAGAGCAAGCAGTTGCTCTGTGGTGCTGCTATTGGTACTCTTGACGCTGATAAAGAGAGACTGGCCAAGTTGGTTGCAGCTGGTTTGGACGTTGTTGTTTTGGACTCCTCCCAAGGTAACTCCATTTTCCAGATCAACCTGATCAAATGGATCAAGAGCACCTTCCCAGACTTGCAAGTCATTGGTGGTAATGTTGTCACCAGAGAACAGGCCGCCCAATTGATTGCTGCTGGTGTTGATGGTTTGAGAATCGGTATGGGTTCTGGATCTATCTGTATCACCCAAGAAGTGATGGCCTGTGGTAGACCTCAAGGTACTGCAGTTTACAAAGTGACTCAATTCGCCAATCAATTTGGTGTTCCATGTATTGCCGATGGAGGTGTTTCCAACATTGGACACATCGCCAAGGCCATTGCTCTTGGTGCTTCCTGTGTTATGATGGGAAGTATGTTGGCAGGTACTTCCGAGTCTCCTGGTGAATACTTCTACAGAGACGGCAAGAGATTAAAGTCTTACAGAGGTATGGGATCTATTGATGCTATGCAAAAGACCGACACCAACGCTAACGCTTCCACTTCCAGATACTTCAGTGAGGGTGACAAGGTTCTTGTTGCTCAAGGTGTGAGTGGTTCCGTGTTGGACAAGGGATCCATCACCAAGTTCATTCCATACTTGTACAACGGATTGCAACACTCTTGCCAAGATATTGGTGTCAAGAGCGTTGCTGCTCTTGGCAAAGAAGTTCTCGCCGGAAATGTCAGATTCGAGCTGAGAACTGCCTCTGCGCAATTGGAAGGAGGTGTTCACGGTCTTTACTCGTTCGAAAAGAGATTGCACAACTAAATATGCGTTAACAAAAATTAATTCATCTTATTGGAAAATTGAACCATTTTTCACTTTGACTACACCATAGTATGATAATTTTTTGATTCTTCATTCCTAACTGAATTATTTGCTTTAAACGGCCTCCAAAACAACATCTTTGAAACCACCAGCAACCTTCTTGCCCTTCTCCTCACCAGAACCTTCGCCATGCAAAGAAAGCAAGTTACCAAGATCAAACTTTGGCTGCTTGAGCAACTTGACCTTTCTAATGTGAACGTTCTGCAATGGGAAGATGGATTGGGTGCTCTTCTCGATCTCTCTGCCAATAGCCTCTGGGATCAACTTACCGGTCAGTTGAGCCAAGGTGGAGTTAGAAACTTCTCTGGACATAACTTCCATCATCTTCTTTCTGACCTCCTTCAATTTAGAAGATTGAGCGTAAGTGGTCTTCTTGATTTGGTTGGCTTGTCTTTTGGTGAAAGCAATGCAGAACACTCTCAAAACGTAGTCATCAGAGGTCTTGACAGTAACATTAGCCTCCACAAGCGATTGCCATTTTCTAACAAGAGACTTCAACTTGTCGGTGGTGAAATCCATACCGTGGAAGTTGGTCAAAAGGTTCTTACCCTGAACCTCGTCAACTCTCAACTTGACCTTCTTGTAAGAGTGGTCCTCGGAACCTTGCAAGTCAGCAAGACAAACCTCGACAACTCTACCCTTAAGACCGTCAGCAGCGTTCTTCAAACCACTGCTCTTGTTGATCAAGGTCTTTCCAACGTTTCTGTTTTCAAAGGTGGTTGGGGCCTTGATGTCGTACCATTCCTTTCTGGTGAATGGGTCGACAACCCTCTTCTTGATACCTTTCTTTCCCTTGGACAATCTCTTGTTCTTTCCGATAGCCATGTTGTATAAAGAGACTTTTTCGAATAATTTTTCAGGATAAATTTTTCATAACTAAGGTCTCTACCCACTGTGTGATCACGTGAGCCAAAAAAAACTTGTTTCTTCTTCCGGACGGCGCGAGGTGTGCTCTCAAGAAGGGAAAAACCTAGGCTGTGTAATGTTTATACTTTTATGGATAAGAACACGGTCACCTTGAAAGTCGGGCTTGTAGGCGATGCGCAGGTCGGAAAGACCTCGTTGATGGTCAAATACGTCGAAAACTGTTTCGACGAGGTCTACACGCAGACTTTGGGCGTCAATTACATGGAAAGATCGATAAACATCAAGTCTACAGAGATCACCTTTTCGATTTGGGATTTGGGAGGAGAGGCAGAGTTCACCAACATGTTGCCGCTAGTGGCCAGTGACGCGGTTGCCGTGCTGTTTATGTTTGATTTGTCGCGCAAATCGACCCTCAGCTCGATTAAGGACTGGTACAGACAAACTAGAGGATTCAATAGGACAGCGATTCCGTTCCTTGTTGGAACCAAGTACGATTTGTTTGTTGATCTTAGCGACGCAGAACAGGAGGAGATTACGCGCCATGCACAGAAATTTGCCCGTGCAATGAATGCCCCACTGATTTTCTGCTCAACAAGTGCCTCCATCAATATTCAAAAGATCTTCAAGATAGTCATCAGCAAGGCCTTTGATTTGCGACTGAGAATCCCGGAAATCGAAAATGTGGGAGAGCCGATTCTCATCTACCACGAACACGACCGCGAGCGCGAACGAACGAGCCGAAGACCTACAGCTAGTCATTCTTGAATCATTGTTATTTACATTGCCACCATCAGCTCGCTCATCAGACTGTCTCTTTTAAGACACCCAAGAACCTCGTCTTCGTTGACGTTGAGCCGGACAAGTCGCAAACGTTCGGCACGCAGCTGTTGTTGGGCAATGATGCCGCTCTCGTCGAGTTCTCGCACAATATACCCAAACCCATTGACACGGAGCCGGGCAGACCCGTCACCATAGAGCACCTGGACCAACTCCAATTGCTCTTCGTTGAGCTGTCTCTTCAGCTCGGAAAATAAAACGACTCCAAACTGGTTGTTCAGCTCGTCAATCACCTCCCCGAGAGCAAGTTCGGCCGAGCCGGTCCGTTTGCGGCGAAGCAGAAACGCAACCAGCACCATTTTGGCCAAGAACGACAGCGAGTTCAGATAGTTGGCCACAGGCGTGGAAGTTGTTTCATTCACGGCCCGCATCACGTGCATTATCCCGACGTTGTACCGGCCTTGAAGCTGGTCTCTCTCGCTCTGCGGCTTGGATAAGAACTCCATCTCTGCGATTTCCAGTGCACGAACACAGATCACCAATGACCGTCTGGCGTCTCCGCTGACACTGGCCACTTTTCTCGACGCAAACTCGATGGCGTCCTTCGAAATAACCAGCTTGCTGTCGTTGGCGCGTTCGATCTTCTCCAAACGGTGTTTGATGATCTCACTAAGCTGTGCAAAAGTGTAGCCAGGAAATTGGATTCTGGTGAGCCCCAGCCGAGAAGAGATCTTGTTAGTAAGCAGACGCTCAGGGAGATCCATCGTGTTGGCAACCGCAACCACAATCAGCTTGGAGTTCTCGTACGACGGCCAATTGAAGAAATTGTACATCACCGTCTGGTTTTTGGTCACCACCTGGTCCATTTCATCGAGCAACACCACTAAAGGCAGTCTTTTCGGGTCTTTGGTCTCGAAATGGGTCTCCAGTAGATCCAGCGCAGCACCAGGCTTGGCATGGACCCCACTGATCTTGTGGTAGAGCTGCTCATAAGCGGCGGGAGCAGACATCAGCTTGAGCCCGTTAATCTCTAAATAGTTGAACATTTTCTTATCGTTATCGTTAGTGAGATTCACAAACAGCTGTTTGATCACCTCGCGAATTGTGGCCGTCTTCCCGACTCCCGGCGTGCCGCTCACGTAGATACACCGTCCCTTGTGGGTCAAAATGGAGTCGGCTAGGCCGTTGTATAGCTGATCAAACTCGTTATCACGACATGGCAAGGTCTGCAGCTTTGCTGACGGCAGCAACCGCTCCTTGGCTTTGCGGAACGTCTTCACCACTTTCCCGTTGCTGTCCACAACCTCCTGCAGATCGGCATCGTCGATCACAAGCTCGTTGTCGTCCTCAAAGAACTTTTGTCTGATCAGTGTCGGGAGCACGGGGACCGAGTCACGTGGCTTGCGTGGCGACTTCCTTGGGGTGGCCGATTTGGACGGAGACTGGGCTTTGGTGCGTTTCTGTTTGGACTTGCGAGGTGTTGTGGGTGGTTTCTTGGGCTTCTCTTCGGAAGGGCTCTCGTAGGCCGAGTCAGAGTCGAGCATTTCGATGTCGCTCTGCGAATCGTCCACATAGACGCTTTGAACGGGCTTTTGCGGACTGGCTCGCTGTCTTTTGCGTGGAGATTCAGATTGCACGGGGCTAGTTAGGTCCTTAACCTCCTGGTACAAGGATTCCGGGTTCTTGGCCGAATAATCGGCCCAGTCCAATTTTCCCGTGAAAACAGACTCTCGGTCAGTAAATCGCGAGCAACGGAACGTGGTGTGCGAATTTGATATGTCCAGCTTGATACGGGCAAAACTTTCTGTTGACAGAACCACGCACTTCTCAATGATATCGTTGAGCATCACTTTATCCGAGATTGGGGTGAGAAACACGTCGTTTGGATGAAATTCGTCTTTTGGAAGGTCGACGGCCTCAATGTCGGTCAGGCGCGCAAACCAGAGCACCCGAACATCCAAAAAATGGTCTGTTCCAAACTGGATGTCGCGAATCAGCGCAATGTCGGGCTCTCCTTCGTCAGAAGCAACAAGAACCGTATCGCCAGGGTTGAGTTCGAGCCCGTCCAAGTCGCGCTTGAGCAGGATCCGCTGGGCAGTGTTGTCTGTGGTGCGCCTGGAACGTCTCTTCGACGGCGTGGCCGGATCGGGTTCCAAAAGAGTGAGTTTCCAGTCACCAAGAGCCTTCTGAGTCGTTGCCATGAATAAAAAATAAGTGGGTGTGCACAGCCAGATATATTTTGAAACGGGCAGGGATCTGAGAGAGTGGAGGAGGGGTCTGGATGGTGTAATGAGGGATACCACCGGGGAAATCATCTTAATGTCTGTACTGTCATACAAATCAGTCTTTACTTTAACGCCAACTCGGTCGACGTGTGTCTATTTGCAATACATTATACACTATTAAATACCCCCACCACGCAAATATCTTCAACACGATATTTTTTTCTCCCCCCTTTTCTTCCCGCGCTTATTGCTATTTCTATGCTTTCAAACCACACGCCCCGCCTGCCAGAAACATACACAAGCTCAAAGACGTTCAAACCGATCTTCTTCACTGATCCCAATGACGATTCAACTGCCGACCAACAAGTGCCCGAATTTAACGCTGGCACTGAAAACCCGTTCCTGACAAGAACTGAGCGGCCAGTGAAACCGGCCGTGGTGTCGCCGTCGCCATTTAACAGCCCATCCAGCGTGATGGACCTGAGCAGCTCAGAAAAGTTCCTGGGCACCGACAAATTGCACGAACTCAACGGCTCAACAACTTCAACAACAATGACTTTCTCCCCTCAAACAAAAAGCTCATACATCACACCAACAAGAAAGTACTACCGAACATTCGTGGTTCTCTCGTTGCTCTCAATGCTCATGTTCTTGCCGCCTGTCCTTATAGGCGGGGTTTCCATGTCCTGTGGAGCCCGGACCGGATACTGTATCCCTAAAATAGAGTTCCGCTTCATTGATGATTCACCAACAAGTCCTCTCACCACTATCAGAGAAAGCATTAGAGTGATCACGTATTTCGCAATGGACCTGGGCTCAAACTCCCCCGCTGTGGACTTTTCTGAGCAGGACATCAAGGAAATCGACACCTTCTCCGTCGATAACGTGTTCCAGCTCAACTATTTCGGATACTGCAAAACCAATTATCTTTCTGACGAACAAACATGCTCTAATTTCCAAACGGGTCTTGATCTGCCGTCCGTTCTGGTCAGAGACGCAGGAACCAGTCTTGGCACAATCTCAAACCAAAGAAACCCAGATGACGTGGGTAACTCTTTGGTGACTGGCTTCCATGTGATCTTGGACAACATCGGAGACGACAACGAGGTCGCCTACAAAGCCATCATAGTCAAGTTCATGGGCCTTATTCTCCCATACGTGATTCTGGCAAGCTTCATCTGCTCGTTTGTGGCTCTCGTGTACGCAGTGGTGCTTGTTAGTTTATTGCGGTCAAAGACAAAGTTCAGAAAGATGCAGACTCGCGTTTCGCTGATTTTCAATCTTCTGAACCTTCTGAACCTGGGCTCCTTCATGTTGAACGCTGGCGATTTGGCCGTCGAGTATGCATATGTGACAAAGCTGGCAGAAGCCACGGGTAACAGCGATCTTGCGGTTGTTGGACTTGGTTCTGGATTCTATGTTCAAGTTTTATGTGTGGCCTTACAATTCATAATATGTTTCGGATTTGCAACGCTTGTGCTAGCCAAACCTTGGACAAAATGAAGAGGAAACACATTAGAGAGTGAAGACACTGGACTCTGGCTTTTCTGTGATTCTATAGTTGAAGGAGCTTATGCATTCGCATTCAAACGTCTGGTTCAACTGCTCGTCCGCAATGAGTTTCAAACTGACACCGAACCATGGAGAATATAATGGTCTGGGTGGCCTAGAGACGGGCACAAGATCTGCCGTGTCGCCGAGTCTGTTACGGCCTGATTCGTCGAACCTCACTCTGACGCGCGCCAAAATGGAGTATATGCTTTGCGGCTGTCCCGTTGGAATCAAATGAGCGTCATAGCTGAGCAATTGGTGCTGTGTAGAAGGCAGGGTAGCCCAGGTTTGTTGGAACACTTGCTTGGAGCCATATGGAGTCCCGTTAATAATGACTCTGGAAGGGGTCTGCAGCTGCGGCAGGATCGTATTTGCATACATCTCTGGAGATTGCTCGGAGAGCGGCTGCAGGTCGAGCGACTTGAGCAGCGCTTTAAGAAAGTTTTCGAGCTTGGCTGTTGGATCGGACATTATAAATTCGCTTTTTATTTTCTTCAAAAATATTTTTGTTACACTGAGCGGTGGTGGTGGTGTAGGGATGTTTTCTCTGTTTTCCCGGGTGGGTGTGGAAACGGAAGGCTGGTGGGTGGGTGTGTTTTTTTTAGATGTGGCTGCTTTCGAATGCTGGTTTTTCTGTATTGGGTGGCATGCATATGCGGTGCCCGATTAGGAAAAGAGCGTCCAAATTGGGCTGGCCAACAATGCTACAGGGCCGCAAATTGCCAATTTACTATTATTCTGCCCGCCGTGATCTCTTTAGATCAATATAATTAAGTAGAACTTAGAAAGGGGGCAGATCAGATCACAACAATTCTTCCCTGAATTTAGGAAAAACAGAAAACTAGCCCCATTGCAAACAGCCTTCCCAAACAACTATATATCCTGTGGAGATAGATCGATTGCAACCACCGACTACATTCGTTCTTTCCTTCCTTGTTTCCATCTGATTTTTGATTCCGTCACTCGTTATGTCCACTCTTGCTGCTGATCTCAACCATGCTCGGTCGCATTCCGACTCGACCAACTCCAAGTCCAGTGCTTACTACCAGATGACGCAGCCTCGCTCGCAAGAGTCTACGTTGATCCATGATTCCCAGCTCAAGAGATCGTTTGCAGATATGTCCGACTCCTTTACGTTGGTGTCTGACGCTCCGCCAAGTCCTCAAAACAAACGGTCCAAAACCGCGCCTTCCTCGCCTGTGCCGGAAACTCCAAAACTCTCGTTTGACGAACTGCCTTTGACTCCACCTTCGCACGGCGTTGTGTTGGGGTCTGTGTCGATCTCGACCCCGATCTCCTCGCCTCAAAATACCCTTGCGCAGTCGCCGGCGACTCCCCCATCCTCTGCCTCGGGGTCTCCTCGTCAGCTACCGATTCCTTTGAAACCGGCCGGCAAACTACATGCGTTCGAATCCGATTCCAGCTTTTTTTTCCCAGACACCTGTTACTCGTTCAATCTGCTTGGATCCGCAGCCCCAGAAAGCAACGAACGCGGCTGCATACTCGAACAACGCAATGAAGAATGGAGAGACTTCCACTCCAACAAGTGCAAACACGAAAACAGCGAACTGTTCAAGAAGTACAGAGAATATTGCTCCTCCATGCGGCTCAAGCCCACAAAACCAATTTCGCGTGTTTCCAAGCCGCTCCGCCCTAAGAAACCGGTCAAGATCGCAGCCTTCGTGGAGTCCCAATACCAGAAGTTCAACGGACTCGTCAACTACCCTTACTCTAATAACTACACCTACCAGACAACCGGATATCTCAAAGATGTGCAATTGCTCACCTCCTCCGCAAAACTCTACACTCCGCAACCGAAACACAGCTACGTCCCTGAAACAAGCGAGAACTTCAAGCTCCCAACACCAACAACAAGACTCCCGCCTATCTCAGCCTCCTCCATCATGATCCCTCCGCAGGAAGAGCACGAGTTCGCCCGCGTGGGCGTTTCCAAATTCATCAACACTTCGCTCGAAACTCCAGCTTCGCCACAGGCACATTTGCGCACCACCGCCACGCCCTCTGCCTCCTCCTCGTCCTACACTGGTGGCTCGCGCAAATGTATCTCCTGCCACTCTGCCCAATCGCCATGCTGGAGACCTTCGTGGTCCTCGTCCGAGGGCCAGCTCTGCAACTCCTGCGGCCTGCGTTACAAGAAGACCCGTGCCAGATGTCTCAACCCGCAATGCCTGCGCATTCCTGCCAAGGGAGAATGGACCTTGATGAAAAATAAGGGCAAAGTTATGGTCCAGGACCATTACGCATACAGATGTCTCCATTGCGACGGAGAAGTTGACGTTGACGAATAGTGTAAACGTGTGTAATTGTATACTTAGATTGCGACATTAATTTGAATAACCCGCCAAACACTAGTCATCGTCGTTGTAAAATAACGCTGGTTATTTCCCTCATAACATTGTCAAGCTTGAAATTCTCGCTTATGTAATTTTATCCGCGGTGTTGTATCTGGGTTTTACACTGGTGAAGGCTTGTTTGAGAAATCTGACTCAAACAAACGCCAAAAACGCAATGATTCCATGGGTACCCCACAGATCCAACGACCAAGTCCATTACGGCCATTTCCAAACATTATCCCCCCATCCTGAAATCCGGCCCCCTGTGACCCCCCACCGTAAACCAGACCGCAAATCTTGCTCCTCCTCTATATGCAAATTTTTTTCCAAAAAATCTCTCCCAGTTATTCTTCTTAATCCCTCACGAGAGCTGCCGCATAACGTTCTCTAGCGCGCCTATACCTTATATAACTAAGGTGTTCTCCCCACAGGGTGTATGTTTGTCCGTCAGGTTTCCCGCAACATCTGGTCCCATCGTCTTAGTCAGAAAAGCTATTCAATGGCCCCTTCTCTTGTCCAGCCCTCTGGATTCCCCAATGTTCCCTACGAATTTGAGAAATCTCTAACCTATCCCTCAAGGGCTCAGTCTCTTCTTGGGGCCACTTTGCTCTCCAAGATTCAGAATATCGACATCAACACTTGTTCACCAGATGCTCTCGATTCCTTCTTTGTGTGCGACCTGGGCGAGCTGAAACGGCTTGTCCGGTTATGGCGTGCGGAAATGCCTCGTGTCGAGCCATTCTACGCCGTCAAGTGCAACAGTGACCAAAAGTTGCTGCACACCTTGCTTCAGATGGATCTCGGGTTCGATTGTGCTTCCAAGACCGAAATCCAGCAGGTTTTGGCTCTTGGAGCAGACCCGGCAAGAATCATCTATGCGAACCCGTGCAAAGCTGTGCCTTATATTCGGTATGCCAGGGAAAACAACGTCAACATGACCACCGTTGATAACCTGGACGAATTGCACAAAATTGCCCAGTTTCACCCAGACTGCGAGCTGCTGATTCGGATCAGAACCGACGACTCCGAAGCCACCTGTCCCCTGTCCGTCAAGTTCGGTGCCTCTTTGCAGGAGGCCCGTCAATTGGTCCAGGAATGCGCCAACTTGAAGCTCAACCTGACAGGAGTGGCTTTCCACGTTGGTTCCGGTTGCAACAACCTTGCAACCATCGATACCGCCGTCAGAGACTCCAGAATGATTTTTGACCATGCCTCAAGACTCGGATTCGACCTGAAAATGCTCGACATTGGCGGAGGTTTCTCCAAGTCGACTTTCCAGGCCTCTGCAGCAGTGTTCAGAACGGCACTCAACACCCATTTTGCAGCTCAGGAATTCCCCGATCTTCAGATCATCTCCGAGCTGGGGAGATTTTTGGCTGCTTCTTGCTTTACCCTCGCTGTCAATGTCACTTCGAAACGCTCGGACGCTTTCCAGGAGCGGATTTACGTTAACGACGGTGTTTACGGCAATTTGAACTGCATTTTGTTCGATCATCAGGAAGTTGAGCCCAAGGTGCTTACTTCCAACGGCAAGTTTGTGTTCCACTCAAATTACAACCACTCTGAAAAGGAATTGGCCGATTCGTCCAAGACCTATTCGGTGTGGGGACCAACTTGCGACGGATTGGACTGCATTGCGCCAAACTGCAAGTTGTCGCAGAACGTTGCGATCGGCGATTGGATCTACTTCAAGAACTCCGGCGCATACACGTCTGCGGCTGCCACCAATTTTAACGGGTTCACCTCCCAGAACGAGTGTTTATATATCGATAGTAGTTATTGATGCTAAAAAAAAAGTTATTTTTCTTATCTCTAGATTGTTATCATGGTGAAAAGTATGCCGATGAATATCTAAATCCCCCACTAACCTGCAGGAGTTTTGTGCTGTTACGGAATTGACATTGACGCTGTTGCAGGATGGCTAGGGTCCTACGGTGGAGAGGACTCGGCAAGCGACGTTTCTCGTGGTCTGTTTGCAGGCCACGTTGGTATCCCACGTATGCTGAAAATGCTTGACAGGTACAACATCAAAGGTACCTGGTTTATCCCGGGCCATTCGCTGGAGACGTTCCCCGAGGAGTGTGCCATGATCAGAGACGCTGGCCACGAGATTGGACTCCACGGATATTCCCATGAAAACCCGACCGACATGACGTTGGAGCAGCAGAAAGACGTGCTCGACAAGACTTTCAAGCTGCTGACCGATTTCTGCGGTAAACCCCCCACCGGATCTGTTGCTCCGTGGTGGGAGACGAGCCAGGCCGGAGTGGAGATGCTGCTGGACTACGGAATCGAGTATGATCACTCCATGTCGCACCACGACTGCCAATGCTACTGGTTCCGCACAGGCGACACCTGGACCAAGATCGACTACTCGAAAAAGGCCGAGGAGTGGATGAAACCGCTCCAAAGAGGAGAAGAAACAGGACTCGTTGAAATTCCGGGCAATTGGTACATTGACGATCTGCCTCCAATGATGTTCATCAAGAACAGTGCAGATGGATACGGGTGGGCAAACCCGCGCGATATCGAGGACATTTGGCGAGACCATTTCGACTATTTCTATAGGGAATACGACGAGTTCGTGTTCCCGATCACGTGCCACCCCGATGTTTCGGGCCGCCCCCACGTTCTGCTGATGCACGAGCGGCTGATCGAGCACATCAACAAGCATGAAGGCGTGGAGTGGTTGACCATGGACCAGGTCAACAAGGACTTTAGGGCCAGAAACCAGCCTCCGGCCGGAGCGAAGCTGCCAGCTACCAACGCGACTACCTGAGTTTCGGTCTCCCCCCACTCAACACCGAGTCGTCCTCGCGGGTCCTTTTTCCGTTTAGAATCCCTAAATCCACGTACATGCTGCTATTAGCCTCGTCTAGTTGTAGGAGCTGGTCGTTTAGCTCGTCGTCCGCCTCGCCCTGCTCGTTGAGGTGCACTTCCACGTCGCGGGGGGACTCCGTGAGCTCCTCTTCGGACTCGGACTCGTGATAGTTGGAGGTTGCGGCGATTCTGTTGTTGATTTCCTTTATGGCTGATTGTAGATGCTGGTGGGGGCTCAGATCTGCGAACGACTGGAAGAGCGGGTTGTTGCACGGGCCCTGCACGGGCCACAGCTCGCACTCGATGGCCGGCTGCTGCAGGTCTGATCCTTCTATCACGTTGAGATAGATGTGGGGCCCTCGAAGTCCGACCAACGCCACGGCCTCGTAGGGGATTTCGAAGCTCAGATCTGCGGCGGGGACGTGGAACAGGAGGTACTCGTTCAGCACGAACACCCACGTCTCGAGGTCTATGGAGAGCCCGTTTGTGCTGGTGAGACTGTGGCGGTCGATTGGATTGATGTGGGGGAAAGGAAGTTGGATTTGATTTGAAGGGGTCAGCGTGCCGTTAAGACGCAGTTTCCAGGTCTCAGAGCCGTAGAAAAGCACACAGTCATCTTCCATGTACTCCTGTGGGGCGGTGAGCTGGTAGTTGCGGAAAAGGTGGGTGTTCTCGACGGTCGGAAGATGGGGAACAGGTCTCACAAAGGCCATTACAGGAAAAAAATTCAATCCCACGAGGAAAAAAAAAACATGCTGGGTTAATTAAAAGTGGGGGTCAACAGACCAAATCAAAGGTGTGGGTTTTATCCGTGCACCGCGAGACGTCTAGTGGATGTGATCGGACTCCCTGCGTGTGATTGACCCGAATTGGCAAGGGCGGTGCCCTGTATTCGTACAGGATTTGGCCCTGTCCCTTTTAAAACTACATGAAACATGAAGCTTTATTGTGTTATGAAGCTCGGTGAAAGTACGAGATTAAGTAATCCCTTTAGAAGATGTCACGCAGACATAACCTGGCAGATTATAGCTCTTGTCCTTTAGATATTGCCCACACTGCAATCTAAATAACATTATATTCTGCACGACTTATTTCTAGACATCACATTTGCATGCATACAATTAACCGATTTGGGGAACACCATGTTTTGATTTATTTAGATCAATCTTGTTTTAAGTGTGTTTTGTGGTGTATATAATTCTGAGCAAACCCGCAATCGTAGTTTCATCCCCTTTATATCCCCCTTCTTTTCCCCAGCATGACTGCCGGCACAGCATGTGCTACTTATGGAACAAGAAAACCTTCGCATCATGTTCCTTCTCCACTCAGTTTCCTCAGACAAAGAAGCATCTCCTCCTCTAATGCCTCAGTAAAGATAGGAGCTCCCCCCACTTTCCGGTCCCCTAAACAGCAGAACGACCACGACACCGTCTCTGTGTCTTCCAAATCGTCCACCCTGTCTCTCAGCAGACGCAACTCCAGCATCTCGTCAAATCAGAGCTCCCCTTACAAGCGGCCAAGCGTCGTCACAAGCACCACCATAGATAGAAAGAAAAACAAGATCTCGTACGACGAAAACTGCTGCTTCTGCGAGGAGCCGCTGCTCAACGTTTTTGATGGAGAGACACTGCTGGACATGTCTTGCGGCCATCACTGCCACTTCCAATGCTACTCCGAGCTGTTCGACTCGCCAGGGTCGGGAAAATCAAAAGTATACTGTCCTATCTGCGGCACATCCAACACTTTCAACGACGACGAAATCAACGACAACATCATCAGAAACAGACTCTTAACATCAACTTCCTGCGAGTTCAACCAGGACATTTTTGCATCCACCCCTGCCACTTTGGCCAATCAACTGATTACTCCTTTGGCACCGACCCAGGTCCATCTGACTCCACTCACGCCTGTTGCGCAGACATTTCCTGAGTTCCGGTGTCCTTCTCCAAGAACACAGCCGCTGTTTCTGGAGTCTCCGGTCATCTCCACGTTCCCATCTCGGATTTCTGCCAAACAGTCGGACTCCAGGTTCTCTCTGGGATCGTTGGCAGAAGCCAAGGTGGAAGTGGTGCCCGAATTCTCGAAAATCATCTTGCTAAACGAACACACCATACCCAAATACTACGATCTTTCGTGTGTCATGAACATCAAGTCGCTCGATTACGAGCCGTCTTTGCTTAATTTGCCCGAGAAGGAGAAAGAACGCGAGCTCAAGAGCAAGGAGATCATTACCAAGGAGCTGATCCACAACTTTGAGTCCAAGCTACCAATGCATATCGATCTGGACGTTGCCAACCTTGGTTTCTTGGTGCTCTTTGATATTTTTGAGTGTGTCACCGTCAAGGGAACCAGATACGAACGTGCACATGTGTACTTCTTTGACCAGCGTTTGGTGGTTCTCAACAGCGTCGGCGACGAGCTGATCCAGAACGTTTATCTCGTTGACAAGTTGTCGTCCGTTTTTGAAAACGAGTCGAGTCTGGACATCACTCTCAATCTTGCCAGTCTGAGTGTTCCAGAAGTGGAGCTCACGAGCGACAACAAGCTGATCCACGACAAATGGATGAAGATGCTTTCAAAGTTTGTTGTGCGCATGCAGAGACAGGCCCGTTCCAACAGAGAAAATCCGTTTGTTGCACAGGATCCGTTTTCCGACGCAGAGTTCACTCCGTTTAACCTGTTCTCCAAAGACCTCATCAGCTTCTCCAAGGAGGTTCCATTGATCCAGATGTCCACCAACGCCTGGGGACTCCTGACCCGCAACGAGAAGGTGATTCCGAACGAGGTGTTGAAGTACAGCCGGCTCGTTTCCAAGGGACTGGACCTGCCAATGGGTTTTTTGAAAAGACAGATTTCCAAGCCGGACTCAAACCCGCTGGTTTTGATCCTGGTGGTGCCAATCGTCAACAACAGTACCACCTGTCTGGACGACGCCGAATACACGGCCGAAATCCGGCAGCTAATTACCGAAGTACTGGAAGATTTGCAACCAGAAGACAAACTGGGCATTGTTCTCCAGGGAAACAAGCGTCCTGACTCGCAATTGGGCAACTACTACGGCTGCATGTCTCCTCTATGGGAGGGCTGGAGACAGATCATCTCCACGATCGAATGCTACACCCCTGTGGACGGCGACGAGGTGCTGGACGAGAACTACAGCTCGTGGCAGGACGGGCTCAAGTACGTGCAATTGCTGTCGACAACGAGTTTCTCCAGTTCAGATACCAGTGTCCACGAGATTGTGTTCATCAACACCGAGAGACTGAAGAACGAACATTACTTTGACCAAACAGCAACCGCTGACCAGCTCTGGGGCCACGCGTCCAGGAAGACCAGAAAGCCTGTTCCTGAGATCATTTCCCAGTTATGTGATCAGCACAACGTCACGTTCCACTCGGTCTCACTCTTTGACGAGTACACTTACCATCCGCAGGAGGTGTTGCAACACTACCATGCTTTGCTGGGCACCGGCAACCATCAGCCACGGGGATGCGTGGAACAACATCTTGCTCTGGACCTTGACAATCTGCACGCGCTTCTGAAGCGGCTGGTTAGTCGGTTCCATGATGTTTCCATCAGCAATCTCCAGACACGGCTGGATGTGTGCAAAGGTGTCACCATCACCGAATTTGAGAACCAGGGACAATTGGAGCCTGTTGATTACGGCAACTCGGTTAAGGTGCTGGACCTGCACAACGTGTACAGCAGTTTCGAGAAGTCGGTGATGATGAAGGTGCGGATCGACCTGTCGTCACTGTCTGTTCGGGACCTGCGGCAAGGCGTCAAGCTGGACCTGATGAAATCCACCACCAAACTCAAGCTGTACTCTGGGACCAAACAGATGCACGACGTGACCAGCATCAAACTTTCGTTGAACGACAGCGGTGCAGACACCACTACGCTGCCATTGAACCTGCTGGTGACGAATCCAGGACTGTACGAGACACAGTTCAGCGTTCCTATCCATCCAAGACTCTCTGCCATGAAAGACGCGGTATTTGTGAAACGGCAGACAGAACTGCTCATCATCGGCACTCTTGTGAACGAGGTGTTCATCAAGAAGACTTACAGCCACTCTGAGAAGGAGGAGGTGCGTGCAAGCCTCAAGAGCATGGTAAACAAGGTTTGGGAGCTGGTTAAGTCGTGCAACAGCACCAACACCAGCAACGTCAAGGGGCTCGAACAGTGGTCCGAGGCGCTCAACGACGAGTTTCAGGAAATCATCGAAGGGTACACCATGCGCAACTACTATCTGAGCAACTCGCGGTGTCTGGCAAAGTATTTCCAGTTAGTTTTAAGTTAAGGACGCTCGCTAGAAAAAAAAATGTAGAAGCAAAAAAAGGGGTCGACAGGGAATTGAACCCTGGACCTCCTGCTCCCAAAGCAGGAATCATACCACTAGACTACCGACCCGGTTGTTGTAGGGAGAGTAAACCACACGTATATGCCGTATTGGCACAGGCCTTCCCTATCACCAAAACGGAACTCCAACGACTCCTACTCGGTTCCAGAATCATCATTCCAAGCTATGTAATCAAACTAGTGCATTCCGCGATCCGCCGTTCTTGGCTTGGCACGAATAATATTATCCACTCTCAATAACACCTCTGCTGCCTCGGAGGCAGACGACACAACGGCCCGTTTCAGCTTGTAGCTCTCCACGATTCCCAGGCTTCTCATGTCGTCGACCGACCCGTCGTTCAGGTTGAGTCCCGAGCTGGTCATCCCACTGTAGATGGACGACCGCAGACGCGAAACAAGCTCGCTGGAGTCGTATCCCGCATTGTCGCACAATATCGACGGAAGCTGTCTCAGGGCTCTGGCGTAGGCTTCCACGGCTAGCGACTTTTTGCCGCTCTCCTTCTGGGCGGCCTGTTCCACCGCGCGGGCCATGTTCATCTCGGAACACCCGCCTCCCAGCACCGTCCGGGTCTCTCTAGTGGTTTGTGATAGCACCGAAAGAGCGTCGTGAAGAGATCTGTCTGCCTCGTCCAGCACCTGCTCGGTGGCTCCTCTGAGCACGATCGTGCAGGCCTGGCCTTCAGCAACGCCCGAGAACTTGGTCATGACGTCCTCGCCAATAATCACCTCTTCAATCGAGTCGCAGTACCCGAGCTTGACTTTTTCTGGGTTGTCGAACGTGGAAGCCACCTCACCGCCGGTGACCAACGCGAGTCTCTCCACACCTTCGAAATCGGCGTGCTCGATGGTGGCAATCCCCGCGTCGCTAAACAGCTGTTCGGGCCAGTCGTAGATCAGCTGTCTGTTGACGAAACAGTTGATGCCGAACTTCTGGATCTTTTCCACCTTGGCCTTCATCTTCTCCTTCTCTGCCCGCTCCAGCTCGGCCAGTTTGCTTGTGGCGTCGACCTTGAACTTGGCTCCGAAGATCTTCACCTTGTCTGTGTCCATTGAGGTATTAGCAATCAGGATTTTCGCGTTTTTCAAAACCTTGGCCTGGCCAACGCCAAACCGCTTGTCCAAAATAAACCCTTCGTCCAGAAACGAGTCCGACAGCTTGCCGCCGACTTTCTTGATGATCTGGATCCGGTCCAGGTTCGTGGAGCCGCCCAGTCTCAGAATGGCGTCGACCGCCAGCTTGGCAAAGTACTCCTTGTCCTGCGACAAAATCTTGGACGACAAAGTGGTCTTGGCGATATCCGTAAGGTCTTTTCTGAATTTGGCCTTGTCGTCGACGTTGTTGACTGCCAAGCCCTCGAGCTCCTTCAAAGCGGCCCGCGACGCGATTCTGTAGCCCTCGATGATGGTTTGCGGATGGATCTTTTGGTCAACGAGCTTTTCCGCCTCTCTAAGCAGCTCGGCGCCCAGAACAGTCACCGACGTGGTTCCGTCGCCAACTTCATCGTCCTGCACCTTGGCCACATTGACCAACACCTTGGCGGCCGGGTTGTCGAACGGAATCGCCTTCAAGATCGTGGCACCGTCGTTAGTGACCAACGAGTCTCCAGAAGAAGCAGACTGCAAAAGCTTATCCATCCCCTTGGGACCCAAGGTGGACTTCACCAAATCCCCCACCGCAATGGCACCGACGAACGACGATAGCCGCGCGTTCTCAGCACGCTCCTCAGTGACCTGGTCTCCAAAAATATTGACCGACATTAAAGAAAAGAAAATTGGAAGAAAACCAATTTTTCCCTCGACGCGTCGCAGTCTCATCTTTGGCCAAACGAAAAAATAATCGTTTTTATTCCTATTTGTTTTGTACTCCATGCCGCAGGAAACTCTCAGCGAACGGCTCGAACGCCATCAGGAACTGTTTAACAAGATAGACACGCAGCATAATGGTAAGTTCACGCTCGAGGACTTCGAAAAAGCGCTACATTACACAGACCATCCTTTGAAAGACTCCCATTTCGCAATTTCCCAAATCTACAAGTCGCTAGCCGGCCAGGACGCGGCCAGCGATTGGATCAGTTTCGAGAAGTTCAACCAGTATCTGATGAGTGCCGAGGCACAGCTGGCAACGGGGTTTCAGAACGTGGACCTGGATCATGACGGTATAGTCACAAAGAAAGACGTGGAGTCTTATTTGATAAAACTCGGGTTACAACCAACACCCACAGAACTGGACGTTTTTTTCCAGAAACTCGACTCTGAAAACAGGGGATACGTCACTTTCGAGATGTTCAGAGACGGACTGTTGTTCATCCCGCGGCTGGAAGGGTCGCGGATCCGCACTGCGTTCAAGTTCCTCAACGACGAAATGGAGAGCATTTCTTCGGACGGAGACGTCACCGTTAGCGACGACGTGCTGAAAAGCGTGGGCTATTTCCTCGCGGGCGGGCTTTCTGGTGTCGTGTCCAGAACGTGCACTGCTCCGTTCGACCGGGTCAAGGTGTTCCTGATTGCCAGAACAGACCTGTCTTCCACGCTGCTGAATAACAAACGACAATTACAAAACCAAATCGAGGAAAAACTGCATCACCACGTTTCCAAAAAGAAAATCCAGTCTCCCCTGATCCGCGCAGCTAAAACATTATACAAACAGGGAGGTGTTCGGGCGTTCTATGTTGGAAACGGGCTCAACGTCTTAAAAGTGTTCCCAGAAAGTGCCATTAAATTTGGCTCTTTTGAGGCTACCAAAAAGTTTTTATGCGGTGTCGAAGGCGTGGACGACGTCTCGAAGCTGTCCAAGCTTTCTACATACGCAGCCGGAGGAATTGGCGGAGTGATGGCGCAAATCAGCGTCTATCCTATCGACACTCTGAAATACCGTGTCCAGTGCGCTTCTTTGGATTCCAAAGAAAAGGGTAACCGGCTGCTGCTCAAGACCGCCAAAGACATGTTCCAGGAGGGCGGGCTTCGCATCTTCTACAGAGGCCTGGGTCTCGGGGTGGGAGGAATGTTCCCGTACGCTGCATTGGATTTAGGAACCTTCACGACGGTGAAGAAATGGTACATCAGGAAGACGGCTGAGAAACAGAACTGTCCATTGGAGGACGTTGTCATTCCAAACTATCTTGTACTGACGCTGGGTGCGATGAGTGGAACTTTCGGAGCCACCATGGTGTATCCGATCAACTTGTTGCGAACGCGATTGCAAGCCCAGGGCACTTTTGCGCATCCATACACATACAATGGCTTTTTCGATGTTTTCAAACAAACTGTCCAGCGCGAAGGTGTTCCTGGTCTTTTCAAGGGTCTTGTTCCCAATCTTGCCAAGGTTGCTCCGGCGGTTTCCATCAGCTACCTGATGTACGAGAACCTCAAGGTGCTATTTAAGTTGGAGTAAATATATTCTATAAAGATTCAACAACATAAGAAGTCGCACTATTTGGCTTCGGTGTAAAAACATTCAACAACCGGGTCGGTAGTCTAGTGGTATGATTCCTGCTTTGGGAGCAGGAGGTCCAGGGTTCAATTCCCTGTCGACCCCTTTTTTTGTTTCGACAAAATATTTTTTTCGCAGGTGGTGGCAGCATACAACCGGACAATTGTCGTGACGCCAGGAGTCGCAGGTGGCTGTGCTAAAGTGCAGCTTCTCAGTGTTGCCATCACCTATTGGTTTCTGTTTTTTGCATTCCAAGTCCCAACAATTGGCCCGACCCGCTGTTTTCGTCTTCCTCCTTGCTATTTTAAATATATCAGCTCTTTAATACTTTAATCAACTACCTGAATTAAATATCTAGTAAACTTCCAAAACGTATCTGCCGTCCTCCTTCAGCTCCTCGACCTCCTTGGCAGTGTCGATCTTGACGCCTCTCTTCTCAGCGTCGGCAATCAGAATGTCCTCCAAACAAGCAGTAATGTCTGGAACAGGCCAAGTTGGTCCACACAGGTAGAAGTGGCCGTTCTTGGCCATCATCAGGTCGGTCAACTCGGTCAGGTTCTCTCTGATCTTATTCTGGATGTAAACCTTCTGTTTCTGGTCTCTGGAGAAGGCTGCTCCCACATATGTGACAATTCCAGAGTTCAAATAAGCTTCCCAGTACTCACCGTACAAGTACTCCTGTCTCTTATGTCTGGATCCCAGATACAAGTAGATCTCGCCGATGTCGTGGCCCTGGCTCTTCTGGTAGAATCTCTCCTCGACAAACGCCTTGAAAGGAGCCAATCCAGTACCCAGACCGGCCATGATGATTGGCTGGGTGGTGAGTGGTGGCAGCTTCATGATCGACGGCTTGACAGAAACAACAAGCTCCTGACCGATCTTGAGGTCGCTCAGATACTTGGAACACTGTCCGTATCTGGTTCTGCCCTTCTTGTCGGTCCAGTCGACCACAACAACCAGCAAATGGACCTCGTTAGGATGCATCTTCTGAGACGACGCAATCGAGTACTCTCTTCTCTTCAAAGGAGGAATCAACTGCACAAGCTCCTCTGCAGACGGTCTGGCGCTCGGGAACAGCTCAAAGATGTCCACGTAGTTGTAGAACTCCTCGTCCTGGTACACCTTGAGCAGCTCTGCTCCGTCAGCACTGCCCAGTTTTGTGAGCGTCGTTTTTTCCTCAGAGTCGGTAGCATACTCGGCCAGAGACTCGAAGAACCGTTTTGGCGGCTTTCCAAGCAGGTCCAGGTTCTCAATAAGCGCCTGTCTGACGGTTCTGACCTCGAAAATGGACTCGTGTTCCTTCGAGACCACCTGGACAAGCGAGTCTGCGTCCAAGCCGTAAGACTCGATAAACTGGTCAACAACCTCCGGCGTGTTTCTTCCGTGAACACCAAGGGCCTCTCCGATGTTGTAAGTGAGACCGGTTCCCGACACGTCGAACTCGATGTGGAAGATGTTACGGTCGTAGTCCGTTGGGGTGAGTCTCTTGTTCTCCTTGACCTTGACGACAAAGTTCTCGATTGGCAAGTCCGGACGCAGCGACGACGAAACGCCGTACGCCTCCTTGAACATCAGCTTACGGGCAAGCTCTGTCTTGGAGTCCACCTTGACTGCGGTGGTGTCCACAAACTTTTCTCTTGGGTTTGGCTCGAACGAAGTCTCGACAAAGTCGACAAAATCGGTCTCTTCCTCCTCTGGCTGCTCCACCTCCTTGATGGTCACCTCCAGAACGTGTTTGTCGATCTTCTCGACAACATCAGCAATGACAGACGCCAACAGCTCGGCCTCGCTGCCAAATGCTTGCAGAATCTTGGTCACAATTGCTCCCGTGTCGAGCTCTGGGAAAGCGTGTTTCCAGAACGCGACCTGGATCGCGATCGACGCAGTGCGGCCCTTGGTGGCCTCTTCTTCGCCCACACCGTTCAGATCAACCACCTTGAGCGTTCTGTGCTGTGCCACAAGGTTGGTCTTGAACTTGGCAGACAGAGTCTTTTCCACAAACTTGGTCTCCTCGAACTTCTCGTCGGCGCTGTTGATCACCAACAACGTTCCAGACTCTTTCAGGTTCTTCAAAACATCGAGCTCGTTCAGAATGTTGACGTTCTCAACAACAACCACGTCCAGAGCGTCTCCGCTGCCGGAACCAGCCTGGATATCGGCAGAGAACACACCCGAGTCCAAGCTGTTGTCGAACTTGGGCCGGTACCGGATGTCCAAGTCTGGGATCAGTGACAGCGAGTGTGCGATCTTGCTAGGCACGTCCACATAAATAGAGTTGTCGGCGGCCAAGAACTGGAACCGGGAGCCGGACTCTGGCACTTTGGAAGCCAGGTACTCGAGCTCGGCAACCGACTCGTCGGCAACCTTCAGGAACCGCTGGTTCACGTACAAGGCCGCTTGGACGTCGAGCTTGAGGCCATTGATACCGCCGTAGTTCTCGCCAACAACAACAATCTTCTTGGCAGAGGCAGGAACAACCTCGACGAATCTGGCAACCTCGAACGGAAGAGCCACTCTCACAAGCACGTGGGCCAGGTTGAGCTTCTTCAGAACGGCGGTCTCGGCACTGCTGTACGCAACGTAGACCACGTCTGCGTTCTTGGAGCCAAAGTACTCGAACGGAGCGTAATTGGTAGCAAGAACCTCGTTCAGCACACTCAGAGCCAGAGACAGTCTGGAAGCAGCAGGAGCAAGCTGGATCTTGCCGTTAAGCTTCTCATACAGCTCCTCGGCAACAGGCTTGATCTTTTCGTTCGACAACGAGCCCGTGACGGTCTGGTTGCTCTTGATGAACTCCAGCCCGTCAAACAGATGCACCGTGGTGACGTTGAGTTTGGCGAGCACGTTGGCCAAGATCGCAAAGTGCTGGGCCTCCACGGCGTTCAGCGAGTGCAACACAGGCAGTTTCAGGTTCTTGGCAATGGTCAGAGCCTTGGAGTAGTGCGAAACGAGCTTGCCCGACTCAAAGTCGTAATCCAGGCTGGCAACGTTCAAGGAAAGAGCCAGGTTATGGTGGTTCTGGCTATTCTGGAGCAAAACAGGCTCCATATAAGCCAAACCGGAGCTTGGAACAATCACAGAAACAGGCTCTCCGTCGGTGCTTTGGTTCAGGTACCCCAAAACAAGGTTACCGCAGCCAGATCTAACGTCCAGACTGTATAGTTCAGGAACCTTGTTGTAAAGGTTTTTCCGGTTGAGTCTGGTCCACAGACCAAGCAAAGACCGTCTGTCAGAGACCTCCTGGTGGCCCAGCAGCTCGTAGTTGAAGATCTTGTTGTTCAACAGATAGATAGCAGACAGAAGAACGTTGAAAGGAGACGTCAAAATACGACCCTTGAGCTCGTACGGGTCCAAAGGAAGCCCGAACGGAGAACTGATCGTTGCGGATGATAGAGCAATAGACGTCGTGATCGACGCTTCTTTCTCAGAAATCGAAGGCATGGTTGATCAAATAATTAGATTAGTTATTTTATTCGTATCAGTTTTTCATACACCGGGGTGTTGAAAATTCACGTGACCACATTTTCTTTTTACAATTATGGTTGCAATCTACAGTTTGACCCAGCCGCCCAATCCGCGCTCGAGCCGCTGTTTCTTCCACGTTAGCAGCTCCTGTTTCTCCTTTAGTTCCTGGTTGTTCTCGTCCGACGCCAGGTTTCCCTCCACAAAATACAATTCGTCCTTGTAATTGTCCAGGATCTCTTCTGGGTCGGCCAGCTTGCTCTGGATCTCTTCAAGTCCCGTCTGGGCGCCCCAGATCTGCGACAGCCGCGGAGTACCCATCTTGTGCACGTAGAACGCGCGGGTAGCGTGCTCAGCCGCCAGATGCTCGTCCAGTTTCCGTTTCTTGTCGTCAGAAAGTGCACGCAAGTCTGCCAAACTCTCGTGGTTAAACTGCCGGAGTTTGAGAGCACGCCATCTGATCTCGGTGTTGTCCACCACATGTTTCAAAACCCGGTGGAACCCCGGATAGTACGCGGCGTAGTGGCGCTCGATCTCCGTCAACACCTCCGCGAGCGAGCTCTTGACGCTGTCGTTGGTCAGCATGACTTCGAAATCGGGTTTCCTGAACTTTTTGTACTTGGCGTTGATCTCTGTCATCAGTCGGCTCCATTTGGTTTCTGTGAGGTCGTACAAGAACGAAACCATCACGTAGATCTGGAACGCGATCGCGAGCCGGCGACGCGACTGGTTCAGCTGCATGGCAAACTCGTCTGCGTTCAATAGCCAATCGCACTCGTAATTTTTGGCCAAAAAGCTATTCACCAACAACGTCTCCTCTTCCGCCGTCAAACGGTGATTTATGCCCTGTTTCGGTGCTGCCGACTGCGAGTCCAGCTCCTTGATGATCTTGACAAGTTTCTTGCAGTTCTCCACCATCGGAATCGCGGTCTTGCCGTACCTGCCTCCTCTATAAGCGTTCAGCTCTTCCACGAGCCTGTTGAAGTCGGTGGTGAAATACAACGCCAGAACCATGTACTCGTGGAACGCGTCTGCCGTGCGACGGTTCGGGTTTCTGTTTGCTGTCGCTGGCCATTTGCGCGACTTGGAAAAGTCCAAGTACGTTCTGTCGAACGGATTTATTTTCCAGTCGCTCGTCAGCAACAACTTATCGTTGATATCGAATGCGTTGGTGATGAAAACAACAAGATTCGTCGCAAACACGTCGTGCGACTCGATCTGGCCCAGCAGCCGCGGCAGCAGCACGTTGCCGATCTGTAAAAGCGTCGACCCTGGCTTGGCCTTGCCAACCAGACTATTTCCTAGAGTGAGCTTCAGCTGTCTGTCCTCGGACGACTTGCTAAAAAACACCGGTCCAAACGACTCCACCACAAACTCCAGTCTGTTCAGCAGCATCAGCGAGTTGAGGGTCTGCATCGGCACAGGGTTGAGTCCAGAGTACTTTTCAAAGGCCAGATAGATTGAGGTGTCCAGCAACAACAGCGACAAAACCAGTCGTTTGTCAATATTCGGTTCACCTTCAGAAAACTTCGTATCGAGTTGCAACACGCAATTGGTGAATATCCCGTTGAAAAGAACAATCTTGTCCACTTTCAGAGATTCCATGTCAAACGAGACAAACAAGTTGTCAACCGCAGATTTTAGCCGTTGGTCTTGGTAAAACAACGTGTCCAGACTTGACGCCTCCACAAGCGCCAAAAGCCCGTCAACAAGCCCCGTGGAGTACTGTTCAACAAGAGCGTCCATAACAATATACTACACCTAGTTATTATTTTTTTTCTCTACTGGGGGCCCGCGCCGATCGACGCAGGCTCGGGGATGAAAATTCGTCATGTCGTCCATTAGTCGATTCTATGCTAGGAACCATAGCAAAACAATACACGTGACAATCACCCCGGCAATGATAAGCGAGTCGCGTTTGCGCCGCGTGTTGATCTTGGAAAGCAGCACGTTGAGCCCCGGCATCGTGCCGAGCGACCGCTGCAAACGGTTCCCCACGCTGCTGAGCACGTTCCGTTGTCGCAGGATCTCGTCTCTGGTCTCAAACACCTGGCCCAGAAGCGTGTCCATTGCACTATGTTGCTGGTTCAGTCGTAATCTCTCGTTCAGCATGTAGCCGTCCTCGTTACCGGACGCCCCGGACGAGTCCACCCGTCTCTCGTGGTCCTCTATATCTGTGCGAACAAACGAAAGCAAGTTGATCTTGTCGCGCTCTTGTTTGATGGTGGACTTGATTCGGTTGAAGTCGATCGAGTACTGGTTGAGGTTTTCCTTGTGGCGGGCCAGCTGCTGCATTTTAGACGCCGAGATCGTGTTACTAAGCGACTGCGAGTCCACCACCCTGTTGAGTTCCTTCACCAAGGCTGAGAGGCTGGAAAACACCGTGCTGATTTTGTTTTCTGTCTGCGCCTCTTCCGGGCTCGGCTCGGGTCCTGGCGACGACGCAAACGCGCTGTACGCGGCCAACAGCCCCGAAAGCTGGTTTTCCACCCCCACTATTTGCGTTCGGGTTTGGTTGAAAGAAGATGCCATACTGAGATGGGCAAAAAAATAACAAGCAATGCTCCATTTTGGGTGTAATTTCAGATTAGCACCCGTGAATAAAAATTCCACCAAAACGCCAGCAAACTCGGCTCGTGGTCCTTCACCTGTGCCAGAAGCTCCCCCGTCTGACACGGATGCACCATGTAGAACGGACGCGCCAGGATCGGGTGGTCCACCATCGCTATCGTTTCGACGCGTCGATCGGCCTCACAAAGGGCCCCACGAGAAACGATACGGTCGACCAGAGACGGACTGAATACGAGTTTGCGACGCTCGTAGCCGTCTGAAAAGTCAACCTCCCACATACAGAAGCTCAAAACAGGCACATTGTACGACGAATGGAAGAAAATGACCAGCTCCAGCTGGATATCGTCGCGGTCGACGTTGGCAAACACCAAGGACTGCAGTTAGTACAGACCAAATTCCGGCCCTGGAAACGGGTGATACCACCAAAAGACCAACTTACCTGACCATCGATCGTCTGTACTCGCACATTTGTGCACGATCGGGCAATTAACTCCACTACTGACGATAACTCGGTTTCGAATATATCTTTGTTCATAAATATTTAATTGCTATATCAATCGAATGCTAATTGTTTCTTAATCTCGGCAATTGCTCTACCGGGATTGAGACCCTTAGGACAGGTCCGGGCACAGTTCATGATGGTGTGACATCTGTACAGGGACATGGAGTTCTGGAGCATTTCCTTTCTAGCCTTTCCAGCCTGGTCTCTGGAGTCGACAAGCCATCTATAGGCCTGCATCAGAACGGCGGGTCCAAGGTACTCCTGCTGGTTCCACCAGTAAGAAGGACACGAGGTGCTGCAACATGCACACAGAATACATTCGTAAAGACCGTCAAGCTTCTTTCTATCCTCAACACTTTGGAAGTTCTCCTTACCGTCAGCTGGCTTGGACTTGGTTTGCAAATACGGCTGGATGGACTTGTATTGCTTGTAGAAATGCGTAAGGTCCGGAACCAGGTCTCTCACAATGTACATGTGAGGAAGCGGATATATCTTGAGTTCTTTGGATTCATCTTGGTCGATCTTGCAAAGACAAGCCAATGTGTTTTGTCCGCCAATATTCATGGCACAAGACCCACAAATACCTTCTCTGCAACTTCTTCTGAAAGTGAGCGTGGCGTCCTGTTCGTTTTTGATCTTGATGATGGCGTCAAGGACCATCGGACCGCACTGGTTCAAATCGACCTTGTATTCTTGCATGTGAGGCTTCTTGTCTGGGGTGTCCGGGGACCATCTGTAAATCTTGAAAGACTTGAGTCTTTGGGCGGCGGCCTGGGTGGCCATGCCACGAGTTCCTTGAAGACGAATGATGGATTTAAACATGGTTAAGAAACTGAAGCTAAAGTCGTGACTTTTATTCTATCTTATTACAAAAATTCACACCTTGATTGGCCCTACGGACTCCTGTTTTTCGCGCGACCGGAAGCGATTGCGGAGAGCAAGACGGAAATTTTCAAACTCTATCCGACAAAAACACATCCTTGCACCACAACCCCACCTCGGCTGTACAAGAGAAAAAAAACGTTTTGAGTCATTAGTTGATGCCGAGCGAGTTATTTAAATCTCGGGCCGAGTGGAATTGCTACGGATTTAATGTCTCGATCGTAAATCATCAGTCGTCAAATCTATTTACATGCACTCAATAAGACCGCGTCTCAGGCTCATCAGGTTGCGCGCCGCCTCCACTTTGGATGGATCCGCGTGTTCCACGTGTTGGACGTGCGCGTGCTCGATTTCGTGGTCGCTGTCGTAGTCCGACTCCGAATCGCTCTCGCTGGAGCTCACGGTTAGGGAAGGCATGTCGTCCTCCTCTTCAAGATCCAGACTCTTGGTCGTGATTGTCACTGTAGATCCGTTTATGTCGTGATTCATGTAAAAAGACTCGCTCTCATCGTCCTCGTCGTCAACTTCGTAAAACTCGTAATCCTCCTCAGAATCACTGTCATCGCTGTCGCTGTCGCTGTACTCCTCGTCCACGCGCGTGAGCTCGGGTTTCTGCGACTCCACCACCCGGACGTGTCTCTCGTCCTGTATGTTTTCAAACGACACGCGACGACCTCTTTCGTGTTCCTTGGCGTTAAGTCTGTCGATCAGGTTGTCCAGCAAGTTTGCCTGGCACACCAGGCGGTGTAGGTTTACGTCGTGGCTCACAGCCTCTTTTGTAAGCTTGGCCTTCACTTTGGAAGCCAAATAGTATGTGTCTGCGCGACTGGCGTAGTCTAGCGGATATCCAAGAGTCATTATTTATGAAAATGCAAAGGACTTTGGCCCACTTATATATTTTGTGAGTTAGTAATCAGACTTACCGACTTATCTCCGACCTCCTAGAAATTTGAGCGGGTTTAATAATATTTCTAATCATTTTGTCCGAGCCGAGCAACTAGGTGCCGAAAAAAATTCGGGCCATGCGGTACTAAGCAAGCGAAACCGTTACGGTCATTTTATTCTAGTCCGTTCTACTTACCAAGCCGCAGAGTCCCATTTATTCAGCTCCTCTGCCTGTCCAACAACGTCCTTTTGACACTTCTTCCGCATGTAGAAAATCGGACAATCCTTGTTGGAACATAGCACCTCTTGGTGAAGGGACCCCTGACACCGTTGGCACTCTGTCCACAGCTGACTGAATTTTTTCTCCAGATTACTCATCCGGGCTATCTCGCGGCCATATAACTCACCAGACATGTGTCGGCAATTCTTGCACAGAACCTGGTTCTGCGGAATTGGTGACTTGCAATTCTTGCACGTATTACTTTTGCGCGCAAACTTCATCAGCCCGCCAGTTTTCGCGGCACTCACCGCAACCGTGCGCGTGTGCGAGCCATGTAGAAGCTCTTTTGTGCGCCGCTCGCCCAAGATCGGCTCAAAGATACGCGTCAACGGATTCGCAAGCTGGTTCTCCAAGTAGTACTTGGTGTCGATCGGCAGCGAGTTTTCTAGCACATACAATGGGTCCTCGCTTTTCTCGTAGTTTTTATCTCCGATCGTCTTGATGATGACATAAGCAACACGATCCCCGAGCGTCGGAGCTGATCCAGCATCACGCTTACGCATCCGTTCCGCGAGTTCCACGTGCGGCTGCTTGGCGGCGTAGTCCTGGCGCGAAAGTGCCTTACTGATGACCAGCTGCGACAAATCCACCCGGTTCTGTAACAGATCGGCTATCGTTTTCTTCACAAACTGCTCCGCCCCTTCCACGTCCCGCTCTTCCAGAATCAGCTCCAGCACTCGCGTGATCACATGCTGAACCAACCGGCAATTGTCACGCCGCACCGTCTCGATACCCTTGGTGTCCATCTTGTCGAACTTGTGCGGATTTGTCCAGAACAGCCCAGCATACCGTTTCTTGTTGATCAGCAGGTACGGGAAGTACACCTTCTCGAACTCCAGCTTGATCGGGTGCTGGAACTTGGTCGAAACGTACTCGGCCGCCTCCTCGCCCATCCGCATACACGTTTCCAGGTCCTTGTGGCCAAACTTCACCATCACCGAATCGGTGTCTCCGTAAACCACCTGTGCGTCGTACTCGTAGCCGTTGGCAATACAGTACTTGTTCTGGACCTCTGTCTTGGTCTGCTCGATCATGACACGGCCGAATGCCGTCACCGACGACGAGATGGCCAGACACGGCAGCTTTCCGATCGTAGCTCCCGTAAACCCGTACACCGAGTTGGCAGAGATCTTCAGAGCAAGCTGTCTACCGTTGAGCACCTGTTTCTTGAACGGGTCTGTTTCCTTCTTGAGGTCCTGTTTGGCCTGTTTACGAGCAGCCAGCAGCTCTTGCAACACAATTGGCAAAATACCTTTGCGCAAGTGCGGTTTCACAAACATGTCTCCGTTTGGCGTGACAATGTAGTCCTCGTCCTGTTTCAGGTTCAGTCGTTCGGTGACCTGCTTGTTCAAAAGCGTGGTGTAGCAGAGGTTGTGCGCCATCATGATGGACGGGTACAACGAGGCGAAATCTAACGTGGCGATAGGAACGTCGTAGTAGCCTCTCACGGGCTCAATAACGGTAGCACCTTCGTACTCCTCGTTGACTCCCTCGGATTTGATGTTGGGGATCACAATGTCCAGGTCCAGACACTTGCGGAACAGCTGCGAGATGACCTTGATCTGCTGACCACGACTGAGCAGGAAACTGAACGGAACACCAGTGACCCTAGCCATTTCTGTGTAGTTCACCAAACACATCAACTTATCAGCCAGACGGAGCGGTAAGTACGCGTCTTTCAAACAGTAGACTGCCAAACGCCGTCTTGTTTCTGCATTGCCGTTCTGAAGGTCTGTAATAATGGAGTGCTGGACGTCTTCTTTCTGCTCGTTTAAGAAATGCGCAGAAACCGCGTTCAACGTGTACGACCGGAGCTTGTATTCTCTCTGGATAAACTGCAACAGATCCAGCTGCATCCGGCCCTCAATGTTGATGACCTTGTTTTCTCTGCTACCGTACGCACGCGAACTGAAAAAAGTGTCCTTGATCTCCTGTCTGCTATTGATCAGTTTGGAGAAGTACGGGAATTCATGTGCTCCCAGAGCACGGGCTCTGTTAATGAGGTATGGGAAATCGAAGTTGGCAATGTTGTACCCAATAATAACGTCCGGATCCACTTTGACGATAAACTCTTTCCATTTGAGCAACATCTCGGTTTCCGACTCATACGAAAACGTCTCCGAACCAACAATTGGAGCACACGACTTCACCGTGAACACATTACGAACAAACGGCAAAGACTCACCCGCCGTGGCCACCACGTTGGCGATCTGGATCACTGGGTCGTGCTCTGCTTCAGGGAAAATACCTTTTCTTCCGGCACATTCAATGTCAAACGACAAAATACGCAACGGAGCCATGCTGAGGTATTTACCCTCAGATGAATGCGAAATGAGATCTGTATAGTGAATCACGATCTCCAATTGACATGTGGAAACAACCTTGTTGGGAGCAACCTGAGTGTACTTCCCAGCCGGCGCCGTCAGCCAGCCCATACCTGTGATGCGGCGATCCACCATCATCCGTAATAAATATTGAATATTATCAAAGGTCATTGACCCGGTTGGCGGAAACAGTCCTTTGAACTCGATTTCTCCACGCTCAAACGCCGATCTGATCTTTCCAATGTGTTTGATGCCGTCAACCATGACTTTCAAGAATGGAAGCTTGGTGTTATTGTTGTACCCCCAAATGCTCTCCTTCAACGCGATTTCCAAACCAAGAACGCCCTGGTAGTTGTTTCCAAGGTACTTGGTGAACTCTGTCAAATCGTCCTGGGTCAGACCTTTGGGAACGGGCACGTAGAAATAGTGCTTGAAACCAACAACGTTACAGAGAACAGAGTATCCCTTTTCCGTGACACCAAAGAACCTGACCGCGGCCACATCATCAATCAAAGTCTCCTCCGCATCTAACTGCTGGAACTCCACGTCCTGAGTGGCCGGATCAAACCCAACAAGAGGAGGGCGTTCCCATTTCTGTCTGTCACTCTGGGTTTTGGCGTTGGCCTCTGTCTTGGACATTTCCACCAGCTCCTTTTCGAACGTACTCGCGTCATTGTCGATCTGACTGCTGGTCAGTTTCTCATGAAGCTTGGACTTGCTGAATTTGTCATGAACAGGCAAATGGTATCCGTGAGGGTTAATCGACTGGTTGGCAATGGGCAACGAATGGGCCGACGAAGTCCCAACGTCGTCATCGAGCCCAATATTTAGATGTCGGCGCTTATTGGGACTCTCAATACGCGCCTGTTCAGCGTGTTTTCCTGCCACAAGACTCATATTGGTGTCGTGATTGCAAAACGCGTCTTAAAAAATATATTTGTAATAAATATTTCAGTCGTGCAGCTTACACATCTTTCTTATCCAAGGGCAAAATACTTTGTCTTGGAGATGAACTCGAATTTTACCGGAACCACCAGAAAAAGGCAGGTCAATCTCGGTAATCGCAGTCTTGCTGCCCGGAACAAGAACTCGTTCCTCCAGACGGCCCAATTGGACCGGCAGCGGCGAGAAAGAGCCCGTGCAGAGACCCGGGCAGTTATACTTCTTCAGTCTCTTATACGACGGTATTTGGACCTTAAAAACGTCAAGAACCAGTTAGGACAACAGTGGGACGGCAGAAACCTTGCCGAATTCAACTTCTTCTGGCCCCAAGTCGCATCTGACCTTTATATAGGCTATCTGGACAAAATAAGGGTTATAGCTGATTCCAACCAGTTGACCCCTACAGCAGCATCCAAAACCGCATCTGTGCTCATCAAGGCAGTGACGACTGCTGAAAGTCCAAATTTCATCAAACGGTCTCTTCAATTGATTCTCCGCATCCACCACACTTACACCATCTCTGTGGACTGGGATCCGCTCGCCCACACCTTACTCAAGATCTACTCCCAGGACCCGCTTTTCATCGAGACAATCTTCGAAATCGCACCTTACACAAGCAAAGAGCTCATCTTGTTCCTTGTGTCACCTCAAAAAGAGTTCATTGAGACTGGCATCAACACAGATTATCTAAGGCTGTGTCTATCAGTGGAGACACAGTTTGCTTGGATACTAAACCACGAGTCTGAGTTTGATGGTTTGTCAGATCTCCAGAGATACAACTATCTGCTGAATATTGTGAAGATCCTCTCGCAAAGCTCATTGTCTGTGTCGACGCTGTCCATCCGGGCGTTTTCGGTGATCATAGGCGGCATCTCAAGCACTTTGAATTTTGACGAGGATAGTCCGTCTTCGGAATCGATTCAAGTTCTTGCTGAAGACGAGCCAATCATTGACCAACTGTATGCTCCAGAGTTCACCAAGGCTGTGATCAAACAGTGTGGCACACTCGAAAACGAAACAGATACGTTTGTGTCGTTCTTCTTTGCACTTTTGCATTTGGTGTCTGGCAAGGCATCGAAGAATCAAATCTTCAAGAACGATCTCTTGGTCAACCTGATTGTGGCGTCTTCTTCAATTGACTTTATGAACTCGTGTTTCCAGAAACTTACGAACAATCACTTCTTCGCCCAAGTTTTCGTTTTGGCCGAAGAGAAGAACCAGTTGGTGAACGACAGAGATTTCAAAAACTCGCTTTTGGATCCATCTAGAGAGCTTTGGTGGAAAACATTATTTCTCCTAGAAGAACTGTACGCATACCTCTTGTCTGTTTCGAACGACGCTGATTTGTTCAACGATGGCCGGCTGGACCAGGAAACTTATCTTTACTTTGTGAGATTCCTTCGAAGTCTGTCGTTGCTGTACGTTTTGGGCCAGAGACTGATACAATTCAAAAACCTCCCTGCAACAGAGTCTCGCATATTCAAGTTTTACAACACGATCGGGCTCATGACTCTGCGGCTGCTTAAACAGATTTACTTACGTGACTTGAGAATGAACTTGACTGACGAAGGATTTTGGCTACTTGGCGACCCAATTTTCTCGTTGAAGAACGTTTCTAATCTTGTTCCGCTACTGGAGCTGCCAGATGACGATGAGGACCGCGCAACAGATAGTTTGCTGCCGGAGTATCTTGAAAGACAGACAAACGCGCAATCGGTGGATAACTATCTGATTTTGACGTATCTTCCCTTTATGGTTCCGTTTGACACGCGAGCAGAGCTTTTCAGACAACTGGTGGAACAGGACCGGGCACAGGTGAGCCACGTTTTTGGACCGAAACTGCAGGCAGTTGTTTCTCGAGAGAATGTGCTTTTCGACGCTTTCGAACAATTCGGCGAGCTGCGTGGCCAGCAGTTCAAGTACCCGCTATCTGTGGAGTTTATCAACCAGTTTGGCGAGAAGGAGGCAGGAATCGACGGAGGTGGACTAACGAAAGAGCTTCTAACGAGTATTGTTGACAGTGCGTTCATTGTTTCGAGCTCGAACGAGAACAAGAACGGAGGCATCAAGTTCTTTAATGCCACATCGAGCTACCAACTGTACCCGAACCCTGACTATTTTCTGAAGCTCAAGTTGCAACAACAGAACCCATCTTTCGACTTTGGCGACGAGGAAAAGACGTTCTATCTGCAAATGCTACGGTTTCTTGGGATGGTGATCGGAAAGTGTCTGTACGAAAGTGTTTTAACCGACGTCCAGTTTGCTCCGTTTTTCCTGAGTCGATGGACCAACACGACACTGCAGCAGCAGCACCGCGTCTCGTTTGACGATCTCAAGACTTTCGACAAGGAACTCCACGGCAACCTGTCCAAGTTGCTCAAACTTTCAGAGGACGAGCTGGATTCTTTGGACTTGAGCTTCACCATCACAGAGAAGCTGCAGGACTCTTCAGACGTGGTGACGATCGACCTTCTTCCTGGAGGTCGTCGGATCCGCGTGAACTCACAGAACAAGCTGCATTACGTCTACTGCATGGCCAAGTTCAAGATGGACCAGTCGATTGCAATCCAGTCGCGGTACTTCATCGAGGGCTTATCGCAGATCATCAAGCCCAAATGGCTGTCGTTCTTCAACCAGTACGAAGTTGCCAAGTTGATTTCCGGCGGCGAGCGTGAGATCAGCATCGAAGACCTCAAGAAGAACACCGCTTTAGGCGGTTTTTCGATGAACGACCAAACGGTGATCGATCTGTTTGAGCTGCTGGAAGAGTTCGACAACTCGATGCGTTCCAAGTTCCTCAAGTTTGTCACGTCGAGCTCGCGCGAGCCGTTGCTGGGATTCAAGGAGCTAACGCCCAACTTTGGCATCCGCAACTCGGGTTCGGACCTGTCGCGGCTACCAACAGCCTCCACCTGTGTCAACCTGCTTAAACTGCCCGACTACAGAAACAAAAAGCTTCTCAAGGAGAAACTGCTCTACTCGATCAACTCGCACGCAGGGTTCGACCTGTCTTGATGGACAAAGCATAGCTAGGCATTACCAATAGACAATATATTAAAAGTATTATGATGTAGTATCTGCCTCGTCGTCGGCGAGCTCGCGGATCTTGACGTCCTGCACAGAGTCAAGACTGTTGTGACGGTGGAGATCGTTGTTGACGAACCCGTTCTTCAGATGATGGAAGTTGGATCCGCGCGTGTTCTGGCTCTTGGAGATCTCCTTAAGCTGGTTCATGTTATGAATGCACTTGGAGATGGTCTGGAGCAGCAGCGACGGTTTCAGCGGCTTGGACAGGTACTCGTCCATCTGTGCCTTGAGACACCTTTCTCTATCTCCCAGCATGGCGTGGGCGGTCAGCGCGATGATCGGCGTACGGAAAGACATCGAGTCCACGTACTTCTTTTTCTCCCAGTCTCTGATCTTGGCTGTGGCTTCGAATCCTCCCATGATTGGCATCTGCACGTCCATGAGAATGACGTCGTAGTGCTTCTTCTGCACAGCCTCGATGGCCTCGCGGCCGTTCTCCACCACCTCGACCGTGTGGCCGTGGTTCTCCAGGATCTTGACGGCCAGTTTCTGGTTCACCAGGTTATCTTCCGCAAGTAGGATCTTGTACGAGATGGAGCCGTCGCTGTTAGGCGGAGCAGCCCTGCTCTCGAGCGCCGGCTTGAGGATCGACGCCAGGTCCGTCACGGAGCACGGCGTGTTGCCATAGGAACTGATACCCAGGTCCAGACACACCCGCATGTTGAGCGCAGGAATCGACGGATGCAGCAGCACAAGCGGCACGTACTTGATCTCCGGCAGCTGGCGAAGCTGGCGGCCGGTCTCGATCGAGTCGATGATGATGGTGTCGTAGCTGGCCGGGTCGTGAATGCTCACACCGGTAACGTCCTCCACCACCACTGGCTCCAGCTGCAGCTGTCTGATGTTCTCCGTGATGTTCTCCTTGGATGGCTCGTCGTGCTCCGTCGCAATGAACAGCACCTTGTGGCCCTTGAATGGGAACAGCACCTCCAGCTGTCTGAACAGATCGATCTTGGCGGGCGAGACCAGAATCGTAAAGTAGAAGTTGGACCCGTCACCGTAGTTCGAGGTGACCCAGATCTCTCCGCCCATGAGATGGATCAGCTGCTTCGAAATCGACAGTCCCAGACCAGTACCACCGAACTTACGCGTGGTGGAACCATCAGCCTGGCAGAACGTGTCGAAAATCACACCCAGCTTGTCTTTCTCGATACCAATACCGGTGTCGCTCACACAGAACTCCAGAAGCAGCTTGTCGGTGTTGTTGATTACCCGCGACGTCTTCTTGACGCTGACAGTGACCTTTCCGTGGCTCGTGAACTTGATAGCGTTTCCCGTTAAGTTGAGGATCACCTGGCGCAGTCTGAACGAGTCTCCAACAAGATTGTCGGGGAACGAGTTGTCCACCTTGTAGATCAGGTCCAGCTGCTTCTCAATGGCCTTCACGGCCAGTGTTTTGAGAGCACCGAAAACAGTGCCTCTCAGAGAGAAATCGATTTCCTCAATGGTCATGCGGTTCGCTTCGATCTTGGAAATATCCAGAATGTCGTCAATGATGGTCAACAGAGAGTTGGCAAGGTTATGCACAATCGACAGCATCTCCCGCTGGTACTGCGTCAATTGCGTCTCGAGCGTCAGTTGAGTCATACCAATGATACCGTTCATCGGCGTTCTAATCTCGTGGGACGTGTTGGCCAGGAACTCCGACTTGGCGCGGTTAGCAAGCTCGGCAGCCTCTCTGGCAGCAGTGTTTCTTTGAATGGACTCTCTCAGGTTCAGCACCATCTGGTTAATCTTGGTCTTCAAGGCATCCATTTCTCCCGAGGCCTCCACGGTAATGAATCTCGTGAAGTCTCCGTCCGTAGCGGCAGCAGTGATCTGGGCAAACGCTCTCACTTGCGTGGTCAGGTTCGCAGCCATGATGTTGACGTTGGTGGTGATTTCTTTCCAAAGCCCGTCAACGTCGTTAACCTCGGCTTGCACACCCAATTTACCGTCAATACCCACATCCTTGGCCACTCTGGTGACTTCCTTGGCGAAAACTTGCAAAGAGTCCACCATCTTATTAATGGTGCTCTTCAGCTGCAGAATCTCTCCCTGGGCCTCGACCTTAATCTTCTGAGATAAGTCTCCGTGGGCCACAGCCGTGGTGACTGTGGCGATCGATCTCACCTGGTTGGTCAGGTTGTTGGCCATAACGTTGACCTTCTCGGTGACTTCTTTCCAAGCACCGTCCACATCGGTCACGTTGGCCTGACCTCCTAAAATACCCTTCGTACCGACCTCGGTGGCCAGAGTTCTGACCTCTTCGACGAACGTCCGTAATCGGTCCACCATCTTGTTGATGGTGATTTTTAGCTCCAAGATCTCTCCTTTACAGTCGGCAGTGACTTTGGTGGACAAGTCACCTTTGGCGACCGCAGTGGTGACGTTGGCGATGTTTCTCACTTGAGTGGTGAGGTTCAAAGCCATGGCGTTGACGTTGTCGGTGAGTTCGAGCCAAATACCAGACACATTCTCGATTCTAGCCTGTCCACCCAAACGTCCCTCGACTCCTGTTTCTCTAGCCACCCTCGTGACTTCGAAGGCGAACTTCCGCAACTGGTCCACCATCTTGTTGACAGTGTTTTGCAATTGCAGGATCTCGCCCTGGGCGAAAACGTTGGTTTTCCGAGACAAATCTCCAGCTGCAACGGCCGAGGTGACCTCGGAGATTTCTCTCACCTGGTTTGTCAGGTTCAGGGCCATTGCGTTGACATTGTCGATGAGCGAGCGCCAAACGCCCGTGGCCTGGATTTCCAGCGTCTTGACCTGGCCACCAAGTTTACCGTTAGCGACCTCTGTGGCTAAATTAGTAACCTCATGGGCAAACGTGTGCAACTGGTCCATCATGGTGTTGATGGTGACCTTCACCTTGTGGATCTCCGGGTCGCTCTCAACGTCGTGGATTTGCACCTTTTTCGAAAGGTCGCCCTTAGCAACAGAGGTGAGCACCGTGCCCAGCTCGCCAAGGGCCTTCTGAAACGCCTCATTCTTAGCGTTCAGTCTTGTGTTTTGCTCCTGCTGTGCCAACACATGCGCCAACAGATCGTGGCGCAAATCGGGCCCGTACTGGCCAAACAGCACAGGGTCCGATAACACAGATATAACGTCAAGCATACAGTTGATTTCAAATTACAAAAAAAAAAATATGATACAACCCCAATTAAAAATAAACACCAATACTGCTAAATATTGCCACGGTGACGTAAGCATGCTTAACAAAAGTATTTTAACATTTGATGGCAAGTTACGAATCCAAACAGCTGTATGGAGGCGCAATCGCTGTGGACTTACCAAAGTCTGTGATTGACGCCTCTGATTTTAGACAGATCCCAGATACCCAGGAGGTGTTTCTTGCTGGCGAAGGTTCGTCTTTGGGACAGGACGATGCTGTGATTTTTGATCTGCTTGAGGCGGTTTCTGTTCCTGACTCCGAGGCAGCAAACTACCATTTGCAAGAGCTGGCAAAACTCAACGGAGACCAACAGGCCAAGGTGCTCGAATCGGAACAGATTGCACTGCCCAATTTCCCGGGAGACCCAGTGTATTTGCTGGTTGGGTCTCAGGAGGCCAAGAAATGGGGCAGGGACTCGACAGATCTGCACGTAGTTTTAGCACTTGTTCGTTTACGCAAGGTGCAAACCGATCTGCTGGTGACGCTGAATCTGCCCGGGGCGGCCGGATTCGAACGGACCCCGGCCGCGAAATCGGTGGTGCGTCGCGCTCTCGAGTCGCTAAAAATCGTCAACTGGGGTCTTTTCGGTTAGAGGTGCGAGGTGTGCACAAGGTTCAACGGAGTTGCCATTTTTCCGTTGGACCTTCTCCGATGTGCCGCGAGAAAATCTGGGGATATGGTAGCGACCAGGTATAAAGGATGGGGGGTCCGTGCGGATAAAAATGTTGTGATAACATGAGTGCTTCTGCCGCAAACAACAAGAGACCAAAGAACACTGCCATCGATCTCGTGGCTGGAGGAACAGCAGGTCTGTTCGAGGCCCTTTGCTGCCATCCTCTTGACACCATCAAGGTGCGGATGCAACTGTTCAAGAAGTCGGCTGCGCTCAAGTCCAACAAGCCGCCTGGACTGATTTCCACGGGTGTCAACATTGTCCAGAACGAGGGATTCTTTGCATTGTACAGAGGACTGGGAGCCGTTTGTATTGGTATTGTCCCCAAGATGGCCATTCGGTTCTCCTCCTACGAGTTTTACAAGTCGCTGTTTGTTGATAAGGAAACAGGCAAAGTGTCCACGTCGGGCAACTTTGTCAGCGGAGTGATGGCTGGTGTGACCGAGGCGGTGCTCGTGGTGAACCCAATGGAAGTTGTCAAGATCCGGTTGCAAGCACAGCACAACTCGTTAAAGGACCCGCTGCAGGTTCCAAAGTACAGATCCGCTCCACAGGCCGCGGTGATGATTGTTCGTGAGGAAGGACTCAAGACGTTGTATCGTGGTGTTTCTCTGACAGCCGCACGTCAGGCCATCAACCAGGGAGCCAACTTCACAACTTACTCGTTCCTCAAATCCCATTTGCAAGACTACCAGAACATGGAGGTATTGCCAACATACCAGACTGCCATCATCGGGTTTACCTCAGGAGCTATTGGACCGTTCTGCAACAACCCGCTAGACACCATCAAGACCCGTATGCAGAAAGAAACTGGTAGCAGCAACGAGTCCAACTTTGCGCGCGGAGTCAGAATCGGAACCAACCTGTTCAAGGAAAGCGGTGTGAAGGCGTTCTACAAAGGTATCATTCCACGTGTGATGCGTGTTGCCTCGGGACAGTGCGTGGTGTTCCCGGTTTACGAGTTCTTCAAAGGGTTCCTGTACGACGTGACAGGCGTTTCTGGCAAGACCAAACTCAAGGACTAGCGGTGTATTTATAACGTGTAGTTGATATGAATCATAAGTCATGATATAGAGACCGATCCACTACTGTAGCTCAGAATTCACTTTCTTGTATTACTATATGCTTAGTCGAACAAACCGAAGCCCATGTCATCATCTTCCTCCTCCTCGGCTTCTGGTTCCTCCTCAGCAGCAGCCTCAGCAGCACCACCAGCAGCAGCGGCTGGAGCAGAGCCAGCGGCAGCAGCAGGAGCGGAAGCAGAGATAGAGAAGAGCAATTCCTTCAAGTTTTGGCCGTCAAGGGCCTTGGCGAACACATCGGTCCAGATCTTGTCCACGGAAGCACCAGCGGCAGAGAGGACGGATTGCAAGTTAGCGGAGGAGATCTCCAACTCAGCGTCTGCCAAGATGAGGGCAGCGTACGAAACCAAAGCGTCAGACATAGTTGTAGTTGGTTAAATGGTGGAACTAAATTTTTTGTCGATGAAAAAATTTGTGACTGTGAAAAAAGTTGTCGTCGCGTCGATCGGCGCGTGGTTACTATCTATATACAGAGGAGGGCCAAGGTTGCAACCGCACACGGGCTTACACAAAGGCCTGGACTTTCTCGAGCCAGTTGATGTACATCTCGTTCTCCTTCCAGGTGGAGTAGGCAACAAGCAGTTCTCCGAGCTCCTCGTCCATTCCCTTCTCACGCAGCAGGTCGGAAAACATATCCTGGACTTCCACAGACAAGTTCTCGTAGATTGGGCCACTGTATTGCTGGTCGGTCTCGCCAACACAGTTCTCGTACTTCAGGGCGTCTTCGACCTTGTTGAAGGCCTTGACACCGGCAATGAAGAAAGCGTAGTCCTCGACGCTAATGTCCACCTCGAATTGCAGAGCCTTGCCGTCTTTTTCCAAAACGACAAAGAACTCGGCGCTATGGGAGAGCTCCGACTTGTCCTCGAGAATCTCCTGGTCAAACTCTTGCTCAGCAGCAAAGTTCTTGGCCTCGCTTGTGGCAAAAGTGAACTTTTGCAGGTCAAACAGAACGTGCACCTTCTCGGCGTCGAGTTCCTTGACCAAATGACAGAAAACGTTGTCCTTTGGCTCGATGGCCTGGATGTTCTCGTTTTTCATGTATTCGACAAAACTTGGGTCCAGGTCAAAGGCCTCTTTCTTCTCGTACTCGAGCTCCTGCTGGATAAGGGCCTTTGGCTCGGTGTTGAGCCGGGCAAAGCTCGTGGAAAACTGAGCAGCTCTAGGAACGGCAACAATTGGACGGACAACGCCGACAACAGCCGGACGCTTGCAGATGACAGGGGCAAGTCTTAAAGCTTGGCGGAACATGGTTTAATAAAAAGAATTAATTTTTTATACTTTCCAATTATTTCTCTACCTAGATCAATGTGTTAAAAATCTGCCATTTTCCAGACACGTGTCAGTACTGGAGCGACTCGCGCAAGCACTCTTGCACAAAGACAGCGCTGCGCTTGAACCGACGCTCGGAGTACTTGTCGAAGATGGCCTTGTGGTTGTTTTTGTAATCGATGCAGTTATCAATCAGAACGTCCGCCAGAGGTCTGAGTTGTGTTTCTGAGTAGCCACTGTAGTAAACGTGAGCCTCTGTCCATTTGCCCTGGTGAAGCATCTTGCGCGCGAGATAATGGGCTCCTGCCGCTAGCCAGCTCGGAGGAGACGACACGAAACGTGGGTCCATTATGGTGATTTCCAGGAAGTATTTGGCCAGGGTTCTGGTCTCGCTGTCGTAATCGTCGGCCTTGGAGGTGCGTCTGAGGAACGACATCGGGCCCGGGTACCCCATCTCGAAGTTGAGCTCGTTCACCATGAACCGTTCTGCCTTGAGCAGCTCCTCTGTCGTGTAGTCGTTGGAAACAACGTATGCCATTTGTTGCACAGAAGGACAGTTGATCTCTTCGTACTTGGCAGCAATGAATAAAGCAATGGCTCCGCAAAGCTGGAACCGCGACAATGAAATCGCCCGTTTGGAAAGAAACCGGTCGATCAAATTAACCGCAAGAAATAGCGTTTCTGGTAGCAAGTTGAATCGGGAATGCGCCTGGACGATCCAGTTCATCAGAGTGGCTCTGTTCTCCCACGTGATCTCCGACTGAACGTCCGGAACGTACTGCGGGTACGGAGCGTACTTTATTTCCAGGTCGCGCATGTAGTTGAATATCTCAGGCCCGTACTCTGCCACCATGGAAACGTCCCAGGTGTCTTCGTCTTTAGGGTCTGGATCTTCTCTGAAAAACTTGCCCACCACAGACCGCAGCTCGGCCTCGATCTCGCGGTCCCATTTGGGGGACATGGGCTCAACTTTCTCCTCCATGACCTGGAATTCCTCCTCTTCGTCAGACTCTGCGTCTGTCAGATACTGCGGGGTGTGTTTTGTATCTTCGTCCTCCACGGCCATATCGTCCTCTGTCTCGTCGTCGTACTCGTCGTAGGTCGCAACATCGTCAACCTTGACGGGCTCGACAGTCGTCTTGGATATCAAACGCACCTGGCGATTGACCTCGCTGTTGGAAACAACACGCAGTGCCTGTCTTGGGGCAGCGATGGCTCTCTTGGAATGGACCATCCCTTCGTTCTCGTTGGAACTGACTCCACGAGCTGTCTGGAATCCCATTTGTGATTATATTAACGAATGACTGTAGCTAAAATAGGAGAATTCTCTCTTTGCTGAGAAATTGCGATGTATCAAAAGAATGTGAATGTGTATAAAATGAGAGTAGCGAATGGAATAGCGAGTGAATAACAAAATCTACTGCAAATGCAGTTGCAACGGGTGGAAATCCAGTGGCCTCGACGACAGACCGCAAAAACAGAGAGTTGAAGAAATTCTCAAATTCCCGGTATGTTTACATTATCTAGGGGGTCTGTCATAAAATAAAAGTGCGCGCAAGAATGTAAACAAAAATGTGGGCTGGGAAGGGCGGCCAAGCTGGCGTGCTACGCTCTCAAACACAGTGGGACGGACATCTACTGAATCATACGAGTCTTGTGGCGGCGTGTTTTTGGCGCTTCTCACACCCCAACACCTCCAAATGCTTGGCTATTCTAAAACACCTGCATGCTAAAAAATATTTATCAGCTGGTATCAATAAAAAAAAATGCCAAAAAAAACGACCTCGGTGAGGATCGAACTCACGATCTTGCGATTAACAGTCGCATGCCTTAAACCAGCTTGGCCACGAAGTCCAATTTGGCAAGTTTTCTAACCAACACGTCTATGCCCCCTCACCAGCAGGTACCCCATAATATTCATCCAATATTTTTTCGTCAAATTTTCCAATATCAACAACATGGTCATGGAGTCGGTCCCGTTTTCGTATCAGTTGGATGACATAAACACATCGATCGCATCCAATACGCGGTACCATGCCGAGCAGACAAGACTCACCTATCAGAAGCCGAAGCTTCAGAGAATCAAGCCCCCTCAAACACTCAACTACGGCTCTTCACAGCCAATGAACAGGTCCAGAACGTCACAGCAAATTTACACCCAGCCGTTCGATCAGGTGGCGTCCATGATGAGAACGTCATCGACGCCGTCGCCGGTGGCCAGATCCAACTCGGACTTGTCGTTTGTCTCGACGCTGTCTGATCAGCAACTCTCGCAGCTGGGCAACCTGGCCGCGTCGTCGACTCGGTCCAGCACCGCCTCGACAAGCTCGTTCGCAAGAGATCAGGCATCAGCCCCACTGAGTTCTGGGTCTTCAGGGTCTGCTGGGTCGCCGTGGAACACCTCATTGCTGGACATGAACACAAAAAATAGCATCCCTTTCAACTCTACATGGTCACAGGTTTGGTAAGGTTCGGGAATATTCAGGTTTTAGGATGTACGGATTAAAAGTAATGGAAAATGTACAATTATGATAGACACTCGTTACGCGTTGAGCTGCCACGCCGGAATGCCACGCCGTGGCTCGTCTCCGCTGACACTGGACGTTGTAGAGCTTCCGCCGTTTGCGGCCGCAAGCTGCCAGGCCGGAATCGATCTTTCCTGGTCCTTGATCTGCGAGATTCCCTCGATGCTCACGTCTTTTTCCTTCTCCTTGCTGAGAATGTCTTTCATGGACGGGATGGAGGTGGCTGGAGGAATGTTGAGAGCGGAAACGCTCCCGTTTTTGGACTCCGATGGTGCAGAGCTGCTCTCGTTCGGCGGGGTATGCAGCTGTGAAACGGTGTTCACGCCTGTGGACCGGATGTCAAACTTGATGTCCTGGATCTGTTTCTCCATCGACGACAGCTCTGCGTTCAAAGTAGCCTTTTGCCCGTCCAGAGTCTTGAGCAGCGTGGTTTTGATGTTCTCGATCTCCAGTTTCAGGTACTTGAGTGTCTCCTCGTTGTTCAGGTTCTTCTCGTTGGTCTTGCTGATGATCTCGTCGATCTCGTGCAGCGTCTCGTCGATCTTGCTCGACTTGGCCTTCTGCTCTTCAAAGAATTCTTTTTGGTCAGCCTCAAACTTCTCCAGCAGACTCTCCACTCTTTGGAACTCCTGGTCGATCGACGCCTTGTCCTGTTCCAGCAGAGTCTTGGAAGGCGGCAGGACCCTTGGCACCACATACCGCTTGATTATCTGGTACATGGCGTACGAAACACCTGCTGTTGCGGTAGCCATGATAAAATAGTCTTTCCAGTCGCGTTCTGGCAAAGGCGGCGCACTTCTGTAGTAGTCGGGAATCGGTGGAGGCGGTGGAGCAGAGGCCGAGACGGGCTGCTGGGACGTGGTAGACGAGGATAATCTTGCCTTTTGAAGAGCCTCTTCGACTTCGACCTGGGTGAGGCCCTTGGACTCAAGAAACTCGATCTTTTTCGCTAAAGGTGAGTCAGCAATGCTCTTGTCCAAAAGGAACTCGGCAGCACTGGCAACCAGATCCGCACGGGAGCTCGATGGGGGTTGTTGTTGTGACATCGCGGGAAGAAGAATACAACACAAAGTGGGGGGACGGGTTTTTTAAACAAATTGATAAAGTCGATAGACGCGTCGCACAATTTAGACGACGCTTAGGCGAAACAGTACAGGCTACAATGAACTATATATTCCGATGGTCCAGGACCTAAACCAAGCCCATAGCGAAACTTCTGGTGGCCAAGTTAGCCCGAATCGGCGTTTCAACCGTCTAATTAGCGCCAAATTTAATACTTTTGGTGAACCCCCCCTTCTCGGTCAATTAAAACGAATCATGAATCAACCAGCACGAGAGAAAATTTTAAATTGAGCAACACCGACACACAAAGTCTCCGTTAGTGGCAAATAATTTCCCCCGGTGCTTTTTAAAACTTATTGACCGTTGCATCGTTGACAATTGTCATGGATTCCAAGAATCAGCTCACCGATACAGGGTCACCGTCCGTGTCTAATGGACATACCCGCGTGAACGGCGACCAACAGATGTCGATTTCATCCATACTCTCCTCTCCCACTCGCGGTGCGGCAGATGGAACCGTTCCGGCGCAGGTTGCGGCCACTACACCGGCACCAACATTGGCATCTAGCACCGACATGATCAGATCGTTTGAACAGCGTGTACGGGCTTTAGTGCAGCTGGATTCTCTCACAACCAACGAGATCAACCAGTTTGTGCTTCTGGATAACGAGCTTAAGCTTTTGGACGCCCAGGACGGTATCTACGTGGACCCGCAGCTGATTGACCAATTCAAGGCCAAAGTGCTGGAGCTCGATCCAAAGGCTTTTGACAAACTGACACGCCGGAACAAACTCATGGAGCAGGAGGCCGAGGACCTGAAGAAGCTCAAAAACGACCAATTGAAGCTCCTTGCTGCTGTGCAGCGCGAAGAGCAGAAGAAATTGGGAGTCAACGTCCAGCCCGTTAAAAAGGAGTCGTACGGATCGAGTCCCGCTTTGGTCGGGATCGCTCCGAAGAAACTGGACGAGGCCGTTACGGATGACCCGGCCGAGCCTTTGAGTGATGTTCCAGAAGTCAACGGCGACGGCCGTCGCAAACGGAAGCGCAAGACCAGGATCGATCCGGCCAAGCTTGTTGACGAGGAAGTTGACGAATCCAAGATTAGAAAACGCAAGAAGAAGGGCGAAGACGACCATACAAACGGAACTTTGGCCAAGGGCATAGGAGCAGACGACGGAGACTTCGACGACGACGACTCGGACGTTTCTAAGTCCAAAGGCTCACAGAAATCTCAATCCTCGCTTAAAGAACAGAAAGCTATCGAAAAACAGTACGACAGCGTGTACATCTCGATTTGGAAAGATCTGGCCCGTAAAGATGGACCAAAGGCTTATCGGATGTACTACCAGTCTGTTCAGGCCAAGCAGATGAACTTGCGCAAGACCTCGATGCTGGCCGCTAGAGAGTCGCGGAAATGGGTCGGAAAGGCCACTAGATCCCAAAAGGACGTTATGACCAAGGCCAGACGTTCGATGAGAGAAATGTTGAACTTTTGGAAGAAACACGAGCGCGAGGAGAGAAACCTGCGTACGAGAGCCGAGCAGGAAGCTACAGCGAAGGCTAAGAAAGAGGAGGAGGAGCGCGAGGCCCGCAGACAATCGAGGAAACTCAATTTCCTCATCAACCAGACCGAGTTGTACTCGCATTTCATCGGCAAGAAGATCAAGACCGACGAGGTGGAAGGGGATATGGGCGACAAGTCTCTTGCAAACCAGGCAGAATCCCAAGGAAGCCTGGACGGAATCGATCTTGCGCACGCAAAGCAGGATCTCAGCGAAATCGATTTTGAAGGTGGAAGCGACGAGGTTTTACAGAAAACAGCAGCTGCAAATGCCCAGTCTGCACTTTTGGCTGCTCAACAGCGTGCCAAGGAGTTCAATGGCCAAGCACCTGATCAGGACAACGAGGGAGAAATGAACTTCCAGAACCCAAGCAGTATCGGTGACATGAACCTGACACAGCCAAAGTTGCTGAATTGTACCTTGAAAGAGTACCAGATGAAGGGACTCAATTGGCTGGCCAATTTATATGAACAAGGTATCAACGGAATTTTGGCCGACGAGATGGGACTGGGAAAGACTGTGCAGAGTATCTCTGTTCTTGCCTACTTGGCAGAAACCCATAACATCTGGGGTCCATTTTTGGTGGTCACTCCGGCCTCCACTCTGCACAACTGGCAACAGGAGATCACCAAGTTTGTTCCCGACTTCAAGGTGCTACCGTACTGGGGAAGTGCCAAGGACCGAAAAGTTTTGCGTAAGTTCTGGGATAGAAAAAGCATTGTTTACAACAAGGAGTCGCCTTTCCACGTCGTCGTGACGTCGTACCAATTGGTTGTTGCCGACGTGCAGTACTTCCAGAAAATGAAGTGGCAGTACATGATTCTTGACGAGGCTCAGGCTATCAAGTCGTCCAACACTTCGAGATGGAAGTCTCTGCTGAGTTTCCAGTGTCGTAACCGGTTGTTATTGACGGGAACTCCGATCCAGAACTCGATGCAAGAGCTCTGGGCTTTACTGCATTTCATCATGCCATCATTGTTTGACTCGCACGACGAGTTCAGTGAATGGTTCTCCAAAGATATCGAGGCACATGCTCAGTCCAACACCCAGCTAAACGAACAACAGCTTCGTCGACTCCATGTGATTCTTAAACCGTTCATGCTTCGTCGTATCAAGAAGAATGTCCAAAGCGAGCTTGGCGATAAGATTGAGGTGGACGTGTTCTGCGATCTCACAAACAGACAGAAAAAGCTGTATCGAATGCTGAGATCCCAAATCAACATCATGGATCTCATCGACAGCAACAAAAAGATCAACCACAGCAACGACGACGAGGCCCAAGGAGATTCTTTGATGAACGTGGTGATGCAGTTCAGAAAAGTTTGCAATCATCCTGACTTATTTGAGCGTGCAGATACTAAGTCTTCGTTCAGTCTGAGTCGATTTGCCGAAACAACTTCGCTGACCAGTGAAATCAACGAGAGCTTGTTGGAACTGAATTACACCACCCGCAACCAAATAGAGTACCGGTTGCCAAAGTTGGTTCTTGACGATTTACTGTCTCCTCACGAAGGAGACTCTGCTATTGGAAAATCCAGGCTTTTGGAGAAATTTAGCATTTGGAGTCCAGAAAACCTGCACAAGAGCGATAGTTTTGCATTTTTGCGCTTCATTAACGAGACAGGGTCCAGTGCCAGACGGATCGCTTACCAAAACGTGATCCAGAACGCAATCAGCCTTCGATCATACACCTCCAAATCCAACCAGGAATTTGTTGACAGATACAAACAGGTTTACGACGTCACTCCAGCACACAGTCGTTTCTACATCCGCGAGCTACATTCGCAGTATGCGTCTGTTGCCGAAAAGGCTTACAAGGACATGTACTTGAACGTGGCACGGTCTGCTGCCTTTGCCGCGGCCAGTGCTCCTCCTATCGAGATTTCGTGCTCGAAACAGAGATTTAACAACATCAAGCACGATGCTCTATTCGATCCGGTGATCCGTCAAGCCATGAACCCGTTGAGCTTGAACGTTCAATGGGACCTTATCCAACGGAAAGTCCCTATGGATTTGTGGCCGAAGGCTGAGATGAACGCGGAGCCACTCAACTCCAAGAACGGGTTCTCGTCGATCAGACTTCCGTCAATGAACCGGTTTGTAATTGAATCCGGAAAGCTTGCTAAGCTAGACGAGATGCTTGTGGATCTCAAGAACAACGGCCACAAGTGTTTGATCTACTTCCAGATGACCAAGATGATGGATCTGATGGAGGAGTTTCTCACATACCGTCAGTACAAGTACATTCGTCTGGACGGTTCATCGAAACTGAGTGACAGAAGAGATCTTGTCCATGACTGGCAGACGAAGCCGGAGCTGTTTATTTTCCTTTTGAGTACTCGTGCCGGCGGATTGGGAATCAACCTGACGGCAGCAGACACGGTTATTTTCTACGACTCTGATTGGAACCCAACAATCGATTCGCAGGCTATGGACCGGGCCCACAGACTGGGACAGACGCGGCAGGTGACCGTTTATCGTTTGCTTGTCCGGGGAACGATCGAGGAGCGGATGAGAGACCGTGCTAAGCAAAAGGAGCATGTCCAACAGGTTGTCATGGAAGGAAAGAGTACGATTGTTCCAGACAAGAAGGACGTGAACGACAAGAACAAGGATAAGAAGGAGATGGCTATGTGGCTTTTGGAAGATGGAGAGGACGAAAACAAAAGATAAGAGGGAAGAGAAGCATATATATAGAGTATTTCCAACGCTTTCCAGAATATATTGATTTTTTCAAGGTGGCTACCATTTTTATTCTAGAAAACAGGCTGTGTGGAGTAACGAAAAATTAGAATAAAAAACATACAAGACCACCCAACCAGTAGAATGGCCGAGTATACGGGAGATCAAAAGGAGGTTGTGGAGCGAATTCTTCGGATCGAGCGAACAGACTACTACCGGATCCTGGATGTGGAGAGATCGGCGAGTGATCTGGATATAAAGAAGTCATATAGAAAGCTCGCCATCAAGCTTCATCCGGATAAAAACAAGCATCCGCAGTCATCAGAGGCGTTCAAGAAGTTGGCCAAGGCGTTTGAGGTGTTGAGCGACACGGGAAAACGGAAGATATTCGATCAGACGGGCTCTGATCCGGATTCACGTGGTGCACCAAGCATGTCGTCCAGCGGTGCTGGATTTGGAGGGGCCAATCCGCGGATGAACCCATTCATGAACATGAATGGAGGCATGCCGCAAGGATTCATGTTTGACGACGACATACTGAACATGTTTTTCGGAGGTCCGACTGCAGGGTTTGGAGGCAATACATTTACTTTCCATTTTGGAGGCCCCGGAGGCGGAGCAGGTTTCCAAGGCCCGCGAGGATTCGGACCAAGACCTACACGGCAGCGCGCCAATGCGCATGCAAGAGACAACCAGACCGAGCATGGTAAGCTGTGGGATCTGATCACGCAGTTGGGTCCGTTATTAATAGTTTTCGTTCCGATTCTGCTGGGCACGCTTTTCGGAGAAAGCAATTCGAATTACAACAAGTTGCCGAAATTTTCGTTCGAAACGTCTCCGATGTTCAGTCAGGAAAGGTTCACGCCAACATACAGAGTTCCGTACTATGTGAACCCGAACTCGCTGGAGTCGTACAGTGGTGGCTCTGACCGGTTGCTGAGAAACCTGGATAAGAGCGTTGAGCAATACTACGTCACGGATCTGCGGAATAAGTGCCACCGGGAAGAAACGTTGAAAGACCGGATGATCGAAGATAGCTACGGGTGGTTTTTCGTCGATAACGAGAAATTGGAGCGTGCACAGCAACTGGAGCTCAAGAGCTGCGACCGGTTACGAGATCTCAACCTAATTTAAGACCAGACAACACATGATGCGTTATTGTCTCCAAATTAATAGTCTATTGTGGATCATCAGCCCGATGGACCCCTGTTGGGATGCTCCAATCATATACACCGTTTGGTAAAAACACGGCTGCCAAATTGGCAGATTTCGTTAAGCCATTTTTTTTTTCACGCACAAATTTCTGCATCTAGTAGTTCCCCTTACAAAATCTTAGCAATTGTAGGCAAACATACCAAAACGGCTTATCTCCACTGTGGTTTGACGTGTTTGTGTACAATTTGGATCAATTACGCGTTGGGAAATTCGATGTGTATCCACTATGGAGTTCTCCAATAATAGACAGCATACTCCTCAGTATATCCAACAACAACAACATACACAACCTCCGGCGCACATTAAAAACCTCACCCCGGATCAATTGCAAAACATATACAAACGGCTTCAACTGCTTCGATCTCAGCACGGTGAAAATGCCAAACAATTGCCCGAATTTGCAGAGCTCGCTTCCGTGCTGACTCAATTCTCCCAGTACCAGCGACAACTCAAGGCCCGTGGCCAGATGCCACAGTTTCAGGACAAACAGTCTTTTACTCCCATGCAACAGCAGCCCCAGCCCCAGCAGCAACAGCAGCAGCAGCAGCAGCAGCAACCTCCACAGCCCAACAAGCCGGGCTCGTTCGGACCGTCGCAGATCTTCTCGCCTCCTCATTCGCAGCTGCTCAAGTACCAGATTGCCGCGTTCAAAAAGTTTATACAGAACCAGCCCATAGAGCCCGAACTCGCTAATGTCATCAACATATCGTTCCAGCAGTATAATAGACAGGTGGGCGAGCCAAACGCGTCTTTGGACCACCAGAACGGCGCGTTCTTCAAGCAACAACAGCAGCAACAGCCACAACAAAAACAACACTTGAAAAAAGACCCGTTCGTTCCTGTTCAGAAACCTCAGATACCCCAGATGCAGTCCGCCAAGGCCTCGCCGATGCAGCCGAACCAGCAATTGATGGCCGGCCAGCCTGTCATGATGAACCAGCAGCCCCAGGCAAGAACACCAAGTGCACAGCCGCAACAGTTCCACATGCCACCCCAGCCGCCAGTCATCAAGCAGGAGCCTCCAAAACAACCCCCAGCCAAGGGTTTGCCGCCTCATGCGCCGGCGCCGCTCGAGGAAATGACAAAAAAGTACCCAGACGTTTCAAACATCATCACTACAGTGGACCCACAGGTCATGGTGGACAGTTTCTCGTTACCAAGAGAGCTGCCTCCTGTTCCATTTGAGTTTCTCGATAATCCCAAGTCCAAAATCATCACACCATCGCTGTACCCAAAGCCTCTGGATATCGTCCAGGCTGCAGAGACAGAGAAATTGGTGAACCAATTGCATTTCCAACAAGAACTGGATGAACTTGAAAAATTAAAGGACGAAGACGAAGATTACATTTTAGAATATACTCTGATGACGTTGCTGCCTTACCAAAAGGCTGTCCGCGGCCACGTGGTTAGTACCGTGTTCCATCAAAACTCGTTGCTCACCAACCACCTTCCTAATTTCTCAGCAAGAGTTCGAGGCGTCAACACCCATGACGCATCAATTACTCACGCGCTTTACAACCAGCAAAAGACAATGACGGCATTATCGAAAAGAAACATGTTGGAGGAGCGCCAGGCTAACATTCTTAGCGTTTCTGACGATTACAAGAAATACCTTTCTTCTCGCAAAGACAAGCTCTCGAGAATTGCTAGAGGTGTGCACAATTTCCACGCCCAAACCGAGAAGGAGGAACAACGTCGTGTCGAAAGAAACGCCAAGCAGAGATTACAGGCTCTTAAGGCCAACGATGAAGAGGCTTATATCAAGCTTTTGGACCAGACTAAAGATACCAGAATTACGCACATTTTGAGGCAGACCACTGGATTCTTGCGCACGTTGATCGAGTCTGTTAAAGTTCAGCAGAGAGATACTCAGGAACACATGGTCCATTACCGTCGTGCTGAGTCTGAAGAGGCCCCGGTGGACGAGCAAGATGAAGAGGAGCGTGAAAATGCCGACTACTACTCCGTTGCTCACCGTGTTCAGGAGAAGATTGAAAAACAGCCATCCATCCTTGTTGGTGGAACACTCAAGGAGTATCAGATCAGAGGTTTGGAATGGATGGTCTCGCTGTTCAATAACCATTTGAACGGTATTCTTGCCGACGAGATGGGGCTGGGTAAGACCATCCAAACCATCTCTCTTCTCACCTACATCACCGAAGTGAAAAAAATTCCTGGTCCGTTCCTTGTTATCGTGCCGCTTTCGACACTGCCCAACTGGAATTTGGAGTTCGACAAGTGGGCACCAAGTTTGAAGAAGATCAGTTACAAGGGATCACCTCAAGTGCGTAAGGAGTTGGCATTTGATGTCAGAGCGGGAAACTTTAACGTTTTACTGACAACATACGAGTATGTGATCAAAGATAAATACCTCCTCTCGAAGGTGAAATGGGTTCACATGATCATTGATGAAGGTCACAGAATGAAGAACACAAAGTCCAAGCTTTCGTCGACACTGACAGAATACTACCATTCTGACTACAGACTGATTTTGACGGGTACTCCATTACAAAACAACCTGCCAGAGTTGTGGGCCTTGTTGAACTTTGTGCTTCCAAAGATCTTCAACTCCGACAAGTCTTTCGACGACTGGTTCAACACTCCGTTTGCCAATACCGGAACTCAGGACAAGTTGGAACTGTCCGAGGAAGAGACGTTGCTGGTTATCAGAAGATTGCACAAGGTGTTGAGACCATTCTTGTTGAGAAGATTGAAGAAAGACGTCGAGAAGAGTTTGCCAAATAAGGTCGAAAAGGTCATCAAGTGCCGTAAGTCGGGACTACAAGTTAAGCTTTACCACCAGATGCTCAAGTACAATCAGCTATTTGTGGGAGACTCCGATTCGAAAGCTCCTGTTGGTATCAAAGGTATGAATAACAAGCTGATGCAGCTGAGAAAGATTTGCAACCATCCATTTGTTTTCCCAGCCATTGAAGACATGATCAACCCGTCCCATGAGAACAACGACACTATTTGGAGAACGAGTGGTAAGTTTGAGCTGTTGGATAGAATTCTTCCGAAGTTCCGTGCCAGTGGCCACAGAGTGTTGATGTTCTTCCAGATGACCCAGATTATGGACATCATGGAGGATTTCCTCAGATTCAGAGGCATGCACTATATGAGACTAGATGGTGATACTAAGGCCGATGACCGTACGGCTCTGTTGAAAGACTTTAATGCCGATGACTCACCGTACTTTGTGTTTTTGTTGTCCACCAGAGCTGGTGGTTTGGGATTGAACTTGCAGACGGCAGACACGGTCATTATTTTCGACACCGACTGGAACCCCCACCAGGACTTACAGGCACAGGACAGAGCGCACCGTATTGGTCAGAAGAACGAGGTGCGAATTTTGAGACTGATCACGAGCGACTCTATTGAGGAGTACATTCTCGAGAGGGCCCACCAGAAGCTCGACATTGACGGCAAGGTTATCCAGGCCGGAAAGTTTGACCAGAAGTCGACTTCCGAAGAACAGGAGGCGCTGCTGCGTCAGCTGCTGGAGGCCGAAGAGAACGAGAAGGACGAGGACGAGGTGCTTGACGACAACGATCTGAACGAGATTCTTGCTAGAAACGAGGACGAGCTCAAGACTTTCCAGAAGTTGGACGAGGAGCGTATCGAGGAGGCGCACGGCCAGCCACGGTTGATTGCCGAGTCGGAGCTGCCGGAGATCTACAACCAGGAGCCGGAGATCACAGACGAAGCGGAAGAGATGTTGCAGTACGGCCGTGGCACGCGGGAGCGCAAGGTCCAGCACTACGACGAAAACATCACCGAAGAGCAGTGGCTGCGGGAGATCAACGGGTACGCGTCTGACGACGACGGGGCCAGGCCGAAGAAGAGCAGAAAGCGTCGGAAGAAGAACGACGTTGTTGCTGAGGAGCTGGACGGGCTTGTGGACGAGAACGGCGACCTTGCCGACTTTATAGACGACGACGACGAGGAAGTTGCGCACAAGAAGCCCAAGACTGCGAAGCGCAAGCTCAAGGTTGGGTCCGAGCGGTCCACGAGGTCTCCGTCCGAGTTGGGCGACTCTGCACCGCAGACTCCAGCGGGCGGGTTCATTGCCAAGAAGCGCAAGGGCAGGGGACAGGCTGCGTCGGCCCCAATTTGCCGCAAGGAGAATTTTGTGCCCCAGGAGCTCACCATGGAGGAAAGACACAGTCTCCAGCTGCAACTCAACGATATTCTCGACCAGCTGCTCAACATGAACTCTGAAGATGGCCGCAAACTGTCTGCGATCTTCCTCACCAAACCTGTCAAGCGCATCTACCCGGACTATTACGTGATAATCAAAAATCCGATCGCATTTGACGGAATCAAACGCAGAGTCCAGGGCGAGATCTACTACAACCTTGAGGAGTTCATGTACGATCTCCATCTAATGTTTGCCAACGCAAGAATCTACAACCAGGAAGGTTCTGTCGTTTACAACGATGCCAACGACATGGAGCAAGAAGCGTTGAGACTCTACGCCAATATCAGAGACGGAGCCACCATGGACTTCACCGAGTTCGACGAGCGGTTTGGGCTAAAACGAAACCCTCCCGCTGCGGTTGCAGGGCAACCAGTCAACGGCTCGTTTGTTCCAGAAGTGGCCCCGTAACTGGTCCGGCCTTTATCATATATAATAGTAAACGTGTATTTTAATTACGATAGGAATCTTACAACTGCCCAACGGTTGCTCCTCGACTAACGTCACTCTCGTCGTCGTTGTGTTTATCTTGGGTCTGTTCGATGCTCTCTGAGTCCGCGGTGGAGATCCGGGTGGTCGAGTCGTCTTCCTGGTTCTGTTCGTTCGTGGGGGCGACGGCGGTTGCGGGGTCCTCGTCCTCATTGACAGACTCCTGCGAGGTTTGCGTCTCTATTGCAGCAGACTCTTGGTTCACCGAATGTTGTGGCTCTGACCGGTTGGTCACAGAGCTCTCCAGGCCGGACGATTTAGCGTGTTCTTGTGCAGTCTTCCGCGACACCATCGAGGTGGCATCCTCCTCCACAAACACGGTGCGCGACCCGGCGGGCATCTTGGTCACCTCGGTGCTCGAGGAGTGTACAGACCGCTGCTCAGGCTCCAGATTGGGTTTTGGACCCAAAATGTCGGACTGGTGCTGGGGCGCCGTGAAGAATGGATCTCGATCGTTCGACGTGATAGCTGCAGCAGAGCGCGTGGAACGCAAAGAGTGCATGGAGCGCGCAGACCGGATCGACCGTGCCGGAGAGCCTTTAAGTTCCAAACAGCTCTGCGTTCCAAAGCTGTTGGTGTTGGAAATAAGATGCAGGTTGCCGGCATAAATGTTTGGACTCATCAGGTGCCCTGTCTCTGGTTCTTTCGGTTCTGGGGTGTCGATCAGATCTTCCTGACTTTCACGGGCCCCACGTCTATGAGTGAAGTGTCTCTTGAGACTGCCAAAGTTTAGAGGCTTGATTCCGAAACCACTCAATGTGCGCTCGTGCTTCTCGGGTCTTGGAAGCAGGTACTTCTTTTCTAAATACACTTTCCAGACCCAGTTCTTTGTTTGGAAAGCCAGAAACACCAGCCAGAACAATTGGATGAAACCCAGAAGTGTACTGAAGACACCACGTTCGTTTGACTCCTTGCCCAGTAAAATCATGTTCAGCACAATGCTAACTGACATCAGCATGAAGTTGCTAACGAAACACACCACCGCCAGCACAAAGAGTGTCTTGTTGAGACGGACGATTGAAAGCACTTGATAGTATTCCAGAGAGTATGGAACCACCACACACAGTGCTTCCGCCAGAAACACCACAGAGAACAAAAACACACCAAAGTTGATGTATTTCAACACGAATGAATAGTCTAGCAACGCATCTAAATTATAGGCACTTCTTGGGTAGCCGCTCGATTCATAAATAGGATAGATGATTTTGTGGATGAAATCAGTGGTATCCTGATGATGTTCTTGTATCCTCAAAGAAAAAGAAACAGACGATCTATGTAGCGCCTTGAGTGGTGTGAGTTTGCGTCCAAAGACGTGCTTGAACTCCAAAATAGGGATTGTGCTATTTTTGAACTCAAAAGTTTTCGTCTCATAAATGTACTTCATGGGGTGTAGCTTGATGCGGATCTCGGACTCGTCCAGGATGAAGAGCGGGTTCAAGATCAAGGCGTAATCGTGGTAGTTCTTCATATATGAGTTTTTTTGCATTTCAAAGATCTTGCTCAGCGAATTGTATAACTCAATGTTTTCCTTCTTAACGTCGTCGTATGTGTCTCTAAAATACAATTTACCGGAATCAAGAAATTCCTGGCCATTGTTGAGCACCTTGACAAGGTTGATTGCAGGTAACCGGCACATGAACGTTGTTTGTTGGAAGATATTGATAAAGTTGAAGATGACAAACACTGTCAGACAACCCATGAACCATTTCGTGGAAAAATGGGTCCGTTTAACTCTGTCGGAAGCATGTTCATTTCGAGGCAAAACGTGCACTGCACTAAACGCTCCAGAAAGCTTGTTCCATCCTGAAGAAAGCATTTGTGATAAAGAACTAACAAAACGCTCAGAATTAACAAAATTATTTTATTAAGGGGCAGCGATCCCTTTTTTTTTTTGAATGGTAAATAAATCCTACCGCCCATTAGCTCGGTGCGAGGAGTTGTCTTTTTTATTTATTTACGAGTAAGCCAAATTTAAGAGATTTATCCAAGTGTGATGGTGACACATACTGTTTACCACCAGAATATCAACGAAAATGTACGTGTCGAGCTTGTTTACGAGAATTTTCCTGTAATTGCGGGCACCGACGAGCTGTCGTTCATTTTGCGCTTCCGATACATTGGACCTTTAAACAGCAATAATTCCCCGGCTAAAAACTCCAAGAAACAAGAACCCGACCCTCCGACCCAGAATGATGGCTGGTTTGGTGGCCGGCTATCGTCTCAGTTTTCCAATGCTACAAGACAGCTTTTCCTGCAACAGCTAGATTCCATGCCCGAAAATGAAGAAGAGGAAGATTTGTTCAAGGATATTTCCATCTATCTTGGTTACGTCCAATTGTTTGGGTATTACTCCATCAACGACCGCATAATCGATGCTTCGATCTTTGAAAACTTGCAGAAGTCGTCCACTTTCGAGGGGAAGCTGGCCGGAATCAATGGCCTGGAAATCACGTTTGGTCAGCACAAAAAGGGCCTTTTAAACGGACTCACTACATTATTCCAGTCCGACATCACCACAGACGAAAACACGCATCTGATTCCGCACTACTCCACCACACAGTCGATTCTGTTCAGCGACCTGACTTTCAAGCCGTCTCAATTAAACAATAATTCCACCTCCAACAAGCTCACGCGAAGCTTCTACGTCAACATGAAACTGCCAATGGACCTTCCGCCGTCGTTCCGGTCGGAGGCCGTCCAACTCAACTACAATGTTATCCTGGGATATCAATTGGTCGAGAAGGACGGCTCGTTCTCAAACAAGACCATGTTTTTCCCGTTAAAAATTCAGCCATACATAGACAAATTCGGAAGACAGCCGTACTTCCATTTGGAAAGACCGCGGTTAAACCAGAGACCGAGCGCTCTGAAGAACGTGGATCTAAACACGTCGGGATCGACCGAAATGGTGACGCGGTCCGTGAGAAGATACTCGGAGCCTGACGTGAAGGCCAAACTGACGAAAAAACCATCGGTCTCCATATTACCTGGAACGTTGGTTAGAAAGACTTCCGCTTTGAATCTGGAGCCGCTAAGATTGGGCCTCGCGACGATAGACCTACAGGGCAAGCCTGGCGAGCTGCCGACGAGTTTCGACCTGGACAAGGAGCTGGAAGTGAAACAGTTTCTGGGTCTTTTGAAAGATCTCAACGACAATGACGTGATGGAGATTGTCAAGATCCAGGAGAATTTCGAAAAGAAGTACCACAACCCTGCCGATCTGGAGCAGAGTCCGCGACAGAACCTGGTGAACATTCTTGCCGACCAGCACAGTGTACAGAAGCACGAGTTTACAACCGACGACGACGTTGCTGACATGGAGGGCCAGGTCCCTGTTCAACCGCAAACGAAGTACATCGTGAAACAGGACCATCTGCAGCTTGCAAACCTGACGTTAAGCAAAGATCTCGTCAAGGTCGGAGACCACATCACTGTGAGCATTTCATTCTTGGACCGCGAACTGGAGACAAAAGGAGTAGAGGTCCGACTAATCAAAAAGCAGGTCCTCTACCGCGACGAGTACCTGAAACGATACGAGTACAACGAGGTCTATAAAGGGCTCAAGAGCGACAACTCCATGGAGACCACTGTTTTCCACAAACTGGCCAGCACTTTCAACACAGAAAGACTGGACCTCAACTTACTGGTACCTGCGACTGTGGAGCCGCAGTTCCGAACAAACTTCTTTCAAGTGAAGTACCTGATCCAGATCAAGTTTGTGCTGTTGGACACGTTTAACAAGATCCCCAAGCCTGACCAGCACGAGAACGGCGTTTCTCACGATCGCAAGAACTTCGACCTTGTATCGATCTTCACCGACTATAAAGGATCCGTTCTGTATCGCGGCGTCGACAGTATTAGCAACGGGTTCGAGTTCACCGTTAGACTACCCATCGTGGTGCTTCCGAGCTACGAAAACGATATCGCTCAGTAGTCTGCTCCGTTGCACTGCCATTTTCATGCACGGTACATAAATCAAACTCAAAAATATATACGTTCACATCAAAGTGTGTACAAACTAGCTAAACAGCATCAGCGCGATCTTTCAATTGCCAGAGCGGCGCGTATCAATTAATCACTACGCCTGATACACGCGCACCATGTTTTACAGCATACTGCCTTTGAAAGGGAGCCAAGAAAATTCGCCCGAGATGGAGAACACAACTAGCACAAGCCCTACTGCGCGTCTCTCGCCTTCCATGTCGGGACGTGACAAAGCCAATCTACTAGACCGCAAGTTTGCAGACGCCAAGAGAAACAGTCGGTCCAAGTTTGCCGCGACAAAACATCAGGAGTCATCTCCACAACCCTCCACGGCACCCTCTGGTAATGATCCTGTCAAATTGCAGAGAATTTACTCGATTCTGAATGCCAAACGATCAACGCCCAGCAAAGCACCCCAGCCACAGGAGCAGAGAAGCTCGTCCGGGGAGAACGGATTGGCCGCCAAATCGACCTCGTCGCAGGAAACCACACTGGGTCTGAGGTCTGGTGTTCGTGACGCGTCTAGTTTGGGGCTCGCGTCGCTCAATAGTGCCGCATCCTACAGAGACCTGATGATTGCGAAGCGTAACGCGTTCAAACAGCGAATGATCCAAAATGAGGCCGCAATGAGATCAGCAGCAGAGGACTCTGCAGAGACCACCATCGAGGCACAGCCGCCCAAACCGGACTCGCAGCCACCAGTGAAAAGTTTGTTGGATCATGCCCCTGTTCAGGAGACTCCGGTGCCGGATACACCACGAGAGACGCGTCAAGCGCGTGCAGCAGTGGAGAAACAGACCGTTAAGTCTGCTCGCAAAAGAAGCTCTCCAAGCAAATCTCCAAGTCCAGAGAAAACTCCGTCCAAGGTTACAAAGACAGTTCCCGCTTCGGAAGCACACACGCCTTCTAATTCTCGTCCTAGCTCAGCTCCAAGCTCTGGCCGTACAAGGAGAGCCACTAGGGGGCCAGTGCCTCGCGCGCCATTTCAGGGACCTGCTATTCCCGCTGCTGCTGCTACTGCGATCAAAAGCTCCAGTTTTGCAAATGTTACAAGAGCTTCAGACAGAACATCGGCGGCCGTGATTTCTGAAGACCTGTCTCCAGCAGAGAAGTCTCGCAAGACTATGAGCGACTCTGAGTTGCATGCCAAGCGTATTGAAGAGAAGACAAAACCAGAGTTTTCTGCCGTTGAACCTCAACCAACCATTATCGAAAAAGAGACCCTGCAAGTGGACTCGACTCCGCAGAAACCTGCTTCCAATGGACCTGGACTGTTTGTTGAGGATACCGACAACGACGACGACGTTCCACTGTCCGCTAAAAGAGTTCTCTTTTCAAGCGACATCGAGCTATCACCTCCCGCGCAAGAGCCAGCCAAAACGATTGCTGAGCCGAAATCGATCTTGAAGATGAGACCGCATCAGAAAGAAGATGTTCACTCGGCACCCGTCGCTAGCACCAACGTCTGGCCCAGCGGTCATATTATACAGAAAAAGAAGGATAGTTCGGAGTCTATCGCTGCTATACGGAGCTGTTGCGACTGTTTGGCCACAGAAGGGTTCCAAAACAGATTTGAGGCCTATGCCAGTATCAACTGTCTTTTGAAAAACAATAGCAAACAGTATTTGCGTACGAGTCTCAATGATACCGATACCGCAAAGATCTTGAATGTGATATCCATGGAACTCACCCATGCAGAAGAAAATCCCAAGATTCTAACAGACCCCTTTGAGGTGCGAATTGCCATCCAGGCTATGAAGGGACTCACTGTGCTGCTGTCTGTTTTCCAAATACCCGACGCTGAGAGAATTGTGAGACAGGTGATAGAACTATCTCAGACGCCTAATCTTGCAAAAGGCCTGGTTTCTGCTTACGTTCAGTTCTGCAAAGAACAAAACTGCATTTTGTCTTCCGGATGCATCGAGCTTCTTATCGATGCTATGCTCAAGATCCCGTATTACCCAAGTGCCACCATTTTGAACGAGAAACTATTGACATTGAAGAGCTACATAAGCAGGAGTCCGGCCGTGATGCTCAAACTGTGCGAGAGCTGGCAGCAATTTGTTCTGTCGTGTGTCATGAGCGTCGAATGCCCGTCATACGACCGATTGATGAAAGTGACCCTTTCGTTGTACGCCGAGTTTTCCAAAATTTGCAACCGCACCACCAGACAAACGTGCTTCAACATCTTGGACATGGAATCGCATACGCTGACCCAGTCGTACCCCGTGATTGCATCACTGGAAGCATTTAAGACCAACAAGTCTGTCTGCGATGCCGTTGTCGAGGCATTAACTGCACTAATTCACCGCAAAGAGTACGAAACAGCTATGGAACTATGGGCCCACTTGTTGTATATTTCTTCCTCATTCACTTGGAAGAATGGACTCGAAACCTGGAACCACTTAGTTTCCTGGATATCTGTGTTCACCACCTGTTTTAACGACGAAGGCGAGACTCCCAAACTGGCCGCTTTGCATGCATGGAGAAGCGTTATATTCTCCTACCAATACTCGCTGTCGTTTAAAACTTCGGCTGTTCTTGAGTCTGAGGCTGAAGAGTATCAGCTCAAGTCCAAGTTCCATGTTCTGGCCCACCCGCTACGCAGCTTCTCTGGCGAAATCGATGAGCCACTGATGTCGGCATACGAGACCTTGTTCACTAGACTCTACTACAGTCTATACCGGTTCCTTTCGAAAAACCCCGTTAGTGGAGGAGACAGAGAAGGTTGGGTTATTGACTGGGTGGTGGAGCTCGTTAAGGATCTCTGTTTTGGAACAACCACCAGTTCCATTCAGGTTGAAGTTGGCTACAGCATTCTGACTCAGTTATTCTCAACCACTCCACAAAAATCTAAACAGACATTCAAAATGACCGCCAAGGATTGTTTCCTTGGGTCTTCAGGCGAAGATCTGCAGTTACCTACGCTCAATCCGGGCTGGGTGTGTATCAGACGCTCTGATTTTGTGCAGTTGTTGACCAAAGCCTTGTCGTACGACTACGCCGACTCTTTGGCCAGGCTGAAGCTGATGATCTCGTTCTTGGATGCCAGCAAAAACGGACAGTCTGCTCTAGACTCATACAGGTATATCGAAGACCTACCAGTGCTGTCAAAAGCGATTTTTGGCTCGAGTTTGGGCAAGAACCGGATCCAATTCGCAGACTTGCGTGAATCCATGCTGGAAATGGTACAAAAGTTTGGGTTCCAGGCTATGCTTACTCCCTCAGCTGATATTCCATGTTTTTTTATCCTGGCTCTCCAGTACTACAGCGTTGAAGAAACAAACGACGCCGCACTGAACAGTACATGTGTTGATCTCTTGCATTTCACGCTCGAACACGACCATTCCTCCTACATCAGCGTGTGCCAGATGCTCATCCAGCTGAACTCAGGACGTTTTGCCGATGATGTGGCCGGAAGTCTTTTGGAATCTGCCAGCTACGTCCACACACTTGGATCGTTTGAGAGCTGGAAAACAATCAAGGAGTATTTGTCACCGGAGCTGTTTATTGACCTTCTCGTAAGACTGGTGGAGCTGGGTTGCGAGTTGAAGAAGGATCCAAAATTGGTGTTTGAAGAACAGGTTCGTTTCTGGAAGTCCATTGGCCTTTTCGAGTACGGAATGCCGTATTTGGTGGTCCTTTTCCACAGACTTCGAACCACGCCAGCCACTCACCCAATTTCGACCTTCTGGCTGGCGTTCTTGATCGATTTTGAAGCAGAACCGGAAGTGTCCACTGCGGCTCTTCTTTTAGAAACACTTGGTTTGGGCAACAGTTGTGCGTCTGAAGAATACGCACTTGTACACTCCTATGTTGCCAAGGTCTCAGCAGCTGCTCCAGAGAGTAAACCTGTTCAGGACCTGACTGTCGCATTGCAGAACTTGCAGTCGTTACTTGATATGCGAAAGGACCAGGTGTCAGCTTTCGTGTCGTCTTTGACTCCTCCTCTACAAATTCTTCCACCAGAAGAGCCTAGTGCGGTCGATTTGCCGGAAGAGGAACCACTGGTGTCGGAAACTGAGCCAGAAAAGGAACCACAAGGGCAGGAGAACGAGACAGAAGCGGAGCCACCAGTGTCGGAAAATGTGCCAGCAGAGAAGCCATCGGCACCAGAAAATGAGCCAACAGCGGTTGAACAACCGTCCAGCCTGGACAACTCCCAGATAGCAACCGAGCCGGAGACTCTGGTGATCTCATCTGGTGACGAGGAGCAGGAGCCGCACACCGCACCCGAAGTCCAACAGCCGGACTCGCAACCACCGTCGCAGGCAGAAAAGAGGCCTGTTCTGGACTCCTCGGACAGAAGCTCTCAGGCGGTGCCTCCACCTCAGAGAAACTTTTCAAGCAACGGCCAGACGCACAGCACTTCAGAGACCAACCTGGCACAGCTGCAGTCAACTCCGCAGCCACAGGTCTTTCCCGACCCGTATAATCCCTTGCGGCCTGCCACTTTCGACCCAGACCAGTCTGTCTACTCCGACGCGGGTCGTCTTGCCCCGTATCCACCGCCGTTCCCGTACCCTGGGTACCCGTTCTACCCGCCAATGATGCGTCCACCGCCTATGGGTCAGCCTGATGCGAACCCGTACTCCATGTACTACTGGAATCCGTACCAGATGCCACCACCGCCAGCCGGACCCGGACCGATCTTGGACCAGTCTGACCCGGAGGATTGGGTGCACCTGGAGGGTCTAGTCACCAGACTGAACCAGACACACGCGAACGGGGTGGTGGAGCTTGACGAAACCAAGAAACGCAAATTGGAGGACGATCTATTCTCGCTACTTACATGTCTGAAAAAACGACGCTAACTGGCGAACCGGGCGTGTGCAGCGAGCAGCTCGGCGCCGATCTTGACGGAGTCTACAAACACAGTGTCCGGGAAGTCCTGCTTAAACTTCCAGTCCAGGCTGCTGAGCCCTGCGCAGCCCAGCAGGATGATCTTGGCGTCTTGGGAGATGAGGTAGCGGATTTTGTGCTGGAGCTTGGCATAGTTGTCTGGGTCTGTGAGTTTGAGCACGTCTACGTCTGCGGCGAGCGTTGGCACGATGAATTTTGGCAGTGTTGCCGTGCCGAAGAAGTCGAGCAGCGACTGGTCGAGGATTTCTTCCCAGCTCCTGTTCGAGGTGAGGATCCCCACCTTGGAATTGTTTGTAGTATAATTAAGCGAGTACAACAGAGACGCCTGGAAAATGCCCATTATCGGGACCTTGACCAGGTTGCGGAGCTGGCCCACGAGCGGGTGGTCCGAGTAGCAACAGATCAGGTATCCGTCGTATTGGAGCAATTGCGGGTCCTGCTGCAGTTTGGCCAGACAGGCGGCCGCAGAGATAAGGCCCTCGGCAGAATTGTTAATGGAGGGCGGCGACTCGGGCGGGCCGGTGAAAAAGTGGAACTCGATACCGGGGATCGGTTTCAGCACGGTCTGCAGGTTGTCTGTGATCGATTTGGACGAATTCGGGTTGATCAGCAGAAGCTTCATTTTAATGGAAAATCGGTGAAATATTTACATTATTTTTCTGCGCACTATTTACTGATAACCGAGGCCACGGTTTTCTCCAGCTGCGGCGAAACGTAGTAGTTGCGGCGTTTGTACAAGTTGTAGTACTCCTCGACGAGCGGTCTGGCGTTCGCACGGACGGCGATTTCCAGCACCAGCCGGCACGTTTTCGCGGTCAGCTCAAAGTTGCTGAGAAACGAAGCCAGAGACTCCACGTCGGTCAGCTGGCACTGGTCAAAGATCCTGAGCAGGTAGTACAATGTTTCGTCATTGAGCTGACACCGACGCTTACGCACCATCACGTTGGTCAGTCTGAGCGCGAGCTCGAAGTCCGGATGTGAGATGCTGATTGTCTTGAGCACCAGATTCAATGGTAGCACATGGAAAGGAGATGACGAAACGGTTTTGCGCAGCCGCGATTTCTCTGACGACCGGTTTGGTTTGCCCAGACTCGTCTGGAGGGCCGTGTACTCACTCTTGAGGTCGTCGAGGGTGACTTTCTGGTTGGCGGTGTGTGTGACTTGTCGGTACAGCTGGTGGTCCGGATGCAATGAGGAGGAGTATCTGTTTCTGTGTTCGTTGAGATGGAAGCCATGCATTTGCTCGATGAGTAGCACACAACGGGAGATATCCAGCGGCCGGTCAAGTCCAGCGGCCAGGCCGTGTGTCAGGGCAGCAAAGTCGGCGACTTTAAACTCGCTTTTCTGGAAGTGCATGTTGAAAAACATACCACTCTCTAGAACGCGGGCTGCTCCGAGTTTGCGCACGTACCCCTTCAACCGCACAAGGTCCATCTGGCGCTGGAACTCTCTGGCGGCGGCTGGGTCGACTTTCGCAATGAGTTTAGAGCGGTAGTCGACGGTTTTCGCAAACGTTGCAAAATCAAGCCGTTCGATGGATAGATGGCACAGCCGGCCGGACAGCTCGTCGGAAAGCGTCATCAGTGGGCGGTCAAATAGAAAAACAAAACCAACAACAAACTTCGACACGAGCTCGACCTGGCCCCCGTCCAGCGCGGTCTTGACAAGGATCTCCAGAAGCTGCTGATTGAGAATTTGCGGATACTTGTTGGAGTAGAGGATGTCGATTAATTTGAACACTTTTTCGAACTGTTTGGCCAATATGAGGTGGTACGCCAACAACTCGCACGGGAACCGGTCCACCAGCACCGTCGAGACCTCGATCGTGGACAGGGCTGCGTCGTAGTCTCGTTTGAGGGTGTACGACTGGATGAGCATGCTGGTGAGTTCTTTGGAGTTCTTGCCATCTAAAAGACAGCTCTGCACCTCTTTGTCTTGAATGAACGGCAGCCACAGTGCAAACAGCGAGTTGACGAGCGGCTGGGGCAGCTCAATCTGTCCTTTTCGCAGGTCCTTCAGTAGAGCTATGAGGGTCTGTCTTTTGCGGTCCATGGCGAGCGAAGGGTTCTGGAGCCGTGTTACAAGCGTCTCAGCATAACTGTGGCCCACAGACGACATGTTCGCGGCCGTACGCCGGCATATTGCCGCAAAGGGTCGAGCCGTTAGACGGAGCATTAAAAATAATTATTCAAGATTTATTTGGCAGGACATTTTCTACACCGGCTGTTAGGTCCACCAAGACTCGCCGTTATCACTGCAAGAAATTCACCAACCGCGTTAGTGTGCTCTACATAGCAACCGTCGCCACTACAAGCAACAAGCGCCGACCCTGCCACGACCAGGCCGTGCTAATTTTTCAGTCCAACGAGAAAAAACTTATTTTTCACCATGATTTCCGTTCTTCGTCAACCTTCGAGACAGCTTATCGGTTTGCGGGCGGGAAACACCGTCACGCGGCGCGCCGCTCTTGCGGGAACCGGAATCCGGTTCAATAGCACACAAACACCAGAACCACCCAAGTTCGACACCTCGCTGGGCTTCGACACAGAAACCGTCACCAACACCCTCACTTCTGACCAATGGGGGTATCTAAAAAGCGTTGGTCTGTGCGACGGCTGGTGGCCGTCTGATCTGATCCAGACCGCTCTCGAGGCCGTCCATGTGACCACGGGCCTGCCGTGGTGGGCCACCATTGCTGCCACCACCATAGGACTGCGTCTGGCGTTCTTCCCGTTATTCATGTCTTCGTCCGACGCTATGGCCCGTTCGCAGGCAGCTGCGCCAGAAACAAAGGTCCTGCGTAAGGAGCTCAACACCGCAATGTCCAAGGGCGACCGTATAGGCCAGCAGCTCAAGATGCAGGAGATCAAGAAACTCAACAAGAAATATGGTGTCAAGTACTCCAGGATGTTTCTCTCGCCCGGTGTGCAGTTCACCTACGGTATTGGGTCGTTCTTTGGTATCCGTGAGATGGCCAACCTGCCTGTGCAAGGTTTTGAGAACCAGGGTATCTACTGGTTCCCTGATCTGACTGCTCCTGATCCATACATTGGACTGCAACTGATCTCTGCCTGTTTGTATGCTATTTCGTTCAAGTTTGGTGGAGAAACAGCCATCAACCAGTTCAGCTCCACCACGCAAAAGATGTTCATGGCTCTGCCGTTTGTGTCGATCGTGTTCACGTGGAACCTGTCGTCGGCGGTGCTGGTGTATTTCACCGCCAACGGTGTGTTTTCGATCATCCAGGCCCGGTTGTTGAGGACCCCAAGTTTCAGAAAAGTGTTCAACATGTATCCTTTGCAAAAGCCGGCTGCCGAGCAGACCAAGGGAATGATGGAGAACTTTTCCGACACTTGGAAGGAGATGCAGGAGAACTCGGAGATCCGCGAGAAGGCCGACCAGAAGGCCAAGAACGCGGCTGCGCGCCAGCTGCTCAAGGCCAAGTCGCAGAAGGTGATTATTGAGAAGCGTGAATAAATAGTTGGTACATAGTCTTGTAAATGGATAGATCAATCCCGAGTAGGTGCGAGCACGTGTTTCCAGGGCACGAAGTCTACCGTGACAGGCTCGGAGATGCCCAGGTCGCGCAGGGCCTGCTGGTCGTTGGCGAGAGTTTCGGTGCGGATGCCCAGTTTTGTTGATAGACAGAACTGCAGCACGCCGAGTCCGAGCAGACGCGATACGCGCCCGCGTAGTTTGCCCACAGTGGCCGACCGCGAGAGCGTGAGAGTGTGCGATGTGCCGTTGTGCACCAGCGTGATGGTGAGCGGGACAATGGGGGTGGTTTCTTGGGTGGCCAGCTGCGACGAAACACCGTGCTTGCTGCACAGCTGGGTCCAGAGATCCGTGTCGCACGCCCATTCGCGGGTCCTGATCTTGCTGATGAAGTAGAGCTCAAAGCTTTTGCGCTGGGCAGCCGTGTAGTCTGTACCGTCGAGCTTCTGCAGCGTTGGAAGCCGTGCAAACAGCTGGATGGTGGCCAGGTCGTAGTCAAGAGAGTCCACTAGCGGGGTGTTGATAATACGCAAAGCGCGGAGACTAGTGAGGCTCCGCAATCTGTCCACCTCGCTCCACTCAGAAACACTCGTGTTCGTGATATCGAGCGACTCGATCGTTGTGTCGTTGACAGTATCGATGTGCAGCTGGTTATTGGAAGCTACCAAAATATTTGCGGGTGGCAGCTCGCTCAGTTTCGTGAATTTATTGCGGGAAAGATCCAAGTGCGTGTAGCGGGGCAGCTCGATCGCCGTGAGGTCGTTGCCCGAGAGGTACAGCTCGGTCACATTGGGGAAGCACGTGAACAGCTCGTGCTTGAAAGAACAGTGTTCCAGGGCACAGGCCGACAAATGGAGTGTTTTCACACTGGTGCATTGCTTCCGTCCTCCGAAACGTGTCCAGCGGTTGCCATTTGCTTTCAGCGTGTGCAGGTTTGGCAGCTGAACGACAATATCCATCAGGTTTTGCCAATCAAGCAAATTGAACCCGACACTTAGCACCTGCAGATTATCCAGCACCCCACCCACCACGCCGGCCTCAGCAATGTTGAGCCGCTCCAGCGTGGCGGTCTCGAGGTTCGAGAAGTCTGCCTGGAGCCGGCTAAGTCTCTCGAACCCGAAACTCTCCACCTTCTTCGTACCGATGGTGAGATCGAACTTATCGACCAGGGAGTCCGACTCGAGCGCCAGCGACTCGTCGCTCGCGTACTGGTACACCATGGCGTCCATGAACGAGCGCGTGGGGTCGATCTTGGCTGCCTTGACGAAACTGCCCGACTTGGCCCCGTTGTGTGTGGAGAAGTACCGCGTGCCGTTGATGGTGCCGTCGTTCTTGCCGCGCTCAGGCACGTCCCACTCGATCCCCACGGCCGTCTCGCCGGGCCAGTTCGGAATTGCCCCGACAAACCGCACCGTTGCCAGATCCCCGGCCACCGCGACTCTGTCGTTGGGAGAGAGCATATGGCGAAATCTTTACACTGGAAAAAAATTAAGCCATGAATAAAGTGCGAAAGATCCAGCAGCTGAACGAAAAGGAGCTGGAACTGGGCGCTTCCATCCAGGCATCCTGGCACTACGAATACGCAGACACGTCGTACATATTTATCGGGAACTTGCCGCCGGAAATCAACGAGATGGACCTGCTCATTGTGTTCTCGCAGTACGGAGTACCTACGCATCTCAAGCTGATGCGCGATAAGGAGACCGGCCAGTCGCGTCGGTTTGCGTTCTTGAAGTACGAGCAGTTCGAATCCACCATCCTCGCCGTCGACAACCTCAATGGGTACTCGTTCGGCGACGAGTACACTCTGCGAGTCGACCATGTCAGATACCGTCCATACAGCTACGATAAGGATCAGGACGCGAACCGGGCATGGGACGAGGCATTGGCCGTGGAAATGGAGAAAGACTTTGGCGTCGAGCAGGAAGAGCCCGAGAAACTGCTGGAGAACGAGATCGACGCAGAAGACCCAATGGCCCAGTTCCTGGCCAAGAAACATAAATCCAAATAATATTATGGTGGCACGTTAAATATACACTACATTAACAGAGTCCGCGCGGGTCACGGTGGGGGCCACAGGGGTGGACGAAGAGGTGGCTGTTGGGAGCGAGAACGTGGAAGAGTGGTCGGGCGGGTCGTTTGTCGGGGTGCGGTCCGGATCTGTGTCTGCTACCTCCTCGCCGCGAGACTTCACCACGGGCGGCGAGAAAAACGTGTCTGCCGTCTTGTCGGCCTCCTCCACAGAGCTCTCCGACGCGATGGACAAGTGTCGCGACGATTTCGGCGACTGCTGCTGCTGCTCTTGCTCTGCAACAGACGGCGAACCTTGCTCCTCCTCCACGGCTTCCAGTGTGGCATTCTCAGAAGCAACGCTCTCCTCCAGATTGATGTCCCGGCTGTCGTCGAGCAACTTGTCCAAACCACCGCCAGCGAGCGCCTTGCGCGCAATGTTGTCGTACATCTGGGTCTCCATGGCCACCACAGAGCTCGTCTGGCCCAGGATCCGAGCAAAAGCAGACTGCGTCTGCTCATACGACGAGACATAGTAGTCGTGCTTGGCGCGGTCGATCTCGTCCAGCTGCGACGCCAGTTGCAGCAAATTCGACTTGTACGCAATGATGTTGCGTGTCTTCTTGCGGCTCAGCTTGTGGTTTGCTGCCTCCTTGTGTCTGAGCTGTGTGATTTTGTCCTTAATCTCTTTCTTGAAAGATGTATCGTTTTCTTTGTAGGTGCGCTCGAAGTTCGAGATGATCTCCGAAACGGGTCTCTCGAACCCGGTCGACAGACTATGTGCAAGAATTTGCTGGTGGTTGGCAATTTGGTGGTGGAACCCGCTGGCTGTCATGAGACCCTCGGAAGTGGCCCCGGCGCCCTTGCACCGCGCACAATCCTCCAACGAACGGCCAAACTCACTTGCTGCAGTGCCCAGGGCGACCAATGCGTCTCTGTACGCGGCCGCGGTGCGGACCAGGTCGCGACAGCTGCCAATTGTGTCATTAAAGTCCTTTTTCGTGATCAAGGTCTCGAGGTCGAGCGTGGAGGGGGTCATTGACGGCTGCGACGACAAAAACGAGTCGGACCGCAGCTTCTGCGAGTGGATATTCTGGTGCACTTCCTCCAGCGACATGCCAGCAAAGTCGAACAGCGAGTTGCTTGTGGAGACGTTCGGAACGTCGCTCTGGAGCGTCGAGGTGTCCAATTGGGCCGGCGAGTCGCCTTGGCCGTCCACAAACGAATAAAACTCCTGCAGATGCGGTGGGGGAGGTCTGCGCTGGGGCGATTTGCGTGGAGCAGAACTATCCATGAACAATTAAAATTGTATAGTGCTTTTGTTTTTTTTTCTTGGAAGTACAGGAATCTGGGACTTGCGCCGATCGACGCAATCTCTTTAGTGTTGGAGCCATGGAAGATATTTTTCAAAATTTTCCACTACTTGCAAGTTGGTTTCCAGGGATGTTTGCACGCGCGAGAGTTGGAATCCTGTCCTCAGGCAGCGGTCTGAGCAGTTTCATACGAACGGTCGCCAGTTCGGCCGCCCCGGCCAGAAACACCGTCAAACCTGTCGACGGCAGAAAAACGTACTTGCTGGACGTTTACAAACACTTTGACAAAAGCAACAAGATCCTGTTACTGGCCCACCATAACAACCTGACGGCCAACGATAACGTCAAGATCAAAAAACAACTCGAGGACGCGGGCGCAGAGTTCAGAAAACTTAAGGTGTCGTTGTTCCGGCATTATTTGAGAGCGTCGTCGAAATACGACGACCCGGCCTCCAAAGCTGCTTATAGATACGTCAAGAAGAACAAGATCAGACACCCATTGGAACCGCTGCTGAAGGGCCCAACGGCGGCTATTCTGATCAAAGACATGGACCCTGCTGCCGTGAAGAAAGTGGTCAAGGTCCTCAAGGGTCTGAACGAGAGACTGTTTCTGATTGGCGGCCGCCTTGGCGACGAAGTGGCTGACGTGGCTACCATCGACCAGTTCAAGGAGATGCCTACGATGGACGAACTGCGGGCACAGCTGGTCGGAATGTTGACCGTTCTGTCCGGAGCAGGCCTGGTCAGAACCTTGGAGAGCGCCTCCAACACGCTCTACCTGACGCTGGACACCCACAAACAGGAGATGGAGAAGAAGGAGAACCCCGACGAGCAGTAACTTGTCCTGTACATAGCATTATATTTACAAGGCTGTGCAAGTCTTTGCAAGATAAATTTTTATGTGAAAAAAATATTTGACAAACATGTCTGATCGTCAGTCTAAGAGGAAACAGTACCGCGAGGCCAAAGAGGAGTCGCGGCAGGTGTTGAAACACGCGCGGTTCGAAGAGAGCCAGGAGGTGAGTCTGCCGAAGAAGCGGTTCTACCGGCAGCGGGCGCACTCGAACCCGTTTTCGGACCATAAGCTGGAGTATCCACGAAATCCAGATGCCATGGACTGGGGACGGTACTATCCCGGGTACGTGGACCCGGAGACAGGCAAACTGGACCGCCGTGTCGAGATCGCAGACATCGGGTGCGGATTTGGAGGGCTTTTGGTCGACCTGGCCCCACAATTCCCTGAACAGTTGATCTTGGGAATGGAGATCAGAGTGCAGGTCACAAAGTACGTGGAGGACCGTATTTTGGCCCTCAGACAGCAGCACAAAGACACAAACGCGTACCAGAACATCAGCGTGATCCGCGGGAATGCGATGAAATTCCTGCCCAACTTCTTCCACAAAGCGCAGCTGTCCAAGATGTTCTTCTGTTTCCCGGACCCGCACTTCAAGCAGAGAAAGCACAAGGCGCGGATCGTGACGGCCACGCTGCTGAGCGAGTACGCGTACGTCTTGCGCGAGGGCGGTGTCGTGTACACGATCACCGACGTGGAGGACCTGCATCAGTGGATGGTAAGCCATTTGGACGAGCACCCGTTATTTGAGAGACTGTCCAAGGAGTGGGAGGACCAGGACGTGTGTGTGGCCACTATGCGCGAGTCCACCGAGGAGGGCAAGAAGGTCGCGCGCAACAACGGAGACAAGTTCGTTGCGTGCTATAGACGGATAGCTGTGTAGTTAATGCGACGTATTGATAAACCGCTCAGAGACGGAGTCTGACGCGACGCTGGCATCTTCGTGGTTGGATCTGTGCAGTCTGAAGATCGACGACACTGCCTCGGACCCCTTGCGCAGCGAGCCGCGGATCGAGTGCGAGTCGTCTGTTTTGAACTTGTAGATGGTAGCCAGATCAGGAGGCTCGATATCCTGTGGCAGGATAAACGGCTTGGAGCCAGGGATTAGCGGGTTGTTCTCGCCAGCGGCGGCAGCAGGGTTTCTGGCCGCCTGTGGAGTATTGCCTGTGATCAGACCGGACCTGTTTCCCCATGCTTCCAAATCGCTCGTGGAGCCAAATCCGGACAGGTTACCGGAATGGGTCGAGTAAACTGACGATCTGTCGTCAAAGACAGAGTCCATCTCCTCCAGACTCAGCCCCTTGGTCTCTGGGTACATTTTCCAAACCGTCACGACGGAGATGAAGCACGACGTGGCGTGGATCAGGTACAGTCTCCATTGGATTTTCTCGAGCAACAAAGGGGCCAGCTCGCCGACCACGAAATTGCACAGCCAGTTTGTGGCTGTGGCCATGGCTGCTCCGGACGCGCGCGCCTTGGTTGGTAGCACCTCGACGTTGAGCCAGCCAATAGGGCCCCAACTGCACCCGAAGAAGGAGTTGTAGATCATGACAAAGATCACCACCATGGTGGCGCTATTGGAGGTCTCGATCTTGGAGAACGTCGAGACCGCACACAGTGCAAGCCCCATAACGAGTCCGCCCATGATCAGGACCGGTTTGCGGCCCCAGCTCTCTGTGAGGAACCAGGGCGGAATACTGCTGAGAACGTACAACAGGGCGTTGATTCCCGTGAGCAGAATGGCGTTTCTGCCGACCCAGCCGGCCTGTTCGAAAACCAGTGGTGCGTAGTACGAGATCACGTTGATACCGTTGAACTGCGCAAACATCTGTGACGTCATGGCCACGAAAATTCTCCTTGGGTACCGTCTGAAAACGTCGAGGTAGTTGAGGTCGCCCTCGAGCCGGCCTATCAGCACAGACTCCTTGATGGCCTTGTACTCCTCGCGCGCCTTGTCGCTGTGGACGTGGCCGTCGGAGAACAGGTCTGCGATGACCACGAGTCCTTCGGCGTCGTGGTCGTGCTCGAGCAACCATCTAGGACTCTCCACCAAAGCAAACGTGCCCAGGAACAATATGGACCCAAACACCACTTGCAACATCAGCGGGATGCGGAACGACCAGTTGCTTTCGATGAAACTGCATCCAAAGTCGATCCAGATCGAAGAAGCATAGCCCATAATATTTCCAGTGAACTGCGCAGAACCCAGTAGCCCGCGGTTTTCAGGGGCAGAGATCTCTGCCTGGAACGAAGGGGCAGTTCCCGAAAGAAACCCAACGCCAATACCAGAAACAAACCGTCCAATTGCCAAATGGGCAATCGACGACGACCCAGACTGGATACTACCTCCTATGCAGAAGATAAAGGCACCCAGCCGGGTAGTCTTTCTGCGGCCAAGCTTGTCGGAAATGGGGCCCAAGCTTAAGGACGAGATCAACGCACCGATCTCCAAAATAGCCACCACTGTTCCAATCTCCAGAGCAGTGGGGTTGTCAAAGTAGTCCTTGAAATAGGTGTTTGTCAAGATCGAGCTGAAATAACCCTGGTCATATCCAAAAAGAAACACACACAGACTCACAAACCCTGTGGTGAAGTACAGAAGCGGCTTGCCCACCAAAACTGCCTTGGGAATATCGTCCACGGTAATTGGTCGGGACATGTTTATATTAAATATCTAGACAATTCTTACCCCGTACTAATTCTATAATATACATGAAGCGCAGGTGGAAAAAAAAAACACCAAACACCCGTGCACCGGCTACTTCGACACGGTCGTTTGCACGTTGAACGAGACCGCTGGCAGCGAGTTTTCGATCACCTCTGCCTTCACCAAGGCAGAGATCCCGAGACTGGCTAGGATCCCGCGGATCAGCCCGCACGGAAGCTGAAGGTACGGCTGGATCTTGGCCAGTGTGTCGGCGTCGCCGTTTGCACTCGACACGTTCAGCAGCGGCCGGAAGTGGTTGTCTATGAGCACGAACGTGCCGATGTGGTTTGTCCGCAGGTTGTCCATCTGTTTCAGGTAGAACATGCGCCACACGTCGCGGCAAATGAACTTCATCACCTCCAAAACGTCCACCAACTGGATATTCACGCCCTCCTCGACAGATTTCTTGTAGATCAGGCAGTCTGTGATCTTGTATCCGATCTCATACCCGTACTTCTCAATGCGGTACAGGTTGTTGAGGCCCTGGAACTTGCTGCTGCTCAGAAAGTCCACGGTGCCTGGTTTTGCAGGGTCCAGCTGGAGCCCGGCCAGATCCGTCGCGAGCGGGCCCGACACCGTGTTGCTGGCCAGCAGCTCCTCCACGCGCACAGAAAGCGGCACACACTCGTTCACCAGGTATTCCAGAGCCGTAGCACTCACCTCTTTGGAAAAGAACTTCTGGGTCATTGCGAAATAATTTATTTATTTTATTTCCGTCTTAAGTACATGATGCTCCACCACTGTTTCCGGATCAGAGCGCAATCTCTGCCAGGTGGCGATCTGCGACGCGGTAGAATCCACCTCAAACACACGAACCCGCCGCTCGGTGCCGCCGTAGCCAGCATACCCGCCTTCGCCAGCTCCTCCGCCGTAGCACATCCACAAGTCTGATTGAAGACAGTAGTCGTTGCAATGGTCGTGGCCAACAGAAACAACCGACACCCCGACCTCCTTGAGAGACTCGGCCATGCCAGAGTTGAGCTGTGGCGCAGTGATTCCTTCCTTGTAGTTGCCAAACGCTATTTTCTGTGTTTCTCGATACTCCGGTAGAGGAATATGGAAAAATGCCATTGCCTGCGGCACATCAACTTTGACACTCTCGATCCAGTCTCTCTGGTCCTGTTTCAAAAAATCATAGCCCCGCACTTTCGGGTTGAGCGAGTATTTGTGAGAGTCCATGAAGTACAGGGCCAACTTGTCCTGCACTTGGATAACATAGTTGCCGACTCCAGAGACATTAGCAGGCCCGTCAGTGGCCAACGAGTATGGGAGTGTCTCCACAATGTCCATGAGCTGTTGTCTGTCCAACGACCCTTCGTCGTCGTGGTTGCCAAAAACCATCGCGTACGGAACCTTGGATCGCTCAAAAATGTCACACACCTTTAAAATCGTGGTCTCCGAGTCTGGAGAATCGTCCCCAAACACCTGGTCACCAGTCATCACCACCAGATCCGGTTTCTCGAGCTCCAGCACAGTCTCCACAAATTCTGTAGTTCTCAGATCAGCCTCGCAATACTCTCCCGAAGACAGTTTCGGCCACGGGTCCAAACACACTCCTTCCAGCGTGGAGAAGTGCAGGTCCGCAACCTGGAGGATCTTGAACTTGTTCTGTTTGTTGAACGCCAGCTGCGGCTTAGAAGGAGACTTGACTGTCTTTTTGTAGCTGACGTACACGTTGTGAGATGTATCTGTGTCTAATGGCGTGGTTACAATATTCCAGCCGGGCCGCGGGTCAGTTGGAGCAAAAAGAACAGTAATGTCCTCAATGGCGTGGGAAATGGGCCCGTACTTAGCCCACAAACCTTGTCCCTTGGACTCCCAAACGTCACCGGGGCGGTGCTCTGGTTTCCCCACGGAAAGGTCCACGATCGCTGTTTCTTCGTCTCTTCCGAGTTGTTTCGACAAGTATGTCCGACGCAGGAAACTTTTGCCGAGCTCCAGGTCCTTGTCGATCCTGAGGTACTCGGACTCTTTGCAAAAAGGTCTATAACACGTTCCAAATTCCAGATCTAGAACCACCGGAGAGTCCATCACCCTTGTTGTTGGCTGTGCCATCAGGAACAGCAGCCCCGCAACAGCAAAAACGGCCAAATAGGCGACTCCCCTGGCGGCCTGTTTCGTGAGCCCCAGGCGCAGTGGAATCGGCATGAAAATAAAACAAGTAAAATTTATTTACGATGGGCAGTACATGTAGTAAGCAATATGCAGGTGGGATCGAGGTTGACAACAACTAGCACAAAAGCGACGGTCGAATGACTTGAGTCTGGCCACCTTTGTGCATGGGCCAATCACACTCCCGCTTGCGCCCAAAATGCAAAATCGTGTTTGTCTTGTGTTTTTGTGTCTTGTCTTGTCTTGTCTTGTCTTGTCTTGTCTTGTCTGTCTTGTTGGCTGCTCCCTTGTTCAACTTTTTCATTTGTCTGCAGAGTGCTCTTCGACCAAAACAGTGTCTTGTTCATCTGTGATGTGGTTTTGACTTGTTCCCGATTGTGAAGGGCGTTGGTCCCCCTGATGCACCTTAAATGCTTCGCCCTCCCCAGTTCCAGGTCTCTTGTCTGTACGTAACAGGCCGCCATGACCGGTCTGCTCGGACTCGTGGCCACGAAGGTCGGGACGACGAGTATGCGGCAGTCGCAGTCTGTCGAGATCGACGGTCTTGTCGCCGAATTTAGCACCAGCAATCTTCTCGCCCTCTAAAGGATCCATATTTTTCTACTTTATCTTTTTAAGCCCATGAATTACCTTCTTCTGGGAATCTTACTCTCCATATCGGGGAACCTTTTGATTTCCATCTCCATCAACATCCAGAAACAGGCGCATCTGAACCTCGGATCCCAGCATTATGCCCGCAACCTGAAGTGGCAGTTCGGCTTCATCCTAATGACCCTCGGAGAAGTAGGCAACTTTGTCAGCTACGGACTCACCCCCGTGAGTATCGTGGCGCCTCTGGGAGTTGTCACCATCATCTCCAACTCCACCTTCATCGCTCCTGTGCTGTTCCACGAAACCATCCGTGCTCGAGATCTTGCCGGAACGTTTCTGAGTGCTGCCGGGGTGGTTCTCATGATTCTGGCCTCAGTCAACGATAATCAGCCCCCACCCATTACCGACTCATTCGCCTACATCGACGCCATCGTCCTATCCAAGCCATCCCTCATTTACCTCGCATCCACAGCCGCAATCATCTTTTTCCTAGTCATCGAATTACGCAACCTTCAAAGATCAATTAAATATATCCTTTTACATCTGTCCCTCGTGGCCATTTTCGGCACATACACAGCCATCTCCACCAAACTGCTTTCGCTTGTGGTGGAGTTCAACCCAATCACCAAGACGCTGCTCAATTGGCGGCCATACGTGCTTCTGGTGGTTATTACCGTCACCTCTGCGGTGCAAATTCACTACCTCAATTCGTGCTTGAAAATAGCAAACGCTACCACAGTGGTGCCCATCCACTTCGTGTTCTTCACAACTGCAGTGATGTCCTGCTCGATCGTGGTGTTCAACGATTTCGCAGATAAGTCTCCCGGCCAGTGTCTGGTTTTTGCCGGTGGTGCATTGCTCACGTTCTCAGGAGTATTTTTCATATGCGGCGGAAAGGCAACCAACGTTGATCAGGAGCAGCAGACCCCATTCGATCCCGAAACAGAGCCTCTACAGGCTCCATGCAGCTCGGAACAGTCGTCCATAGTATCTTCTGACGAGGAGCTACCAAACAACCGTCATCTAATCCAAACGTCAAAATCCACTCCCGAGCTGAACAGAGCAGCTAGCCCCGGAGTGTTCAAACCGTCATACTCTTCAAACAACGTCGCAAATAGACACAATAGCTTTTTGGAAGTCACCAGACCCACGCACACCATTGAAACGCGAAACTTTAGAGACCTCGGGTACGGCTATTTTGTGCTTAGCGGGGGCGGTGCGTTGTTAAATGCCATTATCAACGACCCGTCAGAGACAGTCGAGTCCCAAAACCTGGTGTGACTGCTCATTTCCGTGTAGTCAGCAGAGGCACGATGAATGGGTGTTTGAGTAACCGGGAAGCACTGCTACGCTTCTTGTAATCTGTTTCAAAGGTCATACTCAAGAAGTCACCACAGTCGTCTGTGATCTCGCGTGGGATGGTGGGCAGTGTCAGTGTTCCGATTCTGAAAATGGCTTGCATTTGCGAGAACCCAGGATACGGGTGTTTTCCCGTGAGCATTTCTACGATCAGGCAGCCAACCGACCAAATATCAGCCTTGTCGGTGTATGCGATCTGTTTCACAACTTCAGGAGCCATCCAATAGACCGATCCCTGCAAGGAAGCGCGTTTCTTCTGCTTGGACAGCTCATAGTCCTGAGTTCCTTCCTCGTCGACCTCTGTTGTCTTTTTCGAGATGCCAAAGTCGCTGATCTTGACTGTTCCGTCTATATCGATCAGAATGTTGGCACCTTTTATATCTCGATGAATAATGCCTTCTTCGTGCAGATACTGCAGACCGATGAGGACCTGTGTGATGAAGTTTCGCACAAGTGGCTCCTCGAACGGTCCGTACGTGGTGAGCATCGAGCTGACCGAGCCTCCTGGGATGTATTCCAGGAAGATGTAGATATTAGTAGCGTCTGACGAGGAGCCCAAGTACCGCACGATGTTTTCGTGGTTCATCACCTTGAGCAGGGTGAGTTCCTGTTTCAGAGCGTTGACCATGGTCATTTTCGAGGACTCTGATGATGTTGGCAGACTGACCTGTTTCACAGCCATTAATTCTCCGGTCAAGCCGTTGAGACCCAAATACACCGTGCCGAACGAGCCCTGGCCGATTTTGCTTCCCTTGTGCCAAACGGACGGCCCGTCGTGGCTGTCTAGCAGAATGCTCATCTGTTCCGAGGAGTCGAACGAGTCCTCGTCGTCCTCGTCGTCAAAGAGCTTGATTATGGTGGAGTCGCGGTTCTCTCTGGTGGAGAGAGCGATCGACATGCGTGCGCGCTGCTGGGTGTCCAGACTGTTGGCCTTTGGGTCGAGGGTCATGTTGTGCACGCCCGCGCGGATAGTGCCGTCGGTGCCGATTGGTGGCGAGCGGTCTGCCTTGATGGTGTCTGCTGCGTTTGACCGGTTGAGCATCACCTCTCCGACGGTGTGTTTCACGGGAACGGCCACGCCGTAGCTGAACACGGAGCTGGCAATGGAGGCCGGTCTGCCAGAATAGATGGACTCTCTGGTGGAGTGAATAGAGCCCATCTTGGAACTGTACATGGAGAACCTGACGCTGTTGCGCATCACGTCCCGCAGCTCAGAAGCTCCTGTTTCAGGGAAGTACTCGCCCAGGTTGGTGGAGATGAGCTGAGACGGTGGCCGCTGGCCAAGGAATCCCTTCAGAGTACCCGACTTGCTGGTCTCGTTGCTGCGGATGGACTGCGACGTGGCCAGCGCGGTTTCAGACGGCGACTCGCTCGAATGGCACAGAATAATGCGTTCCTTTTCTGGTCGTTTGGCCGAATGGCACAGTGCCGTGAACTCGGCGTCGAACATCAAATGCAGCGAGCCGTCGTTGTTCACGTAGTACGCGCGCCACTCCTCGACGTTGGCCCCGCCAATGCCCATGCTCGACAAGGCTTTCTGTTTGATCGAGGCAGAACTGAAACAGCCCGTGACACTCAGCTTGTTTGGCTGGCCGTCTGGACCAATGATGGTGACTGTGTTTCTGAACTGGTCGTCTTCCTTGGGTGTGTCCAGATTCGAGTTGTTTCTGTCGTTGCTGGTGATTGCGCGGTCCACACTTTCCAGAGTGGCTGACGAGTTGGAGATCACGTCAGCCAAATCGGTCACCTTGATCTTGGACTTGAGTCTCTCTGTGTTGAGCAAGTGGACCAGAATCTGCAGCCGGATCCGGTCGCCAACTTTGGTGATGCCGATCTCCTTCAGAGCGTTTCTGTCCAGCTGGGGGAGCAACTCCGTCTTGATCTTGTTTGAAACGAACAGATCCAAGTACTCTTCGCACTCTACCGTTTCCAAATACTGTAGCAGCTCGAACCGGTCTGTTTCCGTGAAAGCATCGGATTTCTGTGTCGGCGCATCGTCGTTGTTGGTCTGAGCAGGCGTTTCGATGTTCATCCCTTTGATGGCCTAATTTTAGTACGAAAGATTACCTTGACAATTTCTCGATTATGTCAGCCGTCTGGGTAAATGTATTTACCCGGGAGCAGTCAATGGTAAAGCCGTCGCACGACTTTGGTGAGCGCGAGCGACTGGTCGAACGTGGCGTTGGACGACGAAACGGCAATCTGTTTGTTTTGCTGCCGCAGATTGACGTAGTTCTCGACAATCTTTTCGGCAGACTCAGACCTCCCTCGGAACACCAGCAGTGTCGATGCGACGTATTTCTCGTACAGCTTGGCAATCAGCAGCAATGCCGCTCGCAATTGGCCGTTCAGCTGGTAGATGGTGGTGAGTTTGCTGATTTTCGTGTCGCGGTCGATCTTGTGGAACGTCTTTTGCAACTTGGCTATTTTGTGGCTCGCCAGCTCGATCGTGGCACTCATTTCCTCCACCATTGGGCCGAGCGAATACTCGAACTTGGACATGAGCTTGTTGACGATGTTGGACTGCGTCTTGCTTTTTTCGAGGTAGAGTTCGTACGACGACGTGATGAAGCTGTCTTTGAAAAACAGCGACCTGGGAGTCAACTGGCCCGAGGAATTGTTGTCCGGCAGATCTTTGTACAGGTGGACAAACACGGTGCCGATGTTCTCGCACGATAGCATTGTTTGCTTTTGGTATTTCAGACTCTGGTCCATTTTCTTGATTGTGTGGTTGAACGTGTGGTGGATCAGTTTGAACTCGTGCTGGAAAAACACTAGCTGCTGGTACTCGAATGGCTCTTTCATGATCTCTTTCCATTTCTGCTTGTACTTTTCCTTCCAGAGCTCGGGGATGTGGAGCAGGACTGCCGGTGCGGTGACTGGAGATGGCAGACTGCTGCGGACGTCCAGCAGCTTCTGGAATTTGGGACACGTTTCCAGCAGTTCGAGCGTGGTGAGTGTTTCCTTGAGACGGGCAATCTTCTGATACGGCACCTCGACCAGTTTCTCCACGTTGATTCCCTGCAGCGAGTCGACCCACGGCTTGTATCTGGGGTCATTTAGAATTGAGTGGCAGATGCCCATTCGTTTTGGGTGCAAAGCCATGTACGACGGGTATACCTGTATCATTCTTGTGAAATGGTCGTCGAGAGTCTGCTCAAGGGGAAATCTAGACAGCAAATTGTTGACCAACAGCTCACTAAGACTGGTCATCAGGTTCACGTTACCGAACAACGTGGTGATCTCTGTAGAGCTTAGAGGGATGCCGTGGTCGTCCACGAAAGCGGCAAACGACGAGCACACTGCATTCAACAGGTCCAGGTCCTGGATATACTGCTGTTCAAGCGAAACAATCACCTGGGCTCGGGAGTCCTCAAACGAATCCCTCACTGGCGTTGGGAAGTCTGTGAGCAGTTTTGCAGGCAACGGCGGCAACTTCTTATCCGGTGGACGAACTACCGTAATGGTCTTTCCCGTTTGGTTCAGTTCCTCGGTTTTCTTCAGCATATCTTTGATCTCCTGGCCCTCGTTCCCGCGGGACAAGAACCACAGGCTCTGCGAATAAGGGTTAACAAAGCTCCAGATCTTTTTTGGATCTTGGTTCTCTTTATCGTCGCGGTCGGAGTATACCGACGACGACGTCTTGATGGACGAGAAGCTGTCAATCATGAGTTTGCAAACAAACAGTTTCGCGTCTTTTTATCCAACTAAACTCCCTGCCCTTTTTTCAGATTTGTTTCAACACCGCCACACAGTGGCTAAATAATGGTTGGTTTTGTTTTCTCTTGTCATGTCTCTTACAAATTGGAGACAGTTCCCGTTCTTCGAGAGCGTGCCGATCCAGGACCCGAACTACGGCACGCCCAATGCGCTGTACTCGGACTTAGGCGTGAGTGCGATTTCCGCCACGCCGGACCTGCTTGTGCTCGCCACGGCTCAAGGCTCGGTCAGGCTCGTGAACAAGCTGTTTGAACCCGTGTTCGAGTTCCAGGCATACGAGCTCGGCTGGGACATCACCCGGGTCCTGTTTGTGCCGTTCCAGGGTATCGACGGCCACAATGGGTTTCTGTGCACAATCGCCGAGAAACAGGGCCAGCCCGTCACTTTGAAGCTGTGGGACCTGGCCAAGATCCAGACCTTGCGCAAACTCGACTACAACACCGATTACCACTCCCTGTGCCAGGTAACTAACGGAACAAACGATTTCCCACTCACGTGTTTCGACTCCACCCCAGCCTTCTCCGTGCTAGTGTTTGGGTTTGCCAACGGAACAGTCATTGTGGTGCGGGGCGATCTGCTCCACGACCGCGGATCGCGGCAGCGCGTGGTGTACGAGTCCAAAGACCCGATCACAGGAGTCCATTTCCGCGACGACTCGATGCTGTACGTGTCGAACGTTTCCACGATATTCACCATCCCAACCACCGGCCGCAACCAGGGTCGTCCCGACCGCGTGCTGGACGACTCAATGGGCGTCGATATCAACTGCAGTGCCGTGGTGCATGACCAGAAACGCAACTTGGTGGTCGCCAGAGACCAGAGTCTCCAGTTCTACAACTTACGGGGCAAAACTCACAACTTGTTGCTGGACATTCCTAAACGTCGCATCTTCACCTACAAGGACCGGTACGTTGTCATTGTGAGCAGTGTGAGCTCGAGCTTGACGGCTGCGTCGTCAATTGTCACCAATAAGCTGATTGTCGTCGACGTGGTGAACAAGTTCATCGCCTTGAACCAGACAATCACAAACACAGTGGTGGAGATCTTCGTTCTCTGGGACAGTCTCTACGTATTCAACTCGGACGGATTGCTTTTCCAGCTCAAAGAGAAAGATCTGGCCGAAAAACTGGACTTGCTCGTGCAACGCGAACTGTTCAACATTGCCATTAAACTCGCCGAGGACGAAAACTACAGCGCCGAGCAACTTCTTAAGATCCGCAAACAGTACGGAGACTACTTATACGACAAGGGAGAGCTTGAAGAGGCAACTAAACAGTACATGGACAGCATAGATCTCGGGAAAACAAGCGAGATCATCCAAAAATACAAAGAGAGTTTCAAAATACCGTTTCTGGCTGAGTACCTCGAGAAACTCGTCAGCACTGGGAAGTCGTCGATCGACCACACCACTCTGCTTCTCTGCTGCTACTGCAAGCTGAAGAAACCAGAAAAAATCCAGGAGTACTACGAGTCAGTCCCAATAGACGAGGACTACCAGGTCATTGAGAAACACAGAGAGTTCGACATGCAAACTATCATCAGTGTTTGTCGCGAGAGCGGGTACTCTGTTCTTGCGGCCAACATTGCAAAAAAGTTCAATGTTCCGTCGATCGTGGTGGATATCCAGCTGCATGACATGAAGAACTCAGAGCTCACCATGAAGTACATTCGCACACTACCAATAGACGATCTGTTACGCGTTCTGATCGACAATGTGAAATGGTTTTTGGACTCGGTGCCCAACGAGTGCACCTTGCTTTTGATCGATGTCTTCACGGGAAGATATAGTCCAGAGCCTGCATTTGACCTGGAGGAGCTCTCTGCTGCTCCCAAATCCAACGTCAGTCACCCAATTCTAACTTCGTACAGACAGTTTGTCTCGTTCATGAACCTCGCGGACACAGAGGAGCTTCCAGACACACAGCCAACGTACCTGCCACCGCGTCCGCGGATCATCTTCCAGTCGTTTGTCAACCATCCGAACGAGTTTGTCATTTTCCTAGAAGCGTGCATCGAGAGCTACGACAAGTTTGGCGGCAACGAAAAGGACAAAAAGGACATCATGATTACGCTGTACGAGATGTATCTGACAATGTCCACCACTAAGGACAAAGCAGAGACCGCATTATGGCAGGGAAAGGCCAAAGCTTTACTTGAAACAATCCAAAAGAGCCAGTGGGATTTACAAGACCAGACAGACCTGCTTCTGCTGTCGAATCTCGGCGAGTTCAACGAAGCAGAAATTATCATCAGAGAAACAGCAGACGACTCTGCTCAAGGTTTCGAACTGGACATGTTCAGGTCTTCAATACTGGCGCAAAATTATGATAAATCATTAGAAATCATTGAGAAATACGGTAGCAAGGAGCCAGACTTATATAAATTGGCGCTTTCCGTTTACACGTCGTCAGAAAAAGTGTTCAACCAGATCGGGGAAGAGAAAGTGGCCAGTTTGATAATGAAGATTGACTCGCTTAAACTTATGACCCCGTTGGAGCTGGTGAAACTTCTCAGCAAGACTTCCTTTGTCAAGCTCGGCTTGATCAAAGGATATTTAGTTGAGCACATTGGTCGCCAGAAACAGGAGATTGCCAAGAACGAGAAGTTGATCCAGTCGTATCAGCAGGAGGCCGCGACAATTTCCGACGAGCTGGCGAAACAGAACTCAGAGCCGCAGGTCATCAACCGGTCGAAATGCTCATCGTGTGGACGCTCTCTTTCGTTCCCGATTGTTCACTTCAGATGCTCCCACTCGTACCACGAAAGCTGTTTGGCAAACGAATTCACGCAGTCCTCTTCGGCCGAACAGTCGTGCCCCAAGTGTGCCGGTGAGCTCGACACCCTGGCCATCCTGACTAAGCAACACGAAGAGGCCGGAAAGCGCAACGACTTGTTCAAGGCCAGTCTGGTGGACAGCAGCGATAGATTCAAAGTCATGATGAGCTTCTTTGGTCGCGGTGCTATGCAGCAGACCAAAACCATTTGGCAGGATAAATAATGTGTAATTCTAGTTTGGATGCTCGTTGTAGACGCTGTTGCACCTGGCAAGAATGTCTTTGGTCTTCATATCGGCGGGACAGTTCTTGAACCCGGCCTGTTCATAAACATGGAGGATTTCCTTCGGAACAATGCTGAACTCGTCCTGTGCCTCGATCAACGTGTTGATCACCTCAATGGCCAAGAAGTGATTCTCTCCCTGTGGAACCAGGTCTGACGAGCTGGCAGGGATGTCTTTCAAATCGGCCTTTGGTCTCGAGTACAGAATGTTTGGCGTGAGCACCGTGGCAAGGTTGTGGATATCCATCTTGGACCCGTTCTCTTCATCGATCAAACAGAACGACGCAACCCAGTTGAAGAACGAAAATAGCACCTCTGCAAGATCTCTGTGCACCTTTGGCAGCATGCAATACGCAAGTTTCAGAATCTGGTCCCGTTTGGCCACATCGTCCGCAAACTTGTGAGACAGAATGAACAAATCGTACAGCTTGAAAGTGAGCAAGGGATCAGGCATCTCTCTTGTGAATCGTTTTAGCAAAGCAGCCAATTGGATCGGCGTCTCTTTGCTCAAATCAGGCACTTGCTGAGGATTGTTGTCGATCTCCTCTGTCAGCTGTCTCAAACGCTTAATGTTACCATTGATACGGAAAACTCCTTCAACAGATAAATCCATGGTGTGCATCACGTTGATGATCTCGTCCACAAACATTGGGATTCTAAGCTTTTTAGGGCCCAGTCCCAAATCACTCTCAACACCATACTTCTCCACCAGATCCTCAAGAGGCGACCCAAACACTTTTCCATGAGACTTTTTGTTACTGCCAGAGTTTCCAAACATTTTCTCCCAGAACGAGGCATTCTTCTTGACTGAAATGAAAGAAAGACAGTCTTCCAGTGACAACGTGTTTCCCATCATTCTGTGCAAAGAAAACGCAGCAATATGTTGCAAGAATTCGTTGTCTTTCTTGGAAAACTCTGAATATCTAACAGCCGCCGGCCTGGTCGAGGTGTTCGCACGATCAACAGGCCGAGGCTTGCCGTTGGAGTTCGGAGACGCTCTGTATTGAGGAACTGGCGACGAAGGGGCTCCTGAACTGGTTTTGTTATTAAGTGGTGCTGGCACCTGAATCGAATCTGTGCCCTTTGTTTTCACTTCCTTAGGAGCAGGAATGGTGGAGTTTGCAGGAGTGTACGCTCTTTTCTGGAACTTGAACGCATTAGGACGGTGTTCTCTGGCTTGCTCCGAAGAAACAATCCGGGGAATATCGTCCAATGTGAGACCTTTCTCGTTTTTCAGAAGATTCGAAGTAACATCCAGGTTGGTGGCATGTGGCTTGGAGTTCATTGGAACGTCCTCGATTCTGAGTCTCTTGGACCCCTTACGGCCCAAAGATTTCTCCTTCCTTAGGAATTTAGATGCAGAAGAAGATGATGAGTACATTCTCATCGACTCTGGATCCACCTCCTCCATTCCCGCAGAAGAAGCTTCAGGAGCTTCCACTATGATCGACTTGCGTGCCTCGGCAGAGGCCACACCAATCCGCTGGTTTTGTCGCTTCGAACGCATTCTCTTGATGTCCGACACGTGCTGGTCATACGAATCAGAAGACACAAGCGTCTGCGATGGAGTTTTCGTGATGATACCGCGTTTCAGCATAGCATGACGAGATCTGATTAACGCGATCTTCAAAAGATAAATCAATTGCATATAACGTGACACTCTTCTGAAACCCGGCTGGGCATCGACGTCCTCTGCTGAGCAGCTGGCGCAAAGAATCTTTTCTGTATGAACGTTAAAAGTCACCTCGCTTAAATTTGTTTGAGATCCAAGGTGTTTGGAACAGTTAGAACAGTCAAAACAGTCCAGATGCCATCTGTGGTCACCAAACCTATAACAATCTTCCTCGATGCTCTTTTGACACCGGAAGCATAGATCTTTGGCGTTTGGAGGGACACCCAAAACGGAGAACACATCCTGCGGAATTGAATCGTGACTTGAAAGCTCACGGAGATATCTATCTGTGGCAATGGTGGAGTGGTTGACTTTGTTGTATTCAAGAGCATGCAAAAGGGTGTTTCTGGATATCAGTTTGATGTAATGAGCCAGAGTGGAAATTAAGGATAGCAGCTGCTGAGTGTGAGAACTCGACAGTAATTTTGATCTGTCGGTGTCGCGGAGGAACGTCAGATACGACATTATTTTGGACGACATGCTGCGGGGCTCTTTGCTGAGTGGAGAGAGCTTGTGGTTAGTAGAGTAGTCGATGTGGATCCGGGAAGCCTCTGCACAGTCGTGGAGAATATCGATTCCGCGGAATAGGTACTCTACTTTCAGGACGAGCTGGCCGGTCACCAGGAGGCCACCGAGTTGGTTCCCCGTAGAGGCACAGTGCAACATGTCCGAGATGCACGAGGCACAGCCTTCCTCAAACTCAGAAAGGGTAACCCATATGGACATTGTCATGCGCTCTAATTTTTTCTCCACATCAAATAGTTGATCTGGACTTAACGAGCTTTTAGATTCAGGGTCGGCTAGCGACTTGAGGCCTCCGTGATTGAGGCCGATGCACTCGACAGTCACGTCAACTCCCCAGAATTTGTGGACCATGAAACATTCGGGGTGCCATTGCTGGTCTCTTCCTCCCCTGTAAAGATCAACATATTGTTTTAGTATGGCAGATTTGCACGCCTCGCACTGCGCAGCATAAAGAATGGAATAGTGGTAATGACAGTAAATTTTGTTTTGATGTTCGTAGTAATCTTCGGAGTCAAACACCTTGTGGCAGACCTCGCAGAAGAAGTGCTCGGGGTGGAACTTCTGGCCCACGGCTGTGATATACGAGCCTCGAATGGCTTTGTCGCAGGTGGAACATATGAGATCGATACGCTTGAAGTAATCGTACTCGCACAACGGGACTTGGACGGTCTGGTTGTTGATCTCGACATCGGCCGCAAAGAACTTGTTCGAGCACTGGTTCCCGCAATCATAGCAGCGGAAACATTCCACATGGTAGATCCGGTCCATGGCTCGGACCAACGTGCCTATAATAACCTTCCCGCACTCGTGACATATTTTGGGAGGCTTTTTTGACACTATGGCATCGGAAGAACTGTTTTTGCGGGACGTAGTTGACGAAGGAGGCGTAGAAGCGAGTCTGGGGCCAATATCTATTTTGTTCAGCCCCGCGACCAAAGTGGTGTCATAAGACCCCGCGCCGTTGACTGGACGAGACATTTGCGCGTGTAATAGTAATAGACAAGCAGCACTTGCGTGGATCCGATGTACAAGCTGCTGGCGTTCGTGCTTGTGTTGCCGCTCTTTGTAGTGGTTTCACTTGTTTATTTTTATTTTTCGACGTCCTTTAAACATTCCGCGTCGAAAGTCCCGTCGAAAAATCAAAGCGCCTATTGTTGGGTCAAAGGCAGAGCATTGTAAAAATTGGCCGTGACGTAGCGCCTGAAAAAGTTTGCACGCACGAAGATCTTGACTGTTGCCAGAATTGGAAACCCAGCGGTTTAACTTAGGTAAGCTGCCAGGGACTGAAAATTTTAATTTTTAGGGTTTCTGGGAATCACCGACACCCATGCACCGGACGGAAAAAACTTCCCTTTTTTGTAATCTACAATTTTGTAGTTGATAATAGGTGTTTGGGTTACTTCTCCCATGAGCGAGCTCACGAAGAAGAAGCGGCAGTACTCGCGTAACGGCTGTAAGGAATGCAAGCGACGGAAGCTCAAATGCGACGAAGGCAAGCCCAAATGTTGGAATTGTGCCCGTTTGAACAAATCGTGTAACTATGAGCGGACGATCAAGTTCACAAACGCCAGAACTTTCACCATAGAGACGCAAAACACAAAGCTGGTCAATCTTCCGGACTCTGCTAGTGATGTGGATCACACCAATAAGCTTAAAAATGCCAAAGAGCAACCGGTCGCTGCTAAATCGGAGCCAGCAGTTTCGTCACTGACTTTTCTACAGCCGCCCTCCATGGTTCAAAATCCACCTTTGGCAGCCGAACTGCTGGAGTTGCCAAAGATTGTGACTCCTGAACCAGACCTCCAGGCAAAATCAAATGCTGCTTTTGAGCTCGAGATGCGGAGACAGCTATCTTTTGATCCGCCTACACCCTTGCACCAGTCCAAAGAGCTCGATAACAACCTATTTACGGGGGCCAGCCATTTGATCTCCGATTTGAACGATCTTATTCAGAGTTTCGACACAGACTTTGACTACTTTCCAGACCATTCAAGGGCCAACTCAAACAGCGTTCGTGCGGTGTCGGAGACGTCGAGCGAGCCGGCAAACAGTCCGTCGTATGACTTTTATATTAGACGGTTGACCAATACGTTGGAGACGAAATACAACAACGAAAGTTCTCCAAAATCTGTTTCTAGCACCAGTCAAAACTTGTCAGCATTCCCGCCTCCGCCAATGTCTACGATGATTGCCAATTTGTCCGAGCGGCCAGATTTTGTCACGGGACTTAATGCCTCGATCAAGTCTCAGGACTTGAACGATCTTGCTACCTTTTTCCATTGGGACATTAACTCGCCGCATTTTGGGTATCTGAATGTTCTAATCACGAAAATACACTTGAACGTGCTGCCTTTGACTACCAACTTGCTACACAACTCGTTCATCAAGTGCTTTTTGCTGGAAGCCAAATCGTCGCCTCATTTATTATATGCTCTACTTGCTATTTCTGCACGGTACGAGAGTTACCAGGCGCGGCCAAAAATAGGCACGCCGCCTTCTGAGCATGACGACCCGCACAAGCGACTCCGTGCGGGCTACCTGTCTTCGTGTCTCAAGTCGCTGGATAGCATACTGCACTCCAAGCCGAAAATTCTTAATAACATTCAGTCGCTTCTGCTCACCATTTTAATTCTGGCCTCTGACTACTCGGCGTCAACCGGGTCCCAATGGCGTGCACATCTCCGTGGAGCCAAGGACCTTCTGATCAAGTATTGCAAATACATGGCGATTTCGCTGGACCTGGGTATCGTCTGGATCTGGTTCTATTCGATGGAAACGTTGGCAGCTCTGACCTCGTCCTCGGGCGGAACGATCCACAACTTCCCTGAACTGATCGAGTTCCTGGACGTGGTCAAAAGCACAAGCCCTGTTGGAGTCACGTTGCAGCGGTTTGGGTTCTACACCGCAGGAAACTATCATGTTCCTGCCCCCGTCCATTCCACGTTTAATTTGTATCTGGGATTCAATGACGACGTGCAGGAACTTTTCAAAGAGATCGTGCTGACTTTGGAGGCTCGGCGCGTGTTTGTGAAGAAAAAGGCAGTGGAATTCGCTGTACAGCATATTCTGAACGAAGACGGTCAAGTGAAAAACTCCCAGGTTCTGAAAATGATTGGACTAGTGGAAAAAGCACGTCTGTTCAAGTGTCTAGCGGATGGTCCACCGTACAGAATCTCCATCGACTCTCCAAACCACCCGCTCAACCCAACAGGCATCCACGCCAACAACCCAGACGGACGGGGAATCGTCATGTCCGGCTACATTCATAATACGAATCCGCAAACCACAAACTCAGACGATACACAGAACTGGTACAGCTGGTTCGATCTCAGCCAGCAGTTGTACACCGACGCGTCGTATCTGAAAATTCTCACCATGAAGCACTGTTTCGGAAGCAAGGGACTGGCTATCACCAACGAGCTGGTCCAGGACGTGGTGAACAGGATGCTTCTCGGATTGGAGCCGTTGGTCAGCTACAAACAAAGTCTCACGGAGCAAGACATTGAAGAGTTGGCTCTTCATTACTCCAAGCTGTCTGAGTCGTCCGATTCTTCCAAAAACGTCGACTTCGACCACTACCTATACTACCAGTTTGATCATCGGTTGATCATGGTCCAATGGCCCCTATTCGTTTGCGGTCTATGTAGCGTGCTACCAAAGCAGAAACTGCTAATTGAAAGCTGTTTCAAAGCGTTGATGGACTTGGGGATTGGCTCGGGCGAAATCTCCTTGATGAAGCTGAAAAAACTATGGAGCTTGCAAACAGAAGGCTTTGACTATGAGAATTACGACATTTTCAGCGACGAAAATGATTCGGTTCCCTTCGTGTAATATAGTAAAATATAATTCATTCCTCTTGCTCGTTTGTTCGCGCCTGGTCCTTGTCGTTCATCTTTTGTCTTTCGCTCTCCAAATACTCGTCGTACTCGGACTCCTTGTTGAGTTTGTCCAAAATGGCCTGTTCCTCGTCCGTGGACATGTTCTGGATATCGGGCGGGATCTCGTTCATGGCCACCGACGGAGCACCCCGCAAAAATCGCAGGTGTTCCAGCAGTTGGTTCCGGAGATTCTCCAGATACCGCTTGGAGTTCTTGTTGTCTAGGCGATCACCCAAGTTTGGATGCAAAGAGTAGTCTGGCTGGAAAAAATTGCGGAACGGCAGCGTCTCCGGTAGTTTGGAGTTCAGCTTCACGTTGGTCATGATACTTGTCTCGTAACACCACAACCGACTCACGTTTCTCGGCGTATATCCTCCGCCCCCCAGAACGAGCATAGGGAGTCCAAAACTCTTGATGAACTTGACGCACTCTCCATGGGCTGCAATGTTAAGGTTGAAACAGCCCAGTCTGTCGTATCCCAGCGAATCTGCTCCACACTGCTGAACAATCGCGGTCGGTTTGTAATTAGTAATCACAGGCTCCATCACAGACTTGAACAAACGGATATATGACTCGTCGTCAATACCGTCCTGTAATGGAATGTTAAGCGCAAAGTGTTTTCCCTTTCCGAGTCCGACCTCGTCGTGGTTTCCCGTTCCAGGGAAAAATTCACCGTTGTATTTGTGGAAAGATACTGTCATCACTCTGTCTGTTAGGTAGAATGCCTCCTGGACACCGTCTCCGTGGTGAAGATCGATATCAATGTACAAAACACGAGGGTGAACGGTCAACATGTTCAATATCGCAAGAACAATATCATTCACGTAACAGAACCCGCTCGGCTCGTATTTTTTGGCGTGGTGCAAGCCACCCGACCAATTAATTGCAATATCGCTCATTCCAGATATAAGCTTGCGCGAGGCATCCAACGAAGCCCCGGCGTATATCTGACTGTAATCGTACATGCCCTCAAAAACGGGACAATCGTCTCCGATGTTGAACTGTTTGAGGTACTGACTATATTTTTTGACGTTATCTGGAGTCACCGACTCGAGGAATTTGATGTAATCGTCCGAATGGAACTCCAAAAGCTCTTCTCGCGACGCTCTATGCGAGTGATACACGTCCATTTTCTCGTACAATTTGTAAGCTAGCACAAGATGATCTGTCAACATTAACCGGAACGGTTTCATTGGGTGTCGCACTCCGTAATGATATTGTGACACATCAGGATTGAAATGATATGACACGTTCGGGTTATATCCGCCATCCTGGAACGTATTTACGATCGGCTCGTAAAATGGCGTCTTCTGATTGGCCTTGTAATCCAAAGATATCGTGCTATCTTCGTCCAGCCATCTATACGACATAACAAAGGGAAAATAATTTTAAAAGAAAAAAAAAAGTTCAACACTCTAATTTGAGGTCGATCGTCGTTACAAATGAGCTCTCCTGTTGTTGTTTCAATTAACGATATTTCCCAGGAAAACCTGGTCGACGCTTTCGGCGAAAACTCTTTGGGCATTCTCGTTGTGAAGGACTTGCCACAGGAGTACCAGAAACTGCGGAAGACCGTGCTGACTCAGGCTTCTTATCTCGCTAATTTGGAGGAAAAATACCTAAAAGAGTTGGAATGCCCAGATGGGTTTTATTTAACCGGATGGTCGCTCGGAAAAGAAACGTTGGCTAACGGAGTTCTGGATAAATTGAAAGGGTCTTTCTACATCAACTGTTCGTTCTTCAAAGACCCGACTTTGGAAGGACCTCCAGTCGAAGATTGTAAAGGTTATGAAAATTATAAGGCATACACCACTTGGAATAAATGGCCCAAAGAAGACCAGGAAAACTTGAAGAACTTTCAGAATAACTGCAAAGCGCTCATCACGCTGATGATCGAGGTCAGTTTGAAAATATGCGCCAAAATCGACCTCTACTGCGAGAAACACCTCAAGAACTACGAGTCCGGCTACCTGGAGTCAGTCATCAAGGAAAGCACCACTTCCAAGGCCAGATTGCTGCATTATCTACCCAGCTCTGCTCCGTCCAACTCAGACTGGTGTGGACTGCACTGCGACCACTCCTGTATCACTGCTCTCACCTCGGCTCTATTCTTCGACGGTGACAAAGAGCTGAGCTCCAGTCCAGATCCAAACGCCGGACTGTACATCCAGGACCGTCAGGGAAAGGTGGTCAAAGTGAACATCCCACCGGACTGTCTGGCGTTCCAAAGCGGCTCTGCGCTTGAAGAAGTGTCTGGCCACCAATTTAAGGCCGTTCCCCACTACGTCCAAGGCACACAACTTCCAGGAATCTCCAGAAACACGCTGGCGGTTTTCCTACAGCCCTCCTTGCATGCCCAGGTCAACCAGACCGAAACGTTTGCCGAATTCGCAGACCGTATCCTCAAAGAGAACCACCGTTGAGCGGTGCTATTTATTTCTTGCAAATTACATAAGCTATTACCTGATCGCGTAACCACCCGACATAATTCCAAGCAGTGGCAAAAAAATACTACTAAAAACCAATCAATCATGTCTGGTAAGTAGACCCAATTCGCGCGCACTAACCTCAGGCTCTGCGGGATTTGATCGCCACATCACTGTTTTTTCGCCAGAAGGCCGTTTATACCAGGTCGAGTACGCCTTCAAGGCTGTGAACTCGGCCAACATCACAAGCATTGGTGTTGTTGGCGAGGACTCCTCGGTTGTTGTTTCGCAAAAGAAGATCCCTGATAAATTGCTGGATCCGTCCACCATTAGTTACATCTTCCAGGTGTCGGAGTCGATCGGAATGCTGGCCACCGGGTCGATTGCCGATGCTCGGTCGCTCGCCATGAGGGCCAGAGCAGAGGCTGCTGAGTTCAAATACAAATATGGTTACGAGATGCCGATCGACGCTCTGGCCAAGAGAATGGCCAACCTTGCACAGCTGTACACACAAAAAGCATACATGAGACCGATGGGTGTTTCGTTAACGTTTATTTCTGTGGACGACGAGCTGGGACCCAGCGTTTTCAAGACTGATCCAGCCGGCTACTTCTTCCGTGCGGTTGCTGTTTCCACCGGCCCTAAACAGCAGGAGGTGACGACAGCTCTGGAACGTGCTCACAAGAAGAAGAAGGATGGCGTTTTGGTGAAAGGAGATTGGACCAAAGTGGTGGAGTTTGCAATTGTGACGTTGAGCAACTCCTTGAGCACCGAGTTTAGAAAAAACGACCTCGAGATCGGCATCGCCACGTCCTCTGGATTCAGAACACTGAGCGCAGACGAAATTGACGAGAGATTAATAGCCATTGCTGAGCAAGATTGATGTATTGTCTATCTAAAACACGTACGGAATGAACACGTACGGACATTCCTTGACATACTTATCCCAGTCGGCTTTATACTTCTTCTTGCACTTGGCGATGTCTCTATGGGCTCTATGAGCAAGCACAATGAAGAAAAAGACCGGGAAGAACCACGGGAAGAACGAGCCAAAGCCGCAGATCAGTCCCCACGAGCACGATTGCAACCAGTCGGCCGTGTAGTGAAGTTTTCTGGCGTACTTGTACCATCCGTCTGTAAGCAGCACAGATCCGTTTGCACACTTGATGTATCTTGGGTTCTTGAGCACCTGGTAAGGCAGGAACGGGAACGACTTACGGATCTGGGTGTCGCCGGCCATGATCTTGCGGAACGAGTTCTTTTGGCCATTGCAAGTGTCAAAGAAGTAGTATGCCACTAATAGAAGAGCAAAACAGAACACGTTGTAGCCCGTAGACCAGTTATACTCCTCTGGGTTGTGGTAATACAGATACAAGGTTCCGTGGCAGTAGGTGTATGGAACACCGGCAATGTTCCAGAAGATGAGCATGAATCCAAACTTCTCGTATGCCATGTCCCAGGTTGGAACAATAAGCTCTTCACCCTTGGAGCATGCGTTGGCGTACAGATAGTGTGCCAAGAGCATGAACCAGGCCTGGGTGGAGATCTGGCCGTATTCCTCGTACTGTTTAAGGCACAAGCCATAGGAGAGGAAGAACAGCGTGTACCAAGGGAGTCTGACCTCGAAGAACATCTTGAGGTCGATGATTCCAATTCTTGGGTTGAGTGGAGCCCCCATGAAAACGTCGTAGATAGGGTTACCGGTCATTCTGAGATAATCCTTGGAGACGTAGAGAGTGTAGAGGTACAACAGAATGGAGAACGAGATACCCGAGAAGATGGCGCAGGTCATGATCTCACCAAAGTTGTCAACGATGTAGTAGATCTTGAAGATGTTGAGGTAGTGCAGCACAGACACCACGATGAAGTTGACGTAGAAGGTGATGTAAGCGTTGCAAAAGTATGGCAGCTGCTCACCATTTCTGTGCGCAAGCGGCTGGCCTTTTGTCCAGATGCCGGGCAAAGTGACGTAGAAGACGGCTTGGAGGAAGATGTAAGAGAAGAACACAAACATGGAGAAGAAGGAAGGGTTTGCGTCGGATTTGACGTAGCCAACCAGGAGTTCAAGGAACTGCGACCACGATTGGTCCTGGGTGGGCCACGCTGGAGACCCATGGTAGAATCTAGCCGAGATCCACATGTAGTACATCAGGGCAGGGAAACCGGTCATCATTCCCAGGGCACCAAGAGGGCCACCGAACTCCCACTCGATCTCATCTTTGGGGATGTACTTGGGGATTGCCGGCTGCTGTTGAGGAGCCGGCTCTGTTGCCTGGTACGACGTTTTCTTTGTTGCGGTGGACGTTTTATTAGCCATACGAGCTGAACGAGAGAAAAGAAAAATAAATAAACTATCTGGAAAAAGTTGGAATTGCTCCAGATAAATTTAGTTCCGGAACGGAACGAACGCAGCAACATGCAAGTTTCGTATTTTTTACGAGAGGTCGTCTGATATGCTTGCATTTGTTGTACTGATATACATTTCTGGCTATTCCAGCTAAAATACAAAGAAATATGCATCACAATGAGTAGCTGTTCCTGTCGAACGAAGCACCGTTCAAGGACGAGCCGCCGCGAGAGGCCAGCTTGGACAAGATCCGGCGCCCGTGCGGGGTGTTTCTCACGTCCCCCAGGTACGGCTTGAGCAGCTCGCTGAGGTCTTTGAAACTGGTGTCGTCAGCAACGTCCAAAGCTGTCTGAAGCACGTAGTTTCCGTAAGCGTCGTGTAGCAGGAGTTTGAGGTTTGACGTTTCCTTGAGCAGCTGGGAAATCAGCAGCGGCGCCAGCGTCGGGATCCGCAGACTCTTCTCGATCACGTTGGACCCGAACTTGTGCGTCGACAATTTGATCAGGTTCGATGTGAGCGAGTTGACCACCAGTTCGATGGCCGGAACAGTGTTGGGCAGCTTGGAGCCGGAAAACATATCGTTTGCAACCCGCAGCCGGTTCTCCTCCATGCTCAACACGTACTGCACCACGTAGTTCCCGTATGGATCCGTGCTGAGCTCGACACAATGACGGCCCACCTGCAACGCGAGCCTCTCACATTGTTCCGACGTTCCGTGGTCAAAACACCGTTGCAGAACACAGCATCCGTGTCTATGTTTGGCGATCTTGACGCAGTTGTCGCACGCAGCATCAAAGATGAAGTCGCACGAGGCGGGAGGCAGTTTCTGTAGACATTTCTGTACAACATGGTTGCCGTTCAGGTCTCTACTCAACAGCACCACGTAAGAAGAAAGAGCTTGCACAATCACGTCGCATTCCACCTGTGTCTTGGTACACTCCACCAGCTTTTGTAGGGCCCTTGTGCCGTGTGCATCCAACGCAATCCGGACGAACTGCGCCGACGCATTTTTGAAAAGCGTGGTGCGCTGCTCGTCGTTGACTTTCTCCAACAACTTTTGGATCAAATAGTTGCCGAACGGGTCCACCATCAGCTCAATGACATTCAGTTGGATCTCGTTGAAGATCTTGGTGGCCGCTTCCGAGCCGCCAATCTCCAGTTGCCGTTGAAGGAACCGACATCCGTGTTGATCTTTGCACAGGAAATAAATGTCGTTGACAAAATCGTCCAAAGAGGCATTCAAAAACCTCGAAGCGTCCTCGCCCCGACGCTTGTTCGACGAGTGCTTTCTATGGACATTTGCAGTGGCAGACATCGACAATTGAGGACGGGGACTGTCGCTTTGTGCCGGCTTGGAGTAACCGTTGTAATTGGACTTGTATGAATTTCTGCTGTTCATCGGAACAGACATCTGTTGGTTGTACCCAGAAACGAGGTTTGAGCCCGGAAACGACGACCCGTTAGAGGAGGTGCTCACTCCCATGCCAATAGAGCCTCCGGCAACGGTGCCGGCCAACATCTCGTTGGTGAGTGCCGGATGCAGAGCAGAAATGGAGGTGTCCTGGGACGGAGAGGCGAGCGGGTAGGTGAGCCGACGGCTTTGGTCGCCCATTTGGGGGCCCATCTGACTGCCGATAGGCGGACCGAACGATGACGTGGAAGAGGCCCGCGAGAGCGGGTCAAACAGCTCGTCCTTGTCCTTTCCTAGTGGTGCAGGGGTGTTCTCAGGGAGAACGAACTGGCCCACAGAAGAGGACTGGAAGTTGAGTCCCGAGCCCGGGTTGGAGAACGGGGTGCCGTGGGGGCCCGCGAACCCGGAAATCGGGGACGGCATCTGGGGGGTCATGGACAGGAACTGGTGGCCGAATTGGGAGTGCTGGGTGTTGGGTGTGGACGCGAGGTCGGGTAACACGTGAGACTGGAATGAGGCCAACTTGGAGGAGTTGGACCAGGTTGGCGTCCGAGGCTGAGTGGCAGAGAAGGACTGCTGATTCGGCAGCAGCAGAGTGGAGGTTGACGAGCTGGAGGAGAGTTTGGAGCTCGGATCCGGCGGCGTTGAAGGGATATGGGTCTTGACCTGCTGTGCCAGCGGAGAGAATTGGGCAGAGAAGATGGACGAGTTAGCGTGGCGCGCATCGAGATGGTCCAGGTGGTCCAGGTGGTCGAGTCTGTCTGGCGATTCATCCAAATCCAGATTGAGTCTATTCAGGACATGACTAATGTCATCCAGTCCTGCGGGCTCTGTGGTGCTCTTTTTCGCAAAAGAAAGATCATTCATGGGAGGGGTCGTGGTGGTGGTGACGTCCTGGGTCGTCGTCTCCTCGAGAGACGAGAGGGTAGTCTGGTCTGCCATTATTCGGGAAGCAGCACAGGTGTAAAAAATTTCGCCACTAGTATTGTAACACAACAAATGCCAATGTCGCACACAATTGATGCAAACACAATGCTAATAGACCGTTGCTAAAGTACAAAAGCCAAGTTTCGGTTCAGAGCCACCAGGAAAGCGGGATCTGGCCAACAAACAAAATGCACAGGAATTTGATGCAACACTTGCTAACCTATCAAGGGGAAACAATATGAGCCGGAGCAGAGTTCAGAAGTATCGGGAAATCAACCAACAACGTTGATATGGCAATAATCTGAGCTTGTCTAAAGTTTCAAACAGGTAATGCTGTATTCTTTTCTCTTTGACGCTTTGGCAGAGTGGAAAAAAAAAGAAACCCGACAGGCCGGGTCAAAAATTTTTTTTTGCAGGGGCGGTCTCCCAGGCCACCGGGCAAAATTCTCCGCAGCCACCGCGCAACAGGCTGTGCGAATATTATTTGTCACAAGTTTGGTTGCGCACCCCTGTACGATAATTTCTGCGTTTATTTGGGGGACCAACTTTTTTTACCACCTGGGTTCTACATCTACACGGCCAGACATGGCCCATTTACTCGTTTCTAACCTCGCAATGCCCGCCCCAATTTGTCTAACTTTTCTCATCGAGCTCCTGGTTACGTAAGCTATGTGGTAACCACTTTAGTGGAAAAAAAAATATTTATTTTTTGGACCCGAAAAATCAACAACTCCAGATCAATTTCGTAATCCGTCAATTTTCCTTTTTCGGATACGTGATGGAAACCTGAAACAAAGGAAAAAAAAAACAAATGTACCGGGTGCGAGGTGTGTATGTGTAAATTGTAAACCTATCTAGAAATGCGCCTTGAGCTCGGATTTGACCAGCAAGGGAACGTACTCGATCGCCTCATCTATTACGTCAGCCTCGGTGAGTCCGAATCCCAGAACATTGACGATTTTCTGTCCGCGGGGGCCGATCGTGAGGAATATCTTGCCGCATTGGTTTTCCATGCATTGTTTAAAGATCACCTCGGAACTGAGCACTTTGCAGGCGGCCACGATGTGGGGGTAGTACGTGGAGGCTCTATAGAGCAATGTCAGTGTGTCAGAGTCGCGAGGGTGGATGTAGAAGTCGTTATATTGGTGGGGGCCTGAGAGAACTGCCAATTGCGGGTTCCCAACCACAGGAGTTAGCTTTGTGTGTTGATTTAGTGCCGTTTTATGGGTAACTGCATAGTCTAATGCCGAGTTTAAGTGGAGCAGGACCGACTGGACCCTCACGCATCCCATACTTTCCCCCACACTGCAATTGACAAAACTTGTTGCTGTGGGGAACATCGAACAGTAGTGCTCGAGCGATGACACCTGGGAGGGCAACACAAAGTGCTTAAATTGCGGTCCCAGGCTGGTGAGAAACTGGTACATGTCGACGAGCATTTGACGGGGGTTTATGAGGATCGATTGCGAGGACGAGGCGGTGCCGATCTCGGACTGCTGAAGCCGATCCACCACAGCCAAAGTGCCGGGGTTGGGAGCGAGCCGTTGGAATGTGTGTAGGGTGTTTTGTTGCTGTGTCTTGTGTGCCGGGTGTTGCACTATATGGGCGATGTTCTCGTTGGACACCACGTCCTGGAGGGTTTCTGTGGACACCAGCACCACGTAGCGGCCACACGTCTCGGCCAAGTGCTTGGCTATGCAGACCGACACAAAACTTAAGCCAATAACAACCACCGTGTGCTCCATCCAGGGAAAAATGTCAAGGAAAGGAAATAATTGGGGAGTAAACCGATTAAGTAATCCCACGCGAAACCCAAATGCGGGGACCGGTATTAACTTCTAGGGTCGATGCACAAAGCATGATCGTAATTGCACTGCCAGGCCCCGCAATATCCAGCTTGAACGCTGGCAATGCAACTGTGGAGAAGCTATCAGGTTCACATAAAACAAGCTCCACCCCTATCCCTTCCTTTGTGAACCCCAATGTAATCGTGTCATGAGTGCTACAAGAGATATCCTTAATTCCCCCGACTCTCTGTCCAACATCAATCCGATAATTTTCAGAGGCAGAAACCACATTGCTTGTATCCGGTGTAAAAACCAGAAGACCAAATGTTCCGGGGTGAAACCGACCTGCGATAATTGCAAGCTCACAGGCAACGAGTGCGTTTATCCGTTCAAAGACCGCAAGATCATCATTCTGGAGTCGCAATTGAACTCGCTCCAGGCGCGCATTCGCCAGCTAGAAGACCATATCAGCGGCATCCACCCGGACTCGGAGTCCAGTTACCAACAGGCCAGCAATCAGGCGTTTCTGCCGCTGCAGTTCCATACCAACAACGAACGACTCGACAACGTGATCAACGTGTCTTTTGGGGATTCCGAACACCCAGGACGCAATGTGCCCAGCGCTGCTGTGTCCGACGCAATCAATTATTACGTCTCGGACCTTTATTTCGCCGACACCGACCATTGCATAGTTTCGCTCCCCGTGAAGGAATACGCCAAAGTGCTGGTGGATCTGTGTCTGGACCACTTCCACTACTCGCAGTACCTGTTCGAAGAAATGGACTTTGTCGCCGACTTCAACAAAGTGTACGAAACCGGGCTGTGCCACTCTCCCCAGATGTTGTCGCAGATACTCGTCACGCTGGCTCTGGGAGAACAGATCCTGTACTCGAACAAGTCTCACCAGATGTCGCTGGACGCGCTCAACGCCAAGCTGTCGTCGAAACGCAACTTTGTCAACAAAACGCCCGGGTTCAAGTACTTTCTGAGCGCAGTGAAGCTGTTTCCGACCAACGTGGAGAAACCAACGCTCGCCACGATCCAGACTGCCCTGCTGATCGGCTACTACAACCAGTCGCTCAACCGCATCACCACGTCGTACATGTGGTTCGGCCTGGCCACCCGCTGGGCGCTGTCGCTGAACCTCCATCTGAAAGACCCCAACCTGGCTGGGCCGGAGCTCGCGCGGCGCAAACGCGTTTGGTGGACTGTGTTCACGCTGGACTCGTTCGCCACGTCCCGCATCCGCCTGCCCCAGAGCGTCAAGTACAACGAGACCCAGATCGACCTGATCTCCGACCAGGACTGCCGCGACTGGCCGGGCGGCCGCATCCTCGCTTTCCAGGTCTCGCTGCTCAAGTTTACAGACCGTATCCTCCACTCGGTTTACAACATGGCCCCCCGCAGCTTATACACTGAAGAAAAGACTCGGATCGGCGACAATCTCGCCGCAAACACCATCCAGATGGTCAAAATCCTCGAGGACAACTTCAATTCGAACCTGCAACCGGAGTTTAAGCAATTATTTGAGGAAATCAACACCAACAAGCTGTGCACGTTCCACCGGTCGTTGATCCACGTGTATCTCAAATCAAACCAGTACCTGATCACAACGTGCCGGCCGCTGGCCCTGGCGGTGTTCAAGAAGTTCATTCCACTCGACCCGCAGATCGCCCAGATTCTGAAAAAGTGCATCGCCGCAGCTACAGACTCCATCAAGATGCTCTACCACGTGAAAACGGTCGGCCTACTGGTCACGTTCGATTACTGGCAAACACACTTCCTGTTCAACTCACTGTTGATCCTGCTCATCACGTCCAGCATCGAAGACACCCGCGACTCGCTGCGAATTGGCGTTGATTTGCTCAAGTTCATGGCCCTGGCCGGAAACCACGTCTCCAAAGACTCGCTCAACAAGCTGATCCAGCTCGTCAAGATCTTCAACGACCTGGGCTTCAACCTCGATCTCGACCTCTCGTTACCCGAGCTCAACCGGGTCGTGCTGTCCGATATCGTCGGCTTGGACGAGCAATCGGTCGACATCCATCTGATCAACCTCAACTCCAACCTCACCGATCAAAACACCGAGAGCCAGATCGAACAGACAAACTTCCAGCTGCAGCAGCAGCAAAAACAGTTGCTCCAGCAAACAGAGCAACAACTGCCGCTGATGTTTGCGGGCCCAGACGACCAGATGGTCAACAGAGCCGTTTCTGCAGAGGAACTCAACGGTTTAAATCTGAATTTCTTCGACAGCCTGCTTAACAACATGCAAGGCTGGAGCTACATCCCCGAGACCGACCCTGCGCCAGCGCCTGCTCCGCCTCCGCCGCCAGCAATTCGCCCGGACCCGTCGCGTGAAACAACACTCCCTACACCACTGTTCTCGCCCCCAACCCAGACCAGGGCAAGCTAGCATATTCCGCCCCGCGCACGGTCTAGACCGCTTACGTAACCGAATAGCAGAAGAAACGAGCTGAATCTAACGATTTATGCAATTTATGGTGCAGGGCCAAGATCGTAGTCTTTGTTGAGTAGTGTGTGTGATATCATGCTGGTTCTTGTGTTCTGGACCCAGACTATAGAGCTTGGGGCCAACCGCCGCGCGGCCTCTGTCCTCCCTGGGAAAAAAAATTCCCCGGATTTGCGTCGCGGCCGGAAAAACGCTCCTCGACGCGGGCGAACAAATTTTTCACTTGATCTAAGATCCTTTCATTACTTTGCCTGAATAGGAGAATATTTTTTTCTTTTCCTGCGGCTCGCATTAACTCTACATCGCCAAGATGATCCAGAGACTCGAAAAACAAACGTTCGCCAACGGTATATAAACCATCGCCCTTGCCCTCTGTGGTCTCACTGAACTTAGTCTTTCATTCCTTACATTGATATCTTTCCCCACATTCATTATGCTAAGCAACTTGTCAATCTTTTTCACTCTTGCTGTTCTGGCTACCAGTGTGCCAGTCAACAACCATGCGCACCACGCTCATGAGAAAAGAGCTGGAAAATGTTCGTTCCCTACCGACAAAGGTCTTGTCAAGATCACCAACGTCAACGGCGACGGCTGGGCCCAGGACAAGTCGTGCCAACCAGGTAACTACTGTCCATACGCCTGTCCTCCAGGCCAGCTGATGGCTCAGTGGAACCCTTCTGTCACCTCTTACAGCTACCCAGGCTCGCAGGACGGAGGACTCTACTGCAACGACAACGGAGAGCTCGAGACTCCGATCTCCGGCAGCGACTACTGTGTGGACGGTAAGAAGACTGCCACCGCTAAGAACTCTGCCTCCAAGAACGTTGCTTTCTGCCAAACCGTTCTGCCGGGTAACGAGGAGATGCTGATTCCAACCAACGTGGACGCCTCCTCGTCGCAGACTTTGGCCGTGCCAGGCACAGACTACTGGGCCAGCACTGCCTCCCACTTCTACATCAACCCTCCAGGAGTTTCCACCGAGGACGGATGCCAGTGGGGATCCACCTCCAACCCATACGGAAACTGGGCCCCATATGTGGCCGGTTTCAACATGGACGACAGCGGAAACACCTTTGCCAAGATCGGCTGGAACCCTGTCTACTTCGAGAGCGGCTCTCCGTTCAAGAACGACAAGCCTTCCTTTGGTGTCCGTTTGTCCTGCAACGACAAAGGCAAGTGCAATGGTAACCCATGCGAGATCAACCCAAGCACGCACGGCCTTAACAAGGTGAGCGGTAGCTCCGACGAGAGCGATGGCGCCGCATGGTGTGTTTTGACTGCCACCGACTCCAGTGCCGTCACCATTGAGGTGTTCGACGTCTAAACTGTTAGAGTCTTGTACATACGAATTTATATAGAGCGTTAGGGTTTAAAAGTTACGGTTATTTCTTTGGTTATCAAAAAAAATGGCTTCCTCGTATTTAAAAAGCAGGGGTTATATAAAAGTTGAATCCCGAGCTATTTTCCGCCTCTTGACCTCATAATCACTATTGTTAATTTTTTAGTAATAATTTTTGCATTTTTTAATTTCCCGACCAAACATTCTTTCTTTCACCCGTTACTAATAACCGGTGTTTTACTTTGCTTATGTTGTCTAAAAAGGAGCTCAAGATTCTCACCTTGCTGGGAATCGACACGGTCTTCTTCCTGCTGGAGATTATTGTTGGTTATGCCGTCAACTCGCTAGCCCTAATTGCAGACTCTTTCCACATGCTTAACGACATCATCTCTTTGCTGGTTGCCCTATGGGCCGTCAACGTCGCCAAGACCAAGGAGGCAGATGCCAAGTTCACGTATGGTTGGCAACGTGCCGAGATTCTGGGCGCATTGATCAACGCCGTGTTTTTGCTCGCTCTGTGTTTTACCATTTTCATCGAAGCCGTGCAGAGATTCATTTCTCCGCAAAACATCACTAATCCGCAGCTCATCCTCATTGTCGGTACCTGTGGACTTGTTTCCAACATCGCGGGTCTTTTCTTGTTCCACGAACACGGCCACTCCCATGGTGGAGGTGGTGGGGGTCATTCCCACTCGCACCACGACGACACCGTCGAAAGCTCAGACATCGAGGACGTGCTCCCACAGGTCGTTGTCAACAACTGGGACATGGGCCACTCCGAAAGCCACAAGTCCCACAACCACGTTACCAAAACAAAGAAAGTCAAGAAACACACAAAGTCGCTCAACATGCAGGGCGTCTTCCTCCACGTTTTGGGCGACGCTCTGGGAAACGTCGGAGTCATGGCCACCGCCCTGTTTATCTGGCTGACCGACTTCTCCTGGCGCTTCTACTCTGACCCGCTAATTTCTTTGGTTATCACGTGCATCATCTTCTCCTCCGCCCTCCCACTCTGCAAGTCTTCGTCCCGGATCCTCTTGCAAGGAACCCCGCTATCGGTTGACTCCGAGCTCGTCAAGGAAGACATCCTCGACATCCCAGGTGTTATTTCTGTTCATGACTTCCACATCTGGAACCTGACCGAAAAACTGCTTATCTGCTCCCTTCACGTGGACCTGAGCGTGTCTCCAGACGAGTTCCTGTCTGTGGCTGCTACCATCAAGCAATGTCTGCATGCTTACGGCATCCACAGTGCTACGATCCAGCCTGAGTTCACTCAGTACTATGCTAAGCACAACAGACTGCCAACACGGTTCTCGTCAGAGGCAGACCTCCACGGCCTCGCAGCAGAAGAGACTCAGGGCCTGCTGGCCCAGGACCAACGTTCCTACGGCGCCGCTGCCGCCTCCAACGGCCAAATTGGGTGTATGGTTGACGCGGCTGTGAATTGCACAGCCGAGAATTGTGTAGAACACTGAAAAATAAATCAACACCAAAATAAATCTCCAAGATGGCCAAGCTTTCGTGGTCGGTAGGGTTTGTGTGTATAATTTTGACGGTGGTTTACCTGTTGCAGGGCACTTTTACCGTGCCGAGCCACCGGATCGGCAGCCATCAGCTGGTGCCGGTGAGTCCGCGAGAAAACGCAACGTTCTTCAGCCTGGTGCGGAACTCTGAGCTGTCGGACATGCTGCGCAGCATCAAGAACGTTGAACAGCGGTTCAACCGCCACCACCACTACCACTGGGTGTTTGCAAACAACGAGCCGTTCACAAAACAGTTCCGACACGCCGTCTCGAGCGCATGTTCAGGCACGGTGGAATTCGCCGTGATCCCTGAAAAGTATTGGAAATACCCCGACTGGATCGACCAGGCACGCGCGGCCGAGGTGCGCAAGGAAATGCGTCGCAAACATATCAAGTACGGCGACAACGAGTCATACCGCCACATGTGCCGATTTTTCTCTGGCTTCTTCTACAAAATGGAGGCCCTACAGCGATTCCGGTACTACTGGCGAGTGGAGCCGGATATCGAGTTTCGTTGCAACATCGCCCAGGACCCGTTCCGCGTGCTGCGTGAGGAGAATAAAGTGTACGGCTTTACACTCACGCCGTTGGAACTCCACACCACCGTGGAAACGCTCTGGAACGTTACCCAGGAGTACGCGTCATCGTATCCGGAAAGAATAGCTCCCGACAATAATATGGGCTTTTTGAGCGACGATGGCGGGGCCTCGTACAACATGTGCCACTTCTGGTCGAACTTCGAGGTTGGAGACCTCGACTTCTTCCGCAGCGACGCTTACGAACATTTTTTCAACTATATTGACCGCAAGGGCGGCATCTTTTATGAACGGTGGGGGGACGCTCCCCTGCACACCGTGGCGGTGTCGCTGCTTGTGCCGTACACCAAGCTTCATTATTTTGCGGGAACGGGGTATTTTCATGCTCCCAACCTCCAATGCGACGGCCCCAACTGGCTCTTGGAGCAGAACGAGTGCATCTGTTTTGCGTCCGAGGACTCTGCATGGTCTGGTGGCAGCTGTCTGACGAAATTCTTCGATATTCACCGCCTCGAGCGGCCAGAAGCTGCCCCCACGACCCCATACACCCCCATCCACAAGCCTACCAAGGCCTAGTATTATTTACCATTCCAATGAATTGGCCCATGACACCCGTTTGCGGTTTCTGTCCGAGTAGTTGAGTAGTTTGTGCGCTGGTCTGTTGGGCCGGATATTTTCCTGGTTCTCCTGCAGATCCTCCTTGAGGAGGTCGATCGTCCGTTGGTTATTGAGCGAGCTGTTCTTGTTATGCCGCTTGTGGCCGTTTCTGGTTTGCAAAAACGACTGTCTTTCTGATTCTGTGTAGAAACCGACGCGTTTGGCGGACTTTTCCGGCCGCCTCAGTGCCGTGGTGCGCGCCAGAATGGCTTTCACTATCGCCGCCTTGCGCACCCCGTCCACGGGCGGGCCTGCGGTCGGGATGGTGACGAGCTCTGTCGTTTTCTCTGGGATCGGGATGCCCAGACAGTTCTGGGCGTTGATCTCTGTGGCGTACTTGGTTGCATCCTCAATGCTGCCGTCGCTGCTCTCGACAATCAGGTTGAGCAGATTGCGGCACGGCTTGATACTCGGCTTCTGGATGGTATGTGTGGACGGCGAGCAAATTCGTAGCGGCGAATTTTGTTTCTGTGTCGGCGAATTCCCTGGCTCGTTATCGTCGAACTCGAGCTGGAAGTCATCGTGGTGCATGTCCATGACAAACTGGTTGTCGTTGGCCCGGAGGAACTTGTTGAGCTCTGCTCCAAAGTCCATATCTCCTATGTCGTCGTGCTCATAAACGTCCGGCGCGGACCGCACCTGGGCGTCGATCTCGTCGATTGACAGGTTGCTGATCATGCTGTCGAGGTCGTCGACGGTGGTTTTCTGCACATGCGAAAAGTCGAGGTCTGTTTTGGAGCTGCCAAAGAACTGGCTCTCGAGGCTGAACGAGCGCAGGTAGCTGTCGAAGTCGAACAGGTCTGCGGTGTTGGCGAAAAGATTATCCGCCGGGGCCATGACGGGCGGCGGAAGCGCGATGATGTCGTCGAGAGTAGTGTTTCCGGAAGCAAAGTCGTCCAAAAGGGAGGGCCTGTCTTTTTTCACCGGCGAGCCTGGCGGGGACGAGATTGGGCTGCTGTGGGCGGGGACTGTTGTTTCGAACGGGTTTGAAAAAATCGACTCAAACATAGCAATGGGACCCGGACAACAGCGAAGGAAAGCTAGCGATTAAAAAAGGTGTAGAGAAAAATTGACCGTTGGTGATGGATTCTGTTTATCTATTGCCGAATCGGGCAAGTGTGAATCAAGCACAAATATTATTTTTCTGGCTCCTGCTGCACAGCCCCACGACACCCCCTCCGGACACCGCCACATTGAGTTTTTCTCGCGGTACCTGCTACCATCTTTCTGTTCCTTTATCCATGACAAGCGCACCCATCCCAGAGACAACCAAGACCTACGCGAGAATCAAAACGTATCCGATCGCCGCCTCGTGGATCCGGATCGGCGGCCACTTCCCTGCTTCCCACGTTGTGAGACCCCAGATGTACACCATGGCGTACTCGCCAGCATTCAGGGACTACACCGAGGCGATCGACTCGTACTTTGACAACTGGCTCGAGGACATCGAAAAGACCGTGCCCGAGATCAAGACGCTGCGCATGCGCGACATCAGAGACTCGCTCACCCAGCCCGTGGTGGACGCTTCTTTATTTGTGGACAGAAACATGCACAGCTTGTCTGTTGCGCTGCGCCAGCGCGTGATCGAGCCGGCCCGCAGGTCTGCAAGCGACCTTAGAAAGGCGTACGCCCCGCTCTATGACACGCACGGCCGCGCGCTGATCCGGTCGCAGCTGGACCCGCTGTTCCGGCCGATCAACAAGAGACTTGCCAGCTACGTGCACCACTCGGGCGACAACACGCACTCCAGCGAGATGTCGCACACTCTGGGGCTGCTGAGCGAGTTTGCCGAGCAAACACGGCCGCGCGTGGCGGAGACGATCGCCAGATCGGGCCAGCTACCAAACCAGGTCTCCAGCCACCTCAACCAGGTTTACCAAACCAACAAGGCCAAAAGAGGCGAGGGAAGACTCATCGTGATGATCGCCTCCATGGACACCGTCAGAGACCTTGTCAACGAGGGCTACACCGTGGTGAACGAGCCTCCAAGATCACCAGAACTTTGATTTCTTAGTTTTATAGTGACAGAATGGATTAGGAAAAGGAATCTTGTAGCTACAGGTGTGTTCAAAACACTCTCTTCTGTTTTATATAACGAACTATCTTTCTTCACCCATCATACGCTTTGATCTCGTCTTGTAAGTTGACCAGTCTCTTGTGGATCTGCTCGATATCCTTGTTGAACTTGTCCTGGCGCTCAAACAGCGCCCGCTTCCAGTCCTTGAACTTCTGGTTCTGCGCCTGCACGATCTCGGTGAACCGCTTCTTCATGGTCTTCTCGCTGTCCAAATAGGCCGGGTTCATCTCAACAAGCTCTCTTTCGGTCTCGCGCAGGTTCAGCGTGTTGAGCATTCTCAAAACACCAACGCTCGCCTTGGACTCGATCACCTGCTGGATGTTCGGGTGCGTGCTGCCGTCCTCCTTCTGGACGGTCTTCCAGCTGCCGTTGTTGTCTGGAACAATCGTCTCGCCGTCCTGGTTTTCGATGTTGAGCGCAGCAAGCTCCTCGCTGCTGATCGTCAGCTCCATCGCCTTGCCCAGCCGGTACCGCATGAAGTCGCGCCGGTAGTTTTCGTAGTAGTTCTCCGTCGACGAAATCAGGTCCGCCATGTTGGTGCCCATCAGAAACTCGCGCAGCTTGACAAAATCGCAGTGCGCCGCGTTGTCCACCTCGGCGACTCCCCACTTGTACTTCCGGCCGCGGACCAGCTGACCCTTGGCGTTCTCATACGTGCCCTGCGAGTTGAGCACGCAGAACGGCATCTCCGAGATCAGGTTCGCGCCGCCCGTCTTGTCGAACAGCTCGCAGATCGAAATGTCGTGCTCCTTCAGGCTCTTCTTGACCCGCTGCTTGAACGAGCTCAACTCGTCCGCAGTGAAGGCATCGGCTTTCGAAATCACAGGAACAAGGTTCACTCTCGTGGACAGGTTCTTCATGGCCTCGATGTCGATTTGGCTCAATCCGGTGGCAGAAGGCACAATGAAGTACAAACACACGTGGATTTCCGAGTGGGAAGTGCTGCTGCGGTCCGGCTGGTTCTCCTGGTAAACGGCTCTTCTGTACTGCTCGTCAATGTACCGGACAATCGGGTACCAGCAGTATCTGTTGTCGATATAGTCGCCAAAACCAGGAGTATCAATAACGTTGAGTCTGAGGAGGAAGTTGTCCTCAACAAGCTCGATCTTGTGCGACACAATCTCGGTCGTCTTTCCCGAGAGACCGCCCAGCTCTGTGGTGGGCTCACAAACAACGGTGTCGAACAGGGTGTTGATGAACGAGGTCTTGCCTGTTCCGGCTTCACCAACCACCATGATGGTGAAGTGGGCTCCCTTCTTCAGCGCGTGCAACCGCTTGAGGATCGGCAAACAGGCAAGCCCAACGTCACCGGGATACATGTTGGCAATGGCAGACTCCATGTTGTAATGAGTGGGGAACTCGTCGTCCTTGATCAGGGTGCTGGAACTGGACGTGCTGGGAGCAAGGTTCTCTGCCTCAAGGGGACCGCCGGCGCTTTTGTTGGAGGGCTCGGCGTCGAGGTCGATGTTGTCGCTCTTGAGCGAAGCGCTGGGCGGAGAAAACAGGTCGATCGAGCTGATCACGCGTTTGTCGGCAAATTCGTCCACTTTGGTGGCCATGGCTGTTAAGGAGGAAGATGAGGAAGTTACTGCAAACAGTAACAAATATTTGTACCAGCGTCTACCGCGCGGGTGGCAGATCTGGGGGTGGGAGGGTCCCTCCATGGTGGCTTTGCGGCGCTGCGGCTTACCCTATTAATTTTTTTCTCTATCAGCTGGCCGCGTTCCGCAGCGAGAGGAAACAGTTCCACAGCACGCCGACGCCGCTGCTGAAGGGCACCTGGAACTGCGTGGGCATCACCAGGAAGTTGATAAACTGCACGGGGAACCACAGGCAGAAATTGCACGTGAGCGTGGACAGATATATCCGGTACAGTTTGTTCTTCACGTCCTCAGAGGTGCCCTGTTCAATGACTAGAGTTCCGTAGGCAAAGAAGCATGCTAAGGAAACCGGAGAGAAACACAGTTGGTCCGTGAGTACCCGTTCCAGCACACTCACAACCGACGGGTCGTCGTTGTACATGGAATTCAGGAAAGAGTACCATACAACCTGAACAAACGACATCATAAACCCCCAAACAATAAACCCGGCGAACCGGCGGAACTGGAACCCGGGTGCCTCTGGCGGCTGTTCTGTGTTTTGGAGACCCATCGAGACCTCGCCGTCCTCGCCGTAGTCCACAAAATAGTCCTCCGGTCTTCTGGGAACTGCAGATTCGAGGTAAGTGGCGAGGGAGTATGCGGAAGACCTTCGTTGCGGGCTGATCTGCTGGAAATAAGCCGAGATGGACTGTGCGAGCGTGTCTGCGATGCCGTACAACACGATGTTGGTTGCCATGGTTGCCACCAGCGACGAGCGCGTGTACAATTGGTGGTACTTGGAGGTGAGCTTAGATAAGAGGAACACAAACAACACCAGGATCGCGCAATTGAGCAGCGGCACGTTGTGTACTCGGGTGTTGAGCAGACGGCGAGCGAGTGCGTGCGTGCGTCCAGACGGCGCGGGACTGTCGTGGTCGGGCAGTCTGATCGGCATTTTGAGGGAGAGAAGCCCTGTAGGAGGCTTTACAGTTTAGTAACCTGCTCGAGCGAAAACGTCACGTGATGTTGCCCAGGGCATGGCCGCGAAAACCGACACAAAAACTTTTTTTTTCGCTTCGAGTCTGCCAAATAACGGGTCACCACGACTAAAATTATTAGTGAAAAATTAAACTCACCATCATCAATACAGCATGTTAATTCCAAAGGACGACAGAAAGAAGATCCACCAATACCTTTTCAAGGGTAAGTAACCTCCGGACGCATCAGGAAGCGTGCAGAAAGAACACATACGCCAGCCCGCGTCGTCAGGACTCCAAAAGTATGCTAACCAATTTAGAGGGTGTCCTGGTCGCTAAGAAGGACTTTGAAATCCAACACGATGACATCGATACCAAGAACTTGTACGTTATCAAGGCCATGCAATCCTTGACCTCCAAGGGATACGTCAAGACCCAATTCTCTTGGCAATACTACTACTACACTCTCACTGACGAAGGTATCAACTACCTTAGAGAGTACCTTGCTCTTCCAGAGACCATTGTTCCAAACACTCTGGTTGCCGAGCCAATCCAGGAGAGACGTTCCATCAGACCTGACCAAAGAAGAGAGAGAGGTGAGGGATACAGACCAAGATTCAGAGATTAGGAGTAATGATATACGGGTCATAGCCGAGAAGAATGGAAATTAGAAATTGATATGATTGTAGTTGGGTAAATGCCAAGGTGCTAAATATAGCTGTTGGTGCCGTTTAACCTGTTCATCGCTGGTACATGTAGTCTTTAACCAAGATTCCGAACTTGGAAACATTTTCTTTCTGCTTACCTCATCACACAAGCCCCCATGGTGTTTGGTAGACACAAGAACAAAGCGCTTGATTTGTCCTTAATGGACAGCAATTACCGCCCAGTAAGTGTCAGCGACCTGTGTAACTAACCCCAGTCCCCGAACCCCAACACTTTGAAGCCACAGCCCGCAGTGGGGGCCGTTCCGCCTCCAGTGCCGCCTCCCCCTGTTGTGGCCTCTCCACCGCGTCCGCGACCGGTTCCACCCATTCCGGCCCAGAAACCCACCATCATCAACAACTACTACTATGTCTCGCCCTCTGTGTCGGCACCCCACCAGGGCCAGCCCACTCCCATCCAGCGTCCGGTTAGCCAACAGAAACTGCCAGGTTCACGCAACTCCTCGCTCCACAGCCAAAGACCCGTCTCCAGACCGCCTCCTCGCATCTCCCGCGAGTCCTCCGAGGAGTCGGACATCTACTCGTCGCCGTCCCTGGCAAAATTAGAGCTCCAGCCAAGACTGCCCCAAATTAATCTCGACGACCCGTCAGACCCGCCTGTCAACCCACAAACGCCCAATCTAATTCGACAGCTGGCCAGAATCGAGGTCGACTCTGTCTCCGTCCACAATCGTCAATTATATTCCATATTTTCCCATTTTGGCAAAGATTCTCTCAACTACGACGACCTAAGACAATTGCTCTCCAACCCAGAAGGAACCCACTTCAGCTCCGACAGCGCACGCAAACTGTGCAACACGTTCGTCACCACCACTTCTGATCTTGAATTCCGCGACTTTATCCGGCTGTGCAAGTTCGTCAAGGGCTGCTACGACTCGTTCAAGTATCACGACACTGATAGATCTTATTTCTTGGAGCCGCAGGAATTCTCCAAGTCGCTCCAATTCAACAGGATCTCGTGTCCCGACTACCTGCTTCGCCAGATATACCAAAACGCGTCCAGTCTCAACCTCGAGGCCTACATCCTTGCCGTGGTGCTCATCCGTAAACACGAACGAGAACAGCACCACGATCTCTACAGCTGACATCAGAGATTACCTAATCACACAGAGGAAAAATTTATTTTAGCTGGAGCAAGAGGATGGAAAAAACTTTCCATCTTTCCAAATGTAAGTACTCTTACGCAGCATATGATGAATTCTTGTTTTATTATACTTTTCTTTCTGGCATCTCTAATGTTAGAGCTTCCGGCTCGATGAATATAACCCTTGACACCTATCTGAAGCTGCTTTTGTTTGGACTCACTAACTTTTAGATCGACTAAATGATTTGACATCCTTGTTTCCATGGGATTGTTGTGTATGTACAGTATTTTTTAACTTTTGTCCGACTCCAGGTACAGCTCGAGGTCTGTGTTGGGCTTGAACGGCCATCTATAGAACATATTGGCCACAAAAACCAGATCTTTGACTGCCAGACTGTAAACTTTGGTTTTCAGCATGTTTCTTGGGAGCACCTCGTGGAAGTATTCGTCGGCTCCAGGGCCGAGGAAATGCAAGTTATTGGACAACGTGCTGCTTGGGATCATGAACAACTTGTGCACCACCAGAGTGAAGTCGGGCAAACTGTAGATTGAGTGTTTGTCGTGGTTGGATTGGAACTCAACCAGAACAAGGTCTTCCTGACCAGGCACGTTGGGTAATCTGATCACATCTTTATACTGCTCCATGGCCATTTCCACCGTCTTGGACTTGGCAGAGTTGCTGCAGGCAATCATATTGATATCGTTGAACGCTGCAGCCACCACCGAATTGGTCTGTCTGAATCTTGTTCCCATCAGACCGAGATATTTGATACAGTCTTTGGGTCTTAGCCAAAACAGCGATTTCACACGCTGGTATTTGAACCACGACAGACTCATCTGGTTGAAGTAAAGCATACTGCGGACTTTCGGCTTTTCTGAAGCTTGTAGATACGATCCGGTCAACAACAAGGTCTGGTTGACCTCATGTTCGGTTTCTTTCCTCAACGACAATGTACCGTTGTTGACAAGAGCCTCTGTATCGAAATGTCTGATAGATTTAGGGTCTGCATCCAAAAGATACATACTTGAGCATTTTGGATCGTGGTTTTTGACGTTAGTCCAGAACTTCTGTAGAGTGGCGTTTTCGGGCAGAATCAAGTGCATCCTTGGCATCAAATGCTGGTTCAGCTCGTAAGTGAAGCTGTTGAACCCGGTGTTGTGGTCCACAATGTTCAGTTCATTGCTAGGGTCCTCGTACTGACTTTCCAAGTCGAGTTTTTGAAGAATATCCTTGGTGACGGCCCGTTCGAACCCGATCTTCGATCCCCATTTACCGAAATACGGCGAGTTGAACGCAGCCTCGAAATTTCGTACCTGGTTCACAAACCCGATTCTTGTAAACGGTTTGGACATGGAACAAGAGAAATTATTTATTTAAATAAAATTTCTACCAGCTTCGTTTTAGTGATATGCCCAAACTGAAAATTAAACTGAGCAACAGCAGCGACGACAAGCCTAAAATTCGGCTCAAGTCGCCAGCTAAGCCGTCGGATGGGCTGCCTACGCTGAAACTGACTACTTCGGCGCGTGTTCCTACGATTAGAGTCAAGCCTACAAGAACCCCCGGCGACGGGTACGATTCTGAGGACCCGGACAGAGAGGACGACCCGCTTATTGAGGAGGGGATTGTGTTGCGGATGATTCCGGACGAGTCGCTGGACCATCTGCGCAGATGCGTGGAGGACGGCGACTTGAGTGGTATCAACATCAAGTGGAAGGACAAGAAACGGGCAATTCTTCGAATCAACGGGCTTATTTACGGCGGAAAGCTTGTGGACCTGCCTTCGGTGGTGGAGGTGCAGAAATCCGTGGACAAAAAGAACATATTCAAGACAATCGACGTGTGTCAGATGCTGTTGATTGTGAAGCGACTCGAATCCGAAAAGGACTACAAGGACATTCCTATTGACATGGAGCAAGGAGAGACGTATCCGGACGGACTGACGCCTCCGTTGGAGAAATCGAAAAACAGGTTCAAGAAGCGGTATCAGCAGAAAGTGATGCAGACCGTGGAGGACCGTGTTCAGCAGCTTTTGGACCTGGACGACGAGGCCGAGTCCAGCACGTACACATTTATCGACCCATCAGAGGAGGCCAGCAGCTATGGCACTCCGGAGCCGCGCATCAAGAAGAAGAAGAAGAAGGTCAAGGACACGGACTCGCACGTGGACGACGAGCTGAACAGACTGATGTTGGAAGAGGAGGACGACGACCTGGACGATCTGGACGATCTGGACCAGGAGCTGGAAGCTGCGTTCGAGGAGAGACGACCAGACGAGGAAGAAGAGGAGGAAATCATCGAGGGTGCGTCTGCAGAAGAGGAGCACGAGTCGTCGGACGACGACGACGACGATGACGAAGAGGAAGAAGAGGACGAACAGCCGCGTCGGGCAGGCGGCGAGATGAACGAGGCCCAGCAGCACAATGCCATTTTGCGCGAGGAGATCAGCGAGCTCGAGGCGACGATCGACCAGAAGTCGCAGGACCTGGCCAAGGCCAACAACCCGATCATCAGGAACCGTATCAACGACGTTATTGGACGGCTCAAGCAGGAACTTGAGCTCAAGCGGCTCCAAATCCGCGAGGAGGAAGCCCAGCCAACCCTCCAGCAAGAGGAGGACGAAGAGGACGAAGAAGATGAGGCCGACGGCGACGGCGACGACGAAAACGAAGACGACCTGGCCGATTTATTTTAAGTTGACTCAGACGTGTGTCGAAATTATTCTGTACGATAAAATTAATTAGATTAATTAAATTTCTTGTTTCATAAAGAATGATGGTACAAACACAAAATACAGGCCTGCCCGATCCAGGGCCGTTGAAGGCGAAGGATTCGGGCCGGAAGAAACAGACTGGCGGCAACATCCCGCCGCGGGGAGTACTTCCTGACGGAAGTTCGGTGGACTTTGGCCATTCCGACAAGAGCAAACCAAAGCAACAACAAACCCAAAAACGGGTCTCCACGGACAAACCAGCCAAGAAGGGCAAAGGAAAGACTTCTACAAACACAGCTAATGACACCAAGAAGCCCCAACAGCAAAGCTCGTTGCCCTCTTTGCCAGACGGCCAAAAACCCGATTTTGGGGGTCGGCAGAAACCCAAATCCAAGGACTCGAAGAAACAGTCGTCGCAGTCCAGCAAGTCTCAGACCCCCCAGTCTTCTCCTTCCAGTCAGCACTCGTCGCTGAGAAAACCACCCACGCCGTCGCCATCTCCATCCCAATCCCAGGTCTACGCAGGGTCGTCGTTCCACAGTGCGCCTTCCACCATGTCCCTGCCCAAGCCCTCTTTCCTCAAGAAATGATCCCCCTTACGTACGTACGCTAATCATTATAAAAGGACTTTGACACTGTAGCTCTCCTGCTCTTGCTGACATAAGCACGCAATTTCCCTCAGAGATAATTATCGCTAACTTTAAGATACAAAAAACTTCATGCCCTCGCACCACGACTCGTTTTCGTCGCTGTCGACACGGCGGCGCGAGGCCTCGCGAAGTCGCGACACTGCGTCTGTTGTGTCGCGCCCGTTCCAATTGGACGCCAACGAAACAGAAATGTTTTCAGGAGCAGCGTCTCAGGTAATTCCCTCTTCGATCTCCTCCTTCCACCATAATATCCCGCAAGCATTTCCCTCGCCCGCCTTTTCGGTGGTGTCTGCGCACCATGACGTGGATGACTTTGAGGAATTTTCGCTGCACCGGGCAGATTCCAACGTGAGCCAGCAGGATTTCCAGGAGCGTGCTCATTTCAAGTTCTTTACCACTCAACAGATAGAAGGAGCAAAAGGAGCCTCTTCCCAGATACACAACCCAGAAGGGATGCTTGTTGATTACGACACCAATTGGAACACCTATGCCGACGAGGTGAATCTGCGGCGTATGTCGATGAGATATTCGAACGCTTCTGTTCATAGCGCAACAGATCTGGCCTCTTTACCCGTCACCAGCTACGGTTCCACCCATACGAGCGAGGAGTATCCTGGTGAGGATGCTGACTTGTCTTCGGAGCACGAGGAATGGGATTTCAAGATGAATATACGCACTGATCGAAAACATCACGATAAGCTCTTTGGATCCAAGTTTCCTGCAAAAAACACCAGCCAGCGGTTCTATCTCGCCGAAGAGGACCTTGTTATTGGAATCGCCGGGTACTCGAGCTCTCCGTTGAAGCTGATTTCATATTATTTGTTCGTGGTGCTGACTTTGGGACTTGGCTACGTTGTTCTTCGGTGGTTCCCGCGACGTCGTATACGCATGATGGGGTCCGAGACGCCGCTCGCCAAGGCAGAATGGGCTGTCGTGGAGGACGAGTACGGTGTGCTGGACATCGTCCCGGTCAATCGCCACTGGTATAACCGGTCGTTGTCCTCGTTTCTCACGAGCTCCCAAAAGGACGATAAGGACGACTACAATTTGGAACAGACAGATCCTGTTGTTCCAATTCTCATCACGTTCGATTACAGATACATGAAGTTCTTCTACGACCCGATCGAGGACCTGTTCAAGCTGGCCAACAGCTGGATCGACACCAAGTGGTGTCATCTGCCGGAGAATAAGATCGGTTTGTCTGAGGATCTGTTTAAGAGCAGACGTTTGATATTCAACGACAATCTTATTGACATTAAGGACAAGTCGGTGATGCAACTGTTGGTGGACGAGATTCTGCATCCGTTTTACGTGTTCCAGGCCTTTTCGATCCTCCTGTGGCTCGCAGACAACTATTACTACTATGCATTCTGCATTTTCCTGATTTCTGTGTCGTCTGTGACGGAGTCGCTGATCGAGACACGAAGCACAATGAAACGGATGCGCGAGATCTCGCGGTTCGAGTGCGACGTGCGTGTTTGGAGAAGCGGGTTCTGGAAAGAAGTGAGCTCGAAAGAGCTAGTGCCGGGCGACGTTTACGAGGTGTCCGACTCGTCGCTCAACTCGTTCCCCTGCGACGCGATCCTGCTTTCTGGTGACTGCATAGTCAACGAGTCGATGCTGACGGGTGAGTCAGTGCCCGTGTCCAAGACCCCGATTTCGTTAGAAACCGCAGCAGAGCTACAGGACGAGTTCTCCAGCACAAAGTTCTCTCCCAAACTCACCAAGTCGTTCCTCTACTCGGGAACCAAGATTGTGCGGTGCCGGCCTGGCGCGAACTCGGACGAGGCTGCCATGGCCCTGGTGGTCAGAACAGGCTTCAACACCACCAAGGGTGCGCTTGTGCGGTCGATGCTGTTCCCGAAACCGAGCGGGTTCAAGTTCTACCAGGACTCGTTTAAGTACATTGGCGTGATGACGGTCATTGCGCTTGTCGGGTTCATTTTCTCGGCCATCAACTTCATCAAGCTCGGGCTCGACTACAAGACGATCATTCTGCGTGCGCTAGACCTGATCACCATCGTGGTTCCGCCTGCGTTGCCCGCCACGCTCACCATCGGCACGAGTTTTGCCATTTCGCGGCTGCGCAAGAAGAACATCTTCTGCATTGCGCCAACAAGAATCAACGTTGGAGGCAAGCTCGACGTGATGTGTTTCGACAAGACCGGCACCTTGACAGAAGAAGGACTCGATCTGATGGGTGTTCGCATCTCCGAGCCCATCAGAGACCGCAAGGAGCGTGCGTTCACCGAGCTGTACTCTCATGTTGACCAGCTATTTAACCATACGACCAACACCCAGGCGTACAATCTGTTTCTGACGATGCTGACGTGCCATTCTCTGAAAAACATCGACAACGAGCTTGTTGGCGACCCGCTCGACGCGAAAACGTTCGAGTTCACCGACTGGGAGATGATCGAAAACACTAACGACGACGCCGTGCTCGAAGACTACGTGCAAACACACAAGTTCAGTGGCCATGTGTCTCCTGTTTTGTTGCGTCCAAGGGACAAGCTGCAAAACAACGTATTATTTGTCAAGCTATTTGAGTTTGAGTTTGTCTCACAGTTGCGGCGCATGTCTTCCATTAGCCAGTGTCTGTCCAACCCTTCTGTGCTGAGCGTGTTTGTGAAAGGTGCTCCCGAGGTGATTGAGGACCTGTGTTTGCCGGAAACCATTCCTGTGGACTACCGCGATCTGTTGCACGAATACACGCATAACGGGTACCGTGTGATTGCTTGTGCCACCAAGACGATGCGCATGCCGGACCCGGCCAACATGAACGACCTGGACTTTCTGAACGATCTGTCCCGCGACAACTGTGAGTCGGACCTGGAGTTCATTGGGTTCCTGGTGTTTGAGAACAGACTGAAAGGGTCCACCAAGACGTCGTTGAAACAGCTCAAGGACGCCGAGCTGCGCACGGTCATGTGCACGGGAGACAACGTGCTCACGGCGGTGAGCGTGGCGCGCGAGTGCGAGCTCGTGGACCACGGGTGCAAGGTTTATGTGCCGTCGTTCGAGGAGCCCGAGGACGAGGCCCAGATTCCAATTATTTGGACAGAGGTGGACGATCCGGACCTGCAACTGGACCCAGTCACGCTGGTTCCGCTCGACATCAACCAGACCGACGACTATTGCATTGCTGTCACAGGAGACGTGTTCAAGTATATTCTGACAGAATTGAGCGAAAGAGAGCAGCTGATCCAGAAGATGCTGATGAAAGGAGCCGTTTTCGCGAGAATGTCACCAGACGAGAAACACGAGCTGGTGGACCGGTTCAAGAGCCTCGACTACACGGTGGGCTTCTGCGGTGATGGTGCGAACGACTGCGGTGCGCTCAAGGCAGCCGATGTGGGTATTTCGCTCAGCGAGGCCGAGGCGTCGGTGGCTGCTCCGTTCACGTCGCGCATCTTTGAGATCTCGTGCGTTCTGGACGTGATCAAGGAGGGCCGTGCGTCGCTCGTGACAAGCTTCTCGTGCTTCCAATTCATGTCGCTGTACTCGGCAATCCAGTTCATCACTGTCACCATGCTGTACATGGAAGGAACCAACCTTGGTGACTTCCAGTTCCTGTACATCGACCTGTTCCTGATCATCCCGCTCGCCGTGTTCATGGCATGGAGCAAGCCATACGCGCGGCTGTGCGCCAAACGCCCCACAGCCAACCTGATGTCGCCCAAGATCCTGATCCCGTTGCTCGGCAGCATCTGCATTCTACTGGGCTTCCAATTCTCCATTTGGCGATCTATAAAAGACGCAGACGACAGCTGGTACATCCCGCCGGTCCCAGGAAACGACGACGAGGTCCAGTGCACAGACAACACCGTGCTGTTCCTGTTTGGCAACTTCCAGTACGTGATAGTGGGGGTGTTGCTGACGGCCGGTCCGCCGTACAGAGAGTCTGTGACCAAGAACTTGCCGTTTGTTGGAGCCGTGGTGCTCACCACGCTGCTCTCGGCGGGTCTCACGTACCTTGACAACCACAGCTGGTTCGGAGACCTCATGGATATCACCTACACGCCGGGTGGGGTGAAACTGACCATTTTCGTGGCTGCCGCAATCAACTACCTGCTACTGGCGGGGGCCCGGAAAATGGTGTTTGGCAGGCTTTCCAAGCTGTACAAGCGGCTGTTTGGCACTAAAGGCAGCAAGAAACTGTTCAAGAACCTCAAGCGCGAGTTCAAAGTGCTATGCTGATAGATTCGAGTCACCATTTCCTGCCCAGGTGTTTCTGCACACAGCTTTTGTACTGCAAGAACTCCTTGAGACAGGCATCTTTGGAGACGGCCTCGTAGTTGTTGAACACGCAACGGCCGTAATTGGCCGACTCCGTGGCGCACTGGGCGGTAGCGGCCATTAGTTTGGACAGCTGCGAGGGAGGGCTCCTTGGCATGGAGAACAATTTATAAAAAAAAAATATTTAATTTAATTTGTGTTAATACTTTTTCTTAATCAATGAAGAGACTGAATTATCTCCCCGCATTGGGAGACCTGAATACGCCGCTTCCGCAAGAACAATTGGCCGTCTTGGAAAGAGAGGTCGAGGACGAGAAACCAGAACCCACCGCCCAGTCGCTGTTCAACCTCGCCTGGGCCCTGATCAAGTCCAACAGCAAACGGGACAACAAGGAGGGCGTCAATATACTCACAGACCTGTTCAAATCGGTCCCTGCTAGAAGACGCGAGTGTCTGTACTACCTGGCAGCCGGCTGCTACAAGATAGGCGAATTAAAGGAAAGCAAACGATACATCGACGCTTTGATCTTGCACGAGCCAGACAACTTGCAGGCCGTCAACTTGAAGAAAGAGATCGAGAGCGAAATCTCCAAAGACGGGCTGATCGGGCTTGCCGTGGTGAGCGGGCTGACCGCGATCGGCGTGGGGATCGCCAGCGCCATCATCAAGACACAGTCCAAAAGGAAATGATTACTTTATATTGAGAATATTATACCAAACCGGGGCTCATTCCACAAGACCCCCCTCTTTGCACAACGAGTAGAACAGACTGTCCTTTTTCTTGAGCAGGTTGGCAGGCGTGTCGAACTCGGCCACTTCTCCCTTCTCCAGAACGATGATCCGGTCGCTGTCGATGATGGTGTTGAGTCTGTGAGCGATGGTGAGGATAGTACGCTCTTTGAACGCCGACCGGATGGTTTCCTGGACAATTGCGTCGGTTTGGTAGTCGACATTGGCCGTGGCCTCGTCCAGAATCAACACCCGACTGTTCTTCTTCACCAGGGCTCTTGCCAGACACATCAGCTGCCGTTGTCCGGCAGACAGGTTCGATCCTCCTTCAGATATTCTGATCAACAACGGGTTCTCCTTGATCTCCTCCTTGTCGCCGGCATCGTCGTACATCTTGAGAATGTGTTCCTTCAAATGGGCCAGCTCAAGGGCCTCCCACAGCTCCTCGTCCGTGTACATCTCTGTCGGGTCGATGTTGGACCGCAACGAGCCTTCAAAGATCTGCGAGTCCTGCGGAATAATCGACAGTTTCGACCGCAAATCGTACAATCCAATGTTGCTCGTGTTCACCTCGTCGATGTCGATGTGGCCGTTGGCGGCCTCAATGATCCGGAAAATCGCCAACGTCAACGACGACTTACCGGCACCGGTTCTGCCCACAATTCCGATCTTCTCCTTCTCGTTCACAGAGATGTTGATATTCTTCAACACAAGGTCCAGTTCGGGTCTGTATCTGGCACTGTATTCCTTGAACTCGATGGTACCCCGGAACGGCCAGTTCTGGGCCGGCCTGCTGTTCTCGATAATCGGTGGAGCTTCAGGCTCCAACGAAGCGTACTCCAAAACTCTCTCCACGGAAACAATGTTGGTTTCAATCTCAACAGTCATTCTAACAATCCAGTTCAACGACTGGGTCACTTGCAAAGCATAGGAAACAGAAAGACCAACAAGGCCAGGCGTGATGTGGCCAGACTTCAATGTGAACACCAGCAGTCCAGAGGCTCCCAAAATGATGAGCGATCCCAAGAACTCCAGTCTCACAGCAAGCCATCTGTTCGCACTCACCGACGGATGGTACGCACTCATGTTCTGGTCCATTTTGTGCTGGTTCAAGAACAAGAATCGGTCCAGCTGGTCGTACGCTCTCACAGTGGCCACTCCGCTCAATGTCTCCTGGAAATGGGCAAAAATAGGAGACTTGGACACAGAGTCCAGTCTTCTGAGCTCTCTGGATGTGGCCAGGTAGTAGAGCTGGTAGAATCTGTACAACACGGCCAATGGAACAACCAAAAATACAAACTGCCATGTCGAATAGATAATCACCAAAATCACAATCGACACCTTGATGGAGTTGGCAAAGAACATCACAAACACTCTGGTGAGCTGCTCGTCAATTTTGTAGATATCTGGCGAGAATCTGTTGAGCACTCTTCCCACAGGCGTGGTCTCAAAGAATTGCATTGGGGCTCTTAGAACTCCATCCAACATGATCTGGTGCAAGTATTTGGATCCCTGGATCGAAACGTAAAGCCATTGGATGATGGTTTGTGCCAATAGGACAACAGAGCACCCGATACACAGAGCAAAGTAGATTCCAAGATACTTCCATGGCGTTGGGTTGTATCCCTTCTCGGTGTTGATATCGGACCAGTGCTTCAACCAAACGTTTCCGGCAGTGGACAAGATCATAGACACAATAATGCCAGCCAGCAAAATAATAACGTTCTTGATACCACATGCTTTGGCATAAGCACGGTAAATAGACGACTTGACCTTACCTTGTTCGTGTTTCTCTTCTCTTCCGGTAACAATCTCGTCTTTAGTTTCAACAGCGGTTCTAAAGTCTTCCAAAACGGCTTTTTCCAGCTCCTTGTTGGCCAACTTCTTGATTTCTTCATCCAGTTCGCTGGACTCGGATCTCGAGTCGTCGGTGGCCTCTTTATCGACAACAGTCTCGGTAATGTCTTCTTCTTTCTTCTTCTGACCGGCGTCGTTGATCACGGTGTATAGCTCAGAGTTCTGCGAAGCAACAATATCGTCAAAATGGCCACTCTCGACAATCCTTCCTTCTTGAACCAGCACGATCGAGTCCGACGACTTCAGCACGTTTAGATTGTTGGTAGCAAGAATACGGCACTTGGTGCTCAAAAGACCTTCTGGACCAAGAACGTTGTTGATCAGGTGTTTTCCAACGTGCTCGTCAACAGCACTCAAAATATCGTCCAGCAAGTACAAGTCAGCACGGGCATAAACGGCTCTGGCAAGAGACAAACGAGCTTTCTGGCCACCAGACAAACTGATACCCTTTTCTCCGACCTGGGTGGAGTCTCCGTCTGGAAGAACGTTCAGGTCATGGGTCAAAGCACATGCCTTGATGGTCTTGTCGTAAAACTCGGCATCAAACTTGCAACCAAACAGAATGTTTTCCTTGATGGTTCCGTTCATAATCCAGGCAACCTGAGGAACATATGCCACAGATCCGTGCACAGTGACAGAACCAGTTGGTTTGTGCAAATCTCCAAGTAACGACTGCAGGATGGCAGACTTTCCGGCACCAACACGGCCAAGAATACAGTTGAGGTCACCTTTCTTGGCAGAGTAGGTGATGTTCGACAGAGCCAGCTTGTATGGTTCTTTGGACCAAAGGAAGTCTGCGTTGTCGATCTTGACGACCTCCTGGCCGATCTCGGTGACTGCTGGGCGTCTATCGATGGTGAAGTCGTCCAGCTCGTCGCTCTTCAAGAAGTCGGTAATTCTAGTGATTGCAACCTGGGCCTCGATAATGTTTCCAATAGTCCATGGCAAGACAGCCAGAGGGAAGCCAAGCAAGTTGAACAAGGACAGAGCCGTGAACACGATGTCTGTGCTCAATGGCACTCCTTTGTAAGAGATGATGAACAAGGCAAAAGTAGAGGAACTCACAAAGAAAGGAGTACTGTTGAAGATGAAGTTACTGCATGCCTGGAACACACCGATCTTCTTCAAGTTCTCGAGCTCCTTGTTGTTTCTCACGTCCATGAGCTTCTCTCTGTAGGGGTTTTCCCAAGCGTAGAGTTTCAACGACTTGATGTTGTTGAGGATCTCGGAAATAAGACCTGTTCTGGCATCTTTGACTTTCATCTGGGTCTTCTGGAGTTTCTTCTGTTGACGGAACACCCAAGTGTTCAACGGAACAGAAACAGCGAGGAAGAAAACACCCAGCCACATGGCGTTACCAAGCAGATTGTACAAGGAAACCAAACACAAGATGATCTGCAATGGACCGGACCAGATGATGTTTAAGCTCTGGCACAAGTCCTGCAATCTTTGGGTATCGACGGACATCAAGTTAACAATGTCACCGGTGGATTTCTTCTGTTTGGCTTCCACCGATAAGACAAGCGATTTCTTGTAGATCAAAGAAGTGAGCGATGATCTGACCTTGATACCGGTATCAAACACTCTAGTAAAGTACTGGTGCAATGAAGCTGTTTGGACAACAGAAACCAGGAACATCATAGCAACAAGCATAAAACCTCTTGTGAGAGGCGTAGTCGTGTCCTCCTGGTACAGATTGACAAATCTGATGAGTTGTTTCAGCAGTTGTGGTTGAATGAAAGCACAAATGTCTTGCACAATTTTAAATAGACACGAAATGAAAAATGGGCCTCCAAAAGAGCTTGCAATTGCCCATGTAAGACTTGGGCTTTTTCTGTGCAGCTGTTTGTCCCATTTGTCGTCCAAAACCCCAGCAAGATGGTTGCTTCTCAAGAAAGATGGCAATTGCGGGAGATCTCTTTGGGTAAGGAACTTCTTGGAACCTTTTTGCATCAATGGAGTCAACCAGGTGAAGGTAACTTTGGCAAAGATGTTGGATCCATCGTACAAGTTATCGTTCTTATTTGGATCTTTCTTTTCTTTTGGTGAAAAGTTGATTTCTAAAAGAAGCAAGAAAAGACTGTTGAAGAGAGCTAAAGTGACCAAAGGAGCTTGAAGGGACTTTGAGTCTCTTAGGAACACGTTGGTGACCTTCAGCGAGCCGACCACCAAGTCGAAGATGTAGTAAGTGATAAGATAGGCGCTGGAAATGTAGGACTTGTAGTTCTCGATGTAGGAGAGTCCAAAGGCAACTGTAAGGGCGAAAAGTTGCAAAACGGAAGACCAGACAATCACGTCAGATTTCGGAGCGAGGGAAGAGTTCCAAATAAGAACAGTCAGAAGTAATTGGAATACCACCTGGACTGCCACGAGGACCAGTTTGAGGATAAACCACCACTCGGCCTTGGAGCTGATATTTTTTTTATTCCGGAGTCTAGTGATATCATGAAGACCTCCGATCAACAAGAAGGCGGACAATGTGGTTCCCAAGACACCGTTCACAAAACACGGTGTTGGGTCCTGAAGAGCAGAAACGGGACTAAATCCTTCGCCGTCCAAACACCCGCAAAAAGACGAGGTCTGATTAATAGATTCGGCTGAAATACGCGAATTGGCAAAGCCCGAGGCCAATTGCACCCAGAACGACGATGCATGCTCCATAAACGAGCCGTGTGCGGGATCGTACTCAAGACCGTTTATGATGTATTCCGACATGGTGTAATTTCCAGTAAAATACCACCAACTACGATCAATAGTAGGAATATAAAAAGTCTAAGATTTTATTCGCTCTAAACGGCTTTTTTCATTTTAAAGGGCGCGCCACACACAAGATGAAAAATAATTAAACTAAATTGGGAAATCACTAACATTCCGATAAAAAAAATATAATCATGACTTTCCCTTCTGAACTTGACAACACTGTCAAGCTCGAGGACCCGGACGCCTTGCACGACCGGTTGTTTGTTAAGAAGGAAGAATTGGATGCAGACTCGTATAAGGACCTTGTTTTCAAGCCTAAACCCGTCAAGAGAACAAGAACAAAATACCGACCTCCAAACGGCACAATATTGAATCTAGACGGCTGCGCCACTTTGAAGTCTTTGAATGACACCTACGACTACGACGACGTGTTGTTTATGTGCCAGGCCCTTTCAAAATCAAAGAAAATTGTCACAATCACCGGAGCAGGAGTCTCTGTCGAGTCTGGGATTCCTGATTTCCGTTCCGCAAACGGCCTGTTTCAAGGCTTTGCCTCGAAATCAAACGGATCAGGTAAAAACCTGTTTGATTACAACGTGTTCCGGTCCTCAGAATCCATCAAAGAGTTCGAAAACATGATCCATAAACTGTACATTCTATCAAACAACTGTCAACCGTCTCCTTTTCATTTGATGCTCGACAAAATTTCGCACCAAGGACGTCTTTTGCGTCTTTACACCCAAAATATTGACTGTCTCGACACCCAACTGCCCAACTTGCAGACCAAAGTGCCCCTGGCTTTCAAAAAACCGTACCCTAAAACCATCCAGCTACACGGGAATATTAACCTTGTTAATTGCTCTAAATGTCATTACGTGAAAGAACTAGACAAGTCGTTTTTCGATGAAAATCGCACCGTTATACAAAATTGTCCAGAATGCGAGGAGTTGAACGCAGTGCGTGCAATCGCCGGCCGCAGAGCTCAGTCGGGCGGTGTTCTGAGACCCAGAATAGTGTTATACAACGAGTTCCATCCAGACGGTGAAATAATCGGCAACATCACCGAGTCCGACTTGAAAAGCCGCCCGGACTGTTTGCTTGTTGTTGGGACCACCTTGAAAATTCCAGGGGTCCGTCGTCTGGTGAAAGAGATGGCCAAAGTTGTTCATTACAACAAGGGAAGCGTGATATGGGTCAACGTTGACCAGCCGTCTCAGTCCATTGTGGACTATGTTGAGCATTTCGATCTTATCGTCACTGGAAGTTGCCAAATACTCCCGTCATTACTGGAGGAGTACGAAGCGTTGCAACCAAAGAAACGGCAAAGAAAGCCCAAAGAAGCAGGGCCAAAGAATCAGTCCCAATCCACATCGTCCTCTGGGATTTCCACCTCGTCATGAGGCTCTTTGGGCTCCTGGTTCTCGCTCCACTGTGTCACATCGTCAATGTAACTGAGAATCGACTTGACAGTGTCGTTCTTGTCTTTGTCTGAACAATCCAGTGGCAGAAATTGCACCATTCCGAAATCATCAACCAGCTGAGCAATAGCCTTGTTCAATCTGGTGTATTTTGGATTCGAGGCAATATAGCCTTCTTCCTGTTCGTTCGACTGTTCCAAAATCAACGGATCTGGGTTCAGGAACTTCCTTAGCTTCGACTTGGACACTGTGTCTCTGATCAAATCGGTTTTCGACAAAATATTAATGTGTGGCAACTCCATGAATATCATAGCAGACATTGCACTCAACGCTCCAGAGAAGAACTTCGAGTTGTCTATCACGAACGGCGCCTCCAAAAGATACGTGCAACACAGACTGAACCCGAGCTGCTGTTGCAGATGCTTCGTTATGGTTGGCAGAACTGGAACATGGCTATACAGCTCGATCTGGCCAGGACAGTCAAAAATCAGATAATCGTCGCTATAGTCGCCGATCTGCTCGTCGAGCCAGTCCAGATTATCCAGAAGAAACTCAAAACAATAGAGAAGCGCTCCGTTGGGTCCCAAATGCAGTTCTTCCTGGACATCTTGCAAAGAAATAAGATCCCTAATGTCAATACTAAACTCGAACTCTGTCGGGTCTGCGGCCGGATCGAGATTCACCAGGTGCGCAGTCCGTCCGATAGATTGCATGTGCGCGACAAGAGAGTTGCAATAGGTGCTTTTCCCCACTCCGGCGGGGCCCAATGCCAAAACACCAACTTTGGACATAACAAGATGGAGACTAAGTTATTTTATTTTGCACCGAGAAAAATATTTTGTATTATATAATCTTCTGAGTCGCGCACGATCGTCTATAGCTACTTAACGTATGGAAACATGTTACAACGACATGGTCAACCAGTCCCAGTTGTTGTTGGAGCCCTGGCCAGACGGCTGTCCCGAGCCCTGGGTTGAAGGACGGCCGCCGTTTTCTTCTGCGTTGGGCCGGTTCTGATTCTGTGCCCCCATCGAGAGAATGGAGTCAAAGTCCAGAGCCTTCATGTCTTTGGAGGACTGCGAGTCGTAGTAGTTTTCGTCCTCTTCTTCAAAGTCGTCGTTCATGTCGTTGCCGTTTTCTTCTTGGAGTCGGGAAGACCTGCGGTCTGTTGTGGCCGGGCTGGAGCCTGTCTTGGATTTATTGATAATGATCGGCGTTGGGTTGAGGTCGTCACCGTTGGTTTTGCGCTTAGGCTTCTTGTTTGTGGCTCCACGCTGCCGCTTCTTTATAACGTCGGTCTTGAGCGAAAGTGGCCGAACGACACCGTGGAGCTTGAGGAACAGGCCGCAGGCGTTGCAGAGCGGCTGGCCCTCGGGGTTTCTCCGCCACAGGGGGGTGGTTTTCGTGTGGCAGTTTGTGCATGCAATGCTTCCTTGATCCACGCCGCTGAAGCCCCCGTTGGGCGTGCCAACAGACGTGGCGGACGGTGGAGTGCCGGTTGGTGTGTTGCCAAACGGTCCGTTGTCCGGGAACGACCCGGGCGTCGGCGTGAGCGAGGACACGTCCGTGACGCTGCGAGGGGTGCGCTTCATGGGCTGCTTGCGTTTTGCGGCCACGCTCGTGCGCCTGGCAGACTTGGGCGCCGTGTTGAACTTGGCTCCGGTCGGCACGGGCGGTGTAGAGATGTTGGTGGGGGTGGTGGCCATGCCGAGCTGCGAGGACTGCTCGAACATGTTCATGTCGCCGTCGATGTCGAAGTTGAACTCCTCTTTGGGGAACTGTGGGTGGAACTTGTCGAAGGAGAACGCCTGGAAGCGGGATTTCGATGTGATGGACGATTGGGACGGCGAGTACATTGGGTTGGAGTTTGGCACGGAATTGTGTCCGAGGAAGTCGTTAGAAGCGTCCGCGGTGGGGATGTGGGAGAGGCTCGGGTGGTGGTTCAAGGAGGTTGGCACGGAAGTGGACACGGCGTCGAACCCGACAGGCGACGGCGACCGTTTCAAGTCAGGTCCCATGGCAGTAGGAAACGAGCTGGCTCCAATCTCGAGCGAGTCCGAGTTCATAAACGTCTGCGAAAGCTTAGAGAACTGGGCTCCCAGAATAGGAGACACCTCCTTCCGGGGAAAGGCTGGGCTTTGCTGGCTGCCTATGGATTTAATGTGTTCAATATAGTCAAAGTCGTTGGAGCTGGGGTCTGCGTGGTGCTGTGCCTGGGAGTCCAGCAGGTCGAGGTCTGGGAACTGCGGCCAATTGGCGTAATTAGATGGGTCGGTATGGGCTGGGGCGGGAGCCAGCTCGTGCCGAGAGGAGTCTGGAGCCGAGGATGGCTGCTGCTGCGGCTGAGCATGGAGCTTCTCCAGCGACTGCACGGAGCTCTTAGGCCGGCTTTTGTTGAGATTGATAAACATGAGGCGCCAAGTCAGGTTCTCCATCCGCGATCGGTACGGTAAACTCGCCTTGGCTTTGGAATACATCTTCCAAAGCGCAGTCGCAGAACTCTCGTCAGCCTCACGCGACTGGCTAGCAGAGTCGAGATCGAACAACCGGTCAGTTTTGGGCTCGAGCCCAAGTCCAGTATGGGGAGACTGGCTGTTCGAATACATGGTTCATAATTCGTAACCAAGAGAAAGGCTAGAGATATCTTTTTGTTTCGTCCACCTCGTCTCGGCCATTCAACTGTCGACCCATGTTTTAATTGGTCGGATAACAACGGCATGCATATATCTTGCAGGGTCGCTATCGAGAACAATACCAACAATAAAATTGCTAGTTCACCGTGCACGACCTGTTACATTTTTCACCTGCCCGGAGCGCAAACCACTAATCAGGAAATCTCGTAGCTGTTTTTTCCGGTGTGTTTGTCTTGAGAAGATAAAAACCATTTCTTGCTTACATAATCCTACGGGGGAAATAAGGGCCCTACTTGGACGGACAAATGCTGCCGGTCATGCTCCCGCTGCTGGCAACGCTGCCGTTCGACGCGTTCAGCCGCGTGAACGAGTCCACATCCCCGTACCGGCTGGTCGTGTTGCTGAACATGTTCTTGACATTCGCATGCTCTATGATCGACTTCTGGCTCTTGCTCAGCTCCTCTCCAGACTGGATCGTGGACGTGGACGACTTTCTATACATCGAGTTCTTGATCGCAGACACCGTCTGTTGCTGAGACAGACTTCCGCTGCTGTCTGGACGGAACCGTGGGTGGATCGGAAGCAAGCTAGGCCCCAAACCGTTGAAACTTGGCACCCCTGCCCCGGGCACAGGTCCTGCTACCATCGCATAGCCGGTGTACTGTTGTGCATACATCATCTGGGGCATATATGGTGGCATTCCAGGCATCATCGGGGCCTGTGCTGGATATTGTGGATATTGTGCACTAGGCACCGCTGCATACCCTTGTCCACCAGATTCAGAAACTCCGAGCGATCTTCTGTTTGCCCAGTCAAAAATATTTTGGTCCTTCAGTTTCTGGATCTCCACGTAGAAACTGTACAGTGTTTCCACATACGTGAGCTTGAGGTTGCTCTTGGTGGCCAGACTCAGTGTCTGTTTCAGTGCAAATTGTATATTGTTGGCATAGCCTAGATTGAAGTTGTAAACGCACGTTGCAAGATCCATGGCCGGATCTTTGGAAACGCTGTCTATGGAATCGGAGAAATTGGCTGTTTTGATGGCGCTCTTGGGGTGAGCCTGGTTGAAATCTCTAATCATGATATCAAGCAAGTTTTTGCATTTGGATGCGTCCGCTGGGTCTGGCAGGTCGGGTGCTCCGTATTTACGTCCGAGCGTAACTAAATCTGTAAAGACTCCCTTCAGTGTTGAAAACTGCGTAGTATCCAAAGTGGTGAGTTTGGGATACACCAGACTCATGACTTCTAAACTGATGAAAGGAATGATTCGCTTCCAGGCGAAACTGTTGAACGTGGGATTTATACCCTTGGGGATCAAATAACAGGGATATACTTCTGATTTCTTTAGTGTTTCTGTGATTTGATTCAATTTTTGCCCTATCTCTCCTTCTCCCTTTAGCAGTTGAGTGGTAGCCTGGTCTGGATTTATGGTTGAGCCAACAACCGTGGTGACATTATGGTTTTTATGGTAGTAGTGGGAGCCGCTGACATTTTTCACAACCCTCACGTCAGCATCGCACAACACCGCCAGAGTTTTGGACTTTGGTAAGGTGCTTTTGATCACTTCTTCCAGCCCCAAACAGTATTTTGACTCGACCAATATTATGGTCTGGGGCCCCACAAGAGACCGGATTTGTGTGGTTGTGTCTATGAGGGCCTCTTGTGTATCCTCCCCCAAAATAACCAAGTCTAAAGGACGAATGGCGTCCAAATTGAGTCCTGATAGATCCTTAGCGGTCCCGCTTGGCTCATAGCTGATATCTCCGTACTTGGAAGACTTCCATGAGATGGTCCCGTCCTCACTGGAAACACAGCTAGACCCAACAACAAATATTTTGCAGTTAGCCACCGACAACCGCCAAGCTAAAAAGGAACACGACGGCGTATCTCCAACTGGTTGGTTAGTTTCTTTGGTTTGAAGCGCTTAATAACTTACAACTTAGCACATTAAATGACTCCATCTCTTGCCAGTTCAGTGTTTTTCCATTAACTACCGACAAAAAAGGGGATACTCCTATTTTTTTCGACGCCCATAATTTTATTGAGTGAGCCCATAATATCTGTCTCGATAGGGCTGCACAGCCTTGATCTAAATAATATATGTATGTACAAGATTAGGCCATCCCGTCGCGGTCGATGTCGGCCTGGAGTCGGTCCTTTTGTTTCTTGAGTGCCATGAATCTGAACGAGTCGAGCTGGGCAGCCATTTTCAGGCTTTCGCCAAACGTCTTTGGCTCTGAGTTTAAGGCCTTTTCGTAATCCTCTCTCATTTTCTTCTTACGCAGCTTTGCGTCCTGCTTGCGCTGTTTACGCAGCTCTTCTTCCTTCTTCTTGAGCTTCTCAAAGTAGAAGGTGTTCTCCTTCGTGGATAAGGCCCGCGATTTCGACTCTAGCGCCCAAACATCGCCCATTTTCAGCTTGCGCGCATCGTGATACGCCTGGTTCCCCACGCTCTTGGAAATATACCATTTCTCCACGTGACCGGACGGAGCACACATGTCGGTGACAACAAATCCTTTGCGCTTGAGCGGGGGCGACAGAACTCTTGGATATTCGGCCGGGTTTTCAGTTTGGTAGCCAACCGGCCTGTCTCCCTGATCTTGGCTGCGGAGCTGTTCCAGAGTCTCGTTGGACTCTGTTGATCTCTGCACAATTAAATAAGAATAGCTAGCCGTTTCAAAGTCCTTTCCATTTGGACGGCCTTTACCGGCATATGCCAGATACTGTTTCCTGGTGGTGTCTTGCCAGGACGATGCCAACTTGGCACCTCTTTTCAGCTGCATCACGTATTTTGGCCGTGCAACGTCCACCGTGTAGTTGCAGAACTTGAGTCTCTTTCCAATTTGGCCCATCTTGTAGTAGTCTGGGTTGAAAAACTGCAAAGGACACTTGCCATGATGGGAGCACGGAGCAACCACTTGGAGATTAATAGGGTCCACGGTCTCTGTTGTCTGGACCTCAAAGTTTTGTAGCAGTTCCGGCTCGATATCAGCTGCCTCTTCTTTGGTCAAGATGGCACTGTTCTTGTACAATCTGGGCACCTTGGAAGTCTTGGATTCGTGGTCTTCTGGACGGAGCATCACCTGTCTAGCACGAGCAATGATTTCTGCTCCCAACGGGTTTCCTCTCTCGACAATCACTAAATATCCGCCAGGAGCCAGTCTATTGACCAGAACGTCAAGCGACTGATCAACTTGTAACGGAAAATTGGCTCTGTCGGTGAGCATCTGATGCTGAGCAATGATCAAGTCGTACTTCACCTTCTCCGGACGCAACTTATCCAGGATCACCGACTTAATCTTTAGCAGCTTGGTCTTCACTCTGGTCACTTCCGGAATAACGTCTGGCTGCTTCTCGTCCACCTTGGTCTGGCTTGTCTGGTCAATCTGGTCAATCTGGTCAATCTGGTCAACCCCCTCCACATCGTCTCTCAGATACTGTTCGTTCAACTGCCGACTGAGCAGGATTTTCGCACGTCTCTCCATGTGGAACGACCCGTTCACAACCACATCCTTCACCTCAGGGTCAAACTGGTCTCCCATGATTTCGTTCAAAGCAAGCATTCCTGTGCCAGGACCGTGTCCGTAGTCGAGCACTCGTTTAGGCATCCAGTCGTCTCCGGCCCGTCTTTTCAGCTCGTCCAACACCTGGTAGCATGTGGCGTAGTTCTGCAAGAACGAGCTGGCTATGTACACGTCGGCTTCCTCTTCGGTACTCGTTCTGGTCTGCAGACCGACCTCTTCCAATTTGATATAATGATCAGCCACCTTGGCCTTCAGCACTTTGGGCTCGTGCAAAAGAAGCATGTTATAGTTCACGGCGTCGCTGATGAGATCGGGAAGAACAATCCGTGTTCTGTTAACTCTGCCGGCCACGGTCTTGGGATCCAGTCGAGCATCCTTGCTGGTGGCAGCAGCATATAACTCGCCTGTTTCTGTGTTTCTGTATTTCGGATCCACTCCCTCAAGCGCCTCCTCCTGGGTGACAACACGCCGGTTCATTAGTGGGTCGCGGTCATGAAGCACCTCGTTCACAAGCTGGCCAAACGTCTCTCCGCCCGCTCTGTATGCGTAGAACAGCTCTGATTTCTCTGTGGCCACGCTTCGAGCGCGCTCGATCGTCTCAAACGCCTTGTCGTCGTCGTGCTCAATCTGGATCTTGCGCCGAGGCACACATCCACCGAACCGACGAGCCAAAGCAAACGCTCTTGTTCGTAGCATGTAGTAAATTAAAAGATTTGAAAATTTTTGACAGGCTGTGCAAACAAATTAAAAGATAACTAATTGTCATGGGGCTAGAGCCGCCTTCAAAACGGCGACCACGCTCGCGACGGCTCCGTTTCAAGCGCAGTTCGTCTACGAAATCCAGTACGGACTCGGACGAGGAGCCACGGCCGACGCCTCGGCTGCCTCCGCCCAGGACCCGCTCGAGAACAAGCCACACAAATAGCCAACCGCACTACGAATTCGGACCCAGTATCAACGGATACCGCTTTGTTTCCACCGACCCGGGACAGAAACCGTTCCAGGATGTCAACTTCCATCGCCACATCAACGGGTATTCCGCAGAACTGCCCGATGTTCCCCAGAAAGACGACCCTTACAAATCTCGCGATAACAAGTACCAGCGATATCTGAACCAATGGAAAGACATCGACCTCGAAGCACAGTTCCCGCCAGTTCCCGTGGACGGCGGTGAGGTCAGTTTCCAGAGCGTGGCCTCGTTTATCCCCAAAGACCAGCTAAAAGCCGAACGCGTTCGGTGGCATCCAGACAGAATTCTTAGTCGTGTGAGCGAGTCGCGCAAATCGATTCTGTCGGAGCTGGTCACCAGAACGTTTCAGGTGATCAACCAAGTTTACGAAGAGTCCCTTCAATGAGTATTGCAACCCGCATAAATAATTACCATGTTTAATTAAGATTCCAATTATATTCGTTAGATAACTACTCTTTCTTTTCCTCCACCTCTTCGACTTCTTCGACCTCTTCGACTTCCTCAGCCTCGTCCCCGTCCTCTTCGTCTTCCTCTTCTTCCTCTTCTTCGTCTTCCTCTTCTTCTTCTTCTTCCTCCTCCTCTTCGTCGCCAACAGTCTCCTTATCATCCTCCTCGTCCTCTTCCTCCTCGGGCGGATACTCCTCGTCCTCCTCGTTGTCCCAGACGATGTTGAAACGGGTCACACGCGGCTTCTCAGCAAGAATATTTCTCACGATGTGCTCGACCTGGACCTTGGACGGCGGGTTCTCGCGCAATTCCTCCGAGTCGTACTCGTTGTTCACGTAATAGCCAACTCTCACAAACTCGCGTTCTTTGTACGAGCAACTCAGCAGGATCACCGTCACAGACACAAGCTCGCTCGCAGGAATCAGCTCTGGCGACGGAGCGTCCGCAGTCAGGATAAACTTGTTGATCCCCACGGGCACAGGCCCCACCAAAATTGAATCGAGCTCCTGGTCGTGCTCGAGAGACCTCGAAGAACCAACATACGTCAGTTTCCACTCCAAATCCTCCTTCAGCGGCTCCAAACACTCAAACGTGATCTCGAACTGGTACGGATCCGTGAACCGGGCCGGGTTGTTCAGCACATTGATCCCTAGTAACGAAACTATCGACATACGCGTTTGTGAAAAAAACGTTACACCGCCACAAATTTAAGAAATATATCAGAAACCAGGGCTGCACTGCCACGTATTTACACTTTGCCAGAATCAATAAAATATTTTTTGTATTGATCACCATGTCCTTCATGAGCACTCTGTTTGGTCCCGACGCTGACAAATGGCCACACAGCGACGAGTCGCTTGCGCTTGCACTGGAGACACGAGTCCAGCAGGAGAAGACGAAACAGGAGTTCTACAGAGTGGAGCAGCTGAATCGCACCACAGAGCTGGTGAAACTGGCTGCTCAGCTCAACATTCCGCCAGATCTGATCCCAATGCTTGTTCCTGGAAGAAGACAGCAAGTCCGCAAGCCGCTTAGGGTGGACACCAACCCGATGACCAGCTTCAAATTCGGTTCTGGCTCGAGTCCGCGCAAAACCACACTGAATCCTCGTCACCAGCTATCTCCGTCCAAGATCGGCGCACACCACGTTTCATCGTTGTTGAACGGCAAACAGCCACTTGATATCAGCCACGTACGGCACGGGAGACACCAACGAACCATCTCGTTGCCGCCTGAAGTGTCCATCCCTGAACATTCAGAACAGACTCCACGCAAGAGACGACAGTCTCCAGGCCCAGAGATCGTTATTCCGGCACTGGATACCACCCCAGACAAGAAACATAGCAGACAGCTATCTGCGGACGTTTCGCTGGTATCGCCTGTTAATTAATGTATTTATTGGGACTCGTTATACGAGATCTCTGCGAGCTGCTCAATGTCCAGCAGATTGACAAACTCCAGCTCCTCAGAGCCTTCTGCCAAGATCTTCTCAAACACCACGTTCTCCTTGTTTAATTCGGCCACCGTTTTGCGCAATTCGTGGCCCAAGTTCCGCAGAACTGTGTCGTTTCCCTTGGTAAGAGTCCAGGCACACAAATCGTCGAGCCAGATCTTGCAATAGATATAGTACACGTCGTGGAACCGGAACAGCTCCCGACACGCTATGAGCGTCTTGAGCACTGCGCGAGTGCCGCATCTCAGCGTGTAATACACGTCGTCCCAGACGGCTTTCACCATTTTCCAGTGTCTAACTAATGGGAAGCACAAACTGCGTCTGCTCATAGTGATTGCAACCACTTTGAGCATGTTATTTTCTGTTTCGTTGTTCGACTGGATTAGCTGCGAGTCCAGACAGCTAAACTGCGGAACGAGCTTTCCAACCGTCCAGCCACTCTCGACGGTCGTGTCGCCCTCGTTCTGCCGCACCTCGTACAGATACGCATATAGTATACACACAATTGTGTAATAGAGAGGACGGACGTTTTCAACCAAATATGACTTCTTCGGCAAATCCATCATCTTGTCGTTCTCTTCTGCTGTGAACTCTGTTTGCTTGTGGTGCTTGTATTGATCGTAGACGGGGTTTTCCCAGGCGACTAGTTGCTTGATGTTTGATTCGGAAGCAAAGTATTTTTCTGTGAGGTAGTCGTTGGCGTAGTACTCGGCGTCGAACTTGAGGTTTTCTTTGATCAATCGCTCATTGATTCGTTCGTCCGCGGCCATTTTGTCCGGATTAGACAGCTCGTTGATGTCGTTCCCGTTGGAGATGGAAGCGTCCATCATGTCAGAATACTTGTTGTCAAAGCCGTACAGAAACTGCGGGACCAATGAAACCGGCTCTTGAACAACCTGCTCGACCTCCCAGTCAAACTGTTCGGCTTCCTGAGCCAGCGAGTCTGTTGTTTCCGTGCTGCCCAGCTCTTCTATCAGAACACCCTGTTTCTTAGGAGCCTCAATTCGTCCCAGCAGCTTTGCCGGCAGGTCCAGGTCACCAAAAACCTCGCCCTTCTGCGCCTTGGGCATCTGGATCGAAATGCAGTCGTTATTCGTTACAAACTCGGCCTTGGCCCGCTCGTCGTCAACCAGGCCTCCAGAAAACCGCAGCCGTAGATAGTACGGCGGGAGCGAGAAAATGAACTTCTCGTCGTCGGCAGTCATCTCGAGCGCCGCGGCAGAGAACCGCACGCTCGAAATGAACACCTTGATGAACACAAACTCCTCGTCCTGAGACACCTCAAAGCGTGGTGTAATCATATGCGGCTCAAAAAAATTTGATATTTTTTTTCTCTTTTTTGAAATACTTCTCTTTATGTCTCCATCGCTCGATACTACGCCAAGAAGACGGCGGTTTGTGGGCTCACGTGAGCAGTCACAGACGGGCGACCGATCTACGGTGATTGTGCGGGCCAAGAAGAACGTTTCGCGGCTGATCAACCAGATTCCGCAAGAGATCCTGGATGATGTGGAGCTGAAAGAGGCTGTTCGTCTATTGCCCTCGAATTACAACTTCGAGATCTTCAAGACCGTTTGGAACGTGCGCAAGAACAACGCCAAGCGGGTGTGTTTGCAGATGCCCGAGGGCCTGCTGATTTATTCGATGGTGATTGCAGATATAATAGAGCAATTCTGCCAGGCAGAGGTTCTTGTCATGGGAGACGTCTCGTACGGAGCCTGTTGCATTGACGACTACACTGCACGGGCCTTGGACTGCGACATGATTGTCCACTATGCTCATTCGTGTCTGGTTCCGATCGACGTGACCAAGATTAAGGTGTTGTATGTGTTTGTTACCATAGCCATTGACGAGAAACACTTGATGCGCACATTGACCAAGAACTTTGACCACGGAATGCGACTCGCCGTTTTCGGAACCATCCAGTTCAACCCAACAATCCACTCCATCAAGAACGAGCTCGAAGGCCCAGACTCAGAGAAACTGCTCTACATCATTCCGCCGCAGATTTCTCCACTGTCCAAGGGAGAGGTGCTAGGATGCACGTCTGCCAGCTTGGACCCGAATCAGTACGACGCCATGGTGTACATTGGTGACGGTCGGTTCCATCTGGAGAGCGCAATGATTCACAACCCGTCGATCCCTGCTTTCAGATACGATCCGTACTCTAGAAAGTTCACCAGGGAATACTATGCACAGGAGGAGATGGTTCAAGTGCGAACCGATGCCGTGCAACGTGCCAGGGACGCTAAAAAGATTGGCCTGATTCTTGGAGCGCTTGGAAGACAGGGAAATCCAGTCACCGTGGAAAAACTCGAGCAACAGTTGATCCAGGCCGGAAAGATTGTGGTCAAGATTATTCTGTCTGAGATATTCCCGGCCAAACTGGCCATGTTTGACGATATCGACGCTTTCGTCCAGGTCGCGTGCCCCCGTTTGTCGATCGACTGGGGGTATGCCTTCCACAAACCGCTGCTGACACCATACGAAGCCATGGTGATGCTTGAAAATGACAAAAAATTCGAAACTGGATTCTACCCAATGGATTACTACGCTAAAGACGGCTACGGCCGTGGAAAAGTGCCCGATAGAAATGCGTAGGCCCATCTATTATTTATTATGCACTGTCTAATTGATGATTCTCAACTCTGTCTCGTAGGCTTCCTCCACTCCTAGAAGCGTAGCAACGTGCATGTCGTCCCAGCGAAACACGTTGATCGGCTGGTTGTCGCTGTCGACAAGGTACTCGGCAACAACAAGTCGCAGCTTGCGATAGAACTTGACAAACTGCAAAGTCGAGGTAATGAAAATGGTGTTGAGGATTTTTGGAGAGATCAGTTTGTTCAGCTCGTTGGAAACAAGATACCCGATCAAGAATTCCTGCAGTTTCTGGTCGGCGTTCTGGAAAGTCGAAACATTAAACAGCTTGTTCTCTGTGATCGGTTCGTACAATGCAACGTCGAAGAAATCGTCTTCCAGCTTGTAGATCATATTGATCAAGTTGTAAATGTCAAACAGACCAGAGTTCCGTAGCAGCTGGGTGAACTCGTCTGAAATCAAGGACTTGATGTTTGTGTCTAGAACCCCCTGTGCGGTAACCTGTTTTCCCCCCAAACATGAAATCAACTCAAGTTTGGACACAATAAAGTCCACACAGTTTATAGTGAAGATGGTTTTCGATTTTTTGGAGAAACTTAATTTCTTCACTATGCGTTCCAACAACTCAATGGGTTCGTCAACAAGCAGACGGAAAAGTTCGTTTTCCGACTCCACACTCACGTTCAGGAAAGTCTTGTCGGTTGAGTTTTGGTAGTCAAAGATCACCAAGAACTCCGAGTAGAAGTCGATCAGCCAGTCCGGCAAACTCAAAACTTCCTCATCCACCTCCTCGATCTCGGACTCCACCTTGATCTCTCGCAGTTTCAGCGTGACCAGAATCAACAGCTTTTCGAAACTGTCGTGTTGCAACTGAGTGAGACTATCAATCAGATCGTTCTGTTTCGTCAGCTTGTCAAACATATGTTTGTACAGCTCCAACAGCTGGTACAACTCAACCACAACTCCTGGTTTGGACTCCTGTCTTAAAATAGTCTCATAACTGCTTTTCAGCGGTCTACTAAGAGACCCCAGAACTTTGTTCACGACAGTTCTGATCACAGGAGCCAGGTCTGTCGAGACCTCGCGGTCGAACGTGAACAGACTCTCCACCAGCTCCAACTCGTTGACAATTACACTATGGAGGTACGCAAGAACGTCACTCACATATCTCTTGGAATCGTACGAGGCCATGATAAATGACTTGGAAGGCTTTGTGCGGATCTCGTTGGTGTACCCGTTCAGTTGGCCAAGAAACTCTTCGGTGACGATCCGCGAACGACTCTCAATGATCTCGCTCACAATGGAATCAAACTCGTCCTTATTTTTGGTCAGCACAAACACCAGAGCGCGTTGGAAATTGGCAATGGATTCGGCATCTTGTGCGAAATCGTTCTGAATGTAAATGGAGTTGAGGTTCTTGCGGAGGAAACTCGAGATCCGGTCAATGGCAATCTGTTGCAAATTAGACATCTGGTTCATGATGCTGATTCCAAGCTTGTCGTTGTTCATACTGAGAAGAATATCACAGCTTGAGTAAATCTTTTCCACCTTGGCCACAACGTTGAAGAAGTCTCTATCTATGTTTCCAGCACGCAACAAATGGTCTTCGTAAACGCTCAATGTGAAATTAGTTCTGAACCCACTCAACAGGCCCTTTTTGATCTTGACCAGATCGCGTTGTCCGATCAATTCCTTAACGCCTTTTTTGTAAGTCTCGACGGATTTCAAGCTGCTATCGAGCTTCTGGTCAATTTCGTCGTAACACGAGTTCAGATCCTCCAAGTCCTGTCTGATAACGTTTAATTTCTTCACCACAAGCTGGAACTTCTTCAATGACTGGAAATGCTGTCGAAGAAGCTCGCTTTCAATGTCTCCACGAAGTTTACGTCTGGTAATTGATCCCAACATGTTTGGACTGGTCAGGTTTTTATAATCAATACCGCCATCGGCAGAGATCTGCTGGTCTTCGGTCCGCGATTGCAAAAGGAGCAGTGACTGTCTAATTGAGGAGTCAAAATTAAACTGGTTTAAGACCCTGCTTAACCGTCCTGCCAAGACGTTGGAGTCTGTAGTTTCTGAAGACGTGCCCAAAGGAGCCGGGGTATCGGAGCTTGACAAAATTAGGTCTAACGACGACTTGGCATACCGAAAGGCAACTGTATCTTGGGCCTGGTCTTGATCCTTCCCCTTTGGCTTGATGTGATTTAATATGTTCAAGTTGGAGAACTTGCGCGTGATATCGCCCTGAAGCGGGAAATTAGGGATTGTCAATGGTGCCGATGGAACAGGCAACGAGCTGTTGCGCGAATTGCCGCTGTAATCATCGTAAGTGTCAAAGACAAAGTCCATGTTAAAGAACACTTATACAAAAAATTATTGACACTTACAAAAGGAAAAACGCATTCCACATACATCTTTACACGCGTAAGAAAACCCCACAAGCCTATATAAAACCGCGATCGAGAATACTCAACATATTGCCATCCTCCTGCAGTCGGCCGTTGTATTTGAAGCCGGCACCAGAATATCGCGCACCGGTGGTGTCAGAAAATTGTATACCGGCCGGGGCGAAATTTGGCTCGGACATGAACCCTGTTAATTGCACAGCGAGTGTTTTCGGCTTAGGAGGGCCGGAATTATAATTTTCAAGTTGGGGCTCGGGTAACTCCACGCGGGTGGAGGTTTCTGACTCGACTTCCCCGGCCAAGTAGTCGGAATAAAGACTTTCCTCGATTTTGAGGCCCTGAAGACGCGGGTCATTAGTTGGCCTTTTAAGTAGCTCGGAAACGTTCGAGCTGCTGGGCATATAACTTATTATGTGGTATTTGTCACCGGATTTCAGCGTGGCGGAAAATGACTGTTTTACAAGCCCGTCAGGCTTGACATTTGACGAAGGGTGTCCGTTCTCACCGGACTCCATCTCTCTGTAGATGAGGAAAGCAGAGTTAACTCTTGAGGCGCTCCAGTTTCTGCTATCTGTCCAACGTTTGATTTTTGATTCGGACTCGTTCCATACAAAAATTGATCCGGGCCGTATGAGTACCATTCTCTCGTAGTCTGACAGTCTTCTGTTGATCTTGGGTATCAGGTTGTTGCGAGCAGCCTCCAACAGCAGTATTGCGTCGGATAATGACAGGACTACTCCATGATAGGATTCCATTTGCGATAAAGAAGATCGGACAGCGCACACCAGGAACTCGGGGTATTTATTAATCCATCACCCAGCCTCAGTGGAATCGGAATTAAGCTTTTAAGAATCGCAGACCGAGATTATGTCCGTTCCCGAAAGGTTATGTACGATTAACTTTATTTGGGAGCCGGTATAATTTGGCTTAGATTTTAGCGCAACACTATTCACCGAAATGGTGTGACAACAACCAATGAACGAAAAGAGAAGTAAATTGAGTTTAGCCTTCTACATCATACGCACGCTGTGTCATTTAGAGCTGGCTTCGGCTATTGTTTGTAAGCATGCGGGTCAAATCCGTGATTTGAATCCCGGATTTTTTTCCACATCTAACTCCGAATTAGTAAACCTAAGCCGCATACTTAGTAAGTTTATCATCATTGTACCGAAAGTACTTTCCGCTAAGCTCCTGGGGAATACCTTGTAATGCAAGGTTTGCATACAATGTCCCTGGAACGTCCGGTGGTAGCAGTTCTTGCCGCTTATGCAAATCAGTAAACCGTTTGTGTGCCTCTGGTTTCATGCCGGATTTGAATTTCTCACGAATATCTTGCTGCATGGCCGTATCCACCGTACCGGGAGCCAAGGAAATTGTCCGCACTTTAGGCTCCTCCTCACTGACGCTTGCGCAAAAAAGGTTCAAAGCCGCCTTGGACGAACCGTATGCAGACCAGCCGTCCACCGGCTTGATCGAGGCGCCCGAGGAAACGAACAGGAAATTTCCGCCCGTTTCGCGAACATACGGTAAAGTTTGTGCCACAAGATCGATAACCGAGAATAAGTTCACTTCGTATAACCGTCTCACGTGATCAACATTTAATTCGGCAATGTGCCCAACGGGGTCCAGCAGCCCGGCGTTCAACACCACAGAGTCGATGCGTCCAAACTTGGCAATAGTTTTTTCAACCGTTTGTTTGACAACCGATGAGTCGGTGACATCACCGGCAATGCTTAGCACTCTAGGTGCAAACTTAGCTGCTAAATCCGATAACTGATCACCAGAACGAGCCACAGCAACGACTTTTGCTTCGGAGTCTTTTTTCAAAATCAATTGACAAATTGCAAGACCCAGTCCTCTTGATGCTCCTGTAACAATTGTCACCGACATTTGCTTAGTATAGATGAATTTATTTTATACACGATGAAAACCCTGAATTTAAAGAGTTACGTAAGAGTGCTTTCCTTAAAGCTTTCGGGAAATAAAAAACTTATCGAATAAACACCAGTAAACAAGGAATTCCTCTGTGGAAAAAATTCACCGATAAGATTATATCTTGACATGAACAGTGGAACCACTCAATATGAGTGGGCGAAGACAATTCCCTGCAGAAATATCAAAATTCACGGATATTGCAAGTGGGAGAAGAAAGGCTGTTCCTTTAACCATGATGATCCTTCAAGGAAACCTAATTCAGAGACAACGCCGGTTTCCGAACCCACGTCGGCGTCTACCACGTTCTCCGCAGAAAGCGTGCCTATTATTAAGACCAATAGTGGCCAAGTAAAGACCCCTGTTCCTAATTCGTCTCCGTTGGCCTCACATTCGGAAACAGCCGATACTGGAGCTCGCAAGAAGTTCAACTTCGACACCCCTTCATTCACCCCCACCGGCTCCATGGTTTCCAAATTCGCAGACCTCTCCTCCAAATTGAGCGACATCCCTGCTTTCTCCCCCTCTTCTGCCACCGCAGTGCCTGCCTCTTCAGGTCTTCCCTTTGATCCTGAAAGCGCTCCAATTTTCACACCTGGACTCCAGTCGGAAGCAGAACCGTTTTTCCAACAAACTAATCCGTTTCCCATCAATTACCACTTGTATGCCGGCCAGCCACCGCCCCACATCCACCATCATCTCAAGCCTCACGAGAAGACCGTCTCAGATTTGTTCATCCCTAATAATTTGAGAGAAGAAATACAGCGGAAAAACGAAGAGTCTCTGCGTTCCATTTCCGTTGCGCAGTCAGGTTTGCCAATTCATGTCAACCAATACCACAGTCTTTGTCCAATTGACCAGAAATTTGAAACCAGTGCAAAGTCCTTTGGATATGTTTCTTCTGTCTACAAAGCGATGTCCAATTTGGATGGTAAACTGTACACTATGAGAAGATTAGAAAATGTTCCAATAACATCAGAAGCTTGTTTCCGGTCTGTGAGCAAATGGAAGTCGCTGAACTGTGCAAACGTGGTAAAACTCTATGAAGTCATGACTACCCGTGCTTTTGACGACAACTCTCTTGTTTTGGTCTACGATTACTACCCAATGTCTCTAAACCTGCTGGAAGCGCATTTTTTCAAGATAGGCGAGAAAGATCCTGAACTTATTACCGAGCCTTTATTATGGAGCTATTTGATCCAACTCACAAATGCCCTGAGCGAGGTACACAAAGCCGGTCTTGCGGTCAGAATCTTTGACCCAACAAAGATCATAGTTACAAACAAAGGCAGAATAAGGCTATCTGCTTGTGGAGTGTACGACATCTTGGAGGCTGCTACCAAAGAATCCCCTAAAGACACCCTTGAGGATTTGCAAAAAGGAGACCTGCAAGGAATGGGAATGCTTCTACTTGATCTGGCCAAGTCATTGGTCTTCTCCAAGGTTCAAAACTTGGGCGTCACGGAAACCATTCCGAAATTGACGGTGTCAGACAAATTCAAAGACGTTTTGCGGAAACTCACGACACAGGACATATCCGTTGCACAATTACAGCAAATCATCGCACCGGAGATTCTCTTGTTCACTAATGGATTACAAGACTCTGCAGATTACATGGAGGCATGTCTATCACGCGAAGTCGAAAATGCACGGCTGGTTCGTCTTTTCGCAAAGCTCGATTCTATCTGCGACCGCCCAGAATTCATCAAGGATGGCTCGTGGTCTGAAACCGGCGAGCGGTATCCGATCAAATTGTTCCGCGACTACGTTTTCCACCAGGTGGATGAGACAGGAAAGCCTGTCTTGGACCTCACTCACGTGGTGAATTGTCTGAATAAGCTCGATGCTGGCGTCAAGGAGACCATTCTTCTTGTTTCTCCGGACGAAATGAGCTGTCTTATTGTCAGCTACGAAACTCTTCGAGATCTGGTGGAAAAAAGTTTCCGACAGCTGCGCTCTTGAACAATTTTTTAGGCGCCCGATATTTCTTGCTCCATCATGACGTCCCACTATCATCTTTCGCAGTTCCATTGCAAGCTGCTAGAGCTGAGAGTGAATTTCTACCATTGGTGGAACAGCAATGGTATAGTGGGGAACCCGGAAAGACATCCAGACATCCTCACTAGACGTCTTAAAAATATTCCGTTGATATCTTTACGAAACTCTGAATGTGCTGCCTATTTAGTGGCAGTGGGATACGACAAGGGATCTGCCCTAGGGTCACCAGTACGGTCACCAGTGCAGTTGCCAGCCAGCCCGCAAGTGAAGAAGATCGAGCCGCTGTCCAAGAAGATTAGTAGTCCCGAGAGAAGACGATTCCACGGATCATATCAATTAAGAGTGGTTGAACAATTAGACGCACCACCGGTGACCAAGTCTGGCGGCTCAGAAATTGAAGAGAGGTTGGAGACACCGTTGCCGGAGAACCAATGGGAAGACCCACAGGATCCGGAAAACTCCCCTATTGAAGAACAGTATCCGCAAGACGGCGTTAAGAGGAACAGATCCATCACCAGATTTTTCCCGTTCAGAGCGAAAAAGATGAAGTTCATCAAGACTCCTCCGCTAGAGGAGAGTGACAACGAAGTGCCTCCACCTCCGCCTCCAACCAAACCACAGAGACAGGTGTCGATCATCGAACCGAACGAAGAGGAGAATCCAAAGTATCACGAGTTCGAGTCCGACTACTATGACTCAATGCTAGTAGATGCGGGTAGACGTGGGGAGAATAGGCGCGCGTTTTCTGATATCACCAACAGTTCGACCATGGTTTTCCGTCCCTTGAAGGCCATCTTAAAGCGCGATTTTGGCGAGATGTACGATTCTGGAGACCCATTCAACCATGCGAGAGAGTCAATGAGAGTTGAGCGGCCTGCGTCGCGGCACTCGGTCGTGTCTGCGCCAGGACGCAAGTCTACGAGACCAGGGTCGCATCTTTTCACCACGATAATAAATGACATTTCACTGAACGCTGCTTTGCAGGCCAATGGTCTGGCCCCAAGACGTCGCATCACCAAACAGGTGAATCCAGACTTTACGAACTTGAACGACTACACGTCGATCATGAGCACACAAAGCAAACGGTACCAGAAGCAGGAACGGCCTTTATCAATGGAGTCGTACGGCAGCCATGCATTTGTGATCGGACCAGAGGCCGACCTGGCCTCGGGAATTGGCCCGATGACAATTGTTTTGGAGAATGCAGGTGACCGGCGACAATCGACGCTGAATTACGGAACGGATATTATCGCAGATTATCAGCTATCGGACAGAACATTTTCAAGAGGAGAGAACGTGCTGGTTTCTAGACCACACACAAGGGATGAGAAAGACCATTCGGCGATCTTTGTGCCGCAGTTGGACCAATTGGATTATCTAGACTGATACCGGGACCGAGGATGCAGAGATGTGTTTTCCAATAAAGAGAACTTTTTTAAGGTAGGGCAGTAATATAAGCCAAATAAAAAAAAAAGCACAGCACCCGCAGCGGGTGTGAAGATGCGGCGCTGCGGCTGAAGCAGAAAGATGTTTCAAATAGTTGCAGCTATTGTGAGTGTTTGAAACATGGGTTTTGCATCAGGGGAAGGATATATTGGCGGCGTTGTCTTTAAAGTATTTGCCAATGGGATGCAATGCCAGCACAGCGATGGATGAGAGCGATCCAGAGTATCTGGAAAAGCTCCAAAACTCGAAAGTGGAGCAGATGTTGATGCAGAGCCAGCAGACCGAGAAGAACCAGGTGAAGCTTTTATTGCTTGGGGCTGGAGAAAGCGGAAAGAGTACTGTTTTGAAGCAAATGAAACTATTGCACAAGGGCGGGTTCACGTACCAGGAGAGAATGCTCTACGGAAACGTGATCTGGGCCGACACTGTTGGGTCGATGCAGACGTTGATCATACAGGCACGTAAACTTGGCATCCGACTGGCTTGCGATGTGCCGGACAGTGAGCTTAGCGAGTTCAAGAGGAAGGTTCTAGCGTATAAGACTCTGGACAGCATTGATGCTTCGAAAGCTGGCGGTGTTTCGTTTCTCAAGAACTATGTTCTCAAGTACAGCGAGAACGGAGCAGCCAGGAGGAAGAAGATGAGCACGGGGCGGGCAAATGCGGGCTGGGAGGATGATTACGACGAGGGCCAGGAAGGTCCGGAGGAGATAATCCCCGGACTTTACGAGTTGTCCGACAAGAACGAGGTGATGTACAGCCGACAAGAAATTGCCCATGCCATTCAGCAGCTATGGAACCACGACGAAGGGATCCAGACCTGTTTCCAAAAAAGTCATTTGTTTCAATTAGAAGGATCTGCCGCTTACTACTTCGACCATGCCCATCTGTATGCTGATGAAGAGTACTTGTGTACGGATGAGGACATTTTGAAGGGCAGAATTAAAACCACGGGAATCACAGAAACAAATTTCATCGTGAACGAGACAAAGTTCAAGATCCTGGACGCGGGTGGTCAGAGATCCGAGCGGAAAAAATGGATCCACTGTTTCCAGGACATTACGTGTGCGCTGTTCGTTCTTGCGGTGAGCGAGTACGACCAGATGCTGTTTGAGGACGAGAGAGTGAACCGGATGCACGAGGCGATCATGTTGTTTGAGAGTCTGTGCAACAGCAAGTGGTTTGTGAACACGCCGTTCATATTGTTTCTGAACAAGGTGGATCTGTTGGAGGACAAGCTGCGCCGGTCGCCGATCCGCAAGTATTTTCCTGATTACAAGGGCAAGACCAACGACCTGGAAGACACATTGCAGTACTTTGAGAAACTGTTTCTGAGTCTCAATCGTGCCAACAAGCCTATCTACGTGCACCGGACGTGTGCCACTGACGCCGAATCAATGAAGTTCGTCTTGACAGCAATCACAGACATGATTGTGCAGCAGAATCTCAAACGCAGTGGATTGATCTAGCACGATAGAGGGCAAAAAGAGTTTCCCGGTTTCTGGTGTGGATTTTCCCACTTAGTAATCTGTGGGGGAGCAATGGTCTTAGTAATACGGGGTCCAAATTCGAGACTCTGGATAAGACGAACGGGCGTTTATTTCAGCAACCCGGATTAGCCGCGCTCGTGCGATATTAGAAATAGGCAATTCCCCCCACCGGGTGTGGTTTTTATAATTTATACGCAATTACGCAGGACATTTGGAATTTTTCTTTATAAAGCGTACGCTTGCCTTCCAATCCAAAGTGTTGTTTTCCAGATTTTTTTCCTCTTCAACAATGTCTAAGCAGTCTGTTGAAAAAGTTCAGAAGCTTATTTCGTCCCACAAGGTGTTCGTCGCCTCCAAGACGTACTGTCCATACTGCGCCGCCGCAAAGAAGACTTTGCAATCTGAGGTGAAGAATGATTTGTTCATTTTGGAATTGAACACCATTGACGATGGTGCCGAGATCCAGGATGCTCTGGCCCAGATCACCGGCCAAAGCACCGTGCCAAACATCTTTATTGCTGGTGAACACATTGGAGGCAACTCGGACCTGCAAGCTTTGGGCAAGGCTCGTCTTGAGGAGAAGCTCATCAAGGCCGGCGCCGCCTGATTCTACGTTAGTATTTGATGCATTTTGGGCGATTATGATGGTGCGAAGGGGATTATAGAGAAGGATGTATTATAGATTGTCCAGAATGTATTGTTTCATAATTGTTCAGTTTTTTCTTGTCCCGCATTTTAAATTAACTTTATTTCTTATCTTGCAATGGGATTCCTAGACTCCCATTCCTACACGGCCGTTACCAGCAACATCAACCGTATAGTGGAGTCTGCTCCTATCGACTCGGACGATGCGTCTATGGAGATGGAACTTCCAGAATTGCTCGACGCAATTCGTCATCAACACAACCCTGGAGAGCCAGGGCCAGTAGAGGCAGCCAGAGCAATCCGCAAAAAGCTGAAACACGGCTCGTTCACCGAACAGTACAACGCACTGAGTTTGCTGGAGCTTCTTGTTGCAAACGGAGGGTCCTCTTTATTACCATTGTACAATGACTCCCGGTTGCTGGATCGTCTCAAGTACACAATTGTGACACGGCCCGAGGTTTCTGGCGTTGACCCACGGATACGCAAGCGGGCAACACATCTCGCTGTTGGATGGAGAAACGAATATGCGAGAACTGGAGAGGTGGGCGGTTTGTTTACGCTTGCAAACTCGGTGAAGGTGAGCACCACGTCAAGACCAAGAAGGACCGTGCCTGATTTCATGAATGACGAGGCCGAAGAGACCCCATTCGAAGAAGTGTACGAGACCCCCGACAACGCGTCCGAGTCCTCTTCAATTGCTCCATCTGTTGCTCAATCGGGCGGGTCGAGGTTCGTCCCACGTGTGACGTCGCCAAAGACTAACAGAGAGCTTGACCGCAAGTTCAAGATTCCTCTGATCAACTACGAAAAGGAAACACCGAAAATCCACCAGACAATTGCCGAGGCAAACATTCTGTCTACCACATTGACCAACACGCTGAAAACCCTGGAGCCAGAAGAGCTGTCGATCCACTCGGCCAAGGCCAACAAGGAGTTCGAGGAATGTAGAAACATCAGAAGAAAGATCCTCAGATATCTGCAGCTGGTCAACCAGGAGCAACTTCTCGGTGCCCTTTTGAAATGCAACGACGACCTGGTTCGTTCGCTTCAGTTCTACGAGGAGCTCGCGGAGCCAAGAGACGGTGGAGAGTCTGACTCTTTGGCAGATTACGAAACCATCAACAGCGAGCGTACTGAGCGTACAAACTCGGTTGTTGCACCAACTAGGACTGCACGCTCGGAAATTGACGAGTTCGACCCGTTCAGCGACAACAACGAGGTTTCTGCCCCCACTGTGTGGAGATGAAAAATAATGCCCCTAAAATTTCTACAGTGTCTTAAATTTTCTTAATTTTTTTATTTCCAATGGTGCTTCGATTCAGCACTCAGTTCACGCGCCCGATCTCTTTCAAACTCCCTAAGATCCCGCGGCTCAGCGTCCAGGATTTCAAGCTCAAAGAACAGCCACCAGGATACATTGTGGGAACCGTGAACGACGCCTATGTTCCGCCTGCCCCCAACGAATACCATGGCTCTTACCATTGGACATACGAAAAAATAGTCACTTTGGGGATGGCTCCATTGGTGATGGCTCCATTTGTTGCTGGTGTTCAGCACCCGCTTGCTGATGCCGTGATGGGCACTTTAATGCTTTGGCACTGCAAAGCAGGCTTCGAAAGCTGTATCATCGATTACATTCCTTTGAGAGTGTACGGTATCTGGCACAAGACCGCGATGGCTCTGCTTGGAGCAGGAACGTGGCTCTCACTCTACGGACTCTATGTCATCGAAACAGAACAAAACGGCCTGTGTAATATTATTCAGAGTTTATGGCTAGCTTAGCATTATTAATATATCTTCATTAATTGGCCCATTCTGGCGATCTTTCTCTTCCTCGACGAGAGTCTGGATAATCGTACTCTCTTCTGTACGGGGTGTATCTATAGTTGTTGTAATCTCTGTATCCGCGATACCCTCCTCTACCGCGGCCTCTGAACCGCGAGGACGACTTGTAGCCAAAGGTCTTATTAGGATAGTTGAGCATTTTGTGCGTGGCCACCAGGAACTCCTGGCCTTCCTGCTGCTTGGACGGTTGTTTCTCAAACGAGACCTTCCAAACAGCATCTTTGGGGCCCTTATTTTCCTGGTCGATCCAGTGTTGCGTGGCCTTGACGGGAATGAAATCAATGTACAATGGATGTCTGGTAACTTGCTCTGTTTGTTGGTCATTATCTTTTGGGAATTTGGTTCCATTCAAGTTGCTTTGTAAAGCAACAGCGCCAGCAATGTCCGATACTATAACAAAACAGTGGGTTCTGCGAATGTTCAGCCACGCCCTTTCGATCAGTGACCCTGTTTTGGCTGCCTGCTGGTTCAGCAGATCTTGGAATTCCTGATTATCGAATGGCTGTGTGAGATTGGCAACAATCAATGCTCGTGTCTGGTTATACTCGGGCGTTTCGCGGATATCGTACACGACGTCGTCCTTGATGGACCGGTCGTAGTCCAATTCCTCTGGACGATCGCTCATTCCTGTTTTAAAAAAACGTTGAAAAATTGCAGATATGTATATTTCGCTATTTTTCCAGGCTGTGCAGCCTGCTTTACTGGTCTATGTACACTATCACAACCTCAAATACGATCTCACAGCCATGGCCTGTTTGTGCAATGTCACACGCTTCTCGGTCAGTTTGGAGTTGCCTCTGTGGATGTTGAGGATCTCCTCGGAAAGTCGCACCGGGAAGTCGTTCGAGGCGCGACTATCGCTGGACTCCAAAATCCACTTGAACCCAATCCGCAACCGCTGTCTAGGGGTCAATGGAGTAGGCACAGAGTAGTTCTTGGCAAATCCGGTCTTCACAACACGCGTCACCACCAATGGGGCAACCGCATCCAGACACTTTTTCAAAATCTCAACTGGGTTCTCTCTGGTTTCCAGATACACCAGGTACAATGCTCTGTTGATGTATTTTCTGGCACGCTGTCTCTTACCTCCACGCATAACCATGTTGGCACAGAAACGCAGGGTCTGGTCCTCTGGATTGGCCTTGTCGAAACCTTTTAGGGCCTTGAACTCGGCAATCTGTTTAGGAGTTGGCCCATTGTCGAGCATGCGAGGAGCTTGCAGATGCAGTTTGGCCGAGATAGGCTCGTATTGGCCACTAATGAGCTCGTTCTCCATCTGATCCATCACCTCCATGAATTTATCGTAGCCTTGATTCATGCTTACCACCTCCGGACTCAGGTTGGTCTGGTCTTCGGTAGCCAGACTTTTGATTTCTCTGGCAAGAGGATCAAGCAGAACCTTCTTCTGGTATCTGAGACGAGTCTTATTCACTGTCGATTGCAATGCGATATATTCGTCGGTGGATGGGTCCTGCAAAAATGTTTTCAATGGGCCGTCCATGGTGGCAAGCTCGTGGATCTCGGCCACCACTCTCTCGTTCTTGCTGTCGCGAGCTTTCTGCAAGAAAACACTCAGCGACTCATCGATCGGATCGAATATCTCCAAATCCTGTTCCTTCTCTGTAGCACGAGCGAACTCGACCAAGGACTGGGCGGTCAAAGGCTCAAATCTGGCACGCTCGTCTTTCAACACCTGTTTCACGGCCTCGAACTCACGACTCTCAAGATCGTTCAAAACCTTGTATATTCCAGCACTGCTGTCAGAAAGCAATCTGTTCAGTTGTGCTTTACGCATCTTCAACTCTTCACCTTCATCCAATGACCGGATCTCTGCGTAAAGAGTACCAAATCTAGGATCCACTTCCCGCAAAATCTCGTAGAGCTCGCTGTTTTGCAGATTATCGTATCTTTCCAAGAAATCATACACCTCGGTGATGGAAATAGGCTCTGTGTCCCTGGTAACTTTGTAGTTCAGCAACTCGGTGTATCTGGACTTGACCAATTCCTGAAGCTGCTGTCTCTTGTTCTCGCCCCAGGAGGCCAATGCGGACTCGAGAGATTTCTTCTGCTCAGCAGAAAAAGGCTCACCCAATGAAAAACGAACCTCCTGAGCCAATTTGGCGTCGGACTGCTTCAAAAACTGATAAACCACAGAACTTTCAATGTCCTCGTAGTCGTACTTCAGAATCTTGATCACATCCCCGGCAAGATCCACCTTGAACGGCAACGAAATCTGCTGCTCGAATCGGTCGATATTCTGCTCAATAGCCCTAACGTTTTTGCTGGCTTCTTCAAGCTGACGATTCACTCGTTCATCCAGCTGTTTCCGAAGCTCATCCACAGAAACACCATTTTCTTTCGAAAGAAGCTGCAACTTCTTTTCAATTAAAGCCTGTTGCTCGGCCTGAACCTTCTGGATGTGCTGGTAAAACTTGGACTTCTTGAATGTGTCTTCTGTGTATAGGGTGTCTTTCTTCAAATATCCATCGTTGTCGACACCAATCTCCTTCAAAGTGTTGATCAGTTGGTTCTTGTGCTCCTGCGGAACTTTCGCGTAAGCCCGCGCATGTTGCTGGACCAAACGACGACCAAAAACAGCAAGTCTTGCTCTGTTGGCCAACATGTTTCTACGATTAAACCACTAACAAATCGAAAATTTTTCAAAACCTACCATATACATTTAACATACAGTACACCCGTACACCACAAACATTATAAGCTGGTTCGTGACTGGATCAGATTGACCTCCTGCTCCAAGTCTGGGAACTCGGCCTTGATCTTGGCGCCAAGTGTGTCTCTAAACTGCTGGAACGCAATCGATTTCCCGTTCAGATACTGGTTAATTTTGCGCACAACGTCGACGAACTCTCTCGTGTAGATGTCTGGATTTCGACCGTCCTCGATGTAATTGACGATTTCCAATGGCACTGCCACATAGTCAAGTCCCTTTGTCGACGCCAGCGACTGCAATTGGGCAATCAGTTTATTTATGTTGTTGGAAAGACCTGTCTTTGCCTCGTCTGTTCCTTGGAAATCGTGCACCTGGACGCTCAAATGAATCAGAGTCTCTATCGTGGACGACAGCTCGCTCTCGACAAGCGCCAGAGCAGACCCTGTGTCTGGATTGGCGGCCTCGGTGGTCATTTAACAAGGAGTGTCGATTTAAGAATTAAATATTATCGCGAGTCCAACTAAGTCCGGTCACATGACCGGCCTCGACAAATTATTAATCAAAAAATTATTCAGTCTGGATAAACTAGCTATTCTTGCCTCCAATGAGCGATATCGTCATCACAGACTTCCAACTGAAGCATCTCAACAAGACGTTGGCCAAGCTGTCCCCGCAGGAGGTTTTGAAGTGGGCTGTGGTTACGTTTCCAAACCTTTTCCAGACCACAGCTTTTGGTTTGACCGGACTTTGTATCCTGGACATGCTCGACAAACTCGACATCGATCCTATTGATTTGGTCTTCATCGATACCCTGTATCACTTCCCGCAAACTCATTCTTTGATCGAGCAGGTGCAAACCAGATACCCAAGATTCAAGCTCCATATTTATAAGCCAGACGGCTGCGATTCGACCCAGCAGTTCGAGGAAAAGTACGGCGACGAGTTGTGGGTCAAAGACGAACTCAAATACGACTTCCTTGCCAAAGTGGAGCCTCTGCAAAGAGCACACAAGGAACTCAATATCAAGGCTGTGTTCACGGGGAGAAGACGTTCTCAGGGCGGAGCGCGCTCGGAACTGCCTATTGTGGAGATCGACGAGAGTCTGAACGTGATAAAGATCAGTCCGTTGGCCAGCTGGGACTTCAAGATGGTCCAGGCGTACGTGAAAGAGAATAACGTGCCGTACAACGAGCTTCTTGATCTCGGTTACAAGTCGATCGGAGACTGGCACTCAACCGAGCCGGTTGCCGAGGGCGAAGACGAACGGAGCGGAAGATGGAAGGGCAAGGCCAAGACCGAGTGCGGGATCCATCAGACGTCTAAGTACCAGCAGTACTTGAGCCAGGTTAAATAAAGTGGCTACTATTGTTTTTTACTCGATTGGATATTCACCCGTACACCGGCTGAAGGCCATAAGGGGTTGATTTACCACTCACACGCCATTATATAAAAAAAGATCTCGCGCAGACAGTTTGAAGATTTGTTTGCTTATAGTGAATATTACAAGGTAAGTAACGCAATAGTGAGCGGTTCTTGCAACACGATGGGCGGGTTATTGGGGTGTTTGTTTGAGCGACGCGAAGGTCCGTGGCGCAGCATACGCTTTGTGATCTGCTTGCAGCCAAGTTGGCCGATTTGGAACGATCCAGTGGACGGAACAGCGAGATAGGCCACGGTCTTGGTATTGAGCACTATGAGAGCATTCGGCACGGTCGATTGGACAAGATCCGTGGCTGTTCTCGCCGCCAGAACGGTGTTTCGACCGGGAATTTTGAACGTGTCTCACCCATTTCAAAGGCAGTTATGCCGACATTCAAAATGGCAGGGCTGGATGAAAATTAAAAATACAAACAAAAAACCAACAGCCACCAAGAAAGAGTCGTTCCCGTTTTTTGTGTAGCAGTCAGAGTCGCCCGCGAATAAAACGTACTAACACACACAAGATGGCCGGATTAGCAGAGATCAGAAAAAAGTTGGTGATTGTCGGAGATGGTGCATGTGGAAAGACCTGTTTGTTGATTGTGTTTTCGAAAGGTGCCTTCCCAGAAGTTTACGTTCCTACAGTCTTTGAGAACTACGTTGCTGACGTGGAAGTTGATGGTAGAAGAGTTGAGTTGGCCCTGTGGGATACCGCCGGTCAGGAAGACTATGACCGGTTGAGACCGCTTTCTTACCCAGATTCCAACGTCATTTTGATTTGTTTCTCTGTGGACTCGCCAGATACATTGGATAACGTTCAAGAGAAGTGGATCAGTGAGGTTTTGCATTTCTGCCAGGACGTCCCAATGATTCTTGTTGGATGCAAGATCGACTTGAGAAACGACCAAAGAACCATTGAGAGATTGGCCCAGTTGAACCAGGTGCCTGTTTCCACCAGCGAGGGACAGTCCGTTGCGGAGAAAATCAAGGCTTTGACTTACCTTGAATGTTCCGCCAAGCTGAACCAGGGTGTCAGAGAGGTTTTCGAGACCGCTACCAGGGCCGCTTTGGAGACCAAGGAGAAGAGAGAGAGAAAGAAGAGATGTGTCATTCTATGATTAGCTTTCTTGGGCCGCCAGGTTCTCTTTGGTTACGTTATGTTCCATCAGTTCCTTGCTATATATGTTTTTGATTCATCTTTTTATAGGTTAATTGGTTCTACGAGCACAGCCAGATCCTAGCAAGAAAAAAAAATTGTGTATTAATTTTTCCATTGATAATGGTTAAGTCTGTTGCACAGTCCTTGGTCGACTTCAACTTCAATTCTGACCCTCTGTTCAGTTTTGCCGCCCACCCCACAGAAAATGTGCTGGTGGTTGGTTCTGGAACCGGCCAGGTCAAGCTGATGAAAGTTGACGTTGAGAAGCTGCAAGATCAGCTAGCCAAGTCTTCAGACGGGCTTCCTGCACAGTACGACGTCAAGCCAAAAGAGCTTGATGGTCCTGACGCAGTCACCTTGGGATGGCGCACGAAAAGACACCAGGGAAGTTGTCGGTCCATCATCTTTGACGCCAAGGGAGAGCATGTCTATTCTGCAGGTCTGGACAGACAGATCAAGAAAGCCAAGACAGAGACCGGAGCAGTGGTGGCCAAGTCGGCAATTCTGGACTCCAACATCACAGAGCTGGTTGCGGCCCCGAACAAGAACTTTCTCATCGTTGGAACAGAGGACGGTGACCTTGTTTGTCTTGATTCCAACACCTTGAAGCAGATGTACCATATTCCCAAAGTTCACGAGGACGCTATCAGTTCTTTGAACCATTTCGTGCCGAAATCGGACTATCAGTTCGTATCCACCGGCTCCACAACCCTCGCACACGTGGATATCCGTAAAGAACAGCCGTTGCAACAGAGCGACGACCAGGAAGATGAGCTGCTCTCTTCTGGGTGGCTCGACCCAACAAACCCAAACACGATGCTTTGTGGTATGAGCGAGGGAGTGGTCACTGTCTGGAAGCCAGAGATGAACAAGTTCGCAGACCAGATCTCCAGAATCCGCATAAACAGAGAGCCTGTCGAGTCGGTGATATCTGCTTTGGACACAGACGGCGACTTTTTCTGGGCCGGATCGTTCGACGGGACGGTCGCGAAGGTGAACAGCCGTCTGGGCAAGGTTGTTGAGCGCAGAATACACAGCGAAACGGACGAGGTGTCGTTTTTGGATATTGACAACGAGTACCGACTCATCAGTGGTGGAATGGACAAACTGACGATCTGGCAGGAAGGCGAGCAGGGAAACGACGACGAGGAAGACGAGGAAGACGAGGAAGAATGGACTGGGTTCAGCGGCGACGATTCAGATGCGTCCTTGGACTCCTTATCAGACTCTGAGTCAGCAGAGTCAGCAGAGTCTTCAGCCTCAGAGGACTCCGACTCCGACGACGAAAAACCTGCTGTGCCACTGGCAGACATCAAAGACAAACTGCTTGCACGGCTGGAGGACTCTGACGACGAAGAGCCGCCGAAGAAACGCAAAAAGCCAGTTAAGCAGAAGCAACAGAAGCAACAGGCTCAGGAACATGGCATCCGCAAATTTGACGGCCTATAATTAGTTTTGGGGCAGGCCAAGTTCATAATACACCTGTCTGCAGTCGCATGCAAGTCTCCGAGTTGCTCTCTTTGGGTCGTCCAAGACCTTGGACAGTCTGGAGATGATCTCCTGTTTATAAGGAACCAATAAATATAGATCGAAGTGAGTAAGCGAAATGAGACAGTTGAGCGCATTACGTTTGACAGTTTCGTTCTTTGAAGTGTTGATGATTTCCAGCAGGTTAGGGATGACCGTGCTTAAGTGCTGCGACACAAGGTCTCCTGACTCGTCCACGGCGATGGTCAAAATAGACAGGGCTGACGTGACAATGACATTGGACTCGGTGTTGAGAGATCTAAGAACCAGTGGCAGAATCAGCTTGACATGAGGCACAACAATAGACTTGTCGATATAGCGGAGCATTAGTGACAGGGCAAGCAGGTACGTCTGGTTGCCGGATGACTCAAATTTGGACACCAACAGTGGAAGAACCGTGTTGAACAGTTTCTGCTTGTACAACAGTCTGACGTTCACGTTGAACACCACAGTTCTGTTGAACGGACCTTGTTTCTTGTACTGCTGGTAGCAATCAACGTCTGCCACGAGAATTTCCAGCATTTTTGGAACAAAAACAATGAGTTGATCGTCATCAAACAAAGAAACCAACAGGTCTTGGTATTCCTGAGCTATAGTGTCTTGCTTCATGATTAACGCTTTTGCTATCCAGACAAACACTTCTAGGCTTGAGCAGCGCTGTTCCAAAGGTTTGGTGGTGTCGTGCAAAGTAGCGTCGAATTCGGCCAACTTGGAGGCTAAGTACTCATTATCGGAGACCCATTTGTTCACCACCAGAGAAATACATTGGAGAACTGAAAGCTTGGAATATTTCACCGTTGATGCAGCTGCTTGGAACAGGGTTTCCAAAAACTTTGCCGGCAATGCTAAAGGAACAGACTTGTCAATTGCAGAAATGATCTTTGTAAATATGATGAAAGGCAGTTGGTTGCCGGTGATAATGTCCAATTTCTTGGTGAGAGGTTTGGCAATAAGTTCTGTATCTTTCCCGTTAATGAACGACTCGATCGAGTTTTCGAGGATCGACGAGTGACGGGCCGTGTCTGTTTGGAGAACAAACTTCTTAAGAATCTTTCCTGTGTACTCCAAAACAACCTCGTCGGAGCCAATTTCGTTTTCGAGAACAGCATACAAAAGTCTTGGAGCAAGTTTTTTAGTGTTCTCGGTAGTGGACTCGGTAGAACCGATCTTATCTGCGATCTTGGACATAGTTGAAAAAACCAGACGGGTGTAGTCTTTGGACGCCGAATGGATCAACAACTCGGCCTTTCCAGTGAGTCTAAGAAGAACAGAATCAATCACAGATCTGGACTCGGAGATGGAAAGTATGATGTCCAGAATTCTGCCCTTGGTGTTCAGTTGGTCTAAGTCGTTGTCGTCGTCAGGAAGCAGAGCAAACAGCTTTGGGACAGTGATCTCCAGCACGGCGTTAGGATAGCTGGTGGAGATGGACTTGAAACATTGCATTATTTGTTTTTCGGTTGCATTGTTCTCGTCTTCCAATAGGACATCTGTTATCAATTGAGTCAAAAGCTGTGCTTCTTGATCAGATAAGAAGAAATTCAAAGAAAAGATCTTGGCAGCCATCTTGATCGCCAAACATCTGAGAGAAACCTCCACTTTTGACGTTGACAACAATGCCCTATTCAATAACATCAACAGGTCGTCTTTATAAGAAAACATTGGGTTGTTTGGATGAATGTTCTCGAGGTTCTCGTTGAAAAGAAGATAGTATGTATCCAGCATAAATGAGACATTGGTGATCGATTGTCTTTGTGCTTGTACTGTGAGGTCCTGCGATTGCAACAGAAGAGGCATTATTTGTGGGATAAGCAGATTAAAGACGTTCAAATTTGATCCACACATTGCCGCCAAAATGACTGTTGACTGCTTGGACTTCTTATCTTCAGGGTTCTTCACGTACTTCGACAACTCATCCACAATGACTGCCAGGTAATCCTTAATGTTGAGATCGTCTTCCACGCTCTGGTACTTGTTACCCAACGACTGGAAGATCTTGAGCACTGCTGGAATAACACGCTCGTCCTCGTTTTCTGAGTTCTCGTAGTACTTGAGCAGATCCTCAAGAGTCTCTGCGGACGCCAGCTCATTATGCAAAATCTCAAACTTAAGCGAGTTCCACAGAGTGATCCAGTACTCCTCGACGGTCTGGGTTGGATATTCTTTTATGCATTGGTTGATAGTTAAGAGAACGTCAAGCTTTACGGTAGGAGACGTTGCAGACAGTTTCTCCAACAGGTTTGGGAAGGCGTCCTTGGCATACACCTCGTTGGCACTCAAGCAATTTCTCAAAGCCTGTTTGAGTTGGTCGGGAGTGATTTTGTACGGATCATTTTCCGGAGCTCTAAACGAGATCGGGAAGTAACAGAACACTGCGTCGAACATATCTTCTGCAAATTCGTCGATCTGGAACCGTTTGGCCACGGTACTCGACAGTTTGAACGACAGAATAAGGTTTTTAGGGTCTTTCTCGTTCTTGGAAACATGTAGATAAGCCTTGACAATTTGGTTGTTGAACTGATGCATGATATCAATGTCTTTGGACAAGATGGATTCGAGCAGTTGAAAGCCTGAGTACCGAACAGTAGCCAACTTTCCCAACGGAGAGTAATTCTCAATCAAGCTGTCCAGGATTGTGGGAACCAGTTCGTAGTCGAATTGGTCCATCAAAACAAGATGGCCAAGGCCAACAAGAACCTGTTTCAAACAAGGTTCATCGTCGATCTTGGAAATGTAAAAGCCAACCAGCACACGAACATCGTTCTGGTACAGCTTTTTGCGGCTGACTTGGCCCAAAACAGAACTCAACAATGTAACTGCTTTTGTTCTAATCGAATTGGAATCGTCGGTTAGATGGTCTCCCAAACTGCGTATGAACTCCAACAACGTTATTTTATTGGTCTCAATAGCATCACAAATCTCCAAAACGGCCTCCTGACAGGTTGCCGAATTGGTGTTGTCGGCAACCATGAACTGGTTGATGGGCGTTTTAAAGGACATGCAAGTCTGGAAAAAGTTAGCTACTTTTTTTTTGCTTTAACTTAATTTCCTGCATAATGTTTACTAATCATACTTGCTTGCACGTCTCCAATCTCGCCAAGTCTGTCCAATGGTACACCAACACGTTCGCCATGAAGACAGTGAAGCAATTGGAGACTTCGAAGTACAATTCTGTGTTTGTTGCGTTTGATTCTGCTGGACATCCGCATGCGGGGAAACCACTTGCCCAGAGAGACGGAGTTGTTGAACTTCGTAAGCTGAAGAACTCCACTGCCAAGGTGTACGACGGCAATTCTGAGCCATACAAGGGGTTCGGCCATCTGTGTGTTTCTGTGAACAACATTGCCAAGGCCCAACAAGATTTTTTGACCAAAGGTGTTGATTTCAAGAAGAAGCTCGAGGATGGACGTCAGAAGAACATTGCGTTCGTTCTTGATCCAGATGGATACTGGATCGAGCTGATCGAGAACGCTTTGGACAAGTCGTCTGAAGTTAATCCTGTTGCCTACAGATTGAACCACACCATGATCAGAGTCAAGGATCCAAAGGTTTCCTTGAAGTTCTACCAAGACGTGCTGGGAATGAAACTTTTTAGCACAAGGGACTTCCCTGCCGCCGACTTCACACTGTATTTCCTCGGATACGAGCACGACAAGTCGTACGTGGAAAACAAAGAGGACTCTTTGGTCCAGGCTGCCAGACAGTCGATCGTGGAGCTCACCCACAACTACGGCACCGAGTCTGACGCCTCGTTCAAGGGCTACCACGTCTTTGACAAGGATACCGATAAAGCAATTGGATTTGACCACATTGCTGTGTCGATCGACGACATTGAAAGCACGATTGCTAAAATCGGCTCGGGTGGCAACTGGATTACCAAATTCAATCAGGACCCAGAGCTTAAGGGAACTGGTTTGTTGACCGACCCTGACGGATACAAGATCCAGATCCAGTCGTTCGATGCTTTCCAGTAAGTTCCTTTTTCCTACTTGATTTAGCAGCTAACATATAGAACGGATTCGAAGTTATAACTAAATACCAGCTTAATGTTGAAAATCACTTTGATTCGTCCGGATTGAACTTGAGACAGATCGAGTTCACGCAATGTCTGGCGTCTGTGGGCGTCTTGTAGCCCTCGCCTTTAAATATGTGGCCAAGATGGCCTCCGCAATTGGCGCACATCATCTCGATTCTTTGCATTCCGTGCGTGTAATCTTCCTTTGTGATGATCGAGTTTGGGATCGCCTCGTAGAACGATGGCCATCCGCAATGGCTGTCGAATTTAGTGCTCGATTCATAAAGGGGGGCGTTGCAAGCAACACAGGTGTAGATCCCTGTTCCTTTGAATTCTGTGTATTCTCCAGTGAACGGTCTTTCTGTCCCCTTCTGTCTGAGCACAGCAAATTGTGCCGGATTGAGAATCGCGCGCCACTCTTCTTCTGATTTCTGGACCTTGGGCATTGTGGATATCGTTCGGATTGCCCTTCTGAACATAAATCTGCTGAAAAATTATTTGTCTCTATTTATTTATCATATGGATCCTTTGAAACTGTCGCCAGGTACGTTTTACATAAGACGATTCTAACTTTCAGAGCCGCTCAGGGCCACATTTGAACTCATTTTGAAAGACCACGACTACGTGGCCAGTCACCACGAACAGTCTTGGAGCCAAGTGGTGGGTCTAATCAATCCCCTTATTAAGAGTGTTGTTGTTGACATCTTTGGTGCCGATCTGGACTACGAGATCACCGTTCCATTGAACCCGGTCGGAGAGACTATCAGAGCCTTTGTGCAACGACTGGGTGACAAATTGGAGCTAGATTTCCCCGATTCGCCCCCATTCACCATCTATCATCTCACAAACACTCTTCTTCTCCAAACACCCGGTCTCGAGCCCACCCGCGGTCTGAAACACCAATTGCACGAGTACAAGGTCACCATATACAACACTGTTTCGAACGAGGAAACCGTGATCGATTCCGACAACAACTACTTCCAATCGGGCAGAGCCATCGCTGAGACACACGAGAACGAGGTGAGTGCTATAAAGTATCTACGGGCCCTTGAAAGAAGCGTTTTTGTGCAAACTTCTGTTTCCGAGGTGAACAGACATCTCGAATCGTACGGGTCGACCAACACCGTCGGGTCGCAGGAGGAGGAATCGCAAGACGACGCGGGGTCTATCCAGATGGTCAAGATCAACTGGCCAGAGGAAACACAAATCAGCACAGACGCTTCGCCAAAACGGGCGGCAACCGTCGTGGACAACGAGAGAATTATCAAGAGAACGAAAAACGAAACTACGGTTGAATCGCCCAATCAGGATCAAACTGACCAGCCCGTTGCAACCCCACAAGAATCGTCTGGGGAGATCTGAGAAAAAATTATTTTATTCCATTTTTCACGCGCATGGTGGAGGTGGAGATCCATGATCGACAATTTAACCACCCGTACACGCCGTACGACGTGCAAGTCCGTTTGATGGAGGCCATCTACGATACCATGGCCGGTGGATTCAAGGTGGGCATCTTCGAGAGTCCCACGGGAACGGGTAAGACACTGTCTATCATATGTTCCACTATGACGTGGTTACGCGAGCAGAAACAACGCGCAAACGCTATTTTGGAGGACGATGACGATGATGAGCCCGAATGGATTCGCAAAGCGTACCGTGACAAGATCATTGGCCGTATGGTTGCTGATGCCCAGGCGTACGAGCGACATTTGGACGAGCTAGCCAAGACCGATGGCAAGCAGATCGTGACACAGTTGGAGGAGGCCTCGCATGTTAATAAACACAGAAAGATCACCAAGGATGAAGACCTGGTGCCGGAGGATTACTACGAGGACGAATCGCTCGAAGACAGAAACACAAAGATTAACAACGAGATCAAGCAGTTGATGGCCAAAGTGGAGGGAAAGACAGGCTCGCACGACAAGGCGTCTCAATTAAACCATATCAGCTCGAAAGTCTATTTTTCGTCGCGTACACACTCGCAATTGAGCCAGTTTGCCCAGCAACTAAGACTCACGCATTTTCCGTCTTCGCTGGAAGGAGTTGATGAAAAGACAAAGTATCTGGCCCTTGGGTCGCGACGCCAGCTGTGCATTAACGAGAAGGTGAGCTCTTTGAAGGACGTGCAACAAATTAACGAAGCGTGTTTGGATCTTCAGCGGAAGAAGGACGGAGAAAAAGGGTGTCAGTTTATGCCCAAAGATGACGAATTGACCACGCAGTTTCGAGACCTCAGTTTCTCGGCTATTCACGATATCGAAGAGCTGCACGATATCGGGTCTCACTACAAAGTTTGTCCGTACTACGGGTCACGTAAAGGATTCGAGGTTGCAGAAATAGTCTCGCTACCTTACCAACTATTACTCCAAAAGACTACGCGACAGGTGCTGGGGATCGATCTCAGAGACAGCATTGTTGTGATCGACGAGGCACATAATTTATTAGACACCATTTCATCGATGAACTCGGCGCAGATCTCGCTGTCTGAGCTGTTGGAAGTTCGCAAAGCATTGAGGAATTACACCACAAAGTTTTCAGCCAGACTGAACGCCGGGAACCGGATCAATCTTGCGAAATTGTCCAAGATGATTACTATTCTGGCCAAGTTCCTGCTGAGAGGCGAAGGGAAGAAAACTCCAGGGACGGAAATCGACGTGACTGGGATATTTGACGATACTACAGGAGACCTTTTGAATTTTCACTCGTTGGAAACGTATCTGACAAAGAGTAAGATCGCATACAAGGTTGAGAGCTACATGGAGCAGACTCAAGAAGGGTACAAGTCAGGAACACCTATTCTGTTCAAGATCCGGTCGTTTCTCGAGTGTTTGTCAAACCCGTCCAAGAGCGGTAAGTTGTTCTACGACCGCGATTCCAATAACGGTGTTGCATTGAAGTATCTTCTACTAGACCCGAGCGAGGCTTTCAGAGACGTTGTTGAGGAGTGCAAGTGTGTGATTCTTGCTGGAGGAACGATGGAGCCTGTTGCTGATTTCACAAACTTTCTGGTGCCGTACATTGACGAAAAACGGATCAAGCACTTCAACTGTGATCATATCATCCCGGCCTCTAATCTGGACGTGTATCCAGTCACGAATAATGCAAGAGTCGAGTTTGAGTTTTCGTTCGATAAGCGGAACGATAAGCGAATGATCAGCTCTTTGGGAGACACTATTCTGCAACTGATCAAGGTTGTTCCCGACGGAATGGTGGTGTTCTTCCCCAGCTACAAATACCTTGACCAGCTGGTCGACTCGTGGAAACAGAGCGGGCTTTACGAGCGAGTTGCACGGGTCAAACCTATTTACACAGAGCCACGCGAGAGTACTGTTGATCGCGTTTTGCAGGAGTATTCAAGCAGCATTGCTCAGAAGATGGGTGCTGTTCTGTTTGCTGTTGTTGGTGGCAAGATGTCTGAGGGAATCAATTTCTCTGACGAGCTGGCCAGAGCCGTGATGATGGTGGGACTACCGTTTCCAAATCTGATGAGCGGAGACCTAATAGCCAAGAGAAAGTACGTGGAGACGGCTACCTTGGAGCGAGGTGGCACACAGCAGGAGGCCGTTGCAAACGCACGGGACTTTTACGAGAACATCTGCATGAAAGCTGTGAATCAGAGTGTTGGTCGTGCTATCAGAAACATAAAGGACTACTCGGTGATATATCTGGTGGATGTTCGATACGAGCGACCAAACATCCAATCGAAACTGTCGAGTTGGATCAGAAAACGTCTGGAGACCGGTGGGGAAGTTTCCAGTGTGGTTGGCAAGACACGGCGCTTTTTTGCCGCCAAATAATACATATACCCAAATCTACATAGAGAGAGCTGTTGGAAAAATAATCTAGTTTTTTATTTATTCTTTCACGTTCCATGGCTGATTTCGAAGTCGACCCTAGTCTCAAAGACATTGTGACTCACGAGAGTTTGAAGTGGATTTTTGTTGGTGGTAAAGGAGGTGTTGGTAAGACGACGACATCGTCGTCGGTTTCGATCCAGCTGGCCTTAAACAACCCAAACAAGAACTACTTGTTGATTTCAACAGACCCTGCTCACAACTTGTCGGATGCGTTTGACCAGAAGTTTGGTAAGGAGGCACGTGTCGTGGAGGGAATTTCGAACCTGTCTTGTATGGAGATCGATCCTTCCTCGTCACTGGAGGAGTTTGTTGCCTCAAACGGCACGGGTTTAGACCAAAACGACCCATTGAACGGAATGATGAGCGAGGTGACCGGCTCGATTCCCGGTATCGACGAGGCGTTCTCGTTCATGGAGGTCCTCAAACACATCAAGAACCAGAAGAATGAGGATTCCTCGGTGATCAAGTACGACACAATCGTGTTCGATACGGCCCCTACCGGCCACACGTTGCGGTTCTTGCAATTGCCTTCCACTTTGGAGAAACTTCTCGGCAAGTTCAACGAGATCAGCGGCCGTCTTGGTCCGCTGCTTAACATGATGGGCGGAGACCAAAAGACGGAGATGTTCAACAAGCTGGCCGAGATCAAGGCCCAGGTCACCGAGGTCAACAAACAGTTCCAGGACCCAGACCTCACCACTTTCATTTGCGTGTGCATCTCGGAGTTTTTGTCCTTGTACGAAACAGAAAGACTTATCCAAGACCTCACCAAGTACCACATGGACGTCAATTCCATTGTGGTGAACCAGCTGTTGTTTGCCGAGGGTGACGACTGCAAACGGTGCGCCTCGAGATGGAAGATGCAACGCAAGTACCTCGATCAGATGGACGAGTTGTACGAGGATTATCATTTGGTGAAGATGCCACTGTTGGGCAGCGAGATCCGTGGTGTCAAGAACCTGAAGTTGTTTTCCAAGTTCCTGGTGGACCCTTACGATCCAAAAGCCCACAAGGATGTAGTTTTCGCGCTAGAAGAGAGATAAACTGAGGCCTTTGGTAAATAGAGTTAATGGCTACCATTTAATCAGATATATATAATTTTTCCCGGCTGTGCACATTTCGTTAATTCTTGTTTATCATGTCTCAGTATACATGTCAACGGTGCAAGCTGCCGTTGGTTATTGATGATTCATTGCAAGGACTGAGCAATGCACAAAAACATTTGTTGACACTGAGCTATGGTCAACGACCTACAGAGGATCACTCGAAAAACCTGGACGAGTACCCTGTTCTTCCCCACGATAGGATGAAGGTGTTCCAAGATGCGATGCAGACAAGTGGAATCAAGCCTTTAGTTTCCAGTAAGGGTCCTGATAGTGCGCACACGGACGAAGGGTCGTTCGTGATTTTGGAAGACAAAAAACCGCCTGCTTTGGATAAGGTTTCTGTTAGTGAGAGAGTGGCGTCTTTGGACAACATTTTTGGGATATTATCGTCAAAATACGAGATCGACTACCCAGTGTGCACAGACTGTGCTACTATGTTAATTGACGAGCTGAAGGCGCAGTTCGAGCAGCTCACAAAAGAAAAAGACACTTACGTCCAGTTCCTTAAAAAACTCACAGTGCAGAGTGGACCCAATAAGGATAAGGCCAAAGAGGCACTGAATGAGCTGTCTGTTTTGAAGAGCGAGGAGGCCGAGTTGCTCAAAGAGCTACAAAAGGCGGAATTGGAACACGAGCAGCTCACCGAGCAGATGGTGGATATCGAAAAAGAGCTCGAACAGCTTAATATTGAGGAAAAACAGTACTGTTTGCAAAAGAACGAAAACGACCTTGAATTGCTCGAATATGTGAACGAACGAGAACGGATCAAAGCTCTGTACGAGTACAACCTGAACCAGCTCGACTCTTTGCGGAAAACAAATGTGTTCAACGACGTGTTTATGATCTCGCACGATGAGCATTTTGGCACAATCAACGGTCTGCGTCTGGGAAACCTGGACGATGTGAAAGTTTCGTGGCACGAGATCAACGCCGCCCTGGGTCAGCTTGCGCTGTTGCTGGCCACCGTCGTGCGCATTATGGAGTTCCGCTTGGACGGCTACCGTATTATTCCCATGGGATCAACTTCAAAGATTGAAAAGTACAAACGAGACAAAAACGGGTCCATCTCAAAACAAACATTGGATCTTTTCAGCAACGGCGAGTTCTCCATTGGCAAACTGTTCACCCACAACCAGCTAGATGCAGGCATGAGCGCATTGGTGGAAATTGTCTCGCAAATCGGACGCAAACTCAAACAACTGGACTCCTCAAACGACCTGCCCTACAAAATGAACGGCGACAAGGTCGCAGGTTACCCGATCCGCCCATCTGCGCGCAAGTCGAACGAAGAATGGACATCTGCCTGTCGCTACCTGCTCACAAACGCAAAGTGGATCCTCACGTACTGCGTGGCCAGCATCTGATCCATGGGGTGCGTGGTGTACGGGTGTCTCGAAAATAATCTGGTTTTTTTTCCTGACAAATGCATTTTTTAGGAAATCTTATTAAGTGCATAAAGCAAGAAGTTAAGTCTGCCATAGTTCTGCTTATGACACACGACTGATGACTGCAGATTCCAAAGCGTTAATACGGGACCCCCAAAAGGGCACCGAGACGCCATTTGATAGAGACAAGCTACGACAGTATCTTGAGTCGCTCTCGCAAGGTCTGAACCCGGATTTTGTGAAAGTTGATTCCATACTCAACAAGGTTGTGAGTGGTCTTCCCGACTCTTTGACGGTACGTGAGCTCATGGACCTGACATCTGAAGTCTGCGCTTCTTTGACCACTGTGCACTATGACCATTCAACTTTGGGAGCCAGAGTTCTTGCTTGCCATTTACAAAAACAGGTTTGCCCTTCGTTTTCAGCCAATATAGACAGAATGAGAAATTATGTCCCTAACGGGTACCGTCGATTCAAAAAATTAATCTCGAAAGACGTTCACGAGATAGTGATGAAGCACCGTGAAGTGCTAGATAAGGCGATCGAGTCCAAGCGAGATTTTGATATGGACTATTTTGGGTTCAAAACCATGGAGAGATCGTATTTACTCAAGATTGACGGGGTTGCATGTGAGACTCCACAATATTTGTTCATGAGAGTTGCTTTGGGTATACACAAAGATAATATTGCCCGAATTTTAGAGACATATGAGCTGATGTCCTTGAAATATTTCATCCATGCTTCTCCTACGCTTTTCAACTCGGGAACAGAAACCCCCAACCTGTCTTCCTGTTTCCTATTGGCCATGGAAGGCGACTCTATCGATGGCATATTCCGCACAGTGCACAAATCTGCGCTAATTTCAAAAGCTGCTGGAGGAATCGGTTTTCATGCTTCTAACATCCGTGCGGCTGGAACATATATTTCTGGTACAAATGGTACGTCCAACGGCTTGGTACCGATGCTCCAGGTGTTCAACAGTACGGCCAAGTATGTTGACCAGGGAGGGAACAAGCGTCCCGGGGCGTTCTGCGTGTATATAGAGCCGTGGCATGCAGACATTTTCGAGTTTTTGGATTTGCGCAAAAACCACGGCAAGGAAGAGTCGCGTGCACGGGACCTGTTCTACGCCTTGTGGATTCCTGACCTGTTCATGGAGAAGGTGGAACAGGACTCTGAATGGTGTTTGTTCTCACAAGATGAGTGTCCTGGCCTCACTGATTGCTACGGGACAGAATTTGCAAAGCTTTATTGCAAGTACGAGATGGAAGGACGGTACACCCGGAAAATCCGCGCACAGAAGTTGTGGCATGCCATTTTGACTGCACAGACAGAGACGGGAAACCCGTTCATGCTGTACAAAGACGCCTGCAACCGTAAATCGAATCAACAGAATTTGGGGACCATCAAATCGTCCAATCTCTGTTGTGAGATTGTCGAGTATTCTTCTGATAAGGAGACTGCTGTTTGCAACCTGGGGTCTCTGGCACTGCCTACCTTTGTGAAGCAGACCGAGTCTGGTCCCAAGTTTGACTTCAAACAACTCCACGAAGTTTGCAAGTTCCTGACTCGCAATCTGGACACCGTCATTGATGTTGGACTTTATCCTATCCCTGAGGCTGAGAAATCAAATAAACGTCACCGTCCGGTGGCTGTTGGTGTTCAAGGTTTGGCAGATGTGTTTTTCAAGCTTCGATACCCGTTCGGGTCTCCAGAAAGTCGCGAACTCAACATCCAGATTTTCGAAACCATATACCATGCTTCTTTGGAGATGTCGAACGAGTTGGCTGTGGAAAACGGTCCGTACGAGTCGTATGAAGGGTCGCCGATCTCCAAAGGTGTTTACCAGTTTGATTTCTGGAAGACCAAGCCCACCAACCTTTGGGACTGGGACAAGTTGAAATCACAGATTGGCAAACACGGGGTGCGGAACTCTTTGCTGGTTGCACTGATGCCGACCGCGTCGACGTCACAGATCTTTGGGTTCACAGAATGTTTCGAGCCCATCACGTCCAACATCTACTCGCGGCGTGTTCTGTCTGGTGAGTTTCAAGTGGTGAACAAGTATCTGGTTGACGATCTGGTGCGGCTCAATTTATGGGACAACGATCTCAAGAACGAGATCGTGCAGATGGACGGGTCTGTGCAGACAATTGAGCGGATCCCACGTGAAATTCGTGACCTGTACAAGACCGTCTGGGAGATGCCGCAGCGAGTCATCATCGACATGGCTGCGGATCGATCTCCGTTCATTGACCAGTCTCAGAGCATGAATCTGTTTCTGCGCAACCCCACCATGTCCAAGCTGACAAGCATGCACTTCTACGCGTGGAAGAAAGGTCTCAAGACGGGGATCTACTACTTGCGGACTCAGGCTGCTGCCTCTGCTATTAAGTTCACACTCAACCCAAGTTATAAACGGAGTGTGTCTGAGCCAACAGACTCCCTGAAAAAGCAAAAGTCAGGCGCCTTCAACATCTACGATACCCAGGTCCTCGCGTGCAAGCTCGATGACCCTGAAAACTGCGAGTCGTGCTCAAGTTAGTCCTGTATATACAAAGCTAATAGCGAAGATAACTCAAGTACTGGGAGTACTTTCTGGCCACGAAAGCGGACGGCTGGTCGATCTTGGAGATCGCAAACAGACTGAGGGCAGCAAGCACCGTGTTGGAGAGAATGGCAATGTATGCGTTTTTACGCGCCCGGTGGGTGAACACCCCAATGTAGTGGAGCAGTCCCAGTGAAAAATGGTAGGTTGCTACCGTCACCAGAAAAGTGAGGCCGATCGACGCCAAAATTGGCGACTGTGCCAGGGAGTAAGAGACGTACGACAAGTCCACCATCGAGGAATCTCCCTCCACAAACAGCGGAGCAAGACGTTCCTGGCCAACATGGTACGCCACCACGGGGATCAACACGTAGCCCGAGAACCTGAGCGGAGTCAGACCGAACATCCTGAAGCTGAGCGACGGTCTTGATCCCAGACCCAATAAATACGTAATTCCCCCGAGCCCAGTGCTGGTATCGGGCCGTTCTTCTTTCTCGCCGTACTGCTGTCGTTTGGACTTCTTTTTCTTGCCGTACTTGATATAGTTTTGCCATTTGCGGATCGCTTGGATGGCGATTCCGCTCACCACGTGAGCCGTGACAGAGGCCAGCAGGACGGTCTCCGAGACGCCGTTCTGGTACAGTTCGCGACCCATGGACATCAGCTGCTCGGCGATCCCCACGCCCGCGGTGGGTGGCGCCGCCACAACGCCCGAGAGGTGGACGGCCGCAAATACACCCAGTGGCACGGTGGAATACTTCTGCACGCACGACAGCACCGCGATCGCGCGCGAGCTGAACCGTCTGGACGGCGTGATCGGCACGCCCAGCGGCAGGTCCTGCTCAGGGACCGGTTCCGGAACAAGAGGACGCAGCGAGGACATGGCAATTTATTTCTAAATATTGCTTATATTCAATTTAATTTCTATTGGAAGATCTATTTTGCCTGGAACGTCAATTTGAACTGCACGCTCTCGCCGCTGCCGGGTTGGACAGCGACCTGGGCCGTTCCAGATGGGTTTTTTGGGGCCGACCAGCCAGTCTCGCCGCCGTACGTGACGTAGCCCGAGGACGAATCGTAGTCGAACTGGCCAGCAGTGATGCTGCTGCCACATGCAAAATTACCGTCCGAGTCGAGACCGCACGAACCCTTCGACGAGGTCAGCTCGTACCCACCGAAACTGGCGGTCGACAGCTTGTAGGTGGCACAGGTTCCCGAGACGTACCATTTGCCGTTGCTGATAAGACAGCCGGACTGGCCGTCTGGTTTGAGGTAGCCAGAGGAGCCAGGAGCAGCGGTGGAGGTTGGCGTAGCGGTGCCGGTGGTGGCCGTGGTGGTGGAGGCCGAGTTCTTCGGAACGAACTTGATGCCCGAGTCTGGACACGAGGACGTGGGGATCGAGTCCATTGGCACGTAGTCTCCGTGCACCACAGAGCCGTGCAGATGGTAAAAGTACCAGATCTCGTTCAAGGCCTTGTTGGAATCGCACTTGAAATAGACCTGTCTGCCGAACTTGGACTGCAGCGCCTCGGCGATGGCATCCTTTGTGTATGTGGCGGTATCGGACGGCACAATGCCCGCGTCCTCGAGCCACTTGTACGAAGGCAGGTTCTCAAAGAGCTGCACGGCTTTTTTGTAGTAGTCCACGACCTCCTGGTTAGATTTGAAGTCCTGATAACAGGACGGCTTGATAGTGCTGAGACAGGTGCCGTGTTTGTTGAACTCGTGCACCCAGAGGTTATTATCGTCGCCCTGGTAATCTTTCCAATACGTTTTCATGGTGTTGAGGAGATCCGTTTCGCCGAACGAGGTGAGCACGTCAGTAGCACTTGAAATCTGCAGCGACGAGTCGCAGAACTGGCTGTAGGATCCATCGCAGTTGTCTGGCCATAACCCGTGCAAGGTGAAGGAGTCCTCTGGCCCCACAGACGGCGAGTAGTCCCAGAATTGGGTCTGAAGAAGCACACCTCCGGGGAACTCGAAACAGCAGGAATCCGCCACCGGGGTGGAATTGGAGCACGATAGCGGGATGTCGCGGGGACACGAGTCGGCCAGAGCGGCGCCCTGCACACGGACAAGCGCCATGGCTGCCAGAACAGCGGCCTTTTTCAGTGAAAGGAAAGAAGACATAAACAAATATCAAAAACGTGTGTGTCTATCACACGGCAATTTATTATCTACCGAAGAAAAAAAGTATGTACCTGCTGCTGCATGGAGGGAAATAAATGGCACTCACTCCGATTCGTCGGCGGATGCCACGTCAAGTTGCTCAGACGCGTCTGAGTCGGACACATTATCGGCATCGCTCTGGGCAGCTTCCCGTAGAGCCTTTTCACGGGCCTCTTTCACCTCGCGTTGCACATGAACATAGCCACCCAACGGAGTCTGCTGCCATTCCACCTCGCGCAAGAAAACGTTCACCTCGACCCTGTTGTTTGGCCCGAACTCGACGTTTGCACGGGCCTTTTCAATGTACTTGGCGTTAGCGTTCAGTTTCTCGAGCAAAACGCTCAGCGACTTGACCAGTCTCACGTTCTTGGACTTTTTGATGTACCGTTTCAGGAAAATCACTGCAGGAGTGATGAGTTCTGGGAACGCGATGTTTTTGCAGTAAAGGACAAAAAACTCGGACACAAGCTCAACAACTTGTTCGATCAACCCATCCTGGTAAACACGGGTGCCCAGGTACTGTTTTCCAGCCTTGACCACCAGGTCAAACTGCAGAGCCTGCAAATGCACCTGTTTTGGAGCCTTTGTCAATGCAGACGAGTTCAGCACCTCGCCCAGCAGCGGGAACAATGGGATGTACACCCCGGTGTTCTGTGTCAGTCTGATCAACGATCTGATCAGGTAGAATCGCAGAGGGAAGAACTGGGCAGTTGGCAGCAGTTTGATGGCTCCCAAAGTCACTTGCACCAGAGGATAGATTAATTGACGCAGAGCACTCTCTTTTTTGTTGGTGAGCTCAACCTCTGGGTTGCAATGCACAGAGATCATTCTGGACCAGAAGTCCAGCGAGTGGCAGTATTGCCAGTTGTAGATGGCCTTGTAACTGTCTTTGGTGACGTTGTTGACACTGTTTCTCAGATGAATAGCCAGTTGACGAATATACTCAAACCCGACCTGGAACCCAAGAGTCTGGTCGACTCCAAACAGCTCAACGGCAGAGTTCTTCTGGAAGTTGATCATCGGCATCGTGTGGATATTAGTTTGTCTGCATTTCTTGATGAAACTGGAGTAACTGGTCTTAAGCACCAGCTCCAAAATGGCCTTAGGATACTCTCTGCTGGAGTTGTTGAGGAACGCAAACGCAGCGATCTGGGTCTCAACGTCCTCTGCAGAGCTCCACACGTTCACCACGGCGTTCATCATCTCCTTTAATAGCTTTCTGTGCGAAACGTAGTATGGAAGCAGCTCCTGGACAGACTTCAACACCAAAGTGGCAGTCTCCGTGTTGGTAATGTCGTTGAGCAACAAAATCAAGGAGCCGGCGTGCGATTTGAGAATAGTACTGATCTGCGCAACCTTCTTGTTGGACGGAAGGTTTCTGGTGCCATGGGACGAAATCTTGTACGGCACCAATTTTTGAACACTAAGCGGGAGCTGTTGCAATGCCAAGAACATTAACTTGTGAAACACTTTCTCGTCTGTCACGCTATACTTGTAAGTCTCGGACGATCCGGTGTTAACAGCAGCCTTGAATGCAATGACCAAAGTTTTCAAGGTCTTGATGGTTGGTTCTTTGGATTTCAAAACGGCATCCCAATGCTGGACCATCTCGTTGGTCACCTGGACTGTCTGACCCTCTTTTTCTGGTTCCTCGGCCTCTGGCTCTGCATCTTCAACCTGGTCCTCTTCCTCTTCCTCCTCGTCATCACTCATAGCTTCCAGAGGATTCACAGGCTTAAAGTCCAAAAGCTCCTTGTCGTTCTCTTTCAAATAGCTGTAGAACTCAGGATCGTCGTTCTCCAAGTCCTTGAGATCCTGTTCGTGCAATTCGGCGTCACTCTCGCTGCTGCTGTCCTCGTCCTCACTTTCATTCTTGGATTTCTTGCTCTTGCTTGCTGGAACCTCTGTGTCTGCATCGAAAAACTCCTCTACATCCATATCTTCAAAAATCTCCTTGTCTCTCTTATCCTCAACAGGAGCAGGACCATTTTTCTTCTTTCCCTTATTGTGAAGCTTGTTGTAGTTCTGGACCTTCTTCCGCTGCTCGATAGTGTGCTTCAGATTCTTGCTCTGAAACTTCTTGGTGGATTTCTTCGCTTTAGCCATAGTAAAGATTATTTAAAAAATATTTCAAAAAAATTTGAAAAAAATTTTAGATCGGGCTATTACATTATTTTCTATCTAAAAAACGTCCGCCAATTTTAATCTTGGCGCAATGTTCATCGAAATCAGCTCTTGGAACAGCAATTTCGCAGCATATGGAATGGTCATCTTGATCACTCCCTCGCTCGTCTTACACGACGGACACCATCCGTTGTAGCCCATCAGTCCACAGGAGTTACAAACGTCAACGTCAAACGCATCCGAGCTCAACATCAGTCTTTCCAGAAGCAGCTGAGAAGCTCCGTATGCAATCACACAGTCTCTTTCCATCTCTCCCAAACGCAATCCTCCATCTCTGGAACGTCCTTCAGTAGGTTGTCTGGTCAGAACAGCACGAGGACCTCTGGCTCTCGCGTGCATCTTATCAACCACCATGTGCTTCAACTTTTGGTAGTAGATCGGTCCAAAGAAAATGTAGGCTTGCAAAGCTTCTCCGGTGATTCCACTGTAAAGCATATCCTTTCCACTGTAGTTGAATCCCTTGTCGATCAGGATCTGCGACATGTCTTCCAGTTTGGATCCTCCAAAGCAGGTTCCGTACTGCAAAGACCCGTCTAACACACCAGCCTTACCGGAAACAAGCTCTAACATCTTGCCGACAGTCATACGCGAAGGGAATCCGTGCGGATTCATGATGATATCGGGACTGATTCCGTCGTCGTTGAACGGCATGTCCTCCTGTTGCACAATGATTCCACACACACCTTTCTGTCCGTGACGAGACGAGAACTTGTCTCCAAGCTCTGGTCTTCTGGTTTGGCGTAAAAGAACCTTAATCAAGGCCTGGTCGTTGTCGCTAACAGACATCATCACCTGGTCAACAACACTTGGCACTGGTGCACGGTAATTGACCGGAGTTTCTCTGTGCTGCTGCTGTTGGTTGATCGTTGGTTGTCCACCAACAACACTCTCCGTAGCATTTGTAGGGACGCACTTGTTGATATAGGTTTGACCACTTTGTATCTCGACACCAACTTCGGCCAAACCATCCGGACCCAGGGCCTCGTGCTGGAAAATTGGTTTACCGTCCTCTCTGACTCTCATTCCCGCAAGAACGTCCTTACTGTGGTTGGGATACCGTTTCAGAACAGAGGTGGTCTTACGCAAAACCTGACACCGTCCAAACCCACGGTCGATCGACGCCTTGTTCAGCACCAAAGCGTCCTCGATATCGTATCCAGAATAAGACATCACGGCAACCGTTGCGTTCTGTCCGGCCGGAAGCTTGTCGTAGTCGATCAGCTCAATGGTCTTGGTCTTCACCATTGGCTGCTGAGGATAGCACATCAAATACAACAGAGTGTCAATTCTTCTGAACTGGTTGTATGAAATTGCTCCAATAGCCTGCTTACCCATCGCACATTGATAAGTGTTCCTTGGAGACTGGTTATGGTGAGGGTATGGGATAAGACCCGCAACTGCTCCGAGAACAGTGAAGGGTTCGATTTCCAAATGCGTGATACCTGGAACCATATCCTTTTCGTAAAGTGCAATGTATGAGTCGTTTTCTTCGTTCACATCAAGGTATTCCACCAATCCGTTGATCAAGAAGTCGTCGAACGACCACTCGCCTTCGCGCAGTTTCCGTAAATGCTCGCTTTTCACCTTTGAGACTCCATCTTCAACAATAATGAGCGGTCTACAAATTCTGCCACCATCTGCAGCAATATGAACGGCTGCCTGATGAACGTTGGTGAAGATGGAAACAAAGAAGGAAATCTTTCCGGTTCTTCTTAGGTGTCTGAACTTGGCAACAAACGATCCTGGGAACCGGGTGGTTCCAATCATTGTACCGTTCAAGTAAACACCAAATGTTCCGTTTGTGTGAAGAGTGGAACTGTCTGTGATGGAGATGTCCTCTGCACCAAGAAGAAAACAAAGGCGCTTGATAGGGTCTTCTTCGTCGTCGGTGGTGATGTGAGTCATCAATGCAAGGTTCTTAACCAAACCACAAGCCTCTCCTTCTGGTGTATCGGAGGTACAAAGCATACCAAACTGAGATGGTTGCAAAGCCCGGGGTCCGGACACCTTTCTGGATTTTTCAAACTGGGACGAGATTCTGGTCATCATTCCCAGCGCAGATATGTACGACAATCGACTAAGAACGTGTGTGACACCTGCCCTTTCCATCTTGAATCTCTTGAGCGACCAATTTCCGGTAGAGATGGCTCTGTTCAGACCGGTGGTGATATTACTGGAGTGAATGTTGATGTGCAATAAAGCATCGAATTCGGAGACTCTGCTGGGTTTCTTTAGGATCTTGTCGAGGTTGGCTTTGAAGTCGTTGTTGAATTTCTTGAACAAGTCTTCAAACAACAAAGACATCAATTGTCCGGCCAGTTCCAAACGCTTATTACCGACATAATCTCTGTCGTCGACGAGAGCCGGGTTGTGCATCGCCATGACCACCCTTCTGGTCATGATGGCTATGTACAAAGCTTTTTCTTTGAAGTCAAGGTTTTCCACGGTAATGTGTGCAATGATGGTGGTGGCAATTGCCTCGATACCTTCTTGGATGATGCTCAATTTTGGAGCGTTCAAACGTCTGATGGTTTTCACTTTGCGTCCAATGTACTCCAGGGCTTCTTTCTGGGAGTAGATTCCGAGTTTGGCGGCCTCTTCGAAATTGACCGCAAACAGATCCTGGTAAACAGAATCGTTACCGCAAACAAGTTGCAGAATCTCAAGATCAGAAATTATACCCGCTGCTTTGAGCACAATCACAATCGGGATCTCTTCGCTGATCGAGTTATGTTTCAGGTAGATCTTGTCGTTCTTAGTGACCACATAAGTTTTAGATTTTCTTTCGTGTGTAGAGGATGTGACAGACGCCTGGAAAATGTTCTTCTTTTCATCTGCCTCAACGATGATTCTGTTCTTACTCAATTGTTCCTGAACAAGAATCACCTTTTCGGTACCGTTGACAATGAAATATCCACCCGGATCCAAAGGACATTCGTTCAAGTAAGCCATTTGGGTCTCGTTACGTCCGTTCAAAATACACTTGTTGGACCGCAACATGATGGGCATACGACCGATCTCCAGGTCTCTGTGGATGATGATTTTGCGGCCTCTTGTGTACTCGACATCGACATAAATCGGGGCACTATAAGTGAGATCACGGAGTCTACACTCATGCGGTGGTAACAACACCTCGGTTTCGTTGGCCTTGTTTCCGCTCTTGTATCCAACACGGATGTCCAGATACTTCAGATAAAACTCCGGATCAACGTCACTCAACACTTTCTCGTTTGCCTGGATGATCTTCTTAAGATCTGTATCCACAAAGTAGTTGAAGGAGTCCAGATGCTGTTTGACCAGCCCTTTCACTTGCAAAAAAGCAGGTAACAGATTCCATTTGTCCTCTGCCGTGTCTATCGGGTCCGTGAGCGACTTCCCCTTGTAAGTGGGCTGGAGCAGGTCCTCAAAAGACATTGGGGAGGTTGATATAAAATTTTTAAATATTTTTCAACCCGCAGCCCGTGAATTTTACTAATACGAAGAATGTCTGATTCTTCAGCCCAGCCGGCTCAATCAGAACTTTTCAAATCCACCATCAATGAGTATCTGGACAATCTGCCGGAGTCGGTCCATTTGCAGCTATATCGATCGCCAGAGACGTGTTTGGCGGTATTTCGGTTGCTTCCCTCGCTGGCAAAATTTTATATCATGTCAATGTTGTTCCAAGACACGGCCATTCCGTACTCTGATCTGAACAGGTGGATCAAATCCAACTCTTTTAATGGCTCGCGCAATTTGAGCAAAATATACCAGAACGACTCGTTGAAAAGACTCAAGTCCTTGAACTTGCTCAAGGAAACACGACGGATATTCACCCACCCGCAAACGGGACAAACCACACAAATGCCGTTTGTTTCTCTCAACTCGACGTTCAGACAGAGTTTCCGTAACGCGTTGACCGGAAGTCGCGACGAAAACGAGGTTGTTCAGGATAATAATCTCGATAGCATCCAAACCATCAGTGTGGACTCGCTGGATGCGTACTGTCTGCACCGTTGGGAGAGTATTTTGCATTTCATGGTTGGCTCCGAGACTAAGGATTTGCCAAGTATTGGCGTCTTGACGTTGCTCAGATACAGCGGACTAATGGAGCTCCCATCAGACAGATCGCACAGAGAACAATCGGAAGCGTACGATTACCAGCCAACCATCAACTTGCAAGCGAATTCCTCCCTCCAGACGCTAAAGAACCTGCTCATTACCCAGAACGGGTTTCAGTTCCTGCTTCAAGACATCAATTCCCAGATATGGACGCTATTGTTGCAGTATCTCAAAATGTCTGAGAAACTGATGATGAACCCGGTGGAGGTGCTCAATTTCATATTCATGCTTGGATCCCTCGAGCTGGGACAAGGATATCCGGTAGACCCATTGAGTGACACCCAGCTGATCATGCTGGACGATCTCATTGACTATGGGCTTATTTATTCTCCTTCCAAAACCAACAAAAAGGTGTTTTATCCAACTCGACTGGCAACCACATTGACTTCGGAACATTGCAACTTCAAAACGTCCGCCACCGCCATCGACCAGGAAATTGCAAACTCAAAGAGCAGCAACAACCAGGGGACCATCATTGTCGAGACAAACTTCAAAATTTACTGCTACACCACGTCCCCTCTGCAGATTGCTATTCTCAACCTGTTTGTGCATCTGAAAGCACGATTTTCCAACATGGTGACGGGAATCATCACCAGAGACTCTGTTCGACGCGCCTTGATGAACGGAATCACCGCTGACCAGATGATCAACTATCTCGAGTCCCATGCCCATCCGTGGATGGTGAAACAGGCAGAAGACAAGTTGGCACGCAAGATGGAGCTGGACTCCTCGGTCGGTAACGCTCCCGGCCAGAACCAAATAGATCTGGAAATCCTCTCGCCCACCGTGGTGGACCAGATCAAGCTCTGGCAGCTCGAGCTCGACAGAATCCAGACTTGCAAAGGATATCTCTATAAAGACTTCTCCACCGATCTGGAGTTTGACAAGCTGCTTTCTTACGGTGAAGAAATCGGTGTGATATACTGGAAGGACAGAGCCAAAAAGAGATTTTTTGTCACCCAGGATGGTAACGGCCAACTGCTCGACTACGCCAATAGAATAATACGGGGTAATAACAAATGAGATTGCTGCTAAGCTATTTTTCCTTCTTCTTCTCCTCTTCCTCCACATCAGTGTCGGTGTCTATATCTGTCCAATCAATCTCCTCTTCTTCTTCTTCTTCTTCGGACTCGTCGTCCGAGCTGCTGTACTCAGCTTCGATCTTGCGAACCGATTCTCCACGCATCTGTGCTAAAGCGCCTGCTAGGGAGTCTTCGTCGGGATCTTCGATCTCGTACAAATCCTTCTCTGCAGCCTCGATTGGTTTGTTCTCAACCTCCATCACCAATGGAATATCCAGGTCAGAACCGAAATAAACCAGGTGTCTCAAAATAAGACGGAACTGGAACTGTCCTTCCTCCTGAGGAGTTGGAGCAGTTAGTGGGAACTTGAAAGTCGAAACGACGGCCTTGGACTCCAAGAACTCCTCCTGTGTGAGCTTCAAGTTAGCAAGGTCAACTTTCGTAACAAATTGAGGGTTCTCTCCCAGCTTTCCATCCTTTTGAACGATCAAAAAGGCAATCCATCCGTTATTTTCCTTCAGGTAGTCAGGGTCGGGGAAATAAGCCGGAGCGGTGCTCAGTTTAATCTTCGGTTGATCCTCAACAATCTTCAATGGGTTTCTCAATGTCTCCATCGTCTCCTTCTCGTTGAGTTGTGTGGTCTGAACCTCCTTAGACAATTTAGACGTCTCTGGCTTTGACTTTTGAGCAGGTGACTTCACCAAAAATTTGAGACTAATATGGACATTGGCGTTTGGTGGAACAAACGTCTCACCGGTGACTTTAAACTTGCAATCCAACGGCTCGATCAATGGGATTTCTGAAGCAATTTTCAAAATGTTATCTGTCTTATCTGCGTTCAAGAACTCCTCGGGCTTGACGGTTGGCTTTTTCAGTAACTTACCCAAAGAGTAGATTGGTTGGGTGGTGTCCAACTTGTCCAGGTCCACGCCTGGCAACTGCAAAATCTGTCTGTACTTGTACGACAATGGGTCTTTCTCAATATTCAATGCCTGAATAATACATCTGTGTGTTTCAACAAGCTTCAAACACAAATCGGTGTTTCTGAAACTGGATGCGATGTCGATGAAGCCAATAATCAATTTCGGAGCGATGGCAACAATCTCCTGCTTAAGTCCTTCATCCTTTCCATTCAGATGAGTTCTTTCAAGATGAGAAATAAGCAAAGACTCAACTTTCTCCGGGGTAAGCGACTTGTCTATTAATTGGAACTCTGTAGCCGAACTGATATATTTCAGCACCGTCTCGATCTGACAGATAGTTGCAGGGTTGTAGTTAATCAACACGTCCAAGAAGTGAGCGGCCGTATCGACATGCAGTCCCTGCTTGGTGTAAGATCTGACACCGTTCCACCAAGAGCCAACAACCGTAGGTAAAATGATTGCAATGAGAAGAACATACAGCACAACAAGAACAGGCGAAGTCTTTCCTTCAATCAGGAACTTAGGCAATGCAATTCCGTGTTTCACTTCGCCTGGTCCGTCTGGGTTGCCGTATTTCAAGAAGTTTTCACGAACCGACTCGTCGGTTAGAGCCTTGTAGGCCTTGTTGATCAGCACGTACGCGGTATCAACAGCATCCATCTCCTGCTGGCTCATTTTGGATGTATCCACCTTGTCCGGGTGGAATTTCAGCGACAGCTTTCTGTAAGCCGACTTGATGACCTTTTCAGAAGCGGATTCGTCGATCTGGAGAATTTTCCATGGATCAAAGCTTGTTTCGCCAACAACCAGCTCGGTCGTCATTATTTGGTAAATAATTGCGGCAACAAGAACCCATCCAACCAGAACGAGAACAAATTTGCGCGAAAGCGTGTTTCTTGCACGTTTTTTCGACCGGTATTGGTTCTGTGCCACCTGGTTATAAGGTTTGAACCACGAAACAGAACGAAGCTCATCCGACGATTTGGAGCCCGAACTCAGGTTTTCACTCACCAGTGACCAGGTTGTCGGCAACAGAGGTAAGAGAACCCCTGTGAGCACGAAGTACGGCCAGGTTTCTGAGTTCTCGTCGTAGTCGTATCTGGATTGCGACATAAAAAAATACAATAATTTAATTGGAAATATTTGATATTTAAGGGGAGCGAGCACGAGATGGGGGTTTTAAAAATGGGGGATCAACAGGTGGGGGACACATGAAATTTGTTTAGCAAGCGCCAGGATTTCGTGTAGTGGGGGGGTAAATCGAACTTTCAGAGGGCAGATGGTCGCTACTGCTATACTTGTCACCCCGAGATGCAGGTGATTGTTGCTTTTAGACTGTAGTGATAATACTCACCTCGAAATTTCAATGTTCGAACGTATTCAACTTGTTTCCAACCCCATTCGACAAATTGTAAGCCCTTGTCCCGTGGAATCTATCTCCTTATCTAATAATGTACTCTGCCCCTCCAGTATTCACGTCTTCGATCTCTAATTCCTCCAAAGCGGTATATCTGAAACGCGGAGAGAGCAAGTTTCTGCTCTCAAAGGCAATAGGGCCCGTACTGAAGCTTTGCGTTGTGGAAGCACCAGAGGAAGCTTTGCTGGGCATTATGGAGTTTGGAGCACACGGATGAGGTCCCGGGGCACTGCTGGATTCTATTGTTAGTGGCTCAATGTAACAACTTACTAGTAAACACGTGTGGTCCACCAACAAACTTGATGCTGGGGACATATTTGGCAAGCACTGGAATCGACACTCTCATGATAATCCTGCTAAATTATTTATTCCCTGGTCCCGATTTCGAGTCCGAGTCGATATATCCCTAAACCGGGTCGGTCGACCCCAAATTTGCGTCTCTATTAAAAAAAGCTCGACATAAATATTTTGCCACTTAAATATGAACCACGATCCATTCCAATGGGGAAAGCCATTGGACTCTGTTTATGGCCCATACAATGCTAAAATTGCCCATGCTACAAACAAACGTACCACCAACATTAAAGATGTGTCAGACTTCCCTACCATGCATACCCAACAGCCAATGATTACAGGTACCTCTGTGATTTCTGTTCGTTATCAGGACGGTGTTGTTCTTGCTGCCGACAACATGGGAGCGTACGGCTCATTGATGAAGCTTGATGATGTCGAGAGAATTGTCAAAGTTGGAAAAGACACGATCGTGGGCATTTCAGGTGACATTAGTGACATGCAACATTTGCACAGAATTCTTGACGACCTGGTGGTTGAGGACCGTTACGACATGGAATCCGACCACTTGAAGGCCAACCACGTGCACGAATATCTTACCAGAGTTCTCTATAACCGCCGGACTAAGATGGATCCGCTGTGGAACGCATGTATCGTTGCTGGTTTCGACGAGCAGGGAGAAGTGTTTTTAAAGTATGTCGATTTGTTGGGCGTGACATACACGTCTCCAGCGTTGGCCACTGGATTTGGAGCGCATCTGGCCATCCCATTGCTTAGAAAGAAGGCCGACACCGATGAGGACGTGAAGAATCTCACTAAGGAGGATGCAGTGCAGCTTGTGAAGGATTGTATGAAGGTGTTGTTCTACAGAGACGCCAGATCATTGGATAAATACACTCTTTGTGTGGTCGAGAAGTCCACCAAGCAGATCGAGATCCAAAAGGACGTCAAGTGCGAGGATATGAAATGGGGATTTGCCAAAGACATCTCTGGTTACGGTTTACCACAATTATAAGTCGTGTCGTCGTCTATATGATATAACTAAGTCCAGGCATACACATAGTGAAATGCAATCCCAGATCGTGCTCCAAATTCAATTGTCTCAGTTTGTTGAGGATTTTCTTACGCGGATCGCCTGTTCCATCAAAGGTTTCCTTCACGTGGATGATAAGTACGTTAATTCCTTGAAGCGGGTGCTTCGTGGTTGGATTTTTTTGCGAGCATATTTTGCTTAGTTGGGAGAACTCCTTGATCAGATTGAGTGGAGACATGTGTCCAAACAGAGGTTCACTTGGAGCCTTGTCGACAGAAGAGCATTCGATAACGATGGTTCGTAGTTGTTTAGAAAGAACCAATTCTGCCACATCACTCCAGATTTGTTCAATGTAGTTTGTATTTGACGACGGGTCACTTTCCACGTCGCCAAACACCAAGATATGATCGTCTTTTGTGTCTTCTCTGATGAGGAATGCTGCGCTTTTGTACCTAAATTTGCTATGGATTAATCCGTGGCTTGTGGGGTACGCCTTGAGATGCATTGCTTGTCCGACTTTTTGGAACGCTGGTGTCGAAGGAAACGCCTTGTACTGGATGTAGTCCAAATCCGGCCATACTTTCCCGTTGAAAATATGGTTCTTTAAAGTGTCGATTGTCTCTTCGGATCCATGGACTTTGGTGCTTCCCGAAAAACCGGGTGAGTTAATCACCAATCCCGCGATATGGTCGAGGTGTGCGTGTGTGATGAAGTAGGCGGAGATTTTGCTTATTATGGCTCGTGCAAGCTCCAAATTGGACTTGTTAAGTTGCAACACGGCGGAATTAAAGGGTCTTGCGGTGGTCAAGCTCGATATATCAGAGTAGTGGTGTAATGGCTCTGAGTCCGGATACAATCCTGTCAGGTACGACGATACGTTGTTGGTATTATTGCGACAATCAGCCACTATATCTGCAACCGTTTCCAAGCCTGAACCGGCATCCAATGCTATCAAGTGAGACTGTTGTTCCTTAAGTATCTGTTCAAATGACACATGTGCAGGCTTGAGCAAAAAGGCGCAAGTTTTCCCTGAAAGGGGGCCTCCCGAGCAACCCAGCACTATCAGCTCGAACGATCCGGAAGTGTGGGCCATTGAGTATTCAAAATTGACACTATCTGTCTGACGGACTGATAAAAGTGCCAAAATACGATTCGAGTGTTTTTTTTGGCTAATTTTTTAAGCAGCAGCACTTGCTGCATGGAAACTGGGAGTAGGTATAGCCACAGCTACCGTAGAAGCGAGATTTTTTTCCAGCTTCCAGAGCGATAAGCTTGGGGTCGATTAATTCGTGGTAGCTCTACATAGCCGTGGACGAAGCTAGATCCCGTCTAGAAACTTCACCACCTGGCCCACCGCGAAAGCCGGTGCGTCTGGGTTTTTACTGGTTGGTCCCAGGTTATGGGATCCACCCTCCACAACGGTGCTCAAGGGCGACCAGAACTTTGGGTCCGTAGCAGCCTGGAACTTCTTCACCAGAGCATGTTTGTCTGTGTCTGGCGAAACGTACTCGTCGGCTCCGCTGTACAGAACCAGTAGCGGCCGCTCGACTTTTCCAAAAGTCTGCTTCAGATCTTCAGGACCGAGATAGGTTGAGAAAAAATCGTCGTCACCGCGAATAGACGCTAAAGCAAACCATCTGTTGGCATTGATGGGCGCACCAAAAAATTGGTCGGTAATCTCCACAGGCATGAACTCTCTGCCGGAGCCTTTGCTTATCAGGTCCTGAGCATAAGCCACACTCTTATCGGTGACTTCCTCGCCAGCCAGCGACACAATTGCCTCTCTGTCGGAGGCAGATGCCTGGAGAACACCGAAATCGATGTCGGTTTCGGCAGTCTTGGCAAACTTGGACAGGTAGTACAGTGTGTTCTGACTGCCTGTAGAATGGCCCATGAGACCAACCTTTTTGCGGCTACCAACAGGAGAAAGCGGGCTTCTCAAGTAAGCGACGAGCTTGGAGATCTCATCGGCGTCTCTGGCCAGGGATCCCGTACCAAACCCGATAAAAGAGCTGGTGAATTGGATCTGGACCACCGACCAACCAATCGTGGCTAGTTTTTCCGCCAAGAGTGGAACATAAGGAACGGTGAGCAAACCGTCGCCCAAACCGCCAATGAAGATCAGCACGTTCGGCGAGTGCAAGTCACCGAACTCAAAAGCTGTCAGTTTCGGTGCGTATTCGAAAAGTCGGCCGTTAGCAGTAATCATCTGATATTAAAAGTTGAGATAAATAAATTTGGTGGCTCAACCAGTATTTATAGGTACATCAGGTCTATTTATTTTCTGAGCTAGAATGCGCTAACTCGTACGCGCGTTTTTCAAACGCACGGAACATCAGATTGGCCACCTTGGTGGCAAAGAACGAGCTCATCTGGTTGTAAAGCTCGTTCTTGAACTCGTACTCCAACCGTAGCACAGCCTTGCAATGTTCGTTCCCAAGGCTGTGCACGGTCCACTCGGTGAGCAAGGACTTGAACAGAGAGTGGGTGATGGACTTTGCCACGACCAGCTCGGGTTTCTTACACTGCAGATCACACGTGAACTCCTCCTCGAACTCACGGAACCCCACACGCAGTCCCGCCGTGGTTGGCTGCGAGTTCTCGTCTCGCGCTCGCACGAACGAGTCTGTACAGTATGGAATGAACTCGTGGTACTTGTCCACCTCCGAGATCAGCTGGTACACAAGCGATTGTGGGTGGTCGAACTTCTTGCTCAACGTGTACGATTGCTCCGACTGCTTGAAAACATTGCCAAGGTGCAGCGACCGGACTCTTCCTGCGGTCCTGAGCATGTTGAAAAATTGGTCAGTTCACGAGAAAATCAAATATTTAGATATTAAGCCAGTTCCAACAAATGCAGAATCCATTCCGTGTGGGAGTTTTGCGGTTTGCTGAAGCCAGCGGACTCGACGAGGGGTCTGCTAAGATTCTCACGTGTTTGTTTCTCTCTTTTCCGCTCAGCGCGATCTTTAAGAGACTGCCGGATCAGAGACTTCATGTTAAGAACTACTACATCATCGCCGTCAGTGCGGTGTACATTTTCTTTATTCTAGAAATCTGGTCCGGGTTCTTTGTGCTGCTGTTCAATGCGCTGTTCACGTTTTTGTTGGTCAAATACTACCGGTCCAGGTTGATGCCCTGGGTGAATCTCATCAGTTTGATGTTATTTTTATGTGCCAACCATCTTAAGGCTCAATTCTTTGCCTCGACCTACGACCCGTCCGTGATCGACATTACCGGTGCCCAGATGGTGTTAGTGATGAAATTGAGCTCGTTTGGCTGGTCTGTCAGCGACGGAAGACTGTATAAATCGGACACTGCCAAATTCAACCAGCTCACCACTTTCCAGCGTTCCAGAGCAGTGCTGCAGTACCCCCCAATCCTGTTCTTCCTCGGTTACGTCTTCTTCTATGGCTCGCTTGTCACCGGACCCTCGTTCGACTACAGCGACTATGAAAAGTTCATTCTGACCGATATTTTCGACGACGTCCCGCTCAACAAACGGCCTGGCCGCTCCGTCAAGCGCAGAATCCCGCGCAGCGGCAGAGTCGCGCTGCGTGGAGTTGTACAAGGCGCGTTGTGGGCCGCGCTCTGGATCTACCTGTCTCCGAGAATCACTCTTGCGTACGCAACGTCTCCAAGCTTCCAAGGACAGTGGTTCCTATATAAAGTTGGTTTCCTCTGGATCCTTGGAATCGTGCACAGAATGAAGTACTACGCCGTCTGGTCGATCAGTGAGGCCGGCTGTATCGTGGCCGGTTTGGGTTATAACGGTTATGACCCAAAGACAGACAAAATGTACTGGAACAGAGTGCAGAACATCGACCCGTACGCTTTCGAAACGGGTCAGAACGTCCACGACTGTCTGGAAGCATGGAACATGAATACCAACAAGTGGCTCAAGAATTACATTTATCTGAGAACATGCAAAATAGACCCGGAAACTGGAAAACTCAAGCCAGGAATGCTCCCAACGTTCATCACTTTCCTCACGTCTGCTTTCTGGCACGGGACTATGCCTGGATATTACATGACGTTCATTATTGGCGCGTTCATACAGACTGTTGGAAAACTGTTCCGCAGAAACTTCCGTCCGCTTGTTGCTTCCAAGGACAACTCCAACGTCTCCAAATACAAGCCTGTTTATGATGTGATTAGCTGGTTGCTTACGCAGTCTGCCTTTGGATACATTGTGCAGCCATTTGTGCTACTGGAGTTCGTTCCGTCGTTCAATTTATGGAAAACGTGCTATTTCTGGGTCCATATCGGAAGCATTGTCACCTGTGTGTTCTTTGATAGTCCACAAGGCAAGAAGTTTTCGAAGAAACTGCAAAAATACCATTTGCAACCGATTCCTGTGGAAAAGCCTGTCAAGAAAGAATCCCTTGCAAAACTCAAAGAACACTATTCATCGGCAACCAGCTTGCATGACGCTATCAAGAAGTTACCAGACTTCGACAGCCAGGAAGACATTATGGAGAACGTTGTTGTTCCTGATGTCCAGGAGATCAAGGACAACTATGACAAGCTGGCCAAGGAGTTTGATGAATGGACCAGCTCTAATAAAGAAACGGCTATTGACAAGTCGGAGGTTGAGGCCGTGCGTTCTGCGTTGAACAACCTCGAAAAAGACGTTTTCTCATATTTGGAGAAAGCAAAGTCGACCAAGACAGAGTAAACGTCTAGTCGTCGTCGTCGCTTTCGTCAAACAGATCTATTCCTGCCATAATAGCGGCAGCGTCTTTCTTTTCGGGACTGGCAGAGCTCTTAAAGCTATGACGACGCTCGGGAACAAGCTCGTCGTCGTCGTCAGCCTGTTGACTTTCCGGTTCTTTTGTCTCGGGCTCGACCATATCGACGTCCATCTGCTCGTCGGGTTCGCCGTTCTCGTGACGGACAATTTTATCGGGCATTAACGATGCTGTCGCCAGCATACCACGTCTCATGTTATCGTCTCCGGGCCAAATAAAGTTGTTGGGTAGGAGAAATCCATCAAATGTTCGGGGAATCTTGGAGAACTTCGCCAATTTCATGGCGTATGCGAGTAACTCTTTCACTGCCTCGAGGTTGGACTCTTTGGAATCAGACTCGGGCTCCATTTGCAATCGTTCATGAGTATCTAGTTTGGGAAGACTGTTGAGGTTTTTGCGACAGTCGATTAACGAAGTAAGAATGTTTTTGATATCATCGTTCAATCGTAGATTTTCCTTGTTTTGTTCAAAGACCTGGCTTCTTTTCAGCTCGTGAAGTCTTTCGAGCTGAGACAGTTCCTGATCAATGGTGTCGACAGTGGTCACCAGCTTTGCTGAAACGTCAACGTTCGGCTCGTACTGCTGAATGGAGTTAGTCAGCTCTCTCAACTGGCTCTCAAATAGCTCCACCTGTCGATATATAAAGGTATTTTCGTTAGAGTAACTCATCCACCATATATTTTATATCGGCAAATATCTTTTTACCTGTCGCAAACAATTTAAAAACATTCTTTTGTTTCCAATCAATGTCCGATAGCATTTTTGGAGCGCCAGATTCTCTGATGGAGGAGGATCCTTGGGCATTGCCCACCACGCGAAATTCTCAGACCTTACAGTCCTCGATACTGGAGGATAACAACTGGAGCTCGTACAATTCCAACGATATCCTCACCAATAACTTTGCTTCAATGGGGATAGATAAACCGCACACGACAGCAGAGGAGCATGAAACCCAGCCAATTGCTCCTATCACGGACCCGCTAGTCAACCAAGACGACCAGACCGGTGAAGACCCTCAGGAAGAAGACTTGAAGGAGGAATCTGTGTGGTCAGAGGAACTCGTGGCATCTTTCAATCCTTTGGGATACCACAACACGGATGACAAAACCATTATTCGCGTGAAGGAGATCCCAGAAAAGGAAGGACTGGTGTTTAAACACATAAACTATCTCATTAGTCACAACCTCAAGTTCCCAAGCGAATATTACCAAGCAGACAACAAAGCCACCGGATCAGAGACCAGAATTATTCGGAGATATAGTGATTTTGCCTGGCTGATTGAGGTTCTATGGCAGAAATACCCGTACAGATTGATCCCTGAGCTGCCGCCAAAGAAGCTGTGTAAGTATCCACCATTGCTTTTGAGCTTTACTAACTGAATGATCCAGTAGCATCGACAACAGATTCCATTTTCCTGCAAAAAAGAAGAAGAAGTCTTCAAAGGTTCCTATACCAACTCAGCAAGCATCCAATTCTATCCAAGGAGAGTCTGGTGATTATGTTCTTCACGGTCCCGAACGATTTCTCCAATTGGAAGAAGTTTGCTAATATTGAACTTACGGACGAGTACGAAAATATCAGAATTACTCTTCCCAAAAGATTCAAAATCAATCTTGATCAAGTCCTCAAGGGTCTTCACGAGAATGACCCGGAGAATGACGAAGAAGTCGACCGATCAGTTAATAATGACAGCATCATCAACAACATTACTCAAATCTGGAACGAGAGTCCAGTCGACCACAAAAAGCTTGATTTTATTGAGAACTTACAGACGATCAACGCTAGTCTCACAAAGTTTGCAGACATTTGGGCCAAGCTTTGTATCTTAGTCGAACGGATCGAAAAACGAGAGCTTGCATTGTCGATGGACCATCAGCGATTCTCACTGTATCTTGGGCAGTTTGTGAACAACAGTGGAAATCTATACGGTGTCGAGAACTTGGTCGGGTCAGAAGAGCAACCAGAGGATTCTCAAAACCTGTCAATAATCAACACCATCTTGAAGCAGGTGATCAAGTATTTCACAAATACCAAGCAACTGAAGGACGATGAACTTTCGACTTTGAGTTCAGACACTTTGGAAAATTTCCGCAAACTGCAGGATTATCTTGCCTCGCTCCACTTTTTGATTGAACGACTTGGTAGCTTCAAAAGCACTTCCGAGAAACAGATCCATACCTTGCTGAACAGAATCACCAAAACCAACGAGAGACTATTTCAGATCAAGATAAAGTCGGATATCAGAGGTTCTGAAGTGGATAAGCTTGTCACTGTGCTGACAGACTCCTCTGACTCGCTTAGCAGTCTTCTTTCCCGCATCATTCTTGTCAAGTCTGCGTTTCTGAACGAGTTCAAATTATTCCAGAAAACTAAATATTTGGTTTCGGAGACTTTCCAGGACTGGTTTGTGGAAAGGGTCAAGTACGGCGAGTTGCAGCAGGATGCGCTTCAACGTGTGTTCAACGATCTACAAGATATGCCATTAAAGTAGTTTGACCTACAAAAGAATTGATCCAATTGAAGCCTAATAGTCGTACATCATGCGATTTTTTTCGATGCGTTTGTGAATCCGACACCCATGATTGTCGCATACATGGAATTGTCCATTTCGTCGCTCTGTTTGAAATAGACCTCTGTGCCAAAAAGTGCTTTGATATCTCTGAGCAACACAACGAGCTCCTCGTCAAACTGGTCTTTATTGACAAGAAGTCTGCCGATGTCTTCTTTGCCGATCACCATGTACACAAGGGCCAAGTCTAGCTGATTTCTTCCAAGACATCCACTCTTTTGGATACGTTCCAATAGGTTCAAGGCAACACGTTCGCCAACATCCTCTGGGGTTTCTCCAGCAAGACCAATGTCCTCAACAACGTATCTAAATGGGACTTTCTTTGACTCTGTGAACAGCGTGAGACCGAATCCTGGCGACTTTCCGGCAATCTCACCTCTGGAGACGTCTGTTGTGATATTCGTGTCGCATCCTGTTGCTTTTAGCACTTTTCTTGCAGAATCAACAAGTCTATTGGCAACGGAAGGAGAAACTCTGGTACAGTATGCGATTCCCCGAATGGCGGAGATTTTGTGGTAATCGAGAACATGAACGGTTACAGGTTGGGGAATCAACGAATTGACCAGAAGATGGACCTCTCCTCCTCCCAAAGGTGGAGACCCGCGTTTCAAGATGTGCAGCTCGACTTCACGAACACCGAACTTCTCCATCACCGGAATCAACCCCCATTTGATGAATTCCACTCCAGCATCGTTCTTGGAAGCCGTTAGTCCCTTGAACACTATAGAAAACTTTTTCTTTGAGAATGGTGCCAGGTAAAGCATTGGTTCTATGAAATATCCACAAGCGGTTCCTTCTGGACATTGATGTGTGAGAGACCCTCCAATGATGATTCCCGGTCTGTATGTGACAGTGGTACCTGTGTATGAGATTTCGATGATGGATCCGTTGGTAACGTTTTCAAGCAGTCTGAGAAACGAGATTTCGTAGTCCTTGAGACCCGGGTTCAGATCGTCCGAGCGGATTTTCTCGATCTTGATTCCCTTACCACTGAGCGTGGCAAGAACCAGCCGCAGCCGGAAGTTTTCATGGCCTTGGAACGTGATAAGTTTGGTTCGTGAGGACATTAGGTAGTCTGAAAAATATTTATCAAGCACTTTAATTTTTTTTCTCTACACAGCCTGGAAAAGTCTTGATTTGAATCTTGTAGAGCGTAGTTACCCGGCCCCAGGCTTTGGAAAAACCAGTTGCCACAAATATTTAAATCCAGTCATCAACATTATGGACGAAGGCGGAACTGGTACTCCGGGCAGCAGGACCACGACGCCCCAGATCGCCACCCCAACGGGTGGGGATGGAGACGGAGCGGGTGCGGGGGCGCCTCATTTCGACTTCTCAAACGATTCGATGGATCCGACAGGAGACGTGAACAGAGCCAGAGCTAGACCCCAGCCAGGACAGCCGGGACAGCCGCCTCGCCGTGCGCCGGGAAGACAGAAGGGGTCGGGACGATTTGGAGAACAGAATCCCGAAGAGCTGGCCGACGCCGTTGCTGCTGCTGGAGTGAACATTCGTGCGGAGGAGGAAGCCATGATGGGTGGACTGCAGGTTTCCCGCCGCCAGATCAGCCCAAACAACTTTCTAAGACCGGCCCAAGTGGCCTGGTTCATGAACAAAACCATGGAGGACCAGGGGTTGCGCAAGATGGAGTACGACGAGGAGTTGATCAACCTGATGTCCAGTGCGTGTGAACAGTACGTTGCAGACGTGGTGACGGATCTGCTTGTTGTGTCTCGTCATAGACGCCGGGGATTGCGTACCAAACAGAAACAGTCTGCAGGAGGCACCAAGTCCGACATTTCGCGTGCCTTGAGAGATATCGCTACCAAACAGAAAGAAAGAGAAGAGAAAAGACTCAAAAGAAGAATGGCCCTTGGTCTGGACGAGGACAAGAAAGAAGGCGACTTGATTGCCGAACACAAACAAACAAACATCACCGCATCGTTGATGATGAGCGGGTCTAAGAAAAAGTACTCGTGGATGCAATCTTCCTCGAAAGCCGATCCAGTCACCGTTCGTGGAGACAACGGTATCAGATACAGAGAAGCGCGCGAGGAGCAGTCTCTTGTGCTGAGAGACCTGCTTCTGGCGTTGGAAAAACGTCGTATCGGCGTCAACAACGCCATGGTGAAAGGATATGCCAAGCTTAAGGACTAGGTCCGTGTATATTAGTGTACAAAAGTAACGAAACGTTATACTTTGATTTTTTTGCGAATGCCTAACGAGGACTTTTTGCGTTTCACGGTGACGGTCTCCTCATCGGACGAGGAGTATCCCGAGAACAGCGACGATTGTGCGGGCTGTGTAGCTGATGGTATATCAACAGGTTGTTTCGATTTTGATCTGAAGGCCAATTCTGCCTCCTTCTCGTCCTGTTTCTCCAAATCAACTTTTGTAGGGACTTTGGCCTTCTCGAGCCGTCGCCCGCGCTCTTGCAACTCCTCAATTTCTTCCACCAGCTCCTGTTCCTTCTGCTGTTCCAAAAGACGTCTTTCCAGTTGCTCCATTGCGGATTCCTCGTTCTCTTTCTTTCCCTCTTTGGCAAGCAGCTCCTTGCGCTCCTCCTCCTCCAACCGCTTCAACATCTCGTCCAACGTCTCGTCAGCGGCGATCTTGCCTTCTTTTCTCTCGTAATTTCGCTTACACCCAGAAACGCACTCAAAGTCGCCGTTTTTCGGGTCTGTGCGGAACACCAGGTCGTCGTAACATTGCGGACACCGAAAATGGAAGTGGAATATGCGGATCCCCAAATAGTCCTCTTTGCTGTTCTCCTTTTTAGCGTTGAACTTCTTCGATTTGGCAATGTACTCGCCACACTTAAGACATTTCATCGAGAATGGGATCATTAGCCGCACCGTGGGCCATCCCGCAGACCCAGACTTCCTCACCTTCGGCACCCTTTCTGCATTTAGCGGGTCGTAGTCCGGCGGATAGTACTTATTGATGGCCTTTCGCTCAGACATGAAGAAGCACTAATAAAATTATTTCTGTCAAAATATTTTGCGGGTGTCCTCGAATCTAAAACAAAAATATAAACACACACGGTAAAATAATAACAACCAAATGGAAGTGGACTTCAACTTGTCGCAGACGCTCACGTCGTTTGCAGAACAGCTCGACACGTTTGAGCTTGGAGATAGAGACCCGGAGGAGTTCTTGAACGTCATCACACAGGAACTCGCCGTCAGATCAGATGCCATCCTCTATGACGAGTACTGGGACCCGCTAATGAACTTGACTCATTGCTACTCGAAGTTAGAGCCACGACTTCAGTATAAGCTGGCTTATTTGATCTCAAGTACGTTGGCTGGTCAAGCAGACTACACCAACCAGATCATCAACTCCGCAGACGTGGATCTCTTCGCTACCCATAGAAGGCTCCTCGAACTGTACGGATACCTGATCCACGTGATTCTCGTGTATATGGGGCACGAGGAGGTGAATTTGAAGTTGCCAGATGGTAAACAACACTGGAACAAGACAAACAACGTGATTGAAAGCATACTGGTAGCCGTGATCAACGTCTTCAAACTGAAACTTAATTTGTTGATGGAAACTACTCCTGAGCGCAACCTTTTTACTGGAACCTTGTTTCTTAACCCAATCAACGCCCTGCTCGAGAACCCAGACCGTGCCAAAGTTGTGTCGGTCAAAATGCACGCATTCAAAGCCATCTGCATGGCCATCAAATACCACGGCCAATCTTCGCATGTCCAAAACGCCATTCTTCAACACCTGACCTACTTCCAGCATTCCAGTGTGGTCATGGCCGAACTTCTAGATACCCTCAGTCGCCATTACGACCATTACCAGCTCACAGATGAAGTGCTGAAGGAGGTTAGTGGACGCCAGTTTAACGAAAACGACACCAACGGTCCTAAAGCTATCAGTACATTTATCATCAAGTTGTCCGAATTGAGTCCAAAAGTCGTGATGCGCCAAATTTCATTAATTGCTCAGCTTCTTGATAATAACTCGTTTACTCTCAGATGTGCTGTGGTGGAAGCTGTTGGTAACATCATTACAACCTTAGCTAAGTCGCAAGATGAGTACGACGAACATAAAACACAGGCTGACAGTTTCCTTGAGCTTTTGGAGGATCGATTCCTGGATATCAATCCGTATGTCAGATCCAGAGCTATCCAAGCAATCACAAAACTGAGCGAGATGTCCATCAAGTTTGTGGATCGCCGACTTCGGTGGTCCAAACTCGCAGTGAGACATTTGGAGGACAGATCGGGAATTGTGAGGCGTAACTGTATCAAGCTGCTGACCTCCTTGATTCTTACGCATCCCTACAATGTTATGCACGGAGACCGGTTGGAGCTGAGCGTCTGGCAGAAACGGCTCGACGAAACGAAAGAAAAGCTCAAAGAATTGCAACCAGATCTGTTTGACGATGAACAGGAGAACGAAGAAACGAACGAACAAAATGAAGATGAGAGAGACGAAGAGGACGAGGAGGGTGATGAGGACAAAGATAACGACAGTGAAATGGAAGTTGACGAGGAGGAGGAAGACGGAGACGAAGAAAAGGACTCTGAAGTTAATCCAAAAGTGGAAGAGAAAACACAAGAATCCATTGCATCTGCCATTGCCAATGTCGATCCGGCGCTTGTCAACAAAGTGTCGCTCACGTACCAATATTACTCTGACGCGGTCGACTTCATCAAACTCATCCACAAGGCTGCCAACGTTTGTTGTGAGCTTTTGTACTCAAAGTCTAAGAACGAGGTGATTGACTCCATGGGATTTTTCGTTCTTGCAGATGCGTATGGAATTGAAAACTGTCAAGTCGGAATCAAGCGAATGCTGCATCTTGTCTGGATGAAAGGAAGCAACGAAGATGGAAACATGGTTGTTGACAAGCTGATCGAATGCTATAAATCTCTTTATCTGAGTGCGCCAGAGAAATCATCGATCGTACAACGTGCGTCATACATCGCTTCCAACTTGATCAAGCTCACATTCAACACCTCTGTCGCTGACCTGGCCTCGCTTGAAAAATTGCTGGGAGAGCTCTATGCAAAAGATTATATTGACCAGCATGTGGTGAAGGTTCTTTGGCAATTCTTCAATGGCGAAGCATCGAGCAAAAGACAAAGACGGGGTGCCATCATTAATCTCGGAATGCTGGCCTTGGTCGATAACGGTATTGCTTTGAAGGGATTGGACCTTATCCTCGCAATTGGGCTCGATCCACAAAGCGACGACTGGATCCTTTGTCGGTTTGCATGTATTGCTCTGAGAAGAATAGTTCCATCCAACGCATCAGCAAACGATTACAGAATGTCAAAAGAGGACGAGGCAATTGAAAAGCTATCTACTGTGCTCTTGCAATATACTCAAGACGGATCATGGTTTGGAATGGCAGAAGAGGCACTCAACTCAGTTTACGTGATATCCTCTCATCCAGATTTGGTTTCGTCTAAGATCCTCAAAGAGAAAGCCCAGAGAGTATTCTCTCCCGAATTTGACGAGTCTGAGGACAAGGTTGTTTCTTTGTCCCAACTATTCTTCCTGATTGGTCATATCGGTTTGAAAACGATCATTCACCTGGAGAAGTGTGAGACTGACTTCAAGAAAAAGAAGATTGCCTCGGAGGACAAGAAAAGCGAGCAGCAGAATGAGTTGGATATGATTGGAGGTACGTCCGAGGATGATTTTTCGGACGCAATCCAAGTTGTGAAGGAGAAAGAGATCCTGTACAGCGAAAACGGACTTCTGGCCAAGTTTGTTCCTCTCTTGAAGGAGACGATCATGAATCCAAAAGAATACAACGACGAGAGATTGCAACGGCAGGCCATTTTGTGTTTGTCGAAACTCATGTGCATATCTCCAAGATTCTGCGAAGAGAACCTTGGACTGTTCTTGAAAGTGATGGAGTCTTCCCAGGATCCTGTCGTGAGAAGTAACGCAGTTCTGGGACTTGGAGATATGGCTGTTTGTTTCAACAACGTTGTTGATGCCAGTAAGGATTTCCTGTACGGTCGTTTGCAGGACAAGGATATCATGGTTCAACGTACTTGTTTGATGACGGTTACGTTTTTGATTCTTGCTGGTCAGGTCAAAGTGAAGGGACAACTTGCGCAGATGGCCAAACTGTATGTGAACGAGGACCCAGGAATCGTGGACATGTGCAAGTTGTTTTTCACCGAGCTTGCTACCAAGGATAACGCCATCTACAACGGGTTTATTGATATGTTTAGTGGTTTGGCTGCTGATACCGAGCTGCCAAAGAAATCGTTCAAGGAGATTGTCAAGTTTGTGGTTTCGTTCTTGGAGAAAGACAAACATAAACAGCAGCTGGTTACCAAGTTCTTCCAGAGATTATCCAAGACAGACGACGAGGACCAATGGAACGACATTGTGTTTGCTATCAAGGAGATTATTCCTAAACAGGAGACCATGAGACGGGAGAAAGACACGCCGAAAAACAAAGTGTACGACGAAGTTCTAACGTTTATTGAACAGGGATTCATTCGTCCTGAACAGAGAGCATAGGTCTAGGTTTAATTGGAGATGATTAGTATATACAGTAAACATCATTTTTTCTTTCCGAAGAGCTCGGAAGGATGGTTGAAAACATCTGTAGCTATGACGCTTCCAAGAACGTGGTCTAGAGGCAGCTGTTTGGAGTAAGGTTCATTTTTCTCCAAGTGAGTCTTGACAAGGTCGACCAACCCGTCGATGAAGTCTGGGTCGTCGTTCAAGGACTCGCATCTGACCATCTTATGAGGGGCGCCGAGCTCTTCCTTGAGCTCGATGTCGATCTCGTGCAACGTCTCAATGTGGTCGGAGGTGAAGGCAATAGGGATGATCACGGCACCTGGGGCCTGGGAGTCGTCGACCTCGTCCACCAATTTTTTGGTGATGGTAGCAGTTTGTCCTCCAAGCCATGGTTTAGGACCGACCTGGGACTGCCAGACGAGTCTGTATGGGTTCGAGAAGTTCAGTTTCTCCATCACAGCATAAACGGTGGCTGCCACCTCGGCAGGATACGAGTCTCCTCTGTTGACGATCTCCATAGGCAAAGAGTGAGCACTGAACAGCAACACAACCTTGTCTCTGACCTCCTGCGGGAACTTGGTCAAGGAATCCTTGATATGGTTGGCAAAGGCGGTGGTGAGACCGTCGTTTTTTGGCCATCTGTCGATGACAGACCACTCGATCTGTCTATCAGGGTCGATTCTCTTGGAAACACGGTACAGGTCGTTGATGGAAGAGCCCGAGGTAGAGTAGCTGAACTGCGGGTATTGCGAGAATGCCACGGCTCTGGTGACTCCGTCCTTGAGCATCTGCTGGTACGTGTCCTCGGTGAGCGGGTTTGCGTATCTGAAGGCAACGTACGGCTTATGAGGAGCGGTGGCTGGCGACACAGAGTCGAGCTTCTCGCACACCTTGGCCGCCTGGTATTCGGACCACTTTCTGATTGGCGAGCCGCCGCCAATTTCGCGGTAGTGCGACTCGATTTTCGGGGTTCTGCGCTTGGCAATCACTTTAGCAATGAAGTTTTGGAATCTTCCAAACGGAATTAAGTCTGCATCAGCAAACAACCGGTATAAGAAGTCGTAGGTCTCGGGGATGGTCGAAGGTCCGCCCATGTTCATGAACATGACGGCTGTTCCCTTTGCCGCGGGAGTGGACTTGGCGGTCGATTGGAACCGCACAAACTGTCTGATAAAATTAGATCTCAGCATTGGAAAGAAATAATTAGAATTAATTTCGCAAAGTCTGGCCAATTTATTTATTTAATGTCTTTTGATATTAGCTGGGAAAGCATTTCCCACGATGCTAATATAAATTCGCAATTACTTCACTTTCTGAACGACAAATTGGCGTCTATCGAACTGCCCAATTATCTGAATGGATTGGAGGTGGTGAAGTTCTCTCTGGGAGAGAAATCGCCAGAGCTTACTATTAGAGACATTGATCAGCCGTTTGAGGAGTTTTACGCCGATCTCCAACAACCCACGCCGGTGCAACTGACGCCGATCCCACGCACACCGCTCAAGCCGCAGACCAGACCTCAGCTAGAGATCTCGAGAAGCCCGTCCCCCGCCAGCGTGCTGATGGGGGGTCTATCCAGTCCAGTGGGAACCCCCCGTGGATCTTTGTTGTTACCGAGAACAAACTCGTACGGACTCGGTTTGGGGGGTTTTGGGCTTCGGGAAATCCACGAGGAAACAGAACTGGCCCCGCTCCCAGACCCATCTCCCGTCCCTGAGCCAGAACCCCAGAAACTAGACCCCCGTCGCTCTGATAACGACATCCAGCTCACTCTCGACCTGAAATTCGACTCGAGCATCTACATCGAGGTGGTTTGCAACCTGCTCATCAATTACCCCACCCAAGAATTCATCAAACTGCCCGTTCGTTTGAAAATCACAGACCTGTTCATCCATTCGCTGGCTGTGGTGGCATATATCCAAAAACATGTATTTATATCGTTCCTGTGCGACATTGACGACGACGAAAACGCAGCAGATTCCGAGGAAATGCGCCAGGACTCGAGAAAATCGTCAGTGTCGGAAACAACACCGACCGTTCTGTCATCGCGCGATAGAATCGACATCATCCGCAACCTACGCATAGAAGGCGAGTTGGGCAATCACCACTCACCGCCAACGGCACACCAGGGCTCGATCTTGAGAAATATTGGTAAGATCGAAAAGTTCTTGGTTGGAACTATCAGAAACATCCTCATTGAGGAGCTCGCATGGCCCAGCTGGATAGAACTCGACATGAACGAGGAGGAAGACTCAGAAACAGACATTGACGATTGACTCGAAAAAAAAGAAATGAATATCTTAGATGAAGTACAAACACAGGCACGCACAGCCATCATCTTTTCTCATAATCCGGCCCGTTAGACGCGGCATGAAGCAAGTCGCTAAGCCCTTCTGTTGCACCCGTGGCGGGTCTCGGGTCGGTGTACGGGGAGCGAAGAGGATTTGGCAGCTGACGACTGTTCCTGCTCAAAGGTGGCAGCATTACACGATCGTCGTCCTTATTGGGTAGTATAGAACTCGAGGCAGTTGGGGATAAAGACCGCTGGAAGTGCAGACTGGTGTATCCGGGAAACTTGTGTTGACTGATATAATCAGTGGAGTGGTGGTGCAAGTATAGCGGGTCGTTGATCGCCAAGCCGCTGGCACCGTTGTACCGCAAATTCTGGACAGCGTATTGTTGATGGTCTATTGATTGGGGTTGCTGTGCTGAGATCAAATTGAACACTTCCAGATTATAAGAACCATTAGCTGAAGTTTTGTCGCTGGCCTTGGAATAAATGTCATCTTCCAGAACTTTGTTCAAGATCCGGAGAAACCTGTCAATTTGATGGTACCTGTTGGTGAACAGCTTTAACCAGCGACCGAAACAGATTTGAATGTTTCTCACGATGAATTGAAATTTCGTATCTGAAGCAAGCTGGGACTTGATAGAGTGCTCCTGTTTGTTGGAGTTCGACTTTGAATCCTTTGGAGAATTGATTAGTTTCTTCAGTTTGTCATTATTGTTGTTAAACTCGCCAATTGAAATGCTGTTGGCTCTCCGACGGCCACCTGTCGGAGCCGGTTTTTCGTTGTGATTACAGCCCAGTTCGTTGATCACAAAGAAAATGACCGCAAGAATGATGCTTTCTTCTTCGTTGTCGATCGAGGGATCATCCTCGTCCGAGTTGTTGGACTCGTTGGCTGGGTAGTCCTGGGTTTGTTCTGTACGAGGCCAGTTCTTGCCAATGGAAACATCCATGAAATACTTCTTTTTGAAGAAGTTGAGGATGCGGATAAGCACCAAGAAATTGCCCATGATGAACTCTACCATCACAAGCTTGTTTTCCGGGAGATTCAGCAGTTTTCTGTTGTCAACAAGACCTTCCTCGTCGAACACCAAAGAAAGCAACAAACATGGGAGCATGGTGATGCCCAAGTTGTTGTTGACAATGAAATCCCCGTTAAACGGTGTATTCATGAACTGGTGGAGATTCTTGTAGACCTCCTCGTCGGTCAGCTCTGTTGATGGTGCTGGAGAGTTGCCGTCTGTGTGGATAACGTTGATCAGCTTTGAGAGGTCAAATTCGATGATGGGCTTGTCGCTGTTGAGGAAGTTCTTGTCGTTTATTAGCGATTCTGTTTCGAAAAGAAACTCCTTCAAAGTGAGAGCCAAGAGAATCCAGTTGCTATCTGATTTTGGTATCACTAGATAATTCATCAACAGATCGGTGAATTTCAATGGGCAATTGAGCAACAGCCGACGTTTGACCACAGATAACAACTGAACAAATTCCTCGTCAAACTGACTTGTTGGCTTACCAGAAACGTTGAAATTCTTGTTTGCGAGGATGATTGCATTGTGGAGGAAGTTCTTGTTGTCTTTGAACAGACCCTGTTGCAGGATGACGTTCTTGTTGAGTTTGTTGATTTCGTTGAACTTCACCATCTGAAGCTCATTCATCAAACCGGCAATAATGGCTTTTTCCTTGAGACTCAGGTTGTTGTGGTTGACAAAGTTGGGAAAAGAGCTTGATATTAGCGACAGGTTGTTGATCATTTGGCCGAGCGTCTCCTCGAAAGACCCTTGTGTTTCTGAAAACTCGTCTGGAAGGGGTTTGTTCAGAAGATACAGATGCAGAGAGGACGGCGACTTGTTGTACACGAACGAGTACTCCGATAACAGCAGGTATGCGTGCCAATAGAACGAGTTTGCGTCGTGGACAGAGGTGTTTGGTGGCGAAGGAGACTTGTGCGTGTCTTTGCTGGCCTCGTTTTCCACGTTTGTGAGGTATGTGCTGATGATGTTGTTGAGGTAGTCGAACAGGACGTCTATTGGTATTGCGATTTTTTTACAGAGCTGTTGGCTAGTTTGGGACGGCGAGTTGAAGAAGTCGACGAAATAGTGGAGATAGACGTGGCCAAGGATGATGAGATGGTTGACGAACTTGTTGAAACTGGGACCGGAGTTGTAATTGATTTTGGAGTCGCTGATTTTTTCAATCATAATGTCCCAGCTGCGATTGAACATTAAGCTGGCGTCGTCGAACTCGTTCATGCGACACGCGCCCAAACAGATGATCAGATACAGCATTTCGTCGGTATCGGACAATCCCTGGAGCTTGCTAAGGTTAATGCTTGGGAGGTTGGCCTGCCATTTTTTGCAGCTACCAAAAGCAATGATGTACTTGCCAACGGAACAATTGAGCTTCAAGTCCAGATACCCAAACTTGTTGGACAGTGTCAACAACGAGGTGATGGTCTTCTCTGCAATGAGGGCTGAGCTATCCTCTGTGGATTCCGCCTCGTTAGGCGAATTTGGTATAGCCGATAATTGCAAGTTGACGGGCCCGGAGTCTGAAGCTCCGGTAGGAGATTTCAACAATTCGTCCTTGGTGGAGATGTTATCATCAATGTTGTGCTTAAGAACCAGTCCATGGACAGTTCGAAGATGACGTTGCAACAGATCGCGTCTTACAAACCCGTTCTTACAGATCGAACACTGGAACGGCTTTTCTCTAGTATGAGACCGTTCGTGCCTAAGCTTGTGCTCGGACCTGGAAAACGAGCGAGCGCAAAATTGACAAATATATCGTTTGGTCATTAAGTTCTTGTGCCTGTTGATACGACTACTTATATTACAACGTTATAAACAGGCTCCCCGCCTAATTTTAGCCGATACGTGTATGTCATAAAATTCTCCCAGGCCCAGATACAAAACCTTGCCATTTCGAATCCGGCTACCCCTCATGCAGTTATGATTTTTCTTGCACTAATATTTGTATGTACTGCCGTGCGGGGTGGGGGGCCTCAGTTCCGGGCTGTGCTGGAGGAGCGAAGAAAAAAAATCTACTAGTTTTCAGTCTAAGTACAAGCCTATTTGGCTCGGAGTCCGTTATCGTAGACATCAGTCCTTTTCGCTCAATGCACACAAAGCTGCCCCCACAGACGAGCCGTCCTTCGCGATGTTGACGTGAAGTCTTCTTTCACCTTGCGAGCCGATCTGCGTTTGTGCAATTGCGTCTCTCATCATGGTTCTGAACCCTGGGTAGAACTCCACCACAGATCCGTCCGCACCAACGTCCACCTCGATGTTGTGTCCCTTAAACGCCTCAGTCATATGGAGCAGCGCAGCAATTGGAATCGCAGCCAGGTACGCCGATCTCTTGGCAACTGCACGCGTCAGTTTCTGGATCGCCAGTCTTTCCTCCACCGTTGTTGGCAGTCTCAATGACTGTCTGAGCGACAGCTCCGTGGCTTGCAACTTGGTGGAGTCGTCGATCTCAATCAGAGACAGTACCTCCGAGTCCAGGTCCCATGGGGTTCTTAATCTATGTGGTAGAGACTCGTAGCCAGAGTATTGGGTGAACATCACTCCCTTAGAGTGCAGGTCCACCAAAATGTGTCTAAGGATTTCTCCCAAGAACATACCGGAAACACGCTTCTCGAACATGTGGAAGCCCTTGTTGCTGGTGAGTTCGTCCACCTGGACGTCGTACTTGCTGTTAGGCAGCACCTTCAACTGGTTGTCAAAGGAACCCCACTCGGTGTTGACAACCATGTGGGTGACACCTTGAGCCTTGAGCTTCTCTCTCACGTCGTCAGGGATCTTCTTGATGTTCTCGAGCTTCTCGTTGTAGGCACCGTTGGTTCCTGTACCGAAAATACAGCCAACAAGAGTGGTTCCCTCCTTATTGGATCCAGTGTACGATCTGGCCAACAGTGTTCCGACGGTATCGTTTGCCAAGGCCGAAACGGTGACCGGGACTTTAAGGGCATCCAGATGGCTCTGGAACACTTTCACAACGTCCTTGCCAACACAATCTGGGATATTGAACCCTTTGGTCCATCTAAGCAGAGTACCAGCATTTAAGGCGGATTGAGTGACTGGGAAACTGAAGGTGAACCCAAGCTTGAATTTCTTGCCGTTGCTAGTCTCTGTGGAGTTCTCATGGTGGGTCTTCAAAAACACCTCCACCTTGCTGGCCAGATACGAAAACAGCTCGTCCGATGTGGAAGACATGAGTTCTGCCGGAATGTGCGATTTCTGCTGGATCAGCTTGAAAGTGTGGTCTCCGTTCAACTGAACAGAACAAACACGGAAATTGGTTCCTCCAAGATCGGCGGCAAGAAGAACACCTTTCTCCTTACCGTCGGGAATGGACGTCACGTAGGTGGGTATCATTGGCAGCCCGTACTTGTCCTCGTCGCTGTTCAATCCGGACTTGGCCAACTCGATGAAACGGTCAACACCTTTCTGAAGAACCTCCTCCGAGACGTGGAACTCCTGGACAATTTTGTCAACTTCTGAATCCAAACTCATTTTAATGCAAACAGATAATACTATTTCACGGAGTTTCCAGGTCTTTTAAATGTTGCGGTGCTCTCTATGAAACATGTTGAGTCGCACACGACCTTTCCCCCATCCCACCCACAAAATGGCGAGATAATATATGGGGTCTGCCAACCAGATGTGGGGCACCGCGTTTGTGACCTGGGAATCAGGCAACCTCGCCATGCGTGACACGGACATGCAAAAATAGCACATGCGAAAAACTCGTGATCTCAGATGATGTCATCTCTCGGCTCGCGCATGCAAATTACCTGACACTTTTACAATTGCAACGTCTCGGAGAAGTCAGACAGTTTTTCTCATCTCCGAAACCTCTGCACCACATGGGGTCTTTAATTTTTTTTTGACTTGAATCTATAAACCCATCAATTAATTTTCATCTTCACATGTCACCGGGAAAAACCATATTGGCGTCCAAGATCGCTAAAAAGTTCGCCGACGAGATCCAGGCCAAGGCAGCGTTGCTGGCCAGACGTCCCAAGCTGGTCGGTATATTGGCCAACCCGGACCCTGCTGCCAAGCAGTATGCCGATTGGACATGGAAAACCAGTGAATCTCTTGGATTTGACTACCAGTTGATCCAAGTCGAAAAAGAACAACTCGAGGACCAGATCTACAAGTGCAACATTGACTCGTCGATCAACGGAATCATGGTTTATTTTCCCGTCTACGGTGACGGACAAGATCGCTACTTGCAACAGTGCGTAGCTCTTGAAAAAGACGTTGAAGGTCTTAATTTCCGCTACGTCTCCAACATGTACCACAATATCCGGTACCTGGATGACACGCACCAGAAGAAATCGATTCTCCCGTGCACTCCTCTTGCCATCGTCAAGATCCTCGAATACCTGGGGGTGTACAACCCTTTGTTGAACTACGGTGATAGACTCTACGGAAAGACAATTACTGTTGTGAACCGGTCTGAGATTGTGGGAAGACCACTGGCTGCCCTTCTGGCAAACGACGGAGCCACCGTCTACTCCGTGGACATCAACGACATCCAGACGTACGAGCGTGGCCACGGCTTGAAGCTGAAGAAACACGACGTTTTCGAGTGCGACAAGAGCTTGAAAGAGTGCGCATTGTCGTCGGACGTGATCATCACCGGAGTGCCTAACGACTCCTACAAGTTCCCCACAGAGTATGTCAAGAGAGGTGCTGTGGTGATCAACTTTGCTTTCAACAAAAACTTCAACGACGACGTCAAAGAGAAGGCCTCGTTGTACGTGCCGTCCATCGGAAAGGTCACTATTGCCATGCTGTTGCGCAACCTACTTAGACTTATAGACAACGCCCCTAAATAAACCATACACGTCTTTTGGCCTGCTCTGTCAAGTTTTTCATGGCTGTGCTGCTGGTGAAAAATTCCCAACTTTTTTTTTTCAAACTTTTCACGGCTGTGCTTATTTATATTCGTTTGGGCCCCGAGCAAAGCTTCTTAATTTTTTCGTATTTATTTTGTGCCAGTTTTTCTCAGATCTACAAATTGTTGAGTCATCTGAAACATAATACGAATCAACATGACTGGCTCTGCAATTCGCGTGTTCCGCCAGATCGGAGATATCCGGACGTTTCGCCGCGATTGCTGGATGAAGAACTTGTCGGTGGGGTTTGTGCCCACGATGGGATACCTTCACGAGGGCCATTTATCCCTCGTTAAGAAATCGCTCGAGGACAACGACGTCACTTTGGTTTCAATCTTTGTGAACCCGGCCCAGTTCGCCCCCACCGAGGATCTTGATGCATACCCTAGAAATCTGGGCCGCGATCTCCAGCTGCTGGACTCCATTGTCTCGGACGACAAACTCAGACGGGTGGCCGGAGTGTTCACCCCATCTGTTTCCGAGATGTACCCAAGCGGGATTCCTCTGGATCCTTCTAAGCAGGAGGGTGCCTTTGTCACTGTTGCTGGGGTTTCTGAACAGTTGGAGGGCCAATCAAGACCACAGTTTTTCAGAGGTGTGGCTACCGTGGTCACCAAGCTGTTCAATATCGTCCAGCCCACAATCGCCTATTTCGGCCAGAAAGACATCCAACAGTCCATTGTGATTAGACGCATGGTTTCCGATCTGCTGGTCGACACAAAGATCGATGTCGGAGCCACTGTCCGTGACCAAACAGGACTGGCTCTGAGCTCCAGAAACTCCTATTTAAGCGACGAGGTCCGCTCGCAGGCTTGTGTCTTGTACCGTTCAATGATGGATGCACGCCAAGCGTTCTTGAACGACAAAAGCGTCACCGTGGCAAGCCTCAAATCGCAGATACAAAACCAGATCGCTTCCGTCAATGACAAATTTACTATTGACTATGTGGAGTTTAATTATACAGACAACTTGGAATATCTGGTCGACAATGCCACCATTGACGAAGCCCGCGAGTGTGTGCTGAGTCTTGCTGTTCGTGTTCCTAATAGCAACACCGAAAACGTCGGCACCACCCGGTTGATCGATAACATTCTGTTCAAGAAATAAGTTTCCGCTGCTCTGCTATGACCTTTTGGAACTCATGCTCTTTCCGAGCCTGGTTCTCTCGCGATGTGATGCCCTTCTCTTTGGCGGCATAAAAGATCTCTCCGAATTCGCATAACCACTCGCCTTCAACTGCTGTCACATAGTTCATGTATTCTCTACCAGTCAGTAACAATTCGTGATAAATCACATATTTGGGTAAATCTCCCAGTCCGTAGAGCGAAGCCGTTGGATGTAGTCTCATTTGGAGACCAGTACGCAGGTTGACAAACTCACCGTACTTTTTGAATTGCGCTGCTTGGTGGAAATACGAAGCACACAAACATTTGCGAATAACGTCCCAATCTGGGTTGCTAGTGATTGCCAGTTTTTGTGAGCCCATAATCTGACTGAGTTGTGTGTGGATTTCAACAGCCCGTCTGAGGGACTTGTATTGTAGAAAGTTTTTGGTGCACCATCTCTCCTGGCAACCGTTAGCTTTGAACAGGTTGAAGATATTGAGTAGAGTGAGATGATCGCTTTCTGCAACTTGGAATTTTTCTCTCACCGAGTCGGAACGACGTTGTAGAGCCGCATCATGCGTTGGTCGAACAAAAATAGGCGGGATGGACAGCATTGTGACGATGGTGATCATTTCCTTGGAACATTGGAACTGCGAAAACGAAGAGACGATCAACAGTCGAGAGAGAGCAGGGTCAATAGGGAAATTGGACATCTTTTTACCAAGAGCAGTCAGTTTCCCGAAATTATCCAATGCTCCCAAACACCACAAGTCGTACTGAGCTGTGTTGATAGTCTCGATTGGCGGTTTGTCCAGGAACGGGAACTTGCTTAGATCGTCCACTTTTAGATACTTCAACAGTAAAATGGTGTTGCTGAGGTTCGTTCGCTGGATTTCAGGGATAGGTTCGGGGAACATCTCCTTGAGCGATGCATATTTCGTGTAGAGACGGTAGCAAAGTCCAGGGCCTGTTCTACCTGCTCTTCCAGACCGCTGATTGGCCTGTGCTAACGAGATGGGTGTAATTTGCAAAGTATCCATACCCAGTTTTGGGTTATAAACCTTGAGTTTCATCAGTCCCGTGTCAACAACAAACCTGATACCGTCGACAGTCAGCGATGTTTCGGCAATGTTGGTTGCAACAACACATTTGCGGTACTTTGATCTTCGAAAGATTTTGGATTGCAAGTCGGCAGGAAGAGTCGAGTAGATTGGTAAAACTTGCAAAGGCTCGATACTTGGATCAGACTTTATGAGCGTTTCCAGTTCCTTGGTGAGTTCCTCGCACGTGGTCTCAATATCTTCCTGACCGGTCATGAAACAAAGAATATCTCCTGGCTCGCTGCGAAGATGAACTCTGATGATCTGCTTGACTGCACTGGCAACATAGTCCTGTGCAGCAATTGCACTGAACAGAGTTTCAACCGGATACGTCCGTCCTGGAATGGTGAACTGCTCTGCGTTTCCAAAGAACCGCGAAAACTTGTCTGCATTCATGGTAGCAGAGGTGACAATCAGCTTCAAGTCTCTGCGTCTGGTGAGAACACGCTTAAAAAGCCCAAGCAAAATGTCTGTATTTAGCGACCGCTCGTGGGCCTCGTCCATCACAATGCAGGAGTACTTGTCCAGCTCTGCATCCAACAATGCTTCTCTCAGCAAAATACCGTCGGTCATGAACTTGATGCGCGTCTTTGGAGAAGTTTTGTCTTCAAACCGGATAGTGTATCCGACCTCTTTTCCAACCTTCACGTTCATCTCCTCGCTTACACGCTTGGCAACAGACAAAGCTGCCACTCTTCTTGGCTGTGTGACACCAATTAGTCCGCCAAATTTGCAATATCCTGCTTCGTACAGGAACTGCGGAATCTGAGTGGTTTTACCAGAACCAGTTTCTCCAATCACCACAACAACTTGGTTCTCAGCAATGACCTTCATAAGTTCTTCGCGTGCATGATAGGCCGGCAATTTCCGCCGTTGCTGCTGTAGCGTATTCTTATCGTAAGCCTCGTCGTCAAGAAACGTTTTCTCCTCTTCATCTGCCTTATCATCATCATCTTTTTCTTGCTTGCCTAAGACTCGTCCAAGCCGACTGGTCTTGATATTAGTGGCGTCACGAGCACTCTTCTTGCGATCTTTATTAGCACGACGCTCGTTCACCAGTAGCGATCCGGTCTTGGTGTACTTATACAGATCACCCGTCTTGTCCCTCACTGTATCAATGACCTCTAATTTCTTGGTTGTGATAGTGGCAGCATCGAGAAACGGAGGAGTCAGCCGATGAACAACAAGATCTATATCAGGACTAACTTCATCAACATCAAGCCGCGACCCACTTGGTGGAGCCTTTTTCCGTCGAAACGACGGCCGAATCTCGTCTTCCATCTGGTAATACTCCTCCTCTTCAACCACGGGATGCGACACCGCCTCATCCTGTGTGTACCATTCCCTGTCGTTGTTGATATCCGACTCGTTCTCTGTCTCGGGCTCCGAAGGGGCGGTACTGTCCTGTTCCTTGACAGCCAGATCGTCCGAACTAGTATACAAGCTCGGCTCGGGATCAATGTGCTTCGGCTCAGCTGACACAGCGTCCGGTTCCTGGATGGCAATGTCTTCCTTGTGCAGCTCGGTCTCCTTCAATCTTTGGGCATTCTCCTTGGAAATTTTCTTAAACGTGATTTTCGACTTCTTCAGCGGCTTCGAAACCGGCTCGGCCTCGTCGTCGTCTGAGAAATGCAGTTCAACCGCCGACAGTTCCCGCTTTCTCATCTTTCCTCATCACACCCTCTATAAATTTAAAAGTTTCTTTAAATGAGCCGTTTGCACACCTCGCACCTAATTTTATGGATCCATTTTCAACGTTTGAGTTTTTTTATCAGTGTCGAAAAAGAGCAGATTAAATTGTCCATATAAATACCCTCTCAATAACTACGGTGTTCCGGAACTAACTTGCCTTTGACAGTGTTAGCGATCTAGGTGATACGGACACAAGCATTGAGTGCTTTTTGAGGCTATTTATGTCGGACTTTTGAACTCCGTGTTGATAATGAAAGTTACAAAGAAAAGCAAAAAAGAAGACGCTGTAAGCTTCAAAAAGGACCCAGAATCAAGCTCCAAACTGGACCTCTTATCTCCTAGAATGTGTTTTGATTTTTCTACAGAAAGTGCTTTTGAAAAGGCAGCAAAACTAGACACTTTAAAAAAACAGTCGCACGGCTCTGCAGACCAAATCCCCAACGTCAAGCTTGAGCCCTCATTACTGGTGATGCCCTTGTGCCAGGAGTCGGAGCAGCAAGCAAAGGGCCCTCCTTCGTACACTAAAAAAATATGGAAAATTAATCGGTTCAAGTCCGAGGAAGCTGAGAAGCAGTCGAAACTAATACAGGACGCTCAAAACCTGGTGATGAAGGATTCCTCTGCAAAAACAAACAAACATGGATTCCGCAAGACAAACATCAAGCCAAAGGTCAACAAGGAGGGAAACCCAAAGGAGTTCCTGTTTGTTAACTGCACCCCTACAGCCTCATCGGATGTTCCCGCGGAAGCTTCTGAGGACGATAAAAAGGTTTCAGCGGGACCTGGAAGGGTGTCACGGCTATTCCGTAGTCGCTCTCTCAAGAGAGAAGAAAAGTCCAAGGAGCAGCAGCTAGAGGCTCCAAGAATGGTCCAACCAGACGTCCACAAAGATGACAGGGCTGCAAAAATGCCATTCCTCACCACTTCGCTTCCTGTTCTTGCTGGACCAGACACATCAAAGAAACCTTCGTTGAGAAGACTGTACACCCGCAAGCCGAAGCTGGATCTTCGCAAATCGGGCGAAACGTCTTCGATTACCACTCCATCGGAATTTTCGCTCACTCCAAGCTCAGCCACAGCCGCCAGCTCAACATTCACTCCAATCACCCCGATACTCTCCACGAGCTCATCTGCTGTCTCGATGGTGTCAGGGTCTACTCCTCAGCCGGAATACTTCTTCGGTCCAGGCACCTACTCTACTCCGGCACCAAGCAACGCTGTTTTGGGCACACGCGATCGTTCTGACTCGGGCGACTCCATGTTCCAACAGGTTCACAACAAACAGGTGTTGGCCTCGCCAATGGTTGTCACCCCGTATCAGCAGGACGATGATGATCTTCCTGGTGGGCAGGAGTCCGGATACGAAGATCTCGTGGCTGTCTCGCCAGTTAGCACCTCGATGACGAAAAAAATGAAGACACTCAGACGGTCCAACTCGATTGTTTCTGTCACGTCGGCTTCTTCGCAGTCGCAGTACGCCCCATCGTCCTTGTCCTCGTCTGGATACTACGGGTTGGGCGTTGCGTTCTCGCCAACAAATCCTGCCCCGGGCACCGGCTCTAATCGCTATGCCCTGCGTAACCGGTCTGTTAGCAACGCTGCGATGACCACGCAGAAAATTCCCCTGATGAAGACACACAGTCACCAGAATATGAGTATACCGTCCCGACACTACGCGGAGCCCCCTCATTTTGGTCCAAACGTGCCACTATTTGACCCGCAATTCATAAATCATCCTGATAACGATCCGTCAAGACAACAACATATAGACGCCCAATTCCAACCTGTTCACGCTCCCCCACCAGACATGGTCTACCAACAGTCCCTGTCGCTCGAGGAGCTCAAAAAACAGCACGACGATCTCATCCAACAACACGAATCGACCTTCTATTCGTTTGGGCCAATAAATCAAGACATCAACAAGGGTGCAAGCACCCAAGTCCCACAGTCTTACCAATCCGCTGCTTTTAGACCTACTCATCGGCCTCTCACTTCTCTCTCGAAAGACATCACACCGCCTAAACAAGATGATGCGGAAGAAGAGACTTTTGACCTTTATTCATTTCTTAACGGCAATTTTCATGAAAGGTGGTAGCACTCTGCAACCACTCCTTGCACCGCCGTGAAAATTTATTTCACCTTTTAAATAGTGGAAATATAATTTTTCAGATTTTTTATGCGCATATATTCAAGATTGTTATCTCTGAGTTATCGCCGATTTACCCACATGACCACTCCGATAGACGTTTCCAAGTACGAAGTGATCACTGAAGGGTCTGCCTCCGTTCTTTATCCGCCAAACCAGGTATTCTATAACCCGGTGCAGCAATATAACAGAGACTTGAGTTCTCTGGCTATTCGTGCTTTTTCAGACATCTATCTTCAAGAGAAAGCTGCCAAGAAGCGGAAACACGAAGAATCCGGCGATGCTACAGAATCACAATCGTCTGAGCCCTACTTGCACATTTTGGAAGCGCTTTCTGCGTCTGGTTTGAGAGCTATTCGGTATGCCAAGGAGATTCCACTTGTATCCAAAGTGATAGCTAACGATCTGTCGAAAGACGCAGTTGATGCCATCAACCAGAACATCAAGTACAACGACATATCATCCAAGGTTAAATCCAATATCGGAGACGCTATTGAGGTCATGGCCACTTCCAAAGATCAGTTCCATGTGGTTGATCTTGATCCGTACGGAACAGCAGCTCCATTCATTGACTCGGCCCTGAATTCCATCAAGGACAACGGTCTCATGCTTGTTACATGTACGGATCTTGGTGTTCTGGCCGGAGGAGGTTATCCAGAGAAGTGTTTTGCTTTATATGGAGGAAGTCCTTTACATGGCGACGCTACACACGAATCTGCCTTGAGACTGGTTCTGCACATGATCTCCACGACAGCTGCCAAATACAAGAAGTGGATCGAGCCACAGTTGTGTCTTTCAATTGACTTTTATGTCAGGTTGTTCATAAGAGTCAGAACGTCTCCAATTATGGTGAAGCAGCTGGCTTCAACCCAGATGATCTCCTACAAATGTTCTGGATGCTGGTCCATATTTAACCAGCCTCTCGGAAAATGGACCGAGAATCCAAACTCAACCATCAAACACAACAGCAAGAAATACGGTCTGAGCAAAGGACCACCTGTTGGACCCAACTGTCCGTTCTGCGGTTTTGCCAACCATTTGTGTGGCCCTATGTGGGGAGGTTCTCTTCACAACCCTGAATTTATCGACAAGGTCCTGGACTTGCAAGAAGACGCAGACGAGTCGATTTTCAAGACTCTCCCAAGAATCAAAGGTATGCTCACCATGGCAAAGAACGAACTTGTGGACTCGCCATTCCACGTCAAGACGACCAGCATCTCTGCCGTTCTGAAGGGTCCGTGTCCCTCCATTGACACGTTCGCAGCAGCATTATCCAATCTCGGATATCGCGTTTCTCTGTGCCACTCGTGTCCGGGGGCAGTCAAGACAGACGCTCCTTACGAGGTTGTCTGGTTTGTTGGAAAGCTATGGGCCAAGAAAAATGGAATTACCCCAGAAAAGCTGAATCAGAATACTGCTGGATACAAGATCATGACCGATGACTCCATTGGTCAGAATATCAACCTTTCAGAGCTCAACACGGAAAAGGAAACCGACGACATTACTTGGTTATTCAAAACCAACAAAGAGGCTCAAAAGTTGAAGCAGTTGAGATCCATTAAAATCGTCAGATACCAGGAAAATCCAACATCCAACTGGGGACCGAAAGCAAGACCGCATTAATATTTGTATAATACAATCAATCAGCACGAATCAGTCTGAAAAATCCTGTTTTCTTCAACTCCTTAATATTTGCACACTTATTGATGAAGCCACTCTTCCTGAAGTTCTCTGTGATCTCATTGCATATCAAGTAAAGCTGGAGGTTCCTTGAAGTGAATGTTTCTTCTTTGAATTCAATCTTTTTCAAGGTGGTTGGAAGATCGTTAAGCTTCAGACGAACGATCGTGGACGTTCGATATTGCGAAGACTCGATCTTAACCTTCAATGTCTTAAGCTTCAATTTGCTGATATTAGTCTTGAACAGATCAAAGTATAGAGACTTGGTTATTAGCTCCAGATCTTCCAGGTTCTGTGGAAATGTTCGTAGTATTGAAAACGGATTACCTCGGGAGTTGTTCAAGCGAACCTTGAGTTTGACCAGATCCTGTGGTAGCTTCAAAGTTCTCAATGTAGCTAGAGATATGTCCAGATTCAATTCTCTCAAAGTGGGTGGTAGCTGATCGGGCCACCGTATTGAGTATCTGAATCTCAGTCCCTCTGTAACTGTCAATTTTTCGAGTTTGCACAGTTCAGCAAAGTTGAGCAGCTGAACAATATCGGAACAATCTTGGAGAGATTGCGTGAGTTGTCTGGTTCTACTCGTATCCCCATAGACTTCCAAAGACCTCAAACTTGGTGGTAAGTTCACTGTCTTATCCTTGTATCCCCTAGCTATGTCACACCCGTCAATCACTAGCGTCTCCAAATTTTTTGGTAGCTGGTTCAAAACTTCAAGGTTGATGGACTTATGTTTCAGCAGCATCAGCTTCAAGCTGATTTCTTCGTCCAAATTCTGAATGAAGATCGCAGAGGATTCCAGATCGTCTGTTATTTTGACCTCCATCAGTTTTGGCGGTAGTCTTATTGTTTGGCAACTGCAGTTGTGAAGATGTAGATACCTCAAGTTCTGAACACATGTGAGCACGGTGGGAGCCACCGAGCACCGTACCAGTTTCAATTTTGTAAGCTTTTCGAGAGGCAACAATGCTATTGGATCCTGTATTTGAAAGCCTCTGAGCTCTGTCTTGTATAGCTTGGGTAATGCTATCTGCGCTGGTCTCGTTGAGGAGAGAAGAGCGGTATTTTTGTAAGTCGTCGAATTCAGTTTTAGGAATTCAAGACTACTAGTTGACGATACCAGATCTGAAAGTGATAATGATTCGGAGACAAGATCAACCTCAAGGACTTTGATGATTTTGCCGATAGGTGTGATGGAATTAATCATCCATTCGAGTTCAAACTTTGAGTCATTCGTGTTGAGAAATCGTGCCTGTATTTTGATGTCTCGTGTGTAACAAAGATGAACAAGGCCTTTTAACGCTCTGATCAGCTCGTCGGTCGAGGAGTTCTTGAATATTCGCAAGGAAAGGTGTAAATCAAACTTGTTTGTAGACAAGTTGATTATATCTGCAACCACAGTAGTGCAATCGGCTCTTTGGAATCCGTTGTTGAGGTTCAGGTGGATTGTCTTGAGGTTCTTCGTGAGAGGAAGGAGCCACAAGTTTCTGGTTGTCTCGATGTTCAATCGTATTTCGGCAACTTTGCTAAAGTATAACGAGACCTGCTCGTCAATTTGGGAGTCTTCGTCAAAGATTAAGTGTTCACACGATTCGGTAAGCCAGCTTGTGTTTTTGAATTGTTGTCCAAGTAAATAGTAACGGACCCTAATCTTTCCGGCACGCACTTGTTCGCGTAACTGTTCGTATTCTCGTCCAGCCACCTCGATCCGCATGCTATTTTCCGGCGTCTTGCTAAATTCAGGCTTGGTAGACTGCCGGATCTCAAGCCAACTTTTGTTAGGAAAGTGGAACAAGCACAGTTTCTGGTTCAGCAAGTCATCAAAGGCGTCATCAGCATTAAACTCACCCTCAATTAGACAAGTAAACAGATCGGCAAGTCTGCATTTGACCAAAACCTCATTGAATATAACCAACCTGATCTCGGGAGGCAATAACCTGGTTATTGAAATGAACGCCTCTGTTACCGAATGCTTTTTCACCTCGCCGCTCATTTATAGCATTCGTACTTTTAATAATTAATTTGCACCCTTTTTTGGAGTTATATCCCACATGGCTCTTATCGACTGGGCGGTGCAAAAGGTTTCTGGTGTAGTGTGACAAAAATTTAACCAAGACACAGTCAGGTACCAATGTCGTTGGCCACAGAGCTAACGGTTTTGAGCGAACTAGTAGACGTCCTTGTGACCCCGGAATCTTTTGGGATTGACACAAAAGGGCTGTTCTCATACCTCAATTCTTCGTCACGTCAATCCGCCGGTTCGGAAGTCATCATTCGAACAATAGACTTCCACAGCTTTCAGGAACTGGGATACAAATTGACCTCTCCTTCGCTTACAGTTGACAACCTAATAGCAGTGCTATCTTCCAATGTGTATATTAACAACATCACCGACCTTCAAGAAACAGACCCCGACCAATACTTGCCAGACTTAAGGTTTGTTATCAAAAACACGTTTCTACTTCTCATCACTTTCCTCAAGCGCACAAACCAGCCAAGTCCGGCCGTGTCGCAATTATTAATGCTACTTAATGTCACAATCGTCAACAAGCTCATCAAGATACTCAAGACGCTTAATCATACTATCGAGCTGAGCAGCGAAGAGCTGCTATTGAAGTTAATGCGGTATCAACGTTGATTATTTTATATACATTCACGAATAAATCCGGTTAGCGATCCTGATCCACACGTAATTAGCAAACCTCCGTCCGAGTATCTTCCCTATAACGGGCAGCAGCACAAAGTTGACGAGGGTCTTCAGCTGGGCCAAGTTTTCTTCCCACTCCTTCTGAGGGTTCTGGTACACCAGATCCGTTTCATATGTGTATTCCGAGTCGTCATCACTGCTGTATGCGGCAAGTTCGCTTTCCCCGGTGTGGAGAGCAAGATTTGTGGTGCTCAAATCCATTAGTGGCGAAAACAAGCGTGTACACCAACAGCTTGGATATTTTCAACTAAAATTTCAAGGCCGAACCTCTTTACACCAGGATTTATTTGCTAGTCTTCCACGGGGCAGCAGCACGATTATTAGCGAGGTTCGTGGACGTTTTTACCGGGCTTGGACTGGCGGACAATCCCGGGCTGTCCCAGGTGGCTAGTCCGCTGTTCCGGTAGGTGCCAGCTTAGTGAATTGGGAAATTCTACGATTAACAAGGCTGAACAGGGTCTAACGGTTTGGCTTTTTTCCCCTGTGCCCCACAACTGCACTCTCTGTCAAATGCCGAAGAGCCAAATTGTGCAGACTTGGAGGGGGACCACGGGTGGGGGAAATGAAACATAGCGCCAGATCAATTTTCAGGCAGTGCTGCAACCCCATCTGGTTATGTGCATAACCTTGTAAAGCAGTATGCGGCCTGGTGAATGGTAAACGCTTGAATATGGGGCTAGGTTCGAAAAGAGCTCTTCGTTGGGAGTATGGGTGGAGAATCTGGATCTCACGGCCTCTTATTTCGCATCGGGGTCAAATAATTTGACAGAAGATATTTTTTTGGTGTATGAAACTACTAGGAACAAACCCGTACAAGTCCACGTTGTACGAGCACGCGACCAATTTCCGCTATGACAATACAATCTCAACAGATGATTTTTCCCCAACAGCCTTCATATCTTCCAGGAACCAGCGTCTGAATTTCGACAGACTGAACGATCGAGATTCGGTGCTAGACACGATAAAAGACTATAATGATAAGCTTGTGGATAGCAGCCAGACAGTTGGTGTTCTTAGCACATTCCGTGTCAGTCTGGAAACCTTTAGAGTTCACATGTCTCGGTTCGCTCAGAAGAAGTCTCAAGGAGTACCGTCGACTAGATTCACCAAGAAACGTCAAATTCAGCTTAGTTACTATGGCGAAGACAACGACCCTGAAACGGACAGCTCGCCAGTGTTCATGCGACATTCCGGTATTAAGTACCGTAAATCAAACAAGATGATGGTTACAGGCAAGGAGAGAAGTGCTGATATACAGTACATCAGCTCGACCGAGCCTGCGTTGCAGATCACCGAATTTACGGTTCCCGACGACTATTCGCCAGCCAACTTCAAGGATCAATCTTCAGGGGCCAGTAAACGTCGCTTATTGTCACACGACTACCATCTTGCTTTGGAAAACTTCAACTTCATACCTTTAGCAGACTCGGACCAAAAATTTGAGCTCTACCTTTACCTTCAAGAATGCGCAAACGACCCCGAGACTCCTGCCAACTCTGCTTACGAGCATCTTCTTAGTGAGTTTCTGAACACATTCACGAATTCCAAGTTTACGGACTCTGGAGAAACAGATACAACTTCGAATGACGAAATACTACGCCGCAAAAAACAACGTCCTAGACGACTCGAACGCAAATTAGAACTTAACGATCGGTTACGACGAATACTTGAGTTAAACTGAATTGTATATATATAACATTATTCCAATGATAGATCGCCGAATTTTTCCCGCACCTTCAATTCTCTGGCCTCTCTGATTTTTTGGTCTCTCTTCACGTCGTTCACTCTGCCCGACTCTGTTTTCCAAGCCTTGTCTTCCCTATGAGGCTCTTCAACATCCACATTGAACTTCGAGCTTTCGTCATCCGGCTTTGCAAGCAGGTTTCTGACCTCTTTGGAAGCAACGTAGTGCAGGTTGAGCTCAGATCCGAAAATGTACTTCAGATGAACCAGACGAACATATTCAAACCAACTGGTGATTGGAAGAGCTTTGGACTTGTTCAATTTGAATCTGGAAAGAATCTCCTTCTCTTCTCCCTCTTCGGGCTCTGCTCTTTCAAGACTGTGCAGCACCTCTCTGAAAATCGAACGCGACTCCTTCTTATCCTTCTTGCTCACCTTCTTGGAGGAGTATCTCACCAATTGGTTGATGATACTCTTGAGATCCTCAAAATCGTCGTACGGCTCATCTGGATCATCCTCATCGCCAAAATCAAACACTTCATACATGAGTGCAACCACAATGGCTGCAGCTTTTTGGACTTTCTTACTAAACTCGCTCGATAAGAATGTCATGACCTGTGGAATATTTTCTTGAACCAACGTGTTCACGTCCCTGTTGGCTTTATAAATGAGACTGATGATGATTGCAATGGCATTCAGAGTGTTCACAACCACATCCTCGTCGTTTTCGGAAAGGCCACCAGCGCTATAGCCATCCGCAAGCTCCATCAGGGTCTCAACGCTATCTCCTAGTCCATAGCACTGAGACTCGTCATAAATAACCAGCAATAAGCTGGCGTACGCGATCAAACAACTGGACCTCACGCCCTCATACGTCTCATCGGGACTGTATATTTTGTTGAGAAGCACGGGAAATAGCTGCTCGATAGCAGTGGTTGCAACCTCATCCACATCGCTGGCAATGTATGCAACTGCAGCACGAAGTGCAAACACAAATTCCAGTTGAGACCGCGCACCTTTCACAAACGAAACCAGAAGCTCCAAGTCCGTCTCGTTAACCACGGCTCCACTAGTGCTCAATGGCTTCTTCACAATCATGCGATACAATTCGCCCAAAAGAAACTCCCTCGAGGAAGAATTGATCTTAGACCTGCTCTTTGCAAGGGCCGCTATCACGTCGGAAATCTTGTATATTTTGATCACTCCACCTTCCTCGCCAGGCTCCGCATTGGCGGCACTGGATTCATCTTCGCCATCAATTATGGAACCAATCATCGAATTTGCTCTGCTCTCCTGACGACTCATAGAGATACCAGTAATTGTACTAGGGGACGGAAGAGAGTCATTGTCTTGCAATTTTGCCCGTAATAGGTCATCCAGTCGCATAAAACTCATATCCATGACATCTTGGTCAAACTCATCCGGGTCGGTATCTGTCTTAGGACTTTTCATACTGGGGCTTCGTATACCCGAACCAGAGGAGGCCCGAGACTCGGAGCGCGCAAACTGCTTCAAGGGGGTCCTCATTTCTCGTTGGAGCTGTGACATCTTGCTTATAAAATAAATAGAATTAATTTGCTTTTTTTCTATGCGGCTTTACTATTTATTGTATAATACACATATACAATCATGTCATTAGTGCTCGTCGACTCTGAAAGGACTGATACTGTCTTGACTATCGGACCCGCCTTTGAGTCTCTCAAGTTCTTGTTTCAGATACATCACCTCCTGGTATAGACCTCTGTTTTCCTCGCGTAGCATTTGGATGTAGCGTGATGATAATTCCACGGTAGTGGCTTTGGACGGCACCGTCACCTCGCTCTTAAGAGATTCCGGAATGAACTTCTCGAGATCCTGAATGGCAATGTTCATTCTGTTACGTCTTCCTTGCTCGGCAAGCTTATGAGTCATTTTTCTGTCTGTTTGACCAGACTTGTTTGAGCTCACCGAATTGCTGCGAGCTTTGCCCACATTGAATCCATCTGGGCTGTGACTTGGTTGGCTTTCGTCGGTATTTTGGATCACCGGTGACGTTTTCAACGAGGAAGACCGTGACGACGATTTCGAGTGTCCGTTTATATGAAGTGGTGGAATTATCGCCGACGGAAGTTGTTGATGTTCATGCAAAAGGAAGCTATTAGAGGATGGAAGAATCACGGGCGACGACTGAGCAGACTTGGCGTCATGGTTGGGGTTTTTCAACACATTATCCTTGGGCAGCATTCTTGGCGAGTTCTTCGGAGGCATCTTGGAGAGACTGAACGACATCATAGTGGCAGGAGTAGCTGCAGGTAAGTTTTCGTTGTTCAATGGATCATGTTCCTGAGAGTATGAGTGTTTGCGGGAATCCATTCCTGAATGGTCTTCTTCTTTGATAGGAGGTCTTGATGGCGGGAGCATCAAGTCGTTTGAGGTCGCAGACTCTGGCAGCATGTCAAATCCACTTTGGCCCGGCATGCCTGGTTTAGGCTTGGTTTTGTAAGATCTGCGCGTTCCTGAAACGACAGGGGAAGATGGCTTGGCCAACGGAGATTGTTTTATTCTGGAAGAAGACCCCGTATGTTGTTGTTGCAGCGAGCTTGGGTTTGTAGGGCCGAACAAGGGAGTTCCATTAGGAGTCTTGGATCGTTTGTACGATGCTCTTCGTTGGTCTTCCTCGCTGGTTGATGGAGAAGACTTATTAGGAGTCTGGTTATCTCTTCTTTTCTGACGTAGACTGGCTGCGTTATTGGACTGGGACATGAACCGGCCGCCTTGAAATTCGAGTGCTGGCGACGTCAGCGGACTGAACCCGACTTTTTTCGGCATCCCGACCTCAGAAACGTTCGACATGCCTGGTTGATGGAATCCTGTTCCATATGGAGGGTTTGTCGAATGCTCCAAAGGCGTCACCGCAGGGGACACCAATGGGGTGAACACGTCGTTCGGCCGCACGGCGGTGGTTGGAGCCATGTCTGAGTGAGACTGGTGATCTTCCGAGAAATCATGGTGGAAAATTTGAGCGGGCTCTTGATAGTACTGTTGTTGGTCCATGTCTGAATCTTTGGGTTTATTAGATGAGTGAAATGAAGAGGAGTATTCCTGGTGCCTCTGAGATGGATCATTGTAGTACGAGCCATCGTGAGTATTAAGATGTTGATTGTGTATCATATCATCCAAATGTTGTATCTCCTGAAGATTGGTGAACTCGGACCATTGAAGATCCATGTTTTCAAAATGGGCATCGTGAACCTCCGACGTCCCGTTGGAACCTATAATCGTGCTGTCCGAGCTCGCGACTGGCGGATGAACGCCCGTATCACTTGACTCGTTTGCACCAGACGGATCGGAGTACTGAGTTTGCTTGGAGACATTAGATTGAGGAACCACGCTGGTCATTTTCTGATGAATCATTCAAGGATCCAACAACTATGCTTGAGAACCGGAAAGCTAGTCAAGTATACAGTAGAGTTCCAACAAATAAAGTTCAAAAAAAACCAACTATAAGTTACACAGCATCTACAATAAAGAACAATAAGTTGTAGCTAGGAGGGAGGGTAAAAAATTATTCTTTGCCAACCGTTTTAGGTATCCATACTGCACGGCCTTTGCTTGCAGCGGTCCTAGAGCCTATTCAAACGGTCTACCCGAAGGAATGCGCCCGAGCTTGTTATTGTCCTTGTGCTCCCATTTCCGGGTAAACCCCACGTGCACGGGGAAATTTACTGCTTTATCACACGAGTCAAAACTTGCAGAAGACTGGACTGATAACGTCATTTGTCTGGTGCAAAGGTGTAGCGCGCGACACGACACGATGAAATGTTGTGAAACAAAACCCCGGGTAACCTTTGGTGGAGTGGGTTTTGGAAAATTCAAATAAATAAAATAGATAACCAAGCATGTTTGAGTTTGTCTCGCTTGCGCCGCCGGTTTCGGCAATCGAGCCCACCGAGGAGCCTGACGAGGACTCGTATGATCCTCTTGAGGAGACCGATGTCAAGTCGGAATCCGGCGATGAAACCAAGTCACTCAAGCTCGAACAAATATCCAACACCTCAAAGTCTCAGGCAAGGCTCCTTACTTTTGACGGCCAATTGAACATTCTGGCCGATCCGGGCTGGGACGGTGTTTCTGACCTTCAATACTTGGAACCCTATGTTCCCAACATCCATCTTATCATTCTTTCGCAGACTACGGTAGAGTATCTTGGAGCCTTTGCGTATCTGTTGTACAAATATCCGATTCTAAGAAGAGTGAAGACGTATTCGACATTACCTGTTTCCAAGCTCGGGAGACTCGCAACCATCGAGCTTTATAGATCTGTTGGACTTGTTGGTGCATTGAAAGGTGCCATCTTGGAAGTCCAAGACGTGGAGAACTATTTTAATTCGATCGTCACTCTTAACTACTCGCAATCTGTTTCTTTGACCGGGAACCTTTCTGGAATCACCATCACCGCATACAATTCAGGACACACACTTGGAGGATCGTTTTGGTTGTTGAACAAGGATGCAGAGAAGATCGTTTATGCTCCAACATGGAACCATTCCAAAGATTTCTTTTTGAACCCAGGAAGACTCAACCAAACACATCTCATGAGAGCCACCACGTTGATCAGTGGGTCGGATTTGGGCTCGTCTCTTTCGCATAAAATGAGAATCAACAAGTTCCTGGAACTCGTGCAACTCACGCTGATGAACGGAACATCGATTCTTCTACCCACAACCATAACTGGACGTTTGTTTGAGCTGTTTCCGCTGTTAGACCACCACGTTCCGCCAAATTTTGGGTTCTATCTTCTTTCATTCACGGGGAAAAAGTCGCTCGAGTTTTCCGGTAACATGCTTGAGTGGATGTCTCCAGATATCACCAAGAACTGGGAGAACCAGAACCAGACTCCATTTGAGTCCAATAGACTCAAGCTTGTCTCGTTAAAAGACCTTAACAGTCTTGAGCCTGGCCCCAAGATCATCTTTGTCGATGGTACCGACATGGAGGCCGGATCTCTGTCGCGAGAATGTTTCATGGAGCTCTGTTCCAAGCACAATACCGCATTGTTGATGACGGAGAGACCTGCCGTCAACACCACAGCATACGAGATATACCAGGAATGGGAGCGCCAGGTGAGTGAACAGTCCGGCTCCAAGGACGGTTCGCTGGTTATACTGGACAAGAAGATGTCACTCTCTGTGTCGCGCGAGGATAACTTACGTGGCTCTGAGTTGACTGAGTATAAAAAGAGCGTTGAGGAACGTCGTCATCTTCAGAAGGAGCAAGAGGTTCAGGAACGAATGAACAACGATCTTCTGGACACGATGATCGGAGAAGAAGACGACGATGACGATGATGATAACGATAACTTGTTTGACGAAGCTGAAGCCGAAGAGGAGCTGGAAACCGGAGCCAATGGTGAAATCAAGACCACTACTTCTACTGCTCTGACGCAATCGACCAAGTTGACGAAAGACGAAGACGACCGTATCACTGTGGACAAGATCTTGCAGATGCCTATGGACTTTGATGTTCGTAATGCCAAGGGAAGAAACAGGATGTTTCCGTTCATTGTCAAGAAAGTCACCATCGATGATTACGGTGAGGTGATCAAACACAGTGACTTCATGAGAGAGGAGGAGAAGTTCCCGCTGAAACCTGCTTTCGAAGAGGAGGAGGAAGAAGTTGTTGAAGAGTACTTGGAGAACGGTAAGAGGAAGAAACGGACTGTCAGAAGACAGGTGAAGAAGTCAAGAAAAGCAGCAGCTATTGAACAGTCCAAACCAAAGGATACGGTGTTTAATCTTGATCCGTTGGTGAATCCGCAGGTGCGCACCATTAAGCCTGTTACGGTGGACATTCGTTGCGGACTGGCGTTTTTGGATCTTTCGGGACTTGCTGACTTGAGATCGATGCGGATCACATTCAACTCATTGAAGCCGCGCAAAGTGATTCTGCTTCCAAACACCAGTGACGCATTGATGGGCGGATCGGTCGATGTTATGAAGGCTGTGATGAACCAGCAAAAGTCCAAGATGATGGACCTGTACAAGTCAGACACCGCTGGAATTCTCAACACCGACTATCTGCGTCCGAAACTGAACGAGAAGATCGATCTGGGTAACGTTGTCACGTCGTACGACCTTGTTGTTTCGAAAGAATTGGACGGTCTTCTCAACTGGCAGACAATCACCGGCGGATACTCCATTGCCCATGTTTTCGGAGAAATCCTGCCTGTTGCCGAGGGAGAGAAGCTGCTCAAGTTAAGTCCACCTACAAACACCAGCATGATGCCTGTTTCGAACTACATCAGCATCGGAGACATCAGATTGACTGAGCTCAGACGCAAACTGACAGAGCTGAATCACGTGGTGGAGTTCAGAGGAGATGGAACTCTTGTTGTCAACAACCAACTCGCTGTTCGCAAAATCAGCGACGGGAATCTTGTCATTGACGGTGGAATGAGTCCACTTTTCTACCAGGTTCGTGGATTGGTCCAAGATATGTTGGCCTATGTCTGATAAGATACGGCTATAACTGAATTTTTTCTCCATCTGTTTAAAGCCGCACGGTTATGACGAAATATCGTATATATCAATTAATTACAGAAAAAATAATTTAGATACACTTGTACTTTACCCCAATGGCGGTTTCCACGGCCTCTACTGCCGGCATAATTGCCGGGTTTGATCCGCTCGAATATCTAACGTCTCAACCATACACTTTGCTATTGTTCCAGATGGTGGTTATCTTAACCTTTGCGCAAATTGTCAACTTCCCCTTGTCTGTCATTAGACAACCACGAGTTATAGGAGAGGTTATCACTGGTATTTTGCTGGGCCCTTCGGTGATGGGCCACATTCCAAACTTCACCAACAAGGTGTTTCCGACCGCTTCGATTCCTGGATTGACGGATATCGCCAACATTGGTGTTTATCTGCTGCTGTTCATGGTTGGTTGCGAGGTGGACACCACGTTTATCAGGAAACATCTCAAGATCGCTCTTACTGTTGGTATTTTCAACATGGCCGTTCCGTTTGCGTTGGGATGTGCTGTTTCTGTTGGACTGTGGAACGAGTATCGCAAAAACGACGACACGTTGCAACCAATCGAGTTCACCACCTATATGGTGTTTATCGCAGTGGCCATGTGTATCACTGCGTTCCCGGTTTTGGCCAGAATTCTCACGGAACTCAATCTCATCAGAGACAAGGTCGGAACCATTGTGCTGGCCGCAGGGATAACCAATGACCTGATCGGGTGGATTTTGTTGGCCCTGAGTATAACTCTGGCCAACTCCACCTCGTCTATCACCACATTGTACATCTGTCTGGTGACAATAGGCTGGTGTCTTTTCTGTGTTTATCCATTGAGATACCTGCTAAGATACATTCTGACCAAAAACGGAGACCTGGAGAACCCGAACGGACCTTCACAGTTCTCCACCGCGCTGATCCTCATCATGATGCTCTCGTCTGCCTTTTTCACCGATATTATTGGAGTGCACCCGATTTTCGGTGCGTTCATCATTGGGGCCATTGTTCCACGTGAGAACGGCTATGTTGTTCGACTCGCCGAGAAGATTGAAGACCTGGTCAACCTGGTTCTTGTTCCGCTCTACTTTGCGCTCGCAGGACTCGGTGTGAACTTAGGACTACTCAACCAAGGAATCGACTGGGCCTATATCGTCTGCATCGTTGTGGTTGCACTGGTTGGCAAAGTCTTTGGAGGATTCGTTGCTTCCAAGGTGTTTGGACTGTACAAGCGCGAGAGCTTGGCTGTTGGGGTTCTCATGTCCTGTAAAGGTATTGTTGAGATTGTTGTTTTAAACACTGGACTCAATGCGGGTATTCTGTCCCAGAAAACGTACTCCATGTTCATTGTGATGGCTCTGGTTGCAACGTTTGTGACCACCCCGCTCACATTGCTGGTGTATCCACAATCGTACCGGGACAAAGTGAAAGAGCTAAGAAAACAGGCCGAGGAGTCTGCATCTAAAAGTTCTATGGTGAGCTCTGTGGACGAAATCAAGTTCCAGAGACTGGTTCTCCCTGTGAACGAGCTAGAGACTATCTCGACGGGCCTGGTGTTGCTGGACTACATTTGCGAGCCAACCAAACTGCCTGTTCTGGGAGTCAATGTCAAGGTGTTGACCCAGAGAACAGCAGACCTTCTGCAGGCTTCGATGCTGGGTAACCAGAGTTTGCGGTTTGACAAGGAGCAACTGAACCCGCTGCTGAGCATCCTGAAGGTGTTTAGCGACTTGAACTCCATTCCGTTCAGTTCGGAGATCCTGTTTTCCATGCCTGGCGACTACTTCAAGACGATGATTGCGTCGTCGAACTGTGCGCGCAACGACCTGCTCATGCTCACGGTATCCAACAAGGAGTACCTACGGAACCCGGACCTGGTGGCCGAGCTCGCACAACTGAGTTCCCCCACCGACGTGCACAAATGTCTATTGATCAACAACAACCAGGAGCTTGCCAAGACGGCCGACGTGGACTACACGGACGGAGACTCGATTTTCTCCAAGGAAACCATTCTGAACCCTGAATCGCTGCACTTTACGACACTAACGCTTGTTCTGAGCAACACTGTTACCACTTCGCAGGACCTTGTTGCGCTGAAACTGTTCTTTCTGATGGCAGAGCACCGCGACATTGCGTTGGCCAACGTGTGTGTGCGCGGCGACAGCGAGCTGCTGGGCCTGGTGCAAACACACATGTCGCTCGTGAAGGACGAGCACGTGACGCTGACGGTGCACGAGAGCGTGGCCGCGTTCGAGGAGCATCTGGCCGAGAAACACTCGTCGATGAAAGGCAACGTGAACGATTTAGTGATCATTGCCAACAACAGTGACAGCGAGCAGTTCTGCCGGCTGTTTGTGTCGAACAACGACCGGCTCGTTATTACGTACTGAACAGATATAGATTAGATATATGCCGAGCTATTAAAACAGAATCCGGTACAGAATAAACAGCACCAGGAGCGATACCATAGCCACCGGGGCATACTGTTTGAGCAGTAGCTGGAAGTTGATTTTTTCGGCGTATTTCTTGTACTTTTGCGACTGGGTCTTGAGGTTCGACGAGAGGTCTTGCAATTTGTCGAGCGAGTCGCCTCTATAGAGCAAGTCCTCGATGTTTTTATTCATAATCATCTTGACGTCCACAAGATCGGTGTTGAGCTTGTCAAGGTTGGATTGTGCTCTGGAGTCGCTGTAGATCTTCTTTGTCTTGATGATGAAGGACTCGAACTGGATGAACTCGTACGGCTTGAGGTTCTGTTTGGCAAGATCGTTGGCGTAGATGTGGCTGAATTCGTTGGAGATCTCGGATAGATACGAAAACACGAGCTTTTTCGGGAAACTGCTGGTGGTGATGCACACGTAGATCACGTCGTCGATGATCAGGTAGTGCAGAGTGTGAGCGCCGGACTCGATTGATGCTCTGGGCTCTGAGGTTTGCGGGTTGAGCTTGAGGATGATGAGCTTGCACTTTTTCTTCAATTCAAGCAGCCCGGCGTCCTTGTCGTCGTCCATCGACCCGGCCAGAGGCAGACCTGGCGGTTAGTGGGGGGAGCCAATATTCAGGCGTCTATTTACTTACCGTCAGAGAGTCTGTAGATCAAAGTGGACTCCATGGTGAAACTGGGTTATATTTTTTTTTATCTCAACGCGACCAAAATTATACACCCCTCTATTTAACCCGTTTGTTGGCCAACTTGGACACCAGCTCCTTATCGTTCTCAATTAGATCGTACAAGTACTGGATTCCCTGCTGCTGCTTGGACAAGATGCTCACGATCTTGTTCACCACCTGCTCGTTGTTGGAAACGTGGGTCTTGGCCCCGTCGGTGTTGGTAGCCACGGCCATCGACGCGTCGATGCTCTCGATGCTGATGTTCATGTTGATCAGCCGCTGTTTGAGGTTGCTGAGCCGCGCCCACAGCTCGTTCGACCGGTTCAGCCCGATCGGGTCGTCCACCGAGTTCACCAGCTCTTTGAACTGCGAAATAAGCTTCTCCTCGTCGTTCGTTAGCTGGTACCCTTTGTACTTGAGCACCGTCAAATTGATCGCGATCCGCAGCAGCTTCAGGTTCAGCTGTTTCTGTTTGATCTTGCACTGCGTCAGACGGTTCAGCGAGTCCAGATCGTGCTTGTCGCCGTAGTTTGTCAGACTCGTGTTGATGTTGTTCAGCAAGACTCGCGACTTGCGCAGATGCTCGATCTGCAAGTTGGACCGGTTCAGCAAGTCCTCAAACCCCTTGATCTTCACAGGGATCGTGTTATACCCCCTCGGCCGGAGCTTCATCGCGTTCTCCCAGTCCTCCGCACTCTCGTCCAAAGGACGCTCGTAATTATTGTACTCGGCAGGAACTTTGTTGTACACAAACGTCTTCATCAGACACTGGTTCGAGTTCGCGTCCCACGACCCTTTCACCTTGGTCAGCTGGTCCGCGATCGTCGGCGTGTACCCGTTTTCGTTCTGCTGCTGGCTCTGCTGCTGGTTCAGTTTCTGTGCTTGCACAACCATTGGATGCACGCTCTGCTGCTGCGACTGCTGGTTCGACCACGAAAAAGATGGCTGTGTGTTCAATGAAGCGGTCGGCTGTGGTGCTGGCTGCTGCTGTTGTTGCTGTTGTTGCTGGTTGCCAAACAAACTGCCTCCGCTGGACGCAGTGGTGTTGGTAGCCGCATTGTTTCCTCCAAAGGAGAACCCTGACGACCGTGGGGCAGAACTGTTGCCGCCAAAGAGACTGGACCCCGCTGCTGGGGCCTGTGTGGCCGAATTGGTCGTGTTCGCCGTGTTGTTGCCAAAGAGTCCCCCGCCAGAGTTGTTGTTTCCAAAAAGTCCTTGTCCTGAGCTAGCCGTGTTATTATTTCCAAAAAGACCGCCACCCGTGGCCCCGGTGGACCCGTTAGCCGCCGTCGTCGTGGCCGTGTTGTTGTTTCCGAACGAAAACCCGCCCCCGGTCGTGGATGTCGTGCCAGTGGCTCCTTGTGCTGTGTTTGTTCCTCCAAGAGAAAACGAGTTGCTGGGCTTGTTTCCAAACGAAAACCCGCCACTGGTGTTCCCGCCGGCGGGGGCAGTCGTGTTGGCGGTGTTGCCAAACGAAAACCCGCCGCTCGGCGCCGAAGCCTGCGTCCCAAAACTGAACCCAGACATGATGGTGTTTACAATATTTGGAAATTTCTTTCAGGTGCGAGGTGTAATTAAATCAAGAGCCAGCAGCGGGAAAGCAGTGCTAGCAGCACGCCAGCAGTGCACCGGTACTGGAGACGGATCGTTCACTGACGTTTCATATGGCACTATTATCCAGTTCTGGCCGTCCCCGCACCTCGGCTTTCTATTACCACTCCAAAACCTATTTACTTCCCCCTCTCAGCGACAGAACCAGGTGCAAGTCTGATCCAGCAACAATCCCGCACTCCTCCAACGTCTTGTCATCGTCCCTGGCGTTAGAACATGGCTGCAAATACTTACAATTGCTTTCCCGAAAACAGGAACTTTTGCTGGTGCGGAGGAATTCCCTCCTTCACCTCGATCGTCTCCTTCAGATCGCTCACCTGCCCGTTAGCACATCTCATGTCTTGTCTGCTCAACTTACCTTTTCTTGAAGATCAACGTCGATCCGAATCTGACAAGTCAGTTCCCCCTTAGGTATCTAGGGTCCACTTACCATTCTGCCTGTCAGGCTCTGTTTGGTTAGAATTGCGTCCACCAGAAAGCATAAAGCTCCCCCACCGTACTTACTCTCACTTTGATTTCCACCGTTTCTCCCATTCTTGGCGCTTATTCCCAAACTCTTGTTATTTAAACTCTAGAGAGTAATTTATTTTATTTATTTTTTGATGCTCTCCACGCCCGTCCTGGCCAAGACAGACTATTCCAAAATATACGAGCCCGCAGAGGACTCGTTTCTGCTGCTCGACCTGTTCGAGTCCCACCGACCCGTGTTTGAATCCACCAACTGCCCGCTCGTCGTCGAGCTCGGTACAGGCTCCGGAATCGTGTCTACCTTTCTCAACCAACATATACTGAAAAATGCAATCTTCATAGCTACAGATATCAACCCGCACTGCTGTCGCGCAGCCATACTTACAAACTCGCTCAACGCGTCCACTGGAAACTTCGACTCGGTCCAGACAGACCTCGTGGCCGGTTTGAGACCACAGACCATAGACATGCTCGTGTTCAATCCACCCTACGTGCCGTCTCCACAGGTCCCCGGTGTCCCTGGCTCGCTGCAGGACGACTCGTGGCTAGACCTGGCGCTCGACGGCGGCGAAGACGGCATGCAAATCACCAACAAAGTGCTCGACGCTCTTGATAGCTGTCTGGCTTCCAACGGTAAAGCGTACATTCTGTTTTGTGCTCGAAATAAACCAGAAACCGTCGTCGCCCGCTTCACAGACAACCATCCTATGTTTTCCGTTGAAAAACTCATCGAACGCAAAGCAGGATGGGAGGTCCTCAGCATATACCTGTTCCAAAAGAACTCAGCCAAATAGATCCTCAAACATGTCCTGTTCAACAGCAGACATGTTAGCATCCGATAAGTCGTACTCGCTCTCGTAATTGTAAATGGAGAGTTTGTCAAAGAACTCGCGCAGCTCAAAAATGCTCTCCACCTTGTTCAGTCCAATTAGAAGCGGAGACCGCACCCGTCCTGACGGAATAGGGATCTTGTCGCTCGGCTCCAGCGTGCGCATCTGTCTCACGTTGCTGATCCGGTCAATCAGCGACAAAACAGGAACGCTCGAGTCTCTGTATACCGCCTGGATTGTGTCGCTCACAAATAGCCATTCTGCCAATTGGAATCCTTCTGGCTTCAACACCAAAAGAACGTCCAGCAACTTGCTTGCCTGAAGAACCATCTCGTTGTCGAACTTCGTTTGTGCTTCAGGCACCTTCTCGTTGTCTGTTGGCTCCTCCAAAAGAACTAGCAATTGATGGAACACGTACTGCAACTCGGTGTAGATGGTTGGCCAGAACGTGCTCAAATGCGGATCCGTGTACTTGAAGACAATAACCCGCAACAGAAGAAAGATTCCCGGCTTCAAAGACTGGCTGGACGAGTTTTTCAACATATCCGACACCCGTGTTTGCAAGTCGTTGATATTGTTCATGAGGAAGTCGGTTGGAGAAATTAACAGAATGTACGCTGTTCTCTTCAAGTTCAAAGTCTTGGTGGACATTTCAGAGTCGTTCCAGTTAAACAGAGTGGACGACCCGTTGTACGGAACAAGTCTCGATATCAACTCATCCACCTTCTCCTTATCCTGTTTGATCCAGCTGTACATGATCTTGTTCCAGCGTGGATTAATGGCCGAGTCGAAAAACTTGGAATCCATCAAGATATCCGAACACAGACCCTTCCATAGCTTCAGGTTCGAGCACTGGTTCATTCCCGAAAGAGCCTCGATCAGGTCAATCACATAGTTTGGAGTCTGGCTGAAGTTCTTGGTCTTAGTGAGCGAAATCAACGTGTTGTTGATGATGGTGGTCAGACATTGCACAACTTTGTCGTTCTCTTGCACAATGGTTGGGATCTTTGGAGCCACAAACACCAGCGTCTCGCACAGTTCCTCCTTGGCGCTGTCTTTTTCCGTTGGAGACTCCTTCACAGGAGAAGATTCTCTTCCTGATGGGAAGAACGACAGTTTTGTTGTTGGAGTTGCTGGATTCTCTGGTTGCTCGTGAAGTTCTGGTGTTTGTCCGGTAAGGGTAGCTGTTGTTGAGCTTGATTGTTCGTGAGTCGAGTCGCTTCCTGGAAGCATGTTGATTGGGTTCAGAATTGACGTGATCGACTGCTCTTCGTGTCCGGTTCCCAGCTTGACAGTGGTGACCAAATTCAGCAGTTTGACGAATATCTCAATCATTTCCTTTCTCACCTTCTTCTGTTCTCCAAAACTAACTTGCGACAGCTTGATTCCAACAACAGTGCTGAATTTGAGAATATCTGACAAAACGGACTTGTAATTTGAGTAATTGGCAATCACTTCTTTGAAGAATGTCGTCAACGGAGGCCAGATATCCTCAATTGAGTCGCTGCTTAACGATTCCATATAGTCAACCATGAACCCAGTAATATCCTTCTCATTCAGCTCGGCAATCAATGAAGATCTCTTAAACTGCTCCAACGAAGTGATGTTGAGTCTAGACATGAGAGACTGGAAAACTAACGAAATAACGTTATCTGATTTTGCTCCGTCCAAAACATGGATCACCTTCAAAGTGGAGTACTTGTTTGATAGGCTGTTGTGGTGTCTTTGGCAACTGATCAGAGTTTCCAACGTTTCCAGTGGCTCTAAAGAGTAAATGCTTTCGAGGATCTTTTTAGTTCTGTGCTTCAGTCTCGAAGCATTGTAATTCAACGTCTTTGCAAACGAAAGGAACGACGGCTTTTCTTCATCGACAATTCTCGTGCTATTGGAGTTCAGTCCAATCACAGAATTCATCCTCGTCACCAGCGGAGACGAAGGTGCAACCGTGATTGTATTTGCTTTGACTTTGGAGTTATCGTCCGACCACAGCCAGATCCAGTAACAGGTCTCCACAGCCAGCTTGAGAGCTTTGAGGGTGTCCACTCTCTTTTTGTATGACTCGCTCTTCTCATCAGGAGCCTCCACCTGGAAAACTCCTTGTATCACCGAACCAAAGAAACTCGATTCCCTGCCGGTGGAAGTGTCGTTGGAAAACAGTCCAGAGTTCGAAGACTTGAGGTACCTGTGGCTGAAATTGAGTAAATCCTGTAACCCGTTGATTAGTTCCAAAATTGAGTCGTCAATATCGTTCGTTCCATCCTGGTTGAATCTGGAGTTGATGGTGAAGAACTCGTCGAGCTTTTCGCAGAAACAGGCTGTGATGTCAAAAGTGCACTTGAAAACCAAATCAGGCACAAATCTGGTGGCCGTGATTATTAGCGAGTTCCAAGAAGCAAGAACCAGCGACGTCTTTGAGTTTAAAATACCGTCAGACACAACTTGTGCAAATCTTGGCGGCATTCCGTCGTTCTCCAGAGCAAACATTTCAACAGGGATCTTTGCCTGTGAAGCAATCTTCAAAAACTTGGAAATGGTGGCAAGATAGAATGTGACAATCGAGTCGTCTTCCTGACGAGTTCTCTTGCACAATTGAGTGAGCAGAGACAGGATCTGTGGAAACTTAGACTCGGTTCCGTCAATCAGCAGTTCAAGCAAGGTCAAACACGTTCTCACACAGCCGCAGTACTGCTCAAAAGTCTCGCGATCCAGCTGCGAAGCGTCAATTGACAAAAAGCTCGAAACAATCTCGCAAATGAGCGACTTGTAAGTTGTGATATCCCAGTGCTTCTTGGTGACAATGCTGAACTCTGCTTCGTTGTCCAGGGTACACGTCTCCGACTTGGTCAATAAAATAAAGGCCTCGTCTGCCTTCAATAGGTTCAAGAAAGTGGTCAGTTGGTAGTTGAATAATGCAAAATCTTCGTCTTCTTTTCTGGAAAAGACTCCAGACCCAATGAACTTGTTGGATGATATTAGTCCTGAACAGCTGATCTTGAACACTTTTTTAATTGAGCCGGAGGTAACTGTAGTTCTGAGCCATCTGGTCACCAGAAGCACATGGGTTTCGTTTTCGCTGCTCAAATCGTCGAGCAAAAGCTTTAATGGACGGATCAGTATATCTTCAGTCTCGTTAAAAATCACCGAGTGAGTCCATAATGCATTGAAAGCTTTGACTCTGGTTGGACGGTCAGACTCCAGAAACAAGGAGACCAAAGCTGCCTCGATGTAATGAGGGTCTGCACTAAGTTCGAGCTTGCAAATCATCTTCACTGTCTCCAATTGGTATCTTCCGCTTGGATGAACCAAACAGCTCCAAAGCAAATCGATTACCGTCTTGAGAATCTGCAACAGTTGAGCTCCAGAAGTCTGTCTGGCCAATGTCTGGAATATAAGCGAGATTCCAAACGCAATAGGAACATACGTATCGTCGAACTCGCTGGACCGGTAGTTTGTCACCGTGTTCAACAAAGTCTGGTCGCTCCACTGTTTTTCGCCGTTCGGAATCTTTTGCAGTAGCTGATCAAGGAGATCACAGAAATTGTAGAACAATGCAGCTGTTTCCTTGCCAAGATTCGCAGTGGTGACATGTGTGACTAGACTTAGCAAGATAGCAGTCAAATCGGCGGTGTTAAACGGTTTCTCCCTGGCAATGTCCAATTGCGCCTCTTCCAACCCCAATCCGTAGTACGAATCAAGCTTTTTGGTGACTTCCTCTTTGAAAGAGTCTGAGACAACATTCTTCACATGAACATACTTGTCGTTGGCGTGTTCAATAGGAAGAAATGCTCTTTGGGGAATCAGGGTCAGAAGGGCTCTCATTAATTCGAGCCAGCGCGCGTCCCCATCAAACTCAAACAATGTGCCCAGCAATGCCAATGGAAGATGAAGAACAACCATGTCTTCCTCCTCGACTCGAAAGTTCTTGATAATGAACAGAACCAGGTCTATATCCTTCTCCCGGATCAGACGAAGCACGTCGGACCAAATGTTGATGGTCTCAACACTATCAAAAAACGCGTTGGCATTTTTGATCAGCTCGTCGTAATTTCCTATGTTGTCTGTGTAATTAGCGTCTCTTGTGCATTTAATGATTGGAATCAGTATTTTCGGAACAATCAGCTGTCCAATCTCCCATTTGTCCATTATGGCCACTGCGATCTTGCAGGCCTCGATCTGCTGCAAAGACTTTGATCTCGAGTCGGCTCTTCCTTCCAAAAGCGCAAACACAGCATCCGTCAAGTACTTTAATCCATACTTTTTGAAGAATTGAGATCTCGACTCGGATGTAACCGTCTGCTCGGTTTTGGCCTGCTCTGTAGTGGTAGGACCCAGGAGCCAGTTCCAAAGTCTTCTATTGAGCGACATGTCTCTGCGTAAAACTGTTCCCGTGGCGTTCAGAACCAACAGCTGCTTGTCCTTCTCGGTGACAAGAACCTGCAAGATCTGCGATTTGAGCGGTAGTTTCGTGATGAGAAGATCGAAAAATCCACGCTGGACAAGCAAGTTTTCGTCTCTAAGTCCCTCACTGAACGCTTTGATCAGAAGACCCGGTTCCGGGGTCACACAGGCCCGAGTCTCGTCGTCCAAAGAGTCCAGTATCTCTTCCTTCTTGATATCAGAGTCGCCTGTGACTTTGAATGATGGCATTTTGCGAATACACCATTCCAAAGCCCCTAATCGCTTGTCGGGAGATGTCACAATGCAGAGAAACAGACACTGCCAGAAATGAGAGTCGTTATTGAGATGCGTTTTGAAAGACACAATTAGCGCCAGAACAGAGTCGAACGACTCTGACGTTGTGTCGTCTAATGCTGGCAGCAAACTGAGCAGGATTGCTTTGAAAACAACCTGCAAAATGCTGGACTTGATCGGAACGATGTAGATTTTGAATAACTCCACCAATTGCGGCTTGACACTGATACTGGCATACGACATCAGCGGAAGCAATCCTGGAAGCCAGGTGTTCACATGCAAACTAGTCTCTTCTGGACCAAGTATCTGGAAAATCTGAACGTAAACTTCCAGGGCTTTCCGATGGACTCCACTAGGAAGCTTTGGCGAAAGACACTTGGACAAGGTCTTTGAGATCTCAAACTCGTTAGGAACCCAATGATTGGTCTCCGGATCTGGGTTTGTTTGCAATGCTCTAAGAAGTTTGCTTAGATACGAAATATAATCGGCCCATTCTTCAACAGAGTCAAATACCGTTAATGCTTTGTCAATATTGGAGACATATTTCTTCTCTTTGGAACTTAATTGTTTGGACCCGGCATTCGATCCAGAGTTGATTCCCGATAACAATGGCAACGGACTGATAGATCTGAAGAATCCGCTTCCTTTCAATTGTGAACCAGACATCTGAGAAGAAGGCTTTTCTATATCCAAGTATTTATTTTATCTAAGGCCAAACCTTGTGTTGGCCTGTGTAGGGGTGTATTAAAAAAAAATAGGGCAGGGGTCCCCCACTCTTTTTTAAAAAAACAAGTCCCTTTTTCAAGCGTTTTGTCTTTATGTCGGTATGGTACACCATTTGGTATCCATTTAAAGTAAGTCATAATCACTAGACCAACTAACTTTTAGGGATTTTTCTATTTCACTTTTCATTGGGATTGTTGGAGGTATCTGAAGATGAACCTGGTGGGTCTTGTTCTTGTCACTGTGGTTTTGTATGGAACAGCTCTTTGTTTCTATATAATGTCCCTGTTTTTCACCGGAGGCATGTTTTCATTCATTGGACCAACCACATTCCAGGTGATGACTTTTCTGATCAACCTGATCAACTCCCTTTTCCTTCTCCCTCGTCCACTGCGGCATACATTCGACCATGTGATGAACAAAGAACTCGGACTGGGTTATAACCATTTGTATCGCGGGATGTTGAATAATCAAATCAACGGATACGGCGGCGAAACTCTATTGGGCAGATGCTACAGAAACTGTAAACGGGCGTTGGGCCCTGAACGGTTTCTTGTTAGACAGTTGTGCTACCTATTTTTAAGTGCCATCCCAATTATCGGCCCCATCATTGTTATTTTCCTAAAAGCAGCAAGAGCAGGCTTTACACGTCACTCCAGGTACTTCCAACTCAAGGGGTACTCAAGAGCGCAAACGAATTACCTCTGGCACAAAAATAGGCACCTCTACTTCACGTTCGGTCTGGTTGCACTGTGTCTGGAACAGATCCCTGTATTGAATATCTATTTGGCTTTCACAAACTACACAGGCGCAGCACTATGGGCTGTTGATGTCGAACGACAGCTAGCCAGTCTCGAGTTTGAGGCTTCTATGGAAGAGTCTTTCTCACGAAAGCTATGATATCCTGCAATTCCTCAGGACACGACGAATGAGCCATTCCTGCGTACTCCTTGAAATCAATGTTTTCAAATCCAAGTTTACGATACAGTTCCAACGTCTGGCGGCCCTGCGCCAGGGGAATGATTGGGTCTTCGTCGCCGTGCGCTTGGAAAATTGGCGTGCTCTTGTTGGTGTCGGTAACTTTACCCGGCAAAGAGCTTGGAACGGGACAGAACCCAGACAAACAAAGCACACCGGCCAGTTTGGTAGTTGACGAAGCTGCAACTGCAAGGCTCAATGCGGCACCTTGGGAAAAGCCGCCCACGATGATGCGGTTCGAAGGAATGCCCGAGTCGATCTCCTTCTGAATCAACTGTTTGATCTGGTCTGCACTCTTCCAGAAGCCCACGGTGTCTTCAGGATGTGTCGGATCGTCAGGAGGGTACAGATCGAACCACGATGGCATTTGTGCTCCACCGGCAATGGACACGGGGTTCAAAGGTGCGTTCGGGAACACAAAGTTGATATGTTTCAATTGGTCTTGTCTCTGAAAGATGTCACTCAAAAACTTCCATCCTTCACCAGAATCACCCAGCCCGTGGATGATGACCATTGTGGCCGTTGGCTTGGAGGAAGAAACTCTTAAGGCGGAAAGCATTTGGGTTCAAGAAATTAAATTTATTAATTTTTGAACTTAATTAATTGTTAGAAATCCAATGTTTCCCACTCTTCCGCCCAAACCTTTGAATGAACAAGTGGTGGACCACGAAAAGCTCGAATACCCATTAGTCCCGCCTGATTACAGTCAAAAGGTCCAGATCAAGACCGACTTACCTGAATACTTTAATGAATTGAGCACCTCCAAACTGCAAGAGCTGATCAAGTCGCCCGAGATCCTCCATAGCTATCTATACCAGAACAGCAATTTTGCATCGATCAGCGAGTCAATCAAATCTACTCTGGAGAAGCAACTGGAATACACAGATAAGCTGCTGGATCAAACGAATGACAAATTAGCTCCACAAACAGAAAGCATCAACAAACAGCTGGACCAGTATCACCAGAAGCTCAAGACTTTTGACCAGCTCCAGGTGCAAATGTACGACCATCTCAACAAGTACTCGAAGAACTCTATCATCAGGACAGTGGAGCATAATCTGACCGTTCAGGATAACGCAACCAGCTCGCTTATCGACCAGGTCCTGAAATCGCCTTCGCAGATTGACGAGGCACAACTATCAACCCTCATCTCCGCCTACACATCAGAACGTCAGGAGTACTATCTTATACTAGAAAAATTGCATAGACTATACGAAGATCGAGTCGGAGGACTGGAATAGTCTGATTAGGCAGAGTCCAATAAAAAGTTTGTGGCCAGGTCCAACTGCCAATTGTTCTTCTGCAACGCGTTGACCGCAGCGGCCTCGTCGAATCCCATGCCTTCGAGCTCGTCAATGGCCATTTGCTGGCTCTGACTGAAAGCAGCCGTGCTATCTGGGACATCGCTCTTGGCAGCAGCAGTATGAGCATCGCTTTCGTTGGCCTGGTAGACAGGCGGGCTGTCGAACTCGTTCACTGCTGGTTGCAAGTTTGGATCATTTCCAAAACCAGCAAACACCTGCTCCCAGTCGTCATTGGCAGCAGCACCTGCTTGGCCAGCGTCGGCACCGCCAACTGGCTCCGAAACAGAGAAGCCTGGAGCAGACCCGTCGAAGCTGTTGAAGTTGTCAAATTGCGAGGTGTTGAAGGAGTCTTCGGCATGTGCCTCTTCGAGTCCCAGATCGTCAAACATGTCTGTGTTTTTGGCTGCGGAGAATGGATTTGTCGACTTGTCGGCAACCTTTGGCTCCCTTGGCTCCTCGCCCGCGTTGAATCTCGTTGGACTCGAAATGCTGTCGTGGAACTCCTCGTTGTCGCTGGACTCCTCGTCGGCCGGCTTCAGGTCGTCAAGCGAAGGAGTCTGCTTAGGGAATCCTGCGGTTGGCTCGTCTGGAGTTGGCAGCTCGGAGGTGGATCCTTCAGGATGCACTGCTTTTGTAGCTGGTGAATACAAATCGTCCTCTTCTTCAACTGGAGCAGCCGGCTCGCCTGCCTCGGTGGTTCCAGAGACTTCTGTAGTGGCCTTGGAGACTGTGTCCTGGGACTCGGTGATTCCTGCAAACTCGCCCGGCATGCTTCCCGGCATGGTGTACTGAGGAGCCGAGACGTCGCGCAGAGCAGACTCCTTGGCGTCGTCGTGGTCGACCATCTCGAAAGACTCGCCGTTGTCGTTCGACGAGATAGGCTCGGTGACCTCCTCGCCTTCTGGCAGCACTTGCGAGCTCAGAACAGGAATTGGAGGAGCGGCCTCCTCTTCAATGGTGGAGGTTGGGGAGTCTGGCACGTCGAAGTCTCCTCTCACAGACTGAGACGGATTGTTCTGGATGGAAGACGTTTCAGAGTGGGGGATACCGAACGGAAGAGAGAACTGCTGTTGCGACTGCGACCCGTCGTCCAGTTCCGAGGTCTGCGAAGTAGCTGGCTCCGATCTGGACTTGGTGGACGAATCGAAACCGGTGGTGTTGGAAACCGACTCGGTGGCATTTCTTCTCAGCTCCTCGGCACTAGGCACAGAGAAGTCGTTGTCGTCGAAATTGTCCAACGACGCGGTTGGAACTTCTTCATCTTGTGCTGGCTCCTTGGCCTGTTCCTTCTCAGACTCCTCAGACTTGTGTCCGCCATGGGTAGCAGCGAGCAGAGCAGCAGCTCCGCCGCCCAGCACAGCGGCTCCAGAGGCAAGAGCAGTGCTAAAGTTCAGGTTCTTCTCTGCAAACTGGGCGCTATAGTTGCCGTGTTGCTGGTGTAGATCGTAGTTCTCGTCCTCCAATTCGTTGGATCTCGTAAGTAGCTGTGAGTGTTTGAGTTCAATGTCCTTGATAGATTGCGTGATAGATTCGATCTTGGACCTGAGCTGGTTGTTCTCCTGTTCCTGGGAAGCAACTTGCTGGCTGGCAACCGCGTGCATGTTGTGAGTCTGTTTCAGTTTCTGGGACAACGACTCGATCTGCTGGTTCAGGTCGATGGACTCGGCGTTCAGAACACCGAGTCTTTCCTTGGTGGTCTGGTTGGCCTTTTGTGTCTCCTCGACCTCCAGTTGCAGCTTCTGCAACTTTGACTGCTCAGAGTGGTAGTTGGCCTCGGCCAAAGCAAGTTCCTGCTTCAACGACTCAGATTCGTTGCGAGACGTGATCAAAACACTCTCCACCTCTTGGACTTGCTGAACTTCACGCTCGTACAGAGTCTTGAGCTGGGCGAGCTTCTCCTCGATTCCTTCCTTGACCTTCATGATTCTCGACAGCTCCTTCTGGGCCTTGTCTCTCTTGGAGTTCACGTTGGTGGTTTGCACCGTCAGCGAGTTGATTTGGTTGGAGAAGTTGGCGATGTCCACAGAAGCCTGCGACAGCTTGTTAGAAACTTCTCTGTCGGTAGCAGCCGCCTGGCCGGTCAATTGCGGCTGGTTGCTGAATCCAGAGGTCAGTTGAGGAGACGCTCCGGAATCGGAGAAACTTCCAGTGGTCTGCTGAGTGAACGGAGTTGACGTGAACGCCCGTTCCTGAGACGAAGGCTGAGGACTTCCCACCGTTCTCAAGGCTTCGTAGTTAGGACCAGAAGACTCTTTAGGAACAGGAGAAGACCGCGTGTCAGCGTCGTCAAAGTGAGGCTTTTGGGCACGTCCTGGAATCACAGGCGGTGTGGCTCTGACTGGCTTCTTGTCCAGATCCTCAGGTCCATCCTCGTCGTCAGAGGACTGTGGTTCCTGAGTGTTTTGGGTCTGGAGCTGGCGACCAAAGTTTGACGTTGGAACGAAGCCTGAACGCTGTCCAGAGGCACCAGACTCAGGCTGAACAGATCTCGAAGCCGGAACTGGAGGAACAGCTGGTCTTGCCGACTCCGTGCGAGCTGGTTGTCCAAAAACGTCGAGCAAGTCGTCGAGATGCGACTTTGCCGAGTTGACGTTCTGCACAGGAGCAGTTGGAGACGCAGGCAACGGAGGAGGCACCGTCGAGCTTCTTGGCAGTTCGGTGACGGTGCTTGTTTGCAGCAATTGGGCAGGAGTCTCTGGAGGCAGGTCGAAGCCAGAAATCTTTTTCTGGACCAAGTACATAGCAATGGAAAACTCCTGTTTGTTGAACGAATCGGAGCCATCCAAGTTGGAAAGCTCCCAAATCGTGGCCAATGTGTCGTTTGGAAGCTTGGAGGTCATCAGGAACTTGGCCACCTCGTCGCCAGAGATCTTGCCAGTCTTTGATTTGTCCAGGTTGTCGAACACTGCACCGTACTGCTGTTTCTGCTGAGAAGACATGATCCAGGTGTTGAGGTTGGTGGAGCCTGATCCAGTAGATCCGCCCGACAGTTGATGTGGGATTGGAGACTGTGGTTGCGACGGACTGTTGGCCACGGCCCAAATAGGGTCTGGGATGACGGTTGGCAGGATGGTCATGGATTTGCTCAAAAAGCTCTGGATCAGGTGCATTGCCACGATGAACTGCGGCCGTTTGAGCTGGCCGGACTGGCTCTGGTCCACCAGGTTCCAGATCTTCTCCAGAATCGGGGTCGGCAGTCTGGCCTTGAGGAAGATGTCTCTTGCTTGCAGGCCGGGAAGAACGCCGCTTGGAGCAGACTTATCGAACATGGCGCCAAAGTTCTGCGCCTGCTGTGGCGACAGCACTGGAACAACCACCTGTTGCGAGTCCACAGACGAGGCCGACGAGATCCGCGAGCCTGTGTTGTTGGAAGGCAAACTTCCACCAGTGTGGCTAATTGGAATTGTGTTGAATCTGGCCAGCTGGGAAGGAGCCGACTGATACAGGTCGGCAGTCAGAGTTGCTCCGTGTTGGACATGGCCAATCAGTCTCATGGCCACACAGAACCCGAACTGATCCAGAACCCCCTTGTTGTCAGGGTCTGCAATATTCCAGATCTCGCCGAGAATTGGAGGACTCAAGTTGGACGCCTCCAACAATGGCTTGGCTGCCAGTCCAGAAAGCGAGCCCGTGTGCTTGAGGTCCAAGGTCTTGAAGATCTGGCTGTAAAACTTCTTTTCTTCGCCAGTGAGTGGCTCTTTAAGGTCCCCACCGGAAACTGGAGGTTAGTGATCAACGCGGCCGGCACAAGCGCCAGAACGGTCTACTTACTCGACATTGCGAATGGCTCGTTTCAAATAGACGCTGTCGTGTACAAACAGACTGCAATCGTTCGCTGGCGAAAAACAAGTCTGATCCAACGGGAGATAAACAATCTACTTTTTGTAGTCTGTGGTTACGAGCGCGGGGGTTTGACAGACGGGCGCAGCGTGGGGGCAAGGATGGGGAAAATGGGGGGACGATGGAGGGAAAGACATGTTCCGCCGCAATGGAGAACCTGCCAGATCTGCACAAGGGCCATTACAACTACTTGTACATGTTGCAATGCTATTTGGACTGTTCTTGGCATTTAAAAAAAAACTGCCCTCACTCAGATTTGAACTGAGGATCTCCACATTACTAGTGTGGCGCCTTACCAACTTGGCCATAAGGGCGGAATTCACCAAATCCAAATCCCTGTTCATAATGACTCGCACATGGTAGCCATCCAGTATTCAAGCTTGCTGCTCTCACCCCTTGACAACAGCTCAAGTCCTGCGTTTATTAAATCTTATAAAGCATTCTTCCGGGTAAGATACTCGAACCGGCTGAAAGTGTACCCGATGAACGGAAGGTCCTCCTTCGTGTCTGCTCCACCAACAACGTTTCCCTTCATACGCTCTCTTTCCTTGGCAGCTTGAGCCAGAGCAGGCGAGTCCGGCACGTTCTCCAGCTCGTCGGTCGGGAAGAACCGCGTATCGGTGATCGATCTCAGCTTAGGAATGAACGGAGCCTCCACGTTTCTGATCTCGTCCCAAACCACTCCGCGGAAAAACGGATGGGCCTTGATTTCAAGAGCACCGCCGTTTCGGCCGAGACGGTGGTCTGAGTCGGTCAACAGTCTCAGGATCAAGTCTTCAGCCTCGGGACTCAGATGAATATCTTCTGGGAATTGCAGAGTCTCTCGCCAGTTCAAAATCTTGCAATAGGTCTCCTTTGGAGTCTCTGAACAGAACGGAGGCCAGCCAACAAGACACTCAAACATGATGGCTCCAAGCGACCACCAGTCACAGGTCTGGCCGTAACCTTGGTTCAAAAAGATCTCGGGAGCAATATAGTCTGGAGTACCGACCGTGGAATACGCCATAAGTCTTCTGGACTTACGCCATGTTTGCATTTGTTGACGGTTGGACATGGTGAGATTAATAGGGTCCACCAGAACAGAGTTTCTGCCGTTGTTAAGACCACCGACTCCGCTGGCGTTGTCCTGATCCAGCAGCTTTTTGTAATAATTGGAGTCGTGAGTCTTGTGGAACCCTGTGGAAAGACCAAAGTCGGAAAGCTTGATATGTCCTCGCATATCGATCAGAATGTTATCGGGCTTGATGTCTCTATGAATGAAGCCCAGTCTATGAATAGCCTCGATGGCCAAAACACACTCTGCAATGTAGAATCTTGTCACGTCCTCGGTGAAGATCTGCCACTTGATCAGCATAGTCATCAGATCACCTCCAGGAAGGAACTCCATGATCAGATAGAGGTAAAGAGGGTCCTGGAACGAGTAGTACAGCGAAACAACCCACGGTGAATTTGCGTCTGCCAAAACGTCACGCTCGGCCTTCACGTGCGCAAGCTGTTCCTTCTTGTACATCTCGCTCTTGAGCAAAGTCTTCATGGCATATATTTTTCCTGTGTCGCGTTTCTGAACAAGCCGGACCTCACCAAACGCTCCTTTTCCGATAACCTTGACGGTATGGAAATCCTCCAAGCTCAATCTTGTTCTGCGGAGTCTCAAGAACTGGGACTCGTTTCGTCCAAACACTTGTAGTTCTCTATTTCTGCGCTCGCCGGAACTTTCTGTGCCCAGCTTCTGTTCAAAGCTCACCCTACGCTGGTTGCGCTCGATAGCGTGTTCTATGGCTGTTTTATAGTAATGTTCCAGTTTCAGCTTGATCGACGCGGCCTTGTCCTGCGACGCCTTCGAAAACCACTCCGGATGCCGGTCAAAGTACACATAGTCGGCACTCTGTGGCTGCTGCTGCCGGAAAGACAGATTGGAGTTGCTATTGTTTGCGTTGGGGTTCGAGTAAGGGAAATCTGGCTGTTTTAATGCACTTTTCGAAGGAGAAATCAATGACGAGTTCGACGAAACAGGAGCAAGGTTCGCCGACCGGATGCTGCGCGATGGACTCGAAGGAGGCTGCGGGTTGAAGTCGTTAAACTGCGACGTTCTTGTTGGCGACGACCCATAGAAGCCCTGGTACTGCGCGGCCTGCTGCTGGGACGGATGCTGCATGTTGGGGATGCCAGCCCCGAAAACAGGCACTTGTTGCACGTGTGACGGACTGCCCTGTGCTCCAAACGGCTGGCTATTGAACTGTCTATATTGCTGCTGCTGTTGCTGTTGTTGTTGCTGCTGCTGATACATGTTGTAGATGCTCTGTTGGTGGCTCATGCCACCGTCCTGGTTCGGGTACATGGTCAACAGACGGCTTTTAAATGTGATCCGGTGCCTGTCTGCTAGCTCAAACAAAAGAAAACAAACAACCGATCCAACTACGTTTGAATCCAGAGCAGGGGTTTTAAAAGGTCCGGTGTACGGATGTTTTCCAAAACACGAAGATCCACAACCCCGGTCTCGTCTCGTCTACAACCAGTACTTATTATGTGTTAACATTACATAGCACATCAACAACCAAACAGTCACACATCCATGCGGCGCTGCCTGGCCTAAAAATCCACATGTCCTGTCCACACTTAGAATTGCAAAGCTTGTCCCTTTTGCTTCTTGTCTCCACCAAGCTCGAAGTGCTTACATCTCTTGAGAGGAAGTTGCAACTTGGTCTTGCAGCTCACACACTCCAGTCTCAACACAACCTTCTTGGTAGTCTTGGCCTTCTTGTGGAAAACTTGCTTGGTCTGACCACCGTAACCGGATTGCTTACGGTCGTATCTTCTCTTACCCTGGGCGTACAGAGAGGCCTTACCGGCCTTGTATTGGGTCACTCTGTGCTGGGTGTGCTTTCTGCAGTTCTTGCCCTTACAGTAGGTCTTTCTGGTCTTTGGAACGTTAACTGGATGTTAGTAGGAGAGATTGGTTGGACGGCAGTGGGGTAGAAGGTTGTGTGGAGGAACATGGATCCCCCCACTCGACAAACTTCTGTCTCTTGTTGCCGCCAAATCAGCGTTTCACATACCCATTTCGAAATCTATTAAAGTGCTAACTAAAAGAGTTCAATATTTTTCACCAAAAACTCCTCCTGCACTACACCGCACGCCAGCCGGTGGGCTCCACCCTCGCGCCCGCCTGAAAAATTTTTCCCACCCGCCAGTCCACCGGGCGCGTTACTGCGGTTCCAGGAGTAGCACGTGACAGAGACCAAGGGTTGCAGAAGCTATTCTGATTCGGTTCAACTCTCATATAAGTGTATTCATTAGACATATATAGGGCCCCCATTGGACCCCTGATTGGACCCCTCACACACCCATCTCGGCAAGCGTGCGCTTGAACTTGGTCAGCTCGTCCGGCAGCTGCACATAGTGGTTGGAGGCGTCCTCAAACTCAAAACTCAGAACCTTAACATAATATTGTAGTTTCAGCTTGATCTGCTCCGTGGAAGGAGCCAGGTCCTTGACATAGTCAAAGATCTTGATCAGGCCGTAGATGTTGTCATTAACCACTCGGTACTGCTCCACAGCAGTCTTGAAAAGATTGGATCCGAACAGCAGTTGGTACTGTTGCGGAGTGAGAAGATCAACAAGCAGCGACAGGTAATTGTTGAGGCTCATCTTGTTGTTCTCGTTCTTCTTGTATCCCTGGTCGGTGATTAGGGCGGTGGCCAGCTCGTGCTGTTTCTCGTTGCTGTTCAGGTACGACACCAAGTTCAAAAGAGTCTGGTCGGACAGCACCAGGTTGTCCTTCAAGATGATTTCTCTGGTGATTCTAATGATGTTGGATCTGTCCAATTTGTACAGCATCAATTGCGTAGCGTCGTCCAGGAAACTTGACAGGTATTCGTAGCCGTCCATCGAGGACAGCTGTGCAATCGACGCGTCAAAGTCTTTTCTAGGAACAACCATGTCCCAGACTTTTAACGAGGACTCAAAGTCTTGCATGTCGATAAATCTCTTGAACACCACAAGCAGACTGGCCACAGAAACGTCTGGAAGCCAGTGGATCTTGTTGAACTTGAGGTACGTTTCGAAGGCCACCTTTGGGTTCATAATCGCCTGGCCACGGATGTAGCTGGACAACAGTTCTTGCAAACTGTCTCTTTGGTCTCTTTCGGTGGTTGCAACCAAAGAGTCCAGAAACTTGGTTGCCTCCACGCTCTTGTCGCACAACAGCATCGACTGGATCAACACCGCGTAGATCTCGTACTGGTGGGCCTCCAATAGCTCTGGTGCCAGAGACTCGCCCATCTCGCGGTACAGCTGTCTGACCAGCTTGATGTCTCTGGAGTAGCCAGCAAATTTGATCAGCTCCACAAACAAGGTCACGTTCGCAGTCATGTCCACCTTCTCCTTGCAAATTGCGTACAAGGCGTCTGGAGCAATCGCGTTCACCAGCTGGTACTTGTTGAGACATTGCACCAATTCGACGTAAGTTGTTTGGTTGAATCTGATCAGCGACTTGGAGTTGTGGCTGATCAAAAACAGCTCCTTGGCGATCTTGACGAAGTCGCTGCCGTCGCGGAAGTTGCCTGCACGGTAGCTCTTCTGTGCTCCTTTAAGCAACGGACCAACCACCAGCTCATAGGTCGAGTTCGACGGCTTGACGTTGTTGGACAACATGTCCGAGTAAACGTTCAGCAGATGCGTCAACTTCTCCTCGGTGGACTCGCCCGTACCGTCGCGCAATGGAATCGACCGCAAAATCTTGTTGTAAAGCTCCAGCGACGGAACAACATCGTTGCCTCGCAGGTTCAGGTACACGGCCAGAACCTCGTTGGGCTTGTTTGTTTCCAGAAACTGGTCGATCATCACTTCGTGGTGGCTCTTGGCAAACACCGGCTCCTTCGCCGGCTCTTCCCTCTGTTCCTGCACCTTCAGGTTGGAAAACTGTTTCTCCAACTCAGATACGGTGGAATATCCTCGTTGCTGCTTGCCAACTGCAACAGCCGTATCCACCTGGTACGTCCGCACGGTGGACGAGTTCGACCGCCGCAGACTCAGCAGCTTGCCGCCGTTCAATGACGGACCAATGCTCACGCTCATGTGGCCGTTCTTGTTGGTCTTTCTAGGAGCCTTCTTTAGCAGGATGCGGCCGTGAAGCCCGGCCTCTTCCTCCTGTCGCTGGTTCAACGACCGGTCCAGAATCACATAGTTCTGCGTCACCATCACCACCGGCGCAATGTACCGGTGGTGTGAGCTGTTGTTTGTTTTGTTGCCGTAATCTTCCCTTGCCACATCGTCAACTATAAGCAGTTCCTGGGGTTTGGAGTAGGAGGGCTTGAAAAACGGGTGCGAGTAGCCCTTCTGCGCCGTGGACGACGACACGTTGGACGCGCGGCGGCGGGCGTACGAGGCACCGGAGCGTTCTCCCAGGTTCACGAAGCTGCGAAGAACCATTTGATAATCAATAAATTAATTAAGATCGGTGTTTGGATATTTGAGATGTTTTATTTGTTTCCTCAGCACCACGGAACGTTCCGGGCTATTTTTTAGCCCTCTAGGGGTGCGAGGTGCCGGGTGTGCTAGGGTGCAAATACCCACTGATTTAAAATGACACCGATTGGCTGGTGGGAGGAGGGAAAAAACACTCTTAGGTAATACATAACGTTATGGGTGGGGGCCTTCATTAATGCGCGGTATGAGTCCGCAAGGACTGACAACGTACTCCTGCAGCGTGCGACACAGAGGTTTGGGCTTGGAAGAGCCGCCAAACGTGCCCGGCGTGCCCGAAAAGTAGTTCGCCACTTGCTGGTGCGGAATGATATAGCTTGCTGAGTAGAAGTTCGACCCGCCGGTTTTGTATGCCACCTCCATCGGCGCAGCGTCGCGCACAATGAACCGTCCGAGCCACCGCTCGTTCGCAGACAACGTGGTCATGCACCGGATCGAGTCGCGCAGAATCTTGCGCCGCGACGGCAGCGTGTAGTCGATCGGGCTCCATTTGTACTCGAAATCGGGAGCACGCTCGATCTGGGCGTCGATGCTGGCTCCCGACAGCGACGTTGACGGCGTGGCATGCTGCTGCAGGGTTGGCGAGCTGCTGAACCCATTCGAGCCGCTAGAACCGTTCGACAGCGACGACGGTGTCGACACCACGGGAGCAGGCTCTGGTAGCTCGGCCACCGAGTCGGACGAGTTCGACACCAAAGTGGTGGCCGACCCGCTCCGCCGACGTGTAGGGAACTCGTACTCGTTGGAGATGGCGTCTGCGTCGTCCTGGAGACTGTTATCGTCGTCGTCGGGCTCTTCGTCGGGGCTTTCCACTGTGGACGAGCCAAGATCCAGCGGGTCCAGCGAGAGCTCTTCTGGGTCGGTGGACGAAGGCGTGGCAAGACTCGAGTCTGTGTGCGGGTCCTGTTTCTTGCTAGAACCGGAAAACCTGCGTTTCCACTTGGAAACCAGCGACGTCAAATCAATGGAGCTGGTTCGTCTGCGGAACCGTTCCATGGTGGGTCTGGATCTGTAGCCATACATCAACAACGAGTCACTGCCGCGGCCTCTGTAACGTCTGCGACGACGTGGCACGGTACGATACTTTGGCATTTCTCTTCTGTTGAGATCCAAAGAGTTGTCGATTCCGAGATTCAAGCAGCAGTACCACTCGATCATGGACTCGACGGTGGGGAATTCAAGCAGAAACTGCTCTGTTTCGGCCCGAACTCGTAGAATATGCTTTTTCTTCTTGTAATCAATGGCAATGCCAACCTTGGCGTACTGCAACGAGTACGATCTGGCCAAGTTGGCTGGGTTTAGAAGGCCGATGTGGCCGAAATGGTCGCGGTCTCTCAGATCTTGTGCGGTGGAGAGCCTGGATTTATAAAGCGTGGCGTCTCCCGAAGACCAATCTCCGTTCGGACGCGGAACCACGTCTCTGTTGTAAAAATTGAGCTGTGTGGAGTTGAGTTCCACCACAACGGGTTTCCACTGCCGTTGTGGGGCAAGCTCGTACGGCGAGATCCACTCCAACTTGCGCGACAAAGCACTCACTTTGTAAACGGTGGGGATGTATCCCGGTAACTGTTCTCTCCCCTCATTGAGGTTAGGGTAGATCGGCTTCGGTTTTCCTGGGGCCAGCGACGAATACGAGGGCGGCAGCACCGGAACAGGCTCCAAAAACGTCAGCGCGTCCAACACGCCCACCTCGTCAAAATTGGTCTCTGAACGCGACCGCTGCTTGCCTGTCTTGAGAGTCCCGGGCCGACGGGGAGATTGCGGGTTTACTGCCGTGCTAACAGTCCTAGCTCGCGGCCGTTGGTTGTTGTTGGCTCGTAGGCCAAACTCTTGCTCCATATGCTGCTGCGACACCGTCTCTTGGGACGGATCCAGCGCTAAGTAGGTTCTTCGATTTAACATGTTCTGATGCTATGTGGTGTGACGGGGGAATGAGGCGTAGCAACCAACTCCAACCTGTGCTGTGTGGGTGTCCAGACGGGTGTATAAGTGGAAAATAGGGCTGTACGGCCGTTCAAGATGCGGTTGGGCGTTTGTTTGTCTCGTGTTTGAAAAGAACACTCAGATTGCGGCGATCAATTCTGTTCTTTTTTGTTTCAGGAACACTGGATCGATAAGGAGCGAGAAACGACAACATCCGTACACCACATCCCACCGGTCCCCGTGGCGGTGGAACAGAGCCACAGTGGGTGAGGTGAGACTAAACGAGCATGAGGTGGACAGCCAGCATGGTGGTGGGTGGGTCGATGGCCGATCCAACATCCGTCGTGCCTCTTGTGCAACCTCTCAGTCCCCTTTCTGTCTCCACCCCCCACCTTGAAAAAAAACTTACATTTATTTTGCCTCGTATTCGCTACACATGGCATCGTCCAGGGAGAAAGATCTACGCGACGGGTCGGTCAAACGCGCCGTCTTGCACGGCAAGACTCCGGCCGTCCAGCCCCCCTCGTTCGGGGCCATCAACGACCCAGACATAGAGCCCCTCAGCTCGTCCGGGGTGTCCAGGTCGTCAGAGACGTCTTCGCTTGGCAGCACGCGCCAGGTGGCCCACTCGCGCAGCACACAGAGCCTCACCATCGCCCAGAAACTGCCGTACTATCTCCCGTGTTTTTCGTGGATCCCCTCGTACCAGAAGGAGTACTTCTTGCACGACGTGGTGGCCGGACTGTCGCTCGCGTCGTACCAGATCCCGCTCAGCATGTCGTTTGCGAGCGCGGTGGCCCACGTCCCGCCCATCTGCGGGCTGCTGGGGCTTTCGATCGCGCCCATGGTGTACACATTGCTCGGAACCGTTCCGCAGATGATTGTGGGGCCTGAGGCCGCAGTGTCCATGATTGTGGGGCAGGCGATCGAGAAGATCGTCAAGCACAACGACGGCGTGAACCCAGTCGACGTGCTCGCCGTGATCACCTCTTCCGCGGGCGCAGTGTTGCTCACGTTCGGGTTGCTCCGCTTCGGCTTCATCGACAACGTGCTCTGCGGAACGCTGCTCAAGGGCTTCATCACCGCAATCGGCCTCACCATGATCCTCAACTCCACCATCGCCATCCTCGGCATCGACACCGTTCTGCTCACCCTGCCCCCAGACGAGCACGTGCACTCGGCGTACGAAAAAACACTATTTATTATCCACCACGGCTACCAGTACCACACACACACGCTGGTTGTGGGGCTCGGCGCATTTGTGGTGCTGCTGGCAGCCAGCTCTGTGAAGAAAGCGCTTGCTCGCCGGAAATTCAAGCTGTCCACGTTTTTCCCCGAGATTCTGGTCGTGGTGGTGCTCTCAACAATTTTGTCTGCACACTTCCGCTTCGACAAGCACGGCGTGCGCGTCCTGGGCAAGGTCGACGTCGAGGACTTCAAGTTCACGCTGCCGTTCGCCGGCGACGCCAAACAGTGGTACCCAAAGGTGTTCTCGACCTCGTTTGTGTGTGCGATCCTGGGTTTTTTCGAAAGCTCCTCGGCCGGGAAAAGTCTGGGTTCCAGCCTGGAGATGCCCGTCTCGTCCAACAGAGAGCTCGTTGCGCTGGGATCTGCAGGCGTGGTGATGAGTTTCTTTGGGTGTCTGCCCTCATTTGGCGGCTACGCCCGGTCCAGACTCAACTCTATCAACGGAGCCAAAACCCCGGTTTCCGGGTTCATAATGGGCCTCACCACGCTCCTGGTCACAGCATACATGCTCCCGTACGTGTACCATCTGCCGATCTGTGTTCTGAACGCCGTCATCGGCACCGTCGGGCTCTCGCTCGTCCAGGAAACCCCTAAAGACATATTATTCCATATCCGCACCAGAGGATACAACGAGCTCGTCACGTTTGTGGTGACGCTGGCGGCGTCGCTGTTTGTGTCGATCGACGTGGGCGTTGCGCTGGGATGCTCGTACTCGGTGATCCGCGTGATCAAACACTCCACCAAGTCGCGGATCCAGTTTCTTTCCCAGGTGGCAGGAACAGCCACGCTCGTGAACGCCGACCTGGACGCAGAGGTGACGGGAATCACCGAGCAGATCGTTGTTCCCGGGTACTCTGACTACCGCTCGCAGACAGCAGCGGCCGAACAAACGTCCGGGGTGCGTTCTGCCGGGTCCAAGCTCAACCTGGAGGATAGAGAAGGGTGTTTGATAGTGAAGATCCCCGAACCGCTCACGTTCACCAACGCGAGCGACATGAAGGCCCGACTCCGTCGTTTGGAGCTGTGCGGGTCGGTGAAAAGCCATCCGGCCGCGCTGCGTTCGAGCGGGCCGATCAAACATGTGGTGTTCGATATGAACGGAATGACGTCTGTGGATTCGTCGGCCGTCCAGATGCTCAGGGACACCATCGAACAGTACCAGCGTCGCGGCATCAACGTTTTTTTCTGCCGGGTCGTGAAAAGCGCCAAACTGCTCGACCGGTTGCAACTGTCGGGAATCAACAGTCTGTTGCAGGACTGCCAGGGAGCCGAGTTTGGAATCAACCAGGTCTGTGCTCCATACTATGATAGCATTTTGGACGCTCTCAAGGCCATCGATTGTATCGAGGCCACCCGCTCAATGACAGAGAACCAGAGTGTGATGTCATTTTTCTATGACGGACTTTAGCATAAACGTCTCGCTTAAAAAAAATGGGGCACGGTGTTTTCGGTGTAAGCGTGCAGCACCGTTTTCCGGGCCCTATATAAGTAGAATTTGCATACCAATTTGTGTCAATGGACCCAAAGTATCTGTTTGTTGTATTGTTGGTTGCTGTTGGTTGTTTGGCCAATTTGGCGGCCAACGAGTCCGGTTCTGACCTGGATCTTGTTTGGGAGCAGAAATCCCCAGATTTGCACGATTTTGCGAAAAAACAGCTGGACGACGAGGAAAACCCAGACGAAAGAGAGGGCAGTCCCGAGAAATCCAAAGACGGCAAAGATGACGGCCGTGTCAAGACGTCTGTGTTCACGTTCCAGGGAAAAGTCAAGAAATACGTGTATCTGGAGAACTCCAACGTTCCAGACGAAACAGTGCTTGTTCTGACCAATAGAAACCAGGTGTATGTCAGTCACGACCAGGGACTCGTTTGGGAACAGGTCGCCCCAGACGACGAGTTTCTGGATATCTATCTTGATCCGTACGACTCCTCCAACGTGTATCTTTTAGCCGTTAACGACAAGATTGTGTACTCACACGACCGCGCAGACAACTGGAAGTCTTTCCGAACGCCTAGCAAGGCCGTGCCGGGCATCTCTGCGTTGTACTTCCATCCGGAAAACAAGAAACGGCTGATTTTCATGGGTCAGGACGGGTGCAACGTGCCGTTTTCCAAAGCCTGTCGCACAGCCGCATACCATACAGTTTCTGCCGGTAAACGGTGGCTCAAGATTCAGGATAACGTTGATAAGTGCCAGTTTTCCGATAAGGACTGGATTTTGTGCGAGAAGAGCTCAAACGAGGCCACCGGGTTCCGGCCAAGTCTTGTTGCGTCCCGTGATTTGTTCAAAGACCAAACCCGCACGTTGTTGGAGAATCTGGTGGATCTGGCCCATGTTCAAGGATATTGGGTGGCCACCACACAGATGCCACACGACGAGCTAAAAGCACACGTCTCAATGGACGGACTCGACTGGGCCACCGCAAGACTGCCCGCCAACGTCCAGGTCAACAAACAGCAGGCGTTCACCGTGCTGTCTGGAGCGTCCGGGGCCGTTTTCTTGCACGTGACCACGAACGCGCAGTCGGGCACCGAGTACGGCTCGATCTTCAAGTCCAACAGCGCGGGCACGTCGTACGTGCTGAATTTGGAGAACTCGAACCGCGATGAGGGCGGGTTTGTGGACTTTGAGCAGATCCAAGGTCTGGAGGGGCTGGTGGTGGCTAATGTGGTTGACAATCCGCAGGACGCCAGAAAAGGTGCTCGTAAACGGATCAAGTCGCTCATCACACACAATGACGGAGCACATTGGGCGCCTATCCAGCCGCCGGCCATTGACGTTGACAACCAGCGGTACTGTTCTGGCCAATCGTTGGAACAATGTTCGCTCCATCTTCACGGATACACCGAGCAGGCCGACTACAGAGATACGTTCTCCTCGTCGAGTGCGGTTGGAATGATGATCGGGGTTGGAAACGTTGGATCGGAGCTGGAAAGCTATTATGACGGCAACACTTACCTGACCAAAGATGGTGGAGTTAGTTGGAAGGAGGTCAAGAAGGGAGTCTATTTATGGGAATATGGAGACCAAGGATCGGTCATTGTGATGGTCAACGGGAAGGATAACACCAACGTTCTGAGCTATTCGGTCGACGAGGGAGACACTTGGCAGGAGTACAAGTTCACAGACGAACAGATCACCGTGGAGGACATCTCGACGGTTCCTGGCGACAATTCGTTGGTTTTCCTGCTTTTCACACGGGTTCCTTTGGCAAGAGGCGACAAGACACGGGTTTTCCGCATTGATTTCGGCGAGCTGTTGAGTGACAGCTGTTCAGGTACAGATTTGGAGACATGGATACCCAAACACCCATTCCAGGCAGACGACTGTCTATTTGGCCACCAAATGCAGTACACACGCAAGATCCCAGGTCGACTTTGTCGGATTGGTAGCCAGAAACTTGACCAGGCTGCCATCATCAAGACATGTCAGTGCACGAGACAGGACTTTGAGTGCGACTTCAACTATTATCAGGACCAGAATGGCGACTGTAAGCTGGTTTCTGGGGTCAAATTGCCAGGTCATGAAGATATGTGCGCTATTGAAGAGTCTGGCGAGTACTATCCGGTCACTGGGTATCGGAAAGTTCCGTTGTCGACGTGTGAAGGTGGACTGCAATTGGACCGCAGCGACAAGCCTGTTTCGTGCGACGCAGCCGAGGAGGACCATCTACGATCCGAGTTTGGCAGACTGCTCTGGTTCTGGCTCAAGATCGTCATTGTTGGTAGTCTTGTTGTTGCTGTTGTGTTCAAGTATCTGCAGCTAAGACACGGCGAGATCCGACTTGACGACGAGGAAACCATCGACATCAGCAAATGGACCGCACTGAAAACGACGGTTCTGGACTGGACCGTGTCGTTGCAACAGGCTGCCAAGGACTGCGTGTTCAAAAGAGTGCCGTTGACCACGTCCGTTTCTGACGAGGACGAGGACGACTTCACAGATCAAGTTTGATTCTCTTGGAGTCCGGCTCGTCGTCGAGATCGAGCTCCTCGCTGCTGGAGCCGAGCTCTTCGTCCTCCTCCTCGTCGCCCAGTCCTGGAGCGGCTTCTGTATAATATTTAGTGGCATGAGGGAACAAGTCTTCGGCAATCAGTAGGGCCAGGTCTTCGCCGTGACGGTACTCTTTTCCTGGTTTTTTTCCTGTCCATGCGAAGAACGCGAAGAACGACTTCATTCCTGTTCTGTAGTTCTTTTTATCCGCTGGAGTAAGATCGCCTTTACTTTTAATCAGCAAAGGGTTAATAGAGTCGAGGTCTTTAGGCCAATCGAACCCCACAGCCGAGGAAACCAGCTTCTCCTCGCCAGAATCTGCATCCCGCGTCTTCTCAAACACTTTGGTCACCGATTGTGTTGGGATTTCGCCGTTGGGAGCTTCAAACCCAAATGTTATGGAAAACTTCAACGGATCGTCCTCCACCAAATATTCCACGTAAATCTCCTTGATGTACTCGAGATACTTCATATCCTGGGTCTGGATGTACTCCTGGAAGTCCTCGTGCTCAGCCAAAACAATGTACCAAAAGCTGGCGATCTCGATCAATAGCCCACGTCTTTTGGAATAGATGGGCTGGATTTTCTCAAACCGGACCCGTTCCAGTTGTTTTTCCACCTCGTCCATTTCGAGCTCGCAGTCTGCTAGCGCTCCCAGCACGTTTTCGAGTTTTCTGGCGTTAATTCTCGGCGCGTATTCAACTTACTGTTCAGACATGGCACACAAAACAAATATAGATATATATTTTTCCACCTTTATTTTTTATTCCTCTTGTATTATATATTCAGACAAAATGTCTTGTTCAGATGGTCTTTTCAACGGCCATTGAACTTCCTGTCCGACACCAACATTCACCAAACATCCATAACATAGTGGAACCGCAGACTTTGACTCTGTATTAGCGCTCTCAGACATCTGCTCCAGCCATGTTTTCGAGTCCTGGTACACCAATTCATGACACAAGACACATTCTATCGGAATTCCCTCGGGAACGTCCAGTTTTGTTCCGATCTTGACCACCGTCGAGATCACCTCCGGGTACTCCGACTCGACTGTCTCAAAGTACTCGCGAACAAGCTCGTCGATCGTCTTGTTCTTCGCAGACTTGTGTTTGATCTCTGGCTTGGGCTCCACAAACTGTCCCAATTCGGAAAACCGCACATACGCCTTGATCTCCGACAGCAAAACGTCTCTGAGCGGGTGGATCACGTGCAGACTGGTGTTGGCGTACTCGAACTGGCCGTCCGTGAGTCTTGTGAAGATCTCTGATCCACGGCCTTTCACCGTCAATGCCAAAGTTTCGTCCGCGAGTCGAGTCATCGAATGGCCATAGATTATCACGGAACACCGCCGTGCAATCGCCGCACGATGGATCATCTCCCGCACAATCTGCTGCAAAAAGTCCTGCTGCGACGACCGATTGTCAAATTGTGCCAACATCTGCTCCAAATCCATCGTCTCGGACTCTTCGCTCACAGATGAGGTGTAGTCCTCAGAGACGTGCAGCCGTCCCAGTTCGCGCACAAACAGACTCGGGTCCGCTGTGGCAAACTCCACACGGACCCGGCCCAACAGCCCCTCGTAGTGCTGTTTGATCTGCTGCAGTCTCGAATCGTCCTTTCCAACATGAACAACCACCAAATCGTATCCCTGAACAGCGCGTTCGTTTCGACACTGTTCCTCCAAGTGACTCAGCACCATGTCCAATAGAACAACAGAGCCCTCGCCAAAAGAGAGCGGTAACAGCACGCGCGGCCGCTCTGCCTTGGAGTTGCCATACTTCACCTTGAACTTGTCGTCCTGCATCTGTTTTCGCTGCTTGGTGGACAGAAACTTGCGGAAACAGTCACCACAAAAATGGTCTTTCCGCGAAACCACCGCACACGGCGCAGTTTTGCACCGGTTACACAGATCCTGCAACTGGCACTCCATTAATGAAACTTTTTGGCTCTAAAATAATTTTTCCACCGGGTCCAAGGCTGTGCATTTAATTATCAACATAATTATTGCAATAATTGCATCATGTCAAAAGAGACTGTGGACAACAAGACGTTGCGCAGAGTCCAGCAACAGCTGGAGGACGACCCGAAGTTTGTTGAGCAGTCTGAAAACGAGCTCAAGGTTAAGTTCTACCCGGACTCGCCTACAAACCGGATCCACAAAGATGCATTTCTGGCCAAACTGCCGTCCAAATTCTACGACCCGTGCGCCAAGTCGTCCCAAATGGCCATCCGGTGCATGGAGAACCACGACGAGGACTACAAGGAGGTTTGTAGCGAGTATTTCCGCGCGTTCAGAGAGTGCAAGAAGGAATGGATGAAAGAACGCAGAAAAGACCAAGGAATATGGTGATTCGAAACCCATGCCCAAGTGTATTATGTATATAGTATCATGTAAGCTTGTAAGAAGCTCAGGAATAGCTGAACGAATAAAACGACCCAAACAGGTTGAGTCTGTTCGAGTAGTTCGGACTGAACTTGAGCACCTTGCTGTTCTCGTAGTTGAAGTGCACGTTTTCATTGAAGTAGTGGATCAGGGCGTCTTTGGCCTCTGCTTCCTCCTCCTCGTGTTTGCGGTTCTTGCGCTTTCCAACGGGGAACGTCATCGACGGGAGAATGCTCGAAGAGAGAACAACAGGTAACGGAGTTGAAACGTCGTACGGAACAGGTTTTGGATCCGGCTCAAGCATGTACAGGTTTGGGTTGGTGATCAGGTTCAACAAGATCAGTTTCTGGATCCGTTTGCATTCTGCCGGTTTATTCTTCTCCACGTACTCCTTGAACTCCTTGTATTGCTTCGAATGATCGTCTTTACCGACGTCCAGTCCGTTGAACAGCTTGTAGATCTTGAGAAACGTTTGGTAGTCCTCAAATAGCTCGCCGTCGTTCTCCTCCGAACTCCAGTTGTTTCTGTCCAGATTCCCGGGTATCATGTACAGCTCGCCCGTCAGTCTGTTGATGGACACGTAGATCTGCAGTTTGAGCTTGTTGCCGTTGTTCTTGTACAGCTTTCTGGCCAAAACGTGTCCCCGCCGATGGTGCTGCTGCTCTCTGGTCAGGTTGCGCTCAAATAGCAGGTTCTCGATGCGTCTGGACCTCCCGCTCGAAAGCCCAACGTCGTAAAGTTCGTCTATATTGATGTCTTCCTCGTTCTCCTCTTCCTCGGCGTCTTCCTCGTCAAATGCCTCCTCCTCGTCGCCCAGATTCTCAATGATGAAATTGCGCTCCATCTCGTCGTCGCTGAAATCCGAGTCGGTCGAGTACCCCTCGTCGTTGGATCGTTGTCTCGTGTGAAATTGCGATGGCATGTCGTCGTGTCGCCATTGTTGTCTTGAAACCAAATAGTCGAGCAACCGGATCCGTCTTGACCGGTTCTCGTCGCGCTGGCGAAGGTTCTCCATGAAATGCTGGTGTCCGGTGCCAAATATGAAGCCCCGCGTGCGGTCGTGGCTGTAGTACTGCGGGCGCGTGGCCTGGCCCATGGGCGGAGAGATTGCCGGCGGAGCAGGCGACCCGCTCGGCGCCGTGTACGAGGTCAACGGCTTGAGTCTTCTGCGCCGCTTGTACCGCATGTCGTTTCTGATTTTCAAATCGGACTCGCCTGAACTCGACTCCTTTAGCAGGTCCTCGATGTCCACCTCCAATTTCAGCAGAATAAAATTCTCCAGAATCAGGTCCTGACACTCTGGACAAACCAGCAGGTTCTCCGGGTTGCTCGTGTGCTTGCGTCTTCCTCCCGGCGGAGTTGGTGGCGCAGGCGTGCGGACAAACTCGTTAAACGGGGGGAGATCAAACCATTTCGCCAAACACTTGTAGGTACACCCCTTATTTCCGCACATGTTGACCACTTTGCTGAAAATAGACGTATTGGGGAACTTTGTCTCTTTGGATTTCGTCAACGAGGTTGTCTTCGAGCCGTTACTCTTCAAATACCCAAATTTGTCCAGATAAAACGGTTTCCAGTTCGGGTCGTCGTTATTCATTCGTTTGTGTCGTCCAATGTATTTGCGGAAATCCTTGTCGAAACACAGAGTGTTTCTGAGCAAGTTGCTGAACACGGACCCTTCAATGCCCATTTTTGTGCTGTTGGTGCTGCGCAGGTCGTTATCGACAAAATCAACCACCCGCCCCACAAAATCCAAACTGGCCTGGCCCGTCTGGATCGTTCCCTTCACCTTGAGGTTATCCTTGAATAATTCGGTGAACTTGAGCTCTGTGGAGATCTGATCGTTGTTGTTAAGAATGTACGTCATTCCCGGCTGCACAAAACTCGATTTCTGCACCCCAGCTGGCGTTTTGGAGCCATCCATCTGTGAATATGTACGTTTTGTAGGCAAATGCTTGGATCCCAGCGACGAGTCCTTCTTATCGACCATGTTCTTGTTCATCAGTCCCATCAGACCAAAATCCCGAATGAAATCAACTATCTTGTCGTTGATACAATGCTCAGGATGCGATTTGAAGAAAGTGGTGGAAACCACGTCAAATGGATCAGACGTTAGGCATCGCGGGATGATATTCAGGTTATCGTCATTAGACCAGCGAATATGGTCGTGGCCTGTGTCTTGGTCGTATTCGGCGTCTATGGGCTCATTGACAGACTCAATCATGGCGGAACGGGTTCGCCTATTGCCTACCAACGGGATGCGAACTCGAAACGAATCAAATTGCTGGTCTAATTCGTCAACAGTGGGCGGAGATTCTTGGTCGGAGCTTGCCGATTGGTCGGTTCCTCCATGCGACGGCATACTAAAGGAGATTTGCCCCTTATGGTTCGATCGATCAAAGGAAAATTGCAAATACAGCGTGCTTCTTTTTTAGCCCGCTTTGTTATGTTACTGATCACCCGCATTTCAGGTGACAGATACTGTCAAAAGGCGTGCCGATTAAACTCCGACCGGATGGGCCAGGTACACGTCTAGGAGTGGGCATTGGAATAGGGGAGAGGGTTGTCAGATCGAGCAGAGCCCCTCCCACCCAATAACCAGCCCGGTGTTCTCTCCTAAAACGACACTTATCCTGCTACCTCTTGATGCCGGGTAATTTCTGCTCGGTGTTCGCGATCTGGGAATTTGAGGAGAACTGGGTCTGCGAAAAATGTTTGCGTATTAGTTTTTAGGTATTTCTTTTCTGCTGGTGGTGGGATCTGGTTTATTTTCGTGTGTTCTGGACGTTTTGTGTTGTTGCAACAGGTTTGTATGACCAGACCGTGCAGAAACCTTGTTTGGCACGAAAAATGGGCCTTTCCTTGTGGTTTTGGCTGGGTAAGTACTCCAAACAGGACCAGAACAACCGATTATGGGGCTGCATTGCTTGCTGGTTAGCTGCTTCACACGTTCACCCACCTTTTGAGGCCGTTCAAGAGTCCAATAAGAGGTTCAGTGCAGAAGAAAACTTGTTTTAGACAGGGTTTCCCCAGTACGGCTCTAGAATTGGCTTCTTTATGATGTGTTTCGTTGCAGGTTTTACACCATCTCGTCTAGATCTTTGCTCAGACCGGTCCCAGTCTTTGTGAGAACCTTTCGTGACAGGAAAACAGCGCCTCAAATGCACAGTTTCAGCTGGAGCTGACTACAAAAAGCCCTTGAAATTCGGTTTGTTCGCGTCCTGTTGCACATGCGAGCCAGTACGGGCTCTCGCACAGTCAATCGCGACTGCGCATCCCCCGAATCTCTAGCCTCCGCCCAGGTTAGAGCCCGATTTGTCCTTGTTTCTCCTCATTTAGTACTCCGAAATGCGAAAAAACATGATCTGCGAGTTTTCAAGCGGTCTTTGGCGTGCAACGGGCACTCCGAGACCCGTCTCGTCTTTGTAAAACCCACGTAGAACCTAAGCTGCGAGCTGTTGATTACCCTCCCTGTTGAAAATAGGAATGAAGTGTAAATTTTTTTCTAAGGCCAGATTACTGCTAATTGTCGTCAAACACTTGCGAACAAACACGTTTGGACTGTTTACAATTCGCATTTGAACGTTTCAGGGTGTTCGAGACTATTGAATTCACGTTTAAGTTGGATCTGAGCGCTTGAAGGTTTGCAAAATCGCTTTTTTTCGCCAGTTATCAACACTTGTTGCACCGACTAAACACACGCCTTTTAAGTGGGAGATACCGCTCCAAATTGTGCGCAACACGCTATGTCGACAGATATCAAGACAGAGATTGAAAGTAACCCTGAACTGTACGGGTTGCGTCGGTCTGGAAGGGCCAGATCAAGACCGTTAACTATGGCTGACGATTCCGAGGAGGACGAATATCAAGGGTCTGTGAAGAAACAGACGCGTCAAAAGCGGTCGTTTTCGGACGACGAGGCCGCTCTCGAGGACGACGTGGTCGATTCGGACGATTCGGACTACGTGAAGAAGAGAAAGCCCGGACGGCCTCGCAAGAAGAAACAACCAGTTGTCAACTCGTCAGAGCAGTTTCCAGGGTTCACGGAGTTGAGATTGTCCAGCAGAAATAGTCGGGCCGTGAACTATGCGCAGGACGTGGACGACGACGAGTTTCTGGAGTCCGATGACGACGCTGAGCTTGACGACAACACCGGGGCCTATTATTACGAGGAGCCGGTCGAAGTTGTTCCCGAGGTGGGAATCGACCAGGTTCTGGACCATCGGGTCATTGGAGAAGAGTCCAGTTCCGACGACGAGGAGGAGTCCAATTCGGACAGCGCCTCGGACTCCAAAGCTCAACATATCAAACAGGCTCTGGCCAACGGAGATCCAAAGACAGAGTTCGAGTATATGATCAAATGGACCGATACTTCCCATCTGCACAACACCTGGGAGACTTATGAAAGTCTCAAGAGCAGAAACCTCAAGGGAATGAAAAAGGTGGATAATTACATCAATTTGTACATTATTACTGACAGAGAAGTCAGAAAAGATCCGTTTGTGACCCGCGAGGATATAGAGCAGATGGACCTGGAACTAGAGAACCGCAGAGACAATTTACAGGAGTACAAGAAGGTCGAGCGGATTGTCGACAGCGAGAGAGTCACTCTGGACAGCGGCGAGTCGGAACTGAAATACTTTGTCAAATGGAAGAGACTCAATTATGACGAGAGTACTTGGGAATCTGCTAGCGAGATTGCTCCTTTGGCTCCTCAGGAGGTCACCAAGTTCCAGAACAGACAGAACTCCAAGATTCTTCCCGGTTTATCAGCGTCGTACGGATCCAACAGACCGCGTTTTGAGAAACTGACCTCGCAGCCATTGTTCATTAAAAACGGTGAGCTTCGAGACTTCCAGTTGACTGGATTAAATTGGATGGCCTTTTTGTGGTCCAGAAACGAAAATGGTATCTTGGCAGACGAAATGGGATTGGGAAAGACCGTGCAGACCGTCTCTTTCATTTCGTGGCTCATTTACGCCAGAAGACAGAACGGTCCGCACTTAGTTGTTGTTCCATTGTCTACTGTTCCCGCCTGGCAAGAAACTTTTGAGAAATGGGCCCCAGATGTCAATGTGATCTACTATATGGGTAACACCAAGTCTAGAAAGGCCATCAGAGACTACGAGTTTTATGTGGGCGGAAACCGCAAGAAGGTCAAGTTCAACGTGCTTCTCACCACTTACGAGTACATTCTCAAGGACAGATCGGAGTTGGGCAGCTTCAAGTGGCAGTACATGGCTGTTGATGAGGCCCACAGACTGAAAAACGCAGAGAGTTCGTTGTACGAGAGTTTGAGCGAGTTTAAGGTTGCAAACAGACTGCTGATCACAGGTACTCCGTTGCAGAACAACCTCAAAGAACTTGCTGCTCTGTGTAACTTCCTGATGCCTGGAAAGTTCAAGATCGACCAAGAGATCGATTTCGACACTCCCGACTCGGAAGCCGAGGGATACATCAAGACGTTGCAGTCGGAGATCAAGCCGTTCATTCTTCGGAGACTTAAAAAGGACGTGGAGACGTCGCTTCCTGGAAAAACCGAGAGAATTTTGAGAGTTGATCTTTCCGACGTTCAGACAGAATACTACAAAAACATCCTGACCAAGAACTACGGGGCCTTGAACCAAGGGTCTAGAAACTCCCAGATCTCGCTTTTGAACATCATGGCCGAACTGAAAAAGGCCTCTAATCATCCTTACTTGTTTGACGGCGTGGAAGACCATGTTCTTGCCAAAGTCGGCTCTCATTCCAGAGAAAACATCCTGAAAGGATTGATCATGTCTTCTGGTAAGATGGTTTTACTGGACCAGCTTCTGAACAAGCTCAACAGAGACGGCCACCGTGTTTTGATTTTCTCCCAGATGGTGAGAATCTTGGACATCATTGGAGACTATTTGCAACTGAAGGGCCACGCTTTCCAACGACTGGACGGTACGATCAGCTCGCACAAGAGAAGACTTGCCATTGATCATTTCAATGCTGAAGGGTCCAAGGACTTTGTTTTTTTGCTGTCCACCAGAGCCGGTGGTTTGGGTATCAATCTGATGACCGCAGATACTGTTATTATCTTTGACTCTGATTGGAACCCGCAAGCAGACTTGCAAGCTATGGCCAGAGCGCATCGTATTGGACAGAAAAACCACGTGATGGTGTACAGATTTGTTTCCAAGGACACAGTGGAAGAGCAAGTTCTGGAGCGTGCGAGACGGAAGATGATCTTGGAATATGCCATTATCTCTCTTGGAATCACCGACAACAACAAGTCCAAGACAAAGACGGAGCCTACATCTGGCGAGTTGAGCGAGATTTTGAAGTTTGGTGCTAGCAACATGTTCAAATCCTCGGACAACCAGAAGAAGCTGGAGAATCTTGATCTGGAGGACGTCTTGAACCATGCTGAAGACCACGTGACCACGCCGGACCTGGGAGAGTCCAACCTGGGAGGTGAGGAGTTCCTGCGACAGTTCGAGGTGACTGATTATAAAGCCGATGTCGACTGGGACGATATCATTCCTGAGGATGAGCTCAAGAAGATCAAGGAGGACGAGGAAAAGCGGAAGGAAGAGGCGTTCTTGCAGGAGCAGATCGAGATGGCTTCCAGAAGACGTCTTGCTGCGGTCAAGAAGCCGGAGTACGACGAGTTCGACGAGGACGAGACTCCAACAAAGCGCCAGAAGAAGCTCGACATGAACAAGCTGACCGAGTCGCAGATCAGAAACGTGTACCGGGCCATTTTGCGGTACGGCGACATTAGTGAGCGGTTGGAAGAGCTTGTTGCGGATGGTACGTTGCCAAACAAGAACATCAAGATCCTGGACCAGTGTCAGAAAGACATTGTCGACACGAGCAAGAAACTTGTTGCAGAGTACGAGGCCAAGCGGGCTGAAGAGCTCAAGGAATTGGAAGCTAAGGCCAACGAGGAGAAAGAGAAACTGGCCAAGGCCACGCCTCGTGCGGACGGCCAGCCTCATCCTACGCCGGCTATGCAGCTTTATCTGTCGAGAAAGCGTGACAAGAAGGCCATTTTGTTTGATTACAAAGGTGTCAAGAACATGAACGCTGAGGTTGTTCTTACCAGACCGGGCGAGTTGCAACTGTTGAGAGACGTGATGCCCGAGGACCCGCTCAAGTTCAAGCTCGTGAAGGAACCAAAGCCTGTGAACGGCTGGTCGTGCAAATGGACGTCCAAGCAGGACACAATGCTTCTTATTGGAGTGTACAAGTTTGGATACGGAGCTTGGCCCCAAATTAGAGACGACCCGATTCTGAACCTGCAGAACATGATGTTCCTGGAAAGTCCGCCTGCGGGCGCGTCGAAGGAGGAGAAGGAGAAGCTGAGCAAGCGGATTCCTGCGTCGATCCACCTGGTGCGGCGTACGGACTACCTGCTTGGGTTCTTGAAGGAGTTCCAGAACGGGCCTGCTACCAGTGTTTCTGAGACCAAGGAGCCCAAGAAAGCGAGCCGGCCGAAGAAGGTGGTGAAGAAATCGAGCACGCCGGACGTTGAATCGAAGACAGGAACCCCGAACGGCGGCGGGTCGGGCACGTCGTCGCCGGCCGCGTCGTCGCAGCCAACTCTTTACCAGGTGATGAAAAATTCCAAGAACGGAGCTACAGAGAAGCCAAAGAAGAAACCTACGTCCAGCAAGGGAAAGAGCGAGGTCGAATTGTTGAAGCCGGTCGACAAGTACCTTAAGATCTGGGAAAGCAAGGGAAAGGGGCTGGATAAGGCCGAATGGGGGTCGAAGCTTAAAGACTCCTTGATCAACATTGGTAACCAGATCGAAAAAGTTTCCAAAACAGACGCCAAGCTGAACAGCGAACTATGGGCCCACGCACAGAAATCATGGCCAAACGCAGGAGTGAGCGCCCAGCTGATCAAGAAAATGTACCTCAAGAAGATCAACCAGCAAAAGTGAGTCTCCAAGGACTGTCTGCCATCAGAGTCCACGGCACACTATTTCCGTTTTTAGACATGGCGTAGAGAAAAAAAAAATTTTCAGCAAAAAAATCAAATACTAGTAGTAGGGTTTTTTTTTTGGATCTTGTTCTTTCAAAAGCTTCGGTCTTGTGATCAAAAAACAAATAAATTATACATCCATCGCCAAGTTTACTTTCATTGAAGTTAAACGAGGAGTATAGTTTTGCGCTTTCGACGAAAAAAGTACAAAAAAGTCAAAAAAAAGTTTAAAAAGTTAAAAAACCCAAATCATCCTTTTGGACACATACCCACCCCACGTTCGTGTTCAAATATAGCTTGATTCTTCATCTTTCGCACCATGTCAGCAGCAGAAATTAACGGACTGACCGAAAAGACAGACAAATTGTCTGTCAACGAGCCAACGGCCACTGAAACCCCAGCAACCACTGCCGAGGAATCATCAGCCGCTGAGTCTACCCAAAACTCGGAAACCCTGGCCTCCCTTTACGTGGGTGAGTTGGACCCTTCTGTCACCGAATCCGATCTTTTCGAGGTCTTCTCGCCTATTGGACAGGTTTCCACCATCAGAGTCTGTAGAGACGCTGTCTCCAAACAATCTCTTGGCTACGGTTACGTTAACTACCAAAGTCACGAGGATGGTGAAAAGGCATTGGAAGAACTCAATTACACACCTATCAAGGGCAAGGCCTGCAGAATCATGTGGTCCCAAAGAGATCCTTCTTTCAGAAGAAACGGTTCTGGAAACATTTTCATCAAGAACCTCCACCCTGCTATCGACAACAAGACTTTGCACGACACCTTCTCTGCTTTCGGTAAGATCTTGTCTTGTAAGATCGCCACTGACGAGAACGGAAACTCCAAGGGTTTTGGTTTCGTCCACTACGAGGACTCCGAGTCCGCTCAAGCTGCCATTGAGAACGTTAACGGTATGCTTTTGAACGACCACGAGGTTTACGTTGCTCACCACCTTGCTAAAAAGGACAGACAGTCCAAGATGCGCGAGTTGATTGCCAACTACACCAACGTCTACGTCAAGAACATCAACCTTTCTTGGGACGAGGCCAAGTTGAAGGAGACTTTTGCTCCTTTCGGTACCATCAGCTCTCTTTTCCTTAACAAGGACGAGTCTGGAAAGTCCAGAGGTTTCGGTTTTGTGAACTTCGAGTCCCACGAGGACGCTGCCAAGGCTGTTGCTGAACTTAACGACAAGGAGATTGACGGTCAAAAGCTTTACGTTGGAAGAGCCCAAAAGAAGAGCGAGAGACTCGAGTCTTTGAAGCACCAATACGAATCTGCTAGACAAGAACAACTTAATAAGTACCAAGGCTTCAACTTGTTCGTCAAGAACTTGGACGAGACCATCGACGATGCCAAGTTGGAGGAAGAGTTCAAGCCATACGGAACCATCACCTCTGCCAAGGTGATGTTTGACGATTCTGGAAAATCCAAGGGATTCGGTTTCGTTTGCTACAGCTCTCCAGAGGAGGCCACCAAGGCCATCACTGAGATGCACCAAAGAATGGTGGCTGGAAAGCCATTGTACGTTGCTCTTGCTCAAAGAAAAGAAGTTAGAAGATCCCAGTTGTCACAACAAATCCAAGCCAGAAACCAGATGAGAATGCAACAGGCTGCTGCCCAAGGAGGTATGGGACAATTTGTTGCTCCAATGTTCTACGGTCAGAACCCAGGTTTCCTTCCTGGTGCTCCAAGAGGTGCTCCATTCGGAGCTCCAGGCCAGCAGATGATGATGCAACAGGGTATTCCTAGACCAGGGCAAGGTGTTCCTGTGAACCCTGGTCAATTCAGAGTTGGACCAAACAACCAGCCTGTGCCAATGTACATGCAACCAGTTTTCAACGAGTACCCTCAGAACGGTAGAGTTCCTCAACAGAGATACTACCAAGGCAGACCAGGACAACAGGGTCCTCAGGCCGGCCAACAAGGTAGAGGTAAGCGTGAAGAAGGCGCTGCTCCAACTTTGGCCCAGGTGCTTCCTCAATTCCCTCCAGAGCAACAAAAGAGAATGCTTGGTGAAGAACTATACCCACTTATCGTGGCCACTGGTAAGGCCCAGGACCCAGAGGCTGCTGGTAAGATCACCGGTATGATGCTCGAGATGGACAACCAACAAATCTTGGCTCTGTTGGAGGACAGAGACCTATTCAACAGTCAATTCGACGAGGCCTTGTCTGCCTACGAGGAATACAAGAACAAGGAGGCTAGTGCTTGAATCTATTGATCTTATTCAGTTCTCTTGATTTTGTTCCCGCTTTATATAAGTAGACTCTAACCTTTATTGGTGGTGTATGAATTATATGGAAGTTTATTAGATTTTGCCCAGGATGTTGAACTCTGGTTCTATATCTCCTGCGAGCCAGACGGCCTGGTCTGTAACGTCTTTCCAAAGCTTGATGTCGCCCGAGTCGGCCACCATTGAGTCCAGGTCTGGCACGTCGCCGATCTGGCCCATCGACGGTAGCAGGGACGGCGAGAAGAACTGGCCGTGCGGTTCTGCCACTCCGGGCGACATGGACTCGCGCAGGGGTCCGAGCCGGGCCTGGGAGTCTGGCGGCCAACTGAACGCCTGGTCCTGGCGGTAGTAGCTGGTGCCAGTCTTTGCCTGGTCGTGGTTGACCCCCTGCGTCGGCGCGTCGATGTTGTCGGTGTGTTTCCGAATTAGGCCGGTGTTGCGGCCATTAAAGTCGAGCAGAGTGAGCAGCTTGATCAGCTGGTCTCTGCGGAGCGCGGCCGGGTGGTTGCCAAGATTGCGCATCTTGGTGAACATGATCAGCGCGTGGTCCAGATGCTCGAGCGTGGCGTCGTGCACGCCAAACGTGGCGTTGAACAGCACCAGCGTCGCGGTCGCCGCAAACAGGTACTCTCTGTCCATGTAGCCAAACAGCGAGAGCATGTTCTCCGGGACCAGCGCCCAGAGTGACCGGATGGTGTTGATGGACGCCTGGAACGACGCGTTGAGCAGCGTCAGGATCGTGGACGAGTAGCTCGACAGGTCCAGAAACGTGCCGCTTTTCGGGTGCTCCGACTTCAAATTGAGCAGCACAAAATGGAACAGCAGCGGCCGCACCGCCAGATTGATGCCCTGGAAGTACTCGGTCATCATGTTGACCACGAGCCGGTTCACGTTGATGTCTGTTTGCTGGTAGTCGCAGTTGACGTAGTCGGGCAGTGCTTTTTTCCATTTGAACAGGCTCACCACGAGCTCGTGCACGATCGGCAGGATGTTGCTGGACGGCTGTCGCGTGTACAGCTTGCGCAGGATGTTTGCGTTGATCTGGGTGATCTTGACGCAGTTGCGGATGAACTCGGCCTCGGGGAAGATGTAGTTCTCGCATCCTTCTGGCGGATTGGACATGTCAAAGTCGTCTGGTAGTTCTGTCGAGATGTCGTCGTCCGTTAGCGACAACGGCAGACCCGCCTTGGATGCCAGCATCCGCTCGAAAATGTACACGGTCCACCAGAGTCGACGGCGGTGTTCCAGCTCGTATCTGTTGAGAGAGTCTTTTCCAACGTCGACATGGAATCCCATGATCAGCGACGCACGCAGCGCCATTCCAAAGTAGAAGTACGACGCGATCGTGCAGTCGGCCACTTGCAAGTAGAACGCGTACAAAAGAAGCACCTCGATGCCGCCTTGCTTGGCACAGTTGTCAATGGAGCCACTGGAGAAAATGGCTGTGAATAGCTCGCTGGCTTGCACAAAGAATCCAGAACCGGGCAACGGTGTGGTGCGGTTCAGTTTCTGTTTCTTCTTCTTGTCCTTGATTTTGTACCCGTTCAAATCGTTGGCTGTTCCAAGATAGATTTCACCAACAGCGAAAATCAGTAAAATCTTGCAGAACCAAATAGTTTCCAGAATAGACTCGTTTTCTCCGCCAAAGTCGGGCTGGAACCCGGCGCCGTCGTCGTTGTACAGTCGCCGCAGGTTCTCTTTCACCATTCCTTCGTTGAAAAAGTAGAAACACCCGTCGTTGTACGAAATAAACGTGTCCACCAATAACATGGCATAACTGTAGCTGGGCAGAGCAAAGTTCACGTTGATGCCCGGTCGAGATAGTGTCTGGCCCAGAACAATGCGGTACGCGTTACCCTCGCGCTCCAGAACAGTGTCTGTGGTCTGATCCGTCGCTGGCGTCTCCAACGAGGCCGGGGCATCGCTGTTCATCAGTGGTGCAACCAGCCGGTTAATTTCCAGCCCAAAAAGCGTCATGGACGAATTGCCAATGTAGAACCCTTCGCCCGTTCGCGAATGGATCATCCGCCCGTACTTGTCCAGAAACGGCGGAATCACCTCGTTGGCCGGCCGGTCTGGCTTATCGGGCTCGTCCTCCTCGTGATTCAACAACTGGCTGATGTTCATGCTGGAAGAGCCCGTTGCCAGGGTCTGCACGGCAGCCGGCCCGGCGTCGGACTTCTTCACCGGGTCTGTTTCTTTGCGGCTGCTCTTCATGGCACTGCGCAGGTTCGCGTTCTCGATCTTCAGCTTGGAAATCTCGTCGTGCAACTTGCTCAGATACTTCATCGAAACAACCACCTTGGCATCTCCTTCGGTGTATTTGCACGCCGAATTCGACGCCTCGCACCGACTACATGGTGGTCCCTTGCCGTCACACTTGATATGCCGCGTTCTGCATCGCTCGCACGCAATGTTCGACCGTTTGGCCCGTCCTGACGGGTCTTCTGTCGTTATCGCCATACGCTTTTCGTTTAAAAATTTAGCGTAAGATCTACACAGCCCGGGTTTATATTTTTTCCCAGCTATCTACTCCAGCTTGGTGTGTTCCAGCTGCTCCGCGGTCTGGGCCACCGGGGCGGTTGAGTCGTCCTTAGGCTTGGCCCCCGGGTATCTGGAGCCTCTGTCCTTGACCTTTTTGACCTTCTTTTTCTCCTCAACAGGAGCAGGGTAGCCCTTGGCCTGTGCTTCCTGGAACTCTGGAGACTCCTTGAAGTCCTTGATGATTGGGGCTAGGAGCTCGTTAATGGCGTCCGAAACACCCGTCTTGAGGTCCACGGGACTCAGCTTCTCGGTTCGGAACGCCTCTTTCAGCTCGTCGAACGAGTGGTAGGTCACGTCACCGCCAAACTTCTCTGGTCTCTGGATCTCAAACTCAAATTTACCCTTGCCGTGTTTGAGCTCGTAAATTGGAGCAACAACAAACTCCACAAACGACAACAAGCCGTTCTCCTCAACATTTCCCGGAGCACAGAACGCAGAAGCAATCTTCTTCTTCACCACCTTTGGCTCCTCCAAAATGTCAATCTTGGAGTTCGGGTCGGAAGCAGACATCTTGCCTCCTTGAGCGAGTCCTGGCACCATCGGGTTCATCAAATGCGCTCTTTTGCTGTATCCCAAGGACTGGAGGTTCTCCTCTGCAAGAACAAAAATCTTTCTCTGGTCCACTCCTCCAAACTGGGCGTCCACGCCCAAATGTTGCTCGTCCAGAGCCTGCATCAACGGATAGATCAGTCCAGACAACAGCGGGTTGGCCACCTGCTTCACCACGTCCGCACCGGCCCTCTTGGCGTCGTTCTGCGAAACAATGTTAGACAGACGGAAAATGTCCATCGTGTACTCCGCGCTCAGCTGGTACTCAGATCCAACCACAAACCGCAGCTTCTCAATAGGAACGTTGATCGACTTCAAAATGCTCTTCACCACCAGCTCGTAGTATTTGGCTCTGTAGTTGACCACCTCCAAAGGCGCCTTCATGTTGTCCAGGAAAGCGTGCAGGTCGGCCAAAAGAACCGTCACCTCGCATCCTGCCTTGAGGAAATGCGCCAGCTTGGTCATTGGAACAAAGTATCCGCAATGGGGCTTACCGGTCGGAGCAGTACCCCAGTAAACGCGGAGCGGTCTTTTTTCGACCTCCAGCACGTTCTTGATGATCTGCGGATTCAGAACCTCCTGGAGGTTCTTGGTGATCCACTCATATTGCTCTTGGGGATCGGTAACTGTGTCTGACATTGGTGACTGAATTAAATTTTTCAACAATTTTTGGCGACGCTTGTACAGCTCCCTGAAATGAAGCGTCGATCGACGCAGGAATTACTGTCTACAGAACAAACTCGTCTATAAACCACTTGTGAAACCGGTAATCAGGCACCAGTTCCGGGTGGAACGATGAGCCTAAGATATGGCCCTGTCTAACACCAACAACCATCGACTTGCCACTGCGTTCGACCCGCGAAATGACCTCCACTGGCGCCTCGTTCTTGGTGTACACTTTTGCAACCACCGAGCTGTTTGACCCCACAACAGGCGTTTTCCCAATAACGTCCGTCACTGTGGGTGCCCGAATGAACACGCACTTGAACGAGCCAATCCCTGCTGCGGGAAAACTCAGTTCTTGGTCAAACGAGTCGACCTGTCTGCCAAACGAGTTCCGTTCAATAGAAACGTCTAGTCCGCCAATAAGCTCGTATTTTCTGTCTCCCAGCTGCACTTTGGTGTTGGTCACATGGTTGGCTATCAGAATGAGACCCGCACAGGTTCCCCAGACCCCAATTGTCCCGGACTGGATCAGTCTTGCAAGCGGTTCCAACAGTTTGGTCTGCTGTAACAGCAGCGAAATAGTTGTGGACTCGCCGCCGACAAGGATTATCCCCGCCAGACCGTCCAGATCTTTTGGCTCGCGCACTTTGCGGCTGGAAAAACGGTACTTGGAGTATTCGGGAGCAGAATTTAGTTGCACAAACAATTCGTCCAGATGGCCCAGGTGTTCTCTGAAAGAGCCCTGGAGCGATAGCACGCCAACAACGACGTGTCTCTGAGGGGATTGGTGAGTCATTGGCAGTGTCCGCTAGCGGGAAACGTCGCCTTTTATCTCTTACTCGCCCTTGCATATCCGATATCACAAGTACGCGATAATCGGAAATCGCAGGTCGCCCTGTGCTAACAAATACGTTCTCGGGAAAGGATCGCTTAACACAGCATTATAAATAGGGCCTGTTGTCCCGCTGTTGTCCTCATTGCACAATGACCAAGTCCACATTCCAACAAAAGGCCGGTTTGGCCCAAATGCTCAAGAACGGCGTTATTATGGACGTCACCAACGTCGAGGAAGCCCTTATTGCTGAGAAAGCGGGAGCTGTTTCTGTGATGGCCCTGGAAAGAGTTCCTTCCGATATCAGAAAAGAAGGGGGAGTTGCTCGTATGTCTGATCCACAGATGATCAAGGCCATCATGGAGGCTGTGTCGATCCCGGTGATGGCCAAGGTCAGAATCGGCCATACGGTGGAGGCAGAACTTTTGGACGCGCTGGGGGTGGACTTTATCGACGAGTCGGAGGTTCTGACCGTTGCCGACAGACAGTACCATGTTGCCAAGAACGATTTCGATGTTCCGTTTGTGTGTGGAGCCAAGGATCTTGGCGAGGCTCTTAGAAGAATCGAGGAAGGAGCAGCCATGATCAGAACTAAGGGAGAAGCAGGTACTGGAGATGTTAGCGAAGCCGTTTTCCATATGAGAAAGATCACAAACGACATTGCCGATGTTTTGAAGGTGTGTTCGGTTTTGAAAGAGTCTCCAACCGATGCTCAAGGCCTGAAATATTTGGAAGAGCTGGCTACCAAATTCAGAGTCAAGAAAGAGACCGTTTTGGAGCTCGTTAAAAGCGACGGCAAGCTTCCTGTTGTGAACTTTGCTGCTGGAGGTGTTGCCACGCCTGCCGATGCTGCTCTTTGTATGAAGCTGGGCTGCGACGGAGTGTTTGTTGGGTCTGGTATCTTCAAGAGTCAGAACCCTGAAAAGCTGGCCAAGGCGATCGTGGAGGCTGTGAACTCGTACGACGAGCCAAAGAAAGTGCTGGATTCAAGCTTCAACCTGGGAAAGCTCATGTTCGGTGTCCAGGTGAGCGGACTCAAGGAAACGGAAAAACTGTCTGTGAGAGGATGGTAATTACTCTACGTATATCTCTTTAACGTCTGGTCCAAAGAAGCAGAGCTGTAGATGTTGCGATCAGCAAACGGGTTCTCGACCGGTCGGTAGCTGATGGAGTGGTCGCTTGTCTTGCGGGACGCGTAGGAGCCGGACTTTTGCGTAAAAGAACCAGAGTCCGAAGAATAGGAGTCGTTGAGAACCAGCTCTTGAGGGTATGGGATTTCCAGCTTTTCGGCCAGAGCGCGGTTTTGTTTGGTGTGCGAGACGCTAATCACGTCGTTGAACGGATCCTCGGGGAAACTTGGCAGCGAGTCGTTGGAAACGTTCTTGATCTCGATGGCAGACTTGGAGTACGTTGGCTGCTGCAGGTCGAACTTGGAGTCGAATGGATCGTCTCTCTTGAAGTCGAGCTTGGACAGGACCTGCTGCTTCTTTCTGAGCTCCATTTCGTGTTTCTCGTACAGTTCGAACACGCTTCCTGCCACCAAAGAACGACAGTATTTCCTGAGCGTCATATGGTGGCGACCGTGCACTGTGGGCACAATGTAGAACGAGCCCAGCACGGCCAGAATGTTCTTGACTGTGAATATGAGCCAAACGACAAACGAGAACGTCATGAACGAAAGAAGCACGGCCTCTCGTTTGTTGGACTTGCCGATCTCCACGACGATCTGAACGATATCGCTGGACGTGAACGAGTTCGAGATCGAGTATGCGATGGTGGCCCCGTTCAGGATCTGTCTTGGGGTGTCGGCAAAGAGCCACAGGTAGATGCTAAAATGGAAGGATCTGTAGATCGTCAATGCTGCCCAATCGAAGGTGGACTTTGTAGTTGAGCGTTCGTAAATGCAAAACCGCTCGTACGACTTGAGCGAGTGGATTTGGCGCGCCATGTCGTTCAAATGCGACCGCACAATGCTGTTTGTTTTATAAATATGGGCCCCATAGCACCAGTTGGCGATCATCCACACCATGGAGAGTCCGATACAGACGGTAAACACGACCCGATACACCAACAGAGGCACGTAACTGATGGCATGGTAGCTGTCCCAGTCGTTGAGAGCGTAGATCTGGATCAAAGTGTAAATATCTGAAGCCAAAAACCCGATCGACAAACCAAGCTCGATTAGCATGCCAACGTAGCTGGCAAGAGTCCAAAAGTCGAACTTCTTGTAGTCATGTTCTTCTCCCAGATCCGCAAACGTGATCTCGTCCGTGTTTCTAGAAACCAGTTTCAACGTCGACATCCTCAAAGACACGCTTAAAGACCTGAGCCTCGATACAAATATTCAACCCCTTTTATATTTTCTTCATTCCTTTATTGTTTGGGAAACGTCTCAGCACAGCCCAGATATTACTTTTTATAGAAATGCCGGGATCTACAGTACATGGTCGAATTCGCGAACGGCACTAATGGATTCTAGCTCCACGCATTTGGACAGACTGGATTCCAAGCTTGTGCGGTCGCCTGTTAGTTCGTAGACCTGGGCCAAATTGTAGTAGATCTCGCTGATCTGGAAGTACCGGTAGTTTGTGGTCAGGGATTCGAGGTAGTTCTTGCACCGCGAAACAGCAGCCATTTTGTCCATCTCGTTGGTGAAAACGGACGGTTTCCCGGAAAATAGCACCAGATTCGCAAACCCAAGGATCCCTTCCAAATTGCCGTCCTCCTTTAGATCCAGCGAAGCCTCCAGCTCCTGTAACGCTTTCTTATTGTTCAGGTTGATCGACAGCTGTCCCAGTCTCGAATGTGTTTGATGTGTTTCGGAACCGGCGTTCACCGCCTCGAAAATGCACCCTTCTGCGTCGTCTGTCATTTCCTGCTCCTCAAAAAGCTTGGACGTCCACAGCCAGATCTCTTGTACAATCCGGCTTTCTTCCGTGTCCAGGTTCCGAGCAACGGCCACAGAGGCCGTCTTTTTGTGTTTGCCCGACCGGATCCGCTGCAGGATCTTGTTCTTGTTGGTGTCGCCAGACCGGCCGTTCGCGTCGCCAATGCCACCGGTCCCGCTCGAGCTCGCATCCGCGCCAAACAGCTGGTGCACCACCTCGAAGAACATCGGCATGCACTCCACGGCCTCAAACGTGTCCTGATCCGCTCCAACAAGCGCAACGTACGTCATGAACATCTGCACAATGTCCCGCTTGGCCTCGATAGTTAGGTCGGTGCGAGGGTGGATCGAGGACAGCTGCGACTTGAGGTTCAAAACCACCTCCGAGCTGATCTTCAAAGACTTGTCGAGATTCTCCTCGGTGGCCGAGTAAACAAGCGTGATCACGTTCAGGTACTTGATGTTATCCGGGTCGATCTTGATTGCCGCCTTGAGACTCTTGAGGGCCTCTCTGAGCCGTCCCAGTTTGATCAGCGAAACAGCGTGGTTGAAAAACAAATCACCCACCTGTTTGTCGGAATGCTCCACGGAAGCCGACCGCAGAATGTTGATTGCGCGGTCAAAGAACCGGAACGTCTCTTCGAGTCGATTATTAAGGATTTCCGGGGTGAACGTGTGCAAATAGCACAGTTTCTGAGAAATCTTGCCCAGCTTGTACCAAATAGAAGTGACTCTGCGTATCAACAGCGCAGAGTAGGGTCCCGGACCCAACAAGTTCGAAAGCTCGGTCTCGACCGTGTATTTGAGTTGTCCATACCAAACCAAAACCTGGTCGTAGAGATTGCGTTGTAACTTCTTGGACAGAAGAAACTCGAGAACAGCGCTGGAAATGTCTATTGATTCGATAATATCCACATGTTTTCCGTAATTCTGTATTCTTCGTTCGTGATCGTAGTTCAGATACACCTTGTATGCTGGAACTAGGGTATCCGGGTCGTCCTTGCTGATGGATGTGAGACACCAGAGCCTTATGATCGGGATATTCTGGTACGATTTGTATAGTCCTTGCTCGATCAGTTTTTCCACGGGGAACTGGCCATGAAACTTCGTCACCAGCATTATCACTGTCTCCACAATGATGTCGATGTCCGAGTTGGTTTCTGTGGCCTTTGGAAACTCCAGCTTCGAAAGAAACTTGATCACGGCGGCCTCGAACGATATTCTGAGTTCCTGGTTCGAGATCCCCAACACTTTGAATCCAATAAGGTGTTGCACCATCACACCGAACGATGTGGTCGGCTGCTGTTTGGCCAGCTGCAAAAACTGGCGATCAAACTCCTCTTTGGTAGAAACATTTTGGAACACCGTGGACGACAGGTTGCTGATTACCCCGTCGAAACAGTCCCATCCGACGATATTTGTGCTGGACGGGTACTGTTTGAGATGATTGACCCAGACGTCGAAATACGCCGAGAGATTCTCCGTTGTGAGCAGTTGTTTCATAAAAGTCATCAATTGCAGTTCATCCACGGGTCTTTGTTGGAACAGCTGGACAAACCGGTCCGGATCGGTCCTGGACAAGGATACGTCGCTGATTTTCACATCCAGATGGGCGTCTGTTGCGTCGGCGGCTTTAGCGCCAGAAATCTGGCGAACAACGTTGAATTCGTCAGTTTCCACGGTCATGGCCAAAGAACAAAATTATAAATAATGTAATCTGTACCACTCCAAACACCACAAGGAAAAAAAAAATATAGCCATATTGTCTTGGAATACTGACTGGTCGCAAGTGATGGATCATTGGCCGTTTATAAACCAACGTTCCCCGGCACTATACAGAAATTAATCACTAGAGACATGTCTGACCTGAACAACATCAATCTCAAGACGCGAGGACAGCGAAGTGCCAGTGACGACAAGAATTTCTTTGCGTCGAGCAGAGACTTCTCTTTGTTTTCGCGTCTTCCCTCGTCTGCTCCGTCTTTCACGTACAACAATCTGCCGAGTTTCCGGAACGTGAGCTCGTTGTACGACAATCGACAGCCTTCCACGAACTCCAACGTGGGGAACGTGCCGTTTGTCCCCAGAGAAGCCATGTTGAACGACAACTTTAAGCCTTCTTCGCGCGGCAGCTCGGGCATATCGAAGCTGGGTACCAAAACAGTCGACCCCCAGAAACTCACCCTCACCACAAAAGCTGCCCCCGCCACGCCAGAGGCCGATTTCCTTGACTTTCTGAAATGTTTGCTCCTGATCCTGTACCAGCTGGGAAAGAAGGCGGCTCTTTGGGCAGTCTTCCTGCTAACACTGGTTGGCAACCAGGTGATCAAGCTTGTGGAGCGCATTCCGGAGCCCGAGACCGCTGTGGTTGACGGGATCTCCAGCACGCCGATTAAACGAGAAATTGACGGTATCACTGGTTTCTTAAACAAAATGGTTCCAAACAGTCTGTCCACGCCTCTAGGACATGTCGTCAGCGAGGAGGAAAAGCCGGTTAAGTCGTCGAGCAGCAAGATCAGCCAGCTTGCCTCGAAATTGAACGAATCCGCGGTCAACAAAAAAGATTACGGGACGTTCTTCTACAAGCCAACAACGGCCCGGCCGGACCTGGACATCGAGGCGATGTTCCTGAAATCGAATCTGAGCAAATCAGCCGACAAAGAAAACTATAAATCCGTGGACTCATCGCAGGAGCTCCAAAATAAAGCGTCCCAGATCACTAGCTCGTTGCGGACCATGTTTCCGCTGGCCAAATCGGTGAAAGACAACAGAAGCACGTCTCGGTTCCAGAACCTCGAATGGCTCAAGAAGGACAACGTGGACTACGTGGAGAACCTGGAATCCAGCGACCTGTTCAAGGAGTACCAGAAGATCATGCAGGAACGGACCAAGATGCAGGAACTGATCAAACTCACGAAATCCAGAGACTCCACGAAAGTGCGGCCGTTGAGCAGCGATCAGCTGGCCGTTGTGGAGAAGTTCTGGCGGAACCCGGACCCTCGCAAACTGGTTTCCAGTGCGTTCAACATCGACATCTACACCCGAGACCTTAAGACTCTGGCCGACCGCAAATGGCTCAACGACAACGTGATTGACTTCTACATGAGTCTTATTTGCGAGCGGGCGAAAAACGACCCCTCGTTGCCGCAGATCCACATCTTTTCAACGCATTTCTACACCAACCTGTCCACGAAGGGCTACTCGTCGGTGAAAAGATGGACCAAGCGGGCCAAGGTGGACGTGACGAAGCTGGACTACATTTTTGTGCCAATTAATCTGAACCAGTCGCATTGGGCGCTGGGCGTGATCAACAACAAGGAAAAGGCGTTCCAATACTACGACTCGTTGTACGGAAACGGCGAAGACGTGATTTACAATCTGGAGCAGTACATGGTGAACGAGACGAAAAAGTTGTACGGCGATTCGATGAACGGCATCGACTATTCGCAGTACGACTCGTTCGAGTCGATGAAGACGCCCAAGCAGGAAAACGGGTTCGATTGCGGAGTGTTTGTGTGCACCTTTGTGGACTATCTCTCGCGGGAACGGCCGTTGATGTTCTCGCAGTCCGACATGAAGAGTCTGCGAAGACGCATGGCATACGAACTGTGTATCAAGAAGCTCATCGATCATTGAGCAATTGTATATTAATCTTTGACCTTTATGTTTTGCAACGTTTCTGTCAGCTCGTCGATCTGCTGGTTCTCTTTCTTTTCTTCTTCTCTTTCGACCTTGGCGATGGCCTCTGCCTCCTTCTTGACCTTTTCCTCCAGGTCCTTTTCTGTTGGATGGACATACAAGGCGTTTTCCTTCAAGGCCCTTTCACCTTCTTTGACAAGTGAATCCAGCTCTTTTTCCCAGCCAAGCAGCTGGACAAGCTTCTCAACGACCAAGTCGCAGCTCTCCAACAGCAACACGTCCGATTTGCGCGGATTGCGCTCGAAATCGCCGCACTTCTCGCGGTTGATCAGAACCCGCGTGGCTTTTGTGCTCACCTCGGCAGGAAGCCCAGCAAACGGGTACACGGCGAGCGACGTGCCCGCCACAATGGCCAGATCTGTCTTCGAGCTCGAGTCCTCGTCCCATAGATCGAAAAATTTCGCCGGTAACGCCTCGCCAAAGAACACAATGTCCGGCTTCACATAGCCTTTGCATTTGGCACACGTTGGAATCTGCGACTTCATCTGCCGTTTCAACTCGCTGGTCTCCATCTCCCAATCGCAGTCGATACAGTGGTTCTTTGCAAACGAGCCGTGCGCCTCGACAACGTACTCGTCGCGCACGCCGGCAATCCGCTCTAAAGTGTCAATGTTCTGCGTGTAGCACCGTTTCAGCTTCTTCTTGTCCTGACACAGTCTGACGAAGTAGTGGAACTTGCTGGGCACAAACTTGCCCGGATACAACTCATCTGCCAGCGTGTAGAACGCCTTGGGACTCTTGCGGAAGTAATCGATGTCAAACACGGCCTCTGGATACGGCAGGTTCAGTTTCTTGAGGTTGGAGTATAATCCTGTCTTTGGCGACCGGAAGTCAGGGATCCCACAGCTTGTGGAAATACCCGCGCCCACAAAGAACGTCACGGAAACAGAATCCCTTTTCAGCACGGCGGCCAGCTTTTGCAGTTTCTCGTCCATAATCAATCGTGTAGCAAGATCTGAGACACTGGCTTAATATTAAACGTTGCGATTACGTCATCCACCTCAAAATAATTAGAGGCTCGAGATTTTTCAGTCCAGTGAGTAATCATGAAGCAAAGAGTCAGTGCTTTAGACCTGCGGTTGCTGGTGAAGGAGATCGCCGATGTGATCCTGGGAACTCGGCTGCAGAATGTGTACAATTTGGTGACAAACAGCCGGTCGTTTCTGCTGAAATTCAGTGTTCCTGATGCAAAGGCCAATTTAGTGATCGAGAGCGGATTCAAGGTGTATTTGACCGAGTTCCAGCGGCCAACGACCCCAGAGCCGTCAAATTTTGCCGCCAAGCTCAGAAAACACATCAAGTCCAAGCGGCTGTCGAATATCAAGCAGGTCGGCACAGATCGTGTGGTTGTGCTTGAGTTCGCAGATGGCCTGTACTACCTGGTGTTGGAGTTCTTTAGCGCCGGAAACATCATTCTGCTCGATGCAGACCGCAAGATCTTGTCTGTGTTTCGATTGGTGGACGAGCACGAGAACAACGACCGGTACGCTGTCGGAGTCACCTACACGATGTTCGACCGGACATTATTCGAGGACGAGCCAAAGCGAGAGGCACGGGTTTTCACCGCAGAAGAGGTGACTGGGTGGATCCGCGACGCTTCGGAGGGCCAGAAACCGCTCACTTTGTCGAAATTGCTGTTTTCGAAAGCCGCATACCTGTCGTCTGATCTGATCCAGATCGAGTTGGCGAAAAATTCGGTTGCTCCGTCGTTGAGCAGCGTCAAGCTGCTGGACGACGCTGCTGCGGTCGCAAACGTGGTGCGGGCGCTTAATTCGTGCGAGAACCAGCTCTCTGCGCTCGACAGTGCCCCGCCAGGCTCCGTTTCTGGCTACATCATTGGTAAACAGAACCCGTACTACAAGCCGGAGCAGGAGGTTTCGTACGACAACCTGGAGTTTGTCTACGACGAGTTCCATCCGTACGTTCCAGAACACAAACTCAAGGAGGACGTCAAGATCGAGCAGGTTCGCGGCTACAACAAGACGCTGGACAAGTTCTTCAGCACGCTGGAGTCGTCAAAGAGTGTTTTGAAAGCACAGCAGCAGGAAGCCAACGCGGCCATGCGGTTGCAGATGGTGAAGGACGACCAGCAGCTCAAGATAAAGAAGTTGGAGGATCAGAAGGTGTCGAACTACCAGAAAGGAGAGCTGATCACCGTGCACAGCTCGGCAGTGGACCAGTGCAAGCAGACGATCCAGACTTTGTTAGACCAGCAGATGGACTGGAAGAACATCGAGAAGCTGGTTTCAATGGAACAGAGAAGAAAGAACCCGATTGCCCAGATGATCAAGCTTCCTTTGAACCTGGCCAAGAACGAGATCACCGTTATTCTTCCGCAGGACCAGTATGACGACAGCAGCGACTCCGACAGCGAGGACGAAAACGCTCCGGCCACCGTGGACGTGACGATCGACCTTGGATTGACCGCGTTTGCCAACGCAACGCGGTACTTCGACGCCATGAGAACCGCCTCGGACAAACAGACCAAGACGAAACAGAGTGCGTCGTTGGCCATCAAAAACACAGAAAAGACAATCATGAAAGACATGAAGAAGATCCAGAAGAAGGCCCAAGAGCCGTCTGGGTTGAAACAGATCCGGCCCAAGTTCTGGTTCGAGAAGTTCTTCTGGTTTGTTTCCGGAGACGGGCTGCTTTGTATTGCTGGCCGTGACGATACCCAGACGGATCTAATTTATTACCGATACTTCAACAAGGCGACCGACGTGCTGGTCTCTAACGACCTGGACGGACTTAAGGTGTTTGTGAAGAACCCGTTCAAGAACAAGGACATCCCGCACTCCACACTGCTTCAGGCCGGAACGTTTTCGTTGTCCACGTCGAAAGCGTGGGACAACAAGATGGTGGTGAGTCCTTGGATGGTGACGGGAGCACAGGTGACCAAGAAAGACTTTGACTCGAGTCTTGTGCCGGCGGGGATGTTCAACATCAAGGGCGACAAGACGTTTCTGCCCCCGTGCCATATGGTGATGGGATTTGGGCTGTTGTGGCTGGGCGATCAGGAGACCGCAAAGAAGTACGAGGACGCGGCCAAAGCGCGGAACGAGGACGTGGGGCTTGAGATTGCCAGCCAGGACAGCAGTGTGGACGAGAAAGTCGCGGAGCTCACCAGTTTGCTGGAGAAAATGGGTGTTGAGGAAGAACAGCAGGAGAGCGGCGGAGAGGCCGTGGAAGAAGTTGTCGAGGAGCCGTCAGAGCCGTCAGAGCCTGCAGAGACAGCTTCTCCGGCGGTGAACACAAATGTGCGTGGTAAGAAGAGCAAACTCAAGAAGATCAAGCAAAAGTACAAGGACCAGGACGAGGAAGAAAGATTGCTCAAGATGGAAGCTTTGGGAGTTTTGAAACAGAAAAAGGAGACAGTCTCGACAGAAACGCAACAGGAAATCGTCAAGCCCGTGGACAAAGTGACCAGAAAGAAACAGCAGGACTCGCGTTTGCTCAGAAAGCTGATTTCGGAGCTCGAGGACTCTGGAGAAGACGTGGAAACAAAAGCGTACTACGAGATTGTTTCCGGTCTGATCAGCGCTCCGAAGCCAACAGACACGATTGCCAATTGTATTCTGGTCTTTGCGCCATATAGCGCGCTGACAAAATACACCTACAAGGTGAAAGTGCAGCCGGGACCATTGAAGAAAGGAAAAGCTCTTGGAGAAGCCATGAGAGTACTACAGTCGCAAACACAGTCGCTGAAAAAGGACAATGCTCCATGGACAGACTCGAAGAACCTGATGGAAAACATCAACCAACAGGACTCGTTGCTGAACATCACAGTTTCGAAACTAAAATTGTCTGGAGGTGCAAACGATAAAAGCAATGCAAAGAAGGGCAGAAAATAGATTTTAGATAACTCATTAATTCAGAATCCTTGCTGTAAACGGTCAGAAATGTTCTTTCTGGCAAAATTGAATGCACTGAGAAGACCCTTCTCTGATAGATCGATCTTGATGTTGGTGTTGTCTTCGGTAGGAGGCTTGGACACTCTGGATGCGATAACACTTGGGTCTGTTTCCAAAACAATCCCGTCGTCAACAGTCTCGTCAATTGCCAAAATCACCATGTCGTAGTTCTCTAGGATGGACTTTTTATCGATCTGGTTTCTCAAAATGATCTCCAAGGCACCAACCAATCCTTGGAGAACGTTGTATAGCAAGTTTTCGTTCTCGTTGAGGTCTCCGAGCAAGTAAACGGCGGCGTCCGCAAACTCTCTGTACACTACCACCTTGTTTTCGAACAATATGATGTCGGAACTGAGCTTGAAGGTCTTTTTGAACAAGGAGGCCTCGAAACTGGCCTGTTTCTTTTCACTGGTAATTAGCTCGTCATCAGAGACTTTATGTGGCGGATGGTAGTACTTTGCAAATAACCGCTTACCCTCGTTGTCCAGAATGATGGTCGCTTGGACCGAGTAAAGAGAAACGTCAAAAGGCATGGCGTTATAAATTTGTTTTTGTTATGGACGTGTTAATCTCTTGATCGAAAAATATTAAACTAGGTGCGAGGTGTCTGGTGTCTGGAGTACGGCCTGGGCATGCGATCCTTTTTTTATAAAAGGTGGGTGAATTTTTCCTCCTTCTTTTGTTTCCGTCTATTCTCAAAGGCTAAAACTATCCAATTTCCCACAGAAAACAAGAGGAAATTCAAGTCGAATATAGCGCCAGTGAATCTTGATCATCATGTCTTACAATAGACAGCTCAATTTGATTTCTGACGGATCTTCTGGCGAAGAAGATGATGACGAATTGATCGACTACCCTTATGAGCGGTCGAAGCAATATCGATCTAACGCCTACGATTCAAAGTACTTCACTGACGAAGAAAGCAGTACCGGATTGTGTAAGATTTCCCCCAGAAACTTATCCTTATAAAACAGCATTTACTAACTCCAATTCTCATAGCGCCAAATAAACGGCTGCCGTCAACCAGTTCCAAATCGCCAATTTTAAACTCGCCGCTAAGTGAGAAAACAACACAACCGTTCAGTGCATTCAAAACTCCATACATAAACACAAGCAGATGGAACAACATCGACAGGCTGGGTGACGTGTTCGGTGTCAAGAGCTTTGCCGAAGCTGAGAACCCTGGCGAAACTTTGGCAGAAAGAGGTGTCACAGACTTGTACGATACCTACTACGACCCGTATCCAGCATGGACGCCAGATAATGAAGTTCCAATCTCCAAACAGCGTATCGAGTCCATATTCATCCATCTCTCCAGAATCTTTGGCTTCCAGTACGACAATACAAAAAACATGTATGACTACCTGATGAGAATGCTGGATTCAAGAGCTTCCAGAATGGGCCCAACCACCGCGCTTCGAACTTTGCACGCAGATTACATCGGTGGAGTCAACTCAAACTATAGAAAGTGGTACTTTGGGTCTCAGATGGACGTTGATGATACAATTGGTTTCACAAACCAAAAAGCGAAAAACATCAACTATTCATTGGAAGAGTCTCAGCTCAGGTGGTCCCAGACTATGAACTCGTTTCTTCCTGAAGATTGCGTCATTCAATTGGCAATCTACTTGCTCTGTTGGGGAGAGGCAAACAATATAAGATTCATGCCTGAATGTCTTTGCTTCATCTTCAAATGTTGCGCTGATATTTTCTACTCGTTGGAGTTCACAAAAGAGATTCAGCCCATCACCACTAATTTCCTCGACCATGCAATCACACCGTTATATGAGTACTACAGAAATCAGCTTTATGAGAAAATTGGTGACAAATGGGTTCTCCGTGACAAAGACCATGCTAAAATCATTGGATATGACGACATTAATCAACTTTTCTGGTATCGCAAAGGTCTAGAGAAGATACAGCTTGATACCAAGGAACATCTTATGGATTATCTCCCGTGTGAAAGATACCTGTATCTGAACAGAATTGTTTGGAAGAAAGCTTTCCAAAAAACATATCAAGAACATAGAACCTGGGTCCATATCTTGGTCAATTTCAACAGAATCTGGAACATTCACATCGGGGTCTTCTGGTATTACACTTGCTTCAACTCTTACACTTTCTACACAGAAGATTATTCGATCGCAAAAGACAACCAGCCAAGTATTTCAGCAACCTTGTCTGCTTTATCTCTCGCTGGTTCAATTGTTTCATTGATCAACCTGATCTCCTTGATTGGAGAAGCCATCTTTGTTCCTCGTAACTGGGTTGGAGCTCAGTCTGTTTTCTGGAGAATTGTGCTAACTTTGACCTTCATCACGGTGTGCTTCTGTCCCTCCTTATACATTTTCTTGATTTCGGGGCTTTCAGTTGATGATCCAATAAGTCTTGCTATCTCAATTTGTCAGTTCTTGTTTTCCATTTTTGTCGTGATATTCCAGTCTGTTGTTCCTCTTTCTTCTTTGGCAGGAAACGTTAGATCAGAGAAGAAACGAAGATATTTACCTGCAAAATTCTTTACAGACTCCTTCCACGAACTGAAAGGTAAGAATCTGCTGGCATCCTATGGACTATGGGCTGGTGTCTTTATTTCGAAGTTCATTGAATCTTATTTCTTCTTGACATTGAGTTTGAGAGATCCGGTTCGTGAACTGAGCATCATGAAGCTTAACAGATGTGTTGGAGAATACTACCTTGGTTCGTTTTTGTGTGAAAAGCAGCCGTCCATTATTTTGGCATTGATGCTGATCACCGACTTGCTGTTGTTCTTCCTAGACACTTATCTCTGGTACATTGTGTGGAATGTGGCCTTCTCCGTTTGTCGCTCGTTTTATTGTGGTGTTTCTATATGGACACCATGGAGAAATATGTTCATTCGACTGCCGAAACGTATTGCTTCCAAAATTCTGTCCCAGCAGAGCATCTCTGCTAGCAGTGCTGCAAAGAGAAAAGCCATGGTTTGTCAAGTTTGGAACTCTATTGTGGTGTCAATGTACAGAGATCATCTTCTCTCGATCGATCATCTTCAAAACTTGATTTACCAACAGGCTTGTACCGCAGACGGAACCGTTTTGCTCACTGAACCACGGTTCTTTATGGAACAAGAAGATGGAGAAAGTCCTCACAAAAATGGGGAAGTGCTGGATCCAAACTCTGAAGCAAGCAGAAGATTGACGTTCTTTGCCCATTCTCTGTCGACTCCTATTCCTAAACCGCTACCAATTGAGCAGATGCCAACATTCTCTGTTTTGATTCCTCATCACTCCGAGAAAATCACGTTGTCTCTTCAAGAAATCATCAAGAAGGAAGACGAGTACTCTAATGTGACTCTTTTGGAATATCTGAAACAGCTTTATCCTTTGGAATGGAATAACTTTGTGAGAGACACAAAGTTGTTGGCAAAAGAGTCGGAAGCCAACGCAGGCAATGCTTCGGCTGATGCTATTAATGACTTGGCTTTCTACTCCGTTGGGTTTAAAGCCGCAACTCCTGAGTACATCTTGAGAACCAGAGTTTGGGCTTCTTTGAGATCGCAAACTCTTTATCGTACCATCTCTGGATTCATGAACTATTCTCGTGCTTTGAAACTGCTTTACTCGGCTGAAAACATCAACGATTCGACAGACGAGCAGAAAATGGAAGAAGCCAGTGTCGTTGAACAGCGTAAGTTCAGAATTGTGGTTTCCCTTCAGAAATTAAAAGATTTCAACGCAGAGCAAGACGAGTGCAAGGAATTCCTGTTGAGAACTTATCCGGAACTGCAAATTGCATACATTGACTATGACATTGACCCGGAGACCAATGAAATGAACTACTACTCGACTTTGATCGATGGTAGCTGCGACATTATGGAGAACGGATCCAGAAAACCAAAGTACAGAATCAAGCTTTCAGGAAACCCAATCTTGGGAGACGGAAAATCCGATAATCAAAACCACTGTTTGATCTTCTGCAGAGGAGAGTACATCCAATTGATTGATGCTAATCAAGACAATTATCTGGAAGAATGTATCAAGATCAGAAGTATCCTGGCAGAATTCGAAGAGCTGGCCCCACCAGCGGACCCATATCTCGAGCCAGTTGAAGACGTTAACGATCTGCTACCATCACCCAAAAACCCTGTTGCAATCATTGGAACAAGAGAGTATATCTTCTCGGAAAATATTGGTGTTCTTGGAGATGTGGCAGCAGGAAAGGAGCAAACTTTCGGGACTCTGTTTGCGCGTACCTTGGCATATGTTGGAGGAAAGTTGCATTACGGGCATCCTGATTTTTTGAACTCGATCTTCATGACCACAAGAGGAGGTGTCTCTAAATCTCAAAAAGGATTGCATTTGAACGAGGATATCTATGCTGGTATGAATGCTTTGTTGCGTGGAGGAAGAATCAAGCATTGTGAATACTTCCAATGCGGAAAAGGTAGAGACCTTGGATTTGGTTCTATCTTGAACTTCACAACCAAGATTGGAGCAGGAATGGGAGAGCAAATGCTTTCTCGTGAGTACTTCTATCTTGGAACGCAACTTCCTTTGGACAGATTCTTGTCTTTCTACTATGCGCATCCTGGTTTCCACTTGAATAACGTCTTCATTCTGCTTTCTTTGAAAATGTTCATGTTATTCTGCATCAACCTTGCGGCATTGACAAACGATTCCATCATTTGCGAATATGACAAAGATCGGCCGATTACCGATGTGAGACAGCCAGCAGGCTGTTTCAGTTTAATTCCAGTTATTTCATGGGTCCAAAGATGTATCATGTCGATTTTCATCGTGTTCTCCATTTCGTTCATTCCATTGTGTGTCCAGGAACTGACAGAAAGAGGTGTCTGGAAATGTTTCACAAGACTCTCCCGTCACTTTGCCTCGATGTCTCCACTGTTTGAAGTTTTCGTTTGCAGAATCTACGCTCAATCTTTGGTCAACGATCTTGCAATTGGAGGTGCAAAGTATATTGCAACCGGAAGAGGATTCTCCACAACCAGAGTGTCTTTCTCTGTTCTATACAGCAGGTTCTGTTTCGAGAGTCTTTATTTTGCTTCCACCATGTTCCTTATGCTTCTCTACTGTTCCTTGGTTATGTGGAACGTCGCCTTCCTGTACTTCTGGTGTACTGTGATTGCATTGTTCTTGTCGCCATTCCTTTTCAATCCAAACCAGTTCCAATTCACCGAATTCTTTGTTGATTACCGCAACTTCTTGAGCTGGCTGACTGGCGGAAACTCTTCATACAGAAAGGATTCCTGGGTGACACACGTGAGAATTTCCAGAATGCAATTGACTGGAGCCAAACGGAAGAAGCTTGGTAACAAGGGTGACAATCTCGAGTCTGATTACAAACGTCCATCGTTCTTGACAGCCCTGGTGGCACAAGTTGGGTCCAGATTAGTTGTTGCTCTTGTTGTTGTTATTGCCTATCTTTTTGCCAATGCACAAAATGAGTACAGAGCTGGCGAGCCATCGAACTCGCTCTTACGTCTTGCCTTTATCACACTTGGTCCGATTGTGGTGAATGCTGCTATTCTTCTTGCGCTGTTCCCGGTTTCTTTGATTCCAGGGCCACTTCTTTCGCACATCTTCAAGGGCTTCCCCGACTTCATTGCCAACATTGCGCACATCTTGGGTTGCATCAACCATTTCTTATTCTTTGAGTTCATGCTTCTTTGTCAGAACTGGGACGTTTCGAAGTCGATCTTGGGGATCTGTGCATCTTTCCTGCTGCAGAGCGTTATATACAAGCTTTTGACCATCGTTTTCTTGAGCAGAGAGTTCAAGCACGACAAGTCGAACAGATCGTGGTGGTCTGGAAAATGGCTGACTTCTGGACTCGGATGCCATACTTTGACACAGCCAGGACGCGAGTTCATTTGCAAGATCATCGAGATGAGTGTGTTTGCGTGCGATCTTGTCACGTCCCATTTCATCCTGGTGTGTTTGTTCCCATTTCTGTTTGTTCCATACATTGACAGCTGTCACTCTTACTTGCTTTTGTGGCTCAAGCCACGGAACCAGATACGGAGACCTGTGTTTTCTCCTGGAAAGCGGCGAGCACGGACGCGGATCACTGTTGCGTACTTCCTTTTGCTGGTGCTAATTTTGCTTGTGTTTGTTGTGCTTTTTGCCAGTCCCGTGATACTGGCCAAGGTGTACAAGCTGGACTTTGACGAGTATCTGCCTGAGATTTTCTCTATTCTTTTGCAACCGGAGGAGGTGGTCAACAGAAGAAAAGGTCTGAAGAACTACACTGCACCAAAGAAGCACGGTTGATATATTTGTGGTTAAAATGAAATTCAGTTCCAGATTGATTTCAAGTTCTGAGACGTTTTCTGTTCGATCAGGGCGAACAGTGTGTCCACCGTAGAGCTTGGGATGAACATAGAGGCTATTGAGAATCTCGGAGTCTTGACGAAGGATTGGACGTGATTGACGATGTTGTTTATTAGAAGGGATTGGTCTGATTGCAAGTAGTTGATGGAGGCTTCGAGGAAGAACTCGAGGAATGCTGAGTCGATGCCTGATTTAGCAAAGAGCGAGGTGTAAACCGAGTTATCCAATTGAATAACATAGTTATAATAAGATTTTCTTTCGTTTTCAGGTTTGCGGGATAGTTCTGTTAAAAACAGAGCTGATGGGGACGCAGGGAAATTATCTGGTTGAGGCAATTGCGGGAGGTCTACTTCGTCCAGCTTGAGCATCTTGGCTTCTGGGAGGTATCCTGGTGGGATTTGGCGCACTTTTTCGATCGGGATCTCGATCCATTCGGACTCTGACTCGGTTATCTTGGAGTTTACCAGCTGCAGGTCATTTATAACTGTTTGATTTGAAGGGTCGATCTCCAGCGCGGAATGGAGACACGTTTTCGCCTCCTCGAAGCGCAGCAGCTCTCTAAGCGCCGTGGCCTTCCTCCACAAAAGTTTCACCTTTGTCTTGTCGTCCGGAGCCGTTTGGAGCAGGCCCTGGTTGCATGTAGTTAGGGCCCCCTGGTAGTCTTTAAGGTTCAGGTACGCCATGGCCTTGTTTGAGTAGAGCACGGAAACCGCAGGGTCAAGCAGGATGGCCTCTGAGTACAGTCTGGCAGAGTCCATGAAGTTTCCTTTCTTGAATGCGTCGTTTCCACGGGCCTTCAATTCGTCCACGCTCATGGTTATTTATTGGCGGTTATACAAGAGTTATTTTTTTTTGAAATATTTTTTAATGTCGCAGGACCTGAAAGACGAGCTGGACGCTCTCGAGGCAATCTACCCGGGCTGCTACGACTACATCAGTCCGCTCGTGTACCGCTTCCGAATACCCCAGTACGAGTACATCAGCATCAAGATTCGGTTCACGAACGAGTACCCGGAGCAGATCCCCAAGATTCTAGACGTGAGGTGTGACCGGCGCGGGTTCGACGAGAAACACGTTGCCGAGCTGCTGCAGGAGGTGCTGGACTCGATCTTTACGCCGGGGATTGTGTGCATATTTGATTTTTTCACCGAGTGCGATGCTATTCTATATAACGGAGACGACTCCGAGGAGCCAGCAGAGGCCGTGGTGGAGATCTCGCGGTTCCAGTCTGAGGAGCCAGAGGAGGCCGAAACGGTCGACCAGCCAGACACGGAGGAGCTGGCCGACCAGCTGGACGAGTCGTTGTACGTCGACTACAAGTACGACGAGGCCAGAGAACGGGCCAACGCCAAGTCGAAAAAAGTGCAACCGGCCAGGCAACTGGACCCGCTCGCGAATTGGTCGATCTCGGAGGCCATCAGCGACCGCAAGTCGACGTTCGTTGGGTTTGCGCGGAGCGTGGACTCTGTCGAGGACGCATTCGAGTACCTGGACCTGCTCAAGCAGGATCGAAAAGTTATGAAAGCGTCGCATAATATGACCGCCTGGCGCATCAAGAACCCGCACACCGGCGCACAGTACCAGGACTGCGACGACGACGGCGAGACCGCGGCGGGCGGACGCCTGCTGCACCTGCTTTCGATCATGGACGTCTGGAACGTGATGGTGGTGGTGTCCCGGTGGTTTGGGGGCACGCACATCGGTCCGGACCGATTCAAGCACATCAACGCCTGCGCAAGAGACGCGATCGTCAAGGGCGGGTTCGAGATAGCAGAGGGCAAGAAGAAGAAGAAGAAATGAGCGGTTATGTCTTTCGCTTCTTGACGGGCAGCTCGATGTCGTCGTCGTCCTTCCGCTTCGCAAACCGGCTGCCTGCTCGCAGAGCAGCGATCCCCGTGGCCGGTGTCTCTGTTTCCTCGGGCTTGGGCTCTTCCTTGGGTGGTGCCCTGAGCCGTGTGATCTGCTTCGGCTCGATCATTTGATAAATCTGTGTATAACCAACCGTTTTTATTCTGGCCCTGCGTGCTTTAGCTCTTTCCCTAACAAGATCGGCCATGGGCGACTTCCACTCGCTCAGGTCGACGAGCTTCTCTCTGCCGACCGCCTCTTCGTCCACGGGACCCTTCTCGTCGGCCATCCGCATGAACTTCATGTTCTTCACCCGCGCAGATAAAGACATGGTGACGGTTATTGGGGTTATAAATTTTTAGCTAAAAAAATTCAATTTATTTTTCTGGCCCCCATCTCCGGGCTGTGCAGGCCAGCATGCACTGGGAAAAAAAATTTCAAGAAAATATCTTTAACAAAGAGCATAACCATGAAGTCCGATTTCCGGTTTACAAACCTCTTGGGAACCGTGTATCGTCAGGGAAACCTTGTTTTCAACGATGAGGGCACGCTGTTGCTTTCTCCCGTCGGAAACAGGGTGTCTGTGTTCGATCTGGTAAACAACAAGTCGTACTCTTTGGACTACGAGCATCGCAAGAATATCGCATGCATTGCCCTGAACAAACAGGGCACGCTGCTGCTGTCTGTGGACGAGGACGGGCGGGCGATTCTTGTCAACTTCCGCGCGAGAACCGTGCTGCATCACTTTAATTTCAAGGGCAAGGTGCGCGATCTCCAGTTTTCGCCAGACGGAACGCACTTTGCGCTGTCTGTGGGCCGTTTTGTACAGGCGTGGAAGACGCCTGATGTTTCTGAAGACCGTCAGTTTGCGCCATTTGTGCGCCACCGGGTCTACGCCGGCCATTACTCAGACATAACTTCGATAACCTGGTCTGGAGACTCCAGGTACATCCTGTCTACGAGCAAGGACCTCACCACGCGTATCTTTTCGCTCAACACAGAGGACAAGGACGTCAAAATGACGCTGGCGGGCCACAGAGACTACGTTTTGAAGGCCTTCTTCGACAAAAACCAGGAGATCATATACACAGTTTCGAAAGACGGAGCACTTTTTCGCTGGGAGTACACGGAAAGACCAGGCGAGGAGGAGCTTCCAGACGACCAGAAGCACCACAGCTGGCGGATCATTTCTAAAGACTTCTTTTTTTCTGACCACAAGGTGCGATGTGCCACTTTTCATGCTCCGTCTAATCTGCTGATTGTTGGCTTTTCCAACGGAGAGTTCCGTCTGTACGATCTGCCGAGCTTCACGATGGTTCAGCAGCTGTCGATGGGGTTCAACGCGGTGAACACGATCTCTGTCAACTCGACGGGCGAGTGGATTGCGTTTGGGTCCAAGAAATTGGGCCAATTGCTGGTTTACGAGTGGCAGTCTGAGTCGTACATTTTGAAGCAGCAGGGCCATTTCGACGCGATGAACTGCCTGGCGTACTCGCCAGACGGAGGACGGATAGTGACGGCGTCGGACGACGGAAAAATCAAGATCTGGGACGTTGTTTCTGGGTTCTGTCTGGCCACGTTCGAGGAGCACATTTCTGCAGTCACGCAGGTTGTCTTTGCCAAGAAAGGCCAGGTGATGTTCTCGTCGTCGCTGGACGGCACGGTGCGCGCGTGGGACCTGATCCGGTACAGGAACTTCCGGGTGTTCACGTCGACGAACCGGTTGCAGTTCAGCTGTTTGGCGGTGGATCCTAGCGGAGACATTGTGTGTGCTGGTTCTTTGGATGATTTCAGCATCCAGGTGTGGTCTGTGCAGACGGCGCAGCTTCTGGACCAGCTGGCGGGCCACGAGGGCCCCATCTCGTGCCTAAGTTTTGGAACAGAGGGCTCGCCCAAGCTGGCCAGTGCGTCGTGGGACAAAACGATCAGGATCTGGGACATTTTCTCGCGCACACAAACCAGCGAGCCGTTCGACGTGCTGCACGAGTGTCTGGCTCTGACGATGCGGCCGGACTCGAAGGAGGTGGCTGCTGCCACGCTGGACGGACAGATCACCTTCTGGGACGTGGAGAACGGCAAACAGGTGCGCCAGATCGACGGCAAGAGCCACATCATCACAGGAAGACACGTTGAGGACCGTTTTGTCGCTGGCAACTCTGCCAGAGGCAAGTACTTCTCGACGATCGCATACAGTTTTGACGGGCTGTCTTTGGTTGCTGCCGGGAACAACAACTCGATCTGCTTGTACGACCTGCCGAACGAGGTGCTCCTTAAACGGTTCACGGTGTCGAACAACATGCAGCTGAACGGAACGATGCAGTTCCTCAATTCGAAGAACATGACCGACGCGGGGGCCATGGAGCTGATCGACGACGACGGCGAGTTATCGGACCTCGAGGACAGAAGACGCGCCGATAGCATGCTGCCGGGCTCGAACCGAGGAGACTTGGCAGCACGCTCGACACGGCCCGAGATCCGCGTCACCAGCGTGCAGTTCTCGCCAACGGCCAATGCGTTCGCGTGCGCCTCCACAGAGGGTCTGCTCGTGTACAGCGTGGACGAGAGTCTTGTTTTCGACCCGTTCGATTTGGACGTGGACGTGACTCCGGAAGCCACTCTGGCTGTGCTGAAAGACGGAGAGTACATGACGGCTCTGGTCATGGCGTTCCGGCTGAACGAAACGTATTTGATCCACAAGGTCTACGAGGCGGTCAAGGTTGCAGACATCGCATTGGTGGTTCGCGACCTACCTTTGGTGTATGTTGAGAAGCTTGTTGGTTTCATTGCCTCGATATGCATGGAAAGCCCACACTTTGAGTTCAATCTGATTTGGGTTTCTACGGCGCTGAGGGTGCACGGCAAGTTCATTACTAGGGAAAAGGCCCGATTCAGCAGCTCTCTGCGGCTGATCCAGCGGTTTTTGAATAGAGTGGCCAAGGAAATTGTCAAGAGCGGTGCCAAAAACAGTTATTTTTACCAGTTTGTGGAAACCGACCTGCATAAAGATATAACCGACAAGCACAACGAGAACACGGACCTGCAAAGCACAGACGAAGAAATGGTCCAGGGGTCTGAGAGCGAGGACGAGTGGTTTGGCCCTGGACAGGAGAAAGAGGTCGGGCTGCGGTTCGATGGGTCGTCTTCTGAAGACGAGGTTATGTAGGTTCTAGAATTTAAGGGTGCAAGATTTATTTTTGGCCCCTAACAATCGGGATTTTTTTTCATAAAAAGCTTTAATTTTGCCCGGTCCGGGAGTTATAATAATAGATTAATTGCGTTTGCTCTGCAGGACAAGCTTCTTTTCCCGAGAACAAACTTGTCAACAAACTAGTCCCAGCCCAGTTTCCACCATGAGTCGAGAACAGAGTCTGACTATCCTGTCTGAGATCCTCGAGATTCTGCGTTCAGCCAAGCCTGTTTCAAAGCTTGAGCCTGAAATCAAAGACTGCCTTTCGCGGTTTTCGTTCTTAATAACTCTCACGGCCAACGACACAATCGAGCGCCAGAAACTGGCCAATTCGCTTTCAATCTGGACCAAGATCAACGAGGTGTTCCAGCTGTATTTGGAGACTGTGGATGCCGACCCGCAGCTGGTTGCCACGCCCCTGGCGCAGTACAAAACTCGGCTCATCAGGGGAGTTATACTGCTTGCCCGAAACCTGATTGTGGGGCTACGGGACCTGCTCAATCTGGACGATAAGCAACGTTCTGAGTTCTATCACGTTCATGGCCTCAGATGCAAAGACGTCTCGGGAGACATTTTGATCCAGTCGCTGTACCAGAACCATTTCAACAACATCATTCCTCTGTGTCTTCGATTTCTAGATATCCTCGATAGCTTCCCGGAAAGATCTCCTAAACACAGTATCGAGATTTATTACAATAGCATCACATCGTGCTTCCAGTATCTGAACAACGTCACCAACATTGACACCAAGTGGACTAAGCAGGCTGTGCCCGATTACAACGTGGACGCGTTCCTGGACTTTCTCACCAGACTGCCGCAATACTGGCATGCAGCCGGCGATCAGGTGTTGCCCGACTTTGACCTGCTAGTTGCAATTCTAATGTACTTCCGCAACCTTTTCAGCCAGGATGAGCTTCTGACTCGCATCTTCCGCTACCATTCGGTCAGGTTCATCGTCTTTGTGGGTAACTACCTGTCCTACATCGTGCCCTACTCTCGCGGATGCAAGCATTTCACCCAGGAACAGTGCGACCAGCTCGAACTAGTTTATCTCGGCACGTACATGAATATGATCTCGCACGAGAGCGTGGGCTCTTGTCTGCTCGAAGCTGCGAATTCAAACACCAACAAGGAGACCGCATACAACGCGATCAGCGAGCTGCTTAACGTATTCCAAATCATATTAACTAGCAAAGAAGAAGGGTGGGATAAGCTCAAGTTGGTCAACATCGTGGCATGGATCACGGAGTACTACAAGTACGCTTCTCACGAGGCGTCTGTGTTGCTGGACAAACAGACATTGGGCGCTGAGGAGTCGGAGAAGCTTGCTCGTTTGCATAAACAACTGATCTCGGTGCTCGACAGTCTCTCGAGCCTGACCAAGTTCGATAGCGTGCGCCAGATGCTCAACTACTACGAGTTTCTGCCCCAGCTGGTTGCGTTTTTCCAGGTCGTGGACAGAAACACGTTCCGCAAACGTCTCAAGGACGAGCAGTCTCCGCCAAACACCAAAGAGTTTCCGCAGGTCAAACTCATCATGATCGAGATCATCACCTCGCTGGTTTACCAGAACTTCAAGAACCAGGAACTCATGCGCGAGATCCACGGGCTCGAGCTGATTCTCAATAATTGCAACCTCGACACAAACGAGCCGTTCATCAAGGAGCGCGCAATCTTGTGTATCAAATACTTGCTTCTGGACAATCCCGGCAACCAGGACTTTGTCGCCAAGTTGGAGGCCAAGGGCACGTCGATCGATGCCCAGAACAAACAGATCCTCGAGCAGGCCGGGTTCGAGATCGATATCGAGGACGGCAAGGTCAAACTCAAAAAGTCTCCCCGGGTGACAGAACTCGAACAAGGCGCGACGGGCTCGTGTCAAGGGCCGAATAACTAGCGACGTTTCGTGTATCTTTCAGTCTTCAGCACTTGGTTGTAATAGACAAGTTTATCCAAGAGTGTTTTGTAGGTGATTGGTTGTCCTATGCATGACATGGCGATCGTAACGTACGGTTCTCTCATACTGAACACTATCTTCTCGCAAAACTCCTGCTCGGTGAAGCTTAGTCCAACAAGGGCAGCAAACTTGTGCAATTCCTCGATATCCTGGAATGTTGCACGTAGTTCTGTTTTGCATGCAGATAATTTGATACGACGAGCCGTGTGGGTGATTTGGTTGGAATTTAAACCTCCCGGAGTGAACACTTTGTATAATTTGACGAGCACGTCCAGAGAGGTATTCGATGGAGACAGATTCTCTAGTTTTGGGTAGTGTCTGAAATAGTACGGGCTGATAGTGGCCTTCAATATTTTCAGTAATTCTGCGTCGTTGTAGTCTGCCATCACTGGTTCTTCTCCTCTCAACGTTTGTTCAAATTGCTCGATAAGCGGCGCAAAAGATGTATCTTGGATAGCACGCTTCAAATGAGACCAATACCTAATGAAGCGTAGTAATCGCGAAATAGGTTTGGGATAGACCGGGATCTTAATGTAAGGAAGGTCCATCTTGGCCAGAACCTCTTCATACTCCTCCGAGCACGTTCGTTGCTTCCCTTGTGGCCCAAACTTATCGCCAATATTGCACAGAAACTTGTAAGCACCATCTCCGTCACCACGTATGTCCTGATACTTCTCGTCAATAATCCTCTTCAGAATAGACTCCAGCCTGAGTTCAAGTCCCACATCCAGCGTCAATGCACGCTCTCTCTTCTCAAAGGGCTCGCAGATCACGCTCAATGAAGACTTTTCTAATCTGATCTTTAGTGAAGTCCAAAACTGTTGGAACTCGCTTGCGTACGCGAGCGGGTCTTCGTGCCAAACTAGTTTCAGATCGTCTAGTTGAATTGAATCAAGTGGCTCCACAGCGGCCTGTGGCCCAGACCCATTGCCCATTGAGTTGCCACCAAGAAAACTGATGTCGTCTATCATATCAAAGGACGACGATCTGGACTCGATCGCACACGGACTACGTTCCAAGCTGTCAGAATCCAGAGAAAGCACGTCAAGAGCAGCTGTCGTGGATTCAACAGCAACAACGGCCTGTTCGTGAGAAACGACGGGGTTGGTATTTCCTGAAAGTCCTTCTTCCATTTTTTTATAATGTTTCAGGTTGAGTTTTATCAGAGCGTGGCAAAAGGTCAATTGAATCCCACTCTGATTAAATAATTGCTGCTGATAAGCCATAGTGTGCAACCCAAATAAAATATCTGAATTACGCTGTCAGGTGACGGGTGCGTGGCAGCTGGCAGACGTGGCGGTCGCTCTGGCAGAAAAGGGATGTACTCAACATGTGGTGGCTGGATAGCGGTTATGGATTTCCATAACCAATCCTAACTATCCTTTTGCATAACTTTTCACCCACCTGTACGGGGTGCACATCCAGGCTCGATCCTGTGTTTTTGATTCATGTCCTCTCTGCGGCGTTGCGGCGCGATGGCCTTTGGCTGGTTAAATTTTTTTTTTCCTTTGGAAAAATTAAAACCTATACAGAACCATGGTGGAAGCACGCAGCTCGGGCGTGGACATCTCGGGCGTGATTGGCCAGGGCAGCTCGAAGATCAAGAAGAAGATCAGAGATATCACGCGGCTGCTTAAGAAAGACAACCTCGCGTCAAATGTGCGCATCGAGAACGAGAGAGCCTTGGACGCTCTGAAAGCGGAGCTCGCTTCCGTGCAAACCAACCTCAAGGCCAAGAAACTCGCGCAGAAGTACCACAAGGTGCGGTTCTTTGAGCGCAAGAAGGCCGTCCGCAAGTACAAGCAGGCCATCAAGGAGCTAAAAGAGCTGGAGGCCCAGTCATTGAAGAAAGAGATCAAGAAGCAGCGCAAGGTGGTTAGGCACTGCGAAGTAGACCTTGCATACGTTTTGAACTTCCCCAAGACAGAAAAGTACATTGCATTGTACCCTGTGACATCAGACGTTTCTGAGCTGTCGGAAAAGGCTCGTAAGGGGCTACAGCAGACAGAAGCAAAGAGAACAGAGTACCGCAAGAAGATTGCGGAGCTGTTGGACACAGGCAAGCTGCAAATCAGTCTGGAGGACGGTATCCGTACCATCAACAAAGAGACCATCTCGCTGGACGGTCCGCAAACGTCGTCGGCTCCAGCAGAGCAGGACGCTAACGAAGAAGACGAGTTTTTCGAATGATCACTATGTACTTTATAAATATCAAACATGCAAAATCTCCGCGTCAAGAATTTTGAGTCTGTAGAGCATCGAAGGGTGTAAGTCGTCTTTGGTGATCAGGTTGAACTGGAGCAGGTCGCCCATGGTAATTGCGTTTTTCTCCAGCGAGTACTGGAGATAGTCAAAGTTGTCGTCGTTGTCGTCGCCGATTTCCTCGACGGCAGCCTCGTCATCCAGATCCACGTCGTCCTCGATAGTCACCTTGTACACCTCGCCGTTGGGACCCGACTCGTAAACGTCCTTGACCTGCGAATGTTGGTGATTAGACACGGATCCTTTGGTGATGACTCCCCATAGAGTCCAGAAGATCGAGTTGGAGGCACGCCAGATGATCGTTTCGTTGTACAGCTTGATCACCTGTGCTGGCAAGTCGCTTTCCTTGAGGTTGACGACGGAGGACGAGCGCTGTTTCAAAAAGTTCGGTGTCATGGCCACGCCGGAACCTCCGTGCTGTGGAACCAGCATTGGTGTCTGCGATCCAGGCACGTAATTCACGTACGTGTTCAAGAAGTTGATCCGTTCCTCTCTGCTTGGATACCGTGGGACCTGGAGTCGGAAGGAGTCGAGCGTGTGATAGTTGGCCATCCACTCGCTAAAATGGTTGGTGATGTCGTAGGCAGGCATATTAGGTCCGGCGTACTCAAAGTCGATCACAACAAGTTTCTTGTCGTCCTTGTAGTTAAGATCCGTGACCAGCGGAACGGTGTCGGCGGTGGAGATCGACAGAGATGAGGCTTTCTTAATCAGCGACTCGTCAAGTGCCATTGAGTCCACGTCCGAGTCGTCCTCCTCTATAGACGGCTGGTCGTACTTGTTGTAGAACAGCAAGTTTCCATACTGGGTGTCGTTGTGACAGAACTTGAGATTCTCATCCACGTGGATCCGTCCGCCGTAGCTCTGGTAAAGCCAGTCTTGGTAGCTTGCAATGATTCTCTTGTAGTTGTCCCACGAAGTCATGAACACCTTAATCTGATCCTCCTCCGAGGAGTCCTTCACCATGTCATCAACCAAACGCACCCATTTGGTGATGAGGGCCCAGACCTTGGGGCCTTGTAATTTCTCGTTAGATTCCAACGGAACACCGTTGTGCAGCTCCTTCATTCTTCTGGCAATCATGCGGCTCACCTTGGGCTCTCTGATCTGTTCCTTGTTGAGAGTGATGGAGTTGTTAAGGAACTCCTCGAACCGGCCGTTGGAGAAACATCCAAGTAGCTTGGGTCCAATGTTTCGCTGCGAGAGTCGTTGCAACGTGAGCAACTCGGACTCCCGGTCGATGATATTGTCGACATTTGCACCGTAAAGTCTCAGAAGCAACGGGTAGTAGTTTTTGTAGGTGACCTTGTACACACAGTTGGTGAGGGCCCCGCTGATCCGCTGCAACTCCAGCTCTTGCAAAGACGACTCTGTGATGGGGATTTTGCGCCATTTGGGTATGCGAAGGCTCTGGATCACGGCCAAAAGGTCCTGTTTAAAATAGTCCAACGGCAGAGAGTTGTCGAGGGTGGCGCGACTCTCGTAAAAGTCTGCCTCGAAGCTCTGCTCGTCCGATAACGGCCATTCCCCAGAAAGTGGCCGAACAATAGAGTGCGACGACGACGAGCGTCTTCCTCTTTGTTTTCTCGAGCTCGACCGCTTGTGGTGCACGGATGACGACGATAGTTTTCTGCTGTATCTCGGTCTCTCCATTTCTAAGCGCTCATGAACACCAATGGGAAGAAAATCGGTAATATACAAAAATAATCAAGCTGGATGGGTTTGCTTTTAAAAACTTTCTTGAAGTAAATCGTCGCGACGATGAGGCCATCTCGCGCACAGCCGCCAGATTTTTTTCTTTGGCAATGCGGTGAATTTTTTCGTATTTTTTGACCTCGTTGGCCAGCGATTTTAAGCATGCTGTTGATAATTTGCCTAATCGGGAAAAAGGTCAATAATTTAGTATCGGCTTAAATTATTAAATCTTGGTTAAAACCGTTCAACGCCTTGTTGTTTAGCACAGTTTTCTTATCGCTCGTTTATTCTTCTGTTATATGGTTCTCAGATCAACATTTTAATGGCGTTATACTCAAACTTGGATTTCCAGCAACATCCGCCGCAATCTGTCCAGTCTGTTGACAGTGACAGGCTTATAGTGACCATCCCGTTTAACTACACCTATTTCGTCAAGCCCGAGCACACGCTTCATGAGAGTCTTGTCCATTCCGATTGGCGACCTGTGGCCTCCGATGCCGTGTCTGCGTTCCCGTTCTTCCAGAACCTGGCATCTAACGCACTGGTGTGCGACAACCTCGAGCCACTAAGACGGGTGGTGAACCACGCAAACGACGCGTACGCTGCTTCTGGGATCATGGTTATCTTGAACGAGTTCAGAGGAGCAGAGATGAAACTGACCACCTCGGTCATTGGAAACTACGCTTCGCAGAGAGAAATGAACAATGTTAGACTGCAAATCTTCCGCAACTACTCGGAGATCACCAGCCGTAAGATCACAATCGACTTCACAAAGAACAACTACTGTTTCACGTCCATTGGCAAAATCAAAGAGGAGCTAACATTATACCTAGACGAGATTTCCATATACAACAAATGCTCCATCTATATTGTTCCGTCTAAAGAAAGTGTCTCCAAGTTTGACATTGTCATCATTGGGAGCCAGGATTGCTGCACGGTGACAGAAAACAAGGTCAGGTTGTTCATCGACAACCTAAACCCGCTTTCGCACTGCGACTTTATCGAGATCGGCGCTCTCTCGCTGCTACCGTTGATTGGTGGCACAGAGTTTTCCAATTTCACCAACATTGTCAAGAAAACACACTGCCACATCTACCTGCCAAACCTCGTTCCTGAGCTGTACTTCAACAACTCGCTAGATACGGAGGTCCAGAAACCAGCCATCTATATCACCGGACTGAAATCCATGGTTCTGTTGGCCCAGGCCATGCTTTCTGAGATCATCGACAAGATCGAAAACACTCCGTTTATCAAACAGATCTCGGTCATGCCTATCAAAAGAGAGAGTCTGATCCTGTTCATGGAGGACCCGGAGCTTTTGAAGAACGTCATGTTTGGCACAGGCTGTTTTATCTCTGTTCCGTCGCTGGGTTACTCAAATTCAAGCGGAACAGGCGATACCGTCAGTTTCCAAGGAAACTCAATCGAGGACATTGAGATCGCCATCGAGAAGTTCACCAACCTGATGACCAGTTTCTATAGTGCAAAGTACGAGTTCAAGACCTCGGGATCGTCAACTGCCGATGTCAGCAAGCTGCTCAGTTTCAACGACTCGTTATCCTTTGGAACAAACTCCATAGTTTCGTTGGCCAAACTCAACGACGACTACGTTTTCCAGTTCATTGGCAGATCTGAAGGGCTGAAACATGCTTCTGGTCCTCTTTCGCAATTCCCGCCGTTTTTGGAAACCAAGCTGCTGAAAAGCTCGATAGTTTACCAGATTGAGCTCTCCAACAAGGAGAAAGATTTCATTTCAGGTAAGAAGAACGGTAAGATCATCAAGATCATGAACATGTCTTCTGTTTCGATCAAACTGCTTCCTTTCACTGATGACAACTTCATCGTTGAAATCAACTGCAACGACCTGATGGACTCTGTTTTAGGGCTCGGCCTTTTCGAGGACGAGCTTCCAACAATGCTCACGTTCAACGTGCCAGAGTCCTTCCACAGACAAATCATTGGTGTTGGTGGCCAGACCGTCCAGACCATCATGCGCAAGTTCAACGTGTTCATCAAGTTCTCGAACTCGTTCGAGTTGAACGATGCGTCCGCTTCAGACCCAAACAATCTTCAGGCATCCAACTTCCAACAGTCTTTCATCCGGAAGAACAACGTTGTGATCAAATGTCCGTCCAAGAACAAGACCCAGGTTCCGCTGGCCAAGCTAGAGCTGGAGAAGCTGATGGCCAAGGTGATGAACAGCAATTATTCGTGTTCTGTTGTCAAGCTAAATCGTTCGCAATGGAGACTCTTAACGTCTACTCCGTTCAATTACAACTTGAACGCAAACCGGACAAAACCCAGCAACTTCATCACCGAACTGGAGAAAACCACAAATACTTACATCAAATACCCCAAGTTAGACCACGAGGAGGCCAATCAGGACACTGTCAGTTTGGAAATCTATGGAATCGACAACAACTCCAAGGTGTGCTGCGCGGAACTGGTCAAGCTGCTTCCGTACGAGTACGAGTTGAAGCTGCTTAAATCTGCCAATTTCAAGGACCTGACCGAGGCCGTGAAAAACGTGCGCAACATGCTCTACCACCACGCCAAACGGGCTCAGCTGGAGTTCATCAACAACATTATTGTTCCGCTGAAACTGTTGTACAACGTTGAAGTCTCTCTCAAGAGCAACAAGACCACTGACTCCGTCATCCTCAACTTCTATCCAGAGGCATTTGGTATCAGCTCTCTATCCAACGAGAGACTGAACGAAGAAGTACAGGCAGAGGTTGGTCAGACCGACAAGTTTGGCCAGATGTTGGAGAACGTCAAGATTTTCCTCAAGAACCAGAAGTTCGAGGTTTTGGGCCAAACTTTCAAGCCGTGCGAGTTTGACATCGTCACTCCGGACCAGCGAAACGAAAAGGAGAATTTGTCCGCCAAGAACGATGCTCTCGAAATCGCTGACAACGGCTCTGTTTCGACACCAGCTACCGTCGTGAACAAAGGTCTGGGTCTTGGGTTCCAACAGCCAATGCAACCACCGTCCAGATTCGGGATCAACAACAAAACCGTCCCTACCGCAGAGGCCCCGGCGCAAGGATCCGGGTCGCGTTTCCAGAAAACGTTTGACAAAATCAGCCCGTTTAATGCTCCCGAGTTTAATTTCACTCCGATGAGCAACACTTATTGACAATCTAACTTTCCATGGACTTTCCTTTTCTATAATGAGCCAGTCGCCAGCTATGTATAACTTTGATTTCCTTACATAAGGCCGAAAATATACCCTGAGTTAATGTTAATCTGATGTCGATTCCTTGCTGGATATGTTTCTGTGGAGGTAGTTCAGAGCATTTGCGAGCGCAGATCCAGTCTGGACCTTGCTGGCGCCGTTGTCGCGCGGTTCGGGAGCCACCAGCTGTTTTGTTCGCGATGCGTTGTCCGACTGGTCTGGCACCTGTGGTTCCTGGGACATTTTCTTGGCCCAGACCGAGGCAATGTTGACTGCCGAATTCTGCGGATGTACGATTGACTTTGGGTCGCTCGGGTTGGTGGTTGGCAGGTGCTGGTGGTTCAGATGGTTATATTCCAGCGAAAATTGGCCGTTGACTGAGTCAAACGAGTAATTTAGCCGCGAGTGGCACGGATACAACAGCATATTGCGCGGCTGGGAAACCTCAGACTTGGAGCTGTTGACTACCTCGTCGGTGTCGCTCTCGGATTCGTTTTCTTCTGCGTCTTCCACCAATAAACTCAAATCTTTGCGTTTGTTACCAACGTCCTGTTGACACAACATCTGGGCGTAGAATTTTCCGCTTTTCCAGTTTGTGGACCGCGTCTTGAACACAAACCCCATCTGGTCAAGAATGTCAAACAATCGGTTCAAATAGTGCAGTTTGAGCCGTTCCTTGACCTCCTCTCTGTAGCTGGCGATTTTCTGCTCCACGGTGGTGACGCTTGCGTATTCGGGCCGATTCAGAATGATCTGGTTCGAGTCGTATCGACGGATGATAAACTCCGGAATCGCTCGCGTGTATTTGACCGAGATCGTGTCGGAGTCCTTATTATGAGAAACACGTTCCAAAAAAGAGGTGAACGAGACTTTTTCGTCCAGCGACTTGGCGGGTTCCGGCTCTCTTTCCGCAAACGTGTTGTGTTCCATATTGGCCTCTCGTTGCAACTGATCCATTGACTTGAGCTTGTGCAACATCTTGAGTTTCTGGTTCTTTTTGTACAGTTTGTTCTTGCGTCGACACGAGTCGCACGTCTTGTACTTAGACAACGTAGACGGATCCTCATCCGTGATGTACACTCTTCGTTTCGCCTTGCACTTCGCACAGTCCAGGTGTGTGGTGTTAAACGTTGCAAGAGACATTTCTACGCATTTAACAAGAAAGAGTATGGGAATAAAATTGTTTATTTATTCAAGATTTAGTTCCTCTCGATGAACACGCTATATCTGCCCAATCCGTGTTTGCTGGGGATTCTGCTCACGATCTCTACGCACGATGGTAACCATTTGGTTTTCCATTATCCGCCGCAGCCAAATGAGTACGGCTACCGACCTACTCCGTTGGGGAACCAAATCCTCAACACGGAGGACGACGACTATTCCAGCTCTTCGAATGAGGAAATGGACGACGAGCTGCTAGATATGGACCTTTACCAGCTCCAAAACGAGGATGATGACGACTACAGCGTTTCTGCCGAGGGAAGCAGCCGGGGAAGTCTCAGTGCAGAAAGTACGGGCAGTGGCATGAACGTGCCGTCCAGTTCCACCACCAACCATCTGGGCAAGGGTTTACTGGGGATCCTGGACGAGCAGGACCGCAAACGGCGAAACAAGGAGAGCAAACGACGCAATCTCATGAATAACATAATTATGGGGGAACAGGTTCCCCAGGCAGATAATTCTTCCAGCAGTAAGAGCGCAAACACATCTGTTCAAAACGACATGAGCACCACCACGGCGACGGAGCAGGACACGGCCCCGCCACAACTGGATAAATTGTTTGGTTTTGACGTCGACTTTGTGAGCGAACTGGTGACTCCGCCAAAACAGCTGTGCAACTCGAGGTTCGAGCTTTCGGTGGACGACATGGCGTTTCTCGGGCTCCCGATCCACGTGAACGAGGACGGAAGTTGGAGAACTTCCTCGAACAAACGCGCTCGCAAAAAGAAAACCAGCCGCAAGAAGAAAGTATCATCTGATTCGGACATGTCTGACGATTACGACGCAGACAACAACGACACCTCTCAAACAGAAAAGGACGGCTCCATGTACATGTTCCATCTGGTGTTTGTTCTGAACCCGCCTGTTGTTGAGTACAATTTCCGGATCGATGAGATGTTCCACTACATAGCCAGTCGGATGGCTCTGTTGCTGAGATACGAGCAGCAGAAATCGAGTTTTGTTTGGAACGAGTCCAAACTCATTCTGGAGCTGAAAGATGAGCTGGCTCATCTTCCACTAAAGGAACAGTGGAACAAGATCATCAGTAGGTCGTCGTTGGCGAAGATGATGGCCCAGACATACAACGCCGTCTCCAACTCCGAGATCCTCAACATCGAGATCAACAACAAGATGCGCTCTTTCCAGATCCCAATTCGAACAGAGTACAGTTATCTTCCTCCACAGCATATCCAGCTGCTTCCCGGGTCGTCTCTTTCATCTGTGTCACCGTTCGACTCCATGGGTCTCAACCTAAACGGCAAGTCCCATTTTGACAACGATTCCATGATATATTACGCCCTGATAATTTTGGATGACCCGGAGTCTATCATCAAGGACATTCAAGCCGAAAAGCACTCCGTCATCGCCAACTTCATCCGCATGATCAAGCCAAGCGAGAGTCTTTCGCGACTGGCTACTTTAAGTGGGCTAGATATCTCTGAAGTCCGGCTTTTCGCAAACCATCTGGTTTATTGGCGAAGAGCCAAGGCATTTCTTCCTCTAAGTCCCAGAAACGTGTATATTGTCTCTCCATTGGCGCCTTTGTACAACGTTTACAAGGACTCCACGCTGTTCAAACAACAGTTTCCAAATCTGCCACCACTTTCAAACTTCCTGTCGTTGATCTCTTCCTCGTCCAACAAACCGCGCCCAATCAACACCATCATCCCCAGCAGAGACCACAGAGACTTGTATCTTGATGCTGTTGCCTGGCTGTTGAAATACGGATACCTTACACAACTGCACACGTTTCTGTATCTCAAGATATCCAAGGAGATCAAAATCAAGGTTGACGAAGAGCTGGAAATGGAGCGCAAGAACCGCAAGTCCAAGGCCGGCGACAACTCGTCGTCTGACGAAGAGGATAACAAGGTCGCTGCCACGGACAACACCACCAAGGCCCAACAGGCGACACCTGCCCAGTTCTCAGTTTCCACATCCAACGGTTCAGAATCCAACATCGACATGACCTCCGTTGCTCCTGGAACTGTATATTTCGAGGAAGAGGAGGAGGAGGACACTATTTTGCTGGACCCGGAAAGCGCGACTGCTTTGGAACGGAGATGGATAGCCAAATGCGTGGAAGGCCAGCCATTGGAGGTGGTGAATCTATTCTACAAGCTGCTCAAATACATGAACGGAAAAAACTCGCTGGAGCTGTTGATGATGAAGGAGAACGTGAGCAGACAGGACGTTCGCAAACTGCTTGTTTCGATGAGCCATCACGTCACTACGGTTCGTCATTGGTAAATGTATAGAAGCGGTTGAATTTCTTCTCCGAAATCGACGCGACGATAGACTCGGGTAGTTGGGAAGGAAAACCTTGGATACCGAATGAAATTTAATTACTGTGTTGTTTTGTTGAAAGTTGACCAAATTCTTCAACAAGATTTGCAATAATGTCCAGATCCGGTCAGTAAGGAGTGTAATTATTCAGAGAGAGATAATCAATAAGCGCAAACTAGACCAATTAAATTGGGTTGAATTGCAAGAGAGTTATAAATTTTGACAGATAAGATGGATCAACCTGACCTTCCGGATCAGCAGGAAGGAATGCCTTCGACAGCGGATCTTCGCATGGATCAACAACAACGGTATTTTCGATATATGGACGAGCGCAATGAGTACCGGAACCGGAAAGTGAGTGCATCGCATGGCCAGTACATCAAAGTTATGTTTTTATTTGCAGTGTTGCAAATAATCGGAATAGCGTTCTTCACCAAGGGGTTTCTGCTTTCTCGACAGGTTCTTCCGAACCAGTCAACGTGTTTGGATCAACAGAATTCCCAAACTTGCCACCAGTTTTCTCCGTTTAAGAAAACAGTCATATTATTAATTGATGCGTTACGATTCGATTTCGTGATCCCCGTCGAGGACCAAGCGGCAGATCCGTACTATCACAACAATTTCCCCATTTTGTATGAGCAGTTTGCAAACCACCCGCAAAATTCTCTATTACTCAAGTTCATTGCCGATCCTCCAACAACAACATTACAGCGACTTAAAGGATTAACCACCGGCTCTTTGCCGACGTTTGTTGACGCAGGATCCAACTTCGATGGAGACACCATCGACGAGGACAACTGGGTGTCTCAATTGCACAGTTTTGGCAAAAACGTGGCGTTTGTCGGCGACGATACTTGGACCGCGCTGTTTTCTCCGTTCCTGCACCCGAACATGACGTTTCCGTTCCCTTCGTTGAACGTCTGGGACCTTCATAGTGTTGACAACGGTGTGATTGAGCATCTTTACCCGATGATCAAAGACCAAGGCACCGAATGGGACGTGCTGATTGGCCATTTCCTCGGAGTTGACCATTGTGGACACCGTTATGGCCCAAGACACTATGCCATGAAACAGAAACTGGACCAGATGAATTCCATCATTGGCGATGTGATCGACAGCATCGACGAAGATACACTGCTGGTTGTTTTCGGCGACCACGGTATGGATTTCACCGGAAACCACGGAGGAGAGTCCAAGGACGAATTGGAAGCGGCTTTATTCATGTACTCCAAACGCGATTATTTTGGCAGACTTTCCAACGACCATTACAACATATCCAATTTGGGCAATGACTTCAGGGCAGTGAACCAGATCGATCTGGTTCCCACCTTTTCCATGATGATGGGACTTCCTGTTCCATTCAACAACCTGGGATCGCCAATCGAAGAAGCATTTATTGGACCCAACAGCAAAAACCAGCTTGAATTGGCCAAATCGAATTTCCTCACATGTCAGCAAATCCATAATTATAGACAGGCTTCGGACCAGCTTTCGTCTGACGAGGAAATCAACGCCATGTTCAACGAACTTTCATCTGACTGGGACATTTTGCAGAAAAAAAGCCCCGACCAGTTAACTCTAATCGCTTTCAACGCGAAATGCTACGAATACCAAGCATTATCTTTGGACAAATGTAAGTCTCTTTGGGCGACATTTGACAATGTCTGTATCATTATTGGGATTGGAATTGTTGCAATCTCTCTTGGACTATTAATCATCTACACGAAATTGGTTCCGCTCGTGGTGATCACACAATTGAATTCCCAGTTCATCACCTCGTCTGCTGCTATGACCATGGTCCATACACTGTTGACGGTGTCGTTCACCTTAATATTTAAACCAGAGAACCTCAGTATGCTGTGGTCTGTTCTTCTTGGGGTTTCTCTCGGTATCATCAACGGCATACTTGCTCCTATTATAGACAGATACTCGATTCCGTGGCTGTTTTCACAAGTGAAGGAGAACCTGATCCAGAACGGGTGGACGTATTTCGCTTTGGCATTGATTCTCATGCACTCATTGATCTTCACCTCGAACTCGTTTGTTATTTGGGAAGACAAGATCGTGGCGTTCTGGCTCATCACGTTTGGTTTCTGTGCCGTCTTCAAATCGTTCAAGCTCAAAGATTCGCGGAAACGGCTGCTGGGTGTCTACCATTCGGTTGTTTTCGTTCTTCTAACGCGACTCACTTCCACAATCAGACTGTGTCGTGAAGAACAAGGTTCCAAATGCGTGAGCAACTTCGAGACCACCTGGTGGTCTGTTGGTCTGATTTACGTTTTTGCTTTCCTGCTCCCCAAAATGATCGAGAAGTTCTTCGATATAAGCCAGTCTTACCAAGGAGCTGCCCAGTTGTGGGTCTCTAAGGGACTCAGAGGACTGATGCTTTTGATAGCATTGATGTGGACTCTGGAATACATCGAGAACAGTGATTACTTCAACTCCAAGATCCAGGTTCCGCTTGAAACGTTCAAGGTCACACGGTTGACCATCGCGCGGATCGTGATGGGCATTTCGCTGATAGCAAGCAACTTCGGGTGGTCGTTGGGCCCACTCTGTATCAAGATCGACTTGGGGTCGAACCAGTCTGGCCGCCAGGTGCTGCGGACCGCCAACATCATCGGCTACGGCAACGTGTACGGGTCCGCGTATTTCCTGTTTGTGATCAACATTTTGTGCGCTGTGCTGCTTGTGAACAAGCCGTTGGGCATTGTTTCACTGGCACTGTTGATCAACCAGATCCTCACGCTGCTGGAGCTGATCGACATCCTCAAGATCCGCACAAATCTCGTTTCCGTGGTCACCATGGGACTGTTGGCGTATCTGCACTTCTTCAGCACGGGCCACCAGGCGACGTTACAGGCGATCCACTGGGACACTGGGTTCATTATCACAGAAACCATCGTGTTCCCGCTGACTCATATCTCCATCATTCTCGACACTCTCGGGCCGTTCATCATTGTTTGTCTGTGCATCTCGCTGATGTGTCTGTGGAAGATTCCTCCCACCAGCAAGGCTATCTCGCTGATCTCCAAGATCGTCGAGAACTCGTCCACTTTGATCATCTACCAGCTATGTCTGACACTATCGACGCTCATCATGACCAACCATTTCAGAAGACACTTGATGGTCTGGAAGATCTTTGCGCCCCGATTCATGCTAAATGGGATCATATTGATTGCCATGAACGTCATCCTCACGCTGGTGACCGTCGGCTTCGCTACAGGCCGCGTGATTAAGCGCTGGAACCAGGTCTTTGGAAACTGAGCTCCCGTCTATATTAGGATTCTAGAAATACACTACATTTACTCCAAGTGTTCGTCCAGGTTGCCCAGGAACACCTGGTCGTCGAGCGCGCCAAACCCGCCGTCGTCCGCCATGATCAGGTCGTCCGCGCCGCCGTATAGCAGGTTGTTGTCGAACTCGAAGTTGCCGTTCTGCCCCGCGGTGCCGAACGGATCGTCAAAGTTGCTGTCTGCCAACATCCCAGGCTGCGACGAGCCGGGCACCGCAATGGGCATGGTTGCGGCCTCCGACGCCCGCTTGTTGTTCTCCTCTTGCGCCTTGCGCAGTTCCTCCTCCTGCTGCTTGCGGGCCTCTTCCTCCTGTAGCCGTCTCTTTTCTGCGAGCTCCTGCTCCTCGCGCAGCTTTCTGTCTGCCTGTTCCTGTCTCAGTCGCGCAAGCCGGTCCTTGGCCTGTCTGTGTTCTTCGAACGAGCTTGCTTTCCGCTCAATCTGCCCGAATCCCTGCTGGTACTGCTTGTACTTGTGCTCCGGCTGCACCTTCACCTGGAACTTGACCTCGAGGTCCTTTTCGATCGAGTCCAAACTGGCCTGGAACTCGTCGATCTTGCGCACGTCGTAGTTCTGGTACCCGTCGCACAGCTGCTTGATTTTTTCTGTCTCGAACTCAAACTTCTCGTCCAGCGTTTGGCTCGAGTTATCGGACTCCAGTGTGGTTATTTGCTTTTCGATAAACGACTCCTTCAATTTCAGCACCTTGAGGTCGCCGCAGTGCGAGTCCTCGGCATTGGGGTTCTCGAGGCTCTGTGCGATCTCCTCCTCGGTAGGGGCCGGCTCAGACTCGATTGCACGGCCCCCTATCACGCACCCGGGGAACGACGCCGGAGGCACGATTTTGTCCAAGGGGAGGTATTTGCTGACCACGTTCTCCAACAGGTCGTTATTGAGCTTGAACTTGAACCCGGCCGACTGTCTGAACGAGAAAACGTCGACCTCGTCGTTCAACAGCTGCGCTTCGACCGAGTTGGGCGGCGGAATGGGCAGGTTGAAGACGGGATGCGAAAACAGGTTCGTGGGAGGAGGCGGTTCGCGCACCACGGGCGGAGGCGCCTCGCGCGCATGCGACTGGCGCGATGGCGGCAACAGGCCCTGTTTCTCGTAAAACGCGTTCGGAGGTCTTCCTCTTTTTCTGTGAGGAGGCATATGTGGTGGTTATTTATTTTACTTTATTTTATTTTATTTTATTTTATTTCGAGATATGTATGTGTTATTGAAAAAGTTATGTATAGGTTGACTAAAAGTTATTTTTTTGCGGCCTACTCCTCGTAGATATCGTTGAAGTTGGTCGAATGCGTCAGCTCGTAGTTCGTCAGCTTCATCTTCTGTCTTCTGTTGATGAAGCTCAACGACCGCGGCGGCCGCAGCGTCGAGCCTCCGCGCTCGCGTTCCCGGTCGGTGTCCTCTATTAAGTTGTCGTTCCCCAGATACAGGATCTTGATAATATTGCCGAATGGGACAACAATAGACTTGTGGCCGAACTTCTGCACCGGCCCGAGCTTCTTGATCAAAAGCCCCGACTCTTCCCCGTCGGGAATGTCGTAGTACTTCACCTGGCCCGACGCGGTCATCGTCCAGCCCTCCCAGATGTCGCTCAGCTTCTTTTCGGTTCGCACCGTCTTCTTGCGCCGGCTCTTGAGGTCGCGCGAGCGCCGAATCAGCTCGACCGAGTTCGTGTACACCGTCTCGTCGCTCTGCTCGTCCTCCTGCGTCTCCTTCTGCCGCACACCCACAATCAGGTTCAAGTCTGTGGTGCACCATCCTTCCACCTTGCTCAGCCAGTGCTGGTGCTCCGTCACAGACGCAAACCCCAGGCACCGCGTCTCGCGCGGGTCTCTCTCCACACGCATGCAGATGCTGTTCTTGGCCTTGTTGTCGATCGAAAACGTGTGCATGATCAGCGTGTCTGTCTCGAGCTCCGTGTACGCGATCGAGAACGAGCTCACCGACGCACAGCCACAGAACCGACAGTGCGACGGCTCCGGATGGAACACGCGGAACGTGTTGGGCTTGAACTGCCCGATGCTCATGCTCTTAAGCAAAGTTCCGGACGTGACGTCGATCAGCTCCGCAGTCAAGTCGTGAGCTCTCACAAACATACCAACAAACGGAACAGGCTCGATCACCGCGCCAGTGAAGTCCTTCAGAGCAGGCTCCGGCTCCGCTTGGAACTTGATCGACGACTGCACGTTCACGGGCAGGTTTGCACGTAGTCGCTGAAACGACTCAATCGACTTCTGGTTCATCGAAGACGTCCTGCTGATCACAGCAGGCGTCACCAGCCGCTCTCCCGAATTGTAGCTGTCCGTCTGCACCTTGACGTTCCTCACCTTCCATTTGTTATTAATCACGGTAGCAACCACCAAAGAGCCGGTCGAAAGAACCCCAACAATCCGGTCGTTGACTCTTGGAGTGACCATCTTCTTGCAGCACACCAGCGTAGAGTCCGTCAGCTTCACTTTACTCAAAGACCCGTCCTCGCAGTCGATCGTCAACATGTCGCCGCTCTTGAGCACCATCAAAAACTCCTTGCCTTTCATCTGCTCCTTAGGGTTCGGAACTTTGCCTCTGTCATACGAAGAGTCCACGGAGGCAGACCGGGTATGAATGAACGCAGGGTTGAAGCTCGGTCTTCTCGCGGTTGGTCTCTGTGGAGGAGGTGTTGGACTGTCACTAGAGGAGCCGTCGTTGTCCACTTGCACTTCTTTCGAAAGCTTGGACTTTCCCGAAACCAGCGCTCTGGACCTCTTGACAGTGGTTTTTGTGCGGATCCTGAAAAACGCTTCCAGAGGAGTGGCGTTGGCGAGCTCGTCGATCTGGTACGTCCAGATCCACGACATTGTGAATCTGGACCAGCACTTGACGACTCCGCACTTGCTGAACACCGTGATGAGAGCACCCGAAGGAGACATCACCACATGGGTCACTGGCAAGAACCGGCCGCTGACTGGAAGCTGTGTAGGCGCAGGAAGCGGGTTGCTCATTGGAGACCACACCAGCACCTTGTGGTCCATTCCCACAGACACGATGAACGGGCAGGCAGACGTGGCAACGCGAACAACGTCCAAGAAATGGCCGTGGTTCAACTCTTTTGAGTTGAACGACTTGTGTTGTTGGTCCGAAGACAGCTCGGTGACATCGTCGATCCCCGCCGACATGTTGATTCCGTCTTTGTCCAAAGAATATTTGAGCACCAGAGGAGCGCTGGATGCCACAAACAGCAAACAGCTCAAAAACTCCAGGAAATAAAACATATCGAAATTGAACGTGGTGCCGTTATCCAGGCCGATAATCGGTTCCTGGCCGCTGGACCCAGCGAGGTTTCGGCTCATAATGACTGTTGGGTTGATGATCGAGACAACCATTGGGTTCTTGGTCACTTTGAAGAGAGAAAAGTATTTCTTTGAGAGCTCTGCTGCCAAAACGCGTTTACTGGGGAAGAAATCAAATGACAAGTTCCACAGCGTGTCAATTGAAGCGTGCGTTTTCGAGTGCAGTGATAGTATATTGGAAGAAACATTCAAAGTCACACCGCTTGTCCATTTCAAGCTCAAAACCAGAAGAATGAATGCTGCAATGACGCTGGTTTGAGCAGACTTGAACAGAGGCAGCTTGATCTTGAGCAAATACTGTCCCAGTATGGCTAAAATCGTGTGAGATCCTGAAGAGTTGTACTTGCTTGTTAGCAGCAGACTTGACAAGATCGAACCGCTGCCAAGAGGCTTGAGGTTATTTTCAGAGTCCTCTGATTGTTCGGACTTGTTTGATCGTTGCAGCAAGTCCTGAAGCTCGGATCTCCTTATATCGATGCCCAGAACAGTGGTGAAATACGTGATATGCAGAAGGTGGTCGAATGTGAGGGTAAGAGCAACAAACACACAGTGTTGTCTGGCCCATGGGCTGATGAAAGGAGATGCGAACACCATCAGGAGAATGTCTGCTATAACGTTGGTTGTGGACACTGGATGGCTAGACAAAACAGCCTTGGCCATACGAGTCCCAACAGACAGCTCGTCCGACGTCTTGGATATGGCAACAACCAAACGGAACATATTCTCGATGCTAACAAAAAGTATCAGTGATAAGGTAATTGGAACGGGATATTGAGACAAGTCCAAAGAGCGATAAAAGTATGATGTGATTGTGGCGCTCGAGAATATGGAGAGAGTGATCTCTACCACGTAGGCCAGCAGAAGTCCTGCTCTTGATTTGACTGAGTGTATATTAGTGAGAGAAACAAGCACATAAGCAACCACTATTAATGGAGCCAGGGTGATGAGCGTTGTTTCGAACAAGTTGCATGTTTTGTACGAGAGTTGATAGTTCTCGTGGGCGGGCGTTTGTGTGTCATAGGCTATGATCTGGTCCCAATCGTTGAGCTTATGGACGTTGGACTGCCAAACCTCTTCTACCAAATTAGCCACGTTGGCCGGATAAATGACACAGAGTTGCAACGCTTTTGCGCTCTTAATGAGTCCGTCGACCTTCACAATCCCCGAGAATAGTTTGTACTGAGAAAACGGGATTCCCAGGACGGAATTGTGAGAGCCTTTATAATGGACTGTTCTGAGCGGGTTTTGGTCGTTAATTAGCAATTGTTTGTCGTTATTCCAATATTCCAACGGAGAATGGATCGAGACGGTATCCTTTCCGATTCTCTCATCATTCTGTAGAACGTTCGTAAACAGTGTTTGTTGTAGGTTGAATACTTCCAGCAGAAACTTCTTATCCAAAGCCCCAGAAGACTCTTTGGGCCCAATCCCCACGTCAAAAAGCCCCAATTCGCTGGAGTTTCGCGAATCCAGTCCAGATTCCAAATTAGGTTGGATCCAAATGCTCTTGAGGAAGAAGTCGGGACTCGAATACAAGTCTGAGCTTGGCTGGATGTCCACAGACTTAATATAATTAAGATCGCTCAAACTCCCGGTAAACACCCCCGACGTTGACGCGTAAAGAGAATACAGCGCAGGATAGCTCAACACAAACAGAAAAGTAGTGGGCCAAAGAATGTATGCTGTTGGGTGTAGTAATAAATGGTGTAAAATGGCGTGATGTCTTTTTTGCAGCAACTTCACCCACGCAGTGAACTTGACCAATATAAGACGCTCCCACGTCTGGAGCAGGTATGTGGTCGATTCCATATCTACCCAAGTTGTGATTTCTGTATTGGTAATTTGACTCTGACCATTAATTTAGTCGGTTCGGGGATTCGTTCTTCGAATGTAGTAGGATCTTTCGATAATATTTGAAGATCCTGAAATTTTAGCACCTATTGTTCAACATCTTTGCACTGGCTTTTTTTTGAATGTTCTCGTTAACTCGTTAATGCTAGATAGTACACAGTTACTTCTACTCTGGGCGCTTACCGCAGTCGCCTGCTTTGCATATCTTGATCTCCCGCACCCACTCGCTGTTCAGGATCTGCGCGCACGTGATCCGTCGTTGGGGAACAGGGTCCAAAATCGAGTAAATCACGTTCCGACACCGTGCACGCTTCAGACCCTCGATCGGCTCGTAGCCCTTGGCGTCCTTACGTTTTTGCAGATACGTGGTGAAAAACTCGTCCTCGATGTTGGCAAGCTTCCACAGTTGACGACCAGTCCGCATAGCCATGTAGATCACTCCACATGCCCAGACATCAATTGGCCGTGGATCAAACTCTTTCTGCGTGTACTCTTCCGGAGCAATGTATGGAGACGACCCACAAATACCCCGACTGTACTGAATCTCGTCTTCCCATGCCATTTTGAAACACTCGGCGTTACCGAAATCAGTGATTTTCAACGTGCCTCTTGCTGTCAGGAGCAAATTCTCCGGCTTGAGATCTCTATGTGCAACTCCCATCTTGTGCATGTAGTTCAATCCCCTGGTCAGCTGCTTGAAGAAACAGTCTGCCTCCGCGTACTCCAGCTTACCGGCAGTAACAATCAAAGAGTACAAGTCTCCTCCAGAACAGTACTCCATCACCTCGCAATAATCGCTTTTTGCGTCCTTCAGCAAATCCACGGTGGAAATGATGTTTAGATGCTTCAATGACGACGAAATGCAAAACTCGCTGGTGAGTCTCTTGGAGTACCGCGAGTCGCTCTCGTTTGGCCGTCTTCTAAACTCCTTCACAGCGAAAAGTATCTCGTTTGCTCCGTCTGGTCCGGGCCCAGCCAGTTTTTTATGTGCAACCCGCACAACTCCAAATGCTCCTCTGCCAATAACCTCCTGGCACTCTCCGTATTTCTCCACAAACAAGCGATTATCTGCCTCTTCTGGCTTCATATTAACACTGATGGCGGTTGTAGGCTGCTGGATGGAGTTTTGGGGTCCTGAAAACTGCGTAATATCGCCTCTTTTCACCTGGTTCAGCAACCCAGACAACAGAGTTGGAGGTAAATCTTTGTTGGAGGCTGCATCCATTCTGGCTTTGGCCTCGTTGTCAAGAGCAGCAAGATTGGTCGAGGAAAGAATGTTTGGGATGGCTGAAACTGCTGAATTTCTCAACTTTTTGGCTCCAAGCCAATCCTTCACCATCTGGCCCAACTTTTCCTGTCTTTTAGTGTTACGGAACTGATGCTCGTGTGTTCCGTCCTCTCTCATAACAAATCTTGCGACTGGCGCAGCCTTGGAAATCACAGATCCCGATCTGGATAAATTTGGAATGTCAGAGGAGTTCAAATTGATAGGAGCAACGTGGCCGGTCACATTTGAGGAGCTTTGTCCCGGGCTCTTCACTTTTCTGTTACCTGCAGTAGTCACAGAAGCGTTAGCCAAAGACGAATTGGAGCTCGAATGCAACCTAAGATCTTTGCTGGTCAAGTCTGAAGAAGGGGGTTTGCCTTGCAAAGTAGGAGACGAGGGTATGGAGCTCAACGAGGCATTTGAACTCGAAGACGCAGAATTGGACTCTGTTCTTGAGCTCTGCTTCGTGGACGAGATCCCCAGCATTTTCCCCAGCTTGGTCATGGCTGAATTAGGGTGTCTTTCAGCTGTTTCTGAGGCGGCCATTTACCTCTTCTTGATGCCCGATTTTCGATTGGTGGAAAATCACCAAAACACGTAACTCAAACGAGAATATGCGATACCCTAGTACCGTTGTCAATGATTGGAAGGCGGTGTTTGAAAGGTTGTTTTTGTATGAACTTTAAATTTAATCTTGAAGCAAAAAAATTCCTAACTGCCAGATGAGGGAGATTTTTTTGGAAAATCACTCAAATTTTTCAAAACCCCCATCCAGGGCCTGCTCGGTGCGAGGTGTGGCGGACAGGTCAACTAAGATCGAGGTTGCAGATGTTGGCCAGTTTCTCGATATGGAGCTTGAGCAGGCACTGCTCGCGCGCGAGCTGGCGGACGGTCTTTAGATAAGTGGCGAAATCCAGTTTTCCAGCTTCGTGGATCTTATCCAGGTTGTAAAGCAGGTCTTCTAGAGCTTTGGATCTCGTGACTAGTTTATAAAGCTGGTTGAAAACAGGGGTCTCAGCCACCAAATGTGTATCGATTTTCGTAATCACTGTGTCATGGTCGTGTTCAAGCTTCGAGTTGAGTGCGGTCAGCTCTCCGATTTTGGTTTCCAGAATCCGATCCTGCTTGGCAATGGTTTCTGATAAGTATGACAGGTAGTTCTGGTCGTTCAACGTTCTTTCTGTAAGACCGATTAGCTGGTTCTGAAGACCTATAAGTCCTTCCAATGTGTCTGTGTCAAAAGTCTGTATCATTTTGGTCTTTTCGCCCTCCAAGATGATCTTCAGGTTGTTGATCACTTGGTTTCTGTTTGGATTTGGAGGCAGAAGTGGAGGCTTGGACTTGGTGGTCTCCGTAGGGTTCTCTGAGGGCAAAGTCATCAAACTAATCTTGTGCTGTGTAAGTTTTGGTGAGTCCTGAACAGGTGGCGCACTTGGCTTAGGCGGAAGTTTGGGCAGCGCTGGACTATTTGATCTTGAAACAGGAGGATGGGACTTGATGCAACTTAGAAATATCTCAACCAGTCGTAGCAGTCTATTATTTTGTGGGGCCATGTTATCGTTGGAGGTGTCCTGGCTGAACAGTTGAAGCCAATCACTTAAAAACGGATGGTAAAATCGGCCGTTTGTGTCCATGTAGTTATTTGGCATCAATTGGGTCTCGGGACCAGGCAGAACGTAGATCAAAGGAGGCATTCTTGGGTACTCCAAAGGAACCCAAATGTCAAATTCGACTTTTTCGTCGCTGAGCCCTGAGATCTTGACCATGAGTTCAGGTTTTCCTGAATCAATAACATGTACGTCTGTCTTGACCCTGAACGATGGATAGCACATAAGAACCAAAGAAACATCCTGATAGGTCAGTACAGGATGCGAGTACTGAGGTTGGATCACTCTATATAGCCATTGTAATAATTGGGGAGGAAGTTTAGACATTTGTTGAAATGAAGTAATTGGCCATCTGAAGTGTCTATAAAAAATTGCTGCTCAAAAATTGTATGCTGTAAGGTATTTTCGAGCACCAACCAAAACAACCAATAATTAGTCAATCTAATTGTTCAAGAACTGCGAACGTACTCCTTTTCTGTGATTGAACGCTTTTGGATAATCGGACCTGTTGGAAACGCCACAAATTAGCATAAAATGAGCGGGTAAGTGATATGAGGTGTTCTGGATGAAACTAGAGAACTAACGATTTAGCTGGACTGTCATATGGACACTTATTGCAACCTCTGTTTTGGGGACTGTGTTTTGGAGATTTGCACCTAAAGAAAACCAAACGTAAGTATACAATCAGCATAGGGGTTCCAAAAGACTAACATCTATCTTTAGTGTTTGGAGAAGTACAGTGTCATTAACGTTGGCAATGATGTTCCTCATGTGGGCAATCACATATTTATGCCAATTACATCCGCTCGTGGAGCCCAGAAGATCGGACTTGAGACCCGAGTATGCAGAATAAATATACAGTGTGAAAAAAGAACGAATTTGCAAATACGAGATTACATGGTAGAATGTAGAACCGGCAATTCAGAGCCACCATAGGATGACCCCGGGTATTTGACGTTTCACGATCCTGTCATCAAAATCCAACAAAGTATCAAATCGCGGACCCAATAACAGGCTTGATCTTCTCCATAATTAGAACCCATTATTCCATAGAGCAAGGGGAATGTGAGGCAGAAACAGGAGTGTTTATTCTCTTTCCCTATCAATCAACCAACTAGTTGAGTTACAGGCAAAGAAGAGTTCTTGATAAAAAGGTTTGAAAATTTTGCTTATTGAGCTCTCATTTTTCATATCCCAGATCTATGATTATGTCAGCCTCGTAATTGTATCAAAACAAAGTGTACAATATCTTGTTTGATTTAATTATGGACATATGACCTTAATGGAGTTAATCACCTATCCCATTTGGCTCGGCTCTTCTGTGGCTCAGTTTATGTTCATGAAACCGGTTGCTACCGTTGTGAAAATTGCCTTTTATGGACTTGTGCGATTACCCACAAGCATAGTTGCCTGGGTCTTGGGAGTCGACCTGGACGAGCTGTTCACCTTGGATTTGAAATACGTGTTTGACATTGTGCGTGTCTTTTATCAGTTTGTCAGCGTTGCTTTGTTGTTTGGATTGTTCATCGGAGCAATCAATGGGTTGGTGTTGTGTCTTGTTCGATACCTTTTGACATTCAAAGAGCCCGCAATCAAGATCTTTGAGTCATCTTCAAAACCAATCAGAACAGAGCAGGATACATATGTGCCTCCAATCAAGCGCGAATCCGGCACAAGCACGCCAATTCCCGAACGTATCGACCCAGTGTCAAGAGCAACGTCTTTTTCCCAAATCTATGATGAATCCCAACACCAGCTACGCGAGCGCCATACACCAACTTACTACGAAGATGACGATGGTTACAACACGATCAGGTCTGACTTTTCGCCCAAGACTCCCCAGCAGTCCAGGGTCTCTTCGCGATATTCTTCTGTCCGCAGTGATTCTCTATTCAACACGCCCTCGCACCAGTCAGAATCTTCCGAAGCAGACACAACCATCGAAGCTGATCGTTCTAGGTTAAACATAATCAAAGAAGAAGATGTATCATAATGACGTGTCACATTTTCTCACCACTCGACTATAAAACTTTGAATTTGCAACCATTTCTGTCCCCAATGAACAACACCCCGTTTACCGTGCCACCACGATGCCGTCTTCTTGATAACTTTATCCAGTTTGCCCAAGAGCAGCGACCTAAGGTTTCTGGGCCAGGAAGCATAAAAGACATAGAAAGAGCAGTTGGCTACCAGTTTTTCAGGTTTTTATCTGAACTTAGTCTTACTGCATTCGATGGCCAACAATTACAACCACAGACAGCCCAGCTGACCTTAAAATTACAGCTTCAATTTACAGGGCCTGATATCTTCACAACCTCAATGACTTCAGCAGCTATCAGCTACAGATATAGGGTGAATGTATACTTGTGTTTTGCTGCGTTTGACGATTCAGTTGATCTGTCACAATTCAACAAGCTGGTCTTTGAATGTCTGATCTCAAAGGTGGACTTGAGCCGACTCAGAAGGTTGATCTATCTTCGTCAAAATGTCATTCTGCGATACGTTTCGATCGGAGTCAAGGTGAAGCGTAGAAAAACTCACCAGCTCCCACAGATAAAATAAACCTGCGACAAAAATAAATGTTGTGATGTGACTATGATTTTCGTAAGACTTGAACACAAACGCTCCAAAGTGAGCCGGTCGAGAAGTAATAAAGGTACATGAAAGAATACCAATCACCCTTAATAGTTCGAGGTTTTTTCAGTCGTCTGGATGAACACCATGTAAACTTCACCTTACTATTTAATTTAATTCAGTTGATATTTAAATATGTACTCTGGAAATCCAATCACAACTGATATTGTGTAGCTGAATTTTCATCATCTCACCGGCAATACTCACACCCGCTCGCCATAATCAGCGTCTTGTGGCTCTCTAACTTCCTGGTTATCTTGTGCTACCCATCCACGTTTTGCGCCACACCACCAGCCACCGGTGGCAGGTGCATAAAAATTTTTCAGAAAATTTAGAGATGAAAATTAAGTCTGTAGTTAAGCTCCTCCATCGCAAACATGTCAGAGGAAGAGTTTATGATCAAGCCAGAAAATAGCACTCCAGCTAATGACACTTCTGAGTGGCCATTATTGCTCAAGAACTACGACAAGCTGCTTGTGAGAAGTGGTCATTATACCCCAATTCCAGCAGGGTCCTCACCGCTCAAGAGAGACCTCAAGAACTACATTTCTTCGGGTGTGATCAACTTGGACAAGCCATCGAATCCTTCCTCGCACGAGGTTGTTGCCTGGGTGAAGAGAATCTTGAGAACCGAGAAGACAGGACATTCGGGAACCCTTGATCCAAAGGTCACTGGCTGTTTGATTGTCTGTATTGATAGAGCTACAAGATTGGTCAAATCGCAACAAGGTGCCGGTAAGGAGTATGTGTGTATTGTCAGATTGCATGAACCACTTGAAAACGAGAAAGAAATGGGCAGAGCGCTTGAAAACCTGACCGGTGCACTGTTCCAAAGACCTCCTTTGATTTCTGCTGTCAAGAGACAGTTGAGAGTGAGAACCATTTACGACTCGAAGCTCTTTGAGTTCGACAACAAGCGTGGTTTGGGTGTTTTCTGGGCTTCCTGCGAGGCTGGTACCTATATGAGAACTTTGTGTGTGCATCTTGGTATGCTTTTGGGAGTTGGAGGACACATGCAAGAGCTTAGAAGAGTTCGTTCTGGTGCGCTTTCTGAAAATGACAACCTTGTGACTTTGCACGATGTCATGGACGCTCAATGGCTTTACGACAACTCTAGAGACGAGAGCTACCTGAGAAAGATCATTTCTCCTTTGGAGACTTTGCTTGTTGGCTACAAGAGACTTGTTGTGAAGGACTCTGCTGTGAACTCTGTTTGTTACGGAGCCAAGTTGATGATTCCAGGTCTTTTGAGATACGAAGAAGGCATTGAATTGTACGACGAAGTGGTTTTGATCACCACCAAGGGTGAGGCTATTGCTATTGGAATTGCCCAGATGACCACTGTTGATCTTGCTTCTTGCGACCACGGTGTTGTTGCCAAGGTCAAGAGATGTATTATGGAAAGAGATACTTACCCAAGAAGATGGGGACTGGGACCTGTTGCTTTGAAGAAGAAGCAGATGAAGGCTGACGGAAAGCTCGACAAGTTTGGAAGACCAAACGAGAACACACCTGAAGGCTGGAAGAAAGAGTACGTCAGTCACGAGGACGTTCCAGCACCTGCCATTCCAGAAGAGAAATTGCTGGCTCCAGAGGTCCAGAAATCCAAGTCTTCTCTGTTAGACTCCAAGAACGCGGACGAGCAACCATCCGAGAAGAAGGAGAAGAAGGAAAAGAAGGAAAAGAAGGAGAAGAAGGAAAAGAAGGAAAAGAAGGAGAAGAAAGAAAAGAAGCGTAAGGCCGACGATGAAGACGGAGAGGAGAAGAAGAAGAAGAAGAAGAGTAAGAGCGATTAGACAGTTTCAATTAATTTGGTATCTATTAACATCTGTACACCACTATTTCTAATTTTGGGGCGTAGGTAGGCAGAGAAAAAAAATAAGTTGGATTACAAAACAACTAGTTGTGCAATTATAGAGCAATAGTCAATTGTAATTGTTTGTTAGTTGCTGACCATCAAAACTGAACATACACTGGAGATTGTGATTTTGAATAATTCACAATGTCGTGGGAAGGTTTTAAGAAAGCCGTTACCAGAGCGGGTGCGTCGGTAAGTTGATAGTGAAATTGCCTTTTGACACTAACATATGTTTTAGGTGACTGTTCGTTCTGCAGATAAAATCATTGACAGAGATTATGATACCGAAGAAAGACGTTATAAGATGCTGGAAAAGAGTGGAACTGCATTGGCCAAGGAAACTAAGGGTTACTTGGATGCTTTGAGAGCCGTGACCGCATCGCAGGTGGCTATGGCCGAGATTATCAATAATTTGTATGAGGATGCAAGAGCTTTGGGAGGACCAAATGTTGGTGGATACTACTTAGGCGCCGTGCAGGAATATGACCAGGAGACGGTCAAGCAGCTGGACGGACCATTCAGAGAGACTGTTCTGGACCCGGTGAACAAGTTCTCCACATACTTTTCGGAAGTTAACGAAGCTATCAAGAAAAGAGAGCACAAAAAGACCGATTACGAACAAGCCAAGAGCAAAGTCAGAAGACTTATTGACAAGCCTGCCAAGGATGCTTCGAAGCTCCCAAGGGCAGAAAGAGAGCTGCAATTGGCCAAGGATGTGTTTGATGATTTGAACAACCAGCTCAAAGAAGAGCTTCCGCAGCTTGTCGGGTTGAGAGTTCCATACTACGATCCTTCGTTCGAGGCCTTGGTGAAAATCCAGCTCAGATTCTGCACCGAGGGATACGCCAGACTGGCTCAAGTTCAACAGTACCTTGACCAGAGCAGCAGAGACGAGTACGCAAACGGTCTTCTTGACGGAAAAATTGACCAGCTACTGGGCGAGATGAACAAGCTGAATATCTGTGCTTTGGGCGCGAAATAGGAACCGCGTCCCCTTTGTGAATGTCGATGTAATGAACTACGTACTTTCGATCCGATGATCAATTAATTTTTTCGGGCTGTGCAACGTCTAACAATACTCTCGCCTATTCTAGAAAGTTCCATTTTAAGGTATCAGTACTATAGAAATCAAGTGGTCCCAGTGGACGTTGCTGATATAAATCAGGTACAGCTTGGTTGGAAAAAATTAAACTACTTATATCGCTTCGACAGCAAGTACCAATTGACTATCAATAAGCTTTATTAGAGATGGTTAAAGAATCAAAACTTTACGATTTATTGGGGGTGTCTTCAAGTGCCAGTGATGCTGAGTTGAAGAAGGCATACAGAAAGCAAGCCTTGAAGTACCATCCAGACAAGCCAGGAGGAAATGCCGAGAAGTTCAAGGAGATCTCCGAGGCTTATGAGATTCTGTCTGATGCGGACAAGAGAGAAGTGTACGATCAGTACGGTTTAGAAGCTGCTCGTGGAAATGCCCCAGCTGGAGGCAGTCCATTTGGCGGAGCTGGCGGAACATCTGGCGGAGGCTTTGGTGGTGCCGGTGGCCGTACGTTCTCGCAGGCAGATGCCTTCAATCTATTCAACCAATTTGGTGGATTCGAGGAGATGTTCGGTGGTGATACTGGCGGGTTCAGAAGTTCCAGAGGTGGCTCTCCATTCGGATTCTCGTCTATGGGAGGAGGCGGAATGCCAGGAGGATTTGGAGGAATGGGCGGCGGTGGCATGCCAGGTGGCTTTGCCAACGCTCAACCTAGAGAAACACCTATTGTCGACCTGAACGTTCCTGTGCCTCTTGAATTATTATACACAGGAGGATCCAAGAAGATGAAGATCAAGAGAAAGGGATACTCTGGACAACTGGAAGAGAAGATAATAGATATCAATATCAAACCAGGTTGGAAAACAGGAACCAAAATTACTTATCCAAACGAAGGTGATTACCAAGACGGAACGAGACAGACACTTAGATTCACCATTGTCCAAAAACCAAACGATACTTTCACGAGAGAAGATAACAACCTAAAAACCACAGTCAAGTTGTCATTCCAAGAGTCGTTGCTTGGATTCGATAGAGACGTGATGACTCTCGATGGACGGAGGATTCCATTGAGTAAATCGTCCCCAACACAGCCAGGATCTTCCACCACATACCCAGGATTGGGAATGCCAATCTCCAAGTCTCCTGGAAGTCGGGGTGACCTGATCATCGAGTTCAAGGTTGACTACCCAACGTACCTGACTCCTGAACAAAAACAAGTGATCCGTGCCAACTTCTGAGTACCGGCACACCGGTAAAATCAAAGCACGTTCGTCTATGATATGGTGGAGACCCGGTTATGTATTATAGAGTTGCATTAATGTTAGTGATGAGCTTTTCAGATTAGAATAGGTCGCGCGTCGATCGTCGCAAAAAACTAAAAACGGTGTATAATTTCTTTATTATTAGCACATTTTGAGATAAAGTGTATTTAAATGTCGGTGATTCTTGCCTCTGCTGGTTATGATCACACCATTCGATTTTGGGAGGCACTGACAGGAGTCTGCTCTCGTACCATTCAACATAGCGACTCCCAGGTCAACAAGCTCGAGATTACCTCCGACAAGAAGTTTCTCGCCGCTGCAGGCAAGTCGAAAGTTCGTCTTTACGATATTCGGTCTGCGAACCCAAATCCAGTGACTTCTTTCGAGGGACATACAAACAATGTGACCTCAATTGCGTTCCAAATTGAAAACAAATGGATGTGTTCCTCCAGCGAAGATGGAACCGTGAAGGTGTGGGATGTGCGGTCGCCCAGTGTTCAGAGGAACTACAAACACAATTGCCCGGTAAATGAGGTGATCATTCATCCAAACCAGGGAGAACTCATCAGCTGTGACCGGAATGGAAACGTGAGAGTCTGGGATCTGGGAGAGAACAAATGTACTCACCAATTAATTCCAGAAGACGATGTATCCATTCAATCCATCAGCTGTGCCTCGGACGGATCGATGCTCGTTGCAGGAAATAACAAGGGAAATTGCTATGTTTGGGAAATGAAGAACAGCGAAGACCAAACGCTGCTGAGACCGGTCAACAAATTCAAATCGCATTCAAAATACATCACAAAAGTCCTGTTATCGTCCGATTGCAAGCATTTAGCTACATGCTCGGCGGATCATACTACTCGAATATGGTCCACAGATAATTTCGCGCTCGAGACTACATTAAGAGGACACCAGAGATGGGTCTGGGACTGTACATTCAGTGCAGACAGTGCGTATTTGGTGACTGCTTGCTCGGATCATTACGTGAGACTCTGGGACTTGAGCACCAGCGAAACAGTGAGACAGTATAACGGACACAACAAGGGTGTGATTTGCGTGGCTCTCAACGATGTGTAATGGGTATAGGTGATAAAAAATAGATTTCCATTTGAGATGATGATGAAAAATTAAAAAAAGAAATCGACAACAGCAGGACTCGAACCTGCGCGCGAAAATCGCAAAAGATTTCTAATCTTTCTCCTTAACCGCTCGGACATGTTGCCTTATTGAAGGAATTGAGGGATCTACATCAATAAGAGGAAAACCAAAAAGGGAGTAATATCCTATGAAGTTTGATGTCTGCTGCTTTGATACACCTGCTCAAGCGTTGTTTGTAGTATACACAGCTACTTTACCGTCTTTGTAACCCAGAAACAGCCAGTTACTCGTTAGTTTCATCTCGTCTCGTCTTCGCACAAGGTTTTTTGCTGACCCGTTGATGTATGCCAGTTCCGATCGCTCATGGAACGGCTGAGACTTGCTGAAAGCCAAAACCCCGACCCGTTGTCCCTGTATATTACTTGCATTTTCTGCAATATCAGTAGAGCTGTTTGTTGCAGAGATGGAAGGAACCATCTTTGACAGCTTGAACTTGAATTTGAGAGTGGTTTGGTCATCGTAGTTGTAGAATCGAGCGTACCCGTCCCAGGTGACCAATCCAACGAGGTCGTTTCTTGTCTTGACATCAGCCACACCTTTATGATTCACATGGAACAGTTTTGACGAGTCGGTAGTTTGGATAACTATCTTGTCTGAAGATGATGTGCTGATGAGTTTCTCGTTTGTAGCATCATAGTACAAAGATAGAATCGGATTCGGGTAGTGCTGGACATCGTACTGAACGATATCAATGGACTCTGCTTGTATTTGGAAAATGATCACATGCCCGCTCTCGTAACCAGCAGCAAACTTATTATCGGCTATCCATACGAGTTTCATCACGATCCCCAAACCTCTGACCTCCGAGTCTGGTATAGCCTGTACATTAAGATCAATGCGATTTTGCTCGGCAATCTCCATCGGACAAACCGCTTTGAAGAGTCTGGTCAAATTGCTAGTCTCAATATCTATCCGATAAATGTCAATCTTGGCTGAATCTTGGGTTCCGGGAGCTAACAACACTCCATTATTGATATCGACATTGGCAAAGTTCATCACATTAATTGGCATTTCAAATGGTAGCCGTGGAGTCTTCCATTGCGTGACATCATCTCCTTCCACATGTACCTTCTTGTTCAGCAAAGAAGATGGCCTATATGAGTAGTATGCATCTTTAGATACTTGGAATAGATCCCAAACTTTCAAATCTCCGTCTTTACCATGCGTGAGAAGTTTGCCAAACCATTTTTCATCAATGGACGCTGTATTTGCTTCAGTCCAGTCCAATCCCACTTGTTTAACCGTCAGAATGTTTCCTTCATGGGCCTTCCATACAGCAAGGGGTCTTTTGATCGTAATATCCCACCAGATGATCCAGCCCGATTCGTCACTGCTTATTAAAGTTGGTTCGAACAGCTGATCATTGCCAGTCGCGAGACTCGCTGTGAACATGGAAGGGACATAGAAAACTTCAACCGCAGAGATAGCCGCAGTGTGTCCTCGAAGCGTTCCATAATGGTTGGTTACTCGTTCTTTGGAATGAACTTTGATCATTATTTGTTCAACTTCGTAATGGTGATTACATAACAAAATATTGGATTTTACAGTAACCAAGCTAACAGCGACAAGTAACCGGGGATGAAGCCAAATTGCCTATCTCAGTCGTCCAGGTTGAAATATACTTTACATCTTACTGTACATCAATGGGTATCCGAGGTCCTGTGTACGATCTAACCGACACTGTGACTAAATCCGAATCCAAGTCCAATAGCGCACCCAACAGCAGCTGCAAACGCAAGCAGACCGCTTATCAGTTTGTACTTGGTTGGGATTCTGCCGAATTCGTTGTCAAGGTACCCGACACAAATCAGTATCCAGAATGGTGGCACCAAGAACGAAATCAGAACAAATATCAACGCAGTGCTTGACGAACACTGTCGAGTGACTATGCTTTTATGGTAGTAGAATTTCTCAAGGTCCCCAAGATCGTTCCAGCGACCCTCCAATTGAAACAGGGATCCCGAACCCGAAGAGTACAGCGAGTCAGTCGCAGTTTTTTTGATAAGACTGGTATTGGAGTCTGTAGATCCCGAGGACCCAGAGGAGCTAAAATCGCGCTTAGGCTCATGGGTTTTGAGATAGGCTTTCTGTGGAGTGATAGGACCGTACCTTTTCTTGTTGTACAGATCAGACTCTTCTTTGGTTAGTAAATAATGCTGAGTTCCCGGAGCAAACTTTCGAAATTGGGAGAGCGACGAGTTTTTGGTGGCAGCTGGATCAGTTTCTAGTGGCACCAGTTTTTCTGTTGAATCATGATACATTGTCTTATTGTCAGGGAGGGAGGTCTTTTCTGATGTTCTGCAAGATTCGCTTGCCTCGTCCTCGGCCAAACCGTCAGTCATGCTGGAGTGGTAGTCGGCGTAAATTGTGAAATCATCCTCTGTATTATTTATCAGGTTGACTATCGAGTTCTTAGTGCGAATACTGCTGCTGCAGGATCCTATGTCAGCCAAACTTTCAGTGAAATAGCCCAAATTCTGTTGCGATCTCTTGATTCGGAGCTCTTCCTTGTGTCTAGCTGCTCTGAAGCTATCATCTATCTGGCTCTGGGATTCGTCGCTTGTGACCAAACTCGAGAGATCGCCGGTATAATTCACCGTATTATCAAATTGCTCGGTATCTTGAAGAAGAGGTGTCTGGTTCTCTTGTTGCTCGAAGTTGATTCGAGTGGGGCTTAGGACAGAAAACGAATTGCGGCTGCCTTTTCTAAGCGGACTGAGACTCATCAAAACATTTCGTTTAATAGGGGTTTCTGAGTTCTGTTGGCTCAAATGAAACAAGCTTCTGAGCCTGGAGCCCGAACTGGGAGTAGCAATGGGCTGTTGCTTCCGCAACGGCGTTTCGTAAGACATGACCGCTAACTTTTGAAACTTTTTTTTTCGCTTACGATTTTATTGAATGCGTATTTACATGATGCCTTTTTAAGCAAGACCAAAACATTAGCAATTAAACCGTGGTTATGCCAGTGGTCAGCTCTGTATTTGACCAACAGGGGTAGAGACTGAGACTGAAAAAAGCTTTCCGAGGTTAAATTAGCAAACTGAAGAACATAACCTGGTTTGCATCACTCTTCTTGTGATGGCTTCCATAAATTACATAATTACAGTATATAGAAAAATCAATTCGGAGCCTCAAGTTATTTTTTGAACATGGATTTACAGTACGCTTCAGACTCGGAAGATGAGTCGGTATCGCCTTTAAAGCCGCCTCCACCGAATTTGTACCTGAAATATTCAAAGCAATGGACTTTCCAGCGAAAATCCGGAATTTGTCGGAAAACTGCTTTTATCTATCTAAACATCCAACCGCATCCACAAGAATACCACTTGCTACAAAATTTAGCAAATAAAACATGGCAACAGGTCCAAAAATTATATGTCGTCGACAATGCTAGCTTCAACGACCATTTTCTATATGACAATCTGACACAGACTTACAACAACCTCCATATCTCTCTTTCCTATAACCTTTCATTTGAAGATGAAGATCAGTTTAATCAATTCGTGAACACATTTCAGAGTAATTCCACTAAACCGGTTCCAGCCGAGATCACATTTTCAGGAATAGTCAAGCTTCTTCCGAACCTGGACGGGTCCAAGTGTTTTATCAGTCTTATGTTATCCGAAGATAGTCAGAAACAGCTTAAAAAGACGGTGGAATTGATAAATGCAAACATTCCCCCGTTCAAGGACGGGTTTCATAATCAGCTATACTCTCCGGAATATCTACATTGTACTATTGGCGAGATCCGACACAAAGACTTGGACTTGCAATGGCAATCTGAGCCCATTTCACTACGTGCAACCAGCTGTTTGATTTCCAACGGCATAAAAGAGACACCCGTACACGGCATAGTTTAAGGCGGTGAGGAGACTAATTAAAAAGTTCCAACAAGCCACAAATTTTTCTTACTTGCTTATCAAAAGCTCGCAAGTGGCAAATTAGAACGTGTCTCAAGCTCTAAGATTACCACAATGTCAGGCTTATCACCAAATGACCCGCTTTACGAGCCTCCTCAGACAGACGAGGTTTCGAAACTGACTCCTCAAGAGCAGAAATTGTACAAAATGTATGGGAGATTACCAAAGAAATCCGAACTCTTACAAAGTAAGCTCAAGGACAGGAAGTTCTTTGACAGCGGTGACTATGCTATGTCGAAAGCAACGGGGCACAAAGAACAAGTTGGATCGATTAATCCGTTGAGATTGCCGAATATTGAAGATGTGGCCAGAATTAACAGAAATTCGATTTCAGGGGTAAGTGCTACAGGTCTTTTAAGTGCTCATCAACAGAAGTCGAACTTAGATAACGAAGCACGGGATGCAAACGAAGAGGCAATCGAGGATGATTAGATCGAAGAAGAGGTTCTTTGGTGAGTCCAAGATAAGATTTCATGAATATACGCTATTTAACGCATTGCAAACACACTCATCCGATTAACCGTTTGCTGATTTTGCCAAAAATAACGAGCGTAATAAATAAGAAAGACCCAATCCATAAAAGGTCAGCCTGGATGTCGTGATCTTGTAGAACAACCTCTGGATCCTGTTGATACTTGCTATAAGTGTACACAGCCATAGTGCCGATAGCTCCAATTGAAGATGACAGGAATCCGCCAAGTGTTGAGTCTAGTATGATCCACAGAAGTGTGCTGACGAGGAGAAAAACAGAAGCAGCTTGTAATTTGGACTGCCACTCAACTTTTCTAAGACAGTACGACAAACCAATAAGTGCAACCGTAGATCTTATAATGGATGATGTTTCGAAAAGAGTCTTATTATTCACTTTTTGAGAAAACACTCTGTCTGACAGAGGTCTGATTGCGCCCAGTATGAGACCTGTGAGCGAGTTGTTTAGAATGTCCGTTTGCAGAGGAGTTAAATTCAATTTTGCATTGTCTTTGAAAACGTAGAATATGCGGAAATCGGTGAAGTTCGGAAGAGTTGGGTTAAGCGTATGTAGTTGCTCTGTTAGTTTGATGAACAGGTTCCCAAAGACACACAATGTCAAGAGTTTAATGAAAATTTCAACAAATACGCTGCTAGTGGTCTTGGGTTTTGACTTGGTATTTCTGACATGTTTCACCTCTGAATGATCCAATTCGTCCCGTTTATAAATGTTTTCTTTAAGATCAGCGTAGATATTGCCTGCTGTTTCATCCGGTTGATCAATTAAATTCTCTTCACCACCGTAAATCGAGTAAAGTTGGGGGGTTGTCAACGTGAGGACCGAGGTGTTTCTTGCCATCAATGTATCTTGATCAATGGAGTCCGTTTTGTTGGTATTGCCAGTACTTTGGGCCTTATTCGTAGTCATTGTCTTAAAAGGACCCCGCTATTGATTTGACTCTGGAAAATGAGAACAAAGACTTAATCTGCAAATTGCGAGTTCTATTTAGATATCCAGATAATAATATGTTGGTATGATTGGTAATTGAAAGCGAAAAAGTCTTTAAAAATCAAATAAGACTCACAACAACACTAAATCTTCAACATATATAGAATTATTTTTTTTGCACATGATTTTAAACTAGTAGCTGAGTAATGGAGCAAGAATAGTATTGTGGAGAATCTGCCAGATATACACAAATTGCCGGGATCAGCTCAGCTGGAGAAACACATCTACATTGACTTCTGTAAGTAAGTGCAAGCTTACCGATACCACTCAAAATTGGCCTTATATTTCGGCCCCAAACTATTGTTGGTAATTTTGCTCGGACTATACGCAGTCGAGCCATGACAGAATTAGTTGTAATTTAGCCGAGCGAGATAATTCACCAAAAACTGCAAACATCCGTGCACCACTACCCCAAATGATGCGGATAAATGATACGCGTGAATTGTAAATTTACCTGTTCCCGTTTTGGGACACGTTAAAAAACGGTAGCAGAAAAAGCGAGTTTTAGTATCTTTTAACGAATAGCGTAACTTCGCAGCAGGATCCAAGGGTTGAAATGTAGCTGGTAGACCAGTTCTCGAAGCGTTTTGTAAGATCTTTTCTTGCCCAACGTGCAACTAATATTCCGAATTGGGAAGGTGTCGTGTGCACTCTGCAAAAAAAGTTTGTACTCAATTTGAATCCGAACCAAAATCTGTTTTTCGTAGGTGAAGCAAACTCTTTTCGAAGAGATAATTCGAAAATTCGGTGAAGGGATAGGATCTGTTTGATAACACAGCGAGCAATTGAAATTCGGAACTTACCTCCCATCGTATTTTGCATTTGATCGGATCAGAAGAAAACTTTTCTAGACCGAGAGAAGTCAGGAAGGGATACGAGAATTTGAACCGCAAATTTGATCAGAAATGACAGACCTCTATATTGCAACCTATTCACAGGTAAGTTGACAGCCACAAGAAGCGTCTGAAGTGGAGTACTAACAATGTTCAAGGTTGATGTTATCGAAAGTACCGTAAATGGTATACCGCTTATGCGCAGATGCGACGACGATTGGGTGAATGCAACTCAAATCTTGAAAATCGCTGGTTTTGGCAAAGCCCAAAGAACGAGACTACTTGAAAGAGAGGTGCACCAGTTCAAGCATCAGAAAATTCAGGGTGGATATGGAAGATTTCAGGGTACATGGGTCCCGTTAGATTTTGCTAGAGAGTTGGCAGAATCGCACAAAATTCCAAGAGAAAACGCGAAGGTACTCTACTACGACCCCCAGAAAGACCAACCGTTGGAGAAGAAAACGAAAACAAGACCTACTCCTAGTGCATCGGACCCAAAGAAGCGCAAGTTGAAGGTGGAAACCAACGTGGGTTACAAACCAAGTAAAAAGATGTCTCCGAATGCCAAACGCAACTCAGAGACATCTTTCCCACAGATTCCTCATGCTCCTCCTACATTTGGAAACGCGCACACCTATCAGACGAATAGCCCGCAGCAAATGCTTCCAATGACCGCATCGCCTTACGCATTTCCAACGGCCCATCAACAATATTCTATGAAAGCTCCGTCGTACTATAACGTTCCAACTTTCCATGGGTCGACACCATTTCCACATCAGGGTGCAATTGTGCAGCACAATCAGTATCAACCATCCCCAGTTCAAAGATTTTCTCACCATTACAATAATTTTGGCTCTTTGTCAACGACCGATGGCTCTCAAGACGAGCTTCGACTCAACAGGTCAAACTCAGATACTTCAACATCAAGTGGATTCGATAGTGAGCTAAAGAATCCGCCTCATCTTGCACCTAACGATCCTTACAGACAGCAAGATTCGTTCGCTCAACACCACTACAATATCGGAACGCCTTCTATGGGCAACATCTTGACGGAGAATCACGAGATGGAAGGGGAGGACTACGACTATTACACCGAGAAACTACTCAGCTTCTTCGGCAATGATGATGAACCTATTCCAGACTTCATATTAAACCCACCAAGAGATTTTGACATTAACAAAGCTATTGATGACGAGGGTCATACACCACTTCATTGGGCCTCCGCTTTGGCTTCACATCCTGTTGTCCAGGAGTTGATTTCCAAGAATGCCAATCCATTAATCTTGAATAACGCTGGAATGAACAGCTTATCCAAATTGATTCATTTCACAAATTCGTACGATTTGAGAAATTTCGGAGTGATTCTCCAACTTCTACGACAATGCTTGATTGTTCCTGATGCACAGGGCCGGACCCCTTTACATTACATCATGGAATTATCATCAAATCCGAACAAAGTGAATTGTTTAACTTACTACTTTGACGAAATTGTGAAATTCATTGAATTCCAACAAAACGAAGCCGAGAAGGTCGCAAATGGTTCCAAAGCAGACAAAGACCTGCTTAGAATTTTGGTTAATCATCAAGACAAGAACGGGAACACCGCTCTCCATCTTGCACTTAGGGGAAGCGAGAAATCTTTTGTTCAACGGCTCATTCAGTTGGGTGCTGACGTTAATCTTGTTGGATTATACAACATTCCTGCTTCCATTGTGGAGGAATTACATCTGTCCGATGGTTCAGTCTCCGTTGAGTCGCAACAGAGCAAATTCAAGGAACCTGCAACATATCAACTTGACGTTTCTGAAATCAGTGAAAACAAAGAGAACGTTTTCGAAGATAACAGTACTGTTAGTAATTACAGCAGACAAGGTGGAAACAAGGACGATGCCATGCAGCTGTTAAAATTTGAAACCCCAAAAATGAACGATTCTATGTCAGATGGAGTTTTTGGTCCAAGCTCCTTTTTGGACTCAATACGGTTCTTTGAATCCAAGTTTGCCGCCACTATAGAATCGCTCAACACTTCCATCACCAACGAACTCGGAATTAAGGACGAGGAGCTTTCGCATAATCTTCAAACCATGGAGAGCATGGAGACAGAAATCCAGCAGCTCACAAAGAAAATGGAGAAGTTGTATGAAGAACTCTTGAGAGATTCAGACGAGCAAGATAGAGAGTTATTGCAGAACTCTGAATTCAACCCCGTTACTGTGCAGAAGATTCTCGACAAATACACTGAGAAGCTTCACATGAAACACGAACAGCTGATCAACATGTACGAGCGTTCACAGGCTCTTGAGTTGGCAAAGCTGGTTCACCACGAGGAAACCCAAATCACAGGACCGTCGGATGGAGAGGGTCCAGTGAAGAACGTGCAAATGGCTGTTAACTTGACATCCCTTCAACTTGATAGACGCAACGTTATTGGTTCTATAACGGCTTCTATCAGTGGAATATCAAGGTCCGATGAGGAGGATTCGAACTCCATAGACTTGGAAGAGAAACGCACACAAGCCAAGCTGTATCTTTACCGGAAACTCATCTCCAACATCTGCAACTTGCCGTTCGACGAGATTGACGAGGAATTGGTGAGCGGAATTGAAATGCGCCTCTTAAAGGGGAAGACAGCGACCTAGAGAATGGATTTTTATCATGACGACCATCGAACGGAGAAACAGACATTTAAATCATTTACGACTTTGTAAAGATCAACAATAATTATTATCGTATGTAACAATAAACTGTGTTTATTCCTTACCCAAGTCCACGCTGCCGACAGCCCAGATTTCTCTTTCGTCTTCAAACTGGTCAGAGAACATAGCTTCTTTGTCACCTCCGGCTTCCAGTCTTTCTCTTTCAACGTTTGCCAACCTGAATCCGACTCTCTTGGCATACTCTGTGATGGATCTAAGCTGCAATGACTGTCCACTTGCGGTGTTAACCATTGGAGTGGCACTCTTGGATGCAGCCCATTCGTTGAAGAATTTCATTTCTTCGTCTGCCACCAAGTTAAAAATGGCAAGGAAAGACTTTTCTGCGGCCAATTTGATAGGGATGATTGGGTCTCTAACACAAAGGAAGACCGATGGAGCAATGAGGTCAATGTATGGACGAATCGAGATGTCATACTTGAACCGACAGACTGTTCTGATCACAACCAAAGACAAACGTTTCGAATCTGGAGAATTGGATGGTGGAGCATTCATGTTAACACAAAGTTGGGTCACAAGCTGCTCGAACGCAGCACGAGAGTCATCGTCGAACTCGAAATCATTGTCGATTTGCAACATCACCTTACCACAGGCAAGAACAGAATTGTCGTTGATATAAGGAGACTTGGATTGGGAAGCAGTTGCAATAAACTTGCAGACTTCTGTGAACAGTCCGGTATCGAAAATCTGGTTAGGAGCATCCTTGAGGAATGCGTTCAAGGTCAGGATGGCAAAACGAGACGAGCTTTCGTCTGTCAAGTCTGAATCCAACACCTTGGACTTGAGCATAGCAACAGCTTCCTCTGACGACATGGTTGAGGACAGGGCTCCGACAAGTTTGGCATAAGCAACAGCGATGTCGACACTTGCACCTTCTGCAAACATGTCTTTCTCGACAAGGGCCAGAACGCCAGATTTAGAGGCATTGCTCATGTTCTTACCTGCTCTCAGAATAACTTCCAACAAAGCCTTGAGCATAGCTGCTTTAACGCCAGCGTTCTCTTTTCCAACGGCGGTCTTGACTCCCGTGAGAAGCTCAGTAACCAATGGGTCCACACGAGGTTGATACTCGATAAGAGTACCCAGAGCTCTAGCAGCTCTCGATCTGAGCAAATCGTTTGATGGATCACTCAAAGACTTGACAAAAGTTCTCTGAAGCTGTGGCACAAATGGTCTCAAGAACTGAGGAATCTTTGCAAACAGCTTGTTCAAGGCCAACAAAATAGCACTCTTAACTTCACCATTAAACCTCTCACCGATGACTCTGATCAGGGGACCAACAATCACCGTGACAAATGGCCTCAACGAATCAGCAGGAGTTCTATCAACAATTAAAGCGATACCTTCTGCAGATTGCTCTCTCTGTTGAGGATTTCCGTACATCAAACCGTTCAGGAAGATTGGCAGCAAACAATTTGGTCCTTTTGGAAGACCAAAGACGTATAGCTCATGATCATCAACAAGAGACAAGGTGCGGAATGCAGTAGAAACTAGACGCTCAAGGGATTCTCTTGGTTGTCTCTTGACCAAGGCGGTAAGGGCCTCGAAACTGTATTTCGAGATTTCAGGACTCTTGTTGTCCAGAGACAAGATCAAATGTGTGACAAGATCATCCAGGTAGACAGAATAGTCCACAGAGACGTTCTCAAAGAATTCTGGGAGAACTCGGTAAATGACCTCTGTCTTCTTTTTGTCCTCATGTCTCATAAGCGACAAGATTTGTTGGAACAGCTGGTGACAGCCTTCATCAGATGTGACAGAAAGAAGTGTTTTCGAGAGCGCATTCACAAGATCAGTCTCGACACCAGTACCAGCAATGATTGCATCGACCAATGCCAAAGTGATGGTGGAAAGTCTCTTGTATAAAGCTGGACCGGCGACTTGAGCCAAAGCACCAAGCGCTTTGGCCTTCACAGGAGGAGTCAGCAAGGACGGAATCAAAATTGGGAATAAGACGTCTGCCTTGGTCGTCATGATTTCCTCCAAAGCGGAAAGGGCGTTTTCAGATGCGTCAGTATCAAGCATCTCCAACAGCTGAGGGATGATTTCATCCACAGCAACGTTTCCAACAGCTTCTTGAAGAACATCAAATGCCTGGGCTGCTGCCTCTCTCACACCTGGATTAGCATCCATGAGTGTTTCTCTGATGATCTTAAAGAGAGGCTCTTGGTACTCCAAAATGGTAGCAGGCGAAGAAGACTCAGTAAGCTCGCGAACAGCAATACAGATACCCTGTTTGGCATCCGAGTCCGAAGAGTAGAGCGAGCTCTCAAGAGTTGGAAGCAATTGTGATAAGGCATTTCCACCAACTCTCTTGACCATGTCTCCCAAGGTTGTTGCCGCAATACTTCTTTGGTTCTCGTTTGGAGAAGCCAGCTTCCGGACAATAATTTGAGTAAGAGTTGGCAGGATCTCCTTGACAGTCTTTGGAGTGTTTGCGACCAATGCTTTCCAGATGTTGACACCAGCAACTCTGACAGGACCAGAATTATCAGAGCGACACATGAACAAAGCTGCCAAAATACGATCTCTTCTTTCGTGACCAAGAACCTCATTGAACGCTCTAGTAACGCTGGCTGAAATCGAAGAGAGATCTTCAGACAGTTCCTGCTTACCACTGATACCACTGATCTTGAAGAGCAAGTCTCCTGTAAGCTCAACACTGGACAGTCTGATCCGTGGATTAGAGTCCGAAAGTCCAAGTTCCAATTCTGGGAGCAAAAGATCCACAGCCTTGCTTGCATAGTTGTTCACGATCAAGCGACCAGAACGCAGTGCAATGTCCCTGATATCTTCATCGTTATCCGCCAATCCAGAAAGAATAGGCGAGATGGTTTTTGAAAGATAAGGAGAAAACTGATTGCCGAAACAGACAGGCAGGAACAGCAGCAAAGGCATGAAACCGGCACGAACGTAAGACTTTGGAGAAGTGCACCCAGCCAAGATGGTTGGAAGGAGCTCGTCCAGTTTACTGAGACCAATTCCACTGGTAACTTCTGCCAGAGCTTGTGCAGAACCCATTTTGTCACCCAGTCTTCCTTCGTCCTGAAGAGTAGTCAACAGACGAGGAATCAAGTCAGGGAATTTCTCTTCACCTAGTTTCTCAACAAGGGATCCTAAAGCTCTTGCAGCGACCGCACGTGTTTGAGGCACAGGATCAACCATGGCTTCTTCAAGTTCCAGCACAAGTTCTGAAAGGTAAGGAATAAGGTCCTTGGAATCGACCAAGATGGCCATATTTCCGACAATTTGACAAGACTTCCGCTTAGTTGTGGCCGACCGGTCTTTCATACCCCTATGAATAACGTGAATGATAAGAGCCAAGGAAGGTCCATCGATGTAGTGAACGAACTGAGTCTTGATCAAACCGTCAAGAGCTTCAGTGGTGTATTGAGTTGGATCTCCAATAGCTTTCAACAGAGTTGGAACAAGCTCTTGAATTTCAGGGTTTCTAATGACCTCACCGAAACGTTTCAAAGACTGATCCGCAGCTTTTCTAACCTCTTTGTGAGTGTCGTTCAAAACACTGACAATTTGTGGAATAATCGTAGGCAATGAAGCAGCTAATTGCGTTGGATCCAAATAAGCCATGGAACCTAGCAATTCAACAGAGCCTTTCTTGGTTCTCCAGGCGTAATCTTCCAGATTACTGATAACAAGAGGAATCAGTTTCTTGATACCGTAACTGGTGGTATTCTTCATGATCATTCTAGCCGCGTAATCAGTGGCCTCTCTCACTTCTGGAGATTGATCACCCAAATTCTTGAGAACAATTGGAAGAATCTCAATGACATAAGGCTCAAATAGCGAGCCAAGAGACTGTGACAATGTCTCAAATGCAAAAGACACACCTTCTCTCTTATGAGGATTCTTTTTGTCATCTGAAGCATCCACCAAGTTTCTGATGATATCGTTTTCAGCCAAAGACTTCAAACCTGCACCTTTCACCAGACCAGCAATACCATATGCTGCACCGCGTCTTTGTGCCAAGTTCTTGCCTTCAAACAGCTTCTCAAACAAATCATCAAAGTATCCAGACAATTTGGCTTTGGTAGCTGAGACAAGTGGCGCGATACACTCAGAAACAGCGAACTGGACATCTTCTGAAGGTGTTTCCAGAGCTTGAAGAAGTCTGGAAACTATGTCCAATATTCTCGGATCGTCTTTTTTAAGATGGCGAGCAAGATTACCATAGAGAATGATAATGCTCTCTTTGATCCGATCTTGCGTGGTTGTTCCTTCATCTTTAGCGCTCAACCCCTCTTCAAAGATAGGAATCAATATCTCCAGATTTGCAGTTCCATGTTCATCGATGATTTTCATTCCCGCATCTTGAAGTTCTTGTCTAACAACTGAATTCTTATCTCCCAATGCTCTCTCATCAATCAAGAATTTAAACACCTTCTCAATTTCTGAAGTTCCATGGAAAACGCCAGCAAGATACTTCAACGTTAGTGCCACACCGCTTCTCTCTTCCCAAGTGTCACGAGCCTCGGACACAGATTTGACCACCAATCCATATTCATCCAGTTGTGGAGGTGGTGGCTTCTCTTTGACTCTGTAAAGCTCCAAAAGCTCGTCCAAGGTTGCTTCGAACACGGATGACGATTTAGTGTTCACAACGGCTTGTGCGAGAGCTTTTGCGATACTTAATCTGATACCATTATCGCTATTATTCAGGAAAGGTATCAGTTTGGAAGGAGAGCTTTCGTCGACATGGAATCCGCTTTCATCCCATATAGTTTGGGCAATTCGACGGTTAATTTCTTCGTTATCGAACACCGAAATCCAGATCTCTTCACAGAATTCAAGCTCAGATAAATCAAATTCCTCATCCAATGCTTCCAAAACCGCTGTACGAACCAACACGACCGGGTTGATGGCATTGGATAAGATCAAATGAAGATCAGATGGTGAGATATTGACAGATATATTTTGGGCCAGGGCATTGAAACAGTCCTTTGCCATTTTCGATTTGGATGGAACGGTCATTAATGAGAATAAGTTTTGCAGAATGGATGTTCTAGGAATTGATGCATTTTGGAAAATCTCGCTATGACTCGACACCAGTTCCAAAGCCAAAGCCAGCTGTTCCTCCTCCGGATCTTCGTCTTGGAACTCGGTATTAAGAATGACGTTTCCACGCTTGTTGTTTTTCAGAAGATAAATCTTTCCATTATCAATGATCTTGGAGATCAAAGGCAATAGATACATCAGCGACAAGGCCTCAAATGGAGATTTATCAGAAGTGACCTTCAGACTGAATAATTGAGATGAGACCAATTCGGTCAGTGATGGATATTCGTATTTCGAATCAAGCTTAATCTTCATCAAACGCAAAGTGCTTGCTCCAATCCATTCAAATGTCGAATGACCAGTTAGTCCTCTTGATGGAAGAGCATGTGGAAGTTTCAAAAATGTATCAATTGAGTATTGGCGAACAAGTTTAAGAGCGTCTGATGAGTTCAGTATGTTGAAGACTCCAGAAACTGCAACAGGGAACCATTGTTCTTTACCATTATCGACGTTGAAAGCTTCTAAAGCGAGAGAGGCAGTGATATCAAGACCCCGACGGAGACTGTTGTATGCTTTATTCAAGGTTTGGCGAATCTCCTTCTCGGTCTCCAATTGTTTGTTCACAGCAGCTTGCTCTTCTTTGGTGAGTTTTTTAGTTGAGCCGGTTTTCCTGGAAGCGACTTGCTTTCTCACAGAGGCTTCCCATTTCAATGTCTCGTAGTCTTTAGAGTTTTTGTCGAGCTGAGGCTTCTTCTGATTCTTCTCAAGAACATCGACCACCAACACACCATCTTGTCCATTCCAAATTTCTATCTTTGTGTCATCAATACTCGGAAGTGACGAAATGTCCAAGTCCTTTTGAAGAGATTCGCTTAAAATAGGAGCCACAGAATTGCTATCAATAAACGAGATCAAAGCCAAGGAGCTTGTAACAGCATCATACATACCGCTTGTACGATGCTCCTCGGCTGGACTTGAAATCTGATCCATCAAGTTCTGAATAATAGTAAAACTATTATTTTGGACAAGATCACCAGGATCCACACCCGCTCTCTGACAAATTCCAACCCAACCCATTTTGGCATAAGAAAGTTCACGATGAGACAATGTTGGAAGCAGTGAGATTAGTTGACGCCCGAGTACACTTTTCTGCGTCTTCTCGTGATTGGCTGTGATTGTCAAAATCACTGGCAACAGCTTTTTGAGATTCAGCTTGTAATCAGAGAACTTTGAGGACTCTTTGGAAAGGAGATCGTTGATCGAATCAATAATACTTTGCGGAACAAATTCCTGATTCTCTTTGCAGCTCTTTGACAGCAACTCCAGTCCTATTCTTCTGATGGAGCTATTGATGTTAGAAGAAAGTAACGAGTAGACCCAGGAATATCCATAAGAAACATTCGACTCTTTTATCAAGCCAGATGTTGCATCAAGCGATCTAACGAACCATTCTTGCTCATCATCAGTGGTGAGTTTTCCGTAGACTTTGAAATTAGTCAGAATGGCTGGCTTATCAGTATCTCTCAGAGATTTTGATAAACTCTCAGTCTTACCCGCACGATGCAAGATCACGATTGCCGCGTATCCGCCAGAAATCAGCTTACCAGTCACTGACTGTAAAGGAGACGTAACACATTCATCCAAAATGCTTTCTAATTGCGAGAAATAATCATCAGTCAGCAGTGGAACAAAGTCATCTGTGTGCGCAGCAAGAGCGACGGTCCACGCTTTCCTCTGTTTCTTATCGGAAAGGCCAGTTTTGAGAGCAGCTAATGTCTTATCAGAGGATGGTCGATGAAACAGCGTATCCAATAGAACAGATAAGACCTGTTCGTTGGATTCCTTTTTGATCATTGGAAGCAAGGTATCAACTATTTTGAGATTGACAGAATCGACCAACGGAGCCGAATGCAAAATTTCTGAGCAGAGGGTCTTTTGTTCCACAGCGGTAGATGTTGAAGACTTCAGCACCTTACAAATCTCCTCTGTTAATTTGTCAAGCGAAGATGATGTTGCTAAAGTGTGATTGAAGATAATTTGAAAACATTTGGAGCCTCCGTTTCGGACGTTTGGGTTGGAAGACTTGAGTGAAGATAACAACTGCACAAAGAACTTGCTAGAGCATACAGCCTCACAAATATCAATCTGAGTACTGTCAATTCCGTTTAGAACTTCTGGAGCTAATAGATGAAAAGTAGCTTCGGAATTACGAAGAGAAGCTTTCTCTAGACCTGGCAGAATCAACTCATTGAATTCTTTCAAATTTGCTAGTTTCAATGCATTGGCAGCCGAAATCAGCGAAAACTGATCAATGACTGCTTTGCTAGTTAGGATATCCTTTGAAAAATTAGTAAGGATATGCGTTCTGGTAGTATCATCTAAATGAGTCACAAATGCTAGCTGGCCGAAAAATACTAGTTTTCCATTGGCAGACAGTGTATACTTGCCTATGTTGGCGACAAATCTAGTTAGATGAGAGCTTGGAATGCTTTTGATAACAGCATCCAAAGACTTGAAAGCATTTTGCACCAGTCTTCTGGACCGCTGTTTCTTGTGGTCCTGGTATGTAACAACAGAATCCACAAGTTGAATTGAACTCACTAGAATCGAATCAACGACTGTAGTATCGTTGTCGAGAGTGCTGGCTTTCTGAGAGAAGAACACACACCAATCGAGTAAAAGTATCAAATCAGCTGTGGCTAGAGGTTTGGTAGCCAATTGACTAATGAATTTGCTTGCAATGGTTAGACACGATACTATGTCATATTCCACTAATTGTTCGAAAATATGCAAAATTTGATTTGTGTAGCTTCCTTCGTTGGGACAGTTATTGTACAAACTGAGAAAAGCGACTAAAGTTTTGCTTAATTGTACGTCCTCCGAAATAGTGCCATTAACAATGGACCTTATTTTTGACAATTCCTCACGCCGGTCCTTTAATGGAAGCAGCTTTAACTGCAATACCCGAGAATCCAAATCCTCGACTGACATATTTCAAGGATGTCTTAGATCTATGAGTAACGAATCTGAAAAATTTGAAAAATCAAAAGTAGTGTTAGAAAGAAAAAAAAGTATTTTCTGTGTCAGATTACGTAACACGTTATGGAATAAGGCGGCTCCTTTGGAATCCAAAGATAATGCTACAGAGCAATGAACAATTGAGATGATCTTCATAAATAGACAGATCAATCGAGGTGGAAGAAAGCACAGGAGATCATGTAATGATTCAGAAGTGTTGATTCGGATAAATTATCGTTAAACTAAGCATCGCCTTGTTTTGCTGTCATATTAATATAGCAGCAGCATTGAAAGTTTTTCCTGTAAGGCCGGATAATATTAAAATACGAGTTTTTACTGATTTATTGCGGCATCCTTGTTATAGAGGTCTAAGTTAATCAAGTCACTTCCATAATCTTCATCTGGAAACTTTGAAAGTGTCTAAGATCAATTTAGAGTTGTCAACCTATTTCGTTTCATAGTTTTTGCTTCACCAAAGTTTGTTTGCTTAAAGCCGAACATGGGAAAACATCCGAAGAAAGCATCCAAGCAAACACCTTTGTTTGATATAAGACTCCACTCAACAGACAAAGATGTTGTTGTTCTCAAGGGGGTGGAAGAAGATGCACCATCTGTGCTTCTTTCAGGAGTGATCGCCTTATCTGTTGTTGAGCCAATTACAATAAAAAAGTTGCAGTTGAAATTATGGGCCACTCTCAAGCTCAACTGGGACGAACGATACCAAACAGCGAAGTCTTCTTACACTCGACCATACAAGTACTCTAAGATTTTGTATGAGTTTGACTGGGATCCATTAAATCTGCATGACTTTCTCAACAATAACCACACTTCAAGTCCGTTGAGTTCTTCGTTCAATAGTCATTACTCAGACGGTTCACATCAAAATATGGGATGCACATCGCCAGGGTTTGCCTCAGGAACGATCCTGAGATCAAACAACTCTTCTTCGAACTCTTTGAAAATGCTCAACGCACACTCAAAATCTTCCACCAATCTCAACAAAAATAAATCCCTAACGAATATGAGTTCCTTATCTTTCACGCCGGCTAATAAGAACGAGCCAGTTGTGTTACAACAAGGAAATTATGAGTTCCCTTTCCAAACGATTTTGGATGGATCGATTCCCGAATCTATCGAAGGACTACCGGGATGTACATTGACTTATAAGATCCAATCTACCATTGAACGTGGTCGCTTCAGCAATCCGATTGTTACTAGGAGACATATCCATGTTGTCAGAACGTTCACAACAGACGCTCCTGAACTTGTCGAGACTGTCGCAGTTGAGAATACATGGCCAAATAAAGTTGACTACTCCATAAGTGTTCCAGCAAGAGCCATTGCAATCGGATCGACTTGCCCAATAGATATGACTTTGGTTCCACTTGCCAAAGGCTTGAGACTAGGTTCTATTAAAATCAGTTTGAACGAGAATTTTAGTTTCTCAACGACATACGCCAATCATTTGGATGAAAGAACAGTTTTGACAAAAACAGTCCCGAAATTAACTACGGATCAAAATGGAAAGGACATATGGACCGAGTCCGAAATGGACGAGAACGGTGTGTTTTTCAGAAATGAGGAGATTTCGTTGGCTCAAGATAAATGGGAGATTAGAACTTCCGTCAATTTGCCCGCCTCATTGTCTAAAATGACTCAAGATTGTTCGATTTCGCATTATGTTCGAGTTATTCACAAATTGAGATTTGTTGTTGGGTTGATCAACACTGATGGCCATGTGTCTGAATTGAGAGCAACACTACCGATCACATTATTCATCAGTCCTTTCGTGCCTGTTAAGGCCAAGAGACGTCCTGATCTGGACGATGATCTCGCATCATCAAATGTCGAAGACGCAACCATTCGTTACAAAGGAGACGATATACTATTCGAACACGATGGAGCTCCATTTGCTGGGTTCTCGACCGGATCCACCCCTGGATCAACCGTTCTTTCAACATCCGCTCCTGTTCCCGCTTATAATTTCAACGCTCAAGAGTTGATGGCTCCTCCTAACTATGAGAACCGTGTCTATGATCGCCTGTGGAATGATACTGGCTCACGTACAAGTACCCCTGGATTCTCGCCGCCAACCACACCCCAACCACTTCCGGAGTCTGATCCACAATCTTCCAACTCGTCAGCTGCTGCTCTCTCAACAGGCAGGGGTGAGACTTTGGGAGAGTTCAATATGATTCCAAGTGAGAGTGGTTTCAGCAACCACTTGTTTGCAAGCTTGAGCCAGATTCAGACTCCAAGGGAGGGTGAGGGAAGACAAACGCCAGGTACTGCGCCTCGAGGAAGACCTGTGTTCAACTTGACTGATGAAGGAACTGACTATTTCTCCTACAATTCACAAGCGGCTCATGATGACAGCACAATTGCCGGACCATCATTTTCGGGTGGTGCCATTCAACAGCCGCTGGCTACTCCGGGGATTGCCATACAGAGTCACCCTGTTGGGTCGGGGATTCTTTCTCCAGTGCAACATCTGTCGAGAGTGAACTCTTTTACAGAAGGTTCACGTCCTTTGGATTCACCACACGGAGAAGAGATAAAATGGGACGGAAACCTGCTTTCGCGGGTACCATCTTACGAGACTGCGGTCAAATCGGAAGTCAATGCGGACGACTTAACACCGGCCTACGAACCTTCCGAGTATGGATCTTCGATAAATTTGGATTTGTTGGACTCTCGTCTGAGAAACGTTCGTTTGGCAGAAGGTACAACTCATCAGACATCATCCAGCAGTTTGCCTGCCCACCCGAAATTATCGAGAAGCAACACATCGTCGTCAGTTCTTCTTCACCTGGGTCGACACAAAGACCACAAACATTTGACCGCCGAGCTAGCTAAAAGCAGAGCTTCTTCGAAGAATCCTTCGCCAGGTACTTCGAGAACACAGTCATTTGCAAATTTATCATCCTCTAGACAAGGACCACCTATGGGATCGGGTCACACATCGCCTTCTTCATCAAATGGTTTATCTCCTCCTAAACTTGCGCACCATCATTCTGGTTCAACTTCTGCGCTTTATGGATCTGGATCGTCAAACCCGCCTTCATCTGCACACGATAGTGCACCATCATTTGTGACTGCATTAAAGCGTCCCGAGTTGGTCACATCAAGATCGTCGTCCAGCTTCCACTTAAACATGTCCAAGAAAAATGCATCACTGGGAAGTCTTAACTTTTTGCATAAAAAGAAGTCAACAAAATGAGCTGGATCCTTTCCTCTCAATTAAAACAACGAGAAAATTGGTATTACATCATAAAGTGCTTTCCATCTCAATGTATATATATATATCAATACAGTGGTCTGAGATTTACAGGGTAAAATGGTTTGGGAATGTAGTTTTTCATCTATAATTCTTCTGTGTTAAAAAATGAATCAAAATGTGGGAAAAAAAGGGTTGGTTGAAATAACTTAAATTTGTTTCAAATCGTTTGTCTTCAATAAAAGTGATCAAACTTGCGGATTATTCTTGACTCGCTATCATCATGAGCTTTGATAACTATGTAAGTTGCAAATAATTAGACCTTCAACCCTCAACTTGTTCTTTAACTTCAGTCGCAAGGACCAGTAAGAAAGGGGAAAGAAGGATCATATACTGTGAGCAGATTCTAACGAGTATTTGTTATCTCACCAGTCCTTTCAAAAGTCAGACTCAGCTGATACTACTGAATCAAACTTTGGAACTTCTATTTCAGGTGATGGCGGCTTAAGACCTAGCTCATTTGTAGGTTCTCAAAATTCAGGGTCTCAAAACAGATCTGACCTATCGCCTACTTCAGAAGGGCAAAAAATTTCAGCCTCCATGAACCAGGAGGCTCAATATGATCTCTATGGAGGTGGCAAGTCAGAATCTAACCCTTCTCTGTCTCCAGTCCACTGGCAACAGCAACAGTCTTCTGCATCAACTCCTCAGATCCCAAGTCTTGGAGAAGCATCTGGTAATTCTTTCCCTTCACTGACGAGATCTCAAACATTAGGAATAAGCTCGCCAAACAAATACGGTGCCAATTCCTACCCATGGGCTCCGTTTGCAACCCCCTCATCTGCAACGAATAATTTTAATTCTGGATCTGCAGCTAGTAGAGATCTGTGGTCCAGTACCGCTGCTTCTGCATCAGCAGGAATGATGACATCAAACACAAGCACTTCATCCAATCCCACGAAACTTCAATCCAAATATTACCCGGGCGCTGATCCCATTTTCAATTCCTTTTATGACACTTCTGCAACCAGTGCTCCACTGGCAACTTCTTCTTCATTATCACATGCCGACATGGACACACTGGCGATGCAGTTGATGCAGTTGAATTTACCCAAGTCGTCTTCGAACCTGAATACTTTCAATGGTCCGTCCAAAGTACCTTCATTTCAGAATCCTGCGGAATACGGTTCCAAGTGGCCGAGTTTTTCTGGACAGTCTACGAGCCCGTCGGCGCATATTCCGCCTCCAATTGATTACAATTCCAGACAACAGCTAACCCATGAAAAGTCTAGAAGTGTTCAGCTTACAAATGCAGATTCTGGGGATATGAATTCGGAAATCGAGAACGACCGGGTGCAACTAGAGCTCAAAAATTCAATCATCACCAAATTGGAGAACGAGAACTCACGCTTGAAAATGGTTCTCAAAGTGTCAAGCAACAAAGAGAACGATAACAGCCCTTTCGAAATCCCCAAAAATCACGAACAGTTATACAACAAATTAGCCGAAAAGTTGCAAGCTACACAGGACGAACTCGAGGACACTAAGTTGAGATTGGAGGTCATATTGACAGCAATTGCATTGAACCCTAATCAATCCGTCACCAAGACAGGTAGGTATGACGAAGAAGAGATTGCGCACAAAGTTATCACTAAAATGCAAATGTTGACTGAAGAGAACGAAGAAATGGCAAAAATGTTGAGTTACGGAAAGTCAAAGGAAAAAGATATCGAGATAGGACTTTTGAGAAAGCAGAACACCGAGCTCAAGACTAAGATCAGTAAGCTAGAAACAAAGGTCAAGGAGCTGAAAAAGTAACCAACTGGTTGTGAGATGAATTGAATTTTGCTAAACGGTAAAGTTAAGGGGATAGCATGGAAGCTTGAGATAAGGATAGATCATCATAAACTCAAAGCTTCAACAGAATGTATGAAACAGCGTTAGAGAATGTGGAGGCCATCAAGTCACGACTGCTGTCTTTCATATAAATAAATATAGCCTGACTTTTCAATTTCACGGAGGTTATCTTCTGTTGCCCTAACAACCTTTTCGTCATTGAACAGTAACCAAGATTGAACTCCATCAACCTTTCCCTTGATAAATGCAACATAATGTCCGGAGTGGATCGAAGCTCCTTTATGACAAACGACGGCTTTCAAAATGTAATTGTCTCCAGGTTGAGAGTTGGCCTCGAGTCTCTTGATATGTTCTTCAGGCGACTCATCTGCTTCAACCTCAGGCAGAACTCCATCATCATCCGGATGAGAGAACAACCATTCGACAGCAAGCTCTACGTTCCCTTTGGTCATCAACAGAGCCTTTCTTGACAAAGTTTCAGTAAAGCCCATTGAGATCAGAGATTGGACTTCCTGTTCTGATTCCGATTTGGATGAGGACTGTGCTGATGGATCAAACGGCTCATCAATATCTGGATCTTCCATATGAGCGAATAACCAGTTCATGGCAGCTTCTGCATCCTTATTTCCAGTAGCATAAAGAGCGCGTTTGCAGCGGTTCTCCGGAAAGCCCATGCCTAACAAAGTATTCATTGCAGACTCATCAAACAAGAAAGAGTTTTTGGCATCCTGTTGTTCAATGATGTGTTCCCCTTCCCGCAAGCCAGGTGAAACACAGTCGTCTAAGCTTAAAATCTCTTCAAACTTGATAGGAACATCTAATTTGACAGGAACCCAGTTGTCCAATTTGATTCTCTGAGGACTTAGGATCAAATAATCAGGGAAGGCAGTTAATCCCTCTGTTTTTGTTGCCTTGACCAAACCGTCACAATTAGGACAAGTGTATTCAACATCTTGAGCAGCTATCCAGTTGAGTAAAGATTCCTTCAACGTGACTTGCTCGTATAATTTCCTTCCGTTCTCATCTGTACCGACAACGTTATCCACGATTGGTACGCGGATGTTGTTTGTGATTTCTTTTGCAATAATCACACCACTGCAATTAGGGCATTTGATCTTGTTTTCAACGACGAAATTAAACAATTGGGTTGGAGAGACGTTGGAAACTCCGGTCAGCTTTTGAGAATCTATTTTCTCCAAAAGGAAAAGAAGGAACTCGAAAGCATCTTGTTGCTGCATTGTGGAAAATTCAGGATGCCCTTCGCCTATCAGTGTCTTGAAGCCCTGGGGTCTAATACCTTTCTGAAACTTGACACTTTCACTTGTTGCCTCGTCAGGAACGGAATACCTTCCTGACAGGAGACCATCACCCAATTTGAATAGTTGAGTTTCAAGGTCAAGCGCAGGATTTCCAGGATTCAAAATCTTTTCTACTGGCATCCCTTCCTCAATGTGAAATGCCGAACCAAACTCGGAGATCGAAAATAGAACTTGTACCACAGAGGAAAGATAACAAGAGTTTCCTAGATTCTTGAGTCCGGTCAGCCCTTCTCCAAACACAGGAATCAAAGATTCTCCATTTTCGTCTGACATGTTGAAATCCCATTTGACATTCTGTTCAATTTGGAGCTCTGTTAATGTCTTTTCCGTCTTCACTGTTTCCGAGATCTTGATCCCAAAGGTGCCAAGTAAATTCACCAGGTCCGGAACCTTCACATCGTCATTGCAGGTGTAGCAGTATGAATCAGCAGAGTTCAGCGATAGCGATCCCAACTTCACTGCAATATGGTGCGTAGGATTAGATTCGTAATGTTTCAAAGCGTGTGAATTTCCAGGAACTCCACCGAACTGAGACCTGCCACAACCCAACGAACCACAAGTTAAACAGATCCATAAGTTTTCCTTGAGGCCACATTCATGACACTGAGTGAGGTCAAAATCTTTGGTCTTCCCTTGCTTGATATCAAAAGAGTGGGGACAAGGAACAATCTCTTGTTCCCAAGCTTTGATTTCTTGCTGTTTATCATTTGAGGTCGCCTCTATAATGGCACTAGCGCACTCTTTGACGTGATCAGGAATATCTTCACGGGGAAAGTCAATCGACTCATCGATATCTGAACAGTATATCTGAGTTTTGATGTCATACAAATCGTTCTCTGTTTGCTCTTTGATTTCGAGCTTTACCATCTTGAGAGGCTGTTCACTTTGTCTCAGATTTTGGTGTTTCACAATCTTTCTGTAATTTAGATACACTTTGTGATTGAAGTATTCAGAGTGCTGTTTGGTGTAATTGAATCCCAGTCTAGAGAAAGACTGGAAACAATTCATGCAAATGTCCAATCCACTATCGTCGAATGCCGTCTCGAAAGAAAACATACAGTCATCTTTGTAAATAGGAGTTGATTCCGAAGGAGTGGATATCACGTTGCGATCCAATGATTGTAAATATTCCAAAGCCATATTGCTGTTGCCACTATAGTTAAAGGCAAAAAAGATAAACTGGATTTTTTATCTATTTAAATTTCAATCTGAAAAGTTAATCAGTACTAACGCTCAATTCTCCTTGTTCACACCAACCGTTCACGGGCAAGCAATTGATGTATTTGCACCATTTGCAGCTCTCAGACGCCATTACGCCTTTGTCCGCAAAGTTTTTGGCCAAAAGGACAAAGTATGCAATAGAAAGTGCTAAGCAGACTATTCTGACAAAGATCCAAGTGAAGTAAATGGTTGGTTTTCGTGTTCTTTTGTCTTCCTCATAGACAAAATGAGGATTGGGTAGAATAACCGTTCCCAACGCTAGTCCGATCACGAAGCCACCAATATGTGCGAAATTGTCTATTCCTGGAAGCAGCCCTAAAACAATTAGCACCAGCACCTCCACGAACGAACCAATTAACATCACTTTGAAGTTTCTCCTGTTGCCTGGCCCTTTCAAACGAGGATCGTAATGACTTATGTTGTTGTTGTAAATGAGAAGTAACAGATTCAGTGCTATGCAGGAACCACAAAGAGCGCCTGAAGCCCCACTTGAAGCCATTCCTGCCGGTAGAAAATTCAACCCCAACAGCGAACCTGAGAAACCTGATGCAATATAGATGAATGCATACCGAAGTAAGCCGACGTAAATCTCTATTTTAGACCCGAGCGCAATCTGAAGAAAGAGATTGAAAATGATATGCAAGAACCCTGCATGAATAAAAATACAGGTGAACAGTCTCCACCATTGATGCGGAGTATCGACGCTATCGGAGAATCCACCCATTCCACATAACTCGGAGAGACTGCAGACGTCTGTTGAAGAAGATGTCGAGTTTGGGCACGGCCACTTGACCGAGCTGGCATCAAGAACGCTCTCGATGCTTGTCATACAAGGTAAATATCTTGCTCCACAATTGATCTGGACATAAGATGAAGGACCAAGCATTGGATTGAAGTAAGGCTTTGTTTGAAAGATAGTCTTTGTGTATATGCCCATTTTGATAAGTTCGTAAAGAAAGACTGAAAGGTCGATAACAGTAACGAATATGGTGAAATACGGCCAACCCTTCAGACGACCGCCAAAGAGAATTTGATATAAAACGGTCTTCCGCGTGGGCGTATCGGGAGTTGGTGCTAGCTCTGTTTCAGTGGTAAATGCAGAAACCTTGGGAATGTGGCGGGAATCGGGAATCGGAGGATAGTCTCGAAGGGGAATGCCTCGAGAAGATCTTTCCTCCACGTCAAAAGGATTTTGAGAGGCTGAAGTTTGCCTATAAGAATCTGTCTGCTTTATTAATCGCGTATAGTTTCTATCGCTGAAGGGATCATCATCATCATCAGACACCTCAAATGGAGATTTAGTAGGCATTAGTAGTCACTGTATCAAACAAATAAACAATTTACTGCGTGGGGCTTAGAGCTTAAATTTATTTCATAAAACGTATGTTTTTCTAACCTAAAAATACATCACCTTGTCTCGTAAACAAAATAATGTAAACCTAGGTAACCTAACAAGATGAATGTAACAAGCATCCCAGATAACCAACAAATGTCAAACCAAACCGCTCCAACGTCAAAACCAAAGGTGCTCAAGATGACAGCTCCTGGGACACTAATATCCAGACCGTACTTTTTCTCCTTCAAAATCAGTCCTTTGACCTCGTTGACGGTAAGTGCCTCGTATCCGTAATGAAACACAGAAATAGTCTCAAACCATGATAGCTGAACAGGAATGGTCTCCTTGTTGACAAATAGACCAGCGAAAAGTAGCGAGAAAAGAAGCACCAACACACCGACCATCGTAGCAGAACCTGGTTCTTTCACCAATATTCCAATGATTAAGATCTCAACAGAGGCAGCCAGATTGAAAAGAATCAAGATCAACAAGGAGACCCAAAACTTATTTTCTTCCATGTTGAGGCCAACCAATGGGTAGATAATTGCCATAAGAATAACTGGTGGGAATAATCTCAATGGAATGACATCACAAACAATCTTGCTAACATAATAACTCAATGGATGATAGTAATTGTTGGATCTTTCTCTGACGAAAACAAGTCGTTCAGCCGAAAATGAATGGAGCCCAGTCAATGTTGAAAAGCCGAAAAGTGTCAAGAGGAAAAAGAAAAGCCCTAATCTGTTCTGAAATCCACTAATATTGTTCTCCACATCGTAATACAGATAAGAGCAGAACAATCCCATGATTAATGCCAGTGCATAATGCGACATTAAAAGCTTCGGATTTCTATAAGAGTTTTTAAAAGTTCTGGAACATAGAATGGTAAGCTGAGTCCAGAATCCAGCTTTGCTCTTACCGTGCTGAGATTTGAAAAAAGATCCAGAGGAATCGGTATCATGTTGAGATCCATTGAACGTCTCTGCCAAAGCTTTGATATCCGAATGTAATCTTTCAGCGTTTAGCGACTTGCAAAACACAGAAGCGACAAATGCAGAAGCTTCTCCAGTTGAAGTTGAGACTTTAGACACTTTATTTCCAAATTCATCTCTGTGATATGCGTAATGTTGCCATTCACTAGTTGGATCATCAACATCATTTGCGGGAAGATTCGAATGAATGTCAGTATCATGATCGTGAGAATGACTTTCCTCATCAGTAACAATCGATGCTAGAGATGTTAATGAATTCCCCTTTGCAGTAATATCGATCAGATAATCTGCAATATTGTATCCTGAAGGGCAGTTGTATCCATTGGATGCAAAAAATTCAGCACACTCTGACATCAAGCCCGAGTAGACAAGTTCACCTTCGGACAACAATAACAATTTGTCGAAAAGAGAGACGATGTTACTTCTGGGTTGATGAATTGTAAAAATGACAGTTCTTTTGTAATCTTTGGCAAGTCTAACCAAACTTTCTATCACGTTGAAAGCATTGAATCCATCTAGTCCAGAAGTAGGTTCATCTAGAAACAAAATTGAAGGAGAAGTGACAAGTTCGCATGCAATTGCGACTCTCCTTTTTTCACCTCCTGAGATGCCTCTTTCAAAGTCGGAGCCAATTAGTTTATCCTTGATATGCAAGATTCTCAGCTCTGCGAGAATCTGGTGAACTTTTGCTTGCTTGGAAGCAATTGACATTTTTTGAGGGAGACGCAACAAAGCACTGTTCAAAACCGTTTCATAAACAGATAAGGTTGGGATCAAAAAGTCCTCTTGGTTCACAAAACCAACAGACTTCTGGAATTGAGCTAAGTCTTGCTTAGTGATGATTTTCTCGCCATTGACGTAAAGAGACCCAGAACTTACACCACTCTTATTTTTCCCTGCAAGAATATCCAACAAAGTGGTTTTACCAGCACCTGAACCTCCCATGATAGCCATGCATTCTCCAGGCTCAACTAGACCAAATGCATCCTTCAAGACTTTTTTACCGGCGATATCGTAGCTGACATTGTCAAAAGAGAAAACAGCCGGCTTATAATCGTCCAGAAGTGAATCATATTGATCCGAATCATCATCCAATGGTAGCTGGATCGAGTCTTCGTTATTGAAAAGTGGAGTTCTCTTGACACCATAGAAAACTAACCCGATGATTGCTGCACTTCCAGCAACTGAGCCCAGAATCCTCAAAAAGTCAATCACTCCAAATTTCTTCTTTCCTGGGAGTTCGAAACCAGGTATTTCGCTTGCATGTAAACACTCTCCTGATCTGCAATTCAATGTGATGTATGGATCTCCGAAAACGTTTGTAATTAGATCGTTCATGCTAGGTTCAGAAAACTTGCAGTCTCTATCAGCGACGTTGCACGAGAAATCACCAGGTCCAGCTATGGTCTCCGTCAAGAAATCAGAAATATCAATTGATCCCGCTTGACCACAAAGCATTTTTCCAGGAAGACACTTGCAAGAGACATTTTCGCAGTTGTAATGCGTTATGTTTGAAGACAAGTCATAATCAAACGAGCATTTCGACAAATCACAGTAAAAGCTTTCCTCTTCCGCGATCCAAAATTGGAAATCACACCTTGCGGAAGTCTTGTTACAACTGAATGTAACTTGAGGTTTCTTCCCATCCAAGATCTCCACAATTTTCTTATTCGTGACATCACACATTTGATGATTTTTATTAACAAGGATGCCTGATTGGTAGCAAGTTCCTTTCAAATCACCGGGGACAAATGCATCACAGACCGAGTTTTCTTCGCAAAGGTTGCAATTGATTCCTCCCCACCCGCTCTCACACTGACAGGAACCATTGGAATCTCTGACGGGCCGATTGTTCCCATCTGCAAGACTTCCACAGACAGGCTCAGAGCAGTCTTCACCTCCAAATCCTTGGAGACATTCACACCTACCCGAGAATGGATTGCAAGTGGAAAATTGCTTGCATTCGAAATTGGGCAGATTACAGTTGAAGCATGGAGGGCATTTATCATCTTTATCTTTGGATACCTCAGAGTACTGGTCTGATGACGAAAACAGGTTTGAATTACCAATCTGGGGTGACGAATCTCCCTTTGAATAAATGAGCGAGTTTGCAGATGTTGAGCCTTGTGACAAAGGTGCACATAAACACAGCAGTAAAAATGATGTTATGGCCAGCATAATAACGAGGGTTCTAGGTTTGCCTCCCTAGTTGCTGTACTTTTTGAAATTCTAATTTGGTTCTTTATGATCAACCACAATTGTTCAAGTCGTACAAAGCTACCAGAGTTTGCCTGTCTAACTTTTGGAGGGTTGATTATGACTATTGCTGTATGGTAAAAACAGGAGAGCCTTTCGTGACAATGTTTAATATATTATGAACAGAAATTTAATTGATAGCAAAAAAGACGTCTACAGTCGCGTCGTTAATTGTAGATATGCATCTTAAATTAAAAGAAATCATCCAGAGTCTTTTCCGAGTCTTTCTTGATTAGATTCAGCATGCCTTCTGGTAATATAGGTTCGTTCTGGTCGTTCAGAACATACCTAAATGGCATTTCGGTAGCCTCATGTATGTTGTAACGTATTTCCGGATAATCGATAAATTTTATGTCTTCGAATTTTGTGCCTTCAACTATCAATTTTGTAGTCCGGACAGCCGTATCAGTAGTCATTTGCAAATGCCCGAGTCTTCTAGTTTCACAGCCTAATTTATGCTTAAGCTCGGAGGTTCGGTCTCGTGGAGGATGGTCGCCAAGAATCCCACCAAAAACAAAATAGTCAAACTTTAGCTTATCGGCTGGTTGAAGATCAATCTCAGCTCTGGGATCAAGAAGACACAACTTCGCGGTGTTCAGATCCAAAAATTCTGTAGTGTCTTTGGTCGTCCAGTTTAGTCCCATCTCTCTAAGACACAAAGGAATGTCATCCTCTTTGATTTGGCCTGGAAGCGAAGTAAGTATTAAATTATCTTTTCCAACATCGCGTATTATTTGACAGTACTCAAGAGTCACCCATTCGGTGAATCCTTGTTCCATATGTTCGATAATGTATTTCATGGTATCGGAATTAATAACAAAGGTACCGCAACTAGATGAATAGAAATTTTTCACAATTTTTTGAAGCAGTTTGAGGCTAAGGAACAAGCATGGAAGTTGATACACTGCTTGGGCTTTAGTTTTGATGGCCATTGAAATAACTCCAATAAAATACCACTGTTAACATGTAGAATGGAGAGAAACCCATTGTCCCATTGTCTGAAAAGACATAGTGCCCTCATCACAATTTATACCCAATGTTCATGCTTTCTTTCAAATTACATACTAATGCTAATATCCTCCTACCTTGATCCAATCTGAAAGAGACTGACATAAGGGTCGTTGCCTTTTGCTAGAATCTCAAGATGTAGGCAAACCAGGTTTGCTCAATAAAATCACTTTCTGCCAGTAAACCTCGAACGAAATACTCAATTAAGGTTTAAGTCGTGCATGAAATGCCCCCTAAAATAATCCAACCGTATATATTTTACGAACTAAAAAAATTGGGCATCCCAAGATTGCTTTCTGAAAAATGGGATATCCAAAAGTTATTGGCGGAGTTTCTAGAAATGCCTACCCTGGTGTTTACACCCATTCGTGCAGATTTGTTAGATCAGGGTTGATTGATTTTGGAGCTCGAATGACTGTTATTACAGGACCGAAATCTTTTATCGTTTGGTCTGCAATTCCATTTGATGAACAAATGATTGCCTCTCTAAATAAATCCATCATCGATGCAGGCGATTTGAAATTGGGAGAATCTTTTACTGATAAGCTGTCTCACATCATTATTCCAGATGCGGAACATACGATGGCTGTCAAGAGCTGGAAAGCAAAGTTACCAAACGTTCGAGTTTTGGGGATCGAAGGCGTCAGTGATGCGATCGCTAAGCTAACAGATATCACGATCCCTTTCAAAGCCAATCAAAAGATTTTGGCGGTTGATGAGCTTTTCGACTATGGTCTTGACGAGACCAAAGACTCTGCACTTCTTGCCTCTGATCTTCAGTTCATGTTCCTCCCATACTATTCCAACAAAGAATTAATGGCATTCCATCCTAGTCAAAAAGTTTTACTATGTGCAGATGTTTTGTTCAACGTTCAGTCAGCGGACATCAGAACTCCCGAATCTGACATTTACAACGAGCAATTTGAAGGGAAGGAAACTTTCAATTGGGCTCAAAAACTTGCCTTCAAAAGCCTATTCTCTGTGGGGACAAGAGCCAACAAATTTCTTATCAACTCTCAAATTCATAAAAGTGATAACTTTGCACAGTCTTTGGAGAAGATGTTATCCACTTGGCAGCCAGAAAGAATCATTCCTTGTCATGGTGATACAATTGATAGGAATGGAACAGCTGTATTCCGCCGTGCTTTCGGATCGATCTTGAGTAGTTGAGGATTTGCTTTCTTGAATTGTTCTCAGCAAGTCTCCTTCTCCAATTAATTGTTACTGGTTCATTACGTACGTAGGTTGCCGGACCAGCTTAGTGATGGCGAAAATATTATCTGACCAAGATTTCTCCCCGCAGCTGGGCAGTGCAAATTACACACTGTCAGCAGAGGAATGAGTGATCAGCACGAATTTTAGATTAGCCAAACCTGATATTCCAGTATTAATCCCTAAATTTACAAAAGATGATTTCAAAAGCGGTAGTTATGGTTGGTGGTGGATCAAGGGGAACCCGGTTCCGACCATTGGCACTCGATCAAGCAAAAATAATGTTTCCTATAGCAGGGAAACCCCTTTTAGCTCATACAATTGACGCGATTTTAACCGTCCCAACCATCAAGGAGATTCTTCTTATTGGATTCTACGATGCCAGTGTCATCAGTGACCTCATTCTAGACTTCAATACACAATTGAAATTCTCAGGCCGAGACTGTACCTTGAAGTATCTGAAAGAGTTCAAAGCCTTGGGCACAGCTGGTGGGCTCTATCATTTCCGGGAGGAAATTTTACGAGGTAATCCCGATGGGTTTCTTGTGATACACGGTGACATTGTTTGCTCCTTTCCTCTTCAAGATATGATAAGAGTGTATGAAACTAAGGTTAGGGAAGCGGAGAAAATTGACGCCTTGTTGTTTGGTGTGAAGTTATCAAATTACGACCTGTTTGTGGCATTAAACGGATCTGAGCAATCTTCCTTCGGCACGATAGCATCTCAAGATGATGGGAAAGTGGTTCACTACGTCGAAAAGCCAGAATCCAAAATATCCGACGTCATCAATGGTGGAATATACATCTTTAACGAATCCCTATTTCGAAGATTATCTCACGCTAAGATTAGCAAGATCACGATTGCAAACGACAATACAAATTTTGAGTTTGTTGACGAAGATGTGATCTCCATGGAGAAAGATATCTTACACAATATTCCCGATTTTGGCAAGACCTACGTTTATCAGTATAAAGGCTTTTGGAAAGCAATTAAAACCCCTTCTGATGCCTTATGGGCGAACGAGTTATACTTGGAAAGGATTGCACAGGACAAATCTGTGGTTGCCAATAAAATGCTGCAGAAGCCTTCAATTAATATCAAGCCTCCAGTACTTATCCATCCTTCAGCAACAGTGAATTATGAAAACGGTACAAAAATTGGGCCTTATGTCTCCATCGGAAGAAATTGTGTTGTTGGTGCGGGAACAAGAATATCAAATTCTATCATTCTAGATGGATGTGAAGTTGGAGAGAATTCGATAATCCTCAATAGTATTATCTCGCTCAATTGCAAAATTGGCAATTGGTCTCGTATTGAAGGGACAGGAATTAATTTGATCTCTATTAACGATATCGTGAAAAGGAATGGCCCAACAAAGATCAAGAAGGTGTTGAATGCAGACAATAGCCGTGTCATCGGAATTAAAGATTCTGGTAATATATGCATCCTAGGTTCGGGGACCCACATCAATGACGACCTCTATGTTCTTAACAGTTTCATTTTACCTAACAAGTCTATCAAAGATGATGTTAGATATGAGATTGTGATGTGATGTCTCAACTGTTCAATATTGTCTTATTTTATATTCGCTACTTGATTATCCTCAGCCCTTTTGATTTCCTAATCCAGTTTTTACTTCCATTCACTACCTACACGAAAAATTATTTTTTCACCTTCCTAATTGGAAATAAAGTGGTATTTTGACGGCTTTTCGTATCCCTTTAGAAACTAATTCCGCAAGTTACCTTAGTTTCAAATAAAAAGGTGTTGCTACTGAACTCTGAAGGTCTGTGTAATCAACAGTCGAAGCCTTTGACATCTTTCATCTGAACACTACAAGGAAGGTTTGAATCTTCTGCAACTCGCGGACACGAATTACAATTGCCGACGAATTCAAGTATAGATCCTTGTCTCAGCTCAGTTGCGTAAGAACCTTTAGTATCATCACAGAACCAAAATACTTGGATCTTTTTTGCATCTCAGAGTACTCTACAATATGCAAACCGGACACCCAGAAGATGCGATCGCTGAGAAGATCCTCAAACGTGCAGAAATTGCAAGAATTACCAGACAGCTGAAGAATAAGTTGTTCAAAGCAGGCATGAAGGTGAGGGAAAGTCAAGGAAAATCCTTAACTTCTTCGTCTCCACTCGACAATTCTGATCCCTTGGTTTCGGAAAGTTCGCCTACAACTTCTCCCTTGAAACGGAAATCTTCGGATGATGAAGAGGCTTTTTCATCGCCAGCAAAACGCGCACATCACGCTAACATCCCATCCTCTCCATTCTACCCTTCAAACACTCCGATAAACTACTTGTCAGTTGAGCGATCTCCTACGCGGCAAAAGGTCGATATCGCGATTCCGAAAACCCCTCCTTTGGGAAACAAAGTTATCCTTGATGATATTGCTCTCACAAAAAGTGCAGGTGCACACAAAGAAAGCTTGACTGGGTCAGCTCATTCCGTGTATCAGTCGGCATTGTTTTCTACTCCTAAGAGCTCCAAAACCAAAAAGGCTTTCGAGTTCAAAACCCCAAATTCAAAGTACGTGAACGAAAATGAGGAAGGCGCAGATTTGCTACTCTACCTTTCCAACTCGCCTGCAAGGACTGTTAACTCCAAGGAAGGTAAAGAACAATCGACATTCTTGAATATTCCAACAACGCCGAAATCCAGTCATGCCTCTATGCTCAATTTATCTAGTACGCCAAATCTGGGCATAGAATCCACTCCTCCTAGAGGAACATCAACTGCGCTTCCTTTTTCCACTCCTTCGCTGCTACAACCGCCCAGCACGCCAGGAAACTCATCTATTTTGGGTGCCAAACTTTTCGGAGCTACCAAAAATGGGTCAAGAACTCCTGCTTTTAGTATGTCTGATTACGTGAGCATATTTACTCCAAGTCCAAGACACACTCGCACGCCAGAGTTTTCACACAGCTTTGTTAAACCAGCTGTTTTAAGCTACTCGAAAGAATTGAATGGCATCACAAAATCAGAAGAAAGTTGATGACCATTTCTCTGTTGTTCATTTGCTTTCACATCCATGATATATAACTATTAATTGTACATTGTTGCGTTATCCTAATAAATGTAAGGTTAACAACCAATCATAATTGTGGACATTGTAAGCATATTAAAAATTAAAGCCGAAAAATTCGTAAGATCGATTTATATCGAAATAAAATGTCATCTCAAAAAGAGCTATTATAAACTATTATATTTGCCCGCTCTAATTTAATAGTGTATCTTGATTACTGTATTGATCAATATTTTGCAACATGGGACTAATTGAAATCACTTCCCAGGATCAATTCACGGACTTGACCTCTGTGCCAAACAAACTCATTGCGTTATATTTCCACACGCCCTGGGCCTCGCCCTGTATTCAAATGAACAAAGTCTATTCGACTTTGGCCGATTCTTCGCAACACGATAAGACAACTTTTCTCTCCATAAATGCTGACGACCATCCTGAGATTTCGGACCTTTTTGATGTTTCTGCTGTTCCATACTTTGTTTTGATCAGAAACGGTACCATATTGAAAGAATTAAGTGGTGCCGATCCAAAGGAATTCGTGTCAGCACTCAATCAATTCAGTGATAGACCTCAGGAAGCCCATAACCAAGGGGCTTCAGATTTTCAGACAACAGAATCCGCTTCAGCTCGACCATCTAGCACTACTGCTTCCAAATCACCAACTCCAGAGGAAGAAACTCCCGAACAACTAAATGCCAGACTCTCAAAATTGACAACAGCAGCTCCAGTCATGTTATTCATGAAGGGAACTCCATCTGCACCACAATGTGGATTTTCAAGACAGCTGGTGGCAATTTTGAGAGAGCATCAAGTCAGATTTGGATTTTTTGATATTCTGAAAGATGATGCTGTCAGACAAGGTCTTAAGAAGTTTAGTGACTGGCCAACTTTTCCTCAATTGTATATTGGAGGAGTGTTTCAGGGTGGTCTCGATATTGTCAAAGAGAACCTGAGTGAAGATGAGCATTTCTTCGAGCACGCTTTAGAAGAAGCCAATAATGCAAGCTAAGGCTCAAAAGGTTCGTCGTTTAAACACATAATATTACTTTGGCTTAAAGCTGTAAAACTAGCGAGTCATCGCTGAACTCGTCACTGTAATTGTTATCATCGCTAAAAACGATGGGATCCAAAACAAACTCGTCGTCAGATTCTGGACTGTCACTATTATTACCAAATCCAAAGTACAGTTCCTCCAATTTTTCTCGAGCTTTCAATCCTCCTTCCGAATCGAAACCATCTTCCTCTTCTTCGATGGGTTTTAATTCTGTGTCAGCTAGCAAAAAATTCTTAAAATCTCCCCCTAGTCTTCTGAAATGCAGGCTTCTAGAGAATCCAGCATCCTTCAGTTTTCCCATAAGCTTCTTGGAGTTCAAAATTTTGTGCTCGTAGAATCCATCGCATGTAAGAAGATCCGTAACACTTGCATAGGAATAATGGCTGGATTTGATTAGCTTTGTTGTTCTTTTGTATGAGTACTCGATAGTTTCCCGACGAATACTGTTGCTCTTTTTTAGTGATTTTAAATCTCTTGAAAATCGTAGACTCACAAATGATGACGGCTTACTGGATATAGTCTTCAATCTTTTGGATTCGATTCTGGTTCCCAAACATCCCACTGTTGTTGATATTTCATCCATTGTGGGACTTCCGTTGAAGGATGAACTTTCGAAACCTTTTAAGCTTAAATTATCGGAAATCGATAAGCTATCAGCCAATTTGTCAATACAAGGATTCACACTCGTGGCTATTGATAGATAATTTTCCAGCAAATTGAGACCAAATGTAGATGCAGATCGCATAACATCAGTGACGACATTCACCACTGTCACGTAATCAATATTAAATTTCACCTGCTCGTAGGAAGCATGGCTACCGGTGGGTATGTGCGCTTTTTTGATGTAAGTTTTGTATTCTTCCTCTGGATGCTGGGTTCCATAGAGTAGTTTCCCAATAGAATGGAAAAGATTGAGACCGGACTCTTTCCCTAAAAATTGCGCATCCGAAGCGGTGGAGGCGCAAAACTTGACCCAGTACTCAAAAAGTATTATGGCGTTTCGTAAATCACCATTGGGGCTCAACTGTTCAATTCTCGAGTTGATCAAATATCTAGAAATTCCCTTATTCATTGTAATTGTCCTATCCTCAGCGCTCGCAATTCTTGTGAGGCACTTCTTCACATACCTCTTAGCGACGGGATTAAACTTGATTCTTCCCCAAGTGCTCCCCTCAAATGACATAATCTCGCTCCCTAAAACCAATTCCGTTTTGAAATTCGAGTCCAAGGAAGCCATGCTGCTAGAAAACTCGTTTGCGACCTCGTATTCGGTTAGACATATAATAAGTGGGGGTAAGTTGACTTTCTTGTCCATTAAAATCCACTTTGTGAGACTTGACCTGAATTGTTTCAATGTGTCTGGATGATGTAAATTTGGGAGTTCCTCTACGACAATGCATTTTTGATTTCTCGCTGTCAGAACTTTGCAACCCTCCAAAAATTCGCCAAAGTTTGTGACTGATGAGCTATCTTTCGATGTAGATGTCGCCCAGTTCATATATTCAATTACATGATCCAGACGATGCTCAATGGAAATGTGATCAATTTTCATATGGTTTCCAGAGTTCTTGTGTTTGTCTCTCATTAATTCTTCGCATATTATTTTTGCAGATACACTTTTCCCACTTCCTGCGGGTCCTGACAAAATAAGTAAACGCATGCTGGTGTTGTTATGAATCATATCATGTAGCTTCAGCTTCAATTCGTGTATTTTTCTCTCATGAATACATAATTCGGATGACGTGAATGGGCAATACTTTTCTACCCATGTCAACGTGTTTTTCTTCGAAGGAGAAGAGCATCTCTGATGTAATTTTTTGCCATTAGGCACTTGCAACTTTGCTAGCAGACCTGCAACATCAGTAGGCTTTTTCAGCCTCTTCACTCTCCCCAGTTGCTCTTCATAGTTTTTATCTTCGATGGACCTTGCATGATCATCTTGTAAATCAATGTTTTTCTTTCGATCTGACTTACAATAAGCTTTTGACTCTTGAACAATAGGAAGCTCGGTTTCAGTATCAATTGAATCAAAAGACTCGTCGCTCGATATCACTATTACATTTGAATCAAGGTTTCGGTTGCGCCCCTTTTTTTGTCGATTCTCGCCTTGTGCCATGGTTGTTGCATAAGAACACTTGAATAAAATAAATTAATAAGACTAGATGAATAAATTGAGATTATACATGGTAAAGCTATTGTGAACAATCCTCATCTCTGTATTTTAAGGTTGTCAACTATAATCCAGTTTGAGATTAGCAAGTAAATCTAGTCTATACGTATCAACACATGGACGATACTACACAGTCTTGAATGTCATGGCCCAGGGGCGCCAAAGTATACAATGCAAATCTGAGATAATCACAAGTTTCTCCAAAACCCCCACTAAATATCATATAAATGCTCCCAAAACGTAGAACATCTGTTGGAGAAATGCTGAAATTCTTTTTGTTGATGCTACTCATGATTCCACGTATCACGATGACTATTCGGTCTCGAGGAGTCATTGGGGAGAAAGAATTCAAACTCTCCAAGATTTCGTCAAAATGGTAAAACCCTGGACCCAAGCCAGAAGCGAATCAAGATTGTGCGTCCGTCGGAATGCTAATTGAAATTAGCACATAATCTTAGAGACGTTCAATAACACTGAACATACTCGAAAGTGCGTTTTTTCGCATGTCGTCGGTATAGACCAAAATTCCATCCGCGCCGATAGACCTCGAGTCTAACATCCAGCACACATCACTTTGAAGTCCAAGTGGAACAATAATTTCTTGTTCCTTAGCCTTTTTCAGCTTTGATGTATGCTCCCATTTCTCTGCTGATACTTCGGCATTATCAATGATATCTTTGGAAATACCACACATGGCTGCTACATGCATGCCAAAAGATCCACTTGATTCTCCGGGTTCCAACTTGTACAAAAAGGTAATATCTCTCGATGTATCATCGGCAATGATTCCCATTCTTAATGGTTTGACTCTGGGGTTGTTCAAAAAAGAATTGCCCAGAGTGGCATAATGAGTGGCAAAGAATCCAATTGATTGGATGTGCGTTGCAAAATGGTGCAAAACCGCCTCTGCTATAGCGAAACCATCGCTGGATGATCCTCCACGACCTAATTCATCCAGAATGATCAATGACCGAGGGGTACATGACTCTAGCATCTTCTTTGTTTCTGATAGTTCAACATAGAATGTTGACTTTCCTTGCATGATATTATCATTGGCTCCCAATCTTGTCATGATAGTATCTATCGCCGTCAATCTGGCTTTCTTAGCCGGAACATAACAGCCAATTTGTGCCATAATGGTAGCCACACAAGTCATTCTGAGTACCGTTGACTTACCAGCTGCATTGGCTCCAGTCAGAAGACCAATATGATCTCTTTGATTTTTTCCCAGTGCTATGTCATTTGGAATGAAATCTTTGGTCCCTGTGATGCCGCCTGGTACAAAACATGGATGTCTAAGTTCTTCAAATTCGATTTGGGCAAATGGCTCATCAATGAATTCAGGTCTGCAGGCAGGCATACCTAGAGACTCAGAGGCTCTCGCTAATGACAAAATGCAGTCCATATGTGCAGTTAATTGAATTGCTGCCGACCAGACATTTTTATAGAGCATGAACTTAGAATACATCTTTGTTTGCAAAGACTCGCATAAGATCTTATGAAGTTCTCTTGCTTCCATCAGTGATTTCACAAGCGTTCTCACTTCCGGAGACCAATACCTTTTGCATTTTGAAGTCGCGGCCATTTGCTGCCACTCATTTGGAATTTTGGAGACTGCTTTTGATGGTACTTCAATTAAAAAGATTTCTTTTCCGCTATCTTTGTAGCATATTTCTTGACATCGATACTCACGGCGGTATTCGCTGATGACTTTCTGAAGCTTTGCCTCAATTTCCTTCATATTCTTATTGCTGTCATCAAACTCGGGTTCAATGCCCTTCTCAGGAACCAACACTCCCTCCTTTTCAGCAAGATCTCTATCGAATGCGTTAATCCATACTTTAATATGGTCGTCAAGTTCTGGAGGAAAAGAATGCAAGCTTGTTTCGAGACTTGATCCCATTTTTAGACTGGAGGTTGAAAACGAGGTCTTCAAACTCGCAACAAGCTCGGCAATTGTTTGGAATCCACTGACACAGCGGGAAAAATCACGGACTTTCAGGTTCCCAGAATGAATTCTTGCTAGCAATCTTTCTAAGTCTGGGAGCATTCCTAGTTTCCGTTCAAGGAGACACTTCAATTCTCCATCTGCCAATAAAGCTTCAACCGAATCCAATCGTGAGTTGATTGCCCTGTGAGACATTAAAGGATGTGTTACCCAGCTTTTGAATGCCCTTTTTCCAAATGGGGTTACTGCCCTATTCAAAAGTTTGAAAAGAGTTCCCTTATCACTTTGATCAAAAGAATTGGAAAAGATCTCTAGATTTTGGAGTGTGACTCCATCAAGTCTCATGCACGTATCTGAGAAACTGGCTTTGTAAGGATCGTATCTCTCGATATTGCCCATTGAAACAATTGTGCTGTCCAACTTGAGGGATTTCAAGTACCATAGTAGAGCACCAAAGGCTGAAAATCCAACGAAATAACGATTCTCGTAATATTCAACCAATACTGGAGGGTAGTTTGATAAATCATCTAGATCTGCAGCTTCAAAATACTTTCCACGAGTTAGTTGTTCAAATGTAGTATCAAAGTCCCAAAACTCACTCTGGCTCCGAAGAAAATTGAATCCAGCATGAGGCTGGGAATTGAAACGAAGCATTCGAACAATTGAAGGCGAGACTTTAGATTTTTCAACTAAAACCTCCATTGGTTGAATTTGGGCTAGCAAGGTCTCCAATTTACTATAATCGGAGTCGTCATCAAATTGTGTCAACCGAATATTTCCGGACGCAGTATCGACAAAACTTACACCGATTGTTCTGGTATTGTCGCTGTTGATTGTCTCTTTTAAGGCCAAACAATACTTGGACATTTCGTCACCAAGCATGGCTTCATCCGTAAGAGTACCGCAAGTCAAGACACATGATAATTCTCTTTTGATAACTTTGTCGTCCTTAGTGATGGCAGTTCTTTCTCTCATTTCCTTGGCTAACAGTGATTCTTTTTGATCGACTTTGGCGACCTTGAAACCCTCGTCAATGAACTTCTTAGCCCAATAATCAAAAGACATCTCCGGGATGCCAGCTAGTCTCATATTAGCTCTACCAGTTCCGGCCAGCTTCAAGTCAAATTTCTGATGCCCAATATCTGCATCTTTCTCGTACAGCTCATAGAACTTTCCTTTCTTGAAGAAAACAATAGAATCCCACATTTTACATTTGATCTCCCAGTATTGTCTTTCGAAGGCAGTGAATTTTGCCCAGGCAGATTTGGGTATAAATAACGTTCTTGGGTCATAATCTGCCTCATTTTCCATTCTTCCCTCTGCATCCTTAATGTTAACCAGCCATTGGTATCTCTCTTCGTTCTCCTTCACGAACTTCGACTGTGGTGTCTGTCTTTTTTGTTTGGTCACTCTAACTTTCTGTTCAGGAGTTGGAGAGTAAGATGATGTAGCCTCAAATTTGTGGGAAATGGTTAGCATATGGCCTGCCGCACTGCTGTCCTCCCCGTTTGATGATCCGTTTGATGACTTGGGATTTCTATCTTTCGACTTTGCAGAACTTGTGTTGAGTCGAGTCAGTGAGCCCTCCCTATCCATTTGGATATCATCATTTTCGTCTTCAGGCTTAAACTCTTCGTCACTGATTTCAAAAGAAATGTCGCTTCCAAGCTCAAAATCTTCATCTTCCTCGTCACTAAGGATATTACGTCTTCTCTTGTCCTTGCGCTTTCTGGGATTTAATGAAACAATTTCCTCATCCGATGACTCGTCAACGCTATCTCCGCGCATACGCTTAGAGTTGCTTAGTGGGGATGCTTGTTTAGTTTCGCCAAACGGATAAGTGACTGTATTGAATTCGTTTGGAGACTTTGGGGTTCCCAAAGTCTCATCACTCTTGCTGTTCAAATTGAATGTTTCAGCATGGTCTGCCACTTGCTCTGTGCCATTGACGAATAATTGTGTCTTATTGCAATCCTTTTTCTCCTCGCGTAAAGGAGATGAATTGTTAGGAGTTAAAATTAGCGACTCAGAATCACTGACTCTGTTCGACGCCGTCTTAGCCTCTTTGGGTTTGGAGTTTGTAAAGAAGGATAATAATGACGATTGTTTGTATTTGGTTGGGCCCTTGGTGGTAGAGGAAACAGACCCCTTATCTGTGAGTGGCATTCCGTTGAGAAAAGAGAACCAGTCGCTTGTAATTCAATGATTTAGAAGACTCAATGTTCTGGGCTTGATCTCCAAACGTGTATAACGTGAAAAGTTACAGGACGTACCGCGATTCTGAATTTCAAAAAGATTAGCTTGGATTTTAAAGGTTTTAAAAGCTACCTACGCATTTTGAACGCGTTTCGCGCGTCGTCTGTTTATTTGTGTTACGTGATCAGTTAAATATATACTGTCATTTTGAAACCTTTTAACACTTTTTGACAGGAGCATAGTAGAGAATGGGTAACACTGCTAGTTTTCTGTGAGATCACAAAATTCACCTATCAGCTAATCAGGATTGCGTCTAGCTCCTCAAGTTTTTGATTCTTTGTCAGCCTCAAGTATCAGCTTTTTAATCGTATCTGAGGTCTCATTTGAATGGGACGATAAGTAATCTTTGAGGTCGGTGAGAACTTCTCTGATTTTGCTGCTAACATTGGGGATCAGTCTCTCGGTTTCTTCTTTGATCCGAATCGCGTTTTTAAGAGAATATTGCAGTTCTTCATTGCTTTCATCCAATCTCAGTTTTTCCTGAAAAGTCTCAATCGTGCTTTCATGTTCTTTTAGCTCTTCCTTGTATAATCTTTTGTCTTTCAACAGTCTCTGCAAAGAATTGCTTTTAATTTGAATTTGGGATACCATCTTTTTAAATGTCGATTAAAGGATGAAACAAAAAATTATTGAGAAATTATACAAGTACATATTTTCTATAAACAGAGACGAATCTTATATTCCGTTCACCAAGGTATCCAGCAATGTGATAAGTTTTATGAGATCAACAAAGCCTTCTCTATCATCTGATTTAACCTGTCTAGCACTGATGCTACTATCTCTCTGTCTCCGAGCAGACATATCTTTTTTCAAAATTGTTTGAATAAGTTTCGAAAAGTGATCAGCAAAACCTTTTGCCTTTCGAATGCAAAGTTCATTTTGAGGTCCCAAAGAAATTATCGTCGAACAAATGACTTGGAAAATAGGAACATAGAGATCATACAATGATAGCTGATCGATTCTTCCGTTCGTGCTTGATAAAGATGAATCAATTGAAAAAATCAGTTCGATTGGCTTGTTATCATTTAGGTTTTCTGATCTGACCCCCTCTAAATAAAGTGTAAGTCCAACCTCCGGATCCTCAGACAGAAAAGAGCATTCACTAATCACTTTGAAAATGTCGCACTGTAGTAATTCTTTAGCTCCTGTGGTTGTTTGGGCAATTCTTGTCAAAAGGCAAAATACAGTTTTGAAAGTTGTCAATTCATAAAGAAGTGTATCAATTGAAACTCTTGGTGCATTCCCTGTCAGACATTCTGAAACAATGTCGTCCATTGATTTTATTCTCTGTATTAAGAGAAGCAGATAGTTATTTTCGAGAACCGTCTCGATGATAAAACCGCCGCTCAAATGTGAACCTTGTAAGTGGATTGATACTCTCAAAAGAGTCTCAAGGGTTAAAAGGGAAGTAATTTTGCACGCTCCCTCCGAAGTCAATGAGTCATTGCAAATGGATCTAATAAGCTTCTGGTCGGCAGATCTAATGAAAACCATGATTTCAGTCAAAACAGACCTACTGCTGAAACTCTGTTGCAGATAGTTGTTGGCTAGAACATAGAGATCTGCCCGAATAGTCGGAGTTGACTGCGGTGACATGATACCAATAGCTGCGGTTTTGAAAACAGGGAACAATCTCGTGGCATCAAGCAGAGCAGTAATTTCCCATTCTCGCTTGGATTTTGTGAGCCTTTGAATATCAATCTCATAAATCCGAAACAAAGACACACACAAAGAGATCAAATCTTGTGCATAAGCAATATCCAAGTTCAGATAGTCAATGATTTGTGGAACAATATTTTCAAAGACTTCAAAAATGAAGTTGATTCTAACAGCCTCTCCAAGGCATCCGTCATTCACAATTATTTGTGTTAGCAAAGTCCACGAATGAAGGCATTGTAATTGGTGAAATCTAAAATTATCAAATGAAAGAGATGATGATACTATGCTTTTGAGAGCAAAAATCTCTTCTCTGAACAAAGATGAATTTTCAGGGCTGTCCGTCAGTGATAGCAGACCCAAGGACTGAGATTCAGTGCCCACCATATCAGCTATTCTATCAATTACCGTCATGTCATATCCAAAAGAATCACCGGAACAATTTGACTCATCAGAAGTCATTGAAATCATCTGAATAATATATTCGAAATTGAATTTTTCAAAAGCAGGATTCACCTTCTCAATCATGTTCTTTGGTTTGAACTCCAGAACATCCAAAAACTCGAAAAGTCTTTGCGACCCAACTTCATGTTGCTTTGTGTCAATCAACAAATTAACATATCTCTGGGTTAAGGAAGAAGTACCGAACAAGGATGAGTGTCTGAGCTCTAGTGTTAGCAATCGTAAAACCAAACTCCTATAAGTTGCAAAAGCCGTCAAAGTGCACCAGCCGTCTCCCTGATTGACAAAGCTGTTGGAAGAGTTGACTTCTGGTCTGAATGTTTTTCCACTCCAAAGAGTTTCGATGCTAATTTTCTTAGTAGCAGATAGAATATCAACGAAAAAGTTGCTTCCATCAATATTTCTCAGAAAGCATAGTAGTTCATGAACATTTGTCAATGATTTCGAAAGTTTGAATATAACTCCCAGACAAAGAGCAGAGAGTTTTATAGGAAGATACTCGACATTCGAAACTTTGCATAATTCACTCAAAATAGATTTGAGTAGAATTATGATAGATTTCAAAAGAGACTTCTCTGATGCAATAGAACCAAGTTCGAGTTTGGACCCCAGAGACATTGATCTTGTTTCGAAACCAAGTAAGAAGTGTGTTATACTTCTAAGTCCGGGCTTTGAAGCAGGAATGTTTTGATCCAAAAACTGTAGCAGTTCAATTTTCAAAAATATCGACTGGCGGTCGATGATCGGAGCTTCAAGCTGCTCGATAAAAGAAAATCTTACTCTGATTGATTCGTCAACGGTCTCTAGCATTGTTAAGAGCTTGTCTTTCCTCAATAATCCAGAACTTGCAGCAATTTCCGAAGATGATCCAGCGGCGGAATACGCTGTCACCTTCTTCAATATCGACAATGACTTTCTAGAGATATCTGGTCTGGAGAATCCCACATATAACGAAATGTTTGCAACCAGTGGTAAATTTAAAAGAAGAACTTCAGCGAATGATTGCAATCCACCTGTTCCTATACCAGAAGCAGCGTAATACTCATTATCGGAAAGTGTTAGAACCGGAATCAATTCATTTTTGTAAAAGCTCTCTCGTTCCAATAGCAAATCAATCACATTGAGAGCTCTGGAAATAAGTTCTGTTTCTTGCGAGCTTGCACTGGTTTCTCCCAGCTTATCAATTCCAAGATTGGCAATTGAAAAAAGCGCTTGATAAACTGGCATTTTGTAGAGAAATGTAAGGACTGCAGCGCCTGGGTGAGACTGTAAAAACTTGATAATACTTTTGCAGGCAACTATATTATCCAAATCCTTCAAGTTGCAGGCAGAAGCGTTCATGACTAACTGTGGATTTAATTCCACAAGACATGTCTCCCATAAAGCGAGGATGCTCAATTGTAATGATGAGGTGAAATTGTCATTTTTGTGTCTATTCGTGGCTTCGACAAAAATATCTGTACTCAAAAATTCGATGTATGGCCAAATTCCTTGTTTTCGATAGTTTGCACCCAAGTCTAAAGGAAAGCTTACATCAATCGGTTCAAATTTTCGTTCTGAAACATTTTCCGGTTGAAGGAGTTTTTGAACAAGAATGGTAAAAGCATTTATTTGGGATAGGCTTTTCAAATGAGATAAAAAACTATCCTTCAGTGCGGATGTTGATTGGTTTGATTTCGGATTATTAGAAAATATCCATGAATCCAAAATATTCCAAATCCGCTTCTTCTCAGGTATTTTGCTACCAGACATTGAACTGAGCACCATTAGTACTGGACCAACAAGAGGTATTTCAGCTTCCAAAAATTTTGACAGAAAAGTAATCAATTGGCAATCGTCGCTCTCGTAAAGTTCTATTCTAGCCATGTCACTGTTCCGTGCAATATCAGATATCAGCTGGAAAAATCCTGCTAACAATATTTGAGAGTCTTCACCTAGACTCACAGAAATCTCCTTTGTCAATCTAGTAGAATTTGTGGCTTCCACGGATGAATCCATAATTTCCTTCGGTAGCTCTAATGATAGTGACTTGCTATAAAATTTCAACGACGAAAATATAGCAGACCAGCTCACGCACGAAAAATGGCTTGAGATTGCGTTCGGATTCTCTGAAAGTGAGGTTCTAAGTGATCCATCGTGCGTCGAGCTATTAGTCAACTGCAAAAAATTGAAAGAATTAATTGCATTCTCATTATTGTTCGATAACGCTGCAAGGACACAGCAAAATGTGGATATTATCAAAGGTGAATTGCAATGAGAAGCCCACTGCAAGAATCCATAAAGACTTGAAGACTTGTCTTCCCAAAACTGGGCAGCAAAATGAGGTCTTGCCCGATGGATGTAATATATTGCCAAGTAAAAGCGTTCCAAGTCCGCATTCTCTGTCAGTACGTCCAAATCAAAATTCTCGCTTAACAGAAGTAAGTCTTCCTCCATATCACGAAGATGAGTGAGAACAAATGCAGCATTGGTCAAAAATGCGTGAATGAAGCTGTTGAAACAGGCAGCACACAACTCACCAAATTGAAAATCAATTTCATATGATTTCGTGGGAAGATAAATTGTGTCACTCTCGCTCTCATCAATAGGTAATCCTCCTTTGAGCCTTTGCTGCTGGATAGCTCTTTTCAATTGGCTAGTCGCATCAGTATCAACGTCCAAGAATCTAAATGGTGAAAGTTTTGGGATATGTCGTTGAAGAATTGACCTGAAATCGTACATTAGATCAGCTCTGCGATCGGAGGTTTCACCGAGAGGCGAGATTTCTGCGGATAATGAAAGAAATTGTTCCAATGCCCCAATAGAAATCAAACGGATAATTGGCTTTTCAACACTATTTGTAAAATCAAACGTGTTTGTTCGTTCAGATTCTTTCTTACACCAGTCGATGAAGCTAGTCAAGAACACAACAATTAAAAAGGCTTTGATTGGTTTATCTGCAAGTTCCGATGGGCTCAGAGTGCTGTTGACGAAGGTCTTGTGAAGATCTTTAACCTCTGTTTCAGGAAATCTCTCGAGGTGTGATAGTTGTCGCATTATTGCAGGAAGATAGCTCACTAATAATAGGTCATTTGGTTGGAAAGAACTAATATGATTCAAGAATTCATTCAATTCCGTTAAGTGAGTAACACTTGAAAGAGACTTGGAGAACAGTAATTCACCAAGCAACTGGTGCTCTTTGAACAAACAATCCCTACGATAAGTCACTGATCTGAAGAAATTAGAGCTTGAAACACTTCCAACCAGGCGAGACCTGTCAACAAATTGTCTGATATCATCCAATTCGTTTTCGATCATTTTGAAGCACGAAAGGATAATTTCAAACGTGATCTTTTCGGCCAGCAACTTCTCGGTTTTCGTGTTAACGTTCTTGGATAGAATGAATGTAATGATTTGAAGAATGAACTGTCTACGTGAATGATAAGCAACTTTCGCTGCCTCCGATGGAGATATGCCCAAAAGATTGCCTTCGTTTCGAGAAGAAGTGTAGAGGAGTTCTGCTGATGCAATTTCGTCCAGATTAAGTTCATCTGAAAGCTTCACTACCTCTAGGATGAACTCTTCATTCAACTGGTACTCTGTCGCGTCGATTAAATCAACTATGCCTTTTTGTATCTTTGATCGGCTGGATTCATTTCGTTCTGGTTTATACAGGAGGTTTGATAAATCAAATTGAAGTTCATGAATTAACTTCTCCTGTATATCATCATGGCCAGCCTGTATTGAATCATGGAGAGTATTGAATGGAAGTGTTGACCAGTGATAAGACATGAGGTATATTCCTAAGACACGTTCAGATGTTGTGGAATCAACACATAAATTTTCCGAAAATAAATCTTGACATAGCCACTACATTAGCCACTTCGAAAAAGCAAAACAACAAATTTCCGGGTAATATTTTGATCACAAAAACGAAACATTCAAAATTTGAAGTACAGCTCAATTTCTTGAAGCGCAGATAATCGATACCCATAACCGACTACTCCGAAATAATTCAATCTGATTGATTCGTACAGTTCTTTCTCACGAGAAGACCTCATCGATCAGTTGCGATACTTCATTCATTATTTCTGTAGCCTGAACTGGAAATCCGCTCGTTTTTGACATAACTTAGTTCTCGTTATTCTCCCCTGAATCGAAGTAAAACCTAAAAGCATGGCTGTGTAATTGCATTAATGCCGATAAATAATAATTTAGTGAAAATAATTCGAGACTATTTAGTCTCATAAGAAGCAAAATTTGGGACGAAAATCTCTATCTTTTAAGGTTCGAAAATCTTGTTGGTTCTACTCTTAGCTTATAGTTTGATTGTTTTGACTCTTACATCATTCACTAGAGGACCTTACTCGTCGTAATTACATTTGGGGTTGCACCGTATCAAGGCATCAAATTACATTTTGTTCCATTTCAATCACGAAACTGACTGCCAGCTCCTCACTAGTTACTCTATACTGATCAATCTTATCCTGCGTGCAGTCAATATAGTCTGATAGGATAAATTGAAACATACCAAACCAAGATTTGTGTTCAATCTGACAGCGATCTCAACCAAGACTTCAGTCTGTTTTTTTTATCAACTGTGTGCCTATTTCGAGAACAAATTCGATCATCAAGATCAATTGTTTGGAATATTGATTATTGAAAATCAAATCTCAAATTTGGCTTCTGTCAATTTTCAAGACTCGCCTTAACTTTTGAAAGCATGGTTCAAACTACTATAATGACTAATATCTGGGGAGATATCGACCAAACAGTGAACCATTCGCTAAAATTGGATTATGATACTGATCTGGATCTCTCGAAGGATCTCTACAAATTGAAGTTGTCGAATCTTGAAATTACTCCTTCAATATCAGAAACTTCGACAGTAATTTCATCAACCGCCTCATCTGGGAATTTGCTGTTTGAGATTGGCAAGGAAAAGGATCGTTCCAATTCAACAAACATACCCTATTTATCCTCGGCTGTTTCGACTCCCAAAACTCCCCATAATGCCTTTTTGATTTCTGAAACCAAGGGCCAACCAAGCAATAACTTGTGCATGGCAGATTTGCTGCCTACTTTGTGGGATGACCAGATGGATGAAAAAAGGGAGTTCAGTTCGATTTATGGCTCAAGCTCCAAAAAAGTGCCTCTCACTCCTAATAATGACTCGGCTTTTTCATACAACGATTCCGATATTAAGCAGTCTTACTTCCAATCACCTCGTACACACTATGGTGCCTTTAATTCACAGGACGGACTTTCGAATCTGAATTATCAACAGTCTCAACATGCTCAACAGTTTCCGCCGCTTTGGGGGTGTTATAGAGCTCTTTCTGTTCCTTCCTTTGAATTTGCCGATAAGCTTAAAGACATTTCCTCAGTCCAAAAGACAGAACCGTTACCATATAAAGACTTACAGGCCAACGAATTTCTTGGTGTTAGTCGGTCCGCTGAAACTCAAAGCCCTCTTTGCAAGCTTGCGAACCAACAAGCTCAGCTTCTCACCGAGGAAAATCTCTCTCTTTTGGATCCGTCAAATTCAGAGAGTACTGAAAGCCCAAAAAAGACTATTCGCAGCTCAGATAAATCATTTTCCAGTAACTCAGCACAAGAGCATTTACTGAAATGCAAAACTGAAGCGCACAAATCCACCACAGAACATTCTTCAGATTCTCAAAACTCGCATTGGAGACGGAAAAAAAATACAAAAGGTTCCGGTCAGTTAGATTGTGGACACGTTTCTACGCACCCGAAGTCCGCTAAGCATCCATCACTGTCAAGTAAGGCCAAAATCAACGCTGATAATGGTCTATACAAGACGGAAATGTGCACTCAGTTCAAAGAACGAGGGACCTGTCCTTATGGATCAAAATGCCAATTTGCACACGGAGAGGACGAACTGAAAGTCGTAAAGAGATCTGATAATTGGAAAACGAAACTGTGTGCAAACTGGTCGAAATCTGGCACATGTCGTTACGGCAAGAGGTGTTGTTTTAAGCATGGTGATGAAGATAATGGCTTCAATTAAGATGTCACTCAAATGCCACTGGAGGCTTAATGCTCACCTTGTTACCAAATGAACCGTTTAATCTCCGATAAATGTATATGGATCGGTTCCCTGTTATTTATTCCCTTGGTTGGATGTCTGCTCCATTTCTTTTTGCACCGATCATGATTTCTATTTCATTTGAGACCCTAAACTTGCATTTCAAGTCATTCTTGCCGCTTACCAAAAGCCATTTGGATAAGCTCAATACTATATAAAACCGCCCTATGTAATTGGTAATTATGACTATCAATGAATCAACAAAAGGTAGGATAAATAGGGTATCGCATGGCATTTGGTAGCGAATTACGCAAGCGATAGAATTGAAAGGCAGTGCATAATTTAGTTTTTTGCTCTTAAAAGTAACCTGTCTGACACTGATTTGAAAACACGTAGTATGGATATATTGCTTCCATAAACACAAAGACCTTTCAAATGACTCAGTCGCCGAAAGATATTCTGAGGCGGAAGTTCAAATCAGCGATTTCAGAGGATGACATGAATTCATTTGATCAGTATGATCTTCATTCTCATAATCCGAAGTATCCAACATCGAGACAAAACAAAAAACTTGAGGAGACAAGTCAGATCCATGACAATATCTGTCAAAAGATAGACAACTACTTTTCATTAGAAGAAATATATCAATCTCCTACCACGGGGTACAAATTTCAAACATATTATGAACCTCCGGTAGTCAAATCCAATAATACCTCTGTCATATTCGTAATGCACCATGGGGCTGGATCTAGTGCTGCCACATTCGCTAAGCTTGCCTACTCTTTGAAAATTCAGTGTGAACTAAGATCACATGAAGATAAACCAGGGGTGTTTACCTTTGATATGAGAGGGCATGGAAGAACCGGACTCTTGAATTTACAGGACCAAGGAGCTAATGGTGATCTCTCAATTGATACACTTTGTGAAGACTTCAGGCAGATCATGGTATTTTTAGATGAGAAATTTAAGGGTCAAAATACAAGCACACAATACTTCTTAATAGGACATTCTCTCGGTGGCTCCGTCTTGACAAAATTTACAACAGAATGCTGCTTGAACAATGACCCTACAGACCTCAATGGCAATCTATGTGGGTTAGTCATGATTGATATTGTTGGAGGTACGGCAATAAGAGCTCTCTCAACCATGGACCAATACTTGAGCTCTGTTCCTAAACACTTTGCGTCTGTCAAACAGGCGATCGATTGGCACTTGGCGTCAAATTTGCTACATAATCACCAGAGTGCAATTGTGTCTGTTCCTGCTCTATTGAAAAAGTCACAATACAGTGCCTCGTTGGAATGGATTGTGAACTTAAGGGACTCCAGTATTCACTGGCAAAGATGGTTCAAAAATCTATCCCAAGAATTCGTCGCTCTACCGAGTCGAATATCCAGGTTACTTATTTTGGCCAATAATGACTCTTTGGATAAAGACTTGATGATCGGTCAAATGCAGGGTAAATATCAGTTAATCGTCTTCCACAATAGTCAATTGGGTGCTGCTGATCCATTTTCCGCATCTACGAAAATGATGAATAGTTTGGACTCTGCAATTCTTGGTCATTTTGTACATGAAGATATACCTTTTAGAGTGGCGAGCAGTTTGATGGATTTCGTGGAAAGAAACAGCTCTGATTTTGCTGCTTCGGGGCCATCATCATCAGCTCTCAAATCGCAAAAGGAGTATTTGAACGCAATGAACGAAAAATGGGGCGTTGCAAGTAAATAAGGCTCGAGAAGATTCCCTCTCTTGAGAGAATCAGTCAATAGACATTGTGCTCAGTTTTCCATCGGTTTTCATTTTGGCAAGGACCCCATCAATTTTTTGCCGTGCCCAGCTGAATCTAGGGTCGATCAAGAAAGGTCTCAAATCGAAGCGATTATCATCCGGTGAGTATTGTTCCGCATGATAAGATGGTGTGCTGACTGTCTGTTTATGTCTATTGACACTGTAATACCAGAAGAATCTCTTGACTTTGTCTGCAATTTCTTCAGGTGACTTGCGGTCGCTCCAAATATGTAACAATTTGATAAACATTGAGTATGGGCCACATTTGTCAATCTTCCTCAATCTTCCAAGAATACTGAGCTCCTCATATGTGAATCCCATATCTGCCTCGTCAGACTGAACGTGGCTGTCCGTAATCGGCTCCAATTCTGCTGTTGGCGTAGCATCAATGAATTCTTTCAGAATCGGAAGTTCAAACTCCTTTTCTGCCCAAACAATGAACCTGATCAAATCTGTTTTTGAAATACCACCAATTGGATTGATGTCTGCAGATGAGCAGTCATATTTCGTTAAATACCCTCTTAGTTGTTCATCAACATTTGCAGACCCGAGAACCAATAATCCACCAGAGTTTGTCTTTCCTCTGGTCCATGGTAAGAGTTGTGCAAACAAGTACGCCAAAACCATTCTTAGTCTTGCTTGAATATTCTGTAATGCCAAGTTCTCAATCATGGATCCGCCGAAAACTTTGAAAACTGGTTTGCGGCCAGTAGCAACCTCAAAGACACTGATAGTTGCAGTGACAAGGGCATCCATATTCAAGTCAATATGATAAGATCCAATTTTGTGAGCTAGCTCTTTCGCCCTAGTCCGGGTCTCAAGAGATGAGTTTTTGGTCCCCATATAGCAAGTATGAAAGATCTTGTCGGCAATTTCTTGGGGCGAAGACGGACTCCATTCATCTCCCATGTTCGTTATTTTCTGTATATCATTCCTGACTTGTAAGTTTCCTTGTTCACATGCTTTGAAAACCATCCAACACATAATGTGAACAATAACAGATGTCGCACAACTATCAATTCCGCCACTCAAGGGGATGAAGAATCCTGAGCCTTTACAGCGACGAAGATAATCCCAAAGCCAACAAGCAGGACCATAAGCAATTTCCTCTTCAGGGAGGTAATACTTGATAGATCTCTCAACTGAGGGGGATATTGAAATGTCGAAGTTGATCGCGTCAGGACCTAGTTCGATCGGAACATGAATCCTTTCGAAAATAGGAGATGTTCTGCTCTGAAGGCCATGTGATATCAGAGCTCGGTAGGCACGAACTTCCTCCAAATCAACAGTTGCGGTTAAAACTTCGACATCATCCATTGAAAATTGCGCCCCTTGTGCAACAACTTTTCCATTTACAACAATAAGTGCACATCCATCATAATATAAGCGATCTCCGTCACAACCTTTTTGATTTGAATACAGGTATATTCCTCCACACTTCCTGGTTGCCTCGGTAATCATCGCCATTCTGATGTCGAGCTTTCGAAGTTCATGGTGGGATCCTGATGAATTGGTAAAAATTTCTGCACCATCCAAAGCAAGTGAAATGTGGGGAGCCTGGGGAGTAAATAGCTCCTCGCAAGTCTCGGCACCGATGCATGTATCAAGGGTACTGATAACTGCGTCTCCGAATCTCACGGTAATCTGGCCAGTTATCTTTTGTATCATGCGAGGAAGAACGAATTCTTCCACATACTGTGTCTTTAGCCATGGAGTGAAATATCTCATCTCCCGATAGTTTCCGTCGTTGGCGAGCACAATCTTTGGGCGTATCAAAAGTATTTTCCCATCGTAGGAAAGAATCCGACAATTATATCTTCTGCTTTTGTGCATTACAGGAATACCGACATCCAGGAGAATACCATGTGTCCGCTCATCTGAAATGATCGACGCATACATTTCCCAAGAATGTAAGTAAACATCGTTTTCAAGGAAATGATCCAAACAGCCATATCCAGGAATTTCCAATTCAGGACCAACTCTCAAAGTCGCATGTTTCTTCTTGGCTTGAATGATTGATTCAAGGATCCGATCTCTGTTCCCTTCAAAATCAAGTGCCCATTGATTAAGAGCGCATGTTGCCAGAGTGATATAATGGGGCATTTGAAGGAAGAAAAGTTTGAGTAATTTCACAGGCTAAATAAAAAGGCGGCTAGGAAGTCAATCTAGAGTCTAAATCAAGGAATCTCCAGTATTTCGGATTTGGCACTACGCTTAGAATTTTAATACAATCTAAGATGATTGATTCTTCCACGGACCCAAACAAACCAGTTCATGACATTGTAAGATGCTCATATAGCACCCCCTCCCCAAATACTTCACTAACTCATTGTAGTCATAAGTCAATGTAACATTGACCACACGGCTACAGGACGTTGCTATAAGAGTTATCGGACAGGTAAAATAACATAGTATACAATACAACATGAACCCTATCCCAAGGATACCTAACGTTTTGAGATGGAAGGACTACTTGTCTTGTTTTTGTTCGACTCGGCTGAATAAGACGAACTCTCCTCATTTTCCAACTTTGTGATCATCGGAACAGGATTTGTAGCTGCAGTCGATACCTTTTTCATTGCTTTTTTGGAACCCCTCAAACTGGATGTTCCAGGAGAATTCAATTCTGATGTTAAAGATGAGTTAGGTGACATTAAACCGGAAGTCACCAAATATGGTGTGGAAAGACCATTTACGCCAGATATATCTGGTGTGGCCGCAGATGTGTCTAACCTAACCGAAGGTTTTCGATTTGTTGAATTCAGAGAGGTTGGTGTGGTTGAGTTGTTTTGGAACTGAGTCGACGGTTGGCTTATTGGAGTCTGTGCATTAGAGTTAACGGATGACTTAAAAGATCCTTCTTCATCTGTTGTCAAATCTTGTAACGATTGCTCCTTTTCTAAATTTTCAAGGTTTACGCGAGCATTTTCTCGAGCTTGCGCGAGAAGCTCTTGAGCTTTGTGTAATGGAATAGTAGGGGTCACACAAGAAGAAATAACAGGAACACTTTCATCCAATTCAATTGTAGCCTTCATCAAAGCTGCCATCCAGTCTCTCATTTCCTGCTTTGTATCGACAGCAAAATAATGGACTTTCTGTTGCGTGAAAGTTAATCCTTTCTTTGATCCGGGTGCTGGTGGCACTAATTTGAAACAAAATCTACCAGACCCAGTTGTAGCTGCATAAACAGCAGAAATCTTATCTTCTGAATCAACTGCGGGCAATACCCGATGAGAGGTGATATCGATCAGACCCTTCTCTCGTTTGTCTTTCAAAGATCCAAAATAGGATAACCTAGTTTTGTGGAGAGTAAAATATCTTTGCTTCCATGAACCAATAGACAAATTACCTCTCTTGCTCATCCACCCAGAAAAATCAGCTGTCCGAATGGCTTCGTCAGTCGAGATGTTCCGAATACCCTCTTGAAAAGCAGAAGTTGACGATTTTGACGACCTTAAAGCACCCAGGTTTCTTAGCCCATTTGAACCAGTTGCCCTTGATGTAGTGCTAGCTGTGAGAGCTGCTGCAGACGCAACTCGCTTTGGATCAAGTGCTTTACTATTCGGTGACATCTCTCTAGCTGAAACCGTTCTTCTCTCTGGGGACACTGCTCCCTTCTTGTCGAATTCAAGTTTTGGGATATCTTGGCGATTTAATGGAGTTGAGTCTTCGGTATTTCTTTTATCATGACTTCCAATCTTGTTAGACGAAGTCTCCTCAGTTGAGTCCTCAAATCTCTGTTGACCTTTCTCTCTTCTTGCTACATTCAAATCCGAATTGTTTCTCGAGTGGCCTCTGTTGGGAGAATATGCTTTATGTTGTAAAGCATTTGCAAATGAAGAAGACGAAGGATTGCGTGAGTGCTTCTTCTCGGTGTAAATGGAAGAAGTATTACCGATTGAAGACTCGCGACTATGCAAAATCCTTGAATGTATATGTTCCCGATTCTTGAAATCGCTTGATGGTTTCGAGCTATGATAGTCTGAATTGGTGATAACAGCCTCTCTAGAAAGGTTATCAAATACAGGAGGCTGCGGAGCCTTTCGAGGCGACTCAAATAATCCTGTTGGAGTACTAAATTCTTCATCGGCAACGCTTTCTTCGCTAGGTGTCTCATCATATGCAGTTGTATCGTTTAACTGGTCCATGTCCTGAGGTTGGTGTGTCTGTTGTACTTCCAGCTCGGACTTTGAAGCAGAGTTTGAAGCAACATAGTGAGAAACTGGAATGTTATCCAACGACTGTGATCTTTTTCTAGCATGGGTCTGCTTATTATTCACTGAAGGCATAAGAATTTTGGGACCTGAGACACCTGAGCTCGTCTTCCGTTTGTAGCTTCTATTCTCGGAGGCTAGCCTCAGTTCCTCAATTTCCTTATAGATTTCGAATCGAGTGCCAAAAGAGGCGATTTCCAGTTCTTTCAAATAGGAAAGCTCCAATTGAATAAGAATAGCACCGTTGATTTTATGTCTAGCAAATTGCCCTGTACTTTCAACGTCGAAATTCAAACTCGAAAAGTATTGCGTGACCTGTTCAGGTGTCCAAGTCTTCACTTCAACTGGATTGAGAGCGGACCCTGCAATGATATCCTTTTCGTATGAACGATCATCATAATCCAGCTCTTCCAGTGCTTTATCAATATCATTCAGTGTTCTGTGAACAGATACGTATTTTCCAGTCACAGTATCACGACTTCGATCAGCAAGGCTCATATGATCAGACTCTTTTGAATCAGTTGTGTGATTATAGGTTGATTGAGTTATTGAGCCGGAAGAGTTTGCTCCACTCTCTCCAATCTCCTCGCTCACCCGCAAAAATTTGGACGCTGCGGCTGGTGGTGTTGTGGTAGCTGGGCTTCCTGATGGTGTTAAACGTCTTGACCTAGATCTTAATAGCGATGGCTTCCCCTTAGCCTGTTCACTTAATAGTGTGGTGAAAGCCTTTGGGTACAAACCTACGCTATTTGTAGCCAAATTACGGCCCATGTACCAACCATCATCAAATTCGCTATCGTCGCTTATAAGCTCTATGGTGTCACCGGGATGTATTGTAAGTTCATCTCCCAACCTAGCATTAAATTCTTTTATGACGCTAAAGTAAGTTCCGTGATCATTCGCTGACATTGTTAGATGTTGTTTCAGATGGAACAAAAGGTTTCCCAATCAACGTGTTCTTAATTTATTTTTGATGACAGACTAAGTTTGTAACGTATAGGACTGCTCTATATGTTGAGCTATACTTCTTGGTGACAAAAAATCAATGTCGTTTAGTTACTACCGACGTTTGTAATATCTTTCACAATATACGTATATCGTCGCCTTTAATCAAATTGGAAATCGAATAAAATATTTTTGTTCTATTCCACAACAAAAAATCCGCTCTTGGTGGGTTTGGGTGAATTCGGGTTGTTCTGTTGAAACAAAATGGAATTTTGAGTAAGGGATATATTTTCACCTCTCTTGTTTTGATAGCACTATCCCATGTAACACACCTATTCATCTGCCAGTGTCCAATCTATCCTTTCCATTTGTCTTTGTGGGAAGTTTTGGATTAGATTTCTTCGCAAGCTTGCTTTGACCACCTGTATACTGAATGTGCAGAAAGCCTCCAATTTTGGATAAACCGGATCGTCACTTGTCGCTCATTATCGTTTCATCCAAATCGCATTGTAATTTCAATCGCTGCACTTGAACAAAATTCCATATGAAGGTTTTTCGTTTGTGCGCTTCTTGGGTTAACTTCTTCAAGTCACCTCAAATAGATTAGGTGATTTCAATCAGCTTCAATACGGTTGCAATCAACGTACTTGATGTAATTTCAGAGTTCAATTCACTTCAAAGCAGGATGAATAGGTGACTTTTGATTCTGAAAGTACGTATCGACATGAACTTGACCTAGCTACCTAAGAGTCACCCGACCTATCAGCTCATATATTTAGCGTTGGATCACCTTCGAGTAGGGTCTTAGCAATAATTGATTATTTTGGCCAAAAGGACAGTCACCATAGCACAATTCTCGAGATTCTAGAGTGAAAAAAAAACACTCTCTTTATTATTCATTTGGACCTTATACGATAATGAAAGGGAAGCAATTGCTGTCAGTATATACCAGAATACTAATGGGCGTTCAAATCTCCGCATGGCTCATTCGCACGTAACTCTACGACTAAAATATCGTCCATTTTGTCGATCAATCACTGAAAATCACATTTTCTATTTTGTGAAAGGTTTTGTCAAAGTTCTCATATATAAATGTCGCTTGGATTTCGTGATGTCTTCTGTTTCTTCGAAAGTTTTATGTTGAAAAGTGCCAAAAGCTGAGCAATCTTGTTAAACGCCAACTGAAAAACGAATTTGATTAACGTGATGGATTTTTGGACATTTAAATCGTTTTCGCCTGATGATCTTTCAAGCTCAAGCACGCTTGTGGGCAAAGTGTTTTCATTCGCACTGAGCGATATGAAGAAACCAAACGGTATCAGCCATATGCAGAGTCCAAAAAATGATGCTATTTCCGTGAAAGAGGCATAATGGGGCATCTTGAAATCCGGTTTTAATCTCTCTTCAATTGTAGGAACTGGAGGGTTATTAAAATGCTGGAACCAGAAAAAATGGTTTAGTAGAGCCAACAGACAAGTCGTTAGAAATATAGGTCCTGTCAAATTGATGTTGGGAAATTTTCTGAGATTTTGATAATAAACAAAATATGAAAACTGAGAGAACAATATGAGTTTGAGAGGGAACGCATCAAATAGCCACAATAGGAGCAAGAATGTTGCAGTACTTTTAATCAATCGGGCTAAAAATCTTCGGGTAAACTCGGTGTTCTCTTCAACAAGTTCGGATAAATAATAAAGGCCAGACGCAATGGACAGCGTGATCGCAATGAAACCAATAATTGAACCAATGATTGCAAGTAATTCAATCAACATCGCTGGAAAAGTATCAAGGGAGGCTTATTGCTAATTAATTGATCTTCACCACAAGTTTGTAAACTTATGTAGAACTGAAAAGCGAGACAAATATTTACAAAAAGGTAAGCTCGTCTTTTTTTTTTCTCAACCTATATTTCGTGTCAAGATCTTTTTAAGGGGTAAATCAAAATTTTGTTTGCAGTGATTTGACATTTGCCTTGCTAAATATCTGTATTTATAGCACATTTGGTGGATCAGGCATTCTGAAGATCGGCGAAGCATATTGGAAGATTCATTCATCAGAGATATCAAAAAGAAGTTTATAAGTACGAGTGTTGTTTCAAATGGCCCCTTTTTTCAAAAACAAAAATAAGCATTCAAAAACTTCATCAGATGGAAGCAATCTAGCTAACAGTCCTTCCTCTAGTCCACAAGCGAGTAGGTCCTCCTCAGGTCAGAGTACGAAACTTTTTAATTCCGCTTATAGCAGATCTCCAGGTATAGGATTACCACCAAACAAGAGCACATTCAAAGTCCACCATGTTTCGGGTGAAAGAAGTGTTTCAGTTGATTACCCTTTGAATTCAGCACCTAGTGCTTTATCGTTGAGCCAGTACGGTGGTGCTTCTGGAACAGCGCAGACGCATAACTTACAATACAAATCACAGATCAAGTCAGAAACGGAAAATTTACCTCATACTTCACTACGGAAAGCCACGGATAGACCTCTACAGTCGAATGCTGAAGGCAATAACACACGTGAATTTCAACCAGGGAAGAAAAATATGCAAGATTTTCATTCCAATTTGAATGTGTCTTCTTCAAGTCCGTGGAAGAAGAAGACGTTGTATAATTCACCGTTTCCTAGGTTTAGTCATGCAGCTTCGTCAACAACTTCGGAAGCTGGGGCTGTATATTTGATGGGTGGATTGTGTGGGAAAAATGTTTTCGGTGATATGTGGATTGTTGAGCCTGTCAAGAGTGAAAACGATAGATCAAAAGATTACCCATATATCGCCTCACCAATTGAGAATTTTGAAAGGATTCCGACACCCAGGATTGGGCACTCCTCAATATTAATTGGGAATGCTTTCATTGTGTTTGCGGGCGATACCGTAACGAACGCTACACAAGAACTAGATGACAAACTTTACTTTTTCAATATCACTTCACTGAAATGGACCATAACATCACCGGAAGGTCCAAAACCTTCAGGAAGATATGGACATCAGATTGGTGTGCTTAATTTTGAGAATTCATCCAGCCAGTCCAAGTGGTCAAGCTTCTTGTACGTTTTCGGTGGGCAGGTCGAAAATGAATATTTTAGTGACATGTGGAAGTTTGATCTTTCAAATTTTAGGAATCCAAAAACATGCTGGGAGAAGATAATACCAGAGCCAGAGAGCTACATTCCACCACAGCTTTCAAATCATACTATGACTGCATATGATGATAAGTTTTACGTTTTTGGTGGAACCGATGGCGTCAAAGTATACAACTTTTTATTATGCTTTGATGCTTTGACGAATCAGTGGAATAAATGTATTTTAAGTGGGTTTTTACCTCCACCCCTTGAAAGTCACTCTGCAACCTTACATCAAAACTTGCTATTCATATTCGGAGGAAAATTGTTGAACGGTGAAACGTCTAGCGATATGTTCATTATCAATTTAGATTCTTTTGAATGCTTTCAACTTCAGAGCAATTTGCCAAACTGTCCATCTCCAAGATGTGGGCACACCATTACAGTTGACTCGGCTCAAGAAAAGATGCTAGTGATGGGAGGGGATCAACTCGATAGTGATTTTCAAGGTATCTCAGAATCACAAAACAAATTAATACAAACTTCACAGTTTGAATATCCTAGCTCAGTCATTTATGAACTTGATCTCCTTTCTGTCCCCAAGTTTTTGAGGATGCATGATGCTCTCGCTTCGGAAAATGGAGTACCGGGTTCCACTTCTGTTGATAAGATAACACATGTCTCCCAAACCCAAGATGAACATTCTCCAGACAAAAACGTCTCAAAGATCCTCAATCGGCAAAGCCAGTATGTTGTGTACGAAAATGCGAGTGATGATGAGGTTGTACACGATGTTTTCGCTCCACAAGACACCAGTTCCCGTGTTTGGGAAGATGTCGAAAATCCGAACTCTGAATCTCATACTCATGTGGCCCTTGACGTTTCGAAAAGTGACAATAATTCAAGGATTCAAAAACAACAGAAGAACGAGTTGACATTGAAAACAGAAGACTGCTCGTCAGTCAAAAGTACTGGTTCCGATTCTTCTCCTGTTAATCGTCTCCTTGAACCTCTCGAACTGTCAGCACCTAATAAAGAAGCGGAAACTATTCGAACTAGCACTGATGTGAATGATGAGGAACGTCATTTAACTGGAAACAAATTTCCTCAAATGAAAAGATCATCTGAGCTTTCTCTTGATGCCAGACATCCAGACGTGCAGACGCGCCCCGTTACTGCTAGTTGGGCAACATCAGCGCCCGTTTCTGGGCCGAATGTTGGGAAAAATACCACCGAGGAGTTTCATCAACTCCTGAAGAAGCTAAGAGAGGAAATGGGAGAGAATATGGATAAGGCAAATCAGAAATTGAACAATCTAGAGAAAGAAAAACAGATCCTTCTGACAGAGAATCGGGATTTGAAATCAAAACTATGTGGTTGCGTCGATGACACACAAACTAGAGAGCTGAAATGTGCAGATCATTTGGATACGAGCAATCAACCATCTGTTAGAAATATTTCAAGTGGTCGTATCTTCGAACTTGAAAATCAGTTAACACTTCTCAAGGCAGAAAATGCCTCGTTGTCATCTACGTTGGAGGAGTTTAAACCAGCATTTAACAACCACGTCAAGAATATGAGCGGCTTCGAGTCGGTTATCAAGAGCCAGAAGGAATCCATCAGTTTTCTGAGGGCAAGTTTAAAAGGGGAAGCTGCGATTTTGAAGAAAATATATGATTTGGAAGCCCATATCAAATACTTAGAATCACAAGCAAAGACCCTAGGTTATGCTTGTGGAGCATTGATTCCCCACACAGATGGGGACAATGAAGATGAGACACAAAAAGTGATTCTCGAAAGAACTGATACGCATCGTCAGATAGTTGAGGCATCCAATAACCTGAGTTCGTTCGTGAACGTTATTAACAAAGTTCCCCAGGAAAAGTTATTTGCTGAATTAGTCGGCTATAATACAACAGGAGGAAAATCCTCAAATGAAGGGAAAGATCAGCTCATCTCGGATTTGCAGTTACAGATTGAAAAGTTGATTGAATGCAAGAAATCTGATGATAATAAAATTGGTCAACTGGAAGCACGAATTAGCGAGCTTGAATTAAGAACTAAGGAATTGGAGGATATGAACCATGCATCGCACACTTCTCTAAAAAACTCCCACAAAGCTTTGACTATCTCTCAAAACGAAATCGAAAAGCTCAAAGATTCTAACAAGCAGCTTACAAGCTCATTGAAAGAATACGAGCTGGGAGGAGTCGATTTCAAAAATACAAAAGCTGACGATTCTTCGTCGATGGGCACTAGTGCTCAAAAAGATATCGCTGGAAATGCTCAATGGTATTTCAAGTTAAAGGACCTAGAAGCCGAGCTGTTTATCGTGAATCAAGAAAGAGACCATTTGAAGGAGGAGACAATAGCGTTGAAGAAAAAACTGTTCAAGTCCTCATCGTGAATTCTAACCATCCGATTGAGTACGTACTGATACATCATTAAGGACTCATATTTGAGGTATCAACGCGCTTGGGGCCTTTTTCCTTCAAATTCGAAAGCTCAACTTCCCTTGTCGTTTTGTATTTCTGAAGCCTCACAGGAGAGTTTTCACCTTCTGATTCCAACACTTGTGATTGGGGACTAACGGACGGATTTGTCATGCTCCTTTTCCTTTGTTTTGCATGCAATCCGTATGACTGTCTGTTTGAGAATGACGGCGTTCTCGCTTTTCCTGGGGATGAAAGGGGGCTAGATGAGGTTGATATTTCATCGACTGCCAAGTTTTGTTTCACATCATTAACAAAATTCCATAATTTGTTAGAAACCGATTGCATAACATCCTTTGTGTTATTGGAGTCCAGTTCTGGGCGAGTTCGAGTAGATTTTATGGGTGTTCCCAAAAGATTGTAACTTTGCGCCCCTTGATCTTGTAGTGGGGCATCTAAATCGTTATTTTTCACGTCAAGGCTCGCTCCAACGTGTGTCTCCTCCTCTATCGAATTCACACCTGCAAATGGTGTTATGTGCAGCTTCTCGATTTCTTGGTAGATCAACGAATCTATCTGTTGAATTAAATTCAAAGGCTTTGAAAACCAAGATTTGGAATCCTCTTCGTCCACACTTGTAGTAGATTCCAGGCGTGGTTCACTGAGTTCACCTTCAAGGAGCGGGTCATCTGACACGTCAACTGATTTCATACGGTGTTTTTGCATACTACTTGGAGATTTGGGCGTATGCTTTTCAAAGAGTCCTTTATTCCGTGAACTTGATTTTTGTGAAGAAGTGATTTGACCCACCAATTGTTTCTCAATAACAATCTTCAAATCCTGTGTTTCAAACTCAAGCGTTCTTTTACGAGTTATCAAGTTCTTGATCTGCTGCTTGATCTCTAGAATCTCCATTTCTTTGGAAGCAAGAAGCCTCAGTTCGTCTGAAAGGCCGTGGAAGTGGGACAGCTCCTCCTGTTTTGTTTCTGAGGTAAGCTGTTTATGATGAATGGAACAGGGGCTATGACTATCTTCCGATGGCTTTGTTCCGTAAGGGTCTGGTGGGTTTACTTCCGATTTGGAAGGCGTCACAGTGTTCAAGTCCAGTTTCTTTTGAGGAACTTCACTTTCGAACACATTCAATCCCAAATTAATTCCCGTTCGCTTACCATTTGAAGGGGCCACTTGAGATGAGAGGAATGGCGAGTCAGAATCATTACGGCGTAGCTTTGTGGTGTACACTTCAGTTTTTCGGTTGTGAAAGACATGGTCTCCTGATTCTGTGTCATTAGCAAAAGTTTGCTGCTCTTGTTGCTCTTGTGACATCTCCTTGGCGCAAATACTTGTTGAATAAATTATTATAACCCTATATCAATGTCAAATGTATAGTCTGACTTTGTGGAGCGCTGACACAGAGGGTTGATAACGGCTATTCTACGCTGCGCAGACAATTAATGATCTATAGGTATGTGAAACGTATATCGCGCCTTAATTCAAAATATTTATCAGCCAGAAACATACATTGTGCGCGCGCGAATACTGTATATCCACTCTATATTGCCTAACATATATAAATTATGTATTTCGTTTTTGAATTACTTCACGATTTTAAATACGATGGGTGAATTGCTAAAGCCTAAACCTCGATCTCTCCTCGCAGATTCGACTGCTCTGTATCCAACTCCAGGATTTGTGATCAAGTGTCGGCTACTTAAGCGTTATAAGGGGGTTTCACCGGGAACAAAACTTTTCGTCAATGTTTGCACGAGTCCTCACATTCCGAAGCCAGCAATTCCTAACGATCCAATTGATTGGGGCACTTTGTTTGCTCTCATAGCCAATGACGAATGGGAAATTCCTCTAATCGTATCTCCCGATTTGAAGACTGGGGAAGATAAGTCGGGAAATCCTGCTTTGATAATCGATTGTATAATTCATGAAAAGGCATTGGAATTGAGCGGTGCAAATGAGCAGCTGAAAATAGTTTTGACTCAATGGTGCTTTGACGCAATTGAATTGCAGTATAATGATGAATTACTCGTCGATAGGGAAAGTCGAGTTTTCTTGAATCGTACTCACATGGGTAAGATTTCTCCAATTGATATCCAAGAATTAGAAGACGAAGAAGATACATGTTTAACTCAGTTAAGGATGAATTCTCTACAAAGTGATATTTCCAATAGTCTCTTGATCAAATCCAATCTCGATTCTTCACGGCAGTCACAATTCCACCTGAACAATACTTTTGATCCGGCTCCAAAAGAAAGGATTTCTCTAGAATCTATAGCCACAAATCCAGGACCAGCAACCAATAACTCACTGTTGAGTTTTCCTACGTATCATAAAATGAGTTCGAACGAAACAGTGCATGGATATCGACTAGTTGTCAAATGCGAACTCTTCGATAAAGTACTAGATCTGAAACTCCACTACAATAAAGAGTTTAATCGTGCTGTTCTTAAGATTCATTCAAAACAAGGAATCAAATCTCAAGAAATAATAGAGTTACCGATCAGCCCTTCTATTGGCATCAAAGCATTTGAACTAGAATCAACAGATGATTTCACTACGGTATTTTTGTTTGTTAAATAACTTGTATTATAGCGTTGTTAGCTGCATTGTCCTGTTTCTACTTCAGTCACTTTATTCTACTAGCTTTTGAGCTACTTATTTTAGGATTCAATATACTGATTGGTTCAACGTTTTAATTCGAAATACAGCGTCAATATCCCAAACCAGGTGCTGTTTATCCATACTAATCTAAGCTTCTATGGTGATATGCTGGAACCATCACCGCTGAAAGGATTTGTTCCGCACCGCATTTGAGCTGTAATTTCAATACAGTATCAACTTTGTGTGCACTAATAAAAATTTTAAATAGTAGCAGTAATGAGAGACAGAAAATCGGAAAACTGTTCATTTGAGCTTGATTGGCTTAGACGCTTCTCATTCATACTTAGCAACTTCTAGTATCAAAGGAGCACATCAACGTAAAATCTCGAAACAAACTCTTTCTGACAAAATTCAATTTATATCAAGGAGGTGTCTACTTATCAAAGACACTGCTCTCTCATATCTTGATATCTTAAAGATTTTGCATGTGATTGTATCTCATTCAAAGATTTTTGGCTCAGTTTGGTAAGGGTTTGGTATCGACATTATTCCTTCAAGTGGAGATATTGTCAATAACGCTGGGCTCCTTACAACAACCGTTCCCAAATGGCGTGTGCTCTTCGATAATGTGTGTCTGTCCGTTTCCTCGCGTAACGACTCAAAACAATCATCCAAAACAAGGTTCATGAGTTGATCGAATCCCTTCAATTCCCCAACAATCTTCCGTCCTCCGGAAAAAGTGACCACTAGTTTGCGGTTTTGGTACTCTTGTAAATTCAAGATGGCATCTCTTTTTGGTCCGTCCTGTCTATCCTTCTTTTGTTTCTGCTTTTCGGGCTGGATTATGTTAGTAATACGTCATTGTCGACCACTACTCACTTCCATCTTGATTAAAATTGACCAATATGATATTATCTGTAAGTAAAAACTTCCCTTGAACAGGACTCATAACCACTTGGACTATTATTCTAAGTTCGAAAGTCTAATCACAGCTTGCACAGCCTTGACATCCGCAAATAAAGCATTTCTCTGTTTTAGGATTCTCTTTTGATCTCTGACTCGAAGCTTTAGGTATCCTGCAAGTACAGGTTTTCTTGTGCGAGTTACTAATGCAGTGAAGGCAGCACAACTTTTCGTAACCTTGTTTTTTCCATTTTGAGATTAGTTCTGAATCTCCAAATTTGTGCTTTAGTAACCAATCATAAAGTTCTCGGGAAATGGTCTTTTTGTTGTAAAATATATCGTAAATGTATCTAGATCGCTGATGTTGTATCTTTGTTATGTCCCACCCAATCTCATTTTTTGGCAGTCCTTTCTTAGTTGTTGAACTTTCGGCCCTTTTCATTTTTTCATCAAAACCTCTCAAAACCTCTTCAACTTTCCAGTAATCGTTTGGAGCTTTGGAGCGGAGGTTCTTTGATTTTGGCATGGCAACTGAATTTCTTATACAGCAGTACAATTTACCGTCATGTAAGACTAGGACAAAGAGTTTTGATTCAAAATTTTTGCACGATGAATATGATAATGCCGAGTCTCCCTAAGATCAACAAGAAACATTTAAAAATTTGAGGGAGGGCACGATATGAACAATGAGTAATTTTGTTGAACAAGCGGTCAAGAGACGAACCAGCTTGTATCCAGCTAAGCGATTCCTGATTTCCATCATTCAGTAGAAATTTCTTTGAAACTACTAAGCCGGTTTTTTGACTGAGTAATCCAAAGACAAATTCTGTAAGGTTTTGAAACCACAGAGTGAAGATTATCTGACTATATCTGTCATACAGGGGGTGGGATAACAAAAAATAATTCGATGTTCCAGATGGCCACAAAAAAAACACTGGTTTCTTTATCAAAGGTCTGTTTTTTTATCGTTGATGGACTATATAAGTGTTTTTGTGACATCTGACCTCACATCTTCTGAGAGAAGGATTTCACTGAATTGGACGGTCGACCATTTACGCCAACGGCTTGAGTGGATTACAGGAATTCCTGGGCCGGACCAGATTATTTACATATACCGTACAGGAAACACAAGTGAAAGACAAAAGATAGCTGAGACTGACACACATAATACTCTAACTACTTACAGCATAGTTCCGCATACTCGTATCCATGTTGATTCCAAAGATACCAACTCTGTAGTGAACGATCTAGAAAAAGACTTTCAAAACAATTCCGACTCTACAGAACACTATCGTATAACCGAGGAAAAGTACAGAAAGTTGGATAACTCCGTTTTGCGATGGAAGCAGAACAATAATCTAGGTGAATACGATCGAAACTACGCACTTAAGAGAGACAAGTACCTTCAAGAAAATGCTGAGTTGTCAAAGCAGTTTCATGTAGGTCAGGGTTGCTCTGTGTTGACTTCGTCTACTGATACCTCACCTATATCAGAGAAAAGAGGAGTTATACGATTTATTGGCAAAGTGGAAGAGATTGATGAGGGATTTTGCGAGTGGATTGGAATTGAACTTGACAACAAATTGGGTAAAAACGATGGATCGATTAGGGGATCTAGGTACTTTAATTGTCCACAGGGATATGGTTGTTTCGTGAAACCTTCGAAAGTTCAGGCTCTAGGGAATCTCCAAGCCCCAAATCATGATAATGATGAGATTTGACCTTTTGATGGCTTTTGGGCCTCGTCTTCACGTATCTACAGATACATGTTCGTAGATTTCGGAATGACCAGTGGTGGTTTGAAATTTTTATCTAGTCAATATACTCAATCTAGTTTCGAAAGTCTAAATTTCAAGCACAACTTGAACAAACTTCAAAAAATAAAGGTCTCTGATTTTTATTTTTCTCACTTCTTTGTGATCTGTTGTTGAAGTGAGCGCAATAATCTAATTATATTACATCCACTGAGACTAGGTTCCTTTTGAGCATGTTCGATCTTAATAATATCTACGAGAGCTTTACGCAAGAATTTGACATCTTCAAGAGTCTTCGCTTGGTGGTAATAATAGGTGGTTATATTTTCTTCAGGCAGCGATACTTGGCGTTCATGAAGCAGTATCAGGTGAAAAAGAAGCTTGAAGAAGATCGGAACAATAAGTCGAATGAACTGATAGAACGACCTGGTGAAGGACACCTGGATGAAGCCGTTTCCAGTGGCATTTCTGCAAGCGATGGAAGATGGGGTTGGGGAAAGCGGACTCGGAATAAAGTTAAATCGCAGCAGAAATTATTACAAAGTCAGTTGGAGTATGCAGCCACAAAGAGCACCAATGATGCGACCTCTGATAGCGATGATGAAATAAATGAGCTTCTTGAGGAATGAATTGGTGCAATCGTTGAGTTTAGCGTCCAGCCTCGACAAGTGGGCTTTCAGCACTTTTGGGATCATACTTAAGAACCGGAAACCATGTTGATAGATGAGGTGTGGTATTCAACTGTGACATAGTAATGTCAGAAAGGCTAACTTTAGTGAAACCGTTTATATCTTTGAATACATAGTTCAAATGAACATCGAAAATCAATTAATGTACACTTCATTCGAACGATACCTACTCAATAAAGAAGGTCAAATTACAGTGAATGGCAAATATCCGCAACAAAGTAAAACGGTTTCGCAACCTTACAATTGTGTCTCGAGTATTCATAAAATATTTTTCTGAGGCATAAAAAAACCGATTCAAGATGGCTTTTTCTGACTCGAGATCTTCAAATGGTTTACCAACGGGCCTTAGTTACGCAGATGTCAGTATTGGCCTGAGACATCTTGAAAACTCCAATCTTTTGCCAGTGTATGGAAAACCAAGCTCGAAAGAGATGGAAGAAACATCAAGATTTTCACAATTTTGTGAAATTATCAATACTAGTTATTTCTGCTCCAATGACTTAAGCCTTGCAGGAAATATCCGAGACAGTCAAAACTCAAAGCACCGCAAAGCTAGCTTGGTTGGAAGCCATATAGAAAGATATTCTGATCGCTATAAACGCAGAAATAATAAAAATGAAAGATCGTACAAGTTTCATTCATCGTCGTTTTTGCCTGAAGAGCTTAAGACAGTTACGGTTGGACGAAGATACAACCAGGACTCTGCAAAAGAGTTTGCACTCATTTCTAACCCTCGTTCTCTTCAATCAAGTGCCCTTGCCTTCTCTGCGGAGGAGAAGCAAAAGCGGATAGCAGAAAAAATCAATAATGTGGATGAAATTGACGAAGATATAGTTGAAGGGGAGGAGGAGGAAGAGGAAGAAGACGACGAGTTCGAGGAAGAAGATGATGATGATTACAATGCAGAGAAATATTTCGATGATGGCGAAGTTGACTACTTAGATGACGATGGAGACGACGAGATTGCATTTTAGTATTCGATGTCACAGGCTCCCATTTAATTAAACGCCACCTTTTTTTCGGTGCAGCTTCCTGATTTGAGAATATGACAGAGCGTTCGATTTCTTGTTTAAAACATCTGGAGTCATGGTGTCAGAAAAGTTCAAATTTTCAGAAGAGAAACGGGCTGCAGCCAGTGTTTGAAATGCTTTTTCTTTTGACGGGTTAACGGCCATAAGCGGTATTCTATGGGAAGGGGGGCTTGGTGGTGGAGAATCATCATTTTGATCCAAAGCATTTGATGGGCTAAATTTATTTGATGTTTTCTTGTGCGAACCGAAACTATATTCAACCTTGGGTGAGGTATTTTCAGGTTCATGCGGGAGTGAAGCTGCGTGATCGTCGTTATCGTAGTTAAAGATTATGTTCGAGAAAAAGTTCTTACCAACTTGGAATGGATTGGAAATGGGTGTCCCGTGTAAGTTGGAATCCAGGGATTCTTTTGAACGAATTGAATCGTCATCACTTGAATCTTCAAAAAGTTTGTGTTTCGGTGCAGTATCTAATTGTGCTCGCTCTCCTGGTGTCTTCTCTGTCGCAGTTCTGTTTGATTGCCAATTCAGGTTATAGGGAAGTTTCCATCCATTAGAAAAAAATTTGAGAAATCCAGCTTGGTCTAATGATGTCTCTTTCTCTCCATCATTCAAAGAGGGACATGCTGTTGTCGTTCTATCTTGCTCAGTACCAATGCGGCTACCATGGATTTCTTTCTCTGCTCCGAAACGATCCTCATTCTCTGGTTCGCTTTTTGCAGTGAAAGGGTACCCTAAATCTTTATCATTAGTGTTTTTGTGTTCGGTGACTAAACCAATGTGAGCAGGCACAATGGTCGAAGACGAATAATAAGTCATTTCTAAGAATATTCTTCCTGCAGGCTTCCCTTTATACGAGAGTGGGAACCAATTATCATAACCTTCTTTAGAAGATCTTCTCAATGCAGGCGTGAAATCGATTTCAGCCTTGCAGACTAGTTCCGAATCTTTTTTCAGTTGGTGATACACAAAGAACGTCAAAATGGTATCTTCGACTCCATCAAGTGAAAACCATAACTCATCATCAAATTGTGGACTCTGTCCTCCACGTGGAATGACCTTGGTTTTTTGAACTTGATCTTGTATACGAGCGACGCAATACGGCGATTGTTTGTCTAGCTTTCTTCTATTTGGAAGGTCATAAGCTTTCGAAACAACCACAACAAGTTGATTATTGGGTTGGTAAACTTTGGGTCCGGTAGAATTAGAGCCCTTGAATTGATCTTTTGACATTCTGGCTGTAAAAGTAATCTATAGAACTCGGTAATTAAACAACAAATTCAAATCTTCAGTCAAGAAATTATTTACTTGTTTGTTGATTTATTTGGAAATTTCCTTTTCGGGTAATTCAAACCATTCCATTTGGTCCGCAAGTTAAGGAACGATAGATCATATTGCCCATCTGATCGACAAATTCTCTGTGAATGGTGGACTACCGTTTGAATATACTGCTAACATATCGTACGTGATACTGAGCTCAATTGTTTAATCGAAAGACATTAGCTGGTAGAATAAACTAAATATGTTGATAATATGAATCAGATGGATTCACCATCAATTATGGTGGCGAAGTGCAAAGTTCAATTGACTGTGTATACGCATCTCAGGGAGAAATTTAATATCAAGAATACAGGAACACCCAACTGACCACCGAATATTTGTTCTCAAGCCTTGAGACAGAATGATTGATGCGAGCCTATTTGATTACTGAACCCAAAGTATCAGATATCTGAATCTGAAGCTACATGTAGTGAATAGGTAAGTATCAGCGAGTATGCAAGATAGATAGACAAGAAAAATCTCCTATGGTTGGTTTACTTGGTGCGAAAATTAAGTCTCATTTTGCCATCTATTAAAAAATACCTATGCACAACAAGTTGGATCCACTGATGCGTATAATATTTTGAAGTAGCAATGAAAGAGCAACACCCGAATCACACTCCTAACAAGGGTTGGGTTTATGCCACTGTAACATGTGGTGGGAGACCTCGCTACATACCCAATGAACGAAATTTGCACCTGGTTAACAATGTTGGCCTTTATGTGGGTAATGCAAAGATTGATAATTATCAAAACGGGCGACTCTATCTGACTTCCTTCCGCTTAATATACATTTCCAATTGCGGAGATTTTCATGATCAAGATCACTCTAAAAGTGTTGCTTTGGACTTAAGTTTGGTGGAAGACGTGAAATACATCAATGGATTTATGAAGTCAAGTCCAAAAATATCTCTGACTCTTAAAAGGCAGTATAAGTCTTCAGATTCTGGTCGTGATTCTCCCATAACTTGGACTTGTCCTATATGCTTTCAGCCTAATGAATTTAGCTTAAATCAGAAGGATGATCGCTGCACCCCTGTATGCAGCAAATGTGGAGTAAGGGCAAACATGACAGACATTGCGAGAGCTATTTCACATCAGGGGACCGAAGAGAGCGTGACGCCCCAGGCTAAGATGTTAGGAGGGGGAAATACTGAGAACAGTGTCTGTGTAACGTGCTTATACGAAAACATCAATTGTGCAAGCTGTGAAAGATGTGGAAGTCCAATTGTACACACAACCTTGAGTATTGATGATTCTGATTCTTCTGCACACGTGCCAAACTTTTCGATAGATTCCAGGGCTGACAAGGGGACCATTGGGCTTTATAGATTGAGTTTCCGAAGTGGGGGATCAAAAACTTTTTTTGAAAAGCTACAGTTAGCTGTATCACAAGCAAGGTGGCTTCGTGCAACAGGAAAGAAAAGAGTCAACGTTGGAAGCACTAAGCTTAGTGACATGCCTCTGAATGCCAAAGGTGATATTACTTCACGAGAAAATAGTTCGGCTTTTCCGCCCGATCACTCACAAGTAAAAGCGGGAATCCACGGCCTTCAGGAGTCTACGAACCTTCGAAATATTGAGAGATCTGCATTTCTTAGTTCTTCGCTTGGGGATCTACAAAATTTGATGGACAAAAGTGTGGAGCTTTCCAAAGTGGGGGAAGAATACAAAAGAGCATTGATGTTTTCTGCTAGGAGACCAGACGAAATGGGCCAAACATTACGATTGCTTTCACGCTCGAAGCACTCGATCAAAATGCTGGGGACCTTGCTCACTACTGATGAAGTAACTAGCGTTTCAGATGATTTTTCCCAAGCAGACTTTCTAAAATCATTAAGGGATAGTGGAGATACACGAATGTTGGGCTTGTACGAAGAAGAACTTTGTCGCCAGGTTTATGACTATATCATGGCTAATCAGATGATAAGGAAGGGCGGGGAGCTGATTTCACTTCTCGATTTTTATTGTCTTTACAATAAAAAAAGGGGATTTTTCTCTATCTCTCCATCTGAGTTTTTGGCTGCGGTGAAAAGCTTTGAGGAATTCAATTTCAAATTACAGCTTTTACAGCTTCCATTTCCGCATACAAGGGATAATAGCTCGCAAACACCCAAATCAGAATATTTGAATGCAATCTCCAGTTCTACCATGGATGCCACTGCCATCTCAAACTCTGTTTTGAACATCTTAAAAGTTAACGTTCCAAATGGGTGTTCCGCACTGGATCTACAAGGTAATGAGACCCTCAAATTCAATTTTTTGTTTCTGCAATCCATTCTTCATAGCTTGGTACATGCGGGAGCGGTGTGCTTTGATTCCAGAGCTCAAGGCGAGATATTTTTCCTTAACGAAATAATAAGTTTCACCTGGGAATAATGGCCGCTTGTTCTTAGATTCACATGTCTAGTTACCAAGATCACTTTATCTACCCTTCTGGCGTGAGGTAAGATAATATGTTAGCTCATCGAGGAACAGGTGAACTTCTCTGTCTAAAGCGGTCGAGTACTATTGTTGTGAGTATGAAAGAATTTTTGATGAGTTATAATTGGATTTGGTGATAGGCGCGGTGGCCTTGGTTTCGCCGCTCATGCTTTGATGTTCTGCTGATGAATCCTTTTCATGAAAACCTTGTAGTTGAACTAATTTAGGCAAACTTTCAATTTGTTCTATAACGAAGTTGCGTTCGACTAGGAATAAATCATCGTCTTTTCTGTCATTCGTGAACTCTCTTAGAAAGCTTAAAAGACGATCCCTGTTCTTAGTCAGTATGTCAACAATGGACTTCGACTTCCTGGGATTTGCGATAAAAATTTTGAAAACGTTAAACGACTCATATTGTATGTTTTTAGACTTATCACCAAGTAAAATCATGATCAGCTTTAAATTGTGAGCAGAATTAACGTAGGTCGTCATTAGGTTATAGTTAGGCTTGTCTAATATCAGCTGTGATAGTAGTTTGACAGACTGTCTTTTGGTAACATAATTTGGAGACATGATCAGTTTATTTATCCGCTCGATGAATTTCTCCAAATTGCGGTTGAAGAAGTCGCTGGCAACTAGTTTGTGAGTTGTTAGAAGATCACTCAAAGTAAGGAACGCTTCTGTAGAAATTTCAAATGACCCATATTCACAGTAGTCGAAATATTTCCAGAATGAGGAATCAGCAAGAATGTATTTTGCTATCTGTTCGTATCTTACAGCTTCCCGCAACATGGAACCAGTATTGATTGAAATTTCAGGATTCTCGGGTCCATGCATCAGTAGAATGAGTATCTGTGGTTTCTGTAATAAGTAATCAATAGTCGGAGATCTGTTGACAATCTTCCTTTTCAATAAGGAACTGAACAGAAGCCCCACTATTTTGCGAGCGTCAAATTCTATCTGAGCCAAATTTTGTATCAATAGTAAAAGACAGTCCGTGTTATAAACTTCATGAGCCAGTTGAGCAATCTGGTCAGGTTGAGAGTCGCCCGCAACTCCCGCCAACTCTTCACTTCTTCCAGTTATAATTCCTTTTATAGTAATCAAATACCGAGAAACCTCATCTTGAGCCTTTTTTCTGTCATTCGTTAATTCCAATTTTGAAAGCTGCTCATTCATAGCTCTCACAAGCTCTGCCGGGCTTTTTGGATTGCGCTTAAAAAGAAACGCCATCTCTGAAGTGGATTAAGCTCAATATATGTTGGACGGAATCACCTGAAGCGATATTTGAACAAAAAGAATTGGGCGTATAAAATAACACAAACACTATTATTCCTATCCAGTGGCAAAGACTTTCCGATCACCCTTATATTCGGTACTCTATGATTAATCTTTGACCCAGATAGTGATCGTCCCCGACAAACAAGCGAGTAATATTTTATTTGCAATAGAAATTGACAAACGATAAATTATAAATTTAGATTAAATTCATGTCACGATACGATATTGGCAGACAATTTACTGAATGGAGATTTGGCGCCAAAGAATACAAAAGGAAAACAGATTGATTAGCGAATACATATCATATAATTTTTTTAAGGTGGTTTAACCTTGATGGACTTTATGTTCAATTGAGTGCTGAACATGTGGAGGATACAGATTCTTGGTGGACGTCCTTTATGATGAAAGCATTACAATCTCCCAGATCCTATCAAAATGATGTGTCATGCTGTCAGGCTTTGTTGGATGAATCAGACTTTTAGGTAAGTTTATTACGTAACCGAGTGTACGGATGTAGACCCAATTAGCCGCCCTCTTGTTCTGAGTAGCCTAGAGCGCTCGGTCCACCTTGTAACAGCGAACGGTGCCTGAGCTATCAATTTGATTATGACACTCGGTTATGTCAATGGAACTTATTAGAATAGTAATAAGTTATATTGACTTATGATTTGTATAAACTAAGAACTTGAGAACATTCCCTTACTTTCTAAAAGAGGGGGAAAGCACACCCTCCTCAAATACAGCAATATGAAACAAATTGTAACACCTTTATGCGCCTATTATGGGAAACATGCGCATGTTGTATCAGACATATAGTTTAAAGATAAGCAACAAAGTGTCACTTGAAACAAGACAGGGTTCCCCATTTTAATACTTGTCAGCCAGTCACGTGAGCAAGTTTTTCAGTCAATTAGATAATCAACTGTTCAAGTTCCGACAGGATGTAATGTCTCAACATTCAAGTAACCTTTTAGAGATTGAGGATTATCTTATAGCGAGAAGACGAACCAGAAAATGTTTTGTCTGAATAGTCTTTAATTTAAGTATGGGTACCTCTTAAGTGATATGCGTGGCTCATAGCTTTTCGCTTCGATCATCCCTCTTATATGAGCACTAGTTAATGACTATCATTTTGCCCTACGAGCATGGTTTTTTGTTTTACAATAATCACTTGAGTTACGCTTAGTGAATATTTGTTGCTTATGTAATATGACATGATCTGCAGCTACTGGATTGGCTTATTGACAAAAATTGAGTATTACACAACCATGAATGATAGGCGATACAGTTGTGTCTATATGCCCGCAATTTAATGCAAGCAGTTCAATTACAGGTTAGACTTGCATCACATGAATTCTGAGAGACAAAACGAGTATCACAAGCACCACTAGAAATTTAGAAACGATCATAAAATGGAGGGCGTTCAGCCATAGCATTGGTGATCTTATACCTTTAAAAAACGTTAACATGGTTGTCACATCCCTCATTCTCAAATACCAAGCCTACTGACTATTCTACTCGACTCGGGACTAATTGATATTACTCTCAGTTCAGCTTTTGAAGATTGAGTCAAAGTATTGCAAAGTGTTTTGCAAAGGTCTTCAGTTTCTGCAGCAATCCAACCTAGGCTGCTTTCATCTCAGCATATGGATAACCAAAAAGAACCGTGCTCCTAGCCAAGAACTTACCAAGAGCAAAAGTTCAGGGTCATATTTTACCTATTTATAGTCGCGGGGCTAAAATACTGTCTATAACAGCCAGACAGGAATAACTGAATTGGATCTCACCGTGAATAAAATGCCCGCCAGGTGTACTTACATCTTTATATTGGATTGAAACTAAAACTCTATTTGAGCAAACCTAGATTGCTTTTGAGCTCGGAGAGGTTCTCTTTTCGACAAATACAGGATGACAGCATCCGCCGGTTCATGCTAGGAGATTATTTGAAAAATTTGTATGCATATAGACAAACGAGCAAGCGCAAACAACGAATTGTTGAGGCAAATTTTGTCTATACACATGCAGGAATATATCATGGTGAGACAAGCAAGAATATTGATGATGGCTAAGATCACGCTGATCTGGTGCTTAACATCAACTGGAAATTAAATCAGGGAAAGTGCGTAATATTTCTGTTCAATTTCAGTATACTTCTTCACTAAGACTGACCACTCAGTCAGCACTGTTTGTAACTTGTCACATAATACTCATACAGGTCGGTCTGGTCCATGGTAGATATCAACTAGTAGTATCTCAGATATACAATCTTAGAGTTGTCCTCTCTTAAATGGAGGGGTTAGCATCCCTTTTTAGACTACTTAAAATAAAAACAATGAGACTTTAGCTTCTGTCCTAATAGAGGTAGTTTAGTCTAGTGAGTCTCGATTAGCACTGATGTGATTTTAGGTCGTTAGATCCGAGTCTCACACACTTTTTTTTCTTATCTTCCATAATCAATATGCATAATAGATTAGGTAAGTATGTCGAGACTAGCTCATACTAGCTAACAAGCATCCCATGAATTGTGACCAGACTCCATCAGGTTATGACTTCTGGTAACGTGTTGAAGAAGATAGTCCCAAAGGTATCAGATGATTATGTACTTGCTTATATAAGTGAGCGAGAACAGTTTATCAGATATATTTTGTCAGCAAGAGAAGACAGAAGATCTGGCGCTTAAGATACGGTGATATATGAAAGGAGCGTTAGCCCATTTTACATAACTAACTGAAATAAATAATTAGGAGTGTCTTACAAGTACTTAAAGTTATAAGATGTCCACAGCTAATTCATCACTGACATCTATACTGGATGCATTACAACATAACGCAATGTGCATGACGAACGGATTCCATGATTTGATGAAACTTCGCTCAAGATATGATTTTCGAGCTTGGTGGGAAAAGATGACCTTTGTTTTGTTTTCGGCCAAGTATGAACTATATGAGAATGCACTGGATAAGAAGAGTATTTGTAGTCCATCTGAATTGCAAGACTTCCATAAGGGTCGAGCTGTGCGGTTAATATTTATTATCAATTCTCATTAGATCCCTGAGTGACAAACTTGCGTTTAACATGACATTATACCATTCTGGTAAAGAGCTTCTTCGTCATCTTTAAGGTTTTTTTGGTAATACCACACTTGAAATAATCTACGGAGATATCCGTGGCGTTGTTCATGAGGCGGGCGTTTCCGACAAAATGAGAGGAAAGAAAATATTACAAATTATTTGAATAGACAAATTGCCTCATGAAAAGGAAACTGCAGCTTGCATGTCGATTATTTCACTGATACAACCTGGTGCGTCACAAATTTTCAGAATTAATTCTTATTCTTTGAAACTGATGCACTGTCTCGAGATCATGGATAAGTTCGGTGATAATGAATCCCCAAATTTTAAATCATCGCTCGCACGGTGGTCATTTCAGATCCAATAAAAGAAGTAAAGAATATCGCAAACTCATCTTTACCAGATGCCAGGAAATAGGCCATAAATCAAATAATTGTCTAGCTCCTTGTTGTGAAGGTAGTCGTGAACTTAGTCACGTGACTCCACTAATAAGAGAGGTGACGTAAGCAAATGACACATCATATAGAGTGTATGTGATTTGTGTCAGAAGTGATTAAGGATCGGATGGGAATCCTACAGGTCCACTTTGAAAATACTAGAAATATGTGGGTTTCGTCCACATATTAAAGTGAACAACTTATCTAAACTGATATAGTAGGAAGTGAATTATTAACTGCAACATTATGAATACCGTAGAAGTCAACTTTTAATCTTAAGAAAAGAGTCATACATTATCATCTACTTGGTCTACAAACGGGAAAATTTGTTGACTCTCCCCGAGTCACATTCAATGAGAATGAGTTTCCCTGTCGCTCAGGTAATATCAGTATTCCTTGTTTTCCTCATTTGATGACATTGTACCGCAAATGACAGAGTCTGTAATCTCTACTAAAATTTTTCCAATAGGAAGCCGAATTGTTTAGCGTTGTCTGCAATTAATCGATTTTGTTTGTAACTTGATAGATATTACTCATATAGGTTTGTCTGATTTATGGTAGATGTCAACTGGTAGTATTCTCAGAGACACACTTTTCAGAGGTCTCCTATTTAAACAGATGGGAAAGCACCCCTTTCAATAGAAGGAAGCGCAACGAAAAAAGACAGGAAATATTATTGTGTAAATATCTCAGACAGAGACATGTTTCACAGAATGATATTCGAGGAAAGGGAATGTTCTTCTCGGGGAAAAGCTTTGCAGACCGGAATATCCTATCGAAGTATTAAGTTAAGCATACTTATTAAAGTAGATCAAGAATATCTCACCAGCAATGGATGACAATAAACCATTTGAGCTTTTAAGGGAAAGTACCCATGATACACAATTTCAGAGTTGTCTTCACCCATAGTAAGAGAGTAAAGACCTAATATAATATTCCAAAATGCACGATAGGTAGTATATCTGCATCTTTGGGAGGAGGTCTCCGGATAGGAACTTACGTGTGGATCCTTTGAGTTCCTGAAGTAATATTGCAAAATCTGTTTCTCAGACTCTTCTCCTATCTTGCATAATCAGAGCTACATAAGAAATTAGGTCAGCGGGCCGCACTAACCCTATTAGCTCGACAAACGATGTCTGACTCATCATGATTTTGGTATCTTCAATGCTTTCCTATTGATTATCAAGATAAGCCTAGACTAAAATATGTCCTTTAACCTTGCTGACCTCTTTGTTTCTTACCGGTGCAGGAGTTTAAGATTCGGTTCTTAAGAAGGTTAATGTCTTCAGTATTCATGATGTTGTAGTTAATAATTCACTTCCTACTATATCAGTTTAGATAAGTTGTTCACTTTAATATGTGGACGAAACCCACATATTTCTAGTATTTTCAAAGTGGACCTGTAGGATTCCCATCCGATCCTTAATCACTTCTGACACACATCACATATTCTTTACATGATGTGTCGTTTGCCTTACGTCAGCTACCGTATCAGTCAGAGTCACGTGATTTGGTTACGACTAGCTTCATCACAACATATCAGCACGTCGAATAGACTTCATGATCAAAAATTGGACTTTGGATTTTTTTTTGAGAAACTTTCAATAAATACCATATTAGTAAATTTGTCTACGATTGTGAGGATATCTCTCCCCATTATTACCCACGGTAGATAGTGATACACACAAGTTAGTTTGAATCAGTTCTAGTGATCTTTGTATCATAACTTTCTTTTGCTATGTTTTTCACGGTTTCTATAACTCGCATGCTTCACAGAATGCTTGAATATCAGCAATGTTTAGCTTTCTCGCCGTCCTGCTTGAAGGATGGCCCATACTTAGAATTATAACTCACGGGGAATGCGTTACACGCTTCTCCAAAAGAAAATGAAGATTTCTTGAGTAGCCCTATACAGGTTGTTGTTTACCAGAATTCGAACTTGAACACTGTTCAGACGCATAGAATTCACTGACCACGATAGTCCAGCCAGCAGCTTTACCCATTTGTAACGAGATCAGATTTTTCCTGAGTGAGCAACGTATTTAACAATTCTTCGTTTGATTGTATTTTTCTCACTTCTCAAGGAGGAAATAGTAGCTTGTCCTTGAATTTTGCATCGAGCACCAATTCCCTCGGCAAACCATTTACATGGGGAACCTCTTTAAAATGCTTTCTGTTATTGCCGATATGAATTGTGCATCTTGAGCCCAGCCAATAAGAATCGTCACCACCATGCGAAACAATAGCGACTCTTCTTGCGACTTTTGCCATGCAACACAAGTGAAATTCAGCTGCTGATCTTCCGGAATTTTTCCAATCTGCGCATTATGTCTTGGCGCAAATGCTAGAGCACCCAATTTGATTCGTAGTGCCCTTTATTCTGACATCTGTAGCATGTAGTCTCTTTCAAGTTTCGTCGGGTTTTTCTTTAGACGTTTTCTTTCTTTGTGAAAGAAATGCTTGTTTCGTATTACGTGTTTTTCTCTGAGAATTGGTTACCGCTTATAACAAGCTTTGTTGTTCTGCGACAGTATTCAATTGAAATTTCTGATGGGAATCAGCTGAGTATCATATTCTCGGTTGTTGTATCATTCGTCACGAACAAGGCTGAAAAAGTCCATCCACACTTTGCCAATGGGTAAGAGCTATCTAGCTGCTGTGACAGCTTATGAAGATCGTCATATCCTTGTTCTGTGTCTCTGGACTCGCTTTCCAGAACATTCTTTACATTTTTCTTTAAAATGTTGAAAAGCTTCACGAAGGCTTGATTTTCCATGCACTGAAACTAAATGTTTCTGTTGAATTCTTTCCATTAGAAAGTCGAATTGTTTTAGTGTTGTCTGCTATGTAATTGGTTAAATCTCAATTCACCTCAATAACAGTTCCTGACTTAACACTTTGATCCCTTATTCCAGCCTGCAAAGTTGTCCTCAGGAAGGACATTTCCGGTCTTTTCCAAACACGGCTGTGCAGATCTTGCATAAGTGAATAACCGTTATGTATTTAATATTATCGGTTCGCAGACACCTTAGTATTCAATAAGTCCTAATAAATCCTAAGCAAATAGATTAAACTACCTGAACTAGGACAGATGCTGAGGTTTTTTTCGTTGCACTTCCTAATGCTATTGAAAGGGGTGCTTTCCCATCTGCCTAAATAGGACACCTCTGAAAAGTGTGTATCTGAGAATACTATACTATCAGTTGACAACCAACAAGAATTCAGGCAGACCTATATGAGTATTATCTGTCGAGTTACAAACAGCATTTCATAAAAGGTGATGTACTTCAATCTATCAGACGGCCGACTTCAAATAGTACTATCGAAATTAATTTAATGAAAAGTTTAATTATCAAATCTCTGCTGCTAGGAGGCATATCAAAGGTACCATATTGTGTGCTAAAGCCTTACACACTCTGCCCGTTGAAACCTATAGATTTGAAAAGATGCATGTAACGAGTATAAAGTGCCGGACTCCACGATACAGTGCTTTTGCATTTTCTTCGCCTGAGAGTTCACTTTTCATACTTAGATTTTGGAACTCACAACGCATTGTTTATAATTCGTATAGTCGAAGACATAGAAATGCTCATAAGCATGACCTTCTACAACAATCATCGCAGCTCTCCAGAAGCTATTAGAAGTGATGAGCGCAGCTGTGGTGTGTAGATGCAGACTAAATTACCATACTGATGTTTTCAAAGGTGATCAAAACTTTGCCGCTAAATGCTATAGGCTATAACTGTGTAAAGGATCGCTGGTACTGATGTGTAGCATTAATACGTGAGCTCGCGGGCACAAAACTCAAAGGTTACAAACTTCGAATTCGATAGTAATAAACTATCGCAGACTACTGACAGGTACCTTTACTGATATCTAGTACTCAATCACGGTTACAAATTGCAAATGTAGCGCCAAGCAATACTTTGGCACAGATATACTAAAACTCCTGAACAACTGGCAGGTGTTGTGATGAAGTTAGTCGTGAACTTAATCACGTGACTGACTGACAAGAGAGTTGACGTAAGCAAATGACGCACAATATAGAGTATGTGTATGTGTGGTGTGACTCAGAGGTGTCTCCGGATTAAACGGGAATGTTTCCGGTCCTCTTTGAGAATACTATGAATATGTGGGTTTGGGTTTCGTCCGCATATAAAAAGTGAAAACTTATCTAACTGATATAGTAGAAGAGTGGACTACTAACTTCAACATTTGAATACAGAAGAAGTTAGCCATCTTAGAATCTTACATATAATCCATATCTATAGTATTCTCAGTTCAGTGTACTTGTGAGGCGTTCACCAAATCATGTTACATAGTGTGGTCACTGCTTACACATTGTACAGAAGTTGATCGATCAGCAATGTTATGCGACAGCTGCATATGACATAGGCGTCACGTGACAAAGTGGCAACTAGTTTCATCACAGAAAATCCCTGCTCAGGGACAACTTTGCAGACTGGAATATTGCATCGAAGTATTAAATTGAGCATAGTTATTTATGTAGAGCAAAACTGTCTCACTTACAATAGCAAA